ATTCTGTACTCCGTACACCGTATGTTGCACAGATGTAAATAGTCCCCCCTTTTGTGGGTGTGCCATCGACTTCCGGGGATCTCCATCCTCGGCTTAAATATCGGCCCAAAAAAGAGATGGCCAACGGTCGATGCGCACTAGAATTAGGATCGGATCGTGAAAGTGCCAATTTAAGGAAATGAGCGGCCGCTCATTCCCTTTGCGGTGAGGATTCTCTGATCGTCCGTTTTAGCGATCGTGAGAGCTCCACATAGAACAGTTGTTAGCTCGGAAAAATAAAACCGACTAAACCAGTCCAGTTGAGTGTTTTTGTCAGGCCATCAGGAGACGAAACCGTTAAAACGGTTTGTCGATCAATGGTGTGCGATCATGTCTCCAGTATTTCACGACTTTTCTTTTCTGTTGCTTCGGCAATGATCGCCACCTTAGCGTTCATAGTGTGTATGGTAAATCAGAGACACAACCATCAAAATAACGAAGAAACGAGGTCTTGGCCAAGGATCGGCAGCTTCTCCAACTGGAGACGGAGAGGAGCTTGAAGTGGACAACATCTCAGACAGAACCCCGTCTCATTGGTCCTTGGAGACTGAATGTCCGGTGAATTTCCATCGAATACCTCGCCCCTTCAAATGGAACTAGGGAGCGTGGCAGACACGTGAATCTGTTCGATGCCGAAGCCACTTTCCATGGCTTTTGGTTCTTCTCCACCAAACCCTGCTTCAATCGCACTTCGAATGCCACTCTTTCTGGTCATTCTGTGCTGTTTCATTGTGGGATGCGCCCGGTAAAAAAAAAAAAAAAAACCAATGTTGGCAAGCTGTCTGCGTCGTTGGAGGTGATGCACTCTTTAGTTGCCGTAAAAAGGCAACCATAATAGACTCCATGCAAGAGGAAGGGTAAGAAAAAAAGCAAAAATATATCCCAAAAAAAGGTGCACTTGCTCCGTATCAGAGAGAACCAGACCAGCTGGTGCAAATATACTCCGTACTCTGATCTTGTATGATCCATCCAAGTGGTCTGCGACCGGGCTGGTGTGACCAGTTGCGATTCTGATAGTTCAGATCGAAAGGCATCGCGGGGAAATCCGGCGTCGGTGAATGTCTCAGGCATACTTGGTACTCTGTACAGTGTACTCCGTATGGAGGATGGGGTATTTCTCAGGTACTTAGTCGGCTCATTCAATAGTACATTGAATACTCTGTACTTCGTACGGAGTACTCCGTACTCCACACTTCGTCGAGGGAAGTCCAGCCCTGAAGATTATGACCCATCACATCCAGGTCAACATCGTGAGTTTCTTCGCCTTGTTTCCAACACCTCGTTATCGTGCAGGTGGAGAAACACTCCTAATCGCAGAGATCCTTACTGCATTCATGCTCGGCAGGTTGAAGTGACCTACCGTGCATGCACTAAATCTCCAGCGCACGGAACGCATCGCAGAGTGGCTGAAATGCTAAGATCCGGCTGGTCGCGCTGGAACTGATGATCCAGCAACTACTCCGTACTATGTAGATCGATTCCGCGCAGTGGATGATTTCAGACCCGTCACTAAGACCATTGTGTGATTGTGCGCTGTATGGCCCTGGAGTATAACTCCGTGTGTGCGGTTCCTGGACCGGATGGCGCTCGGGATCTGATTCAATCCTCGGGCTTTGCTCTTTACATGCCAACTGCATGGATCCAACAGATATCACAAACGCCTTCCCACGGGGGGTGATATAGTTGGACTGTTACTCGAACCATGGGGCTATTGTTCAGCTGTGGCACTCGGGTGAAAAATCGTGGGCCAAGATCAACGGATTGCATTGGTAATTCCGAAGATCTAGGTACGATTGCCTTGCATGGCTGAACGGGTGAAAGGATCTCACAATCGGAGGGTTAGACCTTGGGCCGACCGTTGGACCATACATCATTATGGGTCTCCGCTTGAGTCTGTGCGCTGAAGGGCCCAGGAGGCGAATGGGGCGAGAGAGGTTCTTCCGTGCCACACATGAACAGGAACGGACCTATGACGGCAAAACGAACCATTGAATTCCAAATGCAAGCCCTAACCAATTTTAGACTCGACAAGCGTTGCTCGTAGCGCTGAGCAAGGGAGATCGAGGGGAAAACATGACGTCCAACGGCGTGGGTCCGAGGCCAACAAACTCAAAGATCCAGAAAATGGATTCACCAAGCGTCCCTGAGCGGAAGCTTTGAGTCGATCCTCCTGCGTTAAGTCCAGGGCTTTTGCATTCCAACGCTCGCCACATAGTCGTACGTTGTAAGGTTGCAAGGGTATTAGGCAAGTATCGGAAACACAACGGAGACACCACCAACGAGATTTTCAAAAAAATAAAAGGGCAGTAAGCGTCAAAACGGCCTGGGCCGAGCTTTGATCCGGGGGCATCAAGCAGGGCGCCTGGAAAGGCAACCAGCCCATATGCCCCAAGCTCCTCTCCCCATAGACCCCTATCGAGCTGTTGACATCCAACCATTTTCGCCTCTATGTTTATTTATCAACCCCCAAATTTGAGTATACTGCAAACGATGTAAGGACAAAGGCTGAGATAAAGTGCAGCACACGCGATCTTGCCAATAAACGTCCCGTGTGCGATCTCGATCTAAAGCTTAAGCAACGTGTGTTGCAATACCCTTGCGACCCCGATCTTCTTCGGCGGGTACTCAAGGGGGTAGCGTGCTCCGATACTGAAGAAATATTTGTTTTTCCTTTTTTTGGTCAGATTTATAGTTTGCTGTCCAGTTTCGATTTTCTGACTTTTTACTTTCTATTTTTTTGTGATCTCACTTGCGCCCGATCTTGGCTTGAAACGGCTCGTGGCTCGGTGACGTACATCGCATCTGGTGGCTGGGTATTGTCTTTTCCCATGGAGACGGAGGGATAATGGCATTGTATTCCGTAGAGAATATAAGCCAAGAAAGAAGTCCGGAGTAGGGAAGAAGCAGAAAGTCAGAAAATCAGGAAATCAAGAAATAACCAAAAAGAAATAAAGAAAAAGAAAAAGAAATAAAGATTGGTGAACCATGGAACGTTGTAATCTGGACACGTCAGGCACTTTCCGATCTGACCGTGTCACCTCAGCCACGTCTCTGATTCACCCCGTTGCGATGGAAAGAGCCCTTCAGAGATCTTGACTTAGTGTATACCCCGTGGAACCCCTGTGTATCTTGCAGTTCCCTTATGTGACACTGAGGTTGCATACCCATCGATTCGAGGGTTGAGACATTTATTTTGACCCGGCGCTTTGGGACGTTGGCGATGGGAATAGAATCGATTCATGCACTGCATTTGCCCCTGGAGCATAGAGCAGGAGCCTCGGATCAGTCCTGACATCATGTCCTTCACTATTAATAAGCGTACGGAGTTAACGGTGCAGAGTTCATTGCCCGAGGCTGACATTTTATCCACTCTGAATCGGAGATCTCTCTCATGTGACACGGATGCATGTACAGGGTACGGAGAACTCGTACATGATACTGATCGTGGATCTTGCCAAAGACTATTTTGTTTTTTAACTGATGAAGTAGTACTCCGTATACGTGGTACGGGATACTATATTTCCACCAAAATGTGGACGGAGCATGCTCCGCGGACGTAAACACAGAATAATAGATTGGTTCCAGAAGACTGGAAGATTAGAACGCTATATCGGATGAGCTATAACTATCGTCCGCTAGTCTCTCTTCCAGTTGGACCACTCCGCCGGGTATCAAGCCGTCCCTTAGCACGTTGGCAATCGGCCTATTATCGCGATCCAGCATCGATCTAGGGCTCTGGGGTAGCCCTATTTCTTTTTCTTTTTCTTTTTTTGGGGGGTTCTTGGCTCTATGATCATACGGAGTACCTATGTACCCGGGTGGTACCTGGATGTACTATGTTCCTGAGTCATGTCGTACCGTGTGGATAGTATGATATCCAGGACACCGTGTACTCCGTCGTACATGGCTATTTAGACGTTCAACGATGGGCAATACATCAAGACATCAATATTATAATAATACGGTCCACCGTACACTAGTGAGAGGTATGATTCCGATGATCCGCAGTTTGGTAATTTCCAGGTTGACGTAAAACCAGGTCATGACGATCTAGCAATTTCCCTGGGTAATTTTTCCCCCTGTTCGTACGGATCTCGATCTATTTTCTATTTTCTCTTTTTCTTTTTTTTTTTTTCTTTTTTTTTTTGGGGATTTCTCTTTTCTTTTTGATTTATGATTTAGGATTATGATAATTCTTTTTGCGAAATAGTAAAATAAATCCAATAATACACCAATTAGCTTCTCTCCTCTCTAAGCTTCCCGTTTCCAATCTAAAGCCCGAAATGAAGTAGCCTCGATCCCCTTGATTTGATTTTGGCTTTTCCCCTCCCTGAAGGGTAGTCGTTTATATTTATCTTATTTATCTCCCCCATTCCACCTCGTGCTTTCATATTTGGATTGACATTCTCCGTTTCCACGCTTTATATCCCTTGCTGACTCGATCTCAACTCTTTTCTTTTTCTTTTCTTTTCTTTTTCTGCTATGTGCTAGGGGTTTTGAGAGTTCTTCCGACTTGACGTACTTTTGGAGGGGTTTCTTGTTTCCTTCTTCTCACTTCCTAAGGTTCATTTTCTCCAACCCAAGGAGAGACAACAGAACAAAAAGGACAAGACCAAGAGTTGAAGTCGAAACGAATTAACTGGTGAACTGGTGAACTGGTCAAACGGGTTACTCGGGCTCCATTTAAACGCCACAGCATTGACAACCGCCCCTCTCCGGGATTGGATCTTTGGCTTCCTTGGGATCTCGGCTTTGCCCTCTTTTCCCTTCGCCACTGTCGCTCCTAGGGACTCGCATTCCGCAGTCGCACGAGAGGCGTTCGTTCCTCTTTGAGCCTTTGTGGGAATTCCTCGGCCGGATCTTATAACTTCATTGTATCTCTCGTCTCGAGGTAACTTGGCCTCTCTCGACAGCTTGGTCGATGATATAGTATTTCATCACATCCTTCTACTATCAACGTGATGGGGTCTTTGGAAGCTGCACCTAGGCACAGGTTGGTCTTGCGCCCTCAGCGCATCGCTTCTTTCATTGCTGACCAGCTATCTACAGAGACCCTTTACCTGCGATAGGGTTCCTAGGAAAGGACGGCTCGGGCTACACCGCCAGATATTCTTCGAGCGCAACTTCATCTCCAGCTCCTTTGATGAGTCCCAACATCATGTACACCGGGCAGCATCTACCTTACTCCTACGCGCCCTCGAGTGGTCCGCCCCCAGGGTATGCCTCGCCGCCAGAGGCCCGTCGTGTCATTGAAGATGAGAAAGAGAAACACACTCCCAGACAGTCTCTTCCATCAATTCACGAGGCGCTCGGCAACGACAACCCTCTCCCATACCCTACACCTACCTCCGCTCCACCATCACAATCCACTCATGCGGCGCCGCCATCACACCTTATCGGACGGCCGAGTGCAGAAGGTCCAGCCGGACCATCAAATCCGTTTAATGGACCATCGACGGGGGCATTGATGCGGGATGGCGCTTATTCGCACCCAGCCCCAATGCAAGAACAATCGCGCTCCAGTCTCGCATCCATAAGCACTCAAGACTCACGGAATCCATCCCTCCACTCCATCAGCACGGGCAAATCCCCTACACAGAGCGCCAAAACAGTGAACACCTCGGTTGGATCACAAAATTCCTCCGGCTACGACTACAGTGCGCCGCCGTCCGCCGGCAGTGTAGCTTCACCCAACGGCTACAGCCATTTCGCCTCGAACTTTACCTTCCCACCTCAGCCTTCGGGCCACTCATATCCTCATACCTACGACAATCGCTCCTACATGACTGCATCGCGCATGGAAGAAGTCAAAGGTGGGTATGTGGGTCGGTCAATCCCTCCCCATAGCGAGACTGTCAAGCGGCATTTGGACGTTTTCGATGTGGAGACATCTTTGAATGAGGTACGGATTGTCCCCCATTTTTTTTTAAAAAAAAAAAAAAAATTACTTGACTTCATTTTCCCGCTCTATTCTCCAACGTTGTTGGGCGTGGAGATGGAACGGCCTATCAAGTTCCCCCGAAATTACATGTGAACTAACATTGTGGAACAGATCGCCGAGTTGAGTACACGAACTCTCGATTTTTCAAGGCACTACGCAGCTCGCGCACACCAAACGCAGCGGTCTGGGCCGATATTAGGGTCCCTTCCTTCGCTAAGCGAAGTCGAGGACATGCTCCATATGCAACGGCGGAACCAAGATGCCTTGATCCGGATACGTTCGGCTGTGGTGAACCAAGAACAGGCGCTCGCCGAACAGATGGCCCAGCGAAAGGCGTTCAAGCCCGAAGACGAGCACATGGCCATGTACCAAGAAGAGTACAAAGGCACGGGCGGATTTGCAGGCGCAGATCCAAAGAAACGGCGTGGAGTAAGTCTGATCCTTTTCCTGTTTTTCCAACCATATGTATTCTTCTGGATCGATACCGTGGTTGACTCGCTGTCAAACCCGCTCCACACAATGAACCGCGCATGGCTAACCAGCTCTACAGAAAGCTGCCCCTCCCGGTCGTTGCCACAGCTGTAACCGAGCCGAAACGCCAGAATGGCGCCGGGGTCCAGATGGAGCCCGGACGTTGTGTAACGCGTGTGGTCTGCACTACGCCAAGCTGACTCGCAAGATGGGCGCTAACAAGCCGGCGGGCCTGGGTTCAAATCTAAAGCCCAAGTCGGTTCTCGACTCCGCCTCGCCAACCAGTCATTAAATCATTTTCTGCATGTGGCGTTGAAAAAGGTGGGAAATAGAAAGGACGGCAACGGAGTTCAGTGACCATTTTCTCTTTTTCTTTTACAATTGGGATTTGACGAGGCTGCGATCTTCCCCTGTTCGGCATCTTTTTTCTTTTCTTTTCTTTTCGATTTTATGTCTTCCCTTTGTTCTTTTTCATTTGTTTGCTTTGGGACCTTCCCTACTCGGTGCCTTTATATAATACCCCCTCATCAGCTTCCCAGGCACTGGGAGAAAAACGGCTTCAGCATAGATATCCCCTCCCCCGTTGATGATTCAATAACCATTGGCCTGGTCTGAAACTGGTTCTTACTTTTTTTTTCTTTTGATTTCATTCCCAACTCCCATCTCTCAAGACTGTTATCTGGTTTATACCCTGCATTTGTTTGAATCCGTGAATCCAATTCGGAAGCCCGCGGATCTCATTCTCGCGTGTCTGTTTGAGTATGTCCCTGATATGATGTGTGTACGATCGTGTTTCATTCAGCGTTTTTACATTTACGGCCCCTAGTCGATATTTGATATCCGACCTTAAAGGTTTTATGACACTCGTTTTTCCTAGTTTCTCAGAGCGGGTACAATTGCCCTTTTCAATACATTTTACCAATGAATATCAGTTCCAATTGGAGTATTCCGTAGATTGGTCTTGACCGCATAGTCTCGGCTGGGTCCTCAATGCCGATTCCTGGACCCAGAACCCCCGAACCATGGATCCAGTCATGGTTATGAACATATGGCATGATCTCTTATTCATGGCACGATTCAGGAATCCCCCATCTAGCCCTCTCCTGCGTGAGCCACTGACAAAGCGGCGATTGGAAAAAAGAAAAGAAAAAAAAAGTGGCATGATCGGTGAAGTCTTTTAGGCTGAACTCGGTCCGATTCGCTCGGTATGAACGTGCAGACCCTAATATAATAGATTAACGATAAATGAAGATAATCTATTCCCTTAATTGACGAGAATCCTCGCGACGAAATTTGTCAATTTTATATAGTCTATAATATATTGGGGAATGAACTCATATCAATTGCATATTATTTCCGCAGGCAATTGGATCGGAACAAGAATCCCCCCCCCTCCGCAATACCCGCATCGCGAACCGGGAAAGAGCAGGGCAGTCGATCATCTAGATTGGCGAGTCGACTAGCGGGGGAATGGGAATAAGATCATTCGCCAGATGGAAAAATGAGAGGACAAAAAAACCCGATCCGATCTGATCGGGATCGGGCATGAGATCGTAGATTAATTGTTTTAGATTAAAATAAATTAGATTACTGATTTCTTTCGCGGGAGGTAAGATCGTGTAAGGAATTCTGTTTGCGCAGTCCAATCACGCATGGTTCTATACGGAGGAGTATATATTGTAATATAAGGTCACGCTCGGCGTACTCCGTCACTTGATCAGATATAGATTAAAGAGGTAGCATATACTCCGTACTCCGTAATAGGTTAAAACTTACAGACCGCCATGTAGATCAGGTGGAACGATATTTGTCACGCTTTTGCGATTGACAGCTTAGGTCGCAAAAGCAGGGTACCCCTGTTCGGAGAGAATCTCGCCGTCCGATCACAGCTGCAAGGTGTGTGATCTTTGGCCCGATGCCATTCCCGACAGTTTGGAAAGTTTATATAGTCTGAGCGATCGATGCAGGTTTGGGGATTTCTTCGCTGTACTTTCCTAAGGAGTGGAAGGCGATATGTGCGTTGGTACATAAGAGCTGTGGATTTTGGGATTTTGGGATTTTTGATCTTTTACTTCACTGTCCTTGTGTGGACCTTTCGGGGAAGTACAGTTTTTTTTATTTTATTTTATATCAGGTGGAGTTTCGAACACGATGTGCGAAGATGGGAATCTCGTACCTTTCTTTATCCCTTTTCTGGGTTAAAAAAATAAAAAAAATAAAAAAAACGCTAGCAGGGATAGTGGAATCGAAATCGAAATCGAGATCCTAGATCCTAGATCCCACGTTCGCTCATCCCTGTGGAGATCTATCATGTCATTAGCCGTTGCCTGCGGAATACATCGTAAAACTGGTATGCAACCACCCCTTTCATTTTGTCTAGATCCGGAAGGAACACACGAATAATTGGTCGAATTGTCACTGAACATTCCCGTTTGAGACCTTGAATGACTCAAGGGATGTGTGTGCTGACTCATTTGGCCCGGTCCAGTGCCTCGATTGTTTGGTGGAGCTGGGGCTGATCGATCTTCCATCTTTCACAATACTAACTCTTCTAGGACAATGGGATTCAGGTCCGAGACAAAGTTTCACCCAATTTCCCTCAGACTCTATATCCATCATGAATCGCCCGGAAATTTAATCCGGCCTAGACGTTGGGAACGGAACTCCGCTCATCTCCACGGAGAAGACTATCCACAAGGGGAGAGCTGAGAGTGGCGTCACACATCACACATGGCGCATGGGCTGGGACAAACCTACGATCCAAACGGTCTCATAGAATAATCAGAAAAAGCAAACTAGCGAAATTGGGCCCGGCGGTTACTCGGCATACAATCGCAATTTAGAAAAAAAAGGCACATCGCAAATCAGTATATCATATATAGAAACGATCTCCACAGTCTGTGCGCAAATACGATCGGCGGTTTTTCTTTTGATCCTGACATCGGACCTATAAGAAATGAAACAAAAAGGGGGGGAAAGCTGGTCATCTTAGGCTCTGTGCGGCAGTCAAGCCTTGAATCGGTGCCCGACGGAAACTCTATCTCGTGTGAGATCGTATAGATCGCATGCAATGGTGGAAGTGTTGCGCCTGGGCACGCGGCAAAACCGTGGGCAAGATCTCCGTGGCTGTCAGATCTCTATTTAGAATCACAATGTCGGTGTGTTTGGCCTGAGGGCCACATGAGTTTGCTCCAGGCCCTAGCAGATTACTTGGGCTCATGATGGTAGATCGGTATCTAACATGGTCCGCGCCATGCCGAGTTGGGGAATTGGTGGAGGATAGGCCTTGGGGTGGAGAACAAGGTTCTGCTGTTCTTTGGATGTTCTTCTTCCTTGTTTGATCTGGTTGTGGCATGGCGACGGAGTACAGAGGAGATGACAGGATGTTGGACGGAGTACGGAGTACTCAGGAGGTGGTTGCTAGATAGGTATACGAAAGCATCGGACAGTGGAGTGCCAATGTTTCTGGCACAACGGACTTGCATGAGCATTTCGTGATCTGTACATGTAAGTATAGACAAGGTATTGCATTTGTTTATTTTGTTTCGAACTGTACTCCGTACGGAGTAGACATTTCAGAACCAACTGCAGCGGATCTATCCGAAACCCCTAAGCGCCAGCTCCCTGTACCTAGCTACTCCGTACGGAGTACATCGTACGAGAACATTGTATGTTTCGTCCTGACAAGTCATTATTGAAGAAAAAGGATGATTTTCTTCAGACCCAAACCTTTCAGACCCAAACTGAACCGTGCCTACGATCGTCCTACCCACATACCTTCTGACCTTCTGATTGGATGCATACCAGACTCTCGCTCTCGCTTATGTATGCTGTCTTTCCCTCAACCGATCGCTCCCGAATCCGCAACTGGATCTGGCGGCTAGCTCCATATCGGACATCCAGGTACGGAGTACATATCACGATAACCCTTTTTATTTGTGGAAAGTCTATCTGATCAACACCAATCGTCGTCGGTGGCGTTATGGGTGGAGACAAATCGATTTACCGGCTCATCGGGTCGGACTATTGATTTCTCTCGTTTGGGGTTAGTCGGCTTTGGTTTTTTGGTTCTGCCCACAGATCTGAGTTCCTTCGTACGGAGTACTCCGTGTGCATACTATATGTAATCTGCTTGTCAGTACGGAGTACTCCGTACGGAGTGCTGGACTTGTGCACTGGTATAGTGTCTACGGAGTACTCCGTACTTCTTGGTGTTATATCGGTCTCTACTCCTACCCCGTACCCCACGCATGCTTTCGATAGTCCAAGCCCGCATCCTGCCTGAGATCCTGCGAACAGCTGCACCTGCTCGGAACGCCAGACCGAGCCACCGAGATGCCCCGAAAGAATGGCTTGCATATATATGCTCGGAGCTCGTGTTGGAAAGCGATTCTTACCAGATCATTGTCATCTGGAAAAAATTATCGAAAAAAAATATAATTGAAAAAAAAGCAAAGAAAAAGAAAAAGAAAAGCAAACATAATAAAAACAACCTTGGAAACACCCAAGACCTGTACATCCGTGCTCCGTACGGAGTATGTAGAGTAAATATCTCAAATTCCTAGAATCAGGATTTGACTCCCCGATCCTAATGGTACAAGGCAGGAGATCCTTACAGCAAAGCAAACACCCCCAGCCGTGGAAGCCAAGCGCCATGGCTACAGGTGTGGCGGTGAGCCTCTGGAATGGACGTGCATTCATAAAACCCGAGGCACTGAGTATACATCGGCATGTGAGATATTGGATGGACTGCCACGTCATTCGGGACACTCAAATTTGAGAAGCGAGCTCGAACAGTACACACGCATAGTATATACGCGCTAATTGGGACCGCGGGCTCATATGGGAAGGTCCGGTAGTTTAAATTAGACAAAGTATCTAGGTAGATTATGCCAAATGGGGACTCAATGGGCTTGTGATGGGGGCGCGATGGGCGCGAGTGGGAACCAGCTGGATCTGTGGGAATGGGCGGTCGCATACTAGACTATGGACTGTGTGGACGGGATTTCTGGCCGAATGGGCGATTGTAGATAGTGAGGCAGATGACTGTGAGGACAGGGGAGGTTGTCACCGTGAGTCTAGAATAGGGGTGAATGATGGAGAGTGGAAATCGCATAATTGAAGCCGGGGTTTGGGATGGGAAGAACCATGGTTCGGGTGTAGAATGACATCTGCTGATTTGCCGGAACTTATCTGAGCCGCAGAAGTGAATCTCGATTAGCCGATCTGCAGGGTTAGTGAGTTCCACCGCGGCATCTAGAATGTGTTGAAGAAGGTTCGCACCTCGGGTTCGGCTTTTGGCTCCATCTCGGTTAGAGCTGCATGTGGTGTGGCAATCTATTTGGTTTGCTTGCGGTGTACGGAGTACTCCGTACGGAATTCTCCGTACTCAATCAAGCATAGATTGCATGTCTCGCGAGTTAGATTAAAAGTCAAGTATTGTCTTGGCGACCTCGGCTCCGACCGAACTTACGATTTCAACGTGGCTGAATCGTGGATCTGAAGAATCCATGGTTCCGTGGCATTAATTCGGAGCTTCGGATCCGAGGGATTCCGCAGGCAATCCTGTCGAGTTTATCTAACTCGGAACTAAGCTCCGATTGTATAGTGCAATGCATATTATCATCCATGCAATGACGTCGGACAAGAGCCATGAAGAACTGGTAAGGCCTAGGACTGTACACTGTATTTCACAGGTTCCACAATGGCGACCTAGTAATCATACTACCGCCAGAAAGCTTGCGCTACCGAGCTGATGTACTCGATCCCGTCCTTGCGCCATGTATCAGCCTCCATACGACTGGTCGTATTAGCATCGAGAACCAGATCAACTGGCTTTCCAGTAGTGTAAGAATCCCAACGCACAGAGCCCTCCCCGACAGCCGAATTAGGATCTAGATCGTGGATGAAGGACACCCACATGTTAGCCATCATAGAGCTGAGATCAATGTACGACTGCGACACACCGGCAAACGGCTTGCCGTAGTGATATCCCAGCCCCGCGATGTTGTGGAACACAAATGCTACCTCCTCGAAATGTGTTACACCTGAGAGGAACGGCACATCGGCCGAGCGCACATTGAATCGGTAGCAGTATGCAGCCGTTGATGCCTTGGCCCATGCTTCGCACTGTCGGCGGCGGTTGGCGTGCATGCTCCAGTCACCTGCGAAGGCGGAGGTGCGGCGCCATTCGTACCCATTGGAAGCCACGCGCCGGTCTCCAAGGTATGCGGGAATGCCCTGCGACGGGTCGTCGGGGTAGAGTTCGAGGATGCGCTTGGCTACAATAGGAGGTGTTTTGAAGTTGAACCCGCCATCTGAACATCGTTAGCTAGTGAGTCGATGGCACAGAAGACTTGGGTACATATACATACCTGTCAAATATTCGTACCATTCCTCTGTGGTGTTGATCCCAGTCGGTCCAAATGCCGTTCCTTCGTCTGTGTTGCTGCCGATAATGATTGGGACTTTGACAAATGCATGCTTGTTTAATTGGATACTACCCCAATTCCGAATCAAGTCTCCGTCCACGACCGGGAAAAAGTTGTAATCGGATTCGCCCTTGGTGCCATTTAGAGCAGTGTTAAGTTTGTCAAATGGTACTTCCCGAAGGCATTGCAACGAATCCACGACATCCGAGCAGCCAACCTTGGAGATTAATCTGTCGTATTGTGATTGAAATGTCGTGCAATTTGATGCCCTTATAGCTATGGATCCCCCAGATTGCATAATCCCCGCTCGGAACAGCTTGTCATCCCGTCCGCCATATGCTGTGAGATGATACCCCACTGACATGGCACCGGCGGACTCGCCCCAGATAGTGATTTTCTCGGGGTCACCGCCAAAGGCACCGATATTTTCCTGGATCCATTGAAGCGCCAGCCTCTGATCTCTCAATCCGAGGTTGGTATTTCCGCTACCGGAGACCTGACTTGAGCTGATGAAGCCCCATGCTGACAGTCTGTAGTTCAGTGTGACAGCAATGATCGGTTTATCTTGCATCTCAGTCAGACTATGCTTCCAAAGGGCATCCAAGGGGAATGTGTAAGATAACCATACCAATTTGATATGACTTTCGCACGATTTCGGATGTATTATAACGCTCATCAGCCCCAGAGCCCTCGTAGAATCCCCCACCATGAATCCACACTCCAACTGGAAGCTTCGAGTCCTTGTTGGCTGCTGAACCCCGGATGACATTCAGGGTAAGACAAGCTTCTGAACGCGGGTACCAGATTGAGTCTGTCTAATTTCGATATCGGTATTAGGGATTCATTCAAGGATAATTAAGAGAGGTATAATCACTCCATATCCAACACAAATATCCGAGTACCGTGTCGCATCGCGCGCATCCTCCCAGCTTGCATTCAATGAGTGTGGCACAGTAAACCGCAGATCTCCTACCGGCTGCTGTGCATACGGTATGCCCAGGAAAAAATCCTGATCGTATGTAGGATTGTGCACTCCGGTATACGTTCCATTGCGGACAGTGACTGTGGGGGGTAAGTTTGCGGTGTGGACAGGAACTGTTGTCCATAGGAGGAAGCCGGCTACAGAGCAAAGCATTATCAGATATAAATACACATTCTTTTCCACTCTCGCCTTTTGAATTTGTGTTGCGTGCTCCATTTATAGTTGCAATTTGTCGCTGGTTGGGAGTCTGGGGACGTGTTGCGGGGAAGGTCCATCGGGGGAGCCCAAATCATGCATATGCATGATCGCCCTTCTAGGCGATGTGTGCTCTTGTGTAGCAAAAAGAAAAGCATAAATAGATCGAAGTATGTAACTGATCGCAAGGATGGAGAAGATAGTGCAAGGGCAAAGGGGGCTAGGATGGCTCAACTTTGTCGATATATCATTACCCCTTCGGGATTTCTCAGCGCAGGCTGATCAATCTCGTGCTTATTCCACCCGAAAAGTTTGATGGACAATTGTCTATTTTGATTATAGGCCGGCCATATCGAACTATCCGAAGATGCACCGAGGGGTTTGTGCTGAATTGCGAAATAAGTGAGTAAATGAACATTCGAAAGCACCATCCCATATATCCTTCATATTAGACTCGCTGATAGGTTTAAAACAAGACAAAAGAAGACATTACACCTAGCATAGCATCGCCCGGCGACTACTAAATATCAAAAATATCACACACTCCCTCCGGGATCTGCGGAACAAGTTTGAATGCGAATCGCCGGTCAGTCACACAGCCATCAACTCCAGTATCTCACCCAATCTCTCGACCACGAAAAAAGTCGATCTGATGTGCAAGCACTTGAAGGTGGATGGGAACCAAGCACCAGGTAAGCCGATGTGCAACGTGGAGCGAATATCCTTTCTTGTATAACAGTGAGATCGTAGGGATCCCGAAAATGGACAGGGTTAGACAGAGTGTAACAGACCAAAACAACAGGCCGATGGGCGCTGTAACGGTAACAGCAGTGACCATAAGACAATAGTGACGGTATAGGTACCTGCACATGTACATGAGAGAGTTGTTTGCTCCTCGACGTTGACACCGGCACAAAGAGAAAGAGATTACTAGACAGAGGACAAGAGTAAAGATAAAAACAAGACGAATTCCCACAATGATGAAGACTTGACTTGAACACTTTGCCCCAAATAACTCATACCATCAGCAATGTGCTGGCCGTCACCAACTCGCTCTCGCACCGAGACAGCGGCACTCCAGCTAGAATCCGAAGAAACAGCTGCAATCATCGCAGCCACGCAAGGCTTCCTCACAGCACTGAGCACCAAGTCGCGCGCCGATTTCGAAAAACACTGTGTCCGAGCTGGGGGGATGACACTGTCACCTCCGGCTCCAACTTCTCTGCGCTTCTGCACGATTGGATCGTTCGTTGAACATGTCGCCGCGCTTAAAGACGACATCGACGAGCGGATTTGGGACCCGGAGGTGAAGGTGCACGAGACAGGAAACCTAGCTGCGGTGTGGGCGCCGTTCCGAGCGAAGATCAATGGCGTCGTGGATCATGTTGGTGTTGAGCTTTTTGTCTTGCATAAACTCAACGGCGAATGGAAGGTGACTGGGTTGGCGGACTCGTGTCGGTTGCCGACTGAAGAGGAACTGCTGCTGGAATAAGGGTCTTTGGTTGTGGAGAAGATTGAAAGATAAATGAGAAAAAGTAAAATTCATCAGACGCTGTGACATGGAGGGCTGCCTCTTAACTGTCATGAAATATATGCAAAATTGACTCAAGCTCGCGCTGTACAAGCTCACACTTTGGATATCTATTGGTGTGTGAATACTTCGTGTTCTAGTCCTTTCTGCCCCGGAGAAGTTCCCATCCGACGGACCCTTGTTTGCCTTCTTTGGTGGTCATCTCCTCAACAGCCTTTACTAGATCGTAGGTGATCTCCTCGGACACAACACTATCCTGCTTATAGCTAGGATGCTTGGCCACAAACTCACGTATCCACCGAGCTCCGGTCCAAAGGGTTCCGTCAGCTCGCTTCCGGATCAAATCGAGGTAGCTGGCCAGGAAACACCTGGTCTCAACGTCAACATTGACGCTGTTGAGGTAGGACTCGACAAGCGGGATGAGACCCGGGAATGATCCGTCGGCGCATCCATTTATAATGTCGTCAATGGTCATGAGATCAAACTCGCTCTCAACGGGACCCAGAGGAGGTGAAGGAGGCGGGGTGTTGACAGCGGATGATGTGCCTGATGAGAAGGTGCTGCCATTTGTCGACTGCTGTGCACTCCGGGGGACTCTGCGAGGGAAGGGGTCCTTGCGGAACCAGAACTTCCGATCATGAACAGCGTTGCGAGCGTGTGCTGTCTCCATGTTCTCTGTGGTGCGTTGGATGGGGATGTAGAAGTTAAGATCGAAGCTCAGGATAGCACGAGTGATAAGAACGATGAAAATACTGAACGCTGCATTCTCGAAATCCGTGATTTGGATCTCCATAGACCGGAATTCAACTCGCCAGCCAATATCATCCTTATCAGGTGGGGGTGGCTTGAAGCGCATGTGCTGCCAATTAGTCGACTGCAAATTTTCGAAGTGGTCGCTCTTGTTGAGATCCAGTTCTTCGAGATCTTCAGAGAAAATGACTAAGGGATCGCGGATGAAAAGGTGCGCAAAGTGCGTCGCGAGTAGGTCGTCCATTCCTCCGTCCATCAGACGTTTCTTAATATCCTGGTCAACCACTAGATCAGGATCAAAGTACTCCTTTCGGAGTCGAGGATCTTGGGAGATATAAGTCGAATTTGAAGCATATCGCGACTTGGGAATTCTCCACCGGTCGTTCTTGAGAGGCTGCAACAGGTTAGTTCAGTGAGCACGGACAAATCTCTCCGAGAAGAACTTACAGCTTCACCAAGTTCCTCGGGGGTCCTATCATCGACTGCATTGCCAATTTGGTTCCATCGCACATCTGTGTCCACTAAGAAACCTTTATAAATAGGTGTGGCGGCGGTCAAAGCCAGGAGAATGGGCCCCAGAGGACTGAGTTGATCATAAAGCTTTCTGCCCTCGGTCATATTCTTTGCCTGGAAGGTGATTTGCAAGCAACAGCTGCCCATTCCGAATGCCATGGCGTCCATATAAACATGATCATCCTTCGCTGCACCGTTGCGGACGTCATCATCCTCGGGCCACTGATGAAGATCGTAATTGACCGTTGGGTCCTTGAACGGCCTGGGGGTATTTATGTCATGGAAAACAGGAACATTCAATTCGACCTTGCGACCTCTCCGGGATCGAATGTTGGCGGCCAAAGTAGGGAATCGGATATGGGGATTGGCAATCTCGTCGGGGACGAATTGCGAGCGAAGAGCTGGTCCAGACGGAGGATAATATGGCTGGATGTAGTCATCCTTGGTTCCCAGTCGAGGGAAAGTTGTTAGAGTAATGGGGACCTCATTTGAAGCCATGTGTGCTTTCGCAACTTCTCGTCTGCAAGAATATTAGTATATTCTTGGAGCTGATATTTGATGCTCGAAGAACCCACCTCCACTTCATATTGGACTCCACCTTGAGTAGATCTTTAAAACCAATTCCCCATGGCTGTCCAGGAGTAGCCTCCAACATGAATCTTCCGAATTCGGGATGGAAATGAGGCGGTTCCTCCCCCTCGCTGGTAAATGTTAGATATGCCAGCCTTTGCTTCACTTCAAACCACACTCACTGGTCCCCAGTCGCGCTGTGCTTGCCGGAACCGGACTTCCAAAGCTCCTCGTCTCTTGCTAGTGACTTTAGGATCTCCGCCTGGGCGAGAGATAGCCGGGATTTCTTTGCTGCATCGTCGAGAGCTACCACGAGGTACTCAACCTATTGTAAATGGAATTGATCAGCAAGGGTGGCCGGCAAACATCATGGACTAGCGCAACATACCTCGTCGCCCCAAAGAAGAACATCACGTTCTTTGCCTCGTGCTCTGCGCCAATTGGCAAGTAATTGCTAGTCACGTCAGAAAATCTCGAGGTCGTTCCGTTGCTAACTTGGACGAATCGAACGCAAGTTGCATACCTCGATACCCCACTGGCGCACTTGGCCCGCCTTTTTCTTGGCTTCGGGCCATTCCAGCGCTGTTCCAAGAGCTCTGTTCGAGATTAGAGGGGTCCAAGTAGCCAAGCCTCGTATGACACATACAGAAGTCCCATTGTGTCGACGTTATCCCACGCCTAATGCGCAGCGGAACAAAGTATGGGGTAAAAAGTGACCCCAAGCAGATGCGGAGGCCTAAGGTCGAATATTGATGAACGCGAGACTGATCAAAGACGAGATATATCCCGGCACATGGTCCCCTTTCGAATTGATTCCTCGCAATTCCGGGCAAAGCGCATGGAAGGGGGGGTCTTTTTTTCGGCGGCCGATTTCTGGCGGGGGCGGCGATAACGGCGGGAGTTTTAAAGGCGGTTGCCAGAAATTCGCCTTGCATTATTAATCATGATTTGTCATAGTCGCAGCGCTCCAGGGCTGTACGGAGTAGGTAGTTCCACTCGTTTGGGATATACTTAAGGTGAAATAATCTCCGTTCTGTTTAGTCTGGGGGAATCCTGGTATAGAACACGAGATGGTGAGAGAAGACCCTGCGCTTGCGTCTTGAAGGATCATCAGAGCAGCATCCATCCTACGGCCCGAGCGCTCTTCAGAAAGAAATTATAGTACGGACTACCCTTGGGAGATCACCTACACTTGTACGGAGTACTCTGGAGAGCGGGCATGATCGTTCAGAGTGAATGCAGAAAAACCAGCAAAACCAGAAAAACCCGACTTGAATGCTGTCTGGTGCCGAATAGATCAGATAGATCCTAGCTCAATGCAGAACGGGCAAGAACTCATCGCCCAGCTTTGCCCAGCCCTGGATGTGGATTGACTGTAATACTAATGCAGGGGATCCTATCACTACATATGCGCCTGCAATGATGATTGTCTCTAGTCTGCATAGGGAGTAATTATGCATCAATTAGTTGGGGATCATGTACGCCTATCATTCGCCTACATAGTACGGAGTAGAGAGAAGATATCTAGGAGCCTCTTGATCAAGGCCTATATATGACCTTTGATTGAGGAACTAAGTATATGCTTTGACCATCACATCGTATATCATTGGCCGTATGTCATGCATGCCACCAATCAATAGTAGTACACTCGGGCAGCCATAGATCTTGCAGCCTAAGCTTATAGAGCCGTACACGATGGTGGATGCAGGAACCAGATTGCGCCCGATTAGTTAGATGTAGGTCATGGTAATACATCGTCCGATTCAAGTTTTTTAGAATTGATTAATGGCACAGAGGAGGCAGGCTGAATGGGCTCCTGAAGTGTGTATTGAGCGGACAACAGGACATGGTCGCTGAGAGCAAAGAAGCACAGCCTCGCCAAGTATATTCACACTGGGGTTCTTCATGAAGGAACTTAATCGGCTGCAGCAATGTTGCCACTGAGGAAATGCAAGTCATTCATTGGTAAGATCCCCGAGGCTATGATGGCTCTTTTAGTAGGTACCGGCGCGCAAAGACTCATCTGGCCCTTCCGAGGTTATATGATCTGCTTATAGGCGCTGAAACCGTGCCAATTTGTGATTCGCCAACCAACACTGGAGGGAAGTGAAATGACGAGTGGCAACCTAGGCAATGCCAAACAAAGCAACAAAGCATCAAGCTGCCAAAGCAGTGGTTGTTCTGGGCGAATAAAGCGGCCAATTTTGATGAAAGGTCCCAACGCCAAAAGGCAATCCATAAGCAGTTTCGGTGTATCTCTTATTTACATATCCTGCTGCTTTTACAGCAGCACCGACCGCGCATACCGACAATTCCACAATTTAGTTGCTCCGGGCGCCATCCTTGGCGGCACGCAGCTCGTCCATCTTGGCCACACGCTTCTTGAACTCTTCGTACTGGCACTTCTCGTATGAGTGTCGCTCATCCTAAAGGAGACAAAAAAGAGAAGTATTAGCTGGCTGACTCTGGAGAGCGCTTGAACTGCAATCGGGTGCTGCGGAGCATCAAAACGAGGGATCCCGTACCTCGCACTTCCAGGGAAGGTAGTACTCTGCTCGCCGGCATCGGTTCAACGGGATCAGAAGGTGTGCACATGAGTCTCTGTACTGCATGGGGAGACGAGCTTCGGACATCTCCTGGCGGGTTGCTGGCGTCGGGTCAACTTTCCTGCTCGAGCTTTTGATCGTGGTTCAATGGCATCGGAGTCTTACCGGAGGTCTCCGAGAGACCGACAGCGCTCTTGACTGACTCAATGACGGTCATTTTGTCAACAATTGAGGGGTGGAAAGGCAGGGAGCGGGGAAAATGAGGCGAGTCGGCGTGGTTGGCGAGTCCCGTTGGTTTGAGGTTCCTGCTGGCCCGATATTGGTCACATGACGAAAGTCACATGATAACGACCGAAAGAGGAATAGTGCGCACTTTACGCGTCCAGCGCGTATTTGGGATGCCACCCACACCCAGCTCCACCGAATCGTGTCTCTGCGTTTCGGTCCGGATTTTTATTGCATGCGATGCATTGAGCTCCGAAGCATTCTTAAACCGATCAACTTGTGGATCCTCAAGGGGTGACATCTCGGCAATAACGTGTGGGTGTGCATATCACTCGTCGGGAACCCACTGAATTCGAGCGGCCGACGGCGACGCACATTATGGCCGCGATAAATACCATCTACTCTGCTACCTATAGCAGTGTAAGTATATTCCCAATCAACTAGTACCATTAGTTCCCACGAGATATTTTTCCCTCGTTCTAAATACGAGCACAACTGACCCTTTCACTCCCAGGTCCCCGTCTACGAGTTCAAGCTCGAGACCGACAGTGTTATGAGAAGGCGAGGGGACGATTGGGTCAATGCTACACATATTCTTAAAGCGGCAGGGTTTGATAAGCCCGCACGAACGCGCATCCTTGAGCGAGAGGTCCAGAAGGGAGTACACGAAAAAGTCCAGGGAGGCTATGGCAAATATCAGGGTATGTCCCGCAGGACGGGGATATATCCATGGATGAAGTCTTTGTTCGGATTACTAACAGACTATGCTCACAGGAACATGGATACCACTTGCGGAAGGCCGCCAGCTCGCGGAGCGCAACAACATACTGCCAAAACTAGCTCCCATTTTCGACTATGTCGCCGGAGACCGCAGCCCGCCCCCGGCCCCAAAACACACATCAGCACCATCCAAACCTAGAGCACCGAGGAAATCGGCTGCTGCAAATCGCGCCGCGGCAGCGGCGGCAGCAGCAGCAGCCCAAGCAGCAGAAAGCTTGAAAGTGGTCCAACCTCAGCGCAGCATGGGTCCACCAATCATCCCACAAGACCACTATGAAATGAATGCAGGATTTGACGACAATGAGTCAATTGGGCATGCTACAATCGAGTCATCTTCAATGGTGGCGGACGAGGATATGTTACAAATGTCACATGGGGGACGGAAGCGGAAGCATGGAGTTGACGAGGCAACTGCGATGTCCATCAGCGAGCAAGATCACATTATCTACGGCGATCAACTTCTAGACTATTTCATGACCGTGGGCGATGCACCCGAGGCGACACGTATCCCTCCTCCGGAACCCCCCGCTAATTTCCAAGTCGATCGAGCCATTGATGACTCTGGGAATACAGCCCTTCACTGGGCCTGTGCGATGGGCGATTTGGGAATCGTGTCGGATCTCTTGCACAAGGGAGCGAATATGAAGGCACTTTCGGAGCACGAGGAGACGCCCCTTGTCCGAGCTGTTCTATTTACCAATAACTACGAAAAGAGGACGTTCTCAGCTCTCCTGGATATGCTCCTGGATACTGTCTCCTTCCGGGACTGGTTTGGCGCTACTATCTTCCATCACATTGCAGAGAATACCCGAAGCAAGGGAAAGTGGAAGAGCTCACGTTACTATTGCGAAATTCTCCTCGATAAGTTATGCAAGACATGCTCGCAAGATGAGATACAAATGTTGCTGTCATGTCAAGATCAGAATGGAGACACTGCTGCCTTGGTTGCTGCTCGCAATGGCGCATTCCGTCTGGTGAACATATTTCTTGTGCATTGTCACCGGGCTGGTGATTTGGTGAATAATAAAGGGGAAACCGCCAACAGTATTACGGAACGCTGTCACAATCCCGGTCATGATATTCCACCCGCCCCATCTTCGGTCACCATGGCCAATGAACATATGGATGCTGAAGCGGGTGCCCTCGCGTCTACGCATCAACAATCCGTTGCTCCAATTGCCGACGCTCCTGCGACTTCGGAGCTGCTGTCCAAGATTGGAGCCATTATGGCAGAGGCAAATAAGAAGCTAGCCGTGACATATGGAAACAACTCAAAGATCAACCAGCAAGATTCTAACGATGTTGCAAATCCCGAAGCATTACACGAACAGTTGGAATCGGACCGCCAGAAGATTCAGAAACAGATTGCTGCATTAACAGCCAAGGAGGCCGAGCATGAACGGGGCGATGATCAGGCTTCTCGTTATGAAAAATTGAGGGCAAGCTATGAGTCCCTTCTCGAGCAAATCCAGCATGCTCGTTTGGCCGAGCAGTTTGCTCTCACAGAATTACCGAAACCGACGCCAGCCTCCCTTGAGCAAGATGATCTTATGGCTCGGTATCAACTTGCTCAAGAGCTCTGCTCCGCACAGAAGATACGCCGCAATGCCATCAAGGATCTGGCGCAACAAACAGCCGATGCAGGCGTGAGCACCAAGTTTGATATGCATCGCAAGCTGGTGGCTCTGGCAACCGGTCTTAAGGAAGAAGATCTGGACCCGATGGCTGCCGAGTTGGCCGAAACGTTGGAATTCGACCGGATGAACGGCAAAGGCACGACCCCAGAACTAGGCCATCGCCGATTATCATCCCAGAATGAATCGGCCACTCTTCCTGGAAATGGTGTCCCCGTTGACGCCTAGATACCTCAAGCTCACACGTGGTATTTGATTATATCTTGACGACTCATTGATTTTCCTCTGGCACACTCTCCAGCAGATACCCCGCATATTTTCTTCTTTCTTCGTATCAATTCACCCTTTTCTCATATTCTCATTGCCTCATCACCCTGATTTGTGATTTTTCGCCCTCCATTTTCATTTGACTGGCATAACGATTCGCAACCAGACAAGGAGCCTATTTGTGGTTCCGCAGGACATTCAAGCACAGACGATGAACTATGCACTGTGGTCAAATATGAATTTGTACAGATCATAGGTGTTCCTGTACATAGGGGAGAACAGTTCCCCGATCGGGCGAGATAGGACATGGGGAGCTAGAATGGGCCGAGATGCACATGTACGATACATTTAGGGTGCCGAAAGGCATGATTCACAACGGTCTATGTGCAATTACGCAATGGATACTCCGGGCTGTTTTTTTTTTTTTTTCTATTGGCGATCTACGCACGTAGCTAGACCGGTACAATGCGGGTACCAGCTCTTTGCAGGGCGATGTAGGACATTTATTCATATTCGGCGTTTCTTGTTAATACCAAGCAATAAGCCGCAGATCCAGGTCTAGTTGGTGGGTATCGATGGATGGTCTAGATCGTATGACGGTCCACGCCGTTAACTGGTCTCGGCCGATCACCGCAATGACCAAATGCTCAGATTCACACTTGCTCTACCTATATTTCTTCATTGCTCTGAGTCAGAGCAATATCGAACGCATTGTGGCCAATGGATCTATGTAGATTACCTACATAAAGCCATGTCACAAAAAAGCACCCGGGCCTCATCGGCTCCTTTTCTCCGCGAATAACCCTCCAGTCCCATATCTGAGCTGCTTTGCTGGCCCAATAAGATAATCCCCGCGACATCAGGAAGAACGATAAGTGGCTCGTGTATGCCTCGGGGGCGGTAGCATTGCACCCTGGAAGGGACCCATGTCGGGGAGAGATCAGCCCCGATTTCGTCATTCTCTCAGCCAGGTTCTCGTATCTGGTATGATGTAAATGATATTGCGGCTAAACCAGCTTGGCTATTTAACTTGAGAGCCACCTATCTTGACAGAAAAACGAAATGATGTCTCGGTCCAATCCCAAGCACGTTTTACACTAGACAGCACCGGAATCCCGCGCTTTTCCCAACCCCCACCGTTGACTTGATGGTAAGAGGACAACCTCTTCTCGACTTCCTCGGGATCCGAAACTAACAGTGTGTCCAGCTTTGCAATGGACCCCTGGCTGTTCACATCATCTGATATGGATGAGCAGTTTTCAGAGAATTTCGTCATCAAGAAAGCGCACTGTGCCATCAGTGCCACCGCTAGAGAGTTCCAACAACTCAGTTCATCCGGAGGAGCTGCACAAAGGAAGAGACAGGGCTGCCATAGACAAAGGATTAGGGTGTCTTTGGACGAGACGGTCCATGATGTGTCGGATGATGGGGACGGACATAATAACTCCTCTGATGAGAAATGAATATTCATTCCACATAACACCGAAAGGTATCTCGAAAGTCCTGACCGTAGTTCTCTCTCTGTTAGCACGCTTCGACTTCGAAATAACCCCCAGGACCGGCCTAGGAACGCCATGAGTATAGCCAAGTCATGGTCGGATTTGTTCGCAGAATAGATGCTTGCTGTGGTTGCTGATGATAGTGAATAGTCTCTTGGTATGGCTGAGTGGTTCTGACTCCCAAGTGTTGTGCACGGCCTTCAAATTACCACCATTTATTGTGCTGATTGAACTCACTACATGCGTGTTATACATTCGTCAAAGTGCTTACCCCCATTGCTGGACATCATGGTTCTTTCCCACGAACCACTATTGAAGCCTCAATCCAGCTTGACTGACTATCGTCGATTTGGACCTGTGGACTGTAAGAATACCATCTTTGGTAGCATAACCTCCCACCTCATCAGAAAGCGACACCCTTGTTCAATTGCTGGATGTAGGAGAATTTGCATCATGCTGATCAGTTCGCCCACTTATGGTCCGACAGTGAGAAAGGCTTGATAATCAATGTTCAGACAATACCGATCAGGACCACAATACAATATGCAGCCCAGTGAATGTTGGAGGTTTGAGCAACCAGCACAATGTTTTCAACATCGCCACGGTCAGCTACCATTGGGGGGAATAAATCCGGGCTCAGTTGTTGCCTACAGCTTCACGCTAGACGAGAAGTGCATAAATTTGCTGCCTAAACTCAGTAATGGACTCCGGAGTGATATGTCAAACTACATGAATCCAGACTGGAGCATTTGAGCGATTGGACAAGACTCGTGCATCGAGAGAAGCGATCTAAGCGATTTCTGAAACAAGGCTCGCGACGTCACTCGAAGCGCCTGTCCGATCCATAGTCCTACGCTTTTGCCAGCCAATGGTTCGATTTGGTACTGCATTGGACCAAATAAAAAGAAGATTCGATTTCTCGTGCTATTGAATTGATAGCTGGTATCAAGATGTTGAATATCCATAATATGATTCAACAGCACTTCATGGAATGCCAATGAAGCGAAGACACATAATGCTCATATGCGCCACCAAAATATTTTATAAATAGGCATTGATTTCTCCAGGTTGTGGATCTTATGGCAAATGTCTTTATCAAGCATCGGTCGATATCCATCTTGCTACTCCTTTCAATGAAGACCCTCGGGTCTTGATGTTAAAAGATCTCAGGATCAACACCTTTTCGGGCATCAGCTCGGAAAGGGCGACTAGCTCGTGTCCACGGGGTTGGTCGAGTCGGACAGATGAACCGATATATTCCGCACTTTCTACGATGATTGAGGCTCAAGATCTTTATATCCGATGTTCGTATTCTGTGCGATAGGGTTAGATCTACATCAGATCATCGCGCTTACTCCACAAACTGGGGCCGGTGGACCAATTCGAACATCCTATGGAATTCGATGGTTATCTCCACGATAGGCGGTATCAGATGAACCGGTTTGGATACCGCGTGTACATGGGGGTAGGGGGCTCCAAGCTGGAATCCGGCAATCCTCGTACAACTCTGTTATACGAGGCAGGGACTAGGTGAAAATTCAGGCGCGGTCGAACCAGTAACCGAGGGGGTGTAGACCTGTAAGGAGTCAGATGTAGTCAGATCTTCTACGCGACCCGAACCATAGAAGCGAGAGAATGAAGAAGACCCATACGAACCCGTGGATGTCGAATGCCCTAACCATTCTGGGCAGGACCAGAGAGGTCTTCCATGGAAAGGACCAGGCGAACCGAGAACCAAGATCTTTTGTCGAGGAACAGGAGATCTGAGATCTTCCAACAAACATCGAGTGCTATGGTTCTGCACTGTTCGGATCGATATTAGTCCGCAAGACATTGGTCCGACATTTCCGCGCAGCTTCGAGGCCTGAACGTCCCGGATTGGTTGGCTGCAAGAAGTTCAGAATGGTCTTGGAGCTGAGTCGGATCCAGTTTTCCGGTTCTCCAGTTCTCCAGTTCTCCAGTTCTTCAATTCTCCAGTTCCTAGATTCTTTAATTCTTCGGTTCTTCCGTTTCCTCCAACGTGGACTCCAGACTCAAAACACAGGGGGTATTCTGGGGAAGACCCTCAGCGTTTGAAATCTGGCTCATGCACAAGCAAGGTCTAGAACTGCAGTCTGATACCATCGCAAATCGCAGGCGAAACATCCAGAGTGGCGAAGCCCATTGTTCAGGCCCACCGCGAACGGCATGGGCTCGCTAGTTGGCCACCCTAGTCGCAGTAGCGTAGACGGAGGAGTTCCAAGTAGATCAGAACAACCATTTGAGAATAGAAAAAACAGCGTACACGGCAGTGATAAATACTGGATCTAAAAAAACAACAACAAAAAAAACAGAGGCCAAGAATTTCAGTTGGTCCGAGTTTTTGGTCGTCTCCCGGCTCCTCCCCTCAACTCCGTCACACTAAAGTCTCAATCCTCTCCCTTCCTTGGACTTCTCCATCTCACCTATCATCCACCACCAACCTCGACTCCTCTTCTTCTGCCTGATTCATCTAGGTCGGAGAGTCTATTGCGTTTGTCTGCTCGCCTTTTATCGCCCACCCCTTATCCTCGCTAAGCCGCGAAACGGATTGATCGAACAACGAGGTGGCCCGACAGGGCTGCCAGACCGATAGGAAATGTCTGGTCATATTTCGTCAGAGCACTCTCGCTCGAATTCACAATCCTCTCAATCCCCTCGAAACTCCCAGGAAGACTCGACGCCTCGCCACTCCTTCGGTCGCACATCCGCTTCCAATCCCAATGTCTTTGCCGACGAATACGCATTAGAACCGATTGACTCGGATCGCATCGAACGCCCCCACAGTCCTTCCTCCATCGCATCCTCCGCTACCCTTCGTGAAAACACTCATTCCAAGACCATCAGCACGGCCACAACCGAGAACGAGAACCCTTTTGGTGATGACGCACGGGTGTCCTTCGATGAACCTCATCGGTCAAGTCTGCCTCCGAAGGGATACGGCGGATTTGCCGACAATCGTAACTCAACCTCATCCACTAATTCGACCCCTTCCACGGTTCAGCGAAACCAAAGCGTCTCTTCTCGTTTCTCGATTCCGCGCGCTCTCAGTCCTTACACCGGAGCCACCGGGCCCAGCCATCCATATGCTATGTATCCACAAGTTGGTGTCAGCCGGACACCTAGCGTAGGTAGTACTTCGACGATACGCCCCGTGGAACGCCCGATCGAAGATTCGACTGGTCCGCAGCACCCTTACGCGATGTATTCGCAGAATGTGGTGGAGGAAGGAATGGACGATGATATTATTCCGGTTGGATTTCCAGGTCATAACCCACCATATCAGCCGCCCGCTGGTCGCCAGGCTGATGACGTGGGTGATATTATTGGACCAGATGGTCACACAGAGCCGCTACCGCCTTATTCACGTTACCCAGCTGGTGTCGTCCCAAAGCCCCCCACGCCCGAGACGATGGCCGATCTTAACCCTCCACCGGAGGAACCTCGTCCTACCGTCCCACCGGAGGAACAACGTCTCAACACGGAGAGTCCAAGAGCGGTACCGGTATCAGAAACATCTTCAAGGCCTTTAGTGCCTGAATACTCGGGCGATGGAGACAATCATGAAAACGAGGAGCAAAGAGCAGTTCCAGCCACGGGCATCATGGCGTTTGAAGAGAAGCTCAAACGCAAAGGAAAAAAGACCGCATGCTGTGGTCTACCAGTATGGACACTCGTCCTCATCGCAACGGTGATGCTCATTGGAGGATGTATTGGAGGTGTCATTGGTGGTGTATTGGGGACTAAGAAAGCTGCAGAATCCGCCAAGGCAGACGACGAAGCTAAAAAGTCCCATGGCCCACCAATCGTAACCGTCACTGCAACTCCCCAGATGGATGCGTCCTTGATTTCCACCCCCACAAACATTAAGAGTATTCCTACCGGTCACTACATGGTTCCTTCGGGTTATCAGAATGGATCGGGACTTTGCGTCGAGGAATCGAATTACGGAAAAGCTTGGAAATGTATGCAAACACCGGGCGATTTCGAAGTTTACATCGGGGAAACCAAAGGTCACCATTCCATCGTTTTCGATTACGGTAGTCCAAGTCCAACGTTCACATATGGCGCCCAGGCACCATATTGGTCTGCGGAGCCCACGCAAGCACTACGCATGGCCATTGACACCACTGATGTTGGCATGGGTCCTGCTTTGTTCTTCCTGTCACCGTTCGACAAATTGGTCATTGTTCCCGAAGACACCTTCTCTAGCTCTCTTTCAAAGCGCTCATGGGTGGAAGACGCGTGGGCGCAGGCAGATACCTACAAAACTCTCAAACAGACTGCCGAAGTCGGTGACAAGCCGTGGTTCTGTTGGTGGAATAACACAATGATGGAGTTCTTCATGTATGTCAATCAGTCGACGTCGTATTCTGCGAGCTCCACTGCTTCTCTTGACAGCCATATGGCAGCAAGCACGGCTGGCTTGAGTGATAATTCCAAACGCGACCCCGCCACCGTGGAGTACCCACGCAGGATCAAAATGGAAGAGCGCCGAGACGACCCATCACGCGAACCGCCTTACTGCCAGCAAATGCAAATTCGCAGTAATGGCGGCCTCGCGCTTCTTTCGGGCCAGATTATCAACATCAAGGAGAATGAACCCACGCCGACGACCACCTACACCAACTATAATGGCGGTACGGCTCAGACATTCACTGCTCAGGCATCCTACTCCAGCTCATGTTACTGTGTGTCATTGACTGACTAGTCGGACTCGACCTGGAACCATATCATTTATTCATTGGTCCCTTCTTCTGTGGACCCAGGCGTTGGCGTTGGATTGGCCATCGAACTGGCCCCAAACTCATGTGCACATGATCGTCTTTTCTCTTGACTGTGTGATTTTATCTTCCGTCCCCCACAAGCTACTGGCCTTGTGTGTTTCGTTTCCTGCATTATCCGCGACTATGCGTTCCCTCTTTTTTGTCATACTTTTTTTCTCTGCCGAATGTCATTTCGGTACGACATGATTCTCAATACTTTGCGAGTTTTTATCCTTACATCTATCCTGGGTTATATTTGTTTTTTTTTATCTCTTCATCAGCTCTTGCCACTGATTTCCAATACTGGCGTTTATTGGATTGGTATGGTCCAGGCTTTGCGACATGCTTGATTATACAGTGTTTTCCATATACTTCGTTCTAAGGATGTCAGGGTGAAGTTCCTACTACCGTGGCATCTGATAGAGCAGCATCCCTATCATCACAATCATATCATATTATGATTCCACTTCTTTTCCCCGGACATCGGATCTCGTAGCATGGCAACAGCGATCTTAGCTCCCTTGGGAGTAAGACTAAACACAGGAATGTAACATTCCACTCACCCCTCGTTTTCATCCCAGCTGACAATAAAGTAATACTCACTTGACCATCAATATAACCTCACCCGGGGTATCAGGGTAGCTCCGAGAATCTGCTGGATGGGAGTGACTCGAATATCATTCCCCGTTCCGATAGGCGATTCGTACGGACTTGCTAATCCGATGCCTACGTTGCTTCCAGCCATGAGGAACCTTCCCTTATCAGAATCGGCGGTGGCTGGGGCTGCAGATCGGGCTCTGAACGAGTCGAGGAAGTCGTGGGATTGCGAAGACGTTCTGGACTTGGCCGACGGGGAATGTGGTTTCTGGTTTGCTTCCACGGAGGGGATCTTGGCCGATGTCATTTTGATGATCACGCTCTGCATACGGAGTACTCCGTACATTTTACGCAATGGCCAGGATGTTGGGATGGGAGTTGGGTGGTATGTTATGTTACCGCGGGCATGGCTGTGCTGTTCAGTGGGTCATACGCGTTGTTCTCCTGTGGTTGCTGTTGTCGCTGCTCGTCGAATCGATGATGATGGATCGAGGGTCTTCGACGATATCAAGATCCCTGTGTGGTGAGGTGAGATAGGGACAGCAGAACTGCGGATTCACTATATATGCTCTACTTCGTCTCACTGAGAGAGAAGTCGAGATCATGTTGCTTTGGAACCTGTTTCCTCGCTGGTTCAACACAGATTGGGGGTCATGGTGGAAATAAATGCTGGGTTAATTTTTAAAAGAGCAGGTTGATTCAGATGATACCTTGTGGTCCTAGGAAACGAGGGAGCTTCTGTGGGTTCTTGGAGACTTGTAACAATTGAGCAGCATGATTGATTCTGTAGACTGGAAGTTCACTGTCCTACTCTGAAGGATGCGGTTCGATAGGTTCAAAAGCAGAGACAGAAAGAAATAAGAGATGGTAATATCCGCGACTTTCAATATCTATGATTCCATAAAAGTCATCGCCTCAAAAACAGTCTGAACATGTTCCGTAGAGAGCGTCTCTCCTTTATCTTTGGCAAGGATCATTCCACTCCGGAACGCATTCTTGATCTGACGACCATTCAGCGGTCTATGAGCCAGTGCAGTGGCGTCCAGATCAACTTTATTCAACTCGCTCAGATTTCGCCAGACACTTTCCCTGGACTCGATGGTGAGTTCGTTAAGGTGAAGCGTGATGTGAACCCGTGAGCTGACGGCCGTGTCAAAAATGTTCACACGATTAGTGGTCAGAAACATGACGCCCTTGTAGTACTCGATAAGCCGAAGGAATGTCGAGACTAGTGCGTTGCGCGTAAGGTCATGTACGTTCCGCTGCTCGAGGAAGACATCTGCTTCGTCGAGGAGAAGCACTGCCGAGAGGAAGGAGGCTTTGTCCAGAGCATTTTCAAGATTCCTCTCCATTTCAGAAGGCGAGGTACCCAATTCGCCTGAGGTGATCGCGTACAAAGGTCTTCGCAGAAGATCCGAGATAGCTGATGGGGTTTCATTAGTAAACACTCCTTCGACAAGCCAGAAGACGAAGGAGGAATGACTATAAGATACCTTCGGCAGTCATGGTTTTTCCAACTCCAGGAGGGCCATGTAACAGGAAGACAAGACCTTTTCCTTTGCCTGAAATATGATTGTTTAGCGAACCATATGCATCCTCGAGAATGTTCCAAACCTACCTGCAATGAAATCATCAAACTCGTCTCCAGCCGAGTATGAGTTGGTAAAAGCCCGCACAAGATCCTTTTGAGCCGGCGGAAGGATTAATTGATCGAAAGCTCGATCATTGAACGCGATGTCGCTGATATGATGCACGTTCACCCAGAAGCAGGACTTGTGTTTGAAAGAAAAGACCAGCACCACGTTCGTGCAGATAAGCAATTCCTCACGAGAAAGTTCTGATTGTTCATCCTGGTTTTCTCTCGAAGAGACTTCAAATGAATCTGACGGATGGAATTCTTTGAGCATCGAGGCATCCACCATCACACGAGAACGGACCTGGACGGTAAGCATATTGGACTGGTTCACAAGGTAATTCAACTGATACATACATAGGACTCCGCGCGGCCGTAATCGAGCGAATTTGCAACACCGTCACAGAATTTGAAGTGTTTCCCTTTCAAACTGAGGAACTTCGTACCTCGTTTTTCCAATCTCTCAAGTACGGCTTCCTTGTTTGGAACATGGGCGAGGGGACAAATTGTAAGGTCGCGTAAGTACATCACATCCTCAAATTCAGTGATGTACAAGGAACTCTTGACAGTGCCAAGGTTATCACCGTCAAAGTCAATGTATTCGGCCTTGATCTTCAGTTGAATGGGGGAAGAAGACGAGACCTTTTTAAAGGAAGCGCCTAGGACTCGATATGCTCTTGGCTCAGCTGATTCGAATGAAATCACAATGTCGCCGGGCCAAAAGAGCTCTCGCAAGATTGCAAAGGAGACAATCCCTCTGCGAACCGGGTCAGCGCTACCAGTGCATGATGCATATTGAAAGACCCTCATAGTACGTACTTCGGAAGCAAGTTCTTCAAGTCGGCAAGCCGATCTGCAAACTCGGCCTCAACCAGTCGCAGCAAAACATCAACATGCTTGATGGCGAGGTCAGAGATTCCTTTCGCAGCCTCGCGAATCAGTTCTCTCTAATAAACCAGGTAGTCAGTATCGTCATGAAATTTCCATCCTTCATATCAAAATCTAGCGTGACCCACGTATCTAAAGATATCATCATTAGGCCAAGGAATCTGAGCTCTCTCAAATGAAGCTTTCTCTGATCTGCTGGCATTCTTCAGAGCTTGCAGGATCAAAGAACTGTTGATTTGAAGGTATGTCCGCTGCAGTTCGAGCTGTTCGTCAAACTGACGGATCAGAAGCAAGGCCCACTCGTGGTATCTCCTGGGAATACCGGACTTTCGTCCGCTAGGAGGCCCCATAGCAGGATTGTAGTCGCAATAAACATGCTTGAAGGTGTCTAGTTCGTAGCGCTGAAAGACGGGGAATTAAAACAGTCAGCATATGAAAAAATCCATCACCAAACCACACACATATACATACTCCATCAATTCGGCAGACGTCCCCTATGAGAGCTTCGGGACTCAACGGCTCAATCTCTTCATCCTCATCCTCCTCCTTCTCCTTCTCCTCCCCTTTCTCCTCCTCCTTCTCCTCCTTATCTTCTTTCTCTTCTGGCTGATTTGTCTCCTCTTCGCCTGTGCTCTCTTGGGCTGAGGATATGGCGCCGGTTTGGCCACTACGGGAGAGATCTAGGATACACAGTGAATCATTGTGAGTTTCCACTCCTTCTCCGGCTAAATCCGTCCCCGACTCTTTGTGATCGCTTGGTTCTGTAGACTCTGATAGCAGAGTTGAGCCGCTCGCAAACGTATTATCATCGCTAGGATAGCCGACTGTTAGCACGATTGTCATATGATGGTTTCTTATCATTGCCTCTCGAGTTGCATGTTCAGGGTCTTGCACATACCCAGATTTCAAACCTTGCGCGAGATCTGCCATATCCTGAGCTTGGATGACAGCATCAGAAGATGAGCGCTCATCTGGAGCAGTCAGTTCGCTAGCCATAATTCCTGTATTCGATGTTGCAGAAACAGCAGATGAGAGATGAGGGACGAGCTTCAATGAAACCAATGATAAGACCAACAAGGCTATGAAGCTATGAAGTTATCCAGGCGGAAAAAGAGGAGGAGCTAAATTCCACCGAAAGACCAGGGCCTTTATAGCCCATACGCTACAGCCGACATGGAACAAACGGGGAAAGAGCCCTGGGCCAAAGGGCCTGAGCAATCAGGCACCAGAAGACTGGAAGCAACCCTGAAAGGTCCATAGAAGTATTTCTCGGCTGCCTACAGCCTCGTTTGTTATGGAAGACGCATGTAGCCAATGGCAAATGATGGTCATCGAGGGTGAGGCTGAGTGATGAGGTACCTATGCATGGATACCCGAATCTGCCTTGTACTTCCTCTTACTCCGTACCTTGGAAGGACTACTCCGCAGGGGAGGGAATGGAATACTCTTTTCCAATGCCGTACAAACTAAACATGTTCGAGGTTCTGGCCCTCTCTCGAAGGATGCTCCCCCCGTCTGATGGTGCACATAAGAGGGGGTTACAGGGTATTTCCGAACTCGCCAAAGGAGGAGTTAATCCAACTACCTAGGCGCACTGGAGGGCTATAAGGGGTTCAAGAATCCTTCAGTAAAGCTATACAGCTTTACTGTGGCCTAATCCAAAAGAGTACAATATATCGCTGACTCAAAATTTCGGAAATGCACTTAACGACCTGCTATGTTGATCGACTGAATGGGGAAAGCTAGCATCTACTGACAGGGATCCAAGAGCCTCACAGCGACAACACATAGTTTCTTCATTCTAGACAAAGATGACGAGGCCTTTGCCAGCTCAACATAACCAAACTAACAAGTACGCTAATTAACGCCCGACTCGCTATCTGCTTCGGGCCTAGTTCTGACTTAGAACAACGGGCTTCCTGGCTGTCCCCCGCATACTTCGGGGTATTGCGTACGTTCAGTTCACCTCTCGGGATAGATTGAGCTAGATTAACAGCTCCGCATTTTGAGTCATACTTTATGCACCAAGTCCTGGGAGCGTTCATCCAAGCAATCGAAAGATGGTGAGATTATGTACCGGAGGCAACTTAGGCGTTACTACTCCGTAGAGCCTCTTCGTTTAGCCAAGAGCGAGTGGGGTATTTTGATTGAGCCACATGGCACTTAATAGCCTCTGATGTCGCGAAATATACTCCGTAAACCCCACGGGATAGCGATGAGTTGCTTTTTGCTTTGACCCCCGCGAACGAGAGAAGGCAGGCCCCTATTGCCGAAGTTCCCAGGTTTTCTTTTAGCAGCTCTCTGCATAGGAAACCGTACTTTTGGAAGTAATTGGCAACCCGAATGGTGACTGCTTTCAAATAGTGGCATTTCTGACCTCGAGTGTCTTTCGTACCTAGCTTTTAAGAGAGATTTCTATTTTCATCATCCTCTTCACACTCCCCAAAGGCTCCTCTTCTCTATAATTTCTTCCAAAGACCGGCGCTCTACTTTATAGACAGAATGCTGAATATCCAGGTAGCTCCCGACTGCTGAAAATTGCGACCCCACCACGGGATCTACCAGCCCAAATAAGAGCGTAGGTGGTTGGTCCTCATGCCGAGCTCACTCCACTACGCGTACGGACTATCTGAGACTATTGAGGCCCCCGTTTCCCTGAGATTGACTGTGCCCGCGGATTTTCGAACAATCGCCGCCTGGTTGGTGAGCCCGCCCTTAAAGATGAACTGTGAGCAATGGTCCCATGGGGAGCTGAAATAGGAACATGGAGCTAATATCTCCCAATGCTGGTCTTATTGAGGTATCCTCTTCTCTTGAAAAGACGTGTTAGATACTCCGTATGCTCTGCAGCATCATGTGTCTGTGGCTAGCTGACCACCATGTTGGTGATCCTCGTTCCATCCTGATGGGTTGTATTATCCGCCGATCAAGTGACGAGTATCTGCAGAAAGAAGCAGAAAATGTGAGGGGTGGTGGGCTGAATACTCCATACTCCGTATACTCCATACAGATAGAGCATGGGCCAAGGAGATATCGATAGTTTGTGGAGCCCGTTCCTGAAGGGCTTGGCAGCATGCACGATACAGAGTGCGTGGTAGGATTTTATTTGCTCAGGCGGAATATGGAAGTTTGAAATGATGATCACTCTTTGCAGAATACTCAGATCGGGGCTTTCAAGATTGGGTTGTCGATCTTGTCCAAATCGACTGGCGAGGCCCTCTTTTCACCTCGATCGTCGCCCTCACAAGAATTGTCATACGAACGTTCCTAGTCTGGGATAGACAAGAAATGTTGTGTTGAAATTCACAGCTCTATCGCTCTAGCTCTTTCTGAAGTAGACGCAAGCAGCAAGTTGGAGCCTGTCGTTCGCGTTAAGTTCTATCTCCTGCGACAATGAGGAGCAATCACCTGCAGGATACAGAATGCCGTGCAATGCACCTACACTGTCTCACATTGTCCTTGCTTCTGTCACGGAGTACTCCGTGTGGAGCACTCGGTACTCCGTATGCAGCTATCAGTCTGGTGCGGAGTACCCAGATATGACATGTGCAGAAGAAATATAGGACCTCATGGTGCCGAGCGTCCACTCCGTGTGTGTCTGGAGAATGGTCCCCAAACCCCCAAACTAGCTCAAGGAGCAGCAAGAGCAGTGATGAATAATAAATATCTAGCGTAATCATTCCATCCATAACCCTCAGTCTCAACTCCAAAGCTGTAAGGAGTATCTCGGAAAGCGCCACATATTTTGTCTAAAGTTTGTGTGAAGAACAAAGCGATGCTACGCACTTGGCACGATCATACCAAAGTACTCCGTAGACGCATGAAATCATGCCGATCACTGAGTATATCACCATTAGTTTGAGGCAACGAAACCGACGATGACCGGCCAATGTATCACAAACCTGGAATATTTAAAGTCCTCAAGCTCCCCAGTCTCGACATCTTCCTCACAGACATTCTCATACATTCTTAAAAAGGATTGACCAATTCCCCGAACCAATCACCACCATGAAGTTCAACGCCCTTGCCATTCTCCCCGCTCTTCTCTTGGGTGCAGCCCAGGTCAGTGCCGAGTGTGTTCCAGGAAAGCAGGAGGAAGTTGTACCGGCATACGAAGTCGAGTACAAGTGCAACACCTACCGAACTGGAAATCTCCACAAGGACATCGCTACTATCGAGGCTTGTGCCGAGATCTGCAGAGATGCAGGTTCCGAGTACTGCTCCTACGGTCCCAAGCACAAGCGTTGTGTGGTTGGCGATGCGGCCGGCGAAGACAAGCCTAGCGCCGGAGTGTACTACATGAAGAAGCTCGATGATCCATTCCCCGAGGAGCCAGAGACCGAGCCATTCCCCACGGACTGCGAAGACGACAAAGCAGCTTGCGAGAGCGAGAAAGATGATCTGGATGGGAAGTTGAAGGCGTGTGAGACTCGCGTGAAGGCGTGTGAGGCTCGCGCGAAGGCTGCTGCCTTCTCGTTCAATTCCGCGAATTGTAAGTGACATGAGCGAGCCCTAACAGTACGTCCACGGTGAACTAACCAAGCTTTTAGGCCCGCGTGATACCAGACAGGAAGTCAATGTGCGGGAAAGCACCTACAAGCTGTATTGTGGTAGACGTATGTTCTACATGTCACCTACGCCGAGACAATAGCTAATGGTTCTTTAGATCACGATGCTGCCAGTCCCAAGGCCACTATCTCGGGTAGCCTCACTCTGGCGGAGTGCATTGACTACTGCTCCAAGCGAAGCTGGTGCGACTATGCGCTTTTCAACCCCACTGAGAGGAAATGCAACGCTTACGAGCGGAAGGTTGGCTACACCGCGGAGCCGGGTGTTGCGAGCACCGAGTGGCAGTGTGCTGTGAAGAAGCGCTAAGCCTATGAACAATGGGTGAGAGTATGAATCACGTTCTTGATTGCTAGATTCCATGTAGGGAAGACTTGGGATGTTTTTGTTCATCGCTAGCATCTGTATTCCGAATAAACTCGGAACCAGATCTAGAATCTTTCTCTGTTTTCCTACTTCTGCTGTCTTCGCATGCCGCTGCTGTTGGCTGGATTCACTCTATAGAATGTCGCAGCTACTGTGTCAAGCTCAATGCACTTGGTACCCCAAGTTCCACTTGATTCCAATCGTAATTGATGCTGGTGAAAAGAGAAAAAAAAGATCTGATGTTCTCCCGATCTGCCATTATACAACATCGAGTCCGATTTAAGAAAGACCCAGACCCGGTCACCTAGTAAAATGATAACCACGCCTAGAAAAGCCTTGGAACACGCAACGCTTCAGTTAAACTCGCCCTTGTTAAGACATTGTTAAAAATAAGTACATATAACCTTGAAGCTGAAACCGAACAGGCTAGAATCCCAGGAAAGGGGTGACTAATTTCCTACCTAGGTAGTGATAAATTATAATACCCTAGCATGGAGACATACAATCTGAGCCCGTGGGGCATATAAGTCCAGAGTCATCATCTATCGCGATCCTATCTCACCACATACATCCAACCCCGCAAGAACCAGTACACTCCTCCAACAACCCTTAAAGAAATATCAAACCCCCAAAATGGCACCCCCAACAGACCGCAAAGAAATCCTCAGCCGCCTACGCAGTAACATCAAAGCCGGAAAGCCCATCATCGGCGCCGGAGCGGGTAAGCCACCCCCAAACCCCCTCATACCCCCCACACCCTAACCCTACCCCCAGGCATCGGACTCTCCGCCAAATCCGTCGAGAGCGGCGGCGGCGATCTAATCGTCATCTACAACAGCGGCCGCTTCCGCATGGCAGGATGCGGCAGTCTAGCAGGCCTAATGCCCTACAGCAACGCGAACGACGTAGTCGTCGAAATGGCCTCGGAAGTAATCCCCATTGTGCGCTCGACGCCCGTGATAGCAGGCGTGTGCGGGACAGACCCGTTCCGGCCGATGGGGGCGTTCCTGGCGCAGCTGCGGGGGCTGGGGTTTGCAGGTGTGCAGAATTTCCCGACGGTCGGGCTGATTGATGGGCAGTTCCGGGCGAATTTGGAGGAGACGGGGATGGGGTTTGGGAAGGAGGTGGAGATGATTCGGAGAGCGGCGGAGATGGGGCTTTTGACGACGCCTTATGTGTTTAATGTGGAGGAGGCGGTTGCGATGGCGGAGGCGGGTGCGGATGTCTTGGTTGCGCATATGGGGTTGACGACGTCTGGGTTGATTGGGGCGAAGACGGGGAAGTCGCTGGAGCAGTGTGTGCAGGATGTGCAGGCGATTCGGGATGCGGCGGTTCAGGTCAATCCGGAGGTTATTGTGCTCTGTCATGGGGGGCCGATTGCTGCGCCGGCGGATGCGAGGTTTTTGTTTGAGCGGGTGAAGGGGTTGCATGGCTTTTATGGGGCGAGCTCGATGGAGAGACTGCCTGTTGAGACGGCTATTACGAACATTACTGCTGAGTTTAAGGGGTTGAGTATTCCTCAATAGATGGGCATTGTACAAAGTTGAGGTTAAGTTCCGCTTTGCGGAGTTTCATACTGAGGAACCAGACTACTTGACCGGGCTCGCAATTGAACTGATGAGAAGAATTCCAAATGGGAATGGAATGACTTGCAAATGGGTTTATTTTCTATACGCGCCAGCCTCAAAGGGCCAGCTTCTTCCTGGGCAGTTCGCCTCTGGTGTGGTATCATACAGCCAAATCAATGAAACAAAAACGCCAGACTATTGCGTTGCGGCAATGCAAAAAAGGGCCCAATAATGTACAGTTATCCCTGATATCAAAAAGTCGGAAAGAATTCTCAACTTCGACAGAAGAATAAACCCAAAGTCCCCCGAGGATTCGGCCATAGTAACGGGTTATACACTTAGGCCAGCCTTGTTGGAAGAAAGAAGATTCAAACTGCAAGACTCTGACAAATTCCAGAATTTGAGAAGTCCGAAGATTAGCGTGGGACGCGGAGTGGATGGTTTGATGAAGCAGAGGACTAGACAGAAAGTCTCAATGACCCAGCATGCATCCATTGAGAATGATGTAACGAGGGTGATGCGAAGCATACTGACCCCATCTGAGACTACTCATGTTTCTCATGTTTCTCATTTTTCTCGCTTTTCTCGCTTTTCTCACTTTTCTTTTCTTCCTTGCCCGCAATGAGACTTCCATACTGATTATAGACCGGATGATCTGGATTATAATTCTCCTTATCCCAGGGTCCGAAACCATCGTCAAAGAGGTCTCGTTCTTCGCCATTGCACACTTCAGCGAAAGTGACCCAGTTCTCGTCATCTGTCCAGATCCCCCCTCGGCCTCCTCGCACCTCGAACCAGTCCTGCCCACCCAGCAGGGATGACTGGGCGGCGTCGAAACCGTGCGAGTCGCGGACGTATTTGCGTAATAGTGCGCGTCCCCAGGGGAAAAACCACATCTTCTCCCACCAGGTGTTGCGGAGTTTAATATCGCCGTTGAGATGTGCTAGTACTGGCACGGAGGCGGAATGGACGTTCGTCAATAGTGAGATATTGCTCCAGGAGTGCCCGCCTGTACTGGGGAGTTTGTCTAGTGTAGCGTTCCAAACTGGTCGTTGGGTTGATTCTTTCGCGAAGCGGGACTGGACGAATGGGTTGGGGAGAGCTGCGATATCCGGCGGCAGGAGCAGGCGATGTTCACGCGGAACTCCGTGTTCCATTTGCAACGCCGACATCTTGGTGATATTGCTATACTTGACCCATTCAACATCTTTGCGGGACAAGATCTGATTAAAGAAAAGCTGGGACTCGAAATCGACCCCAATGCCGAACTCGTAGCGGTGGCCTGTCTCTAGCCGGAGACTAATTCCGGTGATGTTCCCTGCATCTGAGATGCCTAACATCCAGTCGACATATTCTTTGAAACTGTTGGCTGTCCGCCGCCGCTCTAATTCTCTGATCACCTCTTGGCGCCCATACATCTGCGTCAGAGCCTTGTAGTCTCCGGTCTTATTCGAGCCCAACTCGACTAGCCGCAAGACTTCATCGTAGATCAAACGCACATCGGCAGCCTGACCAATCACCGCCCCGGGGTTCAACCACCGAGGTCGGTTCAAAGACCCATCCGGATAGACATCAGTCTTCCAGCCATATACATCCGGGGGCAGGGATGATTCAGGCACAGATACGCAACCGGGGTCGTCCAGCAACTCGGGGAAGCATTTTTTGCTCGCACCAAAAAGAACGCGCTGAGTATATTTCTGTACTAGCTCAGGCGCAGAACCGGGGCTTCGACCCTCCACCTGTGCGAGTCCGAACCTGTTCCGTAGCTTCTGGTTGTTCGCACGTATAATACCCTGGAACCGCTCCACTAGGACGTTTGGCGGCAACTGGAAGAACGTATCCTGTCCATCCACCATCAGCACCAAGTCGCGGTCATGGACAATTTTGCTGTCTCGGAGATAATTCCGCGCGCGTGTGATGCGCTCCACCATGCGCTCCGTCTCGGTCGCTCCGGGGGAGTCGTGTGCGTAACCAATGACCGTTGGCGGCGGGTATCCAAGGATCATGGCCGACGTGAGCGTTCGGCAGACTCCACGCGAGCCTTGGAAGGCTGGAAGGAGAACATGTAGGCGTGGGTTGGGCTTGTCTAGGTTGTGGGGGAGAGTGCTGTTGAGAGTGATGTCGGCGCGGGGAGGGAGGACGACCTGGGCATCTTCCGGGCGCTCGGGGAAGGGATGTCGGGAAGGAAACTGTCTCCAAAAATCATGTTCGACCCGCTGGGCATATTGTTAGTTCTTTGTTGGTCTTCGTTGCCATCGGTCTTTCACCCCGACGATCCCGGTGTGTTTCACAGAGCAGGAAGAGATCAGCGCTTACCTTTGAGGACGATTGTAGTATGTAAAGAAAGAAGAACAATGCAATTAGTGACAAGCCAATTGCTTTGGTGCGATGTGTTCGTGAACGACGGTGGAAGACATTCCATAGCACCGTCGGCGACTTGGCATCTTGAAAGTGCAGTGGCGCGTCATCCGACGCCATCATGCAAGGATCGAGTCGGATTAGATGTTGAGTAAGACAAAATGGAACATCGTAAGATGCCAGGAACCAAAAGGATCCAAGTAAGCTATTTGAAACGGGCCACGCGGGAAATACGCAATCGTCGCCTCGTGCGGTTGAGGTGGAGAGGGCGATCGGTGCGACGTTTCCGGCTCGTAGGCGTTACTTGAGACCTCTCTACTACGCCCAGCCCTACGTCAGTCTGGCGCACAAGAAAAATACTATATGGCCCTGAAATGCTCAAATCGACATGCTAATAACTCATCGTAGCCATTACTGAATGTTATTGAATATTCCTGAACATGAAAACTCCACGTGTGAAGCATACGTCAGGGGTAGGATCAAGGGTCATCGAGATCATATTGATATTGCGCAGATAACCCGACATGTCCACCATGATATGTTCAGCTGCTCCAGAGCTCTTTCGATTTCAACCGTTTTATCCAGCTTCTCCTATTGTAAATGGCTTTTCTGGATTGAAGCCCTTTGCAGGAAACAAACGATAACCTTTTTGATTCGATATCAGCTCTTTCCCAGTCGCATCTTTGAAACCACAGTTGAAGTGTGTATGACCGAATCCCCATGCCACAACCGCAGAGTTCGTCCAGCATTCTTCGCTGCTCAAGTCTGTGGCAAAGCCCGTAGACACCTCGCTGCCAGTATGTCTTGGGTCCGAACACCGTGGATCGACGGTTGGGCTATGGTGAGTAAAAACCACAATCCGCCGCTGTGGCTCATTCTTCGCTATCCCAGAAACCTGGGTATTAAGCCAGTGGAGATCTGATTCGTGCTCCGCGTTGTGATCGTCCGCAGTCCACCGTAGGATATCTCTGAAGTCCACCAAGCGACTTTCAACCGCAAACTCCTGCCGCGGAGAAATACGCGAGAACAATGTGCATCCCAGAACGGTCAGGTCTCTGGTAATGTCGTATCGGGTTTGGTCAAGGAAGACAAATTTGCCCTGGGATCTTTTATCCATGGATGTCTGGAAACTGCGCATCTTGGACTTCGCGACCTTAAACGAAACGTGGTACGGCTCATGGTTTCCCAGAAGAAAAAAGACAATCGAGTACCGGCTGAGTTGATATTCAAGGAATGAAAATAGTTCGTTGTTAGCAACGTGCCCAATGTCCCCAAGAAGGGCAAGGTACGATGCAGTTTGAGCAAAACTGAAGCCTCCATACGAAGAGTGGGTTTCCAGGTGTAGGTCAGAAAGTATTTGAAATGATACCCCCATGTTGACAAATTCTTTTTCCACGAAAACCAAGTGTCAGGAACGAAGGGGAGGAGTGATGGTCTCAGCCGATACTTCGGCGGTCAGATGTCGTCCCTGTCTGTCAGCGTAATGGCTTGGGCCCGTAATGCCCGCGGAGGACAAAAATCCCAGAATATCATGCCTTCTTAGCATTACAGACCCTTGATTTAAGATCTAGGGGCTAACTTGTCGCTATCGTTTGACATTGTTCACGCAGCATCAGTGCACAAACAGCGTGCGACAAATAGACGATGGCTAGAGGTTGCTAATCTGTACGATCTGTAAGATAAGTGATATTCCAAGGTTGGTTTCGAATCAATTAGAAAAGAAAGTATAATATACTAGACTTATATCTACACATAGAGAACCAGCTCAATAGACATCACGAACACATACGTAGCATTACTCTCACTCCAAGTATATTTCCTCGCGAAGACGCTGCAAGTTTCGGAACAGCCCACCCGCCGGCGCCCCACTGTCACTATCCCGCCGAGCCTCAGGCCTGGACCGGGGTCCGCGCTGGTTCTGGTCCACGGCCTGCTGGTCCAGGCTGCGTCGTCGGTCTTCCACAATCTTCGCAAGGCTGTCCACGAACCGATGACGAGCCTTTTCTTCAGCCGAATTATTCCACACATTCGCTAGTGTCCGAAGAGTTTCGACACGGCGGTTGGCGTCTTCCAACCCGGCACGTCCCCCACCCTTGCTGTTGAGTAGTTCGATGACCTCCGTGCGGAGTTTCTTCATCATTTCCTGGCCCTTTTCTTCGCGGTCTTGGCCGTCAGGTCCAAGATCTGGGCTTGAGACGGAGATGAAGGAAGATGAGAACGAAATTTCGGATGGAGGGAGTGGCCATCCCATTGCGTCGCCGAATGTTTGGACAACGTCTTCTAGGCGGGAGCGCACTTGGTTCAGTGTGCGAAGGTTGGTTATATATTCTGGGTCTGTGGGAATGGTAGGCACGTTTTGGTCCTCTGTAGCTGATGTCTCTTCGTCCTCGTTTGCTGGCGCATCCTCTCCCGTTTGTTCTGTCTTGCGCGCGTCTTCTGACGAGGGCTCCGGGACGAAATTTGCTATATCATCGCGTAGAACTTCGGTCAGGGTTTCAGACAGCCCGATTGTCTCGCCTCGTAGGACCTCGACTTCGTAGGCTAGTCGTCCTCCACTTCGGAGGATTTCATCGGTGAGTTGGGATAATGTGCTCGAGAGGCGGATGTTTTGGGCGCTGATCTGGGAGAGGAGGGACTGGACTTGTGCGGACAGTTCTGTCAACGGCACAGAGCCGGGTGATCGGGAGGCATTGGGTTGGGCGGATGCCACAGTCAGCGGTGATAGAGAGTCATTGAGGAAGTCGGCAGGGTCAAAGTTTGGGTCAGCGAAATTGGGGGGTGCCACGGGTTGATTTGAAGGTTTGGGCCCAGCTCGAACTGACGAGCTATATGTGTGTGACGCCATTGGTTTAGAGCTCTAGCTTAGACGCTTTGGCGCATTTGTCTCAAGTTCAATTCATTCTTGGAGAGAGCTGGCCTCCGCGGGGACGATTGATATCTCCACGCCCCACCGCCTTCTGCTTTCCATATATGGTATGGTGTCCTACCCTTTTAGGAAAGGGCTCTAGCCGCTTTTGATTCCAAGGTCAAGATCTATACAACGTAAACGAAACACCTGGGCAGTATTGGAGGCCCAAGTGGCTCTTCGATGTATATTGCATTCTTCTAAATACTTATAAGCCACCTAAGATTGCTGTAGTCAAATCTACAGATACGAGTTCTTACGATATTTTGAACTCTAGCAATTCCTGTCTACTCCAACTCTAGATTTCAAGATTCCACGTGCATCATATAAGTTCCAGTCAGTAACCACCCTATTCATCGAATTCCCTGGCCTTTCATTCTTGCCACACTGCCCATTGGACTGTTTGATATGCCTCGCTTCGAGAGGATCCACGATACTTGCATCAGTAATCTGGATTCTGTACTATGTAGCAATGATTGTGACCCTCTTCCTGTTATCCCACTTGGTCTAAGAGCCCCTGAACTACTTGAGCATCATGCCTGGAACAAGCAGTCCGATATCTGAGCATTAGGATGCTTGGCAAGTAGCTTTGGGTCTACCATATTTTGTTATATACTGACCAGAAGTTTTAGATATTCCAGCTCGCTACAAATGAGCCACTTTTCCCCGTCATTTTATTTGGCTGCAGTGCTGAAGAGACACGGGCAGACATGCAAGCCTTGGACAAGCAGCTTATGGATAAATGCTACTCAAACTTTGCTACTTATGGAAGTACAGAACATCCAATCTCAAGCTCACTAAGATGGTTGGGGCCATTAACAGATATGAGCGGCTCTGCAGAGTATATATTACGAGGAGATAAATGATATGCAGAGCAATCTGCTCAAGAAAGTAGCAAAGTAGCTGGATAGCCTTCTCATAGTATTTGGCTCCATGCCAGAGGAAGCTTGGCTCGAGCTCATCAAGAGCAAGCTCCTCGGTTAAAGCCATAGCCACACTCCTCTGACTAGGTGTACTTTGTTCCTTAGAGCATGGATCTTTTATTTGACCCAGCCCGGGTGGGAGGGAGGTGCTACGGCGGATCTTTGTGGAGAATGGGCAGCTCTTTACAGAGTATAAGGTGGAAGCTTTCCCCGGTTTTGAAAGTGCTCGGTTTTGCGCTAGGTCCAAGGGTGTAGGAGTGGCAGGCATGCGTGTATTTAGAGAGATTCAAGGTGTTGCTAGTATGTTGAATGTCGATTATTACGGCTTCAATGCACTGGTAGCTTGAGCAGCACGCGAGGAGGACATGCATTTAACTACTCCCTTTTGGGCATTCTTCAGCAGTGGGCAAAATTAAAGGGCCCTTTCGCTGGCTGAATATGCACGTGTAGCTAGTATAGGTCGGGCCTCCTGGCTGCCAGCATCGAGTCTTTGCCAACGCGAGGTCACTTGATCACACGCTCTCGCTCGCTTCCTTCTACTTTTCTTCGGCAGAAATGATGCCAAGTCTCTTTTCGGCAGAAAATATTCCCTGGCTTTGCGCCAAGAAAAAGAAAAACTCAACGCTTATATCCCTGCGCTTTGTGCGGAGTACAGAGTACAGAAGACAGCACCTATGTATAGAGGGCGGCTGGGCAAGCTTCCAATTAGTCGGGATTTCACCGCCTACCGGAAGCCGTAAGGCCTATTCTCGGAGCTTCGGATATACTATATCCCGATGCAATCCACATGGGGTAATTATCTAGTGCTGTGAGATAGCTTCAGATAGTCATCTACTTAAACCTACCACATTCTTGTATTTCCATCGAATTCATTCATTCAAGTTGTCCTGTTTATCTCGCTTTGAGTCTAACTACTGCAGCTGCAGTTGCAGCTTTGTCTCAGTATGTCCAACGATTCGAAGGGGAACAGTTTCCCCGACGTGTCAGCGAAACTGTCAGCTCTGCCAAAGAAATCGCTTTTCGAGCGCCAAAAAGCCGAAGTGGAAGCTAAGCGTGCGAGAGAAAAAGCTGAGACTGCTGCGGTTTATGAAGATTTTGTCAAATCATTCGAAGATGAGGCTCCGATTGCACCACGGTCGTTGGATGGAGGGTCTGGTTACCCACGACGGGCAAGTCCTCCCAGGCGCCATTTTGCAGCTTCCGCTTTGCGACACAGTGGTCCTGGCACGCTAGGCCCCTCGCACTCCTCATTTTCTCAGAAACGCTCCCACGCATCCTTCTCTTCCTCCCATCGCGACCATCCCAAATTCCCAAACATGTCTACCTCATCTGAAGCCGACAGAGTAGTTGATGACGAGGAGAGGGCAGCTGCCAAACCCACACTGTACCTCGCGTCGCTTCCTCCCGGGACCTCTCTGTCAGTGATCAAGGCACTGATCTCCCCGACTCTCACTGTGGACAATGTCAAGATTTTGAGCCAACCCGAGCAACCCTCAACCGCACGCAGATCCTCTGCTGCACTCGTTACGCTTGCTAGTGACTCTGCCGCCTCTCAGATTGATGCAACCGTGAGCGCCCTCCAGAAGAAATACCTTGGCTTCGGGTATTACCTAGACATCTCTCGACATCTTTCTTCCGCTGTGTCTAGCTCCAGACTACCCTTGCCATCCACTGCATCTCTCCCATTTGGCGCCACGCCTATCCCACAAAACTCCGGCGCAAGCTTCAGTCGAGCTCCGCCCCCTGGTTTACACCGTGGGGGAATCGCACCGCCCAGTTCTTATGGTCCTCAAGGTGATAAGAATGCCCCCACTACTCAGGTCCAAGTCAAGCTGCCGAAAAACCTCGGACAGCTGAGACAGATACACAAAACCATTGAATATCTCATCAATCATGGTCCGGAATTCGAGGCATTGTTGATGAGTCGACCCGACATCCAACAGGATGAAAAGTGGTCCTGGCTGTACGATGCAAGATCGGCTGGTGGTGTATACTACCGTTGGAAGTTGTGGCAGGTCATTACGGATCCCAAGCAGCGAAACATTGACAAGCCGGCGATAATATTTGAAGGTGGCCCGCTCTGGCTGCCCCCCAAACACAAACTGAAGTTCGAATATGTCACTAAAATCTCCGAATTTGTCACACACCCCGATTACAACTCATCCGACGAGGAACACTCGGATGGAGAAAATGAAAGGCGCAACCGTGGTGGAGCAGCTTCTGAGCCAGATAGTGATGCTCCCGAGTACTTGAACCCTTTGAAGATGGCTAAGCTTACCCACCTTCTCGCCCGACTTCCACCGACCAATACAAAGCTTCGACGTGGTGATGTCGCACGAGTCACGGCATTTGCCATTGAAAACGCCAGAGCGGGTGCGAATGAGGTTGTCGACCTGGTTGTTCGAAACGTCTTCACTCCACTGATCTACTCGGCAGCCAACCCAAATCGTGATGCTGCGAAAAAGAATCTAGAGAGCACACACAACGACGATTCGAGTTCCAAAGAATCTTTGGACACCCCCCCTGCGAAACTGGTTGCGCTCTACATCATTTCCGATATTCTCTCTGCGGCATCAACCAGTGGCGTGCGTCAGGCATGGCGATACCGCCAGTTGTTTGAAGCTGCTCTCCGTGAACGCAAGGTCTTTGAACATCTTGGTCGCCTTGATAAGGATTTCAATTGGGGACGAATGAAAGCAGACAAATGGAAGCGCAGCGTCGGCTCCCTTCTACACCTGTGGGAGGGATGGTGTTGTTTTACTCAATCGGCCCAAGCTCATTTCACCAAAGTGTTTGAAACCCCGCCACTTACAGAGTCCGAGCTTCAGAACCAGAAGGAAACCGAGAAGACCAATGCGGAGCGGGCCGCTGTCGCCTTTGCCAAAAGCAAGAATCGATGGAAGACAGTTGACGATGACAAGCGGCGTGGGAAGTCTGGACCGACTCGCCCTGTGGATAAGAACGGCCAGTCTATCTCCAACGCTGGCACCAACGCTGGCATTGAAAATGTTCCAGTAAAACGCAAGGCCGCGGAAGAGTCTGATGATGTCCCAATGGGAGCCAGGAACGAACAAGATTCTCTTCATCTCCCAAAGCGAGTCAAGGTCCACAGCGACATGTGTGACCAGCGGCTGTCTATTGCTGAGAAGCCCATGCTTAACATATTGTCTATTAACAAGATTTCCAACCTCAATGCGCTGCTTATTGGTGTGAAATTCACTACTCAGGGGATGCCTGTTGCTGGTAAGGCTAAGCTTCAGGCGCCGTCGTTGGGCAATGAAGACACCCAAATTCAACACCCTCACCAGCCACCCCAGGAACGCACCCAATCTTCTGAGCAATCCGAGCAATCAGCCGAGCAGCATCTTGGAACACGGCGACGAAAGCCACGCCCCAAGGCTGAAGATATGTTTGCGTCGGATTCGGAGTGAGATCGGGCAGGATTGTAATTGTATGGACTAAGGAAGATACTACCGAGCAATGACTGAAGGATACCTGTAATGACTAGTGTAATGAATAGTGTAATGAATAGCAATGTATGATTATCTTAAAACTTTCTCCTTTTTAGACTGTAACAATACACTGTGAAAGCACCTGGGCACCAGCGAAGCGGCTCTTGGGCGATCAGTAAGGCAACCAGGCATCATCGGCAGAACATTTCCTGCCCCACAACCCCTCATCAACAAATACCTTCCTCCTTCGCGCTCAACTCCCTGCACCCTTCAAATACTAACGCATTACCTTTTCTTGACCTCTCCAACCCCCTCACATACTTCAAAATGGCCGGTAAGTGTTTTCCTTGCATATACTCCATCTATACCCCTCCAATAGGTGGGAGGGGTATGATCGTTTGCATCCCAGCAGTGTGTGACGATGTTGCGCAATGCGATGGGTGACAAAGAAAGCAAATGTGAACATGAGGTAGACGAGGAATTAACTGACTAACTCTTCCTATCATGCAGACTTCAATGCTATCGCTCGTACGTTATCTTCTTCCCATCCATCCCCTCGATCCACCGATGCGCCTATTCCCGATGATCTTCCCTTCCTGGAAATAGCGTCACAAGTGATGGGATGGCATATTATGTACAAATAACCATATCCTAACCTGTGATCACTCCTGCAGAGCAGTTCGTGCAGTTCTACTACCAGACCTTCGACGAGAACCGCGCTGGCCTGGCTGGTCTCTACGTAAGCCCCGCTCCCAGACTTAGTGACCAGCAAGATATGCGCAAGTGGACTAACAAGATCATGAAACAATAGCGTGACCAGTCTATGCTCACCTTCGAGACTAGCTCAGTCCAGGGTGTCGGTGCCATCACCGAAAAGCTCGGCGTTCGTCGTCCCCCCCCCCCCCCCCCGAATGCCCGACCTCCAGGGGTCAAGCAACAACACTTGAATGCTAATTTTATGATTCAAATAGGCTCTCCCCTTCCAGAAGGTCCAGCACCAGATTGCTACCTTCGACGCCCAGCCTTCCAGCGGAGATGGCATCGTTGTCCTGGTGACCGGTGCCCTTTTGGTACGTTACTTGTGGATGACTTCCTGCTAGTTCTTGGCTAATATGATCTTGTTACCCTCTTAATAGGTCGATGAGGAGCAGAAGCCCATGAACTACACCCAGTGCTTCAAGCTGCAGCCCGATGGCCAGGGCAGCTACTTCGTCCTCAACGATGTCTTCCGCCTGATCTACAGCGCCCAGTAAATCATGGGTCCCGAAACAAATACCACGAAGCGATGAGATGTGGAGGGGTTGCTTGTGAGGAAGATATGCCTTGTCGGCGACCAGTTTAAATATCAATTTTGGTCCTAAATCTCGCCTCTAACTAGCGATATGCCCGTGAAAGAAATAATATTTTTGGACCATCCATCATTCGAGAACTCTATAGCATTTCGTTCTAAACCAAGCTATGGGCTAGCAGCATCTAAGTCCGCTATACGGCACCTATGTTCCCGGATGCACGTATCTTTAGCTCTGAAGCAGCGGCGTCTCCTCGGTAGTCGGTCGTTCCTCACGCGCAGACTCCTGCTGGATATCCTCACGGTCACCTGTCGATCCATTGGTTGCACCATTCTGATCAACATGGTGTCCTGCTTGCTGCTTGTTCTTGGGGCCGAAGTACTCGAAGTAGATAGCCATTGTCAACAAAGTACCCTGCAAACAGGCCGTGACAACCAGCACGCCCCAAATACTCCATCCAGCCCACCCTTTGCGGACAGCCAAGCTCGCAGCCCAGACCAAACTCCCAGGCGTCTGGATGCACATCATCGGGATACTCAAGCTCCCCACGCACCGCAGCCTGAATGTAGTATAGATCTGCGGGAAGTACTGGATCGACGCGAGGACAGCAGCCAGGACGCCAAGGAAGTTAGCCCAGGCTGGGACCGCAGCCGGGCGGCGCAGCTCGAACGCTATGGAAATGATGATCGTGACCAGCGCATGCAGCAGACAGATGCCCGTTACGACGAGCGCGGTGCGGTATGTCGGGTTGCGGGATGTGGAGGACACAGTGCTGACTGGGTCTGTGGGGGACGTGGCGCGCGGGAAGTAGATCACGAAGAGCAGCAGGCTATGGAGATCCGGGTTAGACAAGCTTTGGTTGTGGATCCTCGAACGGAAGCGGGAAGGCGGAAATGAGGAGACCACTGGCTTCAACTTACATTGAGAAGAAACACAGCCACTGCATGCCCATCTGGAATAGACCCAGTAGCCCGGCAAAACAGGCGAATCCGCTGATCTCCCGGCAGCAGGCGACATCTTGTGCGGTGGATGGGAAGACTAGGATGTTGGAGAAGGCGGATGTCCCTGATGTTACCCCGAGGAGGATGAAGTATGGGGAGATACCGAAGGAGCTCCGGCGAGCGATGATTCGGATATGTTGGGGGAGGTATGAGAGGAGGATGCCGAAGACGATCAAGCTATGGGGGGCTCATCAGTGACTGGAGACTGCTGATATTGATCCAGAGAAACATACATGGAGATTACAGTTTGAAAGATGCCTGGCGAGGCCAGCTCGCGGCAATATGGTGTTAACGGGTCCATTGTTGTTGAATTAGAAGTATGAAGCTCAGATGAGGAGGTTGGGGTTCGGGGGGAGCTCGTGACAGGTGATCACCTCCCGAGGCCCATCACTTTGGACTTATCACTTTCTCAGTGCGAGATTGTTCCTCCGTACATTCAAAGACAAAGAGATGCAATTACCACATTTGATGAGTTGTATTTACGTTGGGCGTTCCTCAGTGCCTTAATACCTGAGTCAAGGCCTGGATTCCTTGATGCCTTACACAGAGACCCCTGTCATTCTTCACGCTAGTGCCCATCTATAGAGGGACTATGGAGGGACTAGGGAGACAGCCCAAGACCAAGTCGGGACGATTTATTTTATATATTTTATGCAAATAATCACCAAAACGGACAGAGATCCATCGATGGATGTCTCACGGTCAACATGGACAATTGATGAATCATGCACTTCAGCGCTTCAAGGCAAATTCCCCAACTACGTCACTGCGCAATCATCCCTGTGCGGCCCTTTCTTGCTTTCGCTGCTTAAAAACTTCCAAGCTTGTCAGCTCCTATTTTCTTCACTTGACTACTTAACGCAGTGAGTTGATTCCCTGGAATTGTTGCGATTGATTTCAGTATACTCATTCATCAGTTCTATCCAGACGCTCGAACCCCGGCTATCACATCAGAACTAGACACGATGAAGCTGAATTTGGCCACTGGCCTCATCTGCTTGCTGGCTTCCACTGAAGCAGTGGCAGCCTCGAGTTGGTGGAGCAAAGCTGGTATGTCATCTTCAACGCGATGATCTTTCGCAGGCTAATATCATCAACAGTATACAATAAATGGCACGAAACCGAGCTCGAGCGATGGCTTTCGGATCATGGTAAGCACCACTCCTCCTTGTAACACTTTCTTGTGCTTATGCTTTGATTACAGATATCCCTCATCCTAGTCCTGCCGACCGCCGGGATCTGGAGAACCTGGTCAAAACCAACTGGGAGAACAGAGTGCAGAAGCCTCTTGGACAAGCTACCGAGCAAGCTAACCATGAGCTCCACCATGCCAGAGAATGGTTGTTTGACACGTAAGAAGCCCAATCTTTTACTCTGTGAACAACCACTGACCTATATAGTTGGTCCGACTCTCAGCTGAAGGCATTCCTTGATCGCCACGGCATCCCAGCTCCCCAACCCCGCAACCACGACGTTCTGGTCAAGAGCGCGCGTGACAACTACGAGAAGATCGCCACCAAGGTCGGCGAAACAGCTTCCTACCCTGGTGACTGGCTCTATGAGCAGTGGTCCGACTCGGATCTCAAGGAATGGCTTGACGAACGTGGATGGCCGGCTCCCCAGCCAACCAACCGGGACAAGCTTATTGCTTCCGTTCGCCGCAACTCTCGCATCGTCAGCTTGCAGACAAGAAACATTGCTTCATCTGCATCGGCATCAGCCGAGGCAGCTAAGGAGTCGTTGAGCGAGCAGCTTTTCAACGCGTGGTCCGACTCGAAGCTGAAGGAATTCCTTGATGAGCACAATATCAAGGTGCCTCAGGGCTCGCGACGCAATGAACTCATTGCTCTCGCCCGGAAGCACCGCTACAATCTCTCCGGTCAGGTCTCCACTGCCTCTGCTAGTGCATCTTCCGCAGCCTCGGAGGCGTTTGGCGCTGCTACCACGAAGGCTGGCAACGAATTTGCACGCGCTACCGATGGTGTCAAGCTGAAGTTCGAGGAGGGCTTCGAGATCGCGTTGAAGGGCTGGTCTGACTCTCGCCTCAAGGCTTTCCTCGATGCTCGCGGCGTCCCTGTGCCCCAGAATGGCAAGCGTGATGAGCTCATTGCTAAGGTCCGCGCCAATGCCCACAAGGCTGCCGGTGGATGGAACCAGTACAACTTTGATACTTGGGATAAGGAACACTTGGTGTAAGTACATAACCTATCTGTTGATGATGGTCACACTGGCTGATCCTTTTCCAGGAAATATCTCTCTGCCGTGAACGACAAGGTAGCTAAGCAGGTTGATGCCTCCCGTGAGGAACTTGTCAAGAGTGCCGAAGACTCCTACGCCAAAGCTTCCAAGGCTGGTGGTGAGCAATACGCCTCTGCGACTGCTTCCATTGCTCAAGCCACTGGAGCGGCGAAGGATGCGACCTTCGACCAATGGTCTCAATCTGAACTCAAGAGTTACCTGGACAGCTACGGTATTCCTACCTATCAGGGCTCGAGCATCAATGAGCTCCGAGCAGCAGCTCGGCGCAATGCTCAGTACTTCAAGTACGGCACTTTCAGCCCATCAGACACTCTCTATGCTAAGGCCATGGATTATCTGCATTGGGCTGTGGAACAGCTGAAGATTGGTGCTTCTGGCGGTCGCGCCAAAGGTACTGAAGCTGCCGAAAAAGCTCAGGAGAAGGCCGCAGAGGCTACCCAGAATATCCGAGAAGAGCTCTGAAGGAATCTTGTCTCATAATCAAGTTCCTCTCTTTGATTGCTTTCGTGACGCGGTTGGAACACACGGTTGGTTTTGTGGTATCTTCTAAGTTATGATGATTATGACATTTGAGTTTTGGGTTATTCCATGGATTCTAGTCGTTTTGGAGGCCTTTAGTTTATGTTGTCAATAGTAAGTTTTTCATATGGCATATTTGCAGTAGTCGTAACATGCGGGGGCTGTTTGAACACAGGAGAATGGTAGCGACGCGGCGACGGTACTTCAAATAAATCCAACTTTTGATTTCTTCGTTTGTAGATTGCTGTCGAAAGAATAATCACATAACTATTGTATTTTGCAGTCTCGCGCTCGTTGCTGAGCGCTACATGGTGGCCGTTGTCATACTTACCCTCCAAGATATTCACCAAGATCTCCGAGTGGACGGCTATGAATCGGGAGCCTCGGGAGAGCCCTCTGCGACCAACTTTCCAACGACCAGGTACTTCTCCATGAAGCGGTCTTCCCACGACTCCAGGTTCTCCAATTCATCCTTGCTCAAATCCTTAAGCTCGTCCAAGGGTCCCGACAAATCCTTGGTCAGCATCTCCTCGTCGAAGCTCTGGTTAGCCAAGCCGCGCGAGGCATCCCGACCAGCGAAGTTCTCATAAGGTCCACCCTGTTGGAAATCGTCATCAGCTCCAGGTCCAGTGCTGTCCGGTGGGGTTCTAAACACATACCGGTCCGTAGAAGTTCTTGCCGGGGGTAACGTCGAAGACGCGACCGCGGACGGCCAGGTAGACCGGGCGGTCGCCCTCGCCGTTGAACTCGATCAGGGTCTTGGGGGTGTAGGTCTTGAAGACGGTTGGGGGCGGCATGCGGGGAAGGGTGACTGGGGCCTTGGGACGGAAGTGCCAGTACACCAGTACACCGAAGACGGATACGAGAAGGAGGTTGATTGGTGAGGCGACAGTCATGCTGTTGGGTAGCGGGCTTGTTAGTTGGGTCTATATTGGATCATCTGTGGGGATGCGGTTGGATAGATTGGGCTGTGGCGGGAAACACTCACACTTCAGGCTGTGGGACGGAGTTCTCTGCTATTTCCAGATGCCGAATTAGCTGCAGAGTCAAGAAGATGAGCAACGTAGGACCATACCCATTAGCGAAACCGAATGCAATGGAAGATTCTTGAGAAATGGAAGCCCCGGAAGCTCGGAATGACATCTTGTCCCCGCCCTCCAGGGCTATCCCCCCACGTGATTGGGCGATACAGCTTTCTTTTTTTTTTTTATTACAGCGCTTTTATATTTAGAGTCAAGCTATTTTCTGCGCATGTGAATTGGTTGGAGATCGGGCTCCCGGACTGCAATTTCAAACGCCCGAGAGTGCCTCAGGTGTTTCAAGGGCTCTCTCCACTGGACTATCCCCATTTTAATCTGGCCACTTCGATGAGTGGAGGCCATGGCAGTTCCTTGTACGGAGTAGATTCTGCTTCTTTATACACTAGCATGTTCGCTGCGTTCTCTACAGTCATTTACTTCAAATAATCCCGATCTACATATTCTTTTTCACGTTCTTCCGGTCCTTCTTGCATTGCGGTACGTGTTAGGCCGTGCATCGTGGTCTCGCATACAAAGCCCCCTTCCACACGCATCTCACGATCGTTCACCCCTTTTCATCCTCATCCACTCTTTCTTTTTCCATCCCATCAACACCATCTTATTGCCTGAAGTGTGCGCTTTTGATTCCGACTAAGATCATATTTTTCTCACGTCTGGAGCGTGAGATATCCGTCAACATGTGGGCGAAGAGACCCTTTCACAAGGCCAAGCGGCCCTCGATCAGCGGCCCCGTTTGGGATAATAACCACCCGCCCACGACGTCACTGCCAGATTGCGATCTGGTTTCCAAGCAGTTACCAGTTGTGTCCAAGTAAGTGATTTTATCTGTCTAATCTGTCTAATCTTCGAGTGTCTAACATGTATTCAGTGACTCACGACTGGGCCCTGTCCCGTATGATGGGATTAAAAGGCACTCGGACATTTCGCCCGCTGTCTCGCCGATCCTGGAATCTGATCGGCGTTATAGCCAAAGCAGCTTTTGTGTCTCGCCCATTGGCGAAGGAGGCCAATTTTCTCGTGCGCCACAGGAGGATCGGCGCTTGTCATCCGCTCCTATTGTCAAAACAGAAAAAGATGATACACCCTATCAATCCCAACTGCAGCCTGTTCAGCCCGTTCAGCCCGTTCAGCCCGTTCAAGAATCTAGGCGGTTCATCTCGGGGAAATTGACCCGCTGGGATGATTTCTCGGGCGAACCACTCTTACCAAATGATACTGGCAGAATTAGCCCACTCCCTCTCCGCGAGAATGTCTCGCGCAATGAGATCAAGCCCTCGGGATCCTATACCAACACCTTGAATTGGAGAGACCAGTTGAATCCAAAGAGGACTCTCAATGCAGCCCGGAACCGCATCAGCAGTCTCTCAAAACCCGAAGATCATGCTCCAAAGGAAACCAGAAGTAGATCTTCGTCACGTGTGCTTCCCTTCGAAGAGCATTCCAGCAGGCGCAAGCGTGCATCGGACGTAACTCCACAGCTCGATCCTTTTAACTTTGCCCCTTCGGTAGTGACAACCATCACCGCCGGTGGACCGGTGCCTCCACCTCCGAGACTGTCACCGGAGCCTGCACCTCGCCATCTGCAGGAGAGCACACCAATTTTGGAGTTCGAGCACGAGAATAGCGACATGCTGTTCACAAGCAATGAACCCGCGAGTCGATTCAGCACGACTACATACACAGCTACCGAGCCTGGAAGTCGAGATGCGAGCCCGCGGGAGAGCATGCAGCTCGAGAACCGGTCTGTCGACGATGTCTCTACGTCCTCCATCATGGAACGACGCCGCCCAATCCCCTCCAGTATGCCGACCTCGAAGAAGCCCGTGCGAAAGCCGACCCCGTCTCAGGTCGCAGAGCAGGTCGCGCAGATGCCCGTGCAGCCTGTCTCAACTCCCGAAGTGCCACTGGGTGCCCAAGGCCGCATTGAAGCCATGGAGATGAAGCGGGATGAACTCTTCCAGCGCAGGTCGACGCTGGAGACTGTGATTCTTGAATTGTCCAAGGCGATCCAGCCGACCTCGACTGTGTATGATCTCGCTGCCAGAGCGGAGGTTCAGAAGAGCCTCAAGAGCATGGAGAGCGAGATTGCGGATGTCAGGAAGGAGGAGCACGAGCTTGGTATGAAAATCACTCGTGCGTGGCGCCGGCTGGATGAGAAAGAGAATGCCGGAGATGGTAATAATCTCTGGGTGAAGCGAGTCACTAGCTAAGTGGCTTTTGCGGGTCAGTTCAGCTCGGCGCAGCTGACTCTATTCTCATTTCTGAAGCTATTGTGAAAGTTGTTAGCGTTTCTGTTGGATTCTACTTTTTTTTCTGGGGCAATTTGCGTTTTCTTCTCCGATATTGGGGCATGGGACTGTGTTTTGAGCGTTTGATTCTCCCTACTGCGCGACACTTGCAAGGCAAGATGATACCCCCTCTATTCGGATGTGCGTTGTATCCATGTGGATGTATTTTTTTTCGGTTAATTTCATTATTATATTTTAATGAGACTGATCTTTCCAGAAGGATTCTAAATTTGAAATGCGATCAAGCGCGAAATAGGTATTGGTGGCTAAAGATGTACAGGAGACCCATAGAACTGGACTATGAGCACAGTGATGCTGGCGCGATCACTCATTCGAAGCCACTCATCCTCCGCTCTCTCATTCTCTCATTGAACATGGCTCGTATAGATCGTGAAAATGGACTCGAGAGAAACCTGGTGTCTAGGCTCGTTGTGGGGGTGGGAGTGATGGCGAATGATGCGCCGAGAAGCAGTCAGTTCGCTTATTTCTTGCCGGACTTCTTGATGCCCTGCTGGCCAGTGTTGAGGGGTCCCTTCTTGCCCTTGGCGGCATCCTGCATCTCCTTGCGGGCCTTGGCATCTAAAAAAAAAAGTATAAGCGTTAGATATAGAGTCATATCGGGTATTAAGAGTAGAACGTACCAGCCTTGAGCTTGGCCTGGTGAGCGAGGTCATCCTCATCGAGCTCCTTCTTCTCCTTCTTGGCGGCCTTCAAAGGCTTGACCTTGCCACCTACAAGTCATAGAATGTCAGTGAAAGGGTTTATTTCGAGGATGAGGGGTGGTATTAACCTTCTCTGCCTTGACCACCCATTTTGTCTGAGGAATAACCGAGGAAGCGGGTTAAAAAGAATTTGAAATAAGACGTTGGGCGAATGCGACGGCGTTGAAGATGGCAAGAAAAAAACACATGAGGGGTGCTTATCATATACCCTGCCTGTCCACCTGCGGGCCCATTTGCGGGAATATTACTAGCGTATGTTCAGTTGTATTATTTCGAGTCAATACCATTTGACACTGTGGGTGGCCCGGCGGGATATAGATCCTCAGTACTTGTATTACTTACAGGCTAGTCTAGATTTGGTTAGGGCGGGGTCCGTCGAAAACATGGATTTTGTGTCAGAGCCGGCACTTCGCCTCACCGCCTACTCTAAACAGACTAGCGTCGAATCTTCGCTATCTCAACATTCGACGAGTGATCCCAGTATGGAGTTTCTATTTCATCTTTTGCTTCATCGATTTCCCCTACACGCGTACATTCATCTGTCCGTCAAGCCTGTTGCCCCAAAAGTTCATGCACTTGTGTCAAAGATCTCATTTACAAGGCTTTGGTGTAAACACAGGCCTCTTACAGCCGGTTGGACTTTCACAAACCCTTTGCGAAGACAAATCTGTCGCTCGAGTCTTTGCTAACTCAGCTTTATTACTGAAGCTTCCCCCAGGAGTCCAGTGAAGCGATAACAAGTGAGAAGCGAAGACACCCGTTTTCACATCCAAACCCCCTGGACTTGGCAAGCATGTCGCATCCCAGGTCGCGGTCCCCATCAGTCCCCTCTGAGGGTGAGATCGTCGAATCAGGCCCAGAGACGAAGGCAACTGCGTCAGACACTCCTCTTAATGGCACCAGTGTTGACCGTCCCACCAGAGATAGCCCATCTTCTGCACCCAGATCTCCCGCGTCGTTGAAGAGAAATCGATCACCACCCCGGCCTAGCTCGCGCACCAGGTCCCCCTCGAGGTCCCGCTCTCGTTCCCCGTACGGAGAAAGCAAGACGCACAAGCGCAGTCGTGACGACGCCTACGAGTCCTATGATGGTGGCTACGACCGGAAGCCCCGTCACGATCAACGCTACGGGTCTAGGTACGACGACAGACGCCGTGACAGACCCGCTCCTAATCGGCGTCCGAACTCATATTACGACTATGATCGCGAAGAGAACCGCGGAGAAGCCCTACGATACAGTGATGATTATGACCGACGCAGGGATGACAAGCAGCAGCGCCCCCGCAGCCGATCCCCGTATCGGGAACCACGAAAGCCCAAGCGGTATTCAGGTGATGAACTTGATTCAAATATGGCTGATTCCAAACCCCCAGTGGACACCAGAAGGCGCAACCCCACTGACAGGTTGGTGAGGGAACGAGGAAAGCCTTCCGTTGTCGCTCCAATCTTGAAACGTGGTGCTGAAACACGAGAGAATCAGGTGCAGGCTTCTTCTAATCTACAGGCCCATGTAGCTGACGAGTATGTTTATTCGCTCATTGACAAAAAAGAAAGAAATAGCATGTGACTAACATCTGTTCCAGAGACTTGACGCCTAATCCCGAGATTGCGCCAGAGGTGGAGATCGCCGAGCCTGTCAGCGAACTCGATGCACTTGAAGCTCGCAGAAAACGCCGTGAAGCTATTCGGGCAAAACACCGCAGCCAAGCGACGCCGTTGCATCTCAAGGCATTAAATGTCGGGGAGGCCGACACGGATTCATCTATGACTGGCTCTGAGCCAACCAGCGCGAAAGAAGCATCTGGTGAGGTTTCCTTGGACAATCTTTCTTCCGTATCAACGAAGTTAACGGCGGTGAACTCGATAGATTCCCCTCAAGCAGCCCTTTACGAACAACCCGAGGACTCACTCCCTGCTCTCAATATCGGGAAAGACGTGGATTTTGTCAGCCCCAATGCCCCCGTTGTCGGTACTGATGAACCTTCTGCTGCTGATTACGATCCAACCCTTGATACAAAGAAGGAAAGACAGAAGCATGGCAACGGCAATGGCAGTGTGCAGGACGACAAGAAAGATGTCTCATCTGCAGCATACGATGAAACCAAGGCGGCCCGACAAGATGTTCTCCTTCCTGAGGCAGCTCCAGCCCCACCGCCAAAAGCCGATGCATTTGATATGTTTGCCGATGATGACGATGACATGTTCGCCGAGGAAACGAATGAAGTCCAGCCAGCGCAGGCATTGGCCACAGCTGTACCCCAGGGTAAGGAGCTGGATGTCAGCATGATGGACAACTGGGATGATTCAGAGGGCTATTATGCCGTTCGACTCGGAGAGCTGATCAATGGACGATACCATGTCCGCCAAAAGCTTGGCAAGGGAATGTTCTCGTCTGTTGTGCGTGCCACCGACACCAAGACAGGAGGCATGGTCGCCGTCAAGATCATTCGACAGAATGCCATAATGCGCAAAGCCGGTATGAAAGAGATTGGCATTCTGGAACAGCTACAAGAAGCCGACCCGGAGCATAAGATGCATATTGTCAAGTTCGAGCGATCCTTCGATCACAAAGGCCACTTGTGCATGGTGTTTGAAAACCTTAACATGGATTTGCGTGAGGTCCTGAAGAAGTTTGGCAGGGACATTGGCTTGAATTTGCGCGCAGTTCGGGCCTACGGCCAACAAATCTTCCTTGGATTGAGTCACCTTCGCCGCAATCACATCCTCCATGCAGATCTCAAGCCGGATAACCTTCTTGTGAATGAGCAACGCAACATATTGAAAGTTTGTGACCTGGGTTCGGCGTCTCCGGCCTCCGACAACGAGATCACGCCTTACCTGGTCAGTCGTTTCTATCGTGCCCCGGAGATCATCCTGGGCATCCCATACGATTACGCCATTGATGTCTGGTCGATTGGCTGTACTCTTTTCGAGTTGTACACGGGCAAAATTCTATTCACCGGCCGAAACAACAACCAGATGCTCCGTGCCATCATGGAGTGCCGGGGCAAGTACCCGCCGAAGCTTCTCCGCCGCGGAACCCTGGCGCCCCATCACTTTGATGACATGTTCAACTTCCACAGCGTGGAGGAAGATAAGATCACCGGCCGCCTCCACACCAAGATGATGGATTTCAAGAAACCCACGCGTGACCTGAAGACACGCCTCATGGCACAGGGCACACGCGGAATGCCCGAGGCCGAGGTCAAAGAACTGACCCTGTTCCTGGACCTGCTGGATCGTTGTTTGAGCCTCAACCCGGAGAAACGAATCACACCGAACGAGGCGTTGAAACATCCGTTCCTGGCGCCCCGAGCGTAACTCGGACTCTGTTTTAAGATTTTTACATCATGGATATCTTTGATCTCTGTGACACTGTACCAAGATGTCTCCACCTGGTTCTGCGACGGCGTCACCAGCCAAAACAAAAAGAACCCCAAAAACAAACTAAAGATACTGGCGTTTCGGGGGGGTGGATGTGATGTATGAATTTTATGTCAATATGCAAATTCCCAGTGCCATAGCATGTACGGAGTAGCTTCTCCAATGAAAGCCCATACCCTTTTCACAAGCATTTGTCACTGCCTGGTAGTCTTGGCTTGAGATATGTCCCAACCTCCTTCGAGTCTGTAGTAAACCCTGTCCGACATCAAAGACCAGCCCCCATTGACATCAGCCCATCGGCACCCACCAGCTCCTTCCACCAACAACCCCACCTTTCTACCCAACGTATCGACAGCGCGATCGCCCTGCAATCACTATCACAGAGCGATCAGCCAACATCCAACATCTCCAATACGGAGTGCTCCATAGTTCCTCAACAAAGCAAACCGCCCCCTAGCCCCCTTTTCCCGCCCCCTCCCATCTCGACCCAGGCCAGCGGTAACATGGATCTAGAAACCAATCCCCAAATCCACGTTGCATTAGCATTGTACTCCGTATCCCGTACTCCGTACTCGAACAAAGAAATCGACCGGAGTCTAGTCCGCACCCGAGCTCTAGATCCAAAACCGGACTCGGCCAGGTGCATTCCATGGGACACATTCCTCTTTTTTGCGGGTTTGTGGGGACTTTGCTGACGCTGGATCTACGGAGTACGTATACGGAGTAAGCTTGTGGGAATTCCCGATTGGCGTGTCCTAGGACTCTCTGGACTGCCTCTCAGCCCGGGTTCATGGGGGCGGGACGAGCGATCGCTGATTCGTGCCTGCGATGTCCGGTGGCTGTTGGGCGATAGAGTCAGAGAATCCGGCAAGTAAGGTGGGTTTTCTATAAAAAAAAAAGCAAAGGTATCTCTGTTCCGAGTCGAGACATGTTACAATGTACGGAGTATGGAGTACTCCACAGCACGGGATCAAGAGATGCTTAGGTATCTTGGACTCCGAACTGCAAACATACGTTGCAAACAGTACATGGTGAAAGGCGAATTGCCACGAAACCCCCCGTGGCAAAAGAATCCGCGCAAACAAGGCATTTATTCTCCGACGGCCGTGCTGATTGGTGGCATGGATCTGTTCCCAAAGCAATCATGATGTCGAGATGTGTTTATCTGGTGGATCCCGCCACCTGCAGGGCAACCGGGTTGTCTGCCTTAGCTGAGAGGCGAGAGAAGGCGAAGCTATCAACTCTGGACTATGGATGGGTATGATTGGCACCGGGAGTACGTAGGCTTAGGGAGGCTATGTCCAGGTGGTGTGGCGTAGGTAATCATACTCTGTATATGTACTTCGTCGACGAATACTCCGTACGTAGTAACAGTACTACATCCGTTCTACGTGGATGAGCAGATTGGGTAGCCAGCGATCCCAGGCGTTCACGCTCTTGATGTTTGCATGCAAGTGCGAATGTACGACATTGGCGAGAGTGACATATGGACGGAGTACGTACTCCCTTATTGTAGCGGTGTAGACCCGAAACCGGCCACGCAGCTGGCAATCCAGTGTCCACAACGCGAAAAGCAAAAATCCAATGCGCGAAACCTGGCCTTGAGGACCGCTGCATTGCCAATCCTGGGGTACAGCAAGGCAAGGCACGGCAACGGACTAGGACAACGTCCAAATCACATATGGCACAGATCATATCTCTCACGCCGGATAACCGATTCCGGGGACACATTCACATAGTCTTACATGGAACTAGTCGCTATTGTACGGAGTGCAGTGTGCAGACAAAGCGTTCGGGTCGTGAGAACCGAGCTCGAATGTGATGGATCGGAGAGGGGGGCCGTTGGCTATCAGGTGATTGGACTCGGAGCGTGCAGGGTCGATCTGAAGGCCTTTTAGGGGAGATTATTGATTCTGGGTGCAGTTGGTGCTCACCGCAATAGTACCAGTAGAGTCCCAGAGCGGTTTCCTTGAACACATACCTCTTTTTTGCCCAGAGACCGGATATCAGACTCGCCCTTGCCTCTCTGTATGACGCAAGTGGGGAGATATCCGGAACAAAGAGGTGAGATTGCAGGCCACTTTTGACAGGGTGATTCTTGCCTCCGGGCTGTGTACTTGGTACATGACTACGGAGTACGGACTGAAGAGATGGATTTTTTGCTTTTTTTCGTTTTTTTTTTTCTTTTTTTTCCCTTTTGGGTAGAGAGCCAGAACGGCCAGAGATAATTAAGACATAAAATAAAATAGAAGTAAATAAAATAGAAGTAAATAAAATAAAATAAAATATAAAACAACACACCAGGCAGAGAATAGGAGAGAACAAAGGAACGACCAATAATAACGGGATCACCCGTATGGAAGTCCCAGATGGTCAAGGTACATTAGCGCCAGGAGAAGCACAAGGTGAATGGCCCGTGCAGAACTAGTCAGGGAAGCGCCTCAGCTTTGGAGATTCTCGAAATGGTTGGCCACCGCAACCCTCCATCATCGCCTCACTCTTTGCCGTCTAGACCCGAGGAAGTGGATCAAGAGCAAAGAACGGTGTGCCCCCTCAACCAGACCGAAACCGTCCGGCTTCCACATCCTCCATTCCCCAGCCGGGTCTCATGGGGAACTTGAGAAGAAGACAAGAGTCCAGGCAGAAACACCGTTGGGAACAGGATACGTGGGCATTGCCACACTAGGCCGAGAAGAGACCATCCCAATAGGGGACTCTGCAGTGTCCAGTCGATCGTTCTCCACCAATCATCGGTTGTGGCGGCTGCAGGAATGTTGGCGCCCGTGGGTCTGATTGGCCTAACCAGGGCTCGGGCATGCACACCGCTTCGTACATCGGACACATGGCTGATTTATTTCTGATTTCTGATTTCTAATTTCTGATTTTCAGCTTTATTTCTGGAAATGGGATTGGAGGTTATCGGTACTTGGGGAGTACACGCATCATCGATTGGATATGGGGGGCCACCTTCGATCCTTTCCCGTTTGGGGTTTAATTTAATTGTAGCGTCCTGGGGCCCCTGGGATTCTGGTCAACCACGAGGCCACCTGATCTTCTATATTAATCCTCTATACTTCTCTTTCCCTTCTCTTCTGTGCGTTGTGGTTCTGCTTCTGTTTCTCGGGTGACTCGTACAACACTTTCCTTCTCTCGGATCAAACGGACTTAGATCAGACCAACTTGAAACTCCCTTGGATTGGAATGGCCGCCTTTTGAATATCCTGGATTTAGGCTGAGAATCTCCCTGGAATAGACTTGTTATCGCCCTTCCCTTCTCTTTCCTCGTCTTCTCCGGGGATATATTGGATCTCTTGCTCTCTCTACAACCCACTTCCAAGGACAATGTATCCGGCCATGCTCCCCACGCCGCCACCATCCCCTGGTCCCCGCTGCTATGCTCCCGAGGACCGTCTTGGACTCATCTTGGCCGACCGGCTGGAGCTGACCCAAGTCCTGGGCGTCGGAGCCTATGGCGTCGTCTACACTGCTCGCGACATCAACACCCATGAGGTCTTTGCCGTGAAGGTCCTCAACAAGAATGGTCTGGATGCCCGCCAACTCAAGTTCCAGCAGCGCGAGATTAGTCTCCACCATATGGCCAGCCAGCACCCTAACGTGGTTTCCCTCAATACCATCATGGAATCCGTGGATTGTACTTACGTCGTCATGGAATATTGCCCGGAAGGAGACCTGTTCTCAAACATCACCGATAAGGGAAACTTTGTCGGTAATGACTTCTTGGCCAAGAGTGTATTCCTCCAGATCTTAGACGCTGTACAATATTGCCATTCCATTGGAATCTACCACCGCGATCTCAAGCCCGAGAATGTCCTCGTGACCGACCAGGGAATGACCGTCAAGCTGGCCGACTTTGGCCTCGCCACCAGGGATTACTTCACTTCCGACTTCGGATGTGGTTCGACCTTCTATATGTCGCCTGGTAAGCCCTCTCCCAAATAAACACTCTCCCTATTGACCGTGAGACTAATCTGACATCGGTGTTTTTTTTAAAGAATGTCAACAAGCCAACCCTCGGCCGTTGTCTTGCTACATGTCCGCTGCCAACGACGTCTGGAGTCTGGGCGTGATTCTCGTCAATCTAACCTGCGGTCGCAATCCATGGAAACGCGCTTCGATCGAAGATTCCACATTCCAGGCCTATCTCAAGGATCCCTTCTTCCTGAAGACCATTCTGCCTCTCTCCACCGACATGGTTAGTATCCTGAGCCGAGTCTTCGAGCTCGACCCAAGTAAGCGGATCACTATCCCTGAGCTGCGCCAGCTCATTCTGGAGTGCCCCCGCTTCACGGAGAATCCCATGGTTCAAGCCCCCTGGGTGCCGGAGCAGATCGCCTACATTCCCCAGCCCCAGATGCCAATGTTCATGCCCATGGAGCCCCTGCATGCTCAGCCCTCTGCCTCGTCGTTGGCCTCCTCGCAATACTCGGCCTTCTCCTCTGCTGCGTCCGACGGTTCGGCCATCACCGAGGATTACTCGGATCTGAACAACATGTCGCCCGCAGTCTCGGAGCAGGTCCCGGATTGCAAGGTATACCCCTCTGTCTGCGCGGAGCCCTTCTTCCCCGCGGATTCCTTTGCCTACGGCTACCACTACCCGATGCCACGGTTTGAGGTCCCCGTCTGAATGCGCGCCTCGATGGGATTTCCATTTAACGCAGCTGCATGACTTGACGACCTTTTTGCCCCCCCATCACTTGTCTTTGATCGCACCCTCTTCCAAAGAGCTATATTCTTTTCGGTCCCTTGCTTTCTCTCTTGGGAGAAAGCTTTACTTTCCAAGCTGCCCGACCAACAAAAGTCGATCGCGTTGATCCTGATCCACCGGACCCGGCCAGCTATCTTTTTCCTTTTGGACATAATCTTTTTTTGCCATCTCTTTTCCCATTGGACGACGTTTCCCTGGCTTCGCGACTGTGTTCTTCCCGGGATTCTTTTCGGACCACAGTCGGCCATTTTTCAACTTGCGAATCTCCCTTTCTATTGTTTTAATATGTTCCACACATACCCGGAGGATTTTTTTTTACGTTTCCATTTGTTTCAGGCGTGATCATACACTGGGAAACCATGATTTGAAGAAAAGCCCCTGGGCGGGCTGAATGAAATACGGGGGAATTTGTGATTTTCTGATATTTGGCGTTGGACTTCAAAGTTTGGCGTTCACGACTATGTGGTTTATTTTCTCTGTTCATCTTTTGGGAAAGGCCTTTTGTTTACGATCTATGGGAGGTGATCTCGGCTACTATTTCATGTGCATAGACTTTTCTCTTTTTTTTTTCGCATTGGGACATTTGAGACTCCCTTTTCATTGATTCTTACGATATGATACCTCGGTGTGGCAGATGCCAGAATACTTCACAATCTACACCACTGCATTTCTCCTAACCTCTGGTATTGTTTCTTTTTTTGTTTCCCTTTGGTTTCTGCCTACTAACCCCAATCTCACTTGCATGCAAACCCTTGTAAGTCCAACGTCTGGAAAACCTACAGTGTCGCGCAACGTCCGACAAACGGCCGAGACTCGATCGCGCATCGGTGATTCGCGCACGAGGACCGTGCCTATCGTGAAACCGCCAGAGTCAGACGCAACCGATCTATTCCGACTCAGCGGGCGACGGCACGAAGTAGACAGGTGAGTCGTCACTAACCCCTAAGTAGTCATCAGACATCCCCTCCGTACACTCCCCATACATATCACAATATAAAGCAAAAAGATCAACAATCCAAGAAAATATCCCATTCCTAATCCCAAGTAAACAACCCTGAACCTACATATTCCGGCCCCCAGTAACCCGAATCGTCTCCCCATTGACATACGAAAACCACGGCGACGCAACCCCCAAAATCGACCTCGCCGCCTCCTCCGGACTAGCAGGCCGACCCAACGGAATCCCAGGATAAGCCTCCGCCTCCTCCACAGACCCCGTCTTCGCCGCCAGCTGCTTCCCAGGAATCCCCAACGCAACCCTCGTCCCATCCGGCGTGGTCACGAACGCGCCAGCCTCCTTCGCCGCCGTCAGCCGCGTCGTGACAAACCCAAACGCAATAGTATTCGACCGCACGCCGAACGCAGGACCCCATTCCTTCGCGATCGTGCGGGTCAACCCAACAACACCGGCTTTGGCAACGGCGTAGTTGACCTGCCCGCTGTGTTTTTCCTAGCGTTAGCGTGGCTGCAGGAGTGGGGACGGATCGGGCACGTACGCATTGCCGTGGATACCGCTCGTGCTGCTGATGTTGATGATTACGCGCGGCTCTTGGTCTTTTACGCGGAAGTAAGGGCTTGCTTCGCGGACCAGTAGGAACGGCCCTGTGTTGTGTACGGCCAGCATGGTTTCCCATTGTTTGTCGGTTGTCTGGGACTGTGTGAGTATCGTGGAGAATAGGTATTCTGTAGAGTATATGTATCTTTGTCTATTTCGGCTTACCTTGTGGATCACGCCGTCCCAGGTGAACCCGGCGTTGTTGACGATGATGTGGATCTTGCCGTTGCCGAATTCAGCGGTTTTCTGGACTAGTTCGGTGATGTAGGTTTTGTCGACGATGTCGCCGACGACGGCCAGGGCGCGGCCTGGTTTGGCGGCGTTGATTGCGTCGGCGACGGCGTGCGCTTTTTCTGTTTCGGGTTTGTTAGTGTTGGTAGATTGTTAGGGCTGGGGGTTGGCGTACTGGTGTCGATGTCGGCGACTACGACTTTTGCGCCTTCGTTTGCGAAGAGACGTGCTGCTTCGGCGCCGATGCCTTGGCCTGCGCCGGTGATGATGGCTACTTGGCCGGCGAGACAGCCGGCGGGGTAGGTGAGGTGCTCATTGAGCTGGGTGAGACGGTCGGAGGGAGGCATTTTGGAGGGATTTGCAATTCGTCGATTGGATTTATCAGAGCTGGGAGGGTTGGTTGTGAAGGGGGAAGTCTTATACAACGATATGCCTCTCGGCGATGTGACTGCCGAGGCCCAGTTGCGGACCGAGACTGTGGGGTAGAAAATGGGGGAGGATTACTTATTTTAGAATAAGTTAGTTCTGGTATATAGGCAATATGGTCTTTTCAAATTGCGTGTTTCTGTTTGTGAATATAGCCGATCTGCGTTTACTGTCCAGCTTGTGTGTTCAGCTCCACCCTCGCTTGCTCTACGGCCCCTTCATAGCATACAGTAGTAGCGACAGAAAACAGTTGACCTCCCGTACATGGGGTATGATATTTTCAAAGAGACTCGTCATGCATGGCGCGTCCAGATCCACAGATACACTCGCCCCATGAAGTTGATTGTAGGAATGCCGAGACGGTAGCTTCGTAGCCTGCGATGATGGGGAGCAGGCCTTCGCTTCTGGGTGTACCGCCCAGAATATCGGTATCCAAGTCTGGGAGGATCCCAACATGCTCTGAAGGAATCCAGTGCTGGCCGGTATGGTCCTCTGAGAGTTTTGACGCCGATGGACCTTCCTGGTCGCCCGGTTTGGGGATCTGGATATCGGCAGCACTAGCGGTGCTTTTCAGAGCCACCAATACAACCCTGCACTGTAAAAGCAGTCCTCGGAGTAAGAAATTCCGTATCTGTCTGTTTTCCTCGTGGCAGATCTCATAGTAACCGTAGCGGATGTCGACGCCGTGTTCTGGGCGCGGTGCACGGGACGTCTCTCGCGAAACCCAGTACTCGAAGAGCTGGAGGGTCAGGTTGAGCACCGAGATAGTCAGCAGTAGATTTGTGCTGTCCTTGGCACACTTCGTACACTGCAGGAACATCTGACAGGCACAGAATGTGCATTTGATCGTCTGCAGACTATGGTCGAGTCGCAGGGGCATGGAGCCGGCGAGCAGATGATTCAGCCGATTCATGTGGAACAGCTGCATATCTACGCACTCGCACGAGGAGAGCGGATACGGCGAAGTCACGGAGCCTGCTAGCGACGGACTGGCCATTGTGTCGCCCAGTTCGCCGGACAGGAATGTCGGGGTCACCGGGGTGTGTGGGTAGCCCAGACCAGCTGGGAGAGCAGGACATGGGTCCACGAGATCAGTGAATGGTGAGGTTTCAACTGTCGTCAGTTGCCCTGGACAGACGGAGGATTCCAGGGTTGCTGTGTTTCCGAAGCTTCGGGGACTTTCCCAAAAGCCCGGTTGATTTGATATCAAACATACCTAAACAGCGGAGACTTATTAGAAATACGCCGAGATATCTAGATGCGAAGGAGGGACACTGACATCGTCGTCAATTGTTGGGTCGGGAATATGACTGTAGTTATTTCCCAGCGCCTCCATGTCAGCCACTGGAGCCACTGGAGCCACGAGCCGACTACTGCGGAAACCTCGCATCGGTGGCTTTTCTTCTTGCAATTGGCCCAGCTTGCGGAGGGTGGCTCGGTTCTTGCTGCCTTTTGGTTTACCAGAGCGATTGGCGAATCCGTATTGGCACTGTAGGCCGTGACGCAGGCAACGAGTACAAACACTCTTGCCTGATAGGTTGCATTTCACCTTGGATTGTCTGCAATTTTCACAGGCAGTTCGGAGCTTAGGTGTATCTCCACCGGCATATGGACTGCCATTGGACTCTGCAAGCATTGCCTGTTTGGTTGCCGGGTGTGTATGGTGGGAGAGAGTTGGGGGGAAAGACAAAAGAAGCTAGTGTGCTCTCTCCCAATACGATATAACACTACCAATAGCTCAGGGTTTCGGTGATATATGGACGTCAATGGAAAGGAAAGAAAGGAAAAAGAAAAGAAACAGGGAAATTAGACATAGAAATTCAGGGTGAGCAATACAATGATACCGTACACGTCCAATGAGGCAGACGCTCCATGATCCTCCCCCCACACGCCCTGGTTATATATATAAACAAGCTCAAGCTTCAGAAAGAAGCAAATGTCACTCTGGCATTCAAATCTAGTACCGGCGACAGCCGCATACAGAGGTCAGCCGCTGTGAAACCCCAGTTCCATCTGATCCACCGCGCATGGGAGACCAACTGGCACCGCTGGGACGAGGTCAAAAAGAAGCATCTTCCCTTCGGAATCCACCCGTCTGACCTATCTTCATTTGGCAAGAGAAAAGTTGGGTTCTGCTTCACAGCCCGCCCTATTTTTGCACACTTTCCATGGTAGGAGAATACAGGGTCTCTCAGAGAAACCGGCTAGGGGTCCTTTTGTTTAAAAAGTCGTCACACCCTGATGCAACATCGTAAACGCCAATTTCGGGGTTAAGTTTCTGAGTTCTTGAAGAACTTGAAGAACCTTTTGCTAACAAGGGCTGTCGGTCTCTGGTGCCGCTAGGGCCCTGTTCTCTTTCGCCAATGAGAGACAAGAACAATCCCCTCGAATGGACAGTGCTGGTCACCATGTGAAATGGAAGCAAAAAGAAAAAGGACCATTTCTTATCGGCTGACCGGGCCCAGTCCCTGCAAGGGAATTGGCCGCTCACCGCTTCATTTCATTCGTCATTGTTGCACATACTGATTCGAGTCATCGTCAGCAGGCGGACCTTTGAACCCTTGAGAGATTGTTGAACATAAGTCGCGCCACGTACGCTACGACGTGAACATTTCATTTCCATGCTACCTCTAAAAAGAATTGCCATGAGCATGTTGTCCAACCTCGAACTTGTGCTGCGCCAGACCCGGACTCAGCCTCGTGGAATCTGACAGGTCTCGGCAACCCCGCTGTGCCGATAATCGAATGCCTTCAATAACCCTGTCAGATGCGCTACCGCTGCGCAGACCACCAGCACGTGGAAGATTTGATGCGAACTCCCCACGATGTCGAATTTTCCGGGCATGAGTCGTTCAGGTACTCGGGCTGCGTAGATTCCGGCTCCAAGAATATACAGGAAGCCCTGCAAAAGAAGCCAGTCCAGACCGATCTGCTGCCGCATCTGGTCAATTCCGAAGAGGAGAGCCCCATGGAGTACGGGGATAACGGCAGACAGACCCATCCCGACAAACATGCCAGCGCGGAATGGACGCCAGCGCGGCGTGCGGAACCGGGGAGAAGCGGACACAATCACACAGCCTAGCCCAATGGTACAGATCATGGTCCAATACCTGTGCTGAAGATCGGGTACACAATAAAATCCGTAGAAGACGCTGGGTACAAAGCTCCCCACAATGAGACCCACGATGCCGATATAGTCGAGGGCATTTCCAATGCGTGCAACCACAGGCGAATGATTTGATATGGTGTGATAGGTTGCAGACATGCCAAGACAGAATGCAGCCCCCGCGAAGAAACAGGCAAAAGCGAGGATATCAGAATCGGCTGCGGCTTGATACCGCGGAGAAAGCAAATGATAGAGCCCATATGCGGCGGGGGCAGCAACCAGAGCTGGCAAGAGGTGGGTGTAGATGTTCACGGTCTCATTGTGAACGTAACCCAGGGATTGAAATGAACCTAAAAACGAGGACGAGGCGGGCCGATATCCCGTATGGATGTGGTGGTTGTCGCGTTGCCAATGAGGTAGATCGTCCCAATGCAATAGTCGTTTTACTAAGTTGTGAGCCTCCTCCCCGACAGCCGTTATCCCTGCAGGCTTACTATCGGTCGACAGTTTCTCTTCAATAGGGCGGCGCTGGCGAGGCATAATCACATGTGATATGCAAGTATGGGCAACGAGGTACAAGGTTGTGAAATTGACCAACAACAGAACATGTAAGACAAGTCAGCAGATAAAATCCTGATCAATTAGAGCAAATGAAAAGAAAAAGCAAGGGAAATCCACAATAAATATAGGAAAATATAGAAAAATAAAAGGAGAAACCGGCCGTTGGGCAGTTGGGGGAACCAGGGTAATCGCCGCGTTGGGACAACCTCGGAACAAACAAGACAAACGTCATATCACCTGCGCTTCAACGACTTTATATGTCAACACACATGTCAATGCACATGTCAACACATGTCGGCAAAGATGAGCCGCTTGCGCCCAGTATCTGACTCGTTGGAGAATGTTGGGTTTGTGTCAAAAGGAGATCGGAAGTGCGTTCGAGATGGGAAATACTGCGTGCCAACGCTGATTTCTACAGGTTGTTGAATCATAAGATCCAGACGGAATACTTCGACAGAATCGTCGACCGATACATGCGCTTTTGCGCCCATCATTCTAAAGATCTCGATGCAGCGTTAGCTTCCCTTCCAACAAGTCCCTCAAACGATGCGACTTCCAATCCGCCCGCTTCCCGGTCGCCTTTGAGATTGAACCCCGCACAGAAGGACATCCCGCCACCATCGACAGAGCTATCCACACTCCTTCTCTCCCTACGCAAACTGCGCGAGGCCGTCCTAGCAACAGCCGCAACCACACCGGCAGAATTCTCACAACGGGTTCATGTTTTCTCCATTCGCTTGTCCATTCTCGCGCATCACCCGCCGTCATATTTCCCCTCTTTGCGATACCTTCTAGATAGACTGCATTCCACATCCCACCCACTACCTGACTCCGAAGCCCAGGAACTGGTCTCATACTTGATTCTCGATTATGCCTGCCGACAAGGCGATATGCTCGCGGCCTATGAGCTGCGCGCCCGGGCGCGGAAAGAGCACTCCTTTCAATCCCAGACCGTCGATAAGGTTTTAGCTGCCTTGATGCACGATAACTGGGTGCTGTTCTGGCAATTACACAACAGCGTGGATTCACACATGCGTGCAGTGATGAATTGGGCTGCGGACCGAGTCCGCAGGCACGCGCTCAAGGCCGTGGGCAGTTCTTATCTTAGTGTGCATATTAGCTGGATTTTGGGCGGTTGTACAGGCGATGAACAGAGTTGGACATGGGAGAAATTGGTTGAGAAAGAGAAACTTCGTTGGGACCGGGAAGGCGATAAAATCATCATCAAACGGCCGAGGCAGAGCCCTCCTACCAAGGCGCAGCCGAGCGTGTCGAGTGCATGAGCATGTGTCCGGCTAGACTTTGGTTTTCTGGAACAAAGCATTCAGTGGAGTTGGTTCATTGCATGGCGTTGGTTGGAAAAACGTCGTATCATTGACAGACGGGTATTATTCATGGAGTATTAATTATGATTTTTTAGACCATGCACAGACAGATTGAATCCAAAGCCGCCAGGGCAAGATGATTTTCAATTTGAGTATTATAACTTCAAGTCTGAAATTGGCCGATCTAAATTGGTCTGTCCGGTGACAGGATGTTTCGATATTGTTTCAGCCAGCTGCCCCTTCATGTGAGGTGCCTTGTCGGAACAAAGCTCATAGACCGTCGACAGATTGAAAATCAAACTACCGAACGAGTGGTTAGATGAAACTTGGCTCTCCAGGAGCTGACGAGCCTAGGATCAAACAGTCAGTCAACGGGTTCGATAAAGCCTTCAAACAAATGTTTGAACAGAGAGGAGTAGGGGGAGCGATCAGGTACCTCGTCCAGTTTTCCAGTGTACAGCAGACAGACAGCCACATTTTGAGCTACCAGAGCCCCGTCTGCCCTTGTTCGATCTTCTAGCAGAATGCGCCACTCAGCCACTGCATCGGAATAGCGACCATCTGACATGCTTATGAGAGGCTTCAATAAAGCAGCCTCTTTTGATTCATTGGTATCACCAAAGACTTGGCTTGCTGCGTCCAGATCACCAATGCGCAAAAGCAAAAGTGCTTTCCTCAATTTTGTCATGTCTGTCTCTGGCCCAGACACGCGAAGATTTTCGAGTGATCGCCTCGCTGTATCGAAATCGCCCATCTCGATGAGGGCATTTACACTTCTGACTCCAAGATCTGCCAATCTCTGCCTCCATAACTCTCGTTCAGCTTCGGTAGCTTCTTTTCTCATGATCTCTCGACGTGCTTCGAGCCCAATTTCGTACAGACCCCCAATGCTTCTGCGGGAATCACCAAAGCCAATACTCTGTAGTCTCACCGCCAATACGCGGAGCGGCCAAGGGACAATATGACGAGGATCTTGGGCATCAGCAGTTTCATGGCCAGGGTCTTCATCGTTATTGGTCCCAGTGGATTCAAGCTTGCGATCGATATAATAGAATACCGAGCTCAGATCTTCCAGCGCTTTCGATTCCTGTGCTGCGAGAACTGTATTGCCCGACAGCTCTAGACAGGCGAGGCGCGTGTAGAACAGCGAGAAGATGATTTTGACATCCGTCGGAGCTACTAAAGACGAGGTCAAGATGGAAGCAGAGAAATGTGCTGCGATGAGGAATCGACCCTCCGCTAGTAGCTTTTCGAGGATGCTCAGAGAAGCCGATAGAGGTTCGCCTAGGTTGAGTATGAGGAATTCGGATCGTAATGGCGGAGGGATCTCAAGATGAGAGAGTGTATGGAAAACATTGTGCCGGAGAAGAAATGAAAGGTCTTTCCCTTGAGCTTCGGGTAGATTGTCTGGCGCAAGCGGATCTAACTCGTAAAATGATGCCCCAGAAAAGGTGTCGTTGGCAGCAAGCATTGATGTGTGTTTGATAGGCGAGGTGGGGAATCCAGAGAAGGCGAGAGGACTACATCGTGTGAGACAGTGAATTTAGAGGTGGACATCAAGGCACAATGCTCACTCGTCTGATGCATCTAAAGGATTCCTCGTCGAGCTGCGGGGCCGAGAAGCTGCACAGGCAATCAATCAATAACAAAGCTAGTAGGGATAATGGAGTGGGCGCTTACACCTGGAGATATTCCGATGATGCTTGGACAACACTGGCTCCATCTCAATAACCTTGAAGTATTCCCGATATCAATCTTGGTATAGAAGTGTCCAATCGTGGAGTATATTCCGATTGAAGTCGAGCCAAACACCCGATAAGCGCTATCGGATTCTGCCAGGGCGGTGGATACCGGATCTGGCAACTTGGCCGCGATCTGGCGTTGCCGAATGCAACAAGCTTAGAGCCATACGTTCCCTACCTTTTCTTTTCTTTCTTATTTTACATGATCATCGCTTTAATCTTTCACCGCTCTCTACTTTATTAATTGATTTACGGCTTTGCAAAATGGGCGCGACCAAGAACAAGTACTCGGTCATCCTTCCCACCTACAATGAGCGGAGGAACCTCCCTATCATCATCTGGTTGATCCAGAGGACCTTCAACGAGGAGTATGCGCTGATAAAACCATTGAATGGGAGATCTCAGGACTGACATACGTTTTTTCACTCGTAGGAAGCTGGATTGGGAGATTATTGTCGTTGACGACGGATCCCCTGACGGCACACTCGAGATCGCGAAGCAGCTCCAGACGCTCTATGGCGCCGAACACATCATTCTCAAGCCCCGCGAGGGCAAGCTCGGTCTGGGAACCGCTTATGTCCACGGCCTGAAATATGTCACCGGCAACTACGTTATCATCATGGACGCTGACTTCAGCCACCACCCCAAGTTCATCCCCGAGATGATTCGCATCCAAGAAGAGACCGATGCTGACATTGTCACTGGAACCCGATACGCGAACCGCGGTGATATTAAGGGCGGTGTCTACGGCTGGGATTTGTTCCGCAAGTTCACCTCGCGCACTGCCAACCTGATCGCGGACGTCATGCTGATGCCCGGTGTGAGTGACTTGACTGGTAGCTTCCGTCTCTACAAGAAGTCAGTGCTGGAGAAGGTCATCCTGAACACCGAGAGTAAGGGTTACAGTTTCCAGATGGAGATGATGGTCCGTGCCAAAGCAATGGGTTACAAGGTGTCCGAGTGCCCGATTACCTTCGTGGATCGTCTCTATGGCGAGAGCAAGCTTGGTGGATCTGAGATTGTCGAGTACCTCAAGGGTGTATTGAACTTGTGGCTGAAGGTCTAAGTTGGGCCTCCCCATTGGGGGATTGGTACCCCGATAGTTCCATTCATTTTTGCCTCAAGTCCAACATGGTCTCATGCTTGGATTGCCTACTGCCCGTGCTGTGATATACCCCTTTCTGACCTCTGTTATTCCAAATCCGTGCACTTCTGGGTGGTGTTTGAATGACCTTTTTATTGTCGATATAAATTCAATGTCCTCTTGTCTTCTGAATTCTGGATTTTTTATTTCCATGCCTCGACACCATCAAGGCTCAACACTTAGAGCGTTTGGAGATACCGTAGAACTCGATCAATAAGGTCTTTTTGACCTGCATCATGGACGTTGTGACTGGCTCCAGGGATGACGCCGCTATTTTCCGCATCCCACTTGGCACCTCCGGCCTCAGTAGCCTGCTGCCACCTCTGCAACAGTTTTTCTTTGTCCACCCAATGCGGACAATACTCATCTTCACCAGAGTACAAGATTAGTAGCTTGGATTTGATCATGCCCTGAGTGCCCACCATTCCGAATGTCTCTTTCAATCGTTTCTCACTCAAGTCGGAGCTAAACAGATCATCATCAGATGGGTTCTCAGGGCTCTCTGGGCTGACCAAGCTTAGGAACCTCCGGGCACTGAGAGGCGTATCGGGCGGATAAGAAAGCTTTGCAGTCAAGTTCATGGGAAGGATCGAGTCATTCTTATCTTCTGTGTATGGTTGCTCCTTCGCAAAGCGTACGAGCTGATCGTACACCTTCTTCAGCTCATCGGGCTCCGAAGAGGAATCGATAATCGCCTGCAATCCCTCTCTATCTGAGGCAGGTGCTTGTAGAATGGCACCATCAAGCTCAGGGCGAACTATGTATTGAAGGCCTCCTCCGAACTCCTTGTGCGGCACAGGGTTGGGCGAGTAAAGGTAGTGGAGCACATCCTGGCTTCCGGTCGAGTGACCCATGATCGCGATCTTTCCAGAACTCGTGGGTGCACCAGGCTGACGTGATGCCTTGAGATCGCGAATGAAGCGCACACATTGCCCGAGTTCTTCGACATCGCGATCGAGGCTTCCGACTCCCCATCCGCCGTAGGATGAGGAGAGCAAAACAGAAAAGACCGACCATTCGGTTTTTTCTACAGCTTCGGCCAACTTGGCCACATAGGGAACAGTGCAGAATCCATCTGTGAGCCCACCCACGAAGATGAGGGTGTTTATCTTGTTGATACCCTGTGTTGGTGGGGTGAACTCAAACGCTACAAGTTTGGGAGCCTGCGGGTGTTAGCTTGACACGATGGAGGGTGGGCATCTTCTGTACATATTCGTGGAGGACACCTCCATACGACGATCCGCGACTTGAGTTTGAGGACATGATATAAGCGTGGTAGTTGTGGGGGAGACGAGATGTCAAGTGCGAATAACGAAAGATGGGCGATCACCAAACAGTTGACGTAGCCGTTTTGCAGGGGTGGGGCCTTGCTACACCTAGGAGCCTATATCGATGTGCTCTCTGATCTCAAGGAGTGAACTTGAGTATAGTGTCTCTGATTTCTAGACGATTCTACACTTACTCTCTGACATACAGTGGCATATACTACACGTTTTAAGCCTGGCCATTTTCAGGCTGAGCAGTCGCCAAGAATGATCCTCGTGAATCAGTGCTATCACCTCGTATACTTGATATTTAAGGTCAACTATTCTGCTAAGCAAAACGTGACGCCCCATTGATTTTCAATACCATGAATTCGATCATACGAACATGTCCGTCTATACCAACAAGAAAACTGCCTATCACAAGATGTCGATACATTGCAACGAGAAGATCGCGAGTCGATCAAACAATGTGCCTTTCAGACGAGAGCACCCTAGGATATGCCAAACATGGTTGTGAAGCATGCTACTCTTGGGACTTTCTGCTTGGCTACCCTCAATGTCGACGTGAAGCCTCTGCCATAGAATCTCTCTTTCATCGGCGTGGGGTTCGCGTGATTGCCCTCGAGCGCCCTGGTTTCGGCATCTCGATCGTCTATTCAGGCCAGCGCATCATGGACTGGCCTGCAGATTTCTAGGCGCTGACTCGACCCCCAGCCTATCTCGTTTCGCAATTATGAGCGGTTCTGGAGGTGAACTGTATGCGTAAGCATATGGGCGTAGGCTCCCTGAGCCCTCAAGACACGATGTCCGTAGTCAGCATAATCGCTGGAGCTGGGCTACGAAGCTCATTGGACTCCGTGGTATGGATGCTTAGAACTGGGCTGAATACACCAAAGGAACCCAACGGCTTCTGAGCTGAGATCCGGGAAAAAGGACCAGGACCAATATACTGGCCCGATTGAAGAACGGACAGCTGGATTCATTCGTCTTTTACTTGAACCTTTTGCACAGGGTGCTGGTCCTGCTGCATATGAGGTGCAGCTATTATCGTAAGACTGGGGGATTGATTTGGCGACATTACATACAAAACCCTACATAACGTATCTGGCATGCGGGGATGGGCACTGCTATACTTCATTGCTTTAGGTCAAAGTGCATTGAGTCTCTGCTGTCTTGTTGCGATGATACTATTCCATGTACAGTTTCTCCCTTTCATGAACTATTGGTATATCATATCTGCTTGTAGACAGATGTGAACCATCATGCCGTAACGTCTAACCCGCAGAGTTGTTGCATTGACGGAGTAATAGGTAGTTCTGGAGCTCAGACTAGATCACGATGCCATTCCAATATGTAGAAATACCAATCTCTGCGTTGGTTTACTGCTGTTAGACCTTGGATAACTGCTAAGGCTTGGCCCCGGGGTGTGTAGCACGTGAGGTCACCAAGCCTCCGACTTAGGAAGGTGGTATACGCATAGTTGGACATGCTACTCTGACTGCATCAAGATATATAGAGTTTGAGTGCAATCTTTTGTGTGCATTGTGGTGCGATGGAATGCCTTCGATATTCAGATGGCTGTAGTCACATTAAGAAGGGATTTTGGCCATGGACGTACCTCGGTATAATGTACATGTAGGTAGCATGGACTGTTGGGTAACTTCAACGTCGTATAAATAGCTAAAATGCCCAAGATGGCTCAATCCATTCTACAGTAAAGAAAGAGGCGATCTCACTTCATTTTGTCTAGTAAATTGAAGATAGACTAAGGTGTAGGTACAGGTAGTTCGTTGAGCTATAGACACCTCAAATATCGGGCGTCAACGCTAGGCCAATTTAGAACTAGCTCCACCACCCTTGACAGTCGTGTATTGCTGAAGCTTCACACTTCTCTACTCGCCAATTCAAATACTGGATCTCTTGATACACGAAGTCATAACTAACCGACTCAGAAAAAAAACTCGAATTACCAAACTCTGTACAAGCAAGCAAGCTTGGTGCATGCAGACTACTGTTGTGGTTGGCCGTCATTGAGACGCGACTTAAAACAAGCAATATGCCTTCCGGCCGCAGATCTGGGCGCTTCAAAGGCCCCAGGGCGGTGTACATTGATGATCCATTTCAAGTAGCTGGGATTAATGATGACGAAGACCCCAACCTTCCCAAGGGTCCTTCCAAGGGGAAAGAGAAGCGCACCAAATCAGATTTATCTTCAGATGATGAATTTGTTGCAGGCTCTGGCGAAGATGCAGAAGAGGCCGACTCTGAAGTTGACGATGAAGATGAAGCAGAAGAAGACTCAGAAGAGGCTCCGGGCTCAGAAGCCGAAGCGTTTGACGCCGATGAAATGGAGATTGACACTACTGGCGAGACGCCTAGGAAGGGCCGTTCAGGGTCTCAACAACGCGATCCACATGCCAGGAAGCGAAGAGCCGATGGAACCATTGTGCCATCCGCGGATGAAACCCACATTCGTGGGATAATTGAACCTAAAGATCATCTGTCAAAAGCTACCTATTACACTCTCACATTCGGCTCCGACGATCGAGATCTGATGGCAGCCATCCACTTCCGTATGCGCTGGAACAAGGCCATAGATGTGGTGTTTCCTTCTCGCTGTACACTGGAAGGGACCGAAAAGAAACCTTCATACCTGTACGGATCCACATTTGGCGTTCACCCAGATCATTGTGCGGAAGAAAAAACTCGGGGTTGGGACTGGTATTACGACCGGGACATTGGTGGAAAGTTCCGAAAAAGCCAACACATTGAGGCGATTGAAGAGCCATTGGTACGCCAGAACTACCTGCCTCAACCAGATAAGCGAAAACATGACGTTTTACTGGGACCGCATGATAACCAGCAACTCTTCGAGCTTGGATATCATGAGTCTTTTGACTTTGGAACAGTCTGGGACGAAAGAAGCTCAAAAGCAAGCCGACCACCAACTGGACCCAAGAAAATTCGGGAAGGCTGGATAATAAACATCGGTCACAGAGTACTTAGCATGGCTTGGGCTCCTAACCAGGATGGCATAACTCAATATCTTGCTGTAGTCGCCCCAATCACAGAAAAACAGAAGGCACACTTCAATTCGAAAGAAAATGGATTCTCCACACCGTTTCAACCCTCTCAGCCTTACCCCAGCGCTCTGCAGATTTGGGAGATTAAAGGCAAAAAAAGCGAGACTCCAACCATGACACTTGATATGGACTTTAAACCTCGGCTGCGACAAGTTTGGTGTGCCGACTGGGGGGATCTGAGACGCATGTCCTGGTGTGCCATGCCTCGGGCCAAGCGTGAGGAGGATGAAGAGGAAGTGACAAAATCCATTGGATTACTCGCAACAGTCTGGGGGGACGGGAAGGTGAGAGTGTTGGATATCAAAACACGTCGTGGGTCACAAGAAACGGAATTCTGTAAGTGTCACTTTTGAGGTATCTCAATCACTTCCGCTAACGCGCAAGATATAGTCAAGATCCAATCGCCTGCCTTTGAAGCAAAACCTCCGAACACAGTCTGCACATGTGTGGTTTGGCTATCACCCAGTGATTTGGCAGTAGGCTGCGGTAATGGGTTCGTGGCTATTTGGAACATCAATTCTTCGACAGATTCAGACCCTCTGCCTTTCTTCTACCGACCTATTCACGCCACATACGTACTCAATATCACATCGGCGTACCCGTCCCACGCTCAAATTCTTATCACCGTAGCAATGGATGGCGAAACACGAATGTTTTCCATCATCGATGCCGCCAGTGAGTTGACCTCGACGGTCCGCATGCGAGCAGCCTCTTCCCACATCAGTTATTCCCCCATCTGCCAGTCTGTCATCGCCGGAGATGAAAATGAATTCGCTCGCATCATTCCAATCCGAAGATTTTTCAGCACCACCACCATTGCGAGGCTCAACAGCAACATCTCGGCCATGGCCCCATCAAGTGTCCATCATCCTTGTGCCCTGTTTGGTAGTACCTCAGGTGAAGTCGCAGGAACCAATCCTTTCCGACGCGTGGTTTACAACAAGGAGCAAATATGGCAGCAGATGTGGTTTACGCATGAATGGGTATCAAGCTCCAAGACAGATACTGTCGGCACCAGTCGATTTTATGATGGATACCGAGCAGAGACCCAAAAACTGGCAAAATACAAGATGTCCGAAACCAAACCCATCGTGGGAATGGGGACCTCGACGATCTACGAAGAGGGTACGCACGTCACGGCCCTTGGGTGGAACCCGAATTACCAGTGTGCCGCGTGGGCCTCTGCTGCACTGGGACATGGGTTGGTGAGAGTGGAGGATCTAGCCCTTTAATATCCTGCCACCGCGGCAATCAAGGCGGCAGTGTTGATTAATCGTGGGATTTACTGACTATGACTTGTCGATCACAGTCAGTTGCAGTCATTCAAGCATCATACATGATCTATGAAAAGCAACTAGGCGACAGTGAAACGAGATGTGCTGTATTAGTGGTGTCAGAGTGGAACCTCTAGCATCCCCAGCCACACTGATTGCTTACTCATGTCGCCCTGGAAACCCCACCGCAACGGCGTGGTTGGCAGATACGCCATGTGGGTCGTTCTAGATTTAGCTTTAGCCAATCAACTTCGATATTAGCCAATTAAAAATAAATTAAAACCATGAAGACCACGGCTGGGTTGCCCTAGGCCCAGCCACCGTAGATCCCAGCCGCCTATTTTTGGCCCAATTGAAGCACACGATGTTTTGATGGTAGATTTCCTTCTTTCAACTTTTAAACTCGAACTTGAATCTGTGGTTCTCCTCCATTCTCAGCTCCCCATCCTCTATCCATACTGCTCTCTCTACACTATCCATATCTCCATTGTTTACATTTGCATCTTTCAACTTCAAGCGACTTTTCTTTCCTTTCCAACTACCACACATCATAATGCATTTCTCCTCGGCTGTCCTTCTTACTCTCTCCTCCATCGGTGTGACTTATGCGGCACCTTTCGCCAACCCTGAACCGTTCGCCAATCCCGAGGATGACGCTCTCGTTCGCCGCGCAACTTATTCCGTGGTCAATGCGGATGGAGGAACCTCTTCCACCTCGGCTACTCCTGAAATTGATACTGTTTATCAAACCTCGACAGTGACTGCTCCAGGTGCTGACCCAGTGCCCGTCACTGTGACCGTGACCGCCACTCCTACAAGCAGCGTAGCTTGCTCCACTCCTACAAGCAGCGTGGCTTGCTCCTCCACTCCTGTGGCTAGCTCTACCCCGTGCTTGGACTCTTCTTCGAGCTCTACTTCTTTCTTCCGCCGGGGCTTGAGGGCCGCTGGCCAGCCTGCTCTCCTTGCTCGCGAGTATTTGAATCCTTCTTCTGCTTCAGCATACGCCAGCGAGTATCCCGCTGCCTCTGCGGCTGAGTCTGTTTATGCTCGCCAGTGGCCTACCTCCTCTGCAGCTGCATCCGTTTATGCTCGTGGCTCGTACCCATCTGCTTTCAGTGTTGGCACATCATCTGCGGCCGCGTCTGTTTCTGCTACTCCACTCGCCGCTCGTGGCTGGTACGCTTCTGCCTCTGGTAGCTCTTCAGTTGGCACCCCCTCTGCCTCAGCAACTCCTCTCGTGGCTCGCGGGGTCAACAACTGGTACTCTTCCGCTTCCGCCTCCCCCTCTTCTTCCAGCCGGAGCGCCTCGGTCTCTGCCGCTCCCATTGTTGCTCGTGACTGGTCTGCCCCTCCCTCCGGCACCCCCTCCAGCTCGGCTGTGCCTACTTCGGTTGCTCCTCTGGCTGCCCGCGGCCAATACGGCTGGTACTCTGTCGCTCCCAGTGCTTCCTCCGTTGCCACCTCTTCTGCTTCCTCCGCCCTTGTGGCTCGTCAATTCGGCAGCTGGGCCTTCTCCAGCGTCTCCTCGCCTGTCTCCAGCACCGTCGCTGCCTCGGCCACCCCTGCAGCCCACTAAGACAGACAACATGAGACAAGCTATTTCGCTTCTTGCAAAGAAGCCACGAACACGGTTTTCCATGAACTGATGAAATATTTGATCTACGGATCGATACGATTGCACAGACGAAAGATTGATTGAGGCCATTCCTTGAACAGGGATCGGTTTGTGAATGATTTGATTTGTCCCCACGGTTTTGGGGATGCATATTTGACGGGCGTTTTTATCGGGTGCGAGTTTACGAAACTACGATTCATCGTTTGTATTCTACTCTTTGTGAATATGGGATTGGTTTCGCGTTGGCCTACATAGACTGGATTTGAATATTTGATAGGCCCTAGGTTTACATAAAATGGTTGCACGATGCACTGAGAATGAATAGTGAGATGAAATGAAAGTTTTTACGGGGAAAAGTTATATTGCGAAGCATACATAAAATATACAAGAATGCCTAGTGGCCCTTCTTCGTAAGCAAGTAGGGGGACCCTCGAGTCTCTCGATGTATGGGCAACTGACCACCGGGCCTTATCTACTTCTCATAGGAACGGCATATTTCACATACCAACCTTCAAAGATAAAAGCTTTGGCTGAATTAGTGTGCAGCTCGTCTATATCAGGGGTAAGCCAAGTGTTCCAGGTATTCCCGAAGGAATGTTATCGAAGGCGAATGTTTCGAGGCATAAATTTCGGTCCCCAGGGGCTTATACTTTGAGTTGCTTTTGCGGACTAGACTTGAAAGGGATCTCTCTTGCTCGCGATAATATCGCAGCCCCATTAAGGAGTTCACGCTTGAGATCTAAATTATATATATGGATTATACAAAAGCACGATCTATAAAAACGAGGTTCCATCCGGTGTAACCAGTGGCGTGTGTTGAGCCACGCTGGCCGATCGATCTAACTACATCTTAATACTCCGTGCAATGTTCCTTGAAGGGGGTAGATCTGATAAAGGCGCTAAGACAGGTCCAAATTCTGGAGAAATGAGACAATGCTACATACGGGTATCAGGTTAAGCCCGATTCGGAAAGGGGGCCTGCTTAGTCACACGTGTGCCTGGCGGTGCCACGGGCTGCGCGGTCGTTGCCCCGAGAGACGCGTCCGTAAACAGTCACTTCGTCCATCCGCTCTTCAACCTTGTACACCTTGTGACCTCCAAGGGTCTTTTTAGTTGTGGTTTTCTTTTCTTCAACTGGGTTATTGTTTTTATTCTATTTTCTCCATTGTACTCGTGATTTTGACAAAATTCAATTGCATGCGCAAAGGCTGGCCAAGCCTCAACGTCAATAACAATGCCTGGGACACTGGCAGACGGACCCTCGGTGTCCATGTCTTGTATGTGGTGCTACATTGAATCCTTATTACATGTACTGACCACGATACCAGTTGCCAACAATTTTTGGGGTAAAGAAGATGCAGGACTCCAACCAATGCTGGACCGCGTCCATGCTTCAAAAATCACAAACGACGAGCTGAGGGTTTTCTATAGCAGTATGTGGCATGCACGTGCCCGCAGCAATCCCAAGTACTAATTTGTCACAGTCCGGGCTTCTATCGAAGACGAATACTCGCGCAAGCTGTTGGCGCTATGTCGCAAGTCACTGGGATCAAGTGAGATAGGATCACTTCGAGGGTCGCTCGATGTGGTTCGCGGTGAGACCGAAGCGATCGCCAAAGCACATTCAGCTATTGCAGGACAAATGAAGACTGAATTGGAAGAGCCACTTGCCGCTTTTGCTAGTGGTATGAAGGAACGACGAAAGATCATTCAACAGTGTATTGAGCGCCTGCACAAGACGAAAATGCAACAGACACAGGTTGTCAACAAAGTGAGTAATGGTGTTGAGTAGTGAGGAATACACACTAACTTCGCAGACACGCGATCGTTATGAACAGGACTGTCTCCGTATTAAAGGATATCTCGCACAAGGGCACATGGTCATGGGCCAGGAAGAGCGCAAGAATAAGGCCAAGCTGGAGAAGACTCAAATCCAGCTAGCATCAAACAGTGCGGAGTATGAAGCCGCTATTAAAACACTCGAAGAGACTACCGGGCGCTGGAACAAGGAATGGAAGTCAGCGTGCGACAAATTCCAAGATTTGGAAGAGGAGCGTTTGGATTTCACCAAAAGCAGTCTATGGACTTATGCGAATATCGCATCAACTGTTTGCGTTAGCGATGATGCTGTATGTCTAGCCGATCCATACTCCAGCTGCGATACTAACTTAAGATATAGTCATGCGAGAAGGTCCGTCTCTCTTTGGAGAACTGTGAGGTGGAGAAGGACATCATCTTTTTCATCAAGGAGCGAGGAACTGGACAGGAAATTCCGGACCCTCCCCGATTCATCAACTTTTGCAAGGACGACGACTCGAGCTCAGAGATAGACGAAGCAGAGGGTTATTCAGTGGCACAATTCCAACGCACTATGAACCCTGCATTCCGCACATCATCTCCTCAGCCCTCGACATTCGATTCTCATCACGACCCACAGTCAGATCTTGCAGCTCAAATGGGACATCCTGCTCCTCCTGTCAGCAATGCGCCGCCTCTTCAGCAACAGCCACCATTGCAGCAGCAGCAGCCCTTACAACAGCAGCCACAGTTCCAGCAACCACCACCCTTGCAACAGCAGCAGCAACACTTCTCGCAGCAGCCACCACCCTTGCAACAACAGCAGCAGCAGCAGCAGCAGCAGCAGCAGCAGCAGCAGCAGCAGCAGCAGCAGCAGCAATTCACGCAGCAGCCACCACCGCTCCAACGGCAGCAATTCCCCCCACAGCAGCAACAGCAGCAGCAATTCTCGCAACAGTCTTTCCCACAGTATCAGCCGCCTCTGCAGTCACAGCCTCAACAGCCTGCACCTCTGGACTTCCGCCGTGGCGGCGCGCCACCTCCAAACTATGATCCAGAACAGCATGGAGAGATCGGAGCTGTTCCCCACAACGCATATCCTACTGATGGTATGACCATGTTCTGTCGGGCGGGTCCCTCATCGGAAAGAAGTTCGGCAACTAGCGCATATCGACCATCTAGTCGCGATTCTCAAAGCGAAGTTTCGAACCCAACATCCATGTCTAGTGTTGAGGCAACTCCGACGAAGAAACCTCCCGTAAAGCCAATAAGCATCGCCCCGCAACCAATTTCCGGGGATGAAAAATCGCCGAAAAAGAAGAGTGCTTTCTTCAGCAACAGTCCCTTCCGTCGCAAGAGTCGTCATGACAAGGAACGGCCGGTCATCAATTCACAACAAGCCATTGCTCCTCAGCCGATTAGTTCCTCCAACTCAGCACCTCGTGGTGGCTGGGACTCCCCGACAAAGCAAATGAGCCCGACAAAGCAAACCAGCTCTCCCAAGCAAATCAGCTCTCCCAAGCAAGTGAGCCCGCCCAAAGCAAGTTAGCCAGCCGACGCAAGCTAGCCCGCCAAAACAGGTTATTCCGCCCAAGCAGATTAGTCTGCCGAACGAAGTTAGCCAGCCAACGCAAGTCAGCCCGCCGAAGCAAGTTAGCCCGCCGAAGCAAATTAGCCCGCCGAAGCAAATTAGCCCGCCGAAGCAAGTTAGCCGGCCAAAACAGGTCATTGCGCCCAAGCAAGTTAGTCCGCCTAAACAAACCAGTCCAGTCAGGCCTCCAGCAAGCCAGTCTGGTCGTGTCTCTGGCAGTCCAGAACCTGTTGATCCCAGAGCCAACTTCCAACTCAACGTTGGCAACAACGTCTTTGATGTTGCATCGCCAGAAAAAGGCTCGCCCAACAAGGGAGCGCAGCAAGCCCAGTCGCCCGAAGGTGAATTAGACCCCATCGCACGGGCTCTGGCGGACCTTAAGACAAGCGGCAAGCAATCGGCGACTAGGGTGTCGGCAGATAGATACCATGGTATCTCCACGCCCACCCCATCAGCACCTTCTTCTACCTATGGTGGCAGCAATTCTGGTGCTGCGGCTGGTGCTGCTGCTCCACCGCCAGCTTACAATGACCCCACAGTCAAGCGACTTGGAGCACCCCAGCCGGCTTTCACGGCAAAGCAAATGCACAAGACAACTCAGAAGTACACTGGTCAGACCCAAAATATGCTTCGGGGTCAAAACAACAGCATGGGGTCGAGACATAGCGGTCAAACCCAAGAAGCCCCCCGAGCCAGATCACCAGCACCAGCACCCAGACGGAGCGTCAGCCCCCAGGTTGCTTCTCCCCGCGTGGATACTCGAATGAGCCAGAACAGTGGCAGGGGTCCAAGCCCTAGTCCAAGTTCGTACCAGTCTAACAGCATGCGGAGTCGATATAGTCAAAGTCCCACTCCGCGTCGGACTCAAGACCCGCCCTACTCTCCAAACGATTTCGTTCGGCGACCCTCCCCTGCTATGAGCCATCGTGCAGTATCTCCGCAGCCCCAGTTCAGGCAGCAGGCTCGTCCTTCTAGTTCCGGTGGCATGGAGCTGCAGTTGTCAGGAAGTCATGACATGTACGGTTCTGTCAGTTCGGGTGGATATGCCAGCTCCGTTCGAGGAAGCAGTCGCCCTTCATCGACTTATGGAGACGGTCCACCCGTTGGGCGATCGAGGAGCCGCACTCTGGCTGTTGCAGACCCTGGACGCAAGTTCAGCCGTGATGGTCGTCCAATCTTGCACTTTGGTAAGTATTTATTTCCCACAGTCAATCGCTTGTCGGTATCTAACCTGATTCCAACCTTACAGCTCGTTCTATGTACACCTACAATGCCGCCATCCCTGAAGAGCTCGGATTCAGCAAGGGCGATGTCCTTTCTGTTCTTCGTCTGCAGGACGACGGATGGTGGGAAGCCGAAGTCACCAACTCCCGTGGCCGCCCTGGTCTCGTGCCCAGCAACTACTTGCAAATCATCTAATACCCTACTGACCTCACGACTCGCCACGACCTCCATCATGCTCGTCTTGAAGGAGATGTTCTTTCCCATGTTTTCACGTAGATACCATGCCTTTGTTCGATCTTTCCTGCACATTGACAATCTTCCCATTTTTTAACTCTATCTTCTATTTTTCTTTCATTCTCAACATGGTGAGACGGTCCTATCTGGACATCACTGAACAGCCTGTTCAAAGTCATTATTCTGTTCTTGCAGATGTTTTTGGAAACTTTAGCGTGTGCATTCTGGGAATCTCTTTTTGATCTTCTGCTTCCTGCGATTCGTTGAATTTTCTTTTACTTTTTCTCCATCTTCTATCTTCTCAGCAGAGACCTGCTCAAACGAAATTGTACTATGAGCAATCTCGGGCCATGGAGTATTTTTCGCACTTCATGGGTTCCTTTTCTTGTTATTTCCCCTTCCTTTTGGCCTACTCTTGATCATTTATTACGTTATGTCTTCGGACGTTCGTCCGATTATTACGTTGGATATGATGATTTGTTCTAATTGATGCCCCTTTTTCTATGCTTTCGATGTTTGTGGTGGATATCTGTAAACAGTGGGCAGATAGCCACCATGATGACCAAATTGAATTTAATATCTGTCTTGAATATTTGGTAATAAAGGCATAAGATACCGTTTGATTATGTATAACGTATCTCTGGGGATATATGCTTTTCGGGGTGAAGATGCCTTGATATATAATGCGCCGTAACGTTCAACCCCCCCTCCGACAGAGAATTTATCTCTACACCTTATGACATGTATCATATATCATATACACGCATATCGACAATTAATCCATCACAACCAATGTGAACTTGGAGTGTTTTTCTCCAACACATCCGAGTGACGGACAGGAGCTCCACGGCCCGACCCGCCCCCGGATCTGGATAAGCCCGGTACCTCACAGGGGCAATACCAGCACTCATCCTTCAGATACTTCCCAGTCTGTGAATACCATGAGCAGTATATCTGGACAAAACACCTCGGAAGCATAGCAAGGCTGTTCAAAAGTTGATTGAAGTGATTCAACGAGCCCTGAAGGAAATATGTGACAATGATATAGGTACTCTCCACCGCCTTTTGTCCCGCTGATTACTCCCAAACAGACCTCACTAACTTCCCAAGTAGCTTCCTGTTTACTTTTGACATCCTTTTCAAATTCGGGTTACCATGCTGACATTTTTCACTCGGACGCGTTTTAGGCGCGCACCGACGTCAATTCTACGACCAAATACCAAAAGTTTCTACTCCACAAACCGCTCAGCCTTCAACTCGAAGACCTACTTTGCGGCAGCCACTTTGATCGGCGCGTCTGGCATATGGTGGGTAAATGGCACTAGGAAGGATGTGCCCCGACTTGACCCTACACCAGTGGGGCACTTGGCCCCCGAGCCAGGCCCTTCCAAAGACGATGTCACACAGATGATATCGAAAGACGCATACTCTTTCCAGGTCCGAGATGTAACGGGTATCAATAGATACGACGGAACTCAATTAGCATCTAACAGCCCCTGCGAAGACCGGTTCATCCATGGAAAGCTCTCCTCGCCGTGGAGCGATGGTGAATGGTTATCATGGGGCGTCTTCGATGGCCATGCTGGCTGGCAGACGGCGGATCTGCTGACCCGGCAACTTTTACCACTTGTGCGCAACAGACTGAGCAAAATCCAGCGGCCTTTAGATGGCAGCAAAGTGGCAGATAAAGCAATCCAGCGCGCTATTATCAATGGTTTCATGGACCTCGACGACTCTATCATCATGACGGCACAGGCAACCTCCGAAAGCAAGGATTCCTTGCAAGATAAGGCCAAGAAGCTTGCTCCTGCTTACTCTGGCTCATGCGCTTTGTTGTCTCTGTATGACTCGAATACAGGCAAGCTGCATGTTGCTTGTACTGGAGATTCCAGGGCAGTCCTGGGACAAAAGGACTCTGATGGAAAATGGGAGGTGATTCCCTTGTCAATCGACCAAACTGGTTACAACGAAGAAGAGGTCGCCCGACTTTACAAGGAACACCCGGACGAGGAAGATATTGTCAAGAATGGACGGGTTCTTGGAATTGCAGTCTCCCGAGCATTCGGTGACAGTCGCTGGAAGTGGCCTATCGATTTGCAGAGTGATATGAAGCGGAAATTCAATGGCCCTGCGCCCCTCACTCCACGATACGATGTCCGCACACCGCCATACCTGACTGCCGAGCCGGTTGTGACGAGCACCAAGATCGATCCGAACAAGCCTTCATTCTTGATTATGGCATCGGATGGCCTGTGGGACAACATTTCTAGCAAGCAGAGTGTTGATCTGGTAGCGAAGTGGCTGGAGCTAGGGAAGAAGGAAACGAGCAAGCTGGAGCCATCATATGAACAGTGTGACTTTGGCAAATTCCGCAAGGATTTGGATTGGAGGTTTGAGGAGGGGAGAACCACAGTTGAAGATGAGAATGCAGCAGTACATCTGGTGCGCAACTCCCTTGGTGGCAATTACCACGAACTGATTGCAGGTCGGCTTGCCTTTGGCCCTCCTTTCTCTCGACGGATCCGGGATGATATTACTGTACAGGTAGTTTTCTTTAATGTGGAAAAGTAAATGTACTTTATTGTATTTTCGACTCGAGCTTGAAGTACAGTACCCTGAGAATAATACCATCAAACCAACCATTAAAACTCTCATATCACGTATGCTCCAGCTATGATCACCCCGGAAAGCCTCTAAGAAGAAGCAAGTTCATACCCATGATGGCTACGTTCTCACCAAGCTCCGAACTTTATTAGGCAAGCGATATCTGAATCACGACAAAAATATAGACAGGTCCATGGGCCACGCCGACGGAAGATGCTGTTCGGGAGATCATGTACTCCTGGAGCCGACAAACAATAAGACGAGTCATATTTGAGTTTTGGCTTGATGCATGCATACATCATCACTGTATGGCGGATTATAGTCTTAGAAGGAAAGAAAATATCCAAAAAGACTAGAAACAGACAGCCAAAAGGACGACTAGAAAGACATTCCAAGGCAATAATATTGGACTATATGACACCTCACCAGCCTGTCTATATTACTACCACGTTGACACCTAGTCCTCCTCCAGTCTATAAGCGCTCAACAATTACTTTAGTCACACTGCTACCAGAGGCAAGAAATATGGCTCTATGGCTATCGAGACTGGGAATTCTGGTTGAGGACAGCATTCCAAAATTGTTGCATCGTTGAGAAATGAGTATTAACGCGATATCCCTGGGAAAAGTAAAGATATGGCTTTATGTAGTGGGAAGTTGCTTCTATCCCAAGTCAAAAATAGGTTAATAGAGATAGTGGTCTATGTGTCACGCTGACGCAAAACCAACGCCGTTATAGCCCTAAGATGACTTACATTCAAAGCTTAGTTCGATATAGAGATCATATCAGGATTTTCTTTGGCCTTTCCTTCTCACATTATCGATCATCATATTTGGTCAAGAATGGCTCCTATCCCTGAGGATTCTATTGGAGACTTTTTTGAAGCTGTTGCTGATACCTTTCTTCTCAGCTCGATGGTACCAGAAGATCCATCTAGCCCGATTTTGAACGATTTACCGTGGATTGTATTAAGTTCAATCTTCGGCTGTTTTCTTCTAATCGTGTTGGGTATCTTATGTATCTATTTTAGAAGAGAAATTGGTCATATCATCAGTGAAACGTGCTACGGTATTTGCTATCTTATTTGGTATGTATAATAGCGGCGAGGGAACAAGCATTGCCGTCAACATGGTTCAAGCAAGCGACTCCGGCGAATAACATGATGCTAATTTATTTTGTCACCCTACTAGGATTAGTGCTCTCACATTGTATCGTTCGATCAAAACATACTGCTCTCGGGTGCGGGCATTGATAGAGAGGGCTAGGTCAAAGCGAGCCACAAGTGGAGGTGATAGTGGTAAGACCGATATTGATAATCATCAAACCACCGGACCAAGTGTGAACTTGAAGCTGATATACCTGATTGAAAAACAGAAATGCAAAACTCACACAATATGGAATTGAAGGAGATCAATACTATGCCCAAATCAGTCGATATCACTGCCGATTTACCACCTGAGCCTCTTCCCGCTTATAAACCATAGCCAGATGACTACTCGCGGCTGGCTGGACATTGCTTCTAGCTATCTGGACTGGGGCCACTAAGCGAGAATCGCATCTTTGGATTCGAGAGAGATTGCTTCGATGCAAGTGCTAGTGAGTCTCATCGTTGCTATTTGCATAGCTATCGAACTTGCGGGGATTGGGGTTTGCAATTATTGGCTCCTACTACATAAACGAGGTATATAGCTTGGAAACAGGACATTTACAGAATTCGACCCTTTGAAGTACCCCTCCTACTGGGACGAGTTGTATGTAACTTCAAGCGGTGAGGCGCTTGAGCAATTGACCTTCCTCAATTATTTGGCTAATAGAACAGCAAGAAAAGCAGGACATAGAGAATTATACACAGAATCAAAACACAGCTTATTCGACAACCAAAGAAAGAAGAAGCCAAAGCGCATTGGCAGACAGGGGTATATGAACAAAACACATGCTTCCTCCCGACTGTAATTCAAGTGCGTGCAAATATCAAAGAAAGGCTTATAACATTCATGTTCATTCATCATCAACAAAGGAGTTAGCCAGATGGCCAAAGAGCGGGACTTCAAAGTGGTCCAAAGTATCAACTGGAGAAGATGGATGTTAGCATAATCCTTTCTATCAATTAATGGTGCCACCATTTCGATCCAAATAAGAGACTCACCATCTTGATAGGCATGCATGCTGAGGAAGCCGATTAGAGCCAGATCGATAATAAATAATGTCCAGGAGAGGAAGCTCGACCAGCAGAAGAGGAGGTGGATGATCTATTTTCGGCATATGAGCGTGTGCAACACTGGAAAAAAAAAATTGAATACTCACAAACATGGTAGCAAACAGCATACTAGACTGCCAAGCATGGAATCTGGAGTAAAGCATCAGAATACTGAGTTCTCAAAGTAAATTGCGATTTGAAATTCACTACGTACCGCACATAATCGCTCTTGTGCTCAGTGAGTAGCAGGAATACACCCCCGGCCGGAGGCAGAAGTAGATATGCTAGCGCTGCCTCCACATCCATACGAATAGGGAGACTTGTCTCAAAGGCCCCCAGGCTTACATGGCCACTCTCGATGTCTCGTCCATAGCCTGTGTTGCCATGCCCCCCACCAAAGTGCCTGGGGGATGGTAGGTCGGCTGAGCCACGCGGTGATCGAAGGTTTGGGGATACTCGATGAGCATCTGGGTGAGGAGGTGATAGAGCACGTTCAAGCTCCGGCGATTGGTCTTGATACGGGGCGAAGTTCATTATGTGGTACCTGAATAGGTGAATGACGGAGCGGTCGTCGGACCAGGGGAATTGATTATCGGGGCAGCTTCTTATCGTTATCAGATCGCGACGCGTCGGTGATGCCTCAGGCGACAATGCATCAAAGAAGGGGTATCATATTTTCATTTTTTTAAATCTTAGTAGTCATAAGAGTGACATTTTATTGTACATGAACTAACAGAGGTCTAGACCCTTCCCCTACCACGAGTGATTGCACTTCCTCGTGCGATTCCACTGGCTGGGCGTTGAGTGGTTGTCGTAGACCCTCGTGTCGCCGTTCGGGAGGTACTAACACTGGGAGTTCTTCCAAGCCCAGTGCTTCGCACTGTACCTCGAGTGGTTCCGCGGGTGCCTCGGGTGCCTCGGGTGACCTGCGCACGTCGCCGTTCGACTTCCTCGGCTTTTCGAGCTGCCGCTTCTCTTTGTTGCTGAAGGGCCTGTTCACGTCTTTCGGCTGCTTGCTGTCTTTGGATCGCTTCGTTCTCGATATCAATCACATCCTGGGTAGCGCCTTGCCAATTGGGATTGAGGATCAATCGCTGATTATGCTCGGTTTGTGACAGAATGCGAGTCCACGTATTGAGGAGGGTCGACGCCGAGGTGACAGTTCGTGAAACGGTCTACAATAGTTAGCAAGCACATCGCTCATACATTATGCGCATGATGTGATACCTCCATGTTTCCTTTGGCAGAGTCCAAGCTACTCAGAAGTCCTTCAATCACCTCATTGATACTCCGCACACCTTGTAGTTCTGTCCGGAGGGCGGCCTCGCGGGCTTCTTGGGCATCAAAGAGTGGATCATCGCCTTCGTGGGAAGCTCGAGGCTCTGGGGTGATCTTCTCGTCGGAGATCCTTGATTTGAAAGTTTTGTGGGCCACTTTGTTGGATGGAGAGTTCCAGAGGTCGTCTGTATCATCATCGGATAATTGAAGCCTTTCCATTTCTTCTGCGGTGGTGCGGAAAGTCATGTTGGATCCACGTAGGGCAGAAACGAAGTATCTGTGGTGTACAAACAAGCTGTATAGAATGAAGCGACAGTGTTGAGAGACCAAGTAACCCACTAGACGACGTAGTTGGGTATCAATTGGAAGCTGCAAATGAGTCTTGAAGAAGATCAGTGCAATTGGTGACCAAAGTACGCTTAGGAAGGCCGATCAACACCGTTGCGGGGTTTTCAGCCACCCTATTTATTGGGCGGTGAGGATGTCCGGTGGCTGGACGACAACCGCCCAGCCCGTCACAACAACTTCACCCTTCTTTCATCACCAAGTTATCGGTTTCGGTCCTCGTTGCTTTGGACAACCCCACACGTGCATATTTACATTCGATTCTTCATTCGTATCTCTATCACTCCACGTGCTTCCGTCTTTTTGGTCAGACGTTTTTTGAGCCAGACGCGTTACGTCCTTCCTTCAGACGACGCTCTTCCTCGACACTTAATCAAGATCACAAAATCAGGAAAAAAACATAGAATCAACTTTGACTATTTTATTATTTACATCCTTACCCAAAAGTCCCCACACCGTCGAGCGGTTATTCAATCGTGGTTCAAGTCAACATGGCATCAACACCACCACCCCCATCGCCGTCTGCGCTTCGGGTACCTAGAGCGCCGCGCCATGGGCCGAAGCATGATGATTATGAACCTTACGTGACACGTTATTCTACTAGGCTTGCAAGTCAACGCGCATCGAGGGCTGACAAAACGACACCACCCCCAAGTCACTCAAGCGCGTCTACAAGACCTGGAACGTCAAAAAGAACTCTGTCACCCTCTTCGCCCGGAACTGCCAAACCCTCGCCTAAGAAGGCGGCACGCCCAAACAGAAATGCTGCATCTCGAATCTCTCCCTTTGATATGGAACTTTCACTTCCCCGCACTTCTGCACACCACACCTCCAGATCATCTGCCGAACGAGCTTTGCCCACACCTGCCAAAACCCCTTCGAAGAAAAAGGTGATCAGCTCTGGTACTTCTACATCTCGTTCTCTGTTTCCATCAACTTCTACACCCAAGCGCAGGAAAATGGAGGCCTCCAAGCGTTCTACTCATGTCCCCCATGGAATTTACGCCGATGAGCCTGAGGGAACTCACGCCTTGCACAATGGGAAGCAGGACTCAATCTCCATCCATGAAGACTCACGTGATCGTATTCCTATCGTTAGCAAGTCTGTGGATGACCCGTTTGTGAGCAAGCCTGCAGCATCTGCTCACCGACATGCCACTCGCTCTAAAATCCCCTGCAACCAGGAAGGAGTCTGGTACTTTCAGTAAGTCAACCCGCTAACCGCTATCATCTCTACATATTCTGACTCAAATCACAGGCGTGGCAAGAAGGTCTTCAGACGTTTCGACGACATCGAAGACGAGGGGGAGGATGAGGATGATCTTGGTCTTTTTGCCAACCGCCCGGATTTGCTGGCCGATAATCCCGACGTCTTGAAGGATGTGAAGCCTTTGAAGCGTTCTGAGCTCAAGCCCCGTGTCCTTTTCCGTGTCCCCGATGAACAGGCCAATACCGAAGAGGATGTCACCGATATTGAGGACAATGAGCCAATGTCCCCGACCCTGGCTTGTCAACGCCTGCCTGCGGAAGGTTGGGTCGGTTCCACATGGCGCGCCAATCTCACTCCGCCCGTCGTGGCCCAGCAACCTCCTGTTCACGGAACTGAAGAGGATCCTTTCACTCCTTTGGAGTTCCGACGTCCCGTCCTTCGTCCTGGTGTGCATTTTGCCACAGCTCCTGAGTACGACTACTTTGATGACTCCTCTCTCGAAGCTACCCCTCGGGCTCAACCCCCAACTACTCTGGGCCTCTCCAGCAGCGATGGCACCATCCGCAAGTACTGGTCAACCAGCGTGAAGGCTCGAGCCGTGGAGACCCGTTCCGAGCGCATGAAGCGCCATCGTGATTCCCGTGGTAGCCCTGCTCCACGCACTCGTCAGGCCGCGCGCAATGAAGCTTCTGCAGAGGCTTCGGCCGCTCAGGTCCCCATCGCCGATGCCACCACCGCCGATATCTAAGGTGCTACTTCGGCGCTCACAGTTTCTTTACTTTCACTTTGCATAATTGTTTCAAGCGCACTGGACTTATCTGCTTTTTCGTCTTCGTGTGCGTCGCGCCAGACTTTGGCGCTGGGTGTGTGACAATCTGGTTTCTGGTTCACCTATGCACATCCATTTCCTTGCGGTTTTTTTTTTCTTAATTTCCCTCTTATGGGCTTCCTTCTTTTGCGTTCGTTTGTTTCAATTTTTTCATGGCGCACGTGGGTTTGGGAATTGCGGACACTGGATACCTCACAACATCGGCTACTAGGACAGCGGCGTTTTTCTTTTTCTTTGTTTCTTGTGTTTTCTGGGGTCGTTCATTGCAGGAGGAATTTTAGGGAAATAGGGAATAGCGTAACAACACAATTGAATTGAATTGAATTGATGAAGTGGACTTGTTTCTTTCTAATTGTAGATGGTAGATTCGTCTAGCCAAGAGCTTATCCATCTATTACTTTCACGCTAGAATCTGCTAGGCAATACTGTGGAGAGTCGCTCTACGCTTAAAAACAAGCTTTCGGTAGGAGCCGCCAACTAGACAAGCATGATGCCGATGTGGGTACAAATACACATTAATTATTCACATAACTTCAAACTAGGGTAATAGGGGATGCAACTAGCTCTGTTCCTCGACAAAGTCCAACAAAAAGGAAATCCGCCCAATGCACCCGGGATATGTTTTATATTCGTAACGGCGTTATGAGAGGTCCAACCCTCAACGGGTGGACATTGACTCAAGGGTTGACGTGGTGTAACACGTTCAAGATGATCATTTAAATTGATCAAATGAACTCCAAATCATCGTCGTCGTCATCATCATCCAAAAGTGCCCGTCTCCCACTAGGTGTAGACTCGGCTGGTGCACCCAGGCTCTCGCGACCAGCTTCCCTGATTCCCTTTGAAGTAAGAAAACGTGTCTTTTTGACTCCGCTGCCGTGGGGCTTGTCATGAGCACGCTTCATTGGGCTTAAGCGGACATTGTTGGCTTTGCCAAAAGTGGACAAGTCTATCCCAGCGGTTGCTGTGGGACTTATGGGCCTTGCTGGGGTACCCGGTGTCTTCTCCTTGTTCGGAGTCTCGTTTGCAGTCCTCGTGCGAAGATACTCGGCGCCCACACCGCCGATACGGCCGGCGGCCAGTTTTTGGGTGATATCACGCTCTTGCTGTTGAGCTGCAAGACGTCTGCGCATTCGCTCCTCCTTGTTCTCCGTGCCGCGACCCATCATACCCGAGGCAATGAAAGGATCTTCTGCGTCCCCGATGACGTTATTGCCAAAACGACCAGCGCCGCGATTTCTGGAAGGCGCTACGTAGTATAACGATTGGGACCCCAAATGATATTGTGGACCTTCGTGTTTCAGGCCTTTTTTATAACCATCGCCCCGCTTCTTTCCTTCGTTGAAGAGTCCAAGGCGCGATCCAGAGGCACCACCAGGACCAACCATCCCAGTATTGGCGTTAACTCCTGAACGTTTGCCCTGAGTGCGTCGGACCTGAATGTCAACGTGGAAATCACAGAACTCGGTCTTTCGACCATCTACCCAGGATTGACAGATCTTTCCGTCTTTTCTCATAGACTTGCAGAACCCAATATCCCGGGCTTTGCCGATCTCAAGGACTTTATCATCTGATGAAGATAGGGACAGGCTGAACCTGTTCGTGTCCAGCTTGTGTTTCGGGGGAGGCATGATTGTAGGATTCAAGATTGCGATGAGGGTTCCTTCCGAGATTTTGTAGTAACGGGGGAAAGCAGTGTCGAAAAGGAAAAGGTCAATGGTCCATTTAAGATCAGTCAGAGTAATGGCCATGTATCTGTTCGTATTGTTTAGCCCATCGTCATAAGGATTTGTTTCCTTGACAGTTACGTTCCCCGTAGACTTTTTGTCCCGGGGATCGGACTTGGATGCAACAATTCCAAAGACAACAAAATCCCCATCAATGTCCTCTGGAAGCTCAAATGCAGGCCCCTTGACCGTTTTGAGTAAATCAGGGATGCGGAGAACTCTCTTATCTGCAAGTGTGCGGTTCAAGAAAGAATGCGGAAGAACCCGAGTCGATAGATGGAGCGACGAGTATGATTCGAATTTCGAAGAGTCCGGAGGCTTGATTAAAGGATCATCTGTCTGGCCTGATATTTGTGAGGATCCTGGTTCGTCTTCGGATGTATGAGTCCGTCTGTGTAAATGAGTTGGCCTCTCATTGTGACTGATACCCTCAGTGCGGCGAATATTTGGGGTTGTATTACTGCGCTGCAGACCAGATGGGCGGTAATGCTCCATATTCCGAAGAATCTCCTCACGGGTGAAGCTTTGGATAGGGCGCTCTCGTCCTGACGGTGGGGATGGATCTCTTGCATTCGCGGCTGCAGCCTTGAAGACTTCGATTTCTGACTTGTCGATTTGGAAAGCAGAGCTGCGGTTAGCCTGGATCTTCTCTGCCCTATCTAACCGGGCCTTTTCAGCCACTCTGCTTTCAGCCATTCGCTCGCTGAAGCTTTTGATTCGGTTGGCCCCTCCCATAGCAGGTGAGGACTGGGGGCGTGAGGAGAAGACGTCGGAGCGCGGTGTAGCACTATTTCGAAACCCTGTTTGACTACTTGGTCGAGGAGGTCGCTTCAATGACACATCGCTCGCTTTCCAGCCCTTGTCAATGCCCATCACATATCTCCTTGGCGATATTGGGTCCACAGCAGGAACTTCTCTCCTTGTAGGCGATGCCGGAACTTGTATTTCCTCGTTGCTCGTTCGTTGTCTCGCGCCGCTGGTAATCCTCGGTGTTAGACTGCGGTCTTCTGTTCGTGGGGCGCTGACGGCGGAACCGGGTTGGACATCTTCATCGTCCAGATTCGAGTTGGACCTTGCGCGATTCTTTTGCTGAAGTTTCTTCAGTTTCAGGCGCGCTTTGATCTCGGCTAATTGAAGCTGCAATGTTTCTTCGTCCTCCTCATCAGCCTCATCTTCGTCCACAATTTGGCTCGCTTTTGATCGGAAATCAGGTGTTGCGTTTGCGTGCTTTAATGGCGAGGTCGGGTGCTCGCGATTGCGTTGCATGTCTTGGTACTTTCGTCGTCCCGCCGGAGAGCTCAGGAGGGCCGCGCGGGGTGATTTGGGCGGCCACGCAGAATCAGCCACTTGAGTAGAGGAGAATGGTTAGACAGTAGTCGGTCAAAGTAATCGGGAGGACCTTACTGATGTATGAAAGGTGTCCGACGTGATCAAGGAGCGAATATACATTTGCGACGTCCCCCAACTTTGCGCGGAGTGTAGAAGCAGGGGATGCGCAAATGTCAAGAAAATCCCAGGGATACCAGACCGGTCTGAAACCTCGCTAATGCACCAGGTGACCGTTGCTGCTGATTGGGTCGGGAAGTCGCGTTCCTGGGCGCGACGCGGGTTCCATTTTAGCCCCTTCCCTTTCCGCATGTCTTCATTTACTCCGTGTAGCCATTGTCGGGGATACCATCTTTCACCATGAGAACTCGATCAGCACCAGCGTCGAAATCTGCAAAGACCTCGGAACCGGAAGAGAAGACTAAGACCCTCGTCGCGGCAGAGAAACCAAGCAAAACGTTCATCCTACCATCTTCCGCCAGCGACAATGCGCGACTTGTCTCCCTGCCCGATCCTCAGTCGGGAGAGCTAACCCGCTACTTCTTCTGCCCGGACCGCGGTGTATATGAGTTTACGGTTATCGCGCCGCCGGCGCACATGGCGCGGAGTATTCTGTTCACCCCTCGCGGTCGCGCAACACCGAGTCCCACGGAAGAGGACAAGGAAACACCTGCAGCTCCGGTGCAGGGCTCAATAACGAAGAAGGCTGAACTATTGGTGGCAACTCCGGTTGATGTGATGTTTCTCATGATTTCATTATTGGCTCCTTCCTCGAAATCCGGGCCTTCACTTTTCCAGCCATTGGACGATATCATCGATTCACATGATGATATGCCCAAGCACCTGCGCCAAATTCTTTATGATGAGGTATTCCGGACCCATCTCCTATCCCGCGTAGAGGCTGTCTGCGATGTGGTCGAGGCCGGTGATGAGAAGATGTTCCGGTTCAGTGAGACAAAGCTTGTGAAGGAAATGATCGCGAAGGCAGAACGCACGGCGGACCGGGGCCTTCCTGCAAGTCTGGAGGAGCGATTTGTTCGTCAGGCGCTGGCCACCCCTTTGATGGCGGTCAAGCGGGATGATGTTGTCACCGGCCAAGAGCCATCAGAGCAGAGTGCGGAAACGGGGTCAAAATCGGAGGAGACGCAGGATTCACCCTCAAGTGTGGCTGCAACTGCGACTCCGTCTGTTGCGACACCTGCAGGAGAATCAACACCTGTGCCACAGCCCCCGAGCGGAGAGTCACCAGCTTCAGATCACATTACTCGGCTACTCAGAATTTCCACCGCGCTGTCCTTCATTAAGGAGTCTTATCTACCAACCAGCATGGCATCAAAGCTGGACGATATCCTCGCCTCTGCAGAGAGCCCAATTGATTTCAAGCCTTTGCAAGATCGTCTCAAGGAAATTGCGGACCTTCGTGCTCAAGCTCTTGCATCGCGCGACATGTCTAATTTCACCCGGAAACGGAATCTTGATGACGAGGAAGAGGATACACGGGCCGAGAAGAAACGCCGAAAGGAAGAAGAGGAGAAGAAATCCAAAGCTTCGGAATCCCACGCAGTTAGGAACTTGAAGAAGGTCAACACCAGCGGAATGCAGAAGATGAGTTCTTTCTTCGCCAAAGCTGCGCCCAAGAAAAAAACTTGAAAATTCCGACTGCACTATAATATCGATGTATATAAACAGGAGGTTTCTTCTTTGTCCTCAGAGGAATGCCGCTAGCGTGGTCTATAAACCTGGAGGCCAAAGTCTCCTTAAAAAGATTTCCTCAAAACACACCAAGGGGCAGGAAATCTAGGTAGGGCCAAGCTGAGAGCGTCATCATCTCAACTTTGGCGTGAAGCCCAATCCCAATTTATCTATTTGATATATTGGAAGGCACATATGACAGCCCATATGGTATGGCTCTTCCCAAGCAATCTACCGATGCCAAAGACATTCTGGGACATCGCTCTGCATTTCAGCACATCTTGTGCGCCCTCAATGTATACTACCAATCGAGCCATCCATCATGGAAGAATATAATTTTTTTAATTTTGAAATTGGAAATGTCGTCAATACCCTTAACTAAGTGGGCTTTACTCAAGTTTGCTGTACAACATTCAAAGAGGGATCTGGTCAATAGCAGCTCCCGTAACCCTATAAAGCCAAATGTTAGCCATCATCCACCAACGTATCTCAACAATTCAAGGGACAACATACAAGAACGATCCATTGGAAGGCTTGCTGATAACCATAGCCTGCTCCAACTTCTCCTTACTGATATCGGGGAACTTCTTAAGATAATACTCATCCCGAAGCGCAGCAGTCACAGCCTCCACCTTACCCTGAGGCAACATGTGAACAGTGCAACCACCCCACCCAGCACCAGTCAACCGACTACCCCAAGTACCCGCACGACGGGCAATGGCGCAGATCTCATCAACCTCCGGCGCACTGCAGTCATACGCCGTACGACACGACTCCTGCGACTCATTCAGCAACTGGCCAAGATAGTGGATCCGCTTCTCATCCAGCTGAGTCGCCTTGCTCAGACAGGCCTTGAAATCCAGCACGCGGCGCGCCTCCTTGAAACAGTGCAGTGCGCGCTGGCGCAGCTGGAACCGCTCCGCCTGCACGGGGAATGCAGAGAGATAAGTTGCTTCCAGCTCGGCGACGGTGATGCTGAGGAGCTGGGCCATTTCTTCGCGGGTGTAACCCTCTTCCTGCGTGAACAGGTCCATGGTTGCTTGGATGACGGAGTCGATTTGGTACTCCAGGGGATCCTGGAGACGTTCTTCTTTGGTCATGAGCGCGTTGTGGAAGTTGCGGAGACTGTAGCCGAGGGAGCTGTTGTCTTTTGAGAGAGTGACGCCGTTGTGTTTGGCGAGGATCACAGCGGCGAGGGTGCACTCTGCGACGCGCAGGTTGTAGTGGCGGGGTGCGGTGTCGGCTTTGTTGGAGGTGACGAAGCTCTGGGCCATGAGGAAGGTGATTTCATCGGAGGAGGTGGGGATTGGGACGTGCTGGGCTTTGAATTGGGGGAAGAATTGAGTGTAAAGTAGGTAGCCGCGCTTGGAGAAGATGGACGCTGCTTGGTCCATGCTGGAATTTTGAACGAGGTTAGTTATCGGGGATTTTAAGTAGTGTCGGTTTATTAAACTTACCCGCCGGAGTAGACACCGACAGCGCGCTCTGAGACAACGGCCAGATCCAAGAGATCTTGCTTGGAAACGTTGTGGTTATTGGCCTTCATGACAGCTAAGGCACTGGCGCACACGAAGGCAGCACTGCTGGAGATACCACCACCAGGAGGCACATTGCCGTCGACCAGGATCTGCATGCTGGCAGGGACAAGCGAGCCCTCGGCCGTCTGCTTGCGCAGGAACTTAATGGCACCTGACAGACCGGCGCGGAAGTAGTTCACCCACTCGTGCTTCTTGGGGTCGATCTCGACGTCCTTGTTGTGGGGCACGGTGAACTCGCGCGAGGGGAACTTCTCTGGTGAGACATTGGCGATTGTGATGGTGGTTTCCTCGGCGTTGCCAGGGACCACCTTGACGGCCATGATCACGTCGACACTAACGGCAGTCGGCAGGACATCGTAGAGCGAGTAGTCGATGTGCTCGCCGATGATGTTCACGCGGCCGGGACTGCGGGCCACGAAGTCCGGACGGTGGTTATAGGTCTTGTTGAACTGGGTAATCAGATTGGTCCATCGCTGCTGGTGTTCCGGTGCAACCGAATTCACCGAGGCGTCGTCTGTTGCGTAGACTTCCGCGATGGATTCTGTCTGCGGCACGAGCTCCTGCGGGGGTGACATGGCGGGGTAGGTAGTATGTAGAGAGTAGAGAAGAAGGTGAACAACGAGGACACGGGAATCAGGGGAGATTAATAAACAAACGAGCCAAAAGCTACAGTCGTATTTTCACCGTGTCCCTTGGAGAGACATACGCCCCATGTTCCCCGGGTAAAGGCAGCAAAATGGTGGGGTTCTTTTCTGATTTTTTGCCTTTTGGGATCCCGTTGACCAATGCGAGGCGGTTTGCGGGGGAGAGCCATCGTCTTGTTCCGGACTCTTAATTTATGAATAACTCCACGTCCCCTGATTGGTGCGCTCGTTTCCTTCTCGCGGGACTTTTCTACCCGATTAGGCGATGACGCCAGGTACCATATTTCGACACATCTTTCGGTGACTGCCCAGGTGCTACGGAGTACATGGGTGATCTTCTGTATTGGCATACAGGAACCAGCCCCTCGCCCTGATAGCCTAGATTCACTTTCCCCCTGTTCTTGATCGGGAATTTACGAGGTAGTGTGGCGGGACAGAAGGCATGCCGAGAAAGTGGGCCTACATCTTCCGCGAGAATCGGCATTCATCCGGCCCGACAGGACCGGGAAATGAAGCTCGGCGGGCATGGGGGATTAGGTAGTAACCGGGTACGAGCAATTCTTGGTCATAAAATGCCAACCCGAAATACATCGGGATCCACCGATGCTGGTCTGAACATGAAACCTTCCTATCTCCGAGAAGGTTAGGTTGGAAGCTACCTACTACCGCATAGAGACTCGGACATTAACGTACATGATGTAGAAATACATGGAACTACGTATACTTATCACCACAACTGTTAGTTCAACTTCTCCTTAACTCACTACTACTCTAAGACTACTCGAACCAAGTTGTCGTAAGTGCTTTCCCCGATCTACAAGAAGCGCCTTTAACTACGTGCAAGGAATCCATTCTAATATGGCTTAGGTCATGAAGGACCCCCGCGAAGACAAACTGGACTTCCTGATCCCAGGATCAGATTCTTTATGAATGTTCGATTCCTTCGGAAAATTCAAGCCTGTTCGGAATTATTAAAAGGAGAACAGACATATATTTGAATATGGCAGGGGTCTTCAAATAAATGCGGATGCCTTCGCGGCGATCATATTCATAGACTATATTCTACGACAAGGTATACAGCGAGAGGAATGGATTCAAATTAACCTGAAAGCGTTGGAAAAGTCCCCCAAGGACAATCCAAATATGCGTCACGAATATGAACAAGATCTTAAGCTCGTGAAAACAAGTATTATATCGTTCTTGGAATGGTGACATAACCTTGAGAGTCAGCTTCCCCAGAAGCCACTGAAGAGGATCTACGATAAGATTCGACAAACCCCTTCCTGGTATCTTCGAAAGGAGCTCATTCAGGATTGTATGGAGAGGGGCGGTTGCTGTGCTTGAGGCTGCGGATGTTGCGAAAAGCGTTGTCTCACTAGTAAGGGAAAGGGTACCGGGCACTGCACGGTGGAGTGTGGGTGCTGTGAAGTTAATCGCGGTAGAGCGATGACTGACATCGAACGAAGTTTGATTGTGGACAATCTGTTGGCAATGTTGAGTACTCAAAACCCCGCCCATCGGTTGACAATGACAGAGGCATATTTTTCCGAGCCGGATATCTTTGGGCTGGGAAAGATGTTGATAGTGAGATCAATTGCATGGTACTGGAAGAAAAGGGGATTATCTTGGCAGTGGAAAAGAGAGTCGAAATGATTTGAATGATATGTCTTGGGCATTGCTCTTGGGACGGGTTTCTTTAAGATCTTAATTTCTCACTATAGCCTTTGCCTGTAGTGGCTGTGGTAGGTTCATCTTGTAGCTATAGTCTTTAGTGCTGACTTTGCCAATATGTAGTCAAGAATGACATGATATGTTTAGATCTCTCCACCAGTAGACTTTTGATAGAGCCACTTGAGGCTACGGGTCATGGCTAGGCGTTAGTAGATAAATGTGAATATCAAAGGCATGAGATCGGATATCGAAGTATTACATTGAAGAAATGCGTTTAGATAGCTCAACCTACAGCAGTCTAATGAAACTAGCGTGCTATTTTAAATATTGTCTATAGGGGCATTAGCATATTATACATCCAAATACTCCAAAGCATATTGAAGCTGACACTATGTGAAAGCGCAAGATAGCTGAAAAGATAGCTCTGGGGCGGGGGACATAGCTAGAAACCTTAGACAGAAGATCATAAGGAAGCTATACAGAGATAGTACAGTATTCTCATTATAAGAATCAATGTGATATAGATACCTGTAGCGCTACCGTTCTTATTGCTTAAGTAACACAAAAGCCTCTTCATCACTTTTATAAAGGTGGTGTGTTCTGTTATGTATGGATGAAACAGTATCATAGGCACTGGTATGGATGGGAAACTTCAAGAGACCAAGGAATTTAGGTAATTCTGAGGGTTCGTGTTGGAAAATAACAAAAAATTTCATTCCAAATCCAAAGTGGCATACTCGCCTTTGTACACTAGCCCGTGTAGTTACGCTTACTCCATCCAGGGTTAGTACATCGTTTAATCTGGAAGAAAATAGCTTTATTTCGAAGCCGAAAAGTCACCATGCTTTGAGTAGTACTGAATGAGAATGTGGTGTTGGTCAAATCCAAGCTATCTACTGCACGTATTTGCTCTATTAAGAGTTATTCAGAGTTAACACCTGGGATATAGTATGGGAAACCCTAGGGTGCTTTATTGAACATTATGGGTCACCATAGCGGTTAATCTCTATATGAAAGAGTTGAGAATCCTTCTTATTATCTCCGTGGAAAATATACCCTGATGGGAATCCCGTTTGAGCAAACAGCCTACAACATACACATGCAATGGTCGAGGATGCTTATACAAATTTCAATATATTCCCAGTAGGTCTGTTTGGATGACAAAAGAAAAGGGTGAAAATGAGCTAAGCGGAAGTACTTATGTAAATTGAATATCAACAGATGCCCAAGCAAGGGATCAATAACATCGCATCCAAGCCACAACGCCCTTACTTTATATACGGAGTGCCGAAGCTTGACCCAGATGCCCGGGCCGATCAAGACCCACTTCACCGAAAAGTTCGGGGAAAATCAGGCTGCAAGGCTCCCATTTGGTTTGAGATTCAAATATATCCCTGACCACCGCGAGACTAATGAAAATATTGATCGTTTCAAATATGTATATAGTTGTTCCAGACTCATGGCCATACAGCCTTTCAGACTGCTGACTCATATTTGCTGTTCCGAGGACAGACGAAAACATCCATCAAATCACATGATTTCTCACCGGCCGAGGTCGGAGGGCGCGGAGAGGCAATGAGCGAATCAAAAGCCCCGAATTGACTGACTCAGAGCGGTCGGACATTTTGGGTTTAAGGCGTTTTCTCGGAATCCCCAGAAAGAGTCACGGCAATCTTCAGCGGTCAATTGTCAACTTTTTTCCTCTCTACTTCACAATCCCTCTCCTCTCCATCTTCCTGGCTTGGCCGTCATTCACAATGATGCCTTTAAGACCATCACAAAGTACCCTGCGGGCCTTCCACCTCCAGAGGCAACTCGCCGGACGCCGACCTTTTTCGACCTCGTTTGTCGCCTCGGCCGTTTCGCCCCACCGCTACGTTCAGAAGCGTAGCCAGAGCACAGCTTCAGCTTCAGCCTCGTGAGTTCTGTCTGGTTTTACACTGCAATTGCAGTTCAGTTTTAATCCGAATAATCGCCAGGGAGTCCAGACCCGTCCCTAGCCCGGCGTTCAACCAGGAACCCCATCGCAATGAGATCTCTCCCTTGCAACACCGCCAGCTCCCCGAGCTTGATGACTCGTATGTTACTCCGACGACGGCTTGGGTATACTGAAACTAATCAATTGGCATGAAGAATGGTTGGAATGAGCGGTGGAGAGATCTTCCACGAAATGATGCTTCGCCAGGGTGTGAAGCACATCTGTGAGTTTTTCATGCTTGATATTGCGCAATTGACTGAATTTTAACGCTTGAAATGCAGTCGGTTACCCTGGTGGTGCCATTCTCCCCGTCTTCGATGCTATCTACAACTCGAAGCACTTCGATTTCCTCCTTCCCAAGCACGAACAGGGTGCCGGTCACATGGCGGAGGGCTACGCTCGCGCCTCTGGCAAGCCCGGTGTTGTTCTCGTTACCTCTGGTCCCGGTGCCACCAACGTTATCACTCCTATGCAAGACGCTATGTCTGATGGTACTCCGATGGTTGTCTTCTGTGGACAGGTTCCCACCAGCGCCATTGGAACCGATTCCTTCCAGGAAGCTGACGTGATTGGCATCTCTCGTGCCTGCACCAAATGGAACGTGATGGTCAAGTCTGTTGGTGAGCTGCCTCGCCGCATCCAGGAAGCCTTCGAGATTGCCACCAGTGGTCGCCCAGGCCCTGTTCTGGTTGATCTGCCCAAGGATGTCACCGCTGGCATTCTCCGGAACCCCATTCCCATGCACAGCACCATTCCCTCGCTCCCCAGCGCCGCGGCAAGGGCAGCCCGTGACTTGAGCCAGAAGCAGCTCGAGAGCACCATTAACCGTGTTGCTAGCCTCGTTAACGTTGCCAAGAAGCCCGTTCTCTACGTTGGACAGGGTCTCCTGGCTCACCCCGAGGGCCCTAAGATCCTGAAGGAATTCGCCGATAAGGCATGCATTCCTGTCACCACCACCCTGCAAGGTCTTGGTGGATTCGATGAATTGGATCCCAAGGCCCTTCACATGCTGGGTATGCACGGATCCGCTTACGCCAACATGGCCATGCAGGAGGCCGATCTCATCATTGCTGTTGGCGCCCGTTTCGATGACCGTGTGACTGGCAGCATCCCCAAGTTTGCTCCCCAAGCCAAGCTTGCCGCTACTGAGGGACGCGGTGGTATTGTCCACTTCGAGATCATGCCCAAGAACATCAACAAGGTCGTTCAAGCCAACGAGGCCGTTGAGGGTGACTGTGCCGCTAACCTTCGTCTTCTTTTGCCTCAAGTCAAGGCCGTTCCTGAGCGTCCTGAGTGGTTCGAGCAGATCAACGACTGGAAGCAGCGCTTCCCTCTGTCGCTCTACGACCGCCAGACTGCGGAAAGCCCTATCAAGCCCCAGGCTGTTATTGAGAAGCTCAGCGACCTTACTGCCCACATGAAGGACAAGACCATCATCACTACCGGTGTCGGTCAGCACCAGATGTGGACTGCCCAGCACTTCCGCTGGCGTCACCCTCGTACCATGATCACCTCCGGTGGTCTTGGTACCATGGGCTTCGGTCTTCCTGCCGCCCTTGGAGCCAAGGTGGCCCGTCCGGACTGCCTGGTCATCGACATCGACGGTGACGCTTCTTTCAACATGACTCTCACTGAGCTTTCCACCGCTGCTCAGTTCAACATTGGTGTCAAGGTTCTCCTGCTCAACAACGAGGAGCAGGGTATGGTCACCCAATGGTAAGTTTATCGTTTCATGGTTCTCCCAGCACTTGAACTTTTACTAATATTATTTTTCTCCAGGCAAAACCTCTTCTATGAGGATCGTTACTCCCACACTCACCAGCAGAACCCCGACTTCGTTCCTCTCGCCAAGGCTATGCGCGTCGCTGCTGACAAGTGCTTCAAGCCTTCCGAGCTTGAGGAGAAGCTCAAGTGGCTGATCGAGCACGACGGTCCTGCCCTTCTGGAGGTCATCACTGACCGCAAGGTGCCCGTTCTCCCTATGGTGCCTTCCGGCCGTGGTCTTCACGAGTTCCTGGTTTACGATGAAGGTATGGAATCTACGCCTTGAACTACATTTGAAATGCCACTAACACATCTATAGCCAAGGATCTCGAGCGCAAGGACCTGATGCGCCAGCGTAATGTGGACTTTGCTGTCCGACAAGAGTAGGTGACAAGTGACTGTCACCTCGAAATTCATATTTCTGTACTTTGATATCCATGGCGTTTCTTGGCCGGTTTACCAAAAGCGATTGGGGCAATGTCTCTTGAAAGATAACCAACAAATTCCTTCACAAAATTGCTCTTGAAGGACTCTTTGGCAGGAAATTTTGGTGCAGTTGGGCTCTCCATGTCTGGAGGTTTGATCTTTGCCATCTCCCTTGGTCGATCTTGGAATTTTTCCTTGCCAGGTTGTCCCTCTTGTATATAATCATCGATGTCTTGGGTCCCTCGATTGGATAGGGGGAAATTGACACGTTCGAGTTCCGTTAAGTAGGAGCAGGTAGTCGTTGAAAACATTCATGTCTTGTTATACCATCCTCAAGGGCGTTACATTTGAACTTTCGTTTAATATGAATCTTGTAGAGACTTGTTGAGCACGGCGAGAGACCGGGATGCCTCTCCAGTTACCTCTAACATATAACCCTGGAAAGAAGTAGGCGTGGTTTACTTCCACCGCTCGGTGCTAACCATGTATACACTTACAGTCCCAGCAGGCGAATAGATCCAGGTAAAAGTGATTCACAGCAAGCCCATTGCCATTGTGTACTCTATGGAGACCTCAAATTCTTGCAAGCGCGGGCTTGGAAGGCTGTCGATCCAACCTCGCCGCCAGTCTTCCTCGTAACAGCAAGGGTAGAGGGCTTTACATTACTCCCAGTCGTCTGGATGCCTTCCCGCTTGTCCCCAGTCCACGATAGCAAGGATTCGAGCTGGTTTGCTACAGGAGACCATGATGTTCCCTCGGCGAAGATCACCATGAGTAAATTTAATGACTATCATCCGGTAACAAATACCTATACGGCTCAATGAATCTCTTTAAAGGAGGAAGCTATGATTGTGGCAAGGAGGAGAACTAGTCGTTAAAATTCGTTGTAGTCGAGAAAGGCCCGGTTTCAGGCTATGACATGGTGAAAATTGGTAAAATGCCTCCGCTAGCGGGTTGGCGCCACTGACACGATTGGAGGGATCTTCCAATATTCCCCCCCCAAGGAAGAGGCAATTACAGCAGGAGTCTCCAGGTACTTCACTTGTAAGACTACCATCATAAGGTTACTAGGTACCCACTCAAGCTAGGACTCAGGAGCTCTAAGCTATAAGCTATAAGCTATAAAACTAGCATCAAAATCCTCTGGGACATGGGATAGAGAACATTATACATACATGTAGCTTATCGACCTCTCCCTTGACACTGTAGACCAATTCTGTGGTCCCTTGAGGATAACGATGAACTGATCAAATTGGAAGGACGGCGGGACAAGATGTTTTTATATCAGCAACGGATACCAAGGTTGTATACGTACACACGTAGGTAAACAGACCTCAATGAGTATGAATACAATCCAAGTACTCACGTACGCACTATTTATAGGGGACAAACGGAGAAGTGACTGCTCCTTCTTTCCTTCCTCTTGCGCACTCTTGCTTCTTCATGCACCATATCTTTCCATTGACGCCCCGGAGTTTGAACCTTTATCATCTCTTCTGCTTCAACCTTCAAACTTCTTCCCGTCCAACATCTCGGCCTATTTCAATCAATTTGAGAAGTCAAACATCTTCTCATAGAAACTCAGCTTGAGATCCTTCTCTTGAGAGTCACTTTGCTTCCACAACCCCAACACTACACCTGAACACCCCTTGACCATGGAGTCTCAGAGGTCAGTCTCAGCTTGCCCTCACTTCTAGCATATATATTAACTGACTAATGAAAGGATCTGCCGTGACTTTGCCAGGGGGCATTGCAGATGGAAGAACTGCAAATTTGCTCATGTGAGCAACAAACAAGGCCAAGGAGCGATCAACCCTGCCAACTCGACTGCGCGTCCCGAGCCCAGACAAGCCCATGGCTTGACAAATTCCGAAAAGTCATTGCGAGCGTGGCAAGCTAGTGTCCCGTTATACACAGCGCGCGTTCGTCCCTCGTCCGGAAAAAAGACGGCCATTTTCCAAAAGGCAAGGCAACTGATCGAATCAAATGCCAGTGTACGGCAAGAGGTCATCCGGACACTGGCTAGTGAGGATGGTCTGAGACTGGTACTGGACCTTGTTCAGGAGAACTTCGAAGACATGGATGATACAACGAGAGACATCATATTCAAGACACAGGTGCTTCCGTTTCTAGAGATAGTGACAAATCCCGAGGTTTCATCTTCGCTGGTGTTGGAGCAGGCAGTGGGCACAATCTACAATGTCTTGTTCGGCCTCGATGGGACTAGAGCGGCACGTTGGCTCAATTTCACCTGTGGCGTGCTCGAAATTGATACCACAAACGAAGGCAGTGCTATGTTACTAGAGGCGACTCTACACACTTTCTCTCGAATTGCGGACCTCAATTCCACGGCACCTATCCAGGATTGTCTTCATGTTGTTGCACAGAGATTCAAAGCCGTCTTCACTTTGATGAACGACAAGGCGGGTATGACTGCTAGACTCTATCAATCTCAGTTGCATCTCGATCATCTTCTCCAACGGATGGAGACTGGGAAGTTGCTTCAGATGGGTATATCCAAACCGACGATCAAAAATGAGAAACCCGTAACATTCATTGCTCAACGCGAGACCCCTGGGGGTAGACACAATAACGACTTTGACGACATCTGCCAAATCAGGATCATGCCTAGCTTCGAGGAGATCTGCTGTCGTCAGACCGAGTACTTGCCTGTCAATGATCCACTTCAATGGCACATTGAAGGTATTGATGGGCTGCTGGATAGGAACTTCCGATTGTTGCGCGAAGACACCGTCGGTCAGCTTCGAGATGCAATCCATCACGAACTCAACCCGCATCCCCAGCTACCACAATTGCGTAGGTTCGTTTACCCCAACTCTCTGGTGGTAAATTTAGGATTCAATTGGCTTTCGGGCCTTTACTTCGAAGTTGACTTCCCCCAGCCTGCTGGAGTGATGAACTACACAGCCCAAGCCAGGGAGATGTGGTGGCAGAACTCAAAACGACTACAGCCCGGTGCACTCGTCTGTCTAGTGATTCAGAAGGATGTGGTGTTGTTTTGTACCGTGACACACCGCGATATGTCACCCCGACGAAACAAAGACCCCGTCAAACCCCAGGATCAGACCCATCCACAGACAAGGACTGAGCCCAGGACTCTTTGGAAGAGCTCCAAGAGAGGCTCGGTCACACTCATGCTGGTGGATTCTAGGGATACCAATGCTGAAGTTGTGTTAGACTTGTTCAGTCCAAAGAAACCCGTTATATCCTTGGTGGAGTTTCCGGGAGTCATACTTCCAGCTTTCGAACCAGCCCTCCGAGCACTCCAATCGATCAAATTAGCCAAAAACCTGCCTTTTTCTGAGCTTTTCGTCCCTTGGGCCTTTGAGAATGCCAATCTACCCAACGTCGCTCCCCCATTGTATGCAGCGCAGCCTGGCTTTGCATTCAATCTCCGCTGTCTCATGGACAATGATGTCAATTTCTACGTCCGCACCAATCAGCCAACTGACATGCAATATGTGCAGGACCATTCAACTCTAGACCGGGCACAGGCTCATGCGTTGGTCAATTGTCTGAAGCGAAAGCTTGGTTTGGTCCAAGGACCACCTGGTACTGGCAAAAGCTACACGGGTGTGGCTCTTATCAAAGTTTTGCTCGCAAACAAAGACGTCGGTACAGCAAGGTTGGGACCCATATTGTGTGTCACATATACCAATCATGCCCTCGATCAGCTTCTTGAGTCTCTCCTAGACAACAACGTGACATCTCAAATCATTCGTATCGGATCTCAATCGAAGTCCGAGAGATTGGAAAGGTTCAACCTCCACACCGTTGCGAAAGAGACTGCAAGAACGAAAATGGAGAAGAAAGAAAGATGGAGCACGGCTGAGAGACTCTCATCGTGCGAAGATGGGTTTCGCGCTCTTGATCTGAAAAAGGACATTCCCATTAGCCGGCTAAAAGCCCATATCCAACGATCAAATTCCCGTCATCACGATCAGCTCTTCTCATTGACCCGTGACGACGGTTTTCAGCAAATGAAGACACATAACCCGCAGACTGCAATTACCTCCTGGCTTGATTCCGGACCGAAAAGAAATGCCTGTCGGAGGACTTTGGAAGAGCTCCAGGAAATCAATGTCTTCAACATGACCCGGCAGGAACGCCAGCTCATTTACAACCACTGGTATCAAGGGTATCGAGCAGAAGTGGATGAGAAGGTTATGCAGATCATTTCGTCGCACAAAACTGCCAAGTTCGGATACGATAACGTCCAGGATGAGATGCATCTTCGTTGCTTGACTCAAGCAGATGTCATTGGGGCCACGACAGCGGGACTTGCTCGCAGGCTGGATATGTTCCGAAGACTCCCATGTAAATTCATGCTATGTGAAGAAGCTGGTGAAGTCCTTGAATCTCATCTGCTTACCGCGTTTCTACCTTCTGTCGAGCATGCAATCCTCATTGGTGATCAGCAACAGCTTCGGCCTCAAGTTCAAAATTATGACCTTTCCAGTGAGAATATTCGGGGTGGCGTGCAATACTCTCTTGATATCTCATTGTTTGAAAGACTAGTATGTTCCAACAAGACCCCCATGGACTGTGGAGTTCCATTCAGCACCTTGGAGACCCAGCGCCGAATGCATCCATCCATCGCTCAGCTCATCCGGGAAACATCGTATCCAAACTTGAAAGATGCACCGTCAGTCTCTCAGTACCCGGAGGTTATGGGAATGCGAAAGAGACTATTTTGGTTGGATCACCGACATCAAGAAGGAGGTTCCTTTGAAGCCGATCTAACGTCAACTTCCCATTGGAACAATTATGAAATTGACATGACTGTTTCCTTGGTCAATCATCTTGTTCAACAAGGCGAATATAAACTTGGAGATATTGCAGTACTGACTCCGTATCTGGGCCAACTCCATCGCCTACGAAAGAGATTGAATGAATTCTGTACCATTCTGATCGGAGACCGTGATCAAAATGACCTTGATCAGGCTGGATTTGGGAATGAAATCAAGGAGAAACCTCCGAGGAAAGCACCTTTGTCCCAAGCTCTTCGGGTGGCCACCGTGGACAACTTTCAAGGGGAAGAGGCTAAGGTTGTCGTGATATCGCTGGTCAGAAGCAATACGAAGAACAACTGCGGCTTTTTACGAACTTCCAATCGGATCAATGTCTTGTTATCGAGGGCACAACACGGCATGTATATCATCGGCAATTCAGAGACCTCAGCCCATGTTCCCATGTGGGCCCAAGTCGTTAAAATCCTGAAAAGGGATCATAACATTGGAAATGTCCTGGAACTGCAATGCCCTCGTCATCTAGATACCCTAATTGCGGTCTCGATGCCAGAAGACTTCCTGAAGTTCTCACCCGAAGGTGGTTGTAATCTGCGCTGCATAAGCCGGCTCACATGTGGACATGCCTGTGTTCAAAAATGCCATTCCGACCTGATGCACAACGCCGTGTTTTGCTTGGAGCATTGCCCTCGACCATTCAGCGGTTGTAACCACTCATGCCCAAAGCGTTGCGGGGACCCCTGCCCAGAAAGATGCACGGTCAATGTGTATCAGAAAGACAGAACGCTGCCATGCGGTCATTTGATGCTGAATCTTCCATGTTGGCAGAGTCAAGACTTGTCCACAGTCCGCTGCTCAGTGCGTGTGAACAAGACCATCCCAGGGTGTAACCATGTCGTACCTCTCTCATGCCATATCGATGTGGAATCCAAGAACTATCGCTGCATCACGCAATGTCGCAACCCTCTGCCTTGCGGGCACTTATGCAAGAAAATGTGTTACCGATGCGTCACGAAAATACCTGACAAGGTGCTAGTGGATCATGGAACGTGCGAGCAACGGTGTGACCGTAATCAATCGACATGCGCTCATTGTTGCAGCGCTACCTGCCACGGGGAGAAGCCATGTCCCCCATGTCAAGCTCCTTGCGATGTGCGATGCGGTCACTCCAAGTGCCCCCGAAAGTGCTATGAGCCGTGTACTCCCTGCGCAGAAGAGAAATGTCTCTCAAAGTGTCCACACAGTATCTGTTCCATGCCATGTGCAGCGCCTTGCGATAATATCCCATGTTCTAAGCGATGCGAGAAGAGGTTGAACTGTGGTCACCGATGTCCCTCGGTATGCGGAGAAAAGTGTCCTCCATCCTCCTTCTGTCAAAGATGCGGAAACAATGACATCAAAACTCATCAAGTCGACTTCATCCAGGGTCAGACATACAAAGAAACCAACCTGGATGAGAACCCATGCATATTTCCTAAGTGTGGACATTTCTTGACAATTGAGAACATGGATGCGCAAATGGATATGGCTAGGCACTACGAAGTCGATGCTGATGGCAAGCCCGTGTCTATCCGGGTATCATCGACTCCTTTCTCTGTTCAAGACATTAAAACGTGCGCCACATGCCGTGGTTCATTGAGGGATATTGCCCGGTATGGCCGACTGATACGTCGAGCTATCCTTGATGAATCGACAAAGAAATTGATTCTTTTACTCAACCGGGAGTATGTTCCTCTCGCGCAGGAGCTTCCTAAGCTCGTCCATGAGCTAAAAGCAACAGAAGACCAGAGAAAATCTCCATGGCCATCGGTGATAGAGATAAATGGCTCGCGAGCCCAACAAATTCAGAACATGGGAGATATCATGGAGGACACAAATCCAGGCAGATGGGATAGGATCCTCAACCTGCGCAAGCGAATTGAAGGTTATCGAGGTCGTGTGAAACCCGAGGAGCAGCCTATTGAAAGAGTTCGCAAAATGCTAGAAAATGCCCGACAACGCAAGAAAACAACAGCCAATATGGACTACATCGACAATGTCCTACAAACCAAAGGCTTCTTACAAGGAACCGCCCTTTTGCTTCGTCTGGACATCATTCTAATTGTTGATCTATTGAGCCTCGTATCCGAAGGACGACCAAGCCAGGTTATGTTAGAGCTTGATTTCCACAAGATCCGGGACGATTGCCAGGCCCTCATCCAACAAGCGACTACTCACCATCGACTTTTGCAGCAAACAGAGGGTCATATTTTCCTTGCACAACTTTATGCCCTCGAACGAGCACATTGCTGCACACGAGACAAGACCATGAAGATTATGCAGCACGGCCAGCTCGCAATTGCCCGAGCCAGGTCTTTGTGCGACGAGCACCCGGGCCAGACACGGGGATTGGCAGGTGAAGTTGACAGTGTCGAGAAAATGTTGCGCGAGGGCACATTCTACACAATTATCACTAATGAGGAACGAATGGCAGTGATCTCTGCGATGGCGCAAGAATTCCAAGGAAGTGGGCATTGGTACTACTGTCGCAATGGACATCCCTTTACAATTGGAGAATGTGGAGGAGCCGAGGAAATGGCTTCTTGTCCTGAGTGCGATGCCCCAGTGGGGGGCGAGTTCCATCAGATGGTAGCGGGTGTTACTCGAGCGTATGATCTGGAACAAGATATGGCCAGATTGAATCTTCGGGAGGGAGGTGGCTGAGTTCTTTGCGCTTTTGCGCTTTTGCGCTTTGCGTGGTTCGACTCCTTTGTGTCTAGGCAGATCAATTAGCTATTTTATGGAAGGGGAGGAATGGAGTGATATTGGCAGGGTCAATTTTATCAAGATAGCTTTTAAAAACTTCTAAGAATCAAAGGAGAATATGGATGAAAAGGCCCCCGATCATCCGAAAGATTGAATGTTGTGAGCAGTCGCTATCCGCTGCCGTAGAGAGTGACGTCTCGGGGAATCCCCAGGTGTCACGCCCAACTAGCTTACACTCCACTCACCTCCTTCCGCTTTCCCCCCTCATTCCCCTTTGATTCTTGTTCCATTGATTCGCAAGACAACTAGCTTCCTAATTGTCTTCGCAGTGCATGTCTTCACCCTGCTCTCCCTCCCCCTAGCTTCCACCCCTCATCCGTTCCACGATGGCTAGCCCACCACCCGTCACCGAGGACCAGAACCGCCTCCTCGAGGAGGCATTGGGGGTGGTGAGGCAGCAGTCGAGTCTCATGCGCAAATGTCTAGAGACTCCTGGCAAGCTCATGGATGCGCTCAAATGCGGGTAAGCGCCCCGACGAAACCCCCCAAGGCAGCGATCTCCGAACGTGCGCAAACGAGCCGTGTGCTGACAGCTTGGTGAAATGTGCCTCTACAGATCGACTCTTGTCTCCGAACTACGAACCCCCAGTCTCGGCCCGAAGCAATATTACGAATTGTACATGGCCGTCTTTGATGCGCTGCGACACCTTTCCGTCTACCTAAAGGAGAACCACCCCGTCAACCACCTTGCCGACCTCTACGAACTCGTCCAGTATGCTGGCAACATCGTCCCTCGATTGTACCTGATGATTACCGTGGGTACTGTCTACATGTCTGTCGAAGATGCGCCGGTCAAGGAGATCATGAAGGACATGATGGAGATGAGCCGAGGTGTTCAGCATCCCATCCGTGGCCTGTTCCTGCGGTACTACCTTTCCGGTCAAGCGCGAGATCATTTGCCCTTGGGCACCGGGGATGGTCCGGAGGGTAATATGCAGGACTCGATCAACTTTGTTTTGACGAATTTCGTGGAGATGAACAAGCTCTGGGTTCGACTGCAGCACCAAGGCCCCTCACGAGAGCGGGAGAGGCGGATACAAGAAAGACGCGAACTCGAGCTGCTTGTGGGTAGCAACATTGTGCGACTCAGTCAGCTGGTTGATCTTGAGGGGTATAAATCTGGCATTTTGCAAGCACTCCTCGAGCAGGTTGTACAATGCCGCGACATCCTAGCGCAAGAGTATCTCTTGGAAGGTATGGATTTATGCTTCTCCTTCCTGGAAAGATTATTGCTGCGCGATTGGTTTACTAACGCTTCTCGAAGTTATAACGAAGGTCTTCCCTGATGAGTTCCACCTTCACACTCTCGACCTTTTATTATCTGCTATCGCCAGGCTTAACCAGAACGTGGATTTGAAGAAAATTGTCATTGGTCTTATGGACCGCTTGTCGTCTTACGCAGCAAGAGAAGCGGACTCGACTGCGGAGCCAGAAGCTCGGAAACAAAGCGAGCAAGAAGCCGTCACTAAGCTTTTGCAAAAGCTCGAGCTTGCCAAAGAGACCAATGTTCAACAACCAAAGAATGAAGATGTCGATAAAACCAAGGAAAATGGGGCTGAGAATGGCAAAGAAGAACCAGCCAAAGAAAGCACCGAGCCTTCTGAGTCTACGACCACGACAGAAGAAAAGGAAGTCGAAAATGATGACAGTGCTAAATCTGCAGTTCCATCAGAAATCAAGCTGTACGATATCTTTTACGACCAGGTGGTGAATTTGATCAAGACGCGCGCATTGCCGATTCAAGATACCATGGCGCTGTTGGTATCACTTGTTAACCTGGCACTGAACACTTACCCGGACCGGTTAGAGTATGTTGATCAGGTCCTGGACTTTGCAACACAAAAGACTGCCGAATACACTGATCATGCTGATTTGCATTCTGCGCCAACTCAACAACACATCCTTCACCTCCTCAATGCCCCTCTCAAATCATACATCTCAATCTTCACAGCATTGACACTGCCACATTACTTGCCGCTTCTGTCTTCACAGTCGTACCCCACAAGGAGGGCTGTTGCGGGCGAGATTATTCGCAGCCTTCTGAAGAACAGGATTTCGGTGTCCACAACGGAAGACCTTGATCGCGTGCTTCAGGCGGCAAGAGTGTTGATCAAGGAAGGTATGCAGCAGTCTGTTGGATATCCCGGGTCACAGTCCCATCGCCGGGGAGGAGAGACCGACGAGACAGTAGAAGAGCAAGGATGGCTTGCGAGATTCGTGCATTTGATTCGGGGATCGGACAATGACACTCAACTAAAGGTAGGATTATCTAGCAGAGCATTTGTTGTGATGAAAACTAACAGTATGTGACAGCTTCTCCAAGCAACGCGCAAGGCGTTCGCGGAGGGTAACGAACGCATCCGCTACACAACGCCTGCAATCATAACAGTCTCAATCCGATTGGCCCGCAAGTTGAAGTCGCGTGAGCATTACGATGATAACTGGCAGTCACAATCTTCTGCGCTATATCGCTTCATGCACCAAAGCATAAACAACCTCTACCAGCGCGTGAATCCAGGCTGCGCTGATCTTGCACTGCGATTGTTTGTGATGTCTGGTGAAGTCGCAGATCAGACAGGATTTGAAGAAGTCAGTTACGAGTTCTTCGCGCAAGCATTTACCATCTACGAAGATGCGATCAGCGATTCGCGTGCCCAATTCCAGGCCGTTTGCATTATCTCAGGTGCCCTGCATGGAAGTCGCGGATTCTCCAAGGAGAATTATGACACACTTATCACTAAAGCTGCGCTGCACGGAAGCAAGCTTCTCAAGAAGCCTGACCAATGCCGCGCGGTTTATCTTGCAAGTCACCTCTGGTGGGTAGTTGAGAACCCTCAACGTGGAGAAGAAGATCCCAAAGATGTAAGTTTCAACATGATATCTAATATCTATGTATGTTTTCGCTAATATAATTCCTGCAGCTCTACCGCGATGGCAAACGAGTCCTGGAGTGCCTCCAACGTGCTCTTCGTGTGGCCGATGCTTGCATGGATGCCGCTGTCTCCGTCGAGCTCTTTGTGGAAATCCTCAACCGCTATGTGTACTATTTCGACCAGCAGAACGAGACCGTCACCACGAAATACCTGAACGGCCTCATCGAACTCATTCACTCCAACCTGCAGACCAACGAAGATGAGCCAAACGCGAGCCTCGACGGTCCGAAGCGCCACTTCCAGCGCACGCTGGAGTATATCCGCTCTCGCGAGTACGAGGGTATTGTGACGGACCCCCCAAAGTAATCGCCAGATGGATGGCCCAGGCCATGTCCGTCAGGGCAACCCCCAGTAATCCTCAGGATTGATTGTATGTGATGTGTAACGTGGGATTTCTGCTTTCATCCGGGCAGGAATCCCTTCTCTGCTACTTTATTTCCTTGGTGTCTTTTCTCTTCTCTCGTTCCTGGAAGCCTGCCGATTGATTCTCGTGTTGCTTTCGTTCCCAGTATATACAAGTGTATCATTGTCTCCGGATAACACCATACCCTTCTTACCGTGAATTGTATCTGCTCATAGACAGCCTTTTTTTTACTTTTTTTTACAATCGAATAAGCACCCGAATAGCGCAGATATCGATCAAGTCATTACACAAGGCCATAAACGTGGCTGGCCATCTGAAATACTTCATTCGGCCACCCTGCTTTCCAAGGCTGGTCCTAGGTACTCTGACTGGGTACTTGTTAAGACCTCTGTCAGAGTGATTCAGTATCGTAGTCTTTTCCCAGCTTGAAGCCAGGCATTTCAAGGCAGAAAATTCGATTTTAGTTCAGACCGACCCCTGGGCCTTCACAGATGTAGCAACCCGAGCATTGCACGTGATTACATTCCCGCTTGAATGCAGGAGCACATTGAGGATTGTGATCTACCGATCTGGGGGACACACTGCTCAAGCATGGAACCATTGCCTGGAACTTATAAGGCCACCATCAAGCTTATTGAATCAGCTCGGCTTACTCCAACCGAGCACTCGATCTGGAGAGCCTTTTTAGACGAGGCCGTGAACGCGGAATGCGCCGCCCAATATATCTGGCAAAGAATCCATAATGGTTCGGGACATCCTCCCGAGCAGGTATTGGGCGAGCTCAAACTCCAATGGAAGCAAGTTGTCACTAAACGTGAGTTGGAATGGGATGTACTCTTACGTCTCCACTAATCACCACATTAGTGGCGAAGCCAGACCAAGTGTGGCCCAAGGAACAAAGCCTGGTCGAAGCTCGGGACGATTTGCACTGCTTCATGCTGGATCAGAAGCCATCGGGTCCAAATGCATCCACTCGTTTTGATCATGCCTGGGTGATCCCACCGAGCCTTTTTGATGGCAGTGACATGGATCCGCAGGTAGGTATTTATTAGCCATCGGTACACTAAGATTGAAGGACATACTCTGATCTAACGAGGATATACATCATGCTGCTATTAGGGTCCGCTATATGCCCTTCTACAAGCATTTTTGACCCCTGCCATAACTTCCAAGCTTCAGACCATTCTGCGAACTAAACAAACGGACGCTCGCCTAAGAAACCTGTTCCTGCTCTCTCCTAGCGTTCATTTGGCTTTTAGAAATGGACACATCCAAATCTTTCCTATAACTGACACCGAAGACCGTTGGAATGATGAAACCGAGACCAGAATCAAAACAGCGAGCAAAGTTTATGTCTGTGATTCCAGGGATCTTGGATTACACCACAAGTACTTGGGACTAATTTGATAATATTATTTCGCCTCCAGACTATTCCCCGAGCCTTGTACCTCGCTCTTCCTCAGCGATGGCAGCTTATGGGACCGGACAATGCAGATGTTCATAATGGAAACGCGGGACGTCAGTCTACCTCTTCCAGATCCATTCCTATTACGGACACACTTTCGCATGGCAGCGTCGTTGCATTTATTCCACGTCGAAGAACAAATTTCTAAGGGATGGCCCTCACCCTCGTTGTGTATGGAATATCGATCCTCTATCTGCATATGGGACTGTAGAGCTAATCTAGTCACTTCGGATAGTCCACTTCAGCGCAACAACACAGAAGAAATTACGCTCTGTCTGGTACCTTGTACCAAAGGTGATACGTGTCCAATGTTATCATGTGCTCCTGAAAATAGGCAGCCTACTCTACCCACGGACTTTCACAGGCCTCGTGCACCAGCTTCCGTTCGGGCTGTATGCAAAAAGATGTACTCGCTCACCTCTTAACGAGACCGAGACATTGCGCCTAGTCGAAAACTACAGTTCAATCCCCGCACCTCTCTGGGTGGATAATTACCAAGGAACGCACTACATCCTTATCATGACAACCGTGCCTGGACAAACACTGGAGACAGTGTTCCACCGACTCTCATACTCGGAACGTGACCAGCTATCCAAAGACTTGAAGCACATTTTGCCGCAGCTTCGGTGCATTCCAAACCAGACTTCATACGCCTTCAGCAACAGTCACGGAGGCCCGCTAACAGATCATCGTTTGCCATCCGGTACATGTGGCCCGTTCCGTTTGATTTCCGAATTCCACGCTTTCCTCGTCCATAAATACGTGCGCGTGGAGACGAAAGAAAAGATTTCGGCCGTCCATGACCGTCAATACCGCTCAGTCTTCACCCATGCGGATCTGCACCCTAGTAATATTATTATTGATCGCGGACGCCTGTCGGGAATTGTGGATTGGGAATGCGCTGGCTTTTATCCCGAGTACTGGGAGTTTACGAAGGCAATGTATGGCGCAGAACGGTTCCCGGAAATTCGACAGGTTATTCGTGATGCGTTCTCAGGGGATAGTTATGAATCGGAGTTGGAGGCTGAGACGCTACTATGGAATGACACACCGCTGGGTATATAGGTTGTTAGCTGGGAAATAAACCAAGAGATGGTGCCTACTGTGAATGTCAGAGGCTGTGGTAGCAGTCTTTTGAAAGATTTTGCATTATCGTCATTGTGTTATCTACACAGTGAGCTCTCTGGTGGGAATTGGATACCTTTCTTGGGCTGCGCCAGTCCTCCTGGATGTACAACAACAGAGGGGACAGGATCAGGAGGGGCTCTGTGTGCATGACAATCTCTCATCTCATCATTGCCATCGTGGTGGGTAGAATTGACGGGCAATGGTCCAGCCACCCGCAGCTGGGTGGGTAAGTGTTGCATTTGTACTCTTCTTCATGCTGACATTTGGAGCAACATGGGGCCCTATCCCTTGGGCAATGCCCGCCGAGATCTTCCCGTCATCGCTCCGTGCCAAAGGATGTGCATTTGGAACGATGTCTAATTGGGGTAATAACTCAATCATCGTGAGCTTGGTGCTCATCCTGTATTTTGCAGAATTTGAACCTATATTCTATCAGGGATTTATCACACCACCAATGATTCAAATTATCAAATTTGGTACTTACGTCTTCTTTTGTTGCTTTTGTGCCATTTCATTTCTTTGGGTATATTTCCTTGTCCCGGAGACCAATGGCCGTACCCTTGAGCAAATGCATTCGGTATTTGCAGACGGAACTACCGCAGAAGAAACACAAAGACGCGCTAGAGTCGTGGCTAGATTCACCGAAAATAATCAACAGGATCGGTCTCCGGTATGAAAGATTGATCATTTTACCGATTTTCTTCGCACGAAACCTTTTTCATCGCCCTGACATAGGAGGCTCGGTGAACATCTTGAGGCAACACCAGCAGCAGTCTCTTATGGTGTCCGTAAATCACCTAACTGTGAAGACAAATTGGGTCCGCTACCTCATATGTGGGCATATAGTTAGGTGCCAGGCGTTGGACTTGAGTTGAGCGGATCACCGGGGAATCCCGCGATGATTGGCTGATGCAAGGAAAGACCGAGGCGGCCAATCATATGCTTTGGTTCGCCCCACCGAACCGTTCCCACGCCCTTCTAGATGCGTCGTCCCAATGATATACTTGCTGCGCAAAGCTGTGATATCTTACTCTCAGACTTGTCGTTTTCTTTTTTCTTTTTTCTTTCTTCATTTCAGCGTTGGACCAAGGCGAGAGATTTTGTGACTCACTTAGGGAGCATAAAAAAATCCAGTCAAAGCTCAATACAGACATTGCTCGGATTATCGTGAACTTAGACTTTTTCTGACTGACAATCACCAAAAGGCTACAGCGTCACCTAGCAAGGAGGTAAGCCTAACCCTTGATACTGCAGTAACCATCACGTTTACACATCGTGTTCTGATCAAACTAACTCAACATGCTAGATGTCATAGTATCATGCGTCGATCAACAATCCCCGAGCCTCGTACGCCACTCACTCAGCAGCCAGTGAGCGACAAAGAAGCAGATCCTAGCCAAGCGCTGGTATCTGAAGAGGAGGATGAGAAGCATGATTTCCCCGAGAATAGCAAGGAAGCATGGCTTTGCTTGCTTGGTTCCTTCTTGATGATGCTTCCATCATTTGGGTTCCAGACTGCCAGTAAGTAGTCTCATCGTGCAGATGCATGCATATTATTCCACCATAGAAATGCTGACCTGAGCACTAGTTGGATCTGTCCAGGACTACATCAGTACCCACCAGCTGGCTGACTATAGTGTCAGCGATGTCGGGTGGATCACCGCAGTGCTTGTGTTCTTGACCCTGTTCCTGGGAGTTCAAGTCGGGCCACTGTTTGACCGTTACGGTGCAAGGACATTGATGCTAGCAGGAAGTCTGGCTAATTTTCTCTGCTATATGCTGTTAGCCCAATGCTCTAAGTATTGGCATTTCATGCTTTGCCTCGGGTTCCTTGGCGGGATTTCCTCTGCCATCATCACTACAGTCTCTATCGCCGTCCTGAGTCATTGGTTCTATCGCCGCCGCGGCCTGGCTTCTGGCATCTGTATGGCCGGGTCATCGACAGGTGGAGCCATCATTCCTTTGCTCCTTCGTGCGCTTTTTCAGAGATACGGGTGGCTCTGGTCAATTCGGATCGTGGCTTTCATGGCTCTTGGGTGCTATGCTCTCGGTGTATTCCTGGTAAAGGAACGACTTGCCACTAGTGATAAGAGTCGGGCTACTATTGACTTCCGAGCCTTTGCTTCTCCTCGGCTTTGCTTCCTCGCAATGGCAGTCTTTTCCTTCGAGTTTATTATCTTTGGATGCTGCGCCTTACTTCCCACTTACGTCCGTTATGCGGGCCTTTCCGAAGATGTCCAATTCTATTCCTTGACCCTCCTCAATGGAATGAGTCTCTTTGGAAGGATCCTCCCGGGATTTGCAGCCGATCAACTGGGAAGATTCAATACCCTTTTAGTCATGGTCTGCGTGACTTTGATCATCATGGCAGCGGTCTGGTTTCCCTATGGAACCCATAATGAGGCTACTCTCTATGTCGTCGTCGCGATATTTGGTTTCGGGTCCGGCGGTTGGCTATCCCTGGCACCTGTCTGTGCAGGCCAGCTTTGCCGAACCCAAGACTATGGCCGGTTCTATGGGACGATCTACAGCGTTGCCTCTTTTGGAGTCTTGCTCACGGTGCCCATCGGAGGCAAGCTACTCCAGTCGACAACTCCCAAAGTTCTGATTGGGTTCTACTCAGCCGTATTGCTTATTGGGTTGGTCAGCATTACATTGTCCCGTTGGGCGCTGTTGAACTGGCGCTGGAAGTGGATGGTCAGAGTATAATTCGCTATGAGAACCCCACTCATGACATTTATGACATTGGTAGGGCTTTTTCTTTTGCTCGATACAACAACCAGCAAGCGATTTCGTTGCTGTGAAGCCAGTGTAAATTTGCCTCACTTTTCTTACAATATATTATTTCGAATACCAAGAGATCTGGCAATTTACACATTCTTCGTGTGGAATGTTCATTTTTTGCTTTCTCATAACTATCCAAGAAATCGTGGATCAACCTATATACCCATCCCGTTCCTAGCCAGTTGATATATTCGGCAACCACGACGAGATATGATTGAAATAGAGAAACAAAAATTGCTTGTCTCCTGAATATGCTAATAGGCTGGTAAAAAGCTAGACTACCTGCATTAGCCTGATAGAGACCTCCATAAATGCGTAGCTAAAATAACTAGATCCAAGGTTAGAAAGCAGGTAAAATGAAGCGTTGTACGTAGTCGGCCGCGCTTGCGGCTTATCCTGTCTTGTAGTCTTTCTCGTAGTCTTCTTAATTATATTCTCAAAAGCCTTCTCAGAAGCCTTTTCAGTGGGATTTCCAGTAGTTTTTATTAGTAGGTAATGATTTACTATATAAGAGCGGTCCAAAGTCAGGCATCTTCAGGCAGAAAATCCGATTTCCAGTGAAGCCGACCTGTGAGGGCTATACACCTTCGTAAGCGGCTTCTTGCACCGCACGGGATCATGAACATCAAATATTATTTTGATATAGCAGCGACTTACCCAGGTTACTAACTGGCTATTCGTTTCCATATATTTCCGATTGTCGCGGTTCGCGGATCTGCGGGAGCCAAGGGTCTCTCTTACTAGCATCCGGTGTCGCAATGAAGGCCAGGTCAACCGCGATATCAAACCGCAAGACACGTAGTGGCTGCATTACCTGCAGGTAAGTTAGGAAATTGACTTATTCAATCCTTCACTAACGAAAATATCTCTAGATCACGGTGCGTATAGTTCGTCAAATCCATCGACGAGAGTTCTGGTCCACTAACCGTCTGCCGTAGCCGTGTCAAATGCGACGAACAAAAACCATCCTGTTTGCGCTGCCTCACAACGCAGCGAATATGCGAAGGCTACCTAACTCCTCTTCAACAGACTCTGTCTCCCGACTCTTTGAGCGATGAAGAACGTCGAGCTTTCCTCTTTTTCCGCAGTAGAACTGCTCACCGAATATTTGGCCATCGTGATGTCAACAACTGGCTCCCTATTCTTCTGCAACTCGGGCATAACGAAGCGCCAGTAAGATATACTATCACTGCACTCGCCTCCCTGCATGAGAGCGTGGAACCTGGAAATGCTTCCGTCTCTATTCGTCCATCATCAAAGCATGCCCAGATGACCGCACGAATGCTGGCCTTGAGATATTATACATCTGCCATCAACTCTGTGCAAACCGAATCTCATACCATGTCCTCCCGGCCAGATATCGTACTGACGCTTTGTATCTTATTTCTCTGCTTCGAGCAGTTCCGAAGTGGAGATGCTGCCTGTCTTGTTCATCTCAAGTCTGGATTCAAACTGCTTTATTGGTGGAGATCTCGCACCGCCACCTATAATACATTGCAAGAATATTCTCGTCCTGCCCTAGATTATATCAACAACCAGATCACCCCAACGATGCAACGATTACGAGTGCAATTCTCCCTATGCATGGACTCTCGACACGCATTAAAGGATCTCGGCGTTCCACTGTGTCTACCACTTCCGCCAATCCCTTCATCATACACTTCGCTCAATAATGCCCGAAATGACTTTGACCGAGTCATGAACTACGTTTTCTCCTCCTCAGAGCGCGGACAGTCCACAAATCTCCAACTACCTCAGCGTTCTCTGACCACAGCTTTACGACAATGGAAGAAGGCTCTAGACTCTTCTGACTTCTCCACAGAACCTCCCCTGCTACGAGAATGTACCTACAAACTTCTAGAGCTCTACTTCCACGTTTCCATCATAATCACCGAAACATATAGCTCTCAATCCGAGGCTATTTTCGACCAATATACAGAAAGCTTCCAGAAAGCCGTCGATCTCGCCGCGAGTCTCACCAAAATCTGGAGACAAGAGCAGCAAGGGTTCAGTCTAATATTCAGTTTCGATCTTGGGCTCACCCCACCCATGTTCCTCATCGCCTCTCGTTGTCGCCATCCCGTGATTCGACGACGGGCTGTGAACCTGATGCTCGAGTCCCCGTTCTACCACGGCGCATGGCAGGATCGATATTCGGGTCTTTGTGCGCGGCGAATTCTTGAAATTGAAGAGGAAGACGCGCTGATTGTGATGGATCAAATAAATGTCTTGGATGAACACCGAGTTCGGAAGGTTGCTGCTGATCTTCAGGAGGAGCAATCTCAGATCTTGATGCAGTTTATTAGGTGGCCTTTTACTTTGGGTTCTCCGATTCACACTACAGTTATTGACTTGCAGGCTGAACTGTAGTTTGGAAAGAGAAGTACATTTGTACAGTCAAAATCATCAATTTATGCCTGAAAGTGTTGTGTTGTGTAGACCGGCCGAGTTAGAGACAAATGGATATCAAACGACGGCCTTACAGTATCATACTCCTGACCCATTTAAGGCTCAGAGGCTAGACGGCCTACTACTCTTGTATACAACAGAAACACATGTCCCTACAGTCCTCAGTTTTACACAAAAAGCCAACAGTCGAAGAAACCTTCGATCATGCAATTGGTCAAAGACGATGACGGAGTGGGTGACTAACCCTAACTCCACGGATATCGCTGCATAATGTAGAAAGGCCAGACTCATACGGTACAATAAAACAAATCCGGATGCCATACTTCAGAGAGTAAAACATTCAACCACATTGAAAAGATACCAAGCAAATAAACCCATATCGAGAGCATTGAGGCTCTCGAGTAGAAAGATGTAGACAAATGTGAGTGTGACGTTAATCCATGACGCTTCAAAGAGGAAAGAGAAAAAAAAAGAGGAGGAAAGAGAAGGGCGTTTCAAAGTCGTGCCAGCAAAGTGCGAAAAGGAGACCGAGAGAAAGATTAATTCAAAGGCCGGGTTGAGCATCAAATCATAATCAGGATAGAGAAGTCCCGCCGAAAAGCCCTGTTTGAGGCGAAGAGTACTGTCGCAGCACGGAGGGTCCCCCGAACCCACTAAAAGGAGCTGGGTGGCTATTACTAGGGATCGGGCTGCCAATATCGCCAGGCACAATGCTGCCCCGATGACCAGATACAGCGCTGCTGGGATCAGGCTCGAACCGGACACTTTGACCATTCGGGGTTTCCCGGATGGAGAATGAGCCACCACCATTGTGGGGGCTACCTTCTGTGTCGCAGATATCAAGCATTTCATCTAACGAGATCGGTGGTTCACTGGAACTGCGCAACTGCTCTACCTGGCCGAGAACAAGATTCACATCATGGAAACTTCCAGTACCCTTTTGCGGGCTAGTCATTGAGTTGAGATGCTTGCATGCTTGGATGACCAACAGGCGAATTGTCACAGGTCGGGAGGTATGCGGCCGGTGATGACCGCCGGGTGCAAAAGCATTATTCTGAGGCCATCCAGTTCCGGCCGAAGCGGGTCCCCATGCAGAAGCGCTTCCGGGGAAGGCGGAGCTTCCAAACGGTGTGCCCCATGTAGGGTTGCAAATGGGAGAACCCATGGCGAAGTTAGCGTGTGGTGATCCAAGAGAATCCGAGAACAACGAAGCTCCTTGGAAGCTCGCTCTTGTTGGGCCTGGGAACATCCCCGGCGCAGGAGCACCGGGCAAGGACTGAGACAGATTCGATGGATATGTAGCATCAGTGTCATCAAGGAGCGCACTGCTACCAAGATGGGCACTCAAGCCATCGACTTCTCGCTGTACTGAAGCATTACCATTGTTCTGTCGGTCGTGTGCTGAGCTGGATGGGCGCTTAATGGGGCTTGGGCGTGTGATGGGGAATGGTTGGGCTCCAGAATCCAATGGAGAGCGGTCAAACGAACTAGAAGGCTGCCTAGAGTGGGTTTTGGACAGTCCACTTTGCTGTAGAGGGAATGCGCCGGGCACTCCATGGTTGCCGGCGAAGGGAATACCGTGCACAGGATCAGCTGGGAAAGCTCGGGCGGGTGGTATGGGGCGGACGCCATTCATCCCAGGAGGCACAGGTATCCCGCCAGATCCATTGAATGGTCGCAAAGGATTCATCATGCCAGCATTCGACGAATACATCGATTCTGGGGGAAGAGTCGATCGGGGAGCCATTCCTGGTATGCCGGGGGGATTGAAGGGTAGACCACCAAGACCTGAGAATGCTGAAGGATTGGCGCGCCCTAAAGGTGATAGAGGAGCCGAAGGCTGAGGATGGTGCAATGGCGGCTGTTGATAAGATTGCCTAGCAATGAAAGTTGCCCCTGACTGCGGATGTCCCATGGAACGGGGGGAGATGGAAGGGTGGTGAGAGGAATCGGCACTATTAGGTTGGGAGTGAGGAGAAGATGTAGAAGAACCATGGTGAGACTGTTGGCGTGCTCTTCCCGGTGTCGAGACCTTGGGAATAACAGGTGTCGCCATAGGATGATGAGGAGACTGTAGGAAACCGGGAGGAGATTGAACACTGTATGGGATAACGCCTGGCAGAGTATGAGGTGGCGAGGTTCTGACTTGTTCGCGCTTTCCACCGCGATCTCGGATTTCCTGCTCTCGGGCAGCGTCTCGGTCTTTCCTTGCCTGCTCTTCACGCATTTTGCGCTCACGCTCCTCTTTAGCTTTCTTCTCCAGCTCTTCCTTTTCCTTGCGTTTGATTTCCTCTCGCTTCCTCTTCTCCTCTTTTTGTTCCCGTTGCTTGCGTTCAGCTTCGGCTTGTCGTTCCCGTTCTTCTCTGAGCCGTCGTTGCTTCTCAGCTTCTTTGCGAGCACGCTCTTCCTCTTGGGCCTTCCTTTCGGCTTCGCGTTTCTTTCGCTGCTCTTCACGTTTCAGTCGCTGTTCCTCGAGTTTCTTCTCTTGCGCAGCCTTGAGAGCAGCCTCTTCAGCTGCCTTCTCGGCGTCACGGCGGGCTTTCTCCTCTTCCTTTGCTTGTTTTTGCAATCGCTTCTTATCCTTCTTCTTTTGCGCTTCCCTGGCCTTTTTAGCATTACGTTGCTCATTCAACGTCTCCTCTTGAAGGAGCTCGTCAATTAGCTGTTTTTGGCGCTGTTCCGCGACTTTTTCTCGATATGCCGTCATGACTCGTTGCTCAAACATTCGTGCGGCGAATATTTGGAACATCCGTCGTCCTTCCTGCATGCGTTGTTCCTCGGTCATAGCATCCTATCACTGTCGTTAGCAAATAAATAACAGTACTAGGACACCATAGACACGTACCATTTCGTCCTCATCAAACTCTTCCTCCTCCTGACTATCATAATCCTCATCGTCTTCCTCATCGTCATAATCATCATCATCTAAAGGACCATGATTGTGCCCATGGAAAGACTGATGAGCAGCAGCTATTCCGTATTGTGTATCTTCCTCTCTTTGCATTCTCCGTTCGGCCAATTGCTCCATCATATCGATAAAGTGCTTGCCATCGTTTTTTAGCAGATCATCTGCAACTGTAAGGATTCCATCTAATAGAATGAATGAGTATCAGCGGTCAGAGGTCAACCCTTGTGATAGTGACCAGGTGATCTTGTCCATACCTTTTACAGTTAGACTGTTACCAAATGCAAAGAAATCAGCGCGGGCTGCTCGAGCTTCGTCATCCTCCAGATCATCATCACTGTAAAGCTCCTCGTCATCCTCGTCCTCCTCTTCCTCATCATCTTCCTCATCCTCCTCTTCATCTTCCTCATCATAATCCTCTTCCTCGTCGTCTTCATCTTCGGGTAACTCCTCAACCCGGCTCCGTGATGGATGAAACTGGCCCTGCGTTCGAGTATGTTGCCCTGGTGATCGAAGAGGTGGTTGATAAAGTCGAGGGGGAGGAATAATGGGAGCTCCTTCATCAAATGCGCCTTGATTATTGTTCGCATATTGTTCCAGCTCTTCGTAGTATGCGTCATAGAGAACTTCAAGCTCCTCTTCAATTGCGGTTCGTTTTCTTCCACAAACTGTACAACTGCAAGAGTGCTTTTGTTGTTCCTTCATTTTTTTCAGAACAGCATCCTTTTCGACCTTGACAAGCTGACGTCGCTCTTCTTCGCCGAGCTCAAACCAGAACGTCCTGATATTTTCGCGTTCTTCTAGGGTCGACTGGTTCCAGATGCTGCTAGTTTTCATAGGCTTTCCGGTGAATCGACTGATGTATGGCATGGCTTGAGGGGGAGGCGGGGGGTGAGAGTATGTGGCGGAGGGGTTTGAAAGCGGAGTTGAGCTTCGATCAGCGATATTGTGTGAGTTAGATCGGCCTTTCCTATTTTTCTTCCTTTTCGATGTCTCGCCTGAAGTAGCTTGGTGGTCCTCGGGTCCATTCATCGTGGGTGGTCCGCGGGCGTGTTGCGGTGACGCATATCCGTAAGTACCACCTGCCGCTGTATGGTCGTGATTTGCGAGGTCATATTCGTGGTCTTCGTCGCCCGAGTGATGCTCATCTGTTGCTAGCATGTCCGCATCTCCGGCGGCGCAAGTGTCTGGATGCTCCGCGGCTAAGCGGGCAGCTTGTTTTTGTCGACGCTTCTGCTTCTTGCGATTCACGGAGGGCGCAGGTGTTGTAGGAGTTTCGCTCGATGTGGTGCCTTGAGGACCCCGCGCGTGGGTCTCGCCGTTCGTTGCTGGCAGCGGAGTTGCTGACATACGGGTCGCCATGATGGAGGTGAAATGAGCTGTAGGGACTACCTAAGCAGCATACTGATATCGCCCGAACAGGCTGTGAGTTAGAGAAGCAATGCTAGAAAGGGTGGTTGGTAGGGTGAGGAACAGTGGAGAACGCAACAGCCAAAGAGCCCTACCAACAAAGCTCCGGCGAATCCACGATTTGGTGCTAACTTACCGGAGTTATTCTCCTTGGCGTACACACGCACAAAGAGTCAATCGCGCTCTTTGTTTTTTCGCTTAAAAAACACTTCCGTAGTGGCAAATGTGAGGGGTGAGATAGGATAAGAACACGGGAGGAGGGGGTTGAAAGACAATGATCTCGGCGGGTCACGACGTGTCTGCGCTTCGGACTAGGCCTTGGAGCGCTGGAGGACCAGCGGAGCAAATCAGGCAATGAGTCGAAGCCAGGATCAACAAGATATCAAGGCTCAGTGAGCGCCGAGGCGAGAGGTACGACAGATTGAACGCCAATGAATGGATGGAGTGATGGGCTTTCCAGCCTTCTGGCTGGTTGGTCGTGCCGCCGCAACGGGATAAGCGCCGCAAGCGAGCTGATGCCTGAATTGTCAGGGTTGAATCTCAAATTACACGCTCTTATGGAAATGGATTGGTTGTAAAAGCGTTTGATGAACTGATCAACTTGACAGTGTTAGATGACAACACAATTTCGGTTCAAATCGAGTAACATTTCTTGTTCCTGGAAGTAAACAAACTACACTTCGCTGCTTCATGTTGATCACTACATTGTCTCGAGTCACATGATGGGCAGCTTGGCCGTCTTCAATCTGCCGGCAGTAAATCCCCTGTCTGGACCAGGCGGTGAGGCCCTCGTCATCCCAAGGGGAGTCCATCTATGAGGGCCTCTCTGCTCCACCGGGTGAGACACGGAGAGCGCTAATTAAAAATATCTCCTACGGTGCTGAGGAAGAGGGCCGAGAAAACAAGGCCCCATAGGATGACCCGACGGAGCAGCTACCCATCTGTGTATCTAGGCCACAGTAGTCAAACCCGGCGTGAGCCTTAATAAATCTCCGCTTGGACTATTGTAAGCGCCCTCTTCCCCTTCATCTTATCCTACTCTCCAGCTCTGGCCTCTCATTAAAAAAAAAAAAAACTACCACTCACTCAATCTTTATTTTTCTCCTCTCTCCTTACGTCTATTCTCTCGAGGTCACATTGACAAGGATTCGACGGCAACCCTTCGACCCTCGGCCTCAGCCCCCAGACCTGCATCTTTGCCCCCTCCAATAACGCGGCACGTCACTATTTGGGTGCATCTTCAGGCCGCCCATTCGCTTTCCTCACCTCGTAATCCTCTTGGGCCACTATCTTTCCCCGGCCTTGACTCTCTTTACCTTGCCAATCGTAATTACCTCAATCTGACGAATTCCGCGTCGTCTTGAGTGCCGATCCACGATACCGTCCGCTCTACGACCACCCTTGTGTATCACCAAGGGTTCTACGAACATAATGTCGCAACAACAGGATGATAATGTGATGCGAAGGTATGTACCGTTCTGATCTGATGTGATCTCATACGCCTCCACGCGTGACAGGGAGATCACACAGCCGCCTGGAAGTGGCGGCCTAGCACTTGCGATACCAATGCTATTAGGAGCGAAGCCACGATGCAATTCGCATATGCTAATTCGAGATTCCGGATAGGAAGCTCGTGATTATCGGCGACGGTGCATGTGGAAAAACCAGTTTGCTCAGCGTCTTTACCCTCGGCTACTTCCCAACCGTGAGTCTACCCCAATGACACCCCTGTCAAGCTGGGCCCTGGCTAACCTAGTTCTTCTATCGCAGCATTATGTCAGTTTTCTCGACCACGAAACCATCCTTTCCAATCAAATGTCTGACATCTTTCCCCCCGCTAGGTGCCTACGGTATTCGAGAACTACGTGACGGATTGCCGGGTTGACGGCCGCTCGGTCCAATTGGCTCTATGGGATACCGCCGGACAAGAAGATTATGAGCGCTTGCGCCCACTGGCATACTCGAAAGCCCATGTTCTCCTGATTGGATTCTCTATGGATACTCCGGATTCGTTGGAAAACGTGAAACACAAGGTTCGTCTCAGATAGATGCAAAGACTCGGCAATGTACTGATCTGCGGTATAGTGGATCGATGAAGCAAACGAGCGCTGCCCTGGTGTGCCGATCCTTCTCGTTGGATTAAAGAAAGATCTTCGTGAAGACCCCTTGGCGATTGAGGAAATGCGCAAGAAGTCACTCAAGTTCGTGACGACAAAAGAAGGCAGCGACATTGCCGCGTCAATTGGGGCTCGCAAATATCTCGAATGCTCCTCGCTGACTGGCGAGGGTGTCGACGATGTATTCGAAGCAGCTACCCGTGCTGCATTGCTTACGTTCGACAAGCGAAAATCGTCATGCTGTGTGGTGATCTGATCATGCGATTTGGGATGTGCAAAATGCCGACTCTTTCTCTGCCTGCGCTCGGATTTTCTCTTGACTTGGAACTCGATTGGTACACTTTGGTCTCAACCGTGAAGGTATCAATCGACGAACCGTTGTATCATGCATCACTGGCGTTTGGGAGGTTCTTATGCTAACCCGGTCGATTGATCTGGGTACGATGTCTGCTTGCCAGTTATTTTCGGCCGTGTCTTTACTCTTGCGGGCACTTTCTTCCGTCTTTCCTTTTGCTCACTTGCGTTTTGGTGTCTGATGCTTATGCACGTGCAACTCCGGATTCCCCTCCTTTTCATCACTCAGTCCCCCGAAGTACATTGCGATCTCATTCATTATGTTATTTCCTTTTCATGTAGTAATCTCGGTCAATTTTTTTAGCGCTCTCACTACATACATTTTGCTCATGGCCTGTCCGGTTATCATATAATCAAATCTCTTTTCTTTTGGCAATTTGCACATCCATGAACCTAACAGGCTCATGGATACCCCGTATACCCTGCTACACGAATGCCAAAGCATACAAGCATAGAGCGTGTTGAGCCCAACCAAAGCGATATGGGATTTCGAATAAATAAAGTAAATGCATATGATACAAAGCGCCAAAATGATACATATATCCTGGGCCCTCCAGTCTGAATCTTCAATCCGTCAAATCCAACCAGACAACCTCTATTTCTGTCCAGGCTTCTTCCAGTCATAGTTCCAGCCCTCAGCAGGAGGAGACTCAGTCTGCATACGAGCATACTCGATAGGGAACATATCAGTGAAAACACCCTTCTTGTTCATCGAGACACGGAACAGCTTGCCACCATCACCAGCACCGGTGCGCAGCTCCTCACAGGCATCGTGCATACTCTGGTACTGGCGCATGAGCTCAAGTTCCTGCTTGCGGCGCTGCTGGGCCTTGAACAGTTGCCACGCGCGGTGGATAGTCCAGTGGCGGAGATAACGGTTACGAGAGAAGCGGAGGGGACGAGGGGTGAGAGGGTGGTGGAGGAAGTAGCGGATCAGAGCTATATTTGTTAGTTTTGGATTTCTTGGCTATATAAGTGTTTGGTTGGGAGGGGATCGGGATTGGACTCGGGTGGGGAGGGCTCGTTGGGGTGGACGCGACACGTACTAATGCGCTTGTCGGTTGGATTAGGATTGCCCTTTCTAGCGGCCATTGCGCTGGTGGTAGAGAATGGCGCCGATTGCAGGGCTGCTGTGACTGGGCCGGGCTGTGTTTGGCGGTTCAGGGTCTCGTGGCAGGCCCGGGTAATTGATGGGCGGACCGGCGCCATGGACATCGGGATCTTGAAGACATTCGCGAGGGACGCGAGAGCTGGTGATAAGGACTTCATTGTGATGGTTGTCTGTTGGGTGGGAGGAGTGGAAAGGGCTCGATGCAATTGAGTTCCACGGGGAATAATTCCTTGATGGCAGAATCTTGTCCGCCTATTTAGCCGCGCGCTTGTTGAGATCAACATCCCCTGCACGCATTCGTCTTTACTTACCTACCTAGGTAGCTACGATGCAATCTGTCAGCTTATTCGGAAACGAGAACGCCAATAGTTGGAATCTGTGATAATATGTAATCAACTCAATATATACTCTTTCTCAAGCCAGTTTTGAGATTTGAAAATATCTACATGTAGTTACAAGTCACAGGGTCCATACATGTATTTTTGAGCAATATTATCAGTTGACTTTTATGTCAAGCAGGGAAACAATGAGATATACAACAATATCAGGGTCATCAGAGGCATTATATGTGAAATTTCCCACCCGAGCGTTCGAAGAGAATGCCATAAAACGCCATAAAATGCAGTCGATGCGCCGGAGATAAACAAAGGTGGAGTGTTAGATGATGAAACCAAGATTGGCCCGTTCAAACCTATTCAGCAGAGCGTCTTGTGCTGAGATGCTTCTTGGCTTGCTCATAATTCAGGACCTTGCGGCGGCGGTGTCCTTGAGCCAGTTTCCACCGGCAGTAAAGGACCAGTGCGTCCTTTAAGAGCACAAACATACATCCGCCGACAATACTGCGGCCCCAGCGACTCTGCAGAATACCTGCGCGGGCACGTCCAAAGATTGAGGTGAGTGTAGATTGTGGTGTTGGTGTTGTCCACGCCGCAGGCAGAGCATACTTCAACAAGCCACCCATTGAAGCTGCAATCGCCGGGAAGACAAGTGCCCCAAGTACAATATCAGCGAGATTGCTGGTATCGTTAATGATCTCATGACGGTGCCTCCCAAGTCCCAATCCGTTGTTTTGATCAGCGTCTTGCGCTTGTTCGTTCGGACCACCACCGTCGGCATCCTCGTTTTGCCCCATGGGCAACTCGAGATCTACATCATCACCATCACCCAGTCCCATTTGCAACTGTAGGTCAATCTCCATCAGGAAATTTCCATCCCCCTCATCATCAAATCTGTTGAGACCCTCCGCCTGGTCTTGTTCTTGTGCATCATCCAGGGTTTCTTCAGTGGCGCGAGGCTGTACTTCGGCAATCCATTTACGTTCGAGGGGACCGAATATCCGATCATAGACCAACCCATAGAAACACTTGATATATGGTAGCGTGGAGAACGCCATAGCCGGACTTGGTGGCCATAACTCGCCAGTCGCGGGCCCCGGATGATGTGAAGTGAAGAAAAGAATTGGAATGGCCGGGAGAAGCCCCGAACCATAGCGGGTGCGAGAGAATATCAAAACAAGAGGGATTAGCGGCAACCCGACAGCCATCGAGGGACTCCATGGGCCATTCATGACCTCATCGAAGAGCTCTGTAGCTTCCTCGGGCCCGAAAACGATTTGCATTGAATAAACCCCGTGAACCAGGCAACCAGCCCACAAAGTACCGGCCACTGTGAACATCATGCCAGGAAGAACCAATCGGCCTGCTGCTCGCTCGATCAATCGAAGACCGTCGACGACATAGCTCCGCGGACGAGCGACAACAATCTCCGTCTTGCACTGGGGACACGTCATTTTCGCGGTGCTGTTCCTGCGGGACCTGGGGTTCTCCATGTCTGCAAGCCAGTCGAGGAGACATGCCTCATGGGCTGTCAAGGCACAAGGGCAAGGCGACCGCCATTCCAGGTTGAGCGGTGAATCCTCCGTTTCATCTGTGTAGCAGATCCAGCATTTGCGCGGTTCGTCGTCATCTGAGGCATGAGATGATTTTGAGGATTGTGTAAGAGATTTAGTGGAGGTCTCTGGTCCATGGCTTGGTGTTGATATGTCTTTATTCAAGAAAACAGTTTCAGTGCCCTCCAACTCCTCCATCGAACCATCTTGAGCTGAGGCGTTCTCTTGATGTGTTGAGCTTCCATCGGAGCTGGCAAGGGTGGTGCCATCAAAAGACCTAGTTCTGCCTGCTGCAGAGTATTCTGGTACGGACGCCATCGTAGTTGAGACAAGGTGTGCGATTTGAGGCCAATGCGAGATGCGAGAGTGTGTGATGATAATCTAAATCGAGCCCAATATGAGATTAAGGGTGGGGTTCAGCATCTTCTGGGTGCAGTAGTGAGCAATGTGAGTTGGCAAAGCAAATAGACGTCTGTTGGAGATCTGAGCAAGAGCACTGAAAGAGATGAGTTCTATTGTCTTAACCGGATGTTAGAGTCTCTTATGGTGGCAGCGAGCCGCGGCTGTGAAAGGCGGTCAGTGGAGGCAATCACGTCACATTGGCTGCTCAACCGGAAATGGCAGTTGATCAACTTCCCGACATCTTGATAGTAGAACAGACCATTTTTGCTTCCAGATATATTCATAGTTTGGACTTTTATATAACCCACTAAAGAATGGTTGAGTACAGGCACTCCGGATGTTCAGGGGTGCCTCTATCTGCACTTCTACCTATGATACCAGCCGTGCAATAAGCTCAGCTTAGGATCTGTGGCCACAAACTTCCTACGGTGTACGGAGTATTTGCCTTGTATACATACCTATTATGTAGCAGGTGCTTGGATTTCAAGCTGTAGGTCCCAAGCGTCTATATAGCTGGGTTCTGAGTCTACTCGAAGGGCAGAAGGGTATGTAGGTTTGGCGGGGACATCGCTGATCATGCAATCCGACCTCGAAGTCTGGAATCTATGGATTCACAGCACATCAATTATAAAACATCATGGTTTCCTACGCTCAGGAGAGATTGGAGCTGGAATTGAAATATGGACAATAATTCATTGATTAAATAAGCATTGAGAAAAGAGTTGTGGCGCGAGCGATCGGGTGATCCAGGCTTCGCGAAGACGATATAATAGAAAAGCGAGGGGCAACTAAATGACACACTAAACTATTGCTCAGAGTGAATGTTGCCGTCCGACTTCCTCTTGCCATCAGCCGATGCAGCCATGCTCTCAATGGTGTCATCCAGTTTAGATGGAGTTGGGACAAATTCAGTTGTCGCCTCGGCGACAGGTTCAGGTCCGGGTTCAGCGGCCTTGGTCTCAATCGCACTTCCTTCTTCCTCATGCTCTGATACAGGTGTCTTGACCACCGGAGACACTTCGGCTGGTTCCGAAACCTGTTCTGACGCCTCGATCGAGGTTTGGATAGGAGGGACCTCCGTGGATATGGTCTCGGAAAGGGTCATGTCCTCCGCAACAGGAGCTTCAAGGGCTGAATCTACAGATTCTCCGGCGAGATTCTTGGCAATTGGAGGTGCCATTGGCTTTTCTGCAGGAATTGATGGTTCTCGCACCGCAACAGGTGGCTTTTCAGCCATGTGATTGGTTCCGATAATCAGGTTGCCATCCTGGCCAACATGCCAAATATTCAAAGATTCCGTCATCCTAATTTCAGGAATGGTCGGGAGTTTGGGACCGGTCTTCTCGACGGCGGGTTTTCGTCGTGCTGGGCCACGGGCTCTTCCCTTGCGAGCATCGCTGAGAGGTTGTTTCTCGACCGGAGCCTCGGGCACCTTTTCTTGAGGCTTCGGCTGCTGTGGACCCAGCTGCAAACGTGAGTTCAAATCAGTGAGGAAGCCCGCCTTCAAAGCTGCGATTTTGCTTCCAACGGGGCGAGTAGGGATTGCAGGCTTGGCCTTGACTGGAGGTGCCTCTCTTGAAACTTCGGCCGTGTTTTGTGAGGTCTGGAAACTGGGTTTGACGGGGCGATTAGGGACCTGGGGCTTGGGTCTGTCGGGAATTGTAGGTGGCTGGCGCTTTTCGGTTGGCGAGATAGACTGGGGCTGTTTCTGTGGGCGTGGGGGAATTCCAGGCCTAGAGGGGACTTCTGGGCTCTTCACTTCTTCCTTCGCCGGTTGGACAGTGGTCACCAGGTGGTGACTATCGGGTGCATCTTCCCAGATATCTCTACTAGGGAAACGTTGTTTGAATGTGTCTGGGCGCACGGGGGCCTTTTCCTTGGTACTTTCACCTTCAAGGATATGAGCGGCCACTTGATGTGAGTCGACCTTGGTGGTTTGCATCCTGCGAGTGGCCTCTTGCTCGGGGGTTTCGAATGACTCGGAAGAGTCCCGCTTAGGCAAATCGGGAGTGGTCACTGTGGCATGAAGCTGCAGACTGTTGGGGGTGTCCTCCCAAATATCCTGACTGGGGAATCTATGCTTGAGTGTGTCTGGCCTTTTCTTGAAACGATCCGCAGCTGACACAGTTTTCTCTTTCTTGGCATCCTCTTCAGGGAACAAGGGCTCATATTCCTCAACATCTTCAAGAGGTGTGTGCGTATCGTCCCGCGAGTCATAGCGAGTCAACACCGGGAATTGTCCCTGTACGCTAGCTGATCGACTGTTAGAACGACTATGCGTCACACTAGGGGTCCGACTGCGGCTATCATCCTCAAAGCTCCCATGGCGATCGAATGTCGGTGAGACGGCGGGATGTAAGTAGGCTGACTCGGGGCGCCGTTCATCAGCAGCCAAGATGGGTTGTTCCATGTATTCTTTCTCGAATGTTGGTTCGCGCTCTTCCACTATTGGGGTTGGGGCAAACCCGTCCGGGTGATGTAAAGGATGCATCGGATCGTCCACATGGATCACACCACCCTCAATGTGTCCGTGCGAGTCGGATCTGTTGTGATGCAGCGGGCTTGGAATTGGCTGCTCCTGCACACCTTCTGAGGGGAAACTCATTTGTCGAAGTGGCGACTCGGTGGTCGGTTGGGTTTCATGTCGAGATTCAAGCGGCGGAGACGCGATGCGTTGCATGTACTCGTCGGAGGCCATGTAGCCGACCTCCTCTTCGGGGGTTCCCACGACTGTTGGGGAAGTGCCTATTCATCATTAGCTTTCAGGCGATGGCAGAATCGCTTCTTATACTCACCAAGACCAGAACCAGTCTGGGCGGAGCTGCGAACAATCTTGTTCAGATCGTCACTGCTCATTGCCCAATCGGGACGCGGAGTGCCAACACCAGGGCCATATTGTCCTTCTTCCTTCGCAAATTCATCCGGATGTTTTTCATACCAAGCCTTCTCAAACTTATCGGGATGCTGAACACCATGCCCATGCAAGCCGTAGCTACCGGGGGGAGGGAAGAATCACGAGCACTACGAGTGCGATTGTGGTTACGGCCCGAGCGCTGGGAGCCTTGGTCGAGGTACGGGCTTGGGGATGGTGCTTGAACGTCACCGGCATGGGGATACATGGGCACTCGGAAACCGGATTCCTCTCCAAACTGAGCAGATTGTCGACGATCATTGGAAGCAGTGGATGATTCGGCTCGCGAGCCGCTCGCCCGGGAATGTAGTGAGCGACTTGAGCGTTCTTGTTCCTCGCGACCAGGCGAAACACCACGGCCCAGTCCTGCGGCAGCAGCCTGCCGGGAATCGGTACGGGTGACAGGCTGCACTTTTGCTTCAGCACTTGATGTAGGCAACGAAGGTCTCGGGGCATGGATCTTGAGATCACTGCTAACATTGCGAGTCTCCGCGGGGATCTGATGATGGGTATCCGGCATGTTTCCCGGGTCTAGGTCCGCATATTCGATGCCTTCCTCGCCGAGAGACGGTATTGTGACACTAGGAGGGCGTGGGGGCAGGTCATTCGAGATGGTACGACTTATTCCAGGGCCATTCCATTCATTGAACGGGGAGGGAGCATAGCTATCACGCACGGGCGAATCCGAACGATCATTGCGGCGATTTCCCGGGCGTGGCGGTATTCTGGGCATTTCTAACGATGACGATGGTTGGGGAGATCGAGCCGGTCGAGGGGGGATGACCGGAGCGGTTTGAGTCGACATGATGAAGTACAGGTAGGAGCTATCGACGAGTCAGCGGCAATCCACCTGAATACCCCATGAAGACGCTTGGCACTGTGCAGGCTCGAGAGTCACTGAGCCACGACCCCAACCGACTTGCAGGGATCAAAAGCAACCCAAGCCGCTACTGTGGAGATGCATCTAATTCACGCAAGACCGTCGAGAGCAGAGGGACCCTGCAACTGATAAGAGTATGCAGAATGATTTGCTTACCCAGATGTCCTGAGATCCAAGTCGAGTCCAATTGAGACGACAGTCAAAAGCACGCAAACAAAACAATCGAACACAAACTGCACAGCAGTAGATCTTGAGAACCGAGACTGAGTTTTGGGAAAGAGAGATGATGTATGTCTATATACGGAGTACGGAGTACGGAGTACGTACCATACAGTGACAGGACGCCAGTAATTTCACCGCCCTTGGCCCCATATTATTCACGGCTGACACCGCCTTCTTTGCTGATGTGGACATGTTGTACGGAGTACTTCCAAGGTTCCAAGTACATCCATGGATCATCAGAACGCCCTTAAATTGTACAAGCTGCTCTTTCGTGAACATAAGGCTGGATCATTCTCTTTAACTTCTAGAACCATTTCTATGCAACATACTAGCCTATTAGAGATACTTATGACATATGGGATATCTTTTTCTGCCAGCAGAATATTATTTAAAGAGGATTCGAGCCCGAAGGACAAATAGGGGGCCCGGCAACTAAAACGAAAATGGAAAGGTCTGTACGTTCTTTCTGCCGACAGCAGATCATTCCCGTATTGGATACCGTATCATTACATGATTTATAGGAACCAACGATAGCGACACGTTACATTCAACGCCCCGCCGATGAGATCAGGATAGAGCCTTGATTTCAAGTACAGAAACGAGGCATTTTTACCTTTTGAACCCTGCAAATGCCTCATATCAATATTTATGTACGATGCAGTGGCCAGACCATCAATACCGTACCTGCAAGTCATAGATTACCACATAGCGTTCTTTGTCCTTAATATATCTAAAAATATCGACTCAGGAGGTAATCTAGAACTTGGCTATTTCCTCACCCGGTTGTTCCTTCTCCTTTGACTTGCGATAAGATGATTTCCTGGTCGTTGGATTGGCTGGCCAGACCGAGGCGGTGAAAGGCCTATCATGGTTCTCCGCATTGCATCATCGGGGATTTGCATCCTCATCTATGCAGCCATCTACATGTATACAACCCACTATTCCAGTCAGAACTCATCACTTACTATTCCGAGGCCCCAAAGATCGGGATCTATACTCACCTTCACAGCATTATTGCCTCTGATTCTCAAAATGCAGAGACGTCCAAGGTCGGGTTCCACTCACCGAAACAGCGAGAATACCCGCCACAATACGATCACCAAGGCTAAAGGAATTTGCGGGGTAACATGACCTATGACCAATGTTTCAAGATTCACTTACACGTTCCTGGGCTCTAGGCGCCAGGTAAGATCCCTGGTTCAAGCCAAACCCACTCTTTGTCTCATGCGTGGTGAGCTGGGCAAATACAATCTGCCCAGGTGGTCACATTCCGAGGTTGTCGCATAAACGCCATACAGACTATAAAAGCGCATGCCCATACGTGGTCTCGGATCGTCTCGATAAGGTATTGGCAATCCTACGCCTACTTTGAGCCAAGGCACCATCATTTCCATATATTTCCACCGAGTCCTATTGGTGGAATTGTTAGGATCAGGCAGTCGTAGATTGCACCCATCTGCCTATCTAGCCCCTGGAGACCTCGGGACGCATATCTGATTGTGTATCCATTGGTTTCAGGCCGAGGTTCATCCACATGGCAAGAGATATAAGGGTCTTGTTTCTGGGCACTGTTACGTCGGGTACCCAAATGCTAGCATAGGAGCCTACAGAAATAGGGCATCGTCCACGTATGTGCCGTGAGCCTGGGCCAAGCGACGACCTTCTACTTATCCTAGCAAATGGCCCGAAGTGCAAGATAAATGGAAGTTACATCGTAGGCTAGGTGACTACCTAGATAACCTGGCCAAAACAATCAGCCAAACATGATGAAAACACACTCTTTATTATCTCAGTCATAACACCTATACTGGGCGGACTCAGTCCGTAAAAACGAAAGGAAAGCACGGATATATCTGCTGTAAAAACGCTCATCGACTTTGCAAACAAAGACATGCTCAGCCGGATCAACCCGAACCAAACCGAGACATACAAGTACAGAATAATAAAATCACAAAACGGTATCATAGCGCATCCCAATGCACATTGCCCAAGGGGCATTTTATTCTTTGCAGCATTCGCATCGAACATCTCGTCGTATCGCCCCGTCCTTCACTCGCCAGCATCCTTCAACTATAGGTCCAAGCATGGACAAAAAAGGGCGGGAACAGCTCACGGCGAACGTGACATTAGACAATCATCTGCGCAACTCCCTGACCACCCAGGGTCTTGCTGCCAACAAACTCCTGTTTCGAGATGCCTGCAAGGGCATAGAAGATCGCTGTGATGATAAGGAAAACAGCGCCAGCAATTAAGCTCGACGCCCTTTCGCAAAGACTGACGAATTGGATGCCACTCAGGACGGCATACACAGCGGCGCGCATCCAGTTGGTGGTAAAGCGGCGGATGAAGGAGTCGAATTTGGACGAGGTGGGACAGATTCGAAGAAGGAAGGGAACTTCAATGAAGAGGATGATGAATGCCGAGCAGCTGGCACATGTTAGATTATCGTAATGGATCAGCGAAAGATGAGTGCGACAAACATGGACAAGATACTGATGATAATCAGAACTGCGTTGAAGGAGAAGATGTTGGCAATCCCGAGCGCAAGACACAGGATAATACACAGCACACCCGACCTAGATACTTCGTTAAATCAAATCCTTCCAATGTAAGCTTATTTTTGGTGAAGCAGGTGGGAAATTGTTCACAGAGAGTATCGGATTCAATCAAAGTATCCGATGCTCTCCGGCGACACTTTCGAGCTCGAAAAGAGCCCACCGTTTTGTTGCAGGAAAGTGACACGATTGACTAACCATTGGCCATAGATGCCTAGAGGAGGACAGCAGGGTTAGCAAACTGAATTGTGGGATCGCAGCTTTTGGATACCTACTGAAATTGCGCGAGCGAAGCTCTTCGCCAAACGACATGATGAGCTAGTGGATAGATATCGAGAAACTGGGGACGAAGATCAGAGACGCAGAGTACACGGATGATCAGAGGTGTCAGAGAGGGTCCGGCAAAGTGTACACGCGGTTGGGGCTTCAAGGCGGTCAAAGGCTGAAACAAACAAAACAACGAGACGGCACGGTCAATTGAGCAACGTTTGAATAAGATGAATGCAATTTGGGATTGTTTCTTCCGTAGGTTACCTAGCTTTTCGATGTGTTGACTGATAGAATCAACGTTGGCCCAAGTGCGAGTTCACCGCCCATCATCAGGCGTCAAGATTGGGAACCACCAGGCCGCAGCATTCCTATACACAGCCGGTGTTTCCGGGGCTCCTGATCCTAATCCCGAATCCAATAATATGGAGTAGGGAGAAATCAACAGTGTGGTTCTCAAACAATGCATGCACTACCTGATAGGTAGCTTGATCGCTGTGATAGGAGGATTTCACATGTTTCCAACCCCATCCTTTTTGCAGTTGTATATTTGAGCAGACGACAGAGCCGATGACTTCCTAGTCAGGACTAATGGTGTGTGTGAAAAGACCGAGTCTAGACACAGACCGAAGGGCTGGGCAAGGATACCGAAGCCCAAGAATAGCTCCATGTAGGTATTCACCAAGCAACGATACCAGTCGCGATGTTCAACATTGGAAGATACGCTTCATGACACTCCGGAGTCGTGACACTAAGCAGTTTTGATAAGCCCTTCCTACTCACAGAGCATATGGCTTCCTACCTATTCGCCACACCATAACCGGGTTCTACAGCCTGATGGTTCAACGCCCAAGCAAAGATCTCGATCCGTTACACACCAATGGTTCTGTTATCCTCCACGGTTGAACAGCATACTGCAGTTGCACAACGGCCATTCAACCGCTAGACTCGAACATAAATAAAGACCACAAGCTGCCACATCTTAGACTCTGTCTTTTCAATCTTGTAACTGAAAAATTCACAAACTTGAAGTAAGATTAGTACTACTTCAGAGGTACACACTCTTTACAACACCATGCATTCTATCATCCCAACGGCTCTAGCCTTACTCTTTCTACAAGCGCAAGCTCTTCCCACAGATAACACACTCGACGATTTCGTTTTCCCAGCTTTCGTTCCAGTCCCTTCCGATACGAGCTACAGACTCTGTACTCAAGGCTGTTTGCCAGCTGCTCTACTCTGTGCATATGTGGTATGTATATCCCTGTTTAGTTTGACAATACTTCCTCAACATCCGAGTCGATGCCGAATTGTCATATTGATCAATAACCCGTAGAGCCCCCCAAATGCAAGTGTATGTGGTGCCGTCGGTTTCTCGAGTCCTCTTCTCGAGTGGTACACACATAGGGGCTTCGGTCCTATCACTTTGGGGTGCACTGCACCTGCTACTCAGCCGGCTTGTTGGAGTTGTTGTGTTGATGTCAGCCCTACCATTTAAATAGCATAATTTTATAGGATTGGCCCATGGGAGGCAACTGGGAGATACGTATCATTGGTTAGGTAGTTTGCTTCTTTGGTAAGGCTTTGTAGTATGCTTTACCTCATTTCTGAGTATTGAAGGCATTAACATGTTAGCGCACTGGATTCAAACCAGTTGGCATGTACGATGTTACTTAGTTGAAAAGTGACAGGTAACGAAAGTACAGTTTGATTACGAGTTCTCCATATCGGCTCTTTATCAGGCCACCTATGATGGATTTACATGGACAACAGCGATTAACACACGTATACATAGGTCACACAGTGAAAGCTTTGTGTTATAAATTGATATCTCGTCTCACCAACTATCTCCTTAGAGCGCACCGACTATCTCCCTCGAGCGAACCATCTATAGCCCTGTTGAACAACACTATATTCGACCTCTATCATCCAATTGCCAGCTTCTGCACTTGCCCTAAAGCATATACCTGAAGTAAGGAGAGCGATCACCCAACGAGTCCGGATTTTCAGGATATTCCGAAGGATCCATAGCGTCACGCTTACGGTTGATACGCTGGTACGTCAGCCGCAGAGCAACAGTCGCCACCATGCCGATGACAACAAAGCCCAGCTCGAGAGAGTGGCCAAGGATATATTGCGGTGCATCCTGAGCGCGATAGAAGTTTGAAGCCATGGCTATTAGTAAAAATCATTAGCTTGAATCTCACGTTCACATTTGGTACATGATCCTTACCTCCTGACAAGTTTCCTAGTCCAATAAAAATCGCCATACCGGCAGCTCGCTTGTAGTCGCCTGCCATGTTGACACTGAGCCATGTGACGTTTCCGGGGAATGCTGGGTAAATTCCTGTTTGGGGTTTGGGTTAGTTTGGATGATAATGATACTGCAGTCTGGATACACTTACCGACGACTGCGACGAAGATGCCGAAGTACATAACCCCAGGCACACCACGTCCGGTAGATGCGAGACAGATGATAAAGCCGATACCAATCATGGCCATGAAGAAGAGAATGAATGGCGATCGCTGCTTGCGTTTGTCCGACATATATGCTGCACCGACGGCTACAACTGCTGCGGTGATATAGATCGGTACCTGATTTGATATGGTCAGCTCCGTCCTGGCAGGGGGAAGTGCACAGGAAACTCACAGTAAGCAGCTGGGCAGTTGATGATGTGTAACCCAGATCTTTGATAATCGATGGGAGGAAAAGAGAGATGCCGTATAGCGGACAGGTGATACCCCAGAACACTGTTTGCCAATCAGTCGCAATCCTTCAGATCATTAGGTACAGAACAAACTTACTGAATAGACCCAACCAGATTTGCCAGTCAGTCAAAGCATCAACGACATAGCTAACCTTGAATTTATCATCCGTTTCGACCATTTCGTGCGAGCCGGAGGAATTTTGGGTTCGCAAACTGTGAATGACAAACCGACGTTCTTCCTCGGTTAAGAAGGAAGCAGTTTCCGGGGAATCGTGAATACCGAATGGGGCGATGAAAGCAACAAGAACAGTAAGAATACCTTCAAGGATGAAGATCCATCTCCAACCAGCATATCCGCCAACACCGTCCATTTTCTAACGACATCGAGGCAAGTTAGTTAATCGCTGAGTTTCTCTCAGACGGGGTTACCTACCGCGATACCAAATGCAAGAAGCCCAGAGAATGCACCTGCGACACTAGCTGCGCTGAAGAACATGGCTTGTCTGAATTGTGCTCGGTGGCGGGGATACCAGAGGGTGATATAGTATGCCACACCGGGATATAGACCGGCTTCTGTTTTCCGCGTTACAATAATTAGCTCTGAAGAGAAAGTGCAGGTTCCAAGGGAGGATTAGGCCACGTACCTGTAAGTCCAAGACACAGACGGGTTGCCAGCAATCCTCCGTAGTCATTGACAATCCCCATCAAGGTCTGTTCACAGAAAATCCGTCAACAAGATTGGTTCAAACAGTTCTAAAGTGGGCACTCACCATGACAATTCCCCAAGCAAGCATGATCAATGGAAGCCATCTGGAGGGCCTCAGCTTCTTTAGAAGCAGATTACTCGGCAATTCGAAGACACAGTAGGTAAAGAAAAAGACGGTCACTATCCACAAGCATGCGTTAGTTGGTTATTATCATCAAAACAAACACATTGGATCAGACAGCATCATACAAGTCCAATTGTATTGGGATCCCGTCATGTTCAGGTCATCAACAAGACCCTCGATTTTGGCATTGCCAATATTTCCGCGATCTAAAAAGGCCAACAAGTATAGAACTGATAGCGTAGGAATGAGATGAATATCCATCTTCCGGAGGACAGCCTCCTCGTCAATCCCTTCGAAGTCCGGTGAGCCGAGGCTAGATGGTTCCGCATCTTCAGCCGCGACTAGCCCATCTTTCTTGAGATCCGTGCTGTATACAGAGCCTTGAGCAATTGTATCCTCAAGCTGCTGTAGAGAGGCCTTCTCGGCGGTATCCTTTGAATCAGCCATTGGGGGCAAGGAGGGATGAGAGAAGAAAGAGAATGGAACTTCAACGCGGATGTCATTCCGCGAGTATTTATATGCGTCGCAAGGGCCCTGTATACAGTACCCCGGAAACTGGGGTGATCGCCCCTTGGCATGCGGGGTATTGGTACTGGAAGTGTCCATGTCAGGCAACTTTTAGGACCAGAAAGACCTCGCCAGCCTCACAGCAATGGCCTTGGCTCTTTGAATGTTTAGCCGGACTGCATTTGCGCAGAATTGTCCGCTTAAGTGGGCTTTTTGAACTCTCCGTGAGTGCGACTGCGCCAAACGTACATGTAGTTAAATGCTGCTGAGTGACATGATACAACGGAATGCTATCTTGGACATTTAGAATCCAGATCTACCTCGCCCCTGGGCCCTGGGGCAAACCATTCATAATTGATGGTAATCCAAATATCTCTGTGGCTGTAGAACTTGCTGCTGTGCTAAGACCAATCTAAAACCTCCAGTAGTGAAGGCGCGTAAATACCCCCTCGTCGGAGTCTTCTGTGGGGGTGATGGCGCATCTTTGTAACGCAATAACATAAAGAGATAACACCATATGATTAGAGAAAGAGGCATAAAGAAACGACCTCGGGCCTACGGAGTATACACAAAGTACATGTAAGTACATGTATATAGAAGTCAGCCAAGTACATGTAGCCATACTTTTACCTTGTTTCGTTTACATAGTAACATCCTAATATGCCCCTTCTGATCAATGATCCAGATCCCCTCCAAGGTACGATTGTATATCCGCTACGGTATACTCCGTAGATTTATTCCCGATTGCATTGGGCACAAATGCGCTGTATGTGCTAAAGCACGTACAGTTTGGGGTACCTTGGCTACTTTGGGGTAACTTTCTTGGCAATCCCTAATGGGTCTCTTGTCCCGCGTCTTATTCTTAACCCTAATTTATTCACGCAGGAGCAATAACCCATTCGTATCTCGAGCTTCGACCTCGCTGTTTTTTTCCCCAGTCTACCTACATGGGTTTCAGCCACTCAGCCACCAGAGTACATCGATTTGCCCCCTGAGTTATCTCACATTCTGGACGGGAAAAGATCCGATCACATTCCATCATCATAGCATCATAACACCATAGCCATATAACCTCACTCTAAGGCGAAACAGTCCAGTCGCCATGACTTTCAATCGACACTTACCTATCTCACAGCATTCGCTTCTGAAGATCCTCCAAACTTTCTGAAGATCTTCCAAACTCTAAAAAAAAGCCACAATGCCCTCAACTCCATGGACCAGACCTGATACAAGCACCCGCCCAATCGCCGTCATCGGCGGCGGCGTGATGGGCCGCCGAATCAGCATGATGTGGGTATCCGCCGGGTATAAGGTAATTTTATGCGAGAAGGAAACCTATGATCCAAGCGCAGCTGTAGAATACATCAGCGCAAAGAAAGAAGAGCAAGCCAACAAACTAGGCACCACATCCGCGGAACTGGAAACGACATCATCTCTCGTCGAGGCCGCCTCGAACGCATGGATGGTCATCGAAGCCATCCCGGAGAGACTGGAACTGAAGATCGAGCTGCTCGCCGAGATTGACAAAGTCGCTCCGCCGGACTGCATAATCGCCAGCAACTCGTCCTCGCTGCGGACCAGCCAGATGATCAGCAAGACGGAGAAGAATTACCGTATTTGCAATGGGCACTACTACATGCCGCCGGAGCAGGTGTATTTCGAGGTGATGTCGTGTGGTTACACGGATCCGGACATCTTCCCCTTTTTGATGGAGAAGGCTGAGTCGGCGGGGTTCAAGCCTGTGCATGCAAAGGTTGATTCGACTGGTTTGGTGTTCAACCGGATTTGGGCGGCGATCAAGCGGGAGGTTTTGCTTGTCCTTGCTGAGGGGGTGAGTGATGGACAAACCGTTGATGAGATGTTCAAGGGTTGGTTCAATGCTACCAAGGGTCCTTGCCAGATGATGGATACGGTTGGCTTGGATACTGTGTACAACATTGAGGTTGTGTATACTGCACAGCGCGATCTAGATACCACTGCCCGGGATTGGCTGAAGAAGACGTACGTCGACCAGGGCAATTTGGGCGCGAAGGCTGGAAAGGGGTTACTTGGATAGAGAGTGTTATATATTTCACTCAGCAGTTGCAACAGTACAAGTCTTCTAGAAAGCTTACCTATCTTCAACCCATGAATTTGATCCTAGGGCGTAGAGGTTCCGGTTGTTTACAGTGAGAAATGACCAACTGAATCTATTAGTTTAGCGGGTATCAAATAGAATTGCATTATTGCCTTTTGAGGGATATATTCAATTGATTCACATAATCTGTGCACAGCATGCCTGGCTTACAGTAGGTTGTAAATCACTGGAAGAGATCAAACACAATTCGGACTGCAAAGGCCTGGCAATGTGGCCGTAAGACAACCGCCGAAGCCAGATCCCAAAGGACGTACAAAAGCGTTAAGGGAGAGACAAGAATAAAGAATAAGAAAATATGACCAAAAGAAGGTAACGCAGGACGCAGGAATAGGTATCGTCTAAGAAAAACCGGAAAGGGAATCGAAAGTCATCAGAAATATTAGTGTCCAAGAACAAGGATAAGAAAAAAGTAAACAAGGAATGTAGGTAAAGCGAGGAGCAAGGAACGTCTCAAGGAAGGAGGTTAAGCTGGGTAAATAATAAGCGCAGTCTCTGAAACCTTGGGGGACAGGGTATAGAGTGAAAAGACATTAGGAGAAAGCCCTAGGGTGCGACTTGCAATCATTAGGGTATAGCACATAGCACACCCATAGGGCCAATTATTGGAAAGGGGATAGGTAATGAATGAATTAGCCAGAGCGCGTAGACGACAAACCCGACGGGTCTTGACCAAGCGGAGGATTAGGAGGCTTTCCTGCGACGGTGGACCTTCCATTCCGCTTTAGCCACACGCATAAACATTTCGGTGTCTTTGATAGGCACCCAGCTGGTGAGGACTTTCATAATGTTCTCAAAGTCGGAATCGAGAATTATTTCGCGCATGCCATCAATCAATGCTGCAGAGGATGCATGCAAGACGTCAAGGCCCTGTCCGAATGTTCTTGGGTTTTCATCTTCATCATCAGGCGAGTGTCTACCCTTCCCTGCGGAGGTGGCGGGTCGACCAGTGTTGTCTTCGGCATCTCCAAGGAGCATGAAAACATCCCACACCCGCAGCTGAGCCGGGAAGGGAATTGTGTAATTAAATAGAGTGAGGTACCACCGAGTGCCATAGGCTGTAGGTGAGATTCCAACCTCGTTCTGCAACACAAGGCGTTAACAAACATTCGTCGGATTTCAAGGTGAGATCAGCTTACCAGTTTCGTGGCCACTTCACCTCCGGCCAGCCACTCTCGTTCAAAGTCAGCCAAAGCCTCCATCAAACCAGCAAAACCAGACCTATATAACTCTTCTAAACCCCGTAACTGCCATAATCTGACGAACATAACGAAGGCATGCTCCTCGTCATAATACGCAAGTAGTGTAGCTGCGAGAGTCGCCATGCCCTGGACGTAGCCTGTGTCAGGGAAGTATAATGACATCGCGTGAAGAACACGGAACAGCAGTCTTTGGCCACCCCTGTAGCGTCTCCGAAACATTATATGGCTGGAAATCGTTCGCGGTACATCGATGTCAATTTGAACATCATCTGGGGATGAGATGAATTGAAGCTCGTTGTATGCTTCAATGAGCTCGCCCGCAGGTGCACTACCCTTGTGGCGCCGGGCACTAGCTTCAAGGAATGAGTACCAGGCTGTTGACCGCCACCGATCTGGAATGCCTTTCCATGTCCGCTCAATCAACTTCGAGCTCTTAGTATCGAACTCAAAGGTCATACCGCCACCATCTTTGGTCTTCTTAGTCGGTTTAGCCATCTTGGTCCACTTATCTTCACGCTCCCACTCCTTCCTTCGCATTGCACGAGTAAGCGGTGCATCATCTCTCGTGCCGGAATTTGAGGGGTTAGGCAGAGTGAGCATGTCAGCCGCCTCGTCTTTCGCTTTTCGGTCTCGGTTGTAAGGCAAACGATTGGTTGCCGCGCGCAAACGAGATGTGGAGCGGCGCAATGGCGGACCATAATTGCTTTGGGACGAAGATGGGCGAGTCCCTAAGGAAGTTTGGGACATCTTGCGGACCAAAGACGGGGCATTGAAGGAACGATTGCTCGCTGGAGCAGTCGGTGGGCGAATTGAACGCTTCCGCCGGGGTGTCTCAGAGGCCAACAGAAGGCTAGTTGTGACTCGCTGGAGAGGATTAATTTCGGAGCCATTCGAGTTCTTCGCAGGTCGAATGAAGCCATAACGATCGACTTCTTCGACCCCGACATTTTGCCAATACTCAGCACCACCCGCTAGCTCCTGAGTTTCCCTCTTGATGCGGATACTTTCTACCTCGGCAGATGCCCTTGGTTTTGTCTCAGTTCCAGTCTCATTCATGCAAATTCCGGGAATCCCAGAAGTTTCAGTATCCGAAATCGCACCCTCTTCCCATAATACCCCATGTTCGGAAGCCAGTGCCCTTGCAACCTCGGAGTCAGTTACGTTTTCGTCACCTTTCTCGTACATGAGGCGGACTCGGCGTGACAACATATCTTCGTCGGCCGAAATTGCTCTGGTAGGAAGACTTGTCTGCCTCGGACGAAGGGTACTCGGACGCTTGACCCGCCGTGGAACCACTTTGGGTGTTTCATTTTCTTCTTCCGGTTGGCTGGTGGTAACGGAACTTGACAGCGTCCGTTCAGACGGCTGTCGGTCGAGCCGTTCATCAGAAAGCTCGTCCGACTTCTCCTGAGGTGGCGAGACCGAGTCTTTAATGTATTCCTCTTCAGGCTTTTGTAAGGGTGGTTTGTCTGACCGTTGCTCGGGGACCGACTGTTGCTCAGGGACCGACTGTTGCTCAGGAACCGACTGTTGCTCAAGGACTGATTGTTGCTCGGGGACTGACCGTTGCTCGAGGCCTGACTGTTGCTCAGGGTGCGACCGTTGCTCAGGGTGCGCTTCAAGGTGCTCCTTGGGTGCTTTTGGGTGTGGACGTTTCGCCTGACTTTTGATCAAACTTCCCCGGAGTGAGAAGTTCATCGGCTTGTTCAATGATTCCAAGGATGCTGTCGGTATATCCAAAGGAATGCCAGCGAACGAGTGTTGAATCTGAGGCACTGGTGGAGGCTCTTCCGAGCTAAGTTTCCTCTCCATTTCGAGTGACCGTTTTCTCAATCCACCCCACTTGCGTTCAGACCACCGCGACCCTGGTCTCGAGCCCGGTCGTGAGCCCGGTCGTGAGCTAGGACGAGCACTCGGTTCATTCACAATAATGCTGGGGACGCTGCGCAGCGAGGGCGTGCCCTCTGATCGAACGGTTCGGGTGTCATCTCCAACGGATACAGAGGGTGCGAGGCGTGAGAACATCCGCAAGGTCGACTGCTCATCACTGGGACCAAGTGAGGCGGCGCTTGTACTCAAAGATCGACCATTGGAGGTTATTGGCGCATCGACTGGGGTGGGCAACGAGACCGACCGAATCGCAAGAGGAGTGTCAACGGCGACAGTGTCGTCGAATGGCACGGCGTGGATTGTCGGATGGAACTCCGCTCGATTGGGCGATAACGATGCAGCAGCCTCATTCACCATTATCCCGGCATGACTTGCGAATCTGCGCGTGGGCAAGAATCGCAAGATGATAAACAAAGGAGTGTGTTGAGGGAGAGGTGAGATGAAGGGGGGAAGAAAAACTAAGCGGAAACCCGAACCAGAGTAGAAAGGAGCGACAAGGGGAGAATCACAGGCCTGGGTGTTCGTCTGGGTCAATAAGGCTCCAAATTAAAATTGAAAAGAGATACGGAGAGCTGTGGAGTATTTTGGGGAGGGGGCTTGGCGGAGTATTCTGGGCTTCGAGCTTCGAAGCCTGGGGGAACTATATGTTGTAGACCACTTGCACAAGGAGAACAATGTCCTTTTGACCTCATTCCACCTCCAAGAATCTTTCCCTTTCCTTGTTCTCGCCCTTCCTCGATAACTATGCAAAATCAAGGGGTTTGAGTCCCACCTCCATCCTTGGGCCGCGTCGTTGTGGATCGTGAGAACAAGGAGGGTGTGGAGCACGCTAGTTGTGCTTAGATTAGAACAGTCCATGCCCAACTGTCTCGAACGTCAAGGGGAGGAAATATGTTGTACTCCGTATATGTGCTATTCAATTGGAAGAATACTCCGAACATGATTCAATTACTCCGTACGCAGATATGTTATAGAATCTCTCAATTCGCAGCTCTAGGCTCCTCCAAATGTACACGGTAAACACGCGAAACTCCTGGAGCCGAGGCTTCGATAGCCATCAGCTGTCAATGCAGTCATAAAGGGGACACAACCCCAACCAGAACGTACGGAGGAAGATAAAAAAAATAAGGATCATAAAGGCGTGAAATGGTCAATCCAGCGAGCATTTATTCCAACTCAAGCGACAGCGGTCGTGTTAGCAGTCGGCGAGTCGCGAGTTGGCCGAGCCCGGTCCACAGGCTCCTTGGGCAAAAGTTCAATCTGGCGGACCAGGAAACTCTTCTCATCCGTAAATTGGTCGTCATCAGTTCGATCTTCCAGGAATTTCGGTAGAAATCGCAACAGTCGATCACGGTTATTGATCAGAATGCGTTGCACTGCCACCGATTTGGTCGGGTTGGCCACGAACACCTATCGCCTTGTCAGAGAGAGTCCTCGTTTTATTTTTGTGTTTGTTTTTCTCCTTTTCGGGCATCATTCATGGGCAGACTTACCTTGAACACATGGAATCCCTCGTATTGCACCATTTTGCGGTCGTCCCGCAGTAGTTTCATACAGAGTTTGAGATTCTCTCCACTCTCCACATATGCCATCATCACATTGTAGTTCGCACGGTCCAACAAGATCTCCCCCAGAAGTTTAATACTCTGACGCTTGGTCACATATGAGTCCGAGTGAATCAGGATGTTATTGAATCGCCCAAAGAACAATTCAAAGTTGGTCGCCAAGTACGAAGTCACGAGACTCTTATGCCGGGTCAAAATCTCCTATGAAACAAAACACATCAGCGGCTATCGTCAAAGTCCATTGCATGGGAACATACCCTGAATGTGGTGAATGCATCGGCGCTGACTTCAAAGTTGCTTTTGTCGATCCAATCAAAGAATTGCCAGAACACGCCATCTCCTCGTTGCGGGAGGTTGGGTTTCACTTCTGAGAGGCGTATAGCCGACTCTCCTTCGCTTGACTGATCATATAGTACAATCGCGGTAATCACGTCGAACTTCAATGCTTCTCGGAGGATGACTCCACATGGCATAGCACTTTGACTTTGCATATAGCCTCGGCATAATTCAATAATGATTTCTGGTCGATGGTGGACGAGATACGAGATGACAGGGGGATCCTTTTCACTTGAATATGCGACGGGTCGGAAGCGAAGGATATGGGAGAATATGGTCTGTGTGTCTTTTCGGGCCTCGAAGGGGAGCAAATGAATACTTTGAGATAGATCGAAGAGTAGATCCTCCTGAAGTGTCGCTTGTACAAGTGCATGGACTTGTTCCGGTGATGTGCTGACCTCTAATAAAGGAGCGAATACCATTAGGTCAGCCCCTTCTGCCTTGCTCTCTGGCTATTACTCCCAGGAGACCAACCTTGGGTTCCTTGTACCATCACCTTCATGTGATTCAGTTGCTTGGCCAGTTCCTCCTCGGCCTGATCCATCCATTAGCTTGATTGTCTTTATATCCGAGGTCGCAACCGACCTTGGGAGCACTTTGAGAGTCATGGATCCGCAGCAGTAATTCTTTGGTCGACCGTACGATCTCGGCGGGTTGCCGCCGGCCGCGATTGAAAAAGAAAGCCATAGCGAGATGGGGTGGATATGCGGAAGATTCAGAAAGAAACTGGATATCAAGGCGGCATGAGGTAGATTAGGATTTCAACCAAAGGGATGATCGAGTCCGATGGAAACGAGCAAATGTGATGTATTCGACTGCAGGCGTTGCGAATAAACAAACCTGGGGCGGGGCAACGAGCCTGTGTGCCTGAGGCACCCGCTGATAACGGATTTTTTTTTTATCGAAAATGCTATCTCTGCCCCTCCCCCTCCCAGGTCTTGCTCTCTGGTCTTTTGTTGGAATTGATTCTGTTCCATTGGCCATAATAAATCATGTCTGCCTCCAATGCTGTCAACCCCCCTGTGGGCGAGAGGTTCCCCGACTCCCACTCGGTATCGGATTCGTCCGATACTAGCAACGAGGAGGGCTGGGAAGATGTTGAACCCGATGAGGAGTCGCAGCCTGTGGTTGGACTCTTCACTGAGCAGGTTTTCCCTGATGCGCGCTCAATGCTGAAGGAGTGCAAGGAGAAGTATAACTTTGACTTGCTGAAGATCCAGAAGGAGCTTGGTATGTCTAGCTTTCACTCTTGTTGAATTTCTGCATACAGGAATATTTCCAGGCTGACTGTTTATACTCTCGCAGATTTGGATTTCCTCGATAACATTAAGTTGGTCAACTATATTCGCACCGAGGTGAAGAACGGCAACAACACCCCCGATGTTTCTTCCAAGTCCAAGTTTGAGGACGATGTCTACCTGAAGCCCGTATTGGAAGACGACGCTCTCCTGTACAGCCTGGATGACCTTGCCGAAGAGCAAGGTGAGGAGGCTACCCCCGGAACCGAGACCAACCGCCAGGTTCTCGAGCTCCAGGAGAACTTGGAGCGACTGCAGACTCAGTTCTCTGAATACCGTCTTGCTGTGCAAAAGTCAATGGATGACCAATTGTCTAAGGAGGATGAGAAGCTTGCTGAAGCCACCCCTCAGCTCTCAGCCAAGGCGATTGACAGACTGCAGGACGCCGATGATGGTTATTTCGTCTCATATGCTTACAATGGTAAGATTCCTTCATTTATCTCCGCGAGGACACATCGCTAACCTGCGTTGAAGGCATCCACGAGTCTATGCTGAAGGACACCATCCGTACCGATTCCTACCGCGATTTCGTTTACGAGAACAAGCATGTTTTCAAGGATAAGGTGGTTCTTGATGTCGGCTGTGGCACTGGTATTCTGTCCATGTTCTGTGCCAAGGCTGGCGCAAAGAAGGTCATTGCTGTGGACAACTCGAACATCATTGATCGAGCCAAGGAAATTGTCCATGACAATGGCCTCGGAGATATCATCACGTAAGTTTCACAAATATTCTGTTTTGGAGAGGCAGCACTGACAATACCCCAGATGCATCCGTGGCAAGATCGAAGAAGTTGTTTTGCCCGTCGAGAAGGTTGATATCATTATCTCTGAATGGATGGGCTACGGTCTCCTCTTCGAGGCAATGTTTGATTCCGTCATCTATGCCAGAGACCGCTACCTTGTTCCTGGTGGTCTGATGGCTCCTTCGCACGCCACCCTGCGCCTTGCTCCTTACGCCGACCCGGATTTCATCGCGTCCCACATCTCGTTCTGGAACAACGTCTACGGTTTCAAGATGGACAGCATGCTTCACAAGATCTATGACGAGGCCGTGGTTCGCAGCACCCAGTCCACGACTATTGTCGGAGAGTCCCAGATCTTCCTGACCCTCCCTCTGCACACCATCACCGTTGAGGAGCTTTCGTTCCTGAAGGAATTCCAGGTCACCTTGAACCAGGATGTCGATGCATTGGATGGATGGGCCATCTGGTTCGATATCTTCTTCATGCCTTCCAGGGAGTCTGTCCTTCCCGAGAATGCCATCCCTTCAGAGATGCAAAAGAAGGGCATTGTTTCATTCACCACTGGGCCCGATGGAACCGAGACCCACTGGCAGCAGACTATCCTTCTCATTGATCACGCCAAGGATAATGCTAAGCAAGGTTCCCAAGCCTTGAAGAAGGGCCAGGTCATCACCGGCAAAGTTGGTTACGAGAAGACCGAGAAGGGTTCCCGGGGCGTTGACATCAGTGTCCAGTGGGATTCCGATGCCAATGAGAAGGGTGTCCAACTATGGAGCCTCCAATAGATCGAGCGATCTTTCGATACGTTTTTTGATGAACTGAAAGAGACATGACTACCTACATATAAAAAACAGGATGGCATTCTATGATCTGGGTATTTTTGTTGTGGCCCAATGAATAAAATAAATGATTTGCATTTAGGAATAAGTATTGTAATGGGTATCATTGTCATAGTTTGAATCGTCATTTCGTAAAATTGATGGAACGTCTAGTTAGGAAGTCTTGCTTCTGAAGTTTTCGACCGCCTGGCAGTCTCAGAACGTCCATCATTATGATCACGATGACTGCGATGGGAGGAGGAATGGTGGGATCGATGATGCGAGCGATCTCGACTTCGGTCTCGGTGGCGGCGATGATGCCGCTCAGAACTTGTGCGGTCCTTCTCCCGTGATCTGTCAGGAGCATCGAGTCTGAAACCATCAAGGCTACCGACTGATGGGGACCGCCTCCGCCGATGGCTTGATTTCTGTTCCTCCTCAGCTTTCAATCTCGCGATCTCCCTTTGCTTTTCATCGTGCCATCGCTTCCGTTCCTGTTCCGTTGCTTTCAGCTGACGAACGCCTCGCTTCATAGCCGCGAGTGGGTCATTTGCGCTCATGCGAGCCTGTACTCTCTCTTTGCGCCTTGGATCTTCGTTGCCCCACACATCTTTTTCGGGCATAGAACCTGGCGCAGTTGCATTCTGATCTGCAGAGGAGTACCAGGGTTTCCGACCAACTGTCTCCTTGAAGCCTGCAGCGTTAGAAAATCTCATCGTGTATTGATCTTCATAGCTCCGTTTCTTTCGTGTCGCTTCTGCCTCTGCTTCATGGTTCTTCTCAGCTTTAGCACTTGCAGCTGGGAACAGGTTGATGTGACCAGTCTTGTCTAGGATCGGTGCCTGCGCTGTATCGGCTTGGCGAGAGGCGAGCAACAGCTCTTCCCGCTTTGCAGCTGCATGTGCCGCGTCCTCTCGAGCATATCGTATATCTCGATCCGTGTCATCTTCTCCGGCAACCCGCCTTCTCTTGCGGAACCTTCCAGCATCGTGGGACTTTCTGTCTGATCTGGTGTCTTTTTCGGATGATGGAAGTGAGGGGGCGGGCGGAGGGGTAGGTGGACGTTCGCCGCGAAGGATTTTGATTCTGCGTTCAGCATCTTCCTGTTGCATGATACGTTCGTCCTCTTCCTCGCGGGCTTTCGCCTGCGCCTCGTCCCGTCTGACGCGCGCAACATTCTCGGTGTTGTAGACGTTCCATGACTTTTTGCCTAGAAGGTGACTATAACAAAATCAGCTGTAAATCTTCAAACACACACACACATATATATATATATAAGGTTAACGTACAGAGGCATCGTGGGGACTGACTGATTCCTGCGCAGCAGAAGACGAGGCTCCCGCGGTCGATAGCAAACAGCTGGTCTTATCGATAATGACGTCCCCACGGCCCGACGCTGTTTCCGAGTGGCCAAATGCCCCGTCAACAGCTTCACAACCCTGACATTCTTCTCTTCCCTTTGTGTTCGCCTTGCTCTGGATATCAAACTATCCAGTGCCTTCCAACCCCTCAAATCTCGCGAATCGAGATCAAGTCATCCGCGCTCTAGCGCCGACTGGCTTGCACCATTGCCTGCTTGTCTCCCGACACAGTGTCGCTAAGACAACAACCTCCGCGATCTTCATATCGGCACCTGAGCTTAGCGACAAAAACAATCCACCATGTTCAGTCGCAGCAACATTCCGAATCCATTCAGCTCCAGTGGACAACCGTCCCCGCAGGGTTACTCAAACCCCAACCAAGCACCCCCACGGTATGATACGGATCGCTCCCCTTTGTTCAGCGCAGGGTGTTCAGCTCTGATTTCCGGTGACGATGTTCGGATGACTGATATATATTATGATAAAAGGGGATACGGGGGCCCACCTCCACCTGGAGGACGTCCACCGCCGCAGACGCCTTCTAGGATGTCCGGACAAAGAGGCTCAGGCCAGACTTGGACTCTCCATCCCAGCAAGAGCCCGAATGACAACTACACTTTTGGTAATCTGTAGGTACTCTCTGACTACATCTCGTCTCTCGGAGGCTAACACACCGAAGGGTCGCTGTTTCGCCGCATGACATCCCTCCTTCACGAGATGGCACCGACGTCCTCCTCCTGATCAATGACCTCTTCGTCTTTTCTGCCCGCCCTCTTGAGGGATTCCCTCCCGGCTATATGAGCATGTCTGATCCTCAGCGAACGTGGGCCAACATCGGACTGCGAGATGCGATCAAGGTGCAGCTGTATGATCCGTTCAGCCAAGGTGGGCAGGCTTACCTGGGTTCCGTGGATGTTGAAGTCAGCTTCGCTTCCACCAAGAAACGGACTGAGGCTCCTTATGACCAGGATGAATTGGCACAGGCGGTGATCCGGGTACGTTGACTCCATCTCAGCCATGAATACTCGCTAACAGGCTTCAGAACTTTGAAAACCAACTATTCTCGCCTGGCCAGCGGATTCTTATGGATAATAAGAGTATCCCACTGCTTTTGCAGGTCAAGACCGTCCAGCGGGTTGATTTGACAGCAGAGAAGCCCGATCTCAGTTCTGGACAAGTTGAGACCGATCCCACGGCTAGGGGTATCCTCACGCGGCACACCCAACTCAACTTTTATAAGGATACCCAGACTGGCATCAATGTCAAGCCATCTAACCGTCGACCGGCAGCCAATTCCATCATTCAACCGGGCTTCAAGTTTGAGGACATGGGTATCGGTGGTTTGGACTCTGAGTTCAGTACAATTTTCCGTCGTGCCTTCGCTTCTCGCATTTTCCCTCCTGGCCTCGTTGAGAAACTCGGTATTCAGCACGTCAAGGGTCTCTTGCTATATGGTCCTCCAGGAACGGGTAAAACCCTCATTGCTCGTCAAATTGGAAAGATGCTCAATGCTAGAGAACCCAAGATTATCAATGGTCCGGAAGTCCTCAACAAGTACGTGGGTCAATCGGAAGAGAACATCCGAAAGATGTTTGCGGATGCCGAGAAGGAGTACAAAGAAAAGGGCGACGAGAGTGGTCTCCATATCATCATCTTCGATGAGCTGGACGCAGTCTGCAAGCAGCGTGGTAGCGGAGCTGGCGGTGGTACCGGTGTCGGTGATAGCGTGGTCAACCAGCTCCTTTCGAAGCTTGATGGTGTTGATCAATTAAACAACATCTTGTTGATCGGTATGACCAATCGAATGGACATGATTGATGAGGCTCTTTTGCGTCCCGGTCGGTTGGAAGTCCACATGGAGATCTCGCTCCCTGACGAGCATGGCCGAAGCCAGATTCTCAACATTCACACTGAGAAGATGCGGAACAATAATGTCATGGACAAAGACGTTGACCTTGCCGAGCTTGCTCACCTGACCAAGAACTTTTCTGGTGCTGAGATCGCAGGTTTGGTGAAGTCTGCCTCTTCCTTTGCATTCTCGCGCCATGTCAAAGTTGGTACTATGGCCAGTATCAATGATGACGTGGTGAACATGAAGGTCAACCGTGCTGACTTCCTTCATTCCCTTGAGGAGGTTAAGCCTGCCTTTGGTGTGTCTGAGGAGGAGCTGTCCAGCCGCATCCCGTACGGTGTCATCCACTACTCTCCGGTCATCAGCGAAATTTTGCGAGAAGGCGAATTATTCGTCAAGCAGGTTGGAGTAGCCCAGTCAACTCCGCTTTTCTCTGTGTTGCTCCATGGCCCCCCCAGCAGCGGAAAGACCGCCCTGGCAGCCCGCATCGCTATCGACTCTGGCTTCCCCTTCATCAAGCTGATCAGTCCCGAGGACATGGTTGGCTTCAGTGAGCCAGCAAAGATCTCCCACATCAGTCGAATCTTCGATAGCGCTTACAAGAGTACCACAAGCATCGTTGTCATCGACAACATCGAGCGAATTATCGATTGGGTACCCATTGGCCCACGCTTCAGCAACAGTGTCTTGCAAGCTATCATGGTTTTCCTGAGGAAGCAGCCCACTCACGGACGTCGTCTGTTGGTTCTAGCAACGACCACTGAGCGTGCCCTGATGAAGCAGCTGGATATCTACAACTCCTTCAACTCGGATATCATGGTTCCGAATGTCAATTCCTTCGGTGAATTGCGTTTCGTCATGGAGAAGTCGGGTGCCTTTGATGCGCAGGAGATTGCGCAAGCCCTTGAAAATGTTGGCGGTCTTGCTGATGATGGACGTTTGAGCGTCGGTATCAAGAAGGTCCTCCTGGGTATTGAAACTGCCAAGCAGGATAGCGATAAGGTCGGCCGTTTCGTCCGTGTCATCAACCGTGCTATTGAGGAGGAACAGAGCTTCCAGTAAAGGAATCTATAGATGCTGTTTTTTTTTTAAACCCCGCTGCGATTATAATTAAGCCCCAAGTAAATATTTGCTCACAATTCAAGAATCCTGATTTTACATTTTACATGTTCTCTGGCTATCATCTATTATTTTCCTAATAGACTCGGTTTGGCACGGCTCATATTTGAGCTTGTCTTAACTCTTATATATCGTCACATTCAACTAAATAGCAATGAAGACTACATATATGTAAGTTCTCTTGCTGTGAAATATAAAATCAGGCACCTATCTCCTGTCTCACTGTCCCTTTGTACTTCGGTCTTTCAATAGCACGTGTCCAACGAAAACAGGACCTCCTTAGGTCTGTGAAACCAATATACCTCGGCCTTGAGCATCGAACATCCAGTAACACAGTAACATACCATACAATGCTAACCAGTGTCACTACATAGTACAAGCTTACAGACATACTAAAGGTCCTAGCAGGACAGTCCTACAGCATGGATTCCTAGCCCATACAGGGAAAAAAAACAGGGTAAAACCAGTACCATTCAAAAGGTCGTCTCTACTAAATTTCGAGACATACACAAATTACCTATCCCACTTGGGCAGATATACAAAGAAGAACGAAGCCCAAAGAAACGCGCCAGACCCTATCAAGCCATGAAAAAAAAGACCAAAAAGAAAACATCAATACATCCCATCTCCGTCCCAAAGGTCCCATTTTGTCCATTCATCCCATCATATCAGTCATCAAACGCATCCAGACCATCCGATCAGTAGTCGTCATAGGCGTACTTCTTCACAGACCGCCGGTACTCATCCGGGTGGGCCTTCTCAGCCTTAGCCTTCAGGGCACTATAGCCACGTGTCAGCCTTCTAGAAGCCTTCCTCGGCGCTAACGGGCAGATCGACGCGCACGTGCCAAGCTTGTCCGGCGGAGCGGAAGCATACTCGCGGGGCGGAGCGGAAAGCTTTGTCCACGTCCCTCGTTTCAGGGCAACGGGGTTCAGGGGGTTGAAGGCTTACCTGACTCGCTTTTGTGTCCATTCGAGATCGCGCTTCGTCTCCCGTGCGGTTTTCAGGCCTTCGGAGAAATTCGCACGTACGCCTTTTAGGCGTCGCTGTGCGAGAGCTTGGAGCTCGAGGAGTTCTTGTTGCTTTGCGTTGAGCTGGCCGGATCTGCGGGTTTGGGGAGTGTGGTTAGTTTGCGGTTCTGGTGGGATTGCTGGGAATATCTGATTTGCGTGGCCGGATCATTGATATTCTGGTGGTGATTGCTTGGTGCATTTTGCTGATGGTGTTTGTGATGTAGGGAGGGACTCACGTTTGTGCCTGGCGCGCTAGGCCCTTGTCTAATGGTGTTGGATCGAATGCATCCTGTATACGGTCGCTTAGGACGTCCACGACGTCGACGCCGGAGTACGATGCAGAGCTGCATTCGTAGTCGCCGGCGGAGCTGAAGGTGAGTCCGCCGGAAGAACGACTGCCGGCAGTGGTGCTTGCATCAGAGAAATCTGGCGGTGAGCCAGGGACTCTGGAAATGGGATACATGGCAGCTGAAGCCGGTGCCTTGGATGGTGCATGGTGATATCCATAGGCAGCGGGCTGGTAATAGTGACGCTGAGTGGCCATGGTGACGATTGACAGCAACAGCAAGTGGTTATAGTTGGAAGCAAAGAGTAAGTATGAAGCCTGAAGTGATCCTCGACGAGGTAAGGTGAAGCAACAAGATGGAAAATATATGGAGCAATGTGCAAACGGGCCTAACTGGGGAGTGATGGGAAAGGAAGAAGAAGGAAAGACAGGCTCCCCTGGACAAGACGAGGGTTTTTATAACCTTCCGCGGGGAGTCATCTATCCGGCGGATGCTTTCATCCTGGCGGAGCCAAGTGTGATGGCAAGGATTGCGAAGGCCTCGAATGAGCCATTGGACCAGTCGGGGCACATCGACTCGCACCCCCCTTCTGTAATTCCCAATCCCCGAGCTCCATCTGCATGTCTGTCTCCGTATCTGCCCGCTCATTTGCCTCTTGGACCGCCTCGACCCCGCTCAGAGTGGGAAAAAAAGTCTCAATCTGTCTGGCCGAGGACGCCAGCCATCCTCCACTAGGGTTTCCGCCGTTCCGTGGCGTGTTGGTGCAAAACCGGTCTCGATCTACGCCCCTCCACCTGGTCTAAAAGTTTTGGGGCCAAAGCGGGAATTGGGAATATCTGAGAATTGGGTAGAAAAAGAATGCAGAGTGGTTTTAAGGAAGGTAGGATGGGTGGAGTTGGTGGGAAGCTGAGATATAAATATAGCCTCTTCCGTCCTTCCTACTTCCACTTTTTTCGTGTTGAGTTTTTTTCTCTCCTCTGCCTCTTGATTCTTCCCCTTTGCATCCTCACCCCCCATTCACCTAAAATTTCCTCCAGAAATTCGGGGGCTGGGAAGAGGGACGATCGAGGTTGATTCGTTCGACCAGCCGAGAGATAAGACGATGAACTACACAAGAACCGGTATGACAAACTATTTTCCTAAACTCTCCGAATCTAACCTCATGATTAGTTCTTCTGTCTACTCATTCAATAATGAGTAGATGTATAGTTGGGCTGGTGGTCACCGCACCTATGAAACCAACAAGTATGGGGATGTCTCACGGCCTTAGATCATTTGGGGATCGGAGCCCAAAAGCCCAAAAACCCGAGGATCACTGCCGCATCTTCCATTAGAGTCACACGGCAGTTCAATGATCAAGGCTGTTGGACATCACTGCATGGACCGAAAGACCGTGAGATATTGATCGAAAAGACCGTTCCTACAGCCGAGTCCGTGGCCCCATGCTTCCTGTGCAAGGTTTGAACAAGAATGATCCCGGTAATATATGAATGAAAAGGCAAACGAAAAGGCAAATCGTGCAACCAATGTGCGATGAGCTCCGGTCGAAGGGTGAAAAAGGAAAGCAGAGGAAAAGGAGAAAAGAAGACCAACGAAATATAGATCCTTGTTTCGCCGTCTGGATGCGGCTGTTTAAGGCTGTTTTATGACCGCAGACGACGAGCAAGCCCCCCCCTCGCCCGAGTCCACCAATGCCTATCAGAGCCTCAACCGACAGGGGAGAAAAAGAGCATAGCTGCATCAACAAGCGCTCTAGACGCTCTAGAACGTGGGAAAGAGACCATGCCGCTCCACTCTATGCAGATGGCCGATGACTTGCTTGACCATAGCTATCGGGTCTGTTAAAAAAAAGGGGGCCCCATTCTGCAAGCCTGTCGGAAATACTATATTTCGAGAAAACGCTGTGCCGCTCACGACTGTTCATCATTGGTCCCAGATATTTGCTGACATGAAGGACCACGCAGGCCCCGACTAGGTGGGAAACCAACTGGATTGACAGGGCACACCCTCCGAGGTCCGGGAGTTCTTCTCCGTCAAAATCTGGATCTGCCTTGGGGACTAATGATTCCTTCGCAGCCCTTTGATGCCTCATGCCTAAAAGGCACCGCATGCCTTGCAGCCTGACGACTCACGATATGCCCCGTCAACCCACACAATGCTACCAAACCCTGTGACACCACCGTCTGTTTATTTTTCCTTTTTTATTTTCCTTATTTTCTTTTGAATATCGCAGGGGTATGTCATTCGCCTCTCCATGCGAAAATGGCTGGCCCCGATCTCCTATTCGGCCAGCCCGAACATCGGGCAGCATGGCAACAAAATGACGCGCAGGGCACAATTCCAACTGGGAAGGATCCAACACCTTGTCTGGCTCTTCGTCATGGTCCTTTTCGTCTTTTCCACTAACCTGATCATGACCCGCCCCTCCTTCATCCCAGGCTATCCAAGGCACTATTGCTAACCTTCCAATTCCCGAGTACAAGTACATGCCAGCTCGACAGAGTTTCCCTGCACAGTTACACGAGACCGGTGTTTTGGTCCGAAGATCGAGAGATCGCTTTGTCGGAGGGTCGAGTGTGTGTCTGGTCATTGTTCCGGACTCATACTCTCAATTAATACACATCCAGGTCCCTCCAGTTGCTGTCCGGTGTCTCGGTACGTGATACTCCGTACACGATATCCGGATACATCAACCACTCCCCCAAGCAGCTTACCCTGAACACACTAAACCCACTGATATACCTTAGCATTTTTATTCCCGCACAAGTGGGGGGTTGCGGGGATTCTCTCGACGCTACACCGCCACATGCAGCGCCATGACTGGTTGCCGTGGCCAACTCACTCGCTTTTCCTTTCTGGGCCACCAGCCTTTACATTTGATTTTCAGCTTTCCAGTCTATATACATCTGATTCCTACAAAAGCAAACGATTACCCGGGTCTCATCTCGTATACGGCTCAGTCTTTCTCCGAGACTGCTCAGGCTGAGAGGCTAAATCAGTTGGGGCTTCTCTTTCCGATTGGCTAGGGGGTTATCGTGGACTCGGCGATGATTCATAATTCATGCCTTGCACCTGGGCCCCTGATGCCTAATGAATATTGATACTCCCTAGCCTAGGGTCCAAGGTTTGATGGTCTGCATTAGTGTATTTTTTAGTCTTGAATATGTCATGCGCATCACATAAATAGCGTACGGAGCATGGGGGATCTAGTTCTTCTAAATCTGGTTATTGAGATCCCGCCTGCTTTAGCCTAAAGTAATGATGCAATAAGGCATCGATGTATTCATATGCTCTGTTATTAGGTCGCAAGTATAGGATAGCCTGCTCTAAACACCGGTCAGTTACCCAGGAGATATTGGATCCCAGGTGAGTGGAAAGGAAATAAACACAGAAGTAAAGATAAAAAAAGAGTTGAATTATTAACAAATACAGATCCAGAAGATAGATAGGTGTCGTGTGCTCATAATCTGGTATCACAAGAAGGTAAAAAAAAAACGACACGGGACAAGAAAGCAAAAAGAAGAGAGAACTTGCTTGCTCGGTGAAGCAAATAAGCACCAGAGCACCGACGCCATGACACACAGATTCAGGGGAAATAAAGGCATTGGAGTCTATTGCTCATGACCAGAGCAAAGAAAAAGAAAAGAAATAGGATCCCCCTGAGCCTGTGCAAATGCTGGAAGAATGGTATCAATGGCTCAAGATCAAATGCAGATGCAAATGCTGCGTGGAACTTCCACAAAGACAAATCAAAAACTCGTGATATCAGCCAGAAACATATGAACAATCACACTTCTTGTGTGTCTGGCGAATGTCCGATAGGTCCCCTGTGCAATTCACCCAAATCCAAACACATATTTCCGTCCAAAAAAATGAATCGCCCAAAAGTCACGCCATGGTCCATCGTAAGAAAGTCAAATGCAAGAACCAGCGGGGGAGATCCAAGTCTGGCTAGGTATAAACAAGAAAAAAAAAATAGTGGTAAAACAAAAACTGGCTAGTGAAGCAACAAAAAAATTGCATGCATGAGTGATCAGGGAAGAAATGTTGGGGGTATAGTCCCTAGCGGCGAGCAGCAAGGGCTTGTTGGTGTTCTGGGCCAAGTCGGTCTCGCAGAAGCATGAGTGGCCGGCCAGGCTCGAGAAGTCCCATCATCATCTTGCCTAGTTCATTGTGTTTGATCGGCTTGGTGACATAGTCATTGAAACCTGCGCGGGCAGCATTTTCGATTTGATCTGTCATTGCGTTTGCCGAAAGAGCCATGATTGGGATCTGCGGGTAATGGTTTTTTTGTTCCCAGTCACGAATATCTTTACATGTATCGTAGCCGTTTTTGATAGGCATCTGAATATCGCACTAAGAGCCAATGATGTCAGATTTGCGGGAAAGCTCAAGGGGGCATAGAAAGACTCACGATGATGAGGGAATAATATCCGGGTTCTTTGGAGAGCACCATGTTAGTGCACTCCAGTCCATTGGATGCAGTTTCCGCCATGAGCTTGATCTTGTCCAAGTACTTCAACATGACCTGGTTATGCGTTAGCAAGTCAACCCAAAAACATCGTCCATATCTCTACTTACATCACGATTGGTTTCGTCATCCTCGACAAGCAAGACCCGATAACCCTTGTTACCCAAAACTTCTTTGACCATCTTCGAGACAGTTTTGAAGTTGTTATTGATCTCGCGTGCCATGTCTTGGTTGCGATCTTTGCTCAGCTCACGCTTGCTCTCAGGATCGAAGATCGTTGAGAAAGCGGAAGGTTTCACGGGCTTGGGTACAATGAAAACCTGCTTCCCAGTAGCCGCCAGCTCTTTGACCCGCGAGCTAATTTGGCGCTTTTGGTAAAGATCCGATATGATGACAACGACCAGCGCAGGATTTAACTCCGAGTCTGACACAGTTTGGATGACATCTAGGATGTCATCAGTCTGGAGGTTCAGGACAAGATGTGTGCAAGAACGATCATCGGAGGCAGAATGTATCATATCTTTCCACTCATCGACATCAGGCAGTGTTGTGAACTTGAACGGGATCTCACGCGGAACAACCTGCTCAATGTGCTGCTTTATGGCTTGCCGGGAGTTCTTGAGCGGGCAGAGGATGACGATAGAGAATGGGCCGTGGGAAGGCACCGATACCCGTCCGATTGATGCATCTGGAGACGCAGACGCTTGTGACATGGGCGATGCTAACTGTGCCGATGCGTCGGGCTTCGTGACAGCAGGTTGAATATCAGTGTTCGACACTGCATCTGGCATGTTCACCACAGCCCTTGTCTGATCTAATGGAGGCGGGAGGGGGGCGGGACCAATATCTGGGGTCGGAAGAGCAGAAGACGAGACCGAAAATGAGGCAGAAAGGTTGATGTCAGAGCTTTTGCTAGACGAGTCGGAGTTTCTTGCGGCTAGAGGAGGCGCTTGTTGATAGGATGTCGTTCTGGACTTTGCAGGCCTTCTTGAAGCACTCGAACTCTGACGCATTAATTTGGGCTGTTCGGAGGGTGAGGGAGGCGCAGGCGCATCGACCTTGACGTAGAAAGAGAATTTTGCTCCCTGGCCCTCTTTGCTGCTAGGAGTGAGCTTGCCACCATGCATTTCGACCAATTGCTTCGACAGGAAAAGCCCTAGGCCACTACCTGCATGCTGTTGTGACCCATTTTCTCCAAGCTGACTGAATCGCTGCATCAGTCGTTCGGCATCCTGGGAACTGAACCCTTTTCCGGTATCTATAACTTCAAAGTTCATAAATGCCTGAGTGTCACTAGGGCTCGCAGTTGGATCGCGATAGATATCGCAGCTAATATGAATTTCCCCATGTGCAGTGAATTTGACTGCGTTACCAAGGAGGTTGATCAGGACTTGGCGAATTCGGAAGCGATCTCCAATTACCATCGATGGCATGTGTTCACCTATGAGATAATTGATCTCGAGCCCCTTGTCGATCGCCCGTGAGGCAATGGTGTCAATTACATCTTCGATCATTGACCGGATATGGAACCAGGATTTGACCATCGACATCTTGCCGGCTTCAACACGAGACACGTCAAGAATATTGTCAACCAACTCGCGAAGATTGGTGGAGCTGTTTTGTATGGTGTCAAGCATTCGCCTCTGGTCACTATCGAGTTGGGTATCCAGGATGAACGGAATGGTACCAAGAATGCCATTGAGCGGGGTTCGGATCTCGTGCGACATGTTGCTGAAAAATTTGGTTTTAGACTCCATCTGGTTATTTAGTTGTTGCATGGCCTTGTTGAGCTCTCTTTCAAGGTTTTTGCGATCATTGATGTCGGTACATGTTCCGTACCAGGAGGCTTCCTCACTCCCGAAACTGCTAGTCTTAACACGAACTAGACGAACCAAATGCCACCGGAAATCGCCACCTCGAGAACGAAGGCGGATCTCAGTGGAATAGAAAACTCGGCCATTTTCATCTTTCTGCAAAGAAGCAACGCCACGACTAACAAGTTCATCCAGAGCTGATCCGACCATGAATTCAGAAGGCCCACTATCATCTTGGTCCGCCTTCTCGGATGCCCTATTAAGAGCCAACCCGCTGCACTTTGCAAGATCGTCGGGATGAACATGTTTCGCAAAGCCAAGGTCGTGCGCTTCCTCAAGCGTTTGCCCAGTGTACAGATTCCACTGCTCATTGACAAATATCAAACCGCGGTTCTCCGTCGCCTCAAACACAACCTGTGGGATCGAATTGGAGAATGCACGATACTTTGCGTCAATGGCAAACTTTTCCCTTTCTTGAATAGCCTCGAGCTCAGCGATGTGCTGCTCGTGAATATCGAGAAAAGATCCAATCCAGTACAATACCTCCCCTGTTGATGACAACAGTGGATTGGCCCGGAAGATAAACCAGCGGTACGCTGATTCATCGTTGAATCGTCGGACCCGTACTCGTTCAGTGAACTGCGCACCCGTGAGCAACGCATTGGCCCATTTGCGATGAACGTGCTCATTCTCACTGCTATGGATATTCTGCCAGGGATCTCGCAATTTTTGTTCCTGTTGATGCTGACTTCTTCGATAAGCATCGAACTTTGAATTAGTCCAAATTACTTCGCCGCTCTGTGGTTTGGCTAGGAATAGATGCAATGGAATCGAATTGAGCATTAGTTGGGCTATCGTGTCAGAGAACGGGCGCGGAAGCTCCCGTTGAAGTTGGGCGTACAACGAGTTCGTAGACCCTTGACGTGAAGATTGCTGAGTGGGTGAAATAACGATAGGTGCTCTGGAATCCTGTAGTGGCGATGCAACGTAGGTGGGATGCTCTTGTAGGGTGTGTTCATCGCAGGTGGTAGGCTTCCCGGCAACCTTGTCGAGAGAAATCGACATTAATGGGTCAACATAGGTGGTCTTCGACTTGTGAAGCCGTGGTCTCGCCTGGGATATACTATCTCGGGCGCCTTTATGTTGCGGAACATTGAAGTAGCTGTCGGCACCTTCTCCACCAGACCGTGATGTCATTCCCGGGGATTGAGTTGCGGACCCGAATCCGATATGACCAAGATCAAATCCAGGGGTTCCAATGGCAGAAACGGCAGGGCTAAATTTGATAGATGAACGATCACTCGGGCTAGTCATGCTCGTATGCGTAGACAGCGGGTTGTTGTTGTCGCCGACAGAATAGCTGACATGGCCACTGAGGCCGGCAACAAGCTCTAGCTCACTGCTTGCATCTGAGAAAGTACCGCCTAGACCCAAAAGATGTCCATAGCGGGGAGTCTCAATCTTGGAGGAGAGCTGCCTCTCAAGCTGGCTATATCGTTGAGCCAAACAAAAGGAAGATGTTAGATGTGGCATCAAAAATGCAAGTGACTGTCTGAGATTAGGGGGATAAGGCACGATTGTGCACAGCATCGAGACAATGGCGACAGGGAATCTCAATGTCGATGTGGAGTTTCGGGTAGAGTGACCACCATGTAAAAGAGGAATATGAATCACAGTTTTTGACTGGTCAATCCCGATCGCTTCCAGCGGAAGATTATTAGAGTAGTCATGTGAAGGCGGGTTCTTGGAGAAAGCCCCCTCATCAACCGAGTGATTTGTGAAGAACGGATTTTGATCTGCATGTGTACGTGGGGCGGGCGATGGCGCAGGAGACTGAGACCACGGAGATTGCGGAACTTGCTCATATTCATCATACCGTTTCAATCCAATGGCACCGAGGCCTTGCTGCATCTGTATCCGTCCCAATTCTTTGCTCTCGGGACCATCGACATCGGGAGTGACCTGAACCATCTCATTTGGACTTTTCGCCGGCTCAGCCCAACGCTGCGAATACTGTGTCGGATGTTCTGAATATTCACGAGTCAAAACAGTGGGTCGGGTACGCCCAAATAGCCTGACCACGCCGGTACGCTTGATGAGAGGGTCTGGCTCTACCTCTAACGGCCTGGGTGTTGGAAACACAGCCTGCCGCAGACCACCAAGAAGACTGTTGAGTGTATCATCTACGATCTCAGAGTGGTCTTCGATCGAATGATCCATAGCTGACGTGTTGTGAGAAGCAATCTGTACGTGCTTTTTCTCGGATTTGGCATGCATCTTTGCAGGTTGTGGTTGACTAAGATCAGGGGGAGCTTGCCCTTTGTTTTTATCAAATCCAGCGAATGAGTGCCGAGACAATAAAGATGGCCGAGAAGAACCAGACACTTTGCTCGGGTTCGGGACAGTCTCGTTCTTCTGTTGCATGGTGGTTTTGCGCGAGTAGGATGTTTCCGTCAGCGGTCCTTTCTCAAAACTGCGCGCCTGAATATGCTCCAACGATGTATCCACGTTCTGGTTGAAAATTGCCTTTTGACCCCAAGGAACATTTTCCAAATCGGTTACATCCCCCGGGACAGCGAGCGAGACGCGTTCGGCCCCATAGTTGGTTTGCATGATATCGATGAGGTTGGACCACCACGCTTCCAGTCCCGAATCGGCATTCAGCTGTAACGTGAGGTCATAGAGATCGGGACTAGCAAAATTGGGGTCTTCTTGGCTCAGGGTATGGTGAGAGGGCATGAAAATTGGATGCGACTCCAAATATTTTGAATCTGAAGGTAGGACCTGGGACCCTGGCGCTGTGAAATGAGTCTTCTCGGATGGAAGCTTCAATCTGAATTGTCCCCCGCGCCCTGTAGGCTCGATCCCCATTTTGGCTGACTTGTTCTGCATTCGTGGAAAGGGATAAGATGGCGTCTGTTGGGGTTTTCGATCAAGGGGTGTGTCGGTTTCAACGCCTTTGATTGTTCCTACGGAGCTGGCTGAGTCTGCAGAGGAAAGCACAACAGTGGCGGGAACTTCTGTTGAGCTATTGGACAAAGTTGTGGACAAGCGCCTCTTTCTGGGCGCATCATTCGAGACGGCAGGGACAGATTGAGACTGAGACAAAACCGAGGGTTGGGTTTGCTGCATTTGTTGGTAAACAAGCAGATCCTCCATCTGCCTTCTGAGTTCCTTGAGAGTGTGCGAACTGCGTCCTTGGTCTTCCTTTTGCGCGGCATCTGATCGTGGGTCTTCGGTAATGGGCGTCAAACCAACAGTCTGCTCTGTAGAATCACCGCGCGACAAGCGAGTTGTTTGGAGGGATGACTTCTCAAGAGCCTCCACCCTATCTGCAAGTTCATCCACCAGTTTTTGTGATTGGTGACCGTGTGGGGGTCGATGGCCAGGCGATCGGAGAGGTTGCATATGATGAGTATGAGACAGTCCGACAGGTGGGTGAGTCTCCGTTGGCGAGGGGAATGGAGGACTCCTCCTACTATGGACGTCCTCCATTCTCGCTCCTCCGCGATTGGAGGGAAAGAAGAAAAAGGATGTCAGTACTCGTGGGTGAAGTATGGGGTGCAGGAACGATGTGAGGCGTTTACGGCTTGGCCGAGATTCGCAAATGGGGGTGAAATGTTGGCGGGGGTAAGCCAAATGAAAGAAAACAGATTTATGCCAAGGTAGAATATGAGAGGAGAGAGTCGGATCGATTTAGAATCAGGGTTATAGCAAGAGATCAGACGAATAAGCTTCAGGCGGTGTATCAAAGATTCACTAGGGAAGAATAGATTGAGGGGGTTTCGAGGGAAACTCGAAATACTGTGTTGGAAACAGGCGTCTGTACCCGCCAGGCCCATTGCTTGGATCGATATGGGAGTGGATGGAGGAAGGAAAAAGTGGACTGGGCGTGATGCACCGGCTCCGGGGGTTATGACGTACTTAGATCGACCTGGAAAATAAAAACCTTGTGTACGGACATATGGGGTTGTTTTTTTTTTTTTAATCTAGATCTATGGGTTTAATCTGATTTAGAATTAACCATGGCATCTACTTTAATTTCTCATTCCCCATCGCCGAAGTCCAGATTTTTTTTCTCTTCGCTCCAAGAGAGGCGGTCCTCGTGGCGTACCTAGCCCTATATTCCCAGGATGTACCTGGATTACCTGTACTGGATACCCGTTACCACGGTGAACATCCCGAGCAGTCGCGAGTACCCAGTACATTCGTTACATGCCTACCGCTACAATATAGGCACGTCCAGAATTAAATCTCGCCAGGGCTGCTTTCCTCCGGAAAGAGCAACATTTATGAATCACCTAGGCAAATATCTTGCTTATTCACGTTGGGACAACCACATTGTAGGTATCCGCAACGGGGAATATGACCCAGACCGTATTCTGCTAAATACCTCCTAGGTACCATACCTAGATACCACACAAAACAGCCTACCTGGAATGACCTACGTATGCCAACCGTGCCATAGCTTGAACGAAGAGAAACGTCTTGGGGTTCTGGTGCGGTCTAGACCGAACAAGAAAAGCCCCTTCCCCCCTTGTTCAGCCTCAGACCTACCGGATATGGGGATTGTGAGAGGCCAACTGCATTATGCTGCAGAAGGCCCAAACCCCCTAAGAACGAGGGGATCGACCCGCCGACGTCAACGGGGCTTCTGTGGCGCCAAATCGGCTTAATGGGGATTGATTAATGCATGGTAGGTCAAGGACCCCCTTTTCCGCAGAGAACATTGCAAGGAAATGGATTTTCCGGGGTTAGCTACTCCGTATCGGCGAGGACTTGCTTTGTTTATAGTGCATTGTGGCCGTTCGGGGCTTTTTAACGACGACTTTCGGTGATTCGATGCTCACCTCCGCATCAGCTGATCTCAGGGGAATATATCCATGTCGTCATCTGGCATAAAATAAGACGACTAGAGAGTCTGGGCTTTTTCATTCGCCCTGGATTATCCCTTTGAACTCCTCGGCTCGGGATTTCGTACGAAGTACGGACTACGGATCACAAACTCATACATAGGTAGTTAACTAACTCGTTAGCCTACTGTACATAGACACCGTGCTGGGTGATATCATTGCCCAGGTCTGTCCTACTTTGGCTACTTGGATCTGAATAAATTCTCAATCCATCGGTCGTACAATCCCATCAGTGTTCCGAGGTAAGTCTCATTGAAATCCGTTTTCCTGCTACAAATATACCAACCCTACAATCTCAAACACATGAATGCAAGTCACCAGGACTTCGAAAAAATGCTTATATATACTCCGTACAAGAAATGCAGACCAAATGAGAGTCAAAGCGTTATATAGTCATATGTCCATCTAAATTGCGTTGGGAGAGTGTTCTAGGCTTTCTGCGTGCGCTTCCACTGGCTGTGCGGGCTCAGTGATGTTTTTATCACTAGCCTGGAAGGATTTATCCAAGGCACGACGAGGGTTGAGCTCCTCTTGATAGATTGGTTGCTCGTTACCCTTGAGACCAGAGCCCGTGGGGTCTCTCCGAATGAGGAAGCCCTTCACGCGCGCATCGTTTGAGTCCATCTGTTTGACGGTGTTTTCTTGGCGATTATGTAGGAAACGCGATGACTTTTCGTTGACTTCACGCAGTCGATCCTGGACACTAGTATTCATTTGCCCAATCCAGGATGCTTGAAGGGCGCCCGCAAACAGTACCAGGAGAATCACAAGCCGGGAGAAGGTTCGCTGGTCGACAACGTGTTGCTGCGGTCCCTGATGGCGATTATGCCACTGCTCCCAATCTTCCCATGTAGCGTTCGCATAGATATTTGGTCCCCGCGACTCCCAGTCTATTTTATCCTCTAGTAACGTGTGGTTCCACCCAGTGCCATTTCGATCATATGCAGCCCGTTTGATGGGATTGGAAAGGATTTCATGGGCTTCAACCACAATTCGATAGCGGTGTAATCGATTCTCAGGGGTCAACTGATGGAAGAGTGGGTGATCTTTGAACGGTCGGTCGGGATGATAGATCTTCACGAGGTCATAGTAATGTCTTTTCGAATACGGACCGTCGCGGGGTAAATTCAAGACGTCATAAGGGGTAAAAGATCGAGTACTGGGCCATGAGTAGTCCTGATGGGGGAAATGTGACGCAGTGGCATAGCTCCTGTTCTTGTAAGGTGCCTGCAATTCATGGGTTGGAGAAATATTCGTGTTGAGATGTGAGAGTGGCAAGGTAGCCGTCGAGGGGAGCAGTTGCACGCCTCCGCCACGAAGAAGGTTAATTCTTTTGAACATGGTCACATTTTTTCGTAGAAAAAGAGCGGGTGAAATTCCCGATGTGCTCTACCCTCCAAAGTTATCGTGGGGAGTATGAGCTGATGCTTTGGTTTCTCGGACCGGCTTCGGAGATGGTCACGTGTATGTAGCTGTTGGAGCTTGATTAACGATCTCCAAGAATTTGGGTCTCTGCATGTTTCTTCTCCCACAGTACCATTTTGAGAGCAACAATGGTCGAATCCAGCGACGATCGTCGCGAGCGCCGGCGCTCTGTGACCTCACCATCAGATCATAACCGCGAACGCCGGCCACGGGATGCACCTCACGACGACTGCCATTCGAGCTCACGACGACGTGATGAACACCACCGAAGCTCTCACCGGGACGGTTCTAGACGAAGATCGTCCCGCAGCCCACTTGAAAGAACCACTGGTCGCAGTGGCGGTGACAGATCTCGCCGCGAGCGCAGAGAACGATCTACAAGCTCAACCCGTGATGACCGCCGCAGACACAGACACCGCAGCCACCGACACCGTGACAGCCGCCTTAGTGATGAAAAACGATCATCTCGAAGACATCGTGGCACACCATCCCGCTCTCGTTCCCCGCGAAGATCACGCAGCCCTGCACCCCGGGCATTAGAACGAAGTGGCCCGCTTCCCTCGCAGTCCGATGCATTCACTGATATGGCACACCCTTCAGATGCACCAGCGCCTGAAAAGCAGAAGCCGAACTTCAACACTACTGGTAGACTCGCGGCAGAAAGCAACACAGTTCAAGTCCAGGGTGGAGAAATAGTTCTGAAATACCACGAGCCTCCAGAGGCGCGCAAACCGCCTGCCAAGGAACCTTGGCGCATGTATGTGTTCAAAGGGCAAGATTTGCTAGAAACAGTCGAACTAGGTGAACGAAGTTGTTGGCTGGTTGGCCGCGAGCGAACGGTGGTAGACTTTCCGCTCGACCACCCCAGCTGCTCAAAGCAGCATGCTGTGTTACAGTTCCGATTTGTTGAGAAGCGCAATGAGTACGGCGATCGCATCGGCAAGGTTAAGCCTTATCTTATTGATCTGGAAAGTGCAAATGGATCGAGTGTCAACGGGGAAACCATTCCAGGTGGCCGTTACGTGGAAGTCATGGATAAGGACGTGATACGCTTTGGTTTAAGCTCTCGCGAGTATGTTCTCATGCTGCCTCCGAGCTGAAGATAAAATCTCCAGCTTACCTTGACCAGCATCGGAGTACGTTAATGGCTACATGGCAAATTTGGAACATAAACCACGGAAATAATGTTACAATTCGCAATTAAAAAGTCATGCAGGCTTATTTAGAAATAGAAAATTTCGGACGGCTTCACATGCGGTCCTTGACTTCCTTGGCCTTCCCTTCAACATCGCCAATCGCCTCCTTTGCCTTTCCCTTAGCTTGGCCTAGCGCTTCCTCTGCCTTGCCCTTGCCCTTGTCGGCATACTCGGCCGCTTCGTCCTTCACCTCCTCTCCCTTCTCCTTTGCCTCCTGGGCTCCGGTATCAACGACCTCCTTGATCTTGTGGGCAACCTTTTCTGTTGTAGGAATCATATTAGCATCGATTTCGGATCATTGATTGGAGGTTGTGTATATGACATCACACAGAATACATACCACCCGTATTAATCCCCTTCACTGCTACATCGGAGACAGTCCGATCAGCTTTCTTCAAGGTCTCTTTGGTTATGTCAATAGGTCCCTTGTAGTATGGAGCGGTGACCGAGATAGAACGAATTGCCTGGAAGCCAGGAGCAGTTCGTGTTGCCACCCGGGATCTCAGAAGAGGAGCGAAGCGTGCTGCAGACATGATTGTGGATATGAGTGGTGTTGAATGTAGAATTGAGGTATAGTCTGAGGCTTGGACTAGTTTGAATGTAATCGATAAAATAATTAATGGATTTTCCTCAAAGAATTCCGAGAAAGTTCTTTAAATAAGTAGAGCTTTTAGCTATCAGACTGGTTTCTACTTGGTTGCCTCTTGCGGGTTCGGCGACGTCATCAGTATGTAGTCCATTTCTTACGTCGATTCACAGTCAGTCTAGGCCTGGGTTCCAAGGTTTCTTTTCCCAATCCGGTTATTTCGGTTTGCTGGTCGGGAATCTACAACGCCTGAAATCAGGTTTTGAGCTTGTCTCACTTTTGGGGAAAGGGTATTTGTCTTCTGGCCGACGACTATCGCCACGGATGCAGGCGATAGCGGCCGGGGTTGTAGATTTTTATTTCCTATCAGGGAATAAAGCATTCCATACGGAGTAGGTAAACAGACATTGCTGTGTATGTGCTATATAGCATATACAACGTCTTAATTTAACTGGTTCAATTTCTGATACTACGAGAGAAATATGTTCACAAACCCGAGAACCATATGAATCCATAATTACATCCGTGTAGATAACAGCCAGTCCATAACGACCTAAAATAACTCTGTGTTGTATATGAGCCTTATTTTTGATTATCAATTAATCAATTAACCGAGAATGAATATAAAAAATGCCGACATTATAAGATGAAAAAAAGGGGGAGGTCTAGGGATTTCGCTGTTTCCGACTCTAGCAAGGATGTAACCTTCCTCGAGTGTATACCGCAATCTACCTAACCCCGAACCTTAAATATTGTGTTTGATCAAGCCATAGATAACTGCATTATTCACATGGTTGTTATTTAGAAACATCCTTGGATGACAGCATATATCACCCACAATCTAATGACGTGTGGCATCCTAAAGCATAAAGATAAATTAAAAGTTGGGGACGGGTGTACCCGTCATGGGTACCATAAATGCTTGATTGCTGGGACTCGCGCAGCATTGACCGCGACGAGCAAGGAATACGTGGGAAAAAAAACCCTGAGGCCATAGGCCTAAATGATATCTTACACGTCGAGAAACGGATTGAAGAGGTAGACATATTGTGTTATGGATGACAATCTTGTTGATGGTTGAAAAACACCACCTATGAAATACGACCCACGCATGTGCATGAGCACCCCGTACAGTTCACAAACTTTATGGTAATGATAATCAGACCACAAATACCTGAGGCTAGATAGGTATAGTTTCTACTGCGAGGGGACTAAATGCTTAATATCGTTGAAAATCTGCTAGGGAATTTGTACAAATCAGTACGATCATAGCCCATGGCTCCGCCTCGATACTCCTTCCAAGCAGAGGGACACGGTGCTAAGGTACATAATTGCCTCGTGCTTCCAGGCCGGAGGGGACTCGGGGTCTATTGAGCCAGCGTCGGACGCGGCGCTGCAAGATTCTATAGAAGATCAGGTGTTCGGTTATCTTCGTTCTGCCGCACTGTATACGAGTTTGGCGTCATCGTGATTGAACCTGCGGTGGTACCAGTCAAAGTCTCTATAGGAGGAGCGTAGGGCGAGCCATCGGTGCAGCGTGGGTTGGTGTAGGTTGAGAGCCGGAGGCAACTTGATCTCCTAGGTCTGATCGTAGCGTCGGTACCAGGCCAAGATCTTCTCGGCGGCCTTATGCCACTACTGGAAGCGGGGCTCCTCGCGGAGCTCGCGGTAGATTGAGCGGAAACTGCTTATTATCGGAGCGGAACGCTAGCCCGTAATCTTTTGATTAGCCATGGGAACATTGACTCGAGACTGGAATTCTAGTTAGAGGTATAAGTGAAGTCTACAATCCTCATGGGACCACGACGTTTAAGTGAGTAAATGTAACAAGTTCTGAGGTTGAGTTCCTTTACATTTTCTTTTATCTTGTTTACACTACCGATTGGTGGCCCTAGCTTTCAGGTGGACAGTGCTCGAGGATACAGGGAATTTTCACGTACGCCGCGAGGACTGATCTACAGGGTGGATCTATACAATAGGAATGCACCACCATTAGTTGTTGTCAAAGCTAGCTTTGGGACGCTATCCCGCATAGTAGCATGTATATAGAGCGAGGCCAATGGATTCATCATGATAATAGTCCGACTATGGTATAATCCTAAGTCTGAAGAGTTTGAAGAGCATCAACCCTTCTGTTTATTGTTAGTAACGGGAATGACCGGCGAGGCAGTGATAGTATAGTTTGCGTACATCCTAGGTCCTGAAGAGAGAGTATACTAGCTTCCTCAAATCGCTCCATAGCGATCATCTTGCATCTTCTCCTGGCTGTAAGGAGAATAATCTCAGGCGATACTCCACCAATCATCTCCCACGACTAGAAGGGCAACAAGTATGAAAAGGTCTGAGCTGGGGCACCCACGACAATATACAAAGGCTTACGGGTTGGTGGAAAGGGCGGGGAGGGTGCGGTCAGGATCTTCAATGCAGGGTAAGAGCGATGGTGACTGGACGAAATTTTCAGCGGCAAAAGACAGATGGTTGTAAATCTCTTCGACGATACTGAGGGCGTCAAAGCGGCGGGACAGGCCGACTGGAAGATTCGCCGCAGTGGGACAGCGGGACGGTCCGACCCGATCTATGTAGGTTGGAGGAGGTTGTCACAACCTTAGTTGGACAATGTGCGTGTAGGCTTCACGGGCGGGGTCGGCGGGGTTTGTGGTGGGGTGTGAAGCATCTTCACTGTCGGCATCATGCTCGCACTCCTGATTGTCTTCCAGCCCGATCTGGAACATAGCACGCTTGAGATATGAAAGATTGATTCCAGTTTGGGTTTCGGGCACGGCGCGCAGCTTGCCTGCGAAGCCGGCGTCCTCAAAGAGAGGGTAGGAAACATGAAAAAAAGGTGCAACAGGCTAGAAACGCTCAATGCGTTAAAGGGTCTGCTAGTAATTATAACATGGTAACCGGATCCTGACTAGAATCGGTGGTAATGCAGTACTAATCGGTGACTTGGCGGCGTAGCGCGATTGGGCCCGCTATGTCGCCATACTCGAGCGCATCAGTAGCTGCTGCTGAGTCGGTGAGAAAGTTCTGGATCGCCAGTAAAGATCCGCCACTGCCACTGGCGGCAGTGACCGTGCCGGCTTGCCCCAGACAAGATCAACGGGCTACATGGTCAGCATGAATTTTTGTCAGAGTCTCCCGCTGAGAGAGACGTCGAAATGCACCATGAAGATAGTTGATAAAGCTGAAGGCTAAGCTAAGCTAAAAGGCTATGGACTGAGGATCTGAGTCGTTTGTATTCAGCTTGTCTCATTTATCATCCACGGTATGCGTGTATATTGATTCAAAAATAATGAACGTGAGCAAGCCAGTCTATAAACCCAACAAGTCATTTCTACTTTGGCTGAGGATACTCCATAGTAGGCTGGTAAATACACCCGAGCAACTCTGAGAGCACTGTCATCGGGCACAATTGAATTTTCAGAACAGTGTCACCTCCAAAATGAGCTAATATGAGCTACTATGAGCTAACATGGGCTAACGTCGCTGAAAATTGCGGCTCGGCCCCGGGGGCCGTTCGGCTGACTTTCTATTCTCCGTCTACTCCGTACTCCGTCGTTATTGTCCGTCCGCTACGCCGATTTATCCTCACTAGTCTGACTGGAGTCTAGTATAGATGAAAAATGCAGCAAACAGCCCTGAGGTAGTCAATGGCCCTTGACTATAAGTTAGCAATGGAAACGTCTTAATCTTTCTGTTCCCAATTACTCACATCTCCCTTCTCCCCTGTTCTCGATTCCCTGTCCATTCGTCTCCCAAAGCCCTTTAAACTTCTTTCTCCCCTTGCCGCCATGGAGTCGAAGTCCGAGAATGCGGTTGATCTTCCGCATAGTTTCAATGGGGACGCACCCGCCAGTGGCAGTCAAAGTGAGACTATCGAATATCCCAATGCCTTTTGGGCGTCTTGCGTCTCTGTCGGGGTCGCTCTGGGCCTCTTTTTGGTAATAACAGTCACTTTTACCGTAACTAGCAAATTCTAACTCCAATTCCACAGGTCGGCTTGGATATGGTACGTGATGACGACGCATTGCCTCTTTCACTCGCCCACGCTAGCATCTCTTATCATTATTTTGGTTGTGGTAGACTATAATTGCGACTGCCATCCCTCGTATCACCGATGAATTCAAAGGCATCAACCTCGTTGGTTGGTACGGTTCGGCCTTCTTTATTGCGCTGGCTTGCTTCCAGCCCTTCTGGTAATTACCCAATTCTGTCTCTCTACACCTTCACCTCATGCACCCGTTATCCTAACTCGAAGGTTGCAGGGGCAAGGTATATCCCTTTTTCTCGATCAAATACACCTTCTTGACCGCCGTTTTCATATTTGAATTGGGCTCACTGCTTGCAGGTAAGCAGCCAGACACTGCATCCATATCAATCACGTCCCAGAACTGACTAATTTCCATGATGTAGCCGTTGCACCCAACAGCACCATCCTCATTGTCGGGCGAGCCATAATGGGCGCAGGAGGCGCAGGCATCGCATCGGGGGGATACGCCATCTTGGGGGTTGTTGTGCGCCCACAGCTTCGCCCTATCTTCACCGGGTTTATCACCACTGTTTATAGCGTTGCGAATGTCCTCGGTCCCATCCTGGGCGGTGTCTTCACACAGAAGACAACTTGGCGCTGGTGCTTCTATGTTAATCTGCCAGTTGGTGCTATCGCCGCCATCATTATCTTTCTGCTGTTCCAACCCCCCAAATCCGCCCGTCGGACTCAGGCTCCGCTGAAAGAAAAGCTGTCGCATATGGATCCAATCGGCATCTTGCTCGCCCTCGGCTCGCTCGTCTTCTTCACACGTGCGCTTGAGGTAGCCGGTATCTATAAGGCATGGAACTCGGCCGAGGTCATTGGCTTGCTTGTTGCCTGCGTCGTTGCTACAATAGCCTTTGTAGTCTCACAGTACCTCCAGGGTGACCATGCCCTCATCGTGTCACGGATTCTCAAGAAGCGTGTCATCGCTGTTGGAATGGTATACGGCTTCTTCCATGAGGGAGCCTTCTACCTCCTGCTCTATTACGTCCCAATCTTCTTCCAGGTCGTCGTGGGTGTCTCTCCCTCCGACGCTGGTGTCCGCAACCTCCCGCTGCTCGTCAGCTGCGGCATAGGATCCGGGCTCGCGGGCATTCTCGTCTCAGTCTATGGCCACTATGTCCCGCTTATGCTGTGGGCAAGTGCCGGCGGCTGCATCGGCTCCGGCCTTATCTACACCCTGAATGCTACCTCCTCTACTGCCGCTTGGGTTGGATATCAGATCCTCGCCGGGCTCGCCTACGGGTCTGGCCTACCGCTAGCGATCATCGCAGGTCAGGCCAAGGCTGAGCCCGAAGATCTTGCTTCAACTACAGCTATGCTTTTATGTAAGTCAAGCCTTGCACACTTGCCATATCAATTTAGCTCATAACTTACACCACCTGTAGTCTCCTTCTGTGTCGGCTCCTCGACCTCCCTAGGAGCGGGTCAATCCGTGCTGAGCAACATCCTATTGTCGAAACTTCCGTCCACCGCGCCTGGTGTCGACCCGCTCAGCGTCATTGCCACAGGGGCTACCGAGATCCGCCATGTCTTCCCCGCCGATGCTGTTCCAGGAATCGTGCAAGCCTATCTCTATTGTTTGCGCGCTGTTTTTTTGATTGTCACAGCCTACGCCGGCGTCGCAGTTTTCTTCGCAGTCAGCAATAAATGGGAGAGGCTCAGACTGAAGTAATGAAAGGCTGTCTTCTGCGCGCTACCAAGCCTTATGAAGACCAAAACTGCCGGGGATTTCCTGAATCCTGATAGACCAAAGGAAAGAGAGCCACCTCCCACCTCCATTAGCTGATATAAATGAATATAGAAGTGAAGTACTGTCAAGTAGAATGAGTTATTGTTTGAGCTTGACCTGAAATCGATCCTTCCTTACATCTTTAACTTATGCTCTATAGTCAGATATCTATAGGGTAAAGTGAAGCCCAATTCCTCATAACAATTCAGGCTTGCGGTTTGGCACAGGAATGGGACGGTAAATGGATCGGGAAGAATAGAATGTGAGTTCCTACTCTCTTGTGATACTTGTGACCGCTCCTATTGTCGCCTATAGTGAAGACAGGGAGGAGGTCTGGACCAAATCTTGACCCCGCTTGTCAGACCCATGGGCAGTGATAACCCTAAAATGCCAGCTAACCCAAGATGTATTAGCGCCCTGTTAACCCCAGATAAGCAGCGGAGAACATCGAGTTTCAGGTTGACTTCACAATATTTTAGGGGTGTTCCACTGTATGAAATGCCAACGAAACGACGAATCTTATCCTGCCAGCCGTGTCGGCGCTTGAAGACACGATGCGAGGTTTTTCCGGGATCGAGACAATGTGCTCGGTGTATCTCCCTCAGGTCGGTAGCCTAATTGAGTCGGATCCATTATTGGCGGCGGCGCGATGGTTGAGTGCTAATCGAGTATCTAACAGGCTTGAATGCTCTCTGCCCTCTACATCAACTATCACTAGTCCGCACCCTGGGTCTATTGGCAGACCAGAGAGAAGTTCTGACCCCTACAGTCAATGTCATTGTGCAGATAGGTATCCTTATTCCACTTGTATAAAGTGATGTACTAATTACTAATTCAAATATACTGGATAGAATCAACGCCATCGAAACGTCGCTTGCTGAAATGAAAGAACTATTGAAATCTCACCTTAGCAAGGACCAGTCAGCAAGAGTCTCCGCAAATGAGATGTTAGCAGGAAGCAATAGATTCAACGTGAGGAAGACCACCAACGATGGTGAAGTCACCATGCGCATGCCCTCAGAGGCCAGTATATTGGCAACCACTGACGTCCAACCTGCGCCAATCACAGTGGTCCGCCACGTTGGGAGTCTCATCACCGAGCCTGTCGCAACGGGAGAAAATAACTCACTGTTGGAAAATATGACCCAGATGGGCTTGGACTCGGAGAGTTTCGCCACTGTGTTTCAGCATGGCTTTGAGCAGATCGCATCGTGGTATCCATTCCCGCATGAGACTCTGACGGATCTCAAACAGAACCATCCACTGCTCTTCGCAATGTGCCTTCTCGCAGGAATCAGGGCTACTGCTGGTCTCAACAACTCTGAACTGCACATCACACTCCATACACTGGTCAAGACCCACTTGGGTATGAAGACGCTTGACACGCCGATCGATATCTCCACCATACACGGCATGCTTATCTCCAGTGCTTGGAGCTTTGGTCCGCTGGTGCCAGGTGGTCGGTATATTGATAGCTGGTTGATGAGCAGCACAACTATTACCCATTGCATGCTTAGCTTCCCTTTATCTGACCTTTTGTCGCACGCTGGCTTGTACGATGAAACGAATCGGAATATGTGCAGGATGTGGATTCAGGCGTCGTTGGTACATCTGAAGTACGTATACCCTTGTTTTAAAGCAGTAGGGATTTGGTGCAATATTGGTATAGAGGCTAACCTGATTTCAAGGTACGCAATTGGCACCGGTCGGCCATCAGTAGTTCCATGCGAGCGTCTTCATCCGTGGGCAGAAATTGTCAAATACCCCGGGTTTGAAACATTTGACCGAATTATTGCAGCTGAGCTCAAGCTCTATATTCATCTCTATGAGGCCATCTATCAGACAGTCAGCTCAGTGGCCGAGGCATGGGATATGGTCAATGGATGGGGACATGAATACCTTGCAGGTGAGGGATTTCTGTTTCAAAATTCTAAAGCAAAAGATTATACTGACTATAACCAACAGAAGGTAACAGTGTCCTGAGATGGGCACACTCCTGCGTATCACTTATCCTATCTCGATGGGAGCTGGCAAAACACAATCAGAGCCTGTCTTCAGACTCACTGATGGGTAATGAGCGCCTTAACGAACTGACCGACACAGTCATCCGCCATGCCCTACTAGTACTGCGGGAAATTATCGTCCTCTGCTCTGCAGATACTGCATTCGTTAGACCAACATATGACTACCTGCTGGCCGCATATGCGGGCGTGACACTAGCAGAGTACTGCGGCAGTATATCTGACGTGCACGCGACATATACGTTGATGGAAAATGTGCGGACACAGGCTAGGATTCCCAGAAGTATCGAAGGGATTTTCAGCTGGGCAACGAACGTTGTGCGGAAGAAGGCTAAGGATTTGCTGGATACAAAAATTTCGATGGCTCCCGATGATACCTTTTATTCGTATGCAGGGTCTGTCGCCGACTGGGCGCCGTTTCGGTTTATTGATTCGATGCCCACTGCTGGCTGGGATGGAGTAAGTGGTTCTATGCAACAGTATTGAGATCTATTTAAGTTGAGTTTTTCTCATGTTGGTTGATGTCAAATTAAATTGGAATGCATATCTCTCTGAGTGAACGCTGGTTTCATTTAGACAGGGGCCTTCCGTGAGCGAGGTCAAGTCGATCCCGATACCACTTGGCAGAGGGTTAGAAATGTTTAACGCCCGGGGAATATCAACAAAGTGTATCTTACCTTGCCAGAGGAAATAGGCTCGTAAAGAGCGGGATGAGCCTCGTCAATACACGAAGGCACAACCTTGCAAACCGAGTCCGGATTGAATCCCAGGAAGAACGGCATCGAGTACCTGGAGGTGGGTTGACGATTATAAACTCTGTGTACAGTAGACCTGAACCTATCATTAGAGAGACGCTGCAGGAAGTCCCCAAGATTGACAACCAGGGTGCCGGGTATAGGCCGAGCATCGAGCCATTCATCACCAGAGGAGAGGACCTGCAAGCCCCCAGACATATCCTGCCACAGTAGGGTGACGCAAGTTATATCAGTGTGCGAGCCAATGCCGACATCGACGTCGCCGTTATTCTGCTTGAGCTCATCTGCCGGCGTGGCGGGATAGTGTGTGTAGAGCCCGTCGGCGTTGGGACTCGTAGTTATCGAATCAAAATAGTCTTCTGGCATGCCCATTGCCAGAGCGAAAAGGCGGATCATTTTCCGCGCAAGCGCCAGACGCTGCTGGTAGAATTTGACTGTTGTTTCTTTGAACCCAGGGAGATGGCTGGTGGTGTCCCACGCAAAGTCTTCACCGACAGGCGCTGTAGCTGGGTCATGAGCGACTGGGTCATTCCTGGGGCTATATCGCAGAGAGAAAGTCTCTTTTCGGTCTAAGTACTTCTGCTGTTAATGATGCATTCATTGCATTAAGTCGTGCCTGAGAGATGGGAGGTTCTTTACCCCTTGTTTCCGTTTTATTGATCTGGCTACTCCCCAGCCCTTGCCAGCCATCAGGATTGTGCGGCCGGTTGCTTGAGGCTAGCTCCTTCTGCTCGATTGGCTGCGCGAAGAAAGCCTTCGCCTGGGATAACGCATCCTGAATCAGCTCTTCTGGGATGCCGTGGTTTTTGACATAGAAGAACCCTGTGTTCTCTGCCGCTGCTCTTATCTTGGATGCAATTGCCTCCCTCGCTTCTAGATCCTGATCAATCGAAGAAAGATCAATGACCGGGATTTCATCTTCGGTTGGCAGACGCGGGGGAGCAGTTGACACTCGGCGGAATGCAGGGCCGCTAAGCGTCAGTAATTCGACCTGAGTGTACTCGAGCTGGGTTGCCATGATAGATTCGAGATATAACCAATACAAACGTGAGGATGATCGCGAAGCTCTGCTCGATTTCTCCCCCGCAATATATCAAGATTAGGCGATCTCCTAGTCCGTGGGTAACCGTCGGACGCGTTGATGTTAAGAGACTACGGCGATCGCCGGACGAAGCTAACGACGCCGAGATGCGAAGGATAAGCAAATAAGATGAGGTCTGTCTCCTCCTCTTTTATCTCCAGAAGATAACAGTGCGCCTCTGGTCACGGGGGTGTTTGCGACGACACAACTTAGGCGTCAGGTTCTTATCTGTCCATCAACCACTCCAGAGGCCAAATAGCCCTACAAACCCACGATGGTCTATCAATTGCCCCTCTTCTCAAGTTTCGGATTTTGCCAGTAGATCAGCGCTCGAGTCTGCTTTCGACCTTTTTTCTCCACTTCCCCGCACACCCTATATACGATGTCCAGACTATCGCGGCTCCACGAGCTGCTCATCGTCAAACGAACGGAACGAGATGGCGTCGCTCGTCCAGTTGACATGCTGGACAATGACTCAATTCGACCGACACCAGTCAAAGACAGAACATGGTCGCAACTCACGTATATCATGTTCTGGTTCTCTGCGACGGCAAATGTTAGCAATCTGTACACTGCTTCTACGGGAATGGCCATGGGATTGACCATGTGGGAAGCGATCGGGTGCTCTTTCAGTGGACAGATTCTCGCCGGTATCTTGATGGCTCTGAATGGCCGCGCTGGGGCGATGTATCGCATTCCGTTCCCTGTTCTTTGTCGCGCCAGTTTTGGTCACTGGGGAGCATTGTGGCCGACTTTCAATCGTGCTGCCATGTCAATTGTATGGAACGGCGTCAATACCGTGCAGGGAGCACAGTGTTTATAGTAAGTTTCTTTAACTTCATCCCTGCGCCTCTTTTCCGGGGGAAAATGCAAGCATCATTACTAATAGTCTTCTCCAGCGTCTTCCTCCATGCTATTTTCCCATCTATTGAGAATATTCCTGATAAAATGGGATCGAAGTCAGCTTTGACTTCAGCACAGATGATGTGCTTCTTCGTCTATTGGTAAAGGCATCAATAATCCAATGATGAAATTCAGTGCTGATCATCCTGAACAGGCTTATCAATTGCGCATTCCTGGTAGTGCCCGTGCCAAAGATGAAATCCCTGGTCTACATCAAAGTCGGGGTCTATTATGCTGCAGCCTTCGCCATGGTTGGATGGACTGTATCCCTCGCTGGTGGCTCTCTACAGACAATCAATGCGCCCTCAGAAAAAAAGGGCAGCGAAAAAAGTTATCTCATTTTCAAATTCGTCTTCTTGGGTCTCGCTAGTTGCGGAACCTTCATTTCCAATGCATCTGACCTCCAGAGATATGCTAGAAAGCCCAATGACGTTCTCATTGGTCAAATTGTCAGCTTCCCAGTGTCTAACTTCCTAGTTGCCATTTTGGGAAATCTCATCGCATCCGCTAGCAAAGCCGTCTTTGGAGAGGTATGTTCCTTCGAAGGATCGCTTACAAGTGTTGGGCTAATAGAATCGTGTAGCTCATTTGGAGTCCATTGGTGTTCTTGGACAGATTAATGGAGGGGGAGCGATACACCTCCGGCAATCGCGCTGCCTGTGCCATCATTGCGCTAGCATTCGTTTATTCCACCATCTTCTCGGCCATTTTTGAGAACTCAATCCCGTAAGAACCTAATGTCTATGCATCCATACGTCGCCAATATCTAACAATCTCCAGTGCGGGCAATGACATTGCAGCCCTACTACCAAAATACATCACTATCAAACGAGGTTTCTTCATTTGCGCCGGTAAGAGAAGAATCTCAATCATCTTGCTAGCTCTCCAAAAGCTTTTCAACTAACTACCGCACCAGTCCTTTCTTACGCTATCTGTCCCTGGTATCTTCTTTCATCGGCCTCAATCTTCATCACATTCCTCTCTTCCTATCAGATCTTCCTATCAGCAATTGCCGGAATTCTCATCTGCGACTACTACCTAATTCGCCGGGGTCTACTGGATATCCCAGCCCTCTACGTCACAAGCCCAAGTCCGTACTACTTCCTTCACGGATTCAACCTTCGAGCTTTCCTAGCCTACATCGTAGCTATCGCGCCCAACTTCTACGGCTTCCTTTTCCAGATGGGCGTCAAGGCACCCATTGGTATCCAGCGGTTCTACTACATTGCCTACCCTACTGGCTTGTTCATCGGGTTCGGCGCCTATTACTTGGTTTCTCTGGCTTTCGTCCCACCTGGAATGAAGGAGGCATCCGGATGGATGGAGCCGAAGGACTTTGTGGAGGATGAGGATGTTTCCGGGAGTGATGGGTTCATTGATGCTGTTGATCCAGGCTCCACGGAGAAGAGTGCTTCAGTTTCTACGCAGGCATATGGGGAGAAAAGTGCATTTTAATAAGTGATTTGGCTGGGGCTTAGCTTGCAAAATCAAGTATAATTAATATTATCGTGGTGACTATCACGCAATACTGTGAATTGACAGCTGAGCTCTAGATGTACATGTATGTACATAGCTCCATGTACCTACCAAGCACGGAGTACGGAGTAGAGATTCTAGATTCTCTTTATCATTCACCTGGACCAGTTCAGCCCCCACTTTGGCGCACGGTTCTTCGCATTTAAAAGGGGGTGTTGAGGCTTAGCCATCGATTTCTTCTTGATGGAGTACCCCGTGTGTCAGAAAGGCTGCAAGGCTCTGACGCCAAGGGATGTCTTTGCTCAACACACTGTCCTCTCATTGGAACGTCTCTTGTGGCATATGCCGGGGCCAGAAACCACCAGGTTCTATTGGAGTGACGTCCCGAGTCGCTGCAGATGCCAATTGTTCATCTTCTCCTCATTGGCTCTGGATACGGGGTTCCTGACATGGGTATGGCCAGGTGTATGCAGCTAGCCGCCTAGTGGAAAGGGCAGAGGACGGAAATAATATGAGGTCCTCAGACGCTTATTTCGATTCTCGATGATATCTCTCTCGACTGATTAGAGAGTGCTTGTGAAAGGATCGCATCGCACTCTCCCTCCCCATGGATTCTAACCAGCGAGGTACGGAAATGTCCGAAAGAGCACGCTCAAACTCGCCAGTTTCAAGTATACAATCTTTTCACTATTCCATACGGAGCGACTACCACAATACGAACGCGGTTGATCATGTCAACGGAGATAATCATGCAGACACCGCATACAAGCCTGTTGTGTCGGCGGATGTTGAAGAGACATATTCGCAAGACCCGAAAGCCAAAAGATCACTATGGGCGCTGATCTCGGACTGGTTTGTTTTGGAGGCACTGGCTATACTCATATCTCTTCTCTTACTTCTCGCCATCATTGTTGTCTTGTCGCATTTCGATGGCCAACCACAACCTTCCTGGAATCACATGTCGCTCAACTCGATGATCTCGTGGTTGAGCACGTTTTCCAAAGCATGTGTGCTGTTCGCTATTGGCGAGGCACTAGGACAGCTGAAATGGGTCTGGTTCAGTCAGAAGACTCGATCGGTGCCTAATCTACGCACTTTCGATGCTGCCAGTCGAGGGCCTTTTGGTAGTGCAGGGTTGATCTGGAATTTACGAGCGAGGTACATCAACCAGGATCTTTGTTTGGTCGGAAGCTGATTCTGTAGACATTTTGCCGTGCTAGGATGTCTAGCCACGATTCTCGCATTTGGCGTCGATCCCTTCACCCAAAATCTGATTATGTACTATAACGTCCTGACCGCCGATGTCTCCGAAGTAGCGAATGTATCGAGCAGCTTTGTGTACGATGTCACAGGGTTGACAATCCGTGATGGCTTGCGTATGTTCAAATTCATCCATCAGTTGTTCAAGTGTGCAGCTAACTGAAAACAAATAGCACCCTACGTGGACCCGTCGTTAAAGGCGAACGTCTATAACTCACTGCTCAATGATGACTCAACAAGGCCATGGTCCCTCCCACATTATACCTGCAGCACCGGTAATTGCACCTGGGGTGCAATCGCTGCCCTAGAACTGAGCGCAAGCTGCACGAATGTAACGAACCACCTGAAGTTCTCGTGCGGAGAAGTAGATGACTTCTACTACGTCCCGAACTGCACCGTCAGTCTCCCAAACAGCAACACATCTTCGAACTTTATGTCCGGCAGATCAGAAGGGTTTCCAGTCACAGTGGCGCTGGTAGATCCCGAGAACGCGGAGATATACACAACCCCCTGGCACTGGGTCACGCAGTTCATCGCGCCAGAAGGACTAGTAATGGGCGCTCCATTCAAAGCAAACCCCACCCAATGGCAGGCCATGGAATGCGCTCTGATCCCGACCGTCCGCAGCTTTACAGCAGAAGTCAGAAGGGGCGTATATAAAGAAAAGACCCTGGCAACCTGGACCAACGGCACCTATGAAATCGACCCATCGCCGGGATATTTTATCCGGCCGCCTTGGGGACCGGAGATGGGAATGGAACGGAACCAAACCTTCGAGATAGGACCGTTGCCAATGCAAGCGATGGGGAAGTTCTTCGAGGACATCTTCACCGGTCATGCGTGGACGAATGCTCGATTCGGGATCCAGTTTTCGTCCCCCGGTGGTACCTATGCTGGAGCGGATATCATCCAGGCTATCGCTTATTCGGACATGACTGGCTGCACCGTCCGCACGGCGGAGAGACTCGAATGCATTATGAAGAATGTTGCCGAGGCAGTTTCGAAATCTTTCCGCGACTCGGCGGATATTGCCAGTGGCGCGGGGACGCATATGGTGGTCGGCCAGGCCAAGACGATTGTGACCTACATTGCTGTCTTTTGGCAGTGGATGGCGCTGCCGGCTTTGGTGTGGCTCCTGGGTCTTGCGACTGTCATTGGTACTGCGTGGAAGAGTCAACGGGCTGACATTCCGAAGTGGAAGAATGATATGATACCATTGTTATTCTTGTATCCCGATGGGCAGCAGCATGGTGTCCCACGAAATGAGGAAGAGGAAGACCGCCTCAACTTGAGGTTATACAGAAGTGATGATAAAATGGTCCTTGGTGGATCGCCTAGCTAATGTTTATGCTCATTGAATTCGTCTGGTTCTCATTGTCGTTTATAAACGAGCTGCGAGCTCGGGCAGAGGATACATCGTCCCCACAAACTGTCTGACTTGGATGAGCAGAGATATCTTGAACTTTTCATCAGTGCGCCATCCAAAGTCCACTGGTGTAGATCGCTTTTCTAACAATATTATACATAGGCCAAGCTGTGCGAGAAAAGGCTACTAGCTCAGAGAACTGAAGAACTCGTCTGTGGTAACAGAATATAATAATGCAGTGTTTAAACTAAAGAATCAGTGTCATAAAAAGCATCAACGCCCCTCTGAAAGCTTCTCTAGATGCAATAGTTTTGATCAAAACTCGAAACTCCCATTAACACCATATGTGCGGGTATCTCCCCAAGCTCCAAAATGAAGAAAGCCATATGCAAAACAATTCAAAAGCAAACGCGGGGCGACAGAAGAAGATAAAATAGCATCAGACACACAAGTACTACCGTGTATGCAAATGCAAAAACAAGAGTATAATTCAACACCAACGCCAACACCAAAGTGCAATATCAGTACCGCATACCAAGACCAGCATGATCAGGCCGCGCAGGCGAGCTCCCACTCCGCGTCCGCGTTCCATAAACCCCAAGCTGAGGCGCAGGGGCATAAATCTGGCCACCATGCTGAATCAAAGAACCCGATAAATTCGGATGATATAGACGATACTGCGGGCGCGGCGCCTGCAGTAGAGCAGACTCATGTAATCGATGACGTGGATCTCTAACATCGACGCGGTGGGCACCGAAATGCAAAGATTGCGCTGGCTCAAGGTCTGGGTTCCAGCCCGGATCGCTGAACTTCAGTCGTTCGTTCATTGAGCCAAGGCGGCCCTGGGCGAGTGGGGGGCCGGGGTAGCCGGGCTCGGACTGGAGAGCACTGCCCGCCGGAAGTAGATCGGTCGTCCAGACATTTGCACCGGCAAGCATCTGTTGTTGCTGTTGCAGGGTTGAGATCGGAGTGGGGACCAGCTCGGGCGGTTGTTGGAAAGCTGGGATGGGTGAGAATCGCGGGGGGTATCGCACGGGTTCTGTGGCCCATGATTGATGGGAGTACGCGGAAGAGTCGCGGGACATTGGCTCGGAAGTCACATGTTCTGGAGCAGAGCCCACGGTCAATTTGGCATTGGATGAAGATGGCATTGCGCTTGGCATGATTGCGGATGGATGAGCGATGGGTCGAGCTCTAGTGGCCACTGGGGGGATTGGGCCTGGCGCGAATTGTGAGGGTACTCTGTGGGTTGGAAAGGCGATGGAAATATCTTCGTCGTACGGTAATGCAGGTGGTGGGTATGGAAGGAGCGTTGGCACGCTTGCAGATAGACTTCGTGGGGCCTCGAACTGTACATTCGAGCCACGCCGCGAGTGAGCCCGGCTTCCAGGGGCAGTTGGAAAATTCAATCCGTGATGATGTCCGAACATATCAAATTCAGGCTCACTGTATGTTGATCGACTCAGAGGCCCGTCTATCAATTCCCGAGACGATAGCTCATGGGATAGCGGGGACGAAAAGGCGTAGCCCGTTTGACTGTCGAGCGACTCAGCGGAAGGCTTCATCTGCAATCCACCATTGGTTTGCAGGCCACTGGCTGGGTCTAAGGTCCGCATAACGGGGACAGATGACGGGCGCTTTAAAGAGGACTCTACTTCCAGCATTCGTCGCGTAGCCACAGTCGCGTACGTTGGTGTGTTTTCTTTATTTGCCGAGTGATTTGCTATAGGCTGCAGGCCTTCCGAAGACGAATTAGCATTGCTGGATCGACGCACTGCGGCAAGCGCTTGTTCGGCTTCCGAAGTCAATATCAATGAGCCGCCTGTGTCAGGAGCGGATGTGCGGCTTGATGAGCCCTTTCCTTGAACGGGGGACACCTTAACTAACGGTGTATCAACTTTGGTGTTTCTGAATCGACGGAGACCCAGATTGCGCCTTTGTACCTGCTTTTCTTTGTATGACCTTGGCTTTGAGTGTCGATTGACCACTTGCCACTCTGATAGGCTAGTGATCTGCGGAGGGCTCGATGAAGGGGGGTCTTGTTCGGTTTTTCCGTAGCTTGGCTTATCTGGGACAATGATGGGGACATTTTAAATGCTGCCCTAGCTTCTCCGTCCGTTTCGTACCCATCTTCGGATTCATATTCATGTCCAGCCCGCCGGAATATATGTGGAGGAAAAAGCTCCAATCTGAAGCGCGGAGGCGGCATAGCCAGTTGCTCGGGGGATTCCGCTCGAGGCGACCCAAGATCACTCCAATTGAAGGTAGAGCGGCGCGATAGTCCTTCATCGGCTGAGGAGTCGGGAAAAGATGATGATGAGCTGCTTGAACGATCAAAAACAGACTTTTGATTCCGTGCAAAATGCTGAGAGGAGCTTGGAGACATGCTCTCTATTTCCCTGCTAATTATTTTCATCAACTTTCGAAGATCTTCTCGTGTCTCACGAACGACTAGCGGATGTAGATTTATTGCAGGTTTCTTTGGGAATAGCTCAAAGAGTCGTGAGGCATGAGTTTCGTACTCTCGGTAATCCCGCACGAGACCACAATCTTCGTAATGGGCCATTCTGTCCATGGCGCCTTCGTAAGACGTGATGAGAAATCGAGTGGCAACTATCAGCCAAGTGTCGAAGTAACCAGGGTCACTGTTGCTCATGATGCCCTTGCTCTCTTCGTCCTTGATTCGGAGTTCATCACGGCAGAACCCCTGCACCACACTGTGAATTTTGATCACGTCAACTACCGATTGATTCCGGTAGATAGAGAAGAACCCTTCTTGGCTGCTTTCTGTCAATGATTCTGAAAGATCCGGAACATGCTTTGCCTCCGGGCTCACATCGCCGCCATCAGTATAACGGACAGATGATCTTTGCTGGATATGCTCGCTGGCTGTAGTCCGCTCAACCAGTCCATAATGAATCAGAGTCCCAAGTGTGGTATCAAGATCAGGTTCCTCGCCTGTTTGAGCACTGGTCTGAATCTCCAAATTCTCAGAGGTCATAGCAGCTCGACCAAGATTCAAAAGACCCACTGGGACCTGGTGGCCAAGGAACGACAGGAGGTTAATCAGATGCAATGCTTCATTTTTCTGCAAACGAAATAAATCGTTCATGATGCTCAAGAATGGCTCTGCAAGCTTTTTGTCGGTCACCTGGGATTTGAAATGATATTTCTCAATCGGTTTACCAGTTGCGTTGAGACGGTGTCCAACGGCATGAATTGCCAGAGGCAAGCATTCATAGTACTCGACAATTCGGGTAGCCTTGAAAGTTTGCTCAGGCGTGGCTCGTGTAATCCCAAGATCCTTGAACAGAAGCTTGCAAGCGTCTTCCACGCGTAAGCGCGAGATCATGAGGCAGTATGGCTCATACAGTCGCTGCTTTTTTCGCAAAGTCGTGTCGACTGAGGTATATATAATACTGCACCGTTTGCTCCACGGCAAGACCTCCCGGAACCTGTTGATGTCGTCGTCACAGTCGAAAGTAACACCATCAAAGACAAGGAGCCAGTCTCTCCGTGTCTGAAGCCAAAGTCGAACTGCGCTTACGTACTTCTGAGTCTCATGGTACTCAGGGTTGTCGGTCATCTTGGGTTCGACCAGCGTGGCCGCCTGCGCAATCTCCCAGAAGCACTTGTACGTTGATTCACGGGACTTGGCATCGATCCAAAATATACCACCGGGATAACAGTCGCTTTGGGTGAAAACATACTGCCTTGCCAGATGTGTCTTGCCTGAACCGGGAACACCAGAAATCAGCACGGCCATCGTCTTCTCTGGGCGCGCCTTGGCCTTGAACAACCGGTTGTGTAACACTTCTAGCTCTTTCTCCATCCCAAAAAAGGTGGCGTTAGGGTGAAATCCTGGAGGGACCACGAATAGAGGCGATTCCTTGGGATAGTGGGAAAGTTGGAGAAGTTCACTATTTCCTAAATCCGACACTGGCGAATTACGGCCATCTGTAGCAGAGCCGCGCGGGAGAGATAGTACAGATTGCCCTATGGTAGAAAAGTCAGCTAACGTGACTTGAAAATAAATGTTGTGATGCTCATGTTGAGGAGATTGGATGGAGTCAGCTAGTTTGAGGACATGAGATGGGAGCCACCCGGGACAAGGCCAGCAAGAAGATAGATACAGAAAACAGAAACACAAAGGGAGTTAAATGAGAAGCTAAATAAATTTGCAACGTAATTGGGTCCTGTGACTAGCGACAAGAAAGGTCAAAAGGAAAGATGCACAACGCTTGCAGTGAAACTGAGCTCTAAACGAGCTCGTAGCAAGAGCAAAAAAGAGCAAAAAAGATCAAACGCTAAACGCTCAACGCCAACGTGAATCGCCAGAAAACTTCATCGAATAGGGGGCTCCTCGATCTCATAATCCTTCAACGTAACAGACTCTTCCGGAGCAGGGAGAAGGTATGAAGTCGTACCGGGTTTGTTCAAATCGGGCAAGCTTCGATTTACCGGATCATCTATTCTTGCTACTATAGTTAGTATTGAAGGACACAGTGAGAGGATTATCCATGCAAGAAAGGAAGCTCACCGTCATAAATTTCCCTGGCCTTGGCCTTCTTCTCCAGGGTGCGAGCCTTCTTCTCTTCCACCCAACGGTCGCTAATCACGGCGGGCGCCTGGCGTGAATACCGGAGGATCGCTTCCGCCACCACTTCATAGCCTGCAGAATTATCGTCGTCAAATTTGCACATATGGCTATGGTCGGCCTCGATTCCAGCGCGCTCGACACCCTCCATGTATGGCGCCGCCGAGTGTTCATCTACGATCACTTCCCGGGTACCACGAACATCGGTGGACCGTGTTTCGTGGAAAAAGTAGATGTGGAATCGGCCCATGATATCGACAAACAGACTATTGATGTGTTGAAGAGTTTCATTGTTCGCTCGCAGGGCTTTGACAAGCTGCGGGGATGCTTCCATGAACTTTTTCGGAAGTACTGCATTGCAGATGTTGTGCAGCAAGAGGCCCCATTTCGCGATATCAGATCCATTGTGGGGCGTTCCGAGGAACAGGATCCCAAAAGTGGACACATAAACAGACCGCAGGTGCTCCGTCTTCTCGCTTGAGAGACTCCGAGAGTAGATCAAGGCCCGTTTCACAATCAGTCCGCCTAGAGAGTGACAAATGAAAATGATAGGACGGTCGGAGCAGTCTCGCAGCTATGGAGCAGGTTGACGTTAGTATTTGCAGCTTCATAACAGCAAGAAGGAAGGATGTATGGATATTGAAGGCAAGAGGGATCGACGTTCAATGCAGAGATGCAGACTTACATTCCGATTAGCTGCGAGAGTCGATGCAAGAGTCTCGGCGTGGCTAACCACCGAATCGCGTGAGGCTCCATCTGTGAAGGCAGTAACATTGGCATTATAACCATAAGTCAGAATGCGGGGACGCAGCGAGGCAAGAACGTCCGGAAGAAGGTCGGTGGGCCAGAAGCAACCGTTGTTCTTGCTGGTCCACGAGTCGTGAGGATGACCGTTGAGGCCGTGCACAAAGACGATATCGATCGTGGGATCGTCACGCGGGGTATAGATCTGCGTCAAGCCAAAGGCCTTGATGGCCTTTGGGTCGGCGATACGGGGCTTGGACATGGCAAGTATAGGACGAAAACACAGCTAGGATGATATTGCCATGATCTGGGAGTTGAGAAAGAGAAGTCCGGAGTGACTGGCTTTTATAAAAGGGACGCAGCTGACTGGGGTACACTTGGGTGTGTTCCCCTGACCCAGGTCATCCGGACTTTTTGTCGCAGATGGGAGTTTTGGCATCGCTTTTGACTCCCGGGCCGCATGCAGGTTCTGATCTGGTTTCTTCCGCGATGTTGGACATGTTCAAGGTGCCCATTGGCAGTCGAGACCCGGGTTCCTTGCACAGCCCTGTCAGATCGGATCATTGGCCAGGTACCGTACCACTCAACGCCCCCGTACTGCTCATGTCTTGCATCATGGAGTATGCCTTGAGGAGAGAATACTGTGGCCTAAAATGAGTCATGAACCAGTTCATGAGATGTGTGAGGCAGTATTTCGCCCCAGAGACCATCTCAAGCGCATCACATCTACACTCGTATCATTTTGATTCGGAGCCAAATAGCCCGAAGATGGCCTATGCAGATTTGACTTCCAGAGTCAGATCTATAAGAAACCTATGGAACTTAGGAGGCTATTTCCAATCTCTCCTTTGTCCTCTCTTTGCAAGTGTTGTGGTAACTCCCTTCCCAACTGCCTTGGCAACTAAATGCTCTTTTCGAAACGAGCAACAGCTCCGCATCACTGGTCTTTACATAGCTTTAATCCCATATCATCTACCTTATTTTTAGAACATAGTATACGGTGATATCGCCTAGACTATATCCACCCCTATAGGATACGTCACAGCTGGCCTGGTGTCCAGCAGGTCAGAAGTCTAGATCTGATCGCATGTGCGATATATATTCCTCCTATTCTCATACTTCTTCTGGCTTTGACGGGGGGTATAAAATGATTGGGATTCGGCAACAATTATCGGACTCTTCGTGGCTTCAGGTGTGATGCTAGTGCTCTTTGTTTTCTGGGAGCACTACCAAGGGGATGGTGCTATGCTGCCGCGTAATCTACTTGCCAAACGAACAGTCAGCTTTAGTGTCTTGCTCTCCTTCTGCTATTTCAGGTCTTTTGGTATCATCCACGATTCTCTGCCTGAATGGTTCCAAGCCGTGCAAGGCGCAACTCCGTTGCAAATTGGTACGCAAGCTTTAGCTACCGTACTGTCTCAAATCGTGGGGACACTCTCTGCTGGTATTCTAGTTAAGCTTTCGACACACCATCCAGCCATCGGATTGGTTTCCAAGTCCTCCAAGACCTCGGAGTCAGGTGGACGAGAAACGGTGAGAAGAAGAGGACTGAGACGGAAGGGAATAAACTCGGATAGTAATAAAGACTCGTCCAGCCTTTCCCCTAGGTTTGGGAGTCTTGGGGTGTGTCGTCATGTACAGTATCTGGATATGTACCTATACAGAGTAGATCTTCAGGCGTTAAACTTTAGAGATGCACAATAACTGGATGGATAGGAACTTACAGAGGCACTCATGAGCCATGCCATGAATTCCCAGTAGATTCCAACCGATGTACACTGAGATCGAGATCCGAGCTGGGAGTCCAGGCAGAAGTGCAATCCCAAAACAGAAACAGAAGGACGAAAGGGGAGAGCTCTGGTTAGGGTTGTGACACCGGATCCTATGGCACGCCAACATCAAAATGATATCACCTCGAAAGGCAACTTTCCACCCGTAGCCATCGATTGTGTACTGTGTACAGTCACTGAATCATTTGTCTTGTGAGAAAGCTTAGAGACGCATTCCATTTTCTGCGCTTGATTCGCCACGTTTGTTAGCTCGCCCTCATGATCCGGAAAGGTAACCCCAGGTGTCCACATGATCCAGGCTCCAAGCATCTGGGCAGCGAGGCACACTACCTTAGATAACAAATAGGATGTTTCAAGATTCAGATAGTCAATAATAGCAGGCTGGGCAATCATCTGTGCTTGTTCTGGGTACTCAGGCTACCAATAGGAAGAATATCCGCGTTGGGAATATATAGAATTGGAGGTCTCATTTTGATAACCATATACCGTATAATTTATCCAGGTAGATCACTTTTGTCTACACATTCCCACTGATGACTCTGCAATCACAGACCACATTTATTTCCCACGGAACGCCGGCTTCCGCTTCTCGACAAAGGCGCGCAGCGCCTCATACCGATCATCAGTCTCGATGACTCCCTCATAAGCGGCATTCTCTGCCCGCTCACCCAAAGCATGAGCATCGACAGCCTGCAAAGCCATCCTGATAGCAATAGGTCCACCTTCGCAAATATCTAGCGCCAGCTTGATACTCTCACGCAGGACTCGTTCGCGTGCGACACCTTCCTGTGCCTCCTCCTCAGGCAGCACCTCCACTAGCCGGTCACAAAGGCCAATGAAGTAAGACTCGGGTCCAGTCACCCGGCGACCGGTGATGATCATGTCCCGGGCGCGGTTCACTCCGACAACCGCAGGGAGTCGGTAGGTGCCGCCTGCACCGGGGATAATCGCGAGGCGGGTCTCGGGGAGGCCGACGACGCTGGATGACGCGAAGACGCGCAGGTGGGTGCACAGGGCGAGCTCCAGGCCGCCACCGAGGGCCGTGGAGGAGACAGCGGAGATGGTGGGGATCTGTAGGGAAGCGAGATTTTTGAATGTAGCGCGGAGCTTGAGGAGGAAATCTTCAGTCCTGTAGGCATCCAGGTTAGCTATTTTCGTGTGTGCTAGTTCGAACCCGGAGCACCCGGGCACCGGGCAACGGAGGTTCTTACTCGGCCATGGACATGTTTGCGCGTTCCTTCAGGTCGGCGCCGGCGCAGAAGGCTGCATCTGCACTGCTCGAAATAACCAATGCGCGGGTTGGCCCTTTACCTCCTTCCGCGGCGATTTCGTCCACATGCTTCGAGAGTGTATCGAGTAAGTGGGTGGAGATCGCGTTACGGGCCTGGGGCCGGTTCAGTTGTAGTACGCGCACATGCCCAGAGCCCGGGGCTGGGATTTGCTGGGTCTTGATGACTTCTTCTTCGGTGCTGGTGCTGTAGCGAGAGATGAAGACCCGGGTAGGCACTGCGGTGGCCCGAAGGTGCGCGAGGGGTGCGGAGAGGCGGACGAGGCGCGATGACATGATGCTGGCCATCGCGTATGTGTTAATTCAGATATCGAGTGGAACGTTACTCGATTGTCAGAATAAATAAAGATGAGGTTGGCTCACGAAGAGGCTGAGCGGGTGGACGATGTTCTCGGAGCTCGGGTGTGGGGAGAGCTCTGAAAAAAGGCCGATGATTACCGAACGCTACAGTATGCACACGGGTTGGTATATGGGGTATCATGTACATTTACAGAAGTCTAAAATACAATATTATACAAATTCACTGGCAATATTCTGTAACCTCCGCATCACTCGGCCAGTCCCAGCCTGTCCGGCTGACAAGGTCGTATGCCTCCGCGATCAGGTCCGACGGTACCCGCGTGTCGATTCGTTGCTGTCGTCTTTCGAGGAACACTCTGATCGCCACAAGAGTTCGACGCATCATTTTCTCTCCATTTGAATGCTCATCTGCAGTTTGTTTGAGCAAATCAGCTGATTGACTCATCCATTGGAGCAAATGTAACAGCCCTTCGTCATCTCCTACGGACCCCAAAGCCCGAACGAAGGCATGCAGTGTGGCAGGTGATGGGGTTTGCAGCATTGAAGGAACGCTAAGCTGTGCATCGGGATCGTCCTTTGCTGTGAAGACACTTCGCTCTGCATGCTCCGAAGTTTTAGAAGCTGGCAGAACGAGATGATCAAATTGATTCTTCAAAACATGCAGCCCATGTTGTAACAAAGCTTCAAGGTCGTCATCACCTTCGCTTTTAGTTTTGAGACGACGAATGCGAGCTTTTTGGATTAGCGCAAAGCTTTGTTCAGCAGTGCCAGGATGTCTAAGAGCGGAATCGACGGCTTTTCCAAACGCTGAACATAGAATTCTGAATCCCTCTTCACCAAGATCGACTTCACGCTGCCGCATCCAGGACAATGCTCTCAGAGCCTGATGCCATGCAAGTATGCGTTGAAGGCTCCTGCTCCTTGGGCCATGAGTGCTGTTGAGGCGTTCACGGGTGAGGCCAGACAAGATGTGGATCCAGGCCGGGTTGTAAGGAACTCGTCGTAATTTGGTCAATTGAATTGCATGCCATAAAGCCCTGGGGTGTTGTTGATTTTCGGGATTTTCCTCTGAATATCTGAGAAGATCCAATTTTGGGCCAGTCGAGCAGTCGGGGGCAATCAAGGCCGGGAAACGGTCGGCAGTGAGAATATTTCGATTACCAACCTCCAGGCTGGTGATATCCGAATGCACGCATAAGAACTTGATGAATGACGCAAACACGAAATCCGGCAATTGGTGGAAAGCTTCGAGGTCCATATTGTGGTATTTGCGGGACTTGGCCCGTATAATGGAAAGGGCCGCGATTTGCGCATCTGCCAGGCCACTGCACTGAAGGTAATGTAACCCTGAACGGAGAGAAGTCGCGGACTGAAGAAGTAACCCGAGGAATCTCCCAGAAGGCCGAAGGCCCTGCGAGCACATCTGGTCGAAGAACTCATCCAAGGTAGGCGGTTCTGTGGGCACATAGATGATATCACGCGCAGAAGCTGGTTCGGGATACACTTCGCGACCATCGCCTGGCAGGGCTTGGCTCATCTGGTCAAAATCGGCTTCTATTGCGTTTCGTCGGTATATTAACCTTTCGGCCATTGCAGCGTAGATTGCACCTTTAGGGGGGGAGGCCATGGTCTTGATAGGAGAGAAAGCATGCCCAGGCCTCACGGACGGTCCTCGTGGAACGAATCCGCGCAACCCAAATTTCATAGTGATGAAACTTGGATCCATGTTTGTCTGGTAAAGCCTGTGGGCGACGCATCATAGCCCTCGTTTGCACTGTTGGACTGCGATCGGTATCCCAACCAGCCAAAATCGAGGATATATCCTCCCAAAGTCGGTGGGAATATCCAGCATCTTTCATTTGCGAGAGGACCTGCATCGCACGACTGTACATTCCTTCATTTCCGCGCTGAAAGTCCATCCCTAGCCTCTCTTCTTTCCATGGAGGCCATGACGGAGCTTTTAGTTCAGCAGACTGTCGCTCCTCAAATGTTTTCTTATGGGCCAACTGAACAGCAACGACTGCGCGATATCCTTTTCTGGTGACAGGAAGGACAGGCTTGTGGGTAGCCATAGCCCGGAGAAGCTCGAACTGGGCTTGCTGTTGGATAGTCGTTGAGCGGTAAGGAGCAATGTTGGCTGGTAGGGAAAGTAACCAAAGACAATGATTGAATTTCTCCGTTTTGACGCGATCATCATGTCGCCGGGCCAAAATAGACCTCTCAATCCCATTCGCCTTTGGAGCTGAGAGGAAGCGAGCGAATGCACGTGCAATAGTGAGAAGTGCTTGCGGCCACACACGCCGAGCATGACGAATTAGGCGAATTACTAAAATCATGCAGGTGCCAGAATCGATCTGTGGGCGGAAGTCCTCAAGGGACAGTCCGATGTCGCATTCAACAAGTCCAGCAGCAGTGTCAGCAATGGGAAGCGGGTGTCCACTCATGAGATGTAAAGAGTGAATCAGAATCAAACGGAAGGTGTGGGCATCGAGGTTCTGGTGTCGCAAAAGATGGAGCGGGATGAAAGATGGAATGCTTGAACGAGAAGCACCATATTTTGCCTTCTCCGTTTCGAGCAAGAATAGCCGGATCATTGCCTCGTGCGGGTTGTGGCTCTTCATGATCCAAGCCCAGGCAGTCACATCGGTGGCATCATAGCCACGCGATGATAAGTATTCATAGCTTGTTTGTCTGAATACTTTCTGGAGAGCAATGTCCAATCTCTTGTTCTCGCTGTCTTGCGATGCAGAAGAAAGCAATGGATCTACCTCTCGTATATATTCTCCAAGAATGACCGGTAGTGATGGCTTTTTCGGTCGACCAACTGTCCTAAGCTCGTTTTGTGTTTGCGGTGAATGATTGGAGCGAGTTCGCTGAGGACTGATGGATGAAGCGACATGACCAAGAGAATGACCGCTATTCCGCAAAGCTTTGGAGAGGTATTCGGCGGGCTTCGGTTTTACTCTGATGCTGGCGGTTCTTTCGCCAACCTTTTTCTCTCCGGCTGAGGTATTCGCCGAAGCTTGCGGCGCTGTTGTACATAGGTCATCCGATGAAGAACCGGACAGTCTGCCTTCGAGGTGATGATTTTGCGAGGAGCGGACATTGATTGACGGTGACTCGGAAAAATCGAGGAACGCAGTGGACTGAAATGAACGGAAACTGGCTGGGCTTGGACTAGCGAGGTAATCATTGCGCGAATAATTTACGAGGAACTTGACGCCACAATGGGAATTTGTCTGGATCATATTGATTCATTTAGCAATGCAATTGATGAATATCAGACCGGCAAGAAATACCTTGTATAAACCTCTATTGAGCAAGTATGCTCTTAGCCGCGATACTCCCGAAAGGCTTCGGGCATGCTTGAGAACTGATGACATCCATGAACGTAGTCATGGGTGAAAGTGCCTGAATGCCACAGACCCATTCAATGAGCTCAATAGGAAAAAGCGATTGTCTTCTTGTCAAAGCTGAGAATCAAGAAAGTCAAGAAAAATACAATCGCGTTAACTCCGGCAGAAACTGAGGTCACGTGGGGATCGTCAGAATGCGCGCCATCCCGAAAAGCGCAACCCGTGAACGTTCCCTCCAGCAAAACAGAAAGAGAACACTTGACCTATGTGTTCGAGGGTTGCCTAGTGCATTGTTCATTGTGCTAAATCCTTGGTTTTTATTGATGAATCTTTTCACTTCATATTCACTTCCTCTTTTGTGGTGACGTGAGGGTTTCATCTTCTTCTCTCCTCGATCTTCGCGATCTCATCGTTCTCAAGGACTCGCTTTGACGCCCTACCATCGAGACTACATAAACCCCGATTGCTTTGTGAACCCAGTTTCAACATCAACACCGAATCACCAATAAACATTTACCCCACGATCGCGTCTCTTCAATCTTTTCTTTTAAGCTTCTCATTTGTGGACCCCATCGGTTTGCATTGGAGGGGACCGTGTCGAACCAAGTATCGTCAATTTTGACTCGGCGCGACTTCGCAACCATGAGCGCCGACGAAGCTGGAGACACGACCCCTATGTCTGCCACGAACGGCGAACCCCATCCCGATCCTGCTACCGCAGCAACTTCAGGAAAACGGAAGCGTTCCACTCAGGACGACAAGACGAGCACTGATTCCAGTGCCACCGCCTCGCGCGATCGAGCGAATCTGCATGAATCTCTTCGCAACCTTATTGAACTTTTACTGAAGTATGAACAAGTAACAAATGGATCTTGGTCGTATTGCTAACAATCAACAGGCATGACACCGAACTCCAACTCCTCTCTTGCCTCTTCCCAAATTCAACTGCGAAGCCCCGAACAAAGCGCGCAAAGGTCTCTGGCGATGCCGAAAGTTCCAACATTCAAACACGTGTCAATTCGGGCAAATATAACACCCTACCGGAGTTCCTTTCCGACATCGAAAGGGCGTCAACCGCTGTGATTGAACGCAATCAAGCTCAGTCAAATAGCGCGAAAGAAGATGGCGCACCCTTGACCGAGGTAGTCAATCGGATCGCAGCATTCAAAAAGCATATGAATAGCCTGATTGGCCAATCATTTGTCAACCAGCCTGAGGTTAAGACAGAGACTATGGAAGACGATACCGACGATTCGTCAGAACTTCATGCCATCAGTATCTGCACGCGAGAGGATAAGCCAGCCTTGACACTGTTCGGAAATCCAGCAAATCCAAAGCAATTATTCTCAAGTCTCCAGAAATCGGTGAAGGTGCCTTTGCAATCTGAGTCAGGACCTGAGAAGTTTGTTGAAGTACAAGAAGAGCTGCGCGAGACCGCTCTTCCTAATGGTATCACAGCGACCAAAATTGTTCCTTTCAATCTTGCTGGTACATCTCAAACATCGAAGCGGACATTTGGGGAGGTGTTTGCCCCACGTGAGACATTGCCAAAGCTGGAGCATCCGTCCAAGCGAGCTCATCTGGCTAGTTCGAATACATGGATTGATAGATTCGATGCTTCCTTCGACTCCAGGTCATTCCTGGGAGACCGTGTCAATTATTGCCTAGCACCACTCCCTTCAACTGACTGGGTCCAATATGGGCTAGTCACATCATCACCGGCATATTGGGATCGTGTAGAAAGGCAGAATGCGGAATCGGATATTGTTGATAGGCACGGCGATCCCGCCCTTTGGACTGGCCCCGACTCATCTGCCTTCCAGGGAGTCTTCTCATCATTTGCACCTTCTTATGACAGCTCCACCGCGATTGTACAGCTTGCCTCGAAGAATATGGTCTGGTGGAGTCAACGTGGCGCAGGCCGCGTGAACAAGTTGCTGTCAGTCCCCCGGGAAGTTAACGTTCAACAAGACGAGACCAAAGCTGCCCAGCCTGGCAATATCGGCGAACTTGATGAAAGTATCCTGGATGAAATGGTTGCCTCATTCAATGCCGAGGACTTTGCCATGAACATCACCGAAACCAACACAAATGGGGAAGTTGACTCGGAATCCAAAGATGTTCAAGAAACACTGGACGAAGTTTCCGAACTACTCAACACTCTAAGCTCTTACCAGCGACTTCGAAGTCTCAAACTGCCGTCTGATCTCCAGCCGCCTAGTCATGATATCCATGAGTTGAATGCTACCGTTGGCCTTGACATTGGTGACGTGACTACCCCCTCTGATGCAGAGGCCCTGGTTTATGATACTCTCAAGTCAAGTCTTGCTGTAATCATCAGTAATTTGCCGCCTTACGCTGTCGCTAAACTGGATGGCCACCAGCTTGCCGAATTGAACATCAGCCAAAAGGTTCTGGTTGACACTCCAGACTATAATGGTACTATGGAGAAAGATGATTTTACTTTGTCGCAAGATCGGGCCGCATTGATTCCTCCATCAACCAATGCCGCAAATCGGACTTCGACGCCCTCTACTTCACGGCCTACCAGTTACCAAGGGTCTCACAGTGCCTACAATCAACGTGCTTTCAATTCTAATGCTCGAGCTCCGCCTCAGCCCGGGTTCCAGGTCACGCCGCAACACGCACGGCAACCTTCGGCGCCAACCACCTACACGCATGCTTATGGCGCGGGCCGTCCACCCAATACACCCAGTCAACGTCCAGTTAGCAACCCTCAATACGCGCAAATGAACCCCCAGTACACCCAGGGCAACCAGGCTGCTCAATATCAGCGCCCTGCTTCCAATGGATACGTGCAAGCGTCCCCCCAGCCTTATACACCGCGACCTGGGCAGCCAGGCGCATTCAACGCCACTCCACAAGGGCGTACCCCTTACGCGACTGCGACATCTAACCAGCGCGTTCAGTATCCCGGCCAGACTCCCACACAGGGAAGCTATTCCAATTCTGCCGCCAATGCCACATACTCTCGCAGTGCTGCGGAGCAAGCTGCGTTGATGGATAGGAACAAGGCACAGCTGGCAGCTCGACAGAGCCGCCACAGCCCCACAACTCCTCAGCCTCAAGGTCTAGACGCTCGTGCCTCCCAAGAAAGCAGCGCGACACCAGGAAGCAAACAGAATGGCACACCTATGTCATCATAGTATCTAATCTTTCCTATGGCTTTTGGCCTGTTTGGGCCTTCGGGATGGTATTCAAAGAGCAAAAAACATCTTTCTTTGAAGAGAAAGGAAGCTCGAATCTTCCATTCTTCCATAATCGCCTTTCTGATATCGACTATTGCATTTATCTCCATTTCAAATTCACGAGCCCTGGATGTGATCCACGTCTCTGCCTTTTTTTCCCCTCCCCAACTGTGTTGTTAATGAACCTCTTGATCCCTGACTTTGTATGATTCTTCTTTCCTCGGTGTTGTATTATGGACTAAGCGACTGGCGTGAATGGGGGGTTATTTTCCAAGACAGGTCGGCCTGAGCTTACAGGCTGCCATCGCAATACAGCCAAGTCTTGTTTAGAGGTTACTGCTTCTTTCGTTCGATGCAATTGAATCAATATGCTACATACAGTACATCTCGTGCTTGGCAATACAGCATGTCAAACGTAAAGAGACACATTGAAGAGCTTGTTAAGTTCCAAGGTCGATGAAATCGTATCTCATTTGTAGTACATTGCACAATCATCTCATAAAACATCACATATCTTACTGTAGTACCCTCCAGTCCGGAGTACCAACGCGGGAGCCGAGACATTCGTCTCGCTTCGCTCCAATTATTGACTCAGTCGGAAAAGGACTGCCATCTCTTTATCTTCTTCAAAACATTCATCCAGCAAGTCCAGCGCACCTCGAAATAGCAAATACAGTCACAAAAGAAAAGAAAGTACATAATAGTGACATAGAGAAACACAAAAGCTAGAAAAACGCACAGATTCGTAACTCGTAAGTCATCGACGCTAGGGAATAAGCATAGCAGCTAAACCCATAAAACCGAAATATCTGCACAGAGAACCGTTAGCACAAGGCCCAATCAAGAAGGAATATCCCGTTCATACATTCCGGCACAGCACCAACCATCCTTCGGGTCAACCAGGATCTCAGCACCAATGGAGAACTTCGCCGCAATGGCCGCTGCACCGCCGCCAACGACCGTGACAATGATTATACGGGTGGAGAATCCGGTAATCGGACTGAATGCCAGCATTGGTAGCAGGATCGCAGCGGAGGCGAGGATGATGGATATATAGACCGGGACTGCGGACTCGGGGACGGCCCTTCGCGGAGTGAGAGAGACTAGATCGGCGTTGTAGATTAGGAATCTGGTCTCGATCCCGGCGACGGGTCTGTGTTCTCTCATCCAGTTGCGGTAGTTGGTGACGTCCTGATCCGAGGCGCGAGGCAGGGTCTGGAGGACTTTGCTGTAGGCGCTGAGAGCGTTGTCTAGATTACGGTTAGGAACGACCTTTGATATCAGGTGGGAGAGGTTTACTGTATTGCTCTGTTTTTTGGATCAAAATGCCCATCAGATCCATACGGCGATAATGCAGTGAGGAGTAGGCTTGGGATTGGGCGTCGCGGCGTCGTGAGGCCAGTAAGGGCTTCGTGCCTTCTTGCTCGGCAGTGTTGACGCGATGCATTTCCTCGTAGTCATCGAGGGCGTGGAGGTCTTCTTCCATCTGGGAAATTTCGTCTTGGAGATGGAGGAGAACGCGGTGATTAATGGTTTCGAAGCGCCGGTAGAGCGGAGCGAAGCCGCCGCTTTCTTCTGATGCCGAGTTGGTTAGGTGGGCAGCTAACAGTCCATATCCGGACTCCACTTGCGGCGACGGGCTTGGTTCCCTTCTCTTTGTCGGCGCTGGGTGGTGGGTGATTTCCTCTGGACTTCTCGGTGGGGATGGTGGCAGCGGTGGCCTGTGGACAGTAGCGATATCCCTCGATGACCCATGATGGGATTGGGGTTGGGGTCGGGATACTGTTACTTGCGCGTTTCCAGAGGGCGGGCTTGCAGTTGAGATCGGACTCGGCTTTGTGGTGGGTTGTTTCTTCTGAGAAACCATTTGATACCATGCGGCAGGGGTAGGTGCTGCTGTTTGTTTTCGCGGTTCAGTTGGGGCTTTTGGAGCCACTGGAGGTGGTCTCGTGGCTTTCCTTGGAGGTGCATTACCCCCTGAGACCAGAACACCCTGAGGCACAGTGTTGACCCGTGGTTTGGGATACTGGACCCTGGTGGTAGCCCGCATATGGCGTCGACGCTCTAGTTCCTCATCTGATTCAGACAAGGACTCGGACCCGGAAGATACGCCTGAAGACAATCCATTGTCCTCTTCCAGGAACTGAAACACATTAGGCATCGTCATCTCCGGCTCTCCTGGCTTTTGAGGCGGGTTCTCTGGAATGGGAGGCGACTTTAGGGTTTGCCTTGACCTGTTGGGCTGTTGAGGAGGTAAACTGGTCTCGACAGGTGTAGGGCTCGGAACAGATTCGGGATGTGCACCTGCATCGCTCGAGACCACTGAATAGGCTCTCTTCCTTCCATCTTTCTTTGACCTTCTATATTGGAGCGGCATATTGATCGGAGAAGTCCGGAATCAGGAGCCGACTTATACCTCGAATGTAGATTTCAGATCATGCCATACCCGCACAGGTAAAAAGTGATCAAGAGAATGAAAGAGCATGAAAGGATTCACAGTAATGCAGTCTTAATGGAATCAGGACTAGTAGGGCCAGAGGCATGGCCTAGGGAAGGGTAAGAATTCCAGGTCTCCAGTCGAGTCAAATGTCAAGTTGTGAGATTCAGGGAGAACACGGTGAAAGATGAGAAGCCAATATAGTTATGATGTCTCTATTTTCCCCGCAAATTCCTTCTTCTCCATGATAAGGAGGATATATGGATCCCTCAAGCGGAAGGATACTACTCCCTATGTATTATAGGACACGAACGTCAGCACGCGGGTTGGGATTGGGTTGGAACTGGGTTCGTGTCAGCTGGTGAGAACGAGCCCAGGGTGTTATGCTTGTCGAAACGCAGTCTTGTCATTCGTCGCACGAGGCAGTTCGGGCTAATCTGAAGCAAATTGGAAGCGCCGAGGGCTTCAGATCGGCAGCCAATGACACTGATGTCGCAAGGAGGGCCCTTGTATCCCTGCCGATCCAGAGAGTCTGGGGATGGTTTTCTCTTGCAACGTTCAACGTTCAACGTTAAGAGTATATACACAATAAAAAAAGAGAGGAAAAAAGAGCGCGATTGCCGAGTGCCCCGTACTGCATTCTGCGACACATCAATCAGGTGGGCCAGAGTGGATAGCACAGCAAATCAGACCTCGCACTGCTCCGAGTAATATAAATGTGCATCTCGAGGAACCTGTGAAGGAAGAGGCAGTTATGCGCTGGTCGATCTTTCTTGCATCTGGCGGTCTAGAGCGGGGAAGATGATGCTCCTCGTATGGGCTTTATTCTCGGATGGCATGCAGCGCTTCTGCTGAAGTGTCACGAATGTACGGAGTATCGGAGATATAATTAAGTAGAGTACCTCGCTAGGTGGGTAGGTGTTGGATGGTCCACCGTCAGATGTATACAAAGTCAGAAGGTGAGGTTCAAGTTGAGATCACACCAAGAACGATGTACTCCCCCATGTAGATACATAGAACATCGTGCCTAACTAAGACCAGAATCGGGCTTTAATACATGGTCCTCCGTAGATTTGGGTTATGATAGTCCGTACAGAGTGTCTGGTGCCTCTGACGTCCTCGCTGGTGAAGTCACTGATCGGCAGATCGCCAAGTCCCGGAGCTCCAGGGCTTCTCCCGATTCCTATCTTTCGATCCTCGAGACTCCATACACACCATCCCCAATCTCTCCATGCTTCGGTCATGGGTCGGCAGCGGTACGCTCCGCTCTCTTTGCGTCCGACGCTCAAGTCGCTCGCTTCCGTCTCTTAACGCGCGGTTTTCCTCTGCCCCAGCCCGCTATCTCCAACCCCCGGCCTCCGCAGATCGCGTCCCCCTCCGCAAACAACTGAAGCAGGAAGCCAAAGCGCTTCGGTCACACAAGAAGCAACGCAAGGAAAGCGAAGAGGCTTCGAGGCAAGAATGGGAATTGACCGTCGGCGTGGAAATCCACGCGCAACTGGATACTGAAGCCAAATTATTTTCTCGTACGCCTTGCTACCTCTCAACCCTACGAGTCGTCTTCTCACAGATTGAACAGGAGCAGCAACATCAACAAGCGATGTTCCCAACTCCAACGTTGCATTGTTCGATCTGGCGTTCCCGGGCAGCCAACCGGTTCGTACTGTACAATGCTGTGGACTAGGACCAAGGCTGATCTAAGGCAGGAATTCCAAGTCGCAACACTCTTACCAGCCCTGCGCGCTGCTATCGCTTTGAACTGTGAAATCCAGCCTGTGAGTCGGTTTGATCGGAAGCATTATTTCTACCAGGATCAACCGGCGGGGTATCAAATCACCCAATATTATGGTACGCATTGTCCCTCCTCTGACTTGAGCCCCATATTGACCCATGTTAGAACCATTTGCCCGAAATGGCTACGTTGATTTATTCGATTACGATGGAATTGCTCCGGAAGACGGTGAACGAGTTCGTATCGACATCAAACAAGTTCAATTGGAACAGGACACAGCGAAATCCCAGGAATACCCACCCTCGACACAACTCCTCGATTTCAACCGTGTTTCCCATCCTCTTATCGAAATCATCACCATGCCACAAATCCACACCCCCGCAACGGCCGCAGCCTGCGTTCGGAAACTACAGGCTATCGTACAATCGTGTGGTGCTGTGACTACGGGAATGGAGATGGGCGGTCTTCGTGCAGATGTCAACGTCTCGATCCGACGCCGGGGCGAAGCGCCTGGGCAGCATCAATACGATGGGATCAGTGGGCTCGGCCAACGTACGGAAATCAAGAACCTCAGTAGCTTCAAGGCGGTAGAGGATGCCATTATTGCCGAGAAGAACCGTCAGATTGAGGTTCTCGAGAGCGGTGGTGTTATCGAGGGAGAGACCCGTGGATGGACCATCGGCAGCACTGAAACTCGCCGATTGCGCGGCAAAGAGGGCTCGGTTGACTACCGTTACATGCCAGACCCTGACATTCCCCCGTTGGTCATCGGAGAGGATCTGCTCTCCAGCCTCAGAGACTCTCTTCCCACAGCACCAGACGCACTTCTCACTTTACTAGTCGGGTCTGAGTTCAGTCTACCCATCGAGGATGCCAAACCACTCATCGAGCTGGACAACGGAGCCCGCCTTGAGTATTATCACGATGTGGTGGACATCCTTCGCAGTCTTCAGGTAGACCAAGACGACAAAGCGCGTGCCAGTCTCGCGCGGGTGGCAAGCAATTGGGTGTTACACGAGCTGGGAGGTCTCTTGGCCAAGGCAGACCGCGCATGGGACACAGAGATTGTCCCGGCTCGGTCCCTTGCCCACCTCATCGACCAGCTGCAGCGAAAATTGATCACCGGCCCAACAGCCAAACTGGTGCTGGCCACCATCTTTGACGGGGATCGTCGACCAGTGCCGCAACTTCTGGAAGAAGAGAATCTCCTATTGCGGCCGTTGTCACGGGAGGAGTATGTGGTGCTGGCGGAGTCTGTCATTGCCATGAATCCGCAGATGGTTGAGCAAATCCGCACCAAGAACCAGCTGGGCAAACTCGGGTGGTTCGTGGGACAAATGATGCGCACTGGTGAAAAGGGCCGGGTGGAGGCGCCCAAAGCAGAAGAGATTCTCCGCGAGCTGATCCTTGGACAGTCTGTATAGTATAGCCTCAAATGTACTCTATAGTGGCATCAATGATACCCTTTGCCATGACTATGTTCATGTCCTTACGAGTAGTTACGGAGTACTGCTTCTCATCTCGACACCTAGGCGTGTTCGGGCCCACTTTGTAGCTTGGCAGTCTCACATTCCTCTAATACCACCCCATTAACTCCAGAGAAATCAAAGGCCAAGTGAGTCCGGAAATGAATGACAAAACTCCCGCTCTGTACCTCACTACGAGTGGCCCAAACATAGCTTGTGGGACACCGGACGGCCCTAAAGGGGCGAGCTCTCCTGGACCTGTACTTAACGGAAGTGATGGAGATCCGGCGGAGTCGCTTTGATCCCTAAAAGCAGTTTTTAGCGACTTCACGGGCACCAAGCAAGGAATGAAAGCGCGGGCCCCGGTTGGACTCGGGGCAATGTGAAAGAGACGTGCAAGACATGTGAGGCATTTAAGAAACAGCGCATCCTCCGGTCAATTCTCTTGCGAAAAGAAAAAAAGAAAGGACCATCGTCATCATCCTGGTTATCAGCCCCCTTATCTTATCTTGATCTTCATCACAGATCAACTCGCAACAGCTTAACGTCTTGTAACATCTCTCTCTTTTCGAAGAATTGACTGGATTACCTTGGTTATACACAATGACGCAGCCTTCAACCATTGCCTCAAGGTTCCTCACACATCCTCACCAACTCGGCGTTGTCGCTGTTGGTTTCAATGGCGGCCAGGTAAGACCCGGTGGAGCCTGGAGCTATAGATCAAGATCCTAACGCCCAGCAGTGCAAGAAGGGCGTTGAAGGGGCCCCAATGGCCCTCATCGAAGCAGGAATCCTCACTCAACTGAGCGAGGACCTTGACTACGAAGTCCACCACGACGACACAGTGCACTACTACGAGAAAGACATCCCCGCCGAAGACCCCGACCACCGGGGCATGAAGAAGCCGCGCGCCGTCAGCGCCGTCACCGAAAAGCTCAGCTCACAGGTCTACAACTACGCCAAAGACGGGAAGTTCGTACTCACTCTAGGCGGCGACCACTCCATTGCCATCGGCACCGTCTCCGGCACGGCAAAGGCCATCCGCGAACGACTGAACCGTGAAATGGCCGTGATCTGGGTCGACGCCCACGCCGACATCAATATCCCCGAGACCAGCGACAGCGGCAACATCCACGGTATGCCGATGGCGTTCCTGACCCGGCTGGCCCGGGAGGAAAAGCGGGATATCTTCGGGTGGATGCAAGACGAGCACATCGTGAGCACGCAGAAGCTGGTCTATATCGGGTTGCGGGATGTGGATCGCGGGGAGAAGAAGCTACTGCGTGAGAATGGTATCAAGGCATTTAGCATGCATGATATCGATCGGTATGATTCATCTTTCTTTTCCTCCTGCTGTGGTGTCGCTTGCTGATCGTTGTTCTCTGCTAGTCATGGCATCGGTCGCGTTGTTGAGATGGCGCTCGCTCACATCGGTAACGATACGCCCATTCACTTGTCCTTCGATGTCGACGCTCTGGACCCCCAGTGGGCACCGAGTACCGGGACACCAGTTCGGGGTGGGCTGACGTTGCGCGAGGGGGACTTCATCTGCGAAGCTGTGCATGCGACCGGGAATTTGATCGCGATGGACTTGGTCGAGGTGAACCCGAGTCTGGAGGAGAAGGGTGCATCGGAGACCATCCGTGCGGGATGTTCACTTGTGCGTAGTGCATTGGGTGATACACTTCTGTAAGAGAAGAAGACCAAATAACTCTATCTTAGCTCTCGTAGATCGAATTCATTCCGAATCACAGTCAATGTGGAAGTCCTCCGTCCTCCGTACAGAGCAGAGAGACTAAATCCCCTGCCACCTCAATTTCCTCAACCCCCCCTCCCCCGGCCTTTTCTTTTTTCCTTCTTTTTTTTCTTTTTTGCTTCTTTTCTTTATTCAATCTTTCTCTGACCTTCTTGGCCCTTCCCCTCGTTTCTTCATTCCATGCGCAGTTGTACATAACCACGTTGCACGACTATTCACAGTGCCCACCAGCGCTCCAAAGCGCCCAATGCGCTGTCCGCTCCCTCTCCACGACTCACCGTAACGACCCGTCCAGAACACGATTCCAGTCTTGACTCACGATCTGGCCACGGATCCACTCCCAAGCCCGCTCCAAAACAATAGGGCAGACCTGCATTGGGCAGTATCCGGAACTATACCACCACAACCACCAGTTATAAAGCGGACCCAAAGCCGAATCCACCGAAAGATCAACCTGCCCCCTCCCAAACGACCAGTAGTTCTGAATCCTCATGGCTGTCCGCAAGCGCGAAGTACGGCGCCGCTACCACTGGCCCGAGCTCCAGCTCAACATCTGGATTATGATTGTGCTCTCCTGCTCGGCGACATGTCTGGGCATATTCTCGTGGTTTATCGCAGTGCAGAAGCAGATGTATCTCGGTACGCCGTGGTAAGTTGGTCCCATAGGCCTGAACCTACGATGTACAAGATACATAACTAACAGTAACCCAGGCTCTTTCCGTACATGGTAGTATGCAGCATCCTCGGGGTATGCTTCATATTCTTAGTACTTATTCTTGCCTCACGACACTTTCTCTTACCGGGGATTATCATCATCGGCAGTTTTATACTGTTTGTGCTGTGGCTGACGGGTCTGGTTGAGACCTCGTTGCAGTTGTACGGGGTTATCGGCAACGTGAATGATAATTGCCGCATATACGTGCAGGATAACAAGTCCTGGGGCAATAATATCAATACTCTGGCTTGGCTGACGCAGAGTACGATTTGTGAGTTGGGCTTTCTGCGCTGGTTCAGGAGTTGATTTACTGACTTTGCATACAGGCAATTGCTGGAAAACTGCTTTTGCGCTTGAGCTTGTCAATACGATCTTCTATCTTTGGATGATGATTATGTCTTGGCAGGTGAATCGTGATGTCTGGGATTGATTTATGATTGTGATACCACCTGTTTTTTTGTTTTTTGGCATCTGTGGCGTTGGATGGAAGCGATGTAGCATTGGTCTTTTGGGCTCTTTTTTTTGTATTTCGGATCTTCTGTGTTTATATTTCATCGGGAAACATATGAACAGGTCTTTCGTGCCTGGAGACTTACCTCTTCGGTCATCTGGGTTTATTTGGATGTAGTTTGTCCACTGTAGATTGAGTAGTTACAGGTTTCTCATTGCTATGTCAACTACTCCATAAGTGGATGTTACATAAAAACGTTCAATAGCTAATCGCAAACACAAATAACAAATACATATCAACTCTTGAGAAATACAAAACCGAGACAATCACATTTACCAAAACACGAGGCCCCAGCAGGAACATGAATCAAATTGCCCTGATAAACGCCGTCGCTATGCCAAGAGCGCATTGCAACCGCACACATACACTGGTTACAAGAACACAGCAGAAAACAGACACGCAAAGAGAGTCTGAGACAAGAAAATACAACGTGATCCCGTTGACTGCTCTATCCATTCTCAGCAGCAGCATCCGCCTCCACTTGAGAGTCATATCCACCGCCCTCAAACGCAGCCAGCATTTCCCGTTCGAGCTCGTCCTCGTCATCGTCTGGATCCTCGGGATAGCTGGATTTCGGGGCGCTGCTGGTTCCCACAGTTTCGGAATCAGATTCTCCATCTAAGATGGCCTGTGGACGGTCTGAAGATGGCAGGTTAAGGCCGGGGGCAGGGGCTGATGTGATTTCTCGTAGCTTGGTGTTGCGCTCGTAAGAGCGTTTGATGCGTTGGGACAGCCTGGAGCCTTGCTTGTCGTGGTCGTCTTCGTTGTCGTCTCCGGATTCTTCCTCGTCGGTTCCGCTTTCAGTCCCATCGCCACGTTTGCGCTTCTTGCTTGCTGTGAATGGTTCGTCTAATAATGACTCCGTGTCACTTTCGCTCTCGTCGTCGCTACCCAGGAAGTCCTTTAATTCGTCGTGCACGGCGGCTTGCTCGTCGGCATCATACCCGACGGGTGATGTCTCGTCCAGACCGGATGATTTGAAGATGTCCTCGGCATCATCCTCTTGGGTCCATTGGGATCCCGTCATGTCCTCGTCTGTGGATGAGAGTATGGAGTGCTCGAGTTCCAGCTCGGCCGGGGTAAGGGGTTCGCCTCGGTCGTCTGGGTGAAGGGGAAGAAGATATGGTTCTTCGTCCATTTGTCTCCATTGAACCAGCGAGTCGACGAGCCATTGTGTTGTCACGATCTTGACGTTGGGGTAGCGAGTGGCATCTCTTACTTTGGCGGTGCGATTGCGGCCAGCCACGAGGTGAGTTGTGCGAGCATTTACCCTTGATGAGATTGTTACACCAAAGCTCTTCGCCCAAAGGGAGATATCGGCATTTTGGAAGTCCATTCCCAGAGGAAGGACACCTGAAAATACTAATACTACCCCTCCAAGGATACGCCGTTTGATCTGCGGCATGATATCTTTGACATCGGGAACCAGTTTGAGATCCACGTCTTTATCTTTCGAGTGCACCTTCTCACCCCTCAGAGCTGCCACCCGACCCCCGAGAGCGAGAGTCCGCTTCTTATCATATTCCTCATAAAATTGTAGATGCACTTGTTCAAGTCGGTCTTGCAGCTGGAAGAGCTCTTGGTCGTGATCCTCAAGTAGGTGATGGCGATGTTTCGCATGCTCCTGGGGATCTTCGACCATAGAGGATGCATCGCTACTTTCAGCAATACTATCTTCTGCATCCAGCTCCTTTTGCTTCTGTAACAATGGTCGATCTTCCACCTGGTGCAATATCGTTTCTTCTTGTGCATCGGTCTGCTCCTGAAGAAGCCTCGGGCTGTCTCCACCCCCCATAGTCACCAATTGCTCTAATGCCGATACTTCTGTTCCTTCTTGCGTTTTACCGTTGACATGATGCTCGTCAGTCTTCTCGGGCGCCTTTGCCTCAATAGGCTTGTTTGCTCCAATATCTTGCTTCTTTGGAAGGAAACTAGAATTGATATCACCGATTCCGACGAAAAAGTCGTAAGGAGAGACCTTAATCAGATTGGGGCACCACCGCCAGATGTCACCACGATCATCAATAATCACCACCATCTTTGTATCCACCGGGAACAACCGCTGAAGATCCTTGACCGTCAAGCTACCACTCTCGTCACGGCTGAGAATTCTATCTCCGAAAAGTTTGCGGGTGGGATCAATGATATCAACAATATGCTGGGCATACGCACGAGTACCCATGGTGTAGATGTGCAATTCGTAGATCTCGGCCACATTTTGCAAGAATTCCTCGAGTCCTGGTCGCAGCTTGATGTAGTACCAGCATCCACGCATCCCAGGACCATCATCGATCAACTGGAACTGTCGCACATCCCGCACAGCTTCGTGATTTGGATTTTGCTTATCTTCTTTCCATTCCCCCACTGTGGGATCAACGGTGGCATGAATAATGGTTTGATCGAGATCCACCACCAACGTCAAACGTCTCGACGAAAGTAGCCGGCGTTTCGCATCTTCTTCGACGCGGGTTGCCTCCCGTTGACTGACGGTAAGTGTAGTGTTATCATGGGTCATGGAGATCGGAGCACGCATTGAATCCGCAACCTCGGTGTTGTATGTGGATCTAATCACGGGACAGATAATTAGCAAAGCTCATGTCTCGCTGGATAGAGTTACACATACTCGGTCATGTCCTTCCCGCACTCCGCGCAAAGTCCTCCAAACTGGATCTCGTGCGCGCACGGCTCATCGATTTCGACAACATTGACCCTAGCACACAGTCAGACGACGTTCAACAGGAAACAAACTGAGGTCAATATCCTTACGGTTCATCTATGATATCTCCCTTTTGGATTTTCCATTCTAGGATCTCTCCATCAACAGTCGATTCGAATCTGGTCGGGAACTTTCGTTGCACTTCAACTTTGTTCCCCAGTCCATCACCCTCGGTGACGGTAGTCTGGTAGACATACCAAAATAGAGCCTCGTCCCTCTCAACCGTATCGCCGGGCTGCTTGAGCAGCGACGTTACGGTGATCGGGTAATGTAAGCTGGTGGGCAGACGGAGAAGCATCGTTGTTCTCGATTCGTCCCCAGCCGATGTATAGTCTTTGTTTTTGTTACTGCTGGCAGATGGATTTTTCTGCCCTTGTTTTGTTGACGGCGCGTCAAAGGCGAACGGGTGGGTCGGATAGAGTGATCGCGTGCGATTCCGGCTATGAAGCCATCACCAACACGCAACGCGTGTAAAGCTGGATGATAATGGGGTTTTAGGATAGTAGCCGAGTTTATCACTCAGTGGCTCAGACTAGCTCGGCGAATAAGTAGGCGTAAATGGTGGTTGAGGTAGCGCGATGAGAATCGCCACTACAAGGCGCGAATGATAGAAAGAAACTTGTGCGCCTGGCACAACCTGGCGCGGAGGTCGGAGACAAGTCGCACACCAGGCGGGGAAAATCGCTTGAGTTTAAGAAGAGGGATAGTGTTGAATTAGGAATGTGGGCTGCAGGCAAAGAAAAGAGAAGCTCATTGAAGTTGTGCGGGGACTCACCTCGATCCGGGTTCTACCTAAGTTCCAAGGTTGAGAGCTATTGGCGCTTATGTCATACCGGTACTTGAAAATATGTACTCCACTTACTGATTAACGTATGATGTACTTCACCGAAAGTACCTCATTCTTCAAAATGGTCTGATAGAATGGCTTGATCAAATGACTAGGCCTGTCAATCTGTTTTAAGCCCTCCTTTTCGGTGGCAATAACATCCCACTGCTTCTCTGGACTGTATGTATTAAAAACTCGACTGTAGATCGGTGCTTGTCTACACCTTAACCAGCATAAGCTCCAACCAATTGTCACTCAAGTTCTTATGCCTAAGAATTTGCCCAAGCCCAATACACATACTATGGCTACTACGAGAAGATAATTTGGCAGATAGATTAAATGCAACGATTATATCATAGCCATTAAAGATATCAATTTGCTGTACCAATGAACGAGGCTCACTATGAGGCTGTGCCAGCAAAGACCGAAAAAAAAAGGAAAAACACGCTTCGATCATCGTGCTGCTTATTGCGATTGATGAATGAAGCGTGTTATGAAAGGATACGTCCAATCCAAGTAAGCCGCGTGTATATACGAGCAATCTCTTGGTGTCATCTGGTTCTTTCATATTCACAGCTCATGAGCTATCCGGTATTAGAGCATTTATTTGGCTTTGGCCAGACCAACAGCATTGTTGCCGAGATCATAAACACTGTACCAGCGACGCAGGAAGGCATCACCCAGGATAGCCAGGGGACCCACGGGCTCGGGGAAGTCCATGCCCATGAAGCTGCTGATGCAGGAACCCTGGACCTCCAGGATGTAGTCATGGGGGCCAATAGTGAACTTGTGGCCGGCCAGGGTGAAGGTGAGGTCGGGAAGAGAATCCCGCTTCTCGCAATCAACGCTGTACTGTCCTGTGAAGCCCTTGGTGGCACCAATCTCCTTGTTCCTATGGAAATGGTCAGAAAGAAGGTTGAGATACGAATAAAGAAGAAACTTACAGAAGCTCAGCCATGGTAGAGGGCAAGGCAATGAGAGAGGTGCCAGTATCCAGAATAACACCGGTGTTCTCGAGCTCAGCAACGCTATCACCGAGAGCAATGGAGTCGAGCTCGACCTCCCAGTACGCCTTGCGGCGAAGGGGGATCTTGATCAGCTCACCGGTGTAGTGGCTCTCATCGATACCACCGAAGGTGGCTTCGGAGTTGTCACCATCCTTGTTGGCATCGCCAAGGTAGAAGGCAAACACGGGCTCATCCACGAGCTTCTGGTTAATCATGTTATAGAAGGGAGGAACCATCTTGTTCACGGAGATGGTGTCATAGCCGAGGCCAAGGATACCGTCAAAGCGGCCGAAGGCAAAGGCCAAGCCAGGCTCATTGGTGGCCTCGGCGAAGTCCTGTCCCTCGACCTTCAAGTCACCAATCTGAAGGGTGTCCGTGGACACGAAGCCGCTCAGGCTACCAGATCCATAGCGAATCTCAAACTCGGTACCATTCTTCTCATAAGTGCTCGAAGAAGACGAGTCATACTTGCTGTGAAGGTAGCAGGCAATCGAGTTGCACGACTGGGAGGGAACCCAGAGGTTGGAGCTACCAGTGTCGAGGACAACCTTGAAGGTCTGGGGAGGAGTACCGATCTGGATCTCAGAGAAGTCTAGAAAGGTCAGCATCATCATCACTCAAGACACAGGATGTTCCAGCATGAGATCATACACTGAGCGTTCAGGAAGTTATCAACGAGCACGTCATGACCACCAGCAGGCTTGAGGGCGGTGTCGTGGAACAGGTCTTCGTGCTTCTCAGGGCGGATGCCCATGTACTTCTGGCCAAGATTATACACATGAGCCTCGATGTTATGTGTGTTCTATCATCGATTAATTTCCCGAATGCCCTTGATTGACGATGATCCTACCAGTTGCTCCGACAGCGGGACCTTGTTGAGCTTCAGCTTGTGAACCTCGGCGGCAGCACTGCCCAACAGCGCCGAAGCTGTTAGTAGAGTGAATGACTTCATCATTCAAGATGATAAATGAAAGTTGAAGTTGTTAGATGCAAAGAAGAGAATGACTTGAATATGGTGAGGATAGAGAGAGAGAAGATAAGGGTAGATGGGGGTAGATGGGGGAGTGGAGAGGCTGGAGAGACGATGACGGAAGCGGGAGGGTCACACTAATCCATTTTGAGCGATGGGCCTCATGACTAGGTAGGCTACCAGGATTCCAGACTTCCAAGGTCATGTTGATTCCCTGATTACGACTGCACACGGTGATTTATGATTCGGGTTATTATTTTATTGCTCTGGGTTTAACCATCCTATACGGAGTCCTCCGTACAAATTAGGACCTCGACAGGGGGAGCTGCTTTGGGCTGGTGCCTGGGCATGATTAGCGCCATTGACGGAATCGTCGGACTGGTCATCGGAAGACACCCCTCCCGCTGTACCTGGCAGCTGCAGGATGGCTTATGTGGTGAATAGCTACGTTTATGAAGTTGTGCTATAGGAAGGCTTTGTCTACAAGTCCCCTGTTGTGCTACGCCAGAGAGTTGTGTGTATGCCGGCATGATTTTGAGCATGTATACCTGTGGAAGTCCATCGTCTGAATCAAGATCAAGACTGTCCATAAAAGGGCCCTTGCTGCCTTACATCAAGGGATCGTATGCCTTACTACTAACGTTAGTAGGTGAGTACCACGTTGCATAGCCTAGAATGAGTCGCCTTGCTGTGTATTAGCTGGATACGAAAGGACCTACGCTCCATAGGTAAAGCCTGTGGACAAGTCTTACCTTATTTTACAGCGCATTAGGTCTTCACTTACTCCGTACAGTAAATATTGCCAAGGCAGTTCTCTCATGTGAGAGTTACACATGGCTGTATTATGTTTGATATGATCTATCCTCGTTTGAAGCGGCTTGCTACCGATATGTATGTTGTAGGTACCCTAGGGACTAACCTTTCTGACACTATACAATATAGGTTAGAGCAGTCCTGAACTGGTGGTTCCCATATAGCACAGTCAAGGCGTTTGGGGACGCTCGAGCTCCGCTGGTCTGTATCTGACAACCTAACCTTCGCCCAACGATGGACATGGATACATGATCAAACTTATCTTTCCGGTTTAAAGATTACCTAGTAGATAATTCTGTTTCAATCTTACGGATTGGACCTTGATTAGCATTTGATATCATTGGGTGATTCATGAAGATCCTCATCCATGGGCTAGATACGAGTACAGGATAAATATACTGTGACGCTAACGCGTCATCTTCACATGTAACAAATTTAGGCTGCACGCTAAACCCATCCTAAACGACAATTGACATGGAGAGCAAATAGCAGGCTACTACTAGAAAACGTATGATTTACAATCTAGAAAGTGGAGGGATATTATAGATTTGACAAATCATCCAAACATTGTGACACATGGGGTCTGCATATTATTGATAATACAACTGGTGAGAAGACCAAGCTTTTGCCACTTATACCCACGCTCCGAACGAACTCGAGCATTTACCGGTAGAATTCAGGGCTGCAAGGAGATAGTTAGCGAAGTAGAAAAACCTAAGAAGGAAGCGAAATACGTACCGGTCGTCGTCCTGTCCTGTCTTAACCTGGACAGCGTAGGCATCCTCGAGGTCGGACTGGATAATATTGTAGCGGTTCTTGCGGACGGCCCGCAGACCGGCTTCCTGCATGATAGCAGCAATGACGGCACCGGACAACGGGTCGTTGCGTACAATCAGGGCATCCAGATCAACCTCGGGTGAGAGGGACATCTTCGCTGCAATGGTTGTGAAGATCAAGCGGCGCTCACGTCGGTCACGCAGGTTCGGGAATTCAATCTTTCGGTCCAGACGACCAGGACGCAGTAAAGCTGGATCCAGGGTATCGGCTCGGTTGGTGGCCATAATGACCTTGACATTGCTGCTTTGTTCGAAACCGTCCATTTGGTTCAGCAACTCTAGAAGAATACGCTGGACTTCACGGTCGGCACCAGTCTGGGCGTCGAAACGTTTCGTGGCGATTGCATCAATCTCATCAATGAAGATAATGGCTGGAGAGTTTTCACGAGCCATCCGGAACACATCACGGACCATACGAGGTCCTTCGCCCAGATACTTCTGAACGAACTCTGATCCGTTGACACGGATAAAGCTGGCGGTTGTGCTGTTGGCCACGGCCTTCACCAGCATGGTCTTTCCTGTTCCGGGAGGACCATAGAGCAAAACACCACGGGGTGGATCAATACCTGTATATCGTTAGCAGTGCTCTTTGCTCCAGGGTATCCAAAAACAACCCACCAATTTGCTTGTAGAGTTCGAAATGTGTCAAAGGAAGCTCGACAGCCTCCCGAATCTCCTGCTTCTGCATGTCCAAGCCACCAACGTCTGCGTATGTCACATCGGGCTTCTCGTTTTCACCCAGCATGGCGATAGAGGAGTCCGCCTCGGGAGGAAGAATATCGACAAGGGCATTGGAGTGACGGTGAAGGGCGACCGAGGATGAGGGCTTCAACTTCTCGCGGTCGAGAGTAGAGAGGATACGGACAACGTAATTAGAACCGGTCGAGCTTTGCACAATACCGGTGCTGGAGATGCCAATTAGCAACATGGAATTTCACTTGGAAGTGAATATACATACTTCTGATCAATAGCCTCCATAAACTGCCCGATGACCAGCGGGACACTCTGTATCCGCTTGATCTCTTCTTGTGCCCGAACCAGCTCTCTCTTCAAGCTTCTGCATGGACCCACAGTGGTTAGGTACTGATGCAAATCTTCAGAAATATATTCCACAATACATACCTTTGCTCATCCTTGATGTATTCTTCCTGCAGTTGGATATACCTGTGTTCGACGTCAGTACCGACCGACCATCCAACAAACGTGGCCACACATACTCGAGATGTCTTTGTAGCCTTTTCAGAGTAGCATATTCATCATTTCCATCCGCTCCTGTACCATCGAGAGAATCCAAGTTGGCGAGGGCGTCAAGTGCGCTTGGCTTGGTAAGAGGCGTGAGGCTCGCCGGGTTCTCCACAGCGACGTCTCCCATGATGGATTCTTTGAACAACAAACAGAATGGGGGAGGATGCTATGTCTTTCAGTTGCAAGTAGATCGAAAATGGCCTTTGATGATGGTGGTTGGTTAATGACGCGCTGAGTGAAGGGTTCGGAGGTCGGCCATCTGGAGCTTTCGATGCTATGAGCCAGGAAGCTTAGCCATCACGTGATGACATACATTCGTCTTATCGACCAGTTTATGTTTTTGCATACGGAGTACGGAGTATGGCATACCTACATATATACCTACTCACCTGTCCCCATGTGTTTAGAATCAGAATATATATATCATAACCAGCTAATTCCTTCCCAGGAGTGGTACGGTGGTTTCATCAATTGGTATCGGGTACCTAGGTATTCTTGAAGATGGTGGCAATTGGCGATACGGTCCCCAGACAAGCGCCCGTCAACTTATGACAACAATCTCACCCACATGGAACTATAAGATACATTACACAGCACCTTTGAAGTGTTCTGCTCGTCCTAATACCCAAAGTAGTAAGTGGGTGTGCCCCTCGTATCCGCGGATATTCCGTAATATACACTCGGTCTTGTCGCGGCGAGTCTATCAATCCACATCTATGGTCAGACACTAGCGGCTGCTGCGGACTCAGCGAAACTGGCCACAGCCAATGACGACGATCTCGAACTCCTTTGCCCGGGGTATCATTTATCTCGCCCAGTGTAAGGGAATGATGCACGAAGCATGTCGCCAATTTGGGGGAATACCTGATCAGGTTCAAGGAGAATATCATATTGGACCGCCATGCGCAAAGGCTTCTGAGACAGTTACGAACATCCTTGTCATTGGAGTAGCCATGACCTCAAGTTGCCCTCAAGCCCTATAGAAAGGAAATGAGGAAAGGTTGATCCAATCATCTCCAGCGGTGGAGTAGGCCGGTACACGGTAGGTGGGACAGGCACCATGGCCATCATCCATGATTTCCCATGCGGATCGAGTCGGATCCTTGCACAGGGGATTCACTAGGTCCTCCACTCTTCGTTGTCGACCTCGAATTCCTGGTGACTTTCGGAGGATTGGGCGCCCATCGACATGATTATCAGACGCTAGCCCGAGCTTTATATAAGGAGAACCGCCCGCTGGCCACCGTGACGGCCGTCTTTTTTTTTTCTTCCTTATTTTTTTTCTTCCCTCTTTCCCCTCCAGATATTGTAACCCTTTGGACAAACTTCATCTTCCCATGGCAATCTTTCCTTCTGGAATTATCACACATGGGGTGGCTGCCAGCCTCAGACCACCCCGGCCTGGAGTATATGATCTAACCTGACTTGGCCAGACCGTTGGAATGGATCATCATTTAGATGGTCTACGAAACCCGAGACGAAGATGGGGGGTTTTTTATTCTTTTTTGTGGCTCGAGAAGAGATGTCTTCTTTGATGAGCCCCAAGTTCCCTGCTGACTGCTATTATTTTCTCTGAAGTGTGGCCAGTTTCTTTATGCAGGTAGAGGCTGGCAACACCCGCAAGACTAGTGGGATAACGAAATGGGGAAATCCAAACCACCCCCAAATCGAAAGGGGGAAAAAGACACATTAGTGAAAAAGCCGATGAAGCCAAACATCAGGAAATAAAGAAAAAGAAAAGCCAACTAACATTGAAACCGAACAGTAACACAAGTGACCGGAACAGGTAGGGGAAGATTTACTTGCCGGTACACTCTGAAAGCTCTGACCTGTCAGTAATTTTCCCTCATTCTCCTCTCTCCACTTCCCCTTTCATCCCTAACTGAACGCCTCTTGTGAACTGGTAGGTACGCCATTCTTACTGCTCTATGATTGCTCCGTTTGCTTTTTTGGTCCTCCCCCCCCAATTTATTCCCTTATTATTTGGTTGTGGCCACGCACCCCCCCATTCTTTTCAGAGCCCCCCCCTCTGCGCCTGTTCTGTAGTCCTCATTTGCCCGGTTATGGTTTCTGGGGAGCTTCCATTATTATCTTGGCTTTTTCAGATCGAAGTTTGACGGCCCCTGTTCATGATTTGCTAACGTTTAGCCACTACCCCAGCTTCCTACCCTTCCCTTTCCCCCCATATTACGCCCCCCCTTTGCTCCATCCTCGTGGTTTGTTGCCTTAGGCTCCCAACACGTGATCTCATCTGGCCCAACCTCTGTCCCCTTCATATCCCCATCTGCCAATTCCGGGACCCGGCTTCAGTCATCCGTCCAAAAAGCGGAATTTAAGTCACTCCAGCCTTATCGGTATGTATCTCATTCTCTCCCCTCCCTCCCCTCATATAATCATATTTTCTTGGTTGCTCTTTCTCCTTCCCACTGTCTCGTCTTTGACTTGTGCGTGTCTCGCGACCGGGCCTGCGCGCGACTACCCCAAACATCCCATCTCGACGCGTCAGCCTGATCATCATTGCATCGGATCCTATACTTCCTTTCCCATGATAGGATATCATGACTCAGTTTCGCGATGGCGCGTGGACCAATGTTCACAGGCTGACTTGTCCTAGGTAGATGGGTTGGGAAAACCGCTCGACATGAATGCCTGGCTTGCCGATGCCTCGAATATTCCTGGCCAGGATAATGGCGCCTTTCACCCATCCACTATAGATCCTTCCACTGCCTTCTTACATGGCTCCCCCACCTCCCAGGACCCATCCCAATTCCAGCGCATGTTCAACAATGGTGTGGCGCGGAACGCTTCTCCAGGCTTCCACAACCCAAACCAAGTGATTCCGTCCAAGCGAGCGCGACCCGAAGATGGCATGCCCATGTCACCAAGGCCAGCTCCAGGCGGCGTGACGGGATCGCGATCCCAGACTCCTCACCAGGTGCCTTTCCCAGGGTACCAGGGATCGACCAATGGCAACCCGCAATTCCCACAGCCTCCAACGCCATATCAACACCTCCAACAAGGGGCATCTCCAAATGTAACACAGTCACCCATTATGCCGGACTTTGATCAGCAAAGCGCTCGTATGGGGACAGCTTCTCCGAGCCCCTTCTCACCCGCCGGTCCGCACCCTGGACCTCAGATGTCCCCATCACAATCAGATCACGGTAGCCGCGTGAATACGCCGCAAAATGCCAACTTTATGCAAGCGCAGCAGTTTGGTGGCATGCCACAGGGCGTTGGGATGACATCGGGGGCCCCTCAGCCCTCAATGCAGGCGCCGCAATTCAGTGGCATGCAACAAATGCCCCAGGGCTATCACCAAGCTTTGGCAAACCAGCAGCAGCGACTCCATGCCATGCAGCAGCAGACAAGGATGAATCCCAATTCTGCAATGGCTGGACGGCCGGTTCCTGGGGGCATGAACCCGATGGCCAACACTCAGCAACAAGCCATGGGGGGAATGAGACAGATGCCACCAAACATGCAATCAAACATGCCCAAACCTAGTAGCCCGGAAGGATTCCTGCGGTCATTGCAGAAGTTCATGATGAGCCAAAATCTTCCTATGGACCCAAATCCTACAGTAGCTGGTCGTCCGATCAACCTCGTTCAACTGTATGCTACCGTGATGAAGATGGGAGGTTCGAAAAAGATTACAACAACGAACATGTGGCCAGCAGTCGCACATCAGTTGCAATTCCCCCAAATGCAATACCCTATGGCCGCCCAGGAGATTCAAGCTCATCACTCAAGGAATTTGGCTCCATACGAGCAAGCTTTCATCAATTCACAACAAAAGCAAATGGCGGACCACATGCAGCAGCAACAGCAGCAGCAGCAGCAAGGCGGGATACCACGACAAACTAGTCACTTCCAGTCTCCTTCGGTGAAGCCCAGCCCAGGCTTTGAGCAAGCTCAGGCAATAGCACAATCACCCCAGAATAACACGCCAGCTCATAATAATATCCCAGGGAACGCAGCGAATGGGTTTGCTACGCCGACGCACGCGCGAAGCCAAAGCAGACCGGCTCAGGCTGGGCATCGCCCAAGCATCTCTAGAGCATCTCAACCACCGGCCCAACCGACTGAAACCGCCACTGGACAGCTCGCAGCCCCATCCCCTTCGCAATCTGGCAAAGGTCTTACGCCGGTTGCGAGCCAACAACAGCCAGGACAACCAGAACAAAAGCCTGACCAGTTAGTCAAACGACCTATTGGAGAAACATTCAAACCAATGGTCTTGACAGGCAGTCGTTTCCATGGGCCTATTGTGGTTGACGAAATGTATCAGATTGGAGAGGATATCACGAGGCTAAAGCCAGACGTGCCAAGTTTTGCAGAATTAGGAATTGTTGACATCCACGCGCTGACGATGGCGCTCAAGTCCGGGATCTACGCCGAGATCCGAGTTGCCCTTGATACCCTTACTACGCTTTCTGGTGAACCATCCGTTCAAATATCTTTGGAGAACTGCGATGACTTGGTAGAGAGCCTGGTTGACTGTGCTGAAGACCAGGCCGACCTGCTAGCGGAACATACCTCAGAAGAGTCCGACACTATGCGTTTGCGCTCCTATGATGAAGTCACAAGAGACTGCCAATCTGAAAACACATCACTTGCAGATGTTCCCCCATTTGGAAGCCTTGAGTACGAATTGGACCGGGCTGTGGATCGACTCATTTGTGTAACAACGATCCTGCGAAACTTCTCGTTCAGCGAGACAAATTTCCCCTCCCTTGGTATCCCTCCTGTCGCTGAGTTGTTTTCTGCTGTGTTCCGTTACATGGGAACTCGGAAGATGTTCTTGCGGACAAGCCACAACACGTTGGACTTTATGAAGGATGCAGTTATCTTGCTAAGTAACCTGGCACATGTTGTTCAGATTCCCGGCAAGGAGGAGGCATTGAGCCTGTTGAATTTTCTATTGGCCTTTTCACCGGAACCAGAACCCACCTCACCTTCTGGGAAGGTGATGTTCACCGCATTCAACTCTTCTGTTGATCGATACACTCCAGCTGCCGTAGACGGCCTGGCCAAGATGCTGGCTAGAGACGACCCGAACCGCACTTTCTTCAAAGCCATCTTCTCTGGCGACGGCTCTGCACTTCCCCAGCCTGAATTGCTAACACGCGCATTTGGCCTCGCCATCTCCTGTGTCCCCGACAAAAAGCCCATGGCTGTCGTGGATGCACGCAAAGTATTCTTAATGCAAGGCCTTTTGTCGGCCGATGTCCTCACCACGTTCGCCGATGGCACCCTTGCCAAAGCATGGCTTGAGTCAGTCGATGGGTTTGCTGTCCATCTCCTACGGCTTTCCTGCGCACTGTGCACAGAACGCATCCCACAGATCAACATGCGACAAAGGAGTCAGGCTGAAGCCGACGCATATGCCTTCAGCTCAATCGTAAATCGAGGCCTGGGAATTCTCCGCCGACTCGCCGAAAAGTCAAAGCAAGTCGATAATGCCTCTCCTCTCAATATACCATCGGGAATTCTTCCCAGAAAAGAGAGCCTGCTTGGTGCACTGCTCCTCCCCAACATCGATGGTAATGTTGTTCGTCAACTACTTACTTACGCTCGGTTGGCCGAATAATTGATGCCTACATGAAACCTCCAATGCGCTCGGGACGGGTTGGTTCGTACCCATCATGTCCGGGGGGAATTGGGTCCTCCCTCACTTAGCATATACGACAATCTTGATTTTCTCTCATGTCATTTGTACTCATGTCGACTGTCTCTCTTCTTTTATTTTTCTTCTCCCTCTATTGGGCGCTGGTGGGCAATGGGGGTTCTACTTTTAGTCACTCGTGAGATAGCGTTCTGCTCTGTTTCAGTGTACAATGCTCAAAATCCCCTCGATACAAATCGAGATATACTGCATGAAGACCAATTGGCCATTGCTGCTAGAATTCTTAAACACTAGATAGATCCCTGACTACGGATCCATACTTGGCTTCACTAGCTTCATCGAGAAATCGACAGATCTTCTAGGAGAGGCCGTAAGAGGGTACTCACCTCTTGTCCAAATGTCCATAATTAGTGCTTTCAAAGCTTTTGAGGTCTACCTACATAACTTTAGTGTACGGAGTAGAAGTTGGTGGTTTCCAGTGGTATGGATTCTAATTATGCACTAGAGCCTTGAAACATATCCCCGCATCAATATGAGTTTACCGATCAGACAGAAGGCAAAGTACTGAGATTCTAATGATATGGCAATGTGTGTGGTCATTCAATAGAAAAGCAAAAGCACTAGCACCCATCGAGTCGTCGAAAATGTACAGATTGGAAGTGTTACAGGGAGCGATAAAAGAAAAAGGAAACCGGAAACCAAAAAAGCAGGTGCACGCCAGAAGACACGACCGGATAGACAAGACACAAACACCGGAAAGAAAATAAAAGAGGAAGAAAAGCAACCCGCAAGGAAATTAAGGTATGCACCGAGGGAAGAGGAGAGAGAAATCAAGGAAATAGATATTACCCATCCACATCAGGGACCACCGTGAGAGTTGGTTTCTTTCTTTCTCCTCCCTTGTTTTCGACGTGATTTGATTCTTGCTCTCTCCGATAAGTATGCTCTAGTATACCCCCCGCAATAGGGGTATGGATGATGCTTTTTGAGTGTGAATCTTGGGCCACTAAAAAGATGAGATCTTCAATCGCGACTTGTGAGATGAAATCGAGGTATTGGGGAAGAGAGAATCTAGAATTTCCGCTCTTGGAGGAAGTTCAGAATCTCGGGTTTGCGCCAGCCCTGTCTTATATTAGTTTTTTTTTTCATTGCGTAACCATCAAATAAATCGAACATACCTTGACGATGATGTGGCCGGTGAGTCGGTTGAGAGTAACGTCGGGGTTGGGCTTGTTGCCATCAACAACGCCCAGAGCAGAAGCCAGATCGTTGCGGAGCGCATCCAGATCACCTTCGGTCTTCTGGATCTTGGTAAGTTGCTTGGTGCCGCCGGCCTTTGTGACAAGGTAGACAGGCAGCTGGTTGGAGGCAGTGCGGCGGACGAAGTAGGGGAGGTTGGTGAGCTGCAGAGTCGGGGTAGGCTTCTTGGGTGATTTGCCTGGGGTTGGGGTTGCCGATGGAGCCGCGGGTTGTTCTTTCAAGGCTTGCGCTTGACGGCCGAGATGCGTGAGGAAGGTGCGGCTTTGACGGGTAGGGAGAGAAGAGAGAGCGCATTGAGGACGATCTGAGGGAGAGGGTTAGCCATGCGCTCTTTTCCCGATTGAAGAGAAAGCGATATAGCATAAAATGCATGTTTTTTCCCTTTCTCTCTTGTCTGTTGATCACAAGATATTGCAACCCCCAGGGGTCTGTAATTTGTTCTCGTAGGTCTAAAGACATTGAGATGAAGCTGAGCAAAAATTGACTTACGTGAAGCTTGCAACCTTGTCTGAGAGCATAATGTGGAAAATGAACTACATGTCTGAACGGAAGCCACGGACTGTGCAGAATTGACGCGAAGGGAGATGGTAGTGGCCTGCTTTCGCATGGCCGAAGCTGGGCCTGAGTATAGGAAAGACGCCATTCTGAGTGTTCTAAAGGACCAGAAAGCAACAAAAGACCCGGTTGAAGAAGATGGGGAGATCACCGCAGAGGCTGGGAAGACCGGAGAGCGACATCTGATGCTCCTCTGCTCAGATTTTCTGCCACCGCTTCCCAACACCCACTTCCCAAAGGGGTTTAGGGCCACCGACGCCCGCACAATCTGCAAATTCTCCATTGATCGCGGTTGGCCTTTGTTATCCCCCTCTAGACCTTTAACCCCCTTCTGCCATCTTTTTAGACCCATCATGGCAGACAACGCCCCCCTACCGCAGAGACTTTGCTCAGCGGCGCTGCTGCTCACCCGCCCAAGACCGCCGAGGAGATCGCCTCCCAGCATGATTTGCTGCCCCGACTCATCCCGTACCTCGACCGTCACCTGGTTTTCCCCCTGCTCGAATTCAGCGCTACCGGCGATGAGGAGGACAATGAAATCACCCGGGCGAAGTACGAGCTTCTCAAGCACACCAACATGACCGACTACGTCGCCAACTTGTGGCAGGAGATCAACAATTCCGATACCATCCCCGACGAGTTTGTGAAGAAGCGCGAGGAGGTTCTGGCCAAGCTACAGCACTACCAGGATCAGAGCGAGAAGATTACCGAGTTGTTGCAGGATGAGGAGGTTGTGGGCAACCTGCGCAGCGACAAGGCCGCTAACTTGCGGTTCCTCGAGGAGCAGCACGGTGTTACCAACGAGATGGTCAACTCTCTCCACGACTACGGACGATTCCAGTACAGCTGCGGCAGCTATGGAAATGCCGCTGAGCTGCTTTACCAGTTCCGTGTTCTGTCCACCGACAATGACAAGGTTGCCTCCGCCACATGGGGTAAGCTCGCCTCAGAGATTCTGACCACCAACTGGGAAGGTGCGATGGAGGAGGTTCAGAAGGTTAAGGACTCAATTGAGACCCGCCTGTTCAACAACCCCATGGCCCAGCTCACCAACCGCTCTTGGCTCATTCACTGGTCGCTGTTCCCCTTCTTCAACCACGACCCCGCCCGCGACGTCCTTACCGACCTCTTCTTCTCCCCCGCCTACATCAACACCATTCAGACCAGCTGCCCCTGGATTTTGCGGTACCTCGCCGCCGCTGTCATCACCAACCGCAGCCGCCCTCACAAGCACTCCGGTGTCTACCAGAAGCAATTGAAGGATCTGATCCGCGTGGTGCGCCAGGAGGACTACGAGTACACCGACCCCATCACCGATTTCGTCAAGGCCCTTTACGTCGATTTCGATTTCGAGGAGGCACAGAAGAAGCTCGGCGAGGCAGAGGATGTGCTGCGCAGTGATTTCTTCCTTGTGTCTGCCGCCGATGCTTTCGTTGAGGCTGCCCGTCACCTCATCTCCGAGAGCTACTGCAAGATCCACCAGCGTATTGATATCAAGTAAGTTGTGCCACAAAATTGGCTATCGGGCCCCTAGACTAACGTTCCTTTTCTTTTTAGCGATCTTTCCGCTCGTCTCGGTCTCAACCAGGATGAGGGTGAGAAGTGGATTGTCAACCTTATTCGCGACACCCGCGTTGACGCCAAGATCGATTACAAGGAGGGCACTGTTATCATGAACCACCCTCCCCAGTCCGTCTACCAGCAAGTCATCGAGAAGACCAAGGGTGCCTTCTTCCGCACACAAGTCTTGAGCTCGGCTGTCGCAAAATAAACATCCGTATGACTCTGATGTCGAAAACTGAACTTTTCTCTGTTATGTGATTTCCAACTTGTTTCTGCCTGCCCCATTTTTTTAGTGATCTCCCCGTGTAGGTCACAACACGGTTGTTTGAGGGATGGGACTCCATGCAGAGTGGCATCCGGCTGGCGTTTTTTTTTCGGGGGTCCACACTTATTTCTTTTACCTCTTTAGTCTTGCAGTTCTTATGCACACTCTCTTCCCCAGATTTTCACTTCCTTTGTCGGGTCTATTACTTTTGACCTCTTTATGTATTGGCCATTTCTGACCCTGGAGGTTTGGAGGGAGGGGTCCCCAAAAGCAGCCACCAGAGAAAAACATGGCGCCCTGTCATATGTTTGGAGGGCGCAAAAGAAGAAGAGGAGAGATCGAGATATGACGTGGTAGACTCTTTGATCTCGAGGTCTGATTTATCTATGCTGTTACGAATGGTCTATAGAGATGAGTGAAAGATGATGTCTTTTTGACAATATTTCTTGTTCCAATATGTATCCTTCATATATTCTTTGGTACCTAGCGCAGCTTCGGTGCTATTAGTATCACTGGAGGATATATGGCCATGTGTAGGCATCTGATATCCGGTGAGATATGCATTGTCTCTGGTGGCTTTGCCCTAATATATGGAAAGAGATTCCTTGCTACGGAGTACAGTGATTTGAGTCGACTTTTCACTATTCATACCTTCTCCTCTCCATATCTTAACTACTGATATTGTACGCCGTACATCTACAGTAAATCTCCACCAAACTTGAATATATCATGCCATGTACCTAGGTATTTAGTGCCAGTAGCCCGAAATTCCACCTTGTTCTAGTGCACGAGTACCTATGAATGATGACCTTCGTGTCCCTTGAATCCTTCGAAACAATGCACACCCCATTTTGAAGGAAATTGATGGCTCTGAAATCCAAATCTTGCAATTTTCATGCCAGACTTGTCGCAAACACACATCTGGAGACATCGAGGCCCACCGGGAATAAGAGAAATAAGAGCAAAGGGTATATCAGAATAAAGCAAAACACACACGTTCCTACCGAAAGGCTAGCCTATAACCCGCAATATCCACCCCCGTCTCCGGATTAGGGTTGCTTTCTCTCCAATGGTCTATCTGTCCAGGGGACTTTCCGAATCCGTGGAACCTGACAGACCCATGGGTTGAGATCCGGCTTGTGGCCATATCTTTGCAATCCTGGGGCGCAATGCTCCGGGGAAATGGATGGAGCGAGGGAGAAGAAAGAAAGAGAGGGAAAGAGAGAAAGAAAAAAGGCTAAGCGGAGCAGCATCAGGCATCGAGACAGCGGAAATCCTTCCTCGTAAAGGTGTTGACCGGGAGGATCCTCTGCGGGTTCCAAATGGCCGAAGTAAAGAATGTCAAGTCCAATGGATGGAAGCAAGAAAACAAAATTGGCCTCAACGGCCACCTCTCAGATCTGGTTATGCACGCCTACGTGCTCCGGGTTGATTGATAGGGATGATCTCATTGATGTAGGGCTCCTGGGTTCCTGAGCTGTCGTTGCTGGCGTTATGGGCCATTCGAGTAGCCTCTTGCTTTTCATATTCTCGGGACATGACCATGAGATCATCGATTTGTTCCTATTTCGAGTTAGTACGGTCTAACCTTTGTTTTGTGCCCTTTTAGAGGAGATGTATGTTTGTATAGAGGCAGGGAAAACAAACCCGCGTGAGAGGCACGCCGTTGATGAGGTACCCTTCGCGTGCCTGCAAATGATTTCTGGTTAGAGTCGTTTACTGTGGAGGCAAGCAATGCAACCTACTTGGTAGGTGTATGGTCTAACTGTCGCACTCGGTCCAAGGAAGTATTGGATCTGCCCTAGGACGATATGTCGGGACAGGCCGTACCCCGGAAGCCAGTATTGCTGGACGGGAGACATTGTTCGACGGACTAAAGGGTGAGGCGTTGGGGCAAGGCGAGCGAATAGTCAGGTCTGATGTCAGTCGACACCGAACACAAACGGTCCGTGCCTGGATACTCCTTTTGGGACTTCTGACACTTCTCCGAAAGGAGATGAAGGCATGGAGTATAAATATGTTTGTTGTCACCCTGTTCAACAAAGGATAATCCCGCCGGAGATCAGACGAATAATACCGCGCGACTGGTGGATGTGTACCAATTTCCGATACCTCGGAAGATATGATCTCACAGCAGAACAACGGGAAAGAGGACTCCGTTATTGAACAAATGCACGATCCACAGAGACCCAATGCATGGGCGAATGAAACTACGACGTAACCACGAGCCTGGTAACTTGCGAGCTAGTCCCCATGCAAGACGGCAAGAGGCAGAAATTGAAATCCCACGAGAGCCGGCCCAGATCCTGTACTTCTCATATCAAAAGGAGGGTTCATGCCGGAACGTTCGGGCTGGGGTCAAGAGAACCACCCGCCTCACTTTATCAGCCAACGAGGCCCAACCCTTTATTTTGGAGTATGTTCAATCAGGGCCTCTGACCACCAGGAAAGGAAGAAGATCCTTGTCTGCCTACTTTAAACCCCTTGGTACCGGGAGCCGGGCTAGAAAAAAAAGTGAGGCTTGCATGGAGAAGCATTGGTCTCGAATCAATCGAAGGGCGGGTAGGGTTGGAGTGTCTCCTGAAAGGAGTGGACAGTGCACCTGGGGAATGCGAATGCGAAGAGCCGGTGAATTCTCACTCTTTTTCTCTCACCGCAGCTTTGCAACCCCCTATGCAGCGTTAAATTGGCTCTTGCTGCGGTGATGTCGTGGCACCACGGATTATCGTCTTCGATCGTGGGGCCACTGAGCTGCAGCGAGGACGTCTGCAGCTTTCGCTTTTGGGGTATGAATGCTGGCCTCTTGAGCTGCCAAGGTCATATAGTATACGGAGTATGGGGCATGGGGGGTTTTGATTTCAAGCCGACACATATGGACAGATGGAGACGAGCGTAGTGGGGAACAAAACAGTTGTAGTTCCCCAGGTCGCTTGAGGGGTTTATATATTGGTCGGCATGACTCTCAATTGGCTAAAGATTATGTGCGTTGTATGTCCGATTGAGCAAGGTTATCAAGATGCTCATCACACATGTTAGTCAGGAATGTGACAGACCCGCGCCTTCCGCATGTCCTGAGCCCTGATTGTTGCTCTACGGCCATCACCTCGGGCCAATTTTAATGTACAAGGCCCAATCACGCTTCATATAATATTCTCTAGTCTTTTCATAATTCGTCCGACATAAGCGAAAATAAAAGTGTATCTCGCATCGAAATTCCTCACTTTCACTGCGGAGGCACAAAGGGAGTCACCAGCATCTCACTGAACTTCTCCAACTTCTCCTTTCCGCGCACTTCCTCGACAAGCATGGGCATGCGGACCACGTTGAAATCCTCGTAGAGCTCCTCAATCTGATCCAGGTACTTCTTCTGCATCTTTCTCCGGGCAGTGCACTGTTCGCAGTTGCTTCCCTCCTTGGGGAACAGCAGCTGGTTGACGACAATGGAGTGGGTATCAATGTTGTAGCTGGTCAATTCCTGGATCATACGTTCTGTCTCGTAGAGCGACAAGAACTCGGCGATGCATACACAGACAAAGGTGGTCATGTCTGGGTTCTTGAATTGTGTGTTGACCTCACTAATGGTTTCCCGCAACGACTCCATCTTCTGCAGCAACTCATCCATGTTCTGGCCACCGGGCAGACCGCCACGAGCACCTAGGATTGAGTTGAGCATTGGGCCGAACTGGGAGGACAGCTGCGACAGCTTGGCCAGCGCCTTCTCGAGCACGGTGGGGAATTGAAGGAAGCGAAGAGTGTGACCGGTGGGAGCGGTATCGAACACGATAACTTCGTAGGAGAGCGACTTGACCTGCTTCAGGACTTCGGCGAAGGACATGGCCTCGTCAACACCGGGGATCTGGAGCCATTAAAGTTAGATTGACATGTAGTATATAGCGCGACAGCAGCATAGTAACTTACGCTGAAGGCAAGATCTTGCATCATATTGCCCATGCCCAATCCTGCCATAGGGTCTTCCCCCTGACCATCTCCAGTAGCGAGCAAATCCTGGATGCTCCCGTTAGGGTCAATCTCCATCGCGCTCAGGTTTGAGTAGCCATCGATCAGGCGGGCTTCCTTTCCGAACTTCTGACCGAATGCGTCGCTCAGGTTGTGTGCGGGGTCAGTCGAGATGAGCAAGACGGACTTGCGGACTTTAGCCAGCTGGATGGCCAGCGAGCACGAGGTGGTGGTCTTACCCACACCTCCTTTTCCACCGACGAAGATCCAGCGGAGAGTGTTCTGGCTGAGAACTGACTGGAGCGTGGGCTCCATGTCGAGGTCGTCCCCATGTATCACGGCGGAAGACATTGTATGATTGTGTGGTGAAGTGGAAAGGCGAAGTTCCAGTTGAAACCAAATTGTTTGCCCCGCAAATCGAACTTTCCGGAAGACGGTCTGGCTTCACTTGGCTCTCAACTGCCTGAGCTCCAGGGGTTTTTGCTTTTTATTCCTTTCAATGTGGATTTTAACAGCTTGTTTCAATGTGCCCAGTTATCTATGAAGTTATCTCCATTCTAAGATTGACTTAGTCTATTCTGAACCCTCGACCTTTTTTTTTTCTATGACACTTGGAGCCTAGCTTTCAACCTCAAGGCCTACAAAACAATGTTCAATCAGTGTTGCCATATTGAAGAGTATTAGCCCGCTATAATCATATCAAATGCCGTCAGTAAAAAGAAAGAAGAAAAAAAAGCTATACTAATGCGAGCCGCGGAATGATAGCTGCATGGCACTCTCCGCATCCATCGGTACCCTCCGATGAGCACTTGGTCGAAGAAATATAGAACATTCCCTTCCCTTCCCTCTTCCCCTTTCTACCTCTATTCAGTACCCCCTATTCTCTCTGTGTGAATGGACCCCTCCCAAAATAGCCCCCAACTTGGCCGCATCACCAACCGCCTCGCACAATATCAACAACAAATCTCTCCCGCCCCGCACTCAGACTCAACCCCAACCAAGCAACCAACCATGGCAGCACGCGACCCCATCACCTGCCATTGCCTCAATACCCTGTCCGGCACACCAGCAGCAAACCTGCCAGTGACCCTCACCCTCCTCTCTACCCCAGCCTCAGCCACCAGCGGTGTCACATTCCGCGCAACCACCAATGCCGACGGCCGCGTCGCCAACTGGACCCCAGTCGGAACAGCCTCAGAGTCAGTCCCTGCCATCCTAGCTGCCCTGCCCGCTGCGGATAGCAAGACCAACTGGTCTGTGCGCTTCGAGGTTGGTCCCTGGTACGAGGCCCAGGGCGTCGAGAGCTTCTGGCCAGAGGTCGAGGTTAAGTTCACCGTCAAGGGACGTGGGCGCGAGGGTGAAGAGGGCTGGCGCCACTACCATGTTCCTGTCCTTCTGGGTCCGTGGAATTACTCGACCTATCGGGGTTCGTGAAGGGGTATAGATGTTTCGCTCGAGAATGGGCTGGAGACTGTAAATATTCCAATCTCTTTAGGACTCGGTGAATGAATGAATTTCAATGGGCTATTTAGGTCTCTCTGGTAAAATAGGATTCCCTTGGGGCAGCTTGTCATTGCGTGGTTACTATGAGCTGCGAGCTTTGTGCTTCTGGAAATATGTATAGAGTGTCGGGAGAGAGAAAGGGGCTTGCCATTGTCTATTGTACCGCGTAGTTCGTTGGCCCTCGGCTAGAAACGAAACGTTGAATGCAAGCGAACTACTCCAGAGCTTCAAATTAAATGGTTGTGGATACAGTGCAGATTGACAAACCTTGCTCTTTCTAGCGCCCCCAGATGCGGGCTAGGTTGAGACGGTTGAAACTTTGCGACTTTATTCTTGAACTTGCGAGACGAATATAAAACTTATATCGTTTTCTCATTGTAGTAGGAGCACCGTGGATTTGAAGATCTAGTATATAAACGAGTGGGTGGGATAGATCTCCTATCAAGATGCGTGATAGCCCCCGAGGTCATGGGAAGTAGTACCCTTGGTCTACGACCTTCTACTCTTGACTACCGGCATATAGTGAGGTAAGTGCCGGTACTTTGGGCGTTTTGATAGACATGGGTGTCTAGATACGGAGTACCTATAGCAACATTCGATATAGGCTTGTTTGGTGTGTCTTGGACTCTTAGACCATTGAGCTTTCGAGGTGTGTTATGCCTGGATTGAATAGTCAATACTGCAACTTGCACTTTTCTTCAATGGATCTCGATAGTTCCGCAATTGACTGGTTGACAGACGGATGATGTACATCGCAGCAAAGGGATCCCTTAACAGGCCAAGACTGCGGGGAAACGCTTCTCCACAACGTGATGCGGGAATAGCCCTATCGCCAAACCGACATCGCCGTAATAGGGCAATGGTTGTGTCTATATTGTCTATATTGTCTATATCAAATAAATTAGAGTTAATTTGTGCCCGATATTTTCCTATGCGCGGTATACCTTGTACTCGGTGGTGTACGGTCAAAAGTGACCCAGTGAAGGCTCAACTACATAACTTTGATCGTCTGCATGTTCAGCACGATAGCGGTTAGGATACGGAGTACATGCGTTAGACTTACCTAGGTACCTTTAGGTAGGTCTATATGCATTTTTCTCTGTGGCATTCAGCAGTAAATCAGGATCATGAGTACCTTCTACCTCTTCTCATTGACGCGATCCAACATCGCTGGATTAACAATGACATTTATGTAATCGCAGATGCGAATTCAAACTTACCACTTTACCGCGTATTTCACATACACCGACGCGTACTTCGTGTCCACGGATGAGTTGGGGCTGATTATTAATGCCGGGTAACATCCAGGATGTCGTACGAGCTCTACGGAGTACTGGTCAAGGCTTTCCGTTCCTCCTTGGGCATACCTACCATGTATGTACATAAGTTATCGCACTCGAAACACACCTCCCTCTCTACGTTATGCAGATTTCCATTTCTTCTGAAGATCCAGATATCTGACCTCCAGTCTAGGAATCCAGTGGCAAAGTACTCCGTGGAGGTCGGAAAATTGCGTCATCGTTTTCACCGCATTCCTCGGCTTCCGTAAAAGCAGACCTCTTGGCAATGTGGTATGCTGGCCGTTGATTGGCTGAGGGGGTCCCTAAACCCCATAACGGGAGAGATTCCTGTCGTCACTGTGACATAATGAATATCTTGTTTTGAGGGTCTGGGATGGCCAACCCCCTCGTGTCAGAGATGCAAGCAGAGACTCGATGCTTGTTGTAGTTCCTTGCGCCCAATCGTTCTGAACCCTTCTCTTGGTCTGCACCCTTCGAGCCAGTGAGATTGGACCAGATTGACTCCGCTTGGAAGAACTGACAAATGACGATTGACCTTATCCAGGCGAGTCTCCACCTATGTCCAGCGTCGAGTTGAGAAGGGATGTGTCCCTTTCACTGGAGGACATGATCAACTGTGAAAAGGGGGACAAATCGGGCCTACCTTCGATGCCAGAATCAAGTGGTCACGGTAGGAGACAAACCACCTTGAAGGTCGAGAAGCCCTTTGGTAGAAATCTGGAAGTGTATGTCCCTACTTCAGGTAGTCCAATCATTGCCCCAGTGGGAAACGAAGCCCTGATTCGGAGCGAGACATGGATGTGTTTTTTGTTACCCCGAATTTTTTTGTTACGGTACCTGATGGTAACTGTGTTTTTTTCACCGATAGCCAAAATCCCAAATTCCCTAAATTTCATCATATCCCTCTCCCCCCTACGTCACTCTCTTCCTCTCTCTCTCTTTCTCTCTCTCTCGAAAGCCACGGTTGTCGGGTCTTGCAGATTTTATATCATAATCGAATACGGTGATGTCTGCTGCGGTCGCCCCAGCCGTATCGACTCTTCGATCAAACATGTCTTCCTCCCCTATGGACTCGAAGAAGATAGAAAAAGAAGGTTTGTGTCACGCTTTCCTATCGTTTCTGCGCATTTTTCTAGTACTTTTGCTTCAAAATACTGTGATCTTCATGTTTCCTTTTCGCGTGTGCATTATACTTCTCAAAAAACAAAAAGTCCCCCCCTTTTGGTTTGGTAATACGCCACTGTCCCCGATCCTTAAATCCCCCAAGCCCTTTGCCGTCGCGATGACTTCACTCACTGGCGTCATTGATTTCCTCCCCACCACATGCATCTTCCACACACAATGAAGCCACCGTCACGATCACAGAACCACCGTGGTACCTATTTGCGATCGCATTAATTCTTGGCGCGTCACAGCTAACTCGACTTTCCCCCAGACTCGCAGGCCGCGTCTACAAAGGATCAGAAACCTAACGTAGAGACTCAGACCTCGTTGGCGCCGCCTCCACGACCGGGTGCGCCTACTGCGTCTGATACTCCAGACTACTTCAGTTCCATGCACAATCCCTTCTCGCTTGAGCCCAATCCATTTGAACAGTCATTCGGAGGGAACCCGGCGAATGAGACCCCAGGCAAATCGCTCCTGCCCTCCGTCGCTGCCCTCACCTCACCGGCCTTGCCTGGAACCAGTTCTGCCAGCGGTTATAATTGGTCTAACTCCCTGCGCTCGGGACCCCTTAGTCCGGCTATGCTCCCAGGGCCGACCGGCCCTAATGACTACTTCGACAGCATCGGTCGCGGCTTCCCTACCCCGAACGAGTCCTCCATGCGCACGGGACTGACCCCTGGTGGGGGAGGCTCTATGTTCCCGGCCCCTAGTCCCAACTCACAGGCTCTCTTGCAGCAACTGCAGAACGGTGGCGCCACACCCTCCACTATTGATTTCCATCGCACCGCACTCACAGCCAAGAAGAATAACGCGAATGCTCCCACCTCTAACCCCACCGAGCAGGAAGCTGTTAAGATGGATGTTAAACCAGCTCGGCCTGCTGACTTCACCCAGCATGATGCAGCTGATGCAGCAAATGGACTCTTCATGTTGGCCAAGGGTGGTCAGGCCAACAATGCCCCAATGAACCACGCCCCAATGCAAACGGATACCCGTGCTGCAGCTGCCCGGCGTGTGTCTCAGAATACCAATGGTACCAGTGTCGAGGATGTTTCTGACAATGAACCCACTAAACCCACCAAGGGCAAGGGTAAAAAGAACGCCCCCAAGGCCGCCGTCGTTAACAACCGCCGTAAGGCCGAGGATGGCCCCAAAGGTTCCAACAAACGGACTAAAGCCAATATGGAGATGCCTTCGGATATGGATGATGACGACGATGAAGACGATGAGATGAAGCAGTTCCCAATGGATACTAAGAAGATGACTGATGAAGAGAAGAGACGTAATTTCCTGGAGCGGAACCGGTATGATCATCATTCTAGAATTTGCATGGTATGGGGACACTAACGTTTCAATCCTAGCGTTGCGGCTCTTAAGTGTCGTCAACGGAAGAAGCAATGGTTGGCGAACCTCCAAGCCAAGGTGGAGCTTTTCACTACAGAGAATGATGCCCTTACGGCGACGGTGACTCAGTTGCGTGAGGAAATTGTCAATCTCAAGACCCTCCTGCTAGCACACAAGGACTGCCCGGTCTCTCAGGCCCAAGGTCTGGGCTCTCTTATGATGAACGGCATGTCCGCCGGATACGACCCCCACGGGTATAACATGCCTCCCAACATGGGCATGCAGCCCGGTGGCATCCCCACACAAGGAATGCGTCGCGCATGAACGTGGGAAACCTTCCCCCGTTTCTCATCTCAAGATATCTATCTTGCATCGCCACATGCAGAAAATATAGTTCTCTGCTTAGACTCGGCGATTGCTCTCATCTTCCTGGGAGTTTGTTTTCCTCACGTTTTCTTTCGGCTAAGCCTCCGAATGTTTTTGGCATGGGCAGGTGTTAATGATCCCCACGACTCAAAAATGGACGGACTAACTCGGTGGTCTGGAATGGCCCTTTTTTGAGGGCGTGTCAATCCGGCGTATGAGATGCTTTCTTATGGCTGCTAGGTTGTTTTTTATTCTCTGGTTACGCTTCTTCCCTGCTTCCTCTGTTGTATTTTTTACCCCCTTCTTTCTTGTTCTTTCTTCTCCCTTCTCTATAATCCCCTCTTGATGGTCCAGGGGAGTCTTTTTTTAACCTTTCGCTTGTCTAATACTTGTGGGCACATGGGTGCATTGTTTTTCCCCAAACTGGGTTGCTTGTGTTGAAATACATGATTCCTGGGCGGCGTACGGATGGCTTTGTGATTTTTCGATGTGTTTGACTAGTTTCCTTGAACCAAATGGTTGGGCAAATGAATCTGACAGTCGCTTTTAAGTGTTTCTATGTGTAGATGTCCCCCTGGCAATAGTTGGGTTATTGCCTCGTCTCAATAGTGTACCTCTCAGCCTCACATATTCATACACCCTACAGATGCATAGGAAGATGCAGTCATATGTACTTTTTGGATATAGGTAAGTAGGTACCTGGTGTATATGTTGTAGTTAGACTTTCCTGATTGGGAAATATGTCTGTCATGTTCCCTGAAGTAAAAGGACAACACTTTCCCTGTCGACAGATCCGACCAGTGGCTATCCACTGTGATCTAACTGGCTTCAACACCTCACTCTCCCTCAAAAGAATATGTCCTACCTAGGTAAAGGGGGCTGTCCCGAAATGGGGCAGGTGCCAGATTCGACTCGCGCAGTCTTCTACCGAGTAAGGTCTGCTAGGATGCTATCGCTTGCCATCTTCTTTTTGGTGCATATTTTGCACCTATATCTGCTCTTTATTATCTAGAATGGGCCTGGTGTAGCGTTGATGGGCGATAAGTTGGGACTGTATAAGACGAATGCCCACATGGGTTATATGAAGACCCAAACAGAGAACAGAGAAGAAGGGTATAAGGCTGATGGTATTGATATGCCATCAGACATGCTCTAGATCTATCCACACTTGAAATGAACCATTCATCATATCAGATACAATAAGTCGTGTGCATTCTAAGAACATTTCAAAAAATCCGAGTCAAACTCGGCTTCATCCACTTAGGACTTCTGCACTCATTGTCTGCCCGCCACTTTTGGATCTTGTCGTTGTCCCATCCAGCCGTGAACTGATGAGCAATATCCAACTTGCTAGAAGTACCAAGTCGTAAAGTCTGCACAAAGACACAAGTCCCCACCGTGTCATAAGTGTATGCCATACACCAATCCCTGTCATGGCATGCATGACGACAGGCTTCTAATGATTCATGCTGGGGCAGTGTATCAGGCTGTTCGATAACTCCGCCCCAGGCTCCATTATCCCATCCTTGACGCTCCGACAGCTCCCCTAAGCGGTGATAGTCAACCAAGTCTGCGTATAGCAAGGGTTTCTAGATGGGTCTTGATTAGCATGTATGCCTCGAAGTAGGCTCAACAGGAACCATACTGTTCGATCCCGTTCATCCTCCCAGTCTGCCAGTCTCACCATATCATTCAATTGTGACTTATGCATGCTAATCACAGGCTGGCACCAATGATACTCATCCCCAAAGGGAATCGAGTCCAGCGGATGCGCATTGAACATCGGCCACATCCCCGATAACTCAATCCCCTTTTCATACAACGCAAACCCAAGCACCGAGTCACCACAGCAATCAACTTCCACGGCCTGCATATACCGCTCACTGAGGGATTCCCTAACGAACTCCCCATATTCACCCACCTCCCGCGCAACCAAAGTATCAACCGCAGCCCGCGACAGTACAAACCCTGCACCCCCATACGCAAACCAAATCACCTTTCCATTGCCGATATCACGTCCGGGCGCAGGAGAGCCCATGTAAAGAGGAACCGAAGAATCGAACTGTCCCAGCAAACGGAACAAACTATCCCACACGAAGTATGTATCCGTCTCGAGAAAGACGTACCATTCCGCTCTGGGATTGGCTTTCTTCGCCCGCTCAACCATGGGCAGGAACTTGAATCGGTCGAGGTTCCATCCCGCCGTGCCGTTTATAGTCTCTCCGCGTTGTAGCGCATCATACCCCTCGAATTCCGGGATTAGGTTCCGGGCTGAGGAGGGCAGGTCGGCTAGGACGTCATGTACCTGGTGGCCTTGGATCTTGGTTTCTTTGTCTGAGATGACTAGTAGGTTGGATATGCAGCGGGAGACGGAGGCCATGTGTGTGTTGATTCGGTTGGGGTCTTCGGTTGCGCTGGTTTTCAGGACGATTTGGACACGAGATAGTATGTCTGATGGGAAACTGTCGCAGATTGTGTTTTTTGATACATTGTTGAAATTGCTATCACTTTCATGCACGACTTTCCGGAATTGGGTTCTCGTTTCCCAGGTCCAATAGTCTTCGTTTGCTGTGGTGTTTTGCGCGGCTAGTGGGATGTTTTTTGACAGACCGCCGGAATATAATGTGAGTAGGAGGATGGTCGAGAATGTCAGAAAGGAAGCGATTAATTTGAGCTTTGCATGGCCTAGAAGTTTATAGAATGGGTGTGTGGTCGCGGATATAGATGTGCCTGTGCTCATGGTAGGAGATTGCCTGTTTGTTTTACAAAACAGGGACGAGCAAGAAATGGAACAGAACGGAGATATGTGAAGAAGAGGAGGGGATAAGAGGTAGTCAAGTCTTATTTGCTATGGACATTGGGCCACCCAGTGGTTGTTGTACATATCCTGTATGAATGGCTTGCAGACGTCACTACAGCGGGTCTGCCTCTGATCGTTTCCCAAGAAGATATCCGAACTATGACCATGCTCGGTGCATCTTCGCTTGAATCGAAGGTATACTATAGTCGTAGTTATGATTCATTGAAACTGAAAAAAAAAAAACAAGTCACACCCTGGCGCATCCAGATAACCTATGACAGTATTGATGAAGCTCGTGCCCCAGCCTCTCGCTATTGTATAGATGTGTGCTTGTGTGCAGAAGTCAATTGGCCTAGGAAACTCCCAGACTATCAATCCGAGGACTGCATATATAGTCAGGAAGATATTCCGAAAGTGTTAGGAAAAGAAAACGGAGATTTTGGCCTCGTACTTTTGATACGTGCCCAGGTCATTCCGCCTGGACAGGGTCTTGCTGATGATGCCAAAAAGCTTAGATAACGATAAGCGATAAAGATAACCGCCTTAGGAACCTGGCACCAAGACACGCCAAACATCGCAAACACAAACATTCAAGCTTCAAGGTTGAACCCGCGTCACTTTCCTGGAGATGCAATTTGAGAGGCTCATCCCAAGATCATATTGAAATTCGACTGCCCAGCATCAGTCTTGGTCCGCGACCTCCCCCCAACAACGCGCTGCCTGACCGCGACCTGTTCTTGCCCAACAATTGCTCCGCAAACAAGGCATCCACTACAGACAACCGCGAATCAACAAATACAACGTACCGATCAATTCGCCCACTGGGGCGCCGGGCAGACAATGTCGAACGCAGCCCGCAATCCAGCGCGCGGACGCCGCTTAGACGATGCCCTCTCTCAACTAGTTGATGGCCTGACCCCCGCGCTCCCGATCTCCGCCATCCAAGACGAAGACTACTCCGATCAAGAGGAAGCTCTTGCCGCCGCTGAGAGCCGCAGACACCATGTCCTCATGGAACGCGCCTGGCGCATCCTGGATACCCACATTAGCACCAATGCCCCAGACCCAGGATCACCGGCTGGGCTCGGTGGACGTCGCGGAAGTCTGGCAGGAACGGAGAGTGTCAATAACGCGCCGGATCTGATCAAGCGCAAGCTACGCCGTGAAAACCTTAGTCCCGATAAGGCGGTGCGATTCTCTAATCTATACTCTCGTCTCTTGACTCAGCCTGTGCTGTCGCAGAAATGGGGAATCCTCTTCTTGCTTTATAAGTTGTCGGCCTCGGACGATCCAGCGGAGGCCGGGGAAAGGAGCAGGAGCCCGTTGATGGACGAGGGGAACTTGCAGAATATGTTAGGGAAGGGTGGTGGACGCACCAGAAGGAATACACTAATCGACTCGGAGGATGAGGGCCCTGCTGTGAGCTCCTCGGCTTCTCAGCAACATCATAGGGCAGCAATGGCAAAACCAGAGCGCCATAGCTCGCTACGACATGATATCAACAGGGATGAGTTAGATCATGCTGGGCGCAACATGGCAGACAGACCCTCCAATCGCCCAGACCCCGGAGCGAATGACCGCTCCGGCGACGAGCATGTTCGTGCTTCCTCGCCCCAGCCCTCGGGTGCTAATCCATCAGGCTCGGAGAAATTTTCTGGATCTGTTGAGCATAAACTTCTGCGCGACCTTCCTTTCAATTTGCAAGGGTTGTCCTCGACGAATTTGCAGTTTAATTCTTCATCAAGCTTAAAACTGCCGTCAAACCTGTCTGCACCCATAACATCACTCCTGAATACGCTGGCAGAACCTTGCTTGCTGTATAAGGGGCTGTCTGTGTTTGTGGGGGGTGAGGAAGGTGGGCTGGTAAACCAGAGCTTGCGGGCTGCCATTGCCATTGAGCTGCGAGCATATCTTAGCCTGGTGGCTACACTAGAGGCAGAAATCCGACAGGCGCTGGCCGCGATCGGAGACGGAACCGAGGCTCAAGGTGTGAGAAAAGGTGGTGTTACTTTGAAAAGATGCGTGGTTTGGACGAGAGATGCTACGATGGCCCTTCGACTGATGAGCTTAATCGTTGAAGAGGCTCAAAGTAAGTATAGATACTGATGGTTGTGATTTCCCCCATGACTGACGCATACTACAGGCAAGAGAGGCGGCCAGTTGATATCCTTAATACACGGCTTTTCAACATCCCACGGAGATCCCTTTGTGTGTGCATTTGCCGAGAAGCTTCTTGCGCATGTAACGCGTCCATTTTACGATATGCTACGACTATGGATCTATGATGGTGAATTGTCAGATCCATACAAAGAATTCTTTGTCGCAGATCCAGAGTTCCGGCCCAAGACTGACCCCCGGAGGATTGCAACGAGCGTTTGGGAGGACAAATACAAGCTCGATGATGATATGGTTCCTTCCATCATTACCCAAGAATTTGCGAAGAAGATTTTCCTCATTGGAAAATCCCTGAACTTCATTCGCCATGGTTGCGGTGATTCCGCATGGGTGGAGGCCTATTCCAGGAAAGCTTCCAAGGAGCTACGATATGGTGACACAGCCACTCTCGAGATTTCCATCGATGAGGCATATAAGACTACAATGGCTCGATTGATCTCCCTGATGAATGGAAAATTCAATCTCTTCGATCATTTGAAAGCGCTAAAGAGTTATCTGCTCCTGGGCCAAGGAGACTTCATTGCTCTGCTCATGGAGTCGCTTGCTACAAATCTGGATCGTCCAGCAAACTCACAGTATCGACATACCCTAACGGCGCAATTGGAGCATGCCATCCGTGCCTCCAATGCGCAATATGACACCCCAGAAGTGCTGCGCCGACTTGATGCCCGTATGCTTGAGCTGAGCCACGGTGAGATTGGGTGGGATTGTTTCACACTGGAATACAAAATCGATGCTCCCGTGGATGTTGTCATCACGCCTTGGGCCTCAACTCAATATCTAAAGGTCTTCAATTTCCTATGGCGCATCAAGCGAGTAGAGTTTGCCCTGAACAGTACCTGGAGACGATGCATGACCGGTGCACGAGGAGTGCTCGGCAATGTGGAGGACAAACTTGGAGCAGATTGGAAGCGAGCACGATGCGTTATCGCAGAAATGATCCACTTTGTCAACCAGCTCCAATACTATATCTTGTTTGAAGTCATCGAGTCCAGCTGGGAACAACTGCTCCAGGCAGTGCAGAAACCCGATTGCACATTGGATGATCTGATTGAAGCCCACACCAAATACCTCAACTCTATCACTCACAAGGGCCTACTCGGCTCTGCATCCTCCTCGCGCTATGGCACCTCCACCTCGAGCTCTGCCAAACAACCCGAAGAGAGCTTCCTCAGCCAGCTCCACCAAATTCTCAAGTTTATGCTTGCCTACAAAGACTCCGTAGACGGCCTGTATTCCTTCTCTGTTGCAGAGTTCACTCGCCGCCAGGAAATCAACGCGAAGATCGAGACACGCACCGCCCAAGGCCAATGGGGCCTTACAGATCGTGATCTCCTGTCCCGCCAATCCAACAGCCGCAACGGGGCCTCAATGGCTTCAACCCCGGACATCCGACCCGATAGCGCCGGTGTAGACGGCGTCAACACCCCTCTTTCAATATCCGGCCACAATCTCGCCGCGGACGATAACATGCTCGCCTCGCTACGCGTGCGCCTCCGTGACCTCTCCACCGAGTTCCGGTCCCGTCTTACCGTTCTTCTGGGCGATTTGTCATACCAGCCAGACGTAGACATGCGTTTCCTCGGCGTTGTGATGAACTTCAACGATGTCTACGAATTGCCCAAGCGGCGCAAGGCGGCTGGTCCTAGCACCAGGGACAAGGAGAAGGAACGGGAGAAAGAAAAGGCTAAACGGAGAGCTGCTGCAGCTGCGGCGGCAACGGGCTCTGGAACTGATAGCTTTATGCAGAAGGATGTGCGGAGGGAGAGGAGGGATACTGGTGCGAACGATCCTGGGTTTACTTCTGGGAATGGGGTATAGAAGGATGCAGCTGGTACATTCTTCTTGGATATCATTAATGTCATTGACGAGCTTCACGATGTGTTTTTCTTTTGAGATATAGAAATATATGTATTTTATATGTATACATGGGTTCATTCCTCTAGAACCCGACCCTGAAATCTTCACGAGCCTGATGCACAACATAGACGCCCCTAAGTCTTTCACGTTCTTTGACATCTAGCCCCTCGAAGCAGATCAAATGAACATATATCGGGCTAATTGGGAATAAGCCGAATATATTTTACGAGAATAGCACTGAAGCATGCCACAATATATATAGATTGTTGTGCTGAGCAAAGATTCAGTCTCTTAGCGCAGGTAAATTCTATATGATGCACCGGTACTTGCTTGGCTGGAGACCCGTTCTGGACTATCCAGGTCGATATCACCTTTGATAGATTTCAATTGAACGAGTCTCTGTAAACAGCGATAGAAAAAGATATAGTCGAGAGGAGAGAATCTGATTGGCCCGCGCAATTGATGGGCAGAAAAAAAGTAGTCTCCGCCCAACATCTCCGAACCACAGTTGCGGTCACATTCACAGGAACTGAACTTCGCATTTCAGTTTTCTGTAGAGCATCTCGCTCCTGTCAATCCTATCCTGTGATTACTGGACCACGTTGCATCCTACACACAGCAACAATGGCGCACCAGACGGACGTCCAGTCCCCAGCGTCGAAAAAGCTCGAGTCGAAGCTCAAGAAGGCGAAGCATTCTACAGACAAGGACAGTGCAGACGCAGAGCAGGCGTCTACTCCCAGCGAGAAAGACACCAAGTCCGAGAAGAAGGACAAGAAAAAGCGCAAGAAGTCCTCCGAAGATGCGGCAACCGAGACAGACGGCGAATTGAAGAAAAAGAAGAAGCGCCGCCATACTGAAGACGACAACGACGAGAAGGTCAAAGATGACGAATCGCACAAGAAAAAGAAGAAGCGTGTCTCGTTTGGCCCCGGAACTAAAGAAAACGACGGCGACTCCGATAGCGACTCGGACGATGCCGACAACAACGATGCTTCCGCTACCGACGGAGCCGACGCAGACACCGAAGATACCGTTGACAAGGCCCTCGAAGAGATGAAGAAGCGCAAGCGCGAGAAGAAAAAGCAGAGGAAAGCCGGCACCGTCTCGGCCGAGGCACCAGTCCACGAGACGCCTATTCTCTCATACCTGAGCCACTACCACCGAGCGCGCGCGACTTGGAAGTTCCAAAAGAACAAGGAAACCAACTTGTTCAAGCACCTGTATTCCCTCGAACATGTCCCCACTCAGTTCAACACATCCCTGCTGGCGTACATGCAGGGCCTGAAGGGTGATGCGGCCAAGGAACGCATGAGCGATGCCGCGAGGGACGTGATCAAGGCCGATATGGATCTCGACAAGCCAAAGGATGAAGAAGAAGCAGAGAGCCAGGCGCCTACAAACCCCGACTACTTGGAAGCCGTCAATGCGTTCCGCGAGTGCTTGCCTAAGGGAGATGAGGACATGGACAGCGTCAACTTTGGAGAGAAGCTAGAGGGAGATGCGCAAAAGCGCTTGCCCAAGAGGCAGCGAGCAGAGCTGGTCTTTTTCGCTGTTGCCGGCAAGCTTTTCAGCCCCGAGGATGCGAAGCCCAAGCGCAAACCAAGAGCTCCTGAGCCTGCAGTGCCCAAGAAGCGCAAGAACAGAACCATGGTTGTTGATATTAGCAGCAGCAGTGAGGACAGTGATGATGATGTCCCAGCTCCGAAGAAGGCGCCCAGCAAACCTGCACCGGATAGCAGTGATGACGAGACCTCCTCAAGTGGTAGTAGCAGTGACAGTAGCAGTGATAGTGACAGCGACAGCGATGGCAACGCTGCTCCGGCTAAGGCTTCAACTCCGGCTAAGGCTTCAACTCCAGCTAAGGCTTCAACTCCGGCTAAATCACCTGCCCCTGCATTGTCGAAGAAGGAGGCCAAGGCTGCCCAGAGGAAGCAGAAGTTCGTACCAATCCGCGAAGCAAAGCCCAAGCCTACTGTGCCGAAAAAGACACAGAAGCGCAAGCTCAGAACTGCTCAGATCGAAATCTCAAGCAGCGAAAGCGACAGCGATTAGTTCTGATGGAATGGTATCCCGATTGCTACATAGGGTTTGGATGTGTATATCTCTCTACCATAGCATTTGGAAGGTGTAATTATGTTCATGTCAAAAGTCATTTTAATCTCATGTCATTCATCTTGATCACTCTAGATGTTCTGAACTATGCGTGGTAGATGTATACAGAGTTCGTTCTCCGTCTAGCAATTGCGTACAAATTCTCTTTCCGTTTTGAATCTTTCTCCCAAACCAACTAAATGATCAATGCGTTGAAAACATCTCGAATTCAGTAATAGCACAAAAAAACACTCATCTCATCAACAATCGACGTACAAGCGCCGAACTGATAGAGGTACCTGGAAGGCGGTGAGACCGACCTCAAGCTTGAGCTCAGGCAGCTCTGGCACGCGTCACTGATCAACCCCCATCGTTTCATCCTCTTAGACTCATTCTCATTTCTTTCCTTTGCTTTTGTTACTCTCTTTATAAAAGACTTCAAGATCCGCCATCATGTCTGGTATGTTCTCCGTTGATGATGACCCAACTCGGTCTCATGACTTCATCCCCGACTAACCTTCGTTTCTCTCCGCAGGAAGCGCCTACGACAGACATATCACTATCTTCTCTGACCAGGGTCGATTGTACCAAGTTGGTACGTACTGATCACTCGATGGCTCTGCTCCGCCCTTCCCAGCGGTCCCAATCCATGCGCTGTCATCATGACCGCTGACCAAACACCTGTTTCTCAGAATATGCATTCAAGGCCATCACCTCGGCCAACATCACCTCCATCGGTGTGAGGGGCAAAGACTGTGCGGTGGTGCTCTCGCAGAAGAAAGTCGCTGTAAGACGGACTCATTCACAGCTGGGGGGTTGCGCTCAAACTGACCTCTCCACCAGGACAAATTGATCGACCCATCCTCCGTTTCACATGTTTTCAAGATCTCGCCTTCCGTAGGCTGTGTGATGACCGGTTCCATAGCAGATGCTCGCGCATCCGTTGACCGGGCCCGTGGCGAGGCTGCTGAGTTCCGGTACAAGTTCGGATATGAGATGCCCTGCGATGTCCTGGCAAAGCGACTGGCAAATATCAACCAGGTCTACACACAAAGGGTAGGATTTCCCACGATGCAACTGTGCCATCTGGAGTCAAACGGCTGACATGGTTCTTTTTGAAATTCTACAGGCTTACATGCGACCACTTGGCGTGGCCACAACTCTGATCTCTGTTGATGACGAGAGCGGCCCACAACTCTACAAGTGCGACCCCGCTGGTTACTACGTTGGATACAAGGCGACTGCATCCGGTCCCAAGCAGCAGGAGGCGTTGAACTACCTGGAGAAGAAGCTGAAGAACAAGGATGCAGCCCCGGGCAACTGGGAGGAGGTCGTGGAGCTGGGTATCACAGCCCTCAGCAATGTTCTAAGTGTCGACTTCAAGAAGCATGAGATTGAAATTGGTGTTGTCGGTGGGCCACGGGTCGATGGGCAGGAGGGCACCACTACAGCGTTCCGTGCCCTGACGGAAGAGGAGATTGATGAACGGCTGCAGGCCATAGCCGAGAAGGACTAAGTGAGCTGTGTTATGCCAGCGAAGAAGGTAATCCCAGGAACTAAAGAATCCCGGTGTTTATTTTAGAGAATCAGACGATGTGTGAATGATAACTCAATTTCCTGCACGAGTACGGTTTCGGTCATGTTTCGGGATCCATCGAGCTTCAGCCCTGCACCTTGACGCCATCCTTCCGGGCGCATAGATCCATTTCTTTCCCCATGCTATGGGTCCATTGCACGCTAGTGCCTATAATGTAATCCTCGTGCCCGAAACCTGAGCACATTGCATATCCTCTCAGCCTGCCAACGCTCCGAGGAGGTCTTCCGCCACCTGTGGACACTGCGAGGTCTGAATATTGAGCTTTAACCGGTTTATCACACCGTCTGTCCACATCAAAGCAAGGAGCCACGGTCCTGGTACTACTAGGAGGTGTAGTGCGGACGCCACATGTGGCTGAGCAGTGGCTAGGCCTGATAGTTCACAATTTTCACGGGCGATGATTGGGCTGTCGATGTGATTGGCGCATTGATCTGTGAACTGGAGCGACTAAAGCGGACCAGGGTGGCTAGAGCAGGGCCCTAAGAATAAGTGTGGCAAAGACCAGCTGAACAAACCCTAACTTTGTCAGATCCACTACATGTCAGGTCCGAGGCCAAGTCCGAACAGTTGATCTCATGTTGGATGCAGGTCCAGGGCTGATGTATCTCCTTTGCTTTTTTGCCTCTGATGTTACTCTGCACAGAGTCCCACGAGTCCCTGATACATCCAGGGAAAAAAAAAGAAAGCAGAAAAGCAAAAATCGGTCTCCACCGTGTAGTTCGTCCAGGATGCTCCAATCAGGGCCGTGAGACACCATCTTTCTCTCCCCGAGAACCCCAAATCGCACAGGAACCTAATCTCGTTATATGCGGGCTAATGCTCTCCACTTTCAGACCAGGGCGTCTGCTTGCACACGATGCAACAGGCCAGGTTTCTCCCAAGACCCCGACATATGCCCCTCTTTCCTCCACTCTCCGATCTCTCTGCTTGGGATGAAACAAGGGTGGTCCTAGTCATGCCGTAAACCGTTTCTCGGGAGCTTATGATGTGGCCCGGCCCACCGAATGACATCCCAGCTGTGCTCGACAACCCGAGCTTCCTAAACTTGGGATCTTCCTCTTTTATTGGCGCAGCTGGTCCTCTTGATTCTCCTAGCTTCTGTCCCGCTGACAAGAGCTGAGAAATCATCTTTTTTTTTTTCCAGACCTGTTGCCCTGGTCCACCTATTGCGGATCATTGACGGTCATGTACGGGGTAAGGAGGGAGCCATTGCTGAAGTGAAGACTTATATCTTTCCTCGTTTCCCTCCTGGGTGGCCTGATATTCTCGACTGCATGGACCTTCAGTTTCTATAACCCGTTTCCTTTCTTTGATCTCTCATTGGTTATCGTTGATGTCCATTCTTTATACTTCTTTCTTACTACCTTATTCCAACTCCTTTTTATATACATAATACACTACGAACATGGCAGACGGATGTAAGACGACTCCCACTCATTCCAACAAACACCCCCACGCAGAGATACTAACGATCATGCAATGTGACAGTCAACCAAGCCCGCGCTATGCGAGTCGCCGAAATCATCAATGACTACCGCACACTGCTAGTGCACATCTCGCAACAACAAGTCGAAGCCACACAGGACGAATACTACGAAGAGGGCTTCGTCGTACTCCGCGAATCCCTAGCCTCCGCCCAAACCCTAATGTCAGCCAACTATCAGCCCTGTCCGGTGACCGGACAAGGCAACGCCGAGACTGAGAAAGCCGAGCTACAAAGGTAAAATCTCACCCTCAGACCTTTCCCATCAATTGCTGATTTCTGTTTCCCAGAGTTATCCTCGACGGCAGCGCACGCCGATTCCAAGCGCACAGGATCTACCTACGCGCAGCTGCGGCTCGGCGATGGGCCATGACCCGCCATGGCGGCCTCAAAACCGCAACGGCCGCTCTCCACCAGGATCTGGCTCGTATCACGGACCAGCATGTTGTGGCGGATCTCCGAGCGGCGGATATGCGGGCTGGGCACTGGGTTGATGATGACCCATCTTTGGAAGCGATTCGGCGCTGGATCGCGGGTCACTAATGATAACGGAAACGAATGCATGTTGCCATGAGATTGGGAGGTTTTTCGGATTTCTACGACTCTACGACTTTCTGAGCGGTGGGTCTTGGGGATTTGTATGATTCTTTTAATAGAGCATGGGGGAAGGGAGGAAGGTTGGGGAGAAAGTACAGCGCTGGTCGTTGTGCTGAGCAAAAAAAGAGTATGGATCTTTGCGTGGTTTTGGTTATGGCTACGATATCCCCTCTTGTTTTTTTTTTCTATGGGTTGTTTTTTATTTCTCTTCTCTATTTTTTTCTGATCTTATGTACATAGAACCAATTGAGTTCTTTCTTTATACTCCTGATCTACATATCCCGATCTGATTAACTCACAGGGCACAGACAGCCCCTAACGCCCACATGGTAGCCCGACACGTTACATGTCCAAAATCCTAGGCTATTGAATCCCGAATTCGTAAAAAGAGGGGAAAATTTCTATAGAACGCCGACGAGAACCCCGATCTCGGGATCCAACGAAAGATCCTTCGCTCTCACTGTCGTGATGATTGGCCGCACAGGCTAGGGCCAGACATCTGGGGCGCTGAGGCAGAGATACGAGCTGAACATCCACCAAACCGAGGGTGGAGTATGTACGAGTTCAAGGGTTTTCCAGGCTCAAATTCGGAAGCGTTGTGGACCAGCAAAATAGACGAGGTTTTAGACACACACGGCTAACATCGCGGTGGACCCGGGACTAGCACATTAGCGCGGCGTGGTCGATGTCCAATCAACACGACGAACGGCTATACCGCGGCTTGAGTTCAGCTACGCATTGCACACTCGAGATTTCCTTCTTTTTTTTTCTGATGAATGGAATTGTTCTTCGGGACATAGGGGGTGGACATTCCCACTTTTTTGTTCTCTGCATGGTGGACCTACCCAGACACTCCTGGATCACTTCCTATACGTTTCTATCTCTTCGGCCGTTACGGATACTTCGGGAATGGCTTTGTTTCATTTTGATGATCGGCTGAAAATATGGATATGGGGTGGGTCGGAGGGAAGGAATATGTATGCTTTGTCGATCGCTGCGCATAAACTCCAGCTTGTTTCGGTGATGCCGAGGGTGCTGTGTACATTCTGCGTGGATTGGCGACCTCGTCAGCTTTTATGCCAAGGGAGGGTGCTCACAGAACTGCCGATGATCATGCCATTATCGGCCCGGCAGGGGAGTTTCATTCTACCGTAGTGTGGCTGGTCCAGCTGAGAGCCACAAATAGACCACCATGCACAACCAATATAGAAAACAGGGAAGAGGATATGCTGCTGCAAGCAGAAAACTGCAGGGCTCCATACTGAGTACTGCAACCAAGTCCTGTGGCTCAATGCCCGCTTATGACGAGGTGTATACTTCGTATTCCGATGTCGGTTCAAGGATCATCTTCGTGACCTGGATGTCCAACAAGACGCCTAGAATGCAATTACACATTCGAGCAGCTCACACAGCACCTCAGTTGAGGCCAACGCTTGCATATATCACTCACTTCATACTCATTCGAAGTGAATATGGAGACTGGGTCTTCGGATATCGCCGGGCTTGGTCACTTGCGAATCCCAATGGTCGATCTACCGCCGGAGTACTCCGAGGTATGCTCGTCCCTGCGTATGAGAAGGACGGTGCTTGCCGCCTGACCAAACTTTATAGCTTGAGGTAGGTCTTTGAAGGATCCATTCTTGCGAAGCGGAGTTGTTTCGAAGATTCTGCGAGAATTCCAGGAGATGCTGGGACTATTCCCAAAGCGTGCGACCTCTCGACTGTACCCATCACTTCGATATACCACATGTTCCCCATGTTGTACAACAGAGGTAGCTCCCATGACCAGCCATTCATAATTCCAAGTCGGATCGGCCCCCTGCACTCATGCGGACCATGTCGCACTCTTGCCTCGAGGTTGCATTCTTCGCTAATCACGAGTACTCGATACTTTGGATTCTGTGTTTGCTCGGAGGAGAGCCAAGCCAAGAGTAGAACCGAAGGAACATCACCTCAAGATGAGTTTCAACATATAGAAGAATCGTGATCAAGATCAAGTTGTGTACATGGAGAGACCCTGAGGCAGGTGGTAGTGTCACGCAGCCCAATTCTCCTGGGCAGGGGAGTGAACATAAATATAGTTTCTCAACACCGAGATGGACCACAATCTGGAGATTGTATCTTGGAACGTGCAATTCCCTACTATTATATCTGATCTTCTATTTTTGGCGTCCGGATACCTTTTCCATTTCTACGAGCCACGCCTGTGCGTGCCTTGGTGCCTGGACACGTGAGCACACACCGCCACACCTTGGCCCTGACCAATGACGTCGGGGCGTTGATATTGTGCCCAGACGCCCTACGAGAAAGAGTCCACTAACAATTAGGCTGCGACATAAAGCGAACCCCTTGAAATACTTGCATCTTGTGGGTGTTGTTTGTGACTTTGAAATAAACTTATTCTGGATCAGACATTGTGGCTTATCAATTCAAGTCTATTGCTCTGTGTTCCGTCCTGGTGTTTGTGATTCTTCTCCTCCAATACCCCTACTATACCCGTACTCCCCTCATTGGGCCAGCATCAACCATGTCCGAGATGAGATCTGTTGCCTACTTTGTCAACTGGGTATGTAACTCTCCTCTTATACTGGGCTGCATAATCGGCACCTTTCTTGCACTAATCCCCGTGGCTGTATATACATAAACCTTAAAGGAACCGGTATTGACATGCTTCATAGGCAATCTATGGTCGGAACCATAATCCGCAAGATCTGCCCGCGGACAAGCTGACCCACATTCTCTATGCATTCGCAAACGTCCGTCCCGAGAATGGCGAGGTGTAAGTTACACCCCGTGGGACCCTTGCAGCTTGCAGCCTGTAGAGTGCGGGAATATCTCTGACTGAGGGCTACAGGTACTTGACCGACTCCTGGTCTGATATTGAGAAGCATTATCCCGAAGATTCGTGGAACGATGTCGGTACCAATGTGTACGGATGTGCCAAGCAGCTGTTCCTGCTCAAGAAGCAGAACCGTAAACTGAAGGTTTTGCTTTCCATTGGTGGCTGGACTTACTCGGCGAATTTCGCGCAGCCGGCTAGTACAGAGGAGGGTCGGGCGAATTTCGCTGAGACGGCGACTCGCCTGGTTCTTGATCTTGGGTTCGATGGTAGGTTCTATCGACTGAGATGGTGTCGACAATGCTGACTGTTTCAAGGTCTTGATATCGATTGGGAGTATCCCAAAGGTCAGTTCATCAGAGATATTCAAGTAAGACACGAGACTAACTTTATGTGCAGATGACACCGAGGCTCAGAACCTTGTTCTTTTGCTGCAGAAGTGCCGAGAGGTATGGCATTTGCCCCAAAGCTTAATAACATGGCCCCAATTAACTGGAGATAGGTTCTTGACGCAGCGGCCGGCCCTGAACGTCATTTCTACTTGACCATCGCCTGCCCTGCCGGTATGTTCATGCCGGATATCTCCACGCCGGGTATTCCCGGCAAGAGAAACATGTCTCAGATCAACAAGCTAACATACCACAGGCGCAAGCAACTATGAGAAACTCCGACTGCCAGAGATGACCCCACTGCTGGACTTCTACAATCTAATGGCCTACGATTTTGCCGGAAGCTGGGACGGCAGCGCCGGCCACCAGGCCAACATCGTCCCCTCAAACTCCAACCCTACATGCACCCCATTCTCCATCGACGCCGCTCTGAGGCACTATATCAACGTCGGTGGCGTACCGCCCTCCAAGATTGTCGTGGGCATGCCTCTGTATGGCCGTGCATTTGAGAACACCGACGGGCCCGGCGCGCCATTCTCCGGAGTCGGAGAAGGTAGTTGGGAGAATGGCGTTTGGGATTATAAGGCGTTGCCGAAACCCGGCTCAGTGGAGCAGTTCGATGTCGAAGCGGGGGCTTCGTTCTGTTATGATGACAGTTCGCGCTGTATGATTACCTACGATACGCCTTACATGGCGCAGATCAAGACGACCTTTATCCGGGATCGTGGGTTGGGTGGTGCTATGTGGTGGGAGAGTAGTGGTGATAAGGGTGGCAAGGCGGCTGATGCTGCGGATGGAAGTTTGATTGGTATCTTTTTTGATGGTGTAGGTGGTGAGGGGGCTTTGGATCAGTCGCCCAATGCTCTGGATTTCCCGGAGAGCAAGTATAACAATGTGCAGGCTGGGTTCCCGGATAATTAGGTTAGGGCTTTAGCATTACATGTTGCACGGGACTCGGGAATCAGACCATGATCGCAGTGTACAGGTACAAATCTATGTTTACTACGTGAAGAACTTAGGTTTTGGTGATTTTTTTTTCATTGACTCTAGCACATGGGTATTCCAAGTATCCATCATCAATCCTGCATCCACCGTGATATTTGATCACTTGCCCTAGCCTAGCGAGGCCATGCTCGAGCCCGAAAACAGCACACCACGGTCCGATTCAAGCCATTTATTTGGCCTCGTCGAAGACGTAGGTGAGGTGGCACTTACCGCAGTACTGGCGGTTGTGCATGGCAGCCATGAAGACACCGGCACCACACTGTAGGAACGAATTAGTTTCTGGTCACAAAAAAAGATAGGGTATTTGTCGCAAGACAAAAAGTGGTTACATACCTCGGGGGCGGGGCACTCGCGGCGGAGACGCTCGATCTTTCCATCGCCGTCAACCTTGTAGTACTTGAGGATAGCAAGCTTGGTCTTCTTGTTCTTGTGCTTGATCTTCTTGGGGGTGGTGTAGACCTTCTTCTTGCGCTTCTTACCACCACCACGCAGGCGGAGGACGAGGTGAAGGGTGGACTCCTTCTGGATGTTGTAATCAGAAAGAGTGCGGCCATCCTCGAGCTGCTTGCCAGCGAAGATCAGACGCTGTTGGTCAGGGGGAATGCCCTCCTTGTCTGTGGCGGGGTTAGCGATTTTGGTCGCTTTTCGAGAGAATCGGGCGCATTGCTCGCGCATCTTCAAATCGACTTACCCTGGATCTTGGACTTGACATTGTCGATGGTATCGGAGGACTCCACCTCAAGGGTGATAGTCTTACCCGTAAGGGTCTTGACGAAGATCTGCATCTTGATGAAGGCCTGTTGCGAAAAAAGGTCAGTGGGATGCTCGCGATGGAAATGTAGAAGTCAGATTGAATGAATGGATGGCAGGTGAATCGCACGAGCTCATCACATCCTCATCGGCTTGTATAGACATCATCACTCACCTCAACAGTTGTGTCTTCCTCAACCTTGCAAGATCGAAGAAATTGGTTGTGCGAAGCCGATTAAAATCGTTGTGTGGTCACGTGAGTGGGTCACGACCCGAAAGTAGCTTAGCTCCGAAAGATGGGCTGACTGATCCAGATCACGTGGCAGCGGGCTGGGTGTCAACGGAAAAGACTCGGCCCGTTGGAGAGCCCCACACGTGACTTGGAAAAGATATGCATATGCATGCCTGAGGCCGCATATCCCATGTTAGACACGTCAAATATCAGATATTGATGTGACGCCATGAGAATCATCGCCCCATCAGCAATATATAGAGTCCGAGCTTAGATCGATGGCTTATCTCCTTGTTCCCAGAATATCTCCCCGGAGACAAGCCGAGGAGCTCCTATAATTGTGTATAACTACGGCCCGAGTGGATGAATTGAGGCTCCTAGCAGAGGGTCCTTGCAGAAAAGGCGATTTAGGAAGAATAATTCTAAGCAAGGCCTCGATCACCAAGGGCAAAAAGAAGAAGAAAATGGACCAAGTAGGGGTAGTGGGCCCATCTTCGTCAGAGCCTTGGTTTCCCAGACGCCCGAGCTGAGGCGTTGCTATGCCAACGACCCGATTGTTGATGGAACCGCGGGTCACATAGATCTCCAGGGCTCCAGAACCAAACCTTCATACATTCGCGCTTCTGCTCTCAAGTTCAGTTCAGAATTCTTGAACTGTGTGACCTGTCTATATCTGTGGGAACTATAGACGTTACTTGAGGCTCTAGCAGACTTCCACTTTCCCTCTCTTTTTCCCGCTTGTCATTGCTTGCATATTCACATACTGACACCCATTCAGGAACGAACCGTCGGCTAAACAGCCATGATGCAATCCGCACCGAACGCACTGGGGAACGGTCGCCATCGCCGTCAAATCTCCACACCAGCTGCCCAATTCGACGCGCCAGTCATGGCCAACATGCAAACCCGTCGGTCACATCGCCGAGGCCAGACTGTGGATTACAGCTCCTACAGTCAGCAGGCCACGATGGACCGATATGCGCCCAAGACGGTTTCGCAGTTGCGAGACTATTTTAACGAAAAAGCAGGTTATTCTTCCCGGGATGTACAGCAGTATCAATCTTATGCCCAGCAACCCGAGCAATCTTTTATGCCCTCAGCCATGACTATGCAGCAGGCTTATCAATATCAAAGTCACCCTTCGCTCGGGGCTGATTGCCAGGCTTTCAACCAAGAACAACTGCAAGCGATCCACACCTCCACTGGTAGCCCCGCGCCCTCTTCCATCGGTGCGCCGGCTTTGTCCCGATCAGCTAGTCAGAGCTCTGACAATACACCATTGAAGTTTGCGCTGCATCATATGCAGCAAGGACAATTCTCGAATCAGCACCAACAATATGCTGGCAATCCGGACTGGGAATTGTTCCCTCAACACAGCATGCCAATGGTCCAACAAGAGCAGGCTACGACCTATGCCGGAGCTATGCACCAAGTCTCTGTTCAACCAAAGGCTCCATCTGCGAAGATTCTGTCGCAGATTTCTACTGCTTGTAGGGATTTCTTGCATTTCCCCCGATTAGAGCCAAGCTAATTTTCGTGGCAGACAACTCCCCCTTGACCCCGAACTCTACCCCATTGAAAAGATCCATTGATTATTCCATGTACAGCAATGACCCAACGCCTTCCAAGTCCCAAAGTTTTTCGTTTCCCCACAATCATGTCACTTCCGAAATGCAGAGAACCCAATCCCTGCAAGGAGTACCGTATGTCGCATCTATGCAGATCAAGCACCAAATGCCCTCTCCCGTCAATTCCCCGCTTCCCACATCGTTCAATGAAGTTGCCGATATGCCAACCCCGAGTTCTTACGAAGTGACGCCTCAAAAATCTAGTGTTTCAATCACGCCGTCCACTGGCAGGTCGAAGAAGCGAGCCCTCTCAACTGTGTCCTCTCCCGCAATTGCCCCAGGCCACGATGATGATCTTGATGCCCGAGTAAAGGCGTCAGTCCAACAGACCGGCGTTTCAACTGATGAGATTGCCAAGTTTATCTCCGGCCCTGATCCCAAGGATGGGAAGTGGGTTTGTCTCTTCACCGACTGCCTTTGCCGCTTTGGACGCAAGGAAAACATCAAATCACACGTGCAAACACATCTCGGAGACCGTCAATTCAAGTGCGATATTTGCGAAAAGCACTTTGTGCGCGGACATGATCTCAAGCGTCACCTCAAGACTCACAGTGGCAACAAGCCCTTTGCCTGTGCCTGCGGTGCCAGCTTCGCTCGACAGGATGCTCTGACTCGTCACCGCCAGCGCGACATGTGTGTTGGAGGTTTCACTGGTGTGGTTCCGAAGACCACCAAGCGCGGCCGTCCCCCAAAGAAGAAGAACAGCCGCCCTGATCTCGACACTCGTCAGGCTAAGTCCACTCGTACTCGCCAGCGCGTTGCTGAAAAGTCCGCCTCAATCGCCCCAGCCCAAAGCAATGTCCCTTTGCAAGAAGCCCCTGTGTTCAACTCGCCCAACTATGCCCCGTCCGCTGCAGTCTCGTCTTTCACGCCGCCCACCTCGCCCGGAGCCAGATACAACGGTGGCTCCTCGCCATGCCAGACCTACAGCTCCTTTGACACGAAATTCGAGGATGACATGCTGCCATTGTCTCCACCCCAACTCGCTCACGCTAGATACGAGCAGGCAATGGCCCACTACGGATCGAACCTCAGTTCTCAGACCTACTCGCAAGAATCTCTTTATAGCGACTCCGCTCTCTCACCTCGCGAGGTGTCTTCTCCTCACACGGCGCCCACCCTGGCTGATTCATCTGGCTCAGAGATGGATATCTTCATGACTCAAGATTCCTCCGAGGATTTGCGCGAGGAGTTCGGCCATCTCGCCCACTCCGGGCTCCCTGGATTCCCCACTTATCAGTTTGTTGACACCACCGATTTCGCACCTGTTTCGTCCTACTACCCAGAGAAGACATTCTCTGGCCTTTCCAACCTGAATGACGATCTGACCGATCCAATCGACTGCTTGTCCAGCGAGTTCCTGATTGACCCCTGAGCGGTTCACACTTCCGATCCCAAAAAAACGCATGGCTACCCACACGGCGCAGCTGATTCTTACTCTTCACGGCGAGGCATTTCTTTGCAACGATACGAGACGACCTTGTACACTTTAATGACCCACGACACAAACCGGGCGTTTTCCCTTCTCTGCACATTCGGATTTGAAACGACTTTGTGGGACTTGATGGGTGCTCTGGGCTTTGCTTTATGCCCAATTTGCCCTTGTTTCCCTCTGTATTTGGCCCTTCTTGTTCCTCATTTTTTTTTTCTTGTTTTATGGTTGCTCCATCGCTCATTTTTCTTTCGGTTTTTTCTCATCATTTGATGCTTGATAAATTGCGTGCCATGTCTTCACAAGAGCATGTTTATTCCCGGTGTTTCTCTCTTTCTCTCTCTCTCTCTCTCTTTTTTTGTTTATGTCCCTATTTCATGATGCGATATGTATTTGATGTCTTTATCTTCAATGAATCTTTTCCGTCTACCCTGTCAACAATTGATGGCTTGACTGATGGATTTTTTTTCTTCGGTGCAATCAGCCTTGGGGATAGCTTGTACTCTAGTATTTCCAGCCTATTTACAATACACCTCACATTTGGTTGGATATTATTTCTCCTTTCTCTCAGTGTAGACTTAGGCGAACGACGGGTGTATAAAAAAGTTGGAAGGCCCAGAAATAGGTGTTGAAGACCTAGCGCCACTGGCTTTTCAGGGTCTTCGACGACCTCCAAATTTGCCTAAGACTGTAGTACTTTACGAGGCAATGCTCGTTCATCATGAGGACAACGAAACGTAAGATCTCGCTCTAGGAATAGTGCGAATTTCTAAATGATTCTATGATAATTGACTACCAACCAACAGCCCCTTAGCCCACTCTGTATCGAGGCTCTGTGCCACACTGTACGATCCCAAATAACAAACTTGCGTTCTAGCAGATATACAAGGAGAATCCATCAATAACTACTTCGATGCCCATGTGATCTCGATCTCAATAGGCCGTCCCCCTTGCGAAGCATACACAGTACTCTGTGTACGCCCCTTGGGTGCATGGTCGGCATAGAAAGTATCGCCACCACTATAAGAAAGCTTCCCGTCTTTGGCCTGCACGGAGTGTGAGATATTGGAGGAATAATAGAAAAGGAGTATCTCGGGAATAAACTTACAGTGAATTCGCTTGGCGCATTGACATGAGGTCCGCAAGCAAGGGCGTCGTTCTCGAAGGCGCAGGCCCCCTTGCTAGATGTCAGGATAAATTTATCGTCTGCAAGATATCAATTACTCCACGTTAGTAATCAATAATAGAGGAATTATAGGCGCGGAACCATTACGAACCCGATAGCTGCTCAGCCCGGAAAGTAGCGCAAGTTCCCGATGAAAACCAGGTTCCGTAGCTGATGATACAGCCGTGCTTTCGGTTGAGCCTTGACACGACTAGATTGCCCCTGCCTGTGAAAGGAGTGCCAGGCGCCGTGGGCTCAGGGTGGCCTATGGTTGTTGTATGCGTAGGCTCGTGTCGGGCATGCTTCAGTGGGTATTTGATGCCCTTGGAGGGGCAGTTAGACTTTTGTCCATCTGGTAAATTTTGTTAGCTTCTGATTTACCTGTAACATAATGATTGAACCGACCTGGGCCTGCAGTGATAAATTTGCCCATTTGCAGACTTCCTGCGATGTTGAAATAATACCAAATCTCGTTGATTGCGCCACCTCGGCAACGGACTGTAACAGGGTTTCCATGAGCGAGCTCCAAGGCAGCTTCAATATCAGCGAGAGCATATGTCTGTGTCTGGGATGGTATAATGCCAGCATTGGCGAGGAACTTACACATAGGTAGTTAGTATCTTGATTCTAACATGTATTTGATGGTTGGTCCGTGGAGGATCACACTTACCTCATGAGAAGGCAATTCCTTGTAAATTTCGACAGTTTTGTCGAAATAGTCTACAACTTCCTGTTGTGGTAGATAATCCTCGTAACAATGTGTTTCAAGCGTGCTAACGCAAGTGCCGTGCTTGTTCCACTCATGTTGCCAGAGGTTGGAATCATCACCACGGAAATCCTTCCAATACTCGCTCATATATTCGAGCAAGTCTCCACGACCTGCGTCAACTAGAATCAACGAAATGTTGCTGTATTTGCGCTTGGAATCGCAGAATTGGTCAAAGCCGCCGCCGCAGTGATCGGGCCTAAAGAGCCAGGGTATTAGCTTGATATTTACATTGAGCCTGATGGTGTATTACAAACTTACCACAAGCCATGAATAGTCCATGCATCTTCAGGGCCAAGTGCAGGGTCCACGTCCCAGAATTGCGTCTGCAGCATTTGACCGCCAGGGTGGTTGAAACAGCAGGTGTCTTGGCCGTGGTACTTGGCTTGACAACTTATTTCCGACCCAGGGCATGAGGATGAGATCCCAAGGGATGTATCTTGATTTGGGGTTTGCGAAAGCCATAGGGAGCCGACGGTCTTGAGGATCTTCTGGGGTCCGGGGATCCCCATGAACTGCTGTGATGATCCCCGCATCATCGAGTGCAGGGTATTGTCGGGATTTCAAGGAGCAAGTTGGTCAATTTCACTCAGAAAAAGAATGTGAGGATGATAAGATGAACGAGAATTAGGAGACTTGTAGTCAAACTAAGAATAGGGGCCTAATACTGGGGTTTCAGGAGGATGTGAGTTGTCACCGGTCTACTGGAAGTCGCCTCGTGCGGAGTCACCAATGACATAAGCGCGGAGAATGCGCAGGTGATAAGGTCACCTGCACATGTCTTTGTTTACTCAGGAACATCCTTGGCGGCACGTTAAGCCTAGGCTCATTTGATTTGAGTCGTTTCTACTTGAGAGTGGAGGGGGTATCATAATTGGTCATCGTCGGTGGTGAAACAGTCGCACCGAACTTATGCCTAGCATTCCTGGTCTCAGGTAGCTTCAGGCCGCTTGCGCGCATTCTCTTCTTGCTCATGTACTCGCTCTTTCCATAAGCGCAGTACTTCAAAGCCAACCTCCACAGCAATGAGCAGAATGATAATCCATTCAAGCCGAAGGCCATGTGTCTCACTAAGGCGCTCCCGAAGTACACTTGCAATCTCTTGCGCATAGTCCATCTTCTCGTTCAGCAGCTTGATGCGAATTCCAACATCCAGCGCTCTACCAGCCTGTTCATAGTATCCCTCCAAGCCGAGCTCATGTCGACTATCCCAAAAGATATCGGGAAGGGAATCAGTGAGCTCCGAATAGAGATTGAGCTGGGCTCGGACACTGAGTAGTTGTCCAGTTTTGCGGAGAACGAAGTCTCGTGTAAAAGGAAGTCGAGATCCCTGTGAAAGGAGTGTCGGAATTGGCCGAGTTGATTCAAAATAATTTGATAGCAGGCTCTCAAGGACAGCCAGTTTGGTACTCCGAGCGAGACCCGACGAGAATGCAACCTTGGTCAATACCGTGTCAACGGATTGTTGCGCTGTTGGTGATCTTTCTGTATCGCCGTGGTCGGAGTAAGTTCCCAATATGATTGTGTCGCCCTTGATAACACTGTTCTCCCGTTTCGGGTCCTCCACAAACTCAAGATCCTCAGTCTCCAAATCATCCACATGTGCACCCTCTGCCGCAGGCAGAAGCGTCCGTGTTGCCAAGAATGATGTAAATCCCTCTGGCAGCGCCCACGCTACCACTGTACCGGATGGGAACACGAACAGATCGCCCACTTCGTCTGACGGTAGATCTGTGCTAGAGGGATTGGTCACGCGTTGGATCGAGTCTAAGGGTATCTGTACATGAACGACTTGTGGGAAGAGCCCTGTCTCGAATGGGTCCGGTTCATATCCTCGTTCTTGCAAAATATCTCTGACCTGGCGGATGTTGAATTGCTCGGCGACGGCGTATGCGGTCACTGTCTAGAGGTCATATTGATCAGCAGAAGCAAATTTACAAAAACTTTCCATTATAGCTACCTTAGTTCGATGTAAGCCCTGCTCTTTGAGAAGCGCTTTGGAGTGAATGCCATCCTTCGACCTCTGTGCCTCTACCGCTACTCGTCGCAATGAAGTAGGAGCTGCCGGTAACCTGTGTCCTCTTCGGCGTTGCTTCTGGGAGTCTGAAGACAAATCAATTGATTCATCACTGTTCTGCTTTTTTTGTTTCAAATATGCATTGGATGAGAAGAAATTCTTCCGTCGGGGAAATGCCAATGGAGGAGAGGCGTGGAGGTATTGAGTTTGTGATCGTGAAAGAAGCTGTGATATTGGCCGCTTGCATCCCAAGCAGACATACGGCCTGGCAAACATGACGTGAATATGGAAAAAATGAAACAAAATCCACACCCCAATAGTTCGGTCGATGACATCGGTTTGCAGTCCGGCCCGATACCCCGCTTAGTCAGGAACCAAGCTCGGGGCCCTATCCTACCCCGGCTCAGCTCTAGAACCACAGAATCCCGCATCCAGCTTGTCGCATTCCACTTCAACCAGCGTGGGAGCTGCAGGTGCTGAGAGGGATTCGCTATGGACGCGCCTGGCGCGACACCGCTGGACGAAAGTGCCGTTCAGAGCACTCCCAAGCACGACATGTGCACCGAACGAAACGGATCACCGACGAACACTACTGAAGGTGCCCAATATGAACGCCAAGAAGAAGATGACCACAGCTCTAGTGGTAGTGGAGAAGAAGAAGAAGAAGAAGAAGAAGAAGAAGAAGAAGAAGAAGATGCCGACGAAGATGAGGGATCGGACGATGAAGACGAGGAGCCCCGCTTAAAGTATGCATACCTCACGAAGCATTTGGGATCAGTATATCGCAACGGGGATGCGACAAGCTCATTCCTCGTATCCGGAGATAAGATGGTAAGCTTGGGTCATGGATAGATGCTATAAATTGAGCTAATCATATGTTTAGATCGTCGGGACACACAACGGGAACGTCGTAAGTCAGCCACACCTACACGCAAATTCACTTCGCTGACCTCGTCAAGCATGTTCTTTCCTTGCCTGCTTTACAATCCATCCGTGTATACCATGCGCACTCAGCAAGCGTCACCTCCATTTCTATATCACCATTTCCTCCTCCGTTTCCGAACCTCAGGCAAGACACCTTCAGCAAGCAGGCTTCAGAAGACTTTAGACCCCCCCACACGGGCCTCTACCACTACTGGTAGTATCCGGGGCCATGGAAAGCTGGGCCATCATCCAGCTATTCTTCCAACACCGTCGAATTCGATTTACATTGGAACCTCCTCAATCGATGGCAACGTTTGTGTCTCGTCGTTGATAGACCCTAAGGATGTGATGTTGCGCAACTTCGGCCGCCCGGTCCAGTCTGTTGCTTTGTCTCCAGAATATAAAAATGACCGGGCATTTTTGTCTGGTGGCCGGGCCGGTGAATTGATCTTGACAACTGGGGGCCGTATTGGAGCAACCTCCAATTCTACAACAATGGGTGGCGCAGCTGCTGCTGCGTCAAGTTGGCTCGGATCCATGGGACTGGCATCTGGTAACGGAAAGGATACAATCATTCACAGTGGTGAAGGGACGATTAGCACCATCAAATGGTCGCTCTCAGGAAAATATGTGGTTTGGGTCAATGAGGAAGGCATTAAGATTATGCGGTCCAATTTGCATTTGGATTCCTCGGAGGCGGAATTTGCTTGGAAACGGATCAGCCATATTGATCGCCCAACCCGTCCCGGTTGGGATGAGATGGCCAGTGTGTGGAGAGCACGTGCCGAATGGATTGACCAATCTGCTTTAGACAGACATGACAATCTCGATCCGAATGACAATCTAGCGAGCCCAGACACAGAGTCGACAGCACCTGCGGAAAAGGTAGAAAAGCTTGTCGTTGGTTGGGGAGGAACCGTTTGGGTCATTGATGTTTACCCAGAAAGGGCAAGCAAATCCTCCAAGGGCGAGACATTGGGCTCCGCTGAGGTTGTTACAATGTAAGTTGTGCTTTTGACGGATGAATGTACCCGTTCTGATTTGAAGCGCAGATTGCGAACAGACTGTGTGGTATCTGGCATTTCATTATACACACCTCGTCTCCTTGTCATTCTTGCTTATATGGAAACCGAAGGCGAAACTACAACCAACGGAAGAGGCAGCGGGATTCGCAATCGCAAAAAGGGAATGGAGCCTGAACTTCGTGTCATTGACATTGAGACCAACGAAGAGATCAGTGCTGATACACTTTCAGTAAACCGATTTGAAGGTCTTTCGGCGTCTGATTATCACCTTAGTGTCCTCCCTCCATGGAAGACACCAGAGGGACAGGTCGTTCAGCGCGGTACCCTGGGGGCTCTTGGATATGGACTTCTGGATGCTACTATGTACTCCGCGAGGCTGTTCAGCTCTGGCGCCAGCATCCGCAGCACTACAAGTAGTGGAGACAAGGGCTCTGGCAGAGTGGCCGCGTCATTTACATCTAGACTCCGTTCAGCGGAGGAGGCTCTTCCCAAGGAGGTCCAAGAAGCTTCGGGTGCTCCTGGTGCAAAAATCTTCGTTCACAGCCCATATGACTGCGTCGTTGCAGTGAAAAGGGACCTTGCAGACCGTCTGTCTTGGCTAAACTCCCGTGGACAGTACGAGGAAGCATGGCGTCTTGTTGATGAACACCCTATAGCTGCGGGCTCGATACCGGACCTATCCGAAAATGTTTCCGAGGTCGCAGGAAGATCACAGACCAGCCTGGGTGACTTCTTTGCGGATGATCGATCATCAATCACTACCGCTGGTCGAACCAAAGTGTCTGCTGCTGAGCAAGAGAAGGCTCGCATTGGGGAACTTTGGATCAATCAACTTATCAGCGAAGATAAGTGGATTGAAGCAGCGCGTATCTGTGGCAAGGTCGTTCGCAGTGCCCCACGATGGGAACACTGGGCGTGGATCTTCATCAAAAACGATAAACACAACGAGATCACCCCACATATCCCAGTTGATCTAAACCCGTCGCTATCTTCAGTAGTATACGAAACCATTCTCACTCACTATGTGTCACGAGACTTGGCCAAATTCAAAGAACTGATCGACGTATGGCCATCTGATTTGTTCAACGCCAATGTGGTCGCAGACATTATTGAGGAGCAGCTGAGATCTGAATCAGTGCAGGTTGAGTCCGAAGACTGGAGAACACTCACAGATTGTCTCGCCAAGTTATTCCTGGTTGGAGGGCATTACCGCGAAGCTCTGCGTTGTTATATTCGGTTGCAAGATGCAGATGCTGCTATGTCTTTGGTCCGGGAACACCGCCTGCTTGATGCAGTCACTGATGATATACCAGCCTTCATCATGATTCGCGTTTCCAAAGCGCAAATGAAGTCAGCCACGAAGTTCGAACTGGAGCAGTTGACATCTGAGCCCACGCGACTCCTTGCTAGCGAGGCATACACGGGTATCGTTCTTCCGGATACTGTAGTAACCCAGTTGATGGCCGCAAATCGCTTGCTGTTCCTTTACTTCTATCTGCGCGCGCTCTGGCGAGGAGAATCTTTACCACATGAAGCCCATAAGCCCAGAAGAGGACGCGGTGCTCACGCTCGAGATGCAGCCAGCAAACTTGCTGCCGACGAAGGCAAAGCCCTCATCGATAATTTCGCCGACACGGCGGTTGAGGTATTTGCCGACTACGACCGGCCTCTGCTAATGGAGTTCCTGCAAACGAGCATCTCTTATTCTTTCGAGAAAGCCACCTCTATCTGCGAAGAGCACAAATTCACACCGGAGTTGATCTTCCTCCTGTCAAAGATGGGCCAGACAAAGCGAGCTCTGAATTTGATTTTGTCAGAACTCAAGGACGTCTCCCAGGCCATTTCCTTTGCGAAATCTCAAGATGATCCCGATCTGTGGGAAGATCTACTCGACTACTCAATGGATAAACCAAAGTTCATCCACGGCCTCCTTGTCGAGGCTGGCACGGCCATCGACCCGATCAAGCTTGTGCGTCGCATCCCAAGTGGGCTAGAGATCGAAGGTCTAAGAGAAGGCCTGACTCGCTTAATCCGTGAGCACGACCTGCAGGCCAGTATCAGTCAAGGCGCGGCCAGGGTCATGCAAAGCGAGGTTGCACTTGGGATGGACTCGCTACGTAAAGGCCAGCGCCGGGGAATCAAGTTCGACGTCATCGAGGACGAAGAAGACCGCAACAAGACACCGACAAAGACTCAAATCCCAGATAATCTATCCCAGACCAGTGGAGCAAAGAAATTCGGCGGTCCCGGACAGGGTAGATGCGGCGGATGCAAGGCCGCTTTCCGAGCAAACGGTAAGTTCTCTATTATCCCCCCGCCCCCATCAAAATCTACATCTCAGCCGATTCTAATCCAACCCAGAACGAGAAATCCTCGTCGGCTTCGCCTGCGGCCACATCTTCCACTTATCCCATTTGCATTCCGACACACCCCAACAATCCGGCACAAACACCCCCAACCGATCAGATCGTACCGCCCGAGCCCAATCTCCCGTCCCCGAATCCCAATCCGCCACTGCATCTCGCACCATCGGACCGAAAGTCACGACAGCAAGAATCCTGCGAGACAAAGTCGGCGACGGATGTCGGATCTGTGCTCTGACGCGAGAGCTCGAATCCCTCGGTGAAGGCGAAGTTTGAACTCGGATTTGGGACTATCTGGCCATCCATTCAGCGTCTCGTGTATATCTTCATGTGCACATACCTTTACTCCCATTCTCCTTGTTTCTCTGAGATACCCGGGCTTTTAGCCAAGCTACCTGTACCCCCCGTTTGGGGGATATTTGCATGTCATTCATCCTGTGTTCACACTGGTTTTTGTTCGTTTGATAGAGATCCTTTGGCAGCTTTGAATATGCGGCGTTAGGCTTGGGTTTATTTGTAACGTAACATCTGTTCCACGGCCTCTAGTAATGAATTTTCTTTCTGCGGTGAATATCGGTCCTTTGCCGTGCCTTTAGGGGGAAAGCGATCTTTTAGTGTTGGGAATGTCTAACAGTCTAGGCTGTGCACAACATATAAATATTCAACTACATTGCATGGTCAATTCTGTTTCCCCTATGAGGCTTTCTCTATACTCACATGTCACGATCTACGAATATCTAATTTTCTCTTCGTTGCTTGCACATATTCAACAGTGAACATTCTTGAATTAGAAAAGCTATGCTTCAACTAGAATATGAATCACTGGTAAAAGATTTTTAAGATAAGGGGAGCGCAATTCGCATCCCATAAAAAAAATGGTCACCCATAAAAACCATGGGCTCCTCAAATTCAGTCATCACCATAATCATCGTGTTGGGGCTGTCCTTGCTACATCATAAGATGGCTGGATTTGCCCTTGACACGGGAAGAGTTGCATGATGTTCTTAAACAACCATGAAACGGAAAACATGAGAGACCATGATCAAGATGATCACGGCCAAGACACGGCTGTCCATGATTCCAACGGTACTGGCACCATTGAAAATCGGCGAAGGAGCGTGAGTACTACCACTTCCCGGAACATGGTCCTCCTGGGTGTAGGTAGGCTTTTGGGGAGGAACAATGGTAACATCTGACCCGGTGGTGGTACCGTGTGCCTCACTCACTAGGGGATTGGGGACAGCGGTTGTAGCCAGAGTGGTCGGGGCTACAGCAATTGGCTGAGTCTCGGTGATTTCCTGAGTAGTACCCTGCTGAACGGGAGGAGCAGGAACCTTGACCAGAGTAGTGGCCTCAACAGTGGTGGCATGGGGTAGCGGAGCCAGCTCGGTTGGCTTGACCTCGGTGGTAATCACGTGTGTGGTGACCTGTGGGACTGGAGCAGGAACATTTGGCTGGATCACAGTGGTCACAATATTAGTGATTGTCTGCGGAAGTGCACCAGGAGCAGTCGGTTGAATGACACTAGTCACAAGCTTGGTGGTCGTCTGAAGGACGGGTGCAGGAGCAGTTGGCTGAATCACAGTAGTCAAAGTCTGAGTCGTCTCCTGCGGAAGGGCACCAGGGATCGTGGGTGGAATCACAGTTGTCACAACCTTGGTAGTCGTCAGAGGGACAGGTGCAGGAACGGTTGGCTGAATCACAGCGGTCAAAGTCTGAGTCGTCTCCTGCGGAAGGGCACCAGGGATCGTGGGCGGAATCACAGTTGTCACAACCTTGGTAGTCGTCAGAGGGACAGGTGCAGGAACGGTTGGCTGAACCACGGTGGTCAAAGTTTGAGTCGTCTCCTGGCGAAGGGCACCAGGAATTGTGGGTTGGATCACAGTTGTCACAACCTTGGTGGTCGTCAGAGGGACAGGTGCAGGAACGGTTGGCTGAATCACAGCGGTCAAAGTCTGAGTCGTCTCCTGCGGAAGGGCACCAGGGATCGTGGGCGGAATCACAGTTGTCACAACCTTGGTAGTCGTCAGAGGGACAGGTGCAGGAACGGTTGGCTGAACCACGGTGGTCAAAGTTTGAGTCGTCTCCTGCGGAAGGGCACCAGGAATTGTGGGTTGGATCACAGTTGTCACAACCTTGGTGGTCGTCAGAGGAACAGGTGCAGGACCAGTGGGCTGAACCACGGTGGTCACAGTCTTGGTGGTTTCCTGTGGCAGTGCGCCAGGAACAGTTGGTTGGATTACAGTGGTTACAATCTCAGTAGTATTCCTTGGGCCAGTAACTATAGCCGGAATGGGAGTCACAGAAACAGTGGTAGTCTCCGTGGGAACTGTGGTGTAAACCTTGGTACTGACGCACCTAGTGGTCTCAGTGCAAGAAATCTCAACCGTGACAGTAATTTCGGTGGTTACCGGAGTAGGAGCCAATTTGGTGGTGTTTGAGTAAGGAGGCGTGGTCACCTCACCCACAGGGCGAGTGGTACGGATAATGGTTGAGTTTGTGTAGACAATTGAAGTTGTACCAGGGACAGGGACCACTCTGGTAATGCTAGAAGTGGTGTTCGTTCCAGTAGTGACTTCAGGAGCAGGTGTGGGAACCTCGGTGGTAGAGGGGCTCGGGCACGGTGACGAGATTGTCTCAGTGGTCACCTCGGTAACAGTGCCAGGAAGTGTAGAGGTAGTATGGTCCATGGTAGTGCTGACAGGGACAGGAACCACAGTGGTAGCATTGGAGCTGGTTGTCACCTGGGCGACAGGAGTGGAAACCGTGGAGGTGGTCGATTCCTCAGCAGTGGTAGCAGGAACAGGAGCTACACTAGTAGCAGCGGAGGGAGAAGAAGAAACAGATACAGTGGTAGTGGCAGTGACCTTGGAAGATCCAGTGCCACTTGCAGAGCTGCTTCCAGTGGCTACCTCAGTAGTGCTGGGTCCTGGAGTCTGAGTGGTTCCGGGGACGGAAGACTGCGAAGTCACTGGAGTGGCACTAGATGTAGGAGTCTCGGTGGTACCAGGTACAGACGATGGAGAAGTAACCAAAGTAGTGCTGGGCCCAGGAGTCTGGGTTGTGCCAGGTGCAGAAGACTGAGTAGACACTCCAGTGGTACCGGGGATAGAACTGTGAGGAGTAACAGGCACAGACGAGGAGGTCAACGTGCTAGAAGTTCCTGACGCAGAAGTTTGAGTGGGCGAAGTAGACACCTCAGAAGTGCTAGTCACAGGAGTCGGAGTGGAGACCGGAACAGACGAAGTAGACACCTCAGGAGTGCCGCTAGGCACCGAAGTCTGAGTGGTCACAGGCGCAGTAGACTGAGAAACCACAGGCACAGGGGAAGTGACCTGAGCGGGAACCGAGGTAGTAGACACTTCCAAAACAGAAGTCGTAGAAGAACTACAATCAACATCGGTGGTGACAGTTGTGGTGGATTCCTCAGTACTGTGATGACCGCAGGTAGTGTGGGTGACAGTGACAGTGACTTGTAAAGGTTAATCCTCCATTCGACAGGGGGAAAGCAATGATGCGTAAAGTTGAATGAAGGATGATGAGGTTGGACTTACTCAGTTCGTTACCGTGAACAGCACGACCAAAGAGAGACCGAGGAAGAACATTGACTGTGCAAGGTCATCAGTAACGGCAGATACGAAGATGGAGGCATCCAGGAAAGGGGCCCGACTTACTCTCACCAACTTGATACTGTTGGCCAGTGGTGGGATCCTGAAGGTAGACCGTTTCCACGTCGTAGCATTCTGGAAGACACCAAGGTTAGTGAATGGTCAGAGCGGATACACGTAGTCATGGGGTGTAAACAAAACATACCCACGGCAGCAGTAGCCATGGTCACCAGAGTGGTGACCAAGAGCAGAAGCGGCTTGAGACGCGTCCAAGCCGCCATCTTGACGGGTATCTCGAAAGGTTAAACGAATGTGGGATAATTGCACCAGGAAGTGATCGAGGTAAACGAAGGTGGAGATGGAAGAAGGGCAGTGAGGGTGAGGTGGAAGAAGGAAGAAGAAGAAAGGGAAGACGAGTCAAGAAATAGTAAACAGAAAACTCGAGCGTTTCCGTTTGAGGCAGGAACGCAAATCGCCCGTGACAATAGGAGCACGTGCTGTTATTGCCCTGGGCTGTTGAGGTTTGTCGTGCCTTCCGTTTTTGATGAGATAACTCTACAAGGAGGGAAGTATCGACTGCCACTTCGAGCTCAGATGAGATACTTGGCACCGCAGTACCCTTTTGCATAGAACCTGAACCCTCCCAGCCCTGTGTGTGACTCGAATAGAACTTTAACCTGGGTACACCGGCAATCAGAGGTGTAGAACATGAGTGATACAGTCTAAATCTAGCTCAACAATTGAGGGGGCTGCAAAATTCAAGCCTTTTGCCCAACATCGGGGGGTTTTCTTTCGGCAGAAGCCCCCCAGAGACTACATGTAGGGTAAACCGCACACCAATATGAGCTTTGACATAGAGATCAGATCAGAGTCAGCCTCCCAGAATCATCGGAATAACAGGGCCACTTTTGTAAAAGGGGTTGGGGTATCACAGACAATGTTGGTGTGCCACAGGAGCCAGACTACAAAGGCAGACACCTCAATGAGGGTGGGCCAATATATGGCATACGCTCCGCTACTCTGTTTATTATTACTTTCAAACCACAAAGATCCTGAATTAAGTTCGAACATAAGACATAGTCGCAGAATCATCCTCTGCTTAAGTTTGAAGTAACAATTAGCATTGGCATGACAACCTAAATTTAGGTCAGACACTGTAAGGTCAAGTGCCGAAGTGCAATGTCACTTGAGCCTCGCAGCCCCGTGTTATTGGCAAGGTCTAGGATGGCTTTCTATTTTAACTCCTGGGTCAGCCCTACAGTGATACGGTGAGTGATCTATGTTGCCAGTCCAGGAACAGTAGTACCACAAGTTAGGGCATGGTTTATCAGGTGGAAACATCTCACAACGTAATCACGACATAAGCATATCATCGGCAGTTTGATCTATAAGATTAGACATCAAGATTAGCTTTATTTAAGTTCTATAAGCTCTGAAGCAGTGGCAAATTCTACACTAGTGCACCGTTTAGATATCGCGTCGAAGGGGCAAAATATACCTCGCCATTATCTATCTACAAAATTGGCCAAACGCCAATCAGAGTCTCCACAGATGGTTCATATGAAGGAAACCTTAGTAAAAGATTACAATCCAATCAATAGCAGAGATCATACCGGTAATACCTTTCACGAGAATCCATCGAACATGGGGGATGTGTTGAGTGATCGAAAAATACTAGCGTATCTGAATACAGTATTTGCAAGCAAACACTCAGCAAATAAGCGGTATGTAACGGGATTCAGGAGCGGTCACAGTAGCGGGACGACCCGCATGGAATACTCTCAAAGCTCATTTTGGTGGCCCCGCTTCCAAGGAACCGGCGGATTCTGACATCATACGGCTTATGTAGATGCGGGCGTGCGGGTGCATCGGGATATTATAAGTCCCGCGGATGTTGAGTGTGAGAAGTTGCGATGGCTGTAGGCGTTATACAACTTGGGAATATCAAAATTTCCAAGGTTCAATGCTAATCGAGATCCACTAGGTGAGCTAAGGGTAAGGGGTTTGGACAAAAAAGATCGACAGGAGAACGATCTGGATCATAGTTGAATCAGAGTTGTTGAAGACAAGCGAGAAAAAGCAACCCCTTGAATAATGAGCATGAGGAGGTTTGTCGGTGTGATCTACACCGGTATACCTATGTAGGTAGGTAGGTAGTTCTTTATGTAGCCGTCTTCGAGCCACTCCCATCCCCTTTGGGGTGTGGGTGCGGCTCGAAGACGGCTAGTCTGCAATCTACGGAGTACCAAAAACCGAGTTTCTCTCTCAAGTTAAGCGACGTTAATTCATTTTTTTTTGTGTCAAGGCCTATCAGGAATCATCGGTACCTTAGATCTCACCCAGCATAACTCGGACAATTCTACTCCGTATTCCGTATGTACCCCGTGCGTAAAGGGGAGGGGGAATAAAAAAATTAAAAAAAAATCAAGTCAAACGAAATCAAAAAAAGTAGACGAATAATCCCAAAAAAGAACACGATTGGAGTACGGAATATGTATTCTAAAATGGCTTCAATTGCCCAGCTTAATGCATCTATGGATGCAATATAAAAAAGCAGACCCCAAAGCCCAGAACCTCGGGTAGTTAGAAGACCACAACGTAGGGGAAAAAAATCGTGTTTCCTCTCCAACGCACACCGGGCCCTAATTAGGGCAACCAGTACAGCATATACGGAGTACATACTCCGTATTGCGCATCGCAATCTCGCAATAAACCCATTCCAAGAAAGACGAAAACGATCCAAGACGGAGAAAGTGGACACGATCGGCATGGGGGGCCCCTCTAATATGGAAAAGTCTCGATCTACTCAAGCCATGACGCAAGGACCGGGAGTTTTCTTCCCCCCAAGCCCGAAAGCGACATTGGTTGACAGGTTGGTATGAGGGCCCATCCAATCAGAGTTAAGTTTTTTACCCGAAGCAGCGGTCCATGGGTCCCTAAGCGTGTCAACCCGTGGCAGTTATACACCCAAGGTCCGACAGCCCTGCGTGGTTTACCAGGTTGCCGGGACTGGGGGTGGATTATGATTGAGGTAATGATTTCATTGTGAGATTGACATTGAATTTTTGGGACACTGCGCAAGCCAATCTCGTCGCTCCACTGGATTAATATCGGGATCTTGGTTCCCGAGGTGTTTATTTCCGTTCTTTTCTGCCTTCTCGCACGGCTCTGGCTCGGGGGGTTGGGTGCCAATCCCCATGGATGACTTTTGCCCAACTGCCAAGCATCGATGACAAGATACATCATCCTTTCCGAAATCTCTCCGAGATCATTGAGCTGATGGTTACTTGGGCGTGATCCGTGTACTGCTTCATAGATTCTCACAATAAACACGTATTGGGAGTATCCTACGCCAAAGACGGCGATCAACCTAAAGTTCTACATGTTGAGATGCTATTGAGGTAGCAAGGTCATCGTATTCTGTACCTATGCATCAGAGGGATCGACATGTAGTCACATCCTCGGGCTATTATTTATCTGAATCATATGACCCTCAGTCTGCATGCATGCACGCATGTAGAGACATGGGAAACGACAGGAGAGAAAATCAAACACTCAGGGTTGCTCATAGCCCTTGACCGTCAAAAAAGAAAAATGCAAAATAAAAGAGAAGGGGAGAGCAGAAAGTAAAGTGAAAACATCGTATGAGACAGGCTGAAAGATCAAAAGTGGAACAGGGTATCAACGTCGTATGCTCGGCCCTCGACCAAATCGAAATCATACCAATGACAAACAGTGTATATCAAAATGTTCCATTGTCCATCGACTCATATACCGTCATGATGGGCGGACAACGCCAAGTTAAAAGAACAAAGATGAAAAACAAAAGATGGAACATAGTATAACAGGTATCATTGCTCGGAGATTCGTGTATTATCCCCATAAACAACGCCCCGTGTAAAAAAAGAGAAAAATGACTAACCAGCCCATTAAGAAAGAAAATATGGAACATGAGATGATGAGTAAGATCAGTGCAACTGATGCTCGCAAGACGGAGCGTTCATGCGGTTCAGATCAGATGTAGGGAGGGAGGGCGGCACGGTGGCCAGCAAAGAGAGATTTTCGGGTTTCTTTTATAAGATCTGCATCTGAAAGACCAGCTTCGGCTAATAGAGATGCGATGGTTTTTCAATAGGTGAGTGTCATCTCCAAAGGAGATCCGGGCATGCCAGTAGCACCGCCATTCGGACCTCGTAATTCAGAGATGCCAATGATCATGTCTTGACCCTCTGGAAGTTCACGGACCACATCATCATCAATCATCACACGCCTGCCTTGTTCATTAACGTGTAATATGGTAGAAATGTGTGATGGGTCAATGTGATGTTTCTCAGAAATTTGCATCATGAGCTCTCGGGCAGTTCGCTCTGTCAAGTAGATTGCACGATAATAATCCTGTGGTGCCATCGAGGTTCCAGTGAACTTGACGTAGAAACATGCAACTGCAAACAAGAACATATAGTTAGAAAGGAGAAAAACGATTGCGTTGCACGCGGTCAATAACTTACCAGGCTTGGGAGTCCGTTGCACCGGAGGACGATAAGCCAAGTCAACACCGACGGCCTCGAGGAATCCACCTGGAACTTGATCGCCAGATGAAAGCCTTGGAATGGTTGTCGGTTGCTGTCTTAATCTGGTTGCTCGAGTTGGCGGAGAATTGGATGATGAGGTATTGGTATTTGGTGGTGAGGGCATTATTGAATCCATATCGCGTGTACTCGAACGGCTCATATGGTGAACTTGGAAAGAATCGCCATCACCTGACAGCTGGATAGGATATAGGTCGGGATCATCGGCTTTGTCACCGCGTAAGCCAAAGACGCTCACTGAGCGAGTGGACGAGAACATCTGTTGCATCATAGACAACTTGGCTTGGAGATCGTCTTCTAAAGAGTTTTTATCAGGAGGAGCATCATCTGAGCCCATTGACCAAGTACGCTTGTGAACTGAAGGCTTCATATGGCGATCGGATCCCTTGGTAGCGGAAGCATTGTTGCCCCGTTTGCGCTTCGCAAAACCGCCACCCATCTCAGCCTGCGAGACTTGCTGCTTCAGTTTATCAATGGACTTTTTGACATGTGCTACATCATTAGATAACTTTCTCTCGGCACCATGATCCCGGAAAAGCTTGACTTTGCAGTAAGACAATTCCGTATCGCGAGATACACCGGTCTCTTCGCCTGGCGACAAAAGTTCGGTTTTGGCGCAGAGTCTGACAGGAATACCTTTGACACCTTTGGAGTGGCTGAAGTCGGTGGAAAGGAAATTGAATCGTACAGGGATGTTGCAATCGGATACGCCGGTCGCAGGATTAGCCGTCCAAGTAACGCAGAAACCATCGACTGACATGCTCTCGATTTGTACCTGCCTGTGACGGTGTGCATCGGCGCCACCCTGAAGGGGGTCAACATATTCAACTGCTAATAATTTTCCACCGCGCTGATGGGCTTCATTTATACCACGGCCCTCCTTCCAAAGTTGCCAACATATTGAAGGTTTTGCTCGTTGCTCTTGTTCCTCAAAGGAGACACGGACGAACGTTCTATATCGAAGCGGTTCATGGCTGATCATTGGAGGGCTCGAGTCGATGACTGAAAGATTATATGCTTGTCCTTTGTTGAGATAGGTGATGGGAACTTCGCTCGTGTTCTTAACCATGGCGGTGGGCGCACGTAGAGAAACATTGAAGCGGAATCTGTGTGATTGAAAGCGGTTAGCATCCGAGATACAATCTGGTTCAACAAATCGAATCCTCACTTTTCACCCTTGGCATATGACATATCACCACCCATTGAAGTTGAAAAGTCCGTAGACGCTGTCATATTAGACGCTGTTTCGACATGTGCATCGTTCAAAGATGCATCATCGAGAGTATCATCCATGGCATCATATCCCGTGTTGCGGTGCATAAAGGCGCTTGGTGCGAAAGACTGCGGTTGTGCATATGGATTCATATCATGCATTGGATGTATGAACTGCGGGTGGAAAGGTTCAAAGCCATTACTATGGTGATTGTGTGCAGGGAGGCCCGAAAGAGAAAGCGGAGTTATCAGGTGCATCCCTGTTGGGGTGTGCAAATCACCAGCCTGGTTGTGGAAAATTGCACCCATTCCACCAGAATTTGGAGTGTAAAAGCCGGAATGTTGGTTGGCAAGAGGCATCATGGAATATGAACCAGGTTCCATCCATGAAGGAGTCAATCCCAACTCCTGCATATTTCGAGGGGTGCGGTCATTGGTTGTAGTGACAGGAAACTTGACATCGTGACTCTTCATTTTCACATCGCTGTCTTCCATTCTAGAGCACATTGCTACGTCAACCTTGGTTCTTGGACATGCAAAATTACGGGGTTTGTACGAACCTTGGAGGCATTATGGACCCATCTGGCCCGGCATCACGAGGGCTTTCGATTGACGCACCGTTGCTGTCTCGCCGAGGAACGATGTCTGAAAATGCTTGCTGAAAGCGAGTGATGAACTCACCATCAGGCTTTTGAGTGTTTCTCCTGAGCATTGGATTAGAAAATAATAATAATAAAAGATCAGGACAGTAAAAATAATCCAAATGCAGCACACTCACCGACTACTAAACATTGGGGATATTTTGATTTTATCAACTCGTTTAACCACGGGATCCACACGGAGAGGAAGAAATGTAGGCGAAGAAGGCGTAGGAAGGGTGCGAATCAATGTGCAGCATCTGATCCGAGCTGCACAATGTGGCTGCGAGTTCTGTGAAGTCGTGGTCCACCACAAGTTAAATTTGTTGTGCTCCTGGCTTTGCGATTTGGGGAGTTCAATTTGCTCGAATCGTCAAAATTGGGGTGATGAGAAAATCGTAGTACGTCGTGTGCAGGCTTGCAAAGGTTAAGAGCGTTGAAATTGGCAAACCCTCTTGGGATCCAAGTTTCAAGCTGGTGAAGCAATGGAGTACGCGCAATGGTGGTGACTATAGGCGAAGATGAGAAGGTGGCGGAAGATGTAGATCGGATAGGTGCCCAGGTGAAGATATATCGGTCAAAAAAAGTTTTTGGAAATAGTGGTCGAGTATGTTTCCTTCTTATAGACTGGAGAAGGCATATAATTGGAGAGGCGAGGGGTGAAGGAGGGGAGATGACGATTAAGGGAGGGGAGAATGGGAAAGAATAGTCAGGACGGTACGGGCCATGGAGCCTCCAATGACAAAAGATCTATGAGATCCCACAAGAACTGTCCACTGAGCCACAATTTACCCCGAGTACATTGTCAAGGGGGTGCTCGGAAGATTTGAGGGGAGTATGAAAAGGAAAACCGTCGCCACCGGGGAGAGACCGATAAGGAACAGGGGCCACATGGACGAATACGACAGGAGCCAGGGAACTTCCTTCGGAGGCGTTTAAAAAGAAAAAAAATCGAAAAATCGAAAAATCGAAAACAGAAAAAGAGCTGAACATTCTAAATAATATTCTGAATAAATTGATTGGTAACGGGGAGGCAATTATGGAGAACCAATACTCGGAAAACCGTGCTCAGTGGAGAGTCCAAAAATGCGAGAAGCACCGGGGGCAGTACGGTCGATTGTAAATTTACGTATCTCGTATTGCCCGTATCAGTACAACATACCTGCCCTTTGTACATGAAGGCATTGCTTCCGAGGTATGTAACCAGACTACACCTCCGGTCCCTTGTCTTCGATTTGTGTTGGTGCAAGAGGCCGAACTTCCAAGGTGGTCATGAAGACCACATCCACGTCACATCTCTCCGGATCTTGGATGCCTCATTTCTGGGAGATCGAGACATGTTTACCGTTTCCGTGCCGAGAAAATCCCTTTACTGCCGATTAACCGACTTGATGTCAAGACTGTCGGCGCACGCGGAAGTAGATTGGCCCTATAATTGGAGAGCGGGCTTTGGGTGTAGATTCAGGGACCACAAATCAGAATAACTTGGAAACTATTTCCAAGGTCGCAAGAAATTGGTTTTCTCAGTCCACTCCACAGAATGTGGATCAGATCTACGGAGTAGATGGTGACAGTTGGAGGGTACTATGTATTCTACACAGAGATGGACCTACAAAGTAGGTAGACAAGATCATGATCGCCATACGAAAGTTGTGAGATTATCCCGGTGTGGATGCTGCTTTTGAAGGATTACTTAATATGAATGCAGGGATCACTGCCAGAATGGGCTGTATACAACGTATTACTCCGTACATATTATCGAGATACCTATGTTGTAGGTACCGCCGATATATCCCTTATATCCCTTCTATGGATCTTCCATCTGATTGATTCACGGCGTCGGTTTGATCCCTCGACAATCCTTCGTGGCTCGAGAGTTCAAAGGCGTCAAGAGTCAAGACCACAGCCACAGATATCTGACCTCTGACCTCGTACTATACATATAGTTTGGCCACAGCCACAAATAAAGATAGTGGAACTTTATATGCCATGGACTCAAACGTGCCGTGGTCAGAGTCTGGCATCATGGGTGGATAGTGGGACCAGATCTACAGCCAAACTCACTATGTTCGGGGTGGTCATAAGTTCGCCCATTGGAAACGATTGGCTGGTCCTGAGGATGTGCCAATTGAATCAATGCCGTAGATGATATCATGCGCGGCTCATGGAGTGGATGGAGGTTGTGGCTCAGTCGATGACCCATTCGTTGATTTCCTTTCCTCAAGTACCATTGTACCGTTGGATGTACTGTATCTACTACTTGTAGCTAGATATAATTCATGACCAACGTAGTGCAATGTACCTACATATATACCTAGGTAGGTTTCGTATTGAGTGTTTAACTATACATAGTAAGTCTTCAAGGTTGAAACTTGTGCATTTGATACGATAAAAAGGTGTACAACATATACCACATACCAACCCAGTTTACATACAAATTTACCCTAAAACCCAGGTGAGACAGTACGAATGGCAAAGCTCATTGCTGGAATGTACACCCACCAATCATATCGAAGGCTGAAGCGCTCGGATGATCGGGTGGAGCACGTGCCGTAAACGGGGCTTACCACATAAAACAAACTTGGAACCTTCCAATACCCACATCGCGCATGTAAATATTTGTATATCGTATGTTGCATATCCAAAGCTGTATACTTCAATTCGTGAGAAATGGACATGGTAGAAGCAAGTTCGGATATAATAGTCTTCACCTATGAGCTCAATTTGTCTAATTAGGTAAATTCCTGCTCCCAAGTACTGCTCAGACAAGTGGAACCTCGCAAGAAAGCTGTTTCTCCTTCAAGAGAAACCGAATATCGGTTCGTAGCTAGGTAGCTTACAGATAGCGTGCTTTAATAAAATGTACAGATGAACGAGGGCCTTAGAAAAGGAACAAAATTCGCATTGATTCCAAATCGCAATCAATACACAAGTATGGACATGTATATACTGCAGGGAGGTTCGTATTATACACCCGTCCATCATGGACAGCTCTCAATTTAAGCTCTCGAAGCTAAAGCACGGAATCCGTTGTCAAAAGTAAATTACTAGTACAAACGTCCCCGGATATTCCGTATTGCATCCAATACATATGCTAATAAGTACGGAGTATGGAGCACAAACGATGCCTCTTCTCCACCTACATCACCTCACGCAATGCTAGGGCTTAATGTTGTTCCTTTAGTATCCTCTCCACCATTTGACATGGATCCCAAGCCAACTCAAAGCCAACGGAACGGCACCCGTTCCGTGCCCAGGCAATATCAGATTTACCACTGAAAGCCACGACGTCATCGGACGTTTTCGGTAACATGACAGAGAGAGAATGGATAACGCCACCAGCTGTGTTAGAAATACCATCTCCACATTTAAATTTCTTTTTTCCTTTTTCTTTTTTTTGAAAGATCGAATGTCATATGTTCAGGATGTCAAATCAATCAGAAACGTTGGCTATATCAGGGGGTAATAAGTCCAGGGTCGATTATTGGTCGATCGAGTGCTGGTAGGAAAGATCGATCCAAGAGCTCAGCCATATTAAAGTACACGAGGTACCTTTGTACCCCGTAGCGCGGATCCGTTATCTCATTTTGCGCAGGGGTGTACAACATATGGAGGGATGGGAGTCCGGAGTGTAGACTGGGCTTCTGTGCGGGGACCACAAGCAACTGGTCAAAGACCGGATATGATAGACGCAGTACGGAGTACTCCGTATGAGAAGTCGAACTGCAACGCAAGCGGCTGAATTTTCCGCTCGGAATAGGTGCCTTGTCACAGACAAACAAAAAAAAAGGATCGGCAATTGGAGGGAGGGGGGAGGGGGGCCGATCGGCCGTGGCTTACTCCGTACAGTGTGGTGTTGTACGGTATAGCCAGTCAGGCCGACAAACGGTCTTGCCACTGTGGTCTCAGGCATCTGTGGAGTTTCTTTGAGAAGGGAAGGCGCTTTGCAGCTTACGCAGCTGTGCATCAGCCACAGCAATTTGACTCCATTCCAAGACGTGGGCTCCCGCTTTTGATCTAACAGCTCGCAAATCAAATGTACCTACCATGCCCATCCCACTGCGGGGGACAGCGGAGCCCCGTGGGACCTTCATGGGTGCCACAGACCAATAGTTGTTGATGCATGGAGCAGATGTGGGAACTATCAATGGACGTCGATGGGGCTGTTTTCATGTCGGATAAGGAATACCGCTCGTACTTTTGTTCCTTACGCTTCTTGAACCGCACTGTGTTAAGCCCAAGGATCGCAAAATGGGGCCCTAGCTTCGGTTTGCTAAATCCACATTGCAGATCCTAGCTGTTTGATCCACCCTTGAATCATGGATATGCCTTCCAACAGTTCATTGGGTGGCTGCCTCTCCCGCTGCGGCCACGAATCACATTTTCCAGGGGCCAGAGCAGCGCTATGACGAGGCTATCCACATTATCGTTGGCTGACTTTGCCGGATCTCTATCAAATGATATGATGACGAGCACCGGTCCAGATTGGTTCTGGCTGATCTTTCCATCTGACCGGCTGTCGTTCACTTCATAAACGGGGAGCAGAGGGCTCTGATTGGCTGGCTGATACACCCGTATGATCGAACTTGGGAATGGTACCTACCGACGTTGTCCGTACGGAGTCCCTCGTACAATACTCTATGACGACGATTGGCCAAGATTGATTATGGGTACCTTTTCCTCCAATTGCCCCTTCTATGATTGATGTACTCCACAGCGGGAGAACGGCAGAACTTGTCGTGGATTGGCCAATATCTACCGATGCATGAATCGTACCTCGTTAAACACCTACATAAGCGAGGTACTCTATGACGATTACTACCTCGGATTGGTGAGGGCTGAATTTTCCGTGCGTCAGTTTTTAATTCTGTTCCATACCCCACAGTGGGGAGAACAGCAAAGTGGTCCGGCATGGTTATATCCGTCTTATTGTACGGAGCACGGAGTACTCCGTACGGGATTTACACTTTGCATTGGCATATCAAATAACTAGCGGCATATGAGCCTCGATGTACAGTCAATTACCCGTCCGGCGCAGACTATTGACGGTGCATGGTATTTCCACATATTTATGCATATGATCATGAATAGGACCGCTAATCCATGGCGATCATTGATATACATACGAGGGACAGAAAGAGCTTGTGATATAAACCGAACAACGCAGTCCATATGGATTCTAGTGCACATTTGCGATATATAATTTATGTAACATAGCGTGACCTGTAGGATTTGCTCGGGATATGGACTCTGTCCTATCGCATCCCCAATAGATTGCTCCATTGCTCGAAGTAGTACATTGTACAATAGGTACTACACCTGCGATGAGATCATTTTGGCTTTGGTGATATCAACATCCTTTGAGACATATGCGAAGATACGTCAGAGTGGATAGACGCGGACATCGTTGGGATCTCGATGCTTGTCCTGATCAACATCTGGAATATACTCTGAGGGATAATTTCTTGAAGGGATTACTTCGGAGAATACTTGCTTCGGTGGATATTTTATGCAAATTAATGGTCGGGCTGGATCTCTTGCATTTCAAAGCGATTACGTACGTTGTTGGAATATACCTGCTTGGCAGATTCCTTGTACTTGATAGTCAACTTTAGGCTGACTGAAGGGCCAAATCTTCGATAAACTTGGCTATGCCATGGTAAATTTGCTAAATGTTCGTGTTCTACCACAGCCATTCGAATTCTACTCTTGGCATTACCCTGAATCATTGAAAGTTGTTTCATGATATTACCCCCTCTATAAACTATCAGAACGATATGAATGATGTCCGCTTTACAAAATGACACCGTGTTGTGTGGCCATCGGCATGCCCAATGATTACCCGAGTGTAGTCCCAACCATGGAAGATGCATCTGGGACCTGATTCAACCGAGACACCCTCTCAGGACCGCAGAGAAGATCACCACGCATACATGCAACCCTAACACGCCCATGACACCGGAGAAAATAAAACACAAGAAAACATATAGACACAGAGAGAGTCCGACAGAACCCCGTGTATGTTGTGGCCAGTGGCCGGTTCTGGATGCCGGAACTGTTTGTTCCCGGATTAGGGAGGTAGATGCTGACAGAGGAAAAAAATATGTAAGGAGTGACTCTTGAGAGACGAAGGAGGGAACGAGGCCTTGTAGACAGCCAGAGTTCACTCTGGCGCGCGATGGACAATAGTGGGAAGAGGGGTTTGGGCTAATGTCGAGACACGGACATGCGAGTGAAAGGCTCTGGGGATTGGAGGCGGGGGAGGCTGGCAAACAGCGCATTGTTATCAGTGCTGGATGATTAATGAGAATCCATCAACCCACGCTGCACAAGAGCCGGCGAGTCCAGCAATCTTGTATCCCAGGGGAGGTATCAAGGTGTGGCTGTTTCAATTTCGTTAGCATGATTAAGAGGTGTTGAGATTAGGGGAAGTTCGTACCCTGAGCCACCGGTAGCATTTCCATAGATACCCGATTTCCTTCCTAGGCTTGTAAGGATCTCAATCCCATCAATCCAAAGGCCAGCCCGAACATAGAACCCAAGAAGGATTTCACCGCGTCGAGTATCAAGGACAAACTCATCTCCACCAGGCTTGCCTCCTCGCTTGCCAAATAGCTGACTGGTCGCATCCTCATAGCAAAATTCGAGACCGTCCAATGCGGACCCATGGTATATCTTGATTGATGTCAAGAGCTTTGTTTTGATGAAAGCACATTCAAGCAACACCTCTTGTGGCTCACTGCCTTCCATTGCCGACTGGCCTAATTTCCCACTTTTGAAACCGGACTGGCTCTTGGGCAACTTGACCAAAGAATTCTTTGACTTGAGATCGCTGATGTTCTCAACAGTGTAGCTGCCCATTGCACCTGAACAAACAACCAACCGAATGTTCTTTTTCTTTTCCTTCTCGGTTCCATACACACGTTGGCGAAGCTCAATCTCTGTCACAGCGACTTGTCTTGGCAGTCCATTAGGGCTGGACTCGCTGTTCAAGTACTCAATGAAATTGTGACAGAGGGTGTCGCCCTCGGCATATAGTTCCATGAATGCAATACCCGATGAGGCAGTGAACAGGATCTTGCCGTTCTCGACCGGCCAAACCTGGACACTGTCATCCAAGGTGGGGCAAGGGTCACTTGGAAGTCGGAAACTGGGATGGAATCGGAAGCGTAGCGCATCTAGGCGATGCCAGCCACACTCGTCATTGGGTAAACATATTTTCAACCCCTGAGCCTTCGTGCGCGTCGAGAAAGGCTCTCGAGTCAGGAACGTTCTGTTTAACCGCACATAGTCGCGAAGCATGACCCCCGATTCCTGATGAGGACATCCAAAGAGATGGCCCAATTCATGTAGGTGAGCACCAATGCCCAAGTTCGCTGCTTCCCAGCTGGAGCCTGCATCGCCGGAGTCATTCGCGACGTGGTTCGTATCGGTCCGGGTGCAGTCAGAGAAGGCATCCACAACCTCTTCCAAGCATGAGGGGTAGCTTTGTAGACAATGTGACCCAAACATTGCCATTTTGATATCATCACTGTCCGAGCCTAAAGCCGCATGACCGGTGATCATTTGTGATTCTGTATCCCAATGGGAATCCAGAAGGAGAACGGAGACATATTGCTTCTGGCCGGGCTTCGGCTGGAAATAATTGCGCACCGCCTGCTTCGCAATGTTAAACAATTCGTCTTTCTTGCCGGCTTGATCATTTTGTTGAGCAATGTTCAGATCTCGGAGTTCAGCCACTGTTTTTTCAGTGCGGACTATATGGATCTTGGCCTCGTTCCGCATCTGGCCCTGAGCCGAGTCGCGACGACTCAAGCTCCCAGACTGCCACTCCTCCTCAAATCGGAAACAGCGTCGTCCAAAATTATTGCGGAACATCTGTTCACCGGTGAAGGCTTGCCAAAGATAAGCTGCCATGCGGTATTTTCGAACCGCAATGTCCAACCCATTTCCTTCGCGCTCGATGCGCTCCGGTACTGCATCATATGTACCGTCCGAGTCTTTTCCAAGGAGTATAACGAGTTGTAGTGGGGGTTGTTGACGAGAGGTAGGTAGTTGATGCAAACCCAGGCTGAATGAATGGCGGGGTGAGTGCTGCCCGTGGACAATTTCGGCGAAACGAAGTCGAAACGGAGACGATTAGGACCGGGAACTAAGTGAACGAGGACTTTAAAATGCGATGCCGTGACGGGCCAGCCGGTCGACGGGAAATTATCTTGGTGATGGTAGACGGTGACATTTCCGTCCAGCGGATGTTGTCTTGGGTCGCCAATTTGGCCGTACACGAGTAACACTTTTTGGTTCACCTGGCAAACAATCAGTAAGTTGATTCTGTTCCACCGCAGGACCTTGTGTTTCTCCAATGCCTGTTCTGGCTGCACATACCCATGAATTATCAGCCACCGACACTAGTCTCGGAGCGTAAGGTGAGACGGGAGCTTGGGAGCGATACGCGCCATTGACCGATGATGAGCTGCTGCCCTATAACCCCACAAAAACAGAGTCAGAATTGCGTGATGTTTGGGGAAATGAGGGGGAGGGGGCACAGGTACGTACGATGACGCTATTGCGCTGAGAACCGGTCACCCCAGGTGCTAGTCGCTGCGAAGAAGGCACCGACGTGCTAATGGCGCTGACTGTATCGGATTCACTGAGTGCAGGAAGACTGGGAGTTGACAGGGTCGGTCTGATTGATGACGGTGGAGTGATGGAGTTGTGGGATGAAGTGTCGATCGTGGAGGATGATTTTCCGGAGACCTCCTCCACGGTGTGGGATGGAGTCTTATGGAAAGTGGCCTTAGATCGCCGCCGTAGGTCTTTGAAGAACGGCATAGCGAAGTTGGAATCGAAGAAAGAAGAGAAGATGGGAAATTACCCTTTCAGGGCTGTCAGGGCTGTCAGGGCAGCTACGGGCAGGAACAAGATGCGACCGTTTGCGGTTGACGACGAATCGCCCCGCAAGCACTTCAGGGGGATGAATTAATTATGGGCAATAGTAGGGAATATCATTGATCGTCCAGAGAAAAAGAAAAGAAAAAAAACGAGAGCGAAGAAAGCAGATGAAAGGGGAAGTAATAATCCAAGCTCTCCTTAGCTCCAAAAAAAAAAAAATAAAGGAAAATAAAGGAGCACTATACTTAGCACTTCCAAGGTCAACCTCTCCTATTACGTACCCCCTCTCTTAAACCTTCCAGAGATTGTTATCAAAAGCTAAGAGTCGCAATGTTTCACTGGTGGAGCGCATCTGATCGCCCTAAGGCTCTTAGCTCAGATCTAGTCTTGGTCCTTCGTCATTGTTAGGGCATCACGGCCGACAAAGTCACCAATTTCCATGGAGAACGACCCGTCGGCTCTGCGATTTCAGTCCTGCATCTTGGGGCAAGTCGTTATCTCACGGCCTAGGCTCTTGTTAAACTTCGAGCAGTGCCTTGAAGGTATGCTGCATTTTCGGATCACCATGGGGAGATAGTTCATTTGCCTTGGATTTGATGGGCTACGTAGGTGGCTCGTTCGGTTCATATCGAGAGGAACAACGTTGATGTGTCGCTGCCTAAACTACGCGCCTAGCACGAAGATCAGCATCCTGAAACTGGCTTCCCATCAGAGCTGCATATGGGGGCCAGGTACGGAGTACGGAGTACGGAGTACGAAGTACAGCCTCGCTGCCCACGAATGGAGTGATCTTCAATGTGCGCATTACCACCTGTCGGCTAATTTCTCTTGAGCATTCTCCAATCTTCACAAAGTACGTGAGGGAGTCCAGTATCGAGGTGATACTGGCCGGAGCATACCTCAGGGGCTCATTCTTCGACATCGGCATTGTCGAAGTAGATCGCCATCTACCGTTACATGTCGAGTTTCTATGGAGATGCCGGAATCTGCAAAAGGAAAACATGTTTCTGCTTTGGGGTGACTAAAGGGATTCAGATCAATGCGCAGAACTGACCAAAGTCGGGTCAAACATACCGGGGTTGTTTGATCGGAAAGCTACATCGACGGAGCAGTCAGAAACCGAACGGCAATTATGAAAGATTTGGCAAACGAGTTTCTGGATGGGATTTGAGAGCATCAGACACTACCAGATACCCCATAGCCAAGATCTAGTCCACACTCTGCCCAGGCTCCGCAACAAGAGAAGTCTATCGTACAACAGAGAAGTATGGACGGAGTACTACATACTTCAACCATAGTAGATATGCAGATCTGGAGCAAATCGCAGAAGAAAAAACGTGTTTCTCAAATTCTGTAGAATCTGACACGTTCAGCGAATGAGAATCGATGTCTTTGAGATCCATTAACCCCAATCCGTTTTAAGGCCATTTCTCCAGGATTCAGCATTGTGTTCGGTTCCCGCATTTCGCCTGGTCTCCTCACCCTTCCTTCTCAGCCGCCCTTGCTGCCCCCCTCCGCAACTCGGACTCTCCATTCTAAGTCTCTTTTTTTTCCTTTTCTTTTGCATAGGGGTATTTCTCAATTCCACCATTTCTCGGGGTTTAGGATTTATCCTGCCACAATGGCTCCGTCACAGCCCGGTTCGGCAGAAAAAACGATCCGCAAAATTGATATCGCTCAGGTAAGAAAAAGAATCAGAAGGCAATGCCTGCCCCTTGAGAGTCGGTCTTGGCTTTGGGTCCAGATGCTTGCTATGACTGCACCTGATTGTTTCCAAAGAATCTTGCTCGTGATGTAGACTAACCCTAGATTCTCTTACACAGGTTTCTCTGAGTCTGCAGGATCGATTGGGGCTTGCCAAACTCAAGTACCAGCACGGTCGACTGCATGGCCTGAACCCGAAGCAGCAGGATGGTCGGCCTATGCTTGACAGCGACAAGCCTTCCGACTCCTCCTCTGTGTTCTCACGCAGTCGCTGCGAGACTCCCTTCACCTCCCCTCCCCTCCGAGCCTCCACCTACTCCAAGGAGCTACCTCGATCCGCCCGCAATAAACATGCCGCTACCTTCAACTCTCGAGTCATGCAGCCAATGCTGTCTGCCAGTCGAAAGCGTATTCGATCTGACTCAGATTCCGAACGTCCTGCCAAGGCACCCCGGGTTTCGTGGAAGAGTTCTTACCGACTGCCCGAATCCTCTCCAGGCATGAACCGACACCATTCGACACGAGGCACACAAGCAGCCTTCATGTCGGAGGCTACAATTCCAGAGATGTCCTCACCTGTATATCCCAGGCCGTCGGAAGAGATTGATCCCGATCTGCCAGTGCACAGTTTCCGCAACATGAGCTCGATGGTAGGCTCCTCGCCTCCACGAACCCCTCCTCCCAAGCACATGCGACTGTCGCGGACCAACCAACCTCAGAATCACGAAGATGGCGCGGATTTGTTATTGTACCTGGCCAACTCCCCTACCCCCGCCCGGGTTGCAAGGGGCAACGCAAACCATGCCTTCCCACCTTCTACCCCTCCAAGCCAGCACGCTGTTCTCGCAGGCATCACCCCCACACTCGGCGCCGGCATGTTTTCCAACATCACCACCCCGAACCAACAATTCAATTTCGCCGATTTCGTAAATGTGACACCTAGTCCAGCTCAGCCAACCTGGAGTAGCCGCACTCCTGGCAATCCCACTCGCACACCACTTACCGCACACAGGAAGCGATTGAACTTCGATGCTCTGGTTCCCCCAAGCAATTCAAGCCCTCGGCTTCGAGGCAAGGAAACCGGCCTGGCCCTTCAGCTCGGAGGTGAACTTCACCCTTGAAACCCTGTGTTTCTTCATCTTCTCTTCTCTGTCCATTTTTTCTGCCTTACTCCCTCTTAAACTCCGTTGACGACTTTCTTATGATCATGTTATGTACACATTGTGTTCATCCCCTATGTAATTTGCCCTCCACCTGGTGCAGAGGCTTCTTTCGAGAACATATCAAACTCTCGACTGCGAAGACCCCCACCCGGACTTGCATCCACAGGCGTTTTTTTTTTTTTCAATGCTTACTTCCAGTATCGCATTGCCTATCATTCATGAAGACCATGTGTCTCACCTTTTCTATGTCATTGTACGCCTCGTCGGCAATTTCACTTTTCATTCCCATACTTTGTCTTTGCACCCAACCTGTCTTGTTTATGAAACCCTGGACTCCCGGATGCCTTTGATGGGATTGTTTAATATATCTGCATGGCTCTTGTCTTGAACCTTGGAGATGGAAGAGGAGTTGGAAATATGTCCATCGTTGAGAACATATATCTCAAAGCACATACATGTTAACCAACCCAGACATCCCGTTGTTCATACAAACTGTTGGCCGAACTCAATTCGAGCAGTGACATAATTATGTATACTGCAGTAATCCAGAATCGTCCCCACGAAACTCCCTTATGAGATCTACATCTTGTTTCTTATCTACAGGCCTCCGCAACAATCATACCCACAATTTTCCCCAGTTCCACAGTCTAGCACGAGCCTTTCCCCATGTCTCAAATCACTCCCCAACAAGTCCTAATGTGCGATGCATAGTTTTCCCTGGACCACGTAGGCGACCCCTCATTCTCGCGTCGTCCAATCCAGTCGCGTCTTTTCGCGTCACTTTCGCGTTGTAGTCCGAGGGCTATTACACCAATCAGAAGCCGGGCTGGTTGGTGCAGCGAACATGTCAGCAACATGCATTCGGCTCTCCGGTCCATCGATGACCCGTGGATGGTGTCATGACGTCATCCACCGTAGAGCCGCACGTAGGATATCCAATAGATACATGTATTGATGGGACTTGCGTTCGCGTTGACGCGCTCTATGAATTATCAACCCGATAGCGGAGCCACACCTAGGTACCTAGTTCCATTGAGGTTCCAAGGTAATTTACACGAACCATAGAACCATATACCCTCAGAGTTGGGTAGCCAAATTACTCTACATCCTCATCGCGACCCTCGGCTTCGACACCCGCACGCTCTGCCTGCTTCCGCCACAGCAGTGCTAGATAATCCGAAGTTGTCGCCTCATCTATAGACTTATCCTCGCGGACTTTTAGAAAGCGGGGGAAACGTAGACTCAAGCCTCGTTCTTCACTGACCAGTCCGATGGCAGCCGGGTATGTTGGGCTGAGCGTGATATCTGCGAAGGCCATTTCCCACACCTCCTGTGGCTCGAACCACACGTCTGGTTCGCCGTGGTAGTCGACGTAGCTGGGGCGGGAGATGACATTTGTGCTGTTCTGGGCGTACTTGTCTTTATTGGATTGGTAGAATTTGTCTGTGAAGCCGGACATGCATTTTGTGACGGCTTCCAGGGAGCCTGTTTCGGGATTGCGCACGGCGAGCAGGATCGGAGACCACCACTTTGCTTTGCGGCCTTGGCCGTGCCACCCGGCTACGGGGATTAGGTCGAGGGTTTCGGAGGAGGCGCTGTAGTCCTTTTTTACTTTGAGCCAGGATTCGAGGCGTTTGTCGGGTTCGTAGGTTGAGAGGAGGGCTTTGCGGCGAGTGTTTCTTTCTTTGGGTTTCGGGGTGTTTTTTGTCGGTAGGTCGTGGACGGGTTGCTCGGTGTCTGCGTTCGAGAGCTTGGTAGGTTGAGTGGTGTTAGGTTCGTTGTCGAGGATCTTGACCATGATGCCCTCGCATTTGACGTCGGTCGCGGATTTGAAGAACTCGAGCACGGCATCGGAATCGGATGATGTTGCGTCCATGCTCTTCACCCAGGTAAAGTGTTTGGGGATTTCCACGAAGAGGCTGCGCAGTAATTCGCGACGTTCTCGAAAGGGGCGGTCGAGTAAAGGCTCGCCATTGAGGTACATGAGATCGAATGCGAAAAGGCACACATTGACTTTAATATCGCCAAGTTCGACGTTCTTCTTCGCACGATTGGTCAGGACCTGAAATGGTTGGAGGTCACCAGTTTCACGGTCCACGGCCACCACCTCCCCCTCCAATATAAAGCTGGAGACACCTCCTCCCCGTATTTCCGGGACTAGCGATACAAGATCTGGGTATTTCTCTGTCATGAGCTCAAGATGGCGGGAGAAAATAGACACTTTTCCTTGCTCATCGCAGTGGACCTGAGCACGTTGTCCGTCATATTTATACTCGCAGCTGAAATCTCGTCCTTGAAGCTTCGTCAACATTTCCGACAGATCGCGTGTGATGCTGCCCAGCATGGGTCTTAGTGGGATGTGCATCGATAGCCCGCATCTGACCAGAAGCTCTTCAGTCGGACCAATATCTAATAGGCAGGGCACCAAGTCATTATAATCAGGATGTCTAGCGTATGACGCTTTGACAACTTCTTCCGCATTGCTGTAGATTTCTGCAAGCTCGTCCTTTTTCAAGCGCGCAAGTTGATGCAGTGGTTGGACATCGAAATTTGCGCCAGCGGGTTTGGAGTATAAGAAAGCTCGTGCGAGAGCAATGAGCATCGTCGTCTTGACTGCGCCAATCCGCAAATTTTGAACCAATGTCCGAACAATGTATCGACTCTCCTCAGCACCTCGTGCATCTTGCAGGAGCTTCTCAACAATTCTCTGCTTGGCCTCTTGGCTACCAGGCCCTTTGCTAGTAGCGATTTTCACCAACGATTGGTATACACCCTTGATTCTTAACGGCTTGGGTTTGACCAGAGTAAAGGACTGTCGCTTCTTGGCCTCAAAGGCAACGTCCCCTGCATCGCCGTGTTTATCGTAGAGTGTCTTGAGTCCTTGGCTATTGAGGCCATATATCTTTTTCAGTGCCTTGGAAATAGAAGAACCGCCCAGACCTAGCTCTAGTTCATCGTATGGGGGTGATATAGAATTAGTTGCTAGCCACACGGCAGGCAGAATACTTGATGGGTCCCCTTCAATGAGCACTCGAAGAAAGTTCACCAATGTATCGACGATCTTTATTCGACTGGTTGTCGCATTCGCCAGGACAAAGGCTCTCGTTAACAAAGCATATGAGGCATCTCCGCCTTCGGCTGCCCAATGCGACCGTAATTCTGCTGCACATTGGCCTGCGTCGAACGTCTGGGGGTTTTGGTCGAGCGGAATTGCGAGAGATATTGTATCCTCTGTACCGGCTGATGACTGCAACGATAGAGTGCTCTTCTTAGGCGTCAGAGGCGCTATCTTGGGTGAAATAGGCGGGTTTGGTATAGATAAAGCTCGATCGATCTGTGTATCTGCTTGTGTAGGCTTCGTAGAAGTAATACTACTTTCTTCCTCGTTCCACTCAGCTTGTAGCTTGCGCGCCAGAGCTTCATCGGAGAGAGTTTGCTCAGTGACGTTGGGCTCTGTTGTATTGGCTTGTTCGGGCGTCGGGCCTGGTGTGAAGAACGACTTAATACTGCGTGTCGGCTGCGGCGGTGAATTGGCACCATTTCTCTTTCGCTTTTTGGCTGGACTGGACATAATTCAAGGTGTAGTGTGGGAGCTTCTGGTTGCCACTGCGGAAGACGTCAGTCCAAAAGGCGGAGATCAACTGTTCGCAACACCTTGCGCTTCCGCAATTCGGTTTCTTTCTCCAACTATGGCGTCCCTCACGGATTTGTCTTCGCATGAGCGAACTCGAGTCGAAGATTATTTAAATGACAAGATCCAGGTTTCTGCCGATCTAGAGAGTTTAGACTCGTTGCTATCCAGTCTACGCGCGCAACAGGAGCTTCAGCGGAAGCAGGTACCGCCCCTCACAACACCGACATTCCCATACACAGTGCTAATACAACCTCGCCACCAAATAGTTAGCAGAAGCCAGTGAAGCACTTTCGAATGCGACAAAGGCCTCTAATGACCATGCCGAAGCAACTCGAAAGCAAGCCGAAGCATTCACGGCGGAGCAAGCGGACATCGACCGACGGCTGAGGGCTATCACACAATCTGAAACTAGCGATGAGGCGGTACGGAGTCTGGAAAAGAGCATGGAAAAACTCCAGCGACTTGAGTTATCCAAGGGATATGTGGAGCTGCTCAAGGAAGCCGAAGAACTGAGGTAATGCCATATTCACCAACGATGAGGGGCCGAATACTGAGACAGTCATATAGCAAGAAAGCTTTGGAATACATCTCATCCGAGCCACGAGCTGCTTTGAAGCCGTACTCTCGACTCCGAACCATCGTCGGGCTGCTGAAAGATGCCCAGCCTGCTGCTGAGGGAGCGGCCCCCCATCTTGTCGACTATGTGGACAAACTAGCGTCTGCATTGAAGCAACAGATGAAGAAGTACTTCGGTGATCGCTTGCAGAAGACCTTGGAAGAGTTGAAATGGCCAACACGACAGCTGAACATCACCGACCAGCTCTTAGCTCGATGGAGGCAAGATGTTGAACTGTTGATCGACCTGCAATTACCGTATGACCCATACCTTCATGTCCGAATGCATATTCTGACAAAGGCTATCACAGTGAGCTCCAAAGTCGTGATGCACTGGCTTCTGGCGTGAGCCTCGAGCCACAAGTGTTGTTCCCATTAGAGGTCATGGTGCATACTTTGGATCTTCGATTCAAATATCACTTCAGTGGCGACAAGCCAACAAACAGACTCGACAAGGTAACATGATATTCTGTTTGCAAAAAGCTCACTTCTAATCCGATTAATAGCCCGAATATTTCCTCTCGCATATGATGGATCTTATCAACCAACACGGCGGGTTTTTCGTGTCTTATCTGCAGCCCATCTTTGACGAAAGAGCCGAAACAGTCGGATCAAGCCTGGAATGGAACTTCTACAACGCATCGCATAGTTTCATTACTGCATTGCTCCCGATGCTGATACAAAAGATCACCTTGTTTCTTCCTCAAATCGCGAACTATCCCCAATTGCTCAGCCATTCCATTCATGAACTGATGAAGTTCGATAATGAGATCCGAGAGACATGGAACTACATGCCAGATCCATATGCGGATGAAAATTGGAAGGGTATAACCTGGGAGGTATTGTCCAAACAAGGCTGGTATGATCGATGGCTTCAGGTCGAGAAGGACTTCGCTTTGGCACGTTACAAAGATATTATCGACACCGCGGACAGCGGAGAAATTGATTATGATGGCATGGAGGTCACAGCAACGAAACCAACAAAGGCTGCGATCCGCGTGAACGATCTTCTTGAAACCATCACCGAGCGTTACCAGCCTCTATCGTCTTTTAGCCAGAAGCTGCGGTTTCTCATTGACATTCAAATCACAATCTTCGACCAGTTCCACGATCGTCTTTACTCTGCATTAGAAGCCTACGTCGCGATGACGTCGACAATTGGACGCACTGTACAGGGAGCTGATGGGCAAGCCAGCGTGGAGGGTGTTGCGGGGTTGGAGCGGCTTTGCAGGGTCTTCGGAAGCGCCGAGTATCTCGAAAAGAAGATGGAGGATTGGAGCAACGATGTATTCTTCGTTGAGCTTTGGTCTGAGCTTCAAGACCGGGTTCGGCAGAATCGAGATGGCGGCCGGAACGTGGCTGGCACTATGTCAGTTGCAGAGGTAGCCTCACGCACCTCGCCCTGTGTCAACGGTACCTATGGCGCGGCCTCATCTGATGGCGCTCTCTTCGACGAGACGGCATCCGCCTACCGTCGCCTCCGACTCCGCTCGGAGACTATCATCATATCCACGCTTTCCTCCAATATTCTCGCCGCTTTGAAACCCTACTCTAAAGTATCCACCTGGGCGTCGTTGTCAACACCTTCTGCTACGTTGTCTCCTCTCTCACCCACTCCTGATCTCGCTCATGCAATGCGTACACTCTCCACCCAGCTCTCTTTCCTCTCTCGTGCACTGGGAACTGCGCCTCTCCGGCGGGTCTCACGCCAGCTCCTGCTGTCTGTCCAGGGCTATATCTGGGACAGTGTCCTGACTAAACATATCTTTTCGGAGACTGGAGCTGCTCAGCTTGCTAGTGATGTCGATCACCTCTGCTACGTTGTGGATTCTGCGCTTGGGGCTTCTAGTCCCGAGGGTATTTCAATGCAAACCATCAAAAAGCTTAGCGAAGGATTACGTATACTTTGCTTGAGTACCGCAGAACAAGAAGAGGACGGCCCTGCAAAAGAAGATCCACCTTTAAGGCTATGGGATGTGGAAAAGCGTTTGTTTAGGGACAACGAAAGCGCACGAAGTGTGCTCGCTGAATTGGAAATCGAGTCTTTATCGGAAGCCGAGGCTCGGTCTGTATTGGAACGCAGGGCTGAGATTGGCAATTGATAGCTTTGACATCACTATAGCCAAGATATTCCTTGGCATAAATTCATTGCTGCTGCTCAATCACCGTCTGTTCTACAGCCTTACTCCGACAATTCTTGCCCGAGCCATCCACCCATCTTATCCCTCGGGCGTTAATTCTATATATGACCCTTTACATTTGCCCTATATATATTGTATGTCGTATCCCATCTCTCGTGTCCGTAAAATCTATATGCGCAAGCAAAAGCACAAGAAATCCAACGCACCTTTTTAAGCATGGTGCACAACAGGGCCGTGTCCATGCTCACCAGGTCGCTTCTGGGGAACAGTCGACTCGCTTGCCTTGAGAGACCCAACGATTTCAGGACCAACTTCTTCGATGGCGCGGACAAGTGCATCGACGGTCTCCTTTGTGGTTTGGACATTCACCACGCAGCGGAAGAACTTGCCATTTCCGACCGCATCTTCATCCCCACTGGGAGGCGCGAAGTCCACCATGAAGCCCTTAGGCACGATAGCATGGGTCACTTGCTCAGTGACCTTGCTATTCTTCTTCCCGCGCTGTGTCTCATTTGAGACGATGCCGCGCGGGTACACGGACTCCTTGCCCGGAGCATAGTAGAAGCACACCTGCAGACAAGGAGGGGGATTCTCGCTAATAAGAACAAAGTCGGGGTGTTGGTCGATGGTGTTGGCCAAGTGAGTGGCAATGCTGCATGCCGAGTCAATCTGCTGCTGGTAACCCTCGTTACCGTAGTATGTCCAGCCCAAAAACAGCTTCAAGGAATCGGCACGTCGACCGCATTGGAGAGTAAGGTCTGCCAAATCCCACACTTCCGGTGACTCCACCTCTAGTTCCGTCTCTCCGTTTGCGTCGCCATTGGTGGCGGGCTCGTCTTCATTGTGGAAGAGATATCCCGCAGGGAGAGTGTTGGCCTTGTGGAACTGGCGAAGATCTGATGCTAGCAGGTATGAGCAGGTGACAGGAACGCCGAGCATCTTGTGCGGGTTGATGGCAATACTGTTTGCTTTCTCTGAACCGGCTAGCTTATGCTTTTGGCTCTGCGAGAAGACAAATGAGCCACCCCAAGATCCGTCGATGTGGAACCACATGTTGTATTTTTGGCAAATGGCCGAGATTTCGTTGAAGGGGTCGAAAGAGCCCAGGACGGTAGTACCCGCAGTGGCATTGACATAGAACGGCGTCCGGCCTTCACTTTGGGCCTTCTGCACCAACTTCTCAAGCTCAGCTGGAATCATACGACCGAATCTGTCAATGGGAACAGGCCAAACGGCACTGCTTCCAAACCCAAGCATCTGCGCCGCCTTTTCCACACTATAGTGGCCGTGAGCACTCGTGAAGAGCACGAACTTGTACCCGCCATTGCCGTCTGCTTTGGTGCTCGGGTAGAGGTTGTTGCGTGCAATGACAATGGATGTGGTGTTGGATGCGGATCCGCCCTGCACAGAAATACCTCCAGCCCGGGGACCGTTCAGTCCGAAAAGGTTCGCCAATCGCTGACCAGTAAACTTCTCAATAACCGTCAGGGCGGGCGAGACCTGGTAGACATGCACATTGGTGTTCAGAGTAGCAAGAATAAGCTCTGCTGCCACACCAGGGGCGTTGGTTGACGCATACAGCTTGTCCAAAAAGCCCTGGTGCCAGGTGTTGACCGAGTATTGCAAGACCTTTTGCAAGACCTCAATCAGACCTTCTTGCTTTGTACCTTTCTCTGGAATCTCGAGCTGAAGAATGTCCCGCAGTTCTTCGGGCTTCTTGTAGTCTACCAGTGATGTCCCGGCGAGTCCAGTGTGTCCGTTGGTACCGTTGGTGGCATTCTTCTGTGCTGAGACGCCGCGAGGATCTTCGTCTGCGGATCGAATAAAGGGAATCAGAAGCTCTTCGACTGCTTTCAGAAGCTGAACACAATGCGTATATTAGCATAAGAGCCCTGATCAGAGAATCCAGCGGGGTGCAGATCATTGCGGGATGGAGTTGACTCACGCTTTGCACTTCTTCAGCGCGGCCGGTGGGTTGCGCAATGCCTGACATTTTTACAAATCTCTATCCTCTGTGGCCTATGTGTGGGAATGCGAGAACGGCCTGGAAGATGTCTATGCCAACAAGGAAAGAATAGGGAGTCGAAATTGGGAGAAAAAACTTTCCTTTGCGGCGGTTTCGGAGATGGCGACAATCCCGCAGAGCCTGACATCATCCGCGCCCTAAGCAGCTCCTAGGGGAGATGCGATCTATACTCATGTTTGAACCTGGGTTCCCAATTAACCGTCTATATGTGATTCAAGTATCTATCGGGGTAAATCCATGGCATATACCCTGCAGATACATAATATGCATCCCAATGAATAAGAATTTTAAGATTCGGGCGGACCTGCAGGAACCCGCAAGCCGGTGCATTGTTCCAAGATTGCCCCATGAAACTATACAACTTTACAATCGAGTACAACTTTGCGCTGAGAGTACTCCTACAATATTCAATGATCTTGTCCTTTTATCGATTTGAAAAAAAGCCATTGGAACCCTCGTAAATGTGAAGTTAAGAAAATACAATTGAATAGCTGGAAGATACTCCGACGCCTTTTTGTTGGTATGGATACATGTGCATTTCGTCCAATATGTAGATTTGTATGGCACCCAGCCTCACTACAGCTCTTTATTTGCTAGCGACTGCTGTCTGGTTGGCACCAGTGGCACCAGCCTCCTTTGCTTCCTGGGCTGCTGCGTACCGGGCTCGCGCTTGGTCGAGCTTAGACTTAGGGCGTTCGGCAACTTCATTGCTCTCGTTCCGCTCCTCAAGGCCCTTAGCCTTGTGGGCCCAATCGCGTCGACGACGTTTGAAGAGATCCATAGACCAGTTTCGCCAGACTGCACGACCAACAAAGGAATCGCGGAGCTCCTGTTCATGCTGCGAAAGTTCTTGCGCCATCCGCTCCTTGACGAAGAAGATATCCTTGGTGGCGGACCAGAGCGCGTCCACAACGTGTGAGCCGCTGCTGCTCAGGGCGAGGGGTGTGAGATGGCCCTGGAAGCGGGTGGTGAGCTGTCGGCGGATTTGAGGGGTGGAGGTTGTGGAATTAAGGGCCTGCTGAAGCACGCGGGAAGTGGTGGGCTCTTGAGCAAGTTGTACGATGGTCTCGGAGGATTGGGCGAGTAGACTTGTGTAGACAAGTTGGCTCATCGGGCCTGGAACGGTCAACATAGCCTGTACTAGCAGAGAAGCATGCAATTTCTCTGATTTCTCGGCCGCAGACATCGGAGGTGGGCCCCGCGGCTTGCGATCCTTTCCGTCGGTATCTTCATCCATATCATGGTCTTCAGATTGTGGGGCAGTGTTCTCTGAGATGTTGAACTTGAGCATCTGCTGAAGTCTGATAATGGGATCTGGGCTATAAGCAGCCTCGAGTGCTTCGGCAAGAGGCTTTGTGTCAACACCACGAACCACACAACGCTCAATCAAAACCTTGGGGACGATAAGTCTCGACCGTTCAATGAGGCCAGTAACTTCGGGGATGATGTTAGTCATGGCAATTTTCAAGTCATCCTTGCCAAGTCTTTCCAACATCCGAAGGACTACATAACCAGCAGTGCTATTGCGCGAGAGAGAACCAATTCGGTCACCCAAGTTGTTCCTGTAAAGATTCTTGAATGCTTTACCGGGAAGGTAACGCACCATCGTCTCCAACAAGCGAGAGCCAACCGGATCATAGAGGAGACCACGAATGAAGACCGAACTTTCGGATTCTTCCTCAAACGAGTCATCGGGAACCAGTCTTCGAATGGTCGACTTGGGATTTTTGGCGCTGGACTTTCCAAAGTGAGAGAGCTCCAGGAACAGAAGTACCTGTAGGACGGGGTTTCCAACTGGATGGGTAGCCAGAGCGCGGAGATAAACATCGTCAAGACCAGCAATCATATCGGTCATGATCTTCTTGAGTGCCGGCTCAAATGACTCTGGAACCTTGTGCTTTTCAGCCTTAGACTTGTCCACTTTCTCCTCGCCCTGAACGGTGGGGATCTCGAGTCTTTCCTTCTTGCGACTCGCGACAAACGACTCATTTGATGTGACATCCACCGGCTCGCCTGCAAGGACCAGCAGGAGCACACGGATTGTATGCGACGCAAATCGTTCTGTCAACAAATAACCCCAGTTTTCCTTCAATTCTTCAATAACCGTCATGAACATCTCTGCGATCGACAGTTCCGGCTCTTCCTCTCCATTTTCCTCCGAATCTTTGGGTTGAGGCTTCGTCTTCTGCATCATCGCAGGCGCAGCGTGAATGAAAAGTGTTTCACAGCAATGACTCGCGAACCGGTGCTGCACTAGGTGGAGGAAGTGGCCGATGAATTTGCTGAATATGCGGCGCAATTGCCGAGCGTTTGACATCGAGATCAATTTCTCCATAAGTCTGGAACATCCCTGACTACAGGCGATCTTCAACTCCTTGCCACTGGCTTCCGAGTAGACACTGTCGACAAACAAGCTACGCTCTTCAGCGTCCTGGAATTGGTTCAGCTCCAACATTTCGTTGGCGCGTGAAAAGTACTCCGACTCCTCCTCGTCTAGAAGACCGTAGAAAACCATATCGCCGTTTTCTTCAGGTCTCTGACCCTCCTGCTCTTCACCCTGGTCGAGGGGAATATAGTCCGCATTCTCCTGAAATTCGGCGACACCGTTGGCTGCGTCGGTCTCGTCTGTCTCGTCGGCGGTGGACTTCAATCGCTTCGCAACGGGGGCGTCTGAGGCCTCCTCGAATTTTCTCTTGGACTCATCTTTCTCGGCCTTCTTCTCGGCCCTGCGGCCTCTTTTTTGTTGTTCGCGAGGCATTGTGGCAGTGTGTCGTGAGGAAGGCTCAAGCTGAAGCGCTGGAAATTTTTTGGATAAGCGGTGGTCCAAGCGTCTCCGCGGCGATAGATGTTTGGTCAGTTTGCAACTGCCACGGTTCTAGATTGACAAGGAGACAGATGGAGGGAAATATTATAAATGTGTTTCGTATGGCATCACTAATATACAAGTTTATTTTCTGTTTTTACACTGCAGAGTAAATGGCAGAGACATGGCGGCCACATTCAACACGCTGTTCCATGTTCACATTGCGCTTCCCAACCTTGCCCTTATGACGAGGCATAATCTGCAATCGCGCTTCAGCCTGGGTCTTCTTATTCTCGGGTGGTGCATTGATGTGGGTAGGTTTGGACTGGTTGCTTCGCTTTCCTGTTCCCAGCTGGAAGTGCTCGTTGCCTCCCCACCAGAGTGCGTCATAGCCCCAATCTTTAGATTGATCCAAGGAGTCCTTGGTGTTTTTGCTGACGCTAGTCTTGTTGTCCAAGATAGCAGAGACATGTGTTGTGCCAACAGACATGGCCCGAATTCGGATAGGGGTCACTTGGTTGGTCTTCTCGTCATATTCGTTCATACCACTCAAAGATTTCACCTTAGTGGGAGAATCCTGTAGATGAATCCATTTGCCATTGCCGAGAGTGCCCCAGATTCCTCTGCCACACGACCACGTGTCAGCAGTGACATTGCCCAGATCACGAACATCAGCGGCCTCTTCCTCAGGACCCAAAACGCGTTTAGCATCAACGGTGAAGAAGGTGTTGGCGCCACCGGCAGCAATGCTGGTAGCCTTGGTCAAGTATAGATCCCTTTTATAGAGTTTTCCCACCTTCAAAGCGAAGGGAGCATCCTGGAAAGGCCTCCCGGGCTCGAAATCCACACCCAATTGACCAAATGAGTTATCGCCAAAGCCAAACACACGACCATCTTTGCTCAGTGCAAGCGAGTGGTAGTCTCCAGTGGCAATCTGAACAATCTTGGCGCCCTTGAGCGCTGTGACTTCATGGCAGGAGTCTGCTGGTCCCTTGGGTCTGGTGGACCAGGTAAGTCCCGCCACACCAAGTTGACCAAGGGAAGGATAGTTATCGGTGGATGATGCTGCAGAGAAGACTCGACCAGAATTTGTGAGAAGAAGCACATGTTCCAACCCGCCGCTGATTGTAGTGACCTTTTCACCCAATTTCAAGGATGGACTCAAGATACGATAGCTCAGATTGGCCTGACTGCCCCAGAATGGAATCCAAGAGCCTTGTCTTGGCTTAGGTCCGGTGTTCTGCTCATTCTTAGATGTGGGCAACGAGTATACTGTGCCATCTGAGGATAGTGCAATGACTCGACTTTCGGACAGAACGACTGAGATGAGGTTCTTGCCCGTGAGAGTCGGTGTGGGCTGGTATTCTGACTCCGAGAAAGCATGACCCCACTGAACCAGGTCTCCATTCTCGGTGATTGCCGCACCAGCCTTTTCCTCGATCTTGAGATCTCTTAGCACCTGACCATTAAAGTATTTGAAGCGCCGAGGAGTCTTGATATCGGTGTCTTTGGATCCTGGATCCACTACACGGTACACGTTTGAGCCCCATGTGTAGACAGCAGGACTTTTCAAGCTTCGCTTTTCCTGCACAAAATCGACTCGGAGATCGTTGACATCAATGGCAGCCTTCTTCGTAACCTCCGGAGTATTTGACCAGGGCTCCTTTCCCCCATCAGCCAGGTATGAGTAGCCCAGAAAAGCTGCAGTTCCAGTCACTGCAAATCCGAGAGAATTGCGGATCCAATGCGATGATGGACCTGGCTTCTGTGATCCACTGCTCGCAAATCGAGACCATTGTGCATTGAATGGCCGAGTCGTCGGAGTCCTGAGAGGGCGTAAAGCAAGAATGGATTGCGTCGCGGGCCGGCGCATTCGGGTTGACAACATTTTGGATGATGGCCGTATTACCAGCTAGAGCATACCAAAGCTGCAATTGTGAGATTGTATCCGGGGAAGCTCCATATGCCGCGCTTGTGATTTGTTGCAGTAGATCCAGGCGGGAGCTCTTGGCAGAATCGATCTAAAGGAGTTGACCACATCGCATTTCGGTTTCGACATCTAGACCGGTCTAAGTTTCTCTCTGAGTAAATCAGTAGAGAGATATGCGCTGCAGGTTGAGTCCGATTATACCCCCCGGGCCTTGACTGAACCATGCCTTCCACAAAGCAGCAGCGTGCCCGCCGCCAGACTGCTCCCTCCGGCCCGCCGCGCAAACCCACCGCCAGCGAAACTAAATCTAGCCTCCAGGCACTGGATGAGACTTCGCCTGCCTCTCTTGAATGGAGAGCACCTGGATGGAATAATGAACTTGAGTTCTCACAGTGGCTCAATGGCGTCAAGGATGATCTGATTGAGGAGAGCTATGATGAGTACCAGTACGATCAACTTGGGACTGTAATCGGATGTTTACTGATGCAGTTCTCACTAGAAACTGCTTAGATGAACTTGAACAATCGAAGGAGCACATTGACGAAATATTAACGAATACCCTGACCCTCTTGGATGACCTATCCAGCTTGTCGGAATCATTCAAATCGGTCGAGACTCAAACATCGAACTTTGAGAAACAATGCGAAGGGCTTCTGTCTGCCCAAGAACGGGATACAAAGCTTGCCAATGGAATCCAGAACAATCTTCACTATTATGACTTCTTGGACCCCGCGTCGCGGCGTCTCAATGCTCCCGGTGCGGGGAATACAGTCCGCGACAGGGACTTTTCAGATATGCTGAGACGTCTCGATGTGTGCTTGGATTATATGGAAACACATGTTAGTATCTAAGTCATAGATTTTGCCGCGCCTATCGCTGACATCTTTGCAGCCGGACCAAAAAGAGGCAGAGGTCTATCGCTCTCGGTATCGACTGCTGCTAACGCGTGCCTTGACGCTTATCCGCGGCAACTTTGTATCTGCACTTAAGGATATTCACCAGAATGTCTCCAAGAAGATTTCGGATCAGCAGTTGAATGACACAGCCTTGTCGGCTCTTCTGTACGCCAAATTCCGAGTCGGAGCGCCCGAGCTGAAGCAGATTGGGGTTGAGATTCAAAAGAGAGCTGTACCACCGCTCAACCCGGACCAAAATAATGAGGCTGAATATCAAAGTCTGATGAATGAACTGCACAGCAATTACGCGGCTACCCGTGCGAAGCTGATCATTCCACTCGCCCGCAAGAAGCTCGGCGAAATCTCACAGACGCCTAGTTCATCCAAGGATCTTGTTGCCTTTGCTCGAGCCAGTATCAGCTATATCCGTGGGCTGTGTCTAGATGAATACGATCTATGGGGAGAATGGTTCCATGGAAAAGGAGGTTTGTATGACTTCCTCGAGACGCTATGTGAACCACTCTATGATCATCTTCGTCCCCGAGTTATCCACGAATCCGACATCGTCAAGCTATGTCAGTTGTGCAATTTATTACAAACTCGCTACTTCTCGGACCCCGAAGAAGAACTGGAACAGGTTGAAAGCAACCATCTCGACTTCTCTGTGTTGATTCAGCCGGCTTTGCAAGATGTTCAGGCCCGACTGGTCTTCCGTGCTTTGGCTGTTCTACGCGACGAAATCGAACGATATAAACCTCGACCAGAGGATATCGATTACCCCATGCGCAACCGACAAGTATCTCTTACCGTCTCAGATACTCAGATCTCGGGCAAAAAGGACACATCCGCCGATACATTGATCGACATGACCGCCAAACAAGGCGATGATACAGGCGAATCCACACAAGAAACAGACGGGAAATGGGACTTTGAGACCCAGACCGCCCTAAAGGGCTGGTATCCAACACTACGGAAAGCAATCTGGCTACTGAGTCGGATATACCGTTTAGTGAACGTAAGACGCCTGCCCTCAATCACCCTCTTCATTCACCCCTACTAACCATCCCAGTCCACCGTCTTCGACGACCTAGCCCACCAAATCGTCCACCAAACAACCCTCTCCCTCCAAAACGCCAGCACCCTAATCTCAGCCAAAGCCACCCCAGCCGACAGCCAACTATTCCTAATGAGCCACCTCCTAATCCTAAAGCAACAAATCGTCGCCTTCGACATCGAATACGTCTCCGCAGAAGTCTCCTTCGATTTCTCCGGCATGACAAGCACATTCTGGGAATTGCGCGAGCGCGGCGGCCTCTTCAACCCACGCAACCTAATGCGCCTCGTCGGCCACGGCCTCATCCCCCGCGTCGTGGAGAACATGCTCGACGCAAAAGTCGAGTTAGACGGTCGTCTTCGCACGGTCATCAACGACTTCATTAATGCCTTTGCTGCTCGCATGACCGCCTCATTACCGGCTAAATTCATCGATGCCCGGAATCTGGCCCGCGGCGAACTCATCCTTCCCTCTTGCCGTACCATCGAGAAGGAAGTGCCTGGGCTGCGCAAGGTCTTGAATGAGTATATTGATGATACGCGCATGAAAGAGACGCTGGTTGGTGCGGTCCAGGATCGCACTATTCAGATCTACGAGGATTTCTTCGAGAAATATACTTCCTCCGAGAAAGGGAAGGGTAATTTCGTCAGTAAGAAAGGAAAGGGCCGGGATGATGCTGTTTGGGATGTTAATACCTTTGCCGAATGGTGCGAGGGTGTGTTCCGCGTCGGCGTCACTGGCTTGCAGGGTGATATCCCCGAGGATGATGACGATCTCCTGAGCACCGGCTCTTAAGCCTCGCCCTTAATTATTGTGATTTTTTTTTTGACCATCCGCATCTTGAGCATAGATACCATGTGGAATTAAGCACTTTTGTACCATGTATAGGCATAATGATTGTATGCTTTTTCGTGAAGCCCGAAGCAAATTACTTCTGTAGTTTCTAGGGGTAATAATCCAGCCCCCTGGTAAATGTGATTTATCCACAAGAGAAAAAGTATGTACAGCTGACCGGAAAGTCTGAAAAAAGGAATTCAGACGACAAATCTCGCTTCAAGCATGTCAAAACAAAGAAAAGGGTATGTGCAGTCGATAGAAGAACGTGCAAAGTCACCATAGTTACTCCGAGCTCAGTGAAAAGAAAAAAGAAAAAGGATAATCGAGCTGAGCACTCAAAGAACATCACGAATCTTCGCATACAATTCCGTGTCTAGGAAATTATAGTTCGCATCAGACTCGCAGAACGGATGGCGCGTGAGCAGAGTTCCAGCCGTGGGGCGCTCAGCCGAGTCACTGGGAAGATATTAGCAAACCCCTGAAAAAGTCCAATATCAGATGAGAACTTACATTGTGAAGCAGTCGTACATGAACGCGAGAGCTGCGGGAGTGATGTTCATAGAAACATCATCGGGAATCGGCGGGGCCTGACTCAAACTGCCGAGCTTGAAGATAGCGCCGATGGCTTCTTCTTTACTCCATGGGCGACGACCAGCAAACATCTCCAACACTACACAGCCCAGAGACCAGATATCGACCTTGGCGCTGTAGCCCTGGCCCTGGGATTGGATGACCTCCGGGGCCATCCAGAAGACTGAACCCTGCATGGAGTTGGACGAGTCATTGCCGTAGATGTCGTCTGTTTTCTTTGAGATACCGAAGTCTGAGATCTTGCAAGTTCCATCGAGATCCAGGAGGATGTTGTCTGCTTTCAGGTCACGATGGAGGATTCCCTTGTCATGCAGATATGCCAATCCGCCGAGGGTTTGTCGGGTGAGTGATCTGACGACGCTTTCTTCGAACTTGCCATGCTTGCGCAGACAGCTTCCGACAGAGCCACCGGAGATATACTCTAGGTAGATGGAAATGGAGAATTCGCCACGCTCGCAACCAAGATATTGCACGATGTTAGGATGTTCGAGGTGTTGCATTGTGTCGATTTCTTGGTCTAGGGCGGCGACCATTTCCTTGATACGGTCTTTGTCTGCGCCTGCAATGCGTGGGTTGATCTCAACTAATTTCACGGCCAAGACTTCACCATTGTCCGCGTTCATGCCGAGGTATACACGGCCGTAAGTACCCTTGCCGATAAGTTGACCGCGGATGATGCGGAACGTAGGCTGTCGCTGAGGAACAGGGCCGGTATTCGACGCCATCTGGAGATTGTTTTGTGGGATGGGATCAAGCTGGCTAAGCCTGGTGCCGGGTCGGGGCTTGATTTGCATGATCTTGGCGCCGAACATCTTCGTACTCTTTCGGCGCAAGAGATCACCCGAGCGTTGGGGGCCAGCAGCGCTGACGCTCTTCGTCCGGTTCGCACCCTGGGCTACCTGTCGGATGGATTTCATGCGAGATAGCCCACCGCCACCAGCGCCACTACGAGCAAGTTTCTGTCGAGCGAAATTGATAGGTTCAGGCGGTCGGACGGTGGATGCATCGGCTGCATGGGAGTTGGTATTACTAGAGGCTAGATGTGGCAGGGGTGGCGGGATTTCCTTTTTGTCTTCGCCATTTGGAGCTCTGGTATTGGGCGACGGGGGTTCATCCAGATAAGGAGCGTCAAGGTCAACGTCGGGGAAGAAGTCGTCAAGATGGTCGATAACGCCTTCGACCGCAGGTCTGCTTGCCCAGACATCTCTGGCAAATGAGTCGCGTCGTGGTAATGGTCTCTCATCTTCAGGCGACACTGGTCCCCAGGTGCTGGAAACCGGCTCCTTTCCATCTGATCCATATCCGCTAGAACTGGGACCGGCAGTACTTGGAGATTTGAATCTGACAGACGGTTTGGGTCCGAGTTGTCCTTTCGTGTTCACTGTGAGCGAAGGCCTTTCCGACTTTCTTTCAGGTTCGGCTTGCGCTACTGCTGGTTCTTCCTTGGCCCTTGACGGTCGAACTTGGAACAAGCCATCGTCGGAGTCATCATCTGAATCGTCTTCGGAGTCTTGTTGTGTCTGAGGAGTGCGCTGGAAAGAGACTTGGTTTTCTTCAAAATCGAACTCTGGGCCAAATGACTTGCGGGTTTGCAAGGCCGGTCTTGGTGGGTCATCAGAAACAGGGTTTTCGGGTGATTGATTGGCAAACGAGACTGGTGGATTATCTTGTTCTATGGCTTTTGAAGAGGGCATCGAAGAGTCTAGTGGACAGTTAGCAAACGATCGATCCACCCGCAAAATGCTCATGAAAATACTGACCTAGAGTCGTTCTACTTGAAGAAGTCCCAATGGAGTCAAATGTTCCAGCTCGATCAGAGTCCGAGCTTGCACTGTCTCGGGTGATGGGCGAAGACTTAGAGACGACTGGAACCGAAGGTGCTGGCGTACCGACAGCGCTTGTTATGCGGCTAATGCTAGCAATTGCAGCTCCCAGCGACGGCTGGGCTCGGGTTTCACGAGTCTCACGGGTGGGTCTCCTGCTGAGAGAGTTGACTTTGGTAAGAGTGTTAGACTCGATTGGAGCCATTGGAGGCTTGCGAAGTGGTACAAGTGTGTCTCCCTTCTTTTCGTCGTAAGGCGAGATACGAGGGCTATCAAAATCGATGATTTTGTTTCGCCTGTACCCAGTGTCACTGTAGGCATTTTGATTGTGCTGACCAAGTGGTACTTTAGAAAGCAGGTATTGCTTTTGCTTTCGTTCCACATCGCGGAGGTGTTCCTCGTGGCGGGTCTGCAAGTCTGCATCGTCAGACACAGGAGTTTGGCTTGGATCTTTTGTGATATCTGCCGGGGATGTCTTTGCCGTAGAGGCTTTGAGGGTGTTCTGCCGAGAGCCTAGCAGTGGGGATTCCGGTATGGTGCGATGAGGTGATAATCTGTTAAGTGCTTCTTCATCCAGCGGTTTCCTGTGGACTTGATGAGGGGTTGCAGTTGGGGACATGTTAAGCCCTAAGCCATCTATCCGAGCAGTACTGGTTGGCATAGGAAGCATCGGGATTCCCCGTACAAATAGCTTGAGAGAACCGTATGCATCTGATTTATTTCGACGCGAGTGCATCAGTGTCGCGTCGCTCAAAGCATCTTCATGCTCGCTCTGCCCGGGCTCGGTGAGGTAAACCTGGGCACTGGTCGGCTCGACACCTATGGTTTGACAAATTCCGGTACGTAGGGACTCAGCAAACTCCATATCTGATATATCGATCAAACGGAAATTTAGACCATCCGTGGTCACAAAAACCCATTTTTTTGCTCCTGTGCTAGCCGTGGATGGCCGCTCACCGACCGACATGTCGCTAGAGTTGAAACTGGGCTTTGAGTAAGGGAGATAGGCCTCATTCGGACGAGTCTCCGGGCTCGTCGTAGGTGATGAATCCTCATGTCCTTGATCGGGAGATGGGTGGCTGGAAGTTGTGATTTTTGTTTTCTTCTTCAGAATATTAGAGAAAAAGCCCTTGGCATGTTCTTTGGAGTACGAGGAACCAGTATGGTCACTCCATTGCCGACCAGAGGCATCTTGGGGGGAGGGACGAGTAGCATCTTGACCTTGTCTACGGTGTTCAAAGTCTTGACCTTGCCTACGATCATAGTACCGTGGTGTGGCGCCACGGGTGGAACCAGCGATCGAGTCCGTGCTGTTGCCCCGAGAATGCTCGGGTTGTCTCAAAGTCAGATCTCCAGTAGACGCTGAAAAGGATCCTGCATAAGCAGCCTGCATGGCTGGGCTACCGCTTTTCGGGCTTTCTTCTGGGGGCCGAAGACTTGATGCCTGAAAAACGCCCGATTCGCTGCCAATGGACGGACTCTGGCGTCGATGGTCATTATTGATCCCCGCCAGGGCATTCCGAGTATGTTCAGACCGCGGATGGTCACCCCGTACCCAGGTTTCGCGCGCTGGAGATTCGTACTTCGGCGAATCGTGGCCAGCAGACACGGGCATGGTCACAGACCGCTGTCCAACCTGCTTTTGTGCCGCATTGGAAGCATGCAGGACATTGAGATGATCTTGACTCACATCATTGACACCGGGGATAGGGCCAGCAGAACGTGGCTCGTGATGGGGGAAATAGGCAGGATTACTCTCAGGAAACACAGCCGCCGGCAGCTGTGTCTGATTGAGTGGCGTCGAGACGGTGAGATCTTGGGGACCATCATGTATTTGACGGATCAATTTGCGCATACGCTTTCCTTCATCTCGTTCCCGACCAGGTTCCCATTTTTTGCCACTTTTGCCAACCTCCTTTGCCAATTGAGGATATACCACTTGGTGCATTTTCCCAAGGTTTCCTCGCCCACCGGCTCCCAGTCCCAGCTCGAGAAAGTCAGCCCCTTGGAGCTCCAATGATTTGAAGGTTTCCTGCCAATCATTGGAGAACGCATTTTTCGCGAGCCAGAGGAGCACCCGATCCAGTGGCCACTGGATCGCGGCTTCACTGTGAGACAGCCCACCTAGCGAAGCACTGCTATTATTGTGGCGATGACTGGAGGTCTTGGTAAGCTCAGTAGTTGGAGCTGTCATTTGCTGTTGCGGACTGTCGTTGGACGTCAATTCATGGATGTTGCCATGAAGAGCGTAAGGTGGAGCAATAGTGCGGCCACCCGGGGTCTGTGGGAGGGTTGTATCTGTTTTGTACGGGACTGAAGTATTGATATGATCCTGCATTTGGCTGAGACCCAATCGTTGCCTCTCGGCATTGGCGTGCGCGTAGGGATCGTACGGAGCTGCCGCTCGTCCGTGGGGGTCGAACAACCCGGGAATACCGACGCCAATAGTATCGTTCCCGGGAATGTATGTTGCAGACGTCAAAGCTTGATCATGTCGCGGAGGAACGACCGACAGCTGAGTTGGTGGACGGTTGTATGTCAAATGCTGGTTTGGTGCGGGGGCAAGAGGCGGCGGTGGTGGGAAGCCCGTATTCAGCGCCGGTCTGCTCCAATTTTGCTGCCATCCTGTCGGAGCTCCATAATTCGCCCCCGGGGGCGGACCAGGAGGTGGACCAGGAGGAGGTGGCGGCACCAGCGTTGGGGCCTGTGAGGGATGTCGCGGCGGAGGCCCAGGTAGGTTCATGTGTTGTGCTTGAGAGGAAGGTGGGGGTCCCGGGACATACTGCTGTCGTCCGTCCATTATAAAAGCCGATGCACTGGATCTGCAGTCCTTTTTGGAGTGATTGTATGCCGCTGTCTCGGCGGCGAGACCCAGGTGTCTTTCGGGCGGGGGTGTGTTCGGGGTTGTTCAGGTATGATCATTAACGCATCATGCTGGAGGTCCCAGGCAACAAACACACGGTCGGGTCTAAGATTGGAGGGCTGAATGGAGTATAGTTATCGCGATGATCGCTGCACTCGTGGGGAGCAGGGATAATACGAATTCAGGTTCTCGGTACGTGCGTTGACATGGTTCGGTTCGGCGTCTCCGGTATTATCACAGCGCTTAGGGTTGCGGAACGGACGGTGGTCGCGAGAAGGTTTGATAGGAGTCCAGGCAATGGCAAAATAAAGAAAACGGGGCAATCTGGGCTCCGGACTGTGAACTCAGTATATAGTTGCCTACCAAGGAGCTTCACAATGCGATTGGGCCGAAAGATCCAAACATCGGACGGTTGATAAAAATGCGCAGTGGAAATGCAGCACCAGCCACAACTCCTTACTTCCGACAGAATCTGGAACAGGTGGAACTCACCACGCACTTGATGAAGGGAGGAGATCCGAAATGCCCTTTAGATTGCTTTGATGCCTCGGTCACGTGGCTTCTGTTCCCGTGGGGCTGTTTCCTTGGTTTTCCTCTGTTCTATACACCTTGAACACGATGATCAAGGTACCTACGACAAGGTCAAGACGATAAAGAGGACAAAGAAACACAATGGTCTCTTCGGTACTCCGTATTCCGTACTGTTTTGCTCACTCTTTGCATGGGATACCCCCGAGACCCCCATCTGCGGCCCTGTAATCTCCCCATCTCCTCGTCGGTGGCCCGTGACCACCTGTCACTCAGTCTGCGCCAATGACAGCTCTGTGGCGTCGGTCCAAGTTGGCAATTGGTGATTTGGCCCTTAGTGTCGAAGTCACTACGGAGTACGGAGTATAGCGAAGTTGATCAAAGGGTCTCTCCTATTACAGCGCATACGCAGTGTTGTCCTTCATACCCCATGGCCAACACACCTCACATTCCCCCCCTAACCCCCTACAGAACAAGAGCCGAAAGAATATACGGAGTACTAATTTGAATATAATCTAAAAGGTGGCACGGAGTATGTATTTCCATAAATTATATTCCACTATTAATTTCAACTCGCTATTAATCTAAGAAACCCCTAGCATTTAAGAATTATTTCTGAGAGGTCATAAATGACCATTAGACACATCAAGCATTCAAGGTTTTATACAGGAAGACTCGTGTCCAGATCCCGATAGCCTTCCCCAGATCTAAAGAACGGTACCCTTGTTCTGCTCCTTGTCAACTCGGTAGTGTCGCCACACACCGATACACGGAACCGCAAGGGCAAGAATAGCCGTCGCAGCAATGCACCCATACTTCTGACTGTAACCATAGGCGAAGTTGATCGCATCACGTTCCGGGGTACCGGGCAGATACGTCATCTGGGTGACCCAGCCACCATCGTAGATGGTGGACCACTGGTCCTTCGCACTATCCGGCAGCGCATCCCGCAAGCCCTGAGGGAAAGTGTTGGTGTAGATAGCAGCGGAGACGGCGTAGCCGATGGCACCGCCCAAATTCGAGAAAAGCGAGACAAGCGAGATCATCATGGGGATACCTTCACGGTCGGAAGCGCACATAACGGCCATCTGCTCGCCAATGACCAGCATTCCGCCGGCAAAGGCAATGAAGATCTGGCACATGATCACGTATCCAATGTCGGCGTCCGAGCCGCGGAAGTGGATCATCAGGCCAGCGCCGAGGGTCATGAGGGGCAGTGCGAAGAAGAGACAGCTATACTTGAACTCCTTCGTGTAGCGGATCCAGATACCGAAGATCGGGGACCAGAAGCAGGAACCCACGGTGTAGATAGCGGTCATGTAGCCAGTCATCTGAACGTTGAGGTTGTACACGACCATCACAAAGTAGTAAAAGTATAGATCCCAGGAGTAGAAGCTGAAATAGAGGACCGCCGACAGCAGGCAGGCACCAAGAACGGTACGGTCCTTGAAAAGCTGATAGGGGATGAAGTGAGTGCGGGTGAACCACTTTTCCCAGGCTGCGAAGCCGAAGAAGAGGAAGAAACCAACGATCAGGGGCGCGATGAAAGAGGCTTCTTTATACTGGGCACGGCCGTTGCTAGCCAAGCTAAACGGAAGGAGGAATAAGATAAAAGCTGCCATCAAGATGAAGGCACCGATGACTGTAAAGCGGGTTAGTACTTGATTGATATCAAAAAGAGAGATCTATCTATACTCACTGTCAAACTCGTGCAAATAGTAGACAATCGACTGCAGAGTAGTGCGGCCGCTAACCGGGCGCTGTAAAATACCCAACTTCTTGGCCTTGTTTTCATAGTACTTAAAGACGACAGCAAGAGGCAGGAAGACAAACGGCATAATGATGGCAAAAGAACCATAGGCCCAACGCCAGTTCGAATTCTCGAGGAAATGAGTAGCAGCCAAGGGACCCGTGAATGCAGTGCAAATGAAGGGAGTTGAGGCAAAGGCAAAGGCAAAAGCACGGTTGCGCATGCCCGTAGTATCGGCAACGAAGATATCCAGGATGATATAGATCGCGTCATATCCAACCCAGTAAAGAACGTAGCCGGCAGCGTAACTTTCAGGGTTGTTGCAAGAAGCGAGAATAATTATACCAAGAACATACACGCCTGTGAAGATGACCAGACCTTCGGCACGTCCCCACAGGGTCAAGATCTTTCCAACGGGCAGCTTGAGAACTCCGCCGACGATGCTTGCCAGAATCGAGGCTGTGGCCACCTGGGACGCATCCTGGAATTTGGAATAGGCATAGTAGAGAACATTGGAGCCAATGGAGGAATGCAATGCCAGCATGAAGAAGCATACCCAGATCCTGTGGGTGTCAGTGTCTAGCTTACCCGAGTTTCCTCTGCTTTTCCATGGCACTTACCAGGCATAGATCGCAAAGACAGCTTTCTTGTTCCAAACCAGAGCAACGGCCTCTGCCTTGCGCACACCATCTGCGATATTTGCGGTAACCTTGTCGGGGTGTTCCGATATCTCTTTCTCCGCACGATCCAGGTTGGTTGGACCATCGTCTACTCCAGTGTGCTCCAAGTTGAGATTGGACTTTTCATTTTCATGAGTTGGGCGCAAGTCCTCAACTACTATATTCTCCTTCCGGCCACGAGTCAGGTTGATGACACCCATGGTATATAGGTATTCCTTGGTCCTTTTCGTTTTCCAGACACGAAGAAGAAAAGACAGATAATATATGGGGGAAAGAAAGGAACTCCACGGACGACCCGGGGGTTCTAGTTATATACATACATAGGGAGGAAACACCAGAGCCGATTCCGGCACTTGACAGGAACTATCAAAGCTAGCCATGGAGTCTGGCTGAGACCTATTGCAGTTAGTTGCCTAGAGTGGGCACCAGAAAACGGATCAGATAACTGATGCCGTGGCATTTAGACTTTAACAACGGTCTATTTAATTCCGGACCCAAGCTCAACGAATGAGACATTCACCAATAAAATGTTTAGCTGTATCAAATTGAGACAATCCCGTGCAATGATTGGATTATAAGTGGAAAACGGGCCCATCGGTCATGTCCGGCGACAGTTTGGTTAGAAAACGTGAAAAAAGCTAGCTCCCTGACAGTAGCAGCTGATCATTCGGGACTGGACATTCTGCTTTCAAAGTTTGCTCGTTCTCACCAGTATATACCGTAAGACTAGGTACATGATGTTGCATTCAATGGTAAAGACACATGGTGCAGTAATATCAAGAGATCTCGTACAATCCAACGAGATCAGCCCACATAGGTAAAGGCCTACTTAAGTTCCATAGACTCGCTATAACATTCCACCCATGTCATCAGGCGGGAAACCGGGATCAAATCCAACCGCCTATATGGGAGGCCACGGGTTGATCTTGATGCTCAGCCCCGAACTTGCTCTTTCAGCCCCGGCCCACCCCGGGCCCGGCATCGGCACAAGGATACCACGCGACATTGACTCGGTATCCATTGGTTCTTACAAGATATAACAAGAGATCAGATGAAACATCCATGGATACAGCTAGCATTGTAGGAATGCTTGAGTCATGACCTCTGACATGGTCGCCGGACATAGTGTCGTTTTCAATTTCCATCTGATAAGATGAAAATTATCAGATCAAACCCATGGGTCCACTGGGTCGCTTTCCAAGGTTGGTCAGTGTATTCCCTGATCTCAGCACAAGAGCATCGACGTTCACTTCTCAGATGGAATTGTCACTGTGCCTCTGGCGCTCGGAGTAAGGTTTATTTTTGGCTTAGCTCTTTTATTTTATCCTATTGTTGTTGTTATAGGCATATTTTTCGTCGTTTGAGGCTTGTTAAATCTTCGGCTTTCTCTTATCGGTTTGCGTCCATGCGTGCCGACAGCCTAGCGTGGGTCAAATGTTCTAGAACATCCAATGAATGAGGAAAAGTGCCGCGCATCTCATGACTCGAGCCATATATCTCCATTTTGCCGAACGGCGAGATCTGGCAAGCGGACCCCGAGACATTTTCCATTTGAATCCTTGGAACGGCCATTTTCTACCAGGCTGCTAAATTGATTATCATATCTAGCCCAGTACTATTTTACATAGGCTGCTTTGCTAGCTCCAGTTCCAAGATAATCTAAAGCAAGAAGAATTGGAGAGAAATCTACAACAAGGAATTTAGGCTGAGTTCCCAATGTTATGCAGCTTTAGCTTTGGGGCACGAATGCTTATTTCGACATGACATGTAGAGACAGCGCTAAAAAATACTACAGTCTCGGACTATGTAGCCGAGGAGGCTGAAGTGGCGTGATGGAACCATGTTAAGACTTTTCCAAGCTTACTATGGGCCGATTATTGGAACCTAAATTGCAACCCCAACAGACTCCGAAAATATACAAGACTTGAAAAACGCTCATTTCGTTCCATTTCGTGATTGAGCAAGGATATTCGTTCAACTCAAGATAACGAGTGCTATTAATTTCCGCCGATCTGCGGCTCCAGATCCTATCACTTCGAAACAAACGCCGTAAAATGGAGGAAATAGACCACCGGGTGAAAGATCTGCCATTCAAATATTGCTTTCACGTTGCTGTCATATGCGTCGTGACATTGTGGCTCTAGTCACAATGGATTATCGTGCTTCAAGCGGCAGCTTTTGCGTTGCGCTGCGCAGCGGCCTCAGCGGTCAACTTCAAGCCTGCAGGGGCGTCATCGCGAGGCATGTACAGTTCGACCAACTAAATGATGCGTTAGCAGAAATCATAGGGAAACTTGAGTTGCTTGGTGCTTACCCGAAGCTTATCGGACACGTTGAATTCCTGGTCGGCGAATAACTTGTGGAGCTCGTCGCGAGTCTTGATCCGGTAGCCCTGGTAGTTGTCCTTCGCTCCGAAGACCTTGGGAATGTTGGCAAAGTCCCAGGGCTGGATGTCGTTGTATTCCGCATCCCATCCGTGGATGTATCGCTCGATGGTGTAGCCTTCGTTGCAGATCACGAAGCTAAAGATAGTCAGTACGTGGTAGATATGTCCCAAGTAGAGTACTTACATGATAGGGTTCAACTTATTCTTTAAGATCGTGCTGATTTCCTGCACAGTCAGCTGGATGCTTCCATCGCCAATGAAAAGAATGGTTCGGCGATCTCCCGTCTCCTTCGCGGCGAGAGCAGCTCCCTGGCAAGCTCCCATAGAGTAGCCAATGCTGCCCCAAAGGACCTGGCTAATGGCAGTCACATCCGCAGGGAAGCGGGTATCCCAAATACCAAAGTTAGCAGTGCCAGTCTCGGTAATGACGATGTCCTTTTCCTTCAGCCACTGGCCAATGATCGGCCACACCCACTTGTGGGTAATAGTCTGATCGGTAGAGGTCTGTTCGCTCTCGGGCAGTTTGTTCGTGAGCGTAGGAATAGAAGCACGGGACAGAGACTCCAACTTCTGCACAACCTGTCGTAGAACACCCTTCATGTTGATATTGGGGTACTCGGAGTACCGCACTCGCACGAAAGTGCTGTGGAAGTCAATGGTGTTCAACTTTCCCATGCGATAGGTGAAACCAGTAGTATTGAAGTCAGACTTGATGGCTCCAATGCTCAGAATGAGGTCGGACGACTCAACAGCCTCACTGACTCCGGGGTTGGAGCCATTGCCAGCATAAACGCCGCCGAAGTTTTTGTGGTTCTCGTTCACGGCCCCCTTGCCCATCGGAGTCACAAAGGTTGGCAAGCCGGACTTCTCCACCAAGTCGTGCACTTCATCCAACACGCGATGACGAATGGCACACGCATCAACCAGAATGATGGGGTTCTTCGCAGCACGAAGATACTTCATAACGACATCAACGACGTAATTCTCCTTCTCCGGGTCATTCTTGGGCAGTTCAAGATCAATGGGCGTCTTCAGGCGATCACCGTCGACCTTGGCGGCAACTATATCCGTCGGCAGGGTAACGTAGACCGGACGACTATGCCTCCAACATTCACGAATCGCACTGTCGATCAGAGTCGCTGCATCATGGGGATTGTTCAAGCGTGCGACATAGCACGAAATGCCCTCGCTCATTTTAGTGAAGACATTAAAATCACCATTTCCGAGGGTATGGTGCAACAACATGCCATCCTTCTGAGACTGGGTGGTGGGCTGGCCAACGATGTGAATGACTGGAACAAACTCCGAGTATGCGCCGGCAATGGCATTGAGGGCGGACAGCTCTCCGACACCAAAGGTGGTGACGATGGCACTAATACCTTTCACACGTGCATAGCCATCGGCCGCGTATCCTGGAAGCAGATGTTAGATCGAGAACAGATTCCTCGGGGTCCAGTCCCGAAGTCTGTCTTACCGGCATTGAGTTCGTTGCAGTTTCCAACCCAGTTGAGGCCACACTTAGGCAGGTAGTCCAATGCGGCAAGATTGTAGTCACCAGGCAAACCATGGAGTGAGCGGATTCCAACCTCATGTAGACGTCGGAAAAGGTATTCGGCAACATCAATGGGATTCTTGAGCTCCCGAGTAGCAATATCTGTAGACGCCATGATGAATTAATGTGTTAAGGAGATGAAGAGAGTGATGTATGGAAGAAGAGAAAAGACAAAGTGAGAGGGGTAAGCAGACAGATAAAGCAGCCCTGGAGCTATTTGGAACTTTTGTTCAACGGCGTCCCAACCGGATGGAGTGCTGGTGAAACAAGTCAGTGACGTAGTCACTGACTTGATGTCATGCCACTGTCCCACTGAACGACTTATCAACGAAAATGGGAATGTGTTGATAAAATGACATCTAGACACTCTACGGAGTACAAACTGCAGAGATAAGCACCAAGCTATTATTTTTAGTTGGGAATAAGCTATGGTACGATGTATAGCCATACGAAGGTGAAGCGCTCGTAAGTTGTCGATCACCGGCTCAATCCAATCACAGCCCAGACCGGGCCGATCACACAAAACTCCGACCCCGCCAACATTTCTGGATATCAGACCCAGTTTGATTATCTATTCCATGGGGAAAAGAGCCATGTCTGAACGGTCAAATCACTCTGCAAAGAAGAGAAAGGTATGTATTTACGGAGCAGAGCCTTTCAATCCTACTCACTGTTGGTTTTAGGGTGGGAAATGGCAGAAGCAGCAGACAAGTCGCGTCGGCATTGAATCAGGCGATGTGGGTGTCTTTGTGACATGCGACATGGGCAAAGAAAAAAATGTCTGACGGAGGCAATGGATATCTTCTCTCAGGTGAGATAACCTTCCGTTTTCCTATTTTTGGGTTTTTTATTCTTTAGTTCTTTTCCCTTCAGGGTCATTAGTACAGTTACACTAACTTTTGTACCAGGCTCTTGAGGCCGATAAGGAAGAGGAAGAAGAGCAAGACACCGATGATGAAGATATCGAAGCCCAGATCCGAAGGGAACTGGAGGGCCTACAGCCTAGCAAAGACAAATCGCGTCAATTCAAGCCCATGCAGATGGACATGCCATGTGGTAGGTCTCCGGTGAATCCAAAAAACGCCATTCGCTTATGCGCTCGGCCCTCAAAACGCGCAATGGTGTACTAATCATCCCTGATAGTGACATTCATGCGTCTGGATCCCTCAATAGACCCCGTTGCGCTAGTCCACCGTTTGTGTACCGAAGCGTACGCGAACCCAGAGACTAAGAAAAGTCGATATATTAAGCGCATGCATCCAGTCACGTCTGTTCGGAAGACTCTGAGTGTGGATTTGGAGGCTTTTGCTAAAGAGATTCTCAAGCCCCATTTCCATTCGGGAGGGCCACCGAAGACGGTGAGTTGAACCCCTCCCTATTGGGCACCGAAGATCCTACTGATATGGAAATCCCCTAACAACGCATCTTGCCGTAAAGGGAAATGCACGTTGGACGTTGCTGATCTTCTATCTATTTAGTACGCCATTCGGCCTACCGTGCGCGGCAATTCAAAGCTCAACCGGGACATTATCATCAAGGTCGTCGCTGACGTTGTCGGACCTGAACATCCGGTGAATTTGAAGAACTACGATCTGATGATTCTCGTCGATGTTGCTCAGGTGAGAAATGAAACACCTCTTCGAGTGGATTTGTAACTGACCCATTGCAGAATGTTGTTGGTATGAGTGTAGTTCAAGGTGATTATGATAAGCTGAAACGCTTTAACTTGGCTGAAATCTACGACCCTTCTCCGAAAGAAGAGATAGTCGCCCCGGTCCCCGAATCTAAGCCTTAGTTGCTCCGTACAATACCTCATATATGCCTTCTACAATAGGCGCAACCCACTTGAATGGAATTCCACGTTGTATAGTGCATACTATTTTCCTTATTGCCGGTCATCGTAACTATATATCTGGGTGATTGGTTTCATTCTGACATTAAGCCTGTGGAATGTTGAAAAGGAACTCCGACGGAAATGTTTTGTTGCTTTGGAAATTCGGGGGGAGGGGTGGGGGTTCTTATTTGTTCAACATAGTAGTTCTCGGCCCAGAGGATGTAGGAATTTGATCAATCTCCAGTGCGCTGGGAATGAATACGGGCTCAATCTTTCTTGGTCATCAGCTAAGGTGACCTCGGGACAATATACTCCGTGCCCGTAAGCGATGCCGACATGTCTTTGATGATGACGCAACCAATTATATCCATGCTGCGAGCAGACTACGCTACACTTGATTCAAATCCCCGTTGTCTTTGCTCAATACGAGTTGGAATGACCTTCCTTGACCCCTTATTGTTTCGCCTAAGATGCCAAACTAGCTAACTCGGGCCGCAACGTGAGTTAATGCAGCCACAAGCCGCCCGGGGTGGCTTTGGCATGGATCCCTCGTTTTGATATCGGCGACATATTATATCAGCTATGGGGTGAGTTTCACCCGACATGGGATGTATCAGATTTGGGAAACAATCCGAGCGCGGATATGTATATCCTTGGGCCAAAAGGGGCCTAAGCCCACGGTGAGGGTGGGACACGACTACGGAAACCTTGGAATGACTTGCATTTCACCTCAGAGATCAATATTTCCGCGGGCCTGCAGGGCAAATGGCGGAGAAACAAGTCGGGTAGAGTGTTTCAGAAGATTCCAGCAATCAGAAGCGAGGGTTCATAACGGAAAGACCGATAGGGATTAGCTCTGGAGAGACAATGAAGATAACCGAAACAAAGGGCTCGGGGGCATAAAATAGAACGCGAAGGGTCAAAAGAAGTCCCGAGAAGATCTCGGACTTCTATTCCCTGGGGACTTCGGCAAGGCGCCGTTGTGATTGGACGGGGGGTCCAGGTGCTCGGATGGTGACTTTTCTGAGAGCGGGATCCTTAGGCGAGCTGGGCTTCACTTAATTTACTTGATCTCCATAATTCGGATTAAACGGCCAATGTGACAGCGGCGTTATTGGACCCTCGCTTGTGAACGCTCTCTGAACCAAACATCGTCTTCGATCTGGACTCCGCAATCAAATTATCGTGGTCAACCTCGGATAACAGTCCCTTTCGACGGCCCCGTATCTCGCGTGGACAGTCTTAAGTGGAATTATAGCGCGAACATGCCTATCGTGGCTTTTGTTTAACTGCAGATGTTACGTAGACATCCCACTATGGCGCTCTGTCCCGTTGATGTGCAACAATGTCTACCAAACACGGTTCCCTAAGCGAATACTTTATCATTCTGGAAGCCATCTCCGTGATGCCAAGCCTGATGGGAGTATGTTTTTTTTTCAAACCAAATACTCTTTCGAGATATAGTTGTCCTCTTGACTCTGAAGGTCCATGGGTCATAACATGACAGTCTGGCTCATATATCATCCCCTATCAGCCTGTCTATTTCCCGGGTTTAAGAGTCGTTACACCCTCGCTTATATACTATCTCTCCTTGTTGATCGGAGCCTCCTCATCGGATAGATCGTGATGCAGCAATTTGACGTGAAAACATGGTCCACCATGCCATCCCCCGGGGGAACGAATAGTCACGACGGGGTTTTCTATCGGCAGTCCCATGCTCCAGAGACAGACGAATATCATAGGCTCGATGATGTTCTCTCGCGGTTATTTCCTTCGACGGTCAATGTACAGCACATATATCCAATCCACGGTCACATTCATTCACTACGGTTCCTTACTTTGTCGAATGGAGCACATCTGTTGCTCAAAGGCTCCCCGTCCTCAAGGACCGCTCTACTTCGACGTGAGCGGTCGTTCCTCGAAACCGAAGCCCAATTTCTGTTTCTTCTAGGCCAGAGTGCAAATCCTTGTATTCCCCAGCTGTATCATTACGATCCTCATGGAAGACTCTGGGGATCTGCCTATTTGATTCGGCAGTATATGAAAGGGAAGAGTCTGTCGGAAATGGAGGGCGAACTCACCACCCACCAAAGGGACGGGATTGATCGTCACTTGGGCTTCTTGGTGAGCACCATCGGTCAAAATGCAGCCCCTGGATTTGGCTCTTTGCAGCAAGTGGCGTATGGCGCTGGAAGACCCTCCTGGAGAGAGGCCTTCTGTGCCTTATGCGAAGGCATTCTACGCGACGCCGAGGACATGTTCATCCATCTTCCTTACTCGGAGATCCGGCACGAGGTAACTCGTTTGGCACCTGTTCTCGAGGATGTATCGCTACCGCGTCTTGTAGTTGTGGATTTTGGACGACCATCCCATGTCCTATTGAACGAAGAATCCAAACAACTGTCGGGCATTGTGGACTTCAGCAGCGCCCTATGGGGTGATGTATTGATGGCAGAGATTTTCGCCAATCCTTCCCCAGCAGTCCTGCAGGGGGCAGGGATGTCGTTGGCCAGAACAAAGTCGGAAAACATACGGCTGGTCCTGTACGTGTTGGAAATACCGTTTCACTTGATTGAAATATGCTAACCCCTTTCTTGACATAGGTATGCGTGCTACCGACTGGTATCCCAGATCACCGTGCAATATTATCGAAGCCGAGATGAGACGATCGAATTTGACGCACGGAGACGACTGACAAAGACTATTGCGGAAATGACAAGACTTGACTTGACATAGACTGGCATTCTGCTGTGATAACTGTTTCTCACACTGGATGTGATGCCAAAATGATCATCGTTAGACTAGTTCTGTTGCATAGCGAGTTTCTTTCAGCGGGGCCCCATATATAGTTGCATGTGATCCGGAGTTCTGTTCTTTTCGAGAGTGATGACATCTTTACAAAGAAAGGGGCTCACAGAGACAATTGCATGATCTTGACATAACATGCATCGATATACTCCGTACTCTGTATTTTGTCTGTACTGCGTACTCCGTAGAAGATCCACAAGGAGAATAGGAGAAAAGAATGAAGCTGCCTTAAATGCCAAGTTGCCGTGCCGAACGATAGGGCGGAGCGGGGCAGATCCGTGTTTAGCTTCTCCATGGCGTCAGTCCTTGTCTCTCCGCACTTTTTGACCGCTTCCACTTTTCCCTTTCGCCATAACCTACTACGGTTTTATCGCAGATGGCTCAGTTCCTGCGCGGAAAGCAAGCTGGTATCCAGAAGGACCTGTCTGAGGGCTTATCCCCGGACTTGTTCCTCCTGGACGATGTGAGTCTTAGCATCCCGGGCGTCGTCTTTTCCGCAACTAACTTGTCTCTAGTTCGCACGATGTGGCGTGAACTCACAGATTAGTGCTATCGCATACAATCCCGTACAATCCCTTATCGCCGTCGGCACCAGCGATACTTCATTCGGCAGCGGACAGATCTACGTCTTTGGACAACGGCGGGTCTCGGTGGTCTTCGAGTTCCCGCGCAAAGCATCCGCGCGGTTCCTCCAGTTTTGCGCCGACAAGCTTGTTAGCATCGACTCAAAGAATCAAATTTGCGTATACTCTCTGGAAACTGGGCGCATGGTGGTCTCCTATGCGCCACCCGGCCAAGTGACTGCTTTGTTAACAGACCCTAGCTTGGACTATGCGTTCATTGGCCTGCAGAATGGTCGGTTCATTGCCCGCGGGAAGAAAAGAAGCAAGGATTGACCTGTTGATAGGTGAAATTATTGCGTATGATCTCGATCGAGAGTCCTTGACGCCGTTCAGGGTTCCGAACTTGTGGTTGGAACGCAACCCTCGCGCGAGGTTCTTCCCTGTTGTGTCGCTGGAGTTTTCTCCACGAGATATTGGCAAGATTCTAGTGGGATATCCTGAGGGAGCGGTGACGTTCACATTCAAGCAGAATATCGCTCAAAAGTTTTTTGTCTACGAGATTCCTCCCGGGGCTCCGGGTGGTGATTGTCTACCGTCTCAGGACGTGCGCAGACCGAAGCTGAAGAAAGCAATCTGGCACCCCAATGGAATCTTTATTTTGACTATCCATGAGGATTCCAGTCTAGTCCTTTGGGATACGAAGGACGGCCGTAAACTTCATGCACGGACAGTCCAGACACCCAATGTCGACCAGCCAGGTGCTGGTAGACCCGGCTCGCCCGGTGATGATACTGGACCCAAAGAGCCCATCACAAATGCCATTTGGTGCGCTAAGGACAATACGGACGAAACTGGTCTTCTGGTGGCTGGTGGTCGACCACCAGGCAATCAAACCAAGGGCCTCGTTTTCCTGGATATGGGCCCAACCCCCAACTATCAGACTTCATCTTGGCAAATTCTGTCTACTTACCTCGAGCGACCACGACGACAAATGAACCTTTCTGTCCCACCGGGAGCTAAGGTTGTCGATTTTTGCCTCATCCCTCGATCATCGCCTTATTTCAATGGCGCCCATGATCCCATCGCACTTCTTGCTATCCTATCCTCGGGTGAAATTATCTCTCTTAGTTTCCCCAGTGGACACGCAATCACTCCTACTAATATGCTTCACCCTTTCCTCACTTTTGTTCATCCCTTCGTAAACAAAGCAGTGCTCACTCCCGTTGATCGGTCAGTATGGCTCGGTCTGAGGGAGCGCCGTTTGCAGGGACCTAGATTTGCGGTGGGTGGCAAAGAAGCAAAGAACCCCCTCAAGCGTTTTGAGAACCGCAACATCATTTCAACCGCGCATGCAGATGGAACCGTCCGTATTTGGGATTGTGGACATGATGATGAAATCGAGAATGGCGATGTGGTTCAAGTTGATCTTGCCCGTGCCATAGGTCGAGTCAGCAGCATTGAAGTAACCGAAATGTCTCTCGCCAGTGGCTCAGGCGAGATGTCCATCGGTCTCAAAACTGGAGAGCTTGCTATCTTCCGATGGGGCAACAATTCCTCGTATGGACGGGAAGATCCTCCTGGTGCTAACCAAGGGCCAGGAAAGCTGACTCCGATTACCCAGCGAACAGACCCTGGTCTGAAGACAGGAATGCTTCCACTCACTCTTTTGGATATGCAACAAGGTCCGGTGACAGCGTTGAAGCATGGACAGGTTGGATTTGTTGCCGCCGGCTACCAGGGTGGTGCTTTGGTTATCATTGACCTGCGAGGTCCCGCGATCATACACACCGCCCATCTGTCAGAGATTCTCAAGGCACACAAGCGGAGTGGTTTCCGCAAGAGCCGTATGTCGGAGGAAAACCAAGCAGAGTGGGCTACTCAGATTGAGTTTGGTGTGATGACCTTAGACGGTGAAGGTACGCATGATTCGGGCTAGTATACCAGAGAAGTATACTAATATACTAACCTTTCACTAGACTACTCAAGCATCTGCTGCTTCGTCGGCACAAGCAGAGGAAATGTGGCAACTTTCAAGATTCTCCCTGCTTCCAATGGCACATATGAAGCTGCTTTTGTTGGGTCCTCGTCAGTTGAAGACGCCGTTATTAACATCATTCCCATTGATGCCGACTCTGGGGGTCTTGCTTTAGCCACCCCAAGTGCTGTCGGAGGGTTGAGAACTGGTGTTAAGGTCAATGGTGTCGTTATTGCTGTGACTGCATCTGGCTGTCGCATGTTTAAGCCCCCAACAGCAAAGGGTGCCCATAAGTCATGGGAGGATTATCTCTGCGACTCGGCAGCCGTCGTCAAGACCGAAGGACGGGGCTACAGCTTGGTCGGTCTCTTCGGCGATGGCAACGCACGAGCATTCTCGATCCCTGCTCTTCGAGATATTGGTTGCGCCAAGATTAGCCATATTGCAGAAATGCGACGCCTTTCGGAGGCGTGCATCACCCCTACAGGAAACATTATGACATGGGTGGGCCCTTCAGAGATAGGATTGTTCAATGTCTGGGGTAGTGGAAACGGACTGTATGTGTTCCCAACAAATTCTCCATATCACAAAGCTGACGCTGCCTGTAGGCATCCCTCAAAAGACAAGCTTTTTAATCCGGAAGCTGTGCTTCCCCCACGCCCTACCATCACCAATATGCAATGGATCTCTGGCACACAATACATCTCGCCAGCAGACATGGATATTCTAAGTATGTCACTTTTTGAAATCTCTTGCTGAACAAATCCTGACATAAATTCTAGTTGGTGGCCCGGAGCGACCTCCATCAAAGAGGATGCTTGAACAGATGAAATTCGAAGACGAAGAACGCCGAAAAGCCCTCAGAGAAGGCCGGGCCCCACCACCCCCTCAACAGAGCGGCAGTCAAGAAGGCTACTGGTCTTACATGTCACGTCAAGTCCAGGAGCGCACCGAGCGTCTCGGCATTGTCGGCGACAGCATGGACAGACTAGAGGAAAACAGCAGCGGGTTCGCCAACGACGTTGGCAAATACGTACAATCACAAAAGAAGAAGGCTGTCTTAGGCTGTAAGTCGATCCTCCACCGGACTCTTCGCCCCCAGTGTTCACCCCCTTGCATAACTGTCGCTGACCGGTAGTTCACTTTAGTACTTGGTTCAAAGTTTGGACTTTAGCTTGTCTTTGCTGCAGAATAAAAAGGTTGCTATGGAGTATAGCTACTCCGTACATGGTTGAATCGCAGGGGGTTTGTTTTTCTTTTTCTGTTCCGGCGTCAGGTTTGGTCAAATCCCCGGGATGTGATAGATCAGTTTGCAATCCCACCCTTTCCACTTCTACTTGGCAAATCTTGATTGCTGGAAGTTGGATCCAGCCAGTTTGAGGCATTGCGTAATCTGTCTAGGTAGGGTCTCGGAAGGATTGAGTCCCTTGAGTAGCAAAATATATAACAGAGAATGGCAAAAGTACCTGTAGCTCCGAGACATTTATGGATGTGTTCGGTTATAGCCCGCGTGAGAAAGCTAATGAGAAACAGGGGATAAAACAAACCTTAAAAGTTGGAACGCGAGACATCAGTTTTCACTATCCGCGTTGCTATGCAACCAGCATACGAAATAGCCCGAAGTTTAGGTTGCGAATCTTGGTGCAGGATGGATGGTTCATCGATTTTTTCATCGTACCTAGACGGCATGATGCTATTATTGCCTAGATTAGTATAGAGGGATGGACATTCATTAGTGCCTGGGCTACCTGAAGGCTTAATTGGTGTGGTATTATGTCTAATGGGCGTTCTAAGGTTGTATACACGGGAAACTGTTAGGCAATTGGACACATTACGACATGCTTGGGCGAAAAGAAGCTCGAAACTTGGGTGGCTGACCCTAGGCCTAGGCCAGTGGAATTTAAAATTATTTCAATTCTATAGACCTAATATAGAGTCAATGCCCGTTGGAGGGTTGGAACATGGAGAATAAGTTCGAAGGTCGTAAACGTTGCGTTCTGGCTGTCGTAAAAAAGAATTTGAGAAGGGAAGAGATCGAGAGCAAAGGAACACTCCTGCGAGCCCGTGATACACCTTGATCTAGTGTACCATGAGCTCAGGCTGCGCCTGGTGAGTAGGCTTGGCAGCATCATCCTTGTGTTCGGCGTCGTCGCCCATCTCGACATCTTCATCGGCATCACCACCCTCCTCCTCGTCAAGATCATCCTCATCATCGTCACTCTCCGCCTCGAGATCTTCACTCTCGGCATCGGAGATATCGTCCTCATCATCATCCTTGCCAGCAGGAGCGTCGGCGCCATCCATTTCATGGTCATCGCCCTCGGCGGGCTTGTTAGACTCCTCGAGCTCCTTGAGGAGCGCAGCCTCAAGCTCACGCTCCTCGGCGCCGTACGCTCCGCTGTCATCTTCGAGACCGTCGGCCTCGGGTTGGTCAGGGGGTATTCGGCGGGGGCAGAATCCTCAGAGTCCCTAAAAGAAACAAAAGTAAATAGAAATCCCAGAGAGGTAAACAAATAAAACAAAACAAGGGATCTTACCATTTGATAGCAAAGCGAGTCACACGGGGCTTCTCAGCGAGGACATTGCGGCGAATGCGCTCGATAATGGGCTTCGCAGGGGGCTCAGCGGCAAGCTCCTCGCTATCGTACTCGTTGTTCACGTAGTATCCAACTCGAACGAACTCTCGGCCGTCGTAGCTGCAGGTAAGTAGGATGACGGTGACACCGAGCATCTCAGAAGTAGGAATGCGCTTCACATCTGGCGCATCGGCCTCGAAGATAAACTTGTTCACTCCAACGGGGATGGGTCCGACAAGGAGGGAGTCGAGTTCCTGATCATACTCGGATCTATTCAGGTTAGGGCATGAAAGATTGGTATGGGGCGATGAGGGGTGAAGAGTCGACGTACGAAGTGGCGGAACCGACATAGGTGAGTTTCCATTCCAAATCTGAGAGTTTGTTAGAAGATTCAATCATGAGAGGGCCAACAGTCATCACTCACCCTTTTGGAGCTGCTCAAGACACTCGAAGGTAATTTCGAATTGGTAGGAGGCGGTGAAAGGCGCCGGGTTGTTGAGGTTTTTCACCCCGAGTAGTGAGACGACGGACATTGTGATAAGATATGAGGGTATGTACGGATTGGAGAGGTGAAGAGGTGAAAGGAGGATATTTGTATGAACAGGGGGGAAGAAATCGAGGAGAGAAATCAAAAGGGAAAGCCAGAGAAATAAACAGGTCCACAAGAATGCAGTTTACTCTCAACCCCTCCAGCACAATGCGAGGAGCCCATCGATCGACGCGCCGTTCGCGTCCCTCGCATTGAACTCACCGCCCGCACGTGACCCTCATTTCACCACGGCAACTTGCAGACATCATAGCTTTGATCTTTCACTCGTTGTATTGCTTGGCTATTTGCTATCACATATTGCGGCTGAGGGCTGTCTCCAGTGGCTGTGTTCCACCTTCACCCTTGACCCTTGGAAGATTTGATTTCTTTCAGATCAACCGATATCCTATCATCGCGCAAACCCTGTTCAGATTTGCGCCGTTGACTTCTAACTTCCCCAGCTACCCAATCCCATCCCCGTCACTTTGCGATTATCGCAAACCTCCCTCACTATGGCGGATGATGAAGCTGAGGCTGCTTTCTTTCAGGCGCAGGCCTTGAATGTCGATTCTCAGACCCCCGCCGAGGAGCAGGATGGCAATAACTCAGATGCAGATTCCGATGAATACGACCCCTCACAAGCATTGGGCGATCAGTACACGACATCCTTTATTGACGCCAAGGAGCCTGAGATTGGCATTCCTGATGTGACACTGCCCAATGACACAGAGGATGCTGTTCCTAACTCCACCGTCGCTGCAGACCTAGATGCTGCCCAGACCAGCGACTCGCTCGATCCTACCCCAAACTCCTCACGTGCTGAGTCGTCGACTCCCATGCCACCATCTGGCGCTGCGGCGCAGCCCAAGACGATTGGAGGATTCGTGGTTGATGAGGATGAGGATGAACAGGGCGATGCGGACTATGAGCCGCCGGCTGTACTTGGGGGCGAGGATTCCATTGCTATGCCTGTCACCATGTCTGAAGACCCCAGCTCAGGAAATGCAATTCAAAACACTTCCCCTGATGTATCTTCACACCAAGCTGAGCAGGGATCTGCCAGTGGACAAGCTGTTGCTCATAGTTCTTATTCTCCTACTCCTGTTTCTAATATTGATCCTTCTTCTGTTCCTGGTCAATCGCATTGGGCTGCGCAAGATTTGCAATCCGCAACCATGCAGAGCAGTACTCTTTCTACATCTGTACCTGATTCTCCTGCTTCCAAGGGTCGGCTGGCTCATGACCGAGTGGGAATGCTGGAAGACCGGATTCAAAAGGATCCCCGAGGTGATATCCCTGCATGGTTGGAGTTAATCGCAGAGCACAGAAGCCGCAACAGACTAGACAGCGCGCGAGAGACATATGACCGTTTCTTGGAAATCTTCCCCATGGCGGTAAGCTTATCTTTGTTCGCTTTGTTCAGTCTCATCAATTCGTTCACCTTGTTCTGGTGTCTTTTGCGTCTTTCAGCAAAGAGAAAGATTGCTAACCCATATATTCTAGGCTGATCAATGGGTGGCGTATGCCAACATGGAGTCTGAGCTCAATGAATTCTTCCGTTTGGAGCAGATATTCAATCGAACGCTTCTGTCAACCCCCAGTGTCCAGCTCTGGTCTGTCTACCTTGATTATATCCGTCGTCGTAATCCTTTGACAACAGATGCCTCTGGTCAGGCAAGGAAGACCATTTCATCGGCATATGAAATGGCAATCCAATATGTCGGAATGGACAAGGATTCCGGAAACATCTGGACAGACTATATTGAGTTCATTCGTTCCGGGCCAGGCGTCGTAGGTGGTACTGGATGGCAGGATCAACAAAAGATGGACCTTCTGCGAAAAGCTTACCAGCGAGCTATCGGTGTGCCGACACAGGCTGTCAATGCTCTTTGGAAGGAGTATGATCAATTCGAGATGAATCTCAACAAACTCACTGTAAGCCTGAAAGTGTTCAAATTAATCCCTTTTACTAACTTTCACCATTAGGGCCGAAAATTCCTCCAAGAGCATTCACCATCCTACATGACTGCCCGCAGTTCATTCACTGAATTACAGAACATCACACGCGACCTGATCCGTACCACACTTCCACCACTCCCTCCTGTTCCTGGTTCCGAAGGTGATGTTGAATTTGCAGCACAAGCAGATATCTGGAAGCGCTGGATGGCGTGGGAAAAGCAAGATCCTCTAGTTCTTAAGGAGGAGGACCCTGCCGCTTTCAAGCTCCGCGTGGTCTATTTCTACAAACAGGCACTTATGGCACTCACATTCTTCCCTGAAATGTGGTTTGATGCAGCCGAATTCTGCTTCCAGAATGATATGGATGATGAAGGCTCTGAATTTTTAAAGAAGGGCATTGATGCAAACCCAGAGAGTTGTCTGCTAGCATTCAAACGCGCGGATCGACTCGAGGTTACCTCAGAGTCTGAACAGGATTCCACCAAGCGTGCCGCCAAGGTCCGGGAACCATACGACAAGTTGCTTGATGCACTTTACGAGCTGATCAACAAGGCTCGCAACCAGGAAGCCCAGGATGTTGCACTCATTGAAGCTAATTTCGCTCCATCAAATGCCGAGGGCCAGCCTCAGAATGAAGATGAGGCAGACCCCGAAGCAAAAGAACGAGAAGCGGCGAAGAAGGAACAAATTGATGCAGTTCGCAAGGCCCATTCTGTTCAAATCAACATTATCTCCAAGACCCTCTCCTTTTCATGGATTGCGCTGCTGCGCTCTATGCGGCGCATTCAGGGCAAGGGAAAGCCTGGAGAACCGGCCGGCTCTCGCCAGATCTTTGCCGAAGCCCGGAGGCGCGGTCGGATCACTAGTGATGTCTACATTGCTAGTGCTCTAGTGGAGTACCATTGCTATAAAGATCCCGCAGCAACCAAGATATTCGAGAGAGGTGCAAAACTCTTCCCAGATGATGAGCATTTTGCGCTCGAGTACTTGAAGCATCTGCTAGATATTAATGACACCATCAGTATGTTGATCATCCCGCATCCTTGAATTCTTACTAACCACCACTAAAGATGCTCGAGCTGTGTTTGAAACAACCGTCAGGAAACTGGCATCGAACCCCGAGAATGTCCACAAAGCTAAACCCATCTTCTCTTTCCTTCACGGATACGAGTCTCGCTATGGCGATCTCACACAGGTGATCAACCTGGAGAACCGCATGCGCGAATTATACCCCGAGGATCCCGCTTTGGAACAATTCGCTAATCGTTACGCTAACACGACCTTTGACCCTACATCTGTGAAATTGATCTTGTCGCCTTCCCAGACCCGACAGAAGACCACCATGCCAGGAGTTGCCGCGGAAGTTCACGGCTCTCCTATGGCAAGATATATGGATACCTCCCTCAATTCACCCAAGCGACCATACCCCGCTGATGACTTTGATGATGACTCGAACCGCCCACGAAAGTTTATTCGCGCTGAGTCTCCAATGAAGGGTGCACAAGCCCGGCGTCTCGACCAGCCAAAACGCGTGCAACAACTGAACGGTCAGACCATTTCATACAGACCTCAAGGTTCTCCAGCTCCTCTGCCTCGTGAAGTGGTGAATCTATTGAGCATCATGCCTTCAGCGTCTTCCTATAATATTGCCCGCCTTTCTCCTGAGAAAATGGTCGACCTTCTTCGCCACGTCGAAGTCCCTGCCGACATCTCCCAAATACAGATACCGCAAAATCCACACGGATCGGGCACAGCTCAAGCCCCAGGGGGAATGAACCCCTACTCTGGTAAGATTACCTTCTATCCCTCCCATCGTGGCACTTTTACTCATACACCATAACCAGGTGCTTACCGTTAAGCCCGTGGTTGTTCGTCCTCCTTTGGGAGCCGTCACCATTTCGCTTTCTGTGTACAATCTCTCGAACTTTGCTCTGCAATAATTATTATTCCCGGCGCGCAAAATATCCCGATTCGTCTTTGACATTGATGACCCACCTCTTTCTTTTCTTCTGATGGGCATTTCATGAAACATGGTCGGGGGCTTACGCGGTTGTTCAGAACCCCCCTTGCATCTTCCATCGGCGTCAATCTATCTGGCATTCTTTTTGATTAGGGCCTCCAGTTCACAATGCTTGCTTGCTGGTTGGTCCTTCGTACTCAATCATGCTTTGTACAGTTTCAAGCAAGCAGATAATCTCAATTGAATCTAGCAAGCTTTAGAGGCATTTAATGTCATGATGCTTGGCTATTCTTAGAATTAGTTCGTCTTTCCAATGTAGACTACACATAAACTTGTCGACTGTATTGATTTAGTGGTGCATTGTTTGTAGACTTGTATTGTCATTATGAATCCAGGCGTGTCTAAATTCCGGATGTACTACATACAGCTCCCACGCCATCTGATATCTCCCCATTCAATTGAGTTGACTTGCGATTCTCTCACACAATGAGACGATACTAGCTAAGATTGCTGAGTTTGAACTGGATCCCTAGTCGCCGACATAGCATCTCAACTGGCACAAACGCCTGTGGTGTACTTGCTGGAACAAGCTGGTTCGCGGGGTGAGCCGAACTGGCCTCGGGAACCAATACAAAATCATTGGATTGGACTTCCAGGTTTCCCAAATTTGGGAATCGCTCTTTTTGCTGCGCTAGCAGGAGTTCCAGATTCTTGGCCACAATAGTGAAGGCATACTCAAAACAGTGGGTGAGGTTCAGATGTTGAAGGCTGGATGGTAGTACCTCTGGAAGGGATACCCTCGGTAAGATGTTAAAATCAAACCGCAAGAGCAGAAATACTGGTATCCTCAGTTCACGAAGCTGTGAAAACTCAGCCAGAGAGCCAAACTCAGCTGGTCCCGGGAGTTCAAAGGGTTCAAACTCCTCATTCCAGAGAATAGATGGCAACTCGTGGCTATCTCTTAGCCGAAGGACCTGGAGGCTATGTCTCTGGGTGGTAAGTGCCTCATAGATACCGGGAGCAAGAGAACCCCAGATGGGATGTTGGCTATGGTGATAGTCGAAGATCTCCAGGTTGGCACAGGAAGCGATTTGGTTGCCTTTGCCCCCCTCAGCCATACCCTCCAACTGAATTTTCCTGATTCCCGATGTCCCCAGCGCAGGTGCAATCGAGAAACTACGTTGAACTTCGGCTGCGAGGATATGTTGCACCGAGAGCTCTTTCATTGCCGGAAGATAAAAGAAAGCGCGAAAATCGATCTCATGGTAGAAGAATTCATCCTCTTCGCTCCAGGCTGTGACCGTTTCCAAATTCTGCAAGACTGGGTGTGAATCAAATGGCTCCTTTTGGGCGGCGATTTGCGTCACCAGGGGGATGAAATAAGGCGACCAGCCTGGGAAAAGCATACACAGGGTGGTGACCGACTCCAGTGACAGTACAAGTACTGCAAGCCATGCATCCGGACATCCTTGTCGCAAAGCATTTTCCCACCTCTGACGGTCTGGTTTGGAATGGCTCGTTTGTTGTATGGTTTCCATGAACATATCCAAATCGTAATGCTTGGTGCGCAAAGGCCCACTCCACCAATGAAGATCTAGGTCTCGGATAGCAGCACCTATCTTAGGATTCGCTTTGATGGAACGAGCGAGGAGGTAGATCTGCTGGTTGAAAAGCGAGATGCGTTTGTAGACTCGGGGGAGAAGTAACGAGTACCATCGACGGCACACCTGGAGAAGCCGAAGCCCATCCCTTTGATCATCCATGTGCTCGCTGACAAGTAGGATAATGTCATCATTTAGAGGAGCCATCTTGAAGTTATGGGTGTCAAAGAGGAGAAGATGGCTCAGGGGGAGTTCTGAAGTCTTTTATAGGATCAGGCTGCATGCGTTGCCTTAGGTCGGTAGCCTTGTAGCGTTGACAATGGATCCAAATCATTTCTACTTGTGGGGATGTTGATTGTTCTTGTATGTACTGATCTGCCACCTCTTCTCGTCTCCTTTGATGTCTTAGACACTCCGTTCTAGTAGGGTCTTTTCGTTCTTTATAGCCATTGGCTCGTCAATCTATGGTTTTGGAGACACCATCTTGCTTTATTAGAGAAATTGGAAGAAATCATGAGCCTGATAACGCGTTGCTACGTTATGCAACTTGATTTAATATATACATTCTGTTCCATAGACTTTGCGAACTCGCTACAGAGCTTGATCTCCGCCAACCCTTGGATATCTCTCTTGTAGACCCTTCCATAGTTATCATCTTTTAGAGTATATCGTCATGAACGGCTAGGCGGAACAAATGCAATATCCGTATCTGTTTACATACGGGCGTGCGTATGTATGTAGTAGACACAAGTATAAGCAATATGGGCCTTCAAATGTTTCGGCAAAAGCTTTGCATCAGACCTTTATTTCGTGTGTCTAATTGAACCAGTCTTTTATCTTCAAAACTAGACATCAGCATCATTCCATTGTGTTTGCATCTCATGGATTCATTGATATCGACAGCTGGCATATCATCTTGACTGATGGTCGATCTTTAAGACATGTGTATGAAACTGGAAGTCAGGGCACTGACTCGCACTTCTCAGAACAAAACGAGACTTGGAGGGGAGGGATCATGAGTGATCTGCTTAATTTGACTTATTCATGAGAACCAAGTGAGTCGGTTTCACTTTTGCAGAATAACATATTACAATGAATTTTTACCTTTTCGCGTCACTTTCGCGTCACTTCCATTTCACTTTTTATTCCACCACACTCCATACATATCATATTCCTTTTTTTATCTCTGCCATCGCCTCTGCTTACCCACCTTATGTTCCGACATCCCCCGAGATCAAGATGTCTGGCACTGCTCGCACTGTACGCATCCAACCAAGCGAGGTACATAAGGTATCTTCTCAAAATTAAGTCGACCGATATTACCAAGGTACCTATATGATCCTGTCTTCGTCGTTCACACCATCGTTCACATCCTGATACCAACAAATATATCCATCAGTCTGTCGGGGGTTTCGAGACTATATTGACAAGTGATCATGCCGAAAGGAGGATGGAGTGGGGAAGAGGGGAGTTCGCTTGCAGCCAAGGTACTCCCTCTATAACTGTGTTTCTCTGGATGCATATAGCCCCGCATGCCTTTCTAGAGGCTTCGGTTTATACTCGAGGAAGGGATGGAAATCAATGTTTCAGGCAAGGGAAGCCACCCACACTGGCATTGGGCTTGGAGTATAGGGCCGTGTCCTTCCCATTGCATTAACTGAGACGCACTAACATGCCCAAATTTCTTATTGATAGCTACGGAGTATGTACATAGTAATATAATTAACGTCCGGCGGGCCATGGGCGTAGCCCGTATCCTGCGACCTCTCATAGGAATTGGGGCGTACTAACCTGCTATGAAGTTATGTGTTAAGACATCGGTTACTGCCTTGGTGCCTCAGACATCACAATTGTAGAAAGTTAGTCGGGAGCGCCATCTCCTTTTCTGATATAATTCTCTCCCTTCTGCCCAAGTCCCGTATTTGAAGGTCTCAACATTAGGCATAAAATGGTAGCCATAGAAAGCAACCCATTCATGATCATCGTATTTGAAATACCAGCTTGCTGCCCGTCTTTCTCTGGCTTGTGAGTTGCATGCAGGTTGAGCCCAGATGCAGGGTGATACATATGTATCTACTCCCCGACTCCAATTGGTCAGTGGTCATAGTTTCAGTCGAAGTGCCCGTGTGCAGGCCAGAGGGCGAGCCATCGGTGCACCGTGGGCAGGAGGCATGGTAGGAGGGCTAGAGAATTGAGGAGGTACTATACAAAAGTTCGCTGATTTGATTTCAAACTGCGACCTATCCAAGAGCCTGGCATCTACAATTACATAGGGTTGGCCATATAAACGAATTTATTCTCACGTCACTTAGGTCGCACTAAGGTCGCAAATATAAACTATCCACTGACCTAGATTACTATAAGGGCAAGTGAGCCTAACACCACTTTCCACAAAACTCGGAGATAATAAACCAACGATTTTCCAAAAGCACTATGATAACAACACACCAGTTGTGATATCAGGCTTCTAGCTTGAGTCTACCCATGGTACAGGACTTCAGGGCCACCCTGACCTTCGGGGTTATGGCACCTCCTTAGCCATCTAGTCATTAATGCCTGTCTGCAGAGAGAGCTAGTTGCTCTAGGGCCTTGATCCTGCAGCCCAGCATACAAGCTCTCCGTCGTCGTGCCGGAAGTTTCAATTATATCAGTCGAAGTCCTCGTATGCATCAGTGCGGCGTAGGCAGGAGGCATAGTGGGAGTGCTACAGAGGTGAGCAGGAACTATACACCAGATCATGGAATTGATTCCAAAATGCGACCTATTAAACTACCTCCTACCTATGATTACCTAGGATTAGCCATATATCTGAATGGAGCTTCACGTCACTTATCTCGCACTTTAGTCGCAGACATAAAGCACCTGGCGTATGCTGCTACGAGCCAGACTCCTTAAAAACGAGATTCTTCCAACGAGCATTCTAGGTGTCAAGGAAAAGGGAAAGAGAGAAGGTCAAGCTAAATTCTCAGGGCAAAGAGTAGGAAAGAGGAAAGGCAGATCTGCGCGATGAGATCCCTTTCATGCCGGGTAGGGCTACAAAGGGGGCCTCCTTACAAGCCAGCCAAGTAACGAACTGCTTAGCCAAATCCCCCCTATGCTAAATAGAGCAAGCATCCCACCTTAAATCCTATGAACTCTAGTAACTCACGTAGGCACACTCAATACTAGCGATGGTAATATCGTAAAGGTTAACTCTGAGCTAAGTGACCAGGTGGTACCTACAGCTAGCCTGAGCCGCTCATATAAACGAATGTAGCTTCACATCACTTAGGTCGCACTTCGGTCGCACTTCAAGCATCCCACCTTAAATCCCACAAACTCAAGCAACTCACACAAGCAACTTATGTAGACGCCTTCAATACTAGCGACGGTAATATCATAAAGGTTAACTCCGACCTAAGTGACCAGGTGGTACCTATAATTAGCCTAAGCCGCTCATACAAACGAATGTAGCTCCACGTCACTTAGCTCGCACTTCGGTCGCACTTTAGCCGCAGGCATAAAGCACCTAGACACATGCTGCTACGAGCCAGATTCTTTAAAGAAAGAGATTAGCTCAACAAGCATTCTAGGTGCCAAGGAAAAGAGAAAGAGAGTAGGCTCTCTACCCTATATCAGGGGTCTTTTCGGCAGAAAGGGCCCCCTACAGATCGCCATAGGAGGGTGTCTCTTACCTATGTATGTAGCCTTTAGGCCTTCTTACAAGCTAGCCAAGTACGAGCTTTTCAGCCAAATTACCCCTATGCTAAATAGAGCAAGCATCCTACCTTAAATCCCATGAACTTAGCAACTCATACAAGCAATTCATACAGGCACATTCAATACTAGCGATGGTAATATCATCAAGGTTAACTCCGACCTAAGTAAGCCAGGTGGTACCTACAATTAGCCTAAGCCGCCCATACAAACGGATGTAGCTTCACGTCATATAGGTCGCACTTCAGTCGCACTTTTATCGCAGACATAAAGCACCATGCTAAATAGAGTAAGTATCCCACCTTAAATCCCATAAATTTAAGCAACTTATATAAGTAACTCATATAGGCACACTTAATACTAGCGATGGTAATATCATCAAGGTTAACTCCGACCTAAGTAAGCCAGGTGGTACCTACAATTAGCCTAAGCCGCCCATACAAACGGATGTAGCTTCACGTCATATAGGTCGCACTTCAGTCGCACTTTTATCGCAGACATAAAGCACCATGCTAAATAGAGTAAGTATCCCACCTTAAATCCCATAAATTTAAGCAACTTATATAAGTAACTCATATAGGCACACTTAATACTAGCGATAGTAATATCGTCAAGGTTAACTCCGACCTAAGTGACCAGGGGGTACCTACAATTAGCCTAAGCCGCCCATACAAACGGATGTAGCTTCATATCACCGCACTTTTGTCGCAGACGTAAAGCATCATACTAAATAGAGTAAGCATCCCACCTTAAATCCCATAAAATAAGCAACTCGTACAAGCAACTCATATAGGCACATTCAATACTAGCGATAGTAATATCGTAAAGGCTAACTCCGACCGAAGTGAGCCAGGGGGTACCTACAATTAGCCTGAGCCGCCCATACAAACGGATGTAGCTTCACGTCACTTAGGTCGCACTTCGGCCGCACCTCCCTCGCACTTAGCATTGATCGAGGCATATGTGGTGATGGAGATGTTTGGTATCAGCGCCGCGCCTTCCTCAGAAACGATTTAGCACCTGCCGCAGGTATAAGAGCTTCTTTTCCCTCTTCTCTTCTTCGTCTCCTTTCTCCTCTTCGTCGCCCACTTTCTTAAAGCCCGAGTTCTAATCTCTGGTCTCTGGCTTTATTCTTCACATTCTCGCACTTCGCATTTGCTAAAGTGCAAGCTACTTCTTCCTATACGCCGAGGCCTTCCATACTCCGTACGACCCTTCCTCTCTGCTAACTCTCACTGGGATCGGACTTGTGACTGAGGTAAGTAAGTCGCCATCTATGCCTAGCTGGATCTGTATATTCCCGACTCCTATGCGATTCCTACCTTCCATATCCACTTTTCAAACTATCGCAGATGACCGTCACACCTTAGCAACTCTGACTTTACATTGTTCTCAGTGTCTTTATTTATCATTACCTACTCATCAAGGCTCCCACACATACCAGAACGGGAAGAAAACAATATCTCAACCCATTACTAACAGCAAGTTCTCATTAGGGCTTTTTCGTCATCATGGCACCTCCAAAGCCAGTGAGACCATTGGCCAACGAGGAGGATGAGCCCAAGGCTCGCTCTGGCCATCGATCGACTGGCTCTTCAAAGCCTACTTCGACTACTGGTTCTAAGACACCTTCGAAGCCCCCTCACTCTTCTTCATCTTCTCGTCGGCCCAACCTCACCGTTGAGCTTCCTCTACGTAATGCACCCCCAGCAAAGCCTCTCGATCCCCGCCAAGTCCGCGAATTGCGGGAGCACAAAGCTCAATTGGAGGAAGATGCGAGGCGCAAAAAGGAAGCAGAAAGTACCGCTTGGATGCGCCGAGCACGTTATGACCCGGAGACTGGTGAGAAGGAAAAGCCGAGCAGCACTGGCTCTAGCAGCAGTGACTCCCCTATCCGTCGAGTTGAGACCCCCCCAGAGCTCCCACCCCACTGGACAGAAGAAGAAAAAGTCAACTACGAACGCCTCGCGAGAGAAGGCGTGAAGGTGGCTGTCTTCGAGCAACACAGACTCGACAAAGACAAGATTATCAAGCACCAGGATTATGTTACCGTTGCCTGGGATGGTTGTAAGAACATCGACATTCCCTGGCATCGATTCAAAGTTAGGGCGTCTTCTGTGAGTATTCGAGCAAAGAAGCTCTGCGCCAGTGGGTAATGAGTTGTACTAATTACTTTTCCAGGGTACCCAGGAAGAGACTCAGATCCAGCGTCGTGTCGGCTACAATACTGCTGGCAAAGAAATCGAGGTCATGATGAATGCGTACCCTATCACTTCTTTCCCGGATAAGGCTGTCTACCAGTACGAGGTGAGAATTTATTTCCACCCCTAGCCTATGATCTGTCTCATTTATCTTTACTTACGAATTTACAGATCAATGTTCTTCATGGCGATCAAAACGAAACCGATCGACGTGTCCTTAGAAAGTGCTGGAACAGTGAAACCCGAAAGGCACACCTCCCTGATGGTATCTGGGATGGCGGACGAATCTGCTGGTAAGAAACATATCATCCCGATTGCTTCCAAATCTCTTCTAATACGTGTTATCGTAGGTCTCTCAGAAAATTCGATGACTGGAATGAAGCTATTGATATCAAGAGTGACTTAACTCGAGACATCAGGACTCTTGCCACCGTTGAGGAGTTTAAGAGAAACCCAACTTTCCGGATGTCCGTCATCCTGAAGAGAAGAATCAATCTTTCCGTGATCAATGCTTGGCTGCAAAGCCGTCATGAGCTGGATGAACTTGTCATTGAATCTCTCAGTAAGTACACGCCCCTTCCCTCGTTGATTCCTCTGGTTTTCATACTGATCATGACAGGCTTCCTTGACCATTTGCTCCGTGAATGGCCGACCAAACAGTTTGCTGCGATCAAGCGAGCCTTCTTTTTTGACAAGCTTGGAGATGACGAGGAGTTAAAGCAGGAGTTTTACCAACCGCTTGCTAACATGGGTGCTTCCGTTTACCGAGGCATTTATCAAGCCATTAAACCGACTCCTGTAAGCTGACAGCCATTCGATTGAAAACTGATATCCAAAGACTGATCCTTTTCTTCTTCCTTTTAGCGAGGTCTGATCCTCAATGTTGATGTCGCCCACTGCGTCTTCTTTTCTCGTATCAGCCTTATGGGCTACATGATGAATGTGAACGGATGGAACGATAAATCTACACTTGTGAGGAACCTCCAGTCTACACGCGATAAATTTGGAGGCGTCAAGGAATCAAAGTGGTTTGCTCAAGTGAGCAAGAAAATTCAAGGTCTTCGAGTGGCACCAAACTACGAGGGCTGTCCGTTCAAGATGAAGAGTTTCATCATCAAAGGACTCATTCATGCAAGGCCCAAGGAATTCTTTATCGATTACCACGACAAGGCTACTGGGGTTTCAACTCGGATGAACCTCGAAGAGTACTTTATGAAACGATACAATATCCGTCTTGAATATCCTAACATGGTTCTGGTCGAGATGCAAAAGCAAGATGTTCACTACCCTGCCGAGTTTCTGGTCATCAAGGGTCTTCAGAGATACCGTTACAAACTTACTGATATGCAGGCGGCACAGATGATTCAGTGGTGCGCAACCAGACCCCCGAAGCGTTTGGCCAATGCACGCCAGGCGAAGGAACTTCTGCAGCACAAGAATGATCCTATCCTGAAGCTTTATGGCTTGAACATCAGTGAACAAATGATCAAGACCAAAGCCCGCCTCCTTCCGAGCCCCGAAATTCAGTTTGGCGGCAACACCAAGCACAACCCCCGGCACTCGGGAAGTTGGGATCTCCGCGGTAAGAAGTTCTACAAGCCCAACGAAAAGGCCCTTCAGGCATGGGGTGTCGGATTCTTTGCTGGCCATCGCAAATCAATTAACCATGACCAGACGCTCATGTGGGTTGATCAATTCGTGAAGATATACAAAGCCATGGGTGGTGAGGTCACGGCCCGGCCCGTGGTGAAGGCATTGAGCGAGGATGTTGGCACCAGTGTCAAGAAACTGTACGATGCCATCGCAACTCATAACAAACAAGAGCCCCAGCTTATGGTATTCATCGTTCCTGACAAGGATTCCTGGGTGTATCTTCGCATCAAGAAATCTTCCGACTGCCGATACGGTACCCCATCGCAGGTACTTCAATCCGCACACTGCATCTCTAATAGGCCCCAATACCACGCAAATGTTCTCATGAAGGTCAATGCGAAGCTCGGCGGAGTCACTGCCCGAGCTGTTCCCAAGTCGAAGAGCTCAGGTCTGCGTCCAGGATCCATGATTATTGGTGCAGATGTCACTCATCCGATGATGGGTGTGTGGACCCCGTCACTGGCAGCCATGTCAGTCTCGGCGAACTCAACTGCAACTCGCTACATGGGTGGATGCGAGACCAATGGCGATCGGATCGAAATCATTCGCGATAAAGTTGTGGAATTCATTCTTCGCCCTATGGTCGCCGAATGGAAAGCAACCGTTGGAAATGGCAAAGCCCCCGAATATGTTTACTATTTCCGTGACGGTGTCTCTGCTTCCGAATACCAGAGGATCCTATCTGAGGAGGTCCCATCCATTCGCTTCGCCATTGCTCATGCATGTGGTCAGCCGGTCTGGAGTGGTAAGATGTGCGTTGTGGTTGCCAACAAGCGCCATCACCTTCGAGCATTCCCCGACCCCAAGAACCGCGCCACCTCCGACTCTAATGGCGGTCCCCTGCCAGGCACTCTCATTGATCGCGACGTGACTAGTCCACATGATTGGGATTTCCTGCTCTACACCCACATCGCCCTACAGGGAACCCCTCGTCCGGTCCATTATCATGTCTTGCTGGATGAAATTGGCCTCAAGCCCAACGACCTTGAGGGCATGATCAACGATCATTGTTACCAGTACATCCGTTCAACCACATCTGTTTCTGTTCACCCTGCAATCTACTACGCCCACTTAATTTCTGTTCGTGCTCGTCACCATGAGGATGTGCCTATTACTTCTGGTCCCCAGAGCGGTCCAGAAGTGAAGATGACAAACCCTAAGCCCAAGGAGCCCCGAGCTAAGAGATTGCTTCCTATTGAAGGCACTTCTAACAGATTGGCTTTGGGAATGTGGTATGTCTAAATCAACTTCAATGTTTCTATGGATGCGGGCAAATAATTCATTTTGTTCACTCCACCACGGTTTCCCTCAAAGGGATTGTTCTCCGACTCGGTTTTCTCTATTGGTACATGGCTTTTCTTATCACCTTACGGTGATTTATGTTTTTCGAAGCAATCCTCTCTAGCGTTGCTTCTTTTTTCGTCTCTGCTTTTCAAGATGGCTTGACCACAATGGTAGAGCTGCAGTAGCTGCAGTCTGCTTCAACAACTGGACGGTTGCACATACTCCAGACTGGTCTTGCAGTTTCGAATGAGACATGGTTCTTTTTGCTTGCAGATGATATCGGTTTCTACTTTTTCATCGTCACGGCTTGTTTGATCTGGGCCCGGGTACTGCGAATGGCTGTCGTTTCTGGGAACGACTTGGCCGATTGCATACCATAGGCTGATCTCTAGCTTTCGATGCAGGTGCTCTATGTTTCTTTGACATATGGTTAGTTAACAATGGAAAAAAATGATTTTTATCAAATACTTCGAGTAGATCATATTCATGTAGACAGTGGGCCGCGGAGTATAGCTGAATCGACGTAATCCATCCATCATCACCTCGACCATCTCGTCCACCCTCGATCAGATCGAGCTCCAGCATTTCTCTCCTACTCACCAGACCCCTACTCACCAGACCCCTACCACGAATAGTTCCCAATGTAAGCCCTCAGAGCCCTCCCTCTCACAACCACGTTAAACTGACTCCCACCGCCGACCACAATGAACCAAACCCCAACTCCCAACACCGAATCCCCCAACCCAACACGCCTAAAACCCGGCCCTCCATCCGAAACAACTCGCAACCTCCTCCCAGAAACCAGTCCCCACCAAATCCCCCCAAACCCACCCACCCACGACGCCTTCCTCCCCGGCTACTTCTTCTTCTACGGAACCCTAATGGACCCCCCAACCCTCGCTTCCATCATGCAAGTCCCCAAAGCACCGCCCATGCATCCCGCGCGCGTGGTCGGATACAGCGTCAAGATGAACGGCCCCTACCCGGCGCTTGTGTGGGGACCGCCGGAGCATGCGGTGGACGGGGTTGCGTGCCAGATTCTGGCGAGGGAGCACTTTGAGAGGATTTGTGGGTATGAGGAGGGGTATGAGGCGAATCCGTGTTATATTGAGGTTTTGGGGAAGGAGGGGGCGTCGGTGGATGCGATTAAGGGGGAGACGTTTATTTGGAAGGGGGATTATGGGGAGTTGAGGGATGGGGGGGTTTGATTTGGAGGGTTGGAGGAGGGAGTAGGTGATGGTTATTTGTTGATATTTGGGGTTCTTTTTCACTAATTCATTGTGGTGTTTTCGATCTTTGGATCTGGGAATGGTCAGCTGGGTGGGAGATTGGGTTGTTTATAGAGGCCGGTGGAATTGCGTAGTGAAATGTTGCTCAATTTGATATCTGGGATTTAAGATACAATCGAATGTCAATGGGTATGTTATGGATTGGAACAGGTATTCTGCTGATAAACAGTCCCATCAAGGGACAGTATGGTACAAGGAGTGTGAGAGGTAGGACTGTCCGGTGCTTGTTAGAAGATAGGAAAAGAAAAAGAAGAGAAAAGAAAAGAAAAGAAGAGGAATCCAATAGAATACAGGGCCTGGAAGATGTATTGGCTTGAGGGTCAAGGCATACTGTTTCAGATAACCAGATGGCGCCTGCTGCCGGCTCTCTTTGCATCGATGGTGTATCGTGGCAAGAAGACGCAAAGTCTGTCTGGTTGTGGCTTGAGAGATGGGATCATGGATGTGGAAGGGGAAAAGCAAAAGTGAGACCCATGTGGGTATGTAGAAATTATGAGAGCAAACAGAAAAAAAAAAGGTTGAAAACATCAGCGGTCGTGGGCGTGGTCACTAATGGACTGGCCTAAGGGGCCACCTCCATTTTATGCCCCGTTAGTCAGGGATTCGCCGGCGCCATCAGCGAGAGCGGTTTCTTCGGATTTCAAATTGGCATTGGATGTCGCATCACCGGTGGTTTGGTCGCCATCACCATCAGGGTTGAAATTAGGCATTTCAAGGGATGCACCACTGTTTTTCTTGATTTTCTTCTTACTCGGTTCTATACCGCCAGTCTTCGACGCGCCTGGCGGAGCAGCTCGTTTCTGCGGGCTGGAAATAATGCTCGAGAGAAGACCAGTCTGAGGGATTTTGCCGGATGCTGGAAGACGGGGTTTGGTCGCCATTGGACGCTGTTTGGGGGGGGAGCTCAAGGTCTTCCACAAGAGGCTCATCCCGGTTCGCATCAAGCTTGCCCTTGAAGAAGGACTGCAGGAGTCCAATCTGGCGAGAAACGTTGTCTGTTGAGATGCGTGCATATGGAGGCGGAGGAGCGAATAGAGTGACGGTCTGTGAAACATTGGCACTTTGCGGGTTGGCCGCGTTGAACATCCGGTTTTGGAGTAGATGCAAGGGCACACTCAGTGTGGAGAGGCCAAACTCCCGATCCAAGCCCAGTTCCTTGAAACCAAAGAAGTCTTCGTCAATGTCCTCGGCGAAATCGCCACCGACAAACTGTTCACTGCCATCGGCAAACGCATTTGAGCCGTCTTCGCCACCTTCTAGAGCAGGTCGAAGGAGTTCTGTCAGAAGTGACTTGAGACGATCATGGGCAGTCGTGAGCTTGGTCCCTAGACGATCCACATCGTCCTTGATATATGACTCTAGCTCATCTATGTGGATCCCGACAGTCGATAAGGTGTGTAAAACAATTTCAGACTGAGTATACGCGGATTTCCATTCGTTGGGTGGTGTTGTAGATTCATGTGACTCGGTGGTAGAAACCTTCGGTGTTTCCATATAAGACTTGAATGTAGACCCCAGTTTCTGGAAAAAGTCGGCGGCTATGTCTGTAACAGCCTCAAGAGCAGACGGTTGATATTCTTCGAAGCCGGTATGGTAGAAAACCTTGGCAACTGAGCGTTGCAATGCTGCTCTACAGGTCCAAGGAGCAATCACGGGGCCATTATCATTCATGACATGGGGCTCAATATCTTGCTCAAGAAATGGCTCGGGTTGGTATTTCTGAAACTGATTTTGGTACATCTAGAGCAGAATTAGTGGGAATCTTGGTGTAAAAAAAGTAGTGTTGAACTGGCTTACCTGAGATTGAAGCTGCATTTGCTTGACGATTCCGATTTTCGAGCAGATCTTGCGGGTCTCTTGTACTTGGCGCATGTTTGAGTTCATCTTGCGAGTCAATTTGCTATCCGGTTGGACGAAGCGACCCTTTGGAAGCATTCTCAGGAATTCCTCAGATGCATCAACAACATTTCCTTGGGCGTCTTCTTTCCAGAGTAATCGCTCAGGGAGATCGGGAACACCAGACATTACATCGTAATAGTAGGGTAGCATCTGCGCCTCTTCCACCTCGATACCTTCCGCAAGGGACTCGCCTGCGGCCTCGGGTTCCATGGCTTGAGAATCTGCACCGAGAGACTTATCTGCTTCGACGGTGGCTTGTTTCTGGTGTCGAAGCCACCGACGCATACCGGCTTTGGTTCTGAGGAGAGCGGGTTCCTCGGAATTGACCTTATCTCCACGGAGCAGACGATGTCGCTCTGCGGCAACACGCGCTCGATCTTTCTTTGTCACTTGCTTCCACACTTTAAATTCAGGGTCTTCCGGTTCTACACCGTTGGGAAGTGATATGGCACTCAGCGCGGTGGTCGAGCTACTTGGCCCGTCAATATCCATCGCATCATCCTGGCTCGCTGCACCTATCGCACCCGGACCAGCAGGGTCAAACGGCGTGTGAGATCTAGGAGGTGGTGTGGAGAATCCATTCTGACTTGCTTCGCCGGGAGCATCTGAATCGGAACGGACTGCGGCAGGAGGTTGAGTGCTGGGAGCTCTAGGGGGGCCTTCAGAGCCGCTGGGAGTATTGCGGGCAGGCGCAGTGCCTTTTTTGGATGTCTTTTTGCCAGGCGCCTTTCTGCCTCGCGAGGACATGATGGGCTCATCGTCACTCTCCTCGGCGCCATCATTGTCGGCAAGCTGGAGTCGACGTTCTTCGGCCTCAACTTCCGCACGGTCCCTGATGATGATTTCCGGGATGAGAGGGACAAGCTTTTCGGTTTCCTTACGCATATAAAGCGCGTGCTTCCGTAGGGGATGTTCGGTGTTGGTATTATATTTCAAGCAATTCGCCCAAATGAGAGTAAGATCATCGACAAAGTCTTGTTTGGATCTATACTGCAAGCCCTTCAGCTTTTTGGTCATTGATCCAAGGTCCATGGGGTGCTTGATGACTAGTAGGAAGTTAGTGGATGGCATGGTTTAATGTGGAGGGGAAAAAGGCATCTTACTCGTATGATAGTCGGGGGCATCGCGTTTGTTGACACGAGTCAAAAAAGCAGTAGAATGTTCCGTCATGGCCTTGAGCTCACTGAGCACCTTTTCCGCAGCTTCATAAAGCTCCTCCTGGCCCACCTTGTCTTCATTCGCCCACTTGCTGCGGTTCTTACGGACCTCACTTAGTAAGCTTCGCAGCTCAGCATCCGATGCCTGTACCCGATCGCGCTTCTTGTCAATCCGCGCGATGAGGTTCTTGAGCGTCAAACTAGAAGCGCCCAAGTTCGTATTACTCAAAGAGCTGTAGCCATTGGCGGCCCCTGGGGCAGTAGCGCCGCCCATATTAGCCTGGCCGGATATCTCCGCCTCGACCTGTCTTTCTGATTCTTCCAAGCGCTGCTGATCAAGCATGGCATCCCGGTCATTCTCAAGTGTATAGAAAAGTGTGTGAAAGCTCCTGCGAGCAGCTTCCTCCGTCGCCTTCTTATCTTCCTCGAGTTGCTTTCGAAGATCTTCCATTGTTTCCTTCTTAGGCTCTTTGATCCCATCTGCACTGATTGATGCTGAGGTACCGGGGCGAGGGGCTAATGGCGCGGCACCACTAAGCTCCTGTGACGCGGCGGTGGACTTAGTTCTCAAAGGCGATTCGGCGAGATCATCCACTTCCTCATCGTCGTCTTCGTCGTAATCATCGTAATCATCATCGTCGAGCTTTCGGGTAGACTTGCGCGGGGCAGCGGAAGGCGGTGGCGCATCGTCGACGCGTTCGGGTTGAGCTTCGGACGGTTCGACAGTGTCGCCAGCCACCGTGGGGTTATCGTCCGAATAGCGTCCCGAGAACAAAGCACTTATTTTCGCCTCACTACGGCGATACATTTCCCGGAATTGAGCAATGCGCGGATCTTCTTCGGGCATGATATCGGCTTCCGACACTAAGCTCGGGTTCCGCCCTTCGGCGCCAACAGAACCGCGTATTTGAGGCGTCCGAGAGCCTGATAAAGTCTTAACTAAGCCATTGACCGGACGGGGGGAGTCCTGAAGATCGTCTGGTGGCCGAATGTTGCCCGGAGGCCAGGCGTTGTGGCCGAGCGACATGCTCGATCCAAAACCCCGGTTTTGGGGCGGGCGAGACTCGATTCTCCGCGATTAGGATTACGGGCCGATCGGACGCGACACGGGGGTCGGAGAAAGGACAAAAGGCATAGAGATAGAAAGCACCGCCCACAAAATTGACTGACGATGTCAAAAAGGCAAAAAATGATAGCGTGGCGGAGAGGTTTGATGAAGAAGGTCCGGGGGAGCTTCATAGGAAGTTTCTCTGGACGGGGATGAAGTACAGGGCATGAAGGCGGAGTCGGTTGGCAGATCTGACGGTTTCATGTTACTATTCGTCTTGCGATCAATCGGTATTGTTCACATATTGATTGTTTCAGTCTATTGTCCTGATTCAGCTCATCGTCACAATTGACGGTGTATTCATCTGGCTTGGTCCAGCTTCCACATTGAATGTTGTGGTCAACACCTCCATTGCTCCGCATATGACGCACAAGGCAGCAGCTGGGGCCGAACTCCTCCACAACTGACAGCTCTTCTGACGACCGCTGCACATCACCCACACAAAAAGAGTTCCAAAGCGATTTCTCAATTTTCTCTCTTCCCCGACCGCCATGCGCGTCCGTTATCCCTTCGCAGGTGAGCTTTACATTCTGATTTCGGCGGTCCTCGAACTAATGATCGCCCAGGTGCTTTCATCGTCCTGCTTTTCTTAGCCGGGTACATCGGTCTTCTCCCACACAGCGAGTCTTCAACGATACCGGCTAAGCTCCAACCAAATGACAAATTCCTCCATCTCCTCACATTCTTCCTACTCACAGTAACCTTTTACTGGGTCCTGGATACTACACGTCGTCGCACACTCCACGTGACCCTCGTGGTGTGCACCTTGGGACTGGGTGTCGGCTCTGAGATCGTACAAGGCTCCCTTCCAAACGGTCGAGACTTTGATATCTTCGACATAGTTGCCAATGTTGTCGGCAGTGTAGGCGCTGTCGGCCTTTGCGGCTGGTATCACCGGCGCATGATGGAACGTCGCCGACAAAGTCGGTATGGCCTGATGGAAGATGGCACCCAGGATGTCGAGCTTGGTGGCGTCACCGGAGGCTCAGCTCGTGACTCGGAAACAATGGGTCCCCAGGAGTCCGGTGTCATGACCCTCGAGGAGGAGGTCGATAACTGGGACGAGAATGCAGTTGATAATTGGGACACAGAAGAAGCGCAGGGTCCCGAGCACGAGATTGCTCCTCCCAGCTATCACGAGTCTGGTCCTGCCAATGGCCAATCGGCTGTACTCCCTGCTGGGGCCAAGCGCAATGATTAGCAGTGCTTCTGACTGGAGCAAAGCGTGTGTTTTGGACGCTTTGAAAAGCACAAAAAGCCATGTTAACGCTTTCAATTTGCGTGTTGTTCCTACTCTTATGATGATGGATTTCATGTCTCGGTTTCATGTCGGTATGATATCAATTTCAAATGTGCTCAGCAATGCGGGGCTCTTTCTCTATTGGTTTTATTATGTTGCTATAATATGCCTGGTGGGTGGTGTTTTTTTTGGGGGCAAGCGCATCTTTTCTTCCAGTTGATAGGCGAAGAGCGCGATCTCTCGTTCGTTTTTAGGGTTGTACAGTGTATGTGTGGGTTTAGTTTGAAGATATGGGAGGTCCTACATATCTATATAAATTCTAATAACGAAGTTGAATACGAAGACAGGAAACTGTAAGCTCAGTCAAACAACCTATGGTAGCAATTGGTACTAAGTGCACGTAGAATCTCTCAAATCAGCCCGCAAAGAAAACAATATCACCAATTGGCTAATATACAGTAACTCTAGAGCGAGACTGACAAGTCAATAAGCAATATAACTACATCCAACGAAGCGAATAACCAAAGCAACAAACGGGGGTATTTCAACAGAAAAATAAGAAATATATAGCAGGGGGTTGGAACAAGGATTCAAAACGAATCGACAATCGTAGGAACAAAATCAAGTAAACACCGGATGCCATGACGGGATGCAACATAAACATAAACCACAAGTCCAAGGTTCGTGATCATGGATGGGATGAAAAGGTCAAGAAGACCGAAGGGACGTCATTCATTATCAGAAACATCCGGCGTACCGGACCGACTTCTGGTCGGGGTATGGACACGATCTGGGACAGCTTCCAACTCCGGCTTGGAGCTTGGCAAGTAATGGCTTCGATCATTCAGCTTGGCGACTTTAGCAGAACGTTCCTCACTGCCATTAGGTGAGCCCATGTTCCACTCTGGAACCTTGCCCAGCTTCCGATCAGTTTGTTCTCGGAGCACTTCGTAGATGAATTGCATTTGCATCTCGTTGTAGACCATCATCATGCGTTGCTCACGCATCTGGTTGACAGTCTCGTAAACGGGATCCACCATCGGGTCGTCCACGTCCAACAACTGGCCTGACTGAAGCTCGCATAACAAATGGTCAAGCGCAATGAAAGTTCCTGTCCGACCAACGCCTGCGCTGCAATGCACAATTCGCGGATTATCCGAGTTGCATTTGGAGGCTGACAGCTTGATCAAATCGAGGAGGGCTTGGCGATCACTCCCCTCGGGCTTGGAGTAATCGGCCCACCCAGCGAAAAGGAAATGCCAGACGATCTTTGACTCCGAACCGATGGCCACCTCGAGTTTGCGGATTTCAGAACGGGATCTAGCATCGAATGTCGACTCCAGCAAGGTAACCCGGCCCAAAACACCAGGCTCTGTTTGCTCATTCTCATCAAAGAAGACGTCCGATTCATCCGTCGACAGTACCATCGAGGCCTGCTCCGTGTCCAATGGGAAGTATTGAGCGCACTTTTCCCGGCCAGCTTCGAAAGTTTGGGTAAGCATTACGATAACACCGACTTCCTGGCTCTCATGAAAGACCATGTGCCAAAAGTCCGCGAGATGTCCAAGTTTGGGTCCCTGCTTATGGTAAGCAAACCATATAATCACCACGAACGCGCAAGCTTGGAACCTACCTGGGTCGCTATGTATTTTCTTCTTTCCCGTGTGACCGAGTCCTCGAGAATGATTGGAGACGCATTGATGAAATCACACTCGCCATCGGCGACGCGCAGATGAATTCGGCAATTTGCCCAGGCCTGGACGTTACAATACCGATTTCGCTCTTTAACCTTTGGATCTGTCTCTAAGGCCCACTGATGCGAAGGATCATTATTGGCCGCCAGACCTTCGGCCAGACGTATGCGCTGCAACCATTCCAAATCCTCGAACTTGTCATGGATCTCTGCATAAGGAAGCGGTCAGTCACATTCCACGTGCAGGGTGTCTTCCCCGACAGGCTTTATGCACCCCCTCACTCACCCGAGACAGTTTGGCACAGGAACGGCGGGACATCTTCCGTGTTTCCAGCCTCCAGTTTAGGGTTGTCCTGATCCGCACCAAGTACATCCAAGCCCGCATCGTCGTTCTCGGGCAGTCCGCGCTTAGTCGAGACGCTGGTGTCGATCTTGATGGACGGATACGCCATCTTGGCGGCAGCGATGCGCTGGAGTGCTCGCACTTTACCGATGACACCACGCGCTTTTCGCGAGACTGATTTGGTTTTGGAGCGCTTCTTGTGCGGGGCAGGCTGATCGAAGGAGGGCGAGGGGGAACGAGATGGATCGGTTCTGACGTCGTCAAAATCTGCAGGCACCGATGTTATCTGCAGCGATGACAGATCGGGACAGCTATAGAAGCTGTCCCGGGAAGACGTGTCCAGGGCCAGATTTTTTGAGGAGCGCGGGGGTGGGCGTCGAGGGAGTGGAGGAGAGCGTCGCAATAACAATAGCCTATAGCGTGCAGGCCGTATACTCCCGAGTCCACCTGATGGAATGGAAACAGGTATGCGATTCGGAATCCCGAGTCAGAAGAAGCCGAAAGTCGAAAAAAAAAATCAGAAGCAGAGGCGAAGCAGAGACGGGCCAAAAGGAGAGAAAGTGGAGGGGCGTAAAGAACAGTAAAAGATCCGAGGTCCCCGAGTAGGAGAACAGTTTTATAGTTCTTTTTGCGTGAAGCTCAAGCGAACGAGCGATTTATGTTTTCATCGCCAAATGACTGCAAAGAGGAAGGCTGTCCAGTTCGTAATTGGCCGCAGCCAGCTCTTTGCCACTTCGCGAATTCAGCTGCTTGCGGTTTCCCGTTCCTGGCTGAGTTGAGGGCAACGTAACTGGATTTTGATAGAAACGGGGGGATTTGCCGTCTTGGACCCCTTTTATGTTCTTGTATGACTCTAGAATCCGATTGTTACTCTTGCTTGTTCGCGGCTATACTCCGACTGTTTTGGCGGGGAAACACAAGTACTCTCTTTATCTTTCTCGCCTCTTTCTCTTCTCGGGGTCTTCTGTCTTTTTTCTTTTTCTGTGTTTGATTTTCTTTTTTTTTTCATCTTCAGTAACGAGGTATCTAAGGCCATCTACTACAGTCTCGGATGACGGCACCCTCTGGCGCTGACAGGTGGTGATCACCGTATCGGTTCGCATATGTCAACAAATCCCCCTGGCGCAAAATGGTCTCCCAGGCTCAGATCGTCGATCGCACTGCGACGCAAAACACTGCCACTCTGGTGTCGCCTCCTTCACATTCGGGCAGACGACACCGTTCCGGTCGTTCGCACCACGGTGGCTCCTCGCATTCCTCCTCGAACGATTTTCCCATCTTCACGTACACGGGGGACACCGAGGTTGTGATTCGCGTTGGATCGCAGGAGAAGCGTTATCTTCTCCACCGATTGATCTTGGCACAATGCTCGGGCTTCTTTGAAGCGAGCACAAATGAGGACTGGTCGCGACAGACAGCCTTGAGTTTACCCAAGGCGGAGGGTACGCTGTCCCGAGTGAGCGAGGACGATGATCTATCCAGCGGGTCAACGCTGGTGCCATCTGATAACGGCTTCTCCACACGGTCGGGGGAGAAGAGGCGCTGGCGGTATGAACTTGACTGGGAAAATCGCGCCGAGGATGAAGAGGTCATCCTAGTGCAAAAGGTATGTAGGCTTTGCGCCGGCGCGTCGCATAATCCATTCCATATGCACAATAGCTAATTTCGCGTGTGGGAATAGCAACCGACATATGCTCACATGTCCAGTGGTGACCAAGCCGCATATCCTCCAACGATGACCAAGCCGTCGAATGCTCAGGCGGGCTTCTTTCGATCCATGGCGAACCTTACAGGAATGCAATCGGTAACCCATCTGCCACAGACGGAAGGGGACCACGCCGTCGATCCCTTGATACGTGACTATGACAATTTACTACGGCTATTTTACAACCATCCGCCCATTATCAACAGTGTCAACATTGCCTCTGCGTATACAGAATGCAAATCCCTCCTCGCATTGGCGGATATGTACGATGCCCTTCCGGTGACCGGGCCTCGCGTGGATCACCATCTACTCGGGTTTGGATCTCGTCTATTCAAACAAATCTCCAAATACCCACCCAGCTACCTGAAGCTGGGATACCTCGCCCGCAGTCGGGTAATCTTCTCTGAGGCCCTGATCCACGTTGTCGGCCAGTGGCCCGCCGCACTACCAAGTCTACGAAACGGCTCCTACGCACCTCTTCCAGATTCATTACTAGACCTGATCGAAGATAAAGTAGAAGATCTCGAAGACCTCAAGGCTCGCGTTGAATCCAAGCTCCTGCGCCTGTCCCTTACCACTTCCCGCGGTGAACGCGTCGGCCCCTCAAACGCATACCTGGACTGGCTCGCCGTGTCTCTATTCCGCCAATGGCTAATAGAAAGCACCACTCCCCCGCCAGCACCCATCCTCAAGAACTCCGGCCCAAGCGACGGCCCCTCCCAGCCCGCCCCATCAGCATCGCACCCGACCAGCGCCTCAAGACCAACCACACCCCAAGACCCGTCTGCGCGCATCTACAAATTAATAGGGTCATCCTCCTCCCAAGCATATCTACCCCACGATGAGCTCAAGCGCTTCCTCAAACTGCACCCCACACCGTCCGCTGATTCCATTTACTCGCGCGACACCCTGAAACGCTTCGAGCGCAAGATGGACGAGATGAAGCGTCTAGCACGGGAAATCGTCAAACCCTTGATGCGCAACTTCCTCGAGTTGGAGCTGAAAGGCCCCGCGAATCAACCAGGCACTGGCCCTGCTGGTCCTCGTGAGAATACCCCGATTGGACTACCGTATCTGACATGCACGCGCGTCGAGGAGATGGATCTTCCTTGGAACTGACCCTCACAGCCTCTGGCTTACGATTTTTTTTCTTTCGAACTCTAATGATCTTTCTGGATATCTTTGTCTCATTTGGAGCTTTCTCACGGTATTTATGCTTCTTTCTTCTTGGAATATGGCCTTTTTTTCTACCCAGGCTGCTGGTCTTGTCTGGAGAAGACCAGACTCTGTACTCCTGTTCTTTTTTTGGTTCGCAATGATGTGATGCGTACTTATTTGTTTTCTCTTTTTGTTTCCGGTTCATGTGTCCACGAAGTCACGACATGGCTCTACTTTATTCGGGGTGTTTTCTTTCATTTAATAATATGTTTTATTCCCTCAATATGACACGGGTCGGGAGTCCTACAAGTTCTTTTTGTCTGCGATATTTTCTCAAGATACCAAAAGATCCTAGGTGATTCAATGGAAGGGTCTATGATGAAATACCCATCTTACAGATAGCTCAATCGAAACAGACTTACAAAAACATGCATTATATGCGCACCACTTCGTAAAATGTACAATAGTATACATGGATTCAGAGAGGCGAATTCCCGAGCTCATCTACTTCTGACCAATAGTCTCCATGCCATCCATCCAAGGCCGCAAAACCTCAGGAATGACGACAACGCCGCGTTCGGCATCCCATCCATTCTCCATGATCGCAGCCAGCACCCGCGGAACGGCCATAGCAGTGCCGTTAACGGTATGCGGGAACCGCGAGTCCTTAGCCGCACCACCACGGACACGAGCCGCCAGCCGGCGACTCTGGTAATCCGTGCAGATAGAAGCAGAGGTAACCTCGCCCCAGGCTGATTCCAGATGATGGATTTCGGGGTCGACAGGGGTGGCGTTAGCGTTAGATGCCGCGCGGAGTCGAGACGGGAAAAGAGCCTCGATATCACGCTTGCGCGTGGCACTGGCACCCAGGTCTCCGCTCGGCATCTCCAAGACGCGGCAAGGGAGATGAAGCGAGGTAAGGATCTCCTTCTGCATGTCCAGCAGCTCGTTGAACATATCGTCTGAGGTGGGGACGCCAGTTGCACCGTCTACACTATCCGTCCAGCCGAAGAGCTCGACCTTGGTGAACTCGTGGACGCGGTAGAGGCCCTTTGTGTCGACGCCGCGGGAGCCAGCCTCGGCGCGGTAGCAGCGGCTCGCGCCGACGAGCTTGATGGGCAGGTCTGCGGCGTTGATATCGCGGTTGGCGTACATGGCTGCGAGAGGGATCTCGGCAGTGCCGGTTAGAGAGCGCTGGGGCTTGGTATTGCGGTCGCGCTCGCTCTGCTCGATGGACCAGATCTGCTGCTCGTTGTGCTGGTCGCGGGGCTGGAAGCCGCAGGCTTCGGCGATGTAGGAGTAGACGATGGAGGGCGGGGCGACGGTTTTCCAGCCGCGGCGTCTGGCGACGCCCAGTGCGTATTGAACAAGGGCTTGCTCTAGCATGGCGCCTTCGTTGATGAGGAAGTACCAGCCCCATCCTGTTGTTGTGGCTGAGCTGGCGAAGTCGAGGAGGTTGAGCTCGGTGCCGATGGTGACGTGCGACCGGGCTTGGAGCTCGGCGGGGGACTGGCGGGTCCAGGAGGGGGGTTCGTGGGGGTTGAAGTTGATGTATTGTACGAGACTAGGGTCGTGTCCGATGGGTGTGAATGGTGAGGAGAGGTTTGGAAGGGAGAGGGCTAGTCGATTGATCTCATCGGTGCACGTCGCTTTGCGGTCTGTCATGGCCTGGGAGTCGTCTTTTAAGCGCTGAGCTTCGGACTTGAGAGCGGCCAGTTCCTCGCTTGGACTGGGGCTCTTCTCGCTGGTGGTGCCATTACTGGTATCTTGGCGGGTCGCAAAGTGTAGTTTGGCGATGGTTTTTTCTAATTGCTTGATGCGGGATCGAGGGGTTTTCAGGTCATGGTCGAGTTGTCGGGCTTCCTCTGATAACTGTTGGATCTTCGACGGGTACCCAGCGTGGGCTGCATAGTTGCGATCTATACAGTTTTGGGCGTAGAGGTCTGCATTCTGGCGGATGTGCTTAACGTCCGGCGTGGGCTTTGGAGCTGTTGCGGGGCGCAACACGTCTCGATTGCGTCGGGCGGAGGAGAAATTGCGTAGAGATGCTTTCAATCCATATGAATGCCTGCAATTGGAGCAGACATATGATGTGAGCGCCATTGGAGTTGGAGAGAAAGAAAAGAAGAGAACATCCGGCAATGTGGTGGAGCTCCGGCCTTAACCCTTTTGGGAGGATCGGCATGTATATTGGTTCTCTGCATCGCTTCTATACTTCGCTGTAATTCGATCCCATTGTTCATATAACTAAATGCATATACGCAATCTTCATGTTCTCCCTTGAAAAATAGCCAAGTCCAGTTCAATGCTACTAATTCACCCTCCCTCCCCTCCCGTCCTCTCACAGCCCCAACTTATGCTTCTTGATTCTCGCTCCCACCCCGGCGAGAATCAAGACAGCAGTAATAAGTACCCCCCATAGGGGAATATGGATCGCATTCACGTTGAACGTGGTCTGCGTCGCCGCCACGACAGTCGCCATCTCCAGCAATAGCAAAACATAGCCGCTCCAGCGATGGTACTTATAAATGCGCTTCCCGGCGTCGACACTACCGAGCACCGTAACGGGCACAAAGTACTGGACGACCCCGACCAAGGCTTGTAGCACAATAGCGATATAAGTGATGAGGCCGAGAATACCGTGAGGAGAAACAAAGTGCGGGTGAGAGCCCTTGTTCACCTCGATGATCACAAAGGCCGATACAAAAAGCACCACACTCAGCAGTTGGAGTAAGTAGTGGATGCGAGTGCCCGTCCGCTTCTGTTGCGGGGTGGCGGTTGGTTGTAAGATCAGAGCTGCTTGGACTTGAAGGAGCAGTGCAGAAATGCCGAGGAGCTGAAGAATTGTCAGTCTCTTCTCAAGGTCGTCCTTTTTTTGTTCTGCAACTGACTGGATGCGGGGTGAATAACATCAGCGGCTGGGACAAAACCCCCTGCCAGACCAACGCTGTGAGCTGTGGTATTTGTTAGTTCTCTTCTCGCTGAATAGCTCATAACCTCACAATCCAAATCCCTGCTTGCGCAATACTGGCGGTGCCTACTGGAGTCAGTAAATCTCTACCCGAGGCGTCTAGGTTTCCACTCACCAGTGAAGAGATTCCGATAAATACTCTCCTCTGGCTTCTGTGTGACATCGCCTGGACGGCCCAATAGTGGCTCATCATCCCGGCTAATAATCGGATCCTGGGGGATTCCTGTTGCTGAAGCCATGGCAGAGTGGGCAGAGTGGGCAGAGTGGGCAGAGTGGTCAAGAGAATCTCATCTAAAGGAGAGTTGGAAAAGAGAAAAGGGAAAAAGGAAAAGAGAAAAGAGAAGACAAAGAGAGCCCATTGCTTTTTCTTTCACATTGCATCATACTGCCTGCGATATCGTGTTCGGAGTACGCATTGCTAGGATTCCCCGAGTTCTTGCTTTGGCGTGATTGCCATTGGATAGCGCCCGCATACTTCCGTGAAGCTGAGGCCAGTCAGCGCCAGTGGATTGCGCATCGTGAAACTTGGCGAAGGGCAACGCAAGGATCTGGCTCAGTGTCTACTCCGTACATAAGGGGTGTTTGCATTGTCTGCGGGGTTATGATCACAATGCTTTGAAATCCCTTGTTCGTCTGTATGGGTTTCTCTACGCTTATTCCCTTCACATTTGAAGATAAACGAAAATATGAATCCATTCCTAAGAGAGCCAAGAATGGTTGCTCTCCCCAGTGCCTGTCTTGCCCTCTACAATGTACTCATACTCCTACACTTCGAATCCATATTTAGGGAGAGTCGACACCCCCCTGATATATCCACTGCATTAATTCATGTAAATATCTAAATATTAATCATAATCATAATCATAATCATAATCCTCAACGAGGCTCCGGCGACGGGGCACCACTACGGTCGCCTCGTCGATCCTCGCACCCAATGTGGTACTGAAGATCCCAAGGGATACAAAATTCCAGAAAAATCATCATGCTCTCAATATCAGTAGCAATTCGGCGAGTGCTCTTCGGATCCTTGACCAGGGTATCTCGGAACCCGCCCACCTTCTGGTGGAGGTGATTACACTTGTCGGTCCATGAAGGGTTCTCACTCACGAAGTGAGCCTGGGCTGCCATTCGCAGGCTGTCAATACGCCGAAGAAGGAGACCTAGCGACTTGATAACTTGCTCTCGGTTTCCCTTGTAGTTGTCCTTGAGAATGTCAATCTGAGCGTGGAGGGTGGTTAGGAAGTAGGTGCGTTCCTCGGTGTACGTACCGTGGGAAGAGCGTCGAGCCATGGTTTCTGCGTGTGGGATAACTGGAGTTGGAATGGAGTGGCTTGTGAGGTTCACTTGGACCTTGTGAGGGAGTGATTGACTTTTGGGTGGTTTCTAGGTGAAGACTGGAGAGCTGGTGGATGATGATGCTTCTGGACCTAGTGCGTGGAGACCATTTATGTATTCTCTGCGACATTTTCGAGTATTTAAAGGTCAAAGGGAACAAAACCACATTGGTTATTGTGGAATGCTTTGTCTCTTAAAGATAGCACAATCGATTCTTTCTTGAAGGTCTGTCTCTCTATAAAGAACCAAGTATAAAGGGCTATCTTTGTGCATGGCGCATTCATCCAGTCTATATTGGGCTGTTTCATGAACATCGAGGCATTGCCAACACTGGTCCTTCTTCCCCGGATCCTACTCAGCCAAAGACCACCTCCGCTAGGTCCTTCGAGTCCTGGTTCATGACAATGTTGAACGAAAAACTAATCTTAGCTGAGATATATCAGGATGAATCCGCCTGACGAAATATCGCCTGTGGTAGATTATATGTATCCGAAAAGATACGCTCTTCAGCAACGTAGGATAATACAACAATTTCGCATATTGGCTAATTGAGATATATAATCCCGTACAAGTAAAGATCGTAGAGCAATCTCATTCATATTCGTTATTTTTCAATCTATGCCAATGATCTATGCATCTTTGATCAAATGCTTAAATAATTTGTCCAAATAATAAGCAGATTGCTTGGGATACCTGGTCTTCTCTTCAGACTCGAAGTCAATGAAAGTGGAACCGAAGCGATCCGCATATCCAGCAGCCCATTCTACCCATGATTAGCCAAAGAATCCGCATAGAGAAGAAGATAATCACTTACCCCAGTTATCAGTGAAAGTCCAAGCAAAGTATGACCGGATATCAACTCCATCTTCCTTCACAGCCCGCGCCAACGCATTGCCAACATAGCCCTCGAAGAACTTAATGCGGAACTCATCATTCAGAACCTCAGGTGTGGGTGCCGTCTCACCCTTGGCAGTGGTACCGTTCTCGGTGACGTAAATCGGCGTCTGGTATCGCTTCCAGATCCAATTCAACAATTTCCTGAACCCGCCAGGCGCAGCCGCAGCCAGGGGGTATCACTCTCTTCGCCGCGAGACACCCCCTGTTTGTTCTCATCGTGGATCTCAACATTACCTTTGTGATCATTGATATCAGGTGACGAAGTCTTATGCTTCATGAAGAAAGTAGTGTAACTATTCATACCATAGAACTCCGAGCTCCCCAGGACGAGCTTCGATTCCTCGGCCGTGAACCTCGGGAGCCGATCACCGAGCTGCGCCCGCATCGACGCCGGATAGTCTCCTGTCCTGTACAATGGATCCGCAAACCAGGCGATCTCAAACTCGCGCGCACGCTCCGCAGCTTCCTGGTCGAGCGGATCTTCCTCATCCCACGCCTCGGACCAGTTCCCGTGTAGAGTGATACCGATGGTGCCCTTCTGTTCGGGCTGGAACTCTTCGCGGTACAGGCGCGCGACATGGCCATGGGACACGAGCTCTGTGTGCGCGACGGTGAACGGCTCCGTGGACGAATCGCCCTCGGCATTGCGCTCCCGGAAGGATGATCGGCCAGGTGCGTGGACGCCCGCTGCGTATCCGGCGAGGGTATACACGCCAGGTTCGTTATAGGTAATCCAGTGTTTGACGCGGTCGCCGAAGCGCTCGAAGCAGACACGGGCGTAGCGGACAAAATCCGGCGTGTAAGCTTCCTGGTTCAGCATGCCGCCGTACCGGTCTTCCAGGGCCTGCGGGATATCCCAGTGAAAGAGAGTGAGGAAGGGGGTGATTCCATTGCGGAGGAGTTCATCGATGAGATCGGAGTAGTATTTGATTCCTTGCTCGTTAACGGGGTCGTCGCGGCCACCGAGTGGAATGATACGGGACCACGCGAGGGAGAAGCGGTAGGCATTTACTCCGTAGGATTTCATGAGCGCCACATCCTCGCGGTAGAAGTCGTAAGCTCGGACGGCGTCGTCGGCTGTGCTGCCGTCGGCGATTTTGCCCGGCGTGTGACCGAAGGTGTCCCAGATGGACACGCCCTTGCCATCTTTATTCCAGGCGCCTTCGATTTGGGCTGCTGCTGTAGCGTAGCCGTGGAAGAAGTCGGGTCGGAGGACGTCCTTGAGGTCTTGTACAGAGTTCAAATCCATGTTTTTTTGCCACTGTGTTGGGACTGGGATTGTGTCGGAGGCTGGCAATTTACTTTCTTAACTTGGAGAGCTCGATCGAGTGATCTATGAGATCCCCGCAGCAATATCCCATCCGGTTAAGTTGTGGTGCATTTACCCTGAGACTGGGATATACCGGTGTCTGCTCCGTGCCTAACTAGGAAGGGAAGCAATATTATACAGGGATCACCCGCATTTAGAGGCTAAGCTATTTACTAGAGAGCCATATCTATCTCTCATAGTTCTGGAGATTCTATCTATAGCTTATTCCATCTATTCTCTAGACATCGATTCTATGCTCACCGCGACCAGTAATCTCTACTCGTGTCTCATTGAAGCAAACAACCACCGTCTCTCCCATCTCCGAGTTGATAGACACCACACCTACAACCCGGCCGTTTTCCCAATTAAATCGAAGCTCAAATCCACCGCGTGCCCGCACTCCCCGAATGGATCCAGTCCAGGCATTCGGACACGCTGGAAGAAGTCGAATTACCCCAGGCTCGTGGGATTGCACCAGCATTTCGATAATGCCTGCCCCACCCCCAAAGTTGCCATCAATTTGAAATGGAGGGTGGCTATCTAGGAGATTAGGTAGAGTTGACCTTGACAAAAGCAGGTCTAGATGGTCGCTACATTCCTCAGCTTCGAGTAACCGAGCGTGCAGATTGACCAGCCACGCCCGACTCCAGCCAGTATGACCACCGCCGTGCTCAGCACGTCGACGTAAAGTTACTCCACACGCTTTTGCTAGCTGTGGGGCCTGTGATGGAGTGATTGCATTGCCGGGGTGTAATGCCCACAGATGGGAGGTGTGACGGTGCCCAGGCTCGACCTCAGCGTAGTCAATAGCCCATTCCTGTAGATACCCCGCAGGAGATATCTGCATGGGAGGAAGTCGGGACTTAGTAGTCTGGGCTGCTGGAAGGAGAGAATCCTCGAGACCGAGTCTCTCAGCACAGGATTGGAAAGCGCCCAGAATAGCATCAATAATTTGGATATCGACCGTTGATCCTTCACATAGCACTCCTTTCTGTCCTGCGCGGTAGTAGAAAGAGTTCTCGGGAGAAGCGGATGGACTGGTGACAAGATATTCACCGTTCGCATCTTCAATTAGAAAGTCCAGGAGAAACTCCACGCACCCGCGCAAGGTGGGAAACATGCGACGAAGGAACTGTTCATCACATGTGTATTGGAAATGATCCCAGATATGGTAGCAGAGCCATGCCCCTCCCAGAGGCCAGATACTTGCGGGCATCCATCGATCGACAGGCGCTGTGTCGGCCCAGATGTCGGTGTTGGAATGGGCTGTCCACCCACGACATCCGTACATGATCCGGGCTGTGGTTTTACCAGACTCAGCCATGCGCTCCAGTAAATCAAAAAGTGGCATTTCACATTCTGATAGGTTACACGCGTTTGCAGACCAGTAGTTCATTTGGAGATTGACATTGGTGGTGAATCTGGAGCCCCACGCCGGATGGAACGATGGGTTCCAGATACCCTGGAGGTTTGCAGGAAGGGGTTTATGGCCATTCCGACTGCAAGATATCAGAAGATAGCGATTGTAGTTGTGATAGAGTGCAATAAGTCCCGGATCTCGAGCAGACTGTATACGTCGGTCAGTTGGAGTTTTGCGGGAGTCTGGCCCAAGTTGCAATTCCATCCTGTTGTACAGAGACTGATAATCGGCAACATGGTGAGCCTGGAGGTCTTTGAAAGCGAGGCCTAGGAGACTTTCCACGTCTTGCTTGGTTTGCTGGTCAATGTCCGCGTGTCGAAATGTAGTCTGTGCCGCGATCACCAGCAGTGTGTCACTAGAGTTCACCACTAGATTGTTTCCGATTTTGGTAATTGTACTCTCAGCACTGTCACAATGGACAGCTACCATGCAGCATGCCCGGTTACTATTCTTGCCACCAGGTGTGACGTGCATCGTAATAGAGTTGCTAGTCGCATTGACATCGTCAAGCCATTCATGTGTCTCGAACTCCAAATCACTCATACGGGTTAGCCGAACCACAAACTCTGCATTGCTGGAAGAGCGCACTCTGAGCACGATCACATCGTCCGGATAGCTGGCAAAGACTTCACGTTCAAACCGGACACCCTGGTACTCATAGCTGACACGCGAGATAGAATTTGCGAGGTCCAGTGATCGCCGATAACCTGTAACCTGACTAGGATCATGCCCCAAGTCCAAGAATAGGTTCCCAAGCGGCTCATAGTTCCGCTGGCTGATCGGATTAGCGAAAAACGCCAGCTTGGCTATCTTCTCAGCTTCGGCATGATTTTCCGCGCGGATAGCTTCCCTCAGGCGCGGCAGATATTCGAGTGCATCTCGTGGGTTGCGATCTTGTGGGCCTCCATACCATACAGAGTCCTCGTTGAGCTGCAGCATTTCGGTGTCAGTGCGGCCATACACCATGGCGCCTAAGCGCCCGTTGCCGACTGGCAGTGCTGAGTTCCAGTCCTCTGCAGGCTGCTGGTACCATAGTTCTGACATATTCACGACTGATCTCGAAAATGTCTGGATGTATGCTGGTTCAGTGTATCGATGTTCCAATATGGACCAAGGCCCTAGAAATCGGCGGTAGTTCGGTCCGTCAGCCGTCCCCTGACTGCTAACTTTGAACAGAACAGCCTAGAGAAACTTGAGCTAGTAAGCCAGAGAACAGCTATGAGCTGGAAATATACCGAGAGCTTGATCTGATTTGCCAAGAGCAAAGGATTCCGGGTATTTCTGTTAACAAGCGCCAGCCCTAACCTTATCCCCGGCTGTTCCCCGGATTCCCGGCTAAATGTCCCATCCCCACATTGTTCTTGTCTTGATGCACCTGGGGTTGACCCGGTCATCCAGACTAGCGTTGGGCAAATGGCCATACGATAATCTAGATCCTGGTCCAACTCAAGGCTAGTTTTCCCCATGCTCGCATCTCAGTGGTGGGAAATCCGAGCGGCAGGTAGCAAGAAGATGCAATCCAACAATGGCGTCCAAAATGGACAACGTGACTGACGCCAAATCTTCCCTTGTTGTGAATATTTACCAATCAATATCGGTCCCGAGAGTGTAATCACGCCACGAGCTAGTCAGACTGAAAGGTCTTGTCTTCTCCGTGCCTAAACAGGCCGCTCAACAAAAGCGTGGATGTTGGCCGATGATTATGTACGTACCCCCTTGCTTCGTGAGCCTACTATCTCCGCAGAAGCAGAAATACCCCGGCATATCCCACTCTGAGCTTGTCTGCAGCTCAAGGGTTCTCGACCCATACTTTTGGGACGATCATATTTAGACATATCCGCTAGCCAGTCCCATCGATTATTCCGCCAGCTTGCAGTGATGAAGAAGTCTGATACTGCTTATGTGGATGGAGAGGTGGACAAGGGTGGTGTTGAGAGCCATGTTGAGGAGGTTGCTTTGGCACGGTTGACAGAAGAGGATGTCTGGAAGCTATCCCGGGATTCTCTGACGGTCTGGTCCTGGACTGGAGTCCGACTAGGCCTGATCATGTTTGTTCATGGCTGCAATCAAGCTGGCTTTGGAATCGACTGGGGTGTCATCAGTGGCATCAATGCTATGCCTTCATGGCATACCTACCTCGGTTTCGACACCAGTGGTGGCACATACGGGTTGATCAATGCTCTGATGCAAATTGGTACTGTCTGTGGAGCAGTCTTCATGGGTCTTGCAGATGTGATCGGTCGTCGCGGAATCAATTTCGCCGGTAACGCCATTGTCATTTTCGCTTCTCTTCTACAAGGTCTCGCAACGAATCTGCCGATGTTCATGGCTGGTCGATTCTTCATGGGCTTTGGCACGGCTCTCATGTCGAGCTCTCAGTACATTGGTGAAATCTCGCCTATTCATCTCCGTGGCCGCATGGTTGGCTTTTTCGGTGCTTGCTTCCAAGTGGGTAGTCTTGTCATGCTCGGTGCCATGATTGGCCTGACTGACTTACCTGGCAACCTGTGCTGGCGTCTTTCCCTAATTCTTGAGTGTGTGTTCCCTGTTATCGTCTGCCTGGGAATCTATACTCTCACTCCCGAATCGCCCCGTTACTATGTTTTAAAAGGTAACCGGCAAAAGGCCAAGGAGGTTATCGCCAAGTACCACACCACCAGTACAGATATCAATGAGCCCATTGTCGAGACCGTGGTGAGGCAGATTGAGGAGTCTCTCGAGGCAGATAAGAGTGGTTACAGAGCTGCCTGGGATTATCGTGCCTTCTTCACGAAGACAGCCCGCTTCCGCCTATTTATTTTGGTTTTGTACTCGTTCTTCCAGCAATGGAATGGAGGTGGCATCATCACGTATTATGTGAGCGTTTTGACAAAGGAGAAATGTCGTGAGCAAATGCTGATATTTATTAGTTGGTTCCTTCATTACAGCAACTCAACATTGATGACTCTAAGCAACAACTCGGCATCAACATTGGCACCACTGGAGTCTACTTCGTCTTTACGGCAGTTGGCTCGCTTCTGGTTGACAAATTGAACAGACGAACTTTGATTTTCGTGGGCCTCATCAGCATGATCATCTTCCAAGTAGCCACAACCATCACTGCATGGCAGTACAGCCTCCACGCTACCAGTGCTGTCGCAGCACTCACACTTCTTTGGATCTTCCTCTACCAAACCTTCTCGGCAACGTTCGTTGCGACCATGCACAATTTGTATCCTATCGAAATTCTTTCCCTGCCACTTCGTGCTAAGGGAATGGGTCTCTACGGTCTCATTCAAGGCGGTGCTGGAGCCGCGCAGAGTTACGGAATCGGAGTTGGTATCGCAAAGGTCGGCTATAAAATTTGGGTGGTATACATTGTGTACAACTCGATTCAGCTCGTTCTATCTTATTTCTTCTTCCCAGAGACCAGTAACCTCTCTCTGGAGGAGATCAATACGGTGTTCGAAACCCCCGGCGTTCACCCGGTGAAGATGTCCAAGGACATTCAGAAGGCCAAGAAGGAGCGTGCAGCGGCGAGCCGCGATCATGAGGGTAATGCTGGATATTGATTGGACCAGAAGACCTGTATCCACTAATGGAGATGATAATATGATTTGATGTGCGGAGTACGAGGTATACTTCTGGTATTTGTTTCAGCTCCGAGCTTTAAGCTGGGCTTTTGGCTCAAAACCTTGAGAGCTGGGTCATCTTAATGCCAATACATGATGAATGTCAACGAAACTTCAAACTTCTGAAATTACCCATAGACCAAGACAATTGCATAAGTCGAACAGATGAAACGCGTCGGATCCCATTTAACCCTGTGCCTACCCGTCGGAGGGGTGCCTGTTCTGTTACACAGTTTCTGCCTTCTGTCTTCTCAAACGTACATGAGACATCGGAAATACGAGTTTTGGATTATTTCATATCCCTACCAACTTCCGAAAACGATGATGTCTTCTTCGGCTCTGGGGTCAGATCTATACGCGGCACAGTTTGGTAGACATCAGATGATCTCACAAGCCCTAGAAGCTTCTCAACTTCCCATTCACTAGACCTACGCATCTCCAACCGGGGTCTGAATACCTCAAGGAATACGTTTATTTCCTTTTTCTTCCGAGACTCATTTCTACCAGTCCAGAACCCAATTGTAGTCCATACATAGGTCCCCTAAATTTCGGCCTGCAGCGTTGTACAAACAAATCAGGTACCGAATTAAGACCTTTCGCACTCCAGCATCGGTCCCTTGTTACGCCCCCCATTCCTAAATGAAAGACCAATCTGACCTCTACTCTAAACTTTCAATTGGTATCATGTGTTTTAATAGGAATAAAAAAGCATAACGGTCAACGGGCTTCCTGCATCGTGTCACAGATGACCCGGTGTAGTGCTCTGCAGCCCTAATATGGTTATCCCAGGAAGGATTGGGTGGTGACGCAAGCCCAACAACGATACAAAAAAGATACGATGTGGCTGAAGCATATAGTTTAGCTGGTTCATGGGGCCTTGGCTTTTACGTGATTTTCCCTTTGTACTGAAGATGTATGTATGTCTCTGGCTGTAGAAGGGGCAAAGCCAATGATGCTTGACGATAGGCAAATACTTGGAGTTCCGACCAACACAGCATTTATCTATACCAGTAACAGTAGGCCGGAGATTTCGAATGTCAATATTCTCTGCAGACATCGAACCTTCGCAAATTGGGAGACAATGGTCCACATCAAGATCTTCACGAAGAGCGTGGAGAAGACGAATGAAGTGGAAATGGCGGACAGGCTACATCAACTCTATTTTCATGTAAACCGGATGCCTGCTTATGTCTAAACGATCCTCGTGGCAATGAGATAGAACACACATAGCTTCTTCTCGATTGTCTCTCTGGATTATATCCGAAGCGGATCGTTTGGTACAAACAGTCCATGTCACAGATGCACCAATAGAAATGTAGATGTACAACATATACAACGCACAGCCGTTCTCCCTCATCGACAGACCCTGATACACAGACATGCGCGCACGGCCATACGGACCGAGACGGGACTGCTGCACCTCCCGATTGATGCTCGGCCCTTCCCAATTCCTTGAGTCATGCACGCCCGGTTGCGCGGTCTAGCAATTCAAACATGGTGTGACCATGGCTTTCCCACTAAAGGCACCAGGTAAGGCGTCAACTTAGATCGATTGGTTCGTGCGGTCATCACGAGACAGATGGCATTGTCGCCAAAAAGCAAACGGGTCATCGCCGCTCAACACGGGATACGCAAGGCCCTCTCCTTCGAGGGCCAGCTTCAAAGGTAAAAATCAGAATTCGGGGAGAGTTGTTGGGGTTGGGAAATTCTCCTTGGATGTGTATCTGCATGTGTCTTTCGATCTCCTTCTCTTTCTGGGTTGGACCGTGGCTATGCCCCCCTCATTCTGCGCTGCAGCGTTGGGGGATTGAGTGTGATACCGTGTCGGGTATTGGGGGATGTTTTTGAAGACGGTGAACATGATCTCGTCATGATATAATTATTCGAGGGTTTCTCGCATGGCTTTTGTTGGTCCTTAATTTGGATTTCGTCTTTTCTGTCGCCACTATTTCTATGTTTGCTTCGGGCAGCGTTTTATTGGGTTACTCGCTTCGTCATTGCTGGACAGATATATATACTTCCTGTGAACAGAACGTCGCCGTGCATCTTGGCTTCAATCCTTTCTCCAGGAGACTACAATCTCCACTGCCAGTCACGGCTATAACACTAAGCGATTGCCTACTTCATCGGCAATTCCTTTTCTCTCTCGTCCAGTTCAGTCCGAGATGGCCCCAAAGAGTACACAAGACAGCATGGTGCCCGAGGCAAAAGGAATCAAGTACGACGAATGCGAGATGGCCCTCTTCCGTGCCAAATTATCTTATCACGCTACGATCGACGAGCGGATGGCGACCAAGAATTCAAATCTGACATCAATTGCGGAAGCCCAGGCTCGAATCCTTAAGGGATGGGAAATACAGATGCAGGGCACAAAGGACTTGGCGGGCAAGAACGAGGGTCGCTCGGCGAGCGAAAAGAGAGCAATGGCACAATATGAGTGGAGATATACGGCGCTGGAGAATGCTGCGACAAAGACCACTGGGAAGGGATAGGGACAAAAAAGTGCCTTTTATTTTTGGGATTCGTGTTTTCTCCTCTTTTGCTATTTGCGCCCATCAACCGTGGAAAGATATGAAGGCATTGCTGGCGTTGGTTTTAGAAGCTCCACAGCTTATCGTTGATCTGCATTCTCCAATACTATGCGATCAATTCTCATACCGTTACTTGCTCTCCTACCTCGGATTGGCCTCGTGGATGAGTTCTCATGATCCTTCGTAGCGTCAATTCCTCTGGCCTGATTGGGAGGGTTGACCAAATGGAATCGCAATAGATTGATGGCCTGACCATCCTGGATCTTTGACTCGAGAAAGGTTCCGTTGGGTGTGACACAGGCAGGTTGGCCGACATTGCAACAGTAACGGAAGTAACGCCTCGTGTGTACTCAGCCATGCAAAGGACTCGGGTGTCCCATTAGGTGGAGGTTCGGGATATATGGGAATCAGCAAGTGATGAGTTCACGAGTGGCTGCGTCATTGTATAACCCTGTGGGACAGTGGTACGTGAGGAAAGAAGGAAGTATTGCCAGTGTAGTCGAGCCAATCGAAAGTCGTATCGTCGAGTTCTTGAATTCCGATGGACTCCGGGTTGTATGCAGGTTGGGCGGGAAAAGCTATCGCTGTCACAACAGGCACAGATCTGACCTTTACCTTTCTCTGCTTGCGCAGACTGCGATTCTGATTTCTGGTCAATGAGAGACCGTTATCTGGACAATGGCGCTCATCGGAGACCTCCCCTATGATTCGTCATGAAATAGGTCAACGGTCGAACTCCGAGATCCATTCCGAATGGGCTCATTCGGGCATTCAGAGTCCGGGTTTAGCTGATAGGACCCAATATCCTTAGCGGAATATCAGGAAAGATAAGTGCTGATTGGCCGTGCAAGACATATGAACAAAAGAAGAATGGTGTTAATGCTGAATTTCGCGTCAAGTCTCTTACCGATAACTCCTCACGCCCGGGTTTCTTCATCCATACCGGTGCCTGGTACGATGACTGGGAGGCCCACCGCCGCAACCCCAAGCCCTACGACTGGGCCGTGGTCAAGTTGGGCGTAGCGGGCAGCCTTCATCCACGGCGTGGAAGTCGATACCGCACACTTCAAGGGCAACTACGGCGAGAAGTCCAAGCTGCAGGCTACTTACGCACCGGAAGGCAGCGGCATCACAGGTACTCAAACCGTAGACCCCAGCTTCGCCGGCTGGAAAACACTGTTCCCCGCTTCGCCTTGCGGTCCCTCCCAGTGGCACGGGTGGAAGTTTTCCGCCGAGGTCAGTGATGTCAAGCGTTTGGGCAACTTTGGTCGTCGGGCTTGAATTTGTGTCTGGTATCATGAGAATTATATAGAACCGATATTATACACAAACAATTCGCCCAAACTTTCAGGATCAGGAATATATCCTCTCGGTTCGATCATAGTTGATTGAACGCAGGAGATTCAAAGTGGAAGCATAGTTCAAAAGACAATGTTCACAGAGGTCAGATCGAAGGTAAAATACAGAAAGCAGGTCACTTCGCCCATGATTATCGGAAGACAAGGGAAAGAAACCTCCAGCTTCAACATTTTGTTTGAATCAAGTGCCCAAAAAAAACACCATATATGACTAGCTATGCACTAAGTAACAATGCAGAAAGAGAAAGATACAGTGCAATAAAAGTAGATCCATCAAACCCCATGCGCCTGACTTCTATTCTTGGAGAAAAAAAAGGGAAAAAAAGGGAAAAAAAAGGGGAAAAAAAAAAAATAAAAAAGCAAACTCGGGGTATAAATTGAAAATGCGTGAACTCATTTCTTTTCCAGTGACAATGGCTTCGGCTCATCAGCGCCCGAAGAAGACAAACTGGTAGGTGTGCCAGCGCCCGCATCAATACTTGCTCTGGAACGCTTTTCCCGAATAGCAAGACGAGACTTGGGATACGATGGCACGGGGGCGAGATATTTGTCCAACAGTTCGCTCAAGATGGGCGAGCGAACCGGTTTCGGAAGGTAATTGTTCATACCAGCCTCGAGGCATTTCTCGCGATCGCCTTCGATGGCACTAGCGGTCATGGCAATGACTAGGACTTCGTTGACGTTTGGATCGGGATCGCGGCGAAGCTCGCGGGTGGCGTTGTATCCGTCGAGATTGGGCATCATCACGTCCATAAGGACTACATGGAATGGGTTTCCTTCTTGTGATCGTGCGCGTAGCGCATCGACAGCTTGTTTGCCGTCGCTGTATGCTTCGCATTGGAGACCGAGGCCGGTGACGAACTTCACTGCAATCTTTTGATTGATTGGGTTGTCTTCGGCGATGCACACGCGGATCTGGTCGCGGGGGATTTGAGTGAGGTCGCGCGCTGAGGACCGGCGGACTTCCTTCTCTGCATGGCTCAGATCTTGTGACCATGCGGTCTTCACGGTCGTCTTCTTGGGGGCTTTGTTGAAGACCAGGTGGAACGTCACAGTCGTTCCCACTCCAGACTTCGATTCAAGCCAGATAGCTCCCCCGAGGACATCCTCAATAATGGCTTTACAAATTGATAGGCCAAGGCCACTTCCACCGTATGATCTTTCTGTGGATGGATCAGCCTGTGAGAATGGGCGGAAGAGGCGTGCCTTTTGTTCGTCTGGAATACCGATGCCAGTATCCGTGACGGAGCATTCGAGGCGGACGCGACCTTTGCTCTCACGTACAACCTTCGCTTTGACTGTTACTGATCCGGACGGGGTGAATTTGTAACTGTTGCTGAGAAGATTCATGAAAATCTGGTGCAAACGAACAGGATCGCCAAGAACAACAAGTTCCGGTGAGACTTTGTCAAGATTCTCGATGGTCTCCAGACCTCTATCACGATGTGTGTATCGCAAAGCTCGGATGACTTCTGAGATAGTTTCTCTCAAATTAAGTGGAACCGTAGAGATCTTCATTTTGCCGGCCTCGAGCTTTGAGAAATCCAATATGTCGTTGATTAGCGTGAGCAATGTATCGGCGCACACACGAATCGATTCAACGTATTCATCCTGTTCTTTATCGAGTGGGGTGCCTTTGAGTAGTTCTGACAGACCGATCACACCGTTCATCGGGGTACGCAAATCATGGGAGATGTTGGCAAGGAAGATTGACTTGGCCCTTGCTGCATCTTCCTTGAGTTTCACATTATGCTTGGCTTCAGCCTCGGCATTCTTTGCCTTTTGTTCAGCCTCGCGGGCGAGTGCCAGCGCACGTTTTTGAGACTCAATCATGGAAGCATTCTTGGCGCTGACTTTGCGAATCTCGCGGAAGAGGAGCGCGTTGGACAACGAAATGCCAATCTGGTTGCAGAGCAAATGTAATACCACAACGTTGCGTTGTGTGAACCAGTTAGGCTTCCCTTCCAAGTGAATCACTCCAAGCAGTCGGTCTCCTTGTACGACCGGCAATGCGATAACAGACCGACCAACAGGGAAATTCGCCAGATAGGTCTCGCTGACGTTAGAAAACCGTTCATCTTCGAGAACATTGTGAACAAGAACTTCCTCCTTTGTGCGCATGACATAATCTGAGATATGCAAAGCCATACGATCTTCCATTTCTGCGAAAGGAAGACCTTCGGGGAAAGACTTTTGCCCCCTTTCAGCATCACCTGCTGCCGCAATTGCGAAGCCATTGTCGTCGAAATCGGTAGCGATGATGGCGAAATCAGAACCATTGCAGGACTCCAAAATAATCTCAAGCATTTTCGTGAAAAGCTTCTCAATTTGAAGTTCAGATGACATGACTTGGCTCGACTCAAGAATGCTGGACAAGTCAATGATGTCCAGTCCCACACTGGATATATCCATGGATCGCTCCCCGGCAGTAACGCCATTCTGTTCAATCCACTGCTGTCTCCTTTCATCCTCTTCCATCTGCTGAGGAATCAAGATCTCTTCTTGCACAACTTCACGGCTGATCTCAAGAAGTGAATCGATAGTCTGACACCCAACGTCAACAGTCTTTGCCGATGTTGCTGTCTTGAGTAGCCATTCATGCTTCTCGGCGAGTTGCGTTGATTTACCACCGGCACCAATGGCGCACCATGCACCGAGGGCCTCTTGGATCACAGCTCGAGCGGCTCTCTTTGCTCCGCGCCTAACCAAAAACTCACCCTGCAGCTCGAGGGCCAAGGCTTCCTCAAGGGGCCAACCATGAATTTGGCAATGATCAATCGCAGCCTCGTAGTTCTGGATGGAAGCGCTATGGTCATTGCGCACCTCAGAAATCAGGGCTTCTAAGATGAGAGCCCACATACCATAGTTTGCTTCCGACGCATCTCGGGCAAATTCAATCTCGGCCTTGTATTCAAGAATAGTCTCCATCTTGCCGTCGAGATATCCTTGGGCGGGATTGTCGTTATGAAGAGTGAGCAGCGAGGCTGCGAGGTAGAAATAAATCACGTATGAGACGCGGGCAGACCAAAGCCGATGTCTTGTGAACAACAGTTGAGTTCCAACCTGGATAGCGCGGGTGTGATGGCCGAATAGGAACATTGGAATCATGGCGAGGCCCCAGTATATGTCGCGGGGTCTGTCTGCGTTACTTGAATTGACATCCAGATGCATCATATAATCGCTTGAGTTGTGGTTCGCATCCGACATGATACCGTCGGCAGATCTGAAGTCAGTCTTGCCTTGAAGAGCGCGTGCAACCTGCTGGACTGCAATGAGACTAGCCCCACCGCGTGTATCTTGTTGCCACATCGGAATTTCTTCGGGAGTCTCCACACAAAATGTTTCCAGCTGCGCCATGTCTTGACCCAGAGAGAGCCGGGTCGTAGCCATTGATGATATACTGATCAAGGTCAAATACGGATCACCCATTGAGAAAGATGCTTCAAGCGAGGCTTCCAACGCCGGCAGTGTTGATGCCATAGGAACGCGCAAGTGGCTGACGTAGAGATTATGGACGATCGAACCTCTGCTTTGAGTCCACAACTCTGGGCAGTGCTCAAGGAGTTCCAATGAAAGGTCGCTGAGTCTTGCGCCAAATTCAATATCTTTGAATCGACTCATGGAAATCATGGCAAGATGAGAACAGCCTATTGCGATTTGTGTGAACCCACCCTGGAAGATATGAATGTTCATTACTTCAAGCGCCATGCGGTAAAATGTCAATGCATCGTCCCAGTAAGTAACTGTCATCGCCTCCGCCATGACTGCGCCAATAGTCACAATAGCAGGGTCTTTGGAGATTGGTTTCTGGGCGACTGAAGCGAGATCGGCAGTCTCAAGATAGCTTTTGAGGCGAAGATAGGCAGCATCGCACTCTTCGTAGGTTGTAGGCTTGCGAAGATGCACACCAAGCTCATCAAGACAGGTGAGTAATGATTCCATCGAGCGATGATGATCGCCTATCTGAGCAAAGATTTTTGCTTTAATAATCCATGCTCTGGACTTGCTCACAGCATCCTTGCCATGAACAAAGACCTCGTTGATCAGCCGGAGGGCTTCTTCGTTCTGGCCTTGGGACCACTCCATCTCGGCAGTCGCAATAAATAGACGCATAGTTTCATCGTAATAAACGTCGGGTTTGAGATCGTTCCACAAATCATCCTGAAGCAAAGCGATGCAGTGACGGAAGTACCAGAGCGCAGTGGGTCGCGCGCCAGATTGGAAAGCGGTTTGCCCAGCATCCCACAAAATCTGCCGATATTCCAGTCGTTTACTAACACGAGACTTGATCGTCCGCGATGCGAGCGCCACATGATGAGCCATCGAATAGCGACTGCGATGGTCGTGATAGTATTTCATCAACGCTTGTGAAACGATGAAATGCATTTGTTCCACGTTTCGACTCTCATTCAATGACATAGCAGCATGCGCAAGCCGTTCATTGCCAAACCTACAAAAGGTTAGTATAATTATTGACTACAACAGTATTAGAAAAGAGAGGACTCACTTGAACTCGTCGTCGGTCTTTCCTGTGTTCAGAAGATTTGCCTGAACCAAAAATTGCAATCCAACGACAATATCACCTTCTGATTGTCTGACGAGTGTGACATTTTGCGGTGATGTGATATCCACATCCTCGTCATCATTGCTCGAGTAGAGGAATTCACTCATCAGAATCTTTTGCACCAAGGAGAATGAGAACGGACTACCAAGCAGAGCTCCCCAGACCATGATGGATCGAGCAGCTGTCGGAATATCCTGAAGACGCTTGGTAAGAAATCCAAGCCCAAGCCCTTCGCCGTACACAGGAGCCACGAACTCTGTGAAGATCCGATCAAGATCAAATAGCCACTTTGAGTCCTTCCATGAATACCAGATGCAATTGGTTCTGTAGCACGTTTCAAGCATCACTCGCACGTAGAAGGGATTTCCTCGACTCTTCTCCTGAACAACCGCACACAGTGGCGTCAATGTTTGGTTAGGTTGCTGGTGCATAGTCACTGCTACAATTTCCATAACATGCTGCTCTTCAAGTGGTTCCAATGCGATTCGTGTGACAGTTGGCAGGTCGTCCACAAACAGCGATCTCACTTGGTCCGACGCAATCTCGTCTTTGCGACTCGAAAGGATGAGCACACAGGGTAGCTTCGCTTTGATGATTTTCAAGACCAAATCCAAAGTTTCATCATCTGCATGTTCGAGATCATCTAGACACACAGTGATCAGTTTGAACGTAGACAATGTTCGCAAGATTTCAAGGAATGTCTCCATGAGCCGCATGTTTTTCGAGGCAGCATTTGCCAGAAAGAAGTCGAGGGAAGTCTGGCCTTGATCCAGCCCTGGGATGTTGACGTGCTTGGACGGCTCGCCCTTGTCTGGAACGAGAGGATTGGTTTTCGCTTCAGTCGGTCTGTATTTGGCTCCAGGAGACATCAGCTGCTCAGGAAGATCCAGAACTCTGTGCAAAGTAGGCCACATTGGTCGCAATGCCATCCGAACACTGTTGTGATAATCCGTCGTGACATCCCGTTCAGAGAAAATTTGGCGCAGAAGGCTCGCTAATAGTTTGGCAAAGGGTTCGAATGGAACCCGTTTGGCTCTATCCAGGCGAGTAATGGCGATGCATCCCACTTTGCGAATTGTGGGCTGTATCCGGTTTAAGAGATCCGTCTTTCCGATGCCGGCGGGACCGCTGATGGTGATCACTTCGCAACGATCGCTGCGACGAGTCTTCGAACTAACCTTTTGTTTACTCAGGGAATGGAACGATCCCGATTGACTAACAGCATGTTGTGTTGATGGTTGGCCATTGGGGCCCATGGACGGATAACTCTCGCGATCTGTGGTTGCAGAAGACCGGGAATGTGAAGGGCTCTTCATTCGGCTGGAATTTGTTCTTGGACTTTGACCATAGGGTTCGGGGACAATTGTGCTCCCGTATCTTGGGGTGGAGAACGATGTGTCGCTACCCGCAACAGACTCATGTGTGCTTACATGAGTGAGATGCAGGCTTGTGGCATTAGAAGAGGATCGAGGAGGTAGATGGAAAGAATCGGAATCACTCGAGACAGAAGCAAATTCAAGGCTTTCAACGCGGCTTTCGGCGATGGACGAAGCCGAGGTGAGCGCGTGCATTGTACCAGGACTTTGAGTGCCAGCTTTGGCCAATGCGGACGCCTGTCGCTTATTGACCTTTTCGATGATCTTAATGATCTTATTGTATTCATTTTGCCGCCCAAACATTTGTGTTGGAAGAGTGAAAAAGGAAGACACGTCTCCTTGCGCAACCTGGAAATTGCTCAATGCTTCGCTGTCACCATCACCAAGCAATTTGGCAATACGTGACAGGTCTCTCTTCACGGACGAAATTGTGTGATAACGATCATGAACCACCTTTTGTGTCATTTTTTGGACCACGGCCGAAAGAGCATCTGGGATATCCATTCGTTTCCCAGACACTGGCACCAATCTCTTTCCCAGCACATTTTGCACGACATCAACAGGGTCGTTTCCTTCAAACGGTAGCTTTCCCACCAGCATAGACCAGAAAAAGAGACCGAGCGCGTATATATCAGTGCGGCTATCCGGCTCTGTGGGCATCCTTCCAGTCTGCTCTGGGGCAATGAATTGCAGCTTGTACTTGGCTCCAAGCTCACGCGAGACAGATGACCATCCCTCGCTGAGAACATTATCAAATGACCTAGCACCATTTCCAGTGTTTGCAAGCTTCACTGCACCGGTTTCAGCACAAAAATGGAACGCATCACCTCGAATTTCGCCGTGCACTGTCTTAAGACCATAATGCAGAATCTCCAGGCAATCGCATGCGCCGATTGCAAAATCGAAAAAGGCTTGCAAGGAGACCTGCTCGCTGGGAGTGGCATTGTTATCTTCGCCTCTGGACCCTGCTACAAATGAGGCAGGGCCAAATGTGACCAGGTCTCGCAACCTGTCGTGGCCTGGGGACTCAAAGATCGCGACTAAAAGCGGTCTCGAATGTCCGTCATCTGACTGCAGCCTGATCAAATCGATTGGGCGTATTGTGTGATTGCAATCCGGATCTGACGATTGTACAATGGACCTGAGCATATGGAACTCCCGCTCGAGTCGAATGATGTTGGTAGAAATTCGCGCTATGACGGGAACCCATATTTGCTCTGCTTCCTGGCTATGGTGGTTCGAAAGTGAGATCTCGCTGCTAGTTTCGCTAGTGCTCAATCTTCGCAAAGCACGGGCGGATGGTCGGGCTTCTGTGCGCGGGGAGAAGCGTGTGAGGCTCGACGGCCCGGAGGAGGCGGGACCAGAGGAATTCGCGAGAGGAGTTGAGATATCTGGCTCCAGGGCATGGCGATATCCTGAGATATGCCAGTGGTTGTATGTCGAGTGAAACGGTTCGGTCGCTTGATCCCAGGTATAGCCAGGTAGCTGGCTTAATCGTTCAAAAAGTCGGGCCGGTGGGAGTGGCAGGTCTTCCCCGAAAAGAGTACTCTCCTCCATCTCTCCAGTTATTGAGTTTTGTCCGCCGGACGTAGCACCATAGACATGTCTCTTGCGGGCGATCGTGGGTCAAATTCAGTGGGGGTAAAGATTGTCTGACGGCGAATGGAGATGAAAGATGCAGGCAACGTCCACAAGATGGATTATGACCAGTCAGATTCACAGTGAGGGGGTGAATTCGTGTCGCCTTAGTGCGTGTAAGGTCCAGACATCAATAGTCAAAGTGAACCTATGCTGAAACGTGCTCAGGGCAGCTTCAGAATTGAAGATCATAGAAATCTCGGGGCCTGAGGCTGCACCTTAGTCATCCCTCAGAAGTCGGGACCACCGGATCGGGGCAGCTGATTGGATTCACCTTGCCAAATGGCACCTTGACGTGAAGATCCGGAATGCTGTGTACATGGCTTATTCGGATGACCAGCAGACGGCTGGTGGTGTTCGGTATCTGACGTCATTATTTAGCATTGGGCTATAATATGTATGCTTTCTTTTTTACCGAGTATACATCGACGTAGACGGCTAAACTTCGGAACACGTAGACAAGACCTTATTGCCACCGAAAGGAAGGGCGCTAGATATCGGTCGGGTATGGAATTCCGACTATCTACGGACGTCCATATGGTGATGGTATCGGTAAAAAAAAAAAACAAAAGGAAACGTATAATGGAAGGTAGCCAAAACGAGTCTCCATATGTCCAATCTCACAGTTGCACGTATCGAATAGACGCAGTCGATCCCCTACATAGCCAGTTGGTTTCTTGAGAACAAAGTGCTGATGGCAGATGCATATATCGTGCAGATTATGACTACCTAGTTACCTAGATAGGAAGTATGTGTTGCTTGATTGCCCGAAGTGGATTAGTGGGTGTAGGTGCGTGGCATTACAGGCGATTTGAGAATTGATCGTCGTCTTTGTAGCTTTCTCCGGGATCCCAAAAACAACAATGTCTCGGTCAAAGATCTATGTATAGTGCTGGTCCCCACATAGAGAACAGAGTCTTATATACTCCGTACTCCATAAGGAGTACTGAAAACGGCCTTGGCGGGTCTATACATCCATTATTAGAGAGACTGACAAAGTGGATCATCAGGGGATCTATTGGTATCACCTGATAGCTACAGCATGAGACTACCTTTTTGACAACGGTGTATCCAATAGCCATCGATCTAAACAACGCAAGATCCATCTTAAGACGATGATCAAGCATCTACTCCGTACAGATGTCTCACTTCAGATTAGGCCTTGTGGGGTACTGCAGCTCCACGCTGGACCTCGGCAGTGACGCCACTCAGACTAAAGCCGGTTTGGAACCTTAGGATCGTGAGATCTTTAGTTCATCGTCTTCTTCCTTCGCTGTGGATTACTTCGAGCCAGCGCTTGAAGCCGCTCTCTGTCCACATCATGAGCTCACTCCGGGAACCCCTCAAGCTCTTGAAGGCCCTATTGATTCGCATCCCGTTGATCCTCAAGACCATTCTCTTGCATGGAGTTCGAATGTCCCCTGGCACGGGGAAACAGGATATACGCACCGAGCTGACGGTCGCTATTATCCGATCATTCATGGCATCAAGGGCGCCAATCAGCAAAAGCCAGAGAAATAGCATACGCGATCCCGGAGTCAAGGGTCCTATGTGGGTATCCAAGGTCACACTCCCACGGCCCGAGATGGACGTGCGCGACGCAGTACTGCGTGCAATCGAGGATCTGAAAACTGGTGATCAGACCTATGATATACCTGTAGTTGCTGCGGTCGAAGGCGAATGGACTGGTTACCGCGCGGGAGTTGGAAAGAAAACACCTGAGCCCGATCTCTCAGAAGAGGAGAAATACCACAAGCTGCGCGAGGAATCACCGTCTGATATGACGATCTTGTATTTCCACGGAGGTGCATACTTGTGAGTACTGCTCGACTCGCTAGTAATAGTGGACACAGCTGACGTATCCTACCCAAAAGCCTCATGGACCCCTGCAGCCACCGCATCCCCGTCGCACACTTGTCCCACTTGACTGGCGCACCCGTATTCTCTGTCCGATATCGTCTCGCTCCTCAGAATCCATTCCCAGCTGCACTCGTCGATGCCCTAACAGCATATCTCTCTCTCCTTCACCCGCCCCCGGGTTCCCTTCACGAACCAGTGCCAGCGAACAAGATCATCTTCGCTGGTGATTCTGCAGGCGGAAACCTTTCACTGGTACTCCTCCAGACACTTTTGACTCTCGACCGCGCATCGCGTACTATCCGTTTCCACGGCAAAGACGTGCCCATCGAACTGCCCGCAGGCGTAGCAACCATCTCACCATGGTGCGACGTGACGCGGTCTATGCCGTCAATCAGCGGGAATGCGCATCTGGATTATCTCGATGCGCCGCCTGTACCGTCTGACGACCCAGATGTCAAGATTCCATTTGTTCCAATGCCGTTCGCACCAGACGATATCTGGCCCTCATCTCCACCTCGCGCCGACATCTACTGCAACGCCAGCATACTGAACCACCCATTAGTGTCTCCGCTCGCTGCGCCGGCCGAGCTCTGGAAGAATGCGCCTCCTATCTGGGTCTCAACTGGCGAGGAAGGCCTCACAGATGAGGGTCTTATTCTGGCGCGCCGCGTCTACCAAGCGGGCGTGCCTCTTGTTGCAGAGATGTTTGAGGGTATGCCTCACTGCCACGGTCTGATTATGATGGCCCACCCAGTTAGTCGTCGTTTCTTCGAAAGCTTTGCTGGTTTCTGCCGCGATGCTGTTGCCGGCCGGGTTCTATCAACTGGGAATCTCACCTGGTTGGGCTTCAAACTTCAATTGTCTAAGGAAATACCGATTGAAAAAGCCTGTGAAACTAGTGACGAGGAGGTGGAGGCTCTCATGCAGAAAATTGCTGCTTGGAAATTGGAGGCCGAGATCGAACTACAGAAGCAATGGCGCGAGAAAGCGCGGTTGTGATGTGGTTTGGCTGAATTCTATCTCGTCGCGCATGATAAATAGCTAATATACCCTCTTGATATAATCTCATCATCCTTTTAGTTGATGATTTGCGTGCGGGAGGGCCTGGATCTGGTATATTTTACTCTCGGGTGTTTAGGATAATTCGTGTTCGTGGTGTCTTTAGCAATGAAGTTCTACCTTGCTCTGCGTTAGAGAATCAACTAGGCGTATGCTAATATACGATAAAATCGAGTCTGAGATAGCCCAATAGGGGCTACCAAAAGCTAAAAACACGGTTCGATGCGGACCAAACCAAAGTCAAAGCCCGAAGATGTCACAAGCATCGCATGCAATTAAAGATATTCATCATTATCCATTGCTTCATCGCCCGGCACCTGATCAGTGCCCCATCTCTGTGGGGTGGGATTTTGGGGTGACCACACAGGCTGCACTGGCTGCACCGGCTGCACAGGTTGCGTAGGATATGGTGTATACCGAGGCTGCTCAGGCACAACATTCTCAGCTGTGGGTGCCGAAAGCCAAGGCAGTGCAACTAGACTCCCATTGATTCGGATTTCCCCGACCATGCTTCCAAGCTCTGGCGGATCATCCACGTAGCCATCTGACAGACCCACCAATTGCGCAACAAGCCGAGAGATAGCAACGCATATAGCGAAAATGGGCGTGACAAGCGTGGACATATGTGTCCAGCGCCACAGCATTGTGACAGTCACCCAGGGGAAAAGAGGCGCATCGGGCTGCAGGCAGTAGCCTTCGCAGCTGTCGGATATTTCCGGATGACTGTACTGCTCCCACATTAGGCACTCGATGATATACCACGAGAGCGAAATGATAATCAACCAGCTCAACTTAGTGATCTGAAGGCGCTGAGTTTGCGGATTTCGCTTCCATAGCTTAGGAAGAGGTATCGCAGCATATACTCGTCCATCGGAGTCCGTAGTACAGCCTGTGCGTGTTTCAGCTGTATTTGGGCGTGGTTTCGGGATTGCCTTGGTTTGAGATTTTGCCTGCGATGCAATGGCAGTGTCTCGCGTGGCATGGTTTTCTAGGTCGTCAAGTTCTTTTCTGACTTCGTCGATATGTTTGTGAAGTTTATTGAGCTTCAGGTTCAATGAATCTAGGACCACACCATCCTTTTGCGAATTGGCCTTGTCCAAGTCGGCGAGAACGGCGGCTTCGTAGGCTTTGTCGTCTTCCTCAATTTTGAGTCCACTCGGTCCATTTTCCATGAATGCCTGGAGAGACTCAATCGTATCATCTCCGAACTCGACGTCTTTGCCGGAGTTGGCATCTTCTATAACCGCCTCTAGGCCACTTTTCGGTAAATGAGGCCGGGACAACGGAGGCCTTGACTGCTTTGCAGAGAGTGGTTCAGGAAGCTGCTCTTTCTCTATGGTCTTTATGGGCTTTGGTTCCTTGGCTTCGATTTCAATATCTGTGGGTTTGGTAGGTGGTGTGATATCCTTCGAATCTTGGGTTTTGCGTGGAGGAATGATGTCTTTCGTCAGATCTTCCGGGAGGTCAACCTTCTCAGCCACCCGCTGGGTCATAGGAGTGTCGATCCATGCACCAGTTACCCGGGGTGTTTTGTCATAGATCCTTCTCTCGAATAGTTTTACTGGTTCCGGAGTTTGGACTTGGTCAAGTTTGGGAGTTTCTGTTCTGGATAATTTCCGCAGTAAATCCCGGGAGTCGCGCTTGCTAGGACTGGGCCTTGCGAATGACGAATTTTTGAAGATTGTGATGGGGGAATTGGGAATTTGCTCGCCACCAATAGTGGGGGACGTTTGCTTTGAACCAGATTGGTTTTCCCCGAAGTCTTGCTGCCTCCCCTGCGTATGCAAATTGGCGGTGCGTTCTTCAAGCGCGCTCCTACCAGGAAGGCTCCGCGCCGGAGAGCCAGGAGAGGTACGCGTAGGCTTGGAGGCCCGGGTCGGTTCGGTCTCCGCGGGTGACCAGCGCCGACGCGCCTTTTCCTCCTGTTCTTCGGAAAAACTGCGCTGGATAGGCTTTCTTTCCCATTCTTGCCGGCTACCTGCACGATGTCCCCAACCAGTGGGTATATTAGGTGAAGGAACACTGTTCCAATGATCTTCTGGCGCAGATTGATCCGCCTCGATCTTATCTTCCATTCGTCTTCTCAAATTATCTGCCGTTAAGGCATCCCGTCCGACTTGAGCTCTGCTGAAGACGGGCGAACGTTGGCCTGTCACACGCTTCAGGCGCTCTTCATCCTTGGTGTAATCCCTGCCCTTGCGTGTTGGATATTCGCCTAGATCTTCACCAAAACCCGCGTCGGAAAATGATTGTCCATGCATATATGCATTGCCGCTGTTCGTATTCCTTGTGCGTGAGGACGAGGGGCGACTTCGGCTTGCGGAGCGCGCGCTGGGTTGCGGGTCCCAGTTGTAGTCACGTACAAGATCGGCCAGAGCACCATCTTCATCAATTCGTTTATATGCATCTTCGATTTCTCTTGGAGGAGGAGAAAGCTGAGAGATCGGTGAAAACGCGTTGGTAAAATGGCGCTTCGATTGCGGGCTTGGTGTCGTCACATAGTGGTACTCTTCGTCGTGTGAGGCAGGCATTGTGGGTTTTGATGCGTCTCGATATGCATCGGCTAGTGACCTTGGGCGAATTGCATGTCGTGGATGTCCATCTTCTCGAGGGGGCGATGTGAGCTTCGTATGTATATCGTGATCGAATTTCGAGGCGCGTCGGAAGGGCGACGCTCCTCTGTCTCGCGAGACTCGGTGGCTTTTGTCGTGGGACATGACCGAAAGATCTCTTGCAGAGGGTTCACATGTAGGAAACGTTGTGTAGGAATTGAAAAGGGAAAGCAACGCGACTCCCTTGTGATATTGAAGAAATGATAATGACGGAGGTAAATACGGAGATCCCTCATTCCCCGATGTGGTTAGACCAGCGGCCGGAATTCCTGCATTACGCCGACACCTTCAACACCGGCCACCTTCTCTACTCTATACTTGCCTGTTGTTCAGTTCGCCAATTTAAATCTCGAGACCTATCAGGGGAGCATCCGATACCCCTAATGCTCGAATGACCCCCTTCTTATATTGACATGTGACACCTTCACTCGCATTGATCGCCCTCTCCTCGAAAGCTTCAATAAAAGCAACACTTCCCGCGTTCTCAACAATCGAACCTTCACAACCAGCTCAAACCCTCAAATTCCGTTCATTTTATCCATACCAACCCTCAACATGGCGAAATCCTCGCGACGCTCAGGTCGCGGCAAGACACCCACGTCATCCGGCGCCTCAACACCAAGCTCCGCATCCTCGGGCCCCATGCCACCATTCACAAAAGTTCCACAAGCCTTGCAACCGTTTGTCGAACCGCTATCCACAGATGAAGTGTACCTAGTGCACATGGACATCACAGCAGAAGATCTCAAGCGACAGACCTTCACTGTACCCCTCATCGTCAACTTCATAGTTGGAGCCGTGATCGCACTGCGGGTGTACATGGGAATCACCACATACCCAGCCCTCGTGTCAGCGCTGATCGGACTTCCAAGCTCCATGGCCGTGGACACAACAGCCATCCCGTGGACAGAAGGGGCGCAAATCATCCTCCGCCGGACGGGAACTGTGTTCTTCGACTACTTCCTTGTGACCATATTCCTCTCGTGGCCAATGAATTTCATCACGGGGCCCGTGCGCTGGCGCCGTGCCATTGGTTTCCGCGAGCGAGAGATCATCGTCCGCCGTAGCCGCCCCAGCTGGAGTAAAGATCTCGAGCGCAATAAGTGGATCCGCGAAGACGAGACACGGCGTGACAAGATCGTTGCCGCTGTTACTCCTGAGCGGGTCGGCAAAACCGGATACCTGCTTGTTGACGAGGACTGGGATCTAGACTATGCGGCTATGGTCCGCGCCCATGCTCTTGTTGACCGCACTCGCAGGGGTGAGGGTATACGAATCGATGAGTTCCGCACCGCTGTACTGGTCAATACCGATGCTGATGGCTGGTTGATCTGGCGTGTAGGGGACGAGAATACTCCTGCAGCCGAGAAAAGATCAGTTCAGCGTGATCAGATCCTTGCTTTCAAGGACAAGTTGACTGAGATGGGCAAGGAAAATCTCTTCCTCCGTTGGGTGGAGCTCATTCAATGGGAGAGTTCGCAACCTGGTGGCTTTACAGCAGAGCGCCAGCGCTCTGCAATGATGCAAGCGAAGAAGATGTTTGAAGAGGAGGATGTCGATTTCAGTCGTTTCTGGGACGACATGGGTGGCATGGAAGGTGTGGATGGATTAGACTAATGATCTCCTATTTCATAGGCTCAATTTTCTCATTTGGTGTGACCCCGCGGATACCGCGGTATGCTTTGTCTAAACCGCTTTCGCTTTATATATATACCCGGTTATATTTGCAAATAGGTTAATTTCATAAATACTATTCACCAGCATCCACCTACAGCACAGTCAAGTAGGTATACCAATCTATTCAAATTTACCTAGATTGCATTGTGGGGGTATATGGAGCAAATGAACATCAAAAGCAAATCGAACGTGCTTGGAACCCCCGATGGCAGGGTATTCGCACTGTCGGGACAGAAAGAAAACACAAGAAATCAATGGCATCTCCTAATACGTCTGGGGTGTGAAAGCGATCTATGCTGAGCCGCCGTCGAGCCGATAATCAAGAGACCATAATTTCTCCCACGGGCGAGATCGAGCGTTTGGCCGACGAGTGGACGTGGACCTCGACGGAGAGGAACCAGTGCCATTGGTGTTTAATTGAGCCGATGCAGTCAGGGGATCCTAAGACAATGAAACCATTAGCACCTGACACTAGAGATCAAAACAGACCCGGAAAAGAGGGAAGCGAAATTCATTTCCTACTTTTCACGGGCCGGAGCGCAGGTCACGGCGAACCTCGTCGAAGATCGGAGCGGTCTCTCGAGACTGTAGGCCAGCATCAGCCTCGGCGGCGCGCACGAGATCAGTTGTAGACTCGACACCATGCTGCGATGGTGTGGGGGTGCCGCGCTTGGAGTTTGGACTCTCGCGGCGACTATCGAGGCTTCTGGATAGGGTTCTGGCAACGCCGCCCTCGTTGGTGCCACGCTTGAGGCCAATACTGCCCTTGGCATCGACATGCGCGGATGCGACTGTGCTTTTTGCTATCCCCGGCGTGGCAGGCGCGCCGGGTTTCTCCTCTACGGCGTCGAGTAGATACCAACGGAGGCCGTCGGAAAGCTCGAACGGATTCTCGTCCTCTAGGGAAGCGCCGTCGCTAGCGTCCCCGAGGGAATGACGGTCTGGCGCAACCCCGTTCATCGATTTGGAGAGATCTACAACCCGCTCCTCAATCTTGGTGATACGAGCGAGCAGCCAGTCTCGGGCTTGGAGTTTGTGTGAATCTTGCTCACGAAGGAAATAATGTGGCGCACCCACGTTAAAGGCTGCCCACGAGCGAATGGCCTGGTTTCGTGTGGGCAGGAATAACGCAAGGTCGCCCTCTTTGAAAGATCGGTAGGCAATTTTGTCGTGGGCCTCGCTCTGAACTCGGTGATATTTATCACGGTAACCTCGAGCTTCCTTTTGCCATTTGCGGGCTAGCAGCTCGATATCCTTCACCCGTTTAACAACAACGTCACCAAATAAGGAGACGTCAAACTGGGCTAGACTTTCCATGAAGGCGGAAAATTTCTTCTCTTCAACCTCTGGGCTTTCGGCTTGCATCCAGCCCAGAAGCGCTGTATCCGGCTTTAGAGATACAATTCCTGACTGGGCAAGGCTTTCACCCAACCCTAGCGATGCACTCAGCTTCGAGGCACGTTGGACAACAAGCTGGCCATCTTGTTGAATGATAGTGAATCCCAATTGCTCAAGCATCCGGCCTAGCTTCTCGACCTGTGCGTAAAGTTGCTTTGAAAGATCGTGGGACTTGGCACCCCGGGCCTCAGATCGCGCTACAGCCTGCTGTTCGGTCTCTGAAGGGGCCACTGCCTTTTGCTCCCAGTCTGTTACCTGCACTTTCAAGTCTTGAGCTTGTTGCTCAGCTTCAGTGAGTTTCTGCGTCAGGTCTGCTCGCTTCCGTTCTTCTTCGGCGATTTGTTCACGCAGAGCCTCCGAGCCACTTTCTCCAGCGGTCATTTGAGAGTGCAAGGAACTGAGTTTCGACCGTTCTTTCTCCAGTTCCCCGTTCAAAGTATCTAGTTTCGATCGTTCATCCGATAGTTCTGCAGTTAGCCGTGATACTTCTTCCTCCTTTTCCCCTGAGGCCTTTCTTCCCTCATCCGCCTCCGACTCCAATACAGCAATTCGCTCTTCTAGGGCCTTGTTCTCAGTTATTGCGTCAGATGCATTTGTTTCCGCACTTTTGGCGTGAATTGACAAGCCCTCGCAGAGGACCTCAATAGCCTTGATTAGGCCGGGGAGCTCAACAGGAACAATGCCCCCAGGTGACAGGTTCATGAAGATAGCTTGAAGGGCTTGGTTGTTTTCCTGTTCTTTTTGTTCGAATTCCGATTGCTGATGCTCCATGGTATCAATCCGAGCCTGGAGAGTTCCCTCTCGCTCTTGTCGAGTCTGGATCTCTGCGTTGAGATCGATGATCTTTTGTGCTTCGTCGGCAGACTTAGCATGGGCATTTTGTAGGTCGGTCTCGAGCTGATTTATCCGGTCTTCAATCTCTTGTCTCCCTTGCTCGCGGCTATCCATCAGGCGGTCCAATTCTTCCTCCATTTCCTCGTTTCGGAGTCTGAACTTCTTTAGTTCTTCATCCAGATACCGGCGCTCATCTTCAAATTCGCGCTGACGTGCTTCAAGATTACCGATGAGGTCCTTTTTCGTGGATTGAGCTTCTTGAAACTTATCGGAGTTAGTTTGGCGCTCGACGTGAGCTTCCTTATGGAGGCGCTGGACGGCATCTCTCTCTGTCGCCAATTCAGCCTCGAGAGTGATAACGCGCTCGATGAGTGCTTTTTCCTCTGGAGTCTGAGTCGCCGAGACTCGCCTCGATGAGACGGAGACGGATGACCGTCTTGAGGGTGTATCGGGGTGTGGAGATGCCGGTGAACCGGGGAATTCCGGGCCAAAGTTACCACTTGATGGCCGGCTGAACTGACTTTGACGATGCAAAAGATCTTCTAGTTTGCGTACGCGACTATCAGACCCCTTGAGCCTTTCTTCTAGCTTGGTCTTTTCTTCTTGCAAGCTGCGTACGGAGTCGTCGGCCCGTAATATGGAGCTCCGGCTCAAGTCAAATACGCTGCCTTGTTTGAATGCCTTGGCCCGTCGTCTTTGCTGCCGAGTGGGTGCATCCAACTCCTTCAGTTGCTGAGTGAGCTCTGTCGCAAGGTTTGTTAAGGAATGAGTGGACTTTAACTCGTCGATATAATACTCAATTTCTTTCCGAGCTACTTCGGGCCATTCATCATCATGACCTTGAAGATTGACTTCAATTCCTGGTGCAGTGGAATCAGTCACAGTCATAAAGTCACCCATATTCTTGAGCCATTTTTTTCTGCGGCGTTGCTCTTCGTCTCTCAAGACCGCCATCTCCTCAGCCAGCGTCAGAGAGTCGGTCTTGATCTTCTCGCTCCATTCTCGCCGTCGCACAGATTCAATCAAAATAGACCCATATACCATTGGCATCTGGAATACAGAGTAGATGACCTCAAAGGCATTGCTCCCCACATCCAAATTGACCATTCGTCCATGAGCGTCGGCGAGGCGGGACTCGAGCGAAGATATCGCGCGCATATGTTCAATGGCAGTTCTCTCCATGAGCGCTCGGCGCTGCACAGCTTGCTCCAAACCAGCTTGAAGTTCAATGCTGATCTCGGCCAGCGACGGAAGAAGATCCTGGGTATGGCTGAATGCAAGTCTGGATATATTTGCCAATGTTTTTTGATTGTTTGGCAGACTGAGAACATGCTCATAATCGGATCCGATTTTCTTAGCAATAGTCTCTACCTCTTCTAGCAACCCATCCACTCCGTTGAAGTTCGAAGCTAGAGCCGCGTCCACTAGTTGCTGAGTATCGGAGGCAATATCGCCGATTGTCTTCTCGATATCCTGGACATTACTAGCAAAGGCCGGCGACACAGTCGCTGCCTCTGATCCGGCCCTGTACACCTCACCCACGTCGACAAAATCACGAAGCGTTCCAGTTGGTCGATCGTTATCCATTTTCGGTGTGGACGGGCGTCCTAGGAGAGGGAAGTCCTTGCGTGCCGGTATGTGATCCAGCGTGGAGAGAGCTCGTTCCCATCCGTCCAGAGCAGCCTGCTGCTCTTCTAGAATATTGTTCGCCCATGACTGTGCCTCTTGGAACCGATGTTCAAGATTGCCCACATGGGACTTAAGATTCTCCAGAGCCACACCCACAGCACGGTTTATCACATCGCTTCGCTCATTGTGTTCCCGGAGGTTCTTATCGATCAATCCACAGCGACTAGACAGCTCTAGAGCCCAGTTGCGCCGTGCCATATAGAGGTTTGTCCATGCTTGTAGATCGTTTTGGTCTTTAAGAGTAGCTGGGGGGCTGTCAGGTTGGAATGGTTCAGGCGGAGGGAGCTCTGGAAATTCGACGTCGCCTGGTTCACTGACGTATTGGCGGTCATATACAAAGATCTCGTTCTGCAGTAGTTGCCCTTGGGTCAGCACATTCCCAAATCACCATTCATATTAGAAATACCATACCTCTGTGGCTAAAGTCTGGATCTTGACATTCTTTCCACGGGCGGTCATCAATATTTGCCGCGGAGGTGGAATTGATGTATTGTGGAGGATCCATGACTTCAAGGCATCGGGACTAAAGACGACTAACGTCAGCTGGGATCCACGACGCTACACTGGAACATAGATAGGAAGAAAAATCAAGACATCAAGTAGCACCGGAGAGACATACGAAGCAAATGTTACTGGATCAGCCAGGAAATGCTCTCCCGTGTGGGCAATGTAGATGTGCAACGACATACCCTCTCCACACTAGGCGAGGTCAGATTCCCAACTGGTAGTAAGAGAAAAATACGAGGAAATTGTCCCAAAAAAAAAGGGATATACAACTAAGGAATGAAAAGGGAGAGAGAGAGAGTCCTGAAGCCCCCGGTCAGGCTGGTCAAGACGATGAACGTTGCTCCGCAACCTCGTGTGGCCGGGGAAGCTCGCCCACCGCCTCCGGTCTTATCTTCATATCACCAGATGCGCCCGCGTTCACGAGATCTACGTCCATGGCTGCAAAGAATGGCCAGGTGCTGCCTCACCTACAATCTGGCGAGGTGACACTCCTCAATTATGCTGCGGATGACTCTCGCGATGTCATGACCTTATCGGAAAAAGAAGCTTTAGTGCTTCAGCTCTACAATCAGGTTCAAGAGCAACGGCTGGAAAAGGCATTTCTCGAACAAGGTATGTTAGCAACTTGAATGCTGGCTTCCTGTTATTAATTACATTGTATCCCTTAGAACTAGAAACACTCTCGGGCGCAGATGCTGAAGCACAGCTTGCGATCGCTGAGCGCGAGCTCCTAGACGCGCGTTCTACCTACACGGTCAGGAGGAAAGCCGTTCGCACCATCCTCATGACTGAGCCTATTCTCAAATCTGTTCATTTAAAGGCTGCCACGCCTGCTGAGCGGTATGTTCTCATGAAGAGTCCCTCGGTCAGACTTCAGTCTAATAGAGATCATAGAGCACTTCTTTGTCTAGTGAATCGTCGTGATGTCCTTGCACTCGCACATGAAAATCTTGCTACAGCACATGACTTGGTGATGAGACAGCTCTCAGACCTGGAAGTAAAGAATCTCCAAATCAATCGTGAAAACCAGGAACTGGTGCGCCAGCTACTAGAGCTCACAAAAGAAGATTTATCATGGAGAGAGAAGCTGGAGGATCCTGAACTGTTAGCGCAACTAGATAGTTTGGAGACCGATTTAAAGACGCGCAAAGCTCAGTGGGAGACGATGAAGTCAATTGCAAGCGCGATTGTTGTGAGCAGTGGACTAAACTGGGCCGATGACGAAATGCTTCGCGCGTTAGTGCTGGATGAAAGTGACGACTGATGTTTACGCGTGTTCGGATGTTTTTGCGAGTCTATTCTACATCGGCCTCTTCAGGATCCGGAGGAGCACAGGCGCTATACAATACCCAGGTTTTTTTTTTTTTTGAAGCATTCTATTTCTGTCTACAGATATTGCAAGAGAAAGAAGATGGTAATTTTGAACACAATAGTGTGGACAGGATGATAATTACCCCGAGCTTCGCGTTGGAACGACCCTCAATGGCGACGGTTATCTACAGCGGTGTGGGCTGGTCGCGTCTGACAAGTAAGGGCTTCGTGCTCGGATAAATGCATCGCACTATTTCTTCCAAGGGGATATCGGAGCTAAGATATTTACATTTGTTGATACCGACGCGACTCTATGACGCTCTCCTGTCGGAAAGCGTGGAACACTGGTACATTACGGGTGGGTTGGCTTATACTGCCACAGTACTGCAGTATGCACGGTATCCGTACGTTGGAAACAAAAAGACCCAAGGGCCTTCGGGGGAACACCAGAATGGGGTGCGTTCTAGAAGATCCATATAGAATTTCACTCTCGATTAACTCCAACAGAAGCAAGTCAGAGGTCCGCTAGCCTGACTGGTAATCTGCAAGCTAAATATGGGCGACTTGGGAGGGTAGGGGCGCACTAGAATCTACGATACGGTCTAGTCATGGAGATATCCATTCTGAATTTAGCTTGTGATGATGGTGTGATCCAGGCTTGAAAGAAACCTTGAGAGTCTAAGAGGCCCATCCTGTTTCACTCTGGAACCCGGCGATTTGGGCGTGGATAATCCTCGGACATAACAGCGATAATCCTCTGACCAGCCATCGTACTAGCTCTTCCATATCGAACAACCCTGGCCTCTAGCGCCAGGGGATTATTGATGTAGGTACGGTGTAGCTAAGTACCTGTCCGGCCGTGTTTCCAATGGGGGGTTACGCTAAAAGGGTACGCCACGCTTATGATTGAGCAACCATCCGCCCTTGCCTGAAGATGATAGTGGAAAAATAACATTTCCATGTACCCCATACATACTACGCACACTTTTATGTTTATGATCATGGTTGCACTATTACACAGGTTTCTCGAGAGGATATCAGTGGAGTTAAACACCAAGAGTTTAAGTAGACTTTTTTTTCTGGAGCTCTGATGGTATTCAGTCCGGGGCATGGGCATGGATACTCATGTTGGTGAGCTGGACCTATTTACCTCGAATCACAGTGGTACTCCGTACCCCGTACGGAGTGTACAAATGAACATGTACACATGACCTGGCGACCAAAGCCATTGGGCGCTATGCCATATACAAGCAAGTCCGCTTGACACAGATTGATAGGTTGCAAAGGACTAAAAGCACCCCCCAGACTGAATAATCAACTGTTCTCATATCTACCCTTTTGACCCCCTCCCGCATATCTCGAAGAGGGCGTTGGGGGGAAAACTCATTGACAATACATCGTAGCCTACGTAGAGACATCCTGACTTTAAAGAAAAGCACTGCCTGGGGGATTTGAGATGGCATAGGGATCAAAGGAATACTACCTAGGTACAATCCCAGTGGAAGTACGCAATATCAATAAGTATCAACATGGCGACTAGCAGCTGGGCAACTATACCATGGGAAATAGAAGTACCAGATACTTGTGCGGCAGATACTTTCACTATGTGTTACCGTGTACTGTGTACCTGTACGTTTGCGCGGTTTATTAATATGACGGAGCGCAATCCACAAGAGCCCGGAATGATGGTCTCGTTTCATAACGCCGTATTAGGGTGTCCGGTCCATTCCACCACCCACAAAGATTTTCGCTGGGAGGAAAAGAGAATCTGCATGAATGCACTATAGCACAGCGTATCCATGGGGGTTTTAAGGGTCAATGGTCGTAAAACGACGTAAAAAGGGGCATTTGTACGGAGATCAGTATGAGAATGTGAGGTAACATACGGGTAATGACGATACCTTTCCCTCAGCCAGTCAGCGAAACCACAGTACCGTGCTTGCCTTTCCCTTGCTGTGGTCCCCCTCTCTCTTTGCTACTACTACGGCCCTCCCCCCTCTACTCTTCTCTTCTCTTACTATCTTCCAACACTACCATCTCCCCCATACAAACTCGCTCCCATACAAAAAAGGTACTGCATATCCCCCCATACTATATCGATATCAACACTTCGGAGTCGCATTTTCTCCACCACCACAACATTACCCTTTTTTTCCCATTTCTTTTGGTCCTTGGAATCATTTATTTTCACCTCATTGCCCTCGTCTTTTTTTCCCAATTTGCGCAGACGTCGCGCGCTGTCAATAGCTTTTGGTCCACCTGCTAACGTAAATCCGCCAACAGCCCCTTTTTTAATATCATACCCTCATTCGTGATCCTCGAATTTCAGTAAGTTGATCTCCTTACTCTCGTCTCGAACTTGTGGTTTTCACCGGGCGCAAATGGTCGGATGCGCGCAACGCGCCTCAGCCAACAAACACTCGCGTCTTTTCCCTCTCACTTCCCACCTTCACTCTTTTTCTCTTCCATATTCTGTCAATTGCGCACACACAATTTTCCTCTTTCCAATCATACCATTTATTTCTCTGGAAACCATCATGCCAGGCCGAAAAGTCCAAAAGCCTGAAGCTAACGCTTCGCCAGACATGCCTAAGGCCGCATCCACCCGCAAGGCTCCTGAGAAGCGCGTCCAGCGCCGCAAGAAGGGTAAGTCGTCAGCGATCTGTTCACTCATCAGCTTTGTGCTAAGTCACTCTAGACCCCAACGCCCCCAAGCGTGGTCTCTCTGCTTACATGTTCTTCGCCAACGACAACCGCGACAAGGTTCGCGAGGAGAACCCCGGTATCAGCTTCGGTAAGTCAGATGCTCCGTCGACTTGTTCGCCCATATCTAACGTCCCTGTAGGTCAGGTCGGCAAGCAGCTTGGTGACAAGTGGAAGGCCCTGAGCGAGACCGATCGCAAGCCTTACGATGCCAAGGCTGCCGCTGACAAGAAGCGCTATGAAGAGGAGAAGGCTGCCTACCTCGCCAAGGCTGAGGAGGAAGAAGAGGAGGAGTCCTCTTAAATGCCTTCGGTCTAGCTTCACTTCGTCTTTGGCCTCTGGGCGTTTGTGTTTCTTCTAATGGTTCCCTGCTTTTTTTTTTCGGACGGTTTCGTGCACGGTTTCTGGGTTTGGAGGACGGCTGGGGTTTACTTGCTTCTGAACTGTTCCTCTTTGCTCTTATCGGAGGGTATTAACTTATCAATGGGAAATCTCAACCTTTAACTGGTGCAATGTCCACTTTCGAATAGCTTCGATATCGTAGATGCATTGCCGCAAAGGAAGAACATTGGCTTGCGGGATAAGCTGCAGGTAAATTTGAGTCGCTTGGATATTTGTCTTGACGACTCTTAACGAGGATTGCCCACTTTCGATTGATCTTGGCGTTGATGTTTTCCCATGCCGAGGACAGGGACAGCTCCGAGCTCCCGGGAAGCTTCTGAGCTTTTTTGCCCCGCAAAATCGCGCGGGGGTCACCGCCTGCGTCATTCACCGCCCCTCGGAATCCGGGGTCGAAGCTTGGAGTTTAACTTTGAGCTTGTTGTCTTCACACCTTGTGGAGGCAGTGTCAGTCCGTCAAGTTTCTCAAGAAGACATCGATATCCATCTCAATCAAGGAAATTCACCCCGCGATCGTCGTGATCAATACCGCTTGAGTCACGGCAAGGTCACCGAGAGTCGCCAGCTGCTTGTTAAGAGGTGGCGGAAGTTGTCAACGCTAATCCCTCAAAACACTCGCTCTAAGTGCGCGGAAGTGAAGGCTCTCGGTGAGCTTATTGCTTTCGCTGGCTAGAGCCAGCAGTAGTTGGGACGTGCGGTAGGGACTGAGAACAGCCCACGTCGACAGAGCGGAAAGGTGCAGGGCTTGCGAAGCGCAAGGCGCAGGTTGAGAAATCGAACCACGCGGGTGCAAGGTGGAGTGACACCGGCAGAAGCGCGGCGATGCGATATGCATATTTTGTTATGTCAGAAACGCGTCGAGAGCACGCGCGCACGGGCTTGCGCGATGAAGCGCAGCTGAGGTATCGACAGGCTGGATCCCAGCCCAATGCGGCGGCGATGTGCGATAGAGAACTCCGTGAAAGCAAGCGATGAAAATATGGGCAGGCCTTTTAGGAATAAGGGACAAATCTCTCGATACGACGGGGGATGGGGGATGGGGGATCCAGGAGGAGGAACTTTGATCATACGGAGGATCTTTGGCAACAACACCGACGATGTTTGGCGACCATACGAGGATCTATAGCTGGCTATATTACGGAGGATTTACGGCGGTATTACGGAGAATATCTGGCGACATTACGGGCGATGGCGACCAAACGGAGGATACTTGGCGACTATACGCAGGATGGCGAGGATACAGGAGAGACATCTCAACGTGATGGGAAATCCTTTACATCTAGCCCTCTATAGTCATGACTTAGCGATACTAACACAGACCGGAGTCTATATGAATTCCAGAACCCCAACAAAATTCCTGCATAAACCTCAATGCATAGGCGCTTTTGCCTTCTATGATGATATAGTAGATTAAAGTCCACCGTCATGGCCACCGGGGGCCCTTCCGATCGGATGCGATTTCTGAAACCGTGAGCTTCACCAATCCAGGAGGACATAGGCCCGATATGCCAATTGCCTGCTGCGGATATGGTCTAAGCCTTCCATGTCACGACTATACTCAGTAGCCGAGGTTGACAACCTTGTAGCGTCAAACCACGTCAGTGCAAGCTTATTACCTATAGCTATCATGAATACCCAATCAGGTTGGACTTCCAGTGTTATCCTTGTAATCCATTGAGTCTTTTCTCCCATCCTAACGAAGAATTTGGTAGGAACAATCTGTTCCTCGGAGTCGAAAACTTACCATGAACGGCCCTAGAGAACTTTATCGCTCAGGCAGACCATTTAGCAACCTGGAAGGATTGACTTCAATGTGGTTTCCATAGAGACAGGGCAGTCTTGGCCCCAACAAGCTCTTTGCGCGAGTCATGCTGCGATGGATGTTCTAGCCCGTTCTAAATTCAAGCTTTGCATGTACTAATCATCCCACTATTGTTAGGCAGATATGCATACATGGACCAACACAATGCAATTATACAACTCATTGGCCACGACTGGCACCATTGCACTTCTGGGTTTGTGCAATAAATCGGCGTTGAACACCTGGGCAGACAGCCCATAGTGAGTCATTGAGCTTAACTTCCAACCCTGCAACTGGGGAGGGTTAGGTCCTGACTCCTGAGTCCTGACCTGATTTCACCAGATCCACATCCCCAGTCATTACCAATTCTATGGAGAACCTTTGTTGGGTATCATCGCGGCCAAAGGATCGATGAAGTGTCCGACATTTATGCTGAGTTGGAGCGAACCAATGACCCCAGAAGCTACTCCGGACTTCGCATGTACTGGTTTCGCCGGGAATCCCTTCACTTGCCCTCATCCAATATAGACTTTTCCCCAGCATGGAGTCAACATATCAGATCCAGGTCCCAAGATTTCATTCGTCTGCTGCTTCTCCCATTGGTACTTTCTGTGTATCCCCCAGCACCACATCTACCTTATGATTGGTCTACGGGGTTGTGTCGATGAGCCAGTGCTTTTTCTCCACATTTAGGGCTGTGGGATACCGATGTTGTGAACCGTGAGAATTGTGCCTACCAGATTGTACAAGGCGATCGGATCTCAACACATCTTCGCCTAATGGGACAACTTGCGCTGAACGGGCTGGCCGCTGAATATGCCGAAGAGACCAGGACTCCACCATGTCCCCGCCATTCGCGCGTGAACACGTCAGGTCGTGGACGCAAGGGAACCCCCTGTCCAGAGCCTCATAGGTTAGTGTGTTGTTGCTGGGTTCCCTTTATAATGGCCCGGCTATGACTTGTTAAATAATCTTAATTGTCCACATGTGAGCTTATTGGCTTTGGATCCCACCATTTCGTTGCCCCTCCATTCTTCAGTTTTCCCCTCAAAAACACCCTCAACCCTCTATGGCCTGACCCTGTGGAAGATGGCTCTGCGCAAATCTGCCGAGAACGCCGAGGACGTGGCGGCTGCGTTCACTACTTTTCGAACCCCTCTCCCAGAGCACGCAGCCGAGGTAACATCGCTCATCGCCGACCTATATGCAATCAGCTCGTCCTTGGCTACATTGGAGGATCTAACCAAAGATCCCCGTTATCGGCGCAATGTGGCTCTGATCCGATCCGATTTGAACATCCTGCGCGCCAGTCTCAATCACACCCTCGAGGACATCCTCGAATCCTTCAGGAGTCTCGATGGCGGGAAGGCGAGTCCCGTGGGGTACAAGCGGACATGGATGACTCTGAACCGCTTCTTTTATGACGAATCGAACTATTCCCTGGCGACTCGCTTGACCAAGTATAACATAATGCTGAAGGAGCTAAGTGACTTGACGAAAAAGTAGGTGCTTCACATGAACCACAATTAGCACAAACCTACAGGCGTACCTATACTTATCTATGGTCTTGCTAGTAACCACCACGATTCACCGCTGTTCGCAGGCCTACAGAAAAACATGAAAACACTCCTTGCCGTACAAGACCGCCGTCTCAATTCTCGCATGGGGCGCATGACGCTCGGCCGAAATCCTTCGTCCAGCGGCAGTAGCGCCGGGCCATCTAGCCCCATTATTAATGACCGGAGGACACCGCGGCGCAGGTCATACGAGCGCACTCGTCCCGTGCACATGTCTCCTCCGGAGCCGATGTCGCCTTCATCGGGGACGTTTTCGGATTTGCTGCCGTCGGCCCCGTCGGTACCAGGCTCACCGGTGACTTCTACAACCGCAACGACGGCTACGAGCTACTCAGCTATCTCTGATGTGATCAAGGAACACTGGGCCAAGGAATCATTCACGTCTAATAGCACCAACAATCCTCTCCCAGCAGTGCGGGAAAGGTACGTAGTTTATAATTCTTGCTTTTCCCATCTTGCTCATATATTTGACGATAGATCACGATGCGATGCAGTACCTCAACCAGGCATCAGAGAAGCAATCAAAGAAAAGGGCTACGAAGAGCTTCTCCAAATGCACGTTCAAGATCTTCCCTTCTTAGATATATAGCTAACACGATACAGAGCCCTCAATGACGAGTCTGACATGCGAGTATCATTTTATCTAAGGGAATCAGACCACCGCGTCCGCATCCTATGCAAAGTACCCCACCGAGGCAGACCTAGCGACTACTGGTGCTTGCCACTTAATCTACTCGAAGTCTTGCGAAACGGCTCCTGTCTCCGCCTCTGCAGACGACGGAACGGTGGAACAGAGCTTGTGCTATGGGCTCAATTGAAATTCACCACGATGGAAGGTCAGTTCCCAAGATCCAACATTTGTTCCTGAGCCGACATATTAATCCAATTTACAGATCTGGTGAATTTCCATAGTACGTTCCTTGCCTTACGCTCGCAAGATGCAGGCCATCCCGTCGGAGAGATCTTAGACCACGAAATACAAGACGAAGAGGAACTCTTTGGCGGGTAACGATCCCCAACAGGAAACATGTTATCGCATACCGAAAGGCTAATCCGCTCCAGAAAAATCTCCGACGATGGATATATGCATGCACTACGCGTGTTCGAAGACCTGGATACCGGAGCCGTCAGACTCCAGGCCTCGGTCCACGAAGGCGGGTTGAAACGGTATGTCAACTGTTCATTAGCGGCTCTAGATCGCGGTACTGATAACTCTAGAACACCGGTTTGGACAGCCTTCATCACCCACAATATTGGCAAACGCAGCTGGCTTCGATACCATGATTCCAGGACGTTGATGTTGCGTGATACCAAAGCCGTGGTTTTCATGTCCGCGGAGGATTATTCTCTCCCGCAGACGCCTCAGGGACATCTGATGTTGACGTTTACCAGTTCGGCAGGTAAGTTGGCTCCCGTGATGATTCCTACCGCGGTCAAACCGTTGGCTGACTTGAAGATTTAGATGCGAAGGAATTCATCAAAGTTGTGGATGAAATCGCCGAGGATCATCTTCGGTGAGGTATTATAGCGATTGTGACTGGCTTTGCATTTTATAATTGAATGATTCGTGGATTCTGACGAATGACGAGTTACGCTGATATGACTGACGATTTAATGTTTTCAAAAGCCGCTTCTTTCTGATATCCAATTGCTCGTTTTCTGCTTTGGGAACCCTATGTTCTTGTCTACAATGGATGGTATACTCACCTTGGACTGAGTACACCAGAATACCATTGGTGTTACTAGTTGACTATATCCATCAGTCCTAGGTCCATGATATACTTGGCGATCATCGTGTATTTGTTGTTTCCTCAATCCATGTTGAAGGCTATTGGAGGGTGCAGATACGATTTGATTCAATCAAATTTCATTCAAAGATAAAAGTAGCAAGTAGCGAATAGCGAGTAGAGCTGCAAGGTAATCAGGGGTATCAAAAACATAATAAACAAACAATGAGAGCACTGAAAGCGCTAGAGAATGCAGTATCAGTCCTCCGCAAGATATCTCAAGAATTCAGCTTTCTTTTCAGCGGCAAAGTATTCCAATGAATCTTCCGAGAGAATGTAACGGCGGTAAAGTGGGCATTTGGTATCAACAGGTGGGGGATCGCTTCCAGGAGGACCGTGGAGCCATCGCTTGGTAACCGTGGTACGCCAGTCAGGCTTTGGTTGCGGCGGTTGCGGGTTTTTTTCAGCTTCAATTTCGGCCAAGCGACGTCTCTCCGCAGCTTCAGCGAATACTTTCTTGATCTTCTCCATTCGCTCCGCCAAACGAATCTTTTCGTCGGCGTACCATTCTTCATGTGTTTGTCTTTGCCGCTTGGCCAAAGTCTCTCGTCGCATAGCTAGGAGCTCTTCCATCTGTTTCTTGCGCTCCTCCTCGTCGGTAGAGAAGGTATAGAATCCAGTTCCACGGTTGCGCACCTCCTCTTCGGCGTCGTAGTGCTTGTTTTCTGGCGGAGTGGGCGAGCGGTCGCGACGAGCAGCCAGACGAGACATATGCGATGCAATCTTGGCATCGGGATTGAAAGCCTCGGTTTGAACGGCTTCTCCGTAGATGAGATTGTCAGGGCGAGCCGGGCGCCAGCGTTCCTGGGCAGCTGGACCACCAGCTTCTTCATCCTTGGCGCGGGCGGCTTCCGCAGCCTCGGCGCGAGTGCCACGGCGAGAACGGCCAAACTCGTCTTCGTAGGAAATAATAGATGCATTGTCGTCATCAGAAGCATCTTGCTTCAGCTGCTGTTCGTTTGCATGCTTGAGATCGAAGTCGACCAATCCTTCCTTCTCTTTGCGTCGTAGACGGGCTAGATAGGCCTCCGGGTTGGATGGGTCAATATCCATCTCATCATCATCGCTGTCATCGGCAAGATGGATGCCCTTCTTCATGTCTTCGTACTGGCGCACCTTTTCCTCCATGCGACGTCGAGAGCGACCCAGGGTGGCGGCATCAATGGAGCCAAGATCCTGGGTGCTTTTGTGTACTTGCTTGAGAGCCCGGTTGTCATCTGCAAGATCGGCAGCCGCACGCTTCTGAGCGCCCTTGTTGTGCTTGGAGAACAGATCGGGCTTCGGGTTTTTAGAGGGACGCTGACGCCCACGCGAGGGAGCAGAAGTCGCATCTTGGGCGATAAGTGAAGAGAGTTGGGAGCTGAAGGCGAGACTTGCGCTGTTCTGTTCAGTCTTCATCTTCTTGGAACGTGGTTGCCCATACAGGGCACCCTGATCGGCAGGCATGATGATGTGACCTAGATGTGAAGAGTGCTGTGTAGAAGGAAAGAAGGTTGACAGGATGTTTGACGACTATATTGGTCTTATCGATAGGCCCGATTGGCACTATCCACACCGCCGAACATACCGCCGGATCTGCCGCCGAACTCAATTTCTGCCAGAAGATGATGACTAACGCCGATATTCGGGACAGCCCCGCGCCCCACTACGCAGGTGAATAGATCAGGCCTGACTCAATTGATCATTCTTCTAGTTTCAATCTGATAGTGAACTCTTGGTTGAGAATCAGAACGGACACATAATTGAAAATATCCAGAAAGAAATACTCAATCAGCATCATGTCAGCTAACCCTATCTACCTTGGTGTCATCGGTATGTACCCCTCATCACCGAAGTCTAGGAAGAAGTTCTAATGACTTGATTATTCAGGTGTCGGAGGTGTTGGCACTGCTTTCCTCCAGCAGCTTGCCCGTCTTCCCAATGCGCCCCAGCTCGTTCTGCTCGCCCGTTCCTCCCAGACCCTCCTTGCCCCGACTCCTACCTATTCGCCGGCCATTCCTGCCGCTGACTGGGCCACAGCAGCCGCTGCACCATCTCTGACCAAGAGCGGAGCTCTCCAGGCCGAGGAGATTGCTACATATCTTGCCTCAGCCCCAGGCCGAGCCATTCTGGTCGATAACACTTCTGACATTAGCCTCGCCCGGCAATACCCCACATTCCTCAAGAAGGGCATCTCAGTGGTGACCCCGAACAAGAAGGGATTCTCCGATGATTTGTCCCTGTGGAAGGATATATTTGCCTCCGCAGCTGAGGGCAAGGCCCTCGTGTACCACGAGAGCACCGTCGGCGCCGGCCTCCCTGTTCTCTCCACACTGAAGGACCTGGTGGCTACTGGTGACGAGGTTACTCGCATCGAGGGTGTTTTCTCTGGCACTCTGTCTTTCCTTTTCAACACCTTCGCCCCCGCATCAGGCTCTTCCGATGCCCAATGGAGCGCTGTCGTTGCCCAGGCCAAGGAGTTGGGCTACACCGAGCCTGATCCTCGTGATGACCTGAATGGCATGGATGTTGCCCGCAAGCTCACCATCCTGGCCCGCATTGCCGGTCTGGAGGTCTCCCGCCCCGACTCTTTCCCCATTGAGTCGCTCATTCCCGAAGAGCTCGCTTCTTTGCCCTCATCTGCCGAAGGCATCACTCAGTTCATGACCCGCCTTCCTGAGTTTGATGCCCAGATGGCCAACATCAAGGACACTGCTGAGAAGCAGGGCAAGGTTGTGCGCTACGTTGGTAGCATTGACGTCGCTGCCAAGGCTGTCAAGGTCGGTCTGCAGTACTTTGACAAGGACAGCTCCATCGCTGGTCTGAAGGGCAGTGACAACATCATCAGCTTCTACACCAAGCGCTATGGTGCCAACCCCTTGATTGTCCAGGGTGCCGGTGCCGGTGGTGATGTCACTGCCATGGGTGTTTCAGCAGACCTTATCAAGGTCGTCGAGCGCCTGCGCTAAGTTATTGACTCTTGGGGTTTAAAAAGAAGAATACCAAATTTTGACAATGAATATAAATACCCTTCCTTAGATTTGCAGATTGTTCCCAGTATTCATTGCTACATGATAGATCCCATACAGAGTTCCCAAGGATGTCAATAGGCAAATTCTAGAATAACGTTGAAGCCGCGAACTAACAAGTTCGTATAGCATAGATAATGCATAGATCTAAGTCCTTAGGAACTGCTTCAATGCCTCTCCCCACACATCCCCCCTCTTATAAATATGCATATCCGGCACATTCCCTTTCTTCAGCCCGTCAATGGCATTCGCAAATTCCTCACCAAGACCCTCATCCTTGATTTGCCTAACCGGATAGACATAAGTGTGCACACCAAAGACCACAGCCCTAGACACGGGTAGTCGATACAATGTCTGTCTTTCAGATCGAAGGAAAGTCTATACCATCGTCAGCTTTGTTGCCTCCTTTAAACCTGATAGCAACCATACCTTATCAACATCTAATTCCTCGGGCTTGATAGCTTCTTCCTTCTTCCCCGACACAGCATGTGTTCCACCAAACGCAGCAAACAGCCCCGTATCAATAGTCACACTCCAATTAGCCCTTTTAACAAAGGTCCCAACCTCGATTCGCGCAAAGAACCTATCCATACTGCGCTCGATCTTTTCTCCATACCCCGGGACCGGCCCGTGGATGTCTACCAAGCGCAGACCAAGTTTCTTGCGCGTGTTGAAGCCCGCTGGGAAACACGTTGCGTATGCTTGCAGGACATATCTTGGTTGTTCTTCGCTCTCCCGGGAGAGTTCGGGGAGAAGGATCAAGAAATCCTCGTCAACTGTCTGGGCTAAGATTTCTAGTGCTTGGATTGTTGGAGTGGTTGGTGATAGGGTTGTCGGCCAGGCTTCACCTGTGACCAGGTTTTGGAAAATTGAGCTATCAGGGTTGAGCTGGAACATGCTCGGGTATCGGGTTGGGAGGTATGTTCTCAGCACGAAAGTGTAGAGTTCGCCGATGGCAGGGCGAATGCGTGGATCCTGGGCTGGGGTTTGGTCGTTGTTGATCGCCACCACTATATCATGGTGGTTGTGAACGACGGATTTGCGAAGGGCGATTCGGTCCTTGTATGTCTTGTCGATTTGGATGAGCTCTGATGGGTCAAGCGTTTCGATTGCTATTATATATGTTAGCCTGAGGTGTGTACAGTGGCCCAATACATAGCACCAACCCATGGTCAAGTTATACTTGTCTTTCCCTTTAAATGGCCGCAATTGCAACGGCTTAGTTTTCTGCCAGTCAAACCCTTCTAGAGGTGTAATGGAAGGTTGTTTCTCATCCGAATAGGTTGTCTTCGTCTTCCCTGACGCACTTGCATTGCGGGACTCTCGACCCCTCCATTGGTAGATACATACGCCCACAATGAGGATAGACAGAAGGTAAGTTATGGGCAATAAAGGCCGTTGCCAACCGATGTCTAGCTTGTTGTATAGAGCTTCTGCCATCTTCCGAATGACTGGGTGGACGTGAGCTATGCCAATCTCCAAGGCAGGGTTATATGTTGGAGTCCAGACTATTTACTCCGCATCTTCTCCGCACGAGAAGGCAAACTCAGATCGGAGCTTATCATCTTCTGCACTTTCACTGGCTGAAACCTCCGTGTATGTTTCCTGATTGACTCGTAAGGCCGAAATCACATTCAAGGCTGCGGGGTTGGTGTGAGATAAGAGGATAACATTGGGTTGGGGTTACTATTGAATTGACTCCCAACCCGCTGCACTTCGGTATGTGTAGATCGGTATAATCATAGATTGGGCCGTGCTCTGCAAGTGTTGTACAATCTTCGGCAGAAGAGGGGGAGTATTAGGAGGCACCAAGTCCTCGAGCATGCGTCACAAGCCTCGCAGTGCTGAGATTCGAAGGCAAGCAAATAAAAAAGATGCATACTCGCTCAGGTAAGTCAACAAAAGATTGGAACAAGACACAATATAGGTATAACAAAACAATAACTCCCCAAACTTCGAAGCTTCTCTCACTGGAATCCCGGACGCACAGATAAAGATAGTAACACAAAATCATAAACATCATCACATCGCACTTCTCACAATGAGAGAGATCAGATCGTCATATCTGTCCTAAGCTCCGTTGTTTCAAGACCCCATCCCCACTCAAATCTGGCTTCGGTCCTTGGGCAGCAGAGCCCACGTTCTGCTTGCGAGAGTCCTCACCGTCTTTCTCGTTCTTCAGCTGCGAAGAATCATCTTGATCCGGCCCTTCGCTATCGCCGGTATCTGTCTCCACACCGCGCAGTCCAAACGCTCTCCGTTGCCCGCCCGGACGTTCATTCAAGCTCGGCGCGCGAGGACGCTGCCGACCACGTGCGCGCCCGCCGATCCAGGGTACTTCCCAGAGGATCAGTCGGTAGATCCAAATTGTTGCATCGAGAAGTACGAGGAAGGCCCAGGGGCCGATAGTGATGAGGCCGAGGAGGAACTGCGGAATCCGGGGTAGATTAGCGACTGCGTCATCGAGAAGGGGTGAAGGAACTACAAGGAAAACAAGACGGAAACTCACGAAGACATGAGCGGCCCAGCTCTCGATGTCCGCTGGTAGAATGGAGTACCACGCCATTTCGCTGTGAGTTAAGAGTGCTGCTATGAGCCTCGGGAGGTTGCGGTTGCAGGTGGGTTGGAGCTGTGTCGGTGTTTAGGCTGCGACTCGATCCACCCTCGTTGATAGCTCCTTTAGCACAGCTGCATCATTTCTTTATCGGTCGCTAGCCATTCTAGATTCTCGACTAGGAAATAGAAAAACCACAGATTCGAAATCGTATAGAGTAGTCGGTACTAGCTCTCGGATTCCCCAATGGCTATCCTGCCATGTGATTGGCTGGGCCCTGGATATTCACGTGATAGTAGGCCTGATATTCGAGGCTGCAATTGCTGCATTGATGCCTGATCTATTAGGTGTCATACCAAGCCCTAATGCGAAGATGTATACTCCGTACTCCGTACGGAGTAGCGCTCAGGGATTGGTTTCAAATGAAATCAAATTAGCTGTTTAGGTATGCCTAACACTGGGCCGGCCTCGACATCACTCATCATCTTACTGTAAACAATAGCCCCTAATTGAAGCTATTGATAATGGAAGATTATATATGTGAAAAGGATTTCTAACAAGACTTCACAAGGCCGCAAACAGGGCCAACTATATGAAAAGCTTCATCTTGCCTGCTTTCCAAGGTTGAAGCCACGTATATACCTTAGCTATGCAATGATTGAGGTCATCGTAATTCGGGCATTCTGGTTTCTATCAGTTTTAAACCAGGCAGATTTAGGTAGTTAATTCAATTTTTATCGAAACCCATTAAGCGCTATACACCTTCACAAAGCTATATATCACGCTAGCTAACAGGACTTACAAGATCGAGAAAGAAGTAGAGATCATTCCTAAATTCGGAAAGGCTGTTGCGAATCCACTCGACGTATCAACCTGCAACTTGCCCGTTCAGGATCTTCCTATCTTGATTCGTTGTCATTCTGACGTTCCTGGGTGCTTGGAGCTAAGTGAAGGAGGCAAGGGCCGTTGTCGATATCTTTAAGAAGACTTACTTTCCCAACCAGTCGATGTATACATAAATGAATTCTCCACGGATTCGCCACATTTGTGATGGTTATATATATCTCAGAAAGGTAGTTCTGCTAATGCTATCTACCGACCTGTTCCAAGCTTTCTTGTCCTCGGTGGCAATAAAGCCAGCTGACGTAGATACTTTAAGCTTCATAGGATGTCTCCTTTGGTCTGAAAGCCTTTCCCCATTTGGCGTGAAGATCATTCAACCCGCTTTTTTCTCACTGTACAGAAGTTCTTATATCAAACAAAAATAATTTAACAATGACCAGTCAAGATATATTACCATTCGATGAAGGTTGATTGCAATATTTACCTGGAGAACCATGGCATGACGTGTATCATTCCTCAGGGTACTTGTACATATCAACAGACTGCACAGCAGGAAGAGTATCCGATAGCAGAGCAGAATCAAAGGTGAAGAAGAGCACTCGCCCTGAAGAACAACTGATACAAAGTGTTGATTCTGAAAAAACACCGCCAGTCTTAGGAGCTAATCGGTACTCTGGTGGCAGCCATAACAGGCATTCAGAGTTCCGGGTGATGCACGTATAATCTTTGCTAATGCCATACACTTGGTGATCGCAATAAGCACTATGTGTGAGTGCATTGGGCCCGTAAGCAGAAAATGAAGTCGATCCGACCGTACCATCGAATAGTTTAAGATCTGGATTTTCCAAGAAGAACTGTTTCACTTCCCATTCGGTGGGGAATGTCTGCATGCATGTCCCGCTTTTTATATCCCACACCCGAACTTCATTGCCATTTGACTGTTCTGCAAAAAGTTTGAGATCATTTGAGAACATGAAGGTGTATGTTTTCCCTCTCGGACCTTTTGCAGTCTGAAGGCGCTGCCCGCTTTGGGTATCCCATATCATGATTTCGCACGGGCCCCAGCCGGTATCTTCTGCAACTGAGGCGAGGAGCCTGGAATTGTGAGAAAAGTGCAATGAGGATGTACAACTATGACTGTCAAATTGGCGCGGTTGTTGCCGGCTTTTGGCATCCCATATCCTGATTGTGCGATCACCTGAAGCTGAAGCGAGGAACTGAGAATCATGTGAGAAGACAACCGTTTCGATGGGAGATTGATGACCCTGAAACATCTGGAGGCATGTTCCGTTGTCAATGTCCCATATTTTGATACTATGGTCTGCCGAGCCCGAGGCGAGAAGTTTCGAATCATGTGAAAATGTGACTGAAGTTATGTACGGCCCATGATCATCAAGGATCATGAGGCATTTCCAGTCACTAGTCTTCCAGAGCTTTGTAGTCTTGTCCAAGGATGTGGCAAGAAGTTGGGAATCATGGGACAAGGCGACCGTGTAGAAAATCTCTCCATATATGTTGATGGTATGAAGGCAGTTTCCACTATTCGTATCCCATACCTTGATTTCTCGATTGCTTGAAGTTGACGCAAGAAGCTGACCATCTCGGGAGAAGGTGAGTTGCCGAATACGATCGGAGTGTCCTTCTAGAATCTTGAATGATTTTGCGTTGCTAGTATTCCAGAACTTGATAATTCCCGTTCTTGATCCGGTTGCAAGAAAATCGGAGTTTGGAAAGAAGGCGACGCACATGAAGGCTTGACCCCAATTACGCCCCATCATGTGATGGCCTTCGAGCCTAATGACGCATTGCCCGCTGCTAGTTTCCCAAATTTTGATAGAATCCTCTGAGACCACGGCCAGCAGTTTCAAATCGTGAGAGAAACCGACAGAATAAAACTCTTCGCTATCCTCACGAAAAGTAGATAGACATTTTCCACTACCAGCATCCCATATCTTAGCAGTATGATCGTAAGCAAACGAGGCAATGAGCTTAGAATCATGAGAGAAACAGGCCGAACAGACTTGGTCATTGTGTCCTTCGAGGGCCTGCAAGAATGGACTCCAGTGATATTCCACGGCCGGTTTATTAAGTATCCAAGAAGGTTGCTGTGCTTGATATTGAAGCCTTGTTATGCTCTTCTCCGGACTGAACATCAAGGCAGCCGCATACACTTGGAGTGGCCAATCTCTGATCCCGCTTTGATTGTACAAGACAAACCGACAGGCATCTTGTACCCTATCGACCAATGCAGTGTGCCGTGATTTTGCCTGTATATAGAGAGTATCATATCTTAGCAAGTCCATAATTTCAATATTTGTGTTCATGTGCAATCATGTGTACATACCTTGATCAAGGCATCGAGTTTTAGCATTGAAGTTATACCCTCTGATATGCTTCTCAATAAGCTAATAGCTTCAAGCCAATGAAGGTAGTTGTTGCGGAAGAATGTATCGACTGGACCGCCTTCCTCAAAGTCACCGGGCACATCTGCGAAGACCCGGCGAGAGCACATTTGGAGATGTTCCACCCAATAAAGACATGCATAGCGGATTGCAGCTAATGGGTCAGGATCCGGTTGCTCAACTTGGCCGATGGGATATCCAGGATGTACCAGATTGTAAATGTCACGCCGAAGCGTTCTGTTCATGACGTCCAACGATTTTGAAAAAATGCCATGATGTACAATTTCTTCCCCACGGGGAAAGATCTTATCGACTGCTTCTCGACTAAGAAAATCCTTGGCAGATTGATGAACTAGCAATATTGTAGATCCTCGAAGCGTGAGGAAAGAGCCGCAAAGACCTATTATTTCTTCAAGGTCTGAAAGTCCAATGTCTTCGGGAAGGTCGACGTAGGATCCAAGATCGTCCAATGTAATGGGACGATACACCACTGTGCTAAGACCAAGTATGGACTTGCAGAGCTCAGCATCCGCAGTTTTGTCTATCTGATCTAACATTCGTTGATAGAGCCGATCAAGACCAGCAGGAAACTCTTCCAACTTCCTACGAACGGTCCTTCTCGAAACTTCGAATTTGGCAATTTCCTCGCAGACCAGGGCCACCCAGAGGAAGGTACCATGAGCATTCGCTAATAGATATTGAGAAACAGCATCGCGGGTATCATCGGAGTATTTCTTTTTGGTTTGCAATGTCTGAGCCTTGTAGTGGATGTAGGAAGTCACGGCTTTTGAAATAGCAGCTTCGTTGAGCTCAAGCCAGAGCCTTTCTGTTCGGGGCGCTGTTTCAATGACCTGCTCGATTGATGGCCAGTTACGGCTTGAGACGAGCCACTTGACACATGGATACAAATGTGAATTTTCCACTATGAAATCAAGAAGACGGTCCAATCCTGTGGTGCATTCGTCAAGGGCGTCGATTATCAAATATGTCGTGGGCAACGATCGATCTCGGAGGATATTCGTCAAGATCGCCAACAGTGTCTCCCAAGCATTCACGTCCTCGAAGACCTTTGCTCCAGCGGTATCATACTCGCGCCGCACATGAGAGATAAGATCAGGGTGCTGATCAATCAACATGAAGATCAAACCACGAATGACAGCAGTAGCATGGTTTATACGAGCATCTGCTGCCTGGCAGAAGAAGAAGGCAATAGTGGTCTTTGGAGACGGGGCAGACTTGGTCAGTTCGTTTATGATTCCACACAGAAGCATTGTTTTGCCTTTCCCGGGGTCGCCTTTGATCCAAAGAAGTTGACTCTCTTCATTGTCGCACCATTGTTTGAAATCCGCATTTTCAAGGACCCAGTTATATGCGTCTTCAAATAATCCACCCTTGACTCTCTCGATCCGATCTTTATCCCGGCGAGGATCAGTCGCATGTAAAGCCCACAGGCAGTTTCGATTTTCTAAGGCTTCATGGTTATCTAGAAAGGATGTTAATACACATGTGAAGCAACGGGTTGTCAGCTCTTACCAGGCTGTGAATAGAAATTTGCTGTGATATCAGCGTGGTTTTCCACCATCTGCAGCCCCGAGTTAACCCCACAAAAGGATGAGTTAGCTATCCGATTCCCAGACTTGCCACTCAATGCACTAGAATTGTTGATTTCCTCCATCTCATCCCGCGGGTTTGCTGACCCGAAAGCCACAGGCGTGAGGTGGATGAGGCAATGAGTAACAGTTATTCTATCTCAGATCGATTTCGCCCCGAATTGTGCTTGTGGAAGCCTGCCCTGTTCAGCCGCACCCCGCCATCGGGTGAATGTTTATACGAAGTTGGGGGACATGGACTAGTGGTGAACGCTACGCCGGTTTGAGCAGGAGCTCTGGACTGGGGATATCCATGTTTACCTGTGAGCTTAGCACGAAAAGCACATCTTGCTCACCTAGGTCTCGCTGAATCCTTAGCTAAATTGTCTGCATGTCCAAACATGTTCACTGCCTAATGGGCAGTTCTGGTTTCATTCATTCATTCAGTCATCCATTCATTCCTTTCTGTCTTTCTTTCCAATTATTTATTAAGACCCGCACAATACCTCGTGAACAAGGGAGAATACTCCTTTATATAAACATTTGAAAGTTGTATAGGCTTTGTTTCTTTCATCATGTTATACTATAACTACATCATACATGTGCAACCAAGAACCAACCTCTATAGACATCTCAGACTTCAACTTACTGACACAATACGCCCCCCGAAGCTTGAACCTGATAAGCAAGAAACAAGATCTCCAACTCATAAAGGGACCTCACTGCAACCGCCAACATGCATGTCAGATTACTACAAATCACCGTAGCCATAGTCGCCTACATCACAGCCACAGCACAACCCCTAGTAGATATCGACACAAAACCAAGCCTTCATTCCCGCCCAGCCCCCCAAACCTACAGCTGTACTGGTTCAGGCATGTGCAACAGACAGATGAGTAGATCACTATCATGGGCCTGCAACAGCGCCCTAGGTAAGATTGATGCTAGTGCAACATACAAAACTGGGTACGTATCTTCCCAGGTTGTGTCCACATATATGTTCTAGAAACTAACTTTGTACTAGTGGCCAGGCGCGTCATACTGGGGTTTGTGTCAATATGCCCTCGGAAGCCTTTGGGTGCGGTATCTTTGTCTCTGGACCGAAGGGGTGCGCTCGGACTGGAGCACAAATGATACAGGCGGTCTCGGATATTCGGACTCGGGGAAAGTGTGTCATCTGTGGGTGGGTTATGGAGGACGAGGATTCCTCGGATGGTGATGGGTGCAAGGTCAAGATTGATTATGTTTCTGGTTGCTAGAGACTGTATTAAGATTCTTGAATACACAGACAAGGTAAGGTGCTAAGGAGGATAGAAAGAAAGACGGACTTGTGAGTGCGAATTTGACGTGAGATATCACAGGATACTGGATGTGGAGAGGCTCATTTGCTACAAGGTATCCAGTTCAACCCAGAGACTTCCTTATTCGGAGCGGATGACTTCTATGTTGTCAGTTCATCTTACACACGAAACCAACTCACCTCATTTGACTCACGTCTAAACCATGTATGTGGGCTGTTCTTGGGAATAGTGTCGCTATCGAGAGCTATTTTAGTACATGAGAACTGTGGAATTCATGAAAAGATTGATACCTCTTCCAAGATTGATTGTAAAGTGTATGGTACATGTATCCAGCACATGTGTACATCCATGGATGTATTTCCAGATGTCGCTGAAGCGAACAATAAAAAAACATATTCAATCGTGACCTTCGTGTGGATAATGTAAAAACGACGCTGATCCCTCCATGATGAAATACTGCTCGCCAAATTAAAGTACAGAAAAGCTTCTATATATGCATGAGGTGTGTTTCGGCTCAACAAGCCAAATGCAAACAAATTACCGTTGGGCACGGTAAGCGTCATAGGAGGTGTATGAAGGCTCGTCGTCCTGGTCAACAGGTCCATAGCCACGGGTCCGCCAGCGATCAATTGGGTTTGTGATATCGCTTTGCGCAGGGACCTGGGCGTGGCTGAGCAGTCGGGATTCGGCCTCGTCTGCGTTTGAGTTGCCACTGTCACCCCGTGAGAGCGGCGTACGGAAGGCCGGGTGGATGAGTCCTGCGTCGGATTCATCGTAGTCATCGTGCATATTCAGGGGGATCCCAGATCGAAGAGATGGTCCTGGTGATGAAGCACGCGATGACCCGGGGGACCAATCGCCTCTTAGAGCACTGCGGGGGGTGTGAGACCGCTCTGTCATCAGGTCCTCGGGTCGACCGTAGATGCCGCCTCCGAACTCGTCTCGGAAGTCTGCTCGGTCCTTGTAGTACGAGAAGTCCAGTTGGCTCTCTGGCACGACCTCGAATGGTGAAGATTTGGCGGACTTGCCAGGTTGAGAAGGGAGCATCGGGTTCATTGCGACGTCTGAGTACTCCCCATTCATCTCTCCTTGATCCAGGCGACCCTGGTAGATTTGCTTCAGTGCTTCGGCAGCCTTGGCATGAACCATTGGCGTAAGGAGTTGTTTGTACAGGGCAGGGTGTCCGAATTTGGCGTTCAGACGTTCGGATGCCTTCTTGTCGGTTTTGTTCACGCCCAATGCCTCAGCATCGGTTAGATTCGCGCGGTTGTAGTACTCGCAGTCGGAATCAAAGGTCTTCATACAATAGATCTTGAATCCAATCATCATGAAAGGCAAGGGAATCACGCAGAAAACCATGGTCCATGTGCCGCTCGACTTGGCAACGAGTGCAATGATCACGTTGGAAAGAATAGTAGCGAAGATCAGGCGATTGAATAAAACTCGCCAAAACGAGCCCCCTGACTCGTTTTTCGTCACAAACACATACATCAGCAAATATTTCTTCAACATAGCATCCAAGCCAAAGTACAAAGCTGTCACCGGCAGTACAATCGGCTGCAATGTAGCGAAACAGAAAGCAACGGTGGCATAAAAGAGGAAGTAGTTGTAGTAACTAGCGTAGTCAAAGGGCGGCGGGGCGGTCCACTCAATGGCTTGTCGGGGTGTCGGTGAGAGGAAGGTTTTGGAGAACCAAACCCACACCATGGTCACAAGCTGAACAAGATCGATGGCGGCGCCGAGATTGCGCTGCAGAAGATATGTAACCCAGAACGGGGACATGGTGCACAACGCGCTCACCAACTTGGCGTACATTCGACTTTCCAAGATAGCTTGCCAAGCGTCTTCATTGTTATTAGTCTTATCAATCACGAACGATACGAAATACCAAGCGACCGAAAAGAGCGAAAAGACAACCAGATTGTTGAAAACGAAGAACGCATAAAGATGCCCAAGAACATGACGCTCTCGAGACGTCTTGGTCTTGCTGCCACCTTGGATAGAAAGTCGACGGAAGATGACCGGAAGTGCCAGATACACGAGCGAGGTTAGAGCAGGCGTCGCAATACCCTGGACAGCGGCCCATACGTTTGGGCTGCCTTCAAGCGACCTCTGGAATGCCGGCCATACTAACCCCAGGTTCGACAAGTTAGACAAAAAAATGGCAATCAGTCCGTTAGGAACAATCCATACAACCGTCAGGCATGTGACCCAAATGAAATTTACTAGTCGCTTCCACTTGCGTGCTGATTTGGAGAGTGGTAAGTTTTCCCAGATAATATCGCTAGGTCGTGGTGCAAGGGCCACAATGGTACCCTCAGGGCGCTTGCGGCGGGCGTTCCATGCGACAGCGTGGGCGTGTTCGATATTGTCCCAACTGGCAAAGCCGTAGGGCATTGCATTCCGGCGATCAATTGATGCCCGCCCATGTTTGATCTCCTCTTCCAGAACACGGATCCGGACTGTTAGATAATCAATCGCGTCCACTTTACCGCCGGGATGTTTGCTGCGTTGATGGCGCGGAGGGCGTACTGTAGGTCTTTTTGCGGGCAGTCGGTCTGGATTCTTGAGATATTTCGCCAAAACGGACTCCAGTTCTCGAACAACCTCCTCATGTTCTTTGATGATGCGGGGCAAGTCTCTGACATTACGGCCAATAGCAGCCCGAGGAAGAGCAGCGGTAGGATTGACCTTATCGGTCAGTCGCAAAATTCCTTCGTCGGTACGACTATTGGAGGGGATATCCGTTAACATCAGGGTTCGGGCATGTAGACTGCGCTGGTATTCGGAGCTTTGGAAATATTGTCTCCGCAAAGTTCGCACGGCGCGGTAGTTTCTCCATAGGAAGAACGCAATGATGAGATCAAAAGCCCAAGCGCATACAACCTGACTCCAGATAGCCATTGGGTTGGTAATGTTGAGGGGCGTCATCATGTTGAAGGCGGAAGACGCCGAGGTATCAGTTGATCCCTTGCTCTGTGTGACATTGACTGGTATCATAACAAGGCAACCGATGATGCTCAGTAGGATGAAAATGTTGCGGCACATCTTTGTAAACCGAAGGAAGATCGCGGCGTCCAGGCCGACAGTCTCGATAAGCTGGGGTTCTCGTGTATTAATGACCGGTTTGACCCAGGCAAAAATGCCCTTGCCAACTGGGGGCGGAGTGTGCTTGAGGTCTGCATGCTTGACTTTGGGTGCATAGACAACCGAGTGACGAGGCCGAACAAGGGAGAAGAGGAGGGCAAGGAGGACTGTGACGCCGATTGAGGTGCCTAGAGAGGCCCAGATGGCGGTGACTGTGAACTAGAGCTTGTTAACGAGAGATGCTCTCTAATCACCTGGAAAGGGGTTGGGCTTACTGCAGAGCGGAATGGATTTGCAATGAGTTCGAGGAAAGTATCTGTCCCTTCGTTGCGAGCATACAAGCTCAGGTGATGCAAATCCATTGCGTCAAGCAAAATGGAGTGGCGATCCGGCACGAACGAGGGGCCGGAAGGGATCAAGAAACTAGCATGAAGAGGAAATCCAAACTAGTTCAGAAATGAGGGGAATTTGAGACACAAATTCTAAATGGAAGACGAGCAAGCGGAGGTGAGACAAAGCTCACGTCTTGGAATGAAAGAAAAAAAGTGGGCTCCAAGGCCTGGACTGTTATTATTAGACTTGGGCCATTGGTCTTTTGATTTAGCGTTGTCGCTGATCACAACCGCTAGGAGAGCAACTAGGAAGAGACCGAGCCACTTTTCGTCAGATGAAGCCCTCATCCTCAGGTAGCTCCCATGGCTCTGGAGATCAGGTTCCGTCAACATAAGTTCTTTGTGGCGCACCGACACGTTTCAGTCCTGTTAGACCCATCTGCAGTCGTATCATTGGCAGCCCATCAGATCATGTCAAGTGGTACGCCAATCAGTCCACAGTACGGAGTAGAGATTCAAGTCTGGAACATTGTAATTGTTCCAGTGACACAGATATGGGGTCATGTAGGTACCGTGTGCCACCCGATCTGAGTGTTTGGCTCCGGGTTCCTGTTTGGGAAGTTTGTTTCCGCGCCTGAGGCCACAGTAGCCTCAGGCATTCTTTTGAAATCATCACCGATGTTGACTTCAATGTCTCAGGCGTCTATTTTTGGCACTCGTGACTGCAGGAATGCCCCTCGCACTAAGATGAACTAAACATCCATCGGGTGATGTATGTACCCCTATTGGACCGCCTCATACAATGATCACATCCACATGATACGGAGTACTCCGTACCATTTTTCGCTTTACTTCGAGGTTTTTGGAATCACACAGTTTGTAGCTCACTATGATTTCATGATAACTAGACATCCAATGATGCAAAACAAAATTATCAACACTCAAGAGGCCTGCCTAGATGGATGGCATACTTGCTAGAATATCGCAGGAGTCCGTCTACGTCATGGGACTAGATCCTAGTTAGCTCAACCTAACAGCATCTCTAACCAGGACAACGAAGAGACTACACAGTACACTCATACTACAGCAGTGTGGGTAGTTCAACATAGTACAGTTCTATAATTTTCTTTGTACGAGGTATCTCAGCTCATACAGTGCTCACCCCGCCACTTACAGAATTGCACGGTGCACATCAATACCTTGCCAAGAGTAAGTGGCTTGTCCGCTCCCTAGTTGCCGAAGATCAACATCCTGCTATACGGAGTACTATCAAGTGATTGACAATCCGATCAGAGTGAACAATATACTATATTTAGGTGTCTCACGTATCTCGGCTTTTGGCGAAGCTGTCAGGGAACTAGTATGCGTGGCAGGACCTCACCGTAATTCTCTCTAGATCCCAGGTCCATGGATACCCAAGCTTCAGGTTATCGCTACTCTTCGTTCGTTTTCCTTACGCTAGTCTACAACATGATGTTCTCCCCGACAAATTTCCGTTATCGACATGCTCGTTTTTAATTTCATGTTTATTGAATGATTGATTCCATGTAGATAGGCTTGGCATAAATGTTATAGTTGTTCCCGATACAATAGAAGATTTTCAAGGGAATAGAGAGTTTCTCTCAGTATCAGGTGAGATAGTTACGATATTTTCAAAATTAGATGTCATATACTATTTGAATATTCTGAGGCAGTCCAATTTCTTCAGTAACCTGTTGGACATAGAGTCATCGCAATATCTCGATCGCCCCGCATTTCGTCCCACACGCCCTAGAGCATATAAACCAGGCGAAAGAGCCCGGCAATTGGTTAATGAAACAAGAAATAAATAATCTCCGAGAAATACACGTATACATACTACATCCAATGCATCATGGCTATTATCTCGGACCCATTGATCTTTGTATCATCACATCTTCCCATCATTCTCCTCATAGTGATCCTGCTCCACTTTACGCGCAACTACCTCAAGCCCGGGGCTTTATCCATTCCCGGGCCTTTTCTGGCCAAAATCACAAATCTATGGAGGTCGATCGACGTCGCCAAGGGGAGCACATACAGTGACTCCGCAAAAGTGTTAACACCCCTTATTCTGCCGGATATACTTTCACCAATCAAACATTAGAGATATCGGGCGGCCTAGCAAATTTGGCAGGCGGTATAACTACCTAGGAAGGCGGTAGCAGAAGGGGTGTTAAAACTTTTGCCGAGTCACTGTAGGTCACACTCTATAAGCTCCACCAACAACACGGAGATTATGTTCGACTGGGGCCCAACGTGGTCAGCGTGCAGAATCTGGATGCATTGAAGATTACTTGCTTTTTAGAGGATGTCCAAGCGAACTCAGGTATCTGTTCATGTGTAGACTTACTTACAATCAAAGTTATTGATATTATGACATGTACGCTGATCGCTTCAAACCAAAGGCGATAGATAGCCTTGCGATCAGGAGGGGGGAGGAAGCTAGACAAATCAGAATATGTCCAAAACGCAATCTCATTTGAAAAGACAGACGGGGACAGACGGGGACAGACGGGGACAGACGGGGACAGAGGGGACAGAGGGGACAAAGGGGACAAAGGGGTGTGCCAGGTGGGGCCATTCAACTCATGACTAAGCATTTAGTTGAACCCTCTTCACACATGTATTGGCTCAGACACCTGGCTTAACGCAACTTGTCTTAGCGTGCTGCGGCGGGTACATCAGGTCTATGTTCTGTTGTCCCTGGTGAAATGCTGCTTACCCACTACTCCCACCCCAACGACCTACTACGCCCAAGCAACTCCACATAATACAATAAATCCACGTTTTATACATAAAATTGCGCGTCGAGGAAATGCCATCAACACAATGTCCACAGCTCAATTCGGCTCAATCCAGTCCATGGGATAAAGCTACTTTCGATGCCATGAACCATCTTCATCCGGTATTTCACAATTGGCGCGAGCCAAAGCCCTTCCAACCTATAAATTGCTGCAGGTAACGAAACTTTTCGTGCCCTGCCTTCAAGAAGCCACTTTTTATTTTACTGGGGGCCGAACCCCCTTAAGGCTGGCCATGTCCGTTCTTCCCCCGCGGGTAAAGGCTTTTAGCCAGTTGCCGATATACTATTGTTTCTTGGTTTGACAGTTCGATGGGTTGAAAGGTACTGCGACACGTCAATTAGGCTGGAGACGATAGGCAAGGAAAGATCATTCACATTTTGCGATTAGCTTTGTAAATTTCAAATTGAACACAACCGAGGTCAGGAATGCCTTGTCTATAGTTCATGTCGAGTACAACGTGGAAATGTCCCGTAGGAGGAATTTGGGGTATTTCATAATGAACGAAATGTTTGTTTTGCGAAATTTCGTTTTTCGCGTAACCAAAAGACAAGAAATTACACACCTCTGAACCACACCAAGTCCCCCCGTTCCTAGCACCCTATTAACGTGCCGGCTGAGGCTGTCTGCCCTCGGAAAGCCACGGCTCGCCCCTTCACTGTAATTACACCGTTCAAATGGACAGTAGAGAGGAACAAAGCCATCCACCATTTTGGGGTGCTTTGCCTTACGGTGTCGACCCAGGTCCTTCTTTTTCTTTTAGTGCAAACGCCATTCCACAGTCATTAACAATACATTTGAACGGTCTCGTATGTCGCTTGGTATGTCGACTCGGGCTTGGTAAGCTAATTTCTTCTAAGATAATGCAAGATGTAATGGGAAGCGTGTTTATAACCTACTTGAGCGTGTTGTTTAGAAAGGCCATCCATCGATCAGCAAGCTCCTGCACATGGTAACGTGCTCTATTTTGTACTTCTGCTATCAGACCAATGGCTGTTCCAAATCCGAACTAACAAGGCAATATTTCAGTCATCAGCGACTACATGCTATTTTCGGCTTTCTTCAACCTCCTTTGTGGTGGCCTTTCCCATCGAAAGCAGTATTGCCCCTTCTCTAGTGCAATGCGTCTTGAACGCACACCCGTTCGCCAGACAGGTTCTCCTTCCTCTGTCATACCCAGCTCAAAGGGCACATTGTAGTCTGGAGGGGTGGGAAGATCCGGCCATGTAAGTCGCTTGGGTGGATTGGGATCTTGTTCTATCGCTCCATCGGCTCTCGATGCTACCCATTCATTCAGAAACTCGCGAAACCTTGACACATCAGAGTCTAGTTCACAATGACATGTCCATTCAGTAGTCTGCACCATGTCTTTGTTTCGTTCCCAGTGAGGAATGCTCGTAAAGTACGTATCGTTAGTGATGATCTCGTACAAGGTGAAGACAACACCAGACACATCGTCTCGACCATCCATTAGGCCGTCTTGGCCATTGGCGGCCCAATCAAAGTCGAACAGAATAATCTTGTCTGTTTCGGGGTCGACAAGCAAATTCCGCGGTGCAATGTCTTGATGTACGATCCCCATATCTAGGTTTAGGAAATCCACCAGCTGAGTAAGCTGCCGTAGCCATTCAAATCGGAAAGGCCTTTTCGGTTTTGCCTCTGCTAGTGTCCCGCCCGGGATGTACTTTGTTGTGAATCCGATGACTCGAGACTCCACGTCCTCGAGAACAATGCGGTCAAACGGTATTATATTAGGATGTGGTGGTAGTTTGCTGAGCAGGTTCATCTCCTTCCAAGACATTTGTAGTCTTCGGGGCATGCCTAAAGGGTTGAATTTGAATGCGACCCTGTGACCATCATACGATGAGAGATCGACACCTGGTCCGAGCCGATCGAGCTCTTGCAGTTGGGAGAAATAGATGGTTGGGCAATCTGTGAGTGATTGGCAAAGAGATAAGGGGATATAACCAATAAAGAGTGTATCATCTTCTTCCGGGTCTGTTGAGACTCCAGTGAGAAGCCCGTCATCGTTGACTGTGATAGAACGAACCTCTGGCGAGAGGTAATCGGCAAACTGTGCAAGGACTGAGGTTTCAACATCTTCTCCAGGTGGAAAAAGCTTCGCAGTCCCTTTGACTTTGATCCATCGCAGCTGATCCCAATCCCAGACGTTGCAGTGGGTTTCGGTCGCAGGGCTCTCACTTGGGCCAAAATAGCCTTGGCCCTCTGAGAAGAATCTTTCATGAGGCTCGATCATGGCAAAATATCAATGAGAATATTGCTTGATACACGTATGCTGTTGGTGTGGATGAGTCAACCGTGGTTGTCCTGCGAAGGGGACTTTTATATTCAAACGGAACTTGGAACTGCGGTGTAAATAGGCAGAACATGTTCAGTTCCATGGCGCTTATTAGTGACGTTGGTAGCCTATTCAAAGCGCGTACTTGTCAATCAAATTAGACCTGTAGGTTTATCAACGACCCACCAAGAACCTATGGCCCCATATATTACTATTACACATGCAATACAGGAAAGAAAGCTCTGTAATATGGTGTACAGTGACGGTCCATAAGTTTGAGCACTCCTATTCTGACGGCATTATTTCCACCAATAAAATCTTTACAATTATTGCCAGTATGACAATATAAAACTATTAAAGTAGGCGGTATGGTATTTTATGAAGGCGGTAGTCGAAGGGATGCCCAAACTTATGGACCGTAGCTGTATATTGTGTTTAACTTTTTTTGCGGGTTTTGAATCCGGAGCTTGATAGGCAACATATGAGCTGAAATATCAGGATGCAGCCAGCAGTGAATGCACGCAGTGCGGGTACACGGACAGAGCCAATCAAATGTAGTGTGATTCGCACGGACCCACTATTCTTTGATATTAATGTTACGAACACGTGATCTCCTAGTACATTAGTCTAGCTAGCTTTCCCTCTTCTTCCTTTTCTCTCTCTACGCACAATACAAGATTTTCCAGTCCACTCCTTTTTATGAGTAGTCGTACAGGATCATCTCTATCAATTAAACCCCAACCCGTGACTTGAGAGAGGTCTAACTGAGACCGTGAAGCGCCAATGGCGCGTTTCGCAATCTTTGAAGCGGAGATTGTGATTGGTGTAAGCGTGGTCTCGAACTTATATTTGTGCCTTTTGAACCGTAACTGGAGAAAACCCGTGAATCCTTCGTTACTGAAACCTAGGAAACCCTAGTATTGTTTGTCGGCGGCTAACGAGAGATTATGAGTGGCTACGAACAAGTTCCTTTCCCGATATGATGCTTGGTGGTTGAATCACGCTCGACTACGTATACTTGTAAATCCCATCATTGGCGGACCTCAAACCCGAAAGAGTATATGTGGTCTGCGATACGTGGCAGCGGCAGCCATGTGCGATGTGAGATCGGAGATGTCACAAATCCAGCCAGGGTGTCCAAATCAATAGTGAAGTGTGATAGAAGGTCATGGCTACGCTTAATCCTCGGCAGCTATAATATATACATATATCTAGCACATCCAGACGGATTTTCCCTTTTTCTGATTGTCTTGTTTCTCGACTTGAAGTCTTTCCCTCCATTGATATTTTCTTTATCCACAACACCTTGATCATTCTACTTACTACCTTTTGTGCCTCACAACTCTTTGCCAAACATCATGCCCGACATCGCACCAGGGGATATCTACACCGATGTTCAGACTAGACTAGTCAACAGTGCTAGTAACCCTAACAACTGCTTCTGCGGTTGGTATGTCTACTACTCTAGTGTCTGCACCCATGTATACCAGGAGATGCCAGTCCACTGCGGAGCCAGGACCACTAAATCTGGGAAAAGTGGGTTCTGCGTCACGCCAACCCCGAAGAACAATGTCGGGGCAGTGAAGATCAATGTCAAGTGTCGTACTTGTTGATATCAAACACGCCAGTGAGTAATATGATATTCCGCTTATACCGTTCGTACTGAACCTATCATCTTAGCTTTCATTTGATCCCAGAAGGCCATCAGTTAGAGACCGGTGGTTGGGGGAAGAGGCCAGGGGTAGGAATTGGACGAGAATCGGCGGAAAGGGACGGTCGACTGGCCTGTCAAATTCATTTGCGCCATTTTATCGGAGGCCCAATTTCTGAATGCAAGTGTTGTTTGCACCCTAGGAAGTTACTTCGGAAGCCAACCTCTTTTCATGGCTGTAGCAACAAGGACCAAGGCAGCGATTTGAATTATTCTTTATTTTAACGCCTACAGTAGCGCCCATCATCGCCTTCTTATTGTATTGAGCAGACGCTCACTGCATTTGGTTGTTTTAGCCATTTGTAAGATAGTTACCTTTTTCTTATCTCAACATTGTTCACGGGGTTTGAAGCAAACAGTTGTTTGTATTTACTCTTTTGCAAGGATCTACAACTATGTTGCCTAGCCTCCTACCAACGAGGATAAGCATGCTTCGATTTCCGCGACGGGAATTGTTCTAGTACGAAACATAAGAGCATTATGCAGGAATGCACCTTTACCTCGTTGATATAGTAAGGTAATGGGGTATACCGCGTCGTTTAATTCGAGTATGACATGAGTGATCCCCGAATTGGGTGCTTCATCCACCAGACCCGATGGGGCCTCTCACGAACTGCCTATTCTTCTGTGGTGCAAAAGGTAACGAGGGGTACAATTGCATAAACTAACTTGAAGTACTAAAAGAAAATTTAGCAGATACTAGAGGATGTCGTTCAACACAAGGCATTAACAAGTTCTCGCAGGGTTGCCCTTGGTTGCTGCCAACAGTGTGGAGACTGGCACTTGGCATACCACTGGTCTCCTCCGTCCCGCAAAAGTTCAGCCACACGGAATGGTCTCCAATGGAATCATCTGTCAACCTGAAAAAGTGGTCTACTGTTTCGAAGATCTACCAGTCCGATGGTCGGCTAAAAACAGCAAGGTCTTATCTAGACGGGTGTTACCTATATAGTATCAATAAAGGGTATCAAAAGGTAAGATTCATGCGAGAGGGAAGAGGTGTCTTCTTATTTACTGACACGTTCCAGACAAATTTCTACTGTGTTCAGCAGCAGTTGGTGAAGGGCAGGCCAACACCTACACTTTTCACTACTACGGATGAGAACTTCCATGCTGCTATCAAAAGGCCTGTTTCCTCTGCCTATTCCATGAGTACTCTGATTGAATTTGAGCCATTCGTCGACAGGACCATCCAGACTTTCTTTGAGAAATTGGATACATTTGTTGTCACGAAGAAAGTCTGCGATATTGCTACTTGGCTACAATATTGTAAATAGGCGTATCCAACTTCACGAGAGCATACTTACCCGTTAATAGATGCGTTTGATGTTATCGGAGAACTGACATTTAGCAAGCCTCTTGGATTCCTCGAGAAGGGTGCCGACGTGGATGGAATCATCGTTGCATTAGAACGCATGCTTGATTACTTCGGGAAGGTCCGCTTTTTATTTTCATCCAATTTTTTCTTTGTTGGGGGCTAATGAACGTTATTTTCAGATCGGTCAGATGCCATGGCTTGACTACGTTTTCATAAAGAACCCCTTGAAAGGTCTTTTTAGAGGAGGCTCAAGAGGAGCTATCGCTCGCTTTGCACGCGCACGAGTTGATGAAAGATTGAAGGAGATGAACATTTCAACAAGTAACTCACGACAGAAGGATTTTCTTACTCGCTTCCTGGAAGCAAAGACGGAACACCCGAATGTTGTCGACGATAATCAGGTATTCTCATACACAGTCAGCAATATGAATGCTGGCTCAGATACAACCGCGATTTCTCTACGAGCAATTTTATACTACATTCTCAAGCACCCTCTAGTACATGCAAAGCTAAACACAGAGCTCAATCTCGCCTTGGAAGAGCGTCAGATCTCGTTGCCCGTGTCGTGGAAGCAAAGTCAGGAGCAACTCCCTTATCTCGACGCAGTCATTAAAGAGGCTTTGCGGCTACATCCAGCCGTGGGACTAATGCTTGAACGAGTTGACCCAGCTGACGGTCTTCAGCTTCCTGGTGGTCCATTTCTACCGGCGGGGACGATAGTCGGTGTGAATCCATGGATTATACACCGCCATCCTGCCTTTGGGGAGGATGTGGAATCCTTTGTGCCCGAACGTTGGCTCAAGATGGGTGATGAGTCCGAGTCTGAATTTTATGTGCGGAAGCAGAAGATGTTACGAGCGACTTTCACACTTGGGGCTGGTCCGAGGACTTGTATTGGTACCTAGGTAGGAACATCAGCCTGCTGGAGATATATAAGTTGATCCCAACACTGTTTCTGAACTATGAGGTGAGAATTGGGTTCCATACATGGAATTTATTTCGTCTAAAACAATTGTTTAGATCGAATTAAATGATCCGAGTGCTGAACGGAACCTTGTTAATGCTTGGTTTGTGAGGCAGAAACATATGGATGTGAAGCTGGCGCATATCAGTGGGATGAGCCTCAGGAGATAGCGACATGATCAAGGATTGGCTGAAAACCCAAGACAAGTCACTCGACTTGACCAAAGATACGGACATATGTGATATATAAATTCAATTTCCAATCTTATAAAACAAGGCGATCTTTCATTCGATGCATCAGGTCATAGCTCTATTAAATACTGAAGGTGGCACCCGCAAGTCCAACCAACACAAATTCAAAATCTATACATATAGTTCCTTGACCGTGGTAGTCGGTAATGTCTCATCTTTTTCTTTGGGAGACCACATCGCAGTCTTACCCCAAGAGCGAGAGAATCTCTCAAACGAAGCTGTAAACGCACCGATCCTCGGTTCGACGTGTTTTGCCCACTGTTGGACAACGAAGAGTAGAAAAGCGAAAAACACAACCAGAACGATCCCAAGCCGGAACGAGTTCGGTGTTGGAATATATGACGCCGGGTCAGGGGTTCCATCGGCTCTATAAGATGGCTCAAAATCAAGCGACATAGGCAGATAAAGTAGATAGACTAGAACGGATCGCATCAAAGGTCCGTGGATGAGATAGAGCGGAAAGCTGATAGACCCCAACCATAGCAGCGCGGGGTGAGAGAGCGACCGTCGGATAAACGGAGAAAGCATCACGCCAAAGCAGATCATCTGCGCGCCAAGGCCGGCGTAAAAACGGCTCACATTGGCACCGCTCGGGAAGATAATTTGGGCAAGGGATGTCAGTTGGGCAGACCATCCGGTTTGCTCGGCATATTGGTCGGGATAGGAGCAGAGATAGAGACCGAGAGTTACGAGTCCATAGGGTAGGATTTTGAAAAATAAGCGTGGTCGAAGCGCTGTGAGGTTGTAGAAGGATAATTCCGCGAGTATCATACCAGCGAAAATGTTGATACCAACAATACCTGTACATGTGTCCGTTAGCCTTGAATTTAGTTAGATAGGATCGAAATATTATGTCCAACATACTATCCAGGGTCGCCCAGCTATAGGCATATAAAACCATCTGCGCACAAACGCGGAAGAGTGGCGTGGTGTTCACCAAAGCCAGCAGGGTCATGAACACATAGAGAGAGCCACGGAAAAGATGTACCAATGCCCATTGCGGTTGGTCATAAGCATTTTCCCCATAGATCCAAGTCCCCGCCACCTGTTGCACCAGATCTGCGATCGCAGTGCTCAGAGATGGGCTTGGCTTGGGACTTGTCGCTCTTAGCCAATATGCATCTACCCTTCTACCCAATTGGAAGACACCTAATTGACATAGAGCCCAGGCCAGAACTGTCACTAAGGCAGCGGGGACAACCAACCTCCCCTTGCGCCGGAATGCCCCGCTCGAGAGTGCCTCGAGCGCCTCGGAGATAGCTCCTCGCCGCGCTAGTTGCAGCGGTTTCAGGGCATTCACAAAGCCGAGCAGCACGACAAAAATGGCCACCCACGCCTGGCCTTGTATGACCAGTCTCAAGAACGGGCGCTGAAACAAAATAGAGTTTCCCGTCTCCGCAAAAGATGGTGGGACTAGATATGTCGCAAAAGACAGACAGGTATGGCTTGCGACCACAAAAAGAGCGGCAATTCCTCGGAGACCCTATAGATAGATCACACCAGTAAGCGACAGTCCCACGACATGTGGGGAATCCAAAATAATGCCTACATCTGCCCAACTACTGGGGCGAGGGGGAGATGAGTGTTTCGGGTCGACAATGGTCATCTTAGGCAAACGGGCTCATTGCTGGTTACTGATCACTAGTATAATGCAGCTGCAGCTCCCCCGACACATATACATCAGCACGCCGGGCAATCATGTCTTGTTCCGGCCATTATAGTCATTGCGAGGAATTACAGTTAGAATACGAAAGCGTAAATGTGATCAATGTGCGATCGAATTGGGAGCGTTGACAGTTCTCTGTGGTCGTCCGAAGACGGCGCATTCCACACCAGATGCTGGATCAGGTAGGGTGATAGTGCTCCCTCCTGCGGTGCTGCGTAGGGAGCAGGACAAGAAAAGAAAAGGAAAGGAAAGGAGGAAAGGCGAACGAAAGAGATTAAAGCGCTCCCAAAAAGAAATTCAGGGGTCAATGATATTGTTCGAGAATCACGGAGTATAAGTCCCTGATCGGCGATGCAGCCGCAGTTCCGTCGATTCCGACCTGTCGATTCTCATGGGATCATACAACCCAGGCATACGAACCGATGAACAATGCCAACAAAACCGGACTCTGAACAAGACATTTGCAACGGCTAATAGTACCACTTTAGAATTCTGAAACCACCATTTATATTACTGTCGAAGCCCGTTCCCGGTTTGCCCCTTTGTCTATATTACGTCACCTGACACTAGACCCGATCAGGGAGTGTTGATTTTGTTTCACTCGACTGCGCCCTTCTTTTCTTTTTCCTACAGTCCTCTGGCAGGCTGTTCCCCCGAATTTGGTATCATCTCACCTTTTGTCTTTCGTTTCGATCCCAATTCGCCATTCATTCTCGCCCCTCGGGACTCCCTTTTGTGTTGACATTCCCCACTGCCGATATCCGATATCCGAATCTTCATGGTCCTCGCTCGATAGCCTCCCGTCAACCACGATAACAAATGTCCAGCGGGAACTGGGTGCGACATCGTGGCCATGGTCACAGAAAACGTAAACCCTCGATATCTGCCACCCTCGGCTGATTTCGACCTTTCCGGCCGGCGCAGAGTCCCTCCCCCACGACTGGAGCCATTGGCAATCGATTCAAGAACCGCACATTCTGGCCCTAGACCCTCGCCTCGTACTCATTCCCCGCTGCACCATCGCCCGCGCTCTCCCCTCCCGCGGGCTCACAATCCCCATGACTACCCGTGGCCTCCCACTCCACCGCACCAGGGTCCCCCACAGGCCGCGAGGGGCGACTGGAACCCCCGAGATCTGCCGGTCGCCATCCACTATACGCCCCACAACCTGACAACCATCCACCGAACTGGGCCGCGCGAAATGGTGAATCTGAACGGCCGGCTCATCGGAAGGCTCTGCCCGCTCGAGGTGGACTCCGCATATCCATGTCAACATCCAGGTTGCACAATAGACGTCCAAGGACACAGGAATCCATGGAGCATCGCTCACAGGAACAAAACCACCAAGGACTGCCTTTTCCGCGCTATCCGATCAATGGTACCCATGGTACCGGCGATGATAATGTTGTCCGATCAAGCGTCAATTCATCCGAGACCGGGCGCTCTAGCATCGAGCAAACTAGCGGAACAGAGCGCAGCAGTGTCTTGACAAAGAGTAGTTCAATTACCGATCTATCGCCTGATACCCCTGACGCGCCTTTTGGGTTGGACAATGGTATGAGTGTAGACGATGCGATCTCTATGTATCTCGATGGCTTCAGCGACGTGACCGAAGAGCCTGGCTCGCCCAAATCTCACTCGGGGAGCAAAGCACCATCAATCACACCTCCGCCCTCACGCGATGCCAACCTAGATGAAGTGCACGCGCTGGACTTCCCGTCGTTGAACGACGTTTCTTCAATACCCCCCTCATCAGAATCTACCACGCAGAAAGACAAACGGCTAGATTCGCTGTTCCTTCCTAACTACACTTATTCCGAATCCGCACCGATAGCATCTATTCTCCCAGATTCTCCGCCAGATTCTACTCCATTGGAATCTGGAGCGTCGGAATCTCCACCAGAGCATGAACCGTCAAACCCTTTGACAGATTCTGCACCACTTGACCTCACCCCGTCAGTATCACCGGAAGCTGAAGCTGAGGCGGAACCGGAAGCGCCCAATGTGCATACTACCCCCCAACGACAGCCCACGAAAAAAGTATTTCTTCCCGGATTAGTACCTCCGCCACTGCTTCCTGGAAATGGTCTGCGAGACGATTATGGATTCCGCAAAGCGACACAATATGTGACCTTGGATGATTATGAGGCCTGGAAGGGATCTTACTCCCACCACGTGGTGCAACGCAGAGCCAAATGGTGTGAAATGCTCAAGGAACACGGGTTACCCACTTCAGAGCCCACCCATTTTCCACCGCAGTCTTCGAAGGTCAAGCGATTTGTTCGCAAAGGAATTCCTCCAGAGTTCCGAGGTGCGGCCTGGTTCTATTATGCCGGCGGGTACGAGCTTTTGAACCGGAATCTTGGCCAGTATGATCAACTTGTGGCGAGCGCTATGAAATCGCCGAGTAATGATGACAAGGAGCACATTGAACGTGATCTCCACCGCACCTTCCCCGACAATATCCATTTCAAACCAGAAGGAGCTGCGAAAACACAGCATTCGGGAAGCAGCAACCCAACTTACTGTAATATCACTACAGAGACGCAGATGATTCAGTCTTTACGTCGGGTTTTGTATGCGTATGCGCTGCATAACCCAAAAATCGGATACACACAGTCTCTGAATTTCATTACTGGAATGCTTCTCCTGTTCCTACCCGAGGAAAAGGCATTTTGGATGTTGCACATTATCGCAGCAGACTACTTGCCAGGAACCCATGAGATCAGCTTAGAGGGTGCAAACATCGACCTCTGGATTCTCATGGTCCTGCTCAGGGACACCATGCCAGGCATCTATTCTAAGATTGCGTGCATGGGAGGAACTCCAGCTGGACGAGGCAAAATGCCTCCCTTGACTGTGAACTCGCGGTTGCCGGATATCACTCTGGGCCTGACCAACTGGCTTATGTCGGTTTTCATCGGAACTCTACCTCTAGAAACAACCCTGCGAGTCTGGGATGTATTTTTCTATGAGGGCTCAAAGACGTTCTTCCGCGTCTCTTTGGCAATCTTCAAAGCATGCGAAAAGGATATTCTCGGCGTGACCGACCCCATGGAGGCATTCCAAATCGTCCAAACCGTCCCCAAGAAACTATTAGATGCCAACACGTTAATGGATGAATGTTTCGTCCGTCGACACCGGGTCGGTCAAGGACGTATCGAAGAGCTCCGAGCTCAACGCCGGACGGCTGTCCGCGAAGAAAAGCTGCGACGATCAGTGGCCTTCAGCAAAGGCCAGCTCCATTCTGGGACGGACGATTTCACCGGCCGAGCCCGTACACCAGTTCCGGGCATCGAGCACCGGGTCGTCGGGGGCTGGCGTAACTTGAAACAACATGCATTCCGATAAGCGAATCATCATGCTGACGTTCATAGGGGATGTCTTTCCTCAGACAAAGACCCCCTGTGTCGGCTCATTAATGTCTGTAATCATAATTGTGAAGTTGGCATGGGTTAGCGAGGGCAGACTTCTGCCTGCATTTTCTGCCTGCATTAAAGGCGTCTTGGCTTCGAAAGGCGAAGAGGGGGCATCGAGCATTTATGGCATTTTATGTTCCTGCATTTGTATATATGGAGTAGAAATTGAAAATTTAACAAGGATTTATGCCAAGCAGGCAACCGACTTGGCAGATCTCAAACTTGAAGCAATTTCAGTATCGGCGCAGTAAAATGACAATACCGGAGCCAGGCGAATGATTCGTCGGAGCCTGCGAAGGTGTGTTAGGTAGTCCTGACTCCTCAGGGTCGGTTTCGATTGAAATTGGATCTGCTAAATACGCATGAGCCTAATCTGGCTGAAAACTAGCATACCTGAATTTGCATGAGACTTTAACAGGGGTCTGATTAAGGTGCCTGGGTCCAATCTTGAACGTAGTCAAAACGAAGCTTTCATCTACTCGGCCGCATTAGCCTTGGAATATTTTCTAGTCTTTCCCTAGATATGCTCTTCCCTTCTCAATATTGATACTGTAGGAATAGTTTCCACCACGAACTATAATCTGAAATATAGTGACGACCTCTGGGCAGGGTCAATAGCAGTCCCAACACAGGCATATCCAAACAGCAAATTTGATTTGAACTGAAACCGATCCCTGAGGACTATACACCTTCGCAGGAATTCCTCTTCGAAACCTCTCATCTCGGGCTTTTCGAATGCTGGATCTGGATCTCCTGTAGCCACTCAGAGTGTCTAGGTATAACTATCACACTAGAAACATGGCATGGGCTCCGTTGTGGAGCGAGATTCGGCATCCAGGTTCCGAGCCTCAATTGGATGTGCACTGCGGAGTACTCAGTTCCCGGATGGGATCAATAAGGCCTGGGAGCATAGAAGCAACCTGGCCTTCTGGTTTGGGGTCTCTATCGTAAAATTATCCCCCAGGATTGTGTCCAGTTTGGTGGTCATATCAACTTCATCGAAGCCCAAAACATGATGTATGTAGCACAACATACAGCGATTCCTGTGCCCAAGGTGTTCGCCTCTTATACATGCGGTCTCATTAATCGTGACTACAGCGATTACGGCAGCTTTTACGATACTTACATCTTCATGAGTCTCATTCCATGCAGCCTGGGACACTCCTGATCTCCCCAGCAAATCCGACATTTCAAAACAACTCAAGACCGATGTCGAGGAGATGCATGGCTTGAATGATGAGGGATATATCGGCTCTATAAATCATGACTCTCTTACGGATCGCAGTCTCCCAACTTCTGACAATAAAGGTACAAATTAGATACCTCTGCATACGACTCTACCTAGGCTAATAACTTTCCTTTTCAGGCCCCTTCAACTCTGAGCAGGGTTTCAATACTGCTGTGATTGATCTCAATTCAAAGAAAGCCGCACAACACCATATCTATAATTTCCTCCCATGGGATGCTTCCCCCACAACCCCACGTTGGTATCCCGAATGGGCACGGGAGGCAAATCCCGCTTCTGCACGCGATTAGTGGCCGCGACGAGCCGATTGTGAGAGACTTATTGGAAGATGGGGCTATTTATCCCAATGAGCGAGATTCTCAAGGCAGAATTGATATTCTTTTACGCAGAAGGTGGGGGATCTGCGCATGCTGCAGTTACCCCTTGCGGCCCAGCAAGTAGATCTTACAGCACAAGACACAGAAATCTGGAGTACTGTGCACTGGAATAATTAGGGAAGATACTTCATAGAGGTGGTTTGGAGGAGATCGGTATGCAATTGATTTTGTGCCTAGGTACTTATTTGAATGGAATGGCAATGTTGTGCTCTTCATGAACGTCGATGAGGTGGAGACGGTGGACCTGTACCTGGTGCCAGGTTCCTGAACCCTAAGTCTCCTGCCGAATACTTCACCCTCCCGTCCCTCCCGTAGATACGCCTCAAGATGACCCCGATTTATGGCTAATTGTAAAAGGTCCTGTGAATGTTCGACCGGGAGAAGAGTGCCTCGGCATAGAATCCCGAAATCGCTAGTGAATATGAAGACGAGAGGAGTAGGAGAGCTTCTCGGACATTTTTAAGCCCATGTTTAATAGGCCCGAGGCAAATTGCCACCTCCTATCGTGTACGGAGTACTCCGTACTCCGTACAGGCATGTGCCAAGCTGGACAAAGACTGCTCGGATATTCCTGCCTCGTTCTTGGAGTCTGGGTGAAACCTTTGTACGGCGTATATTGTGCAGGTATTGTTGCGAGCTCAATGTGTCAAAGAGCTCGACCCATTGGTCAGGAGATGTTACGGACGAGCCTAATACAGCTAGAAAGGAAGAAAAAAAGAGAATAATTTCGGTTTGGACTTACTAGCGTGCAACTAGTGCCGTTTAGTGCTGTTTAGTTCCAAGTGCAGTCTTGGAAGGGCGATCGGCGATCTGTACAGGGCTGAGAGGGCAGTCCATGGCGTCACCAGTCCAATCCGGCACATTTTTCTCCCTTTTTCTTTCTTCCCCTCCTCCTCTTCTCTGACCAGAACACTATGCAAATATGAGTGGACAGGCCTCCAGTTATTACAACGAGGGCCTCGCCCAGGGTCCGCCCGAGCCCAACTATGGCTACCAACAGAACGGCTACCAGCAATCCAATAACCAGCCTGCACCATATCCGCAGCCAAACTACCAGCAGCCTAACTACCAACAGCCAAATTATCAGCAACCAGCAGAGCCCAAACCACCGCCACAATATCAGCAGAATGTCCCGGACTCCGGGTACAACTTTGACCAGGCGTTCAAGATCGAGAAGCCCAAGTGGAACGATTTGTGGGCCGGTCTCTTGGTTAGTCGATCGCAGTCGCACTAACAAAATTTCCCAGAGCTAACCCCCTGTATAGTTGATCGCAGTGTTCCTCGGATACGCTGCAGTGTCTGGACTTACCATCCACAAGTATGCTACCAACAAAGGCTTCAGCGGAGGAGGCATTTACGACTCGGCAAACGATTTCTCGCTGAATACCAATACCCTGGTCCTATTTATCTTCGTCCTGGTTGTCGCGCTGGTATTTTCGGGGCTCTATTTCATGGGCGCAAGATACTTCACCAAAGCTTTCATCTGGGCGACCGGTATCCTCAACATCGTTTTCGCGCTCGCAACGGGCATTTACTACATCGCGCGGGGGCAATATGGAGGCGGCATCGTGTTCCTTGTGTTTGGTGTCTTCGCGATCATCTGTTTTATCAGTTGGATCCCCCGCATTCCTTTCACTGCCTTTATGCTGCAAACTGCTATGGACGTAGCCCGTGGTTACGGACACGTTTTCCTGGTCAGCGCGCTGGGCGGAATCGTCACAGTCGCTTTCGCCGCTTGGTTCTCTGTCACTCTTGTCTCAGTCTATGTTGCCTACGAACCTGATTCCACTGGCGTCAACCCGTCCTGCCGGGACGGTGGCTGTAGCAGAGCAAAGGTCATCGGACTCGTCGTCTACGTCACCTTCGCCATGTATTGGCTCAGCGAGTGGATCAAAAATACCATACACACGACCATTGCAGGTGTGTACGGCGCATGGTACTTCTGGAGCAAGTCTCCCAGTGGCATGCCTAAGGGGTCGACTCGAGGTGCGTTCCGTCGTGCGACAACCTACTCCTTCGGCAGTATCAGCTTTGGCAGTCTGATTATCGCATTTATCAACATGCTGCGCCAGGCATGCTCGATCGCGCAGCGACAGGAGGCCGCCGAGGGTAATCTCATCGGCAGCATCTTCTTTTGCATTCTGGGATGTTTCATCTCACTGCTGGACTGGCTCGTGACCCTTTTCAACCGCTACGCTTTCTGCCACATCGCTTTGTATGGAAAGGCTTATATTCCTGCTGCCAAGGATACCTGGACGATGATGCGCGACCGGGGCGTTGATGCGCTTGTTCAAGACTGTCTGATGGGACCAGTGTTGACTATGGGCTCGACTTTTGTCGCGTATGTCTGCGCTCTGCTGGCTTATCTCTATCTGCAGTTCACCAACCCAGAGTACAATCGGGATGGTAACTTCACGGCTGTCATTATGGCTTTCTCTTTCTTGATTGGTCTACAGGTTTGCCAGGTCTTCATGACCCCGATCAGCAGTGGCGTGGAGACCATTTTCGTGGCTATTGGTTGGGATCCTCAGGTCCTGGTCAACGACCACCCGGACCTCTACTACAAGCTCGTCTCGCTTTACCCTCGGATTCAGCAGGCAATCCACGCATGATCTTACCAGATCTCCTCTGACGAAATGTAAATCTCGGTTGGGAACGCAACCTTGATATCCATAGGCAGGAGAGTATCCTCGCTTCTAATTCTTTCTTTGTCACGCCCATACGAACGACGGACAAATCCGCATGTTAATTAATTGAAGATAATTTATGAATAATAGCACCAGGCATGTTTCATTCCTCATTACCAGTTCAATCTACAGACCCAAAAGATCTCTCCAAAAGCATCATCAAATATAGACATCAAAACCCAAACCCAGACAATTCTCACAATCGACCACTCCCACACAAAATCCCCTTACAAAGCAGCCATGAATCCGATAACAGCCGCAACCCCAACAACAACACCCCCATTCACCGCAACTCCCGGCGCTGCAGCCCCCTCAAACGACGAAAACCGACTCGGATCAACCCCCGAAGGCGACGGCGTCGCCGCCGAAGCCTGCGGCCCAAAGATCACCGACGACGGCCGACCAAGCACACCGTGTGAGTGATTCGGCGCCGCACCCGTCACCATCGGTCCCATACTGCTCACCGGCACATCGACCGGAATCTGCGATACATGCGCGGGCGACTCGGCTATTGGCGTGCTCTTGCAGCTGCAGTCGTTGCGCGTCTCGGTTACGTATATGACCTGGGTCCCATCCTCGTTGGAATGGTCGCGCTTGGCGGGCTGCATGGGCATGCTGGCGTGGCGGGCGGGGGCGGGGGCGGGGGCGTCGGGGACGGGGGCGGCAGGGGCGGCAGGGGCGGCGTGAGAGCCGTGGCAGAGGGACGATGTTAGGGCGGCGAGGTCGATGCCCGCACAGGCGGATGCGACGCCTGTGCTGAGGTTTGAGATTGCTTCTTTGTTTTTGCAAACGCAGGCGTGGGCGGGTTTGTCGGTGCAGTCGCTGAATTTGGAGACGTCGGCGTTGGCCAGGGCGGAGCTCTGGGGGGTTGTTAGTTGGGTTTCAGTGTGTGAGGGGGAAGGGTTGGGTCTTACGGCGCAGTTCAGGTAGTCTTGGACTGATTGGGATAGGGCACCGGTGATGAGGACTGAGATGGTGATGAAGGCGCGCATTTTGGGTGGTTGGATGTGGATTTGGTGAAGATTTGATACTTGGATTTTAGGTCTAGTATGGAGAATAGAGCCAGATACTTCGTGGTTTATATACTACTGTTGGCTATTTACTAATGTAAACAATTGGTTTGATATCACATCCCTTGGTGCCTTCATTGTTGTAAATGGCAGGTTATGACGTTCAGGAATTCTCTGGTGGATGCATATTCGATATGGAGACGGTGCTGGGGTGGGAGACAAGCTTCCAGTGAGATTTTTGGTCTGACTCCTCTGATCCGCACGTCCGCTTGTTTCCCCCGTGGATTGCACTGGAATGGAGGAATGTGCCAGTTGCCGTATCCCGATAGTGCTTCCTTCGTTATCCCTAGGTCTCTAATACTCCGAGGAATGTGGATCTCAAGATTGAAGGGTCTGATTGTGGCTCTTTTCATCCAGTATCTTCGCATAAATTCGAGAGACATAGAGATTTGATCAAAGGGCAAGTGATAGGAACCAACCATGGGTTAGGGTTATGATATGTACACGTGATGATCGAGGTTCACTATATAATAATGGATTGCACTCGCCCAGACACATGAAATTATGAATTTCACTTCTATTTTTGTACTGAAACATGTCAGATCGCCGAGCAATGTCACTGTCAATTTCACAGCGGCGATGTACTTGAAACAAGTTCGTTATGGAATGATAAACAGGCACTCAGGGAGGATGTATGGACCTATCATTTGGATTGCAACATCTGCAGGGATATGATACTGCCTAACTACTTCCTACATAATGGAATTCTGCGGGAAATATCCCTAGGCATGATTTGATCAATGAATTTTGTGATATATATTCAGACGGGTGACTTGATGTTCGCTATGAAACATAATAAGGTATACGCCCATAATTTACCTGACAGTATTTCCAGTGAGCAATCTCAGTTACTTCGTTTCTATATCCATAATCATCACCGCAAACTATCAAATTGGGTATAACTAACAATCCAAAGACCTAGCCCACTCGCTCCCATAATATCCAATGAAAAACAGAAGTCCTGGGCACATTAATAAAGAACCCCCAAAGCCCATCAGACATGAAATCTCAACGTTCAAAGCCCAGCTCAGAACTTCTCACTCGTAACACATCGGGTCGCTTTAACCAACAGCCAAGCCAAGATCTTGACAATCAACGTCAATCCCTTCACAACCAACTCCAAGCCGAAGAACAGTATCCGCAGAATACCACGAGTAGCTCCAGGCAGATTCTTGTCCTTATACGAAGAATCATTTCCATATCGACCGTATTTCTCTAAATCGAATTCCTCAACAATGGGCTGGTTTTTATTCTTCTTCGAATTTCGACTACCGGCCTGCGGTGTGGAAGATGATTTGTTCCAGAATTTGAAAATACTTTTCTTTTCCGAAGATTCTTTGGATTTCTCTTGTGCAGATTTGATCTGGGCTGCTAGGTGCATGCTCTCTTCTGCATCTTCACGCTCGGCGATGGTGGTAACTAATTTGCCCTGGAACACGGGCATTGAGTAAGGGCCTGGGTTCTGGGATCCCGTTGACCTGGATGAATTCGGTGATCCGAGGACCATATCTGCGAGAATGGGGTTGGTGGCTTCGTCTGAAACGGCGACTGCCAGAATCGCCGCGATGAGAGAGTCGATGGCGTACAGAGAAGGGATTGTTGCGATAACAGCTGCAGGGGAGATAGACAAAGTCTTAGTACCGAAGTCCAGCGACGCGAGTGGCTCGTCAAGATCTGTGACTGGGAGTGTGGAAGTGCGTGGATTGGCAGCTTGTTGAGCGGCTTCCATTGCAGTGGAGGAGACCGGGCCGGTGACGATGATTGTTGGCGGTTGGCGTGGGGAGGCATCACCAGAGGGTTCAGATACTGTAATGTGAACCATTCCTGAAGACTGAGATCGCACAGGTGATAGTGGGATTCCTGCGGCGCCGACCAGAGCGGGTGGGTTGTGTCTCGAGAGATAGGGGTGTCTTAGCTCGTAGAGACGTTGGTGATGGTTCCAGGAGAGCCGGCAGGATTCTTGTGCTGCGGCGCGCTTGAGAGCGTCTGTTTCTACCTCTGCTGACTCGGCGGGAGATAGATGGTGTCGTTTGCTGAGCTCCCCCGCTTGATCAATTGCTAACATGGCTGCTAGTCTGGAGAATAGTAGCGTGACAAGGCCGTCATGGGGATGTTCGCGGCGGATGCGCTCTTCAAGGCTCATCATCATGATGGGTACATCATGGTTTGGTTTGGAGGGTTCGCATCTGCTCAAAGCTAGTTCATTGGTGGAATATGTTTGCAGTGTATAGAATGGATTTTGCGAGTTTCCGAAGGTAAATGTAGCTGGCCCAGCTCTTGTGTGATGTTAGTACAAAAATATATTTGGCAAGATATGAAAGTAAAAAGAGGACCACTCACTTGATCATGCGAAGATTTAATGTTCCAACGAGATCTTGTGGTCTTTGGCCGTTGGCCGTTTCCCATAACATCTTCAGATCCTCGACAGATGAGTATTTAACCTCTTCGGACTCCAGACCACAAGTCGGGAAGTTGAGCACGCTTGCAGGTACAGTCTTCGGACCGAGAACATGATCAATCTCGGAATTTGTTGACAGCGTAAGCCTAGGAGGCTTTCGACGAGCAGCCTTCACGGGCCGTGGGACATCTGGAATCTGTGACTGATACACCTGCTGATTGAACGGCAGTTTCGGATCCAATTGAGGAAACATTGATCTCATTGGGATTGGGGAGGTGGATGACTGCGATGACTGCGGCGAAACAGTTGACGATGTAGTATGATTGCTGCTACTACTGCTGCTGCTTTGACTGGCGTGTGAAGGCAAAGCCTGGTGTGTTCTCTTGGCCTGACGGTTCTCGGTATGCATAGGCTGAGGGGATCTCGTATCACGGGATCTACTGGCCCCAAACGGCGGAGACTTAGCCCTTGAAACATCTCGCTGTGGTGGTGGTGGAAAATCCTGAGTATCTTCGATGATCTGAAGTAACACGGATTCGGTCTTGCCGGGATCCTTGATCTCCTCGAGAGGAATTGGAGAGACTGGATCGGTTGCAGGTACTGGCTTCTTCCCAGCTTTGCGAAATGGATTGTTAGACCTCTTGACCTCGGGCGAAGGTGGTGGGAACAATTGAAATTGGCTCATCCTGTCACCCGTATAGATAGAGTATGGTATGAACAAGCCGCAGAGCACGAACGCAGGGGGTCCTCACTGAGATATACCCCATTTTCAGTGAAAGGAATGCCCAGCCGGACAGGACCAAGCAGAGTACATGGCTTGTCGAGATGTGTGACTACCCTGCTTATACGGTGGGCGCTTAACCGATTGCGGGTGTGATTGGTCCCCGTCCTGGGATAGGCACTTCACACTGCAGTAGCGGCGCTTCAACGCCACTAGATGATTGGTGCTGCGACCCCAGAGAGTCTATATTTATCACCATCTTGGAATCAGATTGGCTGGTTGTCTTCGTAAGTCGGGGAGTAAGCTCATTTGATCCTGGTTTCTGCACAGTTTGTCGGGTCCGGATGTTGCTCATAGCGGTTGTTTTGTGCGACTGAATACGGAGCTCTGGGGGGATTTAAGCAAAAACGAGGCGAATGATGATTTCCAAATGGGCCATTGTGTGCCCTCGTATTGAATAGACTTTATAAAGGCGCTTGACAAGGGTTCTTGGATGATACGGTCAGGGCTCTTGGCTATTTCTACGTTTGCTCCTGATATTGAGATTGGTGATGATCATCCAGCTGGGTAAAGAATTATTTCACACTCCGTAGAACATCAAGAGATGCGAAACATGCTTATGATCATGTGTGTACATCTCCCTCTATGTACAATCGATTACATGGTAGAACCCTCCAACTCTTCCAATCGGTGCATGTCCATATCCTTCTCCAACAGAGGAATCACGTGGGGGTCAAAGGTCTTCCAGTAAGGGTTGTTAAGATGGTACGCCTGCGACGATTCCTGGGCGTAACGCTCGACAATGGTGAAGTCCTGTTTGTCGAAGACGGACTGCATCACGAACCATGAAAGGGTCTCTTTGTCATTTGAGTAGACGTTAGAAGCCTCAACAAGTTTTGCCTTCAGCTTGGAGATAGACTCTTCATCTGACTTGGCACGGAGATCTAGTATTGTTAGCGCGGAGGCCGCGTATCAGAGAGGCATCACGTACGGACGACAATTGTGTAAACCATGATGTGGGTTTGGGGGATGCGGGGTGAAAATGGAGGGGAATGGAGGGGCGATGAACTGCATCTAAATACCTTTTTTGTCTCAATATTTAGTTGGTCAATCATCAGTGAGAGAAATAATGCTTTAAGGTGGGCCATCCGATCTCAAACCCCGAGATTTGCACCCAGTGGTCGCGGCGCCTTGATTTTGTAGCATAAGCCTATTTCCCCATTCTTGTGTCGCAAAAAGGCCTGGTGGAAGTCCAGATGGTCTATATATTTGGTTGATCTTATTTACATAATAGTGTACATTTACTCGTTCTTCCCGTGCTCTTGACCCAATGCCTCAGTGTGCACTGTGTACCTAAGGCTTTCGGCCATGGCGATCGCACCCTCCATGTTACCCTTATTGTACAAGAACAGGCCTTGGAGGGCAGCGGCGCTCGTGTTCATAGAGCGATCGGCTTTGTGACCAGATTCGTCCTCGATCAAGCCCAGCTCCTGAAGGCGATCCAAGAACAGGTTGCGATGAACCCCGTTGGTATCAATCTCCGCATAGAATCGATCCCATAGGCAGCTGACCTGATAGCGGGTCACTTCTCCTAAACGGACAGTCATGTCAACACGTCCGGGACGGACCAACGCCTCATCAAGTCGCTCAACGTGATTGGTGGTAAGGAAAATGATGCGTTCCTCTGCACTAGCAACACCATCTAGGGCATTGAGCAATCCCGAGAACGTCACATTGGCCCCACGGTAGCCATCTGCATCGCTTTGTTCACGTCGGTTTGAGAATGCGGCATCCACATCCTCCAACAGAACAAGAGTTCGATTGGGAACAATTGTGAGTAGGTGATTCAACCGATCATCGGTCAAGCCTCGCTCACTCAAGTTGAGAATGGCGATATCGTAATCCAACTCACCCGCTAATGCCTGGATAAACGAACTTTTGCCAGTACCCGGAGGACCATACAGAAGATATCCTCGGCGATAGGGAATTCCACGATCATGATACCATGATGAACTCGAAATGAAGTCTTGTACATCTGCCACTACACGTTCCTTGACTCCCTCATGGAGAACAACTGATTCTAACGGACGCTTCCGGCGCGGATTTCCAAATGGCCGCCACTCAGTTCCCCAGCTATTATAGATCGTCGTCTTTCCTTCGTGTCCCTTTGCGGCATATGCATGGGCTTCGGTGAAGAGATCCTCGAAGATATGGCGTTGAGAGTAGAGGGTGGTGAGGGTGATAGTCTCCCATGGCTTTCCAGTTTGAATATCGCGGGACTTCGACTCGCGCATGCGATTGACAAACACAAACGCATTTTTGTACCGCAAAACGTGTTTTCCAGGTCCTGGAACCAGGGAGAAGTGTGTGTGAATTGCTCCGTTCGAATGTTCGACCTTTTGCGTTTGAATAGAAAGATGGCGCATGCCAGGTGTGAGTTTTTGGAGGAACCGGTCCATATAGCCCGAGGAATTGGCTGCAGCTTTGCCTGCGTTGAGTTGGGATTGTTGGTAAAGTGTCATCCAGTGTAAGAACCACGGATAGGAGTCATCTTTGATGCTGATCTCGACATCTACCAGCATCCGTCGCCGCAGAAGAGCCGCCCCATGTCGAACACCTTTCTGTGCGAAGGTCAACCCTGCTCCTAAGCCTGCAAGGCCAAAACCCTAATGTGAACTCAAGATCAGTACTTTGTTCCGGACTAAACCGCTGATTGCGGGTTTCTTACCGCTGTGAACAAGGGATTGCTCGTTAATTGCGAGAAGAGACTTCCGTCGCCTTTTTGCGCCGACTGTAGGGCCTCGGTCCTCTGCTGGAGAATCAAGTCACCTGCAGACGGCGCAGCAATAGGAACCCCATTTGGCTCCATGCCAACCAAATCGATAGTGCTCTGAAGATCGCGAATGTTCAGCGGAAGATCGATAAGCAGGGCAGATATCGGAGTTACGACGGGCCGACGGTTTGACGTATCCACGGTTGTCCGACGGATTGTATGGGAGCACAAACTGCATCGTACAATGCTCAGATACGAAGCAATAAGTTTGACAATTGACCTCGAGGGTACTCAAGCACCCGCCCGGAATCCATGGAGCTCATAATCCAGTTGCCTGGGGCGGTGTTCACATTGGGCCGTCGGCACAACACAACCCGTTTCGGAGATATCGGGGTTAACACAACTTGCTTCCACTCGCATCCCTTTCCCATACGCCTGCATGAGCGTGCTTGGTGGAGGGAATTAATTCTCCTAAAAGGCTCGGCCTCCCATGCGCTCTCTTTTTCGCAGTTCCCCGCTCGCTCGGTGGACTGTATACCAGCGCGCTTTACAACCAACAATTCGCAACATGAGCACTCCACCTACTACTGAAGTGCTATATGCGCTGACCGTGGCGCGCTCGCCGGCTAGGCCTAGCCCAGAGGATGTACTGTTGAAAAGCCATCATACAGCAACAGGATTCAGAAATCCGTGGGAGTAAGTATATCTGTGTGACTGGTCGGGTTCTCTCTCTTTCGCCGCATTGACTAACAAGCATTTCTGTCTGGTAGATCTTTTCGCGATATGGATTTTAAAGACATCATGCAAATGTTGATGTAAGTTCACATGCCTCGCGCTCAAAGCAATTTAATGTCTAACGCACCCAATTCCAGCTCTCGTCGATTGACCGGCAAAGCGAATGCGCCCGACACAACTCCACCAACAGTCACCGTTCGCAAACCCGAATTCCTTCCCGACCGAGACACCCCAAAGCTCCGGGCGACATGGCTCGGACATGCGTGCTACTATGTCGAGTTTCCAAGCGGTCTCCGAGTCCTATTTGATCCAGTCTTTGAAGCGCGATGTGGACCATGCTGCGGGCCATACGCTCTTGGACCAAAGCGCTATACTGAACCTGCATGCCAAGTCAAGGATATTCCTGTTATCGACGCGGTGGTTATCTCTCACAATCATTATGATCATCTATCCTACCCAACAATCTCGGAGATCGCGAAACGGCATCCCAATTGTCATTTCTTCGCCCCACTCGGCAACAAGTCTTGGTTCCACAGCTCAGGCATCCAAAATGTGACTGAGTTGGACTGGTGGGATGAACGTGATATTGCAATGTCACCCAAAGAAGAACAAAGCCTGCAGGTCGAATCGGTTGGGCAAGCTTCTGCCATGGCAGATATCAAAGCGCGCATCAGTTGTTTGCCCTGTCAGCATGTCACTGCCCGCAGTCCTTTCGACAAATACAAAACACTATGGGCGTCCTGGTCCATTGAGTCTGGTGGTAGCAAGGTTTATTTTGCTGGGTATGACAAGTCCCCACACAACCCCATGCCATTCCAATATTCTTTGCTAACCTTTTAATCTAGTGATTCGGGGTACAGAGCAGTGGAGGAGCTACCCGAAGGAGAGGATGATTGGGATCCCAAATACGATTTCCCCATTTGTCCTGCTTTCAAACAGGTAGGTGAGTTCAGAGGACCATTCGATCTTGGTTTGATCCCCATTGGAGCGTATGCTCCGCGTCATATTTTCAGCGCAGCCCATTCAGATCCCCGTGATGCTGTTCATATCTTCCAAGATACCAAGTGCAAGAAGGCCTTGGGTATGCATTGGGGGACTTGGGTTCTTACCGAGGAGGATGTACTTGAACCTCCCAAGAAGCTCAAGGATGCATTGAAGAAGCATGATCTTCCTGAGACTGGTGTCTTTGATGTGTGTGATATTGGAGAGAGCCGCGAGTTTTGAATTAGTCTCTCCTCTCTGTGTACAATTACTCATCTTGTAGCGTGCATTCGCTGGTGCTCAAATCTTTTTTTGATATCTCTACAGTCCCATCCCGTTAATTTGTGCCCGAACTTTTGTAAACTCTGTGTGTACTTCTCACTATCAATAACCCTCAGTGTTGTCAGATTGCCCTGCCAAAAAAAACACTCTCCACGTGTTGTAGCTTAATTAGGAAGACATATGTCTTCGATATAAACAGGAGACAGAAACCCATTTTACTCTTTCGCACAGCGATATGCAGTATATGGCAACTGTGGTACATCACGTATGGTAAGAAACTTACTGGCACAGGCGAAGTTCGGTAATGCTTCCAAGTCTCTCAAAGACAAATAGTACACTACTAGGTACTCCTTGGGAGATTCATGAGCTTGTGTATGAAAGAGAACGCTCAACTTAGGTGTTTAACGTTACATCCCCACGCATTTGCCCACCAAGCCTATTCATTATATAGTCCTGAATGGCGAGGGCATTTTTCCTGGAACTTAATTGAAGTTGATACTTTATGATTACATCAATTGGAAAGCCATTGAGATTGCTACAGTGTACGTTCGATCACCTGGCTCCTAGGGCACTATGGCCTCTTCTCCTTCATGAATTCATGTATCTGTTTACACATTTAGGCTCTCTACAGAATGACGTCTCTTATGGCTCCAATGCTTCCTTTGTCATCGCGGATTTGATTTGGAAGAAAGTCGGCGCTATCAGTGTCTCTTTTTCAGTTCACCTGATAGTATTTGGGAAGAAGAGCCATATATCGGATCAAATAAGTTGGTCCATTCCCTGGAAAATTCAATTATAAGCCAATTGATCCATGTGATTTCGATTCTGTCCTTGAGACACCTAATCTAGACCTAGAAATGTCACATCTTTGTTCGATTCATGTTCATCTATAGGTGTTTCTAAACCCCTTAACATGGTATCCACATGTATTCTGTTCATTGTAGACTACCTAATCTCTTCGAGAAAAATTTCCAAAAGAAAATTATTTTCCAAATTCTCACTTTCAGAAGCCATATTTATAAATAATGAAACAACCTTCATTCTGTGTCAAGATGAAGTAGAGTTGCTTCGACGTAGTTAAGTTGGAGATGTTTGCCTGGTTTGTCAGGGGTACACGCTAGCCTCATATAGGCTAGCGCGAGGGAGCTCCCACTTCGCCTGGAAATTTGATGGAATGCGGGCGAACAGCGTTGAAGTCGGAACTCCTGGATTATCATCTTCGTGCAATATTTTCTAATATTCGCAAGTGATACGGACCCTTTTATATCTACCTCCCGCTCAACATACAATAAAAAACCGCCAATATGCAGGCTCCGGTGGTGGTAATGAGTACGTTACCCCCCATCGAGTTGCTCCCCTTTAAGTGCTAACGAGTCATCTAGACACCAATTCCGGCGAGCGCCAGGTTGGCCGGAGAGCACAGATGTCTAACATCACCGCCGCAAAGACGTACGCTATTATTCGATCCTCCGCTGTACTCCCCGCTGCCCGATGCTAATTCAATAAACACCAGTGTTGCGGATATCATTCGATCATGTCTCGGACCGAAGGCCATGTTGAAGATGCTGCTTGATCCTATGGGTGGTATTGTGCTGACCAACGATGGCCACGCTATTCTGCGAGAGATCGAGGTGTCACACCCCGCGGCCAAGAGCATGATCGAGCTCAGCCGTACTCAGGATGAGGAAGTCGGAGATGGTACCACAACGGTTATTATCCTAGGTATGATAGGATTCATCTCGCCAGATTCGATGGTCAATGACTGATATTCGATAGCCGGTGAAATGCTCGCCCAGGCCATCCCCCAGCTCGAACGCAACATCCACCCCGTCGTCATTATCCAGGCTTTCAAGCGTGCCCTCGCCGATGCCCTTCAGATCGTGGAGGACGTCTCAACACCCGTCGATATCACCGACGACAAGGCCATGTACAGCCTCATCCAGTCCTCAATCGGAACCAAGTTCGTGTCCCGGTGGTCAGAGCTCATGTGTAGCTTGGCTCTGCGCGCTGTTCGGACCGTCTCTTTCGATGTTGGTGGTGGAAAGCAGGAAGTCGACATCAAGCGTTACGCCCGTATTGAGAAGGTCCCCGGTGGTCAAATCGAGGATTCCGAGGTTATTGATGGTGTGATGGTCAACAAGGATATCACCCACCCCAAGATGCGTCGCAGAATCGAGAACCCCCGCATTCTTCTTTTGGATTGTCCCCTGGAGTACAAGAAGGGAGAGTCCCAAACCAACATTGAGATCTCCAAGGAGGATGACTGGAACCGCATTCTCCAGATTGAGGAGGAGCAGGTTAAGCACATGTGCGAGGCCGTCGTGGCTTTCAAGCCCGACGTTGTTATCACCGAGAAGGGTGTCTCTGGTAAGCAATCGGTTTTGCTGGGGCGATACGCCGCGTGTCCTAACCATTATATCTTTTTCTAGATCTTGCACAGCACTTCTTGATGAAGGCCAACATCACAGCTCTCCGCCGTGTCCGAAAGACTGATAACAACCGTATCGCCCGTGCAAGTGGTGCCACCATCGTGAACCGTGTCGATGATATTCAGGAATCCGATATTGGTACCGGATGTGGACTGTTCGAGATTGAGAAGATTGGCGATGAGTACTTCACATTCATGCGCAAGTGCAAGTCCCCGAAGGCCTGCACAATCTTGCTGCGTGGCCCCTCCAAGGATATTCTCAACGAGGTCGAGCGCAACCTGCAGGATGCCATGTCCGTTGCTCGCAACGTTATTTTCCACCCCCGTCTGTCTCCCGGTGGTGGTGCCGTTGAGATGGCTGTCTCTGTGAAGCTCAGCCAGCTTGCCCGCTCCGTCGAGGGTGTCCAGCAATGGCCCTACAAGGCTATTGCCGACGCTATGGAGGTCATTCCCCGTACATTGGCCCAGAACGCCGGTGCCAGCCCCATCCGTGTTCTCACCCGTCTCCGCGCCAAGCACGTCGAGGGACACAACACCTGGGGTCTGGACGGCGAGTCCGGCAACCTGGTTGATATGAAGGAGTACGGTGTTTGGGAGCCCGAAGCTGTCAAGCTGCAGAGCATCAAGACCGCTGTGGAGGTACGAATCCTATTGTTTTTGCATACTCACTACATGAAACTAACATATAAATCTCTAGTCCGCATGCTTGCTTCTCCGCGTCGACGACATTTGCAGCGGAAAGTCCGCCCAACAGCTCGGCGGTGGCGGCGGTGGCGGCGAGGAATGATTGATAGACGAAAAAGAAAAATGATCCTTGGACTCGAGGTCCGTACATAATGTTACACGATTTGCCTCTGGGCTGTCTTTCTTCTGTATGAATATCCTAGATTCAAAAAACGAAATCCAGATGGGTATCTTCGTATCGCAAACGACCAGCATTTGAATCCGCACCCCCTAGTCCTCATCGTGGATAATGATACCCGGAACTTCCTGCACAGGCATCTGGCCCTCCGCAGCAACTCCATCATTGTCTGTAGCAGGGACCATTGAGCCTGGGGCAGCCGAGGTCTTTGTAGAAGCTGTGTCCTTTTGATCACCACCGCCCTTCTTGCCTTTAGCATTCTTCTTCTTCTCCCGCCTCCGACGATTCTTTTCCGTCTTCTCATCATCCTTCCGCTTCGCCTCCTCTCTCTCTTTTTCCCAGTTCGCCGTATCCTTTTCTTTATCCACCTCAGACTGCATCAAGCGCAGTCGTTCATACTCCCGTCGCCGGCTGGCCTTGTACACGTGGAATTCTCCCGAGCCAGCACCAGCTGATGAACCCTGCACATTGGTAACGATCTCCGGCGGTGCTGAGAGGGATGCCACTGTGCGCGGTTTCAGGGCATTGGGTAGTTGCAGGTCCTTGCTCGGATCCTTGAAGAGTGTCTCGATCTGGTTTGCCTGCTCGGAGTGCGGGGTCACAGCGCGCCGCTTTGTTGGTCGCTTGCTGCGCGGGTCGGCGCTTGTAGGCACCGATTCGGGGCCTGGCTCGGACATTGTGTAGATGGTGCTTTGGGGTCGGGGGTTATGCGACCGCGTAGGTTTGGGTTTGCGCGAGCAGGAATTGGTATCTTCTGGTTTGAAGTGGTAGTGGCACTTTCTTCTGGGTTGCTGGCAGCTCGCTGCTGTTTATTTGGCGCAGTGTCGGTCGGAGTATGGATTTGTAGCAGTTGAGAAGAGCGAGTCGTAATAGTCTGCGCCAATGTAGATTTACCAACCTGCAACCCGCCATACTACGCTAGCCGGATGGGGTTAGCGGTATCAGCTTGTGGGAGATCGCCCGGGGTTTGTTGGGCCTTTCACTCATTCTACCTACTTATTCTTTTGAATTCTTATACACTAGACAGACGATTCCTCCAATGGATAATTCACTCTGTGTTCCCTATTGCAGCCACAATATTCAGTCACCATAGCCAGCTCTGTCAGAGACTCTACTATGGGCGCACACTGCCAATTCTCACAACTCCTGCCACATGTCCCTAGCAGTCTATACTTTAACTCGCTGTCTTTGATTTTATTCATTAATCAATTTTCTAGTGCTCTTAGGGCTCACCTTTCTCGTAGATCATGTGCAGAGCCCCGGTTCTTTGTTTCTTTGCGACAATGACTATAGTGACCCTAACAGGTCTAGTAACGCTTCAAAATCAGAACCGTAGCCAATCAACGAACTGCCCTTCCACCATTGACCTCCGTCAATTTGTTCAGAATCTGTACGGGATTGTGTTCAAAAGGCTTGAATGAAACACACACGGCCAATCACTAGCTTGCTTCTCCCTCGAACACCGTTCTGATTGGTTCACAAGTGCGATCTTTCCTCCAAGGGGGATATATCACACGCCCAACCCGTAAATCATCTCTTTGTTCCAACGGCATGGTCAATGAGTTGTGCCATTGAGACCTTTAAACGACAATATTCATTCATTTGAAGTTAACAAAGAACAAAGAATCCTTCCCCATACTCGCACAGAACTCAATTGATTGTGGTTTCCCCCGAAAAGACTCTGCTCCAGGTGTTTCCTTTATATTCCGCGTTGCACCAGTTTACTTTCTTCGTTCATAATCTTCGCATCTTGCTTTTATTGCCCATCCTTTCTCTGCCTTTGCAGCGATCGCGTTGAACAATTCCATTTTTCGGTTGCTTTCTTCACTGCGTGCCCGCATCCTTGTGTGCTGGTACTAGCTCAATCGTCATCGTTTATCTCGCAGATACATCTTTCTTTGTTCTCACTTCTGGCTTTGATCAAAATGCCTTATCGTTTTGGTAAGCCTACTTGCTTTCATATTTCCGTTTCTTTTTACTGGCTTTGCGCGCAACTAACTCCATGATCAGAAATTGCTTCCCAAGGCCGGGCTGCCTGCAAGGGCCCCGAATGTTCTCGTGAGCGTATCAAGATCACCAAGGGTGAGCTTCGTGTCGGCACCTGGATTGAGGGTCAATCCTTCCAGAGCTGGTCCTGGCGCCACTGGTAAGTATACATGCTTGTCTTTGCCTGGTTTTCATGCTTGAATGGATTGACTGACCTTTTTCAGGGGCTGCTTCACGCCCAAGATGATCGAAAATGTCCGGAAGAGTCTTTCTGATGATCAGGATCTCTCTGATCTCTCCGAACTTGATGGCTTCGAGGACCTGAGCGAGGAGCTCCAGGCCAAGATTCAGAAGGCCCTCGATATGGGTCACATCGACGATGAGGAGTGGAAGGGTGTAAGTTCATCCTTTCTTTTGGAGAATCCTTTTTCAACGACCATGGTGGAGATTTACTGACAGCAATCAGGATGTTGACTTCAACCGCCCTGGAAAGACTGGCATGCGTGCTAAGACTCGCAAGACCAAGGCTGAGAAGGAGGTACGTTTTGTTCTCTATTTCGGTGTCAATTGGAACACGAATTTGACTTGCCATCCAGGATGTTGAGGAGTCTTCTGCTGGCATCAAGCGTAATCGCTCTGATTCCGAGACTGAGGAGCAGCCCAAGAAGAAGCGCACCCGTGCTAATAAGGCCACTGACGATGATTCTGCCATTGCTGAAGCTGCTGTTGCCGATCCTGACCCCAAGGAGGCTAAGAAGCGTGGTCGCCCTGCCAAGAAGGAGCCTGAGAATGCCCCTGCTGCTACTGATGCCGAACCAAAGAAAGAGCAGAAGAAGCGTGGCCGTCCCGTCAAGAAGGAGCCTGAGACCGAAGCTGCTGATGTTAAAGCTGTGGCCAATGATGAGCCCAAGAAGAGATCTACTCGCAGCACGAAGGAGCCTGAGAACGACGCTGCTGACATTGATGTTACGGCCAAGGGTGAGCCCAAGAAGAGATCTACTCGCGAGAAGAAGTCTACCCAGGATCAAACCACCGCTGCCGACACTGATTCCAAGAAGAAGCCCAAGAGCGATGCTGCCGGCGTTGATGCTGCGGCCAAGGATGAGCCCAAGAAGAGATCTACTCGCAGCAAGAAGGCTACCCAAGACGAAACCACCGCTGCCAACATTGAGTCCAAGAACGAGCCTAAGACCGACGCTGCTGATGCTAAAGCTGTGGCCAAAGATGAGCCCAAAAAGAGATCTACTCGCAGCAAGAAGGCTACCCAGAACGAAACCACCGCTGCCGACACTGATTCCAAGAAGAAGCCCAAGAGCGATGCTGCCAGCGTTGATACTGCGGCCAAGGACGAGCCCAAGAAGAGATCAACCCGTGGCAACAATACTACCCAGAAAGGAATCAGTGCTGCCGATATTGAGCCCAAGAAGGACACCAAGCCTACTCCCCGTGCCAAGAAGGCCACTGTCGCCGAGGCTGCTGTTGCTGACAACGAAACCACCAAGCATGAGTCTGCTGATGTTGATCCTGTTAACAAGGAAAAGGCCCCCAAGAAAAAGCGTTCTGCCACTGCCAGCAAGACCGACAACAAGTCTGCTACCAAGGAAGCTTCGCCTGCTGAGGACAACAATGCCAACCAGGAGCCCAAGAAGCGTGTCACTCCCACCAAGAAGGCTGAGGACAAGAATGCCTCTTCTGCTGGAAGCGAGAACTCTCCTGACAATGAGGCCATCACCACCGAGAGTGAGCCAAACAAGCGTGCCGCTGGTTCTAAGAATGCTGCCGACAAGAACGCTTCCCCTGCCGAGACCGAGGTTTCTTCCGCCGACACTCGCGGCGGCAAGCCTGCCACCAAGGCTGCCGAGGAGGCCGCCAAGGAGACTGCAGAGAAGGAGGTGAAGACCGAGGACGGAGCCGACGATGATTTCTAGGCTCGAGGTAGTGACCATTCGAGGGAGTCCCCGCCTTATGTGGGGACTCTGATGCCCATTCCTATTCTGAAGATCAGAAACAAAGTTATTTTTATTGCTTTTGCGTTTCGAGTAGCCCTTCTCATTGTAGAAACTGTGCTAGAGCTTGTATCCATGCTAGACTCAATCATAGATCCTGGGTGCGAAGCTCTATTTCGCAGTTGTGTTTACCAACCTTTTGTTCTTCGAGTGTGAGATCCCGATTCCCTATATCAAGACCTGGCTCATGTAGGTCCAAGCCGCATTAAAATGGATATTTCTGATATTCTCAGTTTGATCAGCCTTAGACAAGATATTCAATTGAAGAAGATGTCAAATGAAATTTCCTTATTGTAGATGTCGTGATGGTAGGGATTTTGTTCCATATGGGTTTTATACAAATGCGCAATCGAAACTTGGAAGCACTTTCGGGATGACAATGAGGAGTGTTTGTTTTGAGATTCTTATGGAGAATATGCTCTTAATATGGGCAGTCGCATACAAAGTGTTTGCCATACATGATTGAGTGCCTTAGGTTTATACTATCTGGGATTTTTGTATAGCCTCGTGCCTAACCGGATGGTCTATGTATGAACATTTACAAAGCTAGCCCTACAACTAGTAATAGATTAAAGCAATTTGGTGCACAATATGTCCTTGATATTAATTACCATGGCCATCGTGTTCAATCTCCACCCAAAGACAGGCGGAAAGGCAGACGACCCGAAGTAAATCTCCCCCACTGTGCAATGTAAAGACCCCAACCATCCGAAATGAGCAAAAGAAAAAATGAAAATGAAACCTCACACCAGTACCTGATGAGGTGAGGGTGAGGGAATTGTGATAGGCACCTCATGCTTGTGCCTATCAGACCTCATTCTCATCGTCCTCACTGGACGCCAATCCCCCGGCTAGTGAGAATTGCACTCACGTTGCCATATACCTCCGGGTTCTGGCAGTGGGCGAGGAACCGAAGGTGCAACACAACCTCTTGCAGGTTCGGATTGGCGCGCATCAACGCCCAGAACTGCCCGCTCGCGCTGTATGTGAAGAGGTCCATGGCCTCGGCGAGGAGATGCATCATCCAGGCCTGCAGGTAGTCACAGGCCTCCATGGAGAACTCGGTGCAGCCTTCGAAGGCAAGGGCAGCAACTTCCAGAAGCGGTTTGCACTGGAACAGGTACGGGTAGCAATTCCAGGAGACCTGGAGCTTGAAGGTTGTCCGGTAAACCATGTGGTCAAGTCCGAAGCGGCGGGCTTGGAGGTAGATGCGGCCGAGGATTTGGATCGTATCCTCCAGGTCTTCGTTGGTGGCGACGGCATGCAACTTGAAGTTCTGACCGATGTCCATTTGGTCACCGATCACGCGCATCATGACATTGTTGTTCATGTCATGCGTGGGGAAAGTGGTGGGGTATTCGAACTCGGGGGTGTCGAGTTCGATGACACGAGGGAGAAATTCGCCATCCTTCATATAGGAGCGAATGTGCACGTATTCCGGCTGGGTATCGCAGACAATGGCGCCCCGGAATACATCGATGAGTTGATCTTTCTGGCTTTCGCCAAGCACAATGTGCTGCAAGGCCTGACGGATGCTCATGTCGAAGATCGAGGGTGGGGAGCTCACTTCCTGCTCCTCAGGATTGGTAACAGCAGGGCTGCGAACATAGGATATACGAGTCAGTGCACGATCAAATGAAGCTGGAAGTAGTACTGGACATACCCTGTAGCCGTCTCAGTTTTGAAAGGGGGAGCCATGGTGGACGAGGTCGAAGAGGCGTGCAGATTCTGATCCATTGTGGGGAATAGGTTGATGGAAGAAGAAGAATTTGGATGGCGAGAGTGAGAAGGAGTCAGAATCTGAAATGGAGGTAGCTTGGGAATAACACGGGGATTGGATTCGGTGTGGGGAGGGAATAAAACAGTCTCAGCAACGCAAGTAGGGTTGCGATCACTCTGAGTAGTTCGCGATCGCCGTGGCGACCTCACATGGGTACGTGAATTAGAGAAGGACTGCACTGTAGCCTGCACTTTGGATGGACCAGGCTGAACATCAGGTTCAGGTTTCGGGTGCTCCGATGTGAACCTCTGCTCCTCTTCTTCGGCATTCTCTTTTTCATCTTCTGTTCCAGAATCGGATTCACCATCCGATTCTCCACATGAAACGAGGTCTTCATGGCCAGTTGGCAAGATGATGCGAAGTTCCTTTCCTCGCTTGCCCTTAACGCCGAGTTCCTGGAGAGCCATATTCTTCCAGAACTCCAGACCAGGTTCTGTGCGGATAATCTCCCTGAGATCATTCCAGACTTTGGCCTCTTCTTGCCTCTCCGCGCGCTGGAGAACATTGGGGGTCTTTTCATCGAGAACAAAGATGTCCTGTAGACCGATCCATCGACTTGTAGCTTGTTAGCTTTCAATCTTCAATAAAGCAATCAACATATATCGAGACCATCTGGTTATTATATATATCGAAAACCATGCATGCAGAGTACCAGGCCAAAAGAAAGACTAGCAAGCATAAACAAAGACCCAAAGACCAGGCATATAGATCCACATGTTCACTTATATATCTCAAAAGACACAATATCTCAAAAGACACACCTTCAGAGGTCTTTTCTGAGCATGAAAAAAGATACCATACTTACTACATGTTTCGAGCCGGTAGGTACACAGAGTATACTCGGTCCTTCATGTGCGTTAACCATTCACCTTCAACCGGTTGTGCCCCAACCGGCCGACGATTGACATGTCGACTCGGGCTGAAAGTAGTTGGGAGGACCACGCAAATCCAGACATCACATTTGTAGCCTCGCAGTGAATTCTTGAACCGGATGATGAACGTTTCTCCAGGTTCCAGCAGGCGCGGCTTGTGCAAATGCCTCAAGCCAGTGGTAAGGAATGTCTTGGGCCCCATCTTGTTAGAGCACCGGTAGGATGGATATGGGAGAAAGGATTTGCAGCTTTAAAAAAAGACTTGTTGTTGTCGCTCTTTGAAAACCGGATAAGATCCTCGGTGTCAGCCAACATAAACGTCACTCCACAGTGCCATTTTCGCAGTAAAATAGGATATAACCTACCTTTGGCCAGTCTTGTCTGTCTGTGAAGCATGACCAAGGTGATAAGAGGCCTGACAAGTCAGATAGTAGGCTTGAAAACAAGGGCGTAGTGACGAATAAGCCAGGAAGCTCGGGGTTGCAATTGCGTAAGCCTTGGGCAATTGTTGTTGGATTTTCATGCAAGAATAGAGCAGAGTATCTTGAGCAAGAGACTGGATTCGAGGAACTGGGGATATGCAAAAGATAAATAAAGCTTTTCAGCAACGTTGGGAGATCAAGTGGCAGGTTTCCGAAAGACAAGGTATAGTTCGGGCGATGTAGCGCGGCCGAATCAGCGCGCAACTCAGCCGGGTCCGAAGTCGATTGATGCGAATAAGAGAGAGTTCAAGTAAAGATTGAATGAGAATCGATTGACTTGAATATGATCAGATTTATCCGTGTCCGCGACGATGTGAAGTTCGCGACGGCGATGGGAATATTCGATTGGGTGACTTCTGTGGCCTTCTGATCAACGTGTTTCCGAGTTTTTGTTGGCGACAAGAGAACAAGTGAGTGGAAACGTATCTACTTCACTATTCAGGTATGTATGCATGACAACAGTGAAAGTATTACAGCATTGCGATGAAAAATGTTCATTTTCAACGGTAAGATGTGTTATATTAGGTACATGTACTATTGGAAGGTAGATTCGTATGCACCTGCTCAATACTCAGTTGATGTTAATTATATAGCGAGGCTTGGAGAGGACATCATCTTCTACTATGATGACCAGATATCGCCGGATATCTGAAGGATCTGCGGTACCTACATGTAGTCAATATGTTCAACAAAATGACATGTCGGTTGTTGAATATCGTGCAGGGAGCAAGGGCATAGCAATAATCACCCCTCCGGGGATTCGTGACAAGGCCAGCGAATATTCCAAGGTATTATGATAATCTAGCAAAATTGGGGCCCGCATCGAGTATTACTACGGAATTGAGCTGCGAACGGCTTTCCGGCTAGGTAGTTTGAGGGGGCCAAGTTTTTTTCTTCATTTCTGTTTATCATCACCATCGGGGCATCTGCTCGAAAATTGGGCTTTGCAAATAATGAAACATCGCCGGCTTAAATGGCAAAGAGACGAAACCTGATCAGCGTGGCAAGATGATCGAAGCAGTAAACCAAGTACAGCTCGGATCATGAAAGACCGCGTCTGCAAAAGCCTGGCTCTGTCAAAAGAGTGTGGAGTGGTCCAACGCAAGACACCGGACGCAATAAATTCCATTAAAAATGAATATAGTCGGTTCTGTAAACCAAAATGACGGCCAACCTCGAGAGAAGCGAAGGTCAAGCTCCTGTCAAAGCAAAGAAGGGGGGCAGTGCAATTTCGTTGTTAATGTGCCATTCTGGTTGTTGGAAAATCCATGCCTCCTTTCTTCAATTTCAAAATTCCAGTTGCTCGATCAAATAAATAGCAAATGTTACAACCCTTTAGAAAAATCTCGAGGGTCGCCTGGTGCTAGTAGACACGAATGTAAGCACTTAAGGCTCGAGTTCGAAGGAATAGTCAGCAGTAAAAGAGGGACATGAAGGAATCGAAGGCGAGGAGAAAGGAGAATTGGGATCGTACCGCAGCTCCGCGATGTCGTCCATGTGGTTGCACATTGCAACAAACAGATCGAAGAACAACTTGCCTCCTTCTTCCATCTCCATCTGCAAAGTACCGCTGCTCTTAAAGGTCTTGCGACTGCGGATAATAAGAGCCAGGTAATGAGCCCGCAGTCGAGAATCAGACTCAGGGGTGTTGTCATATGCATATCGAGCAGAGCGCAAGATCACGTCGACTGGAATGCCACTCTGGAGACCCTGCTTTCGCAGGGCAAGACGCTTGAGTTCTTCCAAGCCGTACTTGTCAGCAGCACAGTACACCGCCGTGTCTCGGAGCACGAGATCTCCCACTCCGGAGTGGAACATTGTCGCCTCGCTCGACCCACGGCCACCGGTTTGATTGATATCCTGGGCATTCTCGAGCGACCGGGAATTTCTACCCTTGCCATGCAACAAGCGAGGGAAGTAATCGCCCTTGTACAGAAACTCAAGAATGCACGATAGAATCTCGGGTTGTCTATTTCAGCGATAAGCCTTGAGTTCATCAAGTAAGGAAGAGTTAGATCTCACTCGTCAGTCAAGGTTAGTTGCTTTGTACCGTCTTCCTGGAACTGATCCTTTAGAGCAGTGCTGAAGAACGGCGACGCAGACAGGACGTCTTCGTGGGCGGCAAAGAGACGTTGATCGCGGCCAACAATCATCGTGATGATAGGGCTGGTCAGAGGACTATAGACAAATATTATCAGCACTTGGGATCGATGTCGTAAAGTTGATAGAAGATATAGCTTCAATTTCCTAAATTACACACCTTCCCATTGAGGGACTTTCTGCTTTCTGCTTCATCTTCTCCTTTACCAGCTCGTCGTATTGCTTCTTGACAACCTTGACGGTTTTCCCCGCCCGGTCCTTGGATACGAAGGAGCGCTTGAACATAACGGCACAATTGAGCCCTATTGCCAAGATATGACCATGGAGGACTCCGAAAAGCGATGGGATAAACTTGTAGTTATCAGAAGGAATGATACGAGTTGGTCGAAAGATTGACTGATTGACGCTGCGGATCATGCACACGAAGCATGTAAGTCTTGGAAGCTCCCCACAGAACTAGTTCCCTCGGGTCTTAATCAAAAGACGAGGAATACGCGGTTCTGGGATGACTTTGCATTCGAGAATCTGGAATGACTCTCTTAGCGAACAGTTATCGACTCCGGCAGGCGTGGAAGGAAAGAAAAAAAAGAACAGACATTGGAAAGAGGGGATTTAAATACGGGGGTCAGGTGATACCAAATGTGACTGAATACAAAGCCACCTGCTCAGTGAGGCTCAGAGAGAATGCTGGGTGGCTGATCCTCCTGCACAGCTGCGCAGCTGCATATGATGGCGCTAAATTCTCACGTCAGATTGGTCGCCAGGGATGTGCTTGCGGAGGTTTCTGAGGACAGTTTAAAACCTCTTAGGAATTCTCTATATATTTTATATCTTCTTCTTTCTTTTTCTTTTCAATGCTTAGCCCTGTTGGGTTCACTCCTTCGGCTAGAGAGTGGAAAGAAATATCAAACATAATGTCGAGTATGAATTTTGGAGATGCGGATGGGAGGCTACATACATCACCATGTTTGTTATACTTCATTCTTTCGTGTAGTCCAACTCTAGCAGGTACCCTTTATCCGTGATATCAAACCTTCCAAGCTTCACATTGTATGCCAAAGCGTGTTTTTATTTCAGTTTCTAGGGTGATTCATTCTTAGGGCAAATCTTGCATCATTTTGGTGGGCCAAACAATCATTATATGCGCTAGATAAGAAGCTCCAATAAGATCTTAAAGGTGTTGGGACTATCTCTTATGGCCCTGATATGGTATATCTATGCTTTACTTATTAATTTGACAGGCTATTATGGCTGGGGAGGTCAACTTCCATAAAACATATTTAGTAGCATTGATACTATCGATCATGTTGAATGACCAACTATCTGATAGACAAGCTAGATCACAAGCCTCTGATTATTTCTCTCGCCTGCAAGAGAGATTACCCGAGGTCGCTTTCTCCATATCAAACGTGATCAATCAAGCTCACGTAAATCCATCATCGGTTTGGAGCATCCGGTTTCTAGACTCACAGCAGAGAGATACAACCAGCAGCACCCATAGTAATTCCAAAGCTTTGGAAGTGTCCAGCAGTAACACTGTACATACCATTGCCCGCAGAGCAAGATCTGTCTCGCTGGCCCTCACACCTGACACAGGTGGCTCGCAAACCAGAGCTATAGTACTCCTGTCCAGTCACGTTTGGTAAGCAACCAAATATTTTCGAGGTAGTGTATCAAAGGGCTTAGTTGAAATAACTCACGGTTCCATAGTGCTCAAAATTGTAAAGCGCGCTCACATACATGTTCTGTGAATACGGTTAGCACATGAAATATACCATGCAGTTCAACCAATGGCTTACTGGGACACCGTCAGCGATGTTGTTTCCGCGGTTTAGAGTACCACTCTGCGAGCCAGCAAAGCTCGCCCAGGCAGCATTGCCAATGGGGAAGGCAGCTAGAGCATTGCTAGTGAGTTCCTTGTCCGGGAAGTTCTGCGCTAGGGCAACGTGAGAAATGTATGTCAAGGACCCGCCGAGGGAGTGGCCGGTTGCCTCCAGAGTGTAGTCTGGGTACTTCGCAATGAGGGATTTGACCTCGGCAATGACTTCATTGTGAACGGCAGACCAAGGCCTGTTAATACCCCTCATTATCTTCACTCCAGAAGGGAAGGTCACGCCCGAAAGTGAGGGTGTGACAAGAGCAGTGTCGATGTCATTTAAGATATCAGTCACTGGGTCGATTAGTATAATGTAATCATAGAAACAGATATGAGATCGTACTGGAAGTTGATCCTCTCATGACGACCGAGATCTTTTTCTTGTCCTTGGAGTATCCGATGTATCCCTAAGAAGATCAGTCATTTGCTAGGTCATAGATGGGACATTATGCCTACATTGGTGTCGGTCAGCATGTCATAGATAGTCTTGGTGATAGTAACATCGAAGGCCTTCCCAATGCAACCACTATAGGCAGCGGAAGAAAGTTGTGCGGCACGGCGCAGATCAGGGAAAGCGGAGGGCGCTTGAAAGTATGTTAGAATCCGGCGAAAAAAATATATCTCGACGAAGTTGACATACCCGAAGTTGCCCTCGACTCCAAAATGGGAGTTGAAACGGCCTGAGAAATCAGGGCGACTCCTACCAACAAAGATTGGTAATTGAACAACATCTTGCAATTGGAAAGATAAGTTGAGAATAAGAGAAGGCTTTTTGTATGCTCAGAAGGTCTGAGTGGATCTTATTTTTGGAGATTCTGGATGAAAAGAAGAAAACAGTCGCGGATCATGTTGCTGTTTAAATATATCGCGAATCCCCCAATTTCTTCCTTTCCACATTGTCATTGTATTCGAGTACCGCATGCCGAGGAAGATGCTAATGCCCGCCAAGCTAGTTGTTTCGGAGGTGATGTTTCAAACGGGCAATCGAGAGTCTCAAGCCAAGACATCGTGATGCACGCTAGATGTGCCAATAACTCTTTGGGGAAATATCCGTCCGGATATTTTTCAGGGTCTCCTTGGTCTGATGATTCTAGTGTCGTGAAAGACAAGAGCTGTGTCATCTGGAGTTTCAAAACTTATAGGATCTTCTAAATCCACGACAAGAGTATGCCAAATTCGAGGGTCTCATTTCATCTCTTCATACCTCAGCTGGATATCACCATGCTCTATAATTGCACTGGGGACAACCATAATCCCAGGTTGCCAATCCTAAAAAAGCCCGGCGTTGAGGATAGAAAATTTGCGGGGAAATTAGTGTTGTGGCGTTGTATCAACGGATCCATGGATAGCCCTCGGGACCAATCTTCAAGGTTTGAAGCCAATTCCAACAACCTCGGTGTTCTTTGCATTCGGGATATATCAAAGCTTGGACCGTTTTATTCACGGCAGTTGTCGAATATCCCTTTTATTTTACATAATAGACACCTAGCCCATAACGTGTCAAATAGGGCAATCGATCATTGAATTAGAATTCAGGGACACGCCGTACCCGTTTCGAGCAAGTCTTTACTATCTGCTCGTAAAATAAAAGTCTACTGACTAACAGATAGGTAGTATCATCTTCCAAAAATCAAGTTTCTATATGTTCTATGCAACATTTGGCCTTTAAAAATGTGCCGAAGTATGTAATGACGCCTGCCCTACCGCATTTCGTTATTGGCCACCGGAATTATAGACTTTTTGTATAGGCTCCGACTAGTTCCGACTTACATATATGCAGTAACATTTATACAGATTTGTAAAGGATCATGGGCCGCTGTCGATCAGTATGAAGATACATGACTGAAGCCACCGGCACTTCAGCGTTCGGTAGTTGAGAACCGAGGTGCTTGGCTTTGCGGGGTTGTAGGTCTAATTAGATTTTGCAAGATGTGAGATAGATCGATAGAGGTCTGCAGCCGTGGATGCAGAAGACTATTCTAATTCGGGTGATTCTGCCGAACCATCACCTGCAGGCTCTCACGCAACTGTGGTCATATACCGTTCTGCCTACATCTCTGCAGGTGGTTCTTACTGGTGTATGGGATGCCATACTTGCCAGGGCCAAACTGGATGACTTGCTCTCCTTCCTCTATATTCCATTTTCCCATCCGTTTGGTTCATTCAACACTGATTTATTGTCCTTACAGATAGTCTATAGGTTTTCATGGGATCTTGATATCGAGCTCAAGGTTGTTCAAAATAGTCCCAAAATTCAGATCAAGAAAGCCAGTTCCACAGGGAGAGATAATGTATAGCAAGTTCCAAAATTCCAAACCTAATTACCCACTTCAGGCTATATGAAACACATACCTCGGCCCCCGTCGACCAAGAAATATATAGTTAATCATCGGGTTCCAAGGCTAGGTGTCTTCAAATATTGTTTACATACAAGACACAAGGTCTGTGCAGGGCGGGGAAAAGCATTGGCGACCGGGAAAGGCGATCTAGCACCCGGTCGATCCCCTCAGTATTGACACTGAAGACTCTATCTCGGTAAATTTCCAAATCTAGACCCAACCTTCTCGGATAAATCGTTACAATTTCCGCTCAGATCGCCTAATGAGACGGAACAAATCCATTGATTGGATAGATACTAGCTTACTCCGCTCCAAACCAGAGGACAGACACTAAAATTCCAGCCTTGTCTGTGCTTGTTTTAGCCCAAGACAAAGACAAACACACCCCAAGGCAATGTCGGACCAAAAGAAAATGTCTAGTTGAGAACCTTCAAACGGCCGAACTTGGTGGGAATTATTTGGGGCGCGACTCTTTTCAGCTGTCTAGCTCATAAAATAAAGTGATCTCTTCGTCACTCTGTAGTAAAATGAGGTCTCGTGTGATATGCTGTTAGGCTACACTTTGCAAGGAACGAAGACCGCTGTGGTAGCCACCTGGGCAGACTCATGGAACACCGACGGAGCTTACAGGCAGACAGCCAATCACAGCTCGCAAACTAAAAAGGTTGCTGTGTGGGGGCCGTCGATCTAGACCTAATCAGGAAAGGTGGTTTTTAGTGTGACTGCAAACACTTCGGGGACCAGGAGCAACCGAATGACGAGAAGCGAGAGAAAGTCTCACTTCTTTCACGCTCGCCCTATAAGGTATGGGCAGATGAAGACATCGATATAGCTTTGTAGACTATGATTAACACCTGCTTTTTCCGGTATTTTTATTACTCCCAATGTTGACTTGACCACTTATATACTCCCATTCTATCTCCCATTTCATCTCACTATACCGAGACTAGGACTATTATCTTCAGCAAATCGAACTAAGAATGGTATTATTGTAGGTGAGATGAAAAGAGTCACCTGCCTATTTCGGAAGTATTAAAACACAAATTGATGGTCTTCTTGGCAGTTTCATCCCTTGGGAAATCAAGAACGTGAGACCATCACTCAGTGCATCGTATCACGAGCGATGCTGTGCGTAAACCATCGCACGGCGTTATATATACAATGAATTCCGGAACATTTCCGGCAGAGTTGTTCGCCTCTCAGCGGGTATCTCCACGAAATGACATCAAAAAGACGTCAGATACAAGAACTGGAGTTTCGCGTCTTCTGCCACTAGTAAAATCTATGAACTTCAAGATTAATTCGAGTCCTCGGGGCTGTATTTCCAGCGCCGGTGGTTCTCTGCAATCCACCACTGGGAGACATGGGCTGCCTCGCTCAGCCACCTTGCAGCCTCGGAACCGTGGCGTGTCTGCACAGCATCGAAAAGAGATGTGATATCTGTGTCTTCATCCGGTTCAAACTCAAGTGGATCGTTGACAACATTCGTGAATCGCCACGGAGCATCGGAGATGAGCGGCACGACTAGACGGTAAGGCTTCGCGGCGGCTCGCAGGGAGATCCACGTTCCTCCAGGGTTCATTGTGGAGACATGCCATTCTTGCTTTTTGTCTTGCTCGGGAATGAGCGGGCGCAGCAGCGACTGGCCCTGGTACAAGGGGAGCAGGTCCTTGAGGACCTTCATCGAACCTTCGTTGACAGAAGAGGTTTCGATGAGAAGATCAAGGATTGAGGGGAGCATTTGAGTTGAAAGAACGGCGTCGCTTATTTCAACCTGTGGCAGCTTGGGGTGGGCCAGTAGTAGGGGAACGTGGAAACTGGCAACGTGGGGGTCGTGGTTGGCCGTGATACCGCCGTCATTTGGAAGGGAGAGGCCACTGAAAGAAAGTTAGCTGAAAGTCTCCGCAGATTGCAACTGGCTAGGACTTACTGGTCCCCTGCCATAACAAGCAAAGTCTCATCGGCAACTCCGGCTTCGTTGATTATCTCAAGGATGTCGGCTAGCCACGCGTCCTGATAGGCGATAGTGTTTAGGTACCGGTTGATTTTCTCGTTCCACCCGAATGTATTCCCAAGGAAATCCTCATATTCACCAGGTTTGAACCACGGAGTATGGGTATTGTGAGTAAGATGCGCGAGAAATAGGCGAGTGTTAGTGTTCTTGGCAGACTCAAAGGCATCCCGGATATAGTTCTTCAATGTATGATCCGGGTGGCCATATTTCTGCTCCTCTTCTGGCTCTTCTGGGATGTATATAGCACCGCCTTCGTTGATTGTTTCCTTGTTCGTGATATCTTTGAATCCCATGGCAGGATTAAGCTCTGTCTGGTGGTCATAGGTGCCGTAGTGAGACTGCATCCACATAGGGTGCCATGGCCAGGACGTCCAATCATCTGTTTGGTTGGTGATGTTTGGTTGGTGGTTCAATGCTTCGAATATGTGGGGTAAGCAAGGCTGGTAAATATCATGCAAGTACTCGAGGTTGTTTTGGACAGCAATGGGGTTCACGCCGCACATAGTGCCTGTAATACTCTTCATCGTGTAGGTACCAGATGTATAAGCATTTTTGGCGCTGATACTACCATAGGGCTTCGGTCGATCTGTGTCCTCTTTGAACCCGGTCTCAAATCCAGACAACATTTCGGCTGTCCGCGTCAGGTTCGACAGTCTATCCAGAATCTCCTCTGGAATTTGACCGTCATGAGAGTCTTTGACGTGCTTCATTATATAAGAGTCAGAGCGGAAAGGGAACACATCTTGTCGATTGCTCTCTAACTTGATGAGAATAACATGTTTAATCTTCAAATCGCCGCTATGGAGAACATCACGTATGGAGTCCAAAATGTTATTTTGGAGATTTGGGATGTGTAAAGGATCTTTGGCCGGGTTATAGTGCTCATATAGGTGGTCCTTGAGCGCAGTTTGATTTAAGTGGTTCATCTGGAAGGGAGACCAATCGGGCAAGGCTTCAGACGAGCCGTTCGCACGTAACCATTCGAATGTCGGGAATGTGTGCAAAGCGGTGCGGCCTTCTAGCCAGCTGAAGTCACCAGGTAACGAGGACACACTCCCCTGGGCGGACCTAAAAAAGAGTCCAGCGAACGGCGCAAGAGGTAGCGACGTGGCAATATAGCTGTAAACCATATCGCTCGGGCGAATGCAACGGAGGAAGACTAATGTTATAGTGCACACTATAACGACGACCCGCTTCGCGAGCGAGCGACTTTTCTGTTGGGGCGGGGGGTGGAGTGTGTCCAGAAGTTCTACGGAGTCGCTGTCATCACCGACATCAAAGTCATCGATTGCAATTTCCTCGTATGTCTCTGGATCTGGGAGGTCGTGCTTTTTTCGGCGGAAGCAACCAAAGGCCGCAGACAACAATGAACCCCAGAGCTGCAAGAAAGCTGCGGTAGCGCGGGATAAATATGGCGTGGCAAAGTGCGCCGCGACAAAAACGCCTGCGTCAACGAGAATAGCGACAGCCAAGGCGGAGATAACAAGCAGGAAAGAGGGGCTTTTCTTGTGGAAGCCACTTGATTTCCGCCAATGGATTTCCATGCCTATATTCACATAATAAGAGATGTTGGCAGATACCATCGATGAGGCATATAGACTAGGACTGAGTTAGCAATTGGTGCGTTATCCACAAATCCAACGATAACCTACGTCAACAATACCATGGTCACCGCCGCTATGTCTCGAGTAGTTCGCCATCGGTACGATCGCGCCAAACTGCGCGCGAGCAGAATGAGAATGATATCGGCGAAAAAGAAAGTGGGACCCCAGCCGAAAAGGGCTGGAATCGTCAACGATGTGAGATGGACGAGAATATGGAAGACTTTCGACAACCCGAGAGAGATGAAAATGACTGAAAATAGATATGCGCGGTACTTTGTCCAGCCATGATCAATATATAGTTGAGGAGATCTAGCAAAGGCCAGGGCAAAGATAGCTGCTTCCCCAAGCTTCCCCCAAAGCCGCCGGGGAAGATCTCCTTGCCATGAAGATTTCATCATACACAAAGTCCGGAATGTGGGCCGTCAAACCATGTGAGAATGTGCCGAGCTGAGGAAACAGAATTTCCCCGCGACCATGCGAGACGCAATGCAGATATGAAAGAGGAAAACAATAGGGCTGAGTGAGAATAACGCAAAGAACAGGAGAACACGCAATCTAAAAAATCAGTACGCAGGGTCCAAACGGGGACCAGCACACTTGCGGTGGCAGCCTTACTCCACTTCCCACACGTGTGGACACATGTTTTCTCTGGTGTAGGATCAGCATCGTGAGGGCCATTGTCATAGGGCAGACGGATATCCTAATCTGATACTCCGACCCCGGAGCCCCCGCTGGGCGACTCGTGCCAAGGCGACTAAAATAGCAGGTGGGCACGCGATTCCAATGAGTGTCTTCTAAATGGCGTCCAAAATGGGAAGCTTGGAACCTTTTGACAGCTCATCGGAGCATTTGAATCGGCCATTTGATAGCAATGTGAGATCTCATATGTATGTAGTCTAGAGATGCATATACAGCATGTCCCGCACAAAATCTCCGAATCGAGGTGTTAGTGGGCGTTGTCTTGGCGCAAGACGCGTACCCCCGAACGGATTAACGTTACGCCCCATCCTGCCCCATTCGGCCCCATCCTCCTCCTCTCCTCGTCATTCGTCAATTGGCAATCCGGTTTAGTGCTATGGGGGAACATATGCAACATAAACGATCTGTTTATCAATAATGGCGAATACGAGATCAATAAGTCCATATTCAGGCCACACCATTGAGCACCACATGTCAGCTCAGCTGCAAGCTTCGTTGCGGCTGTGATTGTTGTTCGTTCCTTCAAACATATAAGCTCGGGACGCTTCAAAAAATAGGTGGCATGTTGGTAAAAGGGCCCTTGGAATTACTTTGGTTGTCTGTCACGTTGGATGCGCCTTTAATGAGGCCTTGAGGGCGTTCGATACCTCGTGGCCGAGGTTCTTTAGATTCCATGGAGCTTTGATCGTTATCATTCTGATGGAGCCCCTGGTTAAGCTGATCTTTACCTTGGTCTTTGTATATGTAAGGATTTGATAGAACACTAGGAAGGTTACATACCAATTGCAAGAGGTGAATGTCTCAAATATCAGTATGAAAGTATCAAAGAATGAAAGTGGTCTGGATTACTTATACGGGTTGATAGTCAAAAAGGACTCCGAGTATAGCAGCTAATAACGGTTAGCTGGGTTGGATATAGTTACGGCGAAACTAAATGGTAGCCTAGTTTGTACTACTGTAAAAGGAAAACACAGAAATATAATTTTTCGGTTATGATGCATGCAAATCAATTGATCCAGTATGCCATCGTGATATATGGCCAAAGTATCGGACGTAGTAGATGTAGTGCGCCGAGCCATCGGACATGCGCCGATAACCTCACCCCGCCCAGGGACCATGATGACACAACCACCAGGTCTTCTAGATATCACTCGTACATCTATTTTCCCCGAAAAAAGCCGCTAAAATGCCAGTCTACCATATCGGTGAGTATGATGGAGTCGAATTTCGAAGAGACATGAAGAGCTGTGATCACTAATCGGACCCAAGTCCTCTTCCGCCTTAAGCCTGGTGTCACCCCGGCTCAGATCGCTGCCTGGAAGGAGGCATCCCAGGGGATGGTTGGGAAGATACCTGGTTAGTAGGAGCTTAAAGTGCACATCAAGACAACTGCTCATCTATCTATTTCTGTCAATAGGGCTGCAATCGATTCAGAACGGTGCCCCACTGCCGATTTCCATTCCCCGTGCCAAGGGCTTCGACATGGGTCTGGTTGCTGTGCTAGAGACGGCTGAGCATGTTACCACCTATGCGATACACCCGGCTCACCTGGAGTAAGTTTTATTTTGCCACTGAGTTGAGTATTATCGTGTGTTGTGGCTGACGGTTTGAAGGGTTCATAAAATGCGGGAGGAGCTCTGCGAGGATACTTTGGCATATGATCTAGAATTCTAGGTGTTTAGCATAGGTAATAATATGTATGCTAGGATGGATGTCCAACGAGATTCTCATTGTAGAAATAGTGTTGAGAACTGTTTGTTCAAACGTCTCATTTGTACATATCAGACATCAGGCCCCGGGGAATCGTAACCGCCGAGGTGCCTAGTCAACCCGTAGATGCTCGTAATGAAATGACATAAACGCCGAGAAAAGATTCACCTCTATGAAAGAACCGGAACATAGAGGGCAGGTCGGATCTCTAATCCGTAATACTTTTGAATCCCGCCCATTCACCGACCCACAGAACAGGAATTAAAGAACACAAAACAAGATATTTCAATCTGCGAAAGCTGGATACCATTACTCCTTGGCATCCACCTTCTTGGCGGGGTGGTCGCCACCGTTGGCACCCTCATCCTCGCGGGAGCGCTTCTGGGTGCTCTGCACAACGGGGACACCGCTAGAATTACAAGTCAGTCAAAGTTGTCTCACAGCGAATATGAATTGGGTTTCACTTACCGAGAATCCTTCTGGGCCTCACGAGGAGCTTGAGCACCATTTTGCTGGTCCTCAGTGCGACGCTCGCGCCAGTCACGGTCATTGCGGTCACGGCCGTCACGGCCACCACGGCCACGGCCACCACCACGTCCACGTCCACCGCGACCACCACGGCCACCACGGCCGCCACGGCCGCCGCGACCACCACTGTTGCGGGCGTTGGAGGGGAAGACCTTGCCGTTCTTGATCTCCTCGACCTTCTCATCGCAGTACTCCTTCTTGCTCTTGTAGGTCAAGTCCTGGTCCTTCCACTGGGGCTTCTTCTCCAGGGCAAGGAAAGTCTTCTGCAGCTCCTCGGAGGCAAACTCAACAAAGATGCTGCCCTTGAAGGTCTTGTCGATGGTGCGGCGCAAACGGATGGCGTTTGTGGGACCGAAGGGGGCGAAGAGGGCCTCAATGTCGAGCTGGGTAGTGGCCTCTTCTTCACCGAAGCCGAAGCCCTTAACGTAGATGGAGCGGGCCATGGAGGCATCCTCGAAGACCTTGACAGACTTGGAGTCGTGGTCGTTCACGGACTCGGGAAGAGGGACCTTGCGCTTGACGGCAGTGTCGTTATCGGTCAGCTCGACCTTCTCAGCGGTCTTAAGAGCCTCGACGATCGCGCTGAAGGGTTGGAAGCGGCGCATGCGCTTGAAAGAGTGGAGGAGCTCAAGGGGGACGGCGTTGTTAGCGCTGCCGCCAACCTTGGAGAGAAGGAACTTGTCCATGGGGAGGTTAGAGTCGGAGAAGTAGAATTCGACCTAGTATGTGCGCATTAATTAAGGCCCAATATGTGAGTTTTTTTTCGCGACCATACCTGCTTGCGGATCTCCTCAGGGTCGTCGGTAACCTCCTGGTTGGAGGGGTCGAACTTGGCGTTGTTCTTGCGAGGGCCATTGCGGCCATCGCGCTGGAAGCTGCGGAACTCGCGCTTCTCGGTCTCGGGCTCAGTGGCCTTTTCCTCAGCCTTCTCAGACTTCTCGCCGAGCTTAGCAGCTGCGGCGATAATGCGGGCTTCTTCCTCATCCTGAGCGGGCTGCTCGGCAGCGCCACCCTCCTTCAGCTCAGCGAGCACATTCTGGACATCCTTCTCAGCCTCGGCGTTGACAACGGGGGGGTTCTGTTCTTCGGCCATAATTGCGAATTGTGTGTGGAGACTGTTTCGAAAAAAAACGAAAAAGAGATGATAAGCAAAAGACTCGACGGATTCGACGCGACGGGACAGGGTGAGTCAGAAAAAAAGCAGAAAGTGAGCAACGGGTTGGATGGGATTTAAATATCAAGCGCATGCATATGGTGAAAATACCTTTATAGATCGATCAATGCGCTATTCAAAATGCTATTGCGCTTGTGACAATAGGATCGCAGCGGGGAGGATCTGGGAATTTTTTTTGAGCTCCATTCATGCCTGAGGCACAAATGTCCGCGATTGGTTAGCGTGGCTTCGGACTAAACCTTTTTGGGCAATTTGGCATCTTTCTATACATCGTCTACATTGAACCCAATGAGTTGCAAAGAACAATAGATGAATGGCAGTACTTTAATTTCATATGCAAGCTCAATTGCATGGGACTTGAAGCTGACACACTATGCACCCCAGACTACATGAATCCGCTAGAAGAGCTTTCAATATCAAGCTTTGAAGCACATCGCTCCTTCCCCATTGCAGGTGATTGCGATGCTGACCTCAGTCGTCTCCCGCCAGGGCTTCTTGAGAGACTGAATCCTCATCTATCACATTGTCTTCACTCTTAGCAAATATCTCAAACATCTTCAGTCATCGAATATTCTTCTCGGGTTGGATCATGATAATCTGCGCCCTCCGTTCATACCGGATTATTCATATTGCCAGTTCTCAGACAGTGGGTGACCTTTGATCAACAGAATGAATCCTCGTTTACTAACTATATATGTGTCAAAGGTGTCAGTTTAAGGCTCTTCGCCCACGCATCCAATATTCCCAAGCCTTCCGGCTTCCATTTGAAGCACTAAGGTCATTCCACAGGTTCAATACCGAATCTGACAAGTAAAAATGCCGTTATCACACAGGGCCTCTTCAAATGGGGATCCGTGGCCCGCCAAAGATGTATGGTATTCTTTTTCGGGGTTTCAGATGCGATCCTGACTGCCCTTGACAGATAATCTACCTCGCGATCGTCGGGCCGTTGATGCTTGCAGCCGTGTTTGAATGGGTACTCTGGCTTGGAGCCTTCATCTACTGCTTAGTGAAGGTGTATATCAAAGCAGATCACTGGACTATAAGAGTCCTCGCTGTGGTGATGATCTTTCTGTTCTCGGTGATACGGTAGGATTCCAGCCATCTAGCAGTTTGCCCAAGAACGTTGGCTCATCAATTTATTCAATAGATTGGCCTTCCTTCCAGTCATGCTTGTGACACTGCCACTGCCGCCACAGGTTACCGTCCACTTTCCCCCCGCAATGGTGCATGCGTTTCAAGTGTTTGCATTCTGGTCCTTTTCGATTCTGCTAGTCGGACCGTGGCTTTTCTGTGTTTATGGGCTCACCACCAACTCGCTGGGGAGGGAAAAGAAAATCAAACGTGTGCTTGATGATCGCACTGCCCCGAAGACTGTAGTGGTCATGCCGGTATACAAGGAAGAACCAAGTATATTGATCAAAGCGATCAACTCGGTGGTCGATTGCGACTATCCTGCAAATTGCATCCACGTTTTTCTTTCCTATGATGGTGGCAAGGTGGATGAGCCATATCTGCGGGTTTTGGATCATCTCGGAATCCCCATCACACTGGAAAGCTATCCTCAAAGCATTGATTGTACCTACAAAGGTGCACGAATTACCGTGTCTCGCTTCAAACATGGCGGTAAGAGAAATTGCCAAAAGCATACCTTCAAGCTTATCGACAAAGTCTACGCCGAATATTTGAAGCGACACGATAATCTGTTTGTTCTTTTCATCGATTCCGACTGCATCCTTGATCGCGTTTGCTTGCAGAACTTCATGTACGACATGGAACTCAAGCCTGGTAGCAAGCGCAACATGCTTGCCATGACGGGCATAATCACATCTACTACGGAAAAAAATACCTTATTAACCATTCTCCAAGACATGGAATATGTCCACGGTCAGCTTTTCGAACGATCCGTGGAGTCAGGTTGTGGTGCTGTGACCTGCCTTCCTGGGGCTTTGACCATTTTACGCTTTTCCGCTTTCCGGAGGATGGCCAAGTATTACTTTTCGGACAAGGCTGAGCAATGTGACGATCTTTTTGACTATGGCAAATGCCATCTTGGAGAAGACCGATGGCTCACGCACCTATTCATGATCGGCGCGAAGGAGCGATATCAAATTCAGTTATGCACGAGTGCCTTCTGTAAGACCGAAGCCGTCCAAACGTTTAGTACCCTCTTAAAGCAACGTCGTCGATGGTTTCTGGGTTTTATCACTAACGAGGTCTGCATGATCACTGATATCCGGCTTTGGGTGCGCTATCCCATTCTGTGCCTCGTTCGACTAATGCAAAACACAATTCGAACCACTGCACTGCTCTTTTTCATCATGATAATCGCATTGATTACAACCTCCAAGAAGGTGGGTGATCTTCCTGTTGGCTTCATGGCTGTGTCCCTGGGGCTGAACTATCTGCTCATGCTGTACTTTGGCTTCCGCCTTGGACGCTACAAAGCGTGGCTTTACCCTATCATGTTTGTTCTGAATCCGTTCTTCAACTGGACCTACATGGTCTATGGTATTTTCACGGCCGGCCAGCGGACTTGGGGAGGACCACGGGCTGATGCGGCCGCTGCGGACGACCATACCACGCCGGGCGAAGCAGTCGAACGGGCGAAGGAACAGGGCGATGAACTCAATGTGAATGTCGATACCTTCCGGGCCAGTAGTATCCGACGAAGATCTGTGCCTGTCCGCCCATCCGAGAACGTCGAAGGTCGGTTTGCACCTGCAGAGCAGCTTCTGGATGGATTCTATGTTAACACAGCCGGCCCTGGGCCTGCGCTAGCCCGAATGGTGAATGCGATGGAGAATAATTCCCAGCACCAATTACCTCATCACTTCCGCCATTCGACTGATTCCGTGCACAGTATGTCGTCGGATTGCGGCTCGAATTCGATAGTCATGCCACAAAACGTGGAAAACCTCGTGATGAGCGAGGAAGACCAAAAGAAACTCTATTATGCCCGCCAAGGTCGGGCATCAACGGGCTCAACGGGATTTGACAGTCATCACTCGATGGGTGCCTTTGTGGACGCAGTCCCCCTACAGTCTTTGGTCACAGCGTCCGACCACAATAACATCTCGGAACTCGCTCACCCACCAGAAGCATACCAATCTAGCCGTTCCGAGAACATCCCTCCAGCCTATAGACCAGATGAGGAATGGCGCCGAGCAACTGTTGGAGTCTTTGACCCACCTCATGATATTATTGTCTAAGAGGAACATAAGTACCAGGTGCCTGACGTCAGGTTTGTTTCTATTTTCCTCCTGCTTTTTCCCCCACCGGTCTCCAACGATGCAATTTGCTCAACACGATCAGTTGGGCACCTTATTTTTACGGCAGCCTGGCCAGTTGGCATTTCTGTCTGATTCCCTTAGTTTTTAGAAATCAACATGCTCCTATTGCCCATATGCTGTACGGAGCACGGAGTACCTACCCATGTGATCCACCGTAAATTCGGGCGGTGACTAATTTTTATATTCTGCCAAGCATTGGCGGGCGGTGAAAGTGGGTAGTCTAGCAGCCGCCAGAAGGTTCGATGAGATGCCACAGCCCAAATGGTGAGAAATGTATGTGTATATAGAGCAGCAAAAAGAGAAGAGGGAAAAAAGGAAAAGTTTGACACATTCGATCTTACGTCCATATATACCCCAAACCTGAAATAACTAGTTCGGCGCCTAAAAAGCAGCCAGACCGCTTGACACTTGTCCATCGCCCCTCCAATAATAGTGGAGTGGCGTGCAAATTCTCCCCTCTGACTTCTCGCTTCACTTTTCTTTCTTGGAACCTCCATCTCTCTCCACCCTCCCTATCCCCCATACTCCCCCATTTTCTCCCATAATGAGTGTCGTCGGCATTGATTTGGGTGCGCAAAGCACCAAGATTGGTGTTGCCCGCAACAAGGGCATTGATATTGTGCGTATTACCCCACGGCCGTAACGGCGGATTCGTTGTTTTTCCCTTGGGATGAATTGTGATTGTGACATCCCAATTCGGAACCATTGCGCTAACTGCTTCTTCTTGACAATATAGATTACCAATGAAGTTTCCAACCGTCAGACTCCGTATGTATCTTTGGGAACCCCGCTGCTTTGCCTATCAGAGACTTGAAGACTGACTTGATATCTTCGTTCTAGCTCTATCGTCGGATTCACACCTCGCAACAGACACCTGGGAGAGGCTGCCAAGGGTGCAGAGATCTCTAACTTGAAGAACACCATCGGCTCCCTCAAGCGCCTGATCGGCCGTTCTTTCAACGACCCCGATGTCGCCATTGAGCAGGAATACAACACATCAACTCTCGTCGACGTCAATGGCCAGGCCGGTGTCGAGGTCAGCTATCTCGGCAAGAAGGAGAAGTTCACAGCAACTCAGTTGGTGGCTTCTTACCTTTCCAAGATCAAGGACATTACCTCCAAGGAGTTGCGCCTGCCCGTCTCCGACGTCACCGTCAGTGTTCCCGCTTGGTTCACCGATGTGCAGCGTCGGGCTATGATTGACGCTGGTGACATTGCCGGTCTCAACATTCTCCGTCTCATCAACGACACCACCGCTACCGCTCTCGGATACGGTATCACCAAGCTGGACCTCCCCGGCCCCGAGGAGAAGCCCCGCCGCGTGATGTTCGTCGATATCGGTTACTCCGACTACACAGCCTCCATCGTTGAGTTCCGCAAGGGTGAGCTGAACGTCAAGGCTACCGCCTACGACCGTCACTTCGGTGGTCGTAACTTCGACAAGGCTCTGACCGAGCACCTTGCCGTCGAGTTCAAGGAGAAGTTCAAGGTTGATATCCACACCAACGGCAAGGCCTGGACCCGTACCCTGGTTGCCGCCGAGAAGCTCAAGAAGGTCCTGTCTGCTAACGCTCAGGCACCTTTGAGCATCGAGTCCCTCATGGAGGACACTGACGTCCGCGCCATGATGAAGCGTGAGGAGCTTGAGCTCATGGTCAAGCCCCTTCTTGACCGCCTGACCGCCCCTCTGGAGCAGGCTCTTTCTGAGGCTAAGCTCAACGCTGAGGACATCGACTACATTGAGATGGTTGGTGGCTGCACCCGTGTCCCCGCCATCAAGGAGACCATCAGCACTTTCTTCAACAAGCCCCTTTCCTTCACTCTGAACCAGGATGAGGCCATTGCCCGCGGTTGTGCCTTCAGCTGCGCTATTCTCTCCCCCGTTTTCCGTGTCCGTGACTTCGCCGTTCACGACATTGTCAACTACCCCATCGACTTCACCTGGGAGCAGTCCCCTGAAATTCCCGATGAGGACACCAGCCTCACTGTCTTCAGCCGTGGCAACGTCATGCCCTCCACCAAGATCCTCACCTTCTACCGCAAGCAGCCCTTCGACCTCGAGGCTCGCTACTCTAACGCCGAGGCCATGCCCGGCAAGGTCAACCCCTGGATTGGCCGTTTCTCCGTCAAGGGTGTCCAGGCTGATGCCAAGAACGACTTCATGATCTGCAAGCTGAAGGCCCGTCTTAACCTGCACGGTATCCTCAACGTCGAGTCTGGATACTACGTCGAGGAGATGGAGGTCGAGGAGCCCGTTGAGGAGGAGAAGAAGGAGGGTGACATGGACACCGACTCCAAGGAGGAGCAGCCCAAGAAGACCCGCAAGGTCAAGAAGCAGGTTCGCAAGGGTGATCTCCCCATTGCCTCCGCCACCGGTGGCTTCGACCAGGCCACCAAGGAGGCCTGGACCGAGCGTGAGAACGCCATGTACATGGAGGACAAGCTTGTCGCCGAGACCGACGAGAAGAAGAACGAGCTCGAGGCCTCCATCTACGAGCTCCGCGATAAGATCGACGGCGTTTACGCCGAGTTTGCCAGCGAGGAGGAGAAGGAGAAGCTCAAGGCCAAGCTGATGGATACCGAGGTTAGTTTACAATTTAGTCCCCAACACATTGTTTATTGGCCGTACTAACGCATTATCTCAGGACTGGCTTTACGAGGACGGTGAGGACACCACCAAGTCCGTCTACGTTGCCAAGATGGATGACATCCGCTTCATTGCCGGCCCCATCATCCAGCGCTACAAGGAGAAGGTCGAGGCCGAGCGCGACGCTGTCCGCAAGGCTGACGAGGAGGCTGCTGCTAAGAAGCGCGCCGAGCTCGAGGCCAAGAAGGCCGAGGAAGACGCCAAGAAGAACGCTGATGGCGACGCCGAGATGAAGGATGCCCCCGAAGGCGAGGCTGCCCAGGGCGAGACTGAGCAGTAGATCATCTCTTCTCATTCTCCAGAAATGATTTACTGATGTCTTTTCTTTTTTTCTGGGTTTGGGGCATCTTCCCCTCCCTCTTCCTCTGATCTACTATGATTCATTGCAAAAAAAAAATTTGGATCGTGGTGGAACTACCGCGTTATGATGAAAAGAACACCCCTTTTTAAAGAAATATTTTACGGACCACAAAGGTCTCGGTCGACTTGATCATTGGTCGTCCCTTTTTTTTGTTCTAATGGCAAACGGTTATGATGTAGATCGTTCCTTTCCCTTGGATGTTTATGATAGATGAAAAATATACTCAACGCCTTTGTCTTCAGTTTTGCTTCTTCGCCTTCAACCATACGGTGATCTCAAAGTAAATATTCGAAAAGGCAATCGAGACGTTGGCGAAGGGAGTAGTAGACTTGATTATCACGACATGAGTAGGTGGTAGCTCAGTATTTGCAAATGATATGTGAACAAAGCCCTCTTTGATGGCTCTATCTTACCACTCGGAGGATAGTTCCGGCCACGGTTCCCTTGTGTCTTATGTGAACTCGTGCTTACGCCGTCGATGTGCCCGGCTTACCTTGCTGAATGTCAAGCACAATACCGGTCCCGTTGACTGTATAAAGTGGCTTAGAACACCGGGGCCAGACTTATTGCAGGTTCTCGTCGAGACCAATGGCCTCTCACCTTGCAGATCTTTGCAGATATCAATGTCAGAGATACAAGATTCGTAAATACACCAGAGGGTGCCTTGCCATGCTTCAATACCCTGGGTACTGGCTTGCTGCAGGTTTCGGACGAGGTGTAGCCATCCTCCGTAGACAAGAATCGTAGAGCCTATTATCCAGCATCTGATCTGTAAAACAAGAGTGGATTATCTTGAGAGAATCCTTCGCGGCAGTTATGTTCCAAGATAGGCATAAAATAGGGTAACAATGGATAATCCCGTGTCCAGTCTCATCAAACATTACTTATGGTCTTTGTCTTTCAGAATCTTACTTTTCCTCCTCTTCCTTCAACGCATCAAAATTCGCGAGATCCTCATTTCTTTTAGGCCCGCGTCTCGTTTGTCTCCTTCTGTCACTTTAAGTATCTGTCTCTCTGCCGGCAGCTTCCATCTATGGTTTCATTCTTGCGCCTTTCCCGTGAACCCATATGACCCCAGATCACTAAGTCTCGTTCCCGCCGTGAAGATGGAAGATGATCGGAATAAGGCTGTAATTCTACAGCTTTTGCTTGAGGATTTAGAAAGCCTTGAAGACAGGCAGAAGGGAAAACAGGGAGCAGGACAAGAGACAGACATCGAACTTGCCCTCAGGTGCATGAGAGAGGATGTCCAGGCCACCCAAACTTGCATTGAAGATCAGATCCTGGCTCTTAGCACTAGCACTGCCATCGCGACAGATCAAAAGATCCTGTCATCATTTCAACACGAGGAACGGGTTGCTAATGAGGATCGTCAACTTGCCCTCGCTCTGGACAGTGGGACTCGTCCGCCTAGAACAACCCCCTTTGCGGGACCCGGCATGAAATCACCAGACGATGATGACGATACTGTTTCTCTGGTTATGGAAGATCTCATGGACCGAATGATTCTGAACGAGAAGCCCCTCAATGGCGAAGGCTCTTCGCGCGTACGCTCATCCCGAACACACAACTTCATGAGAGAATGTGCCTCTTGTTTGGACAAGTTTGATACTACCGTGTTCAACGGTCCATGTGGCCACGGATTCTGCTACGACTGTACGAGGCAGATGTTCCTAGGTGCAATCAAAGACGAGGAGCTGTACCCGCCGCGTTGTTGCGGAAACGTTGTCCCGCCTGGAACTGCAATGAGAGTGTTGGACTACGAGGAGCTTCGGAAGTTCAGTGAGCGCGCCCTTGAATGGACAGCTCAAGATCGCCTTTACTGCGCCGACCCGATGTGTTCGAAATTCATCCCCGCATTTGCCATTCAAGACCAGCACGGTACTTGCTCTGAATGTCACCAGCAAACTCATTTGCCATGCCGTTCCCTCGCACATCCGAAGATCGATTGCCCGATGGACGAAAATCTCGATATCGTGTTGGAAATGGCGGACTCCAAACATTGGAAACGTTGCTTTAACTGCCAGACGATGGTCGAGCTTCGCTACGGCTGTAATCACATCACCTGTCGGTAGGCAACCATTGTCTCGTGCAATAAATGTATAGTCCATTGAACGAGTTGCTAATGGTGTATAGCTGCGGGAAAGAATTTTGCTACGTTTGTGGGATTGTCTGGAAGACTTGTGAGTGTCCACTTTGGCATGAGGATAGACTTGAGGTTGTGGCAAATCAAGTTGTCGAGGAAGAGGTCCCACAGAATGCGGATATCCAGGTTCGCCAGAACGCGTACAACCGGATAGTCGAGGACCTACGGCACCACGAGGATGTTGAGTGCGAGCATCACAGGAATTCCCAATGGGCTTGGAGGGATAGAGGCAGCTTGAGGTGTGAGATCTGCGACTCCTATTTGCCGGAATACATCTTCATGTGCAGGAGCTGTCGAATGAGGGTTTGCAACCGTTGTCGGAGACATAGATTGAGGTAGCTCTGCATTGTGCTTGCGAGGATTTACGTTACTGAAGGAGTTCAAGTTACCTGGAAGGCTAGATTTGGTGGATTCTTGGTGGCAGGCTCTCTGCATGGATTACACCTAGAAAATAGGGACCTGTGAAATCGACGCCGAACATGACAGCCTCTGGCGCCAGAAACGGCCGCCTTTCCCTGTAGAGCCCCTTATTCTGCACCCATCCAGGACTATCCTTTTCTCTTACACTCAATTTCTCCTGCAGGTCCATTGATTACTTCGTATTTCAAGACCAAGTTGATCAGCCCCCTAGAAGCTGATAGCCAGATGGAGGGTCTGAACTCTTTTAAGGAAGATCTGTACTTGATCTCAGTTCCAGAAGCTCCGTCTCAATTCAAGTTGTTTGAAGAGATACGGCCTACCCTGTGGGACTTGCCAAGAGTTGGTGACCAGGCTGCATAAACAAACGATAAAACATATCAGCTTGCCATATTCAGAGACGCTCTCTCTTGATTCTGACTCTGCTAATTCGGATGACTGCCAAGAACGCTCTTTCCATTGCTTGGCATCGCCTCAGTAACGCCAATGCAGTGACGTTCCCCGAATAGGCTGTCCAAGCCCCGTCGTGCGGTATAGCACGTGCTTCATTGGCGTATCTTTGATTGGTTGTATTGACTTGGCTGCGATGCCGGAGCTATAAGCTAAACGTCTTGGCTTCTTGATGTCCATTCCATTTATGGATCCCGCGTACCTACAGAGGTATTTAACCTAGAAGGCACGGCGAAGGTTTATAGGAGCACTGCTCACACTTGAGAGGATCTCATCCTCATCTATCTTACTTACTATTTGTGCTTGAGCGATCTATCTTCGCAGCGGTTAAGGAGCAGTATGCCACTCCTCGCTCCCTTGTCGCAAGGCCTCTCTTCCCTCGCTCGGCTGAATCACAAACGGGGAAGCCGGGTTTCAAGTGAAAATGAGGGTTCGGGAAAGCCCCTGCCGAGTCGTCTATTGGACGTTTTTCTGCGTACATGGGATCTAGGCTTTACAGCCTTCGGAGGACCACCAGTACACTTCCAGATTCTACATAGCAGGTTCGTGGAGGGAAAGGGCAACAAGGAAAAATGGGTAGATGAACAGACTGTACGATCCTCCCTCATCTTCAAGTTGGTGCGTTCCCATGTCATAGGGCCTCCTAATATATTTCATAGTATCAGGAACTCTTTGCTATCTGTCAGGGTCTTCCGGGTCCCGGTAGCACGAAGATGGTTTTCTGCCTAGCCCTATTACACGCAGGGTTTATTCCTGCCATGCTTGTGTTTTTACTTTGGAGGTGATTAATTCATACCCTGATGCTGCAAAGCCCGCCCTCTGTTGACTTCAACTAACGGTTTCAGTCTTCCTGGCGCAGTGGGCATGTATGCCCTCTCACTTGGGGTGCAAAACATGAGTGAAACTCTTCCCGAACCTGCCTACTCCTTACTTTCTGGCCTCAACGCCTCTACAGTAGGTATCGTTGCACTTGCGGCCGTACAGTTGTCCGAAAAGGCTATTCGCGATAAACTGTCCCGTATCCTCGTGATCTTTGGCGCATGTGCTGGTCTCTGTTACAATGCACTCTGGTATTTTCCCATGCTGATGGTCATCGGTGGTTTCCTCACCAGCATCTGGGATGGATGGTTGTATCAGCGATTTTTGAGAGCAAAGCTCGCGTGGAAGAACAGACATCATCGTCCCCAGGATCCGGACGAGGCAAACGGAAACTCCATAGCCATGGACGATACAACTCGGGACGAGAATAGAGTCCAAAGGAGCGAGACGACACGATCGCGAAGGACGGATCCTAGAGTCGAGGAACTACCACAGAGCACAGTTGATACTACAAGCCCAATGCCGCCCGTTGAAGCTGATGCACAGCAGCACATTGTTCGGATTCGGGTTGGAGTTTTGATCATGTGTCTCTTTTTCGGTGCGCACCCCATCCTACCAAAATTCCTGAGCGTCAACACTGATATAGTTAGCCTCCTTCATCGCAATTCTTGTTACTAGAGGCCAGATCGCCACTGCCCCATTGGTCCTAGACCTCTTTGCCAATATGTACCTTGCCGGCACTGTTATCTTTGGTGGAGGTCCTGTCGTCATCCCCCTCTTACGCTCCTATGTCGTCGATCCCGGGTGGGTCTCTGGTAGAGACTTCCTAATCGGCCTTGCCATTATTCAAGCCTTCCCCGGTCCTAACTTCAACTTTGCTGTCTTCTTGGGGGCACTAGCACTACAGCGCTCGCAATTCCCGACCATCTTCGGTGCGTTCCTCGGCGGTTTAGGAATCTTCCTTCCGGGAATCACGTTGGCCGTTGCAATCCAAAGCTTCTGGCGCGTGTTGCGGAAGAAGAAGTATGTGGTCGACTTCCTCAGAGGAGTGAATGCCACTGCAGTTGGGCTAGTATATACAGCTGTATACCGGTTGTGGGAGATTGGATACCTGACTCCTGAAAGAAGCGACGGACAGAGTCTGGGTAAGGAGCCGTGGTGGTTGGTCGTTGCGGCAATAACATATTCAGGGAGCGCGTGGTTCAATGTGCCCCCACCCGTGGCGATTGTAATGGGTGCTATCTTAGGGTTATGCTGGTATGGAGCAGTGGGGCGATAGCATGTTCTAGCAGCCATCCTTATTCTATGTTTGATATGGTGCAGAGCGGCGAGTCACTTTTTGAAACTACCGTTTTCTTCCATATGCTAATTTTTCCGGTGGGAAGGGGTATGTTCCCAGCAGTCGAGCGAGATGGTGTTTCGACGCTCAACGACCGGGAGAATAAACAAATTTTTTCTCAAATTCATGACAGACAGAAACCACTTATGGGCTCGGTTTTAGACAAAACTACTTCACCGACAATGGTCCTCAAGCGACGAAAAAATCGACTTAGGTAGCAATCGGGAGACCTACCATAAGACCTCGGGGTCAAGTATCTGCTCTACCGAACGCTGGATTCCTTGGGCCCCACGTGGAGGAATTTGTCAAATACACGATTCTGATGCGGCCTCACATCGGTCTTTTCGGTGATCGCTTTAGCGAACGGGAGGAGAAGAAACCAGAGGGAGAAAAGGTGAATGCTGCTACGGCCAAATAAGAGATATAGAGCAGTATCAGGCTCCGCAGCTATCTGAAATGAGTTCGCCAGGAATCATCCACGGAAAAGACTGACCTCAAGATAGAGATACGAAATTATGAGATTTTCAAAGGAGAAACCTTACGCCTGGCGAATATGTCGAAATATGCGAAGGTTATGATGCCGTGGACGATCGTGAAGATCGAGACCAAATAGAATGTCTCTCCGGCGACCATCCATCACACACGCTTGTTTATAAGACGATCCGACGGACGTGTGCCGAGCAGCAACAGATCATAGAGACAGGAAGAGATTTGGCTTTGATGAGCCTTGTTTTCAAAATGCTCTCTAACTTAGAAGAATTGGTACTGGTATTTCAAGCAACCGGGGGTCACGAGGATTGGTTGGGGGGTTACCAACAGGTATATGATATGACACAGAAGAGTTTTGATGAGCACTACATCCAACTGGTCTTGGCTGCTCTCAGGGGTTGCAGTATAACGCTAAAGACTATTGAGCTCACCTGTCTCGAGCCTCCCGATGACAGTCCGTCCGAAAGCTGGGACTCTCTGACGATTCCTCTCACTGAGCTTATGGGACACGCCCCGGGTCTACGGCTTATCGAAAGTGGCTTGCCTTTGGAATTAAGGTGTCGCGTATGTCTGAACATACGTGAGATAGCATTATGCTCAATTTGTATGGGGCTGCCCTTCATAGAGAGCTTTCTACAGTGCAACGCTCAGTCCTTGCGCTCTCTCGGTGTTCATAATATCGATGTCATTGAAAACGGAAAGCCTACTACCCCTTTAACCGCGAGACATGTTGGTGACATAATGGGGTTGACAATTGAACGAGAAAAGAGGCTGGATAATCTCTCATGTACAGTATACAGGATAAACTAAACTTCCGGTATGCCGATCACTTGCTCCGACATTCTGTTTTTGCCTCAGGCATCAAGCCACATAAGACTTTATCACGTGCCTCTCTTATCTCCGTGCTGACAAACCTATCGCCGTGGAACCGGGTCGAATTCGCCTTCCTATTTGGGTCATATTCGGCGGGTTCTTTTTCACGAGCTCCTCCTCCACGACACCTCTCTACGACAGAGTGTACTCTGTACATACAATCCCTACCTACCTATAATTAATATCACGCTACAATGGATTCTCCCAAGGAGCTCACCGTCCACCATCATGGCACCCCGCACATCATCGAAGTGTCCTCCTCGGCAACATTACAAGATCTCTCCACGGAGATAGAGCGCGTCCTCAACATCCCCATCAACAACCAAAAGCTCCTCATAGCCCCTAAGCCAGGAATGCAGAAAGCACCATTTCCACCAACTCTCCTCGACACCATCCTCCAAACATCATCCCCCAAATTCAAGATCACCCTCCTCGGCACCCCCGCCAAAGCAATCGCCGATCTCCACGAACAATCCGCCAACGAGCAACGACGACAAGAATCACGCGCAGCCGCTCTCTCCGCTGCAAGACGCAACAAACAAACACCCTCCACCCGCAGCGGCGGCATCCACACCATCTCATCCTCAAGCAACAACTACACTTTCCACCGCCTGCTCCCACTATCCTACCTTCCCAACCCAGACCGCTCCCTCGACTTCCTCAAACGCCTCCGCGACGACCCAGGCATCCGCGCTGCAATGGCAAAGCATAAATTCTCCGTCCCGCTCCTGACGGAAATGAACCCAGCCGAGCACACGACGAGCGAGTCGCGGACGCTAGGACTGAACCGGAACAAAGGCGAGGTGATCGAGCTGCGTCTGCGAACAGATGCGTATGATGGATATCGGGATTACCGGACTATTCGGAAGACGCTGTGTCACGAGCTTGCGCATTGCGTGTTTGGGCCTCATGATCGCGATTTCTGGGATTTGACGTCGCAGATTGAGAAGGAGGTCGAGAGGGCGGATTGGAAGTCTGGTGGGAATCAGCTGTCTAGTCAGGAGTTTTATAATCCTGGCGATTGGGACAGTGCGCAGGGCGAGGAGGAGTTCGATGAGTGTGGGTGGACTGGTGGGGAGTTTGTTCTTGGGGGCTTGCAGGGCAGCTCAAGTGGAGGGCAAAGTGGTGCCTCTGATGGGGCTTTGTCTCGGAGGGAGATCATGGCGCGTGCGGCGGAGGAGAGGATGAAGAGGGAGAGTCAGGCTAGGAAGCAGGATGATGCTCCGTGATATCATGGCCACTGTTTTGCTGCATCATGTTTCCCATGATTTTTAAGCCCTTTTTTATACTGCATAGCCTCTGATACCTATTGCTTTTCTTCTTCTGATATAAATTCATTCTCTGTACATTGTATGCAGTATATTTTGTGCTATAATTAACCCAATTTCCCAATATTTACAGCTGCTCGTTGACAAACAGAGCGGCCATACCCTGTCCAGTTCCAATACACATGGAAGAGACCAGAACCTTGCTCTTTGTACGGCGAGCCTCGCTCAGAATGGTAGCAACTTGACGTGCACCAGTTGCGCCGAGAGGGTGGCCAAGTGCAATAGCACCGCCACGAGGGTTGACCTTGGCGTGGTCAAGGCCAAGGTTCTGAACGCAGTAGACGGCCATAGAGGCGAAAGCCTCGTTGATCTCGAAGATATCGATGTCATTCTTGTCAAGCTGGAACTTGCTCAGGAGCTTGGGGATAGCGGCAGTTGGGCCGATGCCCATCACGCGAGGGGGCACACCAGCGACAACCGAGCCGCAGAACTTAGCAAGGATAGGCTGGTTCAGCTCGATGGCCTTGGAGCGGCGCATCAGCAGAACAGCGGCAGCACCGTCGGTGACCTGGCTGGAGTTTCCACCAGTGGACCTATCACCGAACTGGGGGAAAGCAGGGCGAATCTTGGAAAGTGACTCGAAGGTTGTACCGGGGCGAATTCCGTCGTCGCGGGTCAGAGTCACCTCCTTGACCTCGCCGGTCTTGGGGTCCTTGACCTTGGTTGTGATAGGGACGATCTCATCATCGAACCAACCGCTGTTCTGGGCAGCCTCGGCCCGACGGAAGGACTCGGCGGCATATCGATCCTGCTGCTCGCGGGAGATGTTGAAGTCATTGCCCACGTTCTCGGAGGTCTGGCCCATGGGCTGCATGCAGTCGGCGGCCTCCTGGTTGCGCAGAACCTCCTCGTTGAATGGCCGCTCCAAACGATCGTTGGGGGCGGACATCAGCTCAGCACCCATGGCAATACCGACGTCGATGGCGCCGAGTTGAATCTGGCTGGCGATGTCCTGTACGGCCTTCAGTCCAGACGAGCAGAAGCGGTTCACTGCACAGGCACCAGCTGTGTGGGGAATACCGGCGGCCAGGGCTGCGGCGCGGACCATGTAGGCGGCTTTGACTTCGTTGACCTGTTCGGTCGGTTAGATTATGGCATTGACAGATTAGCGGAGTGGAAGATAAAATAGCATACATTTCCGAGGACAACATCCTCCACTAGGGCAGGATCGATCTGGGACTTGGCCAAAGCTTGCTTCAACAGGGCGTATACGACGTAGTCTAGTTCTGAGTCCTTGAAACCGCCCTTGCGCGCCTTGGTCAGAGGTGTACGGACTGCTAGTGTAATGACCACATCGTCGGGGTTCTTCTGTGTACTGCGTTCCATTGTTAGATGGGCGAAAGATGAACGAGATCTTCCGAACGCTTACATAGCAGAGAGGCCACTCGCAGCGCCGGGCTTGAGGTGGCTCAGGAGCGAGCTTAGACGATCGGCGGCCATTATGTATGTATGAAGAAACTGTACAGATTTTATAGAGTCAGTATTGTGTTTCTCATATCCTGTACAGGTGCCTAGGCAGTGTCTCTTTAAGACATCGGCTAATGGCTTGCAGGAACTTTTCGTGTAATGCGGGGAAACCCCAGTGTGCGGAGATTTGAAAGGACGGCGAAACCAACATTGGAGGTAACTCGAGATCTGGAGGCGAGGAGAGGGACTTACAGATTATACAAAGGTATTTTGGGGAGAACAGAAATAAACAGAAAGGATAAGATGAACAAAGGAGGAGGTGTTAAGAAGTATGAAGAGGTGGTCTCCGCTTCGCGCCCGAAACTGCCGAGGCTCATTTCGCTATCCGGCCGCGGAGTATCCGATACTTCTAATTGCATGTACTCTATCCACTACAATCAAGTACCCTGTACCTCAATTCATTCCACTGGTAATCCTTCCGACTTGGCCCATCTAAATGCCTAGGCAACTTTCGGGACCTTGAATTATGATTCAAACATGGATCAGGCATGGTCTGGAGTATATAAAGCATTCATGTTGGTCACTACCTCGGCACAAAGTGTGGCACGATACTCGTTTGAATGCCTGGTCTGGAAAAGTACCACATTTCTGTTCAATGACTGTAAAAGCTAACCACTATTGAGTTGTGGACTATAGTGGAAAGTACTCCGTACCATGTAGGTACATAGGTAGGTACATATAGTATATGTAAATCTTGACAGTAGGGTGGTGGGATAGCTCGATTATCAAACTAGAAAACCATTCGCTCATCTCCTCCAGGAATGCAAGTAATGTGAAATCATGTTGCCATTTAAGGGATGAATTGTCCTGCTCATATTTCCTTCTTTCTGGTGCTCCTATGCACCTACTCGGCAAATATATACTGGGAATAGTAGCTTCCAACTTCCACCCATATCGAGGATATGTATACATTCCTTCTGATACAGGACGAACCTCAAATTATTTATTAATATGTTTCTACCATTTCATTTCGCAGCCAATGCTCAATATTTCCCTCATGAGCTTTAGCATCATTGTCTTCCCAATTACAAGAGCCACGATGATAGTTCAAGACCTCGAAATACCTTTCGAAATGTAAGCCAAAATCAACGCAACACGGATTGAGGGTAATCTTACATTTGGGTCTTCCATTCCTCCGCGGTCAGTTCCGAGTCCAACAAAGACCAGTCTATTTTCTTTTCGCATTCGGGTTCATCGTTGGAGTCTCGATAGGTCGAGACGTATGGATGAGTTAGACCATCCGCCGCTGTGATACGATTTTGCGGGTCGATTGCGAGCATTTTTTCCAAGAGATTGACAGCTAGCCGAATCAGTATCGCCAAAGACAGAAACTAGAAGAACAAACCACTTGTAGTCAGAAGAATTTGGAGAACATACCTTGAGGGTCAGCTCCTCGTAGGGTAGCTTGAAGTGACCGAGACTTTGGTTCAGGCAAGGATTCCACAAATTCTGTTGTCTATAACTTGCAGTCAGCATCTTTGTGTTTCCAATCTATCCCATCCATTTGGGGTTGGGCCATACTGTCTTGCTGTAAACCTCATCCATAACCTCCTTGGGTGGCTTCCCGAACATCTCAGTGATCAGTCTGAACTGATCCACATGGTCTTTTCCAGGTAACAGGACCTTTCCAAGGAGCATCTCTGCCACAATACAGCCAACGCTCCAAATATCGACCGCATAGCTATATCTTTGCCAAGTCAACATGATCTCTGGGGCTCGGTAGTATCGCGTGGATATATAGCCGGTCATCTGGTGACCTTGTTCTCGAGCTAGTCCAAAGTCGCAAATCTTCAGATCGCAATTCTCATTGATCAAAATGTTGCTGGGTTTGAGGTCTCGATGGATAACACCAGCCGAATGAATGAATTTGAGTCCTCGCTGAGACGGTCAGCCACAGTGCTCTGTACGAGCGAACTCAAGCAGACATACCAGCATTTGGTAAGTAAAGAACTGGATGAACTTGCCATCCAGCGGTTTCAATGTTGATTGAATCAGGCGATGAAGGTCGGTCATAATACAGTCCGTCACGAGATAGCTGTATTTCACAGGATTAGTGCTGCAAAACCTGGTGAATAGAGCAGTGCTTCACATACAGATCCTCCGCAGGCGAGATAAAAATATCCGTCATATTTATCAACTGTGAGCGGTTAGTACTCAAGTTCATAATTCATGCTGAGGCTCCCACTTGCATTATCGTGTCTTAGGTTGTTCAATAAATGAATCTCGCGATATGTCCGCTTGGCCAGGGCAGAACTATCAAATGGCTTCCCTATCTTTTTTATGGCCACGGTTTGGTTGGTCATTGAATCCCGTGCCGAGCTAATACTTGCCGTTAGTGATCTTACATCGAGCACAGTACGAAGAAGTACGAAGGGTGGGGGATATACCAGATCACTCCAGAAGCACCAACGCCTTGTGGTTCCAAATCCGTATATCGATCAGTAGTTTCTAGGGCTGTGCCCATGATCTCATGTGAAATAAATGTAGCCATGACTTCGAGGTTGCAGATGTACAAATTGAAATAAGAGTTAGATCAAACCGCAAGGAAAAATCGCGCTTATCCCACGATGTGTAGTAGTCGTCTTATACTTCCAAATCCCGGGGTTACGTCATATCACGAAAATGGCCAGGGTTAGTCAATTGGCTGGCCCGTCTTCCCACAGTAATTCCTCACGTTATTCATCGTGGCCAATTGAGTTGGTTATCTCAACCAATCCCAATACACATTCCTGGCTTCTTGAGCCGATCCCTGTGGGCCGAACCCGGTAGTGGACCTCAGCCTGCTTGATTTTTGTACTTCGAGTCCGGACTTCAGTACTTGATTGCGTCAACCAAGCCCACAGCCCTGGTATTTCTTGCATGTACCATAGGGCTAGAAGAGTCCGTCTGATATCTTGTTTCTACATTAACGGTTTACAACGTACTTCGTAGACGCGGTGTATAGTCCCCTATCCGACTCAATCTATGGAGACATACGGAGTAGTATATCACACCTCCGACACCCTCAGTCCAACAGGTAGATAGGGATCTGAACGAAGATGATGTAGTGAGTTATCTTAAAGGTTGTTTTATAACCAGTCTCGAGAATTTGATCATTAGAATGCTTCAAAATGAAGTTTTTTCTTATTGCAAAACAATGGATGGAACTCATAGGCTCTAATCGACATTAACCACAAATCCCTTGTATTTTGTATCGTATCAACACAATGTGAAAGCAAAGTCAAACCCGAAACACTATACACCGCCAGCCATATGAGACAAGGAAAAAAGAACACCTCCGAGCCAGTAAAGTCAATATCCCACCATAATATCCATTCATCCTGTTTTAGTTCCCATGAAATCCCGAGCACATCAGAGCAACTGATGATGACCCGCATCTTCATTGCTAATCACGCTACCCACTTCAGACCAGCTTGCTGGTGTATCAACACCACCAACGCTATGCTCGCCGAGGTCACTTAGAGTGCCATCTGACGTTTCATCATCGAACCCTCCCACATGACTGAAACTTCCACTCGTAGATGGGGCGGCTGAAACATCATGGTGAGACTGCATACTCTCGTGTCCAAGTAGATCTAGGCCCGCAATATGATTGTTCTCGTGAGTTACATTGGGTGCACCATCAGAGCGCGCATAATATGCCTGATGGTGGGTTTCCGTGTGGCTCGAGCCAGAGGCAGACAAGGGGGAATTGGGAGAAAAGGGATCAAAGAGGGCATCACCCTCAGGTGCTTCAGAAGTAGGCGTAAACTGGATCATAGATTCCGAGGGGTGATTTGAAGAAGCATACGAAGGAATATCGACATGCAGCTGATTCTTCCCCGGAGTAGTCGGAGGGTCGGCTTCGATGTGCTTCCCACCTCGGCGAAGAGGCTCGGAGGTACCCAAATCCACCCCCGTTGAGTTAGCAATAGGTCCTGGATTTGGTCGAGTATCATATTCATAGTCGTCATCTTTACGTAGGTTGCCCTCGCTGTCAACGAGAGCGTCAAAGCTATTATGAGGCTGATGTCGGCGCCTGGCCTGTTGCCGTGACTCAAGGAGCGAGCCTCGTCGCATGATCTCTGCACGAGCAATGCGTCTGCGTTCTTCTGCAACTTCGCCAGTTTCTTCGGTCATAGATATATCTTCTCTCATTGCTATGTCTTGCGGTTGGATCTCATCCCCGAGGTTGTGCAAGGCCACGGCGATCTTGCGGCGCGATGTATTCACCCATTGTTTAAACTGCGGAGACTCATACACAGCGATGCCGGCAGCGACAATAACCGAAACGGTAATGATGATTCCTGTATGAGACATTAGCCTCATCCTCGAGTGGGGAACTGATAAGTATACACCGCCCGGATGATTCGGGAAGCAGTTGTAGAGGATTTAGAGATGTGAGAAGGCATACCTTTAGCAAGTGGAGCTGGCATGATGGAGAGACTATTGCACTTGTGTTTTTTCTTTCGAATGTCCTTAAAGACTCACCCCGGTTATGCACGGGGCAGAGATCCTTGGAAGATGATGATCTGATGATGCCTATCCCTTCCCCTTTGCATCAATTCACGTGAGATTGCCAAGCCCTTATCATCGGCCCTAACTTCACACCGCTTTGGGCGAAGTTCCCCGCGCGTTTGGAAGTGATGGACGTGATTGCTAGCTTCCGCCTCTCAATTTGATCCTTGTACAATCGAATTGAAGAGGTACCATGATGTCTCGTCAACCTTCGCAGGGCCATCGGCCATTATCCCTCACTGAGGAGCTTGAGAAATTGGAACAGTCTATTACCCTTACACTCCAAGGTAGGACAAAAAAGTAAACAAAACCGAATAACAAACCGCTCATCTTCCATGCGTCTATCCAGAGATCGACCACAATTTCAGCCAAGCTCATCGAATAGTGACCACGAGCATATTGCCTCTAGTAGAGCAATATACTGAGCATTCCCGAGATGTTTGGGAGGGTTCCAAGGTCAGCACCCTCCGCAGGTACCACTGTAGCCAGCTCCGCTAACTCCATACAGTTCTGGAAGCAATTCTTCGAAGCGAGCGCCAATGTGTCTCTATCTGGATATGAAGAAAAGAACGACGAAGAGGAAACAGTGCAGGATACGACAGCCACGGAGGAAGAGTTGTCCACCGACATGACGCAAAGCACCACCCTCGACGAAACCATGTCCCAGGACACGCCGTCTTCCCGGCGCCTCGAGACACCCCGCCGCGACCAAGCAGAAGACCTCGATCTCACGGATCTTGCCATCTCTTCACACAGCACACCGCGTGCTTCAGGACACCACCAGCAACCCGATGATGACATCACAGTCTCCTCGATGGAGTACTCCTCCTCTTACGAGAACCTCAGACGAGAAGTCTACGAATCAGAACCCCCGTTCGAACTCCCAGACTCTTCGAATCTTCCATCCACACCAGGCCGTCAGTCCTTCTTCCCGCGCGGCGTCTCCGCCACAACACCCATGTCCTCACCTTTCCTTCCGCCCGCATCAGCCACCCAAGATCGTCGCTACCAAAAGACCTCCGACCCAGTGCTCCATCAAATGCTCGACAAAACATACCGAGTACAAGCTACACCGCTGGGTACGGGCTTCCGCAATGTTGGTGGTGGGACGAACACTCGGTCAAAGTTCAACATCACCCCGAAACCCGCCGAATCTTCCTCCAAGTATAGATTTGACGACTCCCCTATCTCAAGCCCAGAACCTGAGGTACCACAATTCCACTCGGAGGTCTTCTCATCGCCTATCAGAGGTGTCAACACTCCGGGCACCAACCGCAAGCGACGGACAAGTAGCAATCGCATGCGCGATATGCCCAGGCCTGGTATGAGTGTTTTGACACCTGCCAAGAAGTCTGCAGGCAAGTCAGCTATGTGGGATAGTGACGATGATCTGGATTATGACGATGATGATCTTGGTCCGAGTCCACCCAAGACAATGCAATTCCATATTCCGCAGAGCCGGCTGATGAGGACGCCAGGTAAGCGCTGGCCCTTGAGGTTAGTCTTTTGACTACTTGTTTGACGCTAACTTTCATTGTCTTTATAGCGAGAGAGGCTTCGAAGCGTATCGTGACTGATCTACTGGCTACTGCTGGGGCTGGTGATCTTACAGAGGACCTAGATGATGACCATAGTCCAAGTGTGATCCGTCGTATGGAGCGCCTGGAGGATGAAACCTTCTAAGTAGGCAATGCAGCGTCCATCTCTACCATTCCACCTTTGTAGTCTTCTGGTTCGCGGTTCCAGATGATATCTCTCCTCATACTTATTGCTATAATCAGCGCCCATAGCTCTGATGGCCATGAGTCATGACTATTGGGGATCGGGGCTGCATGAACACTCGATGACGTCATCCCATACAATACATGTGCCTAGTGAAAGGAGTATCTTTATCGATTCAATTTCATTAGAGTAGAGAAAGAGATACAGGACGTTGCCCGATAGTCATACATGTGAGCATAGCAAAGCAAATGTCACTTTTGGGAACTGCGAGTACCCTTAAGGCACCGGAAGAAAAAAAACGCTGAAGATAAGAAATGCAGGCTATGTACGGGCGATGAAGTCCAAGATAAAAGTAGACTCCGCCCCCTTCAGTCGTCTATAACAGTTGTTCAAGAGAGCGGTTGGGCTCTCGAGAGGGAATGGAATGGATGTGGACAACGAGGTTTGCAAACAGACCTCAATCAATGGCTGTGATGGGGGGAATGAACCCGTCGGAAGAGATTTGAAATTGGGAGTCTTAGTTCTTGCTCTCAGAGTCCTTCTTGTCATCGCTCCCCTCGGGAATCGATTCCGCCTTAGCCTCTTCGGTACCGGCCTTCTTAGCAGCCTGCTGCTTCTGCTTCTGCTCCTCGTAGAGAGACTGGTGCTTAGAGCTCAAACGCTCCTCCTCAGCAGCAACCATATCCTTCCAGAGATCACCCTCAGCAGGCTGAGCAGTGCGGACAGGCTGCTGCTCCTGTTCCTGCTCCTCCTCAGCGACCTTAGCAGCATTAGCTCGCTTCTTCGAATCGAGCAAGCCACGGCCACGGCGCTGGTCGGAGATCTCAAAGGCGGCCGAAGCACACAGCACACCGAGCGTCAGACCTTGTGCGTACACACGGGCCTGGACGAGCTTCTGCTGACCGGTCAAGCCAGGGATACGTCCGACGAGCACGAACGAGCCAATCATGGAGGCGACCCAGGTGGCACTGATGATCTTGTATTTTTCACGGCGGGCGAAGGCGGCGGCGCGGTCGGTAAAGCTGAGACCGCGCATCTCCTCGTGGCGGAGACGCTCTTCACGATTCTCGTACCATTGGTAGGCGGCGTTGCGCTCGTTCTCGTATGCGCGGGAGGCGTGGTCGGCTGCGATGATACCCATGAAGGTTCCTGACGACGTCACCAGGAAGGACTTCATGGGGAGGGTGAGGTTGCGGATAGTGTGGTAGCGGCGAGAGGCAAGTAGGACACCGGCCACGCCACCGGCGAGACCAAGGAGACCACCGACGGTGCCGCCTTGCAGGACAGCGCTATCGGGGATTCGTCAGTATGGGCTGATTATGGACGAGTGATGTGCAGAGTGAAGGGGGGTTGAGACGTACCTGTAGTGGGCATCTTCTTCTTCTTTGGTAAGGAGCTTCATGGTGAAATATGTGATGGTTTGATTGAATTGGTGAGAAAAGGTGGGCAAAAGGTCCGATATAAAACCAGAGAAGCAAAGGCCGGATCGCATGACGTGTGGTTGCGCCGGGATCTGCTCTTTTTACTTTCCTCCGGCCGTTGCCATCGGACATCACTCGGTCTCGCCCGGAATTGTCTTGCGGTTATTGTGAGCTTTTTAGATCATATTACCATATACACTTTGCTTTGGTAGTTTCATATTTCAATTTGGTACAGAATGTGGCTGCAGATGCTTATTGTAGACTCGGAATGCGAAGGTGACACACTCCCAAATCCCTCGTGTCAATCGCCGATTGATCCCGAAAACGCCCCAAACACCGCGAAAAAAAATAATTGACTCAATACATGACAGAACTGGCCAGAGCCAAGTTGGAATAGAAAGAATTACAAATCGAGATGCCGAATCTACCGACGACCTGAGGCCTTGCGTGCCGCAACCTGGCGGGCTTGCATCTTGCGGAACCGATCCTCGCCGCTGGCACCCAGAGGACGGGCATACTGAGTCTCGCGTACAGCTGTCTGGCGCGGAACCACAGTGTAGCTGACGTTGGTACGATCGACACGGGCACGGTTGTGAAGACGGGGAGGAAGTAGAGCAAGGGCGTTGGCTTCGGCTTCGATCTCCTTGGCCGTGGGAGCGGCACGCCTGACAACTTTCCTATAAAGGTGTTAGTGTATGATATGGAGGTTGCGCGGCAATGAACATACGTAGGATCGTAATCAGCCTCCTGGTAGACACGCTTCGAATAATCATCGCTGCGTTGCAGAATCGGTCGTGTCCACTCCGCCAACAACTTCTCTGCCATTTCCTTGATACGGCGCTCAGTGCGTTTGCTCTTGGTATAGAAGACAATCACCTTTCCAATACCACTAGCAATCAGAGCATCTTTGTTGATTGGCAGCTTAGTAATGGCAGTTAACAGGTCACGCTGAATATTATATGCGGGCATCGCGCCATCGTCCAGAGGTTCCAGGAAGAACCGAACGGCTTCCAATAAGTTGATCTCCGGGTCGACCAAGGCGCTGGTGTACTGGTTGCGATTGAGGAGCATGATGACTTCGGGGAGTAGCTTGAGCTTGTGCATAGCTGGTTTTCCTTCTTGGCGGTTGATTGCATCCATTTGCGCTGCATGGGTCATGCGCTTGCGCATATCCTCGATTTCGGCATCTGCCATAGATTCCAAGTCCTGGAAGTGAAATTAGTATGCATAGATAAAGAATGATCGTTTCCTGCAAAACATACAATGCCGTCTTGCTTGCGGAAACGTCTCTTGGCCGGCTTCTTCATCGCCTCGTCCATAGCACGGTCGAGAGCGCGGCGACGTCCTATGAATCATACCCAGTTAGTATGCACGATATCGGGCAGAACCCAGCGCCAATAGGGAGCAAAACATACGGGTCTCCGGGTCAAGAGTCTCCTCATCTGTATCGGGCTTCTCTTCCCGCTGTTTGCGCTCCCGTCGACGAGACGGGCCTTTTTCGTCACCTGCTTCATCAACAGCTCGGCGACTCTTCTTCTCACGACGACCCTCCTTTCGGCGCGGGCGAGTCTCGCCATCCTCAGTGCGCTTGCGCTTGTGACGACCAATGAGCTTCAAGTTATCCTCGTCAATCGCGAGCTGCGGGCGGTCTTCCACGTCAACGTTCTCGGGGTCGAAATTATCGAATTGCGCCTCATCAACCTCAGACAAAATAGACTCGTCGTCTGAGAGCTTGTCGTCGTCATCTTCGTCATCGTTTCCGCCGCGGGTCTCGTCTTCGATACCCTCTGCAGTTTCTTCCGTCACAGCATGAGCTTCAGCGGGCTGTTCACCCTCGTTGTCATCAGCAGTAACCGGTGTTGCGACTTTCTCATCAACTTCGCGATCGGGCGAGGCAGCAGGCGAGCCTGCCTTCTGGTCAAGGGAAGCGGACATGATGGTTCAGATAGGTTCAAATTTAAGGGATAGGATGAAAGAAAAGATATAAAGGTGTAGAGACCAGTCAGGGGATGTATCGCGACAAAGTCACGGTACGTTATCTGCCTATACGGTCCCGGCGCCTCTCCGCAAAGTCAACCGGCGCTCGATAGACCGGAACAACACAATTAATATGTAGAGCAGAAAATCAGAAGAAGAGGCACAGCGTGAGCTTGCGTGAGAATAGGGTCGATAGTATTCAAGTGGAAAGAATGAGGGGTGGCAGTGAAAGCAAAACCTCATAAGTGAGAGAAGGAGAGCGGTGGTCTGTGCTCCCGTGATTTCTTTCTCCAGTCTCCGGCCTCCGAACAACTTAGCAGCAGTCAACTCTCAACAATCCTATTATCCGATATCATTTCCAGTCTTCCTACCCTTTATCACATTCAAAATGTTTGCCCCAGGTATGATGCCGATTCCACATCCCTCTGTCCTACGAATTCCAAGCTAACGGTGTAATCTTATTCAAGGCCAAGAACAGATCTCTAAGGAAGAGCTCAAGGTCAGCCTTTCATCATGAGCTCTGCTATAATATGGCAATGGATACTAATATGATTTAAAGGCTGGTGAGATCCAGGCCAGCCAGAACGTCCAGATGGCCGTTGCTGGTGCCTTCCTCCTCTACCTGTGTAAGTCGAGTATCCCCACGAATCAACGTCTCGGAAGGGCAGACAATTCTAGAAGAGTTGGAATCGCATTCTAGTGGATTTGAGACTGATATGGTCATTCAATTCATAGCCCCCTTCGCCGTCGACTTCGTCCGCAAGTTCCTTTAAGCCGGTCGACTTCTCTCCCGCTCCACTTCCACATCCTTTCCGGGTCTTGATCGATGAATCGCTGGTTATGATTTCGCGATATCATGCAGGAGGACTAGGTGGTGGATTTTCTTAACCCTGGCATGACACCATCCGCGTCAAACTTGCATAAGACTGAGCATAGGCACCTAATATACGGAACGCTCTTGGGCTCTTCTATGTCTATACTTCTGGGATCTGGTGGGCGGTGTCAGCTAGGTGATGTATTACTACTGTGTACATGCTCGTTGTCATTTGTGCTTTACGGAATATAGAGCAAATCAATATGAAGTTGCAATATATTTGATTATACTGGGCGACGAAGCGTGGCCTTGCCATGCTGTGGTAATAACCTGAGGCTCATGTAGATAATCCCTCAAGTAAATTTTCTGGGCTTGAATATGATATTGGGTTCGTGTTGGGTCCATAGTATGACGTTGGAAAAAGAATCAAGGGCTGGGGCGAACGAACCTGTGGCCTGGCGAGTATATGCAACTTGCCATCGCCCAAAAAGGCCTCCCTGGATATCTCACAGCCATTGCTCTGATACAAATTGGGCAGCTTTGACAAACTCCCTCGGGCAGCAACCCAATGTTATACCCAATGGTTGTATAGTAGAGAGTCAAATTCCCGAAGTATAAATGTTCATATGCTAGGAAAGCAGCCCGGGAATGGTCTAAGGATAGAATTGGATGGATTTTCCTTGTGTGTACTCCGTAGCACAAAATGATCTCGTTATTCCAGTATTTAGATGTGCCGAATGATTTTTGACGACTGATGGAACACCTCATGTCGTTTCCAATACCTACTCCTACGTGTGGTCTATGGTGGTTATAATCACAAGTTGGCGACTCGGAAAGCAAATATCAAAGAGAACAGAACAAAAAGTGTTCAGCAAAGAAGATTGAATTCAAATATGCATTACAATGACCCAATCCCCAAGAACGCCAATACCCCAATGAACGTAGACATTAAGTCCAACCATGTGAAGAAATTGAGATTCAAATGGCACATGAAAGGTTATAGGGGAATGTACTCAAAGCCGAGTCGCTTTCTCCACCTCGTGGAAATCGGCCTTGATAGACTCCATCTCCTTTTGGAGATGCTGGATCTGAGAGTGGTAACTGTCCAGGATCTGCAGGATACGATTAGCGAATCCATCCAGTGCTAAGATGGTCCAATGCGGGCGTAACATACCTTCTTTGCTGTCTTCAACGTCTGCTCATCAATGTCATCCTCTGCTTGCGTCACGTTTACGCCGGCACGATCCATCTCCACCTGCAATCGCTTTGAGTGTTCGTGAATGGCCAACATGCGGGCCCAGATCTCCTCAGCGCGGCCATTGAGGGACGGGTCAAAGACGTCACGTTCCAACTCCATCAACTTATTCTTCAACTGTTCCTCTGCTTCATCCATGGCATAGCCTCTATTGCGAAGTATTTGCGTCTTGGCGGCAAGGGCGAGGCACCGCTTGCTCAGAATAATGTGCTTGCGCCGGCAATCGGCGATCTTGACGGAAATATTGAGATCGTGTCTCGAGAGAAGTCCGGTCAGGCAGTTGTTGATCTCGTGCAGACGTGTCTGCATCATAGTCAGGAAGTCCCTTTGACGCTGCGCGCGCTTGCCGAGGTCCCAGAAGCCTTTGACAAGTACAGGCACATATCCTGGACCCGGTCGCTTGCGCAAAGCCTCCTCCCATTTTGATTCGTCGTCCTCGGGGCCTGGTTGGTAGAAAGGTGCGGCTTCCTCGCCGACATTGTTGTACAGGTAAGCTCGGAATGGCGAGCTTTGGCTGGGCGCATCCCACTTGTCCTTGATAATAGCTACTTGCATAGGAACAGTCCGGTGTACTGAATGGCAGGTTTTGTCAGTGATGCTATATGGCAACTGTATACATGTGGAACTCACCTCCAGTAATCGCGCGGCCGGGGGACCAAAGGCTTGATGAGAGCGAAGGCTGTTGCTGTTGGGGTTGTGGCGTTGTCATTGTATTCTGGCCGAATTGCGATTGCTGCGGTTGCTGCTGTTGCTGGGTAGAAGCGAGACCTCCGAGACCTCCCAATCCCCCTGCTGCTTGTTGACCTCCGGAGAAAAGGCTACCTTGTGGTTTCTGTAGCGATGACCCGAATGTGGTTCCTTGCTGCTGCGGCTGCCCAAAGGTACTTGTGTTGAGGCTAGTCTGGGGCATTTGGGCATGCGGAAACAATGCGCCTGTTGCTTGCTGTTGAGGTTGTTGGGTTGCAGTGCTTGCGCCGAATGGACTCGCGCCAAATGCACTGGTTGTGGTCGATGCTGGCTGCTGGGTCTGTCCGCCAAACAGTGAGCCGGTGCTGGGGGTTGTGCTTGGCGCAGTGCCAAAGAGAGATGGCTTCGATGCGGCATTGCCAAAGAGGGAGGAGGTGTTAGCCTGCGGCTGTGTTCCGCCAAAGAGAGTCGACATGATGGGCGATCAAGAAAGGCACAAGATGTTTCCGCAGAAAAAAAAAGCACGAGACAGAGTCGGCAGGTCAATGGCCCAATGAATAATCGACACGGCCAGATTAGAAGCGCTGAATGAAAAGAGCAAGAAGCTCAGGGCGCATAGTCCAGGGATCCGTGTGGGCAGTTGAAGGTGAGAAAGCTGAGGGGTCCTTCGATGGAGCTGTCAGGCCGAGAAAGATGGGAGCCGGAGCTCGATTTGTTTGCGTCACGTGATGTGCCATTGTCCTCAGACAAATGTATTGCCCATTGAATGGGAAGGTTGAATGAGCAGTGAAGTTGTATCAGTGTACCATTTCACTTTATTGTCTCAATTTCTTCTTTCTTATTGATATATCCCATCATGGAACCAAGACTGATTCACACTGTATGGAGTATACACGCCATATACATCGAGATACCCTGGAGGGCCTCACCGCCCGGGCAACAGAGGGTGCTCACGTAATCACCACGCAGTCAGCCAATCACCGACGAGCCAAATTTCATTCCACCGCAACCCGCAGCTCTCGATCTCCAAGTCTCGTCTCAATTGCACCTCTTTCCCCTCACAGTCGTTCAGACAACCGCCGCCATGTCTCAAAGAGAAGCCCGGTATGAAACTTATTGCAATCACTTCCCCTGTCAAGCTCAAGGGGAAATGCTAACCTTTGTCTCCCTGCGAACAGCTTCAGCCAGACTGTCCTGGTGGACACCACGCCCATGCCCGACCACATCCCTAAGGTCGAGGAGATTGGTGCCACATCTGCGCCTCTTATGAGTGCAGCTTACTTCATTGGAGACCGCTGCAAGGCCTTCAATGACGACTTCATGAAGTGCAAGGACGAGGCCAATGGCCGCGGAGAGATCGAGTGCTTGAAGGAGGGTCGGAAGGTGACGCGCTGTGCCGCTAGCGTGTATGTTGCTATCTTCAAATTAGCCATCGATTCTAGGAGAAGATACTGACCATTTATAGTATCAAGGACATCAACACCCACTGCCTCGATCAGTTCAAGGCCCACTGGGAGTGTCTCGAGAACAACAACCACCAGCTCTGGGAATGCCGCAGGGCTGAGATGCAGCTTAACAACTGTGTCTTCGATAAATTGGTATGTACCCCGCGCTCTCACCCCCAATGATTGCAATTGGCTCGTATCCATCCCATCCGCCATAATCCCGGTACTATAACTAACACGCACTTTTTCTTGCTTCTTCTAGGGCCTGAAGAAGACCCTTCCTGGCGCTGCCGAGAACCAGGTCCCTGTCCACCTGCGCCCCAAGCAAAAATACGCACAGTACCCCGGCCCCCAGTGGTAAACACTTTCCCGGTTTACTTTGTTTTCTCTAGACTCGCCTTGATTGCCTTGATTGCACCCTCACCCTTCCCTCTCATAATCCGGGCAACGTCTTTTTTCTATCTCACTGTTTTATTTGGATGCTCGACCGTAAATTCGGTCTATGTTTGTGTAAATATCTCCTGGCATCATGAATGGTTACATGATTTTCTGTTCGATCTCCAGATCCTCTTTTGCTCACATGGCGTGGAGCAATGTCTCTTTCGGTCACTGTGCTTTGCAATGGGATAATCTCGAGTTTGTAGTCGTACAGACTCAACTGGTTCCCAGTCGAGTACGCCCTCGGCTCGATACATATGTAGGTAACCATTACAGTGAGTATGCTCTGCACACTACGCTTCGAGCGTACCACCTACTAGCATCCCTCTGCGGGGAAACTTCAAGGCCTTGGCTGTCTTTGCGGGTTCACCAAGACACTACAGAGTCTCACAGTGTATACGACATGTCCTAGCTACGTTTTCCAATTTTTGATCTTGTCCAACTCATAGGCATCGGACATGCTGGGTTCTCGTCCTCGCTGCAGAATGCGAGATCCAGCCACCGTTTGTCACTTGCAGCCATCTGAACTTACATTCCCTAAGTTCTCGTGATGGTGCTGTGTATGTGGAACATTTGGATTAGGTGGTGTATACACACTGGCAACTCTAGTGCATCAATCAATGCTCCATCACTTCCTGCGGATACACCGCTCACCATCCTGTTCCATGGGGCCACTAACAAAGCTTTGGGTAATCTCGGTCTATTCAACGTTGACTCCATCCTAGTCGAAATACCGATCTGGACCGGCCTACTCTTGGGGGCTGAGCTAAGGCTTAGCAACCCTTCTACAGAGCCTAGACTAGAATAACAGTTCTGTTACATTTCATACTCCGAATCGATCCATTTCTTCTCGTCGTCTTTCACCTGACTCAGTTGCAGGGGTTCAGCTTGCGTTCCATGTGCGCAATTGACTTCTATCTCCGGGCCTCCGACTCCTAGTGTAACTGACCTCCAGAGATGATATGAGACATGTTTAGGTACATTTGATTGAAATTAGATCTTATACTTGCTACTTGCCACAGCATAGCTCAACAGCATGGGTTGGTCTTTGCATTGTATCTGCGATATCCGACGATATATAAAGGAGGTATTGGTGCCCCAAAGATGCATGAGTACAATGACGAGAGACTGAGGGATACGCTTAGATCCCGTACGAGGAGCGGACCTCCGGCATCTATCTATAGACATGAAGACAAACAAGAACAGAAGGATAGATGCAGGTATCCAAACCCTCCACGAACTTCCGTGCATGTGCAACACACCCAATACATATCTATACAAAAGCCACCCTCGATTCCCTCATGATTCTCTATAACTTTGTGCTACTTGCCTCTATAATCCAAGCCCACACGCCCAGGTTGACATGAAGTCGACAATATTCTTGATTCTATCATTATGGAGAGGCGTTTACCACGCCCAAGCCGCGGCCGTCTTCGCCCACTTCATGGTACAGCCCTCCCTTTCTTGCTATTACAATCCATAAACCCCTACTAACCAACCCTAGCTATATAACTCGGAAAACTTCACCGTATACGACTGGGAAATCAACATCGCGCAAGCCCAAAAGGCCCACATCGACGCCTTCGCCCTAAACATCGCCTACAACTACCCAACCAACAACCGCTCCCTCGCAAACGCCTTCACAGCCGCCAACGCCCTAAATTTCCAACTCCTCTTCTCCTTCGACTACGTCGGCAACGGCGCCTGGCCCGAAGGCGAAGTCATCGGCCTCCTCCGAAAATACAGCAACAACACAGCCTACTACCAACACGCCGGCAAGCCCTTCGTCTCCACCTTCGAAGGCTCCGCCAACGCCACAGACTGGTCCACCATCAAAAAGCACACAGACTGCTTCTTCGTGCCCGGGTGGTCCGCCCTCGGCGCAAAAGAAGCCCTCGCCGTCGCACCAGGCGTCCCAGACGGCCTATTCTCCTGGGCTGCATGGCCCGAGGGCCCAGAGTCCATAGACACATACGTCGACTCGACGTACATGCAATGGCTAAAAGATACCGGCAAGTTGCCGTACATGATGCCCGTCTCGCCGTGGTTCTACACGAACCTGCCCGGGTACGGCAAGAACTGGATCTGGAATGGCGATAATCTGTGGTTCGACCGGTGGCAGCAGGTGCTCGCGCTGAAACCGGAGTTCGTGGAGATTATCTCCTGGAACGATTATGGCGAATCGCATTATATTGGGCCGTTGCATGAAGGCGCGTACGCGACTTTCGAGTACGGTAATGCGAGCTATAATTATGCCCTCGGTCATCCGCATGATGGGTGGCGGGATTTCTTGCCGTTCTTGATTGATATTTATAAGGGACATAAGGCGAATGTTTCCACCGAGGGAGTGACTGTTTGGTTCCGGCAGACGCCTGGGGATGCGTGTGCTAATAGTGGTACGACGGGGAATACAGATACGCATGGACAGAAGGAGTTTCCGCCGATGGAGGTGTTGCAGGATGAGGTGTTTTATTCTGCGTTGTTGAGGTCTGGGGAGGGGGTTGATGTGACTGTTGAGATTGGGGATACTGTGCAGGAGGGATCTTGGAAGGAGAAGCCGCGTGATCAGATTGGTATTTATCATGGCAGTGTGCCGTTTGATGGGAATACTGGACCGGTGGTGGTGACGGTGTCTCGGCGTGGGAAAACCATTGCTGAGATGCGTGGGGCGTCGATTTCGGAATCCTGTGTGGACGATATCCAGAACTGGAATGTTTGGGTGGGCTCCAATTTTGCGAATAGTACGCCTTCGCATACGACTTCACCGGTGCCTGCGCCTACGGCTTCGGTCTCTGCGGCCTCGGCGCTGGTTCTGGTTGGGAGACTTCCGTTCATCGTCGTCTTTGTGGCTGTGGTTGCGACTCTGGTAGCTGCTACGGCGACATCGCCGGGACATGAGAGGTTGGTTTTGGATATCCCTGCTGTTTCGAAGTTTGCTCCATCGGCCTATACTGCTGGCATTGGAGATGATGGACTTGGAGGCCTGTATAGCTATGGTAAGGGCTATGGTATGGACTCAATCAATGGCTACACCTGTACGACAACGGATGCTGCATTTGTGCCTTTCGTCTCAAACGAGGCTACGACTTGGGCACACGATCCGTCTTGGACATTGAGCCGGTCTTGACAATGGCAACGGTATGGGGCTTGCAAGAATCGGCATGTTCGATGAGAATTTGGCTATCACTTTGTGATATAAGTTGAAGCATAATGTTGATGATATACGATACGAACCACATCGGTCGATATATCGATGTGATGATTAGTTGTTTCCGATGCCTTTGAAATACTATCAAATTAATATCCTACCGCAATGAAAGAGGGAATCCAAGATCACGAATCACGACGGCGTAGCTTAAAGTCCCATGGCTTCTAACAGGAGATACGCAGTAGATATTCTATGCACAGCACACTTGAAGCAGCAAAAGAAACGGTATATCAATGTCTAAGCTCGAATTCTAAGCTCCTCGCTCGGACCATAGCAATACACCACCAGACTGATGTTTGCATCTATCAAGGACCAGATATAAATGACCATCTTGAGACACAACATATGATACACAGGACAGAAACCAGAAGTCCCAGACAAAGGAAAAATAGGAATAAAAGCTCCCGAAACCTGAAATTGAAACCCATATATACTGGGACAAAAGAAAGAGGACAAAGTAGACACAAGAAAGTAAACAGAGAACACCAGATGGACAGAGGTGATGTGGGAATAGCTGAAAACAATGCCAAACAGAAAAAAAATGCAAGATGACGAATCGAGAAGAAAGAAAGAAAGAAATAAAAGAGACAAGAAAAGGCCAAAAACAACCATATTACAACCCCCATCTCACGGAAGTATAGGTATATCGATCATCTTCAGGAGTTTGAACTTCACCAATCTCGCCTTAACCGCCGCCCAGCCCGTCTTAAGCCGAGCCTCGACACGACGATCACCTCGTACACGCATCCAAATAAGCAGCATGCCCAGCATGGCAATATCAAACACGATCTGCCGCACAGCAACCCAAATCATCCACTTCAGCCACGCCCACAGCCCCGAGCGACGACGCTGCGCCAAAGCCCGAGCCTCCATCTGCTCGCGCACCGCCGCAATCTCCGCCGTCATTTTCGTCAAGGCCTGCTCGACTCTGCGACGCCAGCGACTATCATTCGAGGCCCCCGACTGGGACCGAGCATTCCCGCTCTCTATACTAATCCCCGACGCCGTGCTGCGGCGTTTCGCTTTTCGATGTGAGCGGTCAGTGTCGTTTGTATGGGTGTGTGTAGTGGTGCTGGCATGGTCATCGTGGTCTTGTTCTCCGTATAAACTATCCCGGGCTTCTTCGAATTCCTCATCATCCTCGTCCTCCTCTTCAGGCTGACCATCCCGACCCCCGGGATCATCCATCGACTGTTTCCGTCGACGATAGTACTCTCCTTCCTCCGGCTGGCTGACGGGGCTGAGAACGCGTAACCGCGAATCATGCCGATCTGAATCCGCTCGATCAGGCCGGTCGTCTTTCTCCGGCGCCAGTCGACTGCCGATACTCCCGTATGCGCTGCGCGATAGCGGCGGGACGCCGACTGTGTTTAGGGGGCTGGAAGCGACGGAGGAGGCGTTGTATTTGATCTGGTCCCAGACGAATTCGAGCTCGGCGACTAGTTCGCGCGCTTCGGGGGTTTGCGATGCATACTGGTGCATTGTGTCGATCAGCGTGGAGATGTAGCGACGTTTGGCTTCTGTTCGGGAGATGTCGCGTTGCGCGTACCAGGCGTCCCTGGTAGAGGAGATGTCAGTCATCGTGGAAAGGAAAGGGAAAATCGGGCCAGATGCTCATGGCTCGACGTACCATTTCTCGCACTCGGCGTGCACCTCTGGTGTATTCCCAATCGGTCGATCCATCACTCCCTCCACATCCCCCTCTGTTCCAGTATTAGCGGCTGGTCCACTCCATCGCGGCTTCGTCGCTCACCCATGCTCTGCTTGTATAAGCCATATAGGGCCAGGCGCTCTGCGGCCGGAGGTCGTGCAGTGCCGGTCCGGGGTATCCTCTTAACGGTATTAAGGGCATGAACAAAGACTCGATCTGCAGCAACGGGAACGGATGTCAACGAATAATCCCCGATGCAGGGGAACCTGATTGCAGAACACGCACCTACAGAGTCCGACATGACGCGATAAGCGGTCCGGTATGCCCTGTCTTCATGGGAGCGGGGTTGGGCATCGGCTGGTGCGGGTCCTCATGGGGAACTATATCGAAGAGCAGCGGCGAGCTGGATATATGGGAGATCAAGGTGTTTCGAGCGATGCTAGAAGGGGGGTTGGATTGATTGGAAGGGTTGTGAATTGTTTTGAAGATTCCGATAGGAGCTGTGTTCCTGGAATCGGGAGAGCGCTGTGATGTTTCCCCGGGTTCCCCGGATTTGACGATAGTTTAAGTGAACCAAATCAAATGTTTGAAAAGATCAAAGTCGACTTGTCTTGTGCCTCCGAAATGTGGCGTGTGGTTTTGGACCGCGGCTCTCGGCGATCGTCAGGGCACTTGTGATTGCGTTGGGTTCCTCGTGAATTTGCATTTCCTAAGATATGCTTAAGATTACAGGGTATGTGGCGCTGTTTTTTTTATTCTCTGTTAATAGTTCCATAGCTAGCAGTAGTATACAATTGCAAGAAAAAAAAATGAATGCTCTATTCGCTAGACATCTTCTTCGTCTTCTCTAGCGGTTTCTCCGCATCCACTGCCGTACCCGTCATCAGCTCCGTGGCCGCGCGCGCTTCTTCCCTACTGACCGGAGGTCCAGTAAAGTGTTTACGCGCATATACAGCGTACCAAATAACGCTGATACTCGCGAATCCAGCGAACACAACGCTGGCATAGTTCATCGACTCAGGAGTAACCGGCAACGAAACCGGCATACAGAAGAGAGCGATAGCCAGAACAATCCACGCAATGGTAATGGCATTGATGGCGAATCCATATCTTCCCAAGGAGAACGTGGAGTCTTTCACGTCGCGACGGCCCCGAACCAAGGAAATCAAAATCGGGAGACCATACGAGGTCGACAGACAAATGGTAGCCACGCCCGTGAACGAGTTGAATGCAGCCGTGGACCCAAAATAGATCAATCCAAGCAGACCGTCAACGACCGCCGAGAGCACTACCGCCCAGACCGGCACATCCAATGTTTTATTCACCCGGCGCCAGAGCTTGAAGCCCGGGATGGCACCATCGCGCGCAAATGCGTACGTGCAGCGACTGGCGGCTGTGAGAGATCCGATGCCGGCGAATAGCATAATGCCGAGGATCAGGAAGAGCAAGCCGAAGCCACCGCCCGCGGAGCCCGTCACGGTCTTGAAGAGCTGGCCGATCGGTTGCCCGCTGGCTACGTCTCGAAGCATCTGCACATCGGGCATCACGAAGAGAAGCGGGACTAGGTAGAACAGACCGGTGACTCCAGCAGCTACTACAGATAGCACGATTGCCTTGGGCACCTCGCGATGCGGGTTCTGTACCTCCTCGCACATGGCTGCGACCATTCCATAGCCTGTTAGGGTGTATGCTGCCTGCAGCAAGCCCACGAAGAAAGCCCATCCCGAGGGCCAGCCACTGGTGGAAGCGTCGAACTCGCCGAAAACGAACTTGGCGTCTCGGCGGTTGTCCGCCATGGTCAATAGCGTGATGAGGATAATCAGCACGCTGATCGCTGTCCAGAAGATGCAGATCTTATTGATGAGATCGAGATAGCGCGATAGGAAGATATTCACCAGTGCGCAGAAGAGCATTACTGCCCAGAACATCAAGACGGTCTGCCAAGCGTTGGCGACGAATGATTCATCGAAGAGCGAGATCGCGCTGAGGATCAGCTGGCCGCCGGAGAAGATGATGCTCAGAGTAACGGTCCAATTGCCGACGAGGGTCAGCCAGCCGTCGATGAAAGACATCAATGGTGCCCAGCGCGGCGTGGAGAGCATCGCACTCCAGTAGTATACGCCTCCCGCTGTGGGGTAAACGGCGCAGATCTCGGCGAGAGACGCGGCGATAGCGATTGAGATGAGGGTGACAAACACCCAACCCCAGAGAATCGTAACGGATAGACCATCGGCGAGGGTGACGTACAAGGTTGTGCTTAGTCCAAAAGGAGCGGCCATGATCGCAAAGGAAAGGCCGAGAATGCTCAGCATACTTAAATTTCGGGGTAGTTCACTCTTGTAGCCCATGCGGGCCAAGGCCTCGTTGGCAGAGGCATCGGCAGATGAATCTCGCATGATGGGCAAGGGAAAAAATGAGGAGCTTCCAAGGTTGTCCCGATGGTCAGTATCTAAGCTTTAAAGGATACAACCCCGCATGAATGACAGCGGTCCGAGACCCTTGACGAGCAAAGAATTCTGGAGGTTGGCTTATCGTGGATTTTTCTGTCTTTCTTCTTTACTGGCTGCTCTTTGGCTCATTGGCTAACTAGCTTAAGGGCTAACTAGCCCATTAGGCGTGTCTTACTCTCCTAAAAACCCCTGATAAGAAACACGGCTCTCGACCCACTTGGTTTCCACTGTGGCATCTCCTGATATCAAGAGTCGAGGTACGGAGTCAGAGACGAAGACTGCTCTGCAAGTCCGTTATATACTATCCCCCCTGTACAACATCTACACCTGCAGCGGCCACCCACGTGGGGGCCTGGTCCCTTTAGCGGCTGCGTCCTGCGAGATCCCGAGGTCCCTGGGAGACTCAAGGGGGGCTCAAGTACGAAATATGTGACAAACCGATAGTGGCTATTTAAAGCAAATCCTCGGTTCGGATATGCATATGGAAAGAATCACTCCGAGTTTCGTTTCCGTATCTTATAGACAGAATGCGGAGATCCAGCCGTTTCGAGATCGACAGCGGGGTCCCGCGAGCCAAGTTTCTCTGTGGCCGCAGTTCTTTCGAACCAACTCCTCCGGAAGAAGGAAGGAGTACAAGAGGATAGGGCCGGAGTACTCCGTCCACCTGCATAATACTCCTGCTCGGATACTGCATCAACCATCAACCCGAGATATTAGCTTTATTGCCAGCACACCGCACCGGAATCTTGTTTCTACTCTGGGATACGAGCTGCATTGTGGGGTAGGTTGGGTTCCCAAGGCTCGGAGCCTGAATCCGGGACTCGGCTGCCTGATGTACGAAGTGGGAGCCCGACGAGACATTTACATCCGAGGCTGTGAACCATCGACGGAATACACAACGTGGAGATACAGGAATCTCTCTATGTAGGCGAAACACTACAGACACAACTTCTTGAATAGTCTACAGGTTACGCTTGGAAATGGAATATTTGAATGATTCATTGCACACGTACATCAAGGTCACGCAAGGTGACGGCTGCCACATCAGGAACATGCTGCGAAGTCTCCATGGGAAAGATTCCGGGAGCCGAGCAATCGATGAGCGCCAGGATGGAGATATCAACACAAGGGAAGGGTGGAGGTCCAGAGAGAAAACACAGTTCCCGATCAGATGAAAAGCAGGGTCCGTCCAGATTCACACCCTTCCCTTGGGATTGGTAGAGCAGGGATAGAGGGGGGGTATCAAACGGGGATAAAGCACAAAGGTCGTCCAGTGATCTCGCTGGGGTGAGAAGAAAAGAAATTTTTTTCTTGTTTGATCAGATATCTATTGGAACATGGAGAGATCAGTGGGGAAGGCGGGGGCGAAAGTAGGCCCTGAGTGTTGAAAGGGGCGGGAGAGAGACGGGGGAAAAGGCTGGGAGGATTTTTTCGGCCGCAAAGGAACCGTGCAAGTGAAACTCTATGTGACCACTCTAGTAGTCAAGTAGTCAGTTGGACCGCCTTTTCCGAGAGGAAGTTGCGCCTTGAAAGAGGGGGGGGGAAAAGGATCGAAAGAAAAGAAAATGCGCTGAGTCGTGACCAGCCAGCTAGTGCCAACTCCATATCGTTAAAAAAAGAAGAGGAAAACAGGACCCGTGGTGACGGAACGATCGTCAGTCGAGGTCGGAGGGGAAAGGGCGGGTAAAAAAAAGACAAGAAAACGCCCATTCATGCAGAGTCGTCAGTCCGGTGAAGTCGTTACATGAGATATGCAAATACAGTCGCAGAGGGAAACAAACGCGAGGTCAAAAAGGTCAGGAAGATGACAAGACCAACATCTATGGACTCAGGCCAAGATCCTCATTCCCGTCGGGGCCAAAGCCTGCCATGTCGACAGAATGCAAGGATCCGGGGCCTTTGCCTAGGGAGATATCGGAAGATGCATAGTCATGTTTGAGTCGTTCATGCGGTCCGAAGATATGTGGTCCGAAGAACGGTCGGTGCTCATCATTTGGAGTGTTGCCATCCCCAGCAACCCATGGCCCGTTCTGCCAGAAGCGAGTGTTCGCTTGCTGGTCTCCGAATAGATCGTGGTGGTCGGGATGCGGGTCGGGGCCATGGATGGGGAACTCGTTCGGCGACTGGAATCGTAGATGCGACCGACCAAAACTGGAGCATGGAGAATCGGCATGGAGGGGCATGTCTAGACCTGACAGAAGGGGAGGATCTTCCACGGGGGTGATGTCGATGGTCGGATTTTCGGTTTGTTGTGCCAGTGCTGCTGACAGTCGGAGATTTGAGGCTGAACTTTGCCGGCTATGACTAGTTGACCGCTGAATGGCACGCTGTACGAAGCTACCACAGGCCTTCAAGATCTTTTCTTGTTGCTCACGTGGCAGATTGTTGAAATAATCATTCGACAGCGATGCCTTGGGCGGGTCGTCTGCCGCAGGAACCAGTCCGTACGTAGTCTTGGCATATTCAGAGAGTCCCGAGGGCATGTTGTAGGGAGACTGGTAGACATTGGGTGCCAGTGACCGCTGCTGATCGAGGTAGGCATATTTGCCCGGCATCTTAGCCGCCGCCACGCTACCTCGATCAATCGTCTCTAGCTTGATACCCTCCGACTCCTTCTTCTGAATCACATCAAGTCGCTCGCGGTGGCTGACCAGCGAGAACCGGAGCATCTGAAGGAGCCGGGTGACCTCCTCCGACCGCATGTTCAGGGTCTGGGGCGGCAGCAGAGTCCCATCGGCAGCTCGCGGCTGCACGCGTTGCTGTGCCATGGCCAGCTCCAGCTTCTCGAGCCCATTGGCGGGTGGTATTGAGCCCATGGGGCCCAACAAGGTCTCCACCACCAATTCGGGACTGACGATGGTATATCCCGCAAAAACATTGGCATGGTCGGTAATCTGCGCTAGGCGGCGGCGGGCAATAAGTTCTCGAACATTGGCAAAGGTATTGGTGGATGTGAGGTGATGCTGCTGCTGAGCGTGCGACTTGGCGACCGACGGGTAGGGGGCATGACGGGCAGAATTGGGTAGTGTTCGAAAGGCCGACGGCATCGCAGGAGCTCCAGCAGCAGCAGCACCGGCAGCAGGGATAGGGGGAGGGGGAGGGGCGAGGTGCTGCAAAGCAGAAGAGGGCGGTCTGGAGTGTAGGTGAGGGGTGTTGACATTCGATTGATGTGTTACTTGGTAAGGATTTTGCTGGTTTTGCAGGTTTCGCTGGTAGGGAGGGGCAGGGGCGGTGGCAGCATAATGAAAGTGGTGGTGGGGTGAGATCTTCGATGCACGAGCGCTGACACCAACGCCAAGCGACTTGACGCTGTCCAGGAAATTGGCCCGAGGGTTGTGGATGGACACGCTAGGGTTGTGTGTATAATGTGCCCTACTCTCGGTGGACTGCGTGCCCAAATAATACCACATCTGTTCGCCCAGCTGAAGGTTGACTGCGCTGAGTGGGGCGAATTGGTTCCTAGTTCCATCCACTGTTTCGAATTCGGCCCACTGATAGGGAGATCGTGAATCGCCAAATGCACTGCCTGCCGCCGGTACCGCTGATTCCAACTCCTTTCGTTGTTCGGGTTTTCGCGCTAGGTGGGCTGGGAGGGGTTGGATTCCCAGCCCGAGAGGTGCGAAATTGCTCTTGCGAACGACGAGCATCCAACGATAGGGCATTTCGATCACATCTCTGCATGGTGGTTAGCGTCGGCACAGGAAACCAATAATAAACATAAAAGCGGGACCCAAACGGGAAGGCGGAAAAAATAACTTACCCTCTTGGGAGTACCTTAAGCAAAAGCGTTCGCTCCGAAGGACGGTTTTCAAGCACAATGGCGCCATTGATTTCCTTGTCGGCTTGGAATTGGATCAAATTTCCTTGCACCAGACGACGGGCTGATTCGATCACACGTCGATCCACATCGGACGATTCACCCAGGACTCCATTCGGTCGCTTTTGACGATGGAACTTGCATTTCAAATCAACGCTCGGAATTGAGTATTGACACCCATCATCGGCAATCACGGCAAGCGCACCTTGCTCGACTTGAACTCCAGCCAGAAGGGCACAAGTTGCATGATAAGCGCGGGTGCACTTGCCAAAGTTACACTGGAAGCAGGCACCGCGGACTTCGCGGCAAAAGAGACACTTGAGACCCAGGCGAGCCTTGGGTATTTTGTCAATGTCACACACAACTTCCGTACCGGATGCGTCCCGGAGGATGGTAGTTTCTTCGATGAATGCCGCACACCGTCTATGCGCATGCCCTTTGCCATCGTCGGTCGGAAGCAGATCCTCATAGTCCAAGTTGTTAGGGCATAGTAAACACGGAAGCTTCCGCGGTCCTTCGGGGTGGAGTCTGGGTCGTTTGGTGATCGGCCCCTCACCCGGGTTCTTCCGTTTTCGGCCACGGGTAGAAGATGCCTTCTCGGGCACACTACGTGGGGGTGTAAGAAGGTCTGAAGCACCTTCGAACCCGTCGAACTCGCTTTCAAATTCACCGTAGTAATCAGGGGTGCTCTCGCCACGGAGCTTGCGCTCAATTTCATCCACATCGATCCAGACACTATCTGCTTCGCAATGACACTTTTTGGCGATGCGAGCATAGTCTAACCATTGTTCGGTTGCGAAGTTGACTGACTCGGCACAATTGTATCCGATATTGTATCCGGAGTGATACCCGTAAGGGAAAGTGATAACAAACTCCCCTTCGTAGTGAACCAATCGGTTGACGGTGATCCCGTATTGCGATTTGAGAAGGCTAGGCGAGACAAGATAGGTCTTGTGGCGAAGGAATTGACTGCAATTCTTCGCATCGCTAGACCAGATGCTGCGCATGGCTTGTTCAAAGCGAGGTGCATCTTCTTGGGAGATGCTGTACCACTGCTTCGGGGCACCGAAGTGGATGTAGTTGATGCTGTACAAATCTACATCCTCGAGATGCCAAGCGAATGTGGCCTTCCACATGCCCAAGTATAGATAAGCAGTATTGACTCCAGGAACTTTCTGTCCTAGGACGTCGAGCAGATTCGGCAGCTTCGCGACATTCCAGGATTCTGTGGAGTCCTCGAAGAGCGAGCCAGGCATGTCAGCACCGTACATAGGATTGTTGTACATCAGCGACTTCCAATAGTTCGTCTCAAGCTCCTCGCATCTTTCTGCGGTGTAATCTTCGTTGTCGTGGATTCGGTAATCAAAGCCCTTGTAAGCCTCCTCGTCGAATTGATCTGCGGCCTCCCCCCGATTATTCTTTCGACGGGAGGTCACGGACCTAGGTTGTCGTCCCTTGGGTTTTGTGGTAGGTAGGGACTCGCCTTCGCTCAACTCCTCGGTCTTGGTCTGCACGGGATTGGTCTCGGGTGATACAGGCGTCGGAGGACCCTCTAATCTGGATTTGTCGGCATCATCGGCAGGGGGTTCCTCCTTGATCTTGACCTGGTTTGACCGCTTGGGAGGACGGCCAGGCCTGCGCTTCTGAACTTCCGGTCGAGCAGAAGGGGGTCGCGGTGTCGGGGCTGCGCGGTGCACGCGTTCTTGATTTCGGCGTCTCTCTCCTCGGCGGGCAGGTGGTTGGTGGCTGCTTTCTTCACAAAGACCTTTCCATTGTGGAAGGTTGTACGTGCGTTGACGTTCGATATTGGCCTGGGTGTATGTGCCGTGGGATCCGTGGAACTCTTGCATGATGGGGTTCTTTACACGAATTCGTTTGACTGCCTCGTCCAGCGGTGGAAGAGACTCGGACCTTCACGAGGTAAAAGAGCGTCAGCACCGCCATCCACTTCGGTCGAGATCTGAAGAACTCACCATTCCTTTGGGGGGATGACTTTCACAATGCCCGCTTGCATGCCATGTTTATTGATCTTGTTGATAAACCCCTGGAAGTCTCGGAATTGTTCCATCGTCTAGAAAAATACCCCGGTCAGCCTGGCTCACAACTTTATGCAGGATCTGCTACGCAGCCCGACACAATAGGTCGAATATCCGCCTCTATCAATCGAGCAACTAGGCACCGTACTCACCGGCTTGAAAACTGGGATTTTGCCGCCGCCATAGTAATGATCGGGTTCGATTTCTTCGATCTCCGTAACCTCCTCTTCTATTTCTTCTTGCTTTATCTTGGTTGTATCCGGAGCCGCGGCAGATGCGTGGTCAAGCTCGAGGTCAGATAACTCGGACGGCACGCCTTCGGGCGCTTCCTTCTTGCCGTTGGCACTCTGCGGTGGCGTAATGGAGACGGGTTCGACAATCGAGCCGCTCGCGAGCGAATCGCGCTGCGGCTGCTCAAGTATTGCTGCCATCATCGAGAGCGACAGGGAAAGGTTTCGGGAAACAATTCAGATGGTAGTTGCCGTCGTCGAATGGCGCGACCGCTGATCGACGGCGAGAAGGGAGTATTTCCCAGCGGTCGGGGAAATTGAAACAGACGCTTCAGTCGCGCGAAATGCAATAGTATTGAATCAGAAGGCACCTATTGCTGGTAAGGGGTGGCCGGGTACACTACAGTGTGTACAACGGAGGTAGTTGAAACGGATGCGATAAGCTCTTTTCGGATGATTGTTTTTTCCTGGGCTGGCTGAAAATGGAAACGTCTTAGTCAAATCACCAATAAGAAACGAGAGTTCGATGGAGGCAAAAGACGACAGGGATAGAGATTTGGTTTAGGGAGTGTAGTCAGAAGACGCCTTCAGGGTAAAAGGTCGTTTCAATAAAACCGCAAAAGCAGCGCTGGGTTCTCCATGGAAAAGGTGGAAGAGGATGCAATACCAGAAGTGGACCAATCATGCAGGTGCCGGAGACGCTCGAAGGTGGACCAGTGCACGATGGCCTGACACTACTGAAAGGAGGCAGGGGCCGGTGGGAACAGGGTGAGGAATGATGGGCTCGAAATTGGACAAATCACAGCGCGAATATGGGAAAGGTGGGAATCGTCCGATCAGAGGACAAAGTGGACTTTGGCCTAGGCGCAAAGGAGCCGCGAAATGATTTTGTATCATATCCGGTCTCGGACGGGTAAAATGATTGCCAAGTTTCAAACAAGGGGAGCAAACGACGTTCGCAAAGAAGTTCAAATCACTCACCAAATCACTCGAATGGTATTCCAATGATGCCTACTGACCAAAGACAAGAAGAAGCAAATGTGGTATCACGATGGTCGAGATAGAGCTTGGTCAAAGCACCTTGAAGCTTTCGCTGCTGGGTCACATGATATGTAATTTCAGATTATGTGATCTGTCACTTACCTGTAAGTTTCCTCCCGGCTGTAATCTATGTAATCTATCTTCACCATCCAACCACCGCCTAGCAAATGTGCAGTATTGTCACAGGCCATACAGCCAGATAATCAGATCATCTCGGATAGCGTCGGACCCGAATTGGGAGTTTTCCCCTTGATGAGATCAGTGATCAACAGTCTGTTTCATGTGAATTACAACGGAGAGATTGGTATTTATGGCTATACGCTCTGGCCTCTACACTGTACAATATGAGGTGATTCATCCATAGGTGAACCTGGAATACATACATACGTAAGGTAGGTAGGTACATGTAGTTTTCTGGGTGCTAGATATGTAGGCCGACCAAATCAATCGAACATCAGCATACTAGGTACATACGCCTGTGACTGGAGACGTACATGTGCATATGGGTATGCACTACTACACTCGATACGCACACTTCAACTCTCCGGTATCTTCCCGTGTTATTCTTTAAAAAAACATTTCTCTCGTACCTCATCCATGGATATGTATGTGGACTACGGAGTACCTACATAAGGTGGCTACATGTACATATCGAGTAGTATGATGTCATGAGCCTTCCCTGGTCTATATAGATCCAGTGGCCTGTGCGGCTCAACCCTCACTCCTCGCCATTATCAGATCAGGCCATCGGCGCGCAACATTCCGGCTCGCAACATTCCGTAACTTTTAGTCTCGCTTCCTGTGCCTAGCACTTGCGGGGAATGGTCCGGGCTGCAAAAAGAAGAACCGCGGGGAAAGAAAAATATTTCCCCAATCAACAGTGCGGACATATTCCTAGGTAGATCATGACGCTTGTTGTTAACGAGGGCAATGTTTGGGACATGGATTGTGTAGCAAATGGAAAACAATGGTGGAGCCCAGAATCTTTCTTCTCAGTCGAGCGAGCCAGATTAGTTCCTTGGCTGACTGGGGTTTGCCGATCTGTGGATGTACGAAGGGCCCGTTGTTCTGCGATCTCCAAAATCTAATATTAGTTGCAAGACTGAGCACAGACGCTTGGATCACCCTCTAGTGTGAGCGTTCACTATGTGACTCTATTTGACTATCTAAATTCATTGTACCCATTCTTCGAACAGTTTAGCATCCAAAGTGGTATATCCAGCGACAACATCCAGTCCCCGCAGTCGTTCCTGTTCGATACGCTCCCAGGTCCATTCTTCGACATTCCACGAGTCGGTATTCTCCTTTTGTTGCTTCGCGAGTGTCTCCTGGTTAGGGATCTGGTCATCGTTCATCTTGAGTACCTCCCGAACCAATGACCCATCGACGCCTGTGGTGGCTGTGATACCTTCGCCACTAGCAGGGGTGTCGACACCTGAAGCATCGGCGGAGGAATCAACTAGCGCGGGCTGATCTTCGCCCTCTGGAGCGGGAGGAAGGAACCCACCAGTGCGCAAAAGCCGCTCTGGTGGAACAGTGAGCCGTCCCTTTTTAACAACGTACTTGCTAACGGCCACAGCAAGCACATCCTTCTCGCCGCCACTCCGGCGCGCAGGCCGCATGAAACAAGTCAAGATGTACATCCACTTCGCATCCCAAGAGATCACCTTGGAGTGCATCTCATATAGCTCGAAAGGCTTGATTTCGCGCTTGAACGTGCAGTAGACGGATCCGAGCACAATTGAGACTGGCTTACGCCGTGGCGCAGGTTTTCCGTCCCGTTTGCTTGCGGCAAGGAACTCCTGATCTAGCTCCTTGCTCACCATGCCAACTCCAGGACTATAGATACGGCTCACGAGCGCTGTACGCGAGATGTCCAGGTCAGAGAAGTAGGTACTGTTAGACTTGTGCAAGTTGTAATCGGTCTCCAGCAAAGGTGTGCGGGATGTGACCATGCTTGGCACGAAGATGGGATGTGTCGGTTTGCCTTTGGAGTCCACAATTGCCTTCCCCTTGGGATGAAATGGGGCGCTAGGTTTCAAACGCAGGTTTCCCAAAACATGATACAGCACACGGAACTGGTGACTCGGTCAATAGTGTAACATACGGCGGACTAGACGCCTAGCGCTATCACACGAACAAAACTCGATCGTGACGGCCGGATAGGGAACAAGGAACACTTACGTGCCAAACGAATGGGAGATTTTTCAAGTTGATAACTGCCAGAAGCAATGCCAGGTTCCTCCATGAGACAAGCGACATTGCGCCTGCTAGAACCTCGCGTACATTCTCCATCTCAAGGGATGATGGGATGGCCGATGCTATGATCGTATCCAGGCGGGGGAAAAAAGAGAAGGAAAAGGGGGGAAGGACGGTAGAAGTCCAGGAGTTGAGCCCGAAGAAAGCCAGCCCAGCAAAACGATCTGATAGTCTTGTACGGAGTATAGGTCCACTGATAAGGAATGACTGTGATCTATTCTTTTTTCTGACTCCGGTTCCTCTATTCGTGTCCTCGCAGATAATGTCGAGGGATCATGCAGGCTTGGGTACGCTTTAAGGAGAGACGGGGCGTATCACAAGGAATGAAGATGACCATCAGCCCGAGCGCGCAATTGATAACTCTCAACGCCGAGCCTGCCGATCACAGATATAGCGATTTCCCGTTTTGTTGGGACCGAGGCCAGCACGTGAGATCTTGATTAGTCACGCCAAGCCCTCGGCAGCCCTGGGGTAAGGAGGGCTGGTCTATGATATCTATTGAGATTACAGGGTAAAAGTCAATTACTACGGTGATATCTCTAGTTTTAGGATGCTTTTTTTTGCTTGTGCTTGCTAACATTTAAGTAATTCGAATGCATAACGCAGAAAGAACCCAATTGTGGGAATATATCTTGGCGCGGACGAACTATATAATTTTGATCATTATTCCGAACTTTGATCCTACAATGCGACGAATAAGACAATTCCATAGCTATTAACACAAATTCTCCTAACAATGCTTGTGTTATAGAAAAGAAACACTACATTGCCTCATTGGATCTAACAAGTGGCTGTGGCTGGGATCTCACCAAATCATCTGCTTGGATGTCAGGATTGTGAGCTATCTTTTTTGAGATGAGTCGACAGAAATGGGAGATATAGAAGAGCCTGACTTAGGAAACTGATATCAAAACTAGTTGCACTACGCAGATGTACTGTTCATCATTGGCCAAGGTAAATCAAGGTAAATGGCGCTTGAAATGCAGTGAGAGCCATAGGCATCACTGATATACCACCTAAATCCCCTCATTATAAATCAAGTGCTATGAGGATAGCGAGGTGTCACATGTGTGAGATATAGGTATGAAGAAAGCAGAATTTGGAACAGTAGTCTTCTGAAAAGATCAGAAAGCAAACCCACCGAACAGACAGGAAAGCAGTATCAAACAAGCAGGGTGCTACCATAGGCAAGTGTGTTTTGAGAGATTTGGACAGTTCGAAATCTATCATCCGATCAAATCTCCTAGAGCCCAAGCACGAGTCAGACGTGTCTGAGGCTCAAGAACTAAAATTCGTACCATCTCAAGCCTTCCTGCCTACTTGAATGACTCTTACTTCGATGTCCATTGTTTCCGTGACGACCCCAAGCCTTTGCGATGACAACCAACCGTGCTTAATACATATTGTACTAAGCTAATTCATGTCCTATGAGACACATTCATCTTGCAAGTCTCCGCCTTGCCCGAGAAGAGCCGCAACGTTTTTGTTTACTATCCTGCTTCCTGGTCGTCACTGGCAACTCACGCATCTTGACACCACCACTTCACGCTACATAACAATATTTGAACCTCCTCATCATGTCTGAACAAATAAGCCTGGCAGGCTATCTCTTCAAACGTCTTCAGCAGGCTGGCTTGCACGCCGTGCACGGCGTTTCCGGACTGTACAACATTGGATTGACGAGAGAAGCCTATCACGCGGGACTAGAATGGTCTACACACCACAACGAACTCAATGCAGCCCTTGCTGCAGATGGATATGCACGAGTCAAGGGTATCAGTGTGCTGTTACTCTCATATGGATTTGATAATTCATCCGAGGAAATGCTATCCACAGTCTCGTTGGCGATCACTGCGTCATACGAGGATAGCATCCCAATCGTGCTTGTGTTTGGAACCCCAGAACGCAAGGCGCAAATTCAAGCTTCCCGGCACCACAACTCCTTCTTTAAGGCCCAGCCCGATGTTCTCCGGCAGCATGATATCTTTGAAGTACTCGCCGACTGCTTCGACAAAATCACTATCACCCAGGAATTTATCGTGGATCCTAAAGATGCAATTTCCCAGATTGATACCGCTATTCGGGGATGCATCATTCAATCTCGACCCGTCTACCTCGAAATTCCGATTGATCTGGTTGAAAGTATGCTACCGTCCCAGGAACTTACTCAGCCCTTGGACTTCAATGTTCCACCCAACGATATTGAGTTGGAGAGAATGGTAACGACAATTATTGTGGACAAGATCAAACAGGCAGTGCGCCCATTGATTCTTGTGGATGGGGGTGTTACCTCCTGTGGTCTTCTAAAGGAAGCAAACCGTCTAGCAAGGCAGACTAGATTTCCAACGGCGGCCACCCAATTCAGTAGAGGTTTCATGGATGAGACGCTTCACAACTTCCACGGAGAAATCTCAGATTTTGATGAACACGGGACATATTTCACATCCTCCGACCTGATCCTCTATCTCGGGCCCTCGAATATCATAGATTGGATTTATCCCGCCTTGCTCGAGTCCAAGAAACCGGGAACTATCTACTTCAACAGGGATTCTGTCTTTATCGGGGACCAGAAATACGAACTTAGCTCCAAATCTGTGGTTCAACAAATTCTGAGCTCTCTGAGCGAGATGGAACTGCCTAGCCTCGCACCCTACCCCGACCTGTCCAATCTTCGTGACAGCCTTGAGATACTTCCAACTCAACAAAATACTGGACTTCTTCGATACGACGCCTACTATACATTTTGGCGGCGGATGTCTCTCTCCTTTCGTTCGGGTGACAAAATCTTGATCGAGGTCAATACATCCCAAGATGGAGCACGTTGTTTTGTTTTGCCACGCGATACAACTGTGATCAATTATGGTCCCAAGAAGTTACCCGAATACATGCTTGCTATCGCTTCGGGTATCGCTTCGGCACAACAGGGCCTTGCGAAAATAAACCGCATCTCTACGTGCAGGCGAACAATTGTCTTCCTAGGAATTAAGGGGTTCCAAAAGGCGCAACAAGCCTTGGAGACCATTGTCACGCAGAAAGTGAATCTCATTATCTTTGTGATCAACAAAAAAGCACCTATGGTTGAAAGCCTGATGCACGCAATTGAAGCCAACCATTATGATTCGAGTTGCTGGCAATACTCAGAATCCATTTCTTTCTTTGGGGCTCCGAAGGACACTCCTTATCCAGTCTGTATTACCATTGCCAGAACATGGGGTGAACTCGATACTATTCTTGATGGCAATCGGATCCAATCCGGCATAGGATTGCACATTGTGGAGTTGATGATTCAACCTAGAGATCGAAGGGTACCTCTTCTCAGTGAAAAGTATGGTGAGCCTCCGAGCTCTCTTTCCCCAAAGAAACATCGCCTCAAGCAAGATTGATTACCGCACAGCGAAAGGGTCCAAATTGATTGTTAAATTTGAGATATGTAAGATTAGATCAGGTACTTTCCAATGAGATGTTTTAATCCCAAGTTCTCCATAATATAGGAACAGTTTGATGTAACCTTACTTCTAGATCGAGACGCATAAATGAATATGGATGTAGGTAGACTTGGAATTACATGTAGCCATAGGAGATACCTAGATACCTTCTATATATCCCCACACAAGATCCACAGACTTTGGATATAAACCTAAACACGGCTCATTCGAGTAAAAGATGGAAATCATTATATTTTATTCAAGTTAATCGACTGATAGTAATACAAAATTTGGTTGTCTGCAGACAGGCAAGCTTAGAAGATTGAGAACTTGAAACCGCCCGAATACATACCGCTAGGCACATGCGTAGGGGCCTCCGAAGAGAATGGCTTAGATCACATACTGTCATGGATTAGTAAATAGTCCTGAATAGAAAGAGAGCCCGGGGCAGAAACTCACTGGAATGAAGAGGTATGGGACCTGCTTCTCATACTCTTTCCATGTCTCACCATACTTGACTCTACACTTGTTGATATCTCTCATTGCACGATGGGTAATCATGACAGCAAAGAACACAGAGTAGAACCAGGGGAAGGGACTATTGAACCCGGTAATCAGCCCCCATGAGATGGCGAAAAACATATCACAGCTGTAATGAATCTTGCGAGCCAATCCATACCATCCATCAGCAAGGATAGTGTCGCCATTCTCCGTCACAAGGGTTTTGGGACTGTAAAGCTCTTGCCAAGGAAGTTGGGGGAACGTGTTGCGCTTCACGAACGTGCCACGCTCCATCATGCGGAAAGAGTTCTTCTGACTGTTACAGGTGTCCCAGACCCAATAGACGAAGATATATGATACAAACATTGCAGTCAAAGCATATTTGTTCCACGCATATGTCGACGGATGACGATTGGCCAAATACAAGATGGAGTGGCAGTAGGACATAGGGACACCAGCCATGTTCCAGAAGGTTAACAAGAATCCCAGCTTTTCTTGGTACATGTCCCATGTTGTGGTGATGTATTGTTCCGCCTTGCTACAGGCATTGGCATACAGGTATTGCGCCATGACTAGAAACAAGACCTCTCCGGAAATATATCCGTAGCGCTCATACTGGCGAGTGGCGGCAGCGCAGCTGAGACCGAAGAGAATGAACCATGGGACACGGACTTCGTAGAACATCTTGAAATCCAGGATCCCGAACAGACGTGGGTTCAGTTCGGCTCCCATGAAAAAGTCGTAGATTGGGTATCCAGTGACACGGTGCTGGGCACCACGAGCAATTGCCGAGAAATAAGTAACGAAGCTGGCGAGAAATCCGGAAAGAATCGCCACGGACATCAGGGGTCCGAACTCATCTAGAAGGGTGTAGATTTGGAAGAGACCGCTGTAGTGCAGAACACCCATGACAAGGATTGTCAAGTAGAAGCTGCCGTAGGCAGAGCAGTGATATTTCAATTGCTTGCCTCCCAGATGAGCAAGAGGCTTGCCATAACATGTGAACCCAGGCATGAGAACGTAGCACGCCGCCTCAAAAATGAAGTAAACCCAGTAGATGCGCCATGCTCTGAAGTGGGGAAATGCCCCGGTGTAGACAAGGTGACACAGGTGCCTGCCAAAAGCGGTCCATGACTCTCCATCTTGAGGCAGAGGTAGTTTCCCATCATAGTAGGTTGCACCGATCCACATATAGTACATCAGCAACGGGAAGCCGGTCATGAGTGCCAAGTTGCCCAGAGAACCACCGAATTCGAAGTGTCCCGAGTAATCTACCTTGGGATCCATGCCGGGTCGCCATCCACCGATGATGTGCTCTCTCGCGAATTCATTCTGGTGCGGATTTGTCCCACTGGCAACTTGAGCAGGATTCTCTTTTCGGCGAGACTTGACTTCGTTGCCCATATTTGAAACTCGAGCTATGATATTGATTAGATCGAGGATTAGTCAAGACACGGGTTGAGAAGTTCGTACTTTTACAGCCACAGAACGGCAGACACAGACGAACAAGAAAGTAGAAAGCAGGGTGGGAAAGAAAGAAGAAACAACAATAGCAAAGAGAATCTCTGTTCTTTAATATTTTGAGATTACCCCTTTGACTTGGACTACACTGTGCTATAATCAAACATTTCTCATTTTGGTTTAGACTCCGCTTCCCGTCTAGGTTTAGACTCCGCCGTTAGTGTTGCTTGCAAAAGAGCCCCAATTTATACGCGTCAATAGTCAGAGCACTGAAACAATTCCGAATGGATTCATGGATACAGAAAGGCCCCTCAGATCCTGAGGCCTCTTGGTTGGTGAATTGTTGAGTTGTTGAGCAGCGCGTGGTTTCTCATGTGTCCTGACTCTCTGCTGCTACCTGCTGTGCGAACTTGGCACTGCATGGATGGCTCTGAGCCCGCTCTGAAGAACTGACACCCAAGTCACTCAGACACTCCATGCTCGAGATGCCTATATGATCCTAGGCAAATTGAAAACACATGTAGGGGAAATCGACGAAGATGTACCTCGTACTCCCTACTCCCTACGCTTCCATGATATTGTGACGTCATGTGATCTTATCGTGGATTTGCATTAATCAGCGGCTCTTATCGGGAACCCTGGGGGAGACCCAGTTGGGGATGTTGGACTCTCTTCTTACCTCAAGTACCCATCTCATGATGACTGAGCGACTAATCTCATGAATTATCAGACTATAAACATGGATGGCAATGCCTCCGAACAGAATAGCCGCTTAGTGGAAAGGCCGTCCTTGGACCAGCCGCCTACAGATCCCATCAATGATTCCAGAACAAACGGCCAAGCTCCCGCCACGTCCCCGCAGAGCTTCACCCTGCGCTCGCTCCTTGTCGGTCTTATTATAGGTGCCCTTATCACATTTTCGAACACATACTTTGGCTTGCAGACAGGATGGATCAGCACAATGGCCATGCCCTCAGCCTTGATCGGCTTTTCGGTCTTCAAGGTTCTATCCAAGCACCTCTCCTTTCCTTTCACGCCCATTGAGAATGTTTTGATTCAAACGGTTGCGGGTGCAGTGGGGACAATGCCTCTTGGTTGTGGATTCGTTGGCGTCATACCTGCCCTGGAGTTCCTGCTGAAGCCTGGGGATGATGGGCCCGAAGGCGATGGCGGAGAAGGCGAGGGAGGCCCTTTGAACCTCGGCTTTTGGAAGCTCGTCATTTGGAGTCTTGGAGTATGCCTCTTTGGGGTTGTATTTGCGGTTCCACTGCGAAAAGAAGTCATTGTCCGAGAGAAGTTACGATTTCCGAGTGGTACTGCCTCGGCCTTGATGCTCAAGGTCTTGCATGGCTCTGGAAGTAACGAAAAAATTGTAGCTCCAGAGAGTTCCCGTGCAGGGGTATTGAATACAGAGACAGGGGCTGCTGGTCAGTCACAAGAGGACATAGGTCTCTTGAAAGATGGCGATGCTGAAGATCAAGCTTCCAAGGAGCAAGATTGGCGATCAAAGATGCGTCTCTTGGTCGGGGCGTTCACGGTATCTGGTGTCTATGTAAGTCTTTTGACTCTGAAGTTGCAAGTTCCACGCTGACAAAAGTAGACTCTGTTCTCCTACTTCGTCCCTCTAGTCCGAAATATTCCTTTGTTTGGCGCCAGCCTAGCAAAGAACTGGTTATGGACTCTCAACCCGTCGCCCGCATATATCGGCCAAGGCATCATCATGGGTCCATCAACGTGCATGCACATGCTTTTCGGAGCAGTCCTCGGGTGGGGAATCCTATCGCCACTGGCCAAGAGTCGCGGCTGGGCTTCTGGCCCAGTGAACGACTGGGAAACTGGCAGCAAAGGATGGATTCTCTGGCTGTCGCTAGCTATCATGCTTGCTGATTCGCTCGTTAGTCTAGGGTGGCTGATAGCCAAACCCATTGTGAACCGTTCTCCAAGATGGATAGCTTGGTTCAAATCCACTCGTGTCGGACAGTGGGTTGCGCTTCGACTGCAATCTTCTCAACACTCATATATCAACTACTCTGCTTTGGAGTCGGAATCACGTCCTTTCTATCATGAGGGAAATGATTCTCAGCGCACAGGAATGACTACAGGCGCAGAGGAAGAGGAAGAGGAAGATGCACCAGCATCTCAACTCATTTCTACTCGTACAGTAGTCATTCTACTTCCTTTAACTCTCCTTTTAAACGTTGCATGCATGCACATCGTCTTTGGTGACATCATCTCTCCCTTTTTATCGACATTAGCAACTCTCTTGGCAGTGCTCCTGTCCATCATGGGTGTCCGGGCTCTGGGCGAGACCGATCTCAACCCAGTATCGGGCATTAGCAAGCTGACACAACTTATCTTCTCACTCGCGACACCCGCATCTCATTTTTCCAGACGAACTGCCCTTGTGACCAACCTACTCGCAGGTGCGGTCTCTGAGTCAGGGGCTCTGCAAGCCGGTGACATGATGCAAGATTTGAAAACCGGGCATCTGCTCGGCGCGAGCCCCAAAGCCCAGTTTTATGGCCAGATGATCGGCAGCCTTGTAGGTGCAGTTTTATCTACTGCCGTATACAAATTGTACGTGAATGTCTACGAAGTTCCGGGCGATATGTTCCAGACACCTACTGCGTATGTTTGGATCTCCACCGCTCGCCTTGTGACTGGTCAAGGGCTACCTGATATGGCCTGGCAGGCTTCCCTAATCGCTGGTATCGTCTGGGTCATTATTACTACTGTGAGGATCGCAGCCGCATCTCCTGCGTATGCACATAACGGAAACCCTCCTCCTTGGAGATCTTGGATCCCCGGTGGTATTGCTGTCGCAGTCGGCATTTTCAACGAACCTTCATTTACTCTAGCAAGGGCCATCGGAGGTATAATTGCATGGTGGTGGTCGCGGAAACATCAGCACCAAACCACTAGCCAGGGAGTTGCCGGCAACGCCACTGGCATTGGCTCTCCCGTAGAGTCTGAGCTGCAGTCTGGACAGCGATCATCAGCCGAGCAAGCATCTGAAAAGGCCGATGCCGCTGCCTCCACTGTTGTTGTGCTTGCTTCTGGTCTCATTTTGGGCGAAGGTATCATGAGCATTGTGAACCTTCTCCTTGCAAGTGGACGTGTTCCACATCTTTGAAGAGAGAACATGTACGAAACACTCATGCTGTACATCCGTATCGTGTGACCAAACGTACGTATCGATTTAGATTCGATGTCTTAGACGATTTTTGATTAGACTTTGGCAATCCATTTTCGGGCTTTACATTTCCTATCCCTGAACGATCTATTGTATCCGCAGCAGAAATTCCCGCGGAACCATTTGAACCATTTTGGAAGGTACGACCGACGAACTCTAATTTATGCTTAAGTTGATCCAAGGTTCCAATAACTTCTCTTCCAACCCTCCTGTGAGGCTTATTGGCAAAGTGAATCCCGCCAATTCGAGGCTACAAACATAAGTTGGCTTACATAGTTGATTCTCACGTTATTCTTTTCCAATTGAGCTAAGAATGATCATATCTCATTCTAGGATACTGGTTTCTTTCCAATAGTAACCACCACATCACGACCTAAAGATCGATCTCAGTTCCTGGTCGAGCAATATTCAATCGCCAGTGGTGCTTATTCACGGGATCCTTTTGATAGAGGTTGACCTCGAAGAACTTGTTGTGCGTTGTGCACTTGAAGTTCTTGTACCTGTTTCTAATGAGCGTTTGATCTATTCCCATACTCACACATACACATACGAATTGAGCTTCTGGAAGTTGCCAATGATCAGGTCTTGTTCATTGATCTCGATGAAGCCAAGTCCACTTCCGCCCGGAGAAGGAATAAAGTATCTTTTGGCCTCGATTGCACCGAAGTTGACCTGTCGGACAAACTGAACTGCATAAGCTGGTAGGTTATCCGGGTCTCGGAAGAAGGACGCCGATTTGCTGGAAAGGGATGATTCAGATCGCTTGGCCCAAGCGATGAACGGGTCAAATTTGGCCTCGTGGGCCAGATGAGTAGGTCGATATGGATATGGGGAAGAGCAGCAGAAGATGGAGAACATTGTGAGTTTGTGGATTTCAGCCTGTACTGGTTTTGGGAATTCACATAAATGCATATTTGATCGTGGGATTGGAAGGTCATTTTATACCTGCTGGAACAACTTATTGACTCCTACACCATGTTATTAGTGACATAATGGAGATTCGATCTTAGAGAGACTACTACAGTCTAGACTAGACATCGGGTAGCCATCATCTGAACATTCGTCCACTTACTTCTTCATCTCGTATTCTACGGCCTGATCATTCAATGGCTGTTCTTTATTTTGAAGCCCCCTTCGGATCAGCTTCATCTATGCGCTAATGGGATAAACGTTTTGTCGATATCTTCAGCCTGTTGATGCAGAAGGTAGCTGTATAGTTCTCGATGTGGCTGACGCTTGCCAATCAAAACACTGGATTGTGAGGCCCCCCTCGCATGGTCCCTTCGATCGAGGCCAGCATGGGAGACTGTCAGGAAGTACTCAAGGGCATTTAATCCGCACTCGGGCTTTGAAACGCATAAAGAGCTTCTCAATCCCCGCCTAAGATTCTCTTTTCTCCTTCTCTTCCTCAGGGGCAGCGGGCCTGTCAACTCCACTCTTTACAACACCCGCTACCTTTGCCGCTCTTTTATTTTTTAGAGACTGGGCTCTGACTCGATTGCCGGGTGCTCTGATTAGATCGTCTTTAGATCAGATCTTTGACATGGGCAAACCATGCTTGAATGGAATTTTTATGAGCCGCACAAGAGATCACCCGTTGACATAATCATTCGAATGGGTGAATTGGATAGAGAGAGTCGCATTCAAACACGAAGTACGGACTAGATAGATCAGGTACTATTTAGGTGCTCAGCACATCCCCAAAGCCCCCACAGCCGGCCCCGGGCGGCCCCGACCGATAGCCCGAGGCTTAACCCAAATGCCCAGCAAAGCTTCATTATCCTGCTAGTCCAGCCCACCTGGACCCCTCCGATATGGGATTACAAAGCGAGAGTCAGATGGAACTAGGCAATTGCTAGAAGGATCTTAGACAATAGAGAATATTTGTTCTAGAATCGTCTTGTTTTGAATCTGAAGCTCCGGGATCGGCATCGGCCTTCGCATCTATCTGCCGAAAGGGATGATCCTGCGAGTACATGACATCGGCTTTGGTACCCTATCGCCGACAAATGAACTAGAATTTCCGCTGAATACACATAAATTCTTGCTTCTACAAGCAGATTCTGCCACTGTACGGTGTTGATTCCAGCCATGGGACACATGCAGAATAGCAATCTTGTCAATGTACAAGGCAATGCTGAGAAGGGCCTGCCCTCCTTTGATCCAGCATATCTCGTCAAGTGGGATCAAGACGACACATTGAACCCTCAGAACTGGACTCCCAGGTATAAATGGTGGGTGACATTTCAACTGGGTATGCTTGCTTTAGCAGGCAGTCTGGGATCAAGCATCACCACGCCGGCCGATGACACCATCGCGGAGTATACTGGCGTGAGCAGCGAGGCCTCTGTTTTAGATGTGTCCCTGTATCTGTGAGTCAATTTTGAAACCACACATCAGAGATGATACTAATGGCGACAGCCTCGGTTTCGTTTTCGGGCCTATCATCTGGGCACCTCTTTCAGAGATCTGGGGACGAAGAGTCAGCATCCTCCCTGCGGTCTTTTGCTTAGCGCTTTTCTCCATCGGCACGGGTGTGAGCACAAATGCAGCGTCGGTGTTCGTCACCCGTTTCTTCGCAGGGTTCTTCGGCTCCGCACCGATCAGCAATGTCACCGCGGCCCTGGGTGATATCTGGAGTAAAGAGACACGAGGTACGGCAGTCAGTCTCTACGCAGTCGCAGTGAATGGCGGCCCAGCTCTGGGTCCAGTGATTGGTGCAGCAATCGTGCTGAATCCCAATATGGGATGGCGCTGGACAGCATATATACATGCAATTTGGGTGTTCGTTGTGTTCGCATTGACCTTCTTCTGTCTGCCAGAGGTATACCCGCTGGTTCTGCTCAAGCGTAAAGCGCAGCAACTGCGCAAGGACACAAATGACTCCGGATTTTACCACCCGCATGAGCATTTGAAACTCGACGTCAAGTCAGTTCTCACTAAACAACTCGCTCGCCCATTGAGAATGTTATTGACTGAGCCGATTGTCACGTGTATTGCCTTTTACGCTTCCTTTGTCTACGGAGTCATGTACCTCACACTAGAGGTATTTCCACTCGCATTCCAAGAAGCTCGAGGCTGGAATCGACTGATCGGCTCATTGCCGTTTCTGGGTTTGCTGATAGGTGTTATATCGTCGGTTGGCCTCAATATCTGGAACCAATATCGCTACAACGAAATCTCCAAGGAGGCTAATGGGAGATCAGTCCCCGAAGCACGACTTCCACCTATGGCGTTTGGGGCGGTGTTCTTTGTTATTGGACTGTTTTGGTTTGCTTGGACTGCTGAACCACCTCACCACTGGATCTTACCATGTCTGGCGGCTGTTTTTATAGGCATTGGGTTCAACTGCATCTTCCAACAGTGTTTGAACTTTTTGATCGATGTGTACAAGCTTTATGCTGCTAGCTCAACGGCGGCTGTGACTTTTCTTCGAAGTTTGCTGGCTGCCGGGCTTCCACTGGCGGCTAAGCCAATGATCCGGGCTTTGGGGATTGGCCCTGCCATTTCTATCATTGGAGCTGTGGCTGCAGTACTGCTGCCAGTACCTTTTTTGTTCATGAAGTATGGCCCAAAGCTGCGGGGGTTATCAAAGCTTGCGCCTGAAGATTCATAACTCCCAGACAAATGTGTTTTATGATTATACGATCTACATGTGAAGCTGAATATCCATTTTGCTGGTAACTCCTGTTTTTTTCATATACAATACTCTCCTTAAAGAGAGGGACCGATATGTTTTATGATGTGCCAGGTCAGTGTATGGCGTTCAAGGATCCTTATTTATTTAGCCCTATAACTAGCTATATGAGTTTGATTAAGAGCACAATTTTATAATACAAGTCTCTTTCTTTACTAGTACATTGATCTTTTACACAAGCTTGTCACTAAAATCCTTTTATTATATACTCTAGTGATTATTTTCTAAAAATCCAAAACCTACAACCTCTAGCAGAATATCGCATGATAAATGAGCACTCGAGCCATCCCTATAAGTAAGTTAGTCAAATCATCCAGATACTCCTGGCCCGGGGGATGGTTCTTCTTCAATATCAACTTTCAAGTGTATATCCCCATACAAAATCCGAGTACTAAATCGAGCAATGCGCCTTGTACCTCGAGGGAAACATGATACGACGAGATTGCCGGCTGCTCTGCCCAAACCTGAGCCGAGGATCTTCTGATACTCAGGAGTTCCATATTCAAAAGACAAGGTTGCCTGATCATCTAAATCCACACTCGGATTATCAATCCAGTCAGGGAAGATCGATCTCATCAATAGTCCTGACGTGGGTCGATTGATGACAGTGTCAAACATAATATACTTCAGAGTGTTAATGTCATGGTCAATCTCATAGATAGCCTTAGCAACTTCACTCCAGTGCGGCCCATTAACCCTTATGATGCTCGCAACAAAAAGGATTCCCAGTCCAGCCGCAATAGAGTATGAGTTCGCACTCTGTGCCCTAAACTTCATGATCGGCTCCTCGATGTAGGTCTCCTGTTCAATGATGACATACCGCAGTTGCTCACCCTCCGCCAAAAGGCCACGATAGATGCCTAAAAACGCGGTGGGGTTCATTACAAGATATGCTTGCGGTATCCAGAACCGCTGGTTTAGCTCTGGACGGTTAATTAGAAATCTCAAGGTCATGTCTGCCGGGGGAATAGGGCAGCCTGGCACTTGTGGGGCTGCTATCCAGAGTTGGAGTCGAGCTCCAAGACGTTGATACTCAGCTTCTTGCTCTTTTGTCTCCTCATCTGCAGGTGCTACAGACATCATTCCTCGACGCAACGAATCCCAGCTGGGGCGATCGCTCGCTAGGGGGCGCATTGGCCGAGGAGACTTTGGTTGAGGAGTCGCTGGTATAGGGCCCACTGGCCGAGGAAACAATCGCCGAGGAATCGCCGATCGAGAACTACTTCGTCGAATAGTCGCTGATCGAGAACTACTGCGTCGAATAGTCGCTGATCGAGAACTCCTTGCTCGAGTAGTCAGTGATTGAGAGGACACTGGTTTAGGACCCTCTGGTCGAGGAGTCACTGGTTGAGGAACCTGCGGTTGAGGAGCCTGCGGTTGAGGAGCCTGCGGTTGAGGAGCCTGCGGTTGAGGAGCCTGCGGTTGAGGAGCCTGCGGTTGAGGAGCCTGCGGTTGAGGAGCCTCTGATTGAGGAGTCTCTGGCCGAGGAGCCTCCAGTTGAGGAACCTCCGGTTGAGGAACCTGCGGTTGAGGGGCCTGCGGCTGAGGAACCTGTGATTGAGGAGATTCTCGTGGATGTCGATTGTATGGTGGTACTCCACGACCACGTGGTCTAGGAGCCTCCGGTTGAGGAGCTTCTAGTCGAGGAGAGAATGATTGAGGAGCGACTGGTCTAGGAGCCGCCAGTAGTTCAGGAGCCTCCGGTTGAGGGGCCTCCGGTTGAGGGGCCTGCGGTTGAGAGGCCTGCGGCTGAGGAACCTGTGGTTGAGGAGATTCTCGTGGATGTCGATTGTATGGTGGTACTCCACGACCACGTGGTCTAGGAGCCTCCGGTTGAGGAGCTTCTAGTCGAGGAGAGAATGGTTGAGGATCGACCGGTCTAGGAGCCGCTACTGGTTCAGGAGCCTCTGGTTGAGGAGCCTCTGGTATAGGAGATAATGGTCGAGGAAATTCTCGTGGATGTCGGTGATATGCTAGTACACCACGACCTCGTGGCTCAGGAGCCTCTGGTTGAGGAGCCTCTGGTATAGGAGATAACGATCGAGGAGATTCTCGTGGATATCGGTAATATGCTGGTACTCCACGACCTCGTGGCTCAGGAGCCTCTGGTTGAGGAGACACTGGTCGGGGAGCCGATGGTCGAGGAGCTAACATATCAGGATCCACTGGTTCAGGAGCGTCTGGTTGAAGAGGCTCTAGTAGAGGAGAGAATAGTTGAGGAGCGACCGGTCTAAGAGCGACCGGTCTAGGAGCCACCGGTCTAGGAGCCACTAGTTCAGGGGCCTCTGATTGGGGAGATACTAGCATAGGAGACACTGGTCGGGGAGCCGATGGTCGAGGAGCCAACATATTAGGATCCACTGGTTCAGGATCGTCTGGTTGAAGAGGCTCTAGTAGAGGAGAGAATAGTTGAGGAGCGACCGGTCTATGAGCCACTAGTTTAGGGGCCTCTGATTGGGGAGATACTAGCATAGGAGCCTCTGGTTGTGGAGATGCTTGTCGATAGGACACTGCTCGAGGAGCCACTGGCCGAGGAGCTATAAGTTGAGGAGCTTCTGGCCGAGCAGCCTCTAGTAGAGGAGAGAATAGTTGAGGAGCCACCGGTCTAGGAGCCACTATTTCAGGAGCCTCTGGTTGTGGTCGAGGAGCCCCCAGTAGAGGAGAGAATAGTTGAGGAGCCACCGGTCTAGGAGCTACTAGTTTAGGACCCTCTGGTTCAGGAGCCTCTGGTGGAGGAGCCTCTGGTTGAGGAGCCTCTGGTTGCGGAGATTCTCGTGGATGTCGATTGTATGGTGGTACTCCACGACCTCGTCGTCGAGGAACCTCTGCTTGAGGAGCCACTGGTTGAGAGGCCACTGGTTGAGGAGCCACTGGCTGAGGGGCCACTGGCTGAGGGGCCACTGGTTGAGGAGCCACTGGTTGAGGAGCCACTGGTTGCGGAGCCACTGGCTGAGGGGCCACTGGTTGAGGAGCCACTGGTTGCGGAGCCACTGGTTGGGGAGCCTCTGGTTGGGGAGCCTCTGGTTGAGGAGCCTCTGCTCGAGGAGATCCTAGTTGATAAGATACTAGTTCAGGAGCCTCGGGTTGAGGAGACGCTCGTGGAAAAAAGAAAAGAGCCTCAGGTTGAGGAGATGTTTCTCCAGGAGACTCTGGTTGAGGAGATGCTTCTCGGGGAGGCTCTGGTCGAGAAGACTCTGGTCGAGAAGACTCTGGTTGAGGAGAGACTGGTCGAAATCTCACTCGTCGAGAACTCACTCGTCGAGGAGACCCTGATTGACGAAGCGCCGGTCGAGGAGCCCCTGACTGAGGAGCCCCTGACTGAGGAGCCTCTGGTGTAAAACTCACTCGTCGAGAACTCCCTCGTCCAGGAGACACTGGCCGAGGAGCCTCTGGTTGTTCTTCGCTAAGGCGAGGGCGCTTAGATTCGTGTGAATCTGGATCTCGAGAACCTTCCAAGCCATTCCCGTGTAACCCATCGTCTTCCTCCACGGGGGCCGGACGCTTTTGCCCACGTGGGTCGAACGGGAAGCGTCTGGAAGCTGAACGGGGGGCCGCACCGGAATCATAACCGCTGAGTACTGATGATGTAGGGAAGGTGGTAGAAACTTCCTCCTCATCAAAGCGTACTGATGATTCAGGGAAAGAGGAAGGTACAGGTAAGTATTGGGGACCATAACTGAAGCGCTCTGCTGATGTAGGGAAAGAGGTAGGAATTTCATCATCACCGTCATTGCTCATTTCAACATCATTCGATCCAGGTGTGATGCTCGTGGGGTCAGCAACAAATGGCCTGGCAATGGGCAAGTCTTCAGGTAAAATCCATCCTGGTGAACGAGGTCTCGCGGATTCACCGTTTCTAGGAATAGACCTTAGTGGACGGAGAGGCAATTCTTCCTCGTGAGAGAATAGCCGCGGGGTTGGGGCTTCGTCTGGGTTCATTGTTAGGATTGCTGTAAGTTAGCCGTGTATATAAAATAGACGTCTGAATGGGAGTGGTTAGAATAGTAGATAAAGTTGTTGGGTTGCTTGGTGCAGTTATCTGGAAGATGAGCTGTAGAGATGGGCATATGCGCGGTTATATAGCTGTGACTACGTTCATTCATGGATCCTCCTCGAGTACTGTTGACCCTTCCTTCTTGGAAAGATGAAACAGGACGCAAATAGGGTCCTATTTGCAGACTGACTAGAACACAAGAGGTGAAGACTCGAACAAAGGAAAGAAGTGAACAGAGCAAGGCTCTCAAAGACAGGCGACAAAGGGACTCGAAATTATATCGAACGTCACGACGACAACAATAGAGCCAAGTCCGAATGTAATAACGAAAATAACAAAGAGAGGCCTAACAATGCTGGTCGAAATAGACAGGAGATGCGAAAGTAGGGCTTTATGAAAGAGCTGAGACGTGTGCCAGATCTAATTCTGATAGCCCAGGTCCTCAAAACCTGTCAAGCAACAATGTACTCTGTTACTCATGAATGAATGTCTACGCTATACATAGGATGGACAAGTAGAGGTTAGTATCGAATCATTCGCACATGCCAAAAGACCAATCAACGATTGACTGACCTGCTAATCAGAGATATCAGCCGAGAGCAGACGACAGATATGCAAGTTATCAGGAAACCTCCAAAGTCTACAAGTATGTCTCTTTTGCACAAGACCTCGAGACTACGGAGACAACCCCGTAGGATTCAAGGCCGTCATTGGATTATTCCAGTCAACTGTGATTGAATGAGTACGATGAATCAACCCGACTAATTGATCTCCTGCAAAGGGCAAGTGCCATTCATTCACGGCTTTTCATGGTCGTTGAAGCGAATTTTGGAGAGACTGTATTTTGAAAAAGCAGGCCTTTCACTCTGGAGATTGACCATCCACGATCTCAGATTCCAAGCCATCTCAGTCTCGACTGAGCAAGACCATGGGTCAACCCGAATCGTGTATCTTGAAAGAACCTGCACGACCTCTTGAGGACTTCCAAGCGTTCGTTGGTCAACATAGAAAACAAATCCGGTATGATTATATCGTCCACCGATGTGCTTCCGACTTGCTTTGGCCACACTGAAGTTGGAGTCTGGTGTGTGATCTCATCGAACGGGAGATGGTTCTTCGGATTCGACAGCATAATAACCAGGATATAATAAATCCTGCATACTCCGTAGTAGTCTGCAAGACCTCTGACTGGTCGCATTGGCCATTCGGGTCCTTTGGCAGAAAGCTTTGGTCTGGCCGATAAAAGGACGAACTGGAGCACGTCGATCGAGGTTCTGTTGACATCGGAAACCAGGTTGAAACGTTTTCACGGTTTGACCGGGTCTGTGATCGGGATTCCTAGTTCAAGGCCAATATAGCTAACATGCTGAATTAGTATTTTCTCCAAGTCTCATCATAGCGAGTTGATCGCTAATAAACTCCTCCGCATCCGGGATTGGATGTCCATGTCGTGTGTATCGAACGCGACGCTTAGATGTTACCAGCCAAACTCGGCAGCAGATCTAGTATTATAAGATGAAGAACAATTGCTCCGCACCTGGACAAGACGCTGGGGATCAAGAGGTTACAATGCATGTGACGCGAAACGAAGAGCCAATTTACGCGACCTCTCTGAATGGAGATAAAGATCAACATACAAGGATCAGGTTAAATTGCGGCGCTCAGCAGAGCAAGCCACAGGCGAATGGCGCCATAAGGCTAAATACCGGCATATGGTTGGACGTTGTGCCTACTCTGTACGGAGTACTCCGTATACCTGATTTAGTGTGTTCACTTGCTGAAAAAAAAGAATTTAGCCGGTATCCGAAGCCCGGAATGCACGTATGAAACTATCTACTCCGGACCACATGGGCACTGCGCCGTCAAAGAAACACGGGGATATTGGGGAAAAGGGAACTTTTTCAAACTCGTCTCATCGGGAAAAGCATTCTTAAAAGAGCCTTCAATGCTTGCCTCCGAACTGTTTCCAGCGTTGCACTTCCAATCGCTCGGGTCGCGGCGCATTTGGCGCATGTCATCGAGTAGGGCAACCAGGTGAAACATCTATCTGGGGGCCTTGTTTGTCGCATGACTCTCATTGGCTCCGAATATTCCCTTTGAGACCGCGTCTTTTATTTGCTCCCGGGTGGTTGCATCGGTCTTGGCCGCCTTGGCCTCCGTCTGCTATTACGCTTTTAATATAGACGAGATAGAGGCAGTGGCAGGGCCGAATTCCTTTTTCACGCCGAGGATGAGTCAAGTCTTCCGATGCCATTCGGCTGGGAACGGAATACGAACAGAGAAGAGGAAAAAGAATACAAGCTAATAGATCAGCACGTTCCTTTCGGGGCTTGCGCCAAGTTCAGCCATCACGTCCGCCAAGCGATGCTACGACGCCGTCGCAAGATCCTATACGCCAGTTCAGGGATTGACACCAACTGCAGTTAGTTCGCTTGGTTTAGGGTTAACAAAGCGGGAAGTACTCGTACGAAGTACAACATACCGTGGGTACTTTTTCGTACTGTATGTGTGTATGTGGTGTGTATCTGATTGGACCAGTCAGAGAGCCTCGTCCATGGCCCCCAAATGGGCTTTTGCCATGGAATCTCCTCCCCGCGACGCCCAACGCCTTCCCCGTATCTTGGTCAGCCCCATGCACTGGCCTGACCCCGGTTTTCTCGGATTACCGCTTTGGTCAATCCGGGGAGATTTGTGGATTGGGGTAAGTGTGGGCTATATAACCCGCTGATCGGCATTTTTTTCTCTGCAGCGTCTCGATCTTTGCTATCTTGCGACATCATGGGGATTCCAAGGTTCTTTGGCTTCAGAGGCAGGTCTTTGAACCTCGCCATCAGTTCTCTCGGCAGTCTTGATTTCCTGTATGATATATCACTGGGAGATTTCTCCCTTGGTCGTTTGGTTTTGGACGAACGCACTAACAAATCCCTAGGCTGTTTGGTTATGATCAAGGTATCACGGGTGGTCTGCTCGACCTGCCCTCTTTCATCAAATACTTCCCTGAGATCAACCCCAGTGATCCAGAGATCGCGGACAACCCGGCTGCCAGATCCCAGCGCAGCACAAACCAAGGCATTGCTGTTGCATCATACAATCTGGGCTGCTTCCTTGGCTCCATCCTGACCATCTTTGTCGGAAACCCGCTCGGCCGACGGCGCACTATTTTCTGTGGCTGCACAATCATGACTATAGGCGCATTATTGCAATGTACCTCATATAGTCTGCCGCATTTCATTGTCGGTCGAATCGTCACAGGCGTAGGCAATGGTATGAACACAAGTACTGTACCGACATGGCAATCCGAATCATCCAAGGCTCACGACCGTGGTAAGATGGTCATGATTGAGGGTATGCTGATTACTGGTGGTATTACTTTGAGTTACTGGATTAATTACGGTGAGTGGATTCCTCTATCGCGTATACAATGCAATTGCTAATTCCTAATTAGGGATGTCATTCATCGGAGACAACGAAGTGGCCTGGCGATTCCCCCTCGCCTTCCAGATCACCTTCGCTGTTATCATTTTCTGCTCCATTCTCAACCTTCCCGAGTCTCCTAGATGGCTGGTCATGCAAGGCCGGACGGATGAGGCCTTGGAGGTTCTTGAGTGTCTGAATGAGAAACCCCGCGATGACCCATATATTCAGAACGAGCTCCTCGCCATCCAGGAAACCGTTAAAGAAATGTCCAAGGGCTCCTTTAGAAGTCTGTTCGACATGAGCGAGTACCGCGAATTCCACCGTGTGGCACTCGCCTATGTCAACCAGATGTTCCAGCAGATTTCCGGAATCAATCTGATCACCTACTACGTAAGACCTCCACACTCAAGATACAAAGTGCGATACTAACGCTATTTATCAGGCACCTTCATTATATAAAGAGATCGGTCTGGGTGACGGCAATCTCCCAAAACTGCTAGCCGCCTGCAACGGCACAGAGTATCTCATGGCTGCATTCATCCCTATCTTCATTATTGAAAGAGTCGGCCGCCGCCCACTGATGCTGTTCGGCGTATGTGCCCACCAAATCCCAATTCCAGACCTCATCGACTAACAAGACCCCCAACAGGCCGCCGGCATGTCCATTTCCATGGCCGTTCTCGCAGGCACCAACTACCGCCTCACTTACCTCGGCGACAGCAAAGCCGGTATCGGCCAGGCCGTCTTCCTCTTCGTCTTCAACACCTTCTTTGCCATCGGCTGGCTCGGCATGACATGGCTGTACCCGGCCGAAATCGTGCCTCTGCGCATCCGTGCCCCGACCAACGCATTGGCCACCAGCGCCAACTGGATCTTCAACTTCATGGTCGTCATGGTCACCCCCGTTGCATTCGAGAATATCGGATATAAGACCTATGTCATTTTTGCTGTCATGTAAGCTGCGACCGTTCCGATCCTCTAAGCCCCAAAACCAGACTGACAGCATCACAGTAACGCATTCATGTTCCCCTGTGTATACTTCTTCTTCCCGGAAACCCGCTACCGATCTCTGGAAGAGATGGACGCCATCTTCAAGAAATCGACCAACGTCTTCAATGCCGTTACGATCTCTATCAAAGAACCTTATCGCTATGACAAGCATGGCCAGCTCAAGGATGAGTATCTTGAAGAGGCTCTGCGCCAGGACAATACCGATAAGCACGTCGCGGGAGGCAAGTTCGAAAGTGATGAGAGTGCTAATGATGTTAAGGCTTGAGTGGCTGGAAAAAAAGGGGTGTAGCTTATGTATGTTTTGACTATTTTTATACCCGCGGTGCCGAGTGTGATTTGATAGATGTATCTCTTCACTAATACTGTTTATAAACATTGAATGTATATGGCTTTTATTATGATATTGCTTTGGTTTCTTTTCATGTAGTTGTTTTTTATGCCGTAGGCAGTGACCGCATGTGTATTGTTCGTGCTAGTAAGACCAACAACTTGATACATCCTAGTAGCTTGATGGTACATAGTAGATATATGTAGGCTCGGAAGGTGCAAGTACCATACGGATGTCTTGAGATTAGGTATACTATGTCACATAAAAATTTCGAGCCATCGCAGTAGCAATGCACAGACATCACAAGTAATGATAAGATTTCTTTAAATTCTACATAGATATGAATGTAAACTATCTGTGGTGGAACAAGTCGAATGAATAGGGTATTCCAGCTCATCTCAGCGTGACACGCAAATTATCGCCCGAGGTCGATGTCAATCGACGAAGAGACTTGAAGATGCTTGCAACTTCGAGTCAAGAGAAAAAAAAGAAAAAAAAAAAAAAAAGGGGGTGACACAATCACATAAAAGGGTAGTAAAAAGAGAAAGGGGGGGGGGGAAAGTACCTAAGTATGAAGAGTTTGCCCAGTCTTTTGTTGACATTACATGGATACCTGTAGGAAAAAGAAACAAGACGGTGTCCAAGACGGGAAATTTGAAGAAAACACGACAGGAAGAAAAAAGTAAATGAGTCAAATGCGGAGATATGCATCCAGCGCAAGGCATAGATTCAAAGGAGAGTTCGTTCGTCGCGGACGCAGGTAAGGGATATCAAGATTGGGGCCAGCAACGTGGTCATACAAGGCAAGCTCATGTCCGTCCAGCGGGATCACTGACGGGTCAGTGGGAATGCCTATGTTCTGCACAGGATGGTTGGTACTATGCAGTGATGAGGGTCATTCAAATTAGGCATCCTGGGCAGGAGCGGGCTGGACGGGAGCAGCTTCTGTGGCAGCAGCCTGAAGAGGAGCAGGGACGGGAGTGGCCTGGACTGGGGCAGCCTGTAGAGGAGCAGGGACAGGGGCGTTCTGGACAGGGGCAGCTTGGAGAGGAGCAGGGACGGGAGCAACTGCCGCGGCAGCAGTCGGCACAGGAGCAGGCTGAACAGGGACAGGTTGAGTAGTAGCAGCCTGAACAGGACTACCCGGGGCAGAAACAGGCTTTCGTGAGATCGAGCCGGATGGAGAAGTTGGCATGGAACCTGGAAGTGCTGGGAGCTCGCCAGTTGGGGCAGGAGCAGGCGCAGCAGCGGCCAATGGGCTCGACACAGCCGGTGCAGCAGGAGCAGCCATCGATGGAGCGGCATTGCTGCCACTGTTACTGCGTTGGCGTTGGTTGATAGGCATGACAGGTCGCTGCATCCCAGGGGCTCCGTGTGGACCAGGGCTCATCGAGCGGGGGCCGGGAGACATCGAACGAGGGCCAGGCATTCCACCCGGTCCGGGAGACATGGATCGTGGTGGTCCTCTAGGCCCAGGGGACATGGAGCGAGGGCCAGGCATACCGCCTGGTCCAGGTGACATCGAGCGGGGGACTGGCGGGTACTGAGCAGCACCACCGGAGGGGCCGGGATAAGGACGGGCAGGCGGAGGACCACTAGGGGAACTTGGGCGGGCATCCTGAGGGTAGAATCGTCCGGCAGCAGGAGGAGGGCCTCCAGACATCATTGGGCGACCGTCGGGACCCATAATGGGGGGCCGGCGAGAGCCGGGAGGGCCAGGAGCCGGTCGGGCACGAGGCATCACAGGGCGAGCTGACAAGCACGAACGAGGGGCCACTCCTTGCTGGGGACCATTTAGGCGCGCGCAGAGAGCCTGCAAGAGTAAGTTAGCATTTGATTTTGGCAAACAGTTTGGAAACACATACCCATCCATCATCGTACTCGTGAACCAGGCGCACAAGTGCTCCAGCGCGAAGGCCAAGCTCATCCTCCATAGAGGGGTTGAAATCCATTTGCACACGGTAAACATTGTTAGGGGGTGGTGGGCCAGCGGCCATGGCGCCTGCTGCACCCGCTGCTGCACCTGCACCTGCAGCGGCAATGGGGACAATGGGAGCACCGGCAGGCATGGTCGAGGATTGGGTGGAGTTAGACGGGGAATGGCCGTGTGATTCTGCAGATTGGTAGCGAGCAGAATCATCAGAGTCCGGAGACGAAGCAGCGGCGCCAGCGGCGCCAGCGGCAGCACCCACAGCTGCGGCACCGACCGCGGCAGCCGCAACAGTCGGTCCAGAAGGTCCAGTGCTGGATTCGGCGATTGAAGGTGCATTTTGGGCAACAGGAGCCGGGGCCGGATTGAACGGGTTCACAGGGTCACTGAATGGGTTCGAACCGCTGCCAGCGGACTTTGGCGGAGTAGGAGGCGGCGATTCGCCAGTGAGATTGCGAGAGGCAACGGCGACAGAGCCAGCTGCAGCACCTGCAACACTAGCACCCACCACACCAGCGGCGGCCGGGCTCAAGGAGTTAGCACCGCCGAGGGTGGCCGGATTGACGGCACCATTAACAGACAGATCAGGCGCGAATTGTGTCACAGGGCGAACATTGAGCTGCGGGGGATTCGTGGGAGTTTGCGGCTTAGAAGGAGGTGGTGGGAAGGAAGCAGCGATGCCCTCGGGCAGGCCCTCGCCGCCAAATTCCTTTTCATTCTCCTTCTGATATCCCTCCTGGCTCTTCTTCTTCTTGCGGATGAAGAAGAAAATGAGAGCAGCAATCAGGCCGACACCGAAGATGACACCGATAGCTACACCAGCTTTTGCACCTCCACTCATACCCTCAGAAGTGGTACTTCCAAGGGCAGTGCTGGAGGCCGATGCAGCCGAATTGGAGGACGACCCAGTTGAGGTTGTCGCGAGGATCTTGTTGACATCCTGGGTAGACTCTGAGGTGGATGCTGAAGTCACAAATGAAGTTGCCGTGAACGGTGTCTCCGACTCGCTGGTAGTAGTAGTAGTAGTAGGTGTGTGCTTTTTGGTCGTTTCAGCCTTGGTAGTCTCGATAGGCTCGGTGGTCTCGGTGGTCTTGGTGGTCTCTGTGGTCTCCGGCTTGGTCTCATGAGTGGTGTGGGGTTGAGTGTGCTTGGTAGTAGTCGGTTCCGGCTTCTCCTTAGTGGTGGCCTCCTCGGTAGCTTCGGCCTCGGTTGTCGCCTTGGTTCTTGTAGGTGCGGCGAGAGGCGCACCGAGACCAGCAGTTGGCGCTGTCGCAGTGTGATGATCGGTGCCGGTCACATAGCCACCCACCTCCCCTTCAAAGTCAGGCTCCATGGTTTTGTAGACGATTACGACATCGCCACGCTCCTCGAGATATCCTCGTTCCTCGAGATTCCCACGCTCCTCCGATTCTTCTGAACTGCGCTCATGTCTGTGGTGCGCATGCCCGTGCATATTGTCGGTGCTTCAGTATCCCAGGATATCGTAAAGCGTTGGTCGAGGTCAGATTGGGGGTCCAGAGCAGGTATCCTAAAAAGAGGAATGACCCAAGATTCCAACGCGAGTGATCGAGCCGGTTTCTGGTTCTGTGTGGAATGTGGATTGAAAGAATGGATGACTGAGATCGGGCACAGCCGATTGTCAAGTCGAAAATAAAAGAAAGGACGTCGACTTCCAGGTCGTACACAGTTTGAAAGAAAGGATAGGGAAAGGATTAGAGAAAGAAAGAGAAAAGCCTCAATCCTCAATACGAGGCCCCGGGGTACCACGAGGAGCCGAAATGAGATCTTGGGACCCTGTGTGTATAGATACCACGTTAGCCGAAATAGGCAGTGATTGACGCCCGGCGGTGTTCTCTGATTGGTTGACAAACGGTACCTGACCCGAAGAAGACAGCAGACCCACGGCCGAGAACCCTGCAGACTCTTTTTTGGTTCAAGGGTTCCAAGGGTCGGAACGAACACTTGTTACACGACCTTTGGACGGGATATACCTAGGTACCTACTTACTCCGTACAGCATATAAGACATCCTATACGCGGCATACGAGATGGTCTGTACCGTCCTGGACAATACAGACGATTACTCTCCCTTGGCAACACGGGAAGCCAAAGCCTATCACGACCGGTCCTTGCTAGCGCAATTTGCCCCCAGAAGGCCCTTCGCTAAGCCAAACTGCACCGCGGGGCACAGACTGTCTATGTTCCCTAGGTACCCTCTTGGGTTGTTTCACCTTAACGCGACGGCCACATTTAATTGATTGTTCGTCCTGTGCGTAATTTCCGGCCTTGCCGGACATGCAATTTTAATTAATTCGGATTTTAGTCATGGCACACGTGCATTACCTGGGCATTGTTTACCCTTATGCAGGTCCCCAGGGGTAAGGCTGCCCCTCCGAAACATCATCGCACTGACTCTTACTTAAATTACACCCAAGAATCACAATGGTGGGTACCTCATTATGTAGAAATCGTTCTCCGAGGTTAGTACATACGTACGGAGTATGAATGTTGTATCATTCACAGGTTCCACCTGGCCACACTTATGATTCCCCCGGTCCACTTGTGCGGCATAACCCGTCGAGGCGTAACGGGAGAGTGGCGTAGCTCCTTCTATGTACTCCGTCCCTCGGAGGCTCATCATACCACTGCGGTGCTTCAGGTGGCGACAAAATATGGATGGGCGAGGGCCTAAGCCTATTGTTAGGCACAGTTGTCTGATATTAGATTGGGGCACCTACCTTTTCTGCTGAGAGTCTTTCGCTGGTCTCATAGCGCAACAGCTGGTTGACCAAATCACGGCCTTTCGAAGACGCACCCGGGAGGATGTCTTCCCAGGACTGCGGAGGGAAAGAGTGGAATTCTACTTTCCCCCAATCTGGCAATTCCCGAACCTCCTGATCAATGGTTATCAATGAAAGTTGCATGTCTTCCCCTAGTAAAAAAAGGACTTACCGGCCAACGTTGTTCGTCCGGAGTGCCCATCAATTTGAAGATGGAGAAAATCAGCGATAAATCACTGCCCACGGGTCCAGAGTCGAAGAGTTGGTGGTGACCGACAGTAATGGCTTCTGCCACTACACATCCGGCTGCCCAGATGTCGAGAGCTGGTCCATATCCTTTAAATCCGAAGAGAATCTCTGGGGCTCGATAGCAAGTTGTGCCCACATCTGTGATTTTCTGGCTAGGTGGCTCAGATCCCGTATCACCCTCTTTCCACGAAATGCCAAAGTCTGCCAAATATGCAGGCCCATTGGGAGATTCCATCAAAATGTTCGAGGGCTTGATGTCTCGATGAATTATACCCAGGCTGTGGAGATGGGCAAGACCGCGGAAAAGGTCTCGCAGAATTGACCGGGTTTGAGAAGCAGTCACTATGCCCCGTCGGAGCAATTGCTCGAAATCATATTTCATGAATGGGAGAACCAAGATGAACCTGCCGCCATCTAGGCTGAATGTCTCTATCAAAGGAAGGATATGCGTATGAGAGGCTTCGCGTAACAGGCGCGCCTCGCGGTGCGCATCATGGGGGGCAGTCATCATATGGGGAATAGTGACCTTCACTGCTCGGACAGTCCCATCCTCCCACTTGGATTTGTAGATAGTGGAGTGGAGGCCATTATAATGATTGACACAAGACTCATATCGACCTATCACTTCCCCGGTTGTGGTCTCTAGTTCTTTAAGATCGTCTTCAGCATGACCTGGGCTACTATTTATCTGTTCCATGGACCCTGCGATTTCAGCTTCATCAATTGCTTGTTGACAGATAGAATTGTATAGTTCCTGGATATAAAAGTCAACGGAAATTGTTCACCTTCCATGTTTAGAAGAATCATCACTCACTTTAGAGGTCGCTTTTTCGTACGCCTCGGTTTCGATTCGCTTTGCTTGGGCCATTGCATCTGCAAACGCGGAGTCAGGCGTGGTAGAAGCTCGCTGATAGGCTGCTGTGCTATAAGTGAATCAGTCGAAAGCTTATGGAAATATAGGTGGGAGAGTCACCCACAGAGACTGTATGACTCGCAGTCGGTCTGTAAACCCAAAACTGTCTTTCCAAGACATGATGAATAGGTAGAATTCGCTGATCAAATAGATATTTGAAATCTAGTAATGATAATTTGCAGATCAATATGGCCGCGTGTAGTCAATGAATTGGGCAAATTAAACATATGGCGCAATCTATTCTGTCTTGAAGAGGAGCTATCAGATCGGATTTCAACCTGAGGCATCAGCAAGGCACCAACTGTCAACGGCGTGGATGATGTCATGTGACCCATCAAGGGATAAGTACAATACGGTACCGTAAGAAAAACAGACCAGCCTCTCACGAGCATAACTAACGGCCGCCAAGTCCTGTATTACCATAACACCCTCCGTCATTCCATCCCCATTGCCGTCCTCGGCCATCGTCGAATGACACGCTTCCAACTGACACTGGCATTCGGTCCCGATCCCGCATTCATTTCCTCTACTTGGTTAGGCTGTACTTGCCTCGGCGACCACCAAAAACCCTTGGTCTTCTTTCATATTATGCGCTTCATGCGCCACCTTGTTCACTACCCCGGAATCTGAATCATGGACCTCTCACGGCAAGAGTACCCAACACTGCTGGTAGGTTTGACCAAAGCTAGCTCGACGTTTAGGAGTACAGGATCTAGATACTGACCATTGATGCTGTTGTTTTAATTTAGGCCACCCTACATCCCAGCCAAGCTACAACCGTCTTAAGCGATCGCATTCGACTCATTAACAAGATCAATGCGGATATCGCGGATTACCTGCAGGTATGGCAATATTTGGTCTGGGCCGATCGGATTCCTGGGATAGGATCTGCAGCGGGGGAGCGAGATTGGTGTTGACAAACTGGCGATTAGGAACGACGTCGCGTCGAAGATGCATACGCCCAAGGGCTGCGGAAGCTGGCGCATCGGCCACTGATGGACAATGGAGCTGCTCTGGGGTAAATTCACACTCCCTGGGAACATTGAAGCTTTCCTGCGTCCCATAATGATCAGTCTGACCCATGAAACCAGTATCTTCCAGATCCCCTGGCAACGCATCATAAATGCCACCGAAACGCTCGCTGTGTCGCACGAGACTCTTGCGAACAAGATTGAGGAGGATGTCGAGCGACCCCTGAAGGAATTTGGTAGCAAAAATGAAGACATGCAGTCATTGCCTGGTATCCAGAGCAGTCTGGCGGGGTTGGCGAAGAATGTGGAGAATGCGCAGAAGAAAGTGGACAAGGCCAGAGCGAAGGGTGTCAAGGGTGCAGACAAACTTGCTAGCGAAATTGCCCATGCCGAGGAAGTCCATCAGCAATGGGATTCGAGAGCTCCCTCTGTCTTCGAGCAACTTCAAACCGCAGACGAGAGTCGGCTGAATCACCTTCGGGATGTGCTAACACAATTGCAGACCCATGAAGTGGATCAAGTTGAGCGCGCCCGACAGGCTGCCGAAAGCTGCTTGAACGTTCTTCTGAATGTGGAAACAGCAGATGAAATCAAGACATTTGCTGCTAAGATGGCAGGTCCCCGGGGCCCCCACCACAGTGATTCCGAGAAGACAGACGGAGCGGGCGGGAACACCCTCTGCGCCTGAACAGGGACCCGAGCGGGCAGCTACAGTGCCGATTGAACCTATTATGTCCACACCATCAACAGAGGCACCGCTGCCACCCCCTCCACGTTTCCAGGATGATGCTGCAAGCCAGCTATCAGAGCCATCCGAGAGACCTTTCGTTCCCCAGTCACCGCCAGGTAAGTCTCATAGTTTGGCTATCTATTATATATACAAGTTCTCACGACGTACCTAGTGCCAGAAGCACAGCCACGCCATACTCCACTAGGAGGATTGAGGCGGCTTGGTACTGTCATGAACAGGAGGAAGAGCATTGCCCTGCCCTCAGGTGGATTTGATCGGAAGGCGGAGAAGAAGCGCAGTCCTTTTTCGGCATTCAAGCGAGCTGACTCTTCTCGCGATTTGCAAATACCTGAATCTCCTCCTGCGACGGCCTCTGATCGTCCAGGGACATCTTTCACCGATCAATCATCCTTGCGGAATCCTAGTGTGTCACAAGATCGCGCTGGGTTAGAGACTACGACCTCTATTCCTGAGGCGCATCCAGAGGCTCCCACAAATGGAGCTATTTCTGAAGTCCAAGCTGGATTCACCAACAACCATGCCAGTCAGGTAAGCCGCAACCCGGTCACTGAAATGTAAAATATAGCGCAAGTTGACTGATTTCATTATTTCAGCCACATGTCGACTCGGAAGGCTTCACGGAGCGCCCTGCAACAATTGACGAAATCACTCGTGCCCAGAATGAAGCATCAGGGTAAGTGACCTTCAATCCAACGATAGCGGACAAATTCTGATGGTGTGGATGCAGCCTAGATGAGTCTGGTATGAATTTGACGATTCGAGACCAGCCCATCTTTGAGGATGAGAGCCAGGCGAAGCAGGCCATGGATGATATGGCGAACACCCTCCGAATGGTAAGTGACAGTCCTCACAGTCCCTCGTGTATTGTTCATAACACTGATGGTTTTTATGCAGCGGGCCCAGCATACTGGAGTAAGACGCAATGCAGGCACCATTCGTGGTCGTCGTGATGTTCGAAATACTGTCTTTATTGCTTCACCTGGTAATGAGCTCCCACCATCTTCGGCAGGATCAGAGTCGCAGCCACCAACCTCGCCAATCAGGCACATTACTTCCCCCAGCATTGCCCCTAGTGTTGCTACAGATGATCACGCTATGTCAGATACTACGTCTGTTCGCTCCGGGCACACTATGCATGGCGCGGGATCATCAATCCATCCTGATCTATATGAATCGGGCCTCAATGCCTCGATCATTGAGACCGTCAATGCATGGTTCTCCGATGGCAACGTTACCAAGTCCTTTATTGTGGGTGAGCTTGCTCTCGCAAACAACCCCACACCTGGTACTGTGGTAGACCACACGCGCATCCGGCTCGATAACTTCCAGGTGCTGGAGAAGGTTGCAGCCAACCCCCACTTTGTCCAGGAAGTTTCCAAAGATGTAGGCGATGACAAGAGAGGCGAATACGATATTCAGCTCGGCAGCATCTCCCGCCCGATGCCAACAGTCGCATTCAAATACCAAGTACATATCGACCCAACCAACCCCTCGGCCTACTGCCCAGTGATCTTCAACCCAGTGTGGAACATAGAAGAATCACAGGCTAGCGCCATTATCTATTACACACCCAATCCGTCCTTCATCTCCCACACAACGGAGCCAATTACACTCAAGAACCTGGTCTTGACCATCAATTTGGACACCTCTGCCGAAGACAAATCCACCAACCAACTGCGCGAGTCAGTGGCCCACGCCACTAGTGCTGCCATGTACCCCAACACAGGTGCCACCTTCCGCCGGAAAACCTCGACCGTCACATGGAGAATCCCCGAGCTGGAAGTTAAGGCACCTGCTGCCCCGGGCGCAGAGGGCAAGTTCCTCGTCCGCTTCGTGACGTCTACTCCTGGCCCTCGCAAGGGCATCGTCGAAGCGAAGTTCGAAGTCCGCTCCACCGAAACCGCTGCTCGATTGGGCATCAGCCGTGCGTCTTCGGACGCAGAGCAGAAAGAAGCCGATCCTTTCGCAGACGAGGGCCGTGAATCCCAACCGTCAACTTCGTGGCTAGGTGTTCCAACTGCACGCAAGCTGATCGGCGGGAAGTATGTTTCTTCCTAACTTCGTCTAGCGCAGTGCGGAAATGCTGTCTCCTCTTGATCATGTATAACTTCTATCGGGATTGACTTTTGCCTTCGTGCATCTTCTTTTTTTATATCCATCCACTGTTTGGTTTACATGATTCGGCATAGGCATCCTAGAAATAGGGCCCCAACGGGGAGTGTCAAAGGCTCAGAATGGTGCCATTACTTCTTTTCTTTTCTTTCTTTTCGTCTTCTTCATCGTCCCGTTATCTCTTATGTCCCGAATCTTTTTTTGGAAATAGCGTTTTTGTTCTTTGTCTTTTTTTTAACTCGGGATACTGCTTTGTGTACTTAGGCATTTACTCGCGTATCTACCTTCACCAGGCCCGTTCGATCGTTTTAGAAGGTTTGGATTCTATCGACTGGGGGGTATCTAATGGAATGGAATCCAACTGTTCATTTTCTTACAATTTTGGAGTTTAGGCGAGATTGAAGTTTAAAAAATAGGTGTGCAAGTTTGGTTTAACGTTGGCTACATGAACAGTGGATAATCAATGGCAAGGAAATACATAGCACGGATCAACAGGTGCCGGGGAATCACAGAAAAGATATGGAGACGGGTAAAAAAGGGTCCTGGTGAATAATGATACTCTTCTCAGGTATCACATCCGCGCAGCACGGGTAGTCTTGTCATAAAAGTCCAGGGTCATTGCTGCCAGGAAACAGGGGATGTCCTTTCTTTCCTCCACCCAGAATTTGATAAGAGGTTTGAGTTCCATGGCAAACAGACTGTTAGGTCCGCCGGAGACCTTCATGGTGCCATTCTCGCCATCAAAGACAATGGAGTTTTCTTCGCCGTTGCCCATACTGCCGGGACCAGAATCAGATGGGGCATCGCTGTCACCGTGTCGGTATGCAGAGGAGAGGTGGAACATCGAAGTGACACGGACTCTGCCATTAGGCAAGAAATCAAGCTTGAATCCGAGTAGAGAGGCAACGGCTTCCCGGAACTCGGAGGACTTGGCTGTCCAGATTTCCTTCAATCGGCGCATGCGCTTCTCTTTATCGGCGACAGTGCGTTCCATATCTTGCATTTCCAACTTAATGCTTTCCAGGGCGCTGACTGGAACAACCTTGACATTGTGATGACCACCACGAAGCTGGGCCATTAGGTCGTTGTTTGTAGCTTGAAGAGCTGCGAGAGTGGTCATCTTGATTTTCTCGGTCTGAGTTGTTGGGTTATCACGTAGTTCAAGAACCCGTGTGCGGGACTTGGCTTTCAGTGACTTGATCTGCGACTTGGCCGCCTCGAGTTCCTTACGAGCAAGAGTGGTAGCCTGATCTGACTTGGTAAGATGTTCTTGGAGCTTGCGATTTTTGCGGGTGAGTACGGCGAGACGCTCGCTTTCAGCCTCGCTATCACCCGGGGACAGAGGCCGCTTGACACCCCTGGCTTGGGCTTCATCTTCCTTCGGTGCCTCCTGCTTGGAGAGCTCTTCGTGGACTTTGTGAAGCTCGGCGCGATATTCATCAACGAGCTGTTGAAGTTGAGCGATCTGCTCGGCTTTCTGTTCATCAAACTGCGTCTGATTTTCGTTCATCGTAGCCTCTTCTGCGTCAAATGTCTTCAATTGGGCACGCAAGTATTCAACTTCTTTCACTGCGAGTGCACGCTGGCGCTCGAGACGAGCTCGCAGCCGACTCTCCACAGCACCAGGTCCTCCTGCAGAAGCAGCACCTGCGGCGCGTAGCTTCTCCAGTTCCTGTCGCAGGTTGATTTTGTCGTTTTCAAGGCTCTTGTTAGCCTCATCCTTTTCCAGTAACTGGGCATCAACAGTTCCAAGACGATCAAGGAGCGTGGCAATCTCAATTCGTCCTTGAACTAGCGCCCTGACGATGGCATCTGGCGAGTCAAACTCTGCAGGCTGGTCATTGTCCTGCAATAAGCTAGTCCAGGATTGTCGCTCATCCTCCAAAACTTGCTTTTGAATTTGCACTGTGTTCAGCTCGGCTTCAAAGCCCTTCATCAGCTGAAGCTGATTTTCCACCGATCTCTTTTGTTCTTCGATAACCTCTACATTCTTCGAGACTTTGCGAAGATGACGCAGCTCCGTTGTTTGATCCCGCGTTGCTGCCTCTAATCCCCGAATGTGGTTCACTTGTTCAGAAAGTTCCCTCTTCAAAACAGTCAGAGCCTCAGCGTCATTTCCTTCCGCCTTCAGTCGAATATTCTCCGCTTCAAGTTCGGCGACCTCAGCTTCGCGCTGAGACAGTTTTTCTTGTGTTGCTTCTTGTGCGGTCCTGGCATTTTGGAGATCGGTATGGAACTCTTCGATGGTCTTTTGTAGAGAAGCGCGAACTGTCTCTAGTTCGTTAATTTGATATTTGAATTGTCGCTCCTGGTCGGAAAGCTGAGCTTGCGTGTCGTCGAACTCTTCTTGCAAATTTTGATTTTCATCCTGAAGGCCTCTAATCTTGCGTTCGAATGCAAGTTTGTCATTCAACGCCTGGTCCTGGGTTTCTTTGAGTTCTTTCGCAAGTGCATCGCTCTTATGGGTGGCACGATTGCCCACTGATTCGGCATTCTATAGCGTGAGACTGTCAGTTTGAATTGAATGAACAATTATTCTGCAGCAACTCACCTGGGCCTTTCGAAAGTCTGCATCAGCCTTCAGTTGCAGATCGCGAAGCTCTTTTTCATGGCGAAGAGCCTCCAGCTCTCGTTCCTGTTTGAGATTCTCCAGCTCGTATTTGAGAGTGCTGAGTTGCACGCGGAGCTCTTCCTTTTCCGCATCTGCACAAACCAGTTAGCTTTCCTTCATGAGCCTTTTTAAGGTCAGACCGAGCAGGGGATGGTCTCACCATGGACGGGCTGATGAGATTGAATCTGGGATTGCTTGAATCGACCAGATTGCCGCATAGCACTCGAGCGCCGCATAGTACTTTGTGCACCGGAGGGTGTCGAGGGTGAACCGAATCCCGCAATAAGCTGGGAAGCCGGCCGGTCGTTTTCGCTATTGTTCATCTATTGAAAGCCCGTGAGGTCAGTTGTGACGTAAAGGTAGCATGTTGGGGCATTGAAACTCACGGTTGAAATGAGGCTACAAGAAGCCCCTCGGGAATTCCTGTCTAATGGCACATGAGGCAAGAAGCAGTGCGCCGATTGTCCTGGAGTTGTATCAAAGGGAAGATGGTTCACGGCGCGGGCCTTGTTTAGTATTATGTCAGCACCCAAGTGCACCCGAATGAGGATTAGCGCGATTTTAAAAATTATTTCGATTTCGGCATCGAATTCTCAGTCCACCACCCTCACCTGCGACTCGTCTCCTTTCACCTCGGTCCCTCGTTCGATTTTCTTCAATTTCTTCCGCTTAATTCACCACAACCGTCATAATGGGCAAGGACAAGGTCGAGAAGAAGGATCGCGCTGAGAAGAAGGAGAAGCGTGCGGATAAGGACGGTGTGCACAAGGTCAAGAAGGAGAAGAAGGAGAAGAAAGATAAGACCGCTCTTGTCGATGCAGTAGAGCAGGAGATCGACTCTGAGGCCATGGAGGGTCTTGAGCAGACCAGCGTCGCCGTTGTCGAGGCTGATGCTATCGCCGAGCGCCCCGTTGGTGCCCTCGTTCCCTTCGCCAACCCATTGGTCGAGGACAAGCAGGCCAAGAAGGTCCTGAAGAGCGTCAAGAAGGGTATGTGCATCGTGGTTTTCCTTTTTTGCCTTGGCTTTTTGTTATCAATGCGCATGGCCGGTTTTACTCGGATGCTCGAGTCATCCATGTCATCGCAACCTTGCGCACCTTTTTTTTTTCTTATCGCTCGATCGTCTGTGCTGATTATCATTCTTCTAGCTGCTGTCAACAAGTCCCTCAAGCGTGGTGTCAAGGAGGTTGTCAAGGCTCTCCGCAAGTCTCCCATCCCCGCCGCCAACGCTGCCATCGGCATCCCCAGCGGTGTTGTCGTTCTCGCTGCCGATATCTCCCCCATGGATGTCATCTCCCACATTCCCGTCCTGTGCGAGGACCATGGTATTCCCTACGTCTTTGTCACCTCCCGCGCTGAGCTCGGTGCTTCCGCTGCCACCAAGCGCCCCACCAGTGTGGTCATGGTTACCCCCAAGGCTGCCAAGGGCAAGAAGGAGGATGATGCTGAGTTCACCAAGGTGTTCGAGGAGCTTGCTGGCTTGACCCAGAAGGAGCTCAAGAAGGTGACAGTCTAAAAAATGATCTTGACTTGTCTCTTTTACCTTATGTTATTTGCTCTTCCCACGCTGTTCACTGCGAGTGGGTTCTCTGGTTGTACAGGTTTCTGATACCGTCTGTTCCGACGGTGCATGTCGTTTGGGGTCCGGCCTATGGGTATCTTTCTATATTTGCTCTTTTTGTTGCAACTCGGCGTTATTTCAATGGTGTACGAAAAAGGCAAGAATTCCAATGAGATATCACCAACCTCATCAGACTTGGTCAGTTCCAAGTAGAATCTTGGTTAATTGTAATGCTCCACAGGCAATGTGACACCTGCATAGACCACGTTATGCTTGATATCTGTACATCAAGGTGCCATTCAAGGGCTTATCAATTTTGCCCAGTATCATGCTCTGTGCTTGTGCAAGAGAGCAACGGATGTGAGCTCGTTTAGTATTTGTCAGTGATTTTTCTCCACAGAAGTCATTATTCAAATCTCGTAAAATACATCAATCACACAGTCGATCAAACTTGACTGAGAATCGATCATAGCAGGTGGGGGTTGACATAGCGATGGATTGGATGCGAATGTACTCTGTAAAGAATCCAGCCTGGGCAATTAACCTTGCATGACAGAATACAACTATTGCCCTGGCCTTCCCGCCCTACATCGATCAATATGGTCAATCCCTATGGTCCTTGATATCAAACAAGGGATGAAAGCGCATACCTTAAACCCCAGCAGTCAAGCCCAGCCAACCACGATGCATAACGCCCTGCATAAATCGTACTTATTAGCCCAGATCTTCTAGCCTGGGACTGATTGAGGAACGGATCTGATACGAGATACCGGATGTGAAAATGGGGGGGTGGGATCCCTTGGTGGTGCAGTTCCCCTGTTCAAGGCTCGTCTCCCTTTGCCTGAGAGATGCTATAAGAGAACGAGCACTCTCGTTTTTCAAGCAGCAATTCGCTCTTTCTTTCTGCCCTGGCCCATACTAGCCAATACTCTCTTTATAATCCTGGCTCTTTCACAATGAAACTCTATCCTCGCCCCTCACTTTTCATACTCGCAGTTATCTTGGCTGTCACCCAATCCGGCACATCCCAGCCTATTCGAACTAGCAAATGGGTCAAAATAGCACAATTCCCAGATCCCAATTCTCATGGAACATGGAAGGTCTTCGAGAAGGAATCATTTGATAAGTTACCTGATCCACCACATGTGACTTATAGTCAGGTTAGTTATATATCGTCGCTTATATATTGTCCGGTGACTTACCTCAGTCTGCTGTATCTAGAACTCAGCATGGCAATCCAACCAAAACAACGAATCTACAGAAGAGGTACCAAGTTATCACTACGCCACAGGGACATCGGAATCAGGCAAACCAACAGTGTCCGTTTTGATCCCTCCGTCCTCAGAGACAATCCCTGAGAGCAAACCTTACGACCAACATATCAAAAACGAACACGATCACTACTCTTTAAGCCAGAAAGAGCGCTCAATCAACGCAATCAACGCAATTGCTGCTCAGAGACAAAGTCACTATAGCAAGCTCCTAAAGTCCTTGCACGCCAAACACGCCTCAAACAATATGGACCAACACACCACGCCCTCATCATCTTCTTCCTCGCCATATTCTCGCCATTTGACATCTTTCTTTGCCTATCGCTTCTCTTTACCTGTCGAAGGATCAGATATTGAGGCATTCTCCGAGAATCAAATCCCAGGGATCTTTGCAACAGTGACGATCCTCTTGATGGTGGTTTGGATCTCTATTTTTATCATTGGATTGGTTGAACTGGGGAACTATCTTTGGAAACGGATGGGTTCCACTTCGGATGCTGAGGCTACCCAAGATGGCAATGATGAGGAGGGGAGTATGGTCCTGGATGAAACGACGAAGATGCCGTTGAGAGGAATTGCTCTTGTTCCTTCAGAAGAGTCTCGGGCGCAATCCGTGACAGAGCATGGGTATACATTCCTCGACTTGGCTCCTAGCGATTCTGATTCGGACTCGGTTTCGGAATCTGATGAGGAAGACTATCGCATCTTTTGATACCATCCGTACAATTATTTATTAATTTTCCTATTAATAATATCAATGCTCTTTATTTTGTGCTACTGTTCGAAATTCCCAGAGATGATTAGTATATCTCTGACATCTCTCCGTTATTGACATTATGATAGGCTGACAAGATGTTATGTGAAAGACCCAAACTATTGATAGCTACACCAATTTGAGGATGTAAAGGTAACAAATAAGAAGGAAATAACAATGATATTAGATGATCAGATGATCCTGTAGTTTTTACAGAAATTGTTTGTTAAAATCGTATTCGAACGTTTTATTGTACATAAGTATATGCAGTCATAAATCCATACTTCACGACTTCAGCCCCTGGCTAAGCCGACTGAAAACACGCTCGCTCGCAATGTCCAAACAAAACGATGAAAACACATTTTAAACCAATGCCCAAATCTTGATAGAGATTTAGGCGCGCTGATCATTCTCCAAGTGCCCATAGGGAGTCTCAGTACTCAACCCCTTCTGCTGAGGACGGCTGGAGTCGTAAGCAGAGTGGGCATTGCTGCGCTGGAACTGGTTGAGGGCCTCACGGCCAGGGTCCTGATCAGACCCAATTTCCGAGGCGAAGCTGGCATTCTTAGCATCATCGGAAGGGAAGCCAGCTTCCTCAACACCACGACCACCGGGAGTGGAATGCTGGTTGTCACCAGCCATATCGTTGGCATTGGACGGGGCCAGACCAGCACTGTACTGGCTGCGGCCACTTCCACTGGCGGTGGAATACTCGCCAGTAGAAATGCCCATTTCCTTCTTGGCGGCGGTTGAGCCGCCAGAGTAGCCAGAGTTGGATAGGTGTGTACCAGGGAAGTTGCCCTGGCCACACATATTTTCGGGATATTTCTGTTCGATGTGGCGGTCCTGACGGTGACAGGCAGTAGGGGCGGAGGGAAGCTTGATGGAGGCAGAGGTGTCGGTGTTGTTTACTGTGGATTGTTCTGATGAGACCCCCATGGGCTCGGCGCCACGGTTGCTAGAGAAAGCGCCACCTTGGCGGATGGACTCGGCAGCAAGCGAGTCATTGGTAATAGGACCAGAAGGCTCTCGGATGGGCTCCTGCTGGGCGCGAGGGTCGGTGGTGACCTTAGTGCTGTGGTGGCCGTGGGGAAGAGGGGTGCCCTGAATATCCATGGTTATGTGATAATAGATGGATTAAGAAGGTTCTGTTGCTGGAGAGGCGTGCTGTAGGTAGATGTCTGATGGGATATGGCTTTTGATTGATAGAAATTTCAAAGGTCGTGAGGGCAGATCTATATAGGAAAGCAGTAGAGCTATGACCGAATGGCAATACAATGCTGGAACTATCTGACGATCTCTGGAAAGCAATCGTACATAGAAGACATTTGATGTCATACTTACGCCCGTCGAGAATATTTACAAGTTATATGCAAGTTCTATTTTATTAGCCAGTCGTAGTCACGTCAACTTGTCTCGCTCAAGGCTCTCTCTTTGGCTGGCACGGTAACCGATGCCACAAAAAGGGTGGATCAGACGCTCCTCTCTGATGTATTCGTGCTTCTGGAAGGTAGCAAAAGATGGAACCCGCACCCCACATGCTTGTCCAGGATTTTGGCGACTGAGATCATCTCCAAAATGGAGGTTGGCGCTGGTTCCAGGTGGAAGAGGCGATTGACGTCAGGTCTAGACCCAGGCGTGCAAACAATGCAAATATCTTTATTTTCACCTTGGCCAATGTATACACGCATGGACATTATGGAGAGAATATTGGCATCGAGTTCGGTTTTTTATAACAACTTTCGATTAGGATATCTATCTTGTGGCAGATCGTATGCTCGAGATAGTGCCTGTTTGCTGTGCCATACACTGTACAGCGACCCTGCTGATCTAGGTTGTTTTGAGATGAAAACCAGTTTTATATCTGCACAGTCCAACGGTTCTCCATCAAACTTATACTATTAGGGTCCATCCTTACAAGTGGCTACATCCTCCCTAGCAAGATAGTGGAGAGAAATTGACAGGATGAAGTCTTGAAATTCACTCGCTCATAATGACTTGATAGAGATGGCTATTGTACAGGTAATCAATCATCAAGATCGTATGCTCATTCAACGGGTCGTAGTATCTCGGAGAATGTTGTTAAGTCCCTCGGAAGCTGTGTGTCCAACTGTGTTGGTAGGGACGGTGTTCGTGTGCAGCTCCTTGCCATCCACACGGGCGCTGCTGCTGGCAGCTGCACCCTCACGGAGACCACTGTTATCAGGAGGGAACTCGACACCTCCAGAACCAACACCGGTAGTACGCTGATCAAGGGAGTTCCAATCACTGGCAACTGGGGGTTGATCAGGCAGGGGCAGGTTGGCCTTGACCCTATCGATCTCCTCGCGCTTGTTGGTATTCTGGTCGATGATAGACTTCAATGTGTCAATCAACTGGTTTTTGCTTTTACTATTTTCATTCCAAACAACTCACCTTCATTCTGGAGACATTAGAGTCGGCCGGGGGATTGCCACCATGCGATTGAGAGACCTTGGACTCAGCTCTGCGGAGGTCCTGAATGGTGGTGTGGAAGGTCGAGTCAGACATCGTGAGTGTGATTTAATTGTAAAGACGATGATGTAGATGAAAATGAGCTATAAAACACAGAGAGATATGTTTTTAGATCAATGGAGATTGCAATGAAAATACCTATTGGTTTATATATCTACATCTTCTTTGTCGATGGCAAGATGCTGTGACGTTTGCTGCAATGACGACATGGCATCCAGGGCCATTTGTCTCCATTTAGTTGCAAGGATTCCAGGATACCAGTCAAATAATTAACCGGTAAAACTTGACCAGTTAGGTCATAGGCAAGCCCGCCTGTGGTGGCAAACCTATTCACTTGCTTCAGTGACAAGATAACTTGCATCCATTCTGGCCAGTACCACTCAGGGCCCACCTGCAACTAAAGAGTCAATCAATCAATAGCTCAATATATGAATCCTAGGGGCTACGATGTCATAGACCTATTGAATTCACAATTCCCCCATCGGAGTGCTGAGCTGTTCATGGATGTCTTCATTATTCGATGAGGTAACATTCGATGACTTCTGATTCGGGCCAATCTATGGTTTTTATTGCGTGCAATATACTCCGTACAGCAGCACAAAACTTGCCAAGGACATTGCAGTAAAATAGTGTCCATAACATAGTGCCTTCATGCTAGTACAGCTGCGAGATTGCGCACAGTGGCTGGCCAGAATGTGACTAGAACGGACTAGACAGACCACAACTTCAATTGCGATCTAGAAGACACTTCAAGATGATCTATCAGCACAACAATAGACAGATGGCATAGTTAAAAGGCCCAGATGAGTTAGAGAGCAAGTCAGCCCTAGAGATGAGTCGGCGTCTTCAAAGGGCTTAGAAGCATGCAAAACATCAACAGCACCGCCTTCCCCTTTGGTCTGGCAGAAAATGTTTCTTATCGAAGACAGTCAACTCCGGAGGCCTGTAGAGAATTAGTGAACTTGTTCATTGGATTCTTCTAAGGCTCTTTGCTTTTCGACACATACGTTCCACAACATGCCTCGAGATCCGCTGATCGGGCTGGTGGGAAAGGTCCGTCTTCTCCCTCCATCCTTCAATCACCCCCACTGACCGCAGATGTGAGGGGCATACAGCCGTCTAGTGGAAAGTCCACAACATTAAACAGCTTGACTGATGCGACTTCAAAAGTCGGTAAGTAAACTAGAGTACTATGAAAATCGATATCAGAACGCTAATCAATTACGCTCTGAAAAGGAAACTTCCCGTACGTACGCCCCGATTGTTCGGCACGAGCATTTCCACCTTATCGAAGTTGATTGCGCCGGCCGTATTGACACCAGATAGCTTTACGACCATTGACCCTCAGCGCGCCATTGGATACCTTCAGATTGACTGCCCATGCCAGCGACACAATGTTTCAGATCGGTGCCAGCCCAATTATGGAGGTTGTCATGAAGGGCGGCGCTCTGTGCCCATTGAGTTGCTAGATGTCGCAGGTCTTGTGCCAGGGGCTCACCAAGGTCGCGGACTTGGTAATAAGTTCTTGGACGACCTGCGTCATGCCGATGCTCTGATCCATGTTGTGGATGTGAGCGGGACCACGGACGCTGAAGGTTAGTTGAATGTGGCGAAACGAAGACAATGGCGCGAGGCGGGTATTGATATATAAACAGGAAAGGCTACCCGAGGATATGATCCATCAGTGGATATTGAGTGGTTGCGATCAGAGATCGTGCGATGGGTGCTAGGAAACTTGATGGAGAAATGGTATGTTTGCTATCAACCGACTACGGGATGAAGGACGGCGCTGATTAACTTCCAGGGGATCTATCAAGAGGAGACACCAAGCGTTGAGTCAGTGAACCTTTGCAATCTTCTTTGAGATGACACAAAACTGAGACTTAGCACAGAGGCAAACGCCGTCGATACATTGCAGAAACAGTTTGCCGGTTACGGAAGTACCCAGGCCACCGTTGCACGATTTATGGATAAACTTGCTCTTAAAGAGCCTTTGGAAGACTGGTCAGACGAGACGGTAGAGATTGTTGTTAATGCTTTCATTGATGAGAAATTCCCTACGGTCTTTGCTTTGAACAAGATCGACCACCCAGATGCAGACAAGGTACGAGTACCCGGTGGATGACTTATTGATATGATCTAAGAAATATTCTAGAACATCAGCAAAATTGCGAAGATGCAAGATCCTCAAAGCATCGTGCTTTGCTCCGCTATATCTGAGGTTTTCCTCCGAAGGTTGGCCAAGCAGAAATATATCAATTATGTCGAAGGCAGCGAGTTCGTCGACATGCGGGAAGATTTGATCGAAATGGGGGATCCGGATGGCGGAGGCCTCAAGGAGATGGACGAGAAATTAAAAACGTATGTTCAGCGCCGATAGAAAAATCGTAACATTGCTGACCACTTCGTTTCAAACAGGCGTGTTGAGAACTTGAAAGACCTGGTGCTGTATCGATTTGGATCTACTGGAGTGGTCCAATGTCTTTCCCGAGCCGCAGAGCTTCTGGGCCTTGTGCCAGTGTTCCCTGTCCGAAATGTCGCAACATTCAACTCTGGCGCTGGAACTGCGGTGTTCCGCGACTGCGTTTTGGTCAATAAGTGAGTGTCCCTTTCGTTGAGGTTGGCATGGCCCTTCTAACATTCTACAGAAACAGTACTGTCGGCGATGTTGCCCGGAAGGTGATGGGTGATGTGACTATCAGCTACATCGAAGGAGTGGGCGGAACACGAGTCTCTGAGGATGACATTGTGACAGTTGGGAAAAATGATGTGGGTGCCTCTTCATCAAACAACAGAGACCGTTGACTAACTATCATTACAGATCCTATCCTTCAAGGTTGGCCGGTAGACCAGTCCATTTATGTACAGCCTGTCCTAAAGTCTCATGAAATGACTAGTGATGGAAATGTCTTATGATCCATTTGTCTACCCCAAGTCACTCTATCACAATATTTGAATCGCCGGCAGTGAAATGTCGAGATTTCATGACCCCATAGAACACCACAAAACAACGGGCTTCGTTCTCACTTCTGCGGAATTGTGTTGCAATCAGCAACACGAAAATTGACAATCAGCATCCAGGCACACTCACCTTTTGCCGCTCATCATTCATGCCAATAACCGGCTCTGGCGCCTTAGGATGCTCCTCCTTAGCCTGCTTTTCACGTTTGGTCCCGCCCCTCTCTGTAATTGCCTGAGATATGCTATCATCTGCTATGCCATGACTTTCAACCCGTTCCCTTCGTGCGGAGGCCGATGCCTCCGAATGAATATCTTCTGTGTCGCCCTTTTCAGACCGTTTGTGGCTATGGTCCTCCGGTGTACTCCCCTTCCAATCCTTGAATATGGAGTACTTTCTCACACCAAAGTGTGCACAAAGGACCGGCGGCTGCATGACCGAGTGTAACCGTAGAACAAGCCGCGAATGTGGCCGAGAAACGGACATACTGCGCATCATTGGAGTAAAAGGAGCAATATAGTAATTCGGCATAGTGATTTTGAAGTATCTCGAAATATCTGAACTGCCAGAACAGCGGATTTTATTACCATCTTTACTAGGAGATATGACGTCTCTATGCTGCAATGCAAGTTGGAAGAAACAGGCAATCGCCGGTTGGAGGTGAACCGTGGAAGGAGCCGCTTATCGATAAGACAAGGATCGTCATCGGCGCGACATTCCAACCTTGGCACGTTTTTAAGCGGGCAACGACAATCTCGGTCAATTTACGGAGTACTCCACGATGAAACGCGAGTACCTCCCGATCGAGTCTCTGCCAGCCTGGCAACGACTCAACGGGATCGCTGTGCACGGCATCGCGGTCCAGAAGGTTGGATCCGATGAACATGGCGCAGACAAAGGTTGTGCCATCATCGCAACTGAAGCCAAGACGAGCAGCGAGAATGACGCAGAACCCAAGATTCTCCTACAGATTCCGTCCGACTTAGTGCTCTCCCTCGAGACTGTGCATAACTACGCGAAAAGCGACCGGTACTTGCGCGATGTCTTGGAGGCAATCGGCGACTTTGGAAGGGTATGAACCGTCCTTCTCTGATTTCATTGTATACACCCCAGAAGAAAATCAAACTAAGCTACACAGACAGCTAGAGGTGCGATCCTGATATTCCTACTCGTTCAACTATCGCATAGCAGCCCCGATCTGCGCTCGCGACACGAGACCATCGGCATCTCCACTCCTTGGACCGAATATGTCAAGTTTCTGCCCCCATCGTTTCCCCTCCCTACTTTTTACACTGCCGAGGAACAAGAACTCCTCCGGGGCACGTCGCTTGCAGATGCCCTGGATGCAAAGGTTACATCGCTTGAGCGAGAATTTGAACACCTTCGCCAGGCCACAGAGGGTATTGCGTGGTGTCAGCAGAGTTGGTGGGATGATAGTACGGGCAGGCTGACGATTGGTGACTGGAAATATGTGGATGCAGCTTATCGGTCGCGCATGGTGGACCTACCTGGCAGTGGTCTTGCGATGGTGCCTTGTATTGATATGGCCAATCATGTATCCGGCGAGGGAGTCAAAGCGCTGTATGATGCAGATGCCGAGGGGAATGCGATTTTACAATTGCGGTGGGGCAAGGCTCTGCAGCCTGGGGAAGAGGTTACGATCTCGTGAGATTTCTCTATCGCGAATCTGAGTTTATGGGGGATGACTGACATTTGACCGGATAGTTATGGTGACGAGAAGCCCGCATCTGAGATGATTTTCTCTTACGGTTTCCTTGAGAGTAACCGGACGGATGCACGGGAAATATCACTTAACCTGGAGATTCCGGAGGATGACCCCCTCAGCCTCGCAAAAAGGATCTTCTGCCAGAATGACTTGGGAATTCACATTTCGACGGTTCAAGGCTCTGATGGCGTGACCTGGGAGAGTCCGCTAGCGTGGATAGCATGCGTGAACGAAGAGGATGGGCTTCACTTTGGCATCGCACAGACCACCGACGGCAGTCGGGAGTTGGAAACCACCTGGAAGGGCGAAAAGATCGAATCACCTAATCGTCTGCGCGATCTTCTCGCGGTTGATCCCCTATGGGAGATTTTCCAGCTACGCGCTGCAGTACTACTACTCGAACAGCTCGAGACCCAGCTCGCTGTTCTGCAACAGACAGAGGAAAGCATCTCGAATCTACAAGAGGACAAAGCGGCATTGCATTCCATGTTTCGACCTGGGATCTTCACATCGATTACCCAATTCCGGAACCTGGAGGGGGATCTACTAGAAAAGGCCATTGAAGAATTTATCAAACAGGTAAGTGATCTCATCTGTCGAATTTCTCAGAATTTACCTCCCTTTTAATTTCCCCCGCTGACCGTGGCACGCAGAGAACCGAATTACTCAGTTCTGAAACAGTGGCCGCGTATTTCAAAGCACAGACAGGGGAGCCAGACGAAGCAGATGACTTTTCATGAAGTGGGTTTGAGGACCCAGGTTTCAGAGTCTCAGGAAGACTAGACCATATGGCTACGGAGAGATTACGGAATATTTACGGAGTTCATCGATACAATAATGCCAACATCCACGTTGAAGCATTTTTACGTCTCCACCTTGAGCCCACTTAGTCTGCTTAGTATGTACATAAGCTGCTGCAAGCCCAAGATCCTCACCCAGTCCCCGCCAGATCTTCTTTTAAAAAAAGGAGTTGCGAACCCCACACCCCCGTTGCACACCAGACTATTCGATGCGCAGGCGCCACACTATGAACACTAGCGTTCACTTGTGATGAAAATATATGGAAACCATGGGTATGACGTCCCTTGTCGAAGATCATGGAGTCGGTCAAGGGGTCAACACATATCAATGATCTACAGGGTCGTGAAGTGCATGCGGGGGGATACCTGTGGCAGGAATGTCGACATTTAGATCTCCACTGAACTCGGTTGACGTCAGACAGGGTACATGGCTATAATAATCTCCGAGGTATCGATGAAGTTGAAGCATTCCGGTTCCTTCCTGAATACAAGATGTGTTCCAACGTGTTAGAGACTAAATAATGAGCGAGTTGCGGTGGAGTAGATCGCGAATCCAACAGTCTGGAGCCTAGTGGGGCCATTCGCTCATAACCATGGTTCGCTCATCTCTCGGGGGAAACTCGCTGATCGGAGTGAAACCGGATTTCCTTGAAATACCAGTCTCGCGTGTCTGCGATACTTACGGAGTACGGCGTACGGAGTAGATTAACGCGTTATTAAATGTGTCCTTTCTGCATTTTGCTGACCAAATCGAATAAATAATATAACTCACTTGATAGGTGCCCAAGCGGACCCGGGAATACAATAATTCCAAACTCCAGTATTTGATCTCTCCCCGCGGTTGATCCTCCGTGAACGGTTGGGGTCGCCACTGTAGTGAAGTCGCTATTACTTCACCACGCGGTTTAAACTCTGACATTTATGGAGGTTTCGCTGTTTTTCATGGTTGAGTAGCGATTTTGGATTTCTGTTAGATCAAGATGACTTCAGGGTGTACTAGTTTGTGGTGGCCACAAACTTAAGGTTGCAACCCGCGTAAGATCGGGTTATTCAAGGGAATGCGGAGTTATCTCGATGTTTTTTTTAGACAGGTCTTACCCATGGACAGAGGCCGATGATCGGACCTCAAATCAATACTTGGCCTATTAGCCCTACACTACGGAGTACGTCGAAGACACACACACGCCATAGCACTGGGGCCGAGGGAGGAACCCGGAAGCGATTGTGCCCAGTTACCGCAACCGGCCAGGATCCGAAGCCTGCGCGTTCGCATAAACAGAAAAAGTTTATATTGCTGCATGTAAGGCAGGTTGTTCTGCCTCAAAGCCACTGCCCATTCCTCTCCCTCCTCCTGTCGATAGCCAAGGAGGTACAGATTGTGGAGTGCGGGGGGCACGGGAGGATCCAACCGTCAAGCAGACGGAGGAAATTGAGAGGCGCGCAGGAAGAATCCGGGGCAGTCGAGTTGAAGACGGGCTACGGGGTAATATCGCCTCTCCAGAATAGTCAAAAGACCGGGGCCAAAAAAAGATTTAACGACATCGGAGGCTTGGATTTAGAGTGAATACGAATGCAATACCAATTACCATCGATACAAGGCCGTGGTGATTGGCGCCCAAGGAAGGTCAGCAGTCTCCACCCTTCAACTGACTCAGCATCGGTGTGTCCCCATCTTTCCCCCCCCCATGTTTTATGACTTCTTTCCTCATACTTGTTTCGTTTTAACTAGGGATTTCTTTTCAAATTGTTCGGTATCGAAGACTTACGAAGAGAGTGTGTTGGTGATAACACTTTCGGGTCTTTTAAATACAACCAACTCAAACCCCGGCGGCCTTTGTGCCCCTACTGCACAACATGCCTGGCATCTTACCCATGAAAGTGATCAAGGTCGGTGGCACTGGTTCGACAAGCCGCATTGCCCAAGCCTGCGATCGATGCCGAAGCAAGAAAATCCGCTGCGACGGTGTGCGCCCTTGCTGTTCACAATGTGCCAACGTGGGCTTCGAGTGCCGTACTAGCGACAAACTGAGCCGCCGCGCTTTCCCGCGTGGATATACAGAGTCCCTCGAAGAACGTGTCAGGACTCTGGAGACTGAAGTCAAAGACTTAAAAGACCTGCTAGACGAGAAAGATGAGAAGATCGATGTCTTATCGCGGATACATTCATTTTCGCCCGCATCACAACGGGCCCCCTCGGCACGGTCCCCCTCGGCTTCCGCCACGGTTAAGTCCATCAGCTCGGATTCATCGGATGGCGTGATTCATGTTGAACGATCAACGACTCGATCATCCCAGCAATCGCAGAACCCCTTCATGGGATTTTCTAGTACCCAGGGCCTTGCTGGTATGTCTCACACATGCCCTTGCAACTTGAAAAATCAAAGCAATAAAGCTAATTCACATGTGCAGATGTCTTCACCAACAAACTTGTTAGCGAAGGAAAATCAGCAATCAAGGTTCCCACAGGAACCATCACTGCCTTGCCTGCGTCGGTTGTTCAAGGTGCCCCCAACTTCACTGTGAAAACGCCACCTCGGTTGGTTTCGGATCAACTTATCAACATCTTCTTCCAAGAATGGGCGCCACTGTACCCTGTGGTACATCGCCCAACCATCTTGAAGGCTTACGAGCAGTATCTCAACAATCCCGATTCTCTCCAGCGCAATGCTCATGTTATGGCGCAGTTGAACCTGATTTTTGGTATCGCTGCTATCTCATCCGTGTCACGAACAAATCAAGACCCAGTATTCTTCGAACAGAATTGGTCGGCGACCCTTGATTCATTCTCAACTGAAACCTCAATTGCTAGTCTGCAGTGCTTTGTCCTTGGTCAAATTTATTGTATGACCAAAGGCGATTACCGCACTTTACTCCGCTATCGTGCCCTTGCTGTGGATATCTGCCACCAGCTAGGCATGCATGAGAACCAACAACGCTCGGCCAACCCACTTCATGATGAGACCCAGAAGAAGGTATTCTGGTCGCAATATGTGCTGGACCGGTTCTGCTCCGCGCTCACTGGTCTGCCTGTTCTCCTGCGGGAAGAGGATATCGAGGCGGAATATCCGGTTGACGTGGACGACGAGAATGTCACAGAGACAGGCTTTTTGCCCACCCTGCCGGGTGAATCCACTCGAATTTCCAGCGCCATCGCTCTCTTCGGCGCTGCACGGATCTTGAACAAAACTTTGGAGGATCTGTACCCATCCAAATCCGGCTACGACGTGTATGTTTCAAAGATGCGTTCCGTCACAGGGCAACTGGACGAATGGCTTCACACCCTGCCTCCTCACCTTCGTCTCGAGTTCAGCCAGGACAAGCCTAGCACGAACGTCACGAGTAGCCGGTCGCCGCTCCTAGTAAGTCTCGGCTTTTTTTTCCCTGATCTTTTTCTTTTCAATGTTCAATCAAAACAGTACTGACTTTTCTATAGTCGCTTGTGTATTATTTCATCCGATCTTTGATTCATCGTCCAGCTGTGTGCTACGCCGACGAGAATCTTCGTTCTCCATCTGTTCTGGCGGTGTCTGATTCCGCAAAGCATATCATCCAGATCCTTGAACTTCTTGATGAGAGGCGCCTGTGCTTATCTGTCAGTATCAACAAGAAGGAGTTGGTATTCTTCTCCGGACTTGGGCTTCTTTGGCAAATGCTCGATGTTAAGAGCGATAGCAAACTAGCCAAAGAGACTCAGAAGTTGCTCGGAACCGCCTTGCAATATCTTCGGTTTGAGTCGAGCGCAGCCGCCACAGAGTTCGGCGTCTTGTCTAATAGCTTAGTCGCCTTGGACGGCGGACGGCGCCCATCCACCGGCAAACACGCCCAGGAAATGGTTGCACCAACACAAAAGCCAAGCAAATCCCCCAAGAAACACTTGCAGGCATTAAAGTCGCGACTCATCTCCACCTCCATCCGTGAGAAGCAGCCTCCAACTCAACCTTCCCCCCAGTCCTCCCGCCGCAACACCGTCTCCGGTGCCACACCCCCGCTTGCAGCCCAGGCCATTCGCTCCCCTAGCTGGAGTAGCCTACCTCCATCTCAGCCCGATCACATTCAAGACCTCATCCCCGCCGCGCACTACCTCACCGAAAAAGGCCAATCCCCATTGGATCTACCCATGAATCCCCATTTAGCTCCACCCATGAGCTACGATCACCCACGCTCCATGTCTTGCTCTACTCCTTCTGATCCCTCAGCCGGCGCGATAACGATGGCCGACTGGGAATACGTGCTGAGCGACATGGACCGCGGTTACTCTAACATTTTCACTGGTATCTATGGTGGCAAAGAATGCGGCGAGGATCCAGGCCCATTCGCCTCCATCACAGCAGAATATACCGGCAAACCCAACGACCCCTCCCTAGTGAATCCTCCTAAAGTGGATATCCAGGGCCTCTCTCCCGAGGCATGGTCCGCTAGCAGTGGCGACTTTGCACCCACGCATGAACACACCACACAGAGTGTCTTGAGCTATTCTGGTGAAAGTATGGGCAGCGCCGAGGAACCTCTGGCCCGGTACGGTGATGTCCGGGTCTGTCATGAGGAAATGAACGGCCTCGATCCTTTCCATACTTTTGCTATGCCTGTTGAGGACGAGGTTGACGAGTTCTCGCTGGCGAATGGCTGGGACCGACGGCTGGCCGTTTGATTGATTCTTTGAGCTGGGTGTTTTTTGGAAGAGAGTTGGGATTTGAGCCGGTTTTTTCTGCTTTATTCATGATACCTGTGGAGGGGGGAGGGGGCGTTTTCTTTTTGCTTTTTTTTTTTTTTTTTTTTTCTTACTTTCTCCGGTCTACTAGTCGACGTGCCTTGCATATGCCTTTCATATGTTTGCCAATGTTATTTTCTGTCTTCCGGTGTATGTCTGGTGTACAATGTTTCTTAGGATGGGCAACGCCCGGGACTCACATGAATTCGATGATCACGGCATTCTTTTCAGGACCATCACTACAATACAATATGGGCCATTACCTATCATCTCGCTTTATCATTATGTTCAGTGCTATGAATTGGAAAAGTCCGGTCTTATATCTTAAGCCCTTTCCGATGTACTTTGTCTTCAGGTAGTTTCAAACGAGTAGTCATGCTGAAACTGATCGACCATAGCGTACATGAATGTGGATCCTGACATGTCTTATTGGTGCCTCAAGGAAATAAAGAGGCGGCTCTAAGCTTTAGACTAAAGCACCCTAGCTCGCCCCGGTATATAAAAGACCCACTTTCCTGGGTCCTGGGGCATACTGGGGCATGCCCCAGCATGCTGTGGATCTAGCGTGTGGTCCGGTAACAAGTTCCAAGGTTCTATTTGTACAATTTCCTTTTATACACTGCTAAAGCTTCCTAGACGTTATTTGAAGTCACGATACAAGAACCCCTGGAAGGTGGAGATCATAGTCTGAGGACCTACTTTTATCGAACCGAAGAGTTGAACGGCGAATATCCTATTTTTGGAGGGTTATTTACGAGGTAGTTGATAGTGCTTTAACAGGCCATACTACTGGAAAGGAGGTCCCAGAGAGAGACATTGCATATACTCAAGGGCTTGTCTTTGTCGCTGTCGCACCAGAAATATAGCTTGGGACATACAAGCGCGGATGATTCGATAACCCTGGTATGTATAACGAAGAGTAGCCATTGGCTGTATAAATATCTCGCTTGTTGACAACCAATTAAACCTAAAATGTTGCGAATTTTGGGAAAATCCAAGTTCACATCTGTCTGAGGCATCAGAATATCCTTAGAAGCCTATTGACAGGGCGAAATATGACTACATGTATTACATGTATGTAAATGCAGTCTCTACCAGATACTAACGGACCATAAATTGCATACATGCAGCGGTAGACACGTAGTACATATGTGGGACGGAGATGTCGTTATACTTCACTCCGTGCAACCCAATAGGGTCATCAAGCTCTCTTTAGTATGCTCGACTAGTAAGCGTTACATCGATCGGATTCCGAGGCCCCCATCAAGTCCCCGGACTCCCAGTGGAACATCCTTTGTACCTGAGTATCCATTTCCCTTCACATCCATATTTGTTCTTAGTTTGAGAGCAGAGTTAGATCCACATCCCAAAATGGCCGCATGGAGGGAGATGCGGTCTCGGTTCCTACCTGCTGTGATTACCATGTTTCTCTTACTGCAGGTGCTTTTTCTAGTGAACATGTGCTATCTTTATGCAACCCAGTTTCGCAGTACCACTCGTTATCACAACTTCAACGTACTTTATGTCGACTATGATGGCGGCATTATTGGAAAGTCGGTGGCTGACGCCTACCAGAACCTACAAGGTGATGGATTCCCAACTTTCCACACAAAGTCTTCGAAGGAATATCCTCAGACCGATGATATTCGTGAAGCCGTATGTCGCAGTGAATACTGGGGCGCCGTTTATACCCATGCGGATGCGTCGAACGGACTGAGGTCAGCACTGGCGAACGGTTCTAACCCGCCGGCGTCCCTCACTTATGTCTGGAATGCGGTTCGATACCCAGTCTTCTCGCAGGCTGTGGTCTACTCAAGCTTCATGGAGTTGATTGAGAAAAGCAGATCAACATATTATGCCAATAATGGATCCTCAGTGATCACATCCGTCGATCTCTCTAATCCAGCTACCCTCAACGTCTTCCTCGACCCAATCCACACCGAAGAAATCAACATCAAAGACACAGAGCACGGTACGAGGGTTTTTTACAACACAGTATCCATGGCCATGCCTATCATCCAACAATTCTTCTTCCTCTTAGCCTTGAACGGAATCTCAACACATTTCGATACATTCACCAAATTATCCTGGAGGATCAACGGCCTGATTCGGGCGATAGCTTCCGTCCTCTACACCCTCGTCGGCGCACTGCTGATGGCCGGCTATATCTGGGCTTACAGGGAATCCTGGGCACAGGAAGCGGGTCGGTTCGTGCTGACTTGGATGATTCTGTGGCTTCTGATGCACATCAATTTCCTGTTTTTCGACATTACCACTGCCTTCATCCCGATTCAGTTCATGCCGTTTGTTGTTTTGACTTGGGTGGTTTTAAATATTGCCAGTACTATCAGTCCCTTTGAGATGAGCCCTGGTTTCTTTCGTTGGGGATATGCTCTTCCTTCTCATGAGGCATACCAGGTTCTGATCCAGATTTGGTCGGGGGGATGCAATAATCGGCTTTATCAGGCGCTGCCCGTTATGTTCTCATGGTGGATTGTTGGTATTCCGATTGCCGTGTATGCTATGCAGTATCGCTGCAAGACTGCTGTGGGTGCTCAGGACGGTTCGGATCGTGCCAATCTGGGAAATGACTCTGAGGTTAAACATGCGGTCGGGAGCGATGAGGTAGTGGCTACGGGTGTCTCTTCTCGCGGGATCTCGTAGGAACGGAACTTGGTTGAGTTAGGTTGTTTCTCTGCGTCATCTTGCCCAAGAAGGCTCTTAATTCAACCAGGCGGGTGATTAATTACCTCCTTGATATCTCGAGCTTTACGTGCTATCCAACTCTGTCTTATACTAAATTTCAACCTATAATCAGTAGTTTTAGGACTAAAAGGAGTGCTAAGAATATAGTGATGCCATAATATGATTCTGGGGCTCTGTGGCAGAGGTTGCAGCGATGCACCTTCTGGATCGTATACTCTGGCTGCTACGGATATTGAAAACCCTCGGCGACATGTCAGCACCGTTACAGATAAATCTCGTCCTACAAAAAAAGGTACGGCCTCAGCAAGGAAAGCACCCGGTCTTATTCTCGGGGTGGAAGCTGGAGATCTTAGCATGTCTGGCTTTTCTTACTGCACTTGCAGCCATGGTGGCTACAATGTACCCTTACCAGGGCAAGCCACTTCCTCAGTGGTCCTTTCGAGTATCTGTCAACACATTGCTAGCCCTCTACAGGGGGCGATGAATGCAACCACTATCTATGTCGTCGGATCTTGCATCGCCCAGCTCCAATGGTCATGGTTCTCGTCTGAATGGCCTCTTATCGACCTTTCTCGGCTTGCAAACCTATCTCATGGAGCCATCCCTGGAGCGTTCCGCTGGCTTTGGTCGAATCATATCCGAGAGCCGTTGGTCGCCCTTGGCCGTTATCGCCTCTATGACTAGTGTGCCTATTTCCCGTATGAGACTACCGATCTACGAATCTTTATATAGGCTGCGAGAAGACAACTATCGAGGTCATGGTAGCTCATAGAAGTCATTACTGTCCGAAGCAAGGCTAGCCTAACCGTCTACTGTAAATAGTCCTCATAATTGAAGCTATTCCCACCATACAAATCCTCATTTCCACCCATTTCCAGACGCTGAGGCCCCATCCCTTGCAATCAGAATGGCTGTCATAGTCAGGTAGCCGTCTTCGAGCCACAGCCACCCCCTTTTGGGTTTTGGGGATGGGTCTCTCCCGCCCAATTGAGGTTCCCACCAAATCGAAGATTCTCAGATTTAGGTATCTTTTGTATGGCGCAACCATATAAAGGGTACTTCGACGTAAAATATCAAAGGATCCAATCTTTCTCGCTCCTCGCACTACCTAGCAGAGAGATAAAAGTATCAATACAAATGATCAGTAAGGGTTAATAGATATATGAGATCCATTCGTATAGGATTTGAGGGGGATGGCTTGAAAATAATCGTGCCCGCGCACCAACCCTACGCAGGGGTTGATGCGCCCCAGCACTGGATAAATTTTTCACCACTTCATAATTTTTGAGATCGGGTATCTTTTATATGCTATACCCATATAAAAGGTACATAATAGATAGGAAATTGAAATATCATTTTTCAAGACAACCTATTGAGCTAAGGAAATTTTAGTCCATTAATATGATAATTAACAACTTAATTCCACATAGTATCACTCTGAATAAGAAATCTCAAATATTATGTACCTTTTATATGGGGATAGTATACAAAAGATACCCGATCTCAAAAATTATGAAGTGGTGAAAAATTTATCAAGTGCTGGGGGCACGATTATCACCAGGTCTCCAAATTGTAGGGAAATTTTGACGAAGTCCCATATGTTTCTACCAAGCTATAGCATCCTATCAAGGTCGACACTAAGCAAAACACTGTATTCAGTTATGCCCATATGCTTATGCTTCCGGCAACTGTCATAAGGGTTCAAAGAATTTCATTGATACGATATCTAGTTTCCGGGTTCCTTTTATATGGCCCAACCATACAAAAGATACCTCTATCCGAGAATCTTCGGGACCGAAGACGAAATTTCGGCTTAAAATCAGGCATCTTCAGGCAGAACCCCCGTTTTATTCTCTCCGACCCTTGGCCGCTATGCCCGCAAAAGATTCTGATTGAGTCTGGGCAGACCCCCACTCATGTCTGGACCCTCTCGGTTTGCCGCAAAGAAAAATTCAAAGCGAATAGAAACTGGCAGTCAGTATGAGGACGGTGCTCTGGCCTGGAGCATCTTTCCAAAGAAAGAAAAAAGCATGCGGCATCGGTTGCACTGATGACTGAGGCAAAACCCAAGCTTTGTGGCTGCCGCCGATTTCATCATTACTTCTTGGGGGATCAGGCCATCCCACGAAACATTCTCTCCAAAAAACTCTTCGTTCCCCAGAAAGAAATGATCACGAGGCGCAAGTATCCGAGTCTTCCGCGCCACCCAGAACTCGTGGGCGTGGGGTCTGGAGTCGAGATGACCAACCCCGTGAACCATGGCTGAATGGGCAAATTTGCCCATTCCGAGTTCAATTCCCCGGGTTCTCTGCAAAATCATGGGGCACCGCTACGCGAAAGGCACATTCCCAGACTTTGAGATCAACGTGTCATCGGTTCACGGCACAATTCCCCGATCTGTATGGCCCGATTCCGAAGAAATTCTGTACTCGGCTCCCGTCAGTGCGGTGGCTTGCCTCTTGGCTTGCCGGTTCGGCGCTGTATAAGAACCATTGATCCGGCACTGTCTGTCATTTGGAACCCTTAGCCCCCCACGAATACTACGCGCAGATAGCACTCACTGCCGATATGTTCGACAACATTCTCAAAAAGCGTCCACAGGGCCTTTACACAGACTCTCAACCCCCTGGAGAGTCTGTGCCCACAAATGAACGCGAGAAAGGCGCCGGCGAGCTCGTCGATACGCCAATTCCGCTTCTCACTTGGCGGTCGTTCATCATGGGTGTGTTCGTCTCTATGGGCGGATTTCTTTTTGGTTACGATACTGGTCAAATCTCTGGCTTCCTGGAGATGCAAAACTTCCTTCAGCGTTATGGTGAAATTCAGGATGACGGGACTTATCATTTCAGTAACGTCCGTTCGGGTCTTATAGTTGCCCTGGTAAGTGGTACCATTGCCATCATTCCTTACTTATGCATATCCTAACGCAGTCATTGTAATAGCTGTCCATTGGTACTTTGATTGGAGCTTTGATTGCTGCACCGATTTCCGATCGCGTAGGAAGAAAGTGGTGTATCAGCGGCTGGTCTTTGATGGTATGCATTGGAGTTACCATTCAGATCTCCTCGCCTTTTGGGAAGTGGTACCAGGTTGCCATGGGTCGTTGGGTCGCCGGACTCGGGGTTGGCGCCATCTCTCTGCTGGTCCCGATGTACCAAGCTGAATCAGGACCGAGACACATCCGTGGTTCATTGATCAGGTACGTTACAACCATTATCCGAGCCATCGCAAACAGCAATTATCGGGGTTCTAACATCTCGTAGTACATACCAGCTATTCATCACACTTGGAATTTTCGTTGCGAACTGTATCAATTTTGGAACCGAAGACCGCTCTGATACCGGGGCATGGCGCATCCCAATGGGAATCACATTTCTCTGGGCTATAATCCTCGGTGTTGGCATGATGTTCTTCCCTGAAAGCCCACGCTACGACTATCGCCAAGGTAGGGTGGATAAAGCTATGAACACACTTGCCAAAATTTATGGCATCCCCCTCAATCACCGTGCCCTGCATATCGAATTCGATGAGATCAAGCAGAAACACGACGAAGAGAAGGTCAATGGGCAGGCTAGCTGGATTCAAATGTTCTGTGCTCCTACAATGGCGTATCGGGTCGCTGTTGGCGTCGCTTTGCAAGCTCTGCAGCAGCTGACAGGTGCCAATTACTTCTTCTATTATGTGAGTTGAAATGGTCGTATCGGGAATCAGAAAAGAACCCGTAAACTAACATATTGCAGGGAACCACGGTCTTCAAAGGCGCTGGTATCCAAAACAGTTATGTCACCCAGATGATTCTGGGCGGTGTCAACTTTGGAACAACGTTCCTTGGTCTTTATTTGATCGAACACTTCGGTCGACGCCGTTCTCTCATCATCGGTGCTCTATGGATGTTTGTCTGCTTCATGATCTTTGCCTCAGTGGGTCATTTCTCCCTGGATCGCGACTTCCCAGAGCGAACAAAATCTGCCGGCGTGGCCATGGTGGTCTTCGCCTGTCTGTTCATCCTTGGCTTTGCCAGTACATGGGGTCCCATGGTGTGGACAATCATCGCCGAGTTGTATCCTTCGCAATACCGTGCGCGAGCTATGTCTTTGGCAACAGCCTCCAATTGGCTCTGGAACTTCCTTATTGCATTCTTCACCCCCTTCATTACCGGTGATATTGACTTCCGGTTTGGATATGTCTTCGCCGGCTGTCTTTTCCTCGCTGCTGGTTTGGTCTATGTCGCTGTCATTGAGGGAAAAGGCCGTACTCTGGAAGAGATCGATACTATGTATCTCATGAAAGTGAAGCCGTGGAAGAGTTCCAAGTTCCAGTTCCCGGCTGATCCAAACGTCGTTCGAGGCTCGTTCGACAAAGAGGAGAATGCCCCAGTGTCGTCTCACGTCGTTGACCCGACTGTTGAGCTGCGAGATGATGGGTCTGCCGTACCGGTGGCACGTCCATAAGCGTAAACGCAGCTTTTGATTCGCAAAGATGTTTGTTGAATGTCCAAGTTGCTCATGTACCAATAGTTTCCTATCCTGGCATTTTCCCTCCCCAATTACTCTTGCTCGTTCGATCAAGATAGGGGTTTCAAGATAAATCTTCATATTCAAATATTGTCTTCCAATGATGCTCTTTCTGTAAATATTTCTTTCTTCAATCGACTGGTTTTATCTCACCCGTCGCCAGGTTTTTCACCAAAATTCCATCGAAGTATTCCGTTAGTTCTGCCACATCTCCAAGCTCACCAACCCATCCAATATATTGATCTGGGCGAATAACCACCAGCGCCCCGAGCACTCGATCAACCCCCCACTTATCATATGCTGCTCCATCACAATAACGATCAAACGCACAAGCATCATCACACCATATCTTGTCATATGCCCATCCCCTCACCGGATCAAAGGGATGCAGAATCTCTGGGAAATCGAAGAACTCCACCTCCTTCCACGGAGAAGCATGGACAGTAAGCACATCAATAGGACTCTTAAATCGACCGGGAATCTCCAAGTAGCGATCCAAAGGTGAAGCACACGATGTAGACTGACCAGCCAGGACCTGAGCCAAGATCTCAACGCGCCGCCTCTGCATCGGATTCCGCACATCACCCGCCAGAACGAGAATCCGAAAGCGCCCATCACTTTCCAACACCTTCGTCGTCCATTGTGTACCTCCCTCAGCCTGATTGAGAATTTTGACCGGCCGCACCCTCTCTCCAGGAATCATGTGCTGAGCAAAAGCAAATCCAGTCCCATCATCGCCAGCCTTGCAAACAAGACTGCTAGCCGGGTAAAAGACCTTCCAACCATCAGCGAAGTCCTCAAATTTCTCCGCGATTGTAGCTATTTCTTTCGCTTTCGCGTCTGTCACTTCCGGTCCCTGATCAGTAAACATAGGTGACCAATGCCGATCGAAATCAAGCAACATCTCCGCAAGGGGATGTCTCTCCGATGCGTATGTCTTGAGAATCTCGGGCCTAAGAGTCCCCACCACGGAAAGAGCAATTTTCCACCCAACATTGAATCCGTCCTGCATACTCATGTTCATACCAAGTCCCATCTTCGGTGAGTGTGTATGCACCGCATCGCCGGCAAGGAAGATCCTGCTTCCCTTTGTGGACTGCGCCGCGATCCGCTGTCCGACTTGGTAAACTGTCCACCAGCTGCATGCTTTGAAGTCGAAGGTGAAGGGGGAGAGAATGGCTTGTACGCGTGCGCGGATCAAATCTGGTGTGACTTTTGAGCGGTCGAAGCGCTCGCTCGCACCTGCTTCGCAGACTTGGACGGGGACATAGAATCGGACTAGGCCACGCTCGCGTGGGATTATGAGGATTGTGCCGGCGGCGTTGGTTACGATGCTTACGCGGCGGACGTCCGCTTTTGAGGGCTTGGGTTAGCGCTGTGGGGAGGCCGTAGAAGTTCCGTGAGTCCTTACGGAAATCAGTGAGGGGTATCACGTCTATCACGCCCCTGTGTAGATAGATACATTAGTGGTTGCAGAGCGTATTCAGAATGAATATCACCAACCATATATGGTCTGTGTTAGACCCCTCCACGGGGATATCTAGCTGTTTTCGCGTCCAGCTATGGGCACCATCACATCCAATGAGATATTTGGCTTTGATCGTTTCGATCTGTGTCTTCTTGGGCTTTCTACGCTGGGCTAGGTCTGCCCAGTCATCAGGAAGCACTTTGTTAATCTTTAGTTCATCACGAACAGCTCTTGACCCAGCATCAACCTGCTGTTCAGTTGGCGAATGCGCCTCATCCTCTCCACGAACCCGAACGTTGACCGAGATAGGATATGCATCGGGATCACTATCGAACGCCTCGTCATACTCCAAGGACTCGGCGATCACGCTTCGTTCCACTTCAAGATCAGAGTACTCCCGAATACTATCGAGAATGAACCGCTCAATACGGCCCTGGTTCAAGCGCGTATTGTGGAAGGGCGATTCTTCAACCTTGGAAATATTAACTGGGCCCTGCCGCATAAGCTTTCCTTGCGGACCGGGAACCTGGTTGTTTGTGGCATTGTTAGCCAAGCCCTCATCTCGGCGGGAAACAAGGATTATACATACCCAAATGTTCGCTTCGGTGGATATAGACCCTTCTTGCATAACACGATGCTGGAAACCCATGCTATCGAACAACTCTAGCGTCCGTGCTCGAAGTCCGTCAGCGTGGCCGACGAATATTTTCGTGTCACGCTTGTCAATGATGCGCGCGTTGACCCCATAACGCGCCATCCAGTAGGCTGCCATCAGCCCGGATGGGCCAGCACCGATGATGAGTCTGCAAACAGAGGTTAGATCATGCTAATTGACATTTATGCACACTTACACATCGGTCTGGGATTGAATGGATTTGTGTTCTTCGCCCATGACGTGCAACGAAACGCCTCAGTAGATATGAGATAGTGCTGATGGCTGACCCGCAAGTTGTCCGGAGAATAATCGACGTTCGGTCTCTGGATCTTTATAGATAATTATGAGAGGATTTTGCGTTGCGGCATCCTAGAACGAGGCAGGTTGCCCATGCAGGCTGACTCCAGTCACGGATACTGTCAGGTTACAGACCCGCAGAACGGTCCTTGATCCAAGGGTCTTCCGTGAAACATCTCGGAATTGTGCGATAGCTTCTCTCTTGCGGGCTCAATATACGACACTGTCCTTCATGAAGCCCCTGGTTACTTTCCATTGTTATCTAGGTCCATTCAGTCAGACTCCCTGGTTTCCTCATGCCGTGTCATTGATGTCTAGGAGCTGAGAGCCTGGTATGTTTCGTCCGTTGTGTAGCCCAAACCTAACTACTGTGTTGTTCACCCTGAGGTTTGACGCAGGGGGTTTCGCCCCGAAGTTCCGGTTACAGTCATCGGAGTCCTCATTCCGAGGTGGCGATGCCTTTTGGAAGGGTCTTCGTCCATTACTGTAGAATGATAGAAATGCGACTGCTCAAACCAATGATGCATCTGCTTTGGAAATTGAATATTGAACTGGGTGCTTGTCATCCTTCGTGCTAATCCTGGCCGGTGACCATCACTCCCTTAGGAAGCACAACAGGGGTCCGAGTGTATATCTTCTCGGGGAGATTGCAAAAATAATGTGCAACGATGCTCAGCCTAGCTTGAGGTCCGTAATATAAAAGACATCTCGTATCCTGAAACCCCCACCTGTGAACAGAAACAACGGTGCCTTGCCTTGCAGAGTACAGTATATAGTTCAGATATGCTTTGCACGTGATCCGGGCGATAGTTTCTCCGCCGTCCGGCACACCGGGATGTTAACGCCCATTCCCCAACACGTTCTAGAGACGACTATTTTTTTGTGGGGGTTGCGTTGGCCCATTTCTTGGAAGTGCGGTTGGGCGCAAATAAAGACTGCAAGTGGTGTGTCAATCTTTCATCGGATTGGCCTGATTAGGGAATCCGAGGCACGGTCTCCTTTGCAGGTGCTGAGCTGTCCAGGAGCTTCCAGGAGACCAATTTGGTCAATGTTTACTTTTACTTTTTTTTTTTTTGAACAGCTGATCGCTGGAACGGTTATTAAGGAACCACATCTGAGAAATCGGCTAATTTCACTCCATGGAAAGGCCGGTGGGAGTCGGAGCAGGGTCCTCCGGAGGGCTCCCGGTGTCTACTCAGAGCGTGTGGATGTCAAGCCATCGGAGGAGTGGTCGGATAGTGCGGGCCATTGAACCGGCGAGACGGTTATTGATGCGTGAAAGTAATGCGAGACGATCAACATTACAGAGAACTCGTAAAAATTAGAAGCATCTCCTTCGTATCGAGGTCCACCGTTACGTGGGATGTGGAAGCTCTGCGGCCCCTCCATGCGGATGAGTCATCCCATGATGCAATGCATGGATCAGAGCGAGATACAGGAATAAGAGACGGCAATTGAATGGACTTAGGCTGGATAGCGTAGGCTATGAGATGCAGCTATGGATCCTGTAAATATAGAATCTTCGAACAGGCTGTTAAATGACGAGAGACTCTGTTGAGCTGCAAGCCACGGCGAGACCCCACTCGACATCATACCCCACCAACAAATACGTCCCCCTCCCTCTTCCTCTTCCTCTTCCATTCTCCCAATTCCTCCCCTTCACTCAAAAATGTAAGTTCCTCTCTGAATTCATTGTGCTTCCCTCTCTAACGACCCTAGAATCCGCCATCATGGGTTACACTGATCTGGACAAGTTGGCTGTCAACACCATCCGTGTTCTCGCGGTATGTTGATCCTATCTTTCTTCAGCAATTGCCCCTCCGTTTCAGGTGCTTGATGGGAACATTAGGGTTACCCTTGGCCTGATCTGAAGCTTCAATGCCTGGATTGGGAACATTTGACTGACATGTTGCTATCAGGTTGATGCCACCTCCAAGGCCAACTCCGGTCACCCCGGTGCCCCTATGGGCATGGCCCCCGTGGCCCACGTTCTGTTCAACAAGTTCATGAACTTCAACCCCCAGAACCCTGACTGGGCTAACCGTGATCGCTTTGTTCTCTCGTATGTGCTTCCCCTAGTCTTTTGAAGCCCGGAAGCTTGATCGTCGATTTTTTTTTGTGATTGCCTTCTCGCCTGGGAACCGATGACCGTGCTTTTTTCTATCTTTTGGAACACTTGCTTATCTAGAATCGAATAGCAACGGCCACGGCTGCATGCTCCAGTATGCTCTGCTCCACCTGTTCGGATACAAGCTCACCCTCGATGACCTGAAGAACTTCCGTGTACGTTCATCCAAATTGAGAGACAACGCAATATACTGATTTTAGTAGCAACTCGACAGCATCACCCCCGGTCACCCCGAGGCTCACGATACCCCCGGTATTGAGGTCACCACTGGTCCTCTTGGCCAGGGTTTCGCCAACGCTGTTGGTTTGGCTATGGCCCAGGCTCACACCGGCGGTGTTTACAACAAGCCCGGCTTCGAGCTCTTCAACAACTACACCTACATGTTCTTCGGTGATGGTTGCGCTATGGAGGGTATTGCCAGTGAGGCTGCCTCCATGGCTGGTCACCTCAAGCTTGGCAACCTGATTGCCATCTACGATGACAACCACATCTCCATTGGTAAGCTTGATTTTGGTTCTACAGGGTAAGAATAACAAGCTAACATTTCATCTCCAGACGGTGACACCAAGTGCGCCTTCACTGAGGATGTCATGAAGCGTTTCGAGTCCTACGGCTGGCACACCGAGTGGGTCAAGGATGGTGACAACGACCTCGCGGGTATCGAGGCTGCCATCCGCAAGTGTCAGCAGGTTACTGACAAGCCCTCCGTCATCAAGCTGACCACCACCATTGGTTTCGGTTCCAAGCTTGCCGGTACCGGTGGCGTCCACGGCAACCCCCTCAAGGCTGATGATGCCCAGGGTGTCAAGAAGCTGTTCGGCTTCAACCCTGAGGAGAGCTTCGCTGTTCCCCAGCAGGTTTATGACCTCTACCACAAGCACGCCGCTGAGGGTGCCGCCAAGGAGCAGGAGTGGAACCAGCTCTTCCAGAAGTACCAGTCCGAGTACAAGACCGAGGGTGCTGACCTCGTTCGTCGTCTCGCTGGCAAGCTGCCCGAGGGCTGGGAGAAGAAGCTCCCCGTCTACAAGCCTACCGACGCTGCCGTTGCTTCCCGCAAGCTCTCCGAGGCCTGTCTCGAGGCCATTCACGATGTCATTCCCGAGCTGGTCTCTGGTTCCGCTGATCTGACTGGCTCCAACAACACTCGCTGGAAGAACGCCGTCGACTTCCAGCCCCCTGACCTTGGTATTGGTGAGTGGGCCGGTCGCTACGTCCGCTACGGTGTGCGTGAGCACGCCATGGCTGCCGTCATGAACGGTCTGGCTGCCTACGGTACCATCATCCCCGCCGGTGGTACTTTCCTCAACTTCGTCTCATACGCCGCCGGTGCCCTCCGCTTGTCGGCTCTGTCCCGCGTTCGTGTCATCCACATCGCTACCCACGACTCCATCGGTCTGGGTGAGGACGGCCCCACTCACCAGCCTATTGAGACTCTGGCTCACTTCCGTGCCATGCCCAACTGCATGGTCTGGCGTCCCGCTGACGGTAACGAGACCAGCGCTGCCTACTACTCTGCCATTACCTCCAGACACACTCCTACCGTCATGGCTTTGACCCGTCAGAACCTGCCCCAGCTCGAGCTATCCACCATTGAGAGCGCCCTGAAGGGTGGTTACGTCGCTGTCGACACCCCTAACGCTGCCATCACCATTGTCTCCACTGGTTCCGAGGTCAGCATCGCCATCGATGCCGCCACTTACCTCCAGGAGAAGCACGGTGTTGCCGCCCGTGTTGTGTCCATTCCTTGCTTCGAGGTCTTCGATGCCCAGTCCAAGGAGTACCGTCTCAAGGTCATTCCCGACGGTATCCCCGTCCTGTCCTTCGAGGCCTGCTCCACCATGGGTTGGGAGCGCTATTCTCACGAGCAGTTCGGTCTCAACCGCTTCGGTGCTTCCGGTCCCTACAAGGAGGTGTACGCCGTAAGTTTTGTTCACTTCCCGTCCCATGGCCACTCACTAATACTTCACAGAAATTCGAGTTCACCCCCGAGGGTATCAGCAAGCGTGCTCTTGCTACCATCGACTTCTACAAGGGCGTCCCCGTGCGCTCGCCCATTAACCGTGCTTTCCAGCAGATCCTGTAAGCGATGGAACGAATATGACGTAACAAAATGTTTTGGTTTTTTAATAGGGGAGCTATGGCCCTCTAGATATGGAAGAATGCGAATAGAGCACTCAATTATTCAAGTCTCAATCTCGTAACCCTAACTCAGTAATCATATCTATGAGTTTTCTATTCTCTAGCCAAAAGCATCACTGCTCTCCCCACTTCTTCTTCTGCAACTCTACCACATCCCTCAACATCTCCTCTTTCTTCTTCCTCGTCTCAGGAGTATAAACCCCATACGCATCCTCAGTCTGCTTAACAACCAAATCTTTCCACGCCTGCTCACCCTCAATATCAACCTGCCCCAACTCCCCCCATACATTCTGAATAGTGGGGGCAAGCTTCTGCAAAAACGCACCAATCCCACCCTCCCCACCACCAGCATGATAACTCTCAAACACGCCACTCCCCGCCCACCGCGGACCCAAACTAGCCGTAACAAGGGAATCCAAATCCCGAGCCGAAACAACCCCCTCCCCAACAAGATAACAAGCCTCCCTCAACAGCGCAAACGCAAGCCGATTCCCCACAAACCCGGGAATCTCCTTATGCAGCGTAATAGGCCGGTAATGCCCCGCAGCATCACCCTCCCCCGCTCCGGGCCCAGGTATCCCCCCAAAATACGACTTCACAAACTCCACCCTCTCAGCACTAGTCTCCGGCCCCGGAACAATCTCAACCAGCGGCATGATATGTGGCGGGTTGAACGGGTGCGCAATCACTAGTCGCTCCGCAACACGGTCCGCGGCTTCACACCCCGCGGCTTGCGCCGAGGCTGGGATTCCTGATGAACTGCTCCACAGGTGGGTATTTGGGCCTGTGAGGCTGGCGACTTCCTTCCAGAGTGCCTGCTTTGAGGCTGTGACTTCGGGACTCTGCTCTTGGACGATTGTTGCGTTTTCGACGGCTTCGGCGAGGCTTTTGGCTAGTTTTAGGCGCGAGGTCCGGAGTAGATCGTCGATTATGGTGTTAGAGGTGGTGGGCGTGTCCAGGAGGGAGGGGAGGATGCTCCGGATTTGCGATTCGTAGTCTGGTCGTGGGTCGTAGACTGCTATGCTTGTGTCTGGGCGGCGGAGGTGCATTGCTAGCATTGAGAGGCCGATGGTGCCCAGGCCCAGAAGGGCGATTTGGTGGGGGTATTCTGCTGCCATTCAGTCTGGATTTTGGGGGTTTGAGGTGTATGAAGAGGAGGGGGGGGCTCGGAGGGGGTAGTATATCGTATGTTGTGGGGGTTGAGTACGGGGATATCGCCGATGTGTGGGGAAATGGAGGGGACGCGGCTGAATGCCCGATAGGAGAATGGAATTGTTCCGTGTTCGATGTACATGTGGTTATCCGGTTAAGCCCAACAACTTCTCCAGGCTCCCTATGTCAAATATGCAACCAGAGACATGTACTCCGTACGGAGTAGGGTGAAGTAAACTGCTATTTTCGGGCTGAGGCTGAGCCTCATGAAGTCTGCCCTGATTGGAGCCACGCCCAACCGGCGCTAAACATACGCAGTACCTGCTGGCCTCAGCCTTTCAAAAGAGACGGGGGAATCCCAAGTTCAATCTCTCAAGGTTACCATCTCCAACCGCTCATTTATCTCTAGTCATGTCTGATCCACTCAGTACCGCTGTGGGTATCATTTCACTTGGTCTACAAGTCTGTGGCGAAATTGTCTCTTTTTGCCAGGCATGGCAGGGCTTCAGCGAAGATATCCAAAGCATCGTGGAAAAAGCGGATGGGCTTCGTGTGCCATTGAAGACCTTGCGAGACATGATCGAGGATTCCTATACCACTGATCCTACCCTCGCAAAAGATCTTGAGCAGAAGGCGATGTGTATTGAACGAGCGATAAGACGGCTTAAGGCAGCTACCGATCGATATACATCATCCGATAGAAATACTCTTGGGTTCCAACTTAGGAAGGCCGCGTATCCGTTTCGAAAGGATGGGTTGCGTGACATGGCAAGCGATTTGGACAGTGTACAGCTGTTGCTTCATACGACGTTGCAGATGTGAGTTAGCTGGTTTATTTCGCGTTGCAAAGCAATTCTGTCAAAGTGAGACTGGTGCTAACTAGGTTAGCTATTCGGCACACAATACTCGAGCTGTCCTCGGGAAAATGGCCCAAGAAATCCAGGACATGGTACTGCCTTCCAGTGTCCAATGCTTGAGCCTAGTATACTAATGATATCAAGAACTTGACAATGAGTCAGCTACATACGGTACCACCAAGCTTACTGCAGTCATGGTATATTCGTCAAGAACAACTGCCTGCGTTGGAGTCATCTGCACAAATCGCAACGCAGGCTACCCAGATGACAAAAGACCCTTCCACCGGAGCAGACCAATCTGAAGCAGGAATAGAGCATGAACAGTCGGTTGCCCATCAAAGTCGCACCACGACGAACAGTGTCTATGCATCTCGTTCACGGCCACCCGTCCAGGGTAAAACGGTCATCAAGATATCTTACTACTATTGCAGTAGCTTACTAAACCTCGCCTTGAAGGCTTCGTTCTTGGTTAATAAAGGAGCTGGAGGGTACTCAATTGCCCCATTACTGCATCTACAGCCGTTGGTGGGGGCGGAAGATAGTTTAGGATGGTTTATCCTCAATGATTTTCACTTCAAGACTCTCATTGGATGCACAGTACCACCTGCAGATGGCTTTGATTCACTCCTAGATGACACACAACGACAACTGCAACAAGCCTTTGATCTCCAAAAGTCAACTCCCTTTGATTCAATCAGTTTTGAGGACAATGATATGTCTTTTTTTGATGTCAGTGCAACCCCACTCCATTACCAGCCATGCCGTCTAACACAGGTAGATTGTCTCCGATCTTTGGTATCCAGAAATAAGTTCAGATCAATTTGAACAAATTTCCAAGCTCCTCAACTTCTTACTGGATTGTGGATGTAAGCCAAACCTCAATTTTAAAGGTGGATCCGGCCCTTTCCAGCAGTGGAATCAATTCGGCCTATTTAGAGATGAACGCTCTTTAGGCTGGCGCCTACTTGATGTTGGTTGTTCTTTCATCATCCGAGCCCCTAGGTCTCTAGCTGAGAGACAGGATATGCGTAATCTGGTTTCCCAGGGCGACGACTGTTCGTGGACCTTTTTCTCCCATCCATTTGCATTTAAGTGATTGACTCTTTTCAAGTGCTCGAAATCCCGAACATTGTCAAGATCATAATCCGAGAGTCTGAAGATGAATTGAGAAATGCTCTTGACACAGGAGAGGCTTTTCCGAATGATATGATCAATGGGATTTCCTCTTTGATGGACTTTGCATATGGATGGCCAAAAGGGATGAAAATCTTACTCGACGCAGGCGCAGATCAGTATACCAGCAATTTACATCTGTGCTATGTTGAAGATAACGAGAACCAGGATATTTATCATTCAGTTAAGCTTCTGCTTGATGTTGGATGCGAATTCAAGTGGGTCCACATCTCTCAATGTCAAGAGTACAAACACAGCGGTAAGTTAAAATCACTTCTCATCAAGGAACTGGCCGCACGACGCAAAAGACTTTGGAATTTGGCCCGGTCTTGCTTGCCCGCTAGGGAACTCCCGACGTTGGTATCGGAAGAACAGATTGAGGGCACAAGTTTGATACTTGATATACATGCTGCAGAGATATATGCTCGTTTGTGGGACCAAGGGGCGTTTTCAAGGCAACACGCTGCGGAGTACGGCGACGAAAAATGTTTCGGGACTGTTTATCATTTCCCTTTATTTTGGGCAGACACGCTAGAGGAACTGTACCAAAACGGCTTCCGAGGTGTTAACGAGCTAGATCGCGAAGGCTTTATGCCTCTCATGGCCTCGGAGGACTCCAGTCATACTGCGATTGGTCACTTCAGAGCGATAAAGGAGCTAGAGCGCATGGCTTGGCTGGTCTCCAATGGAGCAGATCCGTATCAGCACATACCCGACGCCAGTGGAACTGCCGCCCATCATATTGGCTTGAATATCATCCGCTACCTTTTATGGGACTTTGTGTGGCGCAATGTGGAATTCGCAGATTCCCACGAGGAGTATGAAGTTTGGGAACGAGTACTTCCAGACTTTGCAAAAGACCTTTTTCTCCTTCCTACGGTTACGGATGGATGTGTCTGCGCGTGCTCTGTCGACGGTTGTACTCCGGTGTCGATAGTGCTACGGGAAAGCGTTGAGTGGGTTTTCAGATCGATCGGCGAATACCCCAAGTTCAAGTTCAAGTTCAAAGAGTTGATCAAATTCTTCCTGAAGTGGATAGGAGAAAATGCGGAACTTGACTGGAGGGTCATCAGGTTCTTTACCTTTGATGCTTTGGGGTTGAAACATTCATGTTGCGTCGTGAATAAACGTTTCTTACACAGGCACTTCAAACTCCAAATCAGAGAAGAAGGAGAGGTTCAGGAGATTCTCGACGAAGAAAGGTTCAGACTCGAGGATCTGGAAACACTTCTCGATGAACTCAAAGTCAAGTTTGACGAGCTTGGTCAACCAGTGATCGAATTCTTGGAAGGTCACTGGCAAACTCGCATGGTCGAATATCTCTCCCAGCGTGATATCCACGACGAGGAACATGTCATCGAATCCAGAAGACTTGGTATCAAGCTAGAAGTGGATGAGCCGTTCATCTCGGACCTGACGTCTCTGTTCATTGTTAGTCCACAGATCAGAGAAATACCCAACTCAGGTGCGAGATTGTATATGGCTTGGGGCTCGATTTTGATGAATATCGAATTTGGTGCCTGAATATGTCGGGATTGAAGCTAGCAGAAAAGTTGAATATCTGGATTATTATGAGGTGTATAGTTGAGGCACACCATTCCAACCTTAAGAGGTACCTTTTATATAGCCAGTCGCGTTTACGGCCTTGGGATGTCTTTTTAGTTGTCTTTTGAGAAGCGTTTTTCGAAGACTTTTTAGTGGTTTTGCTAATCATGTTCCGACTCTGCACTCAACATTCTTTTTGGAAGGTATTTTTACAGAGTCCCGTGAGATTTGTACGTCGGGAATAGCTTCAATCAAATGATTCACAACATACTTTGCCAGAATGAGCAGTATCGAGAGCAGTTCAAACCCTGGCACATTCAGGCAGCTAATTCGATTTTATTTGAAACTCCTAAGCGCTATATACCTTCGTAAGGCTCGAGATAGCAGCTGTAGTATTCCCCTCGGTCTGTCCCTTTCTTGCTTCCCTTCTTTCTATCACCACAGCGTTGTTAAAGCTACCTATATCACCAAAACTATTCATGCATCGATGAACCCAAGAACGGCATTCGCTAGACATATTGAATCAGCACTTACATTCTCCAGACCTATTCTGGAATCAAGTCTGACTCGGGTTTGAATTATTCAAATTAGGTGTCAGAGGTTGAAGTCGAAGAAGCCCCTCCACTCATTGTCATTTCGCCAATCAGATATCTCAAGCATCAAGCATCAAACATGACACATGAGACATTACACCCCAATACCACAAATCAACCAAATATGCCACCCGCGTCGCTCCGCCGGACCTCGACTAACAAGCGTACAACACCCCACAGCCCGAAAAAGATGATGATTGGTGGCGAGAAGACCCAAATTGAAATCAGGTTGGAAAGAGATGGAAACATCAACGCCCTCCAGCGATATCGATACCTGACGTGGCGCAAGAATGCCATACATCCCGAAGTTTCGTACGAACTTCTCGACACAGAGGAAAGTCTCCGAGAAGTTGTTCAAGAAGAGCTATCCATCAAAGAAGAAAACGCTTCGGGACTCAATACGCAAGAGAGACTCCGTGTCTTGCATACAAAATACTGGCTCCTATCTCAGAGGTGGTGGTACTGTCGTTCCGATCTGGAGGATCTTCAACTGAGGGGCTTTACCCTTTGGCGATCACACCCTCAGTGGTATATGCATCGTTCCCTCGTCGAGGAATGCGCGGGTCGACAAGGATGCTGCGCGCGTGGGTGTGGCTGCTGTCTAAATCGCAAAGTGCTTCCGTCGCGGAGTCTTGGTGTTGGGCATTGCACGCTTGAATGTGCGTGTTGTCGGAGAGCGAGAGGGTTCGAGGTTTCTCCCGCCAACAAGAAGTTATTGAAGGAACAGTTCAAGAATACTGTCCAGGAGCGGGGATACCGTATCACCAGATACCGACTGGTTTCGATTTGGGGCCTTGTTGGTGATAGCCGAGAGAACTCATTCGACATGATCGATGCGCCGCCGAGCTATGATCAGATCGAGAAGACAGGTATGACGGGACTGCTTGGTTGGATGCAAACTAAGATTTGAGGTTTCATAGCTGCCATTGTGATTATTCTTCTCTCCATTTCCCTCGGGGCCTTTTTACTGCACTATTAAACGCAGATCCGAAAATCAAAGCCTTTCGGCCGTTCCACATACTATGTGCATCACTTCCTCGGGGCTCAGATGTAAGCTGAAGAGGATAATTACAGACAACTTTCCATATTATAGATGGCGCTCAGGCTGAGCTAATGTGCTGCTAGGCGCTCCTTTTTGTTTATGGTTGCTACTAAAGTGATGTTGAACCACCTCGCCTAAATCCATTGCTTGGATTGTCTCACGAGTGAATATACTGGTGGAAAAGATCCTCTTTGTCAAATCTTTCTCTTACCGGATGTGTAGATTAAAATGATTTAGGCCATAGCCCGTCCTTGTAAGTATATAATGGGCGAAGTTTCACCCAATGAAAAGGGATATAGAAGAAAAAGGAAGATAAATGGAATTTGCAACTGGTAACTCAGACTAAAGCCTTAAAAATCAATGACAAAGCTTTTCCATTTCCCCCTTCAACATGCTGCTCAAGATCAATAGTCAATCAGTGCAAAACAGACTCTCAGCAGCCCTAGGGCCCGTGGTAATACAAGCCCAAGAGAACCCATTCTTGTCAGTAATAACCCCAGCTCCGACATCATACTGAGCACAAGAGTCTTTAGTCGTCTGACTAGTATACTGTTGCAACCAAGTAACAATATCACGACCCACATTAACATCCTCGCCCTTGTTAGGCGATACCCGACAAGACATCGCAGCATTCGGTCTGGGATAATTCGACAGATCAACAGAAGTTGTAGTCTTATATTTATTCGGATCCAGATTATCAATGATCCCGCGAAGAGGAATGCTCTGCTTGTCACAGATATGGATATGAATCTGGTCCTCAGAGCGCGCAGAGACACTATTCATCGCCAGTGTTCCCGTATCCCTGATACTTCTGTTCCTGAGCGTATTCTGGCCCAGCCGGAATCCACCGTCAACGTCAACAGCTGACCCTAACTGCAAGATGCCCGGGATCAACTGCGTCGTGGTGATCAAGTCTCCTGTGGCGAGGACGACCCACGACGGGGACTGATTGGGCAGGGGCGGTCCTGTGCCAATGGAAGGACTGGCGATACAATCTGTCTGAGACCCGGCTTGGAACGAGCGGATACATCGGCATAGACTGGAGAACCAGATGTAACAGCCGTTGCATTGGGAGTTCGCATTGACACAGCCGGAGTAGCATTGGGACAGCTCTGATCGAGGTACCACGGGAGATGGTGGTGGAGAAGGACTGCAGTTGATAGGACAGGGTGTTGACTTTCCAACGCATACCAGGTCCTTGGGATTTGGCGGGAAGGTCGATGGACAGGTACAGCCGCTTACATCCATTTTGGCGATATCGTCCGATGTACACAGGTTTGGTCCACCCTGTGCAGAACTGACCAGGCCACCGTCTGTGTCATCGGTGCTGAGATCATCCTGCCCATGGATTGGGGTTGCTAGAAGGAGAGAGACGATGAATGGAAGATAATGCGAGAAATGAATCTTCATCGTGATGTTTCCAAAGTCAAGTGATAGCACATTCAATGAACAGTAGTCTATGTTCTTCTACTACGGCTGTCGCTGAATATTTGTAGGAAAAATAAACAAACGCCATGATGTCAGCCTGCCGTAGAGATAGACTGTCAGCTCTATCAAGCTTATTTCCAACCGGCTCTAGATTCCGCAGAGCTTCCCAGGTCTTTGAACTGAATCTCCAATAAGAATGTGTCTTACAAGAGGTGTGATAGGTCGATCATCATCGCCCATGTCTCATTGCCATGGGAGTTTTCATTAAACGATATCCGTGGGAGCCGAATATTGAAGACATGTCTCTATCGACCGACGCCCGGCGAGTACTTAAAGCCATGTACATCAAATTATACTGAATCCCAGGAAGTCAGGACAAAAGGAATATCACGCAGAGCTTGTTGGTCTGAATGATTAGTCGCGAGCCTGATCAACAAGGCCACCACATTAGGGTTATCCCCTGGCAGCATCAAACCTTATTTCAAGCTTGGCATCAAATCCCATTCACACAATGGTCTTTATGAGGGAACAGCAATACAGATAGCATAGTTACAGATGAAGCAAAAGAGAGCAGTCTACAGCATAGAAGACACGGGAAACCATGATTTCATTTCAATATCGTCATGAGGATATAAAGGTCCATAAAAGCTTTTTCGAAGATCACAACATTTAGTTGCCGAGCTTCTGGCGGGCGAAGTTGGGCAGGACGAAGCTGGCGCGGTGGATGTCCTGGTTGTAGTAGCGGCAGAGCTTCTGCTCCTCCTCGGCGGTCCAGGTGCGGAGAGGCTCGCGCACGTTGCGGGTGGCGTCCTTGGAGCAGACCATGAAGCCGATCTGGCCGGAGGGGTAGGTGGGGATGGTGGTGTAAGCGTACTCGGCGACGGGGAAGACCTCCTTGCAAGACTTCTTGAGGTCGGCAATGAGGTCAAGGTGGAGCCATTGGTTCTCGGCTGGTATACAGAAAGCACAGCTCCGCAAAACCGAGCCCGTAAAGCGGGTTGGTTGCGGGGTGGTGCGATAAAATTAGCCTGGGATCTTTTTTTTCCAAAAATAATATAAGGGAGGGGTTGAACGATTGGGGAGAAATCGCTCTGAGAAGAGAATTGGGTAGAGTATAGAAAGTGACGAACAACCTTGAGTAGTAATGACACCGCCTTCGCGGAGAGCAGACTTCAGGAGCTCGAAGTAGGGCTTCTGGAAGAGGCTCTCAGCAGGACCCTCGGGATCGGAGCTATCGGTGATGATAACATCGAACTCGTTCTGACGGTTCTTGAGGAACTCGAAGCCGTCACCAACGTGGGTGTGAGCGTTGGGGTGCTGGAAGCCAATGGCCATGCCGGGCAGGTACTTCTTGGAGACACGGATGACAGCCTCATCGATGTCGCACAGGGTAGCCTCCTTGACGCAGGCGTGCTTGACGACCTCGCGGAGGACACCTCCATCACCGCCACCAATGACGAGAACCTTCTCGGGGTTGGGGTGGGAGTTCATGGCGAGGTGGGTGATCATCTCCTGGTAGGAGAACTCATCGCGCTCAGTGCACTGGATAACGTTGTCCAGAACGAGAACGGTACCGTAGTCGCTGCTCTCGAAGACGAGCACGTCCTGGTACTTGGACTTCTCGTGGTGGATGATCTGGTTGACCTTAAGGCTCATGGCCTGACCGGGCCACATGCCGGACTTCTCGGAGAACCAGCCATCTATTAAGCGGCATCAGCATAAACCCTTCATTTATAAATTGACATCGTGACGGGTCGGAAGGCGGGGTAATGGAGGAGGGGCACACATACCCTGGATGGTGGGGTGGGTGAGCTCGCTCATTTTGACGGAGAAAGAAGAAAAATAACGGGGAAGAAAGGATGAAGAATAGAAAGCAGAGGAGAGTCTGGAGAAACGGAGCATTCGAATAAAAAGGGCACGGCGGAAGTTTGGCTGCTTTGGGCGAATTTTTTGTTTCTCGGCTCAAGTGGGGAACCGCTGTTGGCTGCCACCACCGACCCCGAACATCTTGACAACAGGCCTGGGCCAAGTCTACTAGGTAATAGATTGGTACTTAGCGCTAATGGTTTTTTAATTGATCGCGGTTTGGCCCGGTAGACCTGCCCTGTGCCCGCAATTGGCCATGGACGCCTCAGGGACCAATAGAGAGCCCCAGAAAGACGCTGACTCAAGCTGGACTTGAAGATAAGAGAAACACCTCGCCAGGACACGCGAAACGGTGGAAGACAAAAGAAAATCAAATGGTCGATTGCTTTCTAGTTACTGTACAAGCATACAGCTCCCCATTCTGCAGAGTTTTGGGTGTATCATGCTCTGTTATACCAATCCAACCTCACTCCAAGAAACAAATTGCTATAATTTACTCTGCCTCACCACCCTCGAGAAGGCGGCCGGGCTTGGAGTTCAGGAACTCGTTGCTAAAACGTCATTGAATCAGTACACCGATCAAATCGGCCACTCCGGGGGCAGTCTTACCGCTCAATGGCCCAGTTCATGGTGGCGTAGGCGACAATGAAGGGGGGCACAACGTAGAGGACCTGGTGACGGAAGCGACGGAAGGTGTTGAAGATGGCAGCGTTGGCGGCACCGGCGAAGGGACGCTGACGGTTAGGGGACAGAGAGTAGGTAGCGATGCGCTGGGGGGTAGGGCAACCTGCAAGTCGAACATTAGCGATCTGGTCGAATTGTGATCTGCTGCTTCATTGCTCCATGTCTTCCTCCAACTCGTATCGCAATTTTTCCCAGCGCGTAAGGGGTCGGTCCCATGCGCTCGTATCGGGTGCGTTGGTAAGGTTCAAGGGTGATTGTTAACGTACCGAACTCTCCCCAGTTGCCGATGTAGCTATAAGGAGTAAAATGTCAGTAAGCTGAAGATAATACCCAAAAGCCATGACGACACATTGAATTCGTTCAATTGGAGTCGTCCAAGGGTTGCCTCGTGTAGCCGGGCGGGTAACGCATCCGGGAGGCCGGTACTCAACCCACGACACCAGAAGGAAACGCGAAAGGACTTACTGGCCAGTCTTAGGATTCACAGAGCCGCCCATTGTGAATGATTTCGGGAGAAATGAGAGAAGTGGGTGGGAATGGTATGGAGGTATGCGAATTAAGAGGAAAAGACGAAGGTCGGGCGAAGTTGGAGGTTTGAAAGATGGGCACTAAACCCGATTGGGAACACCCAGACTGAGCAACGGGAAAAGCAGACATCATCTCCATCATCCGTCCTCATCATCTCGCCCTCCCACCCCCAACCATGGCTCAAGTACTTCAAAATGTCTATCGGGCGGCCTTCCCCCTCGCTATCGGAGGTATGCTAGTTCAAAATTCCCTCTACGATGTCCGGGGCGGTACACGAGCCGTCATCTTCGATCGAGTGTCTGGTGTGCAAGAGCAGGTCGTCAACGAAGGAACACATTTCTTGATCCCGTGGTTGCAACGCGCAATCATCTACGATGTCCGCACAAAGCCTCGCAATATCTCGACCACGACAGGAAGTAAGGATATGCAGATGGTCAGCTTGACGCTGCGTGTGCTGCACCGCCCGGAGGTGCCGAAGCTGCCGCAGATCTACCAGGTGTGTTTGCCCTGCAATATGTAAACAGATATACGATCAGATCTCTAACTCCTCGTTGTTTAGTCCTACGGTACCGATTACGATGAACGTGTCCTCCCATCTATCGGAAACGAAGTTCTCAAGGCCATCGTGGCCCAGTTCGACGCCGCCGAGCTGATCACACAGCGTGAAGCTGTATCCAACCGCATCCGTACCGATTTGATGAAGCGTGCCGGACAGTTCAACATCGCTCTCGAGGATGTCTCCATTACACACATGACCTTCGGAAAGGAATTCACACGGGCCGTCGAGCAGAAGCAGATCGCCCAGCAGGATGCTGAGCGAGCCCGGTTCATCGTCGAGCGCGCCGAGCAGGAGCGCCAGGCCAACGTCATTCGCGCCGAGGGTGAAGCCGAGAGTGCCGATATTATCAGCAAGGCCGTCGCCAAGGCCGGCAGCGGACTCATTGAGATCCGTCGCATTGAAGCCAGCAAGGATATTGCTGCAACTTTGGCCTCCAACCCCAACGTCACTTACCTGCCTGGTGGAGAGGGAAAGGACGGTGGCAAGGGCAGTAGCCTCCTGTTGGGTCTGCGGAGTTAGGGGGATCTTTAAAGCTGTTCGGGGAGTTATGGGCTCCGTTTTCACAACTCATTGAATGTACCAATTAATCGCAATCTTTGCCGCGACTTGGGGCGAGCCTGGCCTCATGGCGTGAATTTGGAGTGGTTTAACCTAGGCCACCCTTTTTATCTGTAGCAATACCATACCTCACTCCACAACACAATTTTGGTTTTTTGGGAAGATTCTATCGTATTTTTCATTATGGGGTATTTATATATCGTGATATAGAATATATCATATCTACACCCGCCGGTAGACGTGCATCTGGAACCGCATGTCCTCCAAGCCTGCTCCTTCGCCGACTTCATATCGCAGACGCGGTGCGTCACGTCTCCACCACCTCGAATCCTGCGTGTTTACGCACTCCCACTTGCCCTTCGCCACGGACAGCATCGTGTGATCAAGCAAGAACTTCATTGGGTAATTCCTTTCTTGCGGTTCACCATCTGGTCCTTTTCCTAACTTCAAAGTCGAATAGCTGCCGGGACTATCAACAACCAGCAGCACGGCACCAACTGGAAGAATTTCCGTCATGCGGAGCAGGAAGCCAGTAGTCTTGGGCATCGAGGTAGAGAAAAGCTCATTCAAAGTGAACATGATAGGAACAAGAATGGAAGTGAAAGGAGATGCTGACGAGGGGCCGAGAAGAACCTCCTTCAGATCTTCCTCAGGAAGAGTCAAGACATCCGCACGGCGGAATGCCACCGAGAATGTTTCACTGGCAACCTTCTCCGAGAGCAAAGGAGGACGATGTCTTGTCGTGGAGGGGAACGGCACATTGGACGAGGTGATAGTTCGTGAAAGCCTGTCAACAATGCTCTGCCAGTTGCCGATATCGACAGCCATGACAGAAAGACTAGGTGCAGTGGCACGTTGGCTTTCGCCCTCTGTGCTCTTCTCCTCTTTCTTTTCTGTGTCTTCCAGAGACACATCGGCAATACGCTCCTCTAGCGACTGGGCATCAGGACCGATATCTCTCCACGCGGCGGCAAGAGCAGCAATCTCTGCACCGGCGCCGCCACCGATGGACACAACGCGGGTGCAAGGGTTCGTGGTTCTAGCACGGCCTCGCGTGTTTTCTTCCTCTTCCTTCATCCAGGACAAGATTCCCTTCAACAAGCCCGCGTATCCCAACGACCGAGACGCGCTCCAGCGCAAGGCATAGGCGCGCAAGAGATCCTCGTTCGCCTCGGCGAATGCAGAATCGAAATCGCGCTGGTATAGAAGTCCCTTGAGGGTCTGGATAAGAGACTTGATATCTAGTGGCTCATCTTTCTTATCGTCTGATTGTGATTCCGCATTTGTATCCTGGTTTGCAGATTCCGGTTCTTTGGCTGGCTCGCCTAGGAGGGCCGTTTTGAATACATCCAGAAGGAGTTGCTGGAGCGAGAGAGGAATCGTGCTGACGAGCTTGGGACCAGCCTCTTCCAGCTCAGATGGGTCGGGTTCGGCTTTCTCGACTTCGGGCTTGCGATTGGCGTGCTGTTTGTTCGCGGGAGGAGCCTGTTTAGGGCGTTGCGCCTTGGCTCTTGGGCCTGGCGACCTCCTGCGGTTTCCCTGGCGTGGAGCGTGGGGCATTTTATATATTTATGACGAAAATTATTTCGTCTGATGGTCTTTTGCAAAGAATGTGACTTTCTCCGAGCGAACGTGGGGTGGAAGTTTCGAACATTTTTCCTTATCGTTATCGGCGTCTCCACTATCGATGTATAGCGCCTAGGGCAAGTGGCTATGATGGAAATCCTTCGAGTATTGTATAGATTATATCAGAGAAGACGATATCTATAATCCCCGTCAATAATCACCATAGTCTTGAATTGCATAGTTGTACAAATATGTCGAGTGAAGTCTGTATATCGAGTATAGTGGCGAATATTTGCGTTCGACATCAAACCCTAGAAAACGTTGACGTCTTGGTATAGGACTGAACGGATGATAAAAACATGTAAATCCGTTGGAAAACTTGATTTAAAAGGTCGTATTGCCATAGCAATAGTGCAGCTTGCTCTAAGTCGCCTAAAGCAGTCGAACGTTACAGAACCAGACCACGGAAGCTGGCAGATCACGCGGTATATAGCTGGATATACTCTTTATAGTTGACACCATTCATGGGTACTCTATCCTGTGAGCCAAGTAGATGTATAAGAGCTCTACTATCCGATACTATGGTTCAATTTGGAGGAAAGCTTGACAGTCAGTTCAAAAAGTCATTCTTTGCATGTATACCATCGCAATGATACACGTAAATATTCGGAGCCAGTCGATATTATTCTTATTTTTAAGATATGTCTTTCTTTATTTTTTTCTCTTGGAAGGGCATAAATATCTAGATATGTCCAAATACTCCGGGTATATAACCAAGACTAGATGCTCAAGAGTCAAGATATGAAGTAAACCGCTACATGTCCATCGAACTGGATGCCATACATTCGAGATTGATAATCAACTTCCTCTGTACTCTATCCCACCATAAATCCCGCATATTCTACATATTAGCAAGATCCAACCAGTCAGAATGCATGGCGTGCTATGACATGCGTTAGTTGTACTTGTGGCTATCCACTACCCTCAAAAGCCAGAGGCCGTCTAGATGACTGCCTACACCCTGATTCACAAAGATCTAGAGCACTTTAGCTCCGTATCAATATACACGAGCAGAATCATTTGACACAAAGACCGCACCCCCCATCATGTGAAATCGCGTTGAGCCACTCGCGTCGAGTCAAGAAGCGAACCGTCCCGCAATCCACGTAATAATGAGTCACAGCCAAGGAGTCATGGATATTTCCCAGGAATGCCCATAGCAGAGGTTGACGCCTCATAGGCCGCCGTTAGAGACCCACGAGCTCCGTTGGAAGGCTGCTGAGCGGAGCTCTTGTCTCCTAACTCCGACTTACTGGATTTGGACGCCGCTAGCGGGGCGACATGTTTCTGAGATGGCCGTGCGCGGTCTATAGGCCCTCGGGAGGGCCTGGGAATATACAAGGGGAGCCGATGAAGTTCGTGTGGCTGAAATGTCTGCCTGGGATTTACCTATCACTATCGCGTGGTGGCCTGGGAGCCTCAGGAACCATTGCTTGTCGCGTCCATGGATGTCATTGGCTGCGCTATACTTCGGCTGGCAACGTGCATTTCGGATGTTAAGATTTCAAGCCACGAGGAAATATCATATTAGAGTGAACAGGGGACCATTTTTGGGGCGGCTGTTAGTTACAGAGTAGAGCCATGTTGAAGCAAAAAAATGATTCCAAAAAAAGAGTGGATTATTCGTACAATCTACTATTAATTAATCAGTCGAACTAAAAAAATTGGAATTGAGTGGTGGCACTGAGTAACACTGAAGGATACATCGAATCAAACACCCGGGTATATGAGGCGAGACAACATTGCAAACTGCCTCTGGAGACAACACCGCCCGGCCCATAGGAAATCATGTCAAGCTAAAAACGCCGTGAAAAATTGGGAAGGTTAATCCGCGCAGAAGAACGCAGTACGTAAGACCAGATCTTCTGCGCAGAAAAGAGCCATGGAAACCGATTCGGAAATCGATCCCAAATGCTACACAAAATAATAATAAGAGGGAGATGGAGAAAAACAAAGTCGAGATATCTCGAAGCCAATTGATTGCTTCGATAAACGCCCAGATCATGCAGTGGTCAAATCCGTAGACGTTTGGATCCGAAAGAAGCAACCATTAGACAGGAGGAGCAGCAGCAGGCTGTGGAACGGGTTGGGTCAGATCCTGCAGCTCGGGTGCTGTGGGAGGGTGTTGTGGAATAGCCTGTTGAAGCCCAGCGACGATTCGCTCCAACTCCTCGAGACGGCGATCTTTCTCTTGAACCTCGCGGCGGAGTCGCTTAACCTCGTGGTGCAAATCGTTTCCATTCTCATCAATCTCGGGCAGGTCACGTAGATCTCCGACAGGAGAATCGTGGCGGCGCTTCATTCCAGTGGCAGGCAAAGATGGAGCACGAACACCCTCAACACCCTCAAGTTCGGCGGCGCGTTCCCAAGTCATATCAGCCATTGAAGGGCCTTCATCATTGTGCATGTGGCGGCGGCGAAGATGTTCCCTCAGGTTCTCTTGGCGAGTGAAACCATTGCCTGTGCTGCGGTTGCAATCGGCGTATGGACACATCAAGGCCTTTTTAGTATCGGTGTTTTTCTTGTGAACCTCACGCTGATGACGCAAAAGGCCTCCAGAATAGGTGAACCCTTGGATCTTGTCACAGTTCGGTTCATAACATTTGTAAGGACGATCATGTTTGTCCATATGTTTGCTAAAATCAAATTAGTATTTGTCGCTTTATAGATACGAGACTAGGAACTTGTACTTACTTCCATTCGCAAGGACGGCGGAATGTAGGAGGCGCAGACTGGCATTCAGGATGGTCGCAAAAGATTTGGCCCTCAGAGTTCTTGGGAGGATCGCGTGCGCGTCGAACAGAAAGACGCGGGCGCGCTCCTTCAAGGTTGTATGTCAAAGGCTGGGGGTCGTTCATTCTGGGAATTGGAGTCGAAGGATCAGCGACAGAGGTAGAGGCGAGGATAGATGCAGCAAGTGCGCCGTTAGGACCTTCACTTCGTGGGCTAGGATAGTCAGACCCGTCACCCATATCGCGAAGTTGATACCCCACACCACTGAGGGGATCGGGGATCGTGATAGAATGGAGATACCGGCAAGACGCGTTGTCAATTCACAACAACGGCAAATTCAAAAGCACTGAGTACTTGTGTAGAGGGAAACAAGGGAAACAAGTCTTTATGAAAAAATATTCAAATAAATTGGCGGTGAAAGCACAGTAGCTGTTGATGGGTATGGATTCGGGGAGAAGATGAGGAGTTGCCAAAATTTTCAGGTAGCAAGGCATCCGCGGGCTATTTATACCGCCTCCCTCAGGTTTGGTAGCGCCACACAGGTGGCGCAGTAATCTTTATCTCTTGTGCAGGATTCTTGCTTCTTGCTTCTTGCTTCTTGCTTCTTTTGTTTAGCGGAGTTGCCGAACAGGATCGACAGATGAAATCATCACTGGCTAGAGCTTATATACATGCAGGCCAAGATGGGGAAATTACTGTCTATTAATCCCTGGTATTCCAAAGATGACCTCGGGAGGGGCCAATGCTTTAGGAAGCACAACCTTGAAAGTGACTCATACTGAGGAGCAACACAGCGGGTATGACTGTGTACACTGTACCAATCCTGTTCTCCGAAGAGGCGGATCCAGTTTAGGTATCAAAGCCAGATGGCCTGTCAGGCAGCCGTTCACTCGGAAATATCGGGGTCGCCACATGAAGTCCTGACAAATCCGGTGGCGGTGAAGCACTGCACGTGATACAGATCTGTGTGATCGCCAATCACGTGTTTGTAAATTATGCTTATTTAAGCATTTAGAATCGGGCAGTGTCCCTTGCGATGTGCTTTCGCCATGCCCGATGTTAGGCTGCAATAAAAGAGCTGTTGCTGAAAGGTCTTAGATATCCATGATCTCCACATACACACAATTGATTGCTTCTATTAAAAGGATCAACGGCTCTAGGAATGCAGCTCCTCCAACAAGGACATCACAGACGACGGACCTGGGTTCAACAAGGGCTATGCAAGCCCTGCCTTGAAATCATGATATGGAATGTTCTGCAGCGTTCAAAAGAGGCTAGGTAGGATCAGATAGCATGCTTCTCATACATACGCTTACAGGGCAATTCATTGGTGATTTCATACTCTGCCCGGAGTCAATACGCTAATTCTACAAGGAGATTATTATATCGATGATTGTACCCGCTATAGCATGGGCCATGTTTCTAGCCAGCGATAGAAAGATCGAGAAATGGGAAGGCTATGGATGATTCTACAAACTATAATGTTGGAACTATGAAGCGGTGTCTTGTTTAGGTTCCATACGCACGTCGCAAGGATCACTCCATGAGAAATGAATTATGAAGCCTAATGAACACCGCCTCTTTCCTAACGACATAGTTTTGCGTCCCGACCAAGCCCCAATGCAGATTGATCTATTTCAAGTAGTTTGGTGCCCATCTTGCGTTTATGTTATGGGGTTCAATAATTAATACAAGCCTATCAGCAAGCCTCAGGTCTATGTTGTATACCCCCAAAATGAGGCCCAAACTAGCGAAAAGACAGCCACTTTCTGACGTGGACCAACAGAAGTAGACATAGTTGATGGCATGGTATTCACCGTATCCAACTTCAGATTGAGTTCGTGCTGTCAATGCAAGATAGGTATTTCCAAGTGCTACCGCGGGCCCACGGGATATTTGGGAGGCGCTCAGCACTTTGACATTGAGAATCCTTTTCCCCCTACACTATCTTCTTGCTTTGCTAGCTAATTACCCTCGTACCTTTATGTGATCTGAAATTATCAAAAATGACTAACGGACCTTTTTTCCGTCCACTTGTTTGGGGTGAAAATAGTATTTGGCCTGATTTCCATGAGGCATTTGTGCTAGAGGCCCAGGGACCAAGCTCCACCCACCTCTACATACCTAGGTACCTCCTACCAACCTGGCACCACTTGATTCTGTCCTTTTGAAAGTCCATGTTTGAATTTGCATCATATGTTATCTTTCAGGTGATATTGTCATAAGATCATCCAAGTATCCTGGAGTATAATTCAAATGCGCCACTCAATTTTTCTCCGAGGGTCCGGTATTTACTGGCCTTCCAGGCGCGCCTTGAGTGGCACCACTCGCGTGCAAGCCTGCCATTCAAGACAAAATCAACCCCAAAATGGAATTGAACGTGAAAATCAAGTACCTCAAGTCCCAAAGTGTGCAGCAAAGGCCCCAGCTCTGCCCCCTTCCACACTTCGCCTCCCATTCTGGACCTGCAGATCCACCTGGAGAAGAGCAGGGATCAATACACTCCGCTGTTTGGTCGGATGTACAACTGGTGATTTCTCCGCATTATGGATTCTGCAAACATATTGCCCTGAGATGGGTATGAGTAGCATCATGGCTTTGTCGAGTGAGTCGCCCCCTTGAATGAAAACCACACCTGCTGCTCAATTCTGTGTGCTGAGAACAATAATCTAGTGGTGTCTGGTATCACAACCTCGGTGATTCTTGAGACAGTCCTGCTGCGCCGGGGCGCTGATCAGCTCTCCTGGCCGAGAGCTGCTCGTACCGCTATGGGCATGAGCATGGTTTCAATGCTGGGCATGGAACTAGCAGAGAATGCAGTTGACTATCATCTCACCGGTGGGATTGTTGCATTTGGAGATCCAAAATTCTGGCTGGCAGCCGTGTTGTCGATGGGTGCTGGATATTTGGCGCCGCTGCCGTATAACTATCTGCGTCTTCGTAAATACGGGAAGGCGTGTCATTGAGCTTTAATGTCTCTCACATTGGGACAGATCATATGTACTCTACTTGTACTATAGAAGGCTTCGTTCGTTACAGTGTTAATAATTACCTAAATAAAATAGTTCCATGCAAAGATTATCCCACCACCGTCGTTCCTGAGCGAGGAAGTAGGTAAACTTTGGCTTCTTTCCTTTTTGGGTTGCGGTGTTGACCTTAGGTAATTACACGTACGTTCCAGGGCACCAGTCTGCCTGAGCAACTGCTCACTTCAAGGTGAGGTTGAGAATCTACTGACCTCTTTCTCTTTTCCTACCAAGACGATGAGCAAACCAAAAATCCCCAGAGGCTTTGAGGCCTGGTATGACAAGCTCTTGACTATCGCTCAACAAGCCCCTGTCCCCACGACCCAACCCCTTCTCCAGCATATCGAGAATATCGAACCTTCTCAACTTCCTACAATATCCGTCTCTGATATATCCCTCCAGCAGACCGAGATCGCATTCGGAATAAAGCAGGCTAATGGGCCTCAGCCTTGGATGGTCCCAGATATATTTTTCTCTCTCCCGGCAGATTTCGGCAAGTAATAGTCGAATTCATCAGCCTGAGCGTGAACTAAATAAAAGCAGATCGTTTCTTGAAACAATACGATAGATTGACTAAAGTCGAGAACAAGAAGACCAACTCCCGTTGTCGTATTGACGCTTTGATATTTGTGGTATATCGGAACTTGTTGGAGCAAGACCTGCTCCCAAACACCGGAGACAGCAGAGCCACTCTCTCATTTGAAACCCCATTCAAGTCAAGTCCAATACTCATTAACGGGGTTCCACACACGTGCACTGGAACCGCCGACTACACTGTCCTCTTCGGACGCAAAGATCACATGGCCTGCCACATAGTGGTGCTGGAGGCTGAAAAGCGGTACAATCTGGCTAATGCCGGACAGCTATTGGCCTATATGGGCATGGTGCAAGCAAATCGAAAGGCCCATGGTCAATCAAATTGCTCTGTTTGGGGATGCCTAAGTGACGGTTGGGAGTTTCGGTTTTATTTCCTCGACCTGAGAGGAAACTGGTCCTCGAGAACGCTATCTTCGAATATCTTAGGCTGGCAAGAAATCGCAAATATGTTGGCCCATATGATAATACACGCACAAGCAGTGGCAAATTCTACTTTTCACCCAAGGTTATGTTCGACGCGGGGTCCTTCTACGCAACCCTCGTTAGTCGTTTCCTCAGAAGACAATACTGCCCCAAAGAGAAAGTCTACGCCTGAGACAGTAGAGCGTCCAATCAAAATGCAGTGTATTTCAATCAGGGGTTCTGATCTCTCGGAAATACCTGACTCGGTCACTTCGGAAGTGTCAACAATTGACTCTTTGGAAATCAGGTTAGATGACTGTGCCGCAGAATCCCAGTCTGCACTGGACCGAGTTGCTGAGAGTGATTAGCTCTTGTTCGAGGATGCACATGTTGATTGTCAGTTGCCCAGATCCTTCATTTGCTCTACCACAATACATAATCTTATTTGGAGCTGGTCTGCACTTTGCTCAATGCATGTTCTGCTCACTTAACTACCAAGAGAAGTATACCATGTAGTGAAAGCTATATGAACCTTAGCATAAGATCATTATATAAAATAACTGAGTGAGTCCATCGACATACGAATACTATTCGAGACCTGAGCAGCCATATACCTGAGAAGGAATATGCACGCGAATTGGGCAACCTGTGATTCCGAAGCTGCATAGGAAGAGGCGACATCGCCTAATCCTAGCACGACTACCACCAATAGCTCATCTGGAGCGCGTGGCGAGCCAGTAAGGAGATCGTGGCTACTAGCTGAGAGTATTTTATGTTTTAATTTTGGTTACCCCGTCGGACTGGTTGGAACACTTGCACCTGACCAAGGACTACGGCGTAGCTAACAAAAGCAAGTAGTTGGTCTATGGATCTCTGGTAAGAAGCGGCTGAATTGTGGACTGGGGAGCAACGGCTGAGGTGAGATGAGGCTGATTGCGGAGCAATGACTTCAGCCCTAATTTGGAACATAAGCCGGAGAAGACTCCAAGTTTGGGTGGTGACTTATTTCCAGACTTTTTGCTATATTGTTTGCTTACAGGTAAGTGAAAACAAAGGAGTGTGGGATCATAATTGGCATTGATTCATTTATGAGCTAGATACCTGACGATCTGAGATAAAAGATAGCAGGTATGAATGAACCATGGCCAAAAGGCAGAGGCAAATTCGCAGAGTCGCCCAGTAATTGCTACCGAGGTTATCTCAGCTGGGCATCGGCAATCGACGGATGAGTTGTCAGTAAATCCCGCGAAAAAGGAATTACTGAAAGATCATTGTCCGTCGCCTCATCTTCGAAGGTGACACCTTGTAAAAATGTCACGATGACAATGGTGAGGGATCAGACCCAGGGAACTATCCTTCATCGGACAGAGCAGCGCTCTAGTAGCAGGTCAAAAGGACCCGGAAGTGAGCATCCACAAAGTCTTGGGTTTGCCGATCCAAAGTCCTGGTCGGCATGGAAGAAACAGATGGGCATACTCTGTTGGAAAGAACCCTGATGGTGTACACAGACATTGTTTCGCCGAATAATAAGGCGGGCAATCCTGTTGGAGGTCGCCCTGTAACATAAATGGCGATGTAAGCTACTCAGTCATAGTTGCCACCAACTTGGCTAGCGAAAGCAGTGGAAACGCTGCGGGCATCATCGTCGTCATGAGGATGTTGGCCAGGTGCGCCGCGAGTCACGCGAATGCTAGCAGAGCTGCCCCCGAAAATGCTGCCGTTGTCAGGAACTCCAGCCCTGTAAGGTTCGCGTCCTCCAGACTCGACATAGCGCTTCAAGCGGTCCGATTGGCTGAGGCTGGGCTGCTTGTTCATATCATTGATACTCAACCCGGCGAGACTGACACCACCCTGGTCAACGCTGCGTCCGTCAGCGACGCTGCTGGTGACATCGGACTCGGTAGCAGCAACCGACTCGCCAGCCACACTGGGAGCTCCCTTAGCCCGGCCACCGTTGGCTCGACGGCCGCCGCCAGAGATCGAAGGCCAGGCCTCACCAAAGTTCTGGAACATAGGAGGGTAGCCAGATGGAAGACCAACGCCACCAACAGCCGATCCGTGGACCGAAGATACATCGTCAGGGATATAGCCCACCACAGAACCGGAGTCGTGGTACTCATTGCGGTGACCGTTGCGACCATTGACTGCACTGTTTGGGGCATTGGATGCCTGGCTGAAAGACATCTGGAAGCGCTGAGGACCTCGGTATGCTTGTTTGGGCCGGCTGAATTGAATCAGGGACTCTTGAAGGTTAGAGAGCGGGCCTTCCACAAGACAGTGGCGTTCCTTGAAGTGCTGCAACAGACAGTTCCACAAGGGATGCTTAGACAAGACCTTGGGATTGCCAAGAATGACCAAACCGAATCGAGCACGAGTAAGAGCCACGTTGAGACGACGAGGATCACTCAAGAAACCAATACCCTGGTGATCGTTGGAACGCACACAAGAGAGGATGATGTAATCCTTCTCTCGGCCCTGGAAGGCATCGACTGATGCGACCTCAATCTCCTTGTAGTGTTCTTTCTTAAAGGTACCGTTTGCTTGCATGGAGCTGACAATATAGCTGCGTTGTCCCTCGTAGGGAGTGATGATACCAATGTCCCTAGGCTGAACACCTGCCTTGAAGAAGCGTGTAACAATCTTCTCGACGTTGGTAGCTTCGGTGCGGTTGAGGTACGAGGTTCCAGATGCGGAGATCTCTTCATTGCCAAGGTTTGACCAAAACATCATGGGATCATCGATGATAGGCCAAGGGAAGTCGACGTCACGGCGAACACGATCGGCAATGGTGATACCGTTCTGCAGCGAACCCTCGTAGAACATGTTCGATGGGAACTCCGAAAGGCACGGGTGCATACGGTATTGGACATTCAAGCGGATAGGGGAGCAGCCCAAGATAACGAGACGCTCGAACAGAGACTGGTTCAGACCAGCCTTTGCGGCCTTCTTGTTCATAATAACAGGGCCAAGCTGCTGGTGATCACCAACTAGGACAACTTGCTTGCAGCCCAAAACCAGGGGAATCATGCACTCTGGCTCAGCAGACTGGGTCGATTCGTCAATCAAAACGGTGCGGAACTTGCCCTTGGAGAGACGAGGATCGCCTGCACCAACGCAAGTACAGCAGATCACATCTGCATTGGTCAGGATTTCACGCTCGGCAGAACGAGTGAGCTGCTTCAGACGCTTTTCGTCTTGGCTGGACAGTTCTCCAAGTTCGGCCTTGAGCTGGTTGAGTTTGACCAACTCGATGTTGCTATCGTTCATACGAACCTGCTCGTGCAGCGAAAGGAACCCAACAGCAGATTCCACATCCTCACGAGATTTGGCAGTAACGCGTACGGTCTTGAGTCCTGTTAGATGAATGCGTTCACAGAGCTGATCGACGGCAACGTTAGACGGAGCGCAGACAAGAACCTGCCCGCCGTTGATCTTGGCAAGGTGATAGATGATAGTGGCCGAAGTCACGGTCTTGCCGGTCCCGGGAGGACCTTGGATCAAACTGAGAGGCCGCTGGAGCACACTCTTTACCGCATTGATCTGACTGCCGTTTAGATCTGGCAGACCTGGAACACTGAACTTTTTCGGAATCTGTGTTTTCATAGGCGCTGCTGCAACCTCATGACCAAGAAGACGATGGAAGATGTAACCAGAAACGCTCATTTCATCAACAGCAAATGTTTTCATGGCACATTGCATGCGGTCAAAGGAAGTCGATTTCCAGACATAGTCGGCCATGAAATTATGCGTACATTCGGTGGGTACTGACTTGTGGTCACCCTTGGCGCGTAACTCGATGGTGACTTCGTCAGATTGGTTGTTTGGGATCTTGATAACGTAACCCACACCTTCCCACTTGGGACGCAATTCACCGTTGTATTTGAGACGCATCTCATCACCGACGGCCAATTTGACATCTCCCAGCTCGAGCTTAGGCAACACGAAGCTTGCGAGATGCTTATTGTTGAGACCAAGGTCCCAACGCACGATCAGACCATCTTGAGATTGAGATTCCTTCAACTTGCGGTCATAATCAGCCTCAATCTTGACAAGTGGGCCGAAGATATTCTGGTATTGGAAAGCATCATCGTAACGAAGAAGGACTGGCGCAGGTTCATCATCCACTGCTGTAGCCTTTTCTAAGTCCTCCAAGGTCGCCTGGGAATTCTCCTTCCACATTTCCTCCAGTTTCGCAATCAATTGAGGGCTGAGGTGACGAGCACGGAGTTGTTCTTGGTCGGTGGGCGCTCCAACAAGCCAGGGAAGGAAGGAACGATCTTCGATGAGAGGTTGCCAGCGCGAAGTATCCCAATTCATGTCCTTGGAGGAGGGCATGGAGGCACATGGCTGTCTACAGAGCAGAACGACAACGGTATCAGACTTGGCGGGGATAAAGCCAAGCAAAAAGACATTCTTGGTGCCACAGTTGTAGCATTCCAGAATCGTATCACCCAAAGATGATGCTGGGTGCAATTGAACTTCCTTGTGACGGGCTCGGACAAGGTGGTTCACGATATGGGATGAAGAGGTATTGCCACGTGCACTGCAGAACCACTTATTGCACGAGAGACATTTGACGACGCTACTCGGATTATGAATACCACAGTATCTGCAACATGATTAGTAAAGAAACATTCAAGCTTGACATATCAGTACTAACGCGCATGCGTGAGCAGGCAGCTCTATTTCCTCCTCGCCATTTCCTTGGGACTTCTGATTCCCGTTGGTGGGTGCGCCGACTGTACTTTCCATATCGTCATCTTCAAAGGTATCAGAGCCTTCATCTTCGTCATCGTGGCGCCGCGGGCGTGCCCGACCGAGAGCACTTGAATCAATATCATCAAGTTCAGCTCCCGCTGAGCGATCTTCCGGTTGATAGCTCATTGTGAACACCAATTTGGAGTGCTGATAAGGATGACTTCAGCTAGTCAGAAAGGAAAGCGCGAAGCTCTAGGTATCAGGAAGCAGCTTCAAAGTCGTAAGCGATTAAAGAGCGTAGTGGAGAGATCCGGTCATCCTATGGGGATGTTCAAGATTGGAAATATCCAGGGTGTGCCTGAGGGGCAAATGAACGGAGATCTGAATTTGACGATGAAATCAGCGGCGTGCTCTTGTTATGAACAGAGGATAACTTACATCCAGTCCAGCTCTCTGTCTCAGAAGAGCGACAAATGAGAGTTGGTGAGTTTGTCTAGAAGGATGAGCAAAAAGCATCTCCGCAACTGCCCAGATTCTTTATCGGTGCGATCCCACTACGGCTGCGCAGACCGACCATCAACGCAGCCCCGGAGTTAAGAGAAAAAAAAAGTCGCCCGCTCTTCTTTGCCCAAGTCACTTACACTTCAACTTCCAAAATGCTTGTACGTGGATGATACAAACTATATATTTGACATGTTGCTGACAATTGCTAGCGCCGTCAAGCCCGCGAGCGTCGCGATTATCTCTATCGGAGAGCTTTGCTGCTCCGTGATGCCTCCATTGCCGAAAAAAGAGCGCAACTCAAGGCTTCACTAGCTTCTGGAAAGCCTTTAGATCCTACAATCGCAAACGATAAATCGCTTCGCGAAGATTTCAAATATGACGAATCGAAGGATAAGGAAGAGATGGACATTGACGATGAATATGTTTTAACCTCCGGCATTATCGATCCTCGTCCTCTGGTTACCACCTCTCGCTCGCCCTCCGCTCGCCTCGGCGCATTTGCCAAAGAAATCCGTCTCCTTCTCCCTACCTCCATTCGCCTCAACCGTGGTACTCTTGTTCTTGGAGATCTCGTCTCCAGCGCAACCTCTGCCGCTCTGACCGACATGATTCTCCTTCACGAGCACCGTGGTACTCCAACCGCACTCACCATTTCACACCTTCCCCACGGCCCAACTGCCAGTTTCTCCCTTCACAACGTTGTTCTTCGTCAAGATATCCCCAATGCTGCTCGTGGTACCGTGTCGGAAAGCTATCCGCACTTGGTTTTCGAGGGATTCAAGTCCAAACTGGGTTCCCGCGTTGTTCAGATTCTGAAGCACCTCTTCCCCCCGCGAGAGACAGGAAAGGTTGGCAACCGTGTCGTGAGCTTCGTCAACAAGGATGACAACATTGAAGTGCGGCACCATGTTTTCGTCAAGACCGGATACCGCGACGTGGAGCTGGCTGAAGTTGGACCTCGCATGACGATGCGCCTTTTCGAGATTCGCGGAGGCACTTTGGAGAAGGGTTCGAGTGGCGATGTCGAATGGGCTCTCACCCAATACACAAGAACCAGCAAAAAGAAGGATTATCTGTAATCGTTTACGAACTTGCATCTCTATATTGACCGTGACGTGGATGGTTAAAACAGAACCTCATATCGTCACATTGTTGGTCGACTGGCGTACCTGGCGTTAGAGGGCAGTTAGAATGGGTTCTTTTCTCATGTTGAAAGTTAGTTTATGATTCAAATAACAGTGGAAATAGTATCTCACAAAATCTCATGTCTACATGTACCCTTGTACAATAAGTGCAGATCTGAGAAATGTTAAATCATATACATATACAGGCGATAAAGTACATGTAAACATGGGTAGATATATACCTATATATGTAACAAGTCAGATATTTGTTTTCTCTCGAGTCTCTCATACGTGCTGCCCCATATATGTTTTCGACATGCCGGTGGTTTATTTGCTCCAATGATGATATCTTTTGATGGGCCAGATATATAAACCCTATAGTTAACGGGTAGCTATACAATGTGTATCTATGGAGCAACCAAACCTTCAAGTTCCTAAAATATACACCAAGACTTACATTTGTATGTACGGCGTAGGGTCGTCCCTGGAAAGTGGGCCACAATCGTGACCCTAAATGCAGCGCGACCCGCCTCCCCACTTTCATACATCAACTACGGTAATCTGCTACAATACAGATGTTTTGTTTAAGCACATAATCAGGAGAATGAGAACAAAAAAAAGTCTGCTGTCCTACCTACAAGCATGAAGATTGCATTCGGCATAGGCACATATGCAGATTGGAATTGCCTTGGCCACCATCCAAGATCACAACGCTTTGGTACCATTCGGGATATGGCTGTACAAATGGGCTCAGTGGATATGAACATCGTCCTCCTCTTCCTTCTTATCGTCTTCACTTTCAGCTTCAGTCCCTCCTTGGTCGTCAACGTGGTCTTTTGCCAGTTCGACCTCAGTATCATGTTCCTGGGTAGCATCCTCCTTCTGACTAGTCGACTTTTGGGGCTCTGTGACCTGGGAGTCTCTGAGGTATGCACCAAGGAGAGTTGTCTTTTCTTCAAGATAGAACCATCCCTCGTGGAAAGGCAAAGACTTTCCATCAGCATCTGTCTTCGGAGGTGGCATCTTCCCGTTCGCCCTCTCGTCCCATTCTTTGCCAGTCTGCTCCTTGAAGAACTGCTTGAATCTGTTCACTGCAGATTCAAGCTTGCCCTTTGGACCCACCAGAAGATCGATGTTGGATGTACCAACACGACTGAACTTGGCGTAGGTCGAGTAGGTGTGCGGCTCAGCGATAGACTCGAAGACCTAAAAGATATCATTAATCAAAATTTCTCGTGATAGCCTTCAAAAGTCTCATTTTTATCACTTACTGTCAATTGATATTTCTCTCTGCTCGTAACTGGTGGTTTCGATGGACGGAACAAGGTAACGCTGTAGATCACATTCGTCTTCACATCCTGGTAGACCTGACGCACGGCTATCATACACAAATATTAGACCTGGGTCTGCTCGATGATATGTGATCCATTCTTACGCTTTCTTTTGCCCTTTGGCGCAAGGAAGGGATCGGCTATGAAGGAAATGTCAGTACTATTGCCGTCTTCATTACAGCAATATAATAGGGCATTATCAAAACAATACCTATCCGACGCTTTGGTGCATTGGCCTTGGAATTCTTCTTGACTCCGTTGGGTGCCTTAGTGTTCGTCTTCTCCTTTTTCTTCGATTCTTTCTTTTCCAGTAGCATAAGGTTCTTCAGAAGATATGGGCCTTCAGGCTTTGGCTTGCGATTGGACGACTGCAGCGAGTCTTCAAGCCAATCATATGAGACAATCTTGATAGCGCTCATTTTTTTGGCCGTTTCAACTGCACATGGATGATTAGCTCCATGAGCTATTGAAAGGGTCAATGCACTGTACCTGGCGCTACACGCTGCTTGAAGGCATCCTTTGTTGCAATCAAGTGTGTAACTCGCGCGTTGACATCTCGGGAATATTGGCCTCCATTGGCTCGAATCCACTGTGGAATCTTTTCACCCACGCCGTTTTCGAATTTGCCCACTATAGCGGCATGGACCTTCTTGAAAGGTTTCGCCATCTTGCGTCCAGACAGCTGTCTGAGGGTTTGCAGTGCGCCTGATAGTTCGGTTAGTGTCCGTTTGCCGAGAAAGTATTCTTTAGAGTGGCACAGATCTGCTTTAGATGTGAAGTGTATGATGCCAAAGAGAAAGACCTTGAGATGTTGCGAGAGCTAGTTCCATGCGCCAGAAGACCAGGAGTTGTGATTGGTCTTCAGTAGTTGCAGGAATATCTCAGAAATGAGGTGAGTATACCAGTAGCAGGGTAAAGGTTCTAGATAATGAATGGGTGACTGATTTAGCGATGCTAAGACTCGATTAGTCTTCATTGACAATGGAAAAGCTGCACGAGAAGAGTATAGAATGAATTCAGAAATGGAAGGTATTGATTGCTGGGAACCAACCTAGAGGCAACCGTTCGAGATATTGCAATGAGATTTCAGCCTTCACTGGGTTACTTTGCTAAATTGATGGATAAAATGCATGGACGATGACAATTAAATAAGGTGGAAGTGACGTGAAAACAGGGAATAGCATTTCGAAGGCGATCAAGGACCGATAATTGAGAATTGTTTGAAGGAACAGAGGTAGCAATGGGCCTACCTGCTGGTATAGCAAATAAAGATTGGATCGAGCAATTGAAAAGAGAGCAAGAACTAAAGACCGAAATATATTGATTGCTATGAATGTGGTTCATGACCATTGGATATGAGATACCGAAATAGAATGATAAAAGAAGTCATCCTGAGTGATGCAAATACATGTTCCTAGCCTTCAGCTGTTCATTGCCGGATGCTTTTCACAGCCTTGATGAAGGCACGGATTTTCTCTAAATCTTGGGCGCCGTTTGTCTCAACGCCTGAGCTGACATCCAATCCAACCACTTTCTGGCCTGACTGACCCAGCTTCTTGACTGTGTCAACCACATTTTCGGGGTTTAATCCTCCGGCAAGAATAACCCTCAATCCCTCGTCACTATCGAGGACCTTTTTGACGCCGGTCTCTTCTAGTAGCTCGCCAGAGCCTCCAGCTCCAGAGTCCAGTAATGGAAGAGTGTGGTATGCTCTGCGTGCAACGCCGATGTCACCAGGGGCAAATTTGCGAATAACGGGAACTGGAATCAGACTAGACCACTCCAATGGCTCAGAACCATGCAATTGCACGACATCGAGCCCCAGCTTTTGTTGTTGAGAAAGGACATATGAAAGTGGCTGGTTCATGAATACACCAACAAGCAAAGCACGAGAAGGGTGACGCAAGATATTAGTAGAGTGATCGAACCATTCCAATGACGTAGCGTTTCTTGAAATGTGTGCTGTACCCGCTGGACGAGGGGTGGACTTGACCACCTGGGAAATGCGAAGGGCCACATCATCCGGGACAAGTCGTGAGCGGCCCTGAACCATGATGATGCCAATCAGATCCGCACCAGCCTGAATAGCAGCCACAGCTGCTTCTTCAGATCGAGTACCACAAATCTTCACCAGTGGAGAGTTCGACGATGAACCGGCGATATTCTGATCGGAACCACCGAGAAGCTCCGCCACAAACGCGGAGGTATCAGGAGCCCTCATCAGGGCCTCTCCAACAAGAATGGCCTTGACACCTTCTTTCTTATAAGATTCCACGTCCTTGGGGCCCAAGATTCCACTGAGGGCACACACAATCGTGCTCTCGGGCACCTGGTCCATTAGGCGACTGGTAGTTCCGAGGTCGACTTCGAAGCTCGTGAGATCTCGGTTGTTGACACCGATGACTTCAGAGCCCAGATCAACTGCGATCTTCATCTCCTCGGGGGTATTGACCTCAACTAGAGGCTCCATACCAAGACTGCGCGAGTAATGGTACAGTCTGGTCAAAAGCTCAATGTCCAGCATCTTCACAATGAGTAGGACCGTATCAGCTCCGGCCAGACGTGCCTCCAGAATCTGATATTCGTCGAAGACGAACTCCTTTCGGAGAACAGCTGGTCGGTTGGTGAGTCCTTCCAAACTCTGGCGAACGGCCCGCAGGTCATCGATAGTGCCCTTGAACCATTCTGGCTCTGTGAGGACAGAGATGACGCTAGCACCAGCCTTGGCATACTCTCGTGCCTGGGCTGGTGCACATACATCAGCTGAAATGATACCCTTCGAGGGCGATGCGCGCTTGATCTCCGCCATGAGGGAGAGAGGGTAGTCTGACTGTCGCAGGCGTGCGGGGAATGACAACTGAGGGGGTGCAATGTTCAGATCATATGCGGCTTGAAGAGCCTCTGGTCGCAAAGCCGGGATCTTCTTCTGTTCGGCAACAGCATTTTTGCGATGCGCGTAGATTTTGTCCAAAATGGAAAGTTTCTTATCAACTGGTGCGACAGCGGATACTTCTCCCTGCTTCTTATCCCAAGTCCCAGATGTAAGCTCCAAAAAGTTCCTAAACATCTTGCGCCCGTATTGCGTCAAGATACTCTCGGGGTGGAATTGAACACCCTCCACTGCGAACTCCTTGTGTCTTATGCCCATAATGATATCCTTGCCACTGCCGTCCCCCAGCTCGACACGCGAAGTCACCTCCAAGCAGTCCGGAATAGTCGAATGTGTTCCCGCAAGCGAGTGGTACCGGGTGACCGCAAGAGATGCTGGCAATCCCTGGTAGACACCTTTGGAGTCATGCTTCAACTCCGATGTCTTTCCATGCAGAATCTCGCCAGTCACATCCACCTTGCCGCCAAACGAAGTGATCATACATTGCTGGCCCATGCATACACCGAAGATCGGGATCTTTCCACTGAAATGTTGAATTGCGGCGCTACTGATTCCTGCATCAGTCGAGGGGTGGCCCGGGCCGGGACTGATAACTAGTTGGGTCGGCTTCTTTGCCACCAAGTCCTCGATGGTTACTTCGTCATTCCGGTAGACTGTAACTGTAGCACCTTCAAGCACGAGGTATTGGTACACATTCCAAGTGAATGAATCGTAGTTGTCGATAAGAATGACATTGGATGCGCTGGCCAATTTGTCCGCTCTGGTGGGATGGTGGGGGGAGTAGTCGACAAGGTCCGCCATGGCCACAGATGGTCGAAAGAGTTCGGGGGAATTGGAAAAAGGGTATATTCGGTCTATTGCACGTTCCGAAACCTCAAACACCTGAAAACCAAATCCGTTCTTTGTTAAGGAGCTCAGTTGTACGGGAAGTGACTCAAAAAGAATCTCGGGTTTCCAAGCGGACTCTCACCGCCCGGCACTAAGCTCAGATAGGCACCTGATTGTTGACCCAGACGCGGTGAATAATATTCTTTTGAAGCTCCATCTCAATTCAAGAGCTCCGTTCTCTCGCCGTCTACACTTTCCTTGGCCATTTCGTTACCTTTCATGGTGTCGCCTCGTTTTGCTCTTTCTTTTTATCCTATGATGATCTAATTGCCCCAAATGGCTCCCGTCTCGGAGGCCTATTTCCCGTCCCTGGACAAGTGCTTTTCCGGGGACGTTCAACTCTTGTATGTCCATTTCAATCAGTTGCCATAGAAGCCAATATGCTCACTATCGCAGGTCCTGGAAAAGAGCTTTTCTCTACTCAATCGATACCGAAAGTCATGCCGACGACGGAGGCAATATCGATGCCTTCTTTTCACACACCGAATCTATTCGCCTACTCTCCGACGGCCTAAAACCGTTTCCCTCTCCTTCCGCGAAATCTAAAACTGAATTCGAATCTAAAACTGCTGCAATTCATGTCGAGACTAACGGCCAAAGCTCTGTTGATCTGAAAGAGATCAAGGCAGACGCTTTATGGCTAAGCCAGAAGGCTGGAATCGATGAGATCGCTGCCCTACGGATCGTTGTATTGGAGTGGCAGAGCCGTCCAGCAGTGCGCCTCACAGCCGGCTTTTCTAGCGAGGAAGCGACGAGCCTGCAGAGTGCGGCTGGGGCTGAGAATCTTCGGGGCTCCCTGGCTGGGCCCAATCTCACCAGTCTATTGAACCAGACTGCCCGTAGCGAAGGTGGCCAATCATTCGAAAAAGAAGAGAACAGGCGTCTGCGAATTCGCGAGCTCTATCTCTCAGAGGCAAGCCATGTTGTGAAGACGCTCCGCAAGCTACTTGCTTTGTCCCTACACGATATTATTCCACCAACCTTTACCATCCCCGCCAAGTCCGCTCGCAGCCGCGCTCTGTTGGAGTTAGGAGCCAGCATTTTCCGAGATAAGTCGACCGGCGATGGATTGGAGCGATTCCTTCAGGAATGTATCAACTCGATACGGAGTCGGTTAAAGAGTTTGGAAGGAGACGGTGGCTGGCTCAGTGCCGCAGAAAGCAGCGAGGAGTTGGAAAACATCTGGCGAACAAATCTTGTGGAGGAGATTGTTCATATCGTGCAAATTATGTTCCACCAGCTTCATGCTTCAGTGGAATTTCCAAGTGCAGATATTCTAGTCTCCTGGCTCGAACTCATGGCTGACTATAGCTTCTTGGAGCCAATTCAAGTGGTGAGTGACGAGTGCTTTATTCTGAACTCTCAAATTTCTGACATTTTCTTATAGCCATGTCAACAACCGGTTGAAGTATTGCTACCTCTCCAAGCTTTCGTATCACTTACCACATTGGCTTTCTTAAAGCCTTCTCTCGCTATAACCGCGATCAGGGATAAGACACACACCCGATCCTCTCGTCAACCTTACTTCCTGTGCAAGAATAAACTCTCTAAAATCAATGAGATCTTCCTCGCCGTATGCGATAATGTGAGCACCGCAAACCCAGCGGCATTTTCATGGGGCTTGATCCTCTATACCATGAAAGAGCTGGCAGAACACGCGATGCTCAATCGAGATGAAAGTATAAGCCGGGTCTCTGCAGACTCGTTCAACAATCAAACGCAGAATACAGGCCTTTCCCGAGCATCGGAGCAGTCATATTACGAAGAATTGCTTGAGTGCGCCCGAACCCCGCAAGCCACAGCTGAAGATGCTATTCCTATTTTCACGTCTGATGCTGTCAAAGAATCAGCATTCAACACCGTCATCGCTCTGGCTAACCAAACCGGGCTAACATCCGCCGTTGATGATACCCTCACAAACCGATGGATTCGGGTATCGCTTCTTGACCTCGTTCGAGTTGCCGTCATGTACTTGGATTACTCTCCAGAGATTGTAGAATCAGTTCTGGCTATCCTGAGTGATAATGGCAACGAGCTGTCGAAAGAAACCGGTTCTCTTGGGTCTACCAGCGATCCCAGGTCTCTATTCGCTAAGGACCAGGACTTGATGGAGGGCGTTTTCCACATTGCACGATCCCGTTTCCCTTATGAAACGGTGCCCTTTTTACGGCTTTGTCGTGCTCTCGTCAGCGAGCACACTTTGAATGCAGATGGCTTGCCAGCAATTATTGAAGAGTTGGAGAACATGGATTCTTTCACACAAATCGTATCACCCACTTTCCAAGGCTATGCTACCATTCGGGAAGATGAGAATGCCAATCTCGTCGCCTTGCTTCAACCTCTTCCAATGCTCGAAATCTCGTCCCACAGCCGGCAACTCGACCAGGGGCCAAGCAATGCTCTCATTGTCAGCAGTTCATCTCAAATCCCACAGCAGAGTGTTGGGCAAATTATCTCCGACTCAAAACCTGCGGTCATCATGTGGAAGCATCAATACTCATGTCTAAGCTTCATAGGGAGCTGGCTTGAAGAATGGAGCGAGACCGGTGGGCAATCGCCAAGCTGTACAGATGACACTGTCGCGGAAATGATCTCGCTCTTGACAGCCTTGATAGTCAACTCTAAGGCACCAAAATCCGATGAGGCAAGTGGCAAGAAGATTCTCGAGATGGCTAGCGATGGGTTGTCTAAACAGGGTGACATAATTTCTGTGATTTTTGACATCTTTGAACGGAACCTGCAGACCATTGGTTCCCGAGGAGATTCAGGTAAATCCCTCGAGGCTACCATGTCATGCCTGCGCTTTATCAAGGCACTCCTGAAGATTCTTCCCAGTCGAGTGTGGCCTTTCCTCGGTCGCAGCAGTCTCATTGGGTCCGACGGCAAGGGAGGAATCATGACTGCCATCATTTCAGCCATAGAAATGCCTTCTGGCGAGTATCCATTCCTCTTAGGCTGCGTCGATCTCGTGGATGCTGTAATTGATGATGCGGCATCCCGAGCGGTGTTACGAAAGAGCCCGGGCAGCACGACGAGCAAATCATCGATTGCGTTGGACTGGAGTGCCGGCATTCCTTCTCATGCCATGAGGACTATTCTGTTGAATTTCACTCGCACGATGGTGGAAATCTTCAACAGCAGCGGAAACTGGAGATTCAATCTACCCGATCAACGGTTCAAGATCAACTCAATGCTCGCCACCTCTTTCGAACGTGTTCTATACTATGCTTTCGGGATTAATGACAGCCCAAAACTGGAATCCAAAATTACCGGCGTCTTTTCTTCATCTGCGGCGTATATCTTGGATATGCTTCGCCCTAGATCCACTGCTGACCTTCCTTTCAATCCCATTCTTCGGTTGATTGCCGAGGGTCTCCAAACGCCCCCAACCCTCCACCTCAGATACCTCACCCTCTTCGAAAAGCAGATCAAATCTACATTACGGCTCTGTATCAAACTTGTGCAAGCAGCTCAGTTGACAGAGCAACCCGGTTCGCTTCTAGAGGAACAATTGTTCAAAGCCAGCCCGGTCTTGGTCAAGCTCTACGCACTACATGATGCGTATAAATTGCCAGTTGTGTCGTTGCTCGAGATCTTGATCTCAAACGCTGCTTCGAACCCAGATAGTGAACCCCCCTCCCTTGTTGGCCACCTTGGGGCTGAATCATCCTGCCTGTTCCTCGATGTGTTGTCACAGCTCGACAAGCCAACGTGCGATCGGCCTCTACTTCTTGCAGTATGGCAGCTGCTGTCCACATTCGTCAGCAAGCGCCAACAGTGGCTTGCAGTATTTATTCTCACGGGATCATCCCCTCGCCAGACTCTAAAGAAGGAAGCTACATCTGGTGGTCTCAAGATGAGAAGCATGCCGTTCCTAGATATGGCGCTTGAAAAGTTGTCTCACATTGATCAACAAGAGCCGCAAGTAACCTTGGCCATGCTCGAGTTCGTCTCTCGCGCCCAAGAGAACTGGCCGTGGGCCACTCCTCATCTGAGCAAACATCCCGAGTTTTTCACCAGCATCGTTAATTTTGTCTCGAAGTTGAAGATTTCTTCTCTTCCTGTGATGGATCAAATCCACGCCACGCGAATTGCAGCTGTTGTCGCTGACCTGTGCGCGGTCTACCTACACTCGGCAAAGGAGATGGGAAATCGAAGCTTCATCAAGACTTTGATCCCGTTGGTGTCGTGGTATGCTAAGGATGCAGTTGAGGTGTCGGCGTACAATTCCTCATTGCATGCCAACTTGAAGAAGAACTTCGAGATGCGGTACCCTGGCTGCAAGCTCACCGACTTCAAGAGGACACCGCTTGAGGTCCGTAACCTAGGACGGGATTACTACTACGACTTGAGTATGGGAGACAAGCTGCTGTCCTACAATTTTGCCTGGACGGCGATCAAGAACCGCGGCTTTGCCGATGAATTCGAGCGTGCCAATATCAACCTGTCTCTTGTCGAGGCGCAGGTGGTAAGTTTTTCTTCTTCCCTCACATCTTCAGCTCTTGTCTCTTTTGTGAATGATTGCATTTTCCTAACTTGAAACAGAGTCTTCTCAATAGCTGGAAGTTCTTCGCTATCGAGCACTGTGTCGATTTCATGCCCGATACCGAAGTCCGAAAGTCAATGGCACTAGTCGCGCAAAGTTGTCTCAATGCCAACATTAGCAGTGGCCCTCCTGAAGCCATCTTTGAGCGGATTCAACAAACGCGCGTTGAATTCGCCCAGATCCTTCTCCAACGCCTTGTCGAGGTCCACGCTCGAGGCGCCGAAGTCTTCCAGCTTCTCGAAATCACCTGGAAAGCACTGCGTGCACGACACCTGACCTACGAGGACGCTTTGATCAGTGACGATATTGATTACTTCCGTTCCCTCCTGAATGTGCTGTTCCTCGCTCTCCAGTTCCACTTGGATAGCCCCACTCGGAGCGCCCCCGAAGCTATCAATAAAAAGGCCGAGATTTCATCGGATCTGACCGTCATCGTGGAGATTGTGAAAACAATCGTGGCCCAGGGCTTCAAATCTCTCACAACCTATCTCCATGACGATCCTGAAAAATGCACGCCGAAAGATTTCGCCATTATCATTGCTATCCTGCAGACATCCCTGCAAGTGAAGAACGCCGATCGTCTCTATGAGCATATCGTGTACCACATTGAGGATAACGACACCGCTCGTCATGCAACGACACTCTTCTCCTGGGCTGACCAATTAGCCGTGGCCGGCGATCCTGTGTACGCAGAGCTCAGCATCTCGATCTTAGTCAAGATGTCAACCCTGCCCATGCTTGCAGAACATCTTGCCGTCGAGGCAGTTCTGATGAAACTGTCCACCTGCCGACTCACTACCATTCTCACCAACAAGCAAGCATTCGGGGCCTTCGACCCTGTTCCGCGACTGTACGCCATCTGGACTGGAGGATTCCTTCCTCTGTGTCTGAACATGCTCTACAGCGTCATGCGGACAGCGCCCGAGGTCGCAGCATTCTTGAACCAATTCGAATCTCGCCTGACCCGCGCGACAGAGGCATTCTCCAGCCACACGGCCATTGCCTCCGTTCCGACGTCCAAGTGGATCAGCCTCAGCATGGTCTCCGAAGCCTACTCGCTCGCGCTGATCTCGCTCATTCTAGACCGATACCGCGGAGCAGGTGCCAGCGCCGGATTCGATGCCCAGGCTATCCAGGATCTTAAGTGGGATCGGGTCCAAGTCAAGGAAGATATTGAGGAACTACTTAGTCGCCGACCTGCCCTGCGCGCTCGCATTGCCGCAACCAATGAAAAGGAGATCGCGTGGTCCCGACAGAAGCCTGTCGATCCGGCTTCTGGGGCGGAGAACCGATTGGAGGAGAAGGTTGTCAGTGAGATGAAGGCAGCAATCACCTGTCTGGGTGGGGAGGAGTCATGAATCTGTTCTTTATAGCCCTTTTGCTGTTGATCTTTTTTTTTTGCCATGTATTCTCTGGGTTGGTAGGGGTGTAGTAGATGATTTCATTCATACATGGAGCTCAATTTTGAAAACAATCGCATCCCTGTTTGTGTTATCTTTATTGTTGTCCGGCCAACTCGGTCCTTCATAACACATCTATTCAAGTGTAATGTATAACACCCAGTTCATATGGCCTTTATGCAGCATTGCACTAATTCCGCAATGCGTCTCAGCGTGAAGACCGAGGCACCAGACTAGCGCCTCCAGCTTCCCCGCAAACACAACCGACCCTGCGGGGGAGTGTATCTATGAGCTGCAAATCATGAAGACGGTATCCGAGGTATTCTACCGCGCTGATCATCCTGCAAGGCCTATATGTAGAGTCTCGTCATATCCCTTCCATCCCTTTTTCTTTCCTCATAGTCCCCATAGACCAATTTACATTGAAAACACTTCTTATATACAAGATGCCGTATAAATCCCGCTGGACAATCGACATTCCAGACACCCATTTAGCCTCTCTCCTCCTCAAATCCCCAACAGCACCACTCTCCAAAACAGACAAATGCTATCTGGAAGCTGCCCGCCCAGAAACCCATTACTTCACCAACCATGACTTCCGCCTCTGGAGCCAACGGTTCGCTGCCGGCCTCCGCAAATCAGGTCTCCAAACCGGCGACCGCGTCCTCCTTTTCTCAGGAAACGACCTCTTCTTCCCCGTAGTCTTCATGGGCGTAATCATGGCCGGCGGAATCTTCACCGGCGCCAACCCAACCTTCGTAGCCCGCGAACTGGCCTACCAACTCCAAGACAGCGGCGCCACATACCTAATCTGCGCAACGAGCAGCCTGCCCACCGGCCTCGAAGCCGCCAAGGAAGCCAACTTCCCGCAGAACCGCATCTTCGCCTACGACAGCGGTCTCTACGACGGCATCACAAACCCGCAACACGGATGCGCGTACTGGAGCGACCTCATCGTCCCAGAAGCGGAAGGCGCCGCCTTCGTCTGGGACGACCTGAACACCGCATCCCTGTCCAGCCGCACTCTGGCGCTGAACTATTCCAGCGGCACGACTGGACGCCCGAAGGGGGTGGAGATCTCGCACAAGAACTACGTCGCGAATATGCTGCAGTATTGCTTCATGCCGACGCTGAGCCCGGACTACGAGGCCAGGCTGAAGCGCTCCCGCTGGCTGTGCTTCTTACCTATGTACCATGCGATGGCGCAGAATATCTTCATTGCGGCTGCGTTGCACCGCTCGACGCCGGTGTATATCATGCCGAAGTTTGATTTCCTCAAGATGCTGGAGTACACGCAGAAATTCCGGATTTCGGATTACATTCTCGTGCCGCCGGTGGTTGTCGCGTTGGCGAAGCATCCGGCTGTGAAGCAGTTTGATTTGAGTAGTGTTGAGGCGGTGGGGAGTGGTGCTGCGCCGTTGGGGAGAGAGGTGTGTGAGGAGGTTGAGAGGTTGTGGCCGTCGGGGAAGATTAATATTAAGCAAGGGTGGGGGATGACTGAGTGAGTTTTGCTTTTTCTTTGCTTCTTTTCGGCTCCCTGTTCACATCTCCAATTTGGGGGCTAATTCATCCATAGGGCGACGTGCTCGGTTACTGGATGGCATCCTGCGGAAACGAGTACATCTGCTTCTGTCGGTGAGCTCAACCCCAATTGTGAGGCTAAGATTGTCTCGCCCGATGGGTCCGAACTACTCGAGCGAAATACCCGGGGTGAACTGTGGGTTCGGGCACCAAACGTCATGAAAGGCTACTGGCGCAACGAGAAAGCAACCCAAGACACCAAGACCGAGGATGGCTGGCTCCAAACGGGCGACGTTGCCTTTGTCGATGAGCAGGGCAAATTCCATGTCGTGGATCGATTGAAGGTATACCGATTCCAGGACGAAAGCCAAAAAAAAGAAGAAACTAATGATGTGCAGGAGTTGATCAAAGTCAAGGGCAACCAAGTCGCGCCCGCCGAATTGGAGGCTCTTCTCCTCGAACACCCTGCGATCTCAGATGTCGCTGTGATCGGAGCTGTCATGTACGTGTTCTCTTTTCCTACACCGTCTTTCTCCGGTTGTGTTGTTTGATTTGTCTAACCAGACTAGCAACAATGATGAGCGCCCTCGCGCATATGTGGTGCTCACGCCTGGCCAATCCGCCACCGCAGACGACATCACCCAGTTCCTGGCCACCAAGGTCTCCGCATTTAAGCGGATTACCGGGGGTGTGGTATTCCTCGAGGCGATTCCTAAGAATCCATCGGGCAAGATTCTTCGGACGAAATTGCGCGAGCTGGCTAAAGAGGAGCTGAAGGGTGCTACGGCTAAACTGTAGAGAGTCTGTTTTTGTGTTTTATTTTTAGTTCTGTCCCTATGCTCTTTTCTATATACAATAGACAAAAGACAAAAGGATTTGCCGAATGAATCAAGCTATCTAGGTATGTTGTATACACTGTACTGTACGGATGATGCAGTGTTGATTTGCAGGCTCCATCCGCCGAGAGGGCGATCCCTCGCGGGAATCCGTCGCATTGGGACCATAGCGCTTGGCGGAAGATCCAAAAGAAAGAAAAAACCAGTCGATTAATTGGAGCATCCAGGCCCACTCCCATAGCCGAACAGGGCATCTGGCAATGTGATTCGACGTCTGAAGGCCTTTAGCGCGGGGGCCCAATGCCGGCGCCAGCTGAAGGCGGAAATCGATCGAACACAGCTGATCGACAACACATGGGATAATATCTCCGTAGCCATTGAGGTAGAAGGAGAACAGTACTTTAGACTGGAATTCAGGATTCAAATCCCGAGGCAAGAATGAAGAGGGTCAAAAGCGAATTCAACTCGGAAAGTCCAGAGTGGCGTGTAGCACGCAAGCTGAAGGGGGGCTGGCTGGCCTTAAACCTCATGTTTCTATATTGAGGCAACTAAGACACATTCATTTACTTTTTTGCCTTTTTGATCTATCCAGCAGCTCTAATTCGACCAGCTTGTCGGGCTCCGATGCTTTGTTTTTACCTTTCTTTCATACTCCAAGCATAAGCCCTAAGATACATCTAGATCTGCCCCGCCATCGCTTCGATCCTCCCAAGCCAATCCCCTGCTGAGCCTAGGCTTTCGGTCCTGATATATAGACTAAAAACGCCCTGTATCCCTCCGTCCCACTAGTTCCTCCCCACTCGCCTCCAGAGCCAGGTGCGCCTATAGTCGCTTCGTATGTCGTTTCCTTGATTCGGTGAACAGTCTCCAAGTCTCAGGCCACCAACATTGACTTCCCCACACGCACCCTTAAGTTGAGCTGATTCCCCCCCAATTTAGCCGGGGGGAAGGAAGACAGTTTCAACATTCGCGAGAGGTGGACGCTATCCATCCACTCCCCAAACCCCCCATGAGCGTGGACCCACGATCCTATCTCTCGCGTGAGCTCCCCCAGTCAACCACAGAGCTCGTCTTCCCGGTGACAAGTTTGATCAGCTTATCCCTGCTGAGCCTCGTCCTCATCCACCGATATATCAAGTACCGTTGCCGACGAGCACATCTCCCTGTCTTGGACACCAAACAAGACGTTGAAAACAAAGACCAAAGTCCCTGGCTCGCATCGACCATGGAGAAAGGAGACATTGCCACATTCAGCTCGCTCCCGTTGTCCGCTTGCGATATCCTCCGGCCGCTGTCCCATACTATTCCTTTGCCAAGCAGTGGGGCTCTTGCCGCCATGGCGAGGGAGGAGCAAGCTCGGAGATTGCCGTCTGGGAGTAATCCGGCATCAACGGATGCTTTGCCCGTTGCGGATGAGTCGGTGCATAAGCACAATGAGTCGATTGAGCAAATGCGCCACGAGGATATCGAAGGGGTGAGAACTTGGAAGAGGGTTGTTGTTGAATATAGATAGGAGTTTGCTTGGTTTGCATTCCTTCTATGTATTCATCGGGATTGAAGGGACTTCTTTTTGTATCGCAGGAGGATCTGGGCCTTTTTTTTTCTCTTCATTTTCTTCTTTTCTTTTGTCTCTTCTTTTAACCTCTGCTCTTATTCTTGTCACGAATAATGTCTTTCCTTTCAGCGTGGGCCTGGGATATGTTCGTTTATCAAGCATCGATGTGGGAGACATGTTTAATATGCTAGGATTATGATGAGCGATATGAATAACAAACGTTGTGGCTATCCGAAAATAAGATCACAAATCAGTAACCCGGTGCCTGGAAGATATCTTCTCTCAACTTCCAATGCGCCGAGATTGAAACCAACACGAAAAGGCAAAAGAAAATCACAAGTGAACGCCGTAACTCCGTTGCAAATAGGGCAGGCACGATGAAATATGTAATACCACAGGATTGACATACAGCCCTCTATTGGGGATGGAGGATGCAAGAGGAAAGAAGGGGAGACAAGAAAGATGAAGAAGCCGTGATCACGATGATAGACTTGCATGGCCTTGGCGACTTCCGACCAAATATATGCCTCTGTCGAGATCGCGATCTAGTCTGAGTCTTGTCCTGGGTGTCGATGACATGCTTGGTGAAGTATCACGGGAAGGATCCCATGAGTAACGATGAGTAGGACGGTCGAGACTCTGTGTCGGATGAAACAAGGTATTGGCAAAACGTGATGCGTGATGAAAGACAGCACTGCTCGTTCTTCGTCCTTGAAGTACTAGTTCCTCCATTTGTCGACACTGATGGAGGCCGTTTTGTTCGATACGGTCGGCGGTAGACCTGGGATATCAGTTATAAACGATCCGAAGGAAGATGCATAGTAGGACACACCATATCAAGGTACTCAAGAGAAGGTTGATGGCAGAGGTATGCGACTCAAGCTTCCGGCGGTATTGGGTCAATGACTCGCCCCTGAAATCCCACATGATTCGACGCCATTGTAATTTGACCTGCGTGGTCCATTTCTGGGACGAAACAAAATTGACACGGTGCTCATCCTGCCATGCCAAAGACGGTATAGCGGTTGCTCGGTACTTGTCTGTGGCGTTCTCCAGGAGCTGAAGAGTGTGGAGGCACGAGCGGATCATGAACCCTAATTGCTGCCCGACGTCGGCGTCATAGTCCAGGGGGCTGGAACCTCGGCACAAGATACGCTGCGAAACCCGTTGTACATTATTTAAAGAGTAAGTCAGTCCTAGCAACACATCTTCTAATTCTCTCAAGTCGCGGGGTGCATTTTGGCGGCCCGAGGTTGCGGCAGTATACAGTCGACAGGTGATTTGGCCGCAGAGAACAATGTCTCCGATCGAGAAGCCAAACGACATAGCTCTTATCAAATTGAATCAGGAGGGACAAAGGACGGTCAAACAAAATAGATGAATGGCAGACAATTGGGTCACAAAATACGGAGTAGAAGATATCAAGGTTGTCAATGTCACGATCAAGACACCAACTAATTCGGATTAAAGAGCGATATGCCTGTAGAACGGGGCCTTGGGTTAGAAAGGGCAAGCAAATGGAATGTACATGACAGTGGACCCAGTTATAGCACGAACATACGAGATTAAGATCGCAACTCCAATCTAGATCAGCCGAAGAGGGATAAGGAAAAAGAAACAGGCGGAGAAAGTGGTAGGGTTAGGTATCTATGAGTGTAGATAGGAGCTGGGGAACTCGAAGAAAAGATATGTCTGGAGTCGGATCTCAGAGCCTTGAAGTCGGTGTTTATATATTGTTTTACGCTGGAGTCTTCTCGTCTGGCCCATTTAAGTCACCCTGGGCCATGACGATTTTTCCAATGGAGGCGAGAGGATGAAAAAGGTGGAGCTCATAACGGAGCACCTACGGACCTTCGGGAGTTCTGTGCAGAAGAACAAAGCCCCACCGGGAGGTAAGAGAGGTGCAATGTTGAGATTCTTCCTGCAGGATCATTTGGTTTTTACTCCGTGCTGGGTATACACCGTAGATGTCCTTTTGACATGGTCGCCTAGAGAGGTGCCATAGAACCGTGGAGGTCAACTGTCTGTTCATATTGAAAGTCGCGACCAACTAGCCTCATGCTATCAGTCTCACTATCATTCCTTACACGCGTTGCTACATCCATAGATGTATGAATATCACCTAGAACAATTGTTAGACGTTGAGCAATCTACTGAAGTTGACCCGCCAGGCCCATCGAGGTCCCGGCATCCATGGATCGCCCCGATCATGCTGAGTCATCGTCAATTCGGCCCCGACAGCTCGTGCTCATCTTCAACGGAAACACAGCTCTGCATCACATCTTTCCCATTCCAAGTCTCAGTCATGACTGTAACGGCATTTCCCTCTGAGGGCTCTCCAGACCTCGCCCTTCTAAATGTCGCCCGTCTGTTCACCCGACTCGAGCACAACCTCCTCTCCCCGGGGACAGACCGCCGTTCACTGCAACAATCAGAATACCAACGTATGCGCGTGAACAAAGTAAGCATATACCCTCCATTTTCAAATCTTTCAACGAAGAGACTCAATACATCAAACATCTCATTGTCTAACCAAAACCACAGAACGTAGAATACGCCCGCAACCTCCTCACTCAACTCGAACGGTCCCTCCCACAACTAAAGCCCCTCGACCGCAAACACGAAGCACAAGCCGAGATCGCGCGTGATAGACAACTGCTAAAGCGGATCCAGATCATCCTCGACGAAGAAGATGCCAAAGCCGAGGCGAACCAGGATGAGCACTATGACAACGAAGATGACGAGTGGAAGGAGCTGTTCTCTAAGCCCGTCATCGAGAAACCGACGGTATCTAAGAACGACCAACGGGCCCCGATATTCAAGTCAGAACCGCAAAAAGGAACAAAGAAAACGGAATATGAGCCAGTTACGCATACGCCCACAACTACGACTACAGCAACACCCATAGCAACAGCTCCACCAGCACCGACTCTCCGCAACCGCAACAAAACCAACCCCGCCCCTCCCCCATCCTCCGAGACAGCGATCACAACTGGAAGCAACGCTGCCAACCTCTCGGAGAAAGAAGCCGCACTCAGCACACACAGACTGGAACAAGAAGATTTGACCAGTTCACTGCTATCGCTCGCCTCGCAACTAAAATCATCCTCGCAATCCTTCCAGTCCACCCTGGAAAATGAGAAGTCTGCTTTAGACCGCGCGGTATCAGGCATCGATCGTACAAGTACGACGATGGAGGCAGCGGGCAAGCGGATGGGGATGTTGCGCAAGATGACGGAGGGGAAGGGACTGTGGGGACGGATGATGCTGTATGCATGGATCTTCGGTCTCTGGGTCGTTGCCATTCTGATTGTTTATGTTGGGCCGAAGTTGAGGTTTTAAGAAAGGGCCATTGTATGCCGGCGTACATAGAATCTGATTCTTCGGAATATTTCTCGAGCTCGATTCCACGCTGAACTATAAGAGCAGTTTAGATGACTGTTCTTAGATTGTGGCACAATAAGCTCTTCTAAACATGGTGGTAGAGTATCCTCGGTGTCATATGCCGTGTTAGTATTGAATCTGATAATAGACACGAACGTGCTTTCGCGTATATACGTAGCAACAAAAGACAACCGGAGTAAATCCCGAAAAGGCCTTGTGTCCTGGGCCTCTGATCCCGTTGCATCGCTAGACCAGACACCCTGGTACCTACGTATAGGTGGGTGCTTCGAAGCCCTGGCAGTCCATAAATGCATGAAATACCTACATAGAACAGACTGGTGGGGCGCCTTGAGGGACGTTGCAAGTGTTCTCGCGAGGAATTGCCTTGGCTTTGCTTAGTAGAGACAGTGGAGATGTGCGTGGGTTTGCCCTTGGCAAGGTGGAGAATTGTATAGCTCCAATTGGCGGCTTGATGGAGATATGCAGGAGCAAGGTACGTCATGCTTCTGGAGAAAGAGCTCCAGCTGATATAGTCAGACAGGTGACCAGGTAATTTATATGAAATGTAGGGCATGGTGAATACAGCATAGATTCAGATACTTGGGATGGAAGTACTGGGATAGAAGCATCCGTGTAGAAGGAATGCGCACGGACCTCTCACGCGTGGCGGTGTGGCGGTGTCAACTGAAACAGCGATCCGAAAGCTTCCAGAAGGAATGGATGCCCATAAGTGGGCCATCGCCTCGTAGTTAGCTTCCTGTACGGAGTACGGAGTATAGATACACGTATCTTATTCCATTTACAATTCAATTGGCTTGGAGAAAATAACGTCCGGAAAAAAAAAACAATACTGATTGAAATGGCTTTGTACAAAAAGGAAAATTAAAGAGTCAGAACCCTAGATTCAATTCTTGAACTCTGAAAATAACCCAACAACCGACCTGGCATGACACATGAAAAGGAGACATTCAAATCCGCGGATCCTGCCATTGCCCCGTGCCCTATGCCCAGATGGTCGCTCTTGGCTTCCAACGGACGCGAGACCAAGGAGAATGATGGGGGGAGATGGTATGGTTACATACAAGGAAAACAAGAGGGGGGAGAGATGATAGGATATCCAGCATTCAAATCAGATGAGGTAAAAAAAATGGAAGGAAATAGGAAAAAGGAAAAAAAGAAGGGAGGGAAACACACTCCTAGTTTTCGTGGATATCAGGAGTGACAAAAGGAAAACTCACAAACCGGCTAGAGATCGTGTCAACGGCGGGGACAATTAGAACGTGGGGTGGAAAAGGAGAATCGAGAATGGGGGAAAAAGAAGTAAACGCAAAAGAGAATCAACGCCGGGATCTTGAGAGGCTTTTTGGTGACCGGTTTCGATCAGCCCCGGTTAATAAAAACATGCGATCTAGATTCGACACACTTCGTCACCGAACGATTGGTTCATTATATCAAACCGCAGAGACGGAGGTTCTCTTGGATGATGATATCTGGGACCCGTTAGTGGACTGTTGCGCAAGGAAAGTGGGGGATCATGAAGCTTACCGTTCACGGCGGCCATGACGAAGCGGATCTGGGTGGTGTCGGTGGCGCAGGTGAAGTGCGTGTAGATCTGCTTTTGCTCGGCCTGGTTCAGGGAAACGAAACGATTGAGAATGTAGTCGCACGCCGCGGCGTAGTCAGCACCGCCCTCGTAGTCGGGGAAGTAGTTCTTCATGGGGCTGACGGGGAGCTTCTCCTTGAAACGATCGATCTTGTTGAGGAAGAGAATGATAGAGGTCTTGACGAACCACCGGGAGTTGCAAATTGAGTCGAACAGGGTCAGGGCTTCTTGCATACGGTTCACGGTCTCGTCCTCGAAGAGCAGCTGATCGTATTCGGAGATGGCGACCAGGAACAGAATGGTGGTGACGTTCTCGAAGCAGTGAATCCACTTCTTGCGCTCGGATCGCTGGCCACCAACGTCGAACATGCGGTATGTGAGGTCACCAATGATAAATGTGGTCTCGGTGATACCGGTGGTCTTGACACGGGAACGAAGGACATCCTGGTCGGTAGGGAGGTAGTCGGGCTGAGCAATGCGCTCAATGGAGTCGAAGTAGCTAAGAGACAAGTTAGCGACGGCACAGTGTAACGGCAGAGCGATCACTCACTATTTGGCAGAGTCGTTCAGCTGGTATTCGCGCGAGCGCTTGAAGCATTCTTGAACACCGGTATCGCGCCACAGCTGGCCAATGGCGTTTCCGACCTCAGGGGGAATGCTGTCACCCTCGATCTGAGCGGGTTGCATGAAGATAGTCTGCACATGGTACTCGTGGCGCGCATCCTCAAGAGGCAGCTCGAGAGACTCCATGGCCTCGAGAATGACCCGCATCGACTGGACGGTGTTGCTGTAGATGATTTCTTTGAATGATTCACGCTCATCGCGGGAGTACCCGCCCTCGTGAATGAGCTTCATCTGCTTCAGAATCGTGGACTTGCCCGACTCTCCGGCTCCTGCATCCCAAGTCAGCCATCCGTCCGTGTGTCCACCGAGGGTCGTCATTCGATCATACCGAGAAGCAACATCTTGATCTCGTTCCTCTGCATCATCTTGTCGCGCTTGAGCTGGTTCTCAATTTCCTCGTTCCGCGCCTTCCCCTCCTTATCCTCGGTGCTCATTCCGCAACCCATTTTGACGGTTTGTAATAGTCGCAATCAGTGCGAAAGTGGGAGATAAAAGGGTGTCCGTTGAGGGAGATTCGATGGGTTTGTTGCAGGGACTATTTCAAGCCAAATCAATAGTCAGCAAGCTGAGATAATTTCATCCGAGGAAAGATCGCATTGATGAGCTCGAGGGGGGCGTTGCATAGGTGATACAAGCACCACCGAGCAGAAGTAGACAGCGTTTCAGAATTGGTGTAAGCATGCCGACGCAAGGAGTCGGAACACAGAGAAATGGGAGAATGGACAAGGCCAGAGCGAAAAAAAACCAGGGTTACCTACCTGAACGTGTTTTTGCGAGGATATGCAAAAAGGAAGGACAATCGAGAAAGGAGATAAATGAAAGAAACGAAAAGAAAGGAATAATCAGAAGAATTCGAATTGAATCCAATCTGGAGAAGAGAGAGAGAGAGAAGGGAGATACAAAGATTCCAAGGTAAGGGGCAAGACTGAGGGGGAAATTAGGAAAGTTTCAGCAGAGAAAGGGGATACACGGAGAATACCGCGCGATCCAGCAGACAATGGCGGTGATTAGGGGGTACTGTTCGGGTACTGCCCGTTCATGCGATGGGTTTGATTACCGAAATTACGGGACAATACCAGCCCGGCAGCTGAAATCAGCTGATTGGGCGGTGTGGGGAGGGCCCATCACCCCCTTTTGCTTTGGAGGATCTCACGTCTGGGATTCTATCTCCTATTTGCATTTGATCGGTAGAGTTGCTATTCTCAGATCTGCAGCTGCTGGAGAGACATTCCGATCGTGACAGCTGACCCATCCCGCGACTACATACGGATCGAAGAATAGAGTCCTCTTCCATGCATATAAAGGTACAGTGGACTCCTGGAGGCTTGCAGATCTTGTGGAGAGAAAGACCAGCATTATCAGACCACAAAGCGAATCACGTTAGAGAAAATGCCATATTGTAAACAACATGTATACGGGGTATGATGTACAGCATTGATGTAAGTAATTTCAACTGTTCGGCGGAGTATTAACCCCTGATGATGCAACAAGAGTACCCGATGGGACGGGGTATAGGAGTACGAAGTACTCCGTACGGAGATACTCCCCCAACAACCTGGATCGTCGTTTGAAAAGGTCTGACCTCACCTCAGCCGGCTCTCGTGTCAGATGGGTAGATCTGCGGCAAACAAAGGAACAAAGCGAAAGGATGGTTCTCCTTCCGAATCAGACCAGTCCATCTCTTAGTCTCCCTGAGCAGGCGCCCACAACTTACACCGGTGCACGGAGTACTCCGTCCTCCGTACCACATACGGAGTATATCATATGTCCAATGCTCTTTGGATTCCTTGATCCTTCTTTGAGGGTATATCCTTATGCGGAGTACGATAGACGAAACCCGACAGATATCCGACACACACTGCACATCCGTGGATCCTGCGTTTTACCTTGAGTGGAGCCCACAGGGCCACTACGCGAAAAGCCAAACACTGAGTGTCGCACCTACGTATGTTGCAAGTACTCCATCCTGATGTCAGTGGACTCAGCAAGACTGTGTCAGAACGATTGAAAAGGAAGGTCAGTCAGCACAGGGCAGCGTCAAGCCCGGCAAAAAAAAAGTAGAAAAAGTTAGGGGAATTTCGCTTTCCAATCGCCTTCCAGGGTTATCTCCTGAAGTTCTGCACTAACCGACCCACTGGCTAGTGCTTCTAGCCGTTTTCTGCCCTTTCGTGTGAGGAGTTCATATTGAGACTCCACCGCTACCTCGTGGCAATGGAGACTATTGAAGTTCGTGGCTTTAGCGTGGCGTCTAAACTAGAGAGCCCTGGACTCGGAAGCATCACGAGCGGATGATTACTAATGCCCATTACACTTGCATACGAAATTAAATTACCGACATGTACTCCGCTAGGTACCTCCATGTACGGAGTAGTACTCTTTGGCTGGAGTGTTCCCCGTTTCTGACGATGATCACTCCAAGCTTGAGGTCCATCCACCCATCTAGACCACCATAACCATGCTAGTCCACCCTATCTAAGACACCATCGAGATCGAAGTCTCTACTAAACCAAGTGGCTTAGTTCTAATGGGGCTGATGTTCGATCGATCGGGGCGAAAAATAACCTTGGACGACCCAAGGAAAAACACCCGATCGATATGATTTTTCGGGATTTTTCCCCACCTTCATAAAGGTACCTAGACACCCGTCCCTTTCCCCCCTTCATATCATCCCAGATTAATCATGTCGTACGAAATGTCCCACATGGGCCCTCGGGGTAATGCATCAATTTCCCGCCGGGCATCATTAGCGCTAACATCTCCCAGCCTTCAACCACGAGAACAGCACCGACGCCGAGGCGGAGTACGATCGGCTCCGCGACCTGGCGCGCCAGGAGGCCTCCAAGCGCGGCCAATGTTTCGCACAGGTATGCGACAGTCCAATTGCAGTCGCAATCGCAATCGCATTCATTTCATCCGTTCTAACACACGTCCCCAGTCCCAAGAAGCCTACTCGAACGGCGATGGCGCCGGCGCCAAACAACTCTCCGAGGAGGGAAAGGCCCACGGCCGCAAGATGGAGGCGTACAACAAGCAAGCGTCGGAGTTTATTTTCCGTGAGAATAACGCCAATGGGCGCGTTGCGGACGATACAATTGACTTGCACGGCCAGTTCGTCGAGGAGGCGGAGGATATCCTGGAAGAGCGGATTAAATACGCCAAGTCGCATGGACAGGACCATCTCCATGTGTAAGTGGCGCGCGCGTTCTTTAAGTTCCACACAACGGGCAGGGAAACCCACGCATTGGACTGGACTCGACTAACACCGCTTGTCACTTTAGTATCGTCGGCAAGGGAAACCACTCCGCCAACCACGTTCAGAAAATCAAGCCCCGCGTCGAGCAGGTGTGCCGTGAGTTGGGGCTGCAGTATGCCACTGAGGAAAACGCCGGTCGCATCTATGTGAACTTGACCGGTGGGGAGGCTGTTATGCCTTCTTCGAGTGGTCACCATGGCTCGTCTGGGGATTACCAGGGACAGCAGGGATACCAGCAGGGACACCAGCAACAACAGCAACAGCAACAACCCGACGAGCTCGAGGAGCTTGCCAAGGAGCTGTTGCCCAAGGTCCTGCGCAAGCTCGAGAAGGCTTGCTGTGTGGTTATGTGAGCTTGTACTTTTGGTGTTTGGTGTGGTCCCTAAATCACAAGATAGCCCGATTGCGCCCGTTGGAACTTCCACCGTCGACATCTCGGCAGTGGGGCAATCTTGTGGTTTGGTGTGTATAGCGATGTTACTGTACGGAGTGGAGTGTTTGACTGTTTGTGTTTTTTTGGTTTTGCGTTACTAGATCATCTACCATACTCGGTAGATTTCAGGTTCAGCCTCGACATGACTCATGGCAGGGATGTGGTTATACCCTTACATTTATACGAACATGCACATTGTTCCTAATGAAACCACCATTTATTTTCTCATGGGTTCCAAGATCATTGACATAAATCGTATCATCGTTAACGTTCGTAGCTACATAGCCAACTTTCTGAGAAACCAGATAACAGGGTATATCCACCAAAAATACAACCTCGCAGGTTGATGCCGAAAAGAGAAAAACTTGGGAAAAAAGATATACATGTCACAAAAGCTAGTGCGCACGGGGGTCCGATAGCGTCGACTCCACAATCTTTTCCACAATAGCGCGCACCATCTGCCCATCACCGGCCCCATTGATCTTCGGTGTTGTATCCATCGTCTCAATCAAGGAGAAAGCGCGGTCCCGCAGATCTTCGACAACCCGTCGCGTATGCGCAAAACTGCCCGTGCTGTGCATATACTGCACCGCATAGCGCTTAACCTCTGCATCCTGAGTATTTTGCTTCAGAATATTGATCAGCTGGTGATTCGAGGGGTTGGAGCGAATGCTGTGGATGATCGGGAAGGAGAATTTGCCCTCTGTGAGGTCCTCGCAGAAGCCCTTGTTTGCCGTATACACCGTATTCGAGAGGTTGAGGTAATCGTCACAGATCTGGAAAATCAGACCCATGACATTCACCAGTGCGACGCAGTCCTTGCCCGTCGTACTCTCGGCCTGCATGAGTTTGACCGCGAGTCGGAAGAGTCCACCCGTCTTGTTGCCGACCATTTCCAGGTACTCGTCTTCCGTCGGACAGGTGAGCGTGTCGCGCCAGAAGAGATCCATCCCCTGTCCGCGGTGCAGGTTCAGCATTTCTTGCACGTAGATGTTGATCGCAGCCGGGTTATTGAGTTGTTGCACTTCTTGCAGCGCGAGGAAATAGACGTAGTTTGCGGAGTTGATTGTCTGCGCTGTACCGAAGATGCTGTGTGCGACGGGGATGCCACGACGGAGGAGGGAGTTGTCTTCGACGTCATCGATTCTAGAGCGCAGTCAGCATCGGGGTACAGCATGGAGCGGGTGTTCTGACTCACAGAAGCGACGATGTGTGGAGCATCGTTACGACCTTGGTGATGATTGCTAGGCTCGCTGGCGGAACCTGCAGCCATGAGTTAAAAGCATGGATCAGTTGGCGACGAATATCTTTCCCTGGATGTTCGGCTACATAGTCGTATGGGCCCATCAGGATTTTATCGTTCTTTAGAGACCATGTCCCATCCTTGTATTTGGTGCCGTCCACGCTGGACTTGTTGCGCCGGTGTCCGGTTTTCGTGGACGGCTCTTCGTCTGCTACCGACAGCTTGCGCCGGTGAGAGGGGCTTCCGCTGCCATTTATTGCATTTGCTGAGCTTGTCCGAGGAGGTACAGGACTGGGCGGTTGGAAGGGTAATGAGTTCATGGTTGGATATGTGAGGGTGGAAGTAATAGGGAGATAGAGGGGTGAGGTGAGGGGTGGAGCTAGTAGCTTGTGATTCTGCGATCGTCTGCGGGTGCCGCTGACATCAACCCCCATTGTGCCCCTCTGGGTGATGCACATTTAGTGTGCTGCACATTTACGGAGCACAGGCGCCAACCATGCTGTCGTCCAACGTCGTACTTTGGATCTGAGGCCCTCCAGGGCTGTTGAAGGCTGAGATCCATGACTAATCCGAGTCCCCAGCCCTGAGCTAGCGGACTCTAGCCCTGGAATGACCAGGGCTCAAGTCATGGTCCAGATGGGGCTGCAAGGATTTGGAATGCGATACGTCAATTCGATTGCCCGGGCCAAATAATTTCTTTCGCCTGATAGGCCATCATTCTAGTGGCGCAGCAACAAATAAAGAAATTGTTGGCTCAAAGGATTTTACAACGCATCCTCACTATAGCAACGGAGACCGGTGAAAGCAAGGCCAATATATGCTCGCTCTGGAGCTCCGGCGACACTCGATTCAGGTAGCCACAGCCCAATCGGACTAAAATTAACATTAGACTTGTGATTGACGCCAGGGCCGATCTAAAGCAGAGCTAAGAACCCCAAGAGTGTGATGAGTTCCTTGGTTTGTCCGAGTTGTCCGGGGCAACGGCCCTTTATTTACTGCAAAAGGGCCCAACTGACCTCATCAGCCCCAACACGGACCTGCTCCACTCGGCCTTTTTGTTGTTTTCCATATAAGAATGCTCGAGGGTACTTTCTTTTTGCTCCACGGAAGCTGTTGAGCAGCTGTATCATTTTCATTTTCTGATTTATCACTCATGGAGGCTCTGTTGGCCCATTCGTTCGATTACCTCTCCTCATACGAGCCGAGCAAGATCCGCAAAGGGTTGCGCCAGGTCGAGGGACTACTCGCACAAATATGTCTGTCCAAAGCTAAGCCCGTAGCCGATCGGAGGTCTCGCATGTCCCCCGATATACAGCCCGTGCCGAAGACCCTGTCCGAACTGCGAGATGATCCAGCGTTTCGAGAGTTTTCCAAACTGCAAGAAGGGTTTCAATGGAACAGTAAGTATTTGGAGGTTCCATTTGAACCGTAATACACATACTGACTCATGTTGTTTTTTAAGTTGCAATGCGTCTAGTGTCCTGTCTCGAACGCCTCCTAGGGCGAGGAAGCAACGGCACAAACGACATGTTGATAGTATGCACGCTGGATCTAATCCAAGGCGCTCTGCTTCTCCACCGTGGATCACGCACCCTTTTCGCCCGCGAGATCTACATGAACCTCCTCCTTGACCTTCTTGACCCGATCAACTGTCCAGCCGTGCAATCAGCAACGCTACTCACACTCGTCACGGCCTTGCTGGACTGTCCAGCGAACACACGCACATTTGAAGACCTTGATGGCCTTCTCACTGTTACATCACTGTTCAAACAACGTGCCACCTCCCGCGAAGTGAAGCTTAAGCTGGTCGAATTTCTTTACTTCTACTTGATGCCAGAGACACCGACTCCCGCACCAACGTCTCCCCCGTCCGGTCTGCAGCGCAGCCCGAGCAAACTTCCTGGCCCCTTCTCACGCAGCGGAAACGCCGTCGCCAATGCTGCAAGCAAGATGAGCCGGGATACACGTACGACAGACGAGAAGCAGGCTCTTCTGGGAAGATATCTGAACAACGTCGAGGACCTCGTGGAGGACTTGAAGGAGACGGCTCCATTCGGAGCAACAGTTTATTGAATGATTTGATAAGCGATGATTCACTCACTGCATGAAGCGCAACGTCTGGTGCGGGTATTTGGTTGTTTTCTCTTCTCCTTTTCTTTTCCCATTTCTTTTTGACCCTTTTTCTTTTTTTTTTCCTTTCTCCAAGCTTCTTGTTCGCTTCTTTCTGAGCGTTTGACTTATGGTCCGTCCGGTACGGCATTTATGCATTTTCCTGGACTGGTGTCTTTCCCTCTTGCCTTTTTTGTCTTATGCTCCTTGTATTCCTCCTTCAATCCGGATTTGTCTCAACCTCTCTAGTGTGCTCTCTCCCCGGGCTTCGTTTCCTTTTCGTTTTCCTTGTGTCTCTCATCTAACGGCGACATGAATATGTACGAATCTTCTCTGTGACCGGCTTAAAATCTCAAAATCTTCTCATGGCCAACAATTCCTCGTATAATTGCTTTTAAACATTTTGAATTCTAGACTTTGTATACTCCACCTTCAACTAGCCTTTCGCTTATCCCCGCCTCGTAAGATCATGTCCCACAACTCCCCCATTTATAAGTGCGATCGAGAGCCATGAGTCATATTTAGTGCATGACTCAATATAGCACGGACTATTTCGCTAGTATGCCCCAGTTCTCACCTGAGAGTGGAGAAAGACCAAGCGTTAGCGGAGATTCGCGCTCTATATATTCAAAATGACTACCAATCCTTCCCAATATCAGAACCGATTTTTACCCCAAAATGACCCAGACCATCCAGGAACTGCTAGCTAAAAAGGCTTCCGGAGACTCACAGCCAACCCAATATGTTGACACAATAGAAGCATATGATAAATGGGCAGAGGTTAGCACCTATACACGTCCCCAGTTCTCTAGTTCCATACACATGCAATGAACCCTGAAACTCCCTAGGCATTTTACTATATCTACTTGGCTGACACTCAATCCAGGTCTACGATACAGATGGCAACTTCCTACAACGCCTCGATACACTCGAGATGCAGTCATTGCTACCCCAATTCATCGACCGCGTACGCAACGTCCAACCAAGCGAACTACAACCAACAACTCCGATCCTGGTTGACCTAGGCTGTGGCACAGGGCGCAACACAATCCAGCTCCTCGCCGCCCTGGATACAGCCAAGATCACGCCCTTCTCTGTGATCGGGCTGGATGCTTCTCGTGGGATGCTGGAAGTAGCACGGACCGCGATGCGGGAGTATACATCCAACAGCACTCGGACTACTGCGACAGAAGTTGAACTTGGTATTTTCGACCTCCTGCGTCCGGATCTGTTGGAGTCACAGCTTCCGGTTTCGCTGCGCTCGGTACGAGCTGTTGGTGTGATATCCACGCTGGTGCTGGAGCATATCCCGCTTGCGCGGTTCTTTGATGCTGTGGCGGGGATTGTGAGAACTGGAGGGTACTTGCTTGTGACGAATATGCATGCTGAGATGGGGATGCGCAGCCAGGCGGGATTTACAGATGGTAATGGGCTTAAGGTTCGGCCTACGAGTTATTGTCATGGTATTGCCGATGTGTTAGATGCGGCCAAGGGGGCTGGGTTTGAGGTTGAGGAGGTTGTTGGGGCGGGGGAAGATGGGGTGGTTGTTAGGGCAGTTGATGAGGAGTTGGCGGACGTTCTAGGCTCAAGGGCGAAGAAATGGGTTGGGATCAGGGTTTGGTTTGGAGTCTGTTTTGTTAAGAAGAGATAACAAGGCAAATCAGAGATATTGTTCTTTTTGGAATGAGTCCATTTTCAAGATCAGATGTCGCTGGTATACATTTAAAAGAATTTAAGTAGTCTGTCGCGATGTTGTACAAGATTGGAGTGCTCTTTGAGCAATTGCCCCAGTCGGTTTCGTTTCCAGCCCATTGTGTCGTCCAGGATCAGTTGTGTGTAGGCGAAGACGCTGGCATCGAAGAGGCCTGGGTTTGGTCGGCCAAAGAAGTGCTCATCTTCGCCGAGAAGGGTGGATAGCGCTTCGAATGCGCCGGCTGCATCACCTTCTAGATCAGCGGCGTCGATGTAGCGTGCGGTCTTGAGAAGTTCGTCGCGGGCGGCCTGTTGGAGTTGGCGACCGAGAGCAGCGCGTACGGCGGAGTTCGAGGTTGTGGAGTTCACGTAGAGTGGGCGTGCGACTGCCTCAAAGTTCTCGCTATCTAAGTAAAGCATGTATAACTAGCCACGTTGGTTAGCACTCCCTTCGAGCTTCGGCTTTTTTTTTTGTGACGAGGTTGTTAGCCTACCCAAGCATTGCGTATCCGGGAATCCAGCAGCGAGGAATACACCTCAAATCGCATGTTCAATTGCTGTTCTTCCTCGCAGTGCATTTGTTCAATTGCCCATTTTTGGAGCTTGTGTGAAGGGATTGGGTTCGAGGTATCTGTAGGCAGCGAGGGAAGGAGGAAAGGCAGGGCACCCGTCGGCGAGGCATGATTGTTGGACGAGGTGATCTCGAAGTCAATTCCGACGAATTTCAAGTATGCCTAGAGCAAGACTGATCAGTCTGGTTCCGACATAGACGGCTACGCGCATCCTTGCATGCGAGTTTAGACGGCACGAACCTGCCATTTGAGACATTGAGGATTAAAGGAGGGCCTGCCATCTCGTGCACCACGCGCATCGGTGAACACGAACAGCTGGTTAACATTGTCGTGCGATTTCAAGCGTCGAGGGATCTCGTTGGCGGGATAGGTAATCAGTGGGAAATTGTCGAAGAGACGCTTGATAGGAGCGGGTACTGTGAAGAAAGGACTGGCCTTGGTCTCTTCCGGAGAGCCATCGGGAGCACTGGGGGGCATTGTGAAGGTGGTTGACGGAGCTTCCAAAGGCGCAAGTCGCAAGTCCAAAAGAGTCCAAGTGCCGTCATCGAAACAATTCCGAAAGGACGCCAAGCCCGAATAGGAAGCCATTGTCTGACTTACCTAATTCCCAGGTACCGTCCTCCCCGCACCTCTTTTTCCGTCTGATCCTTGAGGAACAGTCTGAAGGTCACTATTGCTTGATTTCCATGGTCTCCATGATCCTGGTATCCTAGTTCTTCTCATTGCTCACATCGTGGTCCTCGGGGTTGGTGCGATCACATCACCCCGGTCTTTCCCGCTTCAAACGTTCAAACCGAACCTCCACTTCGCTCCGGCTTGACTCCACCTTTTGCTCTGATCAGCTTTTGAAATCCGACTTGACACGGGTGACATACATATGGCTTAGCTTGTTGCAGAGCACGAAGCGTCAGACGGCCTTAGCGGAAACGGGTGATCGCATGCGCGGGGTACTACTCGTTAGATTCCGCGACTCGCAGTTGCGACACTACGAACCAATCTTGCGTCTCACGACAGCCAACTTGGACGGAATCATACATATCTCATCGCCAATATGCCTCTCGACGAAGAAGGTGCTAAGTGGTCCTGGTAAGAATATAGCGTGTATTATGAATGAAACCGCGCTAATGAGTTACACTAGTGAACCATGCATTCGAGGACACCGATCATCAAAATGTCAACACTTCGATAGACTGATGATGAAGGTTCCTAAAGCTGGGCGCCCTCTTGCAAAATGCCCCCACCCGAAAGGGACTTGCAGCTGCCAGAAAACATATGCTGTGATGGTCCGCATCCCGAAAGGTATAGATATCTTTGTTACCAAACTGCTATGCATATGTTTGCCTGTACTAACTTTGCCCAGGTTCATCATGTTTATGCCGACCGCTCTATAAAGTTCCCATGGATGCCACCGAGCCAACTCAGTCTCCCCCATCTTCCATGGCTTCCACATCGTCACCAGCAGGCAAGGTCCAAAAGTCTGGAAGAAGACAGAGCACCATGCAAGCAGCACCTGAAAACATAGCAAGGGCATTGGAAAACATGAGAGACAATGTGAAGATTGAGGACGGAACACCGAACTTGTTTCCGAACTTCCCCGCGCAACCAGGGCTTGATGATTCATACACGTCTCCCATTGCCTCGGCACAAAATCGAACGACGCCCTCATCTCAAGAGCATAGCAGACCAAAATCCCAGTCTCCCCAAGTGTCAAGCTGTTGTTCCCAAAAGCCCAAGGCGCCTATCCCGGCCCCGGCTCCTGCATCGGCTCAGAATGGAGGATCTTGCTGCGGAGGATCTCGGCCTTCTACAACGAACCAAGCCGTGTACCCGGAGGCCGACTCGCAGCAACTTCAACAATCTACTGCTTGGGATGACCAGACATACACACAATTCTCAACTCCACAGATGTCTTCGTGGCAAACCCCGACAATCCCCACGCATGAGAACTACATGCACCCTAACTTGCCTAAAGCACATCCTCAGCAACACACTTTCCATACTGGGTACTTGGGCATGTTACCGCCACAATCCCAGGGATCGATGTTCCAGATTGGGGTATCGCCCAATGTAACATCACCCCCGCCCATGGCGTATTCAAACCCCATGAATGGTCTTGGAATCACCGACCCTTCTATGGGACAATACATGCTCGATGACTCTGAGTCTTTCCCCACTGCACCACCTGGTGGCGACCCTTGTCACGAATGTAGCTGTGGAGAAGACTGCCAATGTCTTGGGTGTGCTGCTCATCCTTTCAATACCACCACACGGAAGCATGTGCAAGAAATGGGTGTCATGATCACATCCAACGGCGACGAAAAGAATCCTGAAATCATTAACCCTTACCAAGTCTCGCCTTACCAGGCGGTAGGCACACCTTCGACATCATTCCCTTACTTCATGCACGCTACTCCTACAATGGACCATGGCTTCCAGCCGATGTCATTCGATAGCTACTCGGATCCCAATTCCACCTTACCCAGCGGATATTCCTCTCCTCTGTCATCAAATCACCACATGAATCAACAATTGATGCACCCCTCGGAGTATTATACCCTGGAATATCCAGTTGGGCTACCAAGTGCCTGTTCGGACGTGACAGGCAGCTGCCAATGCGGCAGCGACTGCAGTTGTGTCGGATGTCTCACACATAGCGGCCACAACGGACTCTCTTTGGACATGCCTATTCCAGAGCACCCGATTGAAGATACAGCGCAGCAACAGAACCAGATGTCACGCCATGTCTCGCATCCAAGTTCCGCTACGTCTCCGCTCTCGCGTATTCCCGTGCTGGACAATGTATCCGTGCCTTGTCTGAGCCCGCGCACCCTGGAGACTTCCATGATCTAGATGATCTATGGCTTGATGATTTACCGATCTTCTTCTCTGCTCTCTTCTCTTTCCCGCGGCGACTTCCATCGTTTGTGTATGATTTATGATGTCTTATGATACCCTATCTAGAGTCTCCGCTCTAGACGGCCACAGTAATAGAATGCGTGTTTGAATGTACTTGCCTGTGATAGATTATGCTTGCTTGATTCCGTATTGTACTTTTTATCATGTTGTGAAGTGTATTCTGCATCTTCTAGTCGTACACTTGTGATCTAACTTGAAAGTGGCCAAGACCTCATCGATATATGTATGCAGCAGAGGCAACATATAAATGAAATATGCGGTGAAAAGTAGCAGGAGACCGATCTAAACCCAGCAACAAAAGTAAAGAGAAACTAAAAGCTTCCACGAAGTTTCGCAACCGACCAGCTCGTCCAAGCCAGGATAAGCATTCACGCAAGACCAACTGCCAAGTCAACACAAACACAAAGTTGATCAACATCCTATACATACCGATGTTCTATACTCTATTTTATATCTTAACTTGAATTCGATATGATGATCATCAATGCATTGGGGGATATCATAATTCTTAAACAAAAAAACTAGTATACAGATAACATTTTTAATTTCCCACTCAAAATCAACCCTTATTCCACTTTCCAAACTTCACGTAGTCATCATAGAGAGACTTGAACACCGCACGACCAGAGACATCCAGCGCAGCGTTAAGCGCACGCATAGACTCCTTCGACATAACATCCAGAGCCGCATGAAGACCAGGCATGACGGCAGCCTTGACATCCGGCGACAGCGACCCGCGCAGCGAGCACTGCGCATACTCCATGACGACGTACTGGAGGTACTGGCCGGCGATGCGCTTCGCCTTCTTGGTCTGGTCGGTCAGGGCCTCGCGCGAGGCACCGGGTTGGGGACGCAGGACGGCGGAGACGGTGGGGTCGCAGAGCGAGGTGAGGAGACGGGTGTAGAAGGTTGCGTGGGAGGCGTCGAGGGGAGCGAGCCAGAAGGGCTGCGAGAGGGTTGTCTGGCGGGCGGTGCGGCCGCGTTTGCGGGAGCGCGCGAAGAGACAGCCTAGCAGGCGTTGCATGGCGTTTACGACGAGGTGGAAGCGGCCGCCGATCTTCAGGCGTTGGAGGCTGAGGACGACGCCCATGAGTCGGCAGAGGCGGGTGAAGATTGTTGGGGCGTAGGCTGGGGAGATCTGTGGGCCGATTTTGGAGGAGGCGCTGGCGATGGCGGCGAGGATGCTGTCGATGTTGCATTGGGAGAGACTGCGGGTTTGGTTGCGGAGGAGGAGGTCGAGGCATTCGCATGCGAAGCAGAATTGGTCGATGCTTGTGCTTTGCGGGATTGCCTCGGCGAGGGAGGTGCAGAGGAGGGAGATTTCTCGTGCTGTGGCGCTCTCTTTGTCTTCGACGGGGGAGAGGGAGGAAACGGCGAGGTAGAGGACGAGAAGCCTGTAGCCGGCGTTTTCACCGATCAAGCCAAGTCCTCGGACTTCGCAGATTGTTTGAGTGATCTTCTCCACGGACATAGAGCGGAAGCGTTCAGTGGTGGATCGGATGAAGAGTTGCTGGTCCTCGGCGTAGAGGGATTGCAGGGAGAGGGTCTCAGCGCATTGGAGGACAGGCTGAGCGATGCTCTTCTCTGGTCCCTTGCTGGCAAGAAGACGGCGTCGGATTAATCGCGACGGTCCCGAATCAATAGTCATCTCCATGTAATTCTCGATCTTGGACAAGAACTTCTCCACTTCGATGTTGTTGGTGGCCAGATCTTCAAAGTCTTCAAGAGCATCAATGGTCTTGATCAGAGTGATTGTCTCCTCCATCTTCTGCTTTCTGCACTGGTCCTTGACATATTTCATGTCAGCCAACACAAAGTCAAACACCTTTGCGCGGCAGTCAGCCAGTTCCTTCTCCGAGAAGGCTGTCTGCAGTTGCTTGCGGTGGATCCAGAGTTCTGACAAAGTCAACCGCAAAAGGAAGCAAGTCATGGAGTCACGCTCCACTTGTCTCATTTTCGAGGCTTGCTTTGAAGCCCGTGTGAAAAGTTTCTTGAACAGCTTGTTGCGGTCCTCTTCCGACAGACCCAGGAGCTTGGACAATACCGCGCGGTATAGGCTACGGAATGCTTTCATGATCTGAAGGTCGAGATCATTGCCTTCCAATGGGAGGGCTCGAGCGGCAGTCCAGATAGGCTCCCAGTCGCTGGTCAGTGTGGCATCGCATTTGGGCATGGCGGCCAACTTGGCCATCATCGTCAGAATTCCAACCATAACTTCAGCAGAGTTATCCTGTTGAAGCAGAACGGTTTGCAACTTGTTCAAGATGGCGGTTCTCAGTCCTCGGGTGATCAACGGAGCCGGAATCCGCTGCAAGCTCTCGACAAGCAGTCGGCGATTGGAGGGATCTTGCTCGATGCTCTCGTTGAGCAGAAGGGAAAGATCAGAGACAATGAACGGAGCATTGAGCATATATTCGTGGCAGACCACACTCGCCCACGCCTGGAGGAACCGTGCTTCTTCCGCAACAGCCTCCAAGGGCAATGTGGACAAATGATATTGAGCAGCTGCCAGGGACAGAATGTGCTGGAACAGACGTGTTCGGTCATCGGCAGGAATAAGACTCCAAACTTCTGGGACTCTGACAAGGGCCAGGAAGTAAGCCAGGCCAAGTGTTGTTTGAGAATCCACAGTATCTGTCCGGCCGTTCCAAGGTGCCTTCATCGACTTCTTGGCATCCTTGGCTGAAATGGAAGTAATGAGGTTTGTGACATCCTTGGTGGCTTTCACAAACGAGCTGAGCTGCTCACCACTAGCTTGCGCCTTGAGAGCAGCAATTGCGAACCGGTAAGCCTCCCATGACTCGAGCGAGGCAAGTTGAACCTTGGTCAGGTCCTTGTGGTTGCGGTGAATGGTCTTTGCGGCAACTTCTACCAGTGACAAGACTGCATTTGTCATGGTATTATCGGCCGATTCCAGTGTGTTCTCCAGAAGATTCCGAACCAGCCGCCACAGACGCCATCGCCAGTGCAGGGCCTGCTTGGACGACAGAGTTGAGGTGATAGTCTCTAGAAGAGTAGTCAAGATCTGGTCCGATTCCGGGAACTGCGAAACTCGGCCACGGAAGCTTGCCTCCACGATGACGAATTTTGCGTAAGACAGGGGAGTTGCGGCAACCTTGCCATTATCGGCTCGGGTCTCGCTAGCAGCAGTACGCATCTGGGCAGCAACATGTGACTCGGCGAGGGAAGTCCGCATCAGCTCTGAGTAAATATCCGACAAGTCATCATCTTCCCAGACAGAGAATAGACTCAGATTAGGGGTTTCCTGGCGAGCCTCCTCCACAATGACGAGTTGGTTGTGCCACAATTCCATGAAATTGGGCAGATCTCTTGCCGCAGCGAAGCCTCGCAAAAGTGGCAGCAAAACCTTGCTCTTGATTGTATCGTAGTCCTTCCGAGCCCTAGTACCGCTTTCGCGCCACTGTAATAGGATCTTCTCGAGCAATGCATCAAGAAGCTTGCGCGAATCACGCAAACCGGAGTTTGGTAGGAAGATATCGACACCAAGACTGATGAACAGAGCTGTGACATTCCACTGAACTTTCTCAAGGCCTTGTTCGAAAAGACCAGTATAGTTGGCATGAGCCAGAATTGTGTGAAGAGAAAGACCGACTTTTCTGTCGAGAGCTACCTGGAGGAGTTGCTCCAATACCGAGATGAACTTGGAAGAGAATGTAGCGAAATCTTCTTCCTTTGCAGTAGAAAATGCCAGCTCTGCAACAGCAACAAACAAGGTCTCCAACCATGGAGCTTCGTGAGTCTGTCTTCGGAACACATCTCTCGGGACAGCACGCACAGCGTTATCGAAAAGCTCAGGAAGAAGCTCCACTGATCGCCAAGGATGAATACAAGCATCGTTGGCTGCTTTGTTTTCCTTAGCCACAGCAAACTCGCGGATGATGGGTCTGAATGTATCGGTCACTGGTTTGACGGAGCTCCAATCAGGCTCCTCTTGAGAATAATCGATACCAGAGCTTCCGCGCTCAAAGAACGCCGCACGAGCTGGAAGCAAGACATGAAGGGCATTGATACGTTCAATGGCATGTAGAAGATGGGCTCGCTCATCTGTGTCAAGCTTGGCGGATCGAAGGCAGATCTGCAATCTGAGGGCGTGGGCGAAGCAATGTCTCGCGAAAAACTCATTGCTGGCTTTATTGTCCGTATCGTCTTGACGGTAGGATCTCGATTCCCACAATTCCACAGCCGAGGGGAACACATAGAGCAGGTGTTGAAGATCAGTTGTTTTCCCCTCGTGCGAAAACTGCTTGGCAGCCACGGCAGCTACTCGGAAAGATCGACCCAGAAACATGGCGACAGGTTCGGGTTCACCCCTCAGCGCAAGCTTCAAATGGGAGTTTGCCACACCATCGGTGCCTAATGTGCGTTGCGCTAGTGCCACAAATCCGTATAGACAGTCTAGAGCGCGAATGAAGGCGAGGAAGCATGCTGCGGGGTTCTGCCGGGGCTCGTCCACATCCACGTCCATGGCGTCTGCATCATTCTCGGTCGTCATTCTCTTTCTTTTTTTCCCTTTGTTTCCTCGGCTATCATCACTGGGCGGGGTTCCAGACAGGGTGTTGCTAGACTCAGAATCAGAGCTTAGGGTTGCAAGTTCATTCCCCAGACCGGCAAAGATGTCAGCCTCCAAATCTTCGAGGGTATCACATAGAATCGAAATGAACTTTTGGTCCTTGAGAATAGCAGCGAGATTCTTGGGCGAAATCAGGTCGATCAATTGTCGTAGCAAAAGATATGAAGCCGCATCCACCCTATAGTTCTTCCCACTCCTCAGTCTTTTCAAAAGCCATCGTAAAACCCATTCCTCCTTCGGCGTAGCGTTGTTTTTGATCTGAACATCTCGGTGAACCTCCGGGTGACTTTCACAAAGAGTCAAATCTATACCAAGAATCTGTGCCGCCTCATGAATCTGGGTAGTCGGACTGGCGGTGCCTTTCTCGAGGCGGAGGAGCGCCTCTTGCGATGAGCGCGGACGCTGAAGCGCGACACGTTAGAAACCAGGGAAAAAGGGACAAAGCTTATGCGATGATAATGTACTTACCTCCGCAAGCAACGGCATCTCGAAAAAAGCTAATTAATCGAGTACGTGAGTGGTTATTTGTCGAGGAAGAAAAAAAAAAGTGACCAAGAAGAAAAACCCGCGGAATGCTCCGACCGCCTTTGAGCGAGTCGACTCGGTCCGCTGAACTTCAACTCCTTGCACTCCCCCACGCCTCCATTCATTTCTCTAATTCCACATCATTGCAACAGGTTTGTGCTTTGCCCTCGGACCTGGTTCCGGCTCAATTGACGCTCACATTTTTGTCGGCAGATTTATCGCAATGGCTGAATCCAGTGAATCCGGGCCGATCGCGCGGGCTACCAAGCCTGTCAGCGAAGCTTTGCTTAACGAGAAGGTATGAGGTAGCCGGGACTCCCGAATGGGGATTTAGCGCAAACAATCATGCTCTTGAATTATATAAGAGTTGTTTCTGTTTAATAGCAAAGATGTACGAGCATATTGACTGACCTTAACTTTGAATGCTTAGTGGGACCGCGCCATCTCTTCCGTGATCATCAAGTCCTCCCTCGGTCTGTCTTTCGGTGTTGTCTTCTCCGTCCTCCTGTTCAAGCGGAGAGCTTGGCCCGCTTGGGTTGGTCTCGGTTTCGGTGCCGGACGTGCTTGGGAAGAGGCTGATGGTATGTTCATATCTATATTTCCTTCGGTTTCCCGACTCCTGGAGAGATTTCTGGTAAAGTCGGATCTGCTGGCCACTGTGGGATCAGCTCTTTTGAGCTCGGATGGTTACTACTCGTTGTGTTTTTCTCGGCTTCGAGCTTTACAGATCCATCAATAGTGGCCCGGCTATCCGCTTTTCCCCGAACTCCCAAGCCTAAACGTGTGACTGAGCTAACTTGAACTTAGCTTCCTTCCGCCGTGGTGACTCCCCTATCAGAGATGCCCTGCGCCGCTAAAGAAAGGCTTGCAAGCGTGTACGATATATTGTACAGAGAGCGAGAAGCTATCAATGAATGGCTATCTTCGTCTCAAAGAATTGGTAGACTGGTATTCACCAAACGACCGTACCGTACGAGGTGTCTCCTTGAGTTTTGTTTCCCCTTTGAATTAAGAAGCATGATTTAAATCAAAAACATGTCCTGATCTTTCACTTTCAATTCCCCTGAGTAAATTCCACTCCGGTTCCATGGGAGAACCCAAACTAGCTACTTATGCACCTACCCAGGTACCTAGGGGAATGGCCTAATCTCGTAGTTTTGTATCCTAATTCGCAAAAGCGACAGCAAGAAAAATCATAGAAAAAAAAAGAAATCTCCAAGATGCTGCTTCTTGGGAAGCTTCAGCAACCCAAGCGTCAATCAATTATCATCTCATCATATCCAAATAACTGAAACCATTAGTATATATACACATCCAAGCCAGCTCTATGAAGAGGGCATCAAAACCGATATCAAGAATAACCGCTCACATGCCAAAATCCTTTCGAACCTTCTTCCCCGAAGCCCTCATACCTTTCCGATCCTGCTCCTGATCCGCAAGCACATCATCATATGACCTCCGACTAGCATCACCCCGCCCCTCCAAGTCTTCAGGATCCTTGCCAGCAATAGAGAGATCCTCAGTATCAATATCAACCTCATTCCAGACAGTGCTTGTCTCAGGAACGGGGAAGAGCCAGGTCAAGGCCAAGTACACCGTACCGGAAACGATCACACCGGTGAAATAATTCACGTTGTAGATATATTGCGCCCCGATTGGGACCTTGGGGCCAACGGCGCCGGCAAACCCGACGATGTTGATCATGATACCGCAGATGTAGGCGGTGTAGGCGCGCCAGGAGAATCCGAAGGTGTAGTAGTAGGCGTCTGATTTGCTAGCGCTGTAGAGGGAGTGGATGTTTAGGTAGCCTTTGCGGACGATGTAGTAGTCGCAGATCATGACGCCGGCGATGGCGGAGAGGAAGAGGGAGTAGGCGGAGAGGTAGGTTGTGAAGTTATTTGAGGTTGAGACAAGGTTCCACTGGGGGCATTTGTTAGTCTCGGTCATTAAGTTTGAGGGGTCTGAGATACACTCAGGGGGAATGACATACTGGGCACATGGCCAAACCAACGATGGCGCAGATGTAACTGCCGCGTCGGATATTCATATACCGTGGTAGTAGTGCAGCCAGATCAGTTCCTGCTGAGATCGAGTTGGCGGAGATGTTGGTTCCAAGCTGGGCTAGGGCAAATCCAGTGGCAATGATGAAGATGCCAAAGCGTTGGCCAGAACTGGCACCATCCAGGAACTTTTCGAGGAGATCGAGGGGATTCCAGGTATAGCCATCGTGGAAGATTACCGACGAGGAGGAGGAGACGATGATACCAATGAAGGAGGTGACACCGAAGCCGATGGGAATGGTAAATAGCTGGGACCACAATGCATCCTTCGGCGTTCGTGCAAAACGGGAGAAATCGGGGTCGTTCATGATCAGAGCTGCGAAATTACCGATGCATGACATGATTCCTTTCACCATCGCCCATGACAGATCGCTTCCATGGACGGTGTTAGACTGGTGAATAATCGGACCGAGACCATGAGCACGGGAGATGGCCCAAGCAAAGAAAGCAATGGCGGCGATAGGGGAGTAAATGGCCTTGACGGTGAACAAATGGCGGACTTTGTGAACAGGGAACCACAGAGCTGGAAGCGAGAGCAGCCAGAACAAGAAGAAGCTGACAAAATTCTTAGTATCAACGCCAGCACTGGCCGGGAGGCCATTGGGAAGATTCCGATAGCTGGGCCAGATCGCCTCGATCATCAAAGTCACACACTGGCCTAGAAGTCAATGTATCAGTATGTATGCAATCACCGAAACACAGAGACACTTACCTCCGATATAGCTTTGCACGCCATACCAAATAATCGCCATCACCACGCGATTCAGCACAGGCCAGAAAGAGCCCCATATTCCGAATGAAGCTCGAGCTGCGACTGGAAAAGAGATATGATAAACAGCGCCAATGCGACCAGTCAGACACACAAAGCACGCTGCCACAAAGTATCCAACCCAGACACAGATCCAGGACTGCCACCAGGAAAGTCCATCAACGATCATGGAGGAGGAAATCATCCATGTATTCTATGTCTTGTGTTAGGTGCCGCTCAGCTTGTATCAGGTACCGTCCAGAGGTACTGACGATGTTCAACGAGTCCGCAATCCAGAAAGCAACATAGTTCAGCCATTTCCATTGACGTCGTTCCGGGTCCACTATAGTGCGATTCTCACCGATCAGCGTCTGCATTCTTGATTCACAGACAAGAATTCCCAAGCTTGAATAGTCTCACCTGGCCGTAAATCACTGTTCGTCAACATCATCTGGGCATTAGTGAGCCCCGGCTCACTCTCTACCGCCGCCTTGTGGAGGATCCATTTGAGCTTGGACATGATGCCAAGTCTGTAGCTGCCAATAGCTATAGTTGCACAAGAGCCGGTACAAGAAATACAACGAGAAGCCCCAGAGGAAAGTATTCAAAAGAGGGTGTTCAGTACAAAGCTATGAATTGCGGGGAAGTTGAACAAAAAAAAAGACCGAGAGTACTCAAAGCAAGGAATGTGACTTTATGATATAATGACCCTGGCCCTCCAAGACTATATCGGCCAGGATCCGAATCCTCTTACGTCGCATGCGATAAGCCCTCTGTGGATCAAGCCAGGCTCGAGCCTGGGGTATGTGCGCCTATCATTTGCGTTGAAGCACTCGACTCGCAAGGAGACGTTATCTGCGTTGGCACTCCACTTAATCATACTGGTGAATGCGCCCACCTGATTGGCGGGTCATATCTGACGTTGATACGGGGAAAAGCTGGAGATAGAAAATCGGCAGCTTGGCGCTGACTCGATGAGATCGAGTAATAGATATCACGTGGATAGCCACTTAGCCCTAATCCAACGCTGTCAGTGGTATGGTTTCGGGAATGTAGGCGAGGATCTACGTGATGTAAGAGAGAGAAATGTGAGAAAAGAGTTATCGGGAGAGACAAGATTAAATTCAATAAGAGACAAGGCCATGCAAGAGAAACTAAATAAAAACACAGGCCAATAGTACATTCACGCGAATACTAAATGCAAAACAGTATGGTATACGAGCATGCAAGAATCCATATAAAATTGAATAATTGACATTGTTCGAGCCTCCTGAAAAAAAGATGAAACAAATCCCAAATCCTAATGCTATGATGATGAATGACATGATATGAATGCGAAGAGTTGCTCCAGTGAAACCAGCCACTTATCTCTTCGATGTGAAATCGACTCCCTCAAATGCGATGATAATAATGAATGGGCCGGAGGTGGAGTTGCCAGAACTGAAATCCCCAAGAGATTCCATGATAGTGTAACAAAAGAAACAAGAATAGGGCGAAAAGAGAAGACGTCACATGAGAGCGAAAGGGGAAATAGAATGAGAAACAACAACACGAACACCTCCCCCAGTCGAATACATGGCCGGATTGTCAAATTCCGGTGACGCAAATAAACCGGCGCTGCAAATAAATGACAGGACAAGGACAAGAACAGGTACCGATTGGTAAATGGCACAAAGAAAACTTGAAACAACTTGGGGGGTATCGCTGTGATGGGTAAGGATGGCAATGACGCAAAAAACGATCTGATAATATAGGCAGGCACAGATGAGAGCAAAGAGCGGGATATGATGCAGTATAGAAAGACAAACGCCGGAACCTCGGTTAATGCTGACATTGATAGGAACAAGATTCCAGATCGGAAGAGGGAGAAAAGATCAGAGCGAAGCAGATGTGATCTTGGGGGAAGCGGGGGTAGGGGGTGATATGACTCTCATTGCATGAATGATGAGTTTGATGTTGTTGACATGGTGGGTGTCAAGTTAGGAGAACTTTCCTTCTCCTCGGGGCTTGTAGGATCACTACGGTCCTGTGATTCCCTTTCGCGCTCGGCTGATGAGGAGCGCTTGAAGACAGTCTGGCCAATTTGGCGCAGGATGCCCATGCGTTCGGCGCGGAGCTCTTCAAGGTCCAAACGCTGAACAGGAACGGGGTCTTGCTTTGAGATCTTGCAGAAGAGAGTCGAGAACAAATACTGGTCACCGCTAGCATCGTAGAGAGGCAGATAACGGTAGCCTTGTGACAAACTGGTGAGCTTGGCGGTGAAGGTGGCCAGCTGCACGCTGTTATTGTTCCCAGCGCTGCGACCATCCATTGAGCTCCAAACAGTCCATCGCACAAACACAAGATCGGGATACTTAGTCTCAAGCGAAAGCTTGAACTGGTCATTGAAAATGGGGCTGTAGCCATTGCTTTGCTCAATCTTGGTACGGCGGCGGTGGGGATACCCGATGCCGGACATACCGTTACGTGCAGAAGCATCCATGCCACCTTCACCAAGAACAAAGCTCTGCCCACGATCATCGGCACTGAACATCTCAATCTCAACGTAAGGGTTGATGTTGTCATCCTGTCCGATGGTACGCGGACGCGGGAGCTGCTGCGCAGAGATGACATCGACGGAGAATCGAACTAGTTTGCGTTCCATCTTGCGCTTCTGCGTCCCATCATTAACAGCCGGAGAACGAAGGCTCTCAGGCTTGAGGATGTAGCCAGTACGATCGGTGCCAGCGGCAAACATAGCCTGGTTCATCTGCATGCCAATATCGTAAGTTTGCCAGTTGAGCGCTGCCATTTGCACACCGCGGCGCCAGAACTTGTTCGGATCAAAGTTGGATGAACGGAGTCGGAATCCAGATGGATACACTCGAGACAGGTACTTGCGGTTGTGTGCTTCCAGCGAAACCTTGTTATCATGGTTCTGACAGATGCCCTCGAAAGATCGTTCAGCAAATGAGTAGATGTGGTTGTAACGCCTGCTCTCTGGAGAGGAGAAGCTGTGCCACTTGTAGCCGCGGGTATAAACACCCAAGTCGGAAAGAGGCTTGGTGATCTTGCTCTTCTGGCGGCGCTTCTTCTTCTTGTCGGTGTGGATAGAGACAAGAGCTCCGTCGCTATCTTCGGTGGCACTGCTCAGGCTCGTAGCGGTGAGCGACCGCCTGTCTTGCGTGATCAGAGGGCCGATGCTGTCAACGGGTCCGATTGTAGGGGGGCTTGAAAGCGAGGGAAGGGGCGAGGCGTTCATCTCCGAAGGTGTCGGTCGCACGAATGGACTACTGGCACTGCGCTTGCGGCCATGAGTGCCAACAGTGCTGACACTGTCTTGACGGGTATCGAAATGGGTCTCGTCGCAAGTTTTGACCTTGACCAGAATGCGTCCCTTTAGCTCTTCGGGGGAAGGAAGGATGTAGCAGTTAGCCATCAGCGGCTCAAGAATGAGCCGGTCCTTGAATGTATCCTTCATGATCTTCACCATTGCAAGTTGCTGTTCCGAATTGCAATGCACTTCAAGAGAAAGGATGAGAGGGAAGTTGCATGTGATGAAAGCATAGCGGTTGATGACAGTGATGCAGTCTGCAAACAGGACACTGGTAGTCAGAGTTCGTCCGTGAGACACGATGGGGCGTCCGTCCGCTCCATCCCAACAGTCGATTTCGACACAACGACATCCTTGCTGAAGGGCGCTAACGTAGGCTTCCGTACTTGAAGCACCAGCCACCTGGCGGCCAAGGAGATAAGTGTTGTGGGAGCTTGAGATGAAGTATTCGTTCAAAGGCCGATCGAACCTTGACTGGGGAGCACGTGACGCATATATTCCGTTGCTCGATGAAGACAGGAACGAGGTGAAGGCGTTCAGGTTCATCATCGATACAGGCGACGGAAGCTCAGATCCCTCAGCGGAAGGAGTACGAGACTTAGAAGCTCGCCGAACATATTTGTCAAACAGTGCAGCCCAGTAGGCCTGATCGGCCTCAATGTTCTCATTTTGCACGTCACGAAGGAAGACCAGGAACTCCTTCTGAGTCATGCCCTCCTTGGAATTTGCTGTATGGAGCTTGAAAATCTCTTTGACGTCCTTTCGCTCCTTCAGACGCAAGAGGAAATCCTTGAATTCGGAGAAGTTCAACTTTCCGTTGCGGGCAGCATCGGCCTTGGTAAACTGTGCCCGAAGCATGTTCTTGGAACAGTTGATATGCAAGCTACGGCAGACCTTCTCCACGGCGGCAAGGTCGAGGTTTTGCTCCTCTGCCGGGGGAGGTCCCTGAGGAAACAACCTCGACATCTCGCGCTGCCAGTGTGCCAGGAGAACAGTCTCACTTTGGCTGGAACCTGCCAGACCAGACATGAGATCGATTCTGTACTGAGAGATGTGTTCGAGAGTGGTGATCCAGAGATCAAGGATACGGTCACTAGGGGCGATGAGATGCAAGGTCTTGACCGCTCGCCCCTTGGAGCGGTCAGAATCAGCAATGACAATGGTAAACCACCGGCGCTCCAGATCTTCCGGGATCTGGTGCTCTTCGCGGTAATTTCGGGCGTCGGGGCCAACCCGAATTTCCTTGATATCATCAATATAGAAACGCTTCGCTGGGTTAGATACATCCCAGAAAACCTTGGCGGCATCGAGGTCGAGGAAGAAGCGCACTTGCTTTCTGCGCTTCTTGGTGACCTTGGTTAAAACGGTGCCTCGTTGAACAGCCGAGTCTATCTTGGGCGCGACGGCAACAGCGGGGAGAGAACCAGCTTCGCGGGCCATATTCATGCGGCTCTCGCTGCGAAGGCTGGATGCTTCCGAGCCACCCCAGGCGCCCAAGTTATCCAAAGCTTCACTGGTTTCGTCTTCATTGCTCGAATCGAGGGCGCTGTCTCGAACGGGCTGGGTACCGGTTTTGCTATCACTGCGCCGGCGCATGATGATGGGACCAGTGCTTCGGTCCCGTTTGTCATTCTGGGTCGCAGACTGTCTCCTGCGAGTAAGTTTGTTGGCGGCGCCTCGTGAAATTCTTCGCATCAAGCCAGGCGCCTTGGAGGTAGGTGCGGCGGCATCATTGAAGCTGGAGGGATTTGTGTTTCCGGGAATTGCCATGATAGACTCGCCAAGTTCGAAGTGTCCTGGCGTAGGCAGAGAAAACCCATTCATTCGGCCACGGAGTCCTTCACTGGAAGATTGTAAGGGCGTACTGGCAGGGGTAAAACTATAGGGTGTATCGGGAGCAGGAAAGGACGAGGTAGGAGTAGAGCTCGGAGAAGAGGTGAAAGACGGTGTGGAAGAAGGGGGAAGACCAGAGTGTAAAGAGGTGACAACATGATGTAAAGAAGTCGATTGAGGGAGAGATGTTGCGAGTTTTAAGTTGGATTGGGTGTCAGCATCTAGGGCCGGTGAGGTAGTCGTAGCGTATGCCATGATGACTATCTATCAAGCACGACAGCTCAGCTGTCGATAGGTTCAATTCGAGTTTGTGGTAAAGCGTGCCAATGTCCGAGTCACCTGGACTCAGCAATGGACGAATGGGTAATAGCGTAGGAGACCAGCCTACTGTCAAGGTTCGCAAGGCTGCCGCCTGTCAGGTTTGTATGCGATCCGAGCCAAAAGCGAAAGTAGAATATTCCGACACAGTAAGAAAAAGATCGTTCAGCCACGTCCTCAGCAAAGATCCACTGTTCTTAAACTCTGCTGCATCTTGGCCTGGCTTGAATGCAATGCGGAGAGCCCTGCCGGAGAGCAGCTCACGGGAAAAGTAAAAGAAAAATTGAGGGATAAAAAAAAGTCCCTGATAACAATTGCAAAGGGCACTGGCCCTGTGCAGAGGTCGATCTTCCACGAGGGATATTCTCAGCCGATAATGCCCACTCAGGATAGACGTCACAAACGAAATCAACCGGGGAATGATCTCCAGCCTCAAGGTTGCAGATTGCGGCTTGTCTTGGTTCTTTCAGAGCCCGGTTGTTACCCAGTATGTCCTTCCAATGATACCAGTGCTACCCCTCTCTTTTGCTTGTCGATCTGCCGGTGTGTGGGGGAAGATACTGGTCTGCACCAGAAGAGGGTCGTGTTGGGATATGGGCCAATTGATCGTGCAAACACCGATTGAACCGGGGTAAAGGGACGCGGGACTGGTTCGATGTTGGGAGGGCGTGCGCCAAAGCGAGTCAAAGGCCGAATACAATGCGTATGCAGCTATTGGCCTCAGAGTTCAAAAAGAGCCCCAAGAACCGGCTTTGGGTGCTCGCGGAAGTAGACAGCGGCAGGTAAAAAAAAAAAATAAAACGTGTCAAGGATTGTGCTAGTCCGACGAGGGGGGACGCGCGATTGGGTGCGATTGGGGCTAGCGATGCGGCAGGCAAAGGGAGTACCCGTGCTAGAGTGCAGGGAGGTCTTTTCCCAGGCGCAACGGAGCTAGGATAGGAGGATGCGATGAAAATCGGGAATTGCGCCAGAAGTTGCCAACGCAGAATGCAGGCGGTCGAAAGGGGAAAGGCGAACAATCGGCGACTGGACCGAGTTGGGGAGCTCGCTGATGTTGGATCGTTTAGTGCCGTTTCGAGGATCACTGCGAGCTGATCCAGGTGCTGCACGGTTACGTGGTGGCCACTAAGTCCGTATGCGAGGTGGGAATACGGAGTATAAATGCGGAAGTCCTGGATAATCATGCGACGAGAGGGAAAAAGGCCTGCGATGTCCTTGTCGTCGAATGAGTCAATATATAATTTTTTTTTTCTCAGAAAAGGAGTAATTGAGAGAGCAAAGGTGAAGGGGGGAGGGAAAATAATTAAATCAATGAATCCTAACGCGAATTGAAGCTGCAGTGGGTACGGAGTACTGGGTACTTACGATAGACGTAGCCTGCGGTATGTGAAACGGTGTACTGGATACTTGTATTGTCCCGTAACGCTGGTAAGATACGGTACTCGAAGTATGCGGTAATTCTGATCTCGTTCGCTTGCTCTTTGCTTTTTCTCATCAGTATTCAGTCATTCACATTGTGACTGCAGATATTCCAGTCTCGATGTACTCCGGAGGCAGGAGATCGAAAATCTATCCCTAGGTAGGTCTGGATAGGTAATGATAGGAAAATGTTGAGACTCACCAGTATATGAGCCACAGGGCCTAGTAATGAGGCTGAGATCGACCGAAAGAATGGACAAGAGAGTCCAAAAAAAAAAACAAAGGATCTTTAGCATGGGGCTCAAAAAAAAAGAGGAAAAAGTGGGAGGGCCTTGGAAATGATTAAATACTACAGTATGGAGTCGACAAGGCACACTTGCAAGTGCTCATTTCCCTCAGGCGTGCCCTACAGTTAGGTACAACATTCAATACCCAAGTGCCTATCAAATACAGAGGTGCCTGCCACGAGATGACGATGTGGAATGATTGCACAGCAAAGCCCGTTGCTCGGTGTCATTGGACGATCATTGGAATTCCTGGGGAATGTTATCGGCCAACGGGGTCGATCTGTGTTTCAGGTGCGTTGAACGGGAAGCCCTAAAAGGGGGCAGATAATTACAGTCTCAATCGACAATCTACCTATAACAATGTCTCCTGGATCTTTCATGTCGTACGGGATCCATCATTAAAAAGGGGGGGAGATCATTTGCTCTCTTTCTTGATCTTGTCCTATTAATGTCCCGAGGAGATTATGGATTCGAGTGGATACAACCTTGAAAGAAGTGCACTTTCATTCAGGCTTCTGTATAGTCCGAGACACCGCCGGGCTCCAGTTCCCCCACATCGGACTTGACTTAGCCTACTAGTGCAGTATTTAGTATTATCACTCACTCCCCATACGGAGCATGTCATTCTTACTCGTATTAGGAGGGAAATTCCCAGCACCGACAGACCGGTCCCGGGGAAGATATGCGGAGCCCTCGGATTCCTGCGTTTGGATCGCGAGCATTTGATTAGACTTTCTTGTTCTCCTTGTACACGGTCTTATCGAAGGGCTTTCATTTCTGCTGCTTTCTGCTCTTCATTGTTCACTGGTCAGGTGCCTATCTCTGCCCGATATGGCCAAAGACAGCCAAAAAGAATGAGTCGATCACAACGCACATCATTATTTGCTCCTATTCGGCGCCTTGGTGGGGGAATGGGATGATACCGCGTAAAATGCACGGGTCTGTGTCCGATATGTGTGGTTGTAGTACTCCGTACTCCGTCATCTATAGGACCTTGAATCCCTGAACCGGTGAGGCTTACTGTGGCAGTGAAACGTGTGGCCGGTGCAGATGGGAGTGGACCTATAACGCAAAAAGGAAAAACACAGATCGAAAGTTCAAGGGTTTCTGACACGAAAGTTCTGAAAATAAGGTACGAAGTACGGAGTACGCTGTGTAATGAATCAGTTCGTAGTAATTTGGCATTGTCGCCCTGCGAGGCACTTCCGGCTTGAGATCCTATTGATTCTATTCTGAGGGGTGAAGCTCAGCTCAGCTCAGCTCGCCTCAATTAAGCTAGTAGCTATTTGTCCGAGGCTCTCGGGATCCAAAATAGGTATACTAGTTGTATACGGACGCGGAGGGCAACAGCTACCAGGAATATCTGCGGGGTTCGAGGCATGTCAACCCCGCAACCGTTGGGATTTGATGAGCTGGCGATGCCGTGCTTCTTTCCTTGATTCCGTTCTTCACAAATCTACCGCTACAGCCGGACGAGAAATCCTCTTCTGGAGAGCCCCCTCACCCCTCACTAACGCTGCCCTTCTGATCCTGCGCTCCTGCACGTCACCCGGGTTGGTTGTTGAATGGACTAGCGCTGGTCTCTAAGGACGACAATTAGCCTCTTTCAACCCTGGCAGCCGCATCAATTTAGCGAATTCTGGCAAGGATTTGGGTTAAAAGTCCCAGGCCGTATCGCTCTAGTCACTAGATACATGCTCTACCGACTATTTCGGAATGGTGGCCCCCTCGAGGCGCTTTGCACGCGCCAGCAAAGTCGGACGAAAATGCGACAAGGTCATATCCGAAAAGAGCAATGGACGTCACCTCCAGTTTTTAATTTAATCCTGGATTTTTTCTTTGTTTTTCCAATGCGCGCAATATAGAGAATCAAATGACGCATAAGCCCTAGTACAAGAGACACATGCAACCAAAAGAAAAAAAATCGGGTTTTGAGCCTATGCCAGGGCTGACCGTGTCTCCTATCGTGCCCTTCTATCCGACGGATCCGTGCGCTATGGACGTGATATCGTGCAGGGCGGTTGTGGCGGGTTAGACACCTCTTCGGTTTCCCCGGGGCCGTAAGAACAAGATAGATTAAAAGTTGCAGAGCGACCAAAGGGTTCTATTATTATTCAATGATGTAAGGATAGCGAGCGCCACGTTATCAAAGACATCATTGAGCTTTGAGCTCTTAACTCATCGGAGACGCAATATCTCGTCACCGTGTCTCCGAAATATACCCCCACTTAATATGGAGAAAAACGAGGCGAACACAAAGAGCGGTGGCTGAAGCAAGGATCGCCGTGCTCGCAACAGCCACTCTTCCATGACAGCGTAAAATCTCTTGTCGGTCAAAACGCGCTGACCGCTCATCGTTGTTTGTGCATTCCATCATTCAGCTAGCCAGTGAACGATCTCCACCAGGATCCGACCAGGCGGGTTTTGGCGACAATCCTGTTGATCACAGACGGGATGAAGAGGGGGGTGGTTTATCGAGCCCCATCTGCCTATAGGAATCATACAATCATGCCATGCTTCCAGGGATTTGGGTCTCCAGCTCTGACGTGCGACATACTAGGGTACCAGGGTATGTGCCTAGGGGTTTCAAGTACGGAGTAGAAGATGGGTTATTTCGTGCCATTGGCAATATTTACTCGTGACCCTGTTCTGGGATTTGAGTGGGCGCTTCTTTTGGCCGTCACGGTGATCCAAGGAGTGACAAGGCTGTCAATTTGGAGACTTTCCATCCAATCGTTGTGTTTTTTTTCGGACTTTACGGCTGCCGAGGGGCAAAGACTAGGGTCAAAGGATAGGACTTGGCTAGGGTTTGAATGTATGGGGAAAATGGATGTCTTACTATTTTTTTTTCTTCCAAGATTCTTAGGGCCTTCCATTGGCTTTGGTGGGGGACTTAACGCTGTTCGGCCCACTTGACAGGGCCGTTCTCTCGACTCCGTATACGGACCTCGGGAGTATAAGCTAGTGTACTCCGTACTCCCTGGGTATTGTACTCCGTACCTCAGGGGGGAATGTTCCTTGTTATTTTCAATACTTCCGATGTTCCAATATTGTCTTCTGGAAGGCCAAAATTACTGGTACAAGTCATGTTATCCCATATATGTATCAAACCCCTCAAGTTACAGGGAATACATCAAATCCACGTCATGATCATTCAATTGTCCTCCCAAAGGATAGGCCCCAAAATCAGAATGGCGCCATTGTCTATAGTACGGAGGACCCAGGTCTCCGTTTCGATGCGCATGTAAGTAATACGACTCAATCTCGCATCCACTCCTTGCTACGATCAGCAGCCCTAAATGACGACTACCCCACTTTTGCTGCTGGATCGCCCTATGGGATGAATGCTTCGGTGAAAAAAAAACTCTCTTCGATTGTCTTTGTTCTTGTGAGTCTTGCGGGGGTTGATTCCATTGACTGCGCTTGAATACTCCGGCTCCGGTACGGAGTAGATTGATTAGGATAATGAACCATATTTAGTTTATGCCAATGTTGACTTATCTCACTTTCCTTGGCCACATCTCCTTCTTTCACTTGATGACGATATACCCTGTACGGTGGTCTTGAGAGATCGGATACAGATCACTTCGGTGACATCATGGAGACGCATGCGAAATGAACGGAATTCTCCAGGACTTCGTTATAGTATTACCGATCCCAGATATATTGTTACGGTATTTCGGTTACCGTGCGAGAAAACTTGGAAACTTGGAACCTCCTGTCAGACCGTTAGATCGCGAGCTAGTAGTACCTGTCTGAAAAGCCATTGAGGGTGTCCATTCAGGGGTATGGAGAACACTTTCAATTAATCGAATGTGGCCAAAAAAAAAAAGAAGTCTCAATGCCCCAAGCCTGGGTGATGGGTCTGATCTTCAGGAGACAACGGAAGGGGCTTGCCACCTCCATTCCAGTGCAATTTAGCCTCTCCCCTTTTTTTTTATATGGCTTCATACGGAGTGCAGCATACCTACGGAATACAACATGCGAAACTTAACTTGGCCGTACATTATAGTCAGACTGCTCCGGATCATAAATATCTTACTCCGATGGGTTAAATTATGCAATTTACTTACATGGTAGCTTAATATCTTGGTTATCTAGTGCATACGAAGCGTCCCATCTCTTATCTTTGCTAGTAATCTTCAAACATGCCGAGGTCAAGCTTACAACCCATACGGAGACGAGATACGGAGTACGGAGTACGTTGTACACATCCTGCTCCGTATAGACCCAGATGAATGGAACCTTGCGCCTCATTGGGGCCAGGGTCATCGATCGATCATCTTGTGTGCCTGGGGTGTGTTTTTTTTTTCTTTTTCTTTTTTTGGACATCCTTTATGTACGCTCCCCAGAACAGGTCAAACGCGTTATGATGGTTACAGTAACTGTGCCTTTCTCTATAAGGCAATTCTCTCTTGGTAGCCTTCGAAGTCTGTAGCATCTGTGGATGCCCCCGTCAAGAGACAGAACCCGTGTGGTAGTACTCCGTACTCCGTACTCCGTATACTTGACCAATTTCACCAAACACGGTGAAAGAAGCACCCCGCTTTCATGGATGCACGCAGACCTCCAGGGCTCTATCTGAGGAGGACAGTGCATTGCCACTGAAGAGAGAAGGCCCAGCAATTGACACGTCTCAGACATCCCCCGCCCCCGTGTCAGCCCCCAGCCACTATCAGCCCAGCCCCATTCCGCTCCTTCGATGCGTCTTCGATGCTTTCCAAGGGTGATATGCAAACCAAGCCGTGTCGTAGGGCCACGCCCGCACTAGCATGGAAACGGAAAAAACTAAACACGTTAGAGGCATCCCACCATCCTCGGACCTCTCTTTCTTTGACGTGACCCCAGTCTCTAATTACACACTCTAGCTCAGCGCCAGCACCTCCAATCACGGGCTGCGGCCGAATACTAGATGCTGTCTAGCTCTATATTCCGTACTCCGTACGGAGGATCGCATTTCAGTTCCGACTGCAGGAAGGCAAATGTAGTATGTCTCTTTGCTTTTTTTATCCTCTCGATCTTGCGCCTTCTCTGTTTCGTTCTGGAGGTGCATGTGACTCATCTTGACAAGATGCCTTCCATATCCCGAAGGTTGTTGGTGCGACAGTATCATAGGGCGTCGACAGCTCGCGCGTCACTGACCGTGTAACCGAAATCATGAATTGCGACTCGTCCCAGTCCCGTTCGGAATGACGACCTTGTTTCATAATGAAGTATCCCGGTACCGGCATGGCGCCATTGCCTGTCTTACGGTTGAGTTGCTTAAAAACTTCTGCCTCGTACCTTTACAGCGGTGACCCCAAGAAGTCCGGAATCAACCCGTACCGTATCCATATGGGGCTACGGCTTGCAGGTTGCCCTGCAACAGTCCCTAGGCGATTGGACTGTTTAATGAGCGGCACACGATCATACGACCAAAAGAGACCTGTACATGTCTAGGATTCAGATGCCAACGGAGCGTACTCCGTATACCTGTGTTTACAGGAGGATGCAATATCCACGCCATATATACCCTCTATATCCAAGGCAAAGCGGGGTAGCGGAAAAGCGGGAAGACAGGAGACATGAAGAGATTGCGACAAACCCGCAGCTCTTTGGGATATGTCGTATGATCAATCAGCAAGTGTATGCCCTTCTGGACATGCTGGATATCTTTGCTGAACGTCACTCGGCTGGGATATTGCGGATCCATATTCACCTCCGGGATCACAACCGGCTTTAGGCGGTTCCGGCTCACAGAAAGGAAAAAACAAAAAGTTCACCCCACAGTGATCTGGATCAAGCCATGCCATTGGTCCAAGTGCCTTAGAACGTGGAAAGTAAATCGACGCCGTTTCTGAATCAGTGGATATTCCAGCCAGCCCCAGCGGGGACTGATAGCAAGAGCGAAAAAAAAAGGTCACCGGAGACACCGTCGCAGCTAACGTGTCAATTGCCGAACCCGATATTGCCATGCCGCGGCAAAGTCTACTTTGTACGCTTAAAGACGAAAGCAATCTATATGAAGCGCTCATTTCGTTTACCAGTTCTGCCATCCACAATCACCATATACCAAACGTCCGGGACGCAGCCGGCCCTCGAGAGATATCTAGCGGGTTCCATACAATGCAGATCTGGGGCTAAAAATAACGCCTTTTCCAACTCTCGGAACCTGAAATCCCAAGAGAAAAAAAACTACAGACCCCACATCCAGGCCCCGTGGACAGCGTGGCTTCCAGAATTTTCATCGAAGCCCGTTCAGCCCCCCTTTCGGCAATAAGCGAACCACCAGGGCCAAGTCCCGGCTAACAACATATATCACAAGCAAATGCTCAGGACTGCCAACACGAGCTTTTTGCCTTTCGGCGTGTTTGAGGTTCATTCGCGGGATACTGGTCAGGACTTGCCAGCGAATCTTGTTTGGCGAGTCTTGGCAGCTTTGACCTCTAGCTCTGTTGACGTTGTGGTATCGGTGCTGTGGAGCCTTATTGACTAATGTTGCTGTCGCAACGGTATTACTGTGACACTGGGATTCATACCGGATTGTACAGCACTATAGTTGGCACACGGTTGCTTCTGGTTGCTTCTGAATCGGCCTCGGCTATTCTTAGAAGCGGCTCGATGACATCCTTGTCGAAGGAATACATGGCTTACATTCAGCCTCTTTCGATGCCTGGGGTATAAACTACTACAAAACGCGTAATTAAATTGCTCAATCGTCGGCTTGCTGGTGTGCTTCAATAAGGTTTTGCGGCGCTGACCCCGGGACGTCGTAGATTTCATCTGATTTTTAATATCGAAAATGGGAAACAGCAAGGCCTGCATTCAAGGAAGTAAGTTCGGCTCTAGCATTCCATATCCGGAAAAGTATAACTGCAAGAAAGCCCCGAAAAGCGGAAGATAAATGATTCCTTCGTCGGAACATCGGTCACTCTCACCAACTAGAGCTTGGTGAGGGGAACATACCCTCGACAGTGTCAAATGCTGTGCCAGTGTCTCTTGGAAGCCCCTACACCAATGATCAGTATCATGGGCTTGCAAGAAGGGGGACTGAAATACTTATGCTCACCAAGCTCACCCTCCCATTACTAAGGTATAAACTTTGAATGTAGAAGGGGATGTATCGTTCTCTGTTTTTGTCGCCATCGCATACGAGCTTCACTATCGGTCAACTCATTTAGCTTGCGCTAAGATCTCAATCACTAGTAATTGATATATCCTTGGATACATTCATTCGTAGGAGCCCTGGTAACTTGCCCAAAGGCCAGCTTGTGCAAAGATCCCATGGCTTGTTTGATCCAGTTGCATCACGAGGTAGTGGTGTGGGCATGGCAACACTCTCATCATCTGTCCGGGAATATCTCTCACTTCCGCCTCTGCTTCCAGTATTGAAAGTACATTAGGATCCTTGTCATTCGGATCCTAACTCTGTTCATTGGCTGATTCCATCTCCAACCAGCAGCAACACTCATCATCACTGTTTTCGTTGTCTCAACCATTGTAGGTTTCATCTTTCTCAATGTCGGGGTTCAATTCATCACACCCTTCATGTGACTGAGGGAGGATCATATGAAGCAATGACTCTGGGCACGTTTTTGTCCAGACACTGGGTTTCCCATCCTGTTCCAATGGTGGATTTCCGCATCATCTGCGCGATTTTGTATCGTCTTTGGTACCCGGTGCCCACATGAAGGACCTCGAAGGGTTGAAAACGCACCGTTCTCTCATGGACAATTTGAATTTGACCACGAAGCGCTACTTCATCGATCCAATGCAGATGGTTGATTTTGCAACTGCAGTATGCTGGCGGATATTCTGTTCGCTGAATCCCACGCGTTCGGTTTTATCTCTCGTATCTCTCCCCCGGCTAACAAATGTTATAACAAATGTTAGAATTCTATCCCTTTGAAGAGGTGTTCTCATCCTGATATCCTATTACCTAGCAATTCACGGTCGTATATAGGCAGCACCAGCTGAAACAGGTCGTTTGAAAGTGATATTGTGGAGGCTGAGCCGAAGAAAGGTGCAGCTTTGGAAGTCAAGGCAAGCACTCAGATATATCTTGTAGTAAGTGGCACCCACCTATAGCCAAGGAAAGGAAGATGGAGTGAATGTTGCTATCAATATCTCCATGCAGTGTCAAGGGTGTTGGGAAGGGATGCCATGTGACTGTCGTGCAACAACGCAAGCGGCCATAACCAAAGCCTTATGGGTTGTCCTTGTATCTCTCTTTCAATCCATCACCGGTATTATCATTGACCGATACCTTCATTATGTGGCTCTGCTCCAGTTTCAAGGTGTCTGGGTGATCCAGCTTTCGGTGAAAAGTATTGGTGATTTGGATATTACTGGCGCGAGTGAGAAAAAGGGGAATATAGTACTGTTAATAAAGTATTAGCAACGCCATTCAGGCCAGTTGACCACCTGTTCGCACTATTGCTACCAACTTATAACAAGCCCGAAGGAGAAGCCCGAGTGGAATGTAAAAGGCAACAACAGCTCTGGGCGGATCAAAAGTCCTTGGAAGGCAGAACCTCATTAAGGGTATATTCTTTGCATCAGGATGAAGATGACATGGACGAGTCACCCCTCTGGGATTTTGAGAGAAGGTAGTAAAGCAAACCCGGAGAACAGAAAAAGGTAGATCTATTGAGGTTCCATATTCCAGTATATATAATAACATAGTCGTCAAAGCATGCGATGATGCTACAATATTCTAAACTAATAGGCAGAGTTTGCGGAAGGAAGAAAGGATGGCCTATCTACTCATGAAGCTATCACTCCAGCCATATATATAGTGGGGATGGAACGCCAGACAAACAAAGAGTAGTTATGAAGAGCAAACATTCCTAGGTGGAGCGATAGATGCGTTGGAGGTATGTTGATAGATCGACATATCTTCGGATGAATAACGATATACTACTATAAGCAGCAAGGGAACGAGAATCTAGTGAGATCCCGAATTTCCTTCGAGTAGCTCTTTTACTAGCTGCGCGAGCTCCACTGTCTTCCAAATCTTCCAAATTGAAAATTCAAGTAAAGTACCTATATGCCACATGGTATGTAGGACTACTACGTAAAAAGGAGCAACCTTGCAAACGATGTTGTTTCAACGGGGCTGCATAAAGTTCTGACCAGCTTGGGTATCAAGCCATAAACGCAATTTATATGTACGAGATTAGGTTGCCAACCAGAGAGAATAGCATACTGCAGGTAGCTAAAAGGCTTTTATTTTGCGAGATTAGAGATAATCACCAAAGTACCACGATATCTCGTATCGTGTGCTGGCAGTCATGGCAAGTGTATGATTCGTGTAGATAGGCGGAGGACTGTCATGTGCTATCAACCGTGAAGGTAGGAGTTGATAGCCCCGCTGAATCAAATTCGTCGGACTAGGTAAATAAAAGGATGATAAACTTATTGGGCATGGCCGGGACTTTACTTGAAATCCGTGGATTTTATTGTATTTTGACGAGGATGTGTAGACGGTAGACCTGTATACAGACCAAAACGAAGCTGAAAAAGCAAGTGGAGATGGCGAGGCGTGAGTCACGGGCACCAGCTAGTCACCTGCCGTTGCAGCTTTTGTCCGCTCCCAACATTCATCGAGTCTCGATTCTCAGATAATTGACCACAGCCATGGATGATTCTAAGCCAGTTGACGAGAGCTTCACGAAAGCATTGCCGAAGATTGAGGTATGATTGGTGCTATTTTATAGCTTCCAAGACATCCAAGGCTTCTAAAGTTTGTTATTTTGCTGATCCAATCACCAGCTTCATGCCCATCTTAGTGGCAGCATCAGCCGCCAATGTCTACACGAAATCTGGAAGCGCAAGAAAGAGCAGAACCCCGCTCTCGATGTAGAGGATCCCCTGGTGCTGATGCCACCGGGCAAGGTCGATTATACACTTGAAACGTAGGATTTCCGTTTGCAATGAGACATTGCCCGAAATTTATCATGTTCTGGGCTAACGAGGGCTAAGATTCTTTTCAACGTTTTCCAAGTTGACCTACCAGCTCTTTAATGACTTGGAAAGCTTGGTCTATGCCACAGATTCGGTGCTTGAGGACTTCCTCGAAGATGGAGTAGTATACCTCGAGCTTCGGACTATACCGAGAGCATCCCCTGGCATCACGCGAGAGCAATACGTGAACACAGTGCTAGAGACATTCGAGAAGTTCAGGAGCAGAACCGCACAGATGTCTGTGTTCTTGATTCTAGCCATCGATCGCAGCAGCATGACAGTAGCCGAGGCGGACGATATTGTCAATCTTGCGATCGAGAACAAGTCGCGCGGGGTTGTAGGGGTGGATATCTGCGGGGACCCAACAAAAGGCGATGTCGGCATCTACAAGGCATCATTTTCTAAAGCCAAAGCAAATGGACTGGGGATTACTGTCCACTTCGCCGAGACACCAGCTTCTAGTACTCCAAGCGAGCTGTCCACGCTCCTTTCCTTCCAGCCCGATCGGCTTGGTCATGTCATCCATGTACCCGACGACATCAAGAAAGAGATTGCGCGACGTAAGCTCAGTCTGGAACTGTGCATTTCTTGCAATGTCCATGCAAAGATGATCAATGGAGGGTTCTTGGATCATCATTTTGGGTATTGGCGTCATGAAGACTGCCCGATCGCATTATGTGTAAGTTGTTCCAACCGTACTGGAGTTTGTATTCTGTTCTAACCTTTGCCTTCACAGACCGATGATGTGGGCTTTTTTTGTAGCCCCGTCTCGAACGAGTATATGCTGGCCGCACAGCATTTCGGTCTGAGTCGTACCGATCTCTTTGATATGTGCCTCAAGTCTGTGGATGCAATTTTTGCCGACGAGCATAAGGGGCGAATCCTAGACATGCTCAAAGCATTCGCTACTCGTGGCTCTTCATAAGCAGATTACTTCTAGATCGATTAATGTGTTGAACACTGCCCTATTTATATGACTGAGAACATAGTTTTTCATGAAAAGAAAAAGCAGAGAAAAGTGTTGTTGTGGTCCCCCAAACCTGTGCCGTGAGGCCCGATTAGGTCCCCGATGATCCACGTTCCTGGAGCTTGGAGCTTCGCCTCCAATACTAGTCTCCCACTAGACTCAATCCGTTCTCCGTTGGAGATTTTTCTTGTAACTGAGATCAAAATGATATCGTTTAGATTGATTCTACCTCCTAGCAAACATTGTCGATTTATTTGTGCCTCACTACTTAAACCCCCTCCAAGCCCCACAGCACCTCACATCGTCACTTTTAACATCTTCACATCTCAACTTCACGCCATCTCAAAGAACTCTCTGCTCAATATCTTTCTTCACTACACCACATCATTTTCAATTACGCGCAGATTACTGAGAACTTAAACCTCATCATGGCTTCGAATGGAGCTCTCCCGCAGACTTTGAAGTCCATCACCGCCACAAAGATCAGCGAGCTCTCCAAGCAGCGCGCCTTATTTGATTTGCGCAAAACTGAGATTCTTGCAATTGCCAACACCGCCCCAGACCTACGCACGCGTGCCCAGGCTTTACTGGATGGGATCTCACGCCTGAAAGGATACCCCAAAGATTCGCTGGACAAAGATGACGTGGATCTTGATGCTGATTCCTCGTCCGATGAATCAGAGGACACACGAACTGCTCGGGGCGTTGGCCGCCTGCAGCGGGAAGACCATACCAACATTCGTCGTTTCCTTTTACAGAGTCGATATGACCCTTCCATCTCCCAGGTAGCCCTTCGCGATCGAGTCACGCAACTGGAAAAGGAACTGCATTTTCTGGAGATCAAACATGAGCACGGTGAGTTCTACAGTCAGTTGGTTACAGAGTGGTTGTCAGAGTTGGATGGGGGCAACTCCTCCACGGCGGGTGTCAATGAAACCAGACCCACCGACTCAGACCCCAATCTGGAAAGTGTTGGGCGGGCAGAAATGCACGAACAGCGTGCTACTTGGGAGTCCTTGGTTTTTACCGCTGCTACGCATGTAAATGAGGATGCAATCCAATCCTACCTGGATGATCTTTTCACCCAGACCAAGCTTTCTCAACAGGCGCTCAAGGATCTCCGAACGAGCATTCAGTCGTTTGGGACAAATCTTGCCTCGAAGGGAGAATGGCTCGATGTCGACGAGCTCAAGTGGGTTTCTAACGCACTACTCAAGAGCGACCTACTCAGCGATGAGAAGACAGCCGTTCTGAAGGAATTCATGCGCAATAATGAAGTTGCCCAGGAAGTGGCAGATGTGCTCAACTTGCGCATTGCATCAATTGATAGCTGGTCCTGGACAGGAGGCTCAGATGGAATCCCTGTTAGTATGCGCCGTCAACTCAATGGCAAATACCGGGTTTTCATGGATGAAGACCTTCTTGATGGTCTTCTGCTACAGTACATTGGGACAACATGGGCTGTCAAGCTGCGGCAGGTATTTGAGACATTCCTAAAATCCAACGCTTGGAAGCCTTTGCGTGAAGATATCCCAGAGAAACATCAGGATCTGCGCAAGTACTTCATTGGCCGCGAAGCCAACTCAAATGCTGGCATGGTGAACGAAATTCGAAAGAATACATACAGAGATGAATACTTCATGAGTCAATTACCCGCCTCAACCGACGAGGGTGCACGGCAATATGACGACTGTAACGCCAAACCGAAAAATGCTCTGGATACCAAACACTCCCTTCTTCACCTCTTGATCACGGAGTCCATCATCCACAAGCATCAACGAGGAGAATTCACCGCAGTCCGGTCTGACTTTGAATGGTTCGGCCCCTCGATGCCCCATACCACCTTGCTCACTGTGATGAAATTCTTTGGAGTTTCCGAGCTGTGGATTAATTTCTTCATACTGTTCTTAGAGGCTCCGCTCAAATTTGCCCAAGATGGGCCCGATGCCGGTGTTCAGGTCCGCAAGCGGGGACTTCCAACGAGCCATACACTCGGTGACTGCTTGGGAGAATCAGTTCTATTTTGCATGGACTATGCAGTCAATCAAGCCACAGATGGGGCTTTCCTGTACCGACTCCATGATGATTTCTGGTTCTGGGGAGCTAAAAGTACTTGCGTCAAGGCATGGGAGGCGATGGAAGAGTTCACGCAGGTAATGGGCCTCAAGTTCAACAAGGAGAAGACTGGAACGGTGCAAATGGGCGTGAAAAATAGCCAGGAAGAATCTTCTCTTCCCACCGGCGATATCCGCTGGGGCTTCCTGGTTCTAGATGAAAAGCAGGAGAGATTTATTATCGACCAAACCCAGGTCAACCAGCATATTGAAGAGCTTTCACGTCAACTTTCATCTTGCAGGAGTGTGTTTGCCTGGGTACAGGCATGGAACGGTTATTTCGGTCGTTTCTTTACCAACAACTTCGCAAAGCCAGCCATCTGCTTTGGCAGAGACCATATCGACATGGCCATTTCTACCCTGAGTCGTATCGAAAGCACCCTCTTCAGCAAAACCTATGATGCCAAAAGCCCATCTGATCCAATCAAGGGCGTCACCGACTATCTCCGCACTGTGATCGCCAAGCGGTTCGATATCCACGGACTGCCCGATGGGTTCTTCTATTACCCAGTCGAACTTGGCGGCCTGGGACTTTTGAATCCCTTCATTGGACTGCTTGCCATGCGTGAAAACATCAAACAGACCCCCCGAAAGCTTTTGCATAAAGCTTCTTTGGCAGATGAGAGAGGTTATGAGGCAGCCAAGGAAAAGTTCAAAAAGGACGGCCCTGACCTCACCAGCTCATTCTGGAACAAGTGGGGCGGAGAGTCCAGGCCCTTCATGACTCTGGAAGACTACACCCGGTACCCAGAAACGTACAGCTCAGCTCTGTTGAGTGTTTACGTAAAATTGACTGAAGTGCCGAGCGAGACGAGCGTGGCTCACAGCTCTGGCTTCAGCAAGGAACAGAATGCACTCGGACCTAAGTTTGCCGGGAAGGGGTCTATCTCTGCGGACTGGAATACGATGTCGCCCTACTGGCGCTGGGTAGCGGAGCTTTACTATGAAGAAATGGTTCGTACCTATGGTACTCTGGCTGCCGTCAACCGCGAGTTCATGCCCTTGGGTGTCGTGAAGACCTTGCGGGAAGGTCGATTCAGATGGCAGGGCTGATGGATGAGGCGAGCTATTCGATGCTTTCATGACTTCATACTTAGGTAGCTTATGACTTGACAAAAAGGAAATAGAAAGATGACAATGAATGCAACAACTTACTACTGTGATTATAAATAGACGCTCTTCGTCTTTGGCGCTTTTACCGACTCACCGTAGAGGTTTAGGTACGGAAAGCCCCTGTGAGAGAAGAATGCTTGCTGATCAGCCAAAGATCAACCTTGGAAGTCTCTTCGATCCAATTTCAGAATCTGATAAAATGAGACACTTTTTGCTTCCAAAAAAGAAGTACCGGTTGTTGGTTCGCATGTTCTTTTCCATATTGGACGATGCTCATGCCCCCGACCGACTTGCAACGTAGCCCGAGATAAGTAGAAGGCAGGTGAGGGAGATCATTTGCCGATCATGTGTATGAGTTCAGGAAATTGGAGCGACTAAGACTTTACAGAAAGGGGTTTATTCTCAATGAGCGTTGTGCTGCGGTCTTATTCCGCAGTAAAGTGAGCCCTACCTCAAACCCTGGAGTCCAGAATTACGGTCAAGTGACTCCTCGCTTATTATCTCTGATATGTATTCAGTTTAGCGTTATCATTGCTTCTCCAATGTCTTGTTTCTAAGTCTATTTCTCACGATTTACCCTATTGGTGGAGTCGACTTTATCCCAAGCCTCAGCCATGCAGCGCCTTGATTCGTGGAAACTCATCACATCCATCTCAACCGGAACAATCTTCAAAAATATCCTCGAACCCCAGATCGCTATTACCCCAGGCCCAGCTCGGGTACTTCAGAGGCCTCTAAACCAATGAAAATCCGACTAGGAATGAGATAACGCTTCCCCATGTGCCACTGACCCCGGAAACCCCACCACTCAACGATCCTGGAGGCCAGGCTTCCCCGTCAATTGCTCTTAGTATATCCGGGGTTAGTTGATTCTGGGGATGGCCTGACTCGTACCATGCCGTTTTCTCTCTCACATGGGTTAGGGTTGCAATTGGCGCGCATGCCCTAAGCGTTCCTTCTGGTTTCTTATATAGATGCGGTCTCCGCTCACTCAGGCGCGCACTTGGGGTGTCGCTGGTCCTCGACTGTTCTCCAGTTACTCGAAAAACAAGGTTCTGTCACGATCCACATTCTTAATTATATTGGTGGAGTGCAGTGCTGTCGATCCGGGTTCAGTTAAGATATCACCAGCCCTATTGATAATAACAACTCACATACCTCCCTCACCATGGGCTTCATAATGACCCGCAAGAGGGCGTACAATTGGTTAGTTCGTAACTGTGTATCTAGGACATCACACGCTAACTCTCCTTAGGTACATCTCTCTTGTTGCAGCATCCTGCATGGTGCTCTACGGCTACGATGCATCAGTGTTCAACTCCGTCCAGGGCTCTAAGAATTGGCTGGAGTGGATGAACAATCCAAATTCAGCGACAATTGGTTCAATCAACACAGCATACACGGTCGGCGCCATCTTTGGTGGTTTCTTCCTTGGAGGCCCATGTGCAGACTTCCTGGGCCGCAAGTTCGGAATGGGCATTGGCTGCGTTTTGGTTATTATTTCAACCTTCATGCAAACTTTCTGTCCTCGCCACAATCTTGCTTGCTTCCTTGCAGGTAGATGTATCATCGGTATTGGTCAGGGTATCGCACTAAGTAAGTCGTGCTGCCGGGTCTAGTTGGAATACGTGGGCTAACGTCTTTTGCAGCTTCTGGTCCCATCTATATCGGAGAACTGGCCCCGGCAGAAATCCGTGGCAAGATCATGACTTTTTGGCAGATGTTCTACTCTGTTGGATCCTTTATCTGCTTCTGGATCAACTTTGCTTGCACCAAGAATGTCCCTAAGCTGGGCGAGTGGGACTGGAAATTAGTCGTCGTTTTCCAACTTCTGGTTCCGGTTTTCATTCTCGTGCTCCTGCCTACTATCCCCGGCAGCCCTCGTTGGTCAGTTCTCCCGATTTATAGGAGTTTTAACAAATACTAAAGTTCATCAGGTTCATCAAGAAAAACGACAACGTTGAAAAAGCCCGTGAAGCTCTGCGAAAGGTTCGGGATACCGATGAAGAAGTCGAGCAAGAGCTTCTGGAAATTCGCGAGGCGATCGAATATGAAAGGGAAGCCATCTCTGGCAACTACTCTGCCCTCTGGAAGGACAAATCTCTCCGCAAGCGTATGGGATTGGCTCTGGTCATCAATGCCGGCCAACAGATCACCGGCCAAGGCTCGCTCAACTCATACTCTACCAAGATCTACCAGAAGGTGTTCACCAGCGACAGCCAGATTGCTCTGATCAATGCTCTGAATGCCACATTCGGAATTCTTTTCACCTTGAACGCCGTGTGGATCATCGATCGTTTCGGCAGAAAATTCCTTCTGATCGTCGGTGGCATCGGTATGGGTATTTGTATGATCATTGTCTCCGCCGTTGAGACAGAAACACCATCCCTCGCCAATGGATCGAAATCAGAACCTGTCGGTATATCGATTGTGTTCCTGCTATTCCTGTTCATATTCTTCTGTGAGTTTTCCTACCACTATCTCATCCCCAAAGGATAGACCACTAACGTAATATTCCAGACAAACCATCTTGGGGCGCAACAGTATGGATCTGGACATCCGAGATCTTCTCAATGAACGTCCGCGCTCAGGCCGTGGGCATGGCATCCCAGACGCAGAACGTCGCCAATGCTATCGTTCAACAGTTCTTCCCTATCTTCCTCGACAACGAGGGCTTCTATGCTTTCTACATGTTCGCCGGTATCAACTTCCTACTGGCTGCCTTTGTTTGGTTCTTCATCCCAGAGACCAAGCAGGTTCCTCTTGAGGAGATTGATATTCTGTTTGGCGGCGCCAACCACGTTGCTCAGGGTGAGGAGGTGCTGGCACAACAGAAGGCAGCTCGCATGGGCTATGAAGAAAACGAGAAGCCTATTGCTGTTACAGTGGAACATACTCGGAGCTAGATAGCAGGCGGGTACACTGTGACTTTGGTAGATCCGCTCCGGTGTTCATGTTGGAAAATGTTATATGTTATAGCGATATAGGCTTGGTTGCTACCTACAACTTAGATATGGATAGCAAACAGTCTCTAATGTCAGTGCGCTGAGCGTGCTTTTCTAAACTTATTTTATCTGTCGTCCTGGGATACTGTCTAATATGACAATATTCGGGGTAAGTGAAGATGCGTACCCGACCTTCCTGTATTGACAAATGGAAAGGTGAACCATTCATGAATTCGAGACTGGAAACCACCAGCTTGACCATCACGGCGAGAAAGAATCTATGGTGCGATCACAGCCAGTGATCATGTTGCAGGGTCTCGGTGCTTTCATGCAATTCGTGTTACTCGGATCTCGCGCTTTGCGGGGTTGATGTCGTGACGGCCAGCACATTGTGATTGAGTAACGAGACATCGCGCGATCATAGGGGTTGTAAGATGCAAAGCTGCTAGGTTCCCGTTACTCAAAAGGGCATCTTCCATCTTCCATCTGTTGGTTATCAAAGTTCCTGGCACATCAACATGTCCGCTATTCAGACTATCACCGTGCCCACCCAGCCGGATATCCAATACCACCCCGAGTATGACAAGTACAAGGAACGTACTCGACGTCGCAAGGAGACCGAGACGCTGCAGACCACGCTGCCTGCGGGTTTCCCGGAGAAGTTGGTATCCTCGCTGGTCTGGGAAGGAAAAGACGTCGAGAAGCGGGACGATTGGATCTATCAGTTGAGCGATGAACAGCTTGACGAGATTGACAGGGCATTGAAAGGCTTCAAATGTATGTATTTCTGCAATTCCAGGCTTTTCATATCCTGTCTGATCTGATAGCACTCAATCTTTCCTTGGGACATATCAACCAATCGACTTTCCCTCTGCCTACCCTCCGGCCGATTCTCCGCGATCTTTCGGAGGAAATACACACTGGTCGAGGATTCGTCGTTGTACGCGGCTTGCGCATCGATAACTACTCTCGAGAAGATAACATTATCATCTACGCCGGGGTATCCTCCCACATCGGCAATATCCGAGGACGTCAGCAAGATACTCGACTAGCAAATGGCACTTCACCTGTGATATCCCATATCAAAGACCTCACCAGCACAATCGGAAAAGAAAAACTCGGTGCACCTTCCAACACGGCGGATAAGCAAGTCTTCCACACAGATGCAGGCGATATAATCTCTCTTCTCTGCCTCAACCGGGCCGCAGAGGGGGGAGAAAGCTACCTCTCCAGCAGCTGGAATGTCTACAACATCCTAGCCAAGGAAAGACCCGATCTCATCCACACGTTGTCCCAGGATTGGCCCGTCGATGGGTAAGATCCACAAGCCACTAAGCAAGGATGTTTGAGCGCAAGGCACTAACAATCCTCCGTGCTCCTTTTTCCAGGTTCAGTAATCCGGTCAGACCCTACAGTCTCCGCCCACTTCTGTACCATCAACCAGCCACCACGACTACCCCTGAGCGGGTCCTCATCCAATACGCAAGACGCTATTTCACCGGATTCTTGGCTCAGCCGCGATCGAAGGGTATCCCCCCGATCAGTGAAGCGCAGGCCGAAGCACTCGACGCTTTACACTTCCTAGCGGAAGAGCACAGAGCCACTCTGGATTTCCAGAAAGGCGACGTGCAATATGTGAATAATCTTAGCATCTTTCATGCACGGAACGGGTTTACAGACGGTCCTGGTCAAGAGTATGTGCTGGTTCTTCCCCTTGAGGTTCTGTATTGGGAAGGTGCTGACAATCTGTGTGTCAGGCGTCATTTACTGAGACTCTGGCTGCGAGACCCCGAGCATGCATGGCAGACCCCGCAGCAGCTTCAGCAGCGCTGGGATATAGTTTACAAAGATGTTCTAGAGGATGAACAGAGGTTCCCATTGGAGCCCGCTATTCGTAGGAATGTGGGATTGTGAAGCCAGTGTCAGTGCGATACTACGAGAGCACGATAGTGACAAGTTGAGGCATTTATCTGTGTTCGGAATAAATTTCGGCTACTTCGTGTGCAATCGGTTATTGCGACGTTCGGTTTGAGACCCCGGATCCACCGATATTGCGGTACGATTCCGGGGTGCCGTTCCGCCATCATAAATAAGTTGGCTTCACCGGATGAATTGACATCTTGGAAAAAGTAAAACCAACTCGAACAGGAACAGAGATATGCCTCTTTGGGACTAGGGGATTTCACAAAGGCCTTGGCCTCACCATCTTAAATATCTACTCCGAACCTCTGCAATCTATCGCTGGATTCCGCAAACGCCACCGGAGTTCCCCCTCCCCAAAAGGACTGCACCAAACGCTGATATAAGTCACTTGTAGATCAAGCCAAGTCTTGGCGTCGGCAAAGAAAGCCTTGGCCTGCACTGGCGCGGAATCAAGCGCCCTTTTCCTGTCAATAAAAATGCGGAACGGATGGACGTGTGGTCGCTATGCGGGGCCCCGGATTTCTCTGGTCCAGCACTAACTGTATGGCAACTAGTTGATGAAAAAAAGTATTTAAAAGGGGCTGTTTCCATTCTCATCGGCTTGTACGCCTGGTCACCATCCAAGTATTCAATATGGACCCGGAAAAATCACACGAAGAGGAGACGGTCGAAGATATCAAGGCTGGGCTCGCGTTGCCTGATATAGATCCGGCGGCGGAAAAACGACTCCTGTGGAAAGTCGATATCCATGTCGTGCCCATCCTGACATTTTTATTCCTTCTGGCATTCTTGGATCGAATTAATATCGGCAATGCTCGACTTCAGGGTCTAGAGAAGGAATTGGGTATGGAAGGACATGATTATAACATTGCCCTGTTCATCTTTTTCATTCCGTATATCCTGTTCGAGGTTCCGAGCAATATGTTCTTGAAGAAGCTCCCTCCCTCTTGGTGGCTTAGCGGGATTATCTTTTGCTGGGGTATGTCAACCCTGCAGCCTAGACGAAATGATCCACGGCTAATTTTTGACTATCCTAGGCATTATCACAGTATGCCAAGGACTGACGCAAAGTTTCGGTGGCCTTGTTGCGTGCCGATTCTTGCTGGGCCTGTTTGAGGCTGGATTGATGCCAGGTAACAGAAACCCTTCCGACTCGATCTTACACGCGCTAATGTGATGCAGGCTGTATCTACTTGATTGCGATGTATTATAAGCGCTACGAGTTGCAATGGCGATTCAATCTTTTCTTCAGCGCCAGTATTGTGGCCGGTGCAGTCAGTGGAGTATGTATACCTCACTTCAAGAAATTGGCCAGATGCTCATCATTCGTTTTCTAGCTTCTCGCCTATGCCATTAGCAAGATGGATGGCGTCGGAGGGTACTCCAGCTGGCGCTGGCTCTTCATTATCGAAGGCTTAGTGACCGTTGTTACTGGAGTCGCTGCCAAGTTTCTCATCGTCGATTGGCCCGAGGTAGCGACTTTCCTGACTGATGAGGAGCGTGCCTTGCTCCTGCGACGTCTAGCAGAAGATCGCGGTGAGGCGCTGATGAATCGCTTCGACAAGCCAGCGATCAAGCGCACATTCTCCGACCCCAAGATCTACCTTGGGTTAGTACTGCGATCTATTCCCCACGCATGGTTTTGACTAACGATTTCCAGTGCCTTGATGTATTTTGGAATCGTCAATACCGGCTATGCAACCGCGTTCTTCATTCCCACCATCCTCCAGCAGCTTGGTTGGACATCCGTCCGCGCCCAAGTGATGACCATCCCTGTATACGTCGTCGCGACAATCACCACCCTGTCGAGTGCCTACGCCAGCGATCGAATGCGTCACCGATTCGGCTTCACAATGGCAGGATGTCTGATCGCCACGATAGGCTATGTGATCCTCATCTGCCAGGAATCCGTGACCGTGGGGGTGCGATACTTCGCCATCTTCGCAGTTACATGTGGAGGATTCATGGCGCAGCCGATGTTGTTGGGCTGGCTGAGCAACAACTTGGGTGGACATTACAAGCAATCTATCGGCTCGGCGATGCAGATCGGCATTGGCAATTGTGGCGGTCTGGTCGCAAGCAATGTCTTCTACAATTCGGAGGCTCCGCTCTATCCAACTGGATTTGGAGTCAGTCTGGGGATGGTTTGGATCTGTGGCGTGGCGTGTATGATCTTCTTCGGTTACTTATACCGTGAGAATCGACTGCGGGAACAGGGGAAGAGGGATCATCGGTATCATTGGCCCAGAGAGGAGCTGGAGAATGCTGGGGATGATCACCCCAGTTTTCGGTTTACTTATTAAAGTAGGTAGGTGGATCTCACATTTGAGGCCTTGGCATTAGTACGAACAAAATATATATGAATATAAATCGAATACATGGTGACATGGTTACATGATTACATGAATCCCAATGTGTACTTGGTATGTGCCAGTATAGTATCACTATCTCCTCCCAATCGGTCAGGTCTAGCCTTCGGGGCCATCTGATAATTGCATTCAGCAGAGGTCACACCCCCAGGATTTGAGTTTGACATGAGCAAAATTGGAAGATCAAGACATTTTGCTCCAATCGCAATCGACCATTTTCTACTTTCTGACTTCGCTGTCTTCCCTGGGCAAAGCCCTACTCGTCCACTGGACAGTTTGCGCCAAGACCGCCTAATGCGTTGATCGGCATCTCCCTCCATGACGTAGCCTCACCGGATTTTCGTTGATCGTAGATGTACTGAAACAGTCAAGTCCCAAGGAGCTGCACTGCCCGATCAGCCTAATCTCGTTCTCCAAGAATTTATTTGGCCTGTAAGAAACTGGTGGAGTGGGAAGGAAGGGGGAAGTATAAAGGCTTCATGCGTGTCAATGTATGGGAATCCAATAAGACGAGAGCAACGCACGCCCCCCACGGGTCTCACGGAACTCGGTCTGGGGGTGTGGATGCCAATACTACAATATATAGTACGGGGTAAACATATTTAATCCCATCCATCTCTCTCCTCTCCTCCCCATCTCACATGCTGTGAACTCCTCCCAATGTCTAGAAGAATGCCGCGAACACTCTCTCCACGGAAGAAACACGTTCCCTCCGTGGCTTCTGAAGATCCATGGAGATCTGACAACCCATTCGGACCACCTGAAGTACCACGCGCTGTGCCCGTTGGTATCAAACGTCTCCGAAACACCCTCTCCAAGCTGTCCCCATCCGCCTTCGCAGAGAAAGAACTCCTCCGCAAAAAGAACCAACACAAAAGCCCCCTGACGCAGCGCAACATCGACAACCTCGTCACCGCGCAAGAGTGCAACGAAGCCTACAGACCCAATCTCCACTCCCCAGAAATCCAAGTCACCGAGTGGCTCCAGCGAGTGTCTTGATTGCGAAAACGCCCACCGCACACAAAATCCCTCAAATCGAGAACCATCCCGAGAGCATGTGGACTGCGAACCTCAATACGAACACCAAGGTTCCACAAGGCTTTTTCTCGAAGTTTTCGCGACCACACTTTTCCCCCACGCCAGAGCGTCGAACGCGATGGAAACTCAATCCGGGGCTAAGGCAACTCTTCCCGGACCCAGAGATTAGACGGGGTCATGACATTCGTCGATTGCTCCGTGGGGAAATCTATCGCCCCCTGCCTTCGCGGGCGATGCTTGGCGTTAACGTCATGATTTGCTGGCCCGGACTGAGCCGTCTTGCTGGACGTAACACTGGATTTTTGTTTTTTAATGGACAAAGAATGGCATTCAGAAAGCAATGTTTATGATTCGGCCGAGAATAATTGTTGGTGATCAATGTGGACGGAGGACGGAGTACGAGATACCGTTTATAGCCAGGTCCGGGTATAACAGCCATAGATGTGACTGTCCTCTACTTAGTGCGCCAATAGTACTCCCTATCCAACCCTGATCTAGAAACTGTAAAAATTCTCTGGTCAGGCGGACCTCCGTAAATTGATCTGAATATTCTATTAAGTGTACTCCATACTCTATATGTGGTTGGCGGTTTACTTGTAAGTATCATCACTCCGCGACCCCCATATATCTTAGCAACTCGAGAGATTTGCCCAATTTTGTAGCCTGGGAAGTCCCTAATCAAACCACCCAGATCCTTTCCCCAGATTTGCATAGAGTCATATTAATTGAAGTTAAATAGAGTATCTCCAGAAGTATAAAAATAGCAGGAGAGCCGAAGGATTTCCCCAAGCGGATCCCATGAGCGGGGTAAGTCTAGCGACATCACGGGCATTGTACCTGGGACCTCTGTACTTTGTACATCAACCGTGCATTCTGAGCCAATCATCCGAGCACATGTCACAACCTATTCCGCCTATAACAATCTGACCCCAAAGTGGAAAGAGTCACCCGGGCCCTCTTCTGAAATGTCGCCCAAGAAAGTAGCCGTAATCGGTGAGCCCCCGTCGACCCCAAATACAGGGTTACGGTCCCAAGAATCCTCCCTTAACAGCGCGTACCACAGGTGCTGGTCCCTCGGGCCTAGTCACGGCCAAAACCCTTCTTCATAATTTCCCCGGCACGTTCTCGCCAATCATCTTTGACACCCAGAGTCAGGTTGGCGGTCTGTGGTCAAGTAGTCATGCTCCTGATCAGGCTGGACCCTCGGTTACATTAGATCCGCGAATGCGGACGAATCTCAGCCGCTTCACGGTTGCTTTTTCGGATCTTGCTTGGGAGTCGGTGGTTCCTGATGTGGATGTTCCGGTTTTTCCTCGGGCCAGCCAGGTGGGACAGTACTTGGCGTGTTATACGGAGCGATATATCCCGGATGATGTGCTGAGACTAGACTGTCGAGTGGTACGGACGAGACGGAAGGTGGAAGATGGGGTTAATCCGACATGGACTGTTCAGTGGACGCGGGGGAGGTTTGTGGGAATCGCTATATTCAAATTGAATGCTCGCTTACATTCATATGCAGTGCGCGGAGGACTCAGTCAGAAGATGGCTTCCTAGACGATGAAGTATTGTCGGAGGATTTCGATTTAATTGTCATCGCCTCGGGATATTTTGCTGAGCAATATATTCCAGACATACCAGGTCTGGGACAGTTTCCAGGCCAGGTCATCCACAGCTCGGCTCTTCATTGTGAGCGAGAAAAGCTGTTTTCAGGAAACAAAGGCAAAGATGGGAATGGCAGGATCGTTGTTATTGGCGGTAGTATGTCTGGTGTGGAAGCTGCATCGGCCGTGGCTCTTCACCAATCCTCGTCTACACTTTCATCAACTGGCGTTCCATGTGCCCAAGAGGTGAAAGTGCATCATATCCACTCGAGGCCTTTCTGGACTCTACCGACTTATCTCCCTCACGAATCCTCAGAAGGCACTTTGTCATTCTTACCTTTGGATTTGGCCATGTATGACATTGGTCGTCGACCCCCAGGCCCTATAGAATATGCCTTGGGGCCGGTATCAGAAGAAAAAGCAGTCAAATCTAACGCTTACTTCCATGCCTTACTTGGGAATGACTACGAGAGATATGCGCATATGGATTCTCCGCGTGTTGCCAGTGAATCCAGAACTCAACCACCATGGGTTGCCATCGGCAATGACTATGCCGAGTTCGTCCGTTCTGGGATAGTACAGACATCAACGGGCCGGGTATCCGCTATTCATTCTGATCAGGACACCGGACTGGCTTCGGTACAGTATGAAGGGTCTGATGAAAGCCCGAAGACAATAGACAATGTGGCAGCGATTGTAATGGCAACGGGATTCACGCCGTATAAGTCTCTGTCATTATTGCCCGACGACGTCCTGGCTACTCTTGAATATTCCAAGACGGACCCATTCTCGCCTTTGATTCTCGACAAAGGAGGCACTGTGCGCTCGGAAATCCCAGATGTCGGATTCGTTGGGTTCTACCGCGGCCCGTACTGGGGTGTGATGGAGATGCAAGCGAGGTTCCTTGGCAAGTTATGGGCTGGTGAATATGACGATACCGTCTGCACAACAGATAATCAGAAGCAAAGTCTCCGCAGTCTCAGACTGGCAGATCCGCATCTGGCACGTGGTCAGTTCCCCATGGGTGACTATGTCGGATTGATGGAGTCGTTCGCCAAGGATCTGGATATCAGTCGTTCGGCACTGAATGAAGGTGAAAGTCAATCTGGACCCGTTATCCCTGCGAGATACCTTTATAGGAAGCCGGGAGATGACGATCAGACCCTCCTGGCTCCAGAAATTGAAGCAGGGAGGACATTGTATGCTTTGCGCGACGCTCTTGTTCCTGCTCATGATGCAGCACAAAGCGCTGCAGCGTCGGCTGTCTTTCGGGCTTTGCATGGTTCTTGGAAGTATTCCAAGCAGACATCAAGCGGTACTGCGTGCGAACCATTCTCGGGCATCCTAGCATTCTACCCGCGGTACCCAACTAGCCCGGCGTATGACAGGGAATATGTTTGCATGGAGACACACGCTGACTCGACTAAACTGGAAGAGCCCACACAAGGCAAAGTGCAATTTATCATACGCTTGGTAGAATCGGGCAACGGTGCTGCAACTTCTCGAATCGAGATCTGGTCGTCGGATTTGACAGATACATTGTCGGCTAGTCAAGTCGCCCAGGTTTGGGAGTTGACGTCCCTTTTGAAAGAGGAAAAAGGAGAGGATACTGTTCCCGGAGAGTATGTGATATCTGCCAAGAGTGTTGATTCCCGTTCTGGAAACGAGTGCTTGTATACTTTCCATTTCGAGGGGGTTTCGATATCGTCCTGGACATGTGTTGAGCTAGGAGATGCTTCGTCAGAAGACAAGATGGATGTGATTGGAAGCGAGGGAAAGAGTAAGAAGATCTCCTGTTTCTATAGCAGGTGTTAGATAAGATTTTCAAATAGGAAAGGAGAGCAAAGTACTAGTCTAGTTTCAGTGTTTATAAAGCGAAGAACGATATATATTCCGTTCGTGAATCTTAACCATTTTGCCTTTGAATATCCTGTTCTTGTCGCTGGAAGTAGCGCTGTAAGTTGTCACGCTGATGCGGCTTTGTTTGTTATTGATTTAGCCCTTCTGGCCAGGAAAGGACGCGGCAAAGATAGACCAGAAACACCATATTGTCGAGAAGGCTACTTGAGTGGAAATATCTTCTCTTCGACTCTTTTTCCTTCCATTGAGCCAGTGTCGAACGAACAAGACTATGATCAACAGGCTATATCAACAACTATCGGGTCTCATACTTAAGCCCCCAGTCAAATGACCGTACCCAATGTCCGGGCCTTCGTCCATCTCTTCAGGGCTAAGCCTAACACTGGCATCCTTGGAAAATCTGCGCTTCATTGAATCTGATCTTTCTGTACCATGCGTGGAATGTAAAGTCTCTCGGGAAAAAACGTTTTTTGTGTATCCATGGCATGCGGTATGTTTCTCATTTTGAAGCTGCTGCTTATTATAGCAAAAGATTAAGTGCCAACCCTTTGAGTCTCAGTACAGACCTTCTTGTATGTATAACCATCTTTTACTTAATCAGTGTTGCGGGTTGAAAGGTGCAGAATCAACTCTCAGAATCGTAAACCTCCGCTTCTAATCAGAGCTCATTCCAAACATGAGCAATGGATACATATTCACCTTGGAATATGGATTGAGGTACACATAATATATATATGTAGCAGAAGCATGCAACAGTACAAAGGAGGTGCTCGACACTTGAGGCATCGATGCTTAGTCAGCCTCTGTAGGATCTGGGGTACTCCGTACAGAGTGCATACATAGCCCCTGTCCTTTGTCAGACAACCTCGATTTGTTAGCTTTCGCAGATGTTCAGACGGTTCTATGCCAATACACGGCCAATTCCTAGGCAGACATGGAAACTCGTCTCGAATGAATTCTATCCTCCAAAGACTTCACCATTGTCGACCTCCAGCACAAGACCTAGCAGGTCCCAATATTTGTTCATTGCGGATGTCGAAGACCTAGACGGGTATAACCCTGGAGGATACCATCCTCTGCAAATCTATGACACTTTGGATAATGGTCGTTACCGACTAGTTCACAAACTGGGGTATGGAGCGTACTCAACCGTCTGGCTAGCTCGTGATCTACAAAACGCCAGATATGTGGCCGTGAAGGTCAATATTGCTGATACTAGTGACACTACGCATGAGTCCAGCCTCATACACAAGCTTCGAAGCTCGCGTAAGCCTGGAAAAGAAATCATTCGTTCCATCCTTGGTGAGTTCTGGGCAATCGGCCCTAATGGAAGGCATAAATGTATCGTTACTCCACCCGCCCAGATGAGTCTACCCGATTCCAAGGACGCCTCGGCGTTTGGGCTCTTTGAGCCTAAAGTCGCGCAATCGATGATCGCTCAGCTCATCCGCGGGGTCGCATTCCTTCACGATGAGAATATCGTACACGGTGGTATGTGATACTGGCAGATGAGTCTCACAGAATAAACTGACCGGCATTGCTTCAAGACCTTCACCTCGGCAACATCCTCGTCCAATTCCCCGAAGCGATAGATCATCTCTCTACGTCCGAACTACACGGGAGATTTGGACGACCAGAGCCAGATGACGTTGTTCGTGTCGATGGAAAGCAGTTATCAGATAGCATACCCCCTTACGTTTTTCTTCGCGGTTGGTTTGGAGTTGCCAGTAATGATCTAGCTCTCGGCCAAGAAAATATTATTCTCAACGACTTCGGGGCATCTTTCAACCCCCACGAAACGCGCATGTTTGAATCAAAGACTGTTCCTACTCTCCAACCACCAGAAGCCAGATTCTCGAACGAGCCGCTCTCCTTTGCCTCAGATATCTGGACGCTTGCCTGCACTATCTGGGAGATTCTCGGCCGGTACCCATTATTTGAGGTAGTCTTCCCAACTCCGGACCGCGTTACCGCGGAGCAAGTCGAGGCTTTGGGGATCCTACCTCCTGAGTGGTGGGATAAGTGGGAAAGAAGATCGGAATGGTTCAATGAGGAAGGTGACATGATTTTGAAGCGGGTGGGCGGGCGCATGGCGTGGGACCAGCGATTTGAACACGATATACAGAAGCCACGGGCCCAGGCGGGCCTGGAAATCGTGACGAAGGAAGAAAGGAGAGCGCTTGAGACAATGCTTCGATCGATGCTGGCTTTCCGGCCGAGAGAAAGAGCGACAGCACAACAGGCATTACATTCAGAATGGATGAAACATTGGGGACGGCCGGCTCTAGAACAGAGCGGGAAGACATTTAAACCCGAAGATAAATATCCGGGGATTCAAATTTAGCTGGGGGTATAGGGCTCACGCTGTAGCCCTCAATTTTCCAATCGACGCGGACAAAACTTGATCTGATATGAGGAGTCTAGACCAAGGGCCCGCCGGCTTCCCAACCTTATGATCAGTGGATCATACTTCCACATACCTTCCTTCACGAGCTTAGTCTATTGGGGCGCAAGAGATCCACCGACATTAACTCTGCTATGTGAGCTTGAAGAAGAGAAAAAAGCCCCGAGGTGGCACCGGGATCCCGATGGCTCCGGTTATGGTATCCATGGTTCTTCCGGAAATAGGAACATTGGCCGCAGGAAAAAAAGCCGACGGAATCTGTTTGGACGAGGGGAAAAGGCACCAGCCAATCACTCCACCGGGACCACAGGGGCTCGGTCCGGTCTGGGGTAAAAGCTGGGTCAAGGGCCCCGATTGAATCCATGGCTCATAGACGAACCTCCGCTGAAAACTCGGCCGGAAATGCAATTTTGCTCATGAACACTATGGGGGAGGAGAGTATAAAGAAGGATAAAGAAGCGATCCACTGCAATTTCAATCGCGATTTCTCTTACACCTCCACCCGAACCCAAAATCAGGGTTGTGAACTCATCTTGATATCAGATCTACTCGTCATACCCTCTCCTCCACCAAACCACATACAACCCAATTTCCCGTATATTTCGTGCCCAGAAAAAAAAAAAGAATCCCCGATCTCCATATCCATATCTATAAAGATCACCTCAAACCCTCCCAACCCTTACATACCACCCAAAAATGACCCGACCAACCAAACCAACCCCCCAACCCGACCCCCTCGACCCAATCTCCGAATGGCGCGCCTGGCAAACCCTCACAATCATCTACACAATCCTCATAAACCGCCAAATCCGGCGGCGCTGGCTCCTCGAACAAAAATGCATGCAAGACCGCCCTCTATCCGAACGCTTCCGCCCAGTAATCTTCCTCGAAGCAATCCCAACCCTCCAAAAGCCCTCTCCAGCACTCGCCTCCAGCCCCCTCAACGCCCGACCCATGGCCGCGCTGCGCGAGAGAACAGCCCTCCTCCGCGCGCGCGTCGAGAAGGGCAAGGAACTCGCCACCGAGATCGAGCGGCGCATGGTCGCGACGCCGGTGATTCGCTTTCCGACGCACTTCTGCCATACCTGCGTGCAGGACGGCGAGAGGGTAGAGGTCCTATTGACGAAGTGCGGGCATCGGGTTTGTCGGACTTGTCTTGGGTACGGGGTTGACGAAGAGGGGGTTTATATGTGTAGTATTTGTTTTGCGCCGGCGGGGTTTGTGGCGCGGAGTCCGTTGGGGCATGGGAAGGCTTGTTCGGAGCAGATACTGAGTACGACGGTGAAGGGGCCTGGGGGTTGTATGGGGAAGAGGAAGGGGAGGGCGGCGACGGTTTGTTCGTCGGGTGGTGATGCTTGATATTCTTGGTATTTCTTGGGATTGGGAGTTTTGGTCTACTGTTTTGGAGTTGGGTTTTGCATGGCATATTGCATTTTGTTGAAAGTTAGCGACGTCATATATCCTACTTGAAGATAGAAGTATTTCATGAACAGTGAAGCCATTATGATTATGTGCAAGGGACCATCTCTAGCCAAAATAGTCTTGGAAGACCGGTCCACGGTCACCCCCGAAAGAACCGTTCGCGGCTGATGCATCTCACAGTCTATCGGAACCTTGAATGACTAGACCGGGAACAAACACCAAACAGGAAAATTGAGAATGCATCGTGAGCCATGGCCCGGTCATCCAGACCGTGGGAACGCCTTTTTTGTGTTCGCACTAAAATCGAGGAAATGGGGATCCAAAACGTGGGGAATGTATGACCACGGGGGAATCAAAGGTGAAAAAAAGGGCATTATACAGGGTAGGGCAAGTGTGAAGCCAATGCAAGTCAAATCATAAGCAGCATATACCCAAAAGAGTACTTATTTGCTGATAGCAAGTGAGGAAGAGAGAGGGTACACCCCTTCAACCACGATTTGCAGCATTGCGTGGTGTAGCAATAGCAATTGTGTGAGAAATCAAATCATATATATTATCTCTCTCTTCACATGTCCTCTGCTTGCGCTCCGTCGTCAATGACCATGTTGACTTCTTTGACGGGATGCAATAGCATAGGAGGAAGACACATGCGGCCCTCGCCAGCAAGCTCCTGCTGCTCGCCGCCGTCGTTGTCGACGCGCAGTCCAAGCCAGCGACGCCAGATGTTTGGCGAAAAGCCTGCGGAGTAGAACCAGGTTGTGCCACGGAAGTTGTGCTCGCGATCGCCGAAGATCGACGTGCGCGCACCACCGGAGGCTCCGTTGCGACCGGCGTTGAACACAGATTCCAGGTAGCGGGTTGGCCAACGACGGTCCATGTAGACAGCGTGCGGGACGAAGACGGCCTTGAAGCCGTGGTGCAGCGCGGTGGTCGCGGGCCACATCTCTGAGAACATACTGTGGCGCTTGAGACTGCATTCGCGGTGCATAGTGGTGAGCAGTTTGCGGGAGATCCGCGATGCAGTGATGATCGCTGTACGGCGCGGTGGCATGCCATTCTCCTTGTTATAGCCTGTCACGTCGTCCCGCAGCAGCCAGGTCGTACCCTCTGGGTCGTAGAGCGGGTTGAAAACGACTAGGTCGGCATCCTCGCCCACGCCCCATTGGTACTGGTCCTTGTCCATGCTTGTCGGCGGGATACCCTCACCCTCGACCTCGAAGATGTCCTGTTCGTCGGGGCGTTCGGGACCCCAGATGGACTTGTCGCCCTGTTGGTGCATCGCACTCCGTGCATGGCCATCACCGGCATTCTTGGCGGCGCTCCACAAGTTGTTGACAGAGTTGGTGCCGGTCTCTGTCTGCACACGGACCTGCTGTCGGAAGTCTTCCCATGATCCGTGGACAGAAGGAACGTAGAAGCGAGCGTTACGTTCCCAAAGACCCTTTCGTGGCTGCTGCTTCGCCCACTGGCCAACCTTATCGAAGAAGTGGTACCAGTGGCCCGTGTAACGCACATCCATCTCCCAGTTCCAGAAGTAATCATACTCGGGATGCTGGAAAGCGAAGTACTGCATGGGCATGTACGTGCTGCGATAGACACCGTGGATTGGCAAGCCGCGGGTCAAGGTCTCCTCCAATCCAGGATACATCAGTTCCATCTGCTGCTCGGACCAGAGAGTTCCCATGCCACGGAATTCCTCTGGCAGCGCATCATTGAGCACACGCTGGTATGTGTCATCATCGGACCAGATCTGCAGATTCGTATCCTTGACATGAACCAGGAAGTGGATAGTATATTCACCGCCAGACATCAGGGAAAGTTCCGAGATGACGGAGCGCATGTACATGATATCCTCCGGTGTATACCTGAAGTCATGCCAGGTGCGGATAACCACAGCAGTACGTGGAAGACGCTCAGATCCAACCTTAGGCTGCTCCTTGCGTGTATCTTCCACAGGCGGCGGGATGTTCACCTTGGGCACGCCTACGGGCATAGAAACAAACCGGTTAAGACGCGGCTCCGTCAGCTCATTGAAGCGATGGCGGTTAGCCGCATGACAGCGGTGTTGTGCAGCAGCCCAATCCACCTCGCGGAAGTCCACCGGCGGGACCTCGTCCCACACACGGTCGGCGCCCTCACGGTGGCCCTCCATGCCGGCGCCAGTGCCGCCCTTCTTCACTCCGTATCCCAACCCGTACGGGCCCAATCGACCAAATCGATCAAAGCACATGTCGTCTCGAATACCCAAAATTGTATTCGAGCCGATCACTGGATCCGGGAAACCCTTTGGGATTCCAGGGTAGCTCTGAATAGACGGAACTCGTAGCGTGTTCTCTGCGTTAAGGAAGCACTCACGCTTTTCGCCGTATTTCTCAATGTATTCAGGCGCCTGGTAAGCGGGGTAAGGATTGAAGACATTGCTCAGCATGTTCGGAGCCAGATCCCTCTTAACCACCTTGTTGGCGTCCGGTTCCTGTTCCTGCTCAGGTTCATCCTGCTCGTCGAGTTGATCCGTCCTCATAGCCAGGTCCTCGGAGCCATCGCCGGGGTATTCGGGGACATTATCGGCACGCGGGACCAGGGAGGAAATACCACCCTCGTAGCGATGGAGGAAATCGAAACTCTCCCACTTTGGTGGCTTCGCCGCGCCGACCTTGGGTAAATCCACAGCGACTTGTGAAACGGAGCTAGAGACGGTAAAGCGGAAGAGAGTGAGGATGAAGAGGACGAGCGCAACGAAAAGAGCGAAGCAGAGCCATCGCATGATCCGTTGGGGCACGCGAAAGCCGAAGCCAGGTTGGGGGCGGCGAAGACTGCCGCCAGCTATTATGGGCGGCGGGTAGGATTCCGCGACCTTATTATCGTCCAGCGACTCGTGGTCGGAATCAGGATCATCGCTCCGGTAGTGGTGGTATGGTTGACGGGCGGGTGTAGGTTGTTTTTCGACGTCTGTATCTCGTGTATTATAGGGTGATGGGGACTTGTAGGCCGCGGAGTGCCTCCTCGCCTGGACGGTCATGATGCCAGACAAGATATCAACATTGAAGGAGTGGGGGTATTTCGGGTCCAAAATCACTCAGTCGCCTCTCTTATATCACAAGTGTACCGATGGAAAAGCCAAATCAGTCCCAAATCCGAGATCAGGGGTGTGGTTGAAGGCACGCGATGAGGCGTGTTGTGTTGATCGTCGGCCAGGCAATGGCTTGTGTGACCGGGATCGAAAACGCCAATGTTTGCCACAAGCCCGGACAAAGATTAAATGCAAAAAAATCACTAAGAAGGCGTCCAGTTGCCCATGTGCCCAGCTGCCCAAGGTGGTAATGAAGGATTGAAAGTGCCAAGACGTTGGCGCTGTGCGAGAAATGAGGGATTACGCAGTGGCATACTAAAAATGGACTGGTGGGAAGTTCCGTTCTTGGAGTGGATATTATACGTCTCATTTTTTCCCTCGAATTATTTTAGCTTCTTTCATACGGCTGGGTCGACTACAGAGTAAAAATTACAAGATTGTCTCCAGCGTTGTGGACAAGTTGGCTAGACGTGGTTGTTTATTTAGCTGGTTGAACGCCCGGACAAGATCTATGTTTTTGGTCGGACATCATTCTTTGGTCTCAGGGACATAATGCTCCCTTTCCTTGGAGAGTACATATAAAAACACAATAACAAGAATAGCAAAATCAGAATCAAATCCACAACGCAAATTCATCGCAACAAAATAGCAGATCCGGAGTCTTCAAACTTCATTCTGTCATGGCACTGATCATTTCAACCATACTGTCCTTCATACGGCGTAAGACATAGCTGGCTAGCTCTGTATGCAGCTCTGGCTTATCATCTTCTTCGGCATCCTCATACAAATCTTCAAGGGCACTTCCATTAGCGGTGATTTCCAGATATGTTGAACGATCATCGTGATCCACCCCTATCCAAACCGGGAAGAATCCAAATCGCACTAGCATTGAGTTGAGAATTAAACGGCACATACGGCCATTGCCGTCAATAAATGGATGGATGTTCACGAAAATATGCGTGTACTTTGCTACCAAGGCGAAAGGGTCGATCGTTTTTTCTCTTATCACATCTTGCAGATCATTCTCAAGATCATGGATCATGGACTTCATCTTGTGTGGCACGAGGGCAGGATCGGGGAATGCATGCAAGCCTGCACTAACCTCGTGGGATCGATAGACACCGCTATATTCCTCCCAGGGTGTGGAGTCGGCGTCGATTTTATGGGTCAGTATTCCGTGGATTTTGAGAATCATCTCTTCGCTGAGATCTTTGCGGAAGGTACGTAGCTCGTGCATCATGAATTCTGCAGCTTTCGCATGCTGCACTACCTCCCGCCAACTTTTTAACACGGCTGAGTTGCTTGCAGGGAGATTCTGGCGGATCAAACTCTCCTTAAGAGCCTTGTAGTCTTGGGTGTCTTCTTCGATCTCATCGGGAATCTCTTCTCCTTGGAATACTGCGAGACAGAGTTTGAATGTGATGTCCCAGTCACTCCCGGCTTTTTCAATCATATTCGAGCCATAAACCATCGATGCGAGAGAGTGGAAAAGATGGTTCTCAAATGCTATCTCTTGCTGAAGTGTAAGTCCACGCTTGAACATATGATTCAGCTCATTCTTCAGGGCGACAATCTCGTAGAAAACAGTGTCGGAGTTGAAATCTTCGTGCACGATCTCATGGCTATAGGAGCGATCCCTAAGAAGTCTGAAGATTCCTAAGGATGGACCCAGAACAGGAGCAGACACAGTACCTCTTTCAGTTATCGGCAATAGATAATAGGAATATCGAATGGATTTGGTGAGGCGCAGAGGATATCGGTCTTGATCAGGATAAGATATCGGTGATATCTCGAGGGCTTCAATGGCATCTGAGAGACCATGGTCAGTGTTCGGGGAGTCCATTATCGCTTGACAGAAATTTGAAAGAATAGTAAAATAGTATAGAATGGGACAGGAGCACGTACCTGTATATATGAGGTGTGTGTAGAGTCAAAATAAGGTTATGAATCTTAATACTGTCCATATCAGGCTTAGTTCCTACTGGTACCACACCATGGATACTTCCAAACAAGTACACGGATATCGAGAGCATCAGGGATGATCTTGGGATGATTGGATACGAGACTTGGCATGCTAGGTTTGAAGAGATCAGAACATGGATGTAAATAGAGGGCGGGTGATACGTATTCCTAAGAAAGAGGACTATATCCTTGCAATATATGACTAAAGCTATTAGATACATCAAGATTTAAGCTATCAGCTTGAACAGTTCCGAAACCAGCATATGCTGTTCGCTAACTTAGGGAGACGCAGTATGTATCATAGAAGCTCACCATCACCCTCCTCACATCAGTTATACATGGGTTGTTGTTGCTTCCCTGAATGGCATGTGCTTCTAGCCTGCGACTAGGACGATGGGCAGCACCGTTCGTCCTTCTTTTACCTGCAATGGCCCCCAGACCGAGAATATTCCGTGAAATCTGTTGGGTCTGATAGCTATTGTCTGTTTGCCTTCGATCCTTCCCAGGGCCACACAAACAGACGTCTATCGTGGTTAATTCGTTAGGCATTCCATCAGAGATGTGTATCAGTATCAGTGTGTCTTTCTACCGTATAACCTATCTAATAGCAGTATACATAGATAAAACTTCATCGCAAAATAAGTAAGTCATGTCAATCCGAGGCCACCCTAAAGATCTATATATCATCACTGCCACATAGATATCTTGAATTACCGAATCTGCAGGGGACAAGCCACCGCTTGTTTTATAAGTATTGCAATCATGTTCTCTCTATGTTCATTGCTCTTCAAAATTGCCACGTAATGGACATGCTTTTATGCAATATATGCAGCACTACAGCCAGCCATGCCAAAGAAGCCCAGGTGGAACCTTCTACTGCATGTACATGTACAACATACGCCAAGTCTTGACGTCGGCGTTATTCAGGCGAATTATAAGCTGCAACACTCTCAATTTGACAATATCTAACACTAAATACATCTGTTAACCGCTGCCAGAGTCTTCAATATCGTATCACGTGATAATGGATGGGCTGAAACTTATTCAGCCCAACTCGGCCGCATCCGAGGTCATAGCAACGACTGAGACAGGAACATTGAACGCAAGTGAAAAGTTCGAAAATTGTGCTCATTTGTTCGCTTTTTGTTCTCTCTCTTTCCTTGCCCAATCTGAGATTCTGAGATTTTACAATTGAGTACTTATACAGACCTCTGGGGGTTCCAAGGCAGAGAAGCAATTTGGGAGTGGCGACGCCGAAGAGAAGAAAAAAAACAAATGAGGCTAATAGCATAGCGTAGAGAGGAAAAAGAGCCGTTTGAAGAGAGAACATCAAAAAGAAGTAGCAGACCAGTTGCAGAACCCCTTTCCCTGCAGGGATCAATGTCATGTGTGGCCAAAGAACTCCCCGCCATCGTCATCATCAATCCATCATTTGCAGACTTCGGTATTCTCCTTCATCACCCAGCTACACACACGTCCGATTCGAATTTGCATTATAGACCTTAATCGCGGTTGGTTTTGCGGAGTGCATCGGCGAGCCACTCCAGACCCTCGTACAGACCGTCACCAGTAGTGGCGCAGGTAGATTGGATGAACTAGAGCGATCATTAGTAAAAACATATCGACGTCGAGTGTATATCAAGGAGAGTCCACTTACCCAAGCACGACGGGTAAGGCTCTGAAGACCAAGCTGCTGCGTGATCTCGGCGGGGCTCATGGCGTTCTAGACAAAAGCGGGGGAAATCAGCATCACATTCATCAGATCACGATTCTTCCGAAAATTGGAATTTCTTACGGGCAAATCCTGCTTGTTGGCGAACACCAGGAGGAGAGCATCGCGGAGCTCATCCTCGTTCAACATGCGCTGCAACTCCTCGCGGGCCTCGACAACACGATCCCGATCGTTGCTGTCAACCACGAAGATAATACCCTGAGTGTTCTGGAAATAGTGGCGCCACAAAGGACGAATCTTATCCTGACCACCGACATCCCACACGGTGAACTGAATGTTCTTGTATTCGACAGTCTCGACGTTGAATCCTGCGGGAGTCAGTTCCCGACACGCTGTTTTACGGACACGGCGTATTCCGAAAGGCGCATCGCCATGTCGCCGGTGGAGAGGGTCGGACTAACCAATTGTAGGGATGGTGGTGACGATTTCACCGAGCTTGAGCTTGTACAGAATGGTGGTCTTACCAGCGGCATCAAGACCAACCATCAGGATGCGCATCTCCTTGCGACCCCATAGTCTATCAAACAACCGCGAGAAAGTAATACCCATATTGTCGGCGAGAAAAACCTCGGAATCCTGAGCGGGAGGGGTTGATAAGTCAGGAGATATCAAGGGATATTGAAAGGGGAGAAGCGGAGGGGTTGGAAAACGTGTTGTGGACTTGTCGGTCAGAGATCCAGGGGGGCAGGGTTCTGGGCACGAGCCAGTGAAACACGAGCAAACCACTTACCGGCAGAAAAAGGTATAAAGTTGGTGGTGTTAAGTTGAATGTTCAGGGGAATTCTCAAAAGAAGGGGAGTTCGAAGGGGAAATTTGGATTGTTTCTTTTTGTTTTGAATACGCAGAAATACGCTGGCCGATGGCGGTGGGCGTAGTCTTCGTCACCCGGTTGACTTGGAAGAGCACGCAACCGTTCAGAACGGAGGCTGAGAGCAGTTGCAGAACTAGCACCTTACGATTCTACACATCGAGGTTATATGGGGTGATGGTGATAATAGTTCTGCCTATGGGGGACTATAGAGGGCATTCTGGGAAGAGGACACGGTGTTGGTCCCTGTAAGTGTAATACCGTCCCCCAGGCTCTTGGGCTGAGACCCTCTGGTCCCACTGCTCGTGATAGGCCGACTCCAACACTTATCGTTCATTCTGGTGCAGCCCACTTTCTTCGTCATCGCCAATGTCTCTTATTCGGATCGTCGTGACATCCGTTGCCGAGAGTTTCGGAAGAACGTTTTGACCATCGAGCGATAGATCGGCTTGCCTTCCATGGTATTGCTGGCGTACCCGAAGATCGTCAACAGCAAGATGGTTAACACAAAGATGACCGCGAAGCTAATCCAGTACTCCGTTTTGGTGTACCCGTTCTTCACCCCAATAAGTTCAGTCGAGAAATATGCACTCATTAAGCTGACCGGCAAGAACAAAATGGTCGCCTTGGCGAGGAGAATGGTGATGCGAGTGAGCTTCTCAACCGCCTGCGAGTCCTTGAGCGCAATCAAGTTGAAATTCTAGACGACGTCAGCAGGGATCGCGGAAGAAAATTAACAACCGAGATACTGACCAAGAACGTTAAGGACTCCTTCTCATTGAGACAATTCTCAATCTCGCTCAAACAGTAAAGATTGATACGATCAGCCAACCGTTCGAACCGCGCCACAGCCGTCGAACTCAGCTGCACCCCCACCGATTTCTCGGCTGTATTATAGACCCCGTGATTGCTCACGAGGCTCGATTGGCGCATATCATGGAACTCCATATCGCCGAAGGTGGCTCCATATGAAATTGTGGGCTGGGAGGAACGGGCCTCGTCACGGAGCATGCGTTGCCGTTGCAACAGTCGCTGCATGATAAGCTCGTAGCTTTGATACAATCGTTTAAGAACTGCGAGTCGCCTGCCCAGCCAGTGCAACTCATTCACCAAATCCACGACCGGACGGTCGAGCATTTGGCGCCTCTGCGACGTGTCAGCCATTAGAAGCAAGAAAAAAAAAGCATTTTATTTTGCAGACAATGCTCACCAGTTTCTCCAAAGCAACACCATATTTATGCTCTCGCTTTGCAATAAGTCCATAACTCGACATCCAATCATCAAATATATAATAAAAGAGCAGACTCGGTCCATCTTCCTGCTTGATATTGGCGTGGTCCGCTCCAAGATCACTGAAATGTCGCACGCGGATGCTAATTAGCGATTCGCTCTCGGTCATGACAAAGTGTTGTTTTGATACACCAGCGAAAATGAACTGGATATTCCTGCGCACGATATCCAAGACCGGCTTAGCTTCGACTATCGGCACTCCATCCTTTCGTCTTGCGAAAGGATTCTCTTGAATTGAAATTATTGTACCTGCGAACAAGTCAGCGGCTATACTTAAAGCGCAGAGTGGCTTGTTCCCGTGATGAATCGTACCATCTTGACACTGGATCAACCAGGTCCAAAGCCGCTTTCCATCTGGGAGATCCTCGCCATTCGACTGTGATAAGGTGGGGATCACAAATAAAGTATTGTAGCCGATGCAGGTGTCTGATGGATGTTTAATGGTTACTCGCCTCATTCGGGTATGATATACTTACACCGGGGACCATGATCCACCGAAGAGAAATGCCAAATTTGGTCGGCGACTTGCCCAAAGGTGAGGCTCTTCTCGCGGGCTCTATCTGCATCGGGGATATGTTTGAGCGCACTTTCCGCATCATCCACTTCATGCTGGAAGGATGGCGCCACACTGGGTGACATCGAAGCTCTTTTGGTTGGTATCGGTGTAGGTTCGGGCTCTGGGCGCACTGGTTCTGTGCACATCATTCCCTGTAGTCGTTCCGATACCCCATAATGGGCAGTAATAGCCTGCGCATCGTCAGTTATCATCGCTGCTCATATAAAATGAAATCAATTGTACCTTTATGCTTTCCTTCTGCTCCTCTGGTGCCCAGATGTTACTATGTTTGCGACGTCAGTATGCACCCATCAGTAGTACGCTTGGGAAACCAGCTCCTACATCCACCGTGTACCTAAACACTTGGCTCTCTATATCATGTTAGCCATTGGTCATTGGGCGGAAAATACGATCCAGCCGCGGGGTCCAACATACGGGCTTGCTTAGCAGTAGCTTCAGCTCGCTGGTGTTTAGATCGGACGCACACCATGCATCTTCATTGCCGAAATCCAACACAAAATTCTGAGTCAGAGGGTCCTTCAGACGGTGCATAGCATGATAGAACTGAGTCTTATCATCGATATCTTTGAACCTTTCCATAAGCGAGCCATCGTGGTCAAGACTGGCGTAGTAGTCCTGCGCCATAGTTGAGTCGCGCGAATCTGCCGTTTCAGACATGCTGAAGTAAAGCACAATAGTGTGTTAGGCTCTACCTCTTATAGAAAAAGTCACACTTAAGCCCAAAAGATGTGGTCCAGAAGCTGAACTGCAAGATCAGCTGTCGGGTCAGGAGGGGGTATCTCATCGGGTAACTGCGAAGAGTCACTTGGGCATACGAACAACCTCAATAATACAATGACAGAACTGGGATATATTGTGAAGATATAAGAAGAAAGGCAAGTTTAAATACGCAATCAGCTACAGAATAGCAACCCGGGTGTGGCAGCCTCCAGGATTAAAATAAACGGGCAAAATACCCCGACGCCTAGGGGGTGACCAGTCATCTGAGGCTGGCACTGCCGCCAGTCACGTTTAAGCGCTGCGATCATCTGCAGCCCCGACAGGCTATGTCAAGTTTGTTTCACCTCTCGCGATTCGTCCTAAATTAGCTGCCCATTCGCTCTTCTTTGTGGGTAGCGGCGTTCCCTCTTAGCTGAAGCTTGTGTGTATCATCGGTCATTCGGCCTGTTGTACATATTAGGTGAAATGATCAGGTGGTGTTCATGACGAGGAGGGGTCCAGAGGGCGCATATATCCATACTATATTCACCAGGCCAGCGTCTTCTAATGACTTAATCTAGCTCAGATGGAATGAGTATGACCGGTTTCATGGGGTGTGACTCGGCTCGTGTTTGGGGGCTGATCAACCTTGGTGCCTACACAAGGTAGATCTTCGGCAATACGCAACTTGAACAGCATTTGAAAGGCTTGAGGCTGTGAAATAAACCTTCTGAGACATATTGCCACGATAATACAACTACAGAACAATATTCGTGGGGAGAACAATGACATAGTAAATCGTAGAGCAGGCGCATATAGAAGCGGGTCATGCGGGTCCGACTCCGGACCTGATGTATCACTGCCCACGATCGATGCACATATATACATACATACCTCGAGGTACAGTACCTAGGAATATACAAAAGATGTAGCCTTGAGTATGCAACTATGATTCGGCCCAGGTAAAATGGAAAATCAACAGAATCTTGGCTTCCTTCTCGAACTTCCCTCAATTCAGATTGGCCTGGATCTCGATCAAATCAATATCCAAAGTTGGCTTGCTGGCTGACGAGTTTCATACTATTCCTTTAAACTCACCACTGGCTAAACCTAAATGTAGGTAGGATACTCCGTATGTCATCTTGATATATACTTTTACCACTTCAATCCGATGCCCAGAGGTAGACTTCATGTACTGTGATGAATTCCATTCGTAGATATTTTGTATGGTTTGTTTTCCCAAGCATCCGATGAATAAATGAGATCAAATTTGCTTGCAAAAAAATCATCTCTCATTCACTGGTTCAAATATGTATCCATGTTCACCTCTGCGTACCTAGATACGTACCTAATCTCTGTTTTTGTTGTCCGAGGTGGGCCGACGATTGGCTGGGCGAGAGGTATTGATTCTCCCAGTATGTGGCAATAGCATGTGAACTGAGCAGTCAAATTCAAGGACATAGAGACAGTCGAAATCGATAGAATAACAATCAATTTCCTCAACCATACTGTTAGTTTTCTAAGGTCACGATGCGGAAGCCTCAAAGATGTCGATGTGACGCCTCAGGCCACGAGATGAGTCAGCTAGGGCACCGCTAATCCACATGTGGACTAGCGCAGGTCCACACCCACAAGCGGAGAAATTCGCGGCCCTCGACAATTTCTTTTCTCAAGCATTCAGCGCAGAGCCATACCATAAGAATTTCAACTTCTTTTGGAAGACTGTAGCAATCATGTCCAAGATCACAGTCGGTACGTTGCTACTCATACCTTCAATATCAAGATCATCACACTAACTGCTCTTTCCTTCCACAGCCGGAGTGCGCCAGAATGTCGAGAACCTTCTCAACTACTCTCTCAATGAGAAGAAGCGTAACTTCAACGAGACCGTTGAGCTTCAGATCGGCCTGAAGAACTACGATCCCCAGCGTGATAAGCGTTTCTCTGGCACCATCAAGCTTCCTACCGTCCCCCGCCCCAACATGGCCATCTGGTGCGTTTTATCCCGATACGTCCGCCGCGCAGACTTTTGCGCCCGTTCATGACTGCGGAAGCGAAAAGTCCCGGCAAATTGGATGAATTTCAAAGCTAACAGACGAATTCTATAGTATTCTTGGTGACCAGCACGATCTCGATCGTGCCAAGCACCACGGTATTGATGCCATGTCCGTTGACGACCTCAAGAAGCTCAACAAGAACAAGAAGCTCATCAAGAAGCTTGCTCGCAAGTACGATGCCTTCCTTGCCTCCGAGGGTCTGATCAAGCAGATTCCCCGTCTCCTCGGTCCCGGTCTGTCCAAGGGTAAGTTATTCCTGCCATGGATCTCCATCCATACAAACACGACACTGAGCATATACTGACTTCTCTACAGCCGGCAAGTTCCCTACCCCCGTTTCCCACAACGAGGATATGGCCGCCAAGGTCACCGATGTCAAGTCCACCATTAAGTTCCAGCTTAAGAAGGTTCTGTGCCTCGGTGTTGCCGTCGGTAACGTCGAGATGGAGAAGGAGGCCCTTGTTGCCAACCTCATGCTCGCCATCAACTACCTCGTCTCCCTCCTCAAGAAGGGCTGGCAGAACGTTGGCAGCCTTGTCATCAAGGCTTCCATGTCTCCTCCCCACCGTGTCTACTAGATTATCTGTCGCTTCACTGCGCCGGGTATCTTTAGACTGAGTCTGAGAACTGGGTTTATGTCATAGTCTCACGACTGAAAAAAATATGAAGCTCATGATCGGTCTCGATTTATTTTCTATTTTGAGTAAATTTGTGGTAATGCTTAGGGTGATGTTGTACATTATATTGCTCGTTATGTAAATAAGGAACTTGTATGGTACACGTGCATGGGGGTCTAATTTACTCCATGCCTTGCATCAATTCGGTCTTATCCAGAATCATGCCCCGCATGCCAATGAACTCGCGGAGGCTCTCCCATTCCTCGCCGACCTCTTCGCCTCTCATATAAGGATCCTTGAAACCCCATGCGAGAGCAACTCTATCCATAGCTGCGCGCTCTTCCTCGCGCAACCACCGTTGTCGCAGAGGAATACCGGGGATCCAGACCACACGTTCCATTTGATCATTAGCTGTGGTAATGGCCAAGATACCCATGGAGGATGTACCGCCGACGTAAGCCAGCGTAGCAGCGAACGCGATTCCAGTAGCCACGTTAGGATCCATGGTGTTTTGGAATGTTGCGGCCCACGAGGCGAGCGCATAGCAAGCAGCAGGGGCAGCCGCAAGACCGATGAGCGGAACACCGGCTTTCTTGAAGATCTTTGCGCGGTGGAAGGCAGGAGCGCAGAAGGTGTTGTCAATAATGGCTAGAACGAGTGAGAGATTCTTCTGCGCAATAGCAACATCAAGAGCCTTGTTGGCCAACTCTGCTGGAACGGCACTGTTGACACTCTTGGGGTTGGGCTTGAGCAATTTCACTGGGGAGCTGTTCTCCTCTGGCACAGGCTTGTAGGCATAAAGGTGGAAGATCTCCGGGAAGTGCTCGGCCTGTCGCAGCAGGGTCAGGGTCTCAGTGCAAGCGGCCAGGGCTTCAGGCGAGATGAAGACCTTCTCATCCTTGAGGATTTGGATGGCAATGTTCGAAACCGCGTCTGCTAGTCGTGGGTCCGGGTGTTGTGAGGATTGTGGTTGTCCTTTGCTCCGCGCAGCATTTTGCTTCTCCTCCAGGTTCAGTAAAGATGAGATCGCGTTGCCCTCACCTGTTGAGGACCCTTCATTTTGATCACGTTCTCGTGAGACCAGGGTTTCAGCGAGCCGCTGGCATCTCTGTAGCAAGTCCACTACCACTTCATTGGAGGCCACGGCGTCCGATTGGTGCAGGGCAGATGCATCCCGCTCAATCTCTTTGATTACGGTCGCTGGACTTCCCTTGGCGGCTGCGGCGGAGGCATATCGGCGGGAAATGAAAGAAGGAGAAGTCAAAGCCAATCTCTCAGTGCGCTTCGACGGCTGTAAACGGAGATTGGAGGCCGTAGTTCGACTTGCGGGAGAGGTGGGTAGGCGTGCGATAGGGAGAGCACGGGGCGCTGAAGTCGAGAATTGACATAATTGACATATCGGGCCGTGCGACCGGGAGCCCTTTTGGGCTGTCAAAGCAACTCTCTTCATGGCTGTGGTGACGAGTGACGTTGTGAGGCAGCTGTGTTTTTTCGATGGGAGTCTAGGCGGAGACTTCGCCCCGGCGCTGTCCACTTCCCCGTACTCACACCCTGACGTCTTATTACCTCTCTGCCTAACAACTACAGATTCCTTTTAGACAGGGAATACATCTCCCATTCTGATACCTTTCTAGATTATATGCAGCTGTCTAACTGCTAGACTTATTGATCGATCTCCAGCCATGCCACCACCACCTCCTCCCCCGCCGCCGCCGCCGGGAGGTTTGGGCGGTCCTCCTCCGCCGCCTCCTCCAGGAGGACTCCCAGGCAGACCTCCAAAAGGACAGGCCAAAGACCGAGTGAGTGAATTCGGAAGCATATTTCCATTGCCCCGAAAGAACATTGCCCAAGGAACTCTGTAGCTAACGTCTAGATAAGGGCGCACTTCTTTCCGATATTCACAAAGGTACCAGGTTGAAGAAAGCTGTTACCAATGACCGATCAGCACCTGTCGTCGGGAAATCAGGAGGTGGCTCAGCGGCTCCTCCTATCGCGAGTGCACCGCCTGTTCCTGGTGCAAGGGCACCTCCAAGCGGGCTTGCGCCGCCTGTGCCTTCCGGGCCGGCCGCGAACCGATTACGCAGCAATAGCGAAGGAGTCTCCGGCGCAGATAGTGCGGCTGGCGCAACACCGCCTCAGTTAGGGGGCCTCTTTGCAGGTGGAATGCCGAAGTTACGCAGTCGTGGAGGTGTCGATACGGGCGCTACTCGAGACTCACCATATATGTCTGATACCGAAGGTGCACGTCGACCCCCTGCTGCTCCAGCCCCCAAGCCTCCCACAGCCCCCCGACCCCCTGGGGGCAGGCCACCCCCTCTTCCTCCTTCAATGGATTCTCCGCCCGCACCACCGGTCAATCATTTGGTTGCCGGCTTGAAGAAGCCTCCCCCGCGTCCTATCTCAAGAGCCTCATCCACGGTCTCGGCGCCAACTGCAAAGGCTCCAGACGTGCCACCCCCACGTGCACCCCCTCCACCTCCAGCACCGGGTAAGCTCCCACCTCCACCTGCATCGAGGAGACCCTCCGCGCCCCCGCCACCTCCACCATCAGCCCCGGCGACTCGGGCACCTCCTCTCCCCGCCGGCTGCTTCCAGATCAACACCACCACCTCCTCCTCCTCCTGCAGCAGCACCGCCATCAATTGCTGCCCAGGCTGCCCGTTCCGCGCTGGGACAACACTCCTCGCCTTCGGCACCACCCCCACCACCCCCATCAGCTGCCCCAGGTGCTCCACCACCACCTCCACCTCCAACCTCACTTCCTGCAGCTCCTCCAAGTGAGCCGCCATTCCGCCCTTCTCCTGTTTCCTCCCGCCCCGCTTCACACGAACCCTTTACAGCGCTGGATCCAAGCGCTTATACACTTTCCAATGGTGGATCGCCTGCACCAGCCTCACGCAGCCCCTCAGCACACGGCCCATCAGCTCATGGCCCAGTCCGAATAGAAGACGTAAGATTCAAGTTCCAAAGTGATGGGCTGCTCTCCAAACCACGGCAGTTTGTTGGTGGAGTCCGCCGATACCGCGCCGGAAGGGGCAGCAGTGTTCCATTGGACTTGAGTGCTTTGCGTGGATGATAGAAGTGCATGGGAAATTGCGGGCGATATCGTGCACACATAGTGAATTACTATACATAAACTCTTTTACAAAGTCATCTATGTAGGTAATTTTTGCTGTAGTGAAATCTGTACAACAACCTCCATTTTTCACACCTTGTAAAGGCAATCTTCTACTTCCAACTCTGTACTCTGCTCAAATCGACTTCTTATACTTCGTAGTGCTGGAGCTCCTATCAAAGCTAATCTCCGGCACGTGATCTAATCGGGGATGTCAATCGACCAGCGCGGAAAACAATGAAGCAACTCGTGCTGCCACCAATTCTTCAGCTCTTCGTCAAGATCAACGGCTTGTGTGCTTCCAGACGGACTTTGATACCTCGAAATCATTAATAAGGATTCTCACTATCCACATTCGAAAGGTGTCCACGATACAGAGCTGCTCCGCGCCATTAGCATCATCTCATATTCAATCGGACACGGACTTTGAATAGAGCTCCTGCGGCTTGAATTTTTCTCTTGTGGAGTTTGAAGATATTCTTTGAATCGACATCGCCATTACACAAACAACCGCGATCAATCCAGCTCTTTACCTCGGCGCAGGCTTTTTGCGCCAAGTGACGGACACAACAGTGAACGAACATCCACGCATCCTCTCCTGGTCACGCAAAGCTCGAGACGCATTCTAGACCAATCGAACGGACTGTGACCGAGCCTGAGAATCAAATCAATCCGTCGTGCATCCAGCTGTACCGAATCTACCGCACAATTGAGATACCCTTGCACTTTGTTAAAACGCCATTCTCTTACCCATCATGTCTCTCCACGAATACATCAATAGTGAGTTCTACAGTTCGCTGATACGCTTACATGTATCTGGCAACCTTGGGTAGAGATCGAGTGCTAACCACCGAACGAATAGAAAAGGTCCTGATCATCACAGTTGACGGCCGGAGTCTTGTCGGCGATCTCCTGTCAACCGATCAAATGACCAACCTCGTGCTTGCGAATACCGTCGAGCGCATCATCCGCACCCCAGATGATGATGAGCCCTCAACCGAAATTGAGCACGGGCTGTACCTGATTCGCGGCGATAATGTGGTGATGTGCGGTGAACTAGACCCGAAGATGGACGCCGAAATCGACTGGACCAAAGTGAAGGGCGAAGTAATCCGGGACACGAAGAATGCATAAGCGGGCCTTGCATGAAGGACTATTTTCAACTATCATTTTTCGGGCGTTTGGGGGGGAAACCATTTGCATGCGGCATAATAATGATCTAGCAAGACGATGAATCATGGTATTTGCTGTGTTGCAAGGGCCTTGGCCATTGAATCCGGCATTGCGGGTTTGGCCTCTGGCCCTATGCACCGATACGTTGGGTGGGTGCTGGATGACGACCCGTCGTGGTTTGGTGATATCTGTGGGTCGCGAACTACGGCGATCTTCTATGAGATGTCGATGATTTGCTCGCTCTATCGTCTCTTATGCAATGGCTACACGCGAGATTCTATCTGGGATGGGAGATCTGGCATATGGTCGGCATTCTTGCCTTCACATTCTCGAAAGAGTCTGCGGGGCACAGAGCACAGACGATGGGGGCAGAGACAGTGTGGGTTTGCAACAGAAGGGGTTGAATTCTATCTCCAAGGTCTCCATTGGGAGGCTGGCCCCTACGTCCTCACGAAGGAATGTGACCTGACATCATGATCAGATTCAGTCTAGGGGCATCTCACTACCAATCTCTACCAATTCCTACTCCATACCGCTTACATTCTTATTAAAAGGACCGTTTGCAGCCACGTCCCGTCTGTGACTCCACGCGGGAAAATGCCAAGACGGAGGCCTGAGGGCGAGTACAACGGTTGTAGTCCAGCGTACGGAGGACGGAGGACGGAGTGTACGGTGTACTCCGAATGGAACTCAACGTAGAAATGAGAAGTGGACTAGGCATGTTCATGACATACCCACCTCGAACCTCAAATAGTCTTTGTCGATGCGCCCAGGTACCTTCGTTGGCGATTGCATGCCCCTGTCGGGCCTTGGCGCATTAAGTTAGGAGGCCGTACGGGCAGTCCTGGTGGGCAATGGGAGGTGTACAGGGTATTCGGAGGACATATTGCAAGATCATTTGTAGAAACGAAAAGTAGTCGGTCAGCGCAACGCACAGCAATGAGTTGTACATGAAATTTAGTTCGTTTGGGACGAAAAAGACGAAACATTCAGGCAAAAAGTCCCGACGCCCGCCCCCTCAAACCTCCTAATTACTTCTCTTCCTCACCACGCCATTTCCCCTTATACCCTCTCACTCTCACTCTTTCTTACTCTCGCTTCACCTAGAGATCGCTGGGCGATCTTCAATTTCTACTCAAGCACCCTTTGCGCTATTTCTCCCCCTATCCGCTCAGCCCTTCATGTGTCCGATAGTATCACTACACAACAACGAGCGAATACCGGGTCAATTCTACCAGTTCTCCCGGGCTGACACTTTGTCGTGAATTGTCTACATCTAGCCCAAAAGCAGTTCAATAAGCAAACCCGAAACACCCCCCACTCTGCTTCCCCCCCCGCGGCCATGTGGCTCTTTCGGGGCGCCCAGTCCGCTGTCTTCTACTATGCCTCTTGCACCCCCTGCGCGGAAAATACCGATCGTCGGAAGCGTAAGAAGGATGCTGTCAGAGTCCAACGGAAGAAGGAGAAGGAGCGATGTGATACAGAAATCATCACCGACCAACCTCGTCCGTTCCCTCAACCAACCCCTTTCAGCACCAATGTAGGATGGCGAGAGGAAATCGCTCTGGGCCCTGGCCCTCCACCCCGTCGAGGTGGTCATCGCAATGCGCAACGGACAGACAGTTGGAAAACCGACCAGAGCTCTCAACTAAAGAAGGACAAGAGTGCCGGCCTAATGCATCCCATTGGCGAAAAGTGGAAGGAAATGCGGTACCAGCGCGAGGATGAGCCTCTTTGGGGTCAACAGGAAGTGCGTGGATCGTCAATTGGATTCTCTGGACGTGGTCGTGCAGACCCAAATGAAACCTCCAAGTACTATACCCCTCGCGTGCCTCCTGTCAACGATCTCCACCCGCCCATTGTCAGCGGACCAACCACTCGTGCCGCCACCAGATGGATGCTTCAGCCGCCACCCAGTGCCCGTGTGATGGCTGGGAAAGCAGACGTGACTTCCCCGACTGTCGCTTCACCGACTGTCAGCTCCCCAGCTCGGGATGGTCTCTATGGACTTGGTAACCAGTACCGATCCCGGAACACGAAGAACATGACCAGAGAAATCGAGCCCGAAAAGATCATCAGTGAGACTGGTGATGGCGCTTCCGATGAAACCACTCAGAACCATCGCGCGCGCCGGCCATCTCTGACTCGTCTCCGTGTCGACGCCGAGGGTCTCGACCCAGCATCGCACTCCCGCTCTGACTCTATGTTCTCCACCACCAACTCCGACTCCCCAAGTCTTTCCTGGAAGTGCCCTGATACTCCTACCTCTCGGCCGCAATCCAAAGCGACCAATGATAGTGGCAAGTTCTACCGCGCAAATATCTCGAAGACTCTCTCCACAATGCACCGCGACAATAAGGACATCCACCTACTCCATCTAGAGATCAACGACGATAACCGCGATGAGATTGGTCTGGGTCAACTGCAGCCCATCCGCCCATGGCGTTGGAGCATGGACATCTAACCCCCTTTTGAACACTCACCCTAAAACCCTCATCCCCGACAATCACTCCCCCATTCCATCCCGCTTCCCCAGGTTTAGTCTACACGGCGTTTGAAGCATCAAGACCAGCGAACATTTGCGTTTTTGTTATTCTTTTTTCCTCGTCCTCGAACTCTATCTTGAGTAATACTCGATCACTCAAACCAACCCCCTCGCTGTCGGGAACCTCAGATCCCACAATAGACATGTTACCTGGCCGGCCCAGTACACAGCGCGAATTGCCCTCGTCTCCCAAAACTTCTCCCGTTGCGTTTTTGCGCAACAAAGGACGGTCGAGTTCTCCAATGACAGTACTCCCCCACCCACCATTCACTCCTTTTTTTCCTTGTCTCTCTTTGTTTTTGTTTTTCTGGGACATTTCTGTGGCCCACCTCCAGACTACTCACTCTTTACTTTCCTTCTAGATATTATCCCTTGTACCATAATCACGCCCTCTGCTTACTTGGGTTCCTCAGTACATAGCGTTCGAACAATCGATGTTTTTCTCTCTCTTGTTGTGGTGCGATATATATCCATAGATTAGGGTCTTGTCGTCTTAGCTAGAATCTATAGTTCAACGTTATATGTTTCCATCCCGGTTGTTTCCAGGCACTGTTATGTTCGGATCGTGATTATATATAGCGAAACCTACGATTGTGTCCATCCCAGAGCCCATGTACTATATGCAAACCCAATATCACTCGAATGATAAGAACAGGGGTGCCTCTAGATCGGTCTAGAGCAGACCATGCTTCGCCAGAGGGCTACAGAGATCTAGACAGTCTTAGTAATACAAAAGAGAGACGTGATCTACCAAAACAAGCTTTACACCCATGATCTAAGACAGGTAAGATCCGGGGTGGAATTTCGATGTTTCACAATATCTAAAATGTGAGATAGAACAATAATAAGTTCGAAGTAAAAGGTTCGCGCCGATACCCGAGGGATTCAGCGTTAAATTTTTTCGATTTCAGCTTGTCTTCGTAAATGCCAATCAAGATGCATGTTAGAAACATCGTATGCAATGGGAGTCTTTTTGTTTGATCTTGGAGATCAGAACGAAAAAAAAAGATCCGGGATGGAACAGGTACAAAAAAATAGGGAACGCAAACGCAAACGCAGGAGACGGAGTAGATCATTTGATCTTCTCGACGTTTCAAAAGAGAAAAGAGAATATTCCAAATGCAAACAACGCCCATCCCGGCTATGCATAGCCTCCATAAACTAGCCGAGGGTCAAAGGGAGCCCCGTGTTTAGATGCTCGGAGCCCGCGGAGCACTAGTCAGTGCAGCCCTTTTTTTTCATTTCTTTCCCTCTTCGTTGTGTTTTCTAGATCGATGCAAGTGCCGGGAGATATATAGAGAAAAAGTAAATCGGGGTTTGATCTCCTTTTGCTCTAGTAAACCTTCTTCTTCTCGTCCATGCTCAATTGGCCGGGACCCATGTTCACCAGGAGGACCAGACCACCACTATAAATGTAATTAGTATTGAGGATAAGCGGATAAGAGCCGGAAAGAGAGAACATACACAATGGATAAGATCTGGAAGAAGTCGTACTTGGCGAAGTCCTTTTGAGGGTGGTGGGCATGGAGCTAGATATAACTGTCAGTAAACATAAGTGCAAGGAGTTCCTTAGTAGACATACCGTCCAGAAGTTGTTCACAAACACGTTGAACAGACTCAGCAGGACCACAAGAATGATGGCGCTCCACTTAGCCTTGAAGCCAACAATGACCATGACACAAGCGACGAAACCGAACAAGCTGACCAAAATGCGCCAGAAGGTCCATTCGCCGGAGAAAACGAATCCAATGAAGAGGAAGATCAACAGCACACGGCCAGCGAACTGGACGTACATCTTGCGATCCTTCTCATCAAGCTGGGGCAGACCGGCCGGGACGAACTTCTTGCGCACCCACGAGTCGGACAGCACCATAAGCAGGCCGCCGACTACACTCAAGTTGCGGAGAAAGAAGTTCAAGTCGAAAATAAGACCGTATCCAAGACCCTGTGTGATGACGACGCCTAACAATCCGGCGACGGCGAACTCGGTGCGTTTGCGGGTGATAACCAAAGTCGAACAAACAGACATGGCAATGACGTTGATAATCAGGAACAGGTGCGTGAGGCCCCATGGAACTAAAGGCAAAAGGGAAGCGCGTTAGATCACGATATAGAAGTGGTGTGGGACCCTCGGCCCCAGTCCGCGCGGATCAGGGTCCAAGAGCACAGGGTATCTTACTCTTCCGGAAATCATGGAGGTAGAGGAGCTGGTCGGACCATTGTGTAAGGATTCGCAATGAGTCTTCGATGAAGGTCACTACAATCAAGAATCGGCCGACGGCGGGAAGGTACCTGCAGAGTAGAACAGCGTGTTAGTGCATGCCTCGAATCCCTTGTTTTGAGCTCTCTCGCGACGCTAATCACAACATGCAGGAGATACTTCAAAACATAGGTAGTGAGATTGTAAACATACGGCTTCACTGGATCAGCCAAGGTATCTAGCCAGTCCTCAATCTTGCTTGTCTGCTCGCGGATAGCATCCAGTGGACTTGGGTCGTTGGTGGCATTTGCGCTACCGGGCCCGCCAAACGGGTTTTGGTGGCCGAGGTTATAGCCCGCAGTGCCACGGATTTGGGCCATGGCGGAAGTATTTGAACGAAAAAAAAATAGAGATTGAAGAAGAGAAGAAGTGAGAGATGAGTTTATAGGTCGAGGAAAGAAGAGTCCAAGGACGACCAAAGGAGTAAATACCAAGGAGTTGTATACAAAGCGTCCTGCTTCAGGCCACGATGACCGGAACTCACCGCTAAACCCGATTGGGCTTAGTGACGACACTCCACTCTGCACATTATTTGCAGTGATGTGCGCTATTGACCTGTCGACATTCTTTTATTTGCTTTATTGCTTCAGAAAGCATAGGCGTTTATGGTTTCATTGCAATACAGATCTTGCCAGCTAGTTCTCAAAAAAAAAAGAAACGTACATAAACAAAGCGTCAGATCCAGACCCGCAATTCTGCTTTTGTTGTTTCCGCAGTGCAGTTCTCCCTCCATGCTCATTAGCAAGGGGAATCTGCCAATTTCGCTCCTAATGCGCTGTCGTAACCTCCCGGGCCCCATCGTGGCTAAGGGGAGAGAGAGACTGCTTGAATGATGTGACACCCCCGGAACGCAAAAAAAAAGAAATAATCAAACATTGGGTAATAAATACATTTCAAGAGGAAGAGAGAATAGAGAGTCTTGATGTTGGAGGTAAGAGCTTAAGCAGCCCAGTCAGAGTCCAATGGGTGACCCTTCTCGCGCGACCGCAGGATGTCGGGAAGGTAGGTAGGGGTCACTGTCACGCGTGGCTCAACTGGAACGGGAGCCACAGCGGACTGGTTGTCGGAAGCACTGGTCTCGCTGACACTCTCGTCAGCCTTGCCACCCTTCTTCTTGGGCTGCTTCTTGGAGACAGTGGTCCATTCATCATCACCATTGGCAGCTCCCAGGAGGCGCATCTGCTCCTCCTCTGAGGGAAGGTTTTGGGCCCACTTAGTAGGAGCAGGGGCAGCAGACTCGAAGGTATCCAGGAGGTCCGTAGGGGCGGTGGCAGGGGTAGCAGCGGAACGGGATCCACCATTGACCACGGTAGTCTTCGCAGCAGGGGCCTCCTTGGTCTGCCAGGCGTTGGCAGCGGGAGCGGTGGACCGAGCAGCCTCGCGACGCTCAGCCTCACGGGCGGTGTGCAGCTGCTTCTCAAGCAGCTTCTTGCGCTCAACCTCGGCCTCCTGAACCTGTTGCTTGCGAGCCTCATTCTTGAGACGCTGCTGGCGCTGCTTCTTGGTCTCAACTTCCTTGAAAGCCTGAACCTTCTGCTTCTTGGGCTGGTTCTCAACATTGCCAGTGACGCGAAGCACAGATGCAGCTGGGGCGGGAGCCTCCAGCATGTCAGAAACGTATCCAGCGGAGGGAACAGTGGCGTTCACCGAGGGAGAGGCGACAGGGGACAAATCATCGTCAGCCTCAGCGCCAGTGGTCGAGGAGGCACGGGTATCGCTGGCAGAGAGCTGGGCAGCCTTCTTCTTGTTCTTCTTCTGGCTCTTGGTTGGGGCGGCCTGGGTAGGAGCGTTGGTCTTGAGGCCAGCCATACGGCGAGCCATCTCCTTGCGGTCGATTTCCTCATCTGGCTTCTCATCTTCAGTAGTGGGGGGCGAGACAACGGTCTTCACCTCGGACTTCTTGGCAGCGGCCGGCTCGGGAGCAGGCTTAGACTTGCGCTTTGATTTCTTGGGTGCCACCACGGGTTCAGCTTTCTCCACAGCAGCTCGGATCACGTTGGCCTTGGGGGTCGCGGCGTTGCCATTGGTGTAGTACCAGCCAAGGCCACCTGCCACAACGAGCAGGATAGCCCAGCTAATGTAGGGGTTCATGGTCATGGAGCTGTGCACTCATTAGTCAGTACCATCAACGTCAAAATCATGGCGAGCCTAGAGCTTACTGTCTGGTTGAGGTCAATTAAGCAAAGGATGAGAGTGGGTTAGAGGGCGACGTTGGATCAAAGTCGCCGGATGACGGGGTGGTACAATTGTGCACGCGCACCAAAACCTGACCACTGCTCTCAGCTACGATAGCTTTGAGTTGAATGCCACGAAGTTCAAGTGGCAAATCCCAATCAATTTGGAGTAGAGGGATCGATCGAGACTATGCGATCCAAGGTCGATTGCGCCTTGAGCAAATCCAATACGGGAGCTGTGGTTTGGTGTGACCGAAGCTGTCTCCGGAGGGAAGGCCGAGACGAGATTCAAAGACGTCAATGGCCCGTAGGGCGCTTGGACGATATGCGCGGGATCTCGTCGCAGATAGGGGCAACAGAAAGCGAGAGCGCACTGGCGCAAATCAATGGAGTTGGAATAAACAAGAGAAGAAGAAAATCGAAGTTGAGAAAGGAGGAAAGGCGAAGAGTAGAGGAAAGGGCAACCGTGGCAGATCCACCGGTATTGTAACGGTAATGACCGTATTGATCAAGGTCCAAGCCCTTGGCTTCCAAGTGAAATGTGTTCTGTACAAACAGCTTCTGGAGTCTGGACTTAGCCATAGTCACTTCCCTGAGTATTATTTGTCGATTCTGAAAGCGTCCTGCCATTTCCAGATCCCTCGATCATTTACGCTACACTTTACCTACATCCTAAGGGAGGTACCTGGGTACATGTAGATGTAGGACGAACTGTCTTACGGTATGGAGATTCAAATATGGGCTCGCAGCCCCTCATACTATACGTGTGTTGTATTCCGTACTTGGGGTGCTTGGACACCATCGTGGAAGTGAACAATACTCCGTACTCCATAGGAAATACATTGACTCCAAATTGAGGAGTGTGAACAGGCCACGTCTCCGCCTGTCTCTCTGCTCTCCGCTTTCTGCGTTCTCAACGGATTTATATCTTACTAGCGCGTCTTGGTCGTAAAGGACCTCCTGAGCACATATGATCTGGTTCACATTCGACTAGTCAATTTTCCCGGAGACCGGGGAGCTTCGAGATTGCCGATCCGGCAAGGATCTCTCTCTTCTTACCCCTTGCAGACACCCTCACGCCGGCCACGAGGCAGAAAGAAATCATCCGCTAAAACGACCAGATTGCAATTGGTGTTCTGCATTCGATGCGTATCTGAAGTATATCGAGTCTCGGCCAGTCTAGGACCTGCAGTATGCAGCGGCTGTTTGAAGAAAGGACTAAGATTGGTCCACCGGATGCGCAACTGAGCCGCCATCTTAGGTGTGACATACGTGTACTCCGTACTGTTAGTCTCAATTTACATGTAGTGACTTTATCTTTCCTGTCTTTCAGCTATCTTCTGTACTATTATATTCCTCTTGTTGTCGGCTGTGGTGATATCGATGACGATACAAATGCGACACAGCTTTCTTCTCCTTAGCTACTAGTCACTTACATACAGGCAAGAATCCATCAAGGCTGATTTGGATGGCCAGAAATAAACTAAATAGTACCCATGGATACTCATAGAAGCGTCTAATAAGGTAGATATCTATTGCCTGGCTTCTTTCTTGGAGGAGTGCCATTGCGGAACTTAGTTCTATGATGTACATGTATCCTCCTTTGTTGGGTTGAGAGGTTGGAGAGATGCTCAGTTGATCCCGAATATCCATTGTTTCCACTTATCATTTCATCATTTTGGCTCCTGCCTCAGAACCACTTCCATCGAACAGGTACGTTGTACATACATCGTCGGTACATCAGTAGGCGCCCGGGCTCGGGTCCGGGGGCGCACGGGCGCGCCCCGATATCGCCAGGATATCAGGGGCTAGGGCCGCCCAGCCCTCTGTACCTTCTTACAGCACCTCTTTTCCCTAACTCCTACCCCCCTACTCCGTACGGAGTACCTAGGTAGGCCTTTCCTTCCAGACTATGCCGAGGCTTGATGCAGAATAGCCGATATACACCTTTGTAATTTACAAGCTTCTTCTGTTTTAGCTTGATTTCTTGTCAACATCTGTGCTTAGATATAGTTCACTGAAAGACGAACTGTAGGCTACTGACAGTAAAAAGAATGTCCCCAAATCGCGTCATTGAGGAATCTGCTGTAGTAAGACGAACAGGCAGCTATGCTACGCATGCAATTACTTTATCTTCCATGTACTTCTACGATGACCAAAGACCCCAACACCGAGTCCATAAGTATAGACCCTTCCCCTCTGGATGCATATCAGCATAGATTGGCTGATCTTTCAATATCCACTGCATCTCCCGCATAAGGCTCTTGTATAAGTCTAATACCGGTTGTGCCCAACAGATCTCCTCGCAGTACCTACACTCATATCACACCAACTTCTCTTTGAATCATCACAGAACGTCGGGGAGAGAGTCAATCCTGGCCGCAATCATGGACGAAGACACGGGGGTCATTACCGGCTCATCGGCCAGGAGTGTCAACAGCTATCAAACGGTTCTGACCTGACTCCCATCGTTATCGCGACTAGAGGGAAAGAGATCACTGGGCTGAGGATCTTCCAAAGAACGACAGACAACCTCACCATGGAAAGAGCAAAATGCGCTGCTTCTAGCGATGCACGCCGACCAACCAACCGAGGACACGGAGATGACATACAGAGATAGAGACGCTCAGCATCTGCGCTTTTGAAAGCCAAAATCACCCAAGGCCCCGCTTGCACTCTTCATTCACGGTGGCAGTTGGCGTGTTGGAACAAATTTGGACTTCATCGGATCGGCCAAACTCAATCATTTAGTCAGCCAGGGCTACGCCTTTGCTACTGTTAATTAAACGCTCATCCCGGTTTTGACAGCGGAAGAGCAAGTACAGGAGGTGGCGGACTCTTTGGGATACCTAGTCAAACATGCAGCCAGGCTTCATTTTGATGCCGAGCGGATTGTTCTGATGGGACACAGTTCCAGTGCAGACGTTATCCCGCTTCTAGGGACTGATCAGCGATACCTGGAAAAAGCAGGAATTAGTATCCACACTGTGCGGGCCGTCATCGCTCTGGACGGCTCGAATTACAATGTGATCAGAGAGGTGAAGATGGATAATATTCAGCTATCTGAGCTAACTGTGAAGAAGGAGAGGGAAGCCTAACTAACTAGGCACCCCATGGGTGTCGCAACACAATGCACTGTCGGAGCTCTCCGATAGTCTGGGGTCGATAGCGGAGAATGCAGTCAAAGGGCTCGGCACGGGTCCTGAGCGACTGTGGGCTATGTCACCTACTTATCATGCTCGAGCGCCAAATGCCGGTGCCCTTTTGCTCCTTCATGTTCTTAGAGAAGGTGACATTCGCCAGGCGGTTGAATTGGCCGCGGCGCTGGAAGCTGCAAATAACGATGTCGCTCTGCATGTCTTCGAGGGTGAAGGGGTCGAAGGCCATGTGCGAATCCTCCCTACGTTTTGGCGATCTGAATTATCCTGCGACATTGGTAATGGATGAGTGGCTCAAACTGCATGTTCCGGTTGCAACTGGATTGAGAACCCCACGCATGGAAGCATCTGGTGGGGCATATTGAGGCTCGGCTTGATAACGGGGTTGGTTGGGTTCCTCGGCGCCCTCCGGGGGGCCGTCGGTGACCGGGATTTCAGACGTAACGCTGGACGAGTTGCCCTGTTGATTACAGGGATGTTGATGCTATATCGTAATATTATCTGGACTGCGGCATGTTCTGACGGGGATAAGATGGTTGGGAAGGATTGACCGTTGATGTGGAACTAGATACCGCCAATTAACAGTCTTTTTGATTGATGTAGTAGATCTTGTTAAACCTGGAGCTATGCCGCATTTCGCCTCGAACCGGAGGATATGTTGTTTACTCGATCACTGTGGAGTGCCTGATATAATTGCCTGCGGCCAAGGGTTGCCTAGTCGTTATAAAGCCCAACCCCGCAGCCGATAACATTGATAAGCTCCCACTTCTGCCATCTTTCGAAGGTCTGAAGCATAACAACATTCATCATGGGGAAAAAGATCATTATCGACACCGACCCGGTAGGTGACTTTCTTCTAATGCCATTGTTTTAGTACTGACGATTACGTAGGGCATTGACGATGTCCTCGCCCTTTTGTTAGCTCTGTCCGCCACCCCGGAGGAGGTAGAGGTTCTGCTCATCTCATTGACATTCGGTAACATCGAGGTGGAAAAGTAAGAGTCATGTCGCTCTCGTTGGAAGTTCAACTCGGCTGACCTGAAACATAGCTGTCTCCGCAATGCTGTGTCGATGTTCCACATCCTCGAGCGGGAGATCCAGTGGCGCCGCGAGAACGGCCGCCCCGAAGGCTTCGGCAGCCTGCGAGCTTTCCGCCCTATATTGGCTGTCGGCGCGGAGGACCCCCTCGAAGACCAGAAGATGCTGGCTGACTACTTCCGTATGTGTTGATCTGTCGCACTCTGGAGATCGTTTCCTGACACAAACCACAGATGGAACGGATGGACTTGGTGGCATCCATTCAACGGTATGTAGAGCTCCACCTACATTACCCCTCTATGGTCAAGAAGAACCTGGACTGAAATTTTCCATGAATAGCACCCACATCTGACTGCCTGTACCCCATGGGATCATCTCTTCGCCAAAACTGAAGGTGCCAAGGACATTCAGTCTACGGAGTGCTCAGGCCCTGACGACCACGCTTTTATCCCATCTAAGCTCCCAGCGCATAAGGAGATTCTCCGTGCGCTCCGCGATAATGAACCGGACTCAGTGACTCTAGTTGCAGTGGGACCCCTCACTAATTTGGCCTTGGCTGCAGCAGAAGACCCCGAGACATTCCTCCGCGTGAAAGAAGTGGTTGTCATGGGTGGTGCTATCAACCAGCCAGGAAATGTGAGCCAAACTCTTTTGCCTATCTGATAAACCTTGAACCTAAATGTGCTGATTTGTTTACAGGTGACACCCATGGGTGAATTCAATGCCTACGCGGACGCAGTGGCAGCCGCACGTATTTTCGCACTCACATCTCCCAACCCACACACTACAATCCCACCAACCAAGAGCGACCGACTCCCACCGTACCCAAAGAATCTCAGCCGGCAACTCACTCTACGTCTTTTCCCGCTGGACATTACACTTCGCCATAACATTTCACGCGGCCAGTTCCGGGAAGCCATCACACCCCTTCTGGCTGGCGGTTCTCCGCTCGCCGAGTGGGTGGATGCCTTCATGGGACATACATTCAGGACGTTGGAACGTCTACACCCAGGCCATGTTGGCGACGAAGCCATGCTGAGTTTGCACGATCCTGTTTGCGTCTGGTACGTCCTTACATCCGAAGACCCGAAATGGGTTTACGCTGCCAACTCGCCTGAGGATATCCGCATCGACACATTGGGCCAGTGGACTCGTGGTATGTGTGTTGTTGACCGTCGGAACCGCCACCGCATCCAAGGCGAAGAGGAAAGCTCCAGTGATCATGGTCTCTGGCTGAGTGACCGTGCTGGAAATCGCATCTGGCGCATGGATGGGTCTCCCGCAGAGGACAACTTCGGCGACGTTATCATCCAGAGGCTCTTCAAGTAAGTTATATTGGAGAAATGGTAAGGAGGGAATATAGTAAGTATAGACGCATTTAGCTTTTGATTTCTATAGAGTCTAGAAAACATGCTCCGCCTTTTGGATTCTGAAAATACCTTCGATAAATATTGAATATCTTTTGCTAGGATTGATCTACATTTGGGTGCGAGAATCACCCAAAGATATGAATCTGTTACCAATACGGAGGAGCTTCAGTAGAATGAGCTAGCAATGCGCTAAATGAGCTCTCTGACATGCCATCTGCACGTTGGTCCATAATCCTGTCATCTTAAGCTAAGCACTATCCACCCCAACGCCGCACGAAGGTAAGCGCGATGCTAAGCTTCATTACTCCCCCTCCCTTCCAATATAAAAAGTTGGTGTTCGCAGATCGTCATCCGTTGGAATGTATTAACGACGCGAGATATTGATATAAACGCTCCCGCCTGAGCAAGGCGTGGAAAATGCACCCCAATGCAGTATGCACTTAATATGATCTAATCAACCACCTAGCCAATCCACAAGAGCTCAATGGCCAGGGGTTAGACCAACTGAAATCTATTGGTCAAAATTCTCCGGGTGGCATCATGAAGGGAGGCGGGTGTTTCCAATACCTCGCCACAGGAATGTGGAATGTCGTAAATCAGAGATCGACTATAGCACCTACTACAATGGTCCTATCAAACTCGCTGATATGCAACTCTGTACAATCCAGGAGGCTTTATCCAGGAACTCCAGGACTGATAGCCAGCCTCCCGGACTATCGAAACCGTCAATCGATGTCTATATAAGACAGGCAGGCCCAGGGTAAGGCCTCATATCAAACACCTCAACTTGAACCCCAACATCCGATCAACTCTTTCCCTAAATCCACCTTTCTCGATTCTTATACTTCTCCATACACATCTGCAGATATTCCATCATGCAGCTCACAACCCTCACCGTCTGCCTCGCTGCCTTGACCAGCACCGTCGCGGCAATGCCCCATCTCTCTGGCGCATACCACGGTGCCCGCATCGCCGTCCGTGTTCCTACCAATGCTACTGGAACCTACAGTGCTACGACCACAAGCACACGTGGCCAAGCGCCTCTGTCAACGGGATCAGCTAAGGGCAGCACCCACGGTATCAACCATATCAATGTCAACCACTGCCACGAGTTGTGCTCTTTGCAGTCTCATGCTTGCTCGCTTGCTGTGCCGGACGATGATAAGTTCTGGTGAGTTTGACATCTTTTATCTTCTCTGCATGCCCTTGGAACTAACATTGTTTTAGCTGGTCCACCTACTTGCAATGCACTGAGAAGTGCCGTCCTCAGGATTTCTAGGCTTGGACGCGGGAAACAAAGTGATGGAAACGAATTTGAGGGTTATGACACATGTGATATGAATGAAGGATTTTGGGTTGTTAAAAGTTGAACTCGTGTTATTTCGGTCTCTGTCTATGTAGGTAGTTATGCAAATACAATTACGACCAAGTATGTCTCGGAATGTAGTTCATTTTTGTAGTTCAGTGCCAACCGCTCGTGTAGCGATCGTCTCCTGCTCCAACCCATCTTTGGTTGCCAAGTTCTCTTTTTTAGATCTCATCAGATGGGTGACCCACTGGTAGAGGTAGAGGGGATTGGATTTAGATTCCTCGCACGAATTGGCTGCAGTTCCAACGACGAAATATAGTGTCCACGAGGGCCAGCATTAGAGTAGCCACGTGCTAGGTGCTTATGGGTGTATGATTTGCTTGATAGGAAAGTATACCGGGGCAATTATGACTGCTCTCATGCCAAGCCAAGTGAACCAGGCGAGACTGATAATCAACATATAATGCGTCGAGTATGAATGACATCTGGAAGATCACTCTCTCCAGCGATGGCCAATAGGAAGGATGTCCGTAGAGTCGCAATCGCAATGAGCACATGCATCTCTCAGGTTCCGTGTAGTTCTCGTGTTGGTCGTGGGAAGACTGTCCTGCAGTTGATGCACGTGCTGGGCTACCTTCTCGAGATGATCGTCTGGGATCGGGGAAACTGGACTCCGAGTGATGTAATTTGTACTGGATACTTCACAGGCAACCACTTGTCGCACCGAAGTACAAGTATCTAATACTTCCCAATAAGCTCGCCGGGCTCCACCGCTAGTCCAGCAAATGCCCGTTGTTCCCTGAGGCACGAGTCTTGATTCAACCAATCAGCGTCGTCTATTGCGACTCGTGGGCCCCAAGCACGCGACACTCATCTGTATACATCAGACCGTTCGCGGTTATTTAGTCTGGACCCCTTGCCGTGCTACTCGACATAGACCATTACACCGATTTTCCCCCGCCCTTTTCACCATGTCACGACTTCCAACCCCCGCCATGTCAGGCGAGTTGATCATCAAAGATCGATCCGACGGTGTAGATGCTTTTACTTTACCTCCCGCTGCATTGAGCCCCGAGACTATCAGTCGGAGCTCCTCCCGGTCAGATCCGTCCTATATTCCGGCATCGCCGACCTCTCCAGGCTCCGCGGGTCGCCGTACGAGTCACGCAGCACGGTCGGGTACATCTATCAAACGTTCCCTCGAGGACTTGGATTTGCCTCCACCTCCAACTCGGACTCGCAAGATCATCCAGATGAAGCCCAAGTCATCTACTTCGAAATCTCACCGCTCAAAGGATCATGGCAAAAGCTCACCCCAGAGCCCGGAAGAGGTCACTCCCAATCCCACATCCACGAAGAGAAAACAGCCCAGTGCCACTAGTGTTGCAGGACGCAAGATTGCCCGCAAGACCGCACACAGCCTAATTGAGCGTCGACGGCGATCCAAGATGAACGAGGAGTTCGGGACGTTGAAGGATATGATTCCTGCATGCACGGGGCAGGAAATGCACAAGCTAGCCATTCTTCAGGTATGAGCCGCACATCGCTTTCGAAGGCTTAATCCAGGGATTGACAATCCTGTATAGGCGAGCATTGACTATGTCAATTACCTAGAAAAATGTATCCACGACATGAAGACTTCAGGATCAAGCCATACCCCGGCTGCTCCGCCTTCACCAACATCCCCTCAGTTCATCGCAGAAACGGGCGTTGAGCTCACGCGAGATCCACCTTCCACTTACTCCTGTTCCCCTTCTGTATCACCGGAGTTGTATGCCCAACCAGCGCAATTTCCAGATACCTCCCCGTCTTTCTCCCCGCGCACTCAAGTCCCCTCAGCGCAGACCCTGCCAGATTTTACTTCCATCCTCCCTAGTCCCGCACTGGCCCCAACATGGGCCTCTACCGAGAAGATGCATGAGCTTCAAGGTGTTGATCATGAGGCTTCAACTGCGTTGCTCATGTTAACTCAGGATCGGAGAGGGACTGCGGATTCAATCTGTGAGAACTTTTCTGGGGGTACTGCGTTCGCAACATCCTCGGCGGGGACTTCACATGCGCCTGATGAGATGCCAAGGAGAAGGGGCATGAGTGTTCGCGATCTTCTTATCTCGTAATTTGAATACTTGGTTTTTGGTGTTTGGCTCAGGCGGGCTTGAGCGATTGTAATAATCTTGAAAATGGATCAGCGGTCACCTTATTAGCGTTTTCTTTTGCGTTCATTTGTCTTTGTGTGGGTTTAGCGGATCAAGATTTATAGGCACGGTTACTTGATTCGGTTCGTTAATGTGCGTGGGATTGACGCCTGATGGGAAACAGAATGTGAACAAAAGAAGAATAACATTGGTTTTCTCACAGCTTTGGAACCTTTATAGTTTTGATTTGATACATGTATGTGTCTAGTCACTTAGGAAGCTGAGTTGTCAGGGCAGGGAAACATCTGCAAAAGTCCGGGTTAGGCATCCCAGTCTGGAGCCGGGGTATAGATCGTTAAACATATGACTCTTCCCCGAAAGCTCGCCATTTGGGTCGTCAATCTGTATATAGGCCTTTCACTATACACTAGCTTCCTCAGATCTGCACCAACTAACTATGTATCAGTGTCCCGTACAACGTAGAGCGACGAGATCAGCTTATAGAAGCAGTCCATACCTGCCGATTCCGCTCTTTGTTCCCGCTGAGCCCTAGGCGGCTCCCCGACACCTAAGCCACCGACGAAGGAAATTCCACTCAGAACCCTCCGTCATGTATTGGAAAAGTTAATTTGCATTCTCCTAATCGCAGATTTTCCAACGGTCAATCAGGAGAGCGTGCATGCTGATATAAGTGTTTCGCTCTTTACCATCTGGTTTTTTGCCACTGCAGTATTGCCTATACGGGGGTGTTCGTCGCTCTATCAGGTAAAAATGATGGCTTCTTTGCGTCACTCTGAGTTTGTGAACGCTCTGACCCTTACTTCTCTGCAGCGATTTGCTAGCTGAACTGGCGATTTGGGTTGTTCTTCGGAAGTCCGCTCTAGAAGATTGAGATATTTATTCTGCAGAAACCTTTCCAGATACAGAGAGTGGCGGCCATATTTGCGCAACCACAGCCTTGCCTAAGAGGCGCTGATGTTGACGTTCCAGGCGTGAAAAAGAGCCGAAGATGCATAATGATGAGCTACTACTTGGCGTGCACTAAATATCGACAGGTTCTGCTCAATGGGACCTAGGCATACAACTGGATTCATGAAATTTATGTGGCTATCACACCGGTTCAGAACTTGAGGGGGAATGCCGTGCTGTCCATTTGAATTTCCATACATCCGAGGACCTCTGTTTGCCAGTCTTACGATGCCAATGCTTGTACAATTGCAAGATGAAGCGCAGTGAATCTGTGAGGTACATATCTCTGGGAATCTATCGGGGATGCCCTTTGGCTAAATGGGTTCGCATTGGTGAGACCGAAGACTGATCTATACTCGAAGTGTTTGATTGATAAGTGTTTGATTGAAAGAGGCCAGGGGTCTATGAGTCTATCCCATCCTCAACTCCCTGCTCTTCACAACACCGCCCTCATAGTTAGCAGTGTCATGTTTGAGTCTGTGGTGATTGCCTGGTTCGGGTGAAATGTGAGGCGCCCTCCATAGCTCCTTCACTTTTTGTCGCATTAACTGGGAGAGGTGACGCGTCTTGTTTGGGAGTCCTTGCCACCAGCATCTTGTTGTTTTCCTTTGTCTTTATCTTGCACTTCGTTGACACTCGCATCATTACCTCTTCATATCTTATCACCTTGAATCCTCAAATCATCACCTTGAGTTATTCGGCGACCGAACCATCGTCATGTCTTCGGTTTATGAGAAGGAGCAGAATACTTTGGGTCTGTTGAAAGCAGTCGATCACCAGCCTCTCCAAGAGTTGCAGGCCATCCTGAAAGACATCATCGACCAGAGCCCGGAGGGTCGCGAAATCGCATCGAAGTGGTTGTTTCCTGAGGAGAAGGATGTTCAACCCGAGCCAGAAATCCCGAGCACGTACGATACCCCCATCCCTGTCGTGCCCCTCTCGGACGAAACCTGCGAATGGAGGTCTCTGGCCAATACCAGAGCGCCAGTCAGCCAGGACATCTGTATCTACTGCCGGGAGCCTTTTGACGTCACCCGAAACTCGAGGACCAGCTGCAAGTACCATGTTTGTAGGTATTGGATGTCAATTCGTCAGACTATATCACTAAGATGTTGATAGTTCCCGATATGATCAACCACGAGTTCCTCTATGTTGAGACCGAGGCTGAGGCCAGTTTCGACAATGACGAGTTCCGCCAGGCCTTTCCCGAGAACTTTACCTATGCGTGCTGTGGAAGTGACTTGACCGGGAAGCAGTGTCAGGTCGGTTGGCATCGGGTTGCGGATCCGACTGAGCGTCTTCCCAAGCTGACTTTGAAGAAGGAGTTCCGTCCAGTTTAATCTTGCTTCCCAGGTGGCCTCTAGCTCTAGGCAAAGGATTCAGCATGTTCTCCGGGGAACATACAAGTGTTGACAGTGATTCTCTCATTTCCTTGCAATTTGTTAATGCTACAATTGTTGTTATGTCCTAAATTGTGCGATTGATCTATCTATGGATGAATGCAAACGGACATAATCTCCTCTCTAAACGATCACCAACGGCCAGGATATATGGAGATTTGTAAACACAGGGCTTTGAGTGCAAAGGCGCGGTATGGAACAATATAGTAGAACCTGGCTATCAGCACAAATCCAGCCCGGTGAGGTGATACTGTCAATACCGAAGTGCTGCTCACAAACAAAATCAACCCTACAGATATCTTCACTCCTACGCACGACTCACGTTCAAACTGCGAGGGAGTACCAGAGATGGCGATTATGATCAGTCCACCAAAGAAAAGAAGCAGACTAATCCTGCCCTATATTCAATCCCGGGTAATGGCAAAATGTGGACTACCAGTCACCGTATTGTGCATTTCATTCCACGCAAAATAAACACAAAACGGATTAATTCTATAGATTCTTTACCACTGAACTAGCCCCTAGAGAGAGCCTGACCACAGAGACATCCACCTAGAACAAACCTCCTCATTCCTTCCACCCAACGAGTGTTCGTAAAGCCTGAGTCATACTACCGAGCTGCACACCAGTCTTGACCTTCCCCCCCCGCGTAGCGCAGGGCGCGTACGATCGTGGTATTACCCCGTCGATCAGAGTTCCAGGTTCAGAAAACCTCGCAGAGACAGTCGAAGAGAAAGCAGCAGCTTTCCAACGAGCTTTCTTCCCAAAACCCCCACCAGCTGATTTATCTGATATCAGTAGTGATTACCCGGAACCAATCCAGTTCCCGGAAATCACTCGGCAAGAAATCCAGTAAGCAATCAAGGCAGCACCCGGCAGCAAAGCTCTAGGGGAGGATGGATTACCAAACTCACTATGGCATAAGCTCATTAAAATCTTAGTAGTCCTCGAGACTATATAGTAGCTCTATAACGCCTACGTACGGCTAAGCACGAACCCCTCGCACTTCTAGGAGTCAATCATAATGGTACGACGTAAAGGAGGTAAGCGTAACTATTAAGTTACCAAATCCTACTGTCTAATTACCCTCCTTAACACACTTAGTAAATTCCTTAAAGTAATAATTACTAGGCGAATTAGCTATACAGTGGAAACCGAAGGACTACTCCTTAATATCCACCTAAGCGGAAGGAAAGGTATATTAGTAGATTATACTATTAATGTTACAACCTAACGTGCGGAGTACGAATACGGTGCGCATATCTTGTAGCACATATCGGGTATTTGGGTTGGTAACCTGACATGACGACCAGTTGGTCGTCATAGTGGCTCTTTTGGTAAATGCTCTACCTTACCATTACTTCCTAGTCTTGTAAGTGGTGTCAGGCCCACTTGCCTTAACACCATAGTAGTTCTATTTTAGAGGCTATATCAAAGATTTTGTAGTGGAAATGTACGATGAATGGTCTAACTATGGCGTAGACTGGGGTTGTTTAAGTAGCATTGATGGCCTGTTATTAGGGTGCGATTTCACAGTGAGGCAGTGTGATAGAATGCCTGGGCGTATTTAGCCTCACATTTGAGAATATCTTAGCTGAATGCTATGGCCTCTGTTAGATCAAGAAGTAGATGTTGAGTGCGCTCAGACGCTGCGGATACGGGGAATACGCACTTGCATGAATACGCGCCTCTCGAATACGCTCCAGAGCTTTGCTTGGCATTGTTCTGCCTCGAATGGCGATTTGAAAGTCATTGTCTTAGGGACCTGTAAAGCCGGGCGATTGCTGGTTATATTTAGTCTGCCTGTTGCTGGCAAAACTATCATTAGATTTGCACCTAGGAAAATGATATACTAATCTGATTACTGAACATATTCACAAGAAAGAAACTACATAGACCCGATCATTATTACGCATGCCTCAACTCATATACCAGTTATAATCACTGGAACGGACATTGCGGCTGATATTCCCCCGAAGCCTCGTCACCCTGTCCATCTCGCCTGCGCTGATCCCGCCGCTCCTCTTCGGCAGCCACCCACTGCTGGATCCGCGCTGGGTCAGGCCGCTCGTTTGGTTGAATGTGGAGCAATTCCTCGGCCATGGCGGCAGGAACCGTTTCGCCTCGTGTACGCAAGTAGCGTTGGAACTCGCTGAGCATGTATGTGCGAAGGGAAGCGTCGAGCGGAGCCTGTTCTCCAGATGGAGGGAATGAGGGATCGATAGGGGAAGGGTTTGGAATGGTTCTGGATGTATTGGGCTGTCTCAAAGGTAGCGAGGCTGATGGAATACCTGCGGTTGAAGCCGCAGGAGGAGTCGTTGCTGTAGGCCAAGGTTGGGGCGGTGGTGTTGTTACTGGCAGTCCCCGCTTTAGCTTGATGTGATCCACTACAGCGCGAAGCAGGGCCCAGCGCATTCCGCTATGTACTTTCCAGGCGATCCGCTGCAGTGGGATTGTTGGGCCGACGTATACTAAGTTCGGGTGTTCGATTGCCAATGGCCAAAGGTCTTCGATGTATGCGGATTGGGATGTTAGTCGGGAATAGAGATCGCCCCAGACTAGACTTCCAAGGATACGCATTTGTCCGCTGAAACCTGGGGACTCGTCGGGCCGCTCAATGCCTTCTTCCTCGTCATAGTCGGGGTCGACGGCAAGGAGGAAGCCGGCGAAGTCGCCGGGGCTCAGTTCGGATGTCGCGGGGCCGTAGGCGTTAGTGGTATATGAGGCAAAAGAGGCGGAGTCAACGACAAGGAAAGACATGGTTTGTAGCTTTGACCAGGATCCACTCTCTCTTATCGACGGTTTGAAGTGTCTAACTCTGGTTGTTAGCGTCGACTCCTTGGAAGATGGGGGAAGAGTACACCCACGCTTTAGCTGCTTCGATATTTCCCTCTGGAATACCCAGCTCCTGCCCATCCAGCCAATGAAGCTTCAGTTGTGTCTTGATAGTACTGCTTCCCGTTTGGCCCTTGCCCCAGTCTGAGACATGGGCTTCTACCTTTTGAACAAAGGCAGCCCATTCGGACTCCGTTTGTCCATAGGTCAACCGATACACACACATTCCAAAATTTTGCTCCGTCTCTGCATCCGCTGCGGATTTCATATTCGACGCACACTCAGCAATCCAAGGCTCGCGCGGAATAGGCTCAATCGGCGCACCACGCATCTCTCTCCTCGTTTGATTCTGGGCCTCGTTCTGGCACCGAGCCGTTTGGCAATACGACTCTCCAGATGAACGAATACTAGGATCCGAAGTGGCACTACGGACTATCTCGACTCGAGTGAGAACTCGCAAACGTTCATGGTAAGCTTTGGCGCGGGAACCAATATCCGCGGCGCGTAGTGCGGTCGAATCACTTCGTTGCGGAAGCGTATACCCCTTGTAATCATTCATGGGTATCATGATGGTATAATCAGCATCAGAAGCAATTTCGAGCAGCACTTGCAGCGCATCGGTGATCTTCCACTGTAACTCATCGGGCGGGCTGCCTGCCGCTCCTCCCCCTAGTGGCCGATGCTCCGCCAGTTTCTGCATCAATGGGGCACGCAGTCCATTGACATGCACGATAACCCATCTGTGTGCGCGCTCAGTCATCACCTCGAAATGCGCTTTCATATACATAGTCCAGAGGCCTGCGACGCTAATGCGCGCTTGATCATTCTGCGCTCTGCGCTCATTGAGAACGACGTCTAACATCGCCCAAATATCATAGATGCGATTGAAGGTCTGGCGAAGATTTGACCGGACGATTCGTTTATTCAAGTATTGGAAAACGGCAATGACGGCAGATAGATGTTGACAGGCGAGGTCGAAATTTTTGGGCTCATCGAGTCCTTTCTCCTGCCATGATTGCTCGCTTAGGGGAATGATGCCATTCCATAAACGGCTCTTCAGGGATTGGATATTCCTCCCGACCATGCAGAGGCGGGTGAAGTCTTCGTCAGAGCCAATGCATGTCATGACGCGGGCAATGATGGGCCCGCCATCGGGGCTCCCGGGGAAGTCTTGGTATTCCTGAATATAGGGGAGTTCATCCCCAGTCATGCGTTCAACATTGGGTTCATTGCCATTGGGGAGGGGCCCGCCAAGAGCAAATTCAACGAATTTTACGGCGGCTAGAGGCTCAAGAAGACGATCGACTGATCTGATTAGTATTCACTCTTGATTCTGGCCTGTGGGATTGAGGATTGCGAACCGACGGGCAGACTCTGTGCCTTGCAGTGGGCTTTAGTGAGCACATTGCCGTCAGCCTCGAGATGCGAGTACATTGCGCGAGATGAAGAAATAATAGTAAAGGAGAACTGCCATTGTAATTTTAAAGGGTTCTTCTTGGACGCAGCTGACAGTTGAAAGCCGCATGAGCCCACTGCTGTGGTTGGTGATGTTTCATTTTAGCGCGCCCCGGGATGGGCTCTAGTTCTCAATGGGAGTTGGCCCCAGTTGGCTGCCTATTTGGCATCAAGGTAATCAAGTCCTTATGTTCTGATTGGTGTGGCTTTGCAGTGGGCTAATTGAACCCTGGCTTTGCTCGTATTTTCAGAAAGGAGAGGTGTGACTACTCACGCTGATAGCCTCGGGAGTTATGTGTGTAGACCGACAACATACAACCTAGAGAACCAATTCCTATAGAACCAATTTTCTGTGGGAAAAACAGACGTGAAATTCATTATCAATTAAGTATCGAGTCGTTAATTCTATCCTAACCATTTTGTGTCAATGACCCCGGAAATCAAAAAGCTCCAAAAACCAATGCAAAGATGCCCCTTTCCCTCCTACACATGCTCTGGTGTATTCGACCCACTAGCCCTAAGCTTCTCCTCCAAAATCAGCCTTTGACAGAATGGACTTCTCTCTCGAATCCAAGGACCCCAGCGCAACAAAATAAAAGGAATAGGAATGCAAGCCAGACTGATAAACCCAAGGAGAGAAGTAGCCCAAGAAACACCCAGAGCCTTATAGAGCGGATCAGCAGCGAGCGGGAAAAGGGCTCCAACGATGCTGCGTATGATGACAGAAGCTGCCATTGCGCTAGCAGAGTAGATCTTGTATGCGTCGGTCACGTAGGTAAGAAGCGAGATGAAGATGATCTGGAAGCCGAATCCGAAGAGAAGACCGGATAGCACGGGTACGATCCAATGGATGCTTGGCTGTGCTGTCCAGCCGAGCCAGAACATGCTTATTGTTAGACAGGGCCCTGCGATGAAGGATAGAGGAAGTCGGTGCCATTCTGGGCTGGCGGTCCATTCTTTGCCAAGCTTTTTCGCTCTTTCATAGATTACGTCGAAGTAGAGTGTGACGAGGCCGGAGGACACGGCGCCGATGCCAACTATGGAGGGTTAGCTGTGTTCAGGTGTACAGTATAGGGAAAGAGAACGGACGTACTCGGGATGAGAGTGAGGGAAACTTTGTCAATCGTGAAACCGTAAACACCTATCAGTGCGTCGTTAGTATAGAAACAATGATTATTGGAAGGGTCATCAGCTTACCTCCGAAGATGATGGGATAGGCCTGGAAATAGAAGAATATGAGACTATACACAAAGGAGATATAGACTGCAGTTGAAGAGATGATTGGCTCGAAGAGGAGCATGGTGATAGGGCGAGTGATAATTTGCATGACAGTGAATTTCGAGTCCAGGTTTAGCTCTTGGCGCGAGAAGTAGCGATTGGACCCCGTCTCCTTTCTAAACTTGGCGGCTTGTCTCTTCAAGAGTACAGGAGTAAAAGTTTCTGTTTTGAAGCGGATATCAGTTGATGATGCAGTAGGTAGGGCCTAGTAACACTCATACCAGACATAAACAACAGAGCCAACCAGGTAACACCAGTCATGATGAGGTGAATCCTGAAAGTCCATCGCCAGCCATATTTGACCGAGCATCCAGAGATAATAGGACCTAAGACAGGACCGAAGCTGCAAGCCTGCGAATGAAGTTAGTGTTATCCCATATGATCGATCTGGCTACGCAATAGATTACGACATACCGACATATACATTGCCATGGCTCGACCACGAGTTCGCAGATCAGAGAATAGGTCTGCATAGATACCGCCAACGACGGTCTGAGGAGCAGCTGCCACAACACCGCCGATTGCCCGAAACACGAGGAGAGAAGACCAATTGGGCGCCAGGGCACAAGCTAAAGTAGTGAGGACGAACACTGTAAATGAGAATAGAAGAACGGGTTTCCGTCCGATAGTTTCACTCAGGGGACTGAAAGGTAGAGGCCCAACCACATACCCAATAAGGAAAACGGCAGTTGGTAGGACCTTTTGCTGATCTCCGGACTGTTGGAAGTCCTGCATGATAGTGGGGACTGCGTTGCTTGGGAGTCCAGCTGCGATGCCGCTATTAAGCACAATAAATAGCGCTACAACGGCATTATAGAACTTTTTGTTCTATTTATTCGGTTAGCCTGGATAGGTTCTCTTTGCTTGTAAAAAGAATATCACAGTTTGCATACAAAGGACCAATTTGGTGGGCTTTTTGGGGAGTCTTCTGGGAATTCGACAAGTAGTTCATCCGGGGAGAATTCAACTATTCGGTAATCCCCATCTGTCTTTTGAGTTGATAGGGAATCAGAATGTATTGAGCTAACTGATCTCTTCTCGGTGGTCTCATCCTTGCCTAGTACATGTTAGGGAAGCTCCGGAATCACTATGTCATGGTTGGGGTTGGCGCACCTGAAAAAAGAATGGCTGTTACTTGAGCCTTTAGAGATGGTTTCGGTTCTATCGCCATGTTGGAGCATCAAATAAGTGGGGAAAGCTCAATGCCGAAATGAAGAAGACTGCAATGAAGGCTTTTCTTTTGGTTCACAGAAACTTTGATAGAGGACCCGGAGCACTATATAAGGCATACGAGGACTTCGCCGTTGCCATTGAAAACCGGCGGGCCATAACGAAAATCTTGATAATCCATTGAGTCACCATGCCTAGAACCCGACAGTTCTGCACAATATTTGTATCTGTTATGCTCGAATAGATGATAAGCCAATGAGGGAGTCGTATACTTCGGTCTTTTGCTTCCGGAGAACCGGCGCCGGGGCGGGGCCGGCCTTTAGGGCAATCCGCCCACGGCGCCGGGCAGGATCCGGGGCTGGGTGGCTGTCGCCGGTGCGCGAATTGATTGCCGTGGATGCATTTTCAACGGAAACCGCGACTCTTGTGACTAAAAGATTGTCATGTGAATTTCGAAAACAAACTGCGTTGCGCGTTGCGGCCCAATTTAGTGTACACTAGACTCCCTGAGTCAGGTTTGATCTACGAGGCTAGATCATGACCCATGTGCAGGTTACGAACAAGTTTCAATAGTGGAGTTTAGACAGTCTAGAACGTGATAAAGGTGAATTGGGTATCCTAGTATTATTGTGGCATTGAAGGCATCATGGGCAAGAAATCGAAGAGATCGTTCTGTCCCTCCTCAAAAAGCCCGAATGAATCTGCAATGGAGTTGGACACGGTCCAATTTGGTGCTTCCATCGTGCCGGGTAGCCGAGATGCGAGCGCTTTGGCCGCTGCCGAGGAATCACTACTGGACATTGAGGCCATATTCGAATCTTTTTCGGTCTGGATGCTTGGGCCATTTTTGTAGCGCAGATCGTCCAGGGGACCCACTCCTGATGGAGGCGGGCCGTTGACCAGGGGGCTTTCAGGTCCCTCGAATGAGGGTCCACCACTTTGATTAGACATGAGAGGTACATCTGTACCATGATTGCTCTGTGGGCGCTGACTGGCAATCAAGGCGCGTGCATAGTTCACAAAGATAGAGACGGTGCGGTGAATGTCGGGATAAGGCGGTTGCTTGAGAAAATCGCAGATCTTCTCTGCTCTTTCGAGTAATAGACTTTGATTGATCAGATTTGGACGCCATCTTGCAATCCGAAGAGCAAATGTTGCTAACCCTGTCTTAGCAAATTTTATGGAGCCGAATGAGTGGATGATCGACTTACTGACGAAAGCAATTGTGAGAGCTGGGTAGGTTGGCGCCCATGGTAACTGACATCGATAAGACGGCTCGTTAATCAAGAAGACGATTTGATCCATGATAGTTGTCACAAGAGACTGCCATAGATTTGTCACACTTTGATCGTGTATTTCGGGGCTTGAGTCAGGGTCGGTGGGCTCCAACTTTTGTATTCGTGCCAGAGAAGCGCAGAAGACAAAGATTTTGGCATAGTAAAGCATGATCTTAAGGCTGCTGCGTTGAAAAGCTCCTGCATGGAAGCCATTGTCTTCATATTTTATCCGAGTCAGACACGCTTTAAGTGAAATGGTTGCGAGGGGAGAAGAGCAGCTCACTTTCGTGGATTTCGTCCCACGTTGCCCACCAATTTTGCAACCTTGTCAGCAGGATCGGTAGTTCTGTCGACGTAATATCGCTAATGGTTGAGGCGCTGTCAATGATCACACGACAGCTGCCTAGAACGTGTTAGTTGTAGAAACAGCATTCGTCTTCTTAGCCTTACCTCGAAGTTGATGAAGCTCAATAATGCACACAGTACGCATGTCACAGGGTAGTGAGAGTGGATAGTCGAGGAATTTGCGCAGTTTTATAACGTCAACTTCGGCTATGCGTGATTTGCGCCCAGTGCCGGAAGCAACGTCCAACTCTAAGATGAAGCTGATTAACCACGTTCTTGTCTTCCAGACTAGCTCACGGTCAGCCATTGATGCCGAAAGCGAACTTCGGGGTACATTTTCTTGGGACAATAGAGTGTCCAATGATTTTTCCAACCCCGAGTCCAAGGCTGTGCGAAGAATGAGAGCAATGGAGAACCAGGTCTTTTCGGAGTATGCAGCCAGGAGAATCATTCCTTGAACTGTTTCTAATTTGGTGGGTCTCTCAAAGAAGCTGTCTTCGGCCAAACGCTGGGCCTCGTCTTGAAGAACACGTTGCATATGTGTATCCCCACGCAAGTCGGTCACGGCGCGACTAGCCAAATAGATAATCACCGTAAAGCAAAACAGTGAGCGTGATCGGATAGAGTCAAATGTGTCTCTAATCGGGTCGAAGAGAGGAAGAAAGTTTTTCGACCCACCAGTGAATCTGCACAAATGAATTAGTTTCCAATATCATAACCTTAAGATAAGCTGCATTTTCGTTGGAGTTTAGTTTCACATACCTCTCATACATGATACGACCAAGCTCCTCACTCACAATTCCTCTAGCAATGACATCACCTCTAGGGTCACCCCTTGTGGAGTTTTCCATGAAAATCTGACTCGGTCAGATCGAGGATGCATAGATGCACAACTAGTTTGAGTTTAACTCACATTATCTGTGCCTAGCAAATTCACAGACATAGAGTGCACTGTTGACGCCGGCGCGATCATCTCATTAGGGCTCAGCTGCTGGGACTCCGGTCCATTCTGGTCAGCTGTATAGGACCGTTGAAGAGTGTTTAAGCCAGTGGAGCCCGGTAAAGAATCAATTGGGGTGTCGTAACCACCATCTTGCACAGTAGCAGGTGAAAACCCTTGCTCTCTTGATGCTGGAGTATGATATCCAGTCCTCCGATCCAGCGGTGAAGCATTATTCTGATTTCTATAGTAATATGTTAGCCTGCCGTTTCACATACTAAGGGCTACTGTATATAGATATGTCACCTTGCTGGTGTTGTTATTTTCCGCCGACGGTCATTTCGTCGTCGACCACCGTCGATGGGATCCAAAATGCAATCTCGCCCGGCAGAGCGACAGCGGAAGCAAGGGACTTGGCTATGCGCATCGCAGCGCATCTTCTGTCTCCTGCACCATCGACATGCCTTAAAGAACCGAATCGGAACATTTTCCGCTCGATACACGATCTCCGACCCTCTTTCGCTCATGGTGATGATTCTTGGACATTAACAAAAGAGCGTGATTAAGCCACGCATCAGGGATTGGAGATCTCTGCCGATGTTTATCGATCGTGGACTATGGTTTGGCCCCAATCCTTCCCAACTGACTGATGGGTATACATTTGTCCGGTCGATGGCCGGTCACGTGTACCGGCCAGATCGACCATTTTAGGAAAGTCGATATCACTGCCTCTTATGCGTGTTCAAAAATATATCGGACTTGGTTCCTCGGTCGTCGGAATTGATTTATGTCTTCCGCTTGAATCATCTTGGCTAATAAGATTACTTGACACTAGCCAATCAGGGCGTTCCATTGTATAAATTCTAAAGACGTTCCTGGCAATATCATAACACAAAAATTGACATATCCAATGGACTTCTTTCCATCTACTGTCGTACTCCTTCGGATAGACCTGCCTCAACAGCCTTGATCTGAAGTGCTAAAAACTTAGAGTAGATTCGGCACAAGGCGAGATTTCCGCCGAAGTACCAGAAGCCCGGGTGACCACTGGGGCGCCACATCTTGAAGAAAGGTGATCAGTATAGAGGATCAGAAAGTCACCGGTGGTGACCAAAGATGCACAAGAACTTACAGCTTGAATCTCACCCTCTGCATCCAAATCCCAAACATCGGAACACCGATCTGCGACTTTATCGCCCAAGACCTTCCTCACCGAGGTACGCATATTGTCGTATCCTGTAGCTAGGACAACAATATCCGCTGGAAGGGAGTCGCCATTCGCCAAAAGCAGATCATGGCTCCCAAAGGCATTGATGCCGCCTGGGTTGTTGTTGACTTTGATCTTGCCATCAATAATAAGTTGACTGCACCCAACGTCAATATAATAGCCTCCGCCGCGGGTGAAGTATGCCCGTGAGATACCAGCCCCGTCTGGGCCGAAGTCAAGTTCGAAGCCAGCTCGACGGAGTCCGTCTAGGGTATCCTTTTCGGCTTCTGCGATTCGCTTCGTCATGTGTACGTTCAAAGCCAGTTGAACAGGCCACGGGAGACTCTCGCCAGCGACATCACATTCTTCGGTTGGAGGACTGGACGATTGTTATCATTATGGGGTGAGGTGAGGGGGAAAGAAAGACAGGAAAGCGCTATGGAGAAAACATATCCTCCATCCTCATGCATTCCACTGTGCATCATAAAAACACCCTTGTTGGCAGTGATCACATATGTGCCTCTGCGCTGGAGCATAGTGACATCTGCTCCGTTTTCGTAATAGTTTTGTGCAATATCATGACCGCTGTTACCAGTTCCTACCACGATAACCTTCTTGCCACGAACATCGCTTTCTGATGCATCTCGGTGCTCAGTTCCATGGTAAACTCTTCCCTCAAATGATTCTTGTCCCGGGAATGATGGAACAAGTGCTTCGCCCGAGTGTCCTGTACACCAAACAAGATGACGAGGTTTTATGGTGCGCCGACGCCCATCGCCACGAACGACAACGACTGTCCACTGTCCTACAGCATCATCGTATTCTGCAGAGACAACTGAGGTCTCCAACCAGACATTCAATTCCATAATGCTAGCATATGCTTCAAACCAGTCACCTAGTTTGTCTTTGGGTGTGAATTGTGGCCAATTCTGTGGGAAGGGTAGATAGGCCATGTGCGTGTACTCGGCTGGGTCGTGGGTGACCAGTGTCTGCATGATCAACATTCAATATGTCTTGTCATGGTATCACTGAGCTCTTTTGGTGCAACTTACCCGATATCGATTACGCCAGTTATCACCGACGCGCTTATTCCTGTCGACAATCAAACAAGACATGCCGAGGCTCTGCAAGCGTGCACCCATGTTCAATCCAGCCTGGCCTGTTCAAAAGTAAGCATTCCCTGTCACAGACGTAAATTCCAAGAAAGGGTTGTCTTTACCAGCGCCAACGACCAAAGCAGTGGGCTCCTCATCTAGGAATTCCCTCTGTCTATTCCTCCGCTCAATCCATGTGCCCCCAGCCAGACCACCTGGCATCGATTCTGTCGTCCCCTCAGCACGACGCTTTCCCAATGCTTCTTGGGCCACGATCAGCTCCTGCAACGAAGTATACATGGCATAGGCCTTCCAGGCTCCATCCTCTGTCTGAGTAAGACGCAGCATGCCGCTTCCAGTGCCAACAGCAGTTTCGAAGAAAAGCATAGACGAAACCCAGCTCAGTCCATCAGCGACTTGTTCCAAGCGTGGCTGGAACTTGCCTGTGTCTTGGAGTCGGAATTTGGACAGCCGAGCCTGGGGCTGTTGCTTGCTCAGGAAGTCTTGAATCTCAGCGGCTGTATGTACGGTACGCATGTCCCAGTCCAGGGCGAGCATGTCGCGCCACCAGGACTCAGCATGGAATAAATCGTTAAGGTTCAGTGTCTCTGGGCAGGAGAGCTGGGTTTCAAGACTCGTGAGCCATCGTCGGGCGATGGTCTGCGGGTCGCAGGGTGCGTGGACAGTCGCCTTGGGCAGTTGTATGATGTGCGGGTTTCCACCTGTCAGTGTTGTTGCCATCTTGATGATATTCACAATAGCTTGTCTCGGTGTTATAATAATACAATCCGACAAACGAAACGATGACCTGGTGTCTGTTTCTTTCTGACTTGTTGATAGTTCTTATATCGCATGTTCTCCCCGCTAACTCCTCCATTTTGACGATTACGCCTGTCAGCGGGTATCTGAGCCGCGTAGCACGGCGTGTTTCCGAGGGGCAGAGACAACGTGGAGTAACATAACGTCAGTCAACCCCGGCCACTTCCCCGATGTTGCGGAGATCGGGTAAACTTCCGTAATCGTCTTGACCGTCCAGGCAAGTTGGCCGAGGAGGTTCGCCCGATTAGGAAAATCTGGCGACTTGTTCTAGAATCTTGCCAACTCTAGCTCGTCACAAAGGTTCATAATTCTCCTGATTCTCCTGATTTTACCACATAATACGATCATGGAAAGTTGATTTTCTGCCATAATTTTAGTCAAGTTACCTACACTGGTATCTACCTGTCACGCAGTTCGCAAGTCAGTTGATTCGTTTTACTTAAGAGTTTTCTCCCATATACTACATTAGGCTATAAACTTGATTCTATATGTCAGTGTATGAATCCAGGAAATCAGCAAAATTCTTTTCTTTTTTTAATCTTAACAAAGTCTACTGTTAGTACACCAAAGGGTATCACTCACCGAGAATAGCGTCGAAGATCCAGGTAAAAGCCGGCGTAGTTGTCTGAAAATGGAGCATTGATACCTACACACCGTTAGCAATATTTAGACACGCTATTCATAGGGGAACCAAGACTCATGCTTGAGGGTAATAAGGAAAGCTTTATCCACAATCTGCTTCAGGGGAACCTTCAGCATGAACTTCCAAAGATCATCCAAATCATCCCGATCACGCTCTCTCTCTTGGAAATAATCAACCCGAAGCTTGAACACCTCCCTATTATCAGGCCGCTGGATCCACATCTCACGAACCGGCGAGGGAGCAATAACCACAGTGCGCTCCGTGTTTCCATGGTATTCAAAGCTCTTCGAGAACTCCCGCCACTGCGGACGCCACATCTCAAAAGTCTTGGTCCATTCTGGGTCGATATTGCAATCCGCAAGAGCAGCACACATGCTCCAGACGAGGTGGGTGGCACATACGTATTTTCCAAGATAGCCGAACAGCCCAGGCTCGGCGCCCTTGTCGCGGACGAGCTCGAAGCGGAATTGGTTGAGGGTGGCCTTGGGGGCGGGATCGGGGAATTCACAGAGGAGGGTTGCTGGGGGGGAGCCGGTGCGGAATCGACGACGGTGGACTTCATCTTCCGGTTCACAGATGATGGCCTGCTCATTGGGGAAACGCTTAGGGCGCTTGGGTTCTTCGTTGTCCATAGGGTCACCCATGATTGATTAATATGTGTGGAAAATATGTAGATTTGAACCCTTTGGTCTGGTTGTTAGTAAATGCTGTGGATGCTGGGGGTTGAGGTTACCGCAGATCAAATGCTAATGATATAATGATCACGTATCATTTTCGAGGCCAGAGGGGCTGTTTATATGGCATAGAGTGACAATACATGCAGGACCTGAGATACTTCATATCAGATCTCAAGTCAAAGAAGTCCTTTGTTGTCTTTATGTGTTCAAAGGCAAGTCCGGGGACCAAGGATACAATGCCTTTGTGCATGAAGCCTTTGCTTCATTTATCGCATTGAGCAAGTGTGAACACAGTCTGTAACGAGCTCGAAGAAGTCTTAGTCTGTAGTAATGGCTACAAAGGTGATTAGCCATGATCAACTATTGTGGTGAAGTATTGCAAGCTTTCCATCAACGGAAGGTATATGAAAGGCCTTGCCGTAAATAGATCATCTTAAAACAAAAAACTTTGACAAAGGAGAGCGGACATTAGACGGAAAAGAGAAAGATGGAGAAAAAGCAAATTATGACATTGGCCGGAAACGATCAACAGACCAAAAATCCCCTGGCGTTAGGCTAAACACGTTAGCCTAACGCCAAAGGGCTGACAGATTGACACTGGATCTTATATTTAAGCGACCAAAGCACAGCATTTAACGCGTAACAACACGCGTTTCCAGGTTTCATCCGCATCCAAGGCTGGGTATCTGAATCCTTCGACGCTGTCTTGGACTAATAAACCCAAGCCTGTTTTTGCCTCTATAGATGAGAAGAGAAAATATCCATTTAGAACATATTCGTCTCTATGAAGAGCATCGTTCAAAGAAACCAGGCAATCAACAACTATAGTGTGCCCAAAAAGAGTAAGGACTAGCATAGGCGTTGACAGAGAAAGGGAGGTGCATGCGGATACAAGAGAAGGCAGAGAGGAAAAGAGCCACTAATCTATGATGAAGACATTACCTAGGGTTTCAACCACAGGCCAGATGACAGCTACCGACAGTCGTTTATAAGATTCCTGGCGATGGATCAACGAGATAGTCATAGCACTAGATACGTCATACCTCTGTAAAGGGGAATCATCTGTTTCAGATAGTTCAGCCGTTACGCGAGGACCAATTAGGGAAAACAGCGTGAACAGTGTGAACGCAGGCTAAACCGAGATGCAAGCAACAGCAAGTCAGAAGAGAGGATCTCGCACACACACCACTTCATTGGTTCAGGTGTGCACAAGGAACGATTAGGGATTAGGGCAAACAGAATAAAGGCGGGCAAGGCCGAGATGGAAGCAACAGTAAGTCAGGAAGAGAGGACTTCGCACACAAACCGATCCAATTACTTCTTCTTCCTTACTTCAAGGTCCCTCTTGCAGCGCAACCCTTGCCAACTCCATCTATTCCATACCGTTCTTCATCCATACAAGAAGGCTAAACTGGGATCATCATGGCTCCCAAGAGATCTGCTGATTCCGAGTCTCCCTCCACCCCCAGGGCGAGCAAGAAGACCAAGGATGCAATTGCGAAGCGCACCCCAGCTAAGCGTACCCCAGTCAAGAACGCCTCAGCCAAGAGCACCCCGGTCAAGGGCCTGACGAAGGGCGAGTCTACCGCTGAAAAGGATCTGATGTTCCTCTGGACTTGCATCAAGTTCTCTGGTGGCATTGACGTAATTATCCCTCATCGCACGGTACAATTTAATCATTACTAACTGCAAGTCTTACTTCTTATAGCTCAAGGCTACAGAGGTGGCCAGGGAATTGGGCATGTCGACCACCACCATTGGCAAGAAGTTCTGGCGTCTTCGAAAGAAGCTTGAGGACAATCAGCCTTCCCAGACTGCCAGCGAGAAGCAGGCTAGCGAGGATAACGGCGCAGAGCAGGCAAATGAGGAGGCCGAGGCAGAGCAGTTGAGCGAGGAGAATGAGGCAGAGCAGGTGGTTGAGGATAACGACGCAGAGCAGTAAACGGATCATGCCGTTGAAGAGAAGTCGTCAGACGCCCATCTCTTCCAAGATACTGTGGTCTTTCTTTCTTGCGTTTTCTATTTCTTTTCTCCAGCTCAAGCTTTGCTCTTGAGCTAGTTACTTAACATGGATGCATTGTCTTTACGAAATGGTTCTTGGGCATCTGAGATCAATCCGCGATCAGACTCATGTTTCTAACGTAATGAGAGCAATGAGATTTTCCTATTCATCCCTTTGATCATGACGCATATTAAATTGACATACAGGACACCCGATTTCTTTTGGTTTGTCTGCTTCTAGGTTAATCTGGAATAGCATTTGTATGATTCCAACCACATGGAGCCACATATTCGTCACAAAAAGGATATTATGCAAAGGATGGGTACCTTGAGTCTACAAATCGTCGGCTTTTTCTCCAACTTTTGTCAAGTTGAACAAATTTTCCTCGTCTACACAGAAGGATGAGAAACAGAAAGCCCTACAAAGGCTACTTTTCCGGTGAAGCCGTCGTCCCCACCGATCACTACCATCTCATGGGCAATCTATAGTAAACATACCATGCCTTCAATCACAACTAATTAATCACAGTATATGAACCACAATCCCCTTAACCCCAATCCCAATTCCAATTCTAAACAAAAAAGCAAGTCTCAGGCGACTAATGAATGACACTAGTCTGATACATTGGGGCCGAGAAGTAGATCGCACGCCAGATCTACTCAGGTTGATAATCTGGGAAAAGCTGAGGCTTTGATGCCGATGCACGGGTGATTTGCAAGGCCATTCATTCTACGGCGATGTAATGGCATCTGTAAGCCTTGAAACTGCTGGCTTCCGGGTGCTTCGCTGAGTCCTGGGCCTTCTGACAGGAGCCTGTTAGTGGGGATCATCGGTTCTGTTATGAAGAATTGAGTGTCAAGGGACTTCCGTATTCGAGGGCTGGTGGGATCGAGTGGTATCACTCCCGAAAAGATTGATCCCGTCGTACTCCATTCTCCCTACATCATATCGTGTATATAGTACAGGAATTAAGGGCAATAAACATACATTTTTAGAGAAATATGGAACAAGAACCTATGTACACCGGAAGTCCCACGGCCTCACGCGCCACCACGCTAGGTTTATTGAACACATAAACATGTAGTCCTGAGCCGAAGAGAGAATCAATTACTGAGTTCGTCGGGCCATGAAATAAGTAAGCAGGTTGAGAGACCCTTCGCGGGGAGGCTGGGTAACATTTTGCACTCGCTCCGATCCGAAGGTGATGTTCAAGAATGTGCAGAGCTCAGTGGCATTCTTCCTGACACCAGGGCGCGGGTGCCCGAGTTGCTGCATCACCACAGCGCCAATGCGAGCCAGGAGTTCATCATCGATATCAACGCCGGGACGTGACAGCGCCCGTTGGATAGTACTCAGACCCAGTATGGTGGAACGGTACGTCTCATCCTTCTCGGCCTCGGGTCCGAGGTCTAGTCCTTGCAGAACACCAGCAATTGCTGTCTCGGGTAATGTCAAAAACACGAGTTTTTCTACCACTTCCTCCAAACAAGTGACAAAGTGTGAAGTAGATTCATAGTGGCGGCGAGCCCGAATGATAGCCGCCATGGCGCGGATGTCATAGGGGTGGAAGTGCTCTCGAGTCCGGGTGAGCATGGAACGGATAGTTGCCAGTACCTGGGTCTTCGCATCGTGATCCTTGCGATTGCTAGGTGTCGCTTCTAGTTCAGCCAGTAGAGCTTCCAACATCGCATTGTAGTCTTGGCTTTGAGACACAATCTCATCGCCATGGTATTGGATGAGCCCTTGCAGTTTTCGATATCCCGAAGGCTCCATGTTACGGGATAGAATGCGGCCAAGGCCTCTGTGAATCATTTCCTTCGCATTACCCGGGTCTTTGGAACGCGGGCTAGGGCTGCGGTGACGTTCACCCCACTTGCGAGTGCGTCGTGTGGAATCTTCAGACATGATCGACTGCAGTGACGTCGAGTGAGACAGTGTTGATCGAGACATCGATTCAAATGATCGCTGCCTCGCTTCTGGAGATCGTTGTGTGGGCTCATTGGCTGCCACTTCTTCGAGCGTACTCGGCTTAGCAGCAGACCGCGGGACTGCAGGTAAGTCTACGATCTTGGTCAGGCGTGGAGTCGCATTCTCATTGTTGTCCTCGTTGCCGTGCGTCCCCACATGAGACTCCTGGGGAAGCACAGGTTCCATGTCAAATACATGAGAAGCCGCTGGCTGGACACGACCCCTAGTTGGTGATGGGCTTGGTTGAAGTGGCGCCCTTCGCGCTGGAGAGGGAGTTCGAACTCCAAAGTTCATCACATATTCCTGATTGGGGGCCAAATCAGGAGTAGGCTTTCTAGCAGACGCGACCGTCGGGGCTGGAACATCCTCAGAGATAGCCCGAGACCCCCCTTCGTCTTGCTCAAATTGATCGGGGCGACTGGGGGACTTTGAAGGAGACATTCTTTCAATCGACGCAGAATAGCCAGCAGTCTTAGTTTCAATGGCAGTGGGAGTGGTAGGATCTTCATATATGACCATCGATTCAGGCTGTGTTTTGGTGACAGATTCGGGAGCACGAGCAAAGTCTAGGTCTGAATGGCCGGGGACGGGAGACACGGGGGCTTGAGACATTATAGGATCCGCTTCATGGTGATAAGGTTGAGGTGCGGGAACGAAAGGTTCTTCCAGCATCATTGGTTCCGGTTGGTCAACAGGAACCGAGTCGGCATGAGGGCCATCCGGGGCTGAGTACAGAACAGGATGTGATGCGTGAAGTGGGGGGCTTTCGAGCTGGATAGATGATGGTGAAAGTCGGTCCTCTACTTGGCTGAGGTAATGTTCCTGGCGGGGAGTTCTTGCAGACAGCTGGTTTGTCACACTATCATTTGAGTCACTGCGAGCGCGACTCGCGGCCTTAAGGTCATTGTGAGACTTGGACTTGGACAAATCGAGCTTCTTAGGTCTGCCCTTAGTTGTAGCAGGCTGCGCGGACTCATGTGGCCGAGTACGAGGCGCCGTCGGAGGAGCCTTCGATGTAGGTGTTGATGGCTTGGACCTCACAGCCCGAGGGGAGAGGGTTCCATGTCTAGTCGACTGGGTACTGTGAGACTGGGTTCGTGACTCAGGACGGCGAGCGTATGGATCTGCGGTCGCAGGACGGCTCAATTCGGCTCGTCGAGGCTTCATAGCAGGTCTCATTGGTGCAGAAGACAAAGATGAGAGAGGAGTGCCAGTGGGTACACTTCGAGTAGACCTGGAGACAGGAGCTAATGATTTCGCCTCAGCAAAGGCTGGCTGAGCCGACTCGGGTCGAGAAGGCATCTGGGCCTTTTTCCGAGCAGCAATAGCTTCTTGTAAAGCCGTGCGACTCTTCGCAGGGCTTTTAGCAGGTAATGCAGGTGCGCCATTTGAGGGTGGATTAGGATTTGATGAGTCCTTCTCCAACAAATTCCGCGACTTAGGATCCAATGTGTCGGCTATCGCGTTGGCTCTCTCTGGCCACACACTGTAGAACGTCCAGAAGGTATTCCGGGTTGACTCACGCACAGCCGGGTTGGCATCTCCCAGCCCTTTCATAATAGATTTCTCAATCAGATCAACTCCGCCACCGTGTTCCACTGAGCTTTTATGGTGAGCCTGTCGAATGATCAAGGATTTCAGCCATCCAGAGGCAAACAAGCGGACCCCAACGTTCTTATCCTGGGTTGCGAAGGATACATGCTGCAGCAGGCGAATACTAAACGAAACATTGTTGATGACCGCATCAACAGCGAGATTTCCGTTTTGCGCGGCGATCTTTTTCAACGCCGAGCAGAGCTTCAGTAAGTTCTGCATGATAATCTCAACCATCGAGTCAATTTTAGGGCCACATGTTCGTGCAATATCTTGGATCAGGAGACTTCCATTGCTAGACATGGTTGTTCGTAGAGAATTGACAACCTTGAAGATCCCATCAAGGAGTGTCTTTACTGCACTCATGTAGTTTTGCGAAAATTCATGTGGCGCATTGCCTCGAGTCAATCTGCGAAACAGAATCACGTTCTTCTCCCGCTTAGACCAATTGTCCTCGGATTCTTTTCCATCGAACCAGGGCAACATATCACGCACAAGATCATCGACATCCCTCGCTGAAGCAACATCGAATGGTTCCAAGCCATCGTCATCTGCTAACGGTTGTTGAGGTGCTTGTTTCGGGCCCGGTGTGTGAGGTCGGTGGACAATCGGTGCTTCTGTAGGTACGGATGAGGCCATCGGTCGCTCGCGGTGAGCTCTAGAAGCTGGGCGGCTCTTAATAGGCTCCATATCTATAGTCGAATTAGCACAAGTGTTTAAAAAAATGCAAGATGATATAGATAAAGATCAAAATACTGACCATCATCAGCATAGTCCGCAGCATGTGAACGTGAAGACATCACTGAAATCGAACGTTCAGCCCTAGAGATTGGGCGTGTAGAAGATGCAGCCTCTGGTTCAATGGACCCTAGACCTATGCCTGAGAGAATAGCATTTGCAATGGATTTCCTCACACCGCGCGCCGCCATTTGTTTTTGTAGGTCAGACTTCGCTCTTCCAGGGCCAGTCCTGAGGTTTGTTAGAGGTATTCGATAAACACTCAGGTTATAGATATAGTCACCCACCGGAACAGATCAATCACGACCAACTTCGCCGTATCTCGAACGGCGCTATCGGCATCCTCTAAGCACGCAACCAGAGAAGGAACATATTGGCGGAACAACAAACCATGGTGCTTCGTCATCTAGAAGTCCACATTAGTAGCTGAAACATGACTTTAAGGGTGCAGAAACCCTACGTTTGCCAGCCAAAGCATGCTCATTTCTTTGGCCCGATTATTTTTCCCAACGAGCGCAACTTCCAGGACATGATATTCGACTTCACTACCTGCGAATGACCACAGCTCGGTGAATATTGAAGCAGCCTGGGCTCTTATGCGTTCTTTTTGATCATTCAGACGTTCCAATAGAATGGGATACAAATTTTGAGCCTGGTGAACAATCCATTGCTGCTGGTCTTGGATTGCAAGGCGCTTCAGAAGGTGGCCGAGTGTGGAAAAGCCCGCCCCGAGGACGGAATAATGTTGAGAACTGATAGCAAGGCGCAATGTTTCAAAAATTGGTCGGATTGCTCCTTCTGGAACATTTTTCTGTTTGATATCGGATTTGACACTTGAAAGGTAGGTGATCTTCGAGTCAACAGAGAGGTTAGGGTTCTTGAAGGCTATCAGGAGTTCCGCTGCCTTCGCCTCCATTATTAACGCCGGGAGATCGAACTCAGCTCGGGTTAGATGCTGGAGGGTATAGACAGAATGATGGTTATGAATGCGATGAACGATTGAGAGCAATCAAAATGCGACGATGTCAACGGCGGATAGGAGAAAGGGTAAACTTGTATTCGAGATGCCACTAGCCCCGATGGAAGTTAGCAGCAGATCCTACCATGCGCAAGTTAATATCAGGCCTGAATAAACAAAGCGATTGCGACAAGGGTAGAGTGATGCCATAGATCTGTGCAAATGACAAAGCCAAATGGATTGTAGGTGCCCATCGCAAATGAGTGTGGGCCACAAGGAAAGGCGGAACGCGGGAAATCGCGGGGCAGGGTTCAGAGCAGAGCAGCGCAAAAGGAGAACAACATACGGATTTCAGTAAGGTAGTTGCGATGGTAAATAGATGAAGAAGAGCGCAAACACACTTCGGTGGTGGGATGTTGAAAAGCGGACGGAGCGAAAACAAGGGGCGATAAGCGCGTGATGATAAGCGCGTCACCAGTGTGAGTGATTGGAGGAAAGTGCCTCTTGACATACAAAATGCAAGGAATCAAAAGCGTGGAGTCCGCTTTCATCTGCTGTCTCTAAGGAGTTGGCTCGACCCATGGTGAGCCTGACAGTGTGTCACTGACCGGTCCCCGGGGTAACGCTTGAGTGGCAATATAAAAAAAAACATTCACTCGTACCAGAGAAAGCCTCCACGATGGCAATTAATGAGTAGCAGCGATCCTTAAATCCTTAACAAAGTGCTAGTCTTGCTTCGATTGTAGCCTTAGGGTCTTGGATATAGAGGGACCGAGATAATATTGCCGCAGATTCCAGGCCGTAGCATATATGTATATTTTAGGGTCGGCCTCGCACTTACTTCGCTGAGCAGGGGGTCCTGCCCTCTAAGATTGAAGCAATATTTTAACCCTATCTACGGGCGTCTATATTCAATGACTGCATCGAGGATCATTTCACGACTGTATGAGGTAGATACGTTCAAATGCTGACGGCGTCGATCATCGACGCAAATCCTAATTAGGACTAGCACACTCCACAACATATATGTACATAACTCTTTTCCTGTCTACATCTATGAACATCTCTTGGCTTACTCTCTTTTCCACCCCAGGAAGATTTGAAATCTTCCGTACTTGTAACCCGTATAGATTTAGATTCGAATTTTGACTCTTCTAAGCTGTTTCTTTTTGGCCTGGAGGGTACTGAAGTCACTCTACCTAGCTCCAGGTCACTCCAAATCCACAGCGACACATGGGTGATTGACAAGGAAATCTGGAAACTCCCTCGTCAGCTGAAGCCAAGGATCAATGCCCCTGATGATAGCGATGCACCATCTTCTACAATGGCAGGATCCTCGTGCCACCGGAAGGGAGCCATGCCTGAGTCCGTCTACATGAGAATCTAAACGGAGCCACGAAAAAGCTTCTCTCTATATTTGGGATTGAGCAGATATCCCAGTATGTATATATCATCATGAATAGGAATTACTACCTAGTCAATTATTGGCGTGTGATTAGGTATGAATGTGACGTTCTGGAATAGTCTCTTTGGGTTGCGAATATACAATCCCTAACCATCCTCAACCCAGAGAGTGAGGTAGGTGGGATAATCGTAGCCTCCGGATCAATTATTAGCGAGATGTCTTTTCGAGAGTTAGCTCAACTATGAGTATCAATAAAGCTACGAAGAAGGATAATCATTGACTTTGGTTTGCATTACACGGCTCGATACATAGCCCTAGTTATCTGGAATTTCTACTTGGATGATAGAATCTATGGATATGAAGACTATATGGTTCAGGCCAACGCTCTGGTAAGGTCGATACACTATGTCCCTATGATACATAGTTATACATTGATCTTCGTAGTTAGGTATCATCGGAAAGGAAGACCTGGCCTGCACAGTTCTCCTTTTTGACTTGCAAATCAAGTCTAAAGTAGTTCATGATTGACTGTGCTCATTTTTGCCCAATTTCTACCAATAGTCTAGCGGGGAAAGAAAGAAAAAAAAATCAAGAAAAATTCGAAGGAAGACACCAAGTGAATCGAAAGAGTTGGAACTCTCATAATGTACAGGATCCAGTCATACAAGAGACAGGATAAACGACTCTTTTTACCGCCGGCCAGACTCCCATGCTAAAGAATAGCACACCGGGAAAAGAAAAGCGAGATGACCAACAAAAAAGAGACATAAAATAATATGTTACCGTGCCTTTAACCAAGGCATCCCATTGCATCAACAATCTTAAACGATGACCTCGCCCAGGTCGACATGAACCGGTTTCCACGGTGCAGCCGATGGCTCCTCCATCGCACTAGGAACACGCACAGTAAGCGGGCTGTAGAGGTACCAACCCTTAAGCGCTGCGACAGCAGCACGCTCGCGGGCCTCAATCAGACTGGCGCCAGCGCCCTCCCCGAGCTTGTCCTGACCAGAGAAGATACCTACCACGAAGACGGGGTGTCTGCTCTTACGACCTGTCTCACTGATAACCTTAGCAACGGGGCGCTCGAAGCTCTCGCGGGCACACAACCGAGTCAAATCACGGGCTGGTGCCTGGAAGTTGAACAGTTCTGAGATGTTGAGGTGTCGTGAAAGGAAGTGCTGCTCGAAGAATCGCTTGGCAGCAGCGCGGCCAGCGTGCAGGTAGATAGAGCCCATAACCGCACGAACAAACTCAGCGCTGGCATGTTCGGTAGTGACACCCGCAGCGGATTGCTTGTTCCCCTTGAGTGGGTCACCAAATTCATCATCATAGAAGATCTTAGAAGTAACTGTTTTCCTCCAGTTCTTCTGTGATTCATATGGACGAGCAGCTCCACTGCTTGAGCCCGAGGGAACCTCAGCACCAGGCTCAAGTCTCCGGAACTGCAGCAGGCCAGGGTCAACCTCTCCACCTGGCAACGCGGCCAGCTCAACACCCCATTCCCTTGCCATCGCGGCGAGGGTCTTAGGTCCAGCGTATGCGTACATGGCGGCGAAGATCACGGTCAGGGGCAGACGGGGATAGGTGCAAATAAGGTGCTCGGTTGCGTAGTAGGAAAGGAGGTCATGACCCAGAGTTGCCAGCGATGCGTTGTTGAAATTCGGGTTCGGGTCTGCGGATTCATCGACTAGTGTCCGTGCAAGGGTCTGAATAGGTAATCTGGAGGGAAGGTAGAGTCGAGCGTGGAGAGCGGCAAGTTTTGCAGACTGTTGAGCCGCTTCGACTGGGGGAGAGGGATATTGAAGTTGCTCGTGGCGAGTGTGAGATTCCTTGACAATTCGAGCCAATTGCTCATCGAAAGCTGCTGATTCCTCAAAAATTGCTGCAGTCTGATCTTCCTGAGCCTGGATCGGGGTAACGGTCGATTGGTATCGTTGCCCATAGATGTGTTGATGCAGACGGTTAACAGTCCGAGCCCGTGGCGCAAGGACTGAGCTGCTCCATCGTTGAAGCTGCAGTCTCTTCATCTGGGCGATTGTGGTATTCGGATTGCCGTGAAAATATTAAACAAGGGGCAGGAAGTAGTATCGCGACGCAATCAATTGGCATACCATCAACGAGAGAGAAGAGAAATTGTCGCGGCAGTCACGGGACGGCCAAGTCGTGTGAGAACGCGCTAAACCAGACTCGGCCTTAGTGTCTTGGCATCAGACCTGCGACTGTGACGGCCCTTTCGGCTTCCACCTTCGAGAACTACCAGCCCTACGCTCGCTTTATTATCTAACAACCCCTTCAATTGCATATTCGTCACAATGGGCGGAGGTGGAAAGATCCCGTAAGTGCTGTTTATCTCATGATCCCGCCGGAAGCTCACGCGTTTCATCTGGCAGGTATCCCAAAGAAGTTTGGTCCCCCGCTGGTGGTTGGTACGCCCAGCCAGCTAACTGGAGGGCCAACACCGCGATCATGGGCGCTTTTGTGATCGGTATTGCTGCAGTTGCCTTCAGTATCAGTGCCGAGCGGGAGCACCGTGACAAGATGCCCGAGCCCGGCCGTTTCTTCCCTAGCCGATAGTCCGTCAACCGAACCCACCCCATATTAACCAATATACCTTATGCTGACTGTTACCTTTGTCTTTTTTCTAGCTGGAGCAAGCAAATTCGGGAACATGAGGCACAGCAAGCCGCAAAGAGCGACTCATAAAGAAACTCCAGGAGACCGCGCCGGAGGATTTTCAGCAGGACGGATCCTTTTTTTTCTTTTCGTGTTTTTTCTACTATTTGATCAAGTGTGTGCTGTACGACAATAAAAGGGCGTTCCTCATTTGGTCATTGATCAATTGATCAACAGGTGTCTCTGAGGAGACTCTTCAAGTGTTCCCAATAATCGCTGCGTGTACAGGCGGACACGTTCCGTGAATTCAGTTTGATTCCATAATTCCTTTCCGCTTCCATCAACGGCGATCTGTGGCACACCGATCTGCTCGACCACAAATCCAGCTGCGACGGTTGCGCAAATCAGTGCCATAGGATGATATTGGTGATCATCCCAAGAGTCAAGGACCTTCATCCACGTCTTAGAATTCGATAGAACAGAGTCAATGACGTGGAAGGGTTCTCGGCCTTCAGTAACCATGCCTTGGGCTAGAGCACCTAGGAAAGAATTGCCTGCTCCCGTAGGGTCAAGTACGGGCGTAGCAACTGAACCATCGGGTTGATGATATGCGGGGAGCCAGATCTTGCAAGATTTGGAGTAGGCGTAGCTACCGTCCTTTCCTGCTCTAATAACCAGCATGCCATTTCCATCGGGACCAATACCGGAGTCTGTAATCCTTCGGACCAGCTGCTGGCCTGATTGACTCTCCTCGGACCACCCAGGCTGATCAAACATCATGCCGAGCTCCATGTGATTAGGACTTACAACATCCACAACCTTATTTGCGGCGAGAAACTTGTCTTGTTCTTCCGGGGTACAGAGATCAGGAACCGGTTCCCAAACAAAGATAGGGCGCTTGGTAGCATGCGCGGCAGACGGTGCCTTTCCCGCCTTCCGCAACTCATCTCGACGCTCCAGAATATTTTGCACTATAGACATGCATCGAGACGCAGAACAGACCATATGGAATGTTTTAGACCACACCTGCGTATCAGACAGCATCTCAGGCTCAAGTCTCAATTTCGGAGTCAAATATTTGAAGTCTGTGGGGGTCAGTCATTGCGTGCATTCCCTCAAGAGATATTACCGAAGAAGTACCTCGTTTTTCGTTGGGATGGTACCCATTCCAGGCTCTCGTTGTGAGTCTGCTATGATCCTCTCGAAATAGGCAGTCTGTGTTCCACGACTTGATCACATCAAGCGTCTCCGCAGGGAAATCAGAGCCGACATCCACGATCCAGCTTACAGATCGTGCATACTTCGAGCCCGAGACCAAGCGAGCACCCACGACAGCGAACGATGCTGCTCCACCGAGAACGTTCTTGACTCCGGGTCTTGAATCGCCAAAATCAATCTCATCTAATACATCTGTGAGTCCACATCCCGCTTTGAGGGACGAAGTACAGCATACCAATTATAAACATTCCCAAGGTACAAAACTCGACCTCGGCGGGTTGATCTTGAACGCCCATTATTGCAACTATAGCAATAGATAGACACGATGATGAGGGTTGTTCAGAGAAGAGCAACAGAACGTGGGACTTGGAGACTATCGTGGTGGATCAGGCACGGTAACGGCATTACCAAAGATACCCCGCAACGTCATTTGCACCAGCGGATCCCGCCGTAACATACATACCACGTCTAGAGCCGGTGGGACCTCAGGAGCTCCGGTCTTCCTCCTCTCTCACTCCTTATCATCCCCTGCTTTTTGGAATCTGAGAGACCAAGTCTTACCAAATAACAGGGAACTGTCTCATAAACCTTGGATCTTACTATTCTCGCACCACCTCTTTTACTTTTCCGCTTCAACCGTTGAAACAGCGTGTTGCCTATCATGGCGTCCGCCGGCCATATGAACAATTTCACCACCCTCATCAAGCGGTATGCATCGTTTTAGCTGCGCATATCCTACTCGGATTGACATCCATTCTTATGCTCTTTATGTTGTATGACAACTACATCCAATGCGCTTGACTGACATTGGACTTATCTACAGGCTCGAGGCAGCAACCTCACGCTTGGAGGATATGGCCATGTCATACGATGATCCCAGCTCACCAAAGGCTCTGGGCGCCCCTTCATCATCCGTGCCCGCTACTCCGGAGCCCCCTAAGCCCTCCCCTCCTCCCCCCGCAGCCCCTGTGGCGGCCCCAGTTCCACCGCAGATTCAGGACTTTGATGCGTTGATTAAAGGAGATGTTCAGAACTTTGTCAACTTGGGGCAGGAGATCGGTGGTTTGGTGGCCGAGCAAGTATGTTTAATGCGCAATCTGGGCCACTTCGCCCCCGGCAACTAGTTGCTAACTCGGTCTATAGTCAAAAGCCGTCCTTCAAGCCTTCCAGGCCGAGCGCACCTATCTTTTCGTTGTGACAAAAGCCAAGAAGCCTGCCACTCAACCCCCTGAGTTGATGACCGATCTTCACAAAGCATCTGATAGCATCAATAACATTCGTGAATCAAACCGAGCATCGCCACTGTTCAACCACCTCAGTGCTGTTGCGGAGGGTATTGTTGCGCTCGCTTGGTTCTTTGAGAGCAAGCCCGCGGAATTCGTCGCAGAGATGATCGGTGCCATTGAATACTATGGAAATAAGGTTCTCAAGGAATACAAGGACAAGTGAGTACCCCTGATGATCATTTTTCGAATGATCACCAAATTAATGTTGTAACAGGGACAAGACACATGTTGAATACATTAAAGCCTATTATCAAAACTTCAAAGCTCTTGCAGAGTACCTCAAGAAGCACTTCCCCAAGGGACTGACTTGGAACAATGAGTCTGGAATCGATGCACTGGAAGCCTTGAAACAGGCCAAGGGCGGACCTGCTCCAGTCAGCGGCGGCGGTGCCCCTCCTCCTCCCCCTCCCCCTCCCCCCAGTCCCATCCCTGAACATCCCTGGTAGCGGTGCTCCTCCTCCTCCACCACCCCCGCCTCCTGGTATCCCACCTGCCCCAGCCCCCGCGGCACCGGCACCAGATATGGGTGCTGTCTTCGATCAACTCAACCAGGGTGAGGGCATCACCTCCAGCCTCCGCAAGGTGGACAAATCGGAGATGACACACAAGAACCCCAATCTGCGCGCCGGATCCACCGTCTCCAGTTCCGCACGGGGCAAATCCCCGGCTCCTAGCAAGAAGCCTAAACCCGAGAACATGCGCGCGCGCAAGCCACCTCGTAAGGAACTCGAAGGTAACAAATGGCTCATCGAGAACTTCGAAGGCCCAGGCGATATCATCGAGATTCCTGCGCAGCAGAACCAATCTATCCTGATCACCCGCTGCAACAAGGCCATCATCAAGGTCACCAACAAGGCCAACGCTATTGCCATCGACAACTGCACTGGTCTCTCCCTTATCGTCGACTCTCTGGTCAGCAGCCTGGACATTATCAAGTGTCCCAAGTTTGCTGTGCAGATCGACGGTACTGTCCCCACTCTCCTGATGGATCAGGTCGATGGTGCTGCTGTTTACCTTGGTCAGCAGAGCCTCAATACCGAGATTTTCACTAGCAAATGCTCTGCTGTTAACATTAATCTTCCGCCGCCAGAGGGAACCGATGAGGACACCAAGGAGTGCCCTCTACCCGAGCAGTTCAAGAGCTACATCAAGAACGGCGTGTTGGTGAGCGAGATTGTGGAGCATGCTGGTTAAGTCGGGGTCACTGGTGAAAGGAACTAAAAACTTACCTTATTTAGTTTCGAAGATATTGTAATACTCCATCTCGGTCAGGTCGAGATCATCCGTTCTTCCTCCTGGGTGACTTGGGACTCGTTTTGATAATCTAGTTGCTGTATCTAGCGCTCTGTAAATAGATATAAATCACAGGAATTCAGAATTACCGACTTTTCCTCAAAACAATGCACGTTCTCGTAAACCTTGGGATAAAGAGATGCCTAGGTACCTGGTATTTGTTGGATGGGAAGCCTATAAATATACCTTCAACCTCATTTTATCCATCCCTTTTGCGCAGTGGTGGTAGACAGGAGACCAGCCTGTCACTGTGAGGGTCATAGGGTGAAATATTTACTTGATCAAACCTATAAACACGCCAAGTGTGGGTATGTTCAGCATCCTAATCGATCTAAAAGCCTATAATTTTCCAGATGGGAGATCTTCCTAACATTTGCCAAAGAAAAAACAACAAAGACAACACTAGTACCCTAACTAATAAACCTACCACGCCCAAAACCAGAGAAGAGGAGAGGTCCCAAAAGGAAAGATACAAAGACCGATGTGCGTGAGCACTCCAATATATCATGAGAGTACGAGCAACAGCGCATGGATCGACTGGCTATCCAAATGTCAAAGACAAGAAATTCACAGCTCACTGAGTGCAAATAGGGATAAAAATGATATTCGGGACTATTATGAGGGTTAGTGTAAGCAGGAATTGGCAGCAAACCGGTGCGCCTATTGTCACGCTGTTCTAATGTTCTGCATTTCTGCTGTCCTGTCATGGTGCAGACAGAGACTGAGGTTATGTGTCAAATCATAGTACAAGTATACAAGAGGAAACTGGGCCGGGCTTGTTCAGCGAGGATGGTGGTCACGGGTGGGAGAGCGATCGTAAAAGCCCGCTTTGGATGGGTGTCGCTCGTCTACTGTTGACTCGTGTCTGTGCACGTCAAGGCCTCGGAGTCTCTTGGCGAGGAGGCTCTCGCCAGGTTCTGGGCGGCTTGGGCTTGAGGTAGGAGATTGTCCTCCGTAACTCACATCGCCCATGGTGAATTTATTGTAGAGAGATGTACTATCCGAGGGGGGAGTGTTTTCGGGGCCATGTGTAAGATCTATGGATCTTCGTAGGCCCTGGTGCGGGGGCAGGTCATTGGGAGATGACACGTGCGGACGGGGATGGGGAATCGCTCCTTGGCCCAGACTTCGCCTGCGGGATGCCTGTTCAACTGCGAGACGCGCGTTTGTGCTTGAAGTGCTCGAAAGCGAAGACTCTCGCGAGGGCTTGTATGGAGTGTATCGAGGCTCGGGAATCTGGATCTCGTTGCGTAGTTTCTCCTTGCCGTCCGGGACACGGTTTGCGAATACTACTCGAATGGTCGAATGCAGGTAAAAGCGACCACGCGCAGGACAACAGATATTGAGATGGATGAGGTATCGCAAAGTGGGTTTGTCCTGAGGATCTTCTGTGGCATTCAAGGAAGCTTCTGGGCGATCAGTTCCAAAGTTCTTTCGTGCACTGAGCGGCATATCAATGATCGGGCCTGCCGAATAGCTGCGTTGTCGAATAAAGGTTTTTGTGCCAGGTTCCATGTCGCCTAAGTCATACGGGACCAGGAACAGCTTGACGGCAGTCTTGTGCGGATTCTTGATAATAATCTGTAGCTGACCTTGCTGCGGGATTCGATAAGATCCTCCCGGTGGGCATTTGGGAGACTCCGACCTGCGGCTTTTCTTTTCCCGGTGGCGTCGTGCCTCGGCATCAGACATGCGAGTAGTACTTGCTCCAGCTGTGGCCGATGCGCCTTCACTAGGTTCAGTCGGACTTGCATGTGGCCTTCGACGCCGGGTAGGAGTCGAGTTCTCTTGTGGAAGCGAATTCTCTAGGTCGATCTGGCCTACATAGGGACTTGGATTGTCGTCTGAGATTGAGCGGCCGCATCCCGAGGTCGGATAGCTGTAGAAAACAACTGGGAATGGCACTGTAACGTGTGGTGGACATCTGAGATGACCTTTGCATTTTCCCTTGCCCAGTACACCGATCTGAGCCGTGAAATCCAGCGGCTTGGAAGGATTCATAGACATCCGACCACGCAAGATCGATTCCTCGTAAGATCCAACCATTGGTGCATGGTGATTTGCTGAGATTTCAAAGGCGAAAGATGGCCTTCTGACTCGCGACGGTGGGACCTGCCCCCCGGGTGAGGGTGCGAGCTGAAGACTGTATGCTGATGTCAATGTCCGACGAGGTGAAGACCCTTGGTTGGTAAAAATATCCTGTTGCCGTGTATATGAACATGGACTACCAAGACCGATCACTTGGTGGTTTGGCGGGGAGAACTGGAGATTCCCAAAAGTCTCCGGAGGCAAAGTACGCCGACGGTTTGCTCTCTCCACGGGCCCCGGAACATCCACATGATCAACATGAGACGAGAAGTCCAGGTCAGTGTTATTTGCTTGGTGTACCAGAGGGCTGGTAGGAGCCTTCAGTACGTAACTTGATGAGAAGGAGCCCAGTGAAGGTGTACGAGACCGAGCATTCACAATAATATCGGACCGAGTATGGTCATTTGACGGAGTTTTTAGTTGTAAATCCTGCGAGAAGCCCGGTGCTCCAAACCAGGGAGTAGTGGGAGACAAGCTTAGATGAGCAAAGGAAGAAGCGTCCCTTCGCCCAGCGAAAGGAGATTCAGCAGAATGGGGAGCATGGGGATCTGTAGCGCCTTCTCTAAAGTCGCCCGAATGTAACGCTGATCGGGGTCTCTGGATATCGGCCGGCGATCCCAGTTCCGCTGTCGCGTTGATATGATGTTCTTGACTAAGAGAGCAGCTCTCTTGCCCTCTTACCACAGTTGGGGAGTGTTTGGGTGATGCTGAAGAAGCAATTAAATTGTTGCTCTCTCTTGCTGGAGACTATGCAATAGGTCAGTTTATAGCCGAGAAATGATGTGGGTAAGTATGGAAGTATAGAAAAAGAAGCAACGAAGAAAATTGTTTCCGGTTCCGTTCCCTCCCATCCACAAAAAATGAATGAGATTTGAAGAACAGACCGGAAAGATGCAAAAAAAGATTCACATACCACATGTTGATCTTTCCACGGGGAAGATTCTTTGATACGATGTATGAGCTCCTCTCGATCATTCGCCCATGGTTTGGGCGAGTTTTGTCGCTGTGGGTCCATAGAATTGAAAGAGATCTCTGAAGCACCGATTCCACGGCGACTGTGCTCATTTGGATGGGATGATGAGGACCCCATTGTCGGTTGTTCGTCCTGTTCACAGTCCGGTGACCGTTGATAATGACGCCGCCGATCAGGATCCCGAAATAGGGGCATGGTGGCGTGATAAAGGCAGACTATGAGACCGAAACTGCCAACGATAACATCGCAGAAAGCTCTCGACGTGGCTAGTACCTTTTGAAACTAAGGCCTAGCTGTGCCTTGGTGGGGGGAATTAAATGCGGTGTGCCAGGATGATTCGGGTATATGCCGTCAAGTGGTTCGATTGATTGGCAAGGAAGCGGCCGCTTTATATAAAAGGTCACGTCGCGCCAGCGCCCGACTTTACCTGCGCTGCCTGAGAATATGAATCCCCAGTCAGCGCTTATTCAGTGAATGGTAAAATGCAAATTTATTGAGTAAGTGTGCTCAATATGAGTCTTTGAATGGGTGGACACCGTAGATCTCGGAGATCCGGGCTCCAGAACGTCATGTGATGGACCAGTGACGTTGTGTTGGTGCAACTGCTTCGATTGGGACGCGGCCTTATATTTGCATTTCGGGTCTCCAGAATCATATAGGGAGCCTAAAAGTGTTGGGTGCAAATGGGAAACAGGTTGAAACAATAAAAGCGACATCACATGCAGGAGGATGTACGGAGTACAATATTGTCGGGTGCAAATCTGCTGGAATCACTGAAATAAACCAGCGTAGGAAATGGTAAGATCTCATATAACGACTCTAGAAGATTAGCCATTTAATCTTATGTATTCAACCCTTTCAAAATAAGAACAGAGCAGCACAAATGTAGTGCATTTTTGCTGTTGTACTTCGATGTACTCCGTACATAGTGGCTTGCTAGTGGCCGAGACCGATGTTCCGTGCGGAGATCGCCACTTTTTTTTTTCTTCGCCGAAGCCTTCGATTCAACACACGCCGCAACGAAACACAACACGATTTGTTGGTTTCAGTTTGATTATCAAGATGGCACCAAAACGTACTCACGATGGTGAGGCTGCTCCCACATCAAAGGGCGAGCCCGCAATTAAGAAGCGCAAGGGTTTCAGTGTTGGACCCGCAAACCTTCCAGATGGCACATATCGTCGCAAGAGTGAGTAGAAATGCCTTTGAACCCTTGGATCTTCGAACGTAGACTAACAATCAATCCCGAATAGCCCAAAAGATCAAGAATGACTTGATCCACAAAGCCAAAGTGAAGAAGGCCTATGCCAAGATCAAAGCTGAAGAACTGGCCAACGCGCCTAAGAGATCCGTTTACGACACCGCCGAGGGGGATGACACTGAACCTGCCAAGGTTGAGGAAAAGACTGTTGATGAGGCAGCGACGCTAGAGCTTCACCCGGATCGCATAGCTATGTTGAACGAGCCCGAGCCTGAGCCGGCCCCTGCACCCAGACCAGAACGACGCCAGCGAGGCGATGGCAAACAGAGGGAACGCCGACCGAAGCCCTCTGCGTTCACAAGAGAGATGGAATTCGCGGAAAAGCGCAGAAAAGCAGAGGAATTACGTCAGAAGGAACGCGATGCGAAACAGAAAGAGCGCGAGGCCCTGTTGCGTGCGAAGCGGCCGGATCAGTTTGGCAAGAGGAGGTTAGGCAGAGAGAGCAATGCACTGCTTAGTCGCGTGCAGCGAATGGTTGGTCAGAATTAGAGTCTTGAAGAGACATGAGCTACACACCCACCATGTGGACTGTTTTCGTGATACCCAGTTAGGCATGCCCAAAAAATAGATCCGGAGTATTCAATATGAGATCTCTTCGATATTATAGCATTGCTAAGCCTATGTCGGTCATGAATTGCTAGAAGTGACACTGCCTCCACTATTTCCACCCCCGCCGCTTTTCTGCTTTCTAAAACAAGCAAACTCGCCCTTGGTCCGATCTCTGAGCCGCTTCAAGACAACACGCATTTCTCCTAGCTCGGCTTGAAGCCTTATGCGGGCGTCATTTGTCGTGCGACGATCTAGCTCGACATAGATCTGACTTTGTGCATTTGAGGCCTCGTCGGTCAAGTAAAGATTTAGCGTTTGTGCAATGAACTCAGTGTCCAATGTAGCCTGCATCAGAGCTGGGAGCGAGAAAGAGGTCCGAGCAGCGAAGGCAGTAAGTAATGACGACGAAATTTGAGATAGTAGATATGTCAACACAGTGGCCAACAGCGAAGAAGGTGCATTTGATGCAGCGCGAGAGGCAACTGATGACACAGTGGACGGAATGGTTGTGGAAATCTCGGTGTGCACCAACACCATGGTCAACATGGCATTGTAGACGTAAGGGCGGACTTGCTCCGGCCTGTCAACAGATGGTTCCCAATCTGGAGATGCAATGCCAGTGGTGATGGTTTTGTTTAACGAGGCGGTAGTCGGGTTGACATAGGACTGGAATAGTCTGTCTTCGATTTGGCTGAGAACATCGCGGATGGTCTTGGCCTCTTCCGTCAGCTTGACTGAGAAGGATGTCTCAAAGTTGGAGATAAGCTGTGGAACATGATCGGCTTGCAGAGCCTTGAGATTTGAAAGAGTGAGGAGGATTCGAACGTTCTATCCTGTGGTCAGCGATCGAGGGATCAAATCACATTGAACTCCGACACATACCCTATTCCAAGAATCCACGGAATCCGCCGAGAAGACAGACAAGGCAGCATCAGTCGCTTGGCTTCTCATTGCTGGTCGAGAAATAATCCATTCATTCTCTTCATCTGCCGTTGTCAGGCGCTCAGCGTTTTCGACTAGGCCGCTTAAAGCTTTGTAAACACTCGAAACGAACTGAGTGCGGACCATTTGAAGTAGTTTCGCAGGTGGTTGGGTGACAACATCCACGGCACCTGGCTTCGCCATAGCTTCCGAGATATAAAGTATCTTCTGCATGCCCCCGAGGATAGCACCCTCGAACGCCACAAAGAACCCAGGCATCTTAGTTAAGTCCCGCTTCTCTGAGTCGCGTGTCCAATCTTCCAACATCTTGCAGATTTCCGCATCTTTACTCCAGGCAGCACATGCCACACGAGCAGACCGTTCCCGGGCTACGCTGACAAGGGCCTTGAGGAGATCGTATGTTTTTCCAGCGCCCCCAATGGGCCGCAATGCCGCCATCTCGCTGGCAGCGGTGCCCACAATGATAAGGAATTTACTCAAATAATGAACACCACTGAGGGAGTTGGAGAATGGCGGCCAGAATGAGAACTCCTCCCAGTGTTCCCCCAATTTTGGGGCAGGGAAAGGTAGATTTCTTGGATCCAGCTTGAAGCGTGACTCTGTCGGAGTAACTCCCCTCGATTCCGGGGTTGATGGACTTGGCGGAACTGGCGAGAAGAGCAAGGAGACGTCGTTGGTTGGAGGTTCTGCGAAGAGAGTTACAACGTTCTCTCGAATAAGGTTGACTAACTCGGAAACACCCCTCTCCAGCTCTTTGATATTATCGGTGGACAGACGATGATGTTTGCGACTCTCTCCTTCGAAACCAACAGGCAGAAGGCGCTGCCTGTTACCATCGATGAAAGACTGTGCCACTTCCCAGAAGTCCAACACCTCGCCGAGCAAGCCACTTTGGGAGGACAAAAGTCGGGTTAAGAACGCTTCCACACATTCCCACAACTCAATGACTTGATCTGTGTCTAGTCTCCCCGGGACTTCTGCTGCACCATCACGAGGTGCTAGGCGGAGATAGGATGCCGTAGCTTGTGGAGTTGGTCTCTCCCCGCCAGCAAGCCTTCTTCTCAGAATTTCGATTTCGCCCTTGCATCGGTCACAGAATCCCATGATTTTTGTTTTCAAGAATTCATAACGGCTCTGAAGCCATTTCCAAATGGGGTTATCTTCCACACCCAGCTCCAACAAAGCACCGATCAGCTCCATGTGTTCTTCCACAGGTCCTGAGGCGGTGGTTGTGGTTGACGTGGTGGGGGCATCGGCAAGACGCCTCCAGAGATCTCGTTTGAAATTGTGAATTTGTTGGTCAACATCCATCCACATGCGGCCCATCGCCAGGATGGTGTGCGTTTCAGAGTCATTTAGTTGTCGACGGGAACTGGATGAGACTTGCTGCGCAATATTCTTAGCGCGGTTGGCGAGCGCTCTTGCCTTGGTGTATTGCTCAAAAACAGCGTCGTAATCTCGTTGTTGGATGGATTTGGACAAGTGGCTTCCAATCTCATATACATCACGATGTTTCTCCATGGTCTCCACCAGTGACTTTAGTACTTTTTCTCGCTCGCGACCCCCAAGTGCCGGTCCCCACACTTCCTCGGCTTTAACAGAAGCTTCAACCAAAGGGCCCCGAATACCCTTCATACCGTACTCACTCTCCTTGACGAGAGCGGTCTTCTTCGGAGCCACAACTGGGGTAGGAGAAATGCCTCGTTGCTGACCTGAGTAGCTCCGGAAGTGCCCCGACCTACGGGGACTCAAAGGGGCTTCTTTATCCACACCTTGGTTTCTCATCTCGGTGTAGACGCTATCAATAGTTGCCTTGGCACGGACGAAACGCTCGAAGTTGGCTTCCACCAATACTTTCAACGACGCTGACTTTTGGTCGATGGAATGTGAGAGATTATCCAGACCTCCCATCAGAGATTCGATAGAAGCTGAGTGATGCGCCTGTGATAGGAACAGTGCGGGGGAGAATGATGTAGATGATAGCAGGTACCGCGACTTGCCCTCCTCCTCTAATGGCACACCTCGTTGCTTTAGAATCCGAAGCACACTGTCGCTCGTCCCTAAAGGATCAGGCTCATCTTCGCGCGCATTGTCTCTGCCCTCCTTCCCTCGTCGTGAACCGCAGTTGCTCCTCCAATCACTGGGACTGCGTTCAAGGGCCATGTAACGAGACTTGCGTGGACGGGAGTCTATTCGTTGGACTGGCTCTTCTTCTGACTCCTCTGCCACATCTAGAGCTGCAGGCCATTCTTCGGGGAACTCGGAGGGTAGGTTGTAATGACTTGCGACGTCGAGGTCAGCCATGATTGCCTTAGTGGTGGAGGCGCGGGAAACGGGTCGAATTGAAATTAAAAGATAAGTCAGATCTGATTACAGAGTCTCCTGCAGGTGACCAGCAGAGATCTGATAGCAAAACCCTAATAAAGGCAGTGTCCCTGAGGCCCTGTAGTGCTTCTAGAGTGGACACCTCGTAAAGAGTGGACTCGGGCCGGGGGGAGTCAAACCACCAATGCGGTCTGCGTCCCGTTCGGATCGGTGCGGCGCCGAGAGATTTGATTCTTCCTCTTCTTCCTCTCCTTCCTTCCTCCCCCCACCACCTATTTTCTCCTCCCAGAAATTGAAGGGATCTTTCAAAATGATCGCTGCCCGGAACTTCTCTGTTGCTCGCCAGTGCTTGCGCCCGTCCCGCGTGGCCCCCCGATTTGCTGCTCCCATTGCGCAGGTACCAACCCCCTCAGACACCAAATCGCTAGCAATCAAAGAAGCTTAATTAGTTAACGTTTGACCTCGTTGGAATAGATTCGCTTCTACGCTAGCCCTGCGCAGGAGGCTGTTGCCAAGTTCAAGGGTCAGAAGGGTCCTGATGTACGTTTTCTTCCCACGAAACTGTTTTTTTTTCATCACTGCCGGTGCCAGCCGCGCAGCGCACACCGACCATAATCCACCCAGAACACATCGCCAATATCACCACATCCATCATTACCCCGGAGCTAATTGATTTTCTTTCGAAAATAGGGCAAGTACACTGTTACTCTGATTGAGGGTGACGGTATTGGTCCTGAGATCTCTCAGTCCATCAAGGATATCTTCGAGGCCGCAAAGGTAGCTATCCCTCAGCACCACCATTATTTCCTAACGCGACCAAAATACTAAATCATTCACAGGCCCCTATCAAGTGGGAATCCGTTGATGTCGGCCCCATCCTGAAGGATGGCAAGACTGCCATTCCCGATGATGCCATTGCCAGTGTGCGCCGCAACTATGTTGCGCTCAAGGGTCCTTTGGCTGTACGTTCCCGTTTGCCTCTCGCACTCGTCCACCACGATACTAAACGTGAATTTTATAGACCCCCGTTGGCAAGGGCCACGTCTCCCTGAACCTGACTCTCCGCCGTACTTTCAACCTGTTCGCCAACTTGCGTCCTTGCCGCTCCATTGCTGGCTACAAGACCCCCTACGACAACGTCGACACCGTCCTCATCCGTGAGAACACCGAGGGTGAATACTCCGGTATTGAGCACGTCGTCGTCGATGGTGTCGTCCAGAGCATCAAGCTCATCACTAAGGAGGCTTCCGAGCGTGTCCTCCGCTTCGCCTTCCAGTACGCGCAGTCCATCAACAAGAAGAAGGTCCGCGTTGTCCACAAGGCCACCATCATGAAGATGTCCGACGGTCTGTTCCTTAACACCGCCCGCGAGATCGCTAAGGAGTTCCCCGATATCGAGTTCGACGCTGAGCTGCTGGACAACTCATGCCTCAAGATTGTCACCGACCCTACCCCTTACAACGACAAGGTTCTTGTCATGCCCAACCTGTACGGTGATATTCTGTCCGATATGTGCGCCGGTCTGATCGGTGGTCTCGGTCTCACCCCCTCCGGTAACATTGGTGACGAGTGCTCCATCTTCGAGGCCGTCCACGGTTCCGCCCCCGACATTGCTGGCAAGGCTCTTGCCAACCCCACTGCTCTGCTTCTGAGCAGTATCATGATGCTGCAGCACATGGGTCTCCACGACCACGCTGCCCGCATCCAGAAGGCTACCTTCGATACTCTCGCTGAGGGCAAGGTGAGTTTGGAAATATATCCCTATAATCTCCGCACATTACTGACTCCATGATTTTTTTTAGACCCTCACTGGTGACCTTGGTGGTACCGCCAAGACCCACGAGTACGCTGGGGCCATCATCTCGCGCCTGTAAACCAAGCGCTGCTTAGATTTTCTGTACTATGACCCTCTCTGAACTTTTCCTTTTGTACCCTCGAACGACATTAGACCTATAGCGATCGAAATATACCTACTTTTGGTTACGCGAAGGCGCTTGATTTCAAACAACTTCAAAATCTCTCTCGCCTATCCCTTAATAAGAGCGAATCTCACTTGGGTAGATTGATCGTTCATGCCACAGTTAAATTAAAGTACAGGACACATTGCCCATCGACATAGTCATACACATCAGTGAGGCACAGAAAAAACGCCAGTGTCAAAAATCCATAGGTATCAAAGCTCATAATCACACATCGAAAATCTCTAGTGCCATGTCAACGTCGTCGGCCAGTCCTGCGCGTCGCAGTGCTAGTTGAAGGCTTTTTGTCTTTTGCTTTGGAGCGAGAGGTCTGCGCTCGAGTGCTTCGCGAACCGCCTTTCTCTCCCTCACCCTCATCTTCATCACTGTTTCCCTCAGACACATCTTCGCCATCCTCGTCATCTTCATCATTCGCCCCAGTATCTTCGGCTGAATCGCCACCTTCGTCTGATACCTTACCTTGACTCCCTGGGCCAATTTCCACCTGCAATCGGGTTGAGCGTGTCCCTCGCGTGGCAGGACGGGCACTTCGATTAGATTTGCGACCTCGAGATGGGACAGGCGAAGACCGTGGTTCTATGATAGGCAAAAAGTCAGCTCGTGGGCTATAGACCACAGTGCAGAGTGTATCGCCACTTACCATCTGTATCTGCGACTGTACTTCCTCGTCTCGATCCGCCTGCACGACTGGCACGACTAGTCACGGGCGACAAGGATCCTTCCATTGCAAGTCGCCGCTCAAACATCATATCGCCGTATTCATCGTATGGAAGCTCGAATGGGCAATACATTTCGCTTGACCCTTCATCATCTTCGGTTACATCGGCAATTAATGAGTCTTCCTGTAATTATATCGCAAATCAGCGAATTGAACCGACATGGATAGAATGTTGATCGCTGCTTACCCGCTCGTCGAGAGCTTCCAAATTGTATAATGAGCCGAGCTTCTTCCAGATGCCTGGGATGCGCATATGCTCTGCTGTGGAGGGTGCATATCCTTGACTCTTTAGGTAGTCCGAAATTGCGAGCATACGAAAGTGCTTGTGTAGGCCTGTAGGACCCGACGGTTAGCTGCACTGTCGATTCAACAGGAGAAAGCACTGGACCTACCGACTGGTTTCCATTTTATGATCGCTTTGAGCAATGCTGTTTCTTGTTCATCTGTCCAGGGATCGGTGATCAGGTCATAGTCCGCGTCTGTCTTGCCGGCGCTGTCACTTGACGGGGTGTTTGCGCTCGACTGCGCTGTGGTGTCGCCGTGGGGCGTGGGTGAGTGAGTGCGCTTGGTCCTTTTCCGTGGAGGCATGGTGGTTTTGATATTTGATCCGAGGATTACGGGGCGTAGAACTGATTCAATTGTATTGGGGAGGAGATGATGGTGGAGCTTCGAGCAGGGCGAGGCACTTTCTGTTATCAAGGGTCTGTGCGCCCCGATAGCCATCTCCGTCGCGGGACCAACTTTCACGCGTCAAACACTCGATGCTCACTGAGCATGGTCTTACTATGGATCAATGTGATCATGACCTGGATCCTTTCTCCAGCGAGAGTCTCTGGAGACTCTCTAAGTTCAGCATAGAAGCTTTACAGCCATTGGAGTCGCTACCATGGAACACCTTTCTACCTGGTAAGGCGTCAGCCATCATTCTTTGGAATTTATAATAACACTTTGTCTTTGGATCAGAGGATCCCATATCGTGCTTTGAACCATCGCAACAGCCCACGGATAAGCTTGATTCGGTATGGAAGCTCGAGAATTTTCCAACCACGCTGGAGCCACCCAAATCCTTCGCCGACTCGATCATCAATTCCTCCATAGATAGCCAGTCCGACACATCATGTGATGCTTTGCCAGACATATCAGACAATATTACCGATCTTTGGTCCTTGGATCTATTGCAGGAAGATCCTGGCCAAATTGTCCCGCAGAAATCATGGGAGAGGTATCAGGACAGGTCATTTCAAGAGCCCGTATCTGTCTACTTTAGTGAATCTGGGGCAAAGGGCTTTGATGCGGCGTTGGCACATCATAAATTTACAAGGAGCGCCGATCCGCCCACTCGAATGGTTCGAACAGATGTGTTTAATCGATCACTGCTTCGTCTGGGGCTTGGCTGGAGCTCCGCATTTTTTCGCTACGATCAACCCACCAACCAATTTGTGAGAGATTTGAAAGATATACAAGTGTCAGGTGTCAGCCCAGTGGCATTGGAAAGCGTGGTCAATTACGTGCTACAGTGTGGTACTCATATGCAGCGGGTGCGGTTGTTTGCGCAAGATCCACCAGCCCAGTGCAAAGAAATCTCAGCTTTATTCACATTAAGTGGCACAGTCGCGGTGATTATACACACCCTTGAACAACAGATATCCGACCATTCGAAACACGTTGTCTCACTCCTACAAATCAAGGCCCTGTTCCATCGCTGTGGTGACTTGATAGGTGTTCTCGCAAATATTGTTGATGCTTCCCAGAAAGCCACTTCGGACGCACAAGTCATATCAATCGTCACTAAGCTCGCAGCTTATTATGCGCAAAGGTTTGGCTGGATGGAGCCTCTTGTGCATGAGATTGTGACTCGGGTAACCAGGCCATGGTTCAAATTCGTCGACGCTTGGATTGGGCTTCAGCCGGAAGAAACGGCGCTCATGGAATCTTTGGCTCGTGGGAAAGCCTTTGTTCGACTGGAGACTCATGATTCTGGCAAGTTCAAGACCGGGCCGGCGCGAATTGACTACATCTATCAATCGGACCACATGCCATTGTTCATCCCGGCAGACCAAGCTCGTTCGATCTTCGAGAGTGGGCGAAGTCTTCAACTACTGAAGGAAGTTCATCCGCATCATCCCATTGCACGCCATGATGTTCTCTCCCGGAATGGAGGTCTTCATCTACACTGTGCGACCACATGGGCTGGTATTGAGCAAATCCAAACAAAGGCGCAAGAGTACGAGTCAAAACTTCGTGCTGAGATCAAAAGATATCAAGAAGGTTATACAGACCTGCAGAATTCACGATCAGACGTACTCGTCCAGGGTGCTCAACCAGCCGACACAGAAATTACAACGGCAGCCTTCAAACTCTTCGACATAGACGACGAGGAAGAAGGTTCGGGACCAGTCACGGATCACAGAGCTCTCTCGAAAGACGATTTCAACCGACTACTCGACAAAGCTCGGAAACTCAACCCTGGAGTCACTCATGAAGGGAGTCAGCTCGGCCCTGAGTTAGCCTCTGGCCTCCATCTCTCACTTGCGCCTATTCTTTCGTCACAAGCACTTCTCATCAATTATTCTTGCCTGCATCTTCTCTTCAAAGAACATCGAATCCGTCATCATCTCAACATGCAGTGGCGATTCCAGCTCCTGGGAGAGGGCTCGTTCGTCTCCCGTCTTTCCAATTCCTTATTCAGTCCGGAGATGGAAAGCGGAGAGCGAAAGACCGGAAAAGTGCGCAGTGGTATCGATACTGGTTTACGCCTTGGCAGTCGTGATACATGGCCGCCAGCTAGTTCAGAGTTGCGACTAGTGCTGATAGGCCTGTTGGGAGATTGTTACTTCGGTGGCAAACACAAAGAAGATGACGAAAAAAATCAAATTCGGAAAGATAACGAATTGCCGGGTGGACTAAGCTTTGGAATTCGAGAATTATCTGACGAAGAAATTGAAGGATGCAAAAACCCGAATTCAATAGAGGCTCTGGACTTCCTTCGGTTGCAGTACACACCACCCAAAGTGCTTGAATCCCTCATTACTCTTCGCTCCCTCGATAAGTATGATCGTCTATTCAAGCACCTGCTTCGATTAATCCGCATGGTCTCTGCCGTTAAAGGACTTGTCCGTGACTCTACTTCTCGAGGATCTCTGTCAGGAGATTATCGGAATGTTCTGCAGCAGTTCAGAGTGGATGCCCAACACTTTGTCCTCGCAGTCAGTGATTACTGCTTCCACATCGGCATTGGATCCATTTGGCAACGCTTCCAAACCACGCTAAACAAAATTGAGCACTGCCTCAACCGCGGCGACATCGACGGTACAATCGAAGCGGCGCACTCGCTGCCCCGACTCCGCGATTACCATGAAGATATTCTTGACCAGATGTTGTTTGCGTTCTTCCTTAGCAAGCGCCACGCTCAGGCTGCCAAACTGCTCGAATCTATCTTCGGTACTATTCTCGCCTTCGGTCCTCTGTCAAAAGCAGATGGAATTGGGATGCGCAACGAAAGTGAAGGAGCTGTTCTCCATCTTTATCAGTCTTTCAGAAAACAGACTTCCGCTTTTGTCAACTATCTTCGCAGTCTGGAATCTGGAAAGGCCACTTCCAAATCAATGGCTAAATCAGGGGCATTCTTCTCCTCGCGGCCAGACCCAACGAGTGTCTTTGAACACCTGCGGGTAAGATTAGACATGAAGAAGTACTATTGATCGAAGCTGTTGCCACACATGCAAAATATTTTACCGAGATACCCTCCCAGTTTGAACTCGAGCTGTTACTATCTGTTTCTCTAGTGTATCAATCAAAATCAACATGCGTTTCATACTCTGATCTACCAAAGCAGACCACTGGAGCCGCACCGAATCTAGAAGAAGTGAAGATCCGACGCAGCCCAACCTTGGGCAAGAAGAATATTGCGAGCACATTTCTCCATAGGCGCAGGTCCACAGACCAGAACCATACTCTGCTCTTCTGGGGCCGCGTACTCCGCGAGCAATTCCTCAGAAATGCGACCCCGTCGACCAGTCCAGGTATCAGACCCTTTAGTTAATGTATGCACAACAGTGCATTTCCGACTGTCGATCTCCACATATGCTTCGAGGGCAGAGCGACACAAAACATCTTCCTCCTGTCTATTTCCATCTAGCACAATACACGTCGTGGGATCTTGCGTGTCTTGCATAACAGCCTGCAGAACCTGGAAGACGGGAGTGATGCCCGTTCCTCCACAGATCATCTTGAAAGAGCATACCTGGCGCTCCTTGCCGCTGATCAAAACCCGGCCATTGCCGAGATATTCAAACCGACCAGTCGGGCCCTTGCAGTCGATCTGTGAGCCTAGGGGCAGCTTGTCTAGGGCCATTGTCATTTTCCCTCCTGGGATGGTCGCCGTTGGGAAGTAGACCTTCACGAGTAATTCCATCTTGCCTATCAGGCTGCTGTCTGACATTGGCGTATATGATCTGATGATGGCTTCGTTGTTGGATGCATCCTGGACCTTGATCATCAGATGCTGACCGATTGGTAGACCAAGTGTCTGTTTCTCGTGTTCCAGGTCGAAGACGAATATTCGTGTATCCCACGATACATTCTTCTTCTCTGTCAGTGTGGCTTTTGTCCATGTTCGCGACTGAAGGAACACCTCGCGTGGCTCGTCGGAATCTGCAGCTGAATTGTTCTTCAGAGCCTCAATAGATGCTTTGTCCAATGTACCAATATGGTAATCCGGCATCATTGCCTTGGCAGTTTCACTGTCTGAAATGGTGTTAGAAATAGACTATTCCGCCAATGTTCAGTCAGTGACTCACGGATTGCAAGGAAGTCTTCTGATACATCCAACCCGGCAGAAGATGTAATACTAATCGCTCCTCCGGGATGGCCTTCGAGGAATCGTGTCCCATCGTATACTTCGCCATTCACCACAAACCACGGCTTCTCGCTGGTACTATTTGCTTTGAGCTCTTGTAGGTTGATTTTTCGGTTCATGCCCTCTTTCCTCATGTTGATTTCCTTCATGGGCTCTGGCTCAATGGGTTCATCGCCTTCAACCCTATCACCCCAGTTGCCATTGAGCAAGTCGCCACCAGTCTTCTTGACTTTTTCCATCCATCCTCCGGGTTTGGCTGGATGTGTGGGATGCTCAAACTTCAACGTGTTTCCTTCTTTCGTGATTGTAACTCGGAACCAGGAGTTGTTCATCATGCCCAAGACAGACCAGTACATATCACGCGGCATGGTGCTTAACGCCTCATCCACTGCGCGAACGAGTATTGCATCGCTGGATTCCAGGTCTGCCACTGGGATCCCCAGTGACCAAAAAGACCAACAGAAAGATGCTTCCCTCCAGCACATGTCTACCTTGCCACCGAACAGGTCACCTTCAAAGTCTCGGTATTTGTCTTCTGCATATTCAATCTCGGAAAGACGCCATGCTGGGAGTTCGACCAGATTAGCCATGTTTGAATCTCGGATCAGGGATGTGAATACATTTGCCTCTATCAAGAGAAATCTCAACCCTTATTATTCTCCGACCACCGCCAGCATATGCATACCCTTTGGCTGTATACGTAGGCCCAGCGGTGGATAAATCAATTTCTTCCTCGTGCTGTGGATAAACAGCCACCGCGTTGACACTCAGTTCATAAATGGCATATCGCTCATCAGTCCACCACTTGCGGTCTTGGGCGGACATTTCCGGCGACACCATCGTTCTGGGACCGTCAGCACATTTCACTGCCTGAGTATTAACTTGATACTTACGGAAGCACCCGGTTATCATTGATGTGATACCAGTTATCACTTGGAGCATCAGTCAGGATCAGCCTTTTCAGCCACTTCACACTCCGACCTCCAATTTGGCCAGGCACCACTGCCCGCAACGGACGGCCATGATCCGGTCGAAGGTCCTCGCCATTCATTTTATGAGCCAACATGATTCCCCGATTCGGGTCCATGGCCCAGTTCAATTTGACTGAGGTTCCGTAAAAGCCATTTGGCTGTGAGATGTGTTAGTTTTATATCATATTTGTTTGACAACACTGGACCTTAGAGTAATCTTACCAGCCTATCGGCACCCTCCATGCAGACATATTTCGCTCGTCGAAGTGGCTTCGCACTGCGCAGAATATCCGCCATCAAAGGCCCTGTGAATAGGGCCGTTGATAGCCCAGCCGCACCCCACGAGAAGCCCTTCGACTTTCGCACTGTGTTCTGCTCTTTCCGTCTATTGCCAGCACAGACGAGCGTGATTGGAGCGGTGATCTGTTCATACTTCTGAAGCACTTCGCGGAAATTGAGGACTAATGGCTTTTCGACCAGCCTAAACCATCAATCAGTTTCTCGAAACATGAAGCCTACAAGGATTTGGCTCATGCTGACCCTTCTATACTGAGCTCCCAATCCGGGATATCCGCATCACGGACTTGAGGTACTGGTCCATGATTCCTCACATAGAATAACTCCGGGGATGTGAGAAAGCCTTTATGGTCGGTTTAGCTTGACGGCTGTATCAACACTGGGCTCGGAGTCGTTACCTTCGTTATACAACGTTGTCAATGGTGGTTCTACGTTGAATGGATGAACGCCCGTCAACCGGATCAATCGCGGATCCCGCGGCACATGGTTGTCTGGTGTGCCTTTGTCGATGTCTAGGATCTCGACGGGGCTTTTTGACGGGGGAGGGAGTGGGATGTCAGGCTCTGCTAGGCTTGGGACGACATCTTCGACTGTGATCTGGGCATTTTTGAAGCGGATTGTGTCGGATTCGATTATGGTTTGTGTGGTAATGGTAGCCATTTTGTTGATACGAGGGTTTCAGACTGTTCGATGGGGATATACAAGACTCTTGAGATTACTTGCAACATAAAACACATGAGCTTTTTCCAAAACGGCTTAGTAGATCGACATAGGACGATTTGCTATGCACCTGAAGTACATTTACTTGCAGAAAACAGCGCATAGTGCTCGTCCCCGAAATTCCCCTACTTGCAGAACAAAAGAATAACTCTTGATCTCCGCGGACATCGAATCTCCCACAGCCCCCTTCTGAATCACATTCTATAAGCTCATTCCTCGACGCCAAGTATATCGCTCATGTTTATCGAGATAAGCCCGAAGCCCTAAGCCAATCGCTGCAAAGGGGCATCTCCGCGGAGATCAAGACCTCACGATATCACCCGTTCCTGTTTCTTCCGCTCACTGATTAGCCTCAATCCGTACGACTCACAGCCTCTCACAGTGTCTCATCAGACAGAGTGGAACGAGGCATTAAGTTTTCTTAAAACTAGAATCGTAGCCGTGATCCGTAGAGCGTATCGTATACTCCATCTCATAGTACGATTCAACAGCCATGCCCGTGCTAGACGGACTACGATATGGCGAGCCACTCGATGGCAGTCCCAGTCCCTTGGAAGTCCAGCGCCAGAAGATCGTGGTAGTGGGACTGGGGATGGTGGCCATCTCACTCATGTATGCGCATTCCAGACCCTGGAGCAGCACGATGAACCCTAACAGCATCCCAGCGAGAAAATTATCAAACAAGACACAGAACGGAAATATGATATCGTCGTTGTCGGCGAAGAGTCACACGTAGCTTACAATCGTGTTGGGCTTTCGTCGTTTTTTGAACATCGCAAGATTGAGGATTTATACCTCAATCCGACCGAATGGGTGAGCAGTAATGTTTCTAAAGGCGTGATCACCTGGGTCCTAACTGGAGTATGCTTGTTAGTACGGCTCCTTCAAAGAACGGGTTTTCGATCATCACCTTAACACACGAGTAACTGCAATCAACCCCACGGAGAAGACCGTCCATACATCTACCGGCGCCATAATACCATATGATATTCTCGTCCTTGCAACTGGCTCTGATGCCACTCTTCCGACACGAACGCCTGGCTATGATGCCAAAGGCGTGTTCGTGTATCGAACAATCTCGGACCTGGAACACCTCATTGACTTTGCTGCTCGGCATAAAGGCGAGACAGCCGTGACAGTCGGGGGCGGACTATTAGGACTAGAAGCTGCCAAGGCAATGACAGATCTGCAAGATTTCGGAAATGTGAAACTGATCGATCGGAATAAATGGGTGCTGGCGCGACAGCTGGACGGGGATGCAGGAATGCTTGTTACTCGCAAGATCCGGGAGTTGGGACTTGATGTTCTCCACCAGAAGAGAGTAAAGGTTGTTGATACTGATGAGGAAAATAATGTGGTTGGGATCACATTTGAGGATGGGGAAAGGATCGATTGTTGTTGTATCTGCTTCGCGGTATGTACTCGATCTCTCTCCTGTCTACTCGCGTTTTCCCGATAATACAAGTGCTGATTGCTGTTCAGATTGGAGTTCAACCTCGGGATGAATTAGGTCGAGACACTGGAATCCAATGTGGTGAGCGTGGGGGATTCGTGATCGATGAGAGGTTTGTGACCATACACGAGTCCAGGAATTTGAGCTCTTCGTCTAACTCCTGTAGTCTACAAACCTCAATCCCAGATATCTACGCCGTCGGAGAATGCGCAAGTTGGGAAAACCAGACATTCGGAATCATTGCGCCGGGCATTGAGATGGCCGATGTGCTCGCTTTCAATCTGACAAACCCACACAAGCAGCCCAGAAGCTTCACGCGTCCAGATCTCAGCACAAAGTTAAAACTGCTCGGTGTTGATGTCGCTAGTTTTGGTGACTTCTTTGCCGACAGGGATGGACCGAAGTTCCTTCCTGGTCGTCGACCTTCTATTGCTGCTGGCCAGGATGGCCGTTCGAGAGAGGAATCTCCTGTTAAGGCCTTGACATATAAAGACCCCTTTGGCGGGGTGTATAAGAAGTATTTATTTACCATGGATGGCAAGTTCTTGCTTGGTGGTATGATGATTGGAGATACCAAGGACTACCTGAAGTTGAGCCAGATAGTTAAGCTCCAGAAAGAACTTGAGGTTCCTCCGAGTCAATTCATCCTTGGGGCTCAGAATGGCGGGGAGGAAAATGCAGATGACCTGTGAGTATTGTCAGTTTTGCTTATTTGACGAGGTGCTAACCTTTCACTGTAGTGATGACAGTACCCAGATTTGTTCCTGCCACAATGTCACCAAGGGCGATGTGGTCGCGAATCTGAAGAACGGCACATGCAAATCCATTGCTGAAGTCAAATCCTGCACGAAAGCAGGAACAGGATGTGGTGGTTGCATGCCTCTTGTGCAGTCAATTTTCAACAAGACAATGCTGGAAATCGGACAGGAAGTGTCGAACAACTGTAAGAATACACGAACTTGCACCAGAACTCTTCTGTCATGACTGACGTATCCAGTGTGCTCACACATCCCCTACTCACGAGCCGATCTATACAACATTGTGGCAGTCAGGCAATTGAAAAGCTTCGTCGATATCATGAAGGCTGTCGGGAAGAACCCAGACTCTCTCGGGTGTGAACTGTGTAAGCCGGCCATTGGATCGATTTTGTCTAGTTTATTCAACCCCCATGTCATGGACAAGGGTATCAACGACTTGCAAGACACGAATGATAAATTCCTTGCCAACATTCAAAGAAATGGCACATTCTCTGTGGTACCCCGAGTCCCAGGTGGAGAGATCACGGCCGATAAACTCATTGCCATTGGTTCCGTGGCGAAAAGATACGGTCTGTATTGCAAGATCACTGGTGCTCAGCGTATCGACATGTTCGGTGCGAAGAAGCAGGATCTTTTGAATATTTGGACAGAACTTGTGGATGCGGGTATGGAGAGTGGACACGCCTATGCAAAGGCTCTTCGTGCAATCAAAGTATGTCAAAGCACATATCTCCCGGGGAAAGCCTAGCTGACATTGAATGCCCAGAGTTGTGTTGGAACCACATGGTGCCGTTTCGGTGTTGGTGACAGTGTTGGCATGGCGATTCGACTGGAAGAGCGATACAAGAGCATTCGCGCGCCACACAAGTTCAAGGGAGCAGTATCTGGCTGTGTGCGAGAATGTGCCGAGGCGCAAAACAAGGAGTAAGTGCAAACAAAATCGACTATGACTAAAAAAACTCCAAGCTAATGACTCCCAGCTTCGGGCTCATTGCCACCGAGAAGGGCTTCAACATCTTCGTTGGAGGCAACGGAGGAGCAAAGCCTAGACACTCCGAACTCCTTGTTACAGATGTGCCACCTGAAATGGTAATGCCAATCATCGATCGCTACCTGATCTTTTACATCCGGACCGCCGACAAACTCCAACGCACGGCAAGATGGATCGAGAATCTCCCTGGCGGAATCCACTACCTCAAAGAAGTGATCGTGGATGACAAACTCGGGATTTGCGCCGATATGGAAAAGCAAATGAACGAACTTGTCGATAGTTATTTCTGCGAGTGGACTGAGACCGTGAATGACCCCAAACGTCGAAAGGCCTTCCAGCAATTTGCAAACACAGATGAGACCATTGAAACAGTCGAGGTCATCCAGGAACGATCTCAGCAACGGCCCACATACTGGCCAAAAGACACCACAGAGCGACAGGACTTCAAGGGTCACCAGTGGTCAAGCCTCTCCTGGCAGCCAGTTGTCCGGGCAGATCATTTCTCTGAGGAGCCACCGCAGGTCTCATCGGCGAATGTCAAGCGCGGCGATACACAACTTGCCGTTTTCAAGATCAAGGGCAAGTTCTACGCAACGCAGCAGATGTGTCCGCACAAGCGAGCCTTTGTTCTTTCTGATGGGCTTGTTGGCGATGATGATGCTGGGAAATACTGGGTGTCGTGCCCGTATCATAAGCGCAATTTCGAACTCAACGGTGAGCAGGCAGGACGGTGTTCGAATGATCAGACCATGAACATCGCTACATTCCCTGTTGAGGAGAGAGATGATGGGTGGGTGTATATCAAGCTGCCGCCCATCGATGAGTTGGATTCATTTTTAGGGACTGAGAAGTGGAAGGTGCGCAAGGGTGAAACGGAAGACCCATTCCACAAACTTGATAAAAGGTTCAAAGGAATGAAAGGCAAGAAGGTGACCGACGGGGTTTTAACCCGGGCGCCAGCGGTGCAGCCAGCGAAGACAATTGATTGGTAGTTGATGTATGAGGTGATGGTTTATTGTTTGGATATTTTAGCGATGCGACAGGTTGATGCATGTGATCATTCAGGTAGTTTATAGTGACTAAATTGAGCTCAAGTGTGCATTTTGATTTCTTTTCATCTGGTCTTTTTCTGGAATTTCATGTCTGCGGATCATGAAAAGGTGCGAGGTTGACTTCTTCAAGTGGAGGCCACCAGTGCGACCACATGCCTTGCTCATGAGCATACGCATTAACCTCGCTGAGTAAGTTGTTAAGTGGCATATCCAGATCTACTATGTCAGACTCTATATCAGCTGCTGGTACGGGGTTATAAGGCGATGACGGCACTGTTGGTCTCTCTGCACCCTCAATTTCCTGAAGGTGCTGATCAGACCTGTCAGGCACCCGAAATTCATGCAAAGATTGGTGCAAGTTATTGAAATCCGTTCTTGTCTTGCCTTGATATCGTGATTTGTCAGAGGCAGCTCGTTGATATAAAATTGATGCATGGTTAATGGTTGTTATCTGTGTTTTTCGCCAATGTTAGCTGCAAGAAAAAAGAAATATCGTCAGAAAGCATTGATACTCACCCAGCTTTCACCAAGCTTCCACACATGTCGGAACTTCTCCAGGTAGGCAAGACAATAATTTAGATTGGTTTCTGCATTTGGACTGCGGCCGAGATTCATTTGGGGGAATCGAAAGGCGTAGAGATTCATATAAGCCGCAGAGAAGGCACAGAATCCCACGAAAGGTGTTAACATCTCTGCCCCGCACTCAGATGCATCGTGCAATAGCTTAGCAATTTTCTCGGCTGTTCCAAAAAGTACAAGGGCACTTTCATCCCACCAGCCTTCGGGTGCTTCCGCTTCCAGGGTGGGTTGGTCGATCGGCCCTCTGGGAATGGATCCAGCAGTAGGTAAAAAGGGGAAATATTCACGATGGAGCATAAGTGTGCTGTCAGAAAATGATGTCAGTTCGGACTATTCTTATGTTAGATGGGATCAATATCTTACGATGTATAATAGAGCAGATTAATATAAGTAAACGATTCTCCCCAGCCTAGAGTGGTGTGAGCCAAGACACTGTTCTCTGGATAATGGAGTCGATGGTGTTGCGTAGCTCTCCATTCTCTTAAATGCTGCATGGTTTTTGACCACGGCGATCCTGGCGCCCAAGGACAATTCTGCAGTGCACACATCCCCGGTGCTCGCCGACCATCGTTGAAAATGAAGGTCATGATATGTGCCCATATATCGAAGCCAGAAACCAGAACCTTGAAAGACTGCGTGACATCTAGGGGTGCAGTCTGCGCAGCCTGTGCAGTTGTAAAATCTTGTTCAAGATTTGTTCGCTCAGACGAGAGATCAGGTCCAAACACGAAATCCACGGCACTCAGCGGACATGAAACTTTAAGTTTTTCCATTTCTGACATGGGTAACATGGGTGGGTTATATGTTCCTGAACTAACCATTCGGTCCATGATGAAGCAGGCCCAGAAGGTCCTGTTCTCGACCGCAACTGAAACAGCATCTCGCTGGCTTGGCGGAGTAGGGTCAAGAGGATATGGTGAAACCCTGAGGCTGTTTAAAGCCTGTATAATTCGGATTGCAATTCCTACGCAGGGTTAGTTCTCGGATGATTTCATGACAAATACCATAAATCATACCACAGTAGATCCATGCGCGGTGAAATTCTCGAGAGCCCCATTCATATAAACTCATTATAAGTGAGGCTTGTGCCACTTGAACTTTGGGGGCCTTGAAAGACCATTCAGACAGCATCTCCCGGGCATACGAGACATAATGTTCTCTCGGAAGCAAGGAATCTTCCCAAGGAAGGCCGAGAAGGGTAAATTGAACCCTAGACGATGCCAAGATCACAGCAAGTAATATTTTGCTTTCGTCGGAAATCGGTGATTGGAATTCTTTGATGAAAGCCGAGTGATTTAGTATTGCAAACTCGGGATATTTACCCGTGAAGCCATTGAGGGACTTCAATATGATGTCCTTGGAAAGACTAGATAGATGGCTATCGACCGAATTCTTGTTCGTATACTTTCCAAATCCCGATGTAGTAGACTGGACTAGGACATTGGGCGCTTCTGGGGAAGGTCCTGTATGTGGCGACTCTTTGGGTGTACCCGCATGCTCGTTGACCGCTCGTCGTTCGTAGGGTTGGTATGCATACTCCCCTCGTTGCCTATGTTTCTGGGGCGTCTTGTGTGGCGGTCTGCTGAGTGAACAGCCAGCGATGTCTGATTTCCGACACCTTTGGCAAGGCGCAGACCCCGAGTGGACGCATTTAACTTTGGACCTCCTGGAACTGATGAGCCTTTTGGAACTAGTGGTTTGGGTCAGGGAGCCCTACCGGCAGGATTCACACGAGACACTTGACCGCATTCCGATGTTCAAATCCGACGCTGACTGTTTGTCGGTTCTCATCGGGATATCGGGAATGGCGGGCCCAGGTTCCTGATGCCTGGTAGCCTGAGGCATGAATATGTGATACCTTTCGTTCCAACCAAGAGTAAAGAGCTCCTTGGCATCTTCTCTCAATCCCTGTCTGGCTGTTCCTGTCTCTGTGTGTGCTTTCATTTTCAATATCTGTATACATAGCTTCGCCTTCGAGAACTTTTCTTCATTCCCGGAGTATTCAATATCAATACCACCAGTGTTTGTCTTACCTCAACTATTATGCGTAGCAGAAGTCCTCAATTCCATCCTGTGGAAGCTGTCGCCTTGCAGAACAAGATCCTTACCGCTAGCTTCTTCTCTTATAGGCACTACCGTTCATTAGCGTGGACTAGTTATATCTCTCACTACTCCGTACATGATCCAAGCTAATTTTTCGGATTCCTCGGATAGGATTGGGTAGAAGTTTACATTACCATGGTGACTCTGCACCATTCAGTATCTGATGAAAGGACAAGCCCACCCCATTTTAGCTTCTTCGAGGTATATATGCTCGTTAAATATGCGCATGAACATATTTTATTTTTAGCACCACCTATACATCAAATGGTAAGATGGCCGAGTTGGTCCAAGGCGCCAGGTTAAGGTATACCTTAACTCCACAACTAGTAATAGTTTCCTGGTCTCGAAAGGGGCGTGGGTTCGAATCCCACTCTTATCATATCTTTTTGCTTCCTTTTTTTGGTTGTGCGGCTATAGATGTGGGTCATAACTATGTATTCATCTATGGATGTCCAGTCATGTAGAAGTGAGATGGGAATGTCTTGTGTTGCGGTTGCCCCCTCCCATTTTTTTTATACATCTATCACACGGGCTACGGCATGTGCACCCCTCCAAAGGATCTCCTGTGCATACGCAAAGGTTCTGGGCGAATCGGTCTTGACTTCCGCATTTCAAAATCTTTTTCGCAGGCTTTTTGTGGGGATTATCGGCTTCCGGACGATCGGGTTTGGGATGGTCGGGTTTGAGCTCGGCTTTGGCTTTCATGTTAGTTATATCTCCGTTTTTCGCAGTTCTCGTGAGTCATTCTTCTTGGAATGCGAGACAGATAGGCAAATAAAAATTCCGGTGCCCGGAAGACTTTTACGCTGTCTGGATCACTTGAAAGACCGCTCTTTTGGTAAATCTTGCCATACCTCGCTGCAATGCCTCTCTTTACAACACACCCGAACGAGACTGGAGTCGCTGAAAAGCGAAGACTATTGGACGACATTCAGAAAAGACGGGATGAAAATGGCAGACTTCTTGCTGGTGTAGCTGCCGCTTGTAACACTGACGATTTCAAACTTCCCGTAAGGATATATATACTCCACACTGCGGGCAAAAGCTAACAACACATAAAGTCTTCGGGAAAACCAAAAGCCAAGTGCTGGGACTGTAAGAGCTCATCCCCTCGAATGGGTGTTCATTTCTAACATTGAAACATTCAGCCCATCTCAGCCCAGAAAGCCAGTCCCGACCTCAATGCATCCTCAAACAGGCCGCTACCTACCTCAGCAAACCAGACATTGTATCGCTTGGAGGTGGCCTTCCATCAAGTGAATGTTTTCCATTTTACGAATGGAGTTTCCGGGTGCCTACAGCTCAACACTTTAACGAAAAAGACGAAAACTCACAGGACTGTCCCACAACCCAGACCATCAGTATTGGAAAACACGACGTCAAAGCTGGGATCTCCGAGTATGACCTTTCGATTGCCCTCAATTATGGTCAGGCAACTGGATCCCCCCAGATGATGCGTTTTATCACCGAGCATACAGAGCTGGTTTACAACCCACCCTATGCGGATTGGAAAGTTTGTCCAACGGTTGGAAGTACCGGCGCCCTTGAACAAACTATCCGCATGCTTTGTGATCGTGCGAGGGGTGATTCAATCCTTACAGAAGAATACAGTTTCTCTACAGCGCTTGAAACTTTCGTTCCCCAGGGCATCAAGCCGTTCGGCGTCAAAATGGATGATGAAGGCTTGATTCCGGAGAACATGGACGAGATTCTCAGCTCCTGGGATGAAAAGGCCCGTGGAAAACGAAAGCCTCATGTTCTTTACACTGTTCCCTCCGGACAGAACCCAACGGGCGCGACTCAAAGTCTTCAGCGCCGCCGTGCCATTTATGAAGTCTGCCAAAAGCATGATATCTACATTATCGAGGACGAGCCATACTACTTCCTTCAAATGCCTCCTCACCAGGGCGTGGAGAGTCATGGTGTGCAGGTATCCGAGGATGTCGAGTCGTTCCTGGCTGGGCTTGTCCCATCATACCTGAGTCTTGATGTTGATGGCAGGGTATTGCGTATGGATTCATTCTCCAAGGTTCTCGTGCCCGGTTCGAGATTGGGATGGATTACCGCGAGCGCGCAAGTAGCAGAGCGATTCATTCGCCATGCCGAAGTTGCCAACCAAGGCCCCAGTGGAGTTTCGCAGATCATGCTCTGGAAATTGCTTGATGATACTTGGGGACATGAGGGATATCTAAAGTGGTTGATTTCATTGAAGAACACCTATGCCAGAAAGAGGGATATGTTGCTCGCCGCTTGCGATAAGTTCCTGCCAACATCTGTTGTCAGTTGGAGTCCACCGACGACAGGCATGTTTGTAAGTCTTCTATCACTCCAGTGATTGCAAAGCCTTGGAAGTCGATCGAATTACTAACTTTCAATCATAGCTTTGGTTGAAGTTGGATCCGTTGCAGCATCCCGAATATCCTGCTCGCTCAATTGAAGAAATCGAAGGAGAGATCTTCGATCAAGCCATCAAAACCGGTGTCCTTTGCGCTCGTGGCTCTTGGTTCCGTGCCGAGCCTGACACACCTGCACAGGGAATGTTCTTCCGTGCCACCTATGCAAGTGCTAGCGCAGAAGCCATGGGCACTGCTATACAGCGCTTTGGTGAAGCGATTCGCCAGTCCTACCAAATCGAGTGAGAACTCTAGAGCTTAGACCCGAAAATAGACAACTACTAGATGCTAAACAAGCTCAATTGCCTGATAGTTTGAAAATAGACCGATCTAGTTCGGGTACATAAACTGAAGTCCTCTATCGAAAGTCCTGCAACCGAAACCCTGATGTGCCAATTCGGGAGACTCGGGGACGAGAGCAGCCATTAGGTCATCAGGGCTCAATCCCTAGACGATACGGTCAAAATTAAGTATTTCCGCGGAGCTCAGATCGACACGATCCTCCAATCTCAAGACCCGCCAGGCCGAGCTCCTTCGTCAACCCCTATCGCTCTATGTTCCGCGTCCAATGAAGACGCTCGCGTTTATCAATGACGGGTTCCTGAAGCAAAGGCCCACCCCCGGACTCGATCTAACGCACTACAAACGGTCAAGTCCCAGATCGTCGACAGCTCCGCGGAGTTGCCTTGAAGAACTCAATTCATCAGATCAAGAGTCTTGCCTCCGGTCTTGGCATGGCGGCACAGTATACACCGGGACATTTACAGGCTATGCCCATGCACATCTTATCTCTCTCACTGTCGTATTGCACAGATGATGCGGAAGTTTCAGGGATAAGATCTAAACAAGAAGTAAGTTTAGCGTGCAAACGTCAAGATCCCTGCTACAATTGTGGTAAACAAGGTCTCTATCAAATCAGCGTCCTGGGATATAATCCCTCGTAACTCTTGACTCACTCTTTTCAATCAACAGCGCCTAGCCCTCGAAATGTGGCCAATGTGACAAGCTGTAGATAGCCAAGTCTGATTGTTGTACCATGTGGGATGATCAAATACATCCGAGATCCATTCTACACTAACCGGAGCACTAGAGACAAATATATAGAGAATCTACAGCATCTCATCTTTCGAATCTCTTCAATAGATTGCTAGCGGAATCTTTGAGACACCCTAACTTAAAACAATTTACCGAATCATCAAATCTTTTCAACTGGAGCACCGGCTCTTCACCCCCCCGCTACCCCACGCTACTATATAACGACCTCCCTTCCCACCAAGATGGCAATGAGCTTTGCCAAACAGCTTTTCACCGCGCCAGAAATCAATCCAAGTAATCGAAAAGCCAAGTCGATCCCAATATTGAACCCATTTGATCAATATGGACGAGTCTTCTTCTTTTCATGGCTTGGTTTCATGGTGGCATTCCTATCATGGTATGCCTTTCCACCGTTGGTAAGTCCATGGTCCAATTACAAAATGTTCGATATTTTAGAAACATTTTTTGATTGACTATCTTGTTCTAGTTGACTGTCACCATCAAACAAGACTTGAACATGACACAAGAAGAGGTCGCCAACTCCAACATCATCGCACTCCTGGCAACGTAAGTGCAAAATTATGGGATTGGAAAAACGAAAAACTTTTCTCTGACCCCCGCAGGTTACTGGTCAGATTTGTAGCAGGCCCACTTTGTGATCGTTATGGTCCACGTCTGGTGTTCGTGGGACTGCTCATATGTGGAGCCATCCCCACAGCCATGGCCGGGTTAGTCACTGGCCCAAAGGGCCTGATAGCTCTACGCTTCTTTGTGGGCATTCTGGGAGGAACATTTGTTCCATGTCAGGTCTGGTGTACAGGCTTTTTTGACAAAAAGATTGTTGGTACTGCCAACTCCCTCGCTGGGGGATGGGGGAATGCAGGTGGGGGGATTACATAGTAAGACTTTACCCTCATTCTAGTCACCTTGCTCATATATACTGACGGAATTATCATAGCTTCTTGATGCCGGCCATTTATGATTCCCTCGTTCAATCCCGCGGTCTTCCTTCCCATAAAGCATGGCGTATCGCCTACGTCGTTCCATTCATCATCATCACTGTCATCGCCCTGTGCATGTTATTCCTCTGCGAAGACACACCCACAGGAAAGTGGTCCGAAAGACATCTCTGGGCGAAAGAGTCAAGCGGCACTGCATCACCTGCTGACAGCAACATTGTCGACCTCAATACTGGCATTTTCTCCGGCGGAATGACGACACCGCATAACACCGCAACACTCGACATTGAAAAGAAAGGCACCCTAACACCACAAACCCGAGACAAAGATGCCACAGCGATGGGCGAAATAGATGTCTTCAAGCAAGAAACAGTCGTCGCTCCATCGCGCCGAGAAGCCTTAAACGTGGCTCTAAGCTTATCCACAATGGCCGTGGCAATCCCCTACGCTTGCTCATTTGGCTCCGAGCTAGCGATTAACTCCATTCTGGGACATTACTATGCAGAGACGTTCCCGCACATGGACCAGACCGAAACCGGTCAATGGGCCGCCATGTTCGGTCTGCTAAATGTTGTCTTCCGACCTGCCGGTGGTCTACTTGGAGATCTGGTTTACCGGGTTACCGACAATGTCTGGTCCAAGAAACTCCTGCTTACCTTTTTGGGGGTGGCTATGGGAGCTTTCCAGCTTGCGATTGGATTATCAGACCCATCTACTGAGACAGCCATGTTTGGCCTTGTGGCCGGACTGGCTTTCTTCCTTGAGGCGTCTAATGGGACTAACTTTGCTGTTGTGCCTCATGTGCATCCTTTTGCTAATGGTATGTTTGTCCCATTCGCATTCGCTAGATGTTTTTAAGCTAACATATTGTCAATAGGCATTGTTTCTGGAATTGTTGGTGGTTTTGGTAACCTTGGAGGAATCGTTTTTGCTATTATCTTCAGATACAACGGGTCGAGCTACGGACGATCAATGTGGATCCTGGGGGTTATATCGTTGGCAGCAAATTTGGCTATTTGTTGGATTCGTCCTATACCCAGAAACCAGATTGGATCATGATCTAAGGGTCTGGGATATTTCATGATTATGAATCCAGTGCTCAATTTACTAATCTTTTCATTAACAGATGTTGTTCGACGTACTACAACAAATCCAGGTCTCCATAGATCGCTCACATAGCTCAAATACTACTCCATGTAGCCAACCAGCAACCTACCGCATCATCATGCTAGTTGACATCTCTCACTCTCTCACCTCCTTGTCTCTGGGATTGAATATCCAATTGTCAAAACCAAATATAATTCTGTGTGTCCTAATGGGGCCATATTTATGACTTTAACAAATCCTTTTCAAATACAAGAAAGGTAAGTACTTCGTCCTGCGTGGCTTTGGTGCATTTACACAGGTTGTTCACAGCAACCCATGGCTCTTAATTCCTTCATCCATTTTCACACTCACATTATCTCACTTCTGCATTCCAGACATTTCCATCTCCATCCACCTCCACCTCTACATTTCTGGACTTTTAGCTGAAGATTATAAAACAAGCCTTCTGTCGGTCTACCCTTTGCACAAACAACACACGAGAGCCCTAAAAATCATCAATACAAGACACCCGCCACTCTTAAACCTAACTTATTCCCAACTGGCACATGAAACACTTCTCCTCGAGGGAGTGGGGAAGCCAAACCGCGCTATCCACATCACCCTCAGCTTCAGTTGGGGCTGAATGAGGGAAAACCGTTCCACAGAGCATCAACGCACTAGTATCGGACTGCGTATGTAATAGGATTAGCGGGCTCTTAGTCCTGTTCCTAGTGCTGTGTATCAAGTTGAAGAGCGCTGGGCTTCTCTTGTACCAATGTGGATGTGCTCCGTAAAGGGCAGTGCTGTCTCCTCGCCCTAGAGTATTAAAAATTTTGTAAAGGTGAGTTATCGGCACTCCTTTATTACAATTACGTGCTTGTGGATTCGTATTCATCTACGGAGTACCTATCCACCTGTTGTTGTTAGGTACTTCGGGGCTATGGACTCCGTATATGCGGCTGAGATGCAGGAACAACAACCCTGGTCTGTTTTACCTGGGCAGGGTTCGTCAACACTCAAAAGCACCGATTGCATGCAAGCCACCCGTCAACAAGTACCTACATGGGGTACTAAGGGGCCGTATGTAATTGTCTTACCATAGGTTCAAGGAGAAGGCGAGTCACGTGTCCGTCCACTGTTAACAAGAAGTATGATCACTCCATGAATGGATAAAAGCGGGTTATTGATGTTCGTGAATTTAATACGAACTATTACAAGCACATGAAGATGTAACATAAACCATAGCGATTCGAATAACCCCTCAACAGGTATAAAGCGCTTGCGTTGTAACGTTTCATTGCAAGCAAGCGCTCCGAAGAGGTGGTATGTAAACACGTCCGCGTAAGACTGTAACTGCAATGTAAAAGAACCAATATAATCTAGCGGTCCGATAATCACTAGTGTCGCCAAATGCCCCTCTCGTCGGAGCTGAAAAGTAACGGTCTGATGCCAAGCTCTCCCCGGGCTAGCAGCCCCCGAGTGGGGGTTGAAGTCCGAATGAGAACGAGGGGCATAAAAGGGTATGAAATCCCTCAGTCAATAGGCCTTTATTTCACATCCTCAAACAGACATCCAAACATTCAAGTCTATCATTTCCTTATACAAAACATCTTGTCAAAATGGCTCAGGCTCAACCCCTCCGCTTCGGCCAGATCGTCCACCTCAAGCCCTCCGAGCTCGCGGCATACAAGGAGTGCCACGCCAATGTCTGGCCTGAGGTCCTCAAGTTAATCAAGGAGTGCAACATGGCTGAGTGTAAGTTTTGACTTCATATGTAATAAAGATGACTGCCTGATACAGGCTAACGTCACTGGCATAGACTCGATCTTCTTCGATGGTGAACGGACTTTGTTTGCTACCTTCAAGTATGTTGGCACAGACATCAGAGCCGATATGGTCAAAATGCGAGCCGACCCCAAGATGCGGGAGTGGTGGGGCATGACTGATGCGATGCAGGTATGTGGAAGGTTCAAATCAAACAAGATAAGAAAAGACACACTAATATATACAATAGGAGAGCCTTATTCCCGGAGCCGTGAGCACGGTGGAGGGCCCGGGTTGGTGGAAGAATTTGGAGGAGGTGTTCTATCTGGAATAGATCTTTCAGTCCTTGTAAAAGTGATTGGACTTGTACATAGCCACAGAATTTTTGAACGATTATCGGAAGAACTGATCGATCCTTTTCTGTTTCACATCATGCGCAGCACTTCCAACGCCGCTTCCAGTACGATGGAGTTTGGTTAGATGTTCCCTGCCATCGATACCCAGAACGATAAAGGCAAAATCCTGCTTAAGGACAGGCAGAGCGACTCTTTCTGCCTGTTTGTGAGTTATTGATATTGTCATATAACCGGTATTTGACCAGACAGGCCTCCTTTGAGGCGTTGCCATGCCACTGTCAGTTGAATTGAAGATCTCAATAAGATAAGACCATAACTCCTGGAGAATGATACCATGGGCAACGACCGCGACGTTTTGTCTGCCATGAGATTCATGCATCAGCAACGGGAGGAGGTGTTGGTCAAAAAATAATTTAGCTCTCCTTCTCATCGAAGTTTTAGACTCGGGAACGATCCAATTTGTCGGCAATGGTGATGGCGGAGAAGTTTTCCACAATTGGCCTTCCATTGATCCATAGTCCTTCTCTCTTAAATTCGGAGTCAGACTTGGCACCATAGGTGTTTGTCCAGACGGCGCAACCTGTGCACGACAAATTCCTTCCGCTGTGATCCTCGCTCGACTCAAGTCCGAGGAAAATACCGCCGTAAATTTGGTTGAATTGGAGACGAAATGCTGCGCAAGGCAATTGATTTGAGCCATCCCGTGGTTGGTCAGGGCCGAGTCAGTGGTTCCTGCCCTATCCCAAAACGTTAGTGCAGTTTTGGAACACTGTTTTAGAACCACGGTCTCCTACAGGACTCTTCCAACATTGTGTACTGTTTCTCCATGGCGAATAAGGTAAAGCTGCATTACGCCGTTAGATGGTCGTCACGCTGAAGTAGAAGAGTAAAAATTGAGACCTAGTGTCTTTGAGAGATAGCGAGAATCTTGGAAAGAGAGGAGGGTTTGCAAATGAAGATGAGGCCTTGGAGTCGCCAACAAAGAATCGATGGAAGTGGTGAATCCAGTTGGCCATGACGATCGTGACACGCTAACCGCTTTGGGAAATATTAGATGGAACTATTCGGGGCGACGATTCTATAGTATTGTCTTTTCGTTGTTATAAGATCCCACATAACATTCATATTTAACTTGACAATTGAAGTTACAAAGCAGCGCAGAATTATTATACTGCGCCAGTTGAACAGGCCTATTGAGGCACTAATATGTATGAACGGAGTACGGAGAACGGCCTCGAGATCATCAGATTACAACTCACTGAGTGCAATTCTACCTAAAATCTTCCAGATAGCTCTAAACCTTCCAAGCTTTGATTTGGGCCTGCTGAGTCAAGGCAAAATTCCTGATAGACCTGTTGCAATCCTACTCAAATCGCGGAAGTGCAAGAAGGCGCGTCGCGTCGCGTGGAGCCGAGTCTCCCCACATTTTGGCCTTTCCTGTCCCTGGTTGCTCCGACCCCTGTCAACTACGCCATCTATGGCTATGCTCTCCCATACAGGGTCTTCAAGTGTGTTGGCGATTCCAATTCTATCTCATATCCGTCGTATGCATGCTAATTGATTTCCCAAGTGTCAGGCGGCATCCCGTCCCCGTCGATACAGCCAACATCAACAATAGCTCATGACGGCTCATTGCCTGTTGGCACCATGGAGAATAATAGAGAGAACTGGGTTAGCCACCGACTTTTCCAACCAGATGAAATTCCCGGGCATGCGGTGCTAGCGCTATTTCAGTTCTGCGTGAAGCACAAAAATCTATATACGCCGTTGAACCCCAATACAATTTTTTGGGAGGCTGTTTCTATAGATTTCAACAGCATCTCCGGCTGGGAGTGGAGTACCGTTAAAGATTTTGTTAAAGACAAACTGCGCAAACATCGTGGGCAGGATTATGCTTATAACGAAGTCCCTCTAGACCTTGATGGTTACCGGATCGAAGCACTCGTATGGGAACTGAATGAGCATTTCGAACGCGTTATGGCGAAGAATGAACCACGAAATAGTTCGCAGTCATCTCAGACCGGGGCTGGCCTTACTGTTCAGCCCACCTCAACTATTCCTCCACAGGCCGGATCGAAACGAACATTCTCGCCAGCCGGCTTTTATGATAGAATAAACTCAGATGGTGAGTATTGTATTACACTGACTAGGATGTGCTGATAATTTTAACGCTACCGATAGATGATTCACTCCAAGTTCATATCCTTGACGAAGACCCCGAAGATATCATATTACAACGGAGCAAATGCGCCAAAATGCGTTGCGACTTTGATCAAGCCCGGTGGCTTCTTCTACTGCTCCAGGACAAGGAGAAGGCCAGAGCATACCTTGCAGAACTGGAGTCTAGTGAACGGCTACATGACGAAAGAGAGGCACACCACGAATTGGAAAGCACGAAAGCAGAGAGTGATGGCGATTGGGAGAAAGCGAAGATCTTACTCCATCAACTCGAGAACAACACGAGAGCCAAAAGACTCCTGAGTGCCTTGAAAAAGAGACAAGAAATCCAGGCCAAATATAATGAAGGTCTCCGAGGAGAAATCGCAGCAGCACAATTCGACTCTCTTGATCTTACTAAGGCCTGCTCTCTGGTCACTCAGATGAAAGGCAAGAGACCTCAAGCATTTGTGACCCTATTCAAGTGCAATAAGGCTTTAGCGAATAATGCCTTTGAGGAAGCTCAGTCTGTCCTCGATAACTCGTCACTCCCAAGGGTCCAAGACGCATTGAAATCTATCGTGGCACTTGCGAAATCCCTGCACAATGATAGGCAAGACAGTACTTCTTTAGCTTTGGCTATGGATATGCGTAAAGAGCTACATAAGACAACTCTCGTCAACTCATCGGGAGAGGAGAGTGCAGAGACTTGCGATGGCCACATTGAGGTCACAGTCTTAGAATCTGTCCGGCCTAAGCCTCCACCAGGTAACATGGACACAGTTATCGAAAAAGTGTGCGAAGAATTCGTATTGTGTGGCCACTGGGATGAGGCCAAAGACTATCTCCTAACGAACCCGAACAAAATAGCATCCGGACCAATCCTTAGGAGGTTGGAAGAGCAACGATCAGCACTCAATAAGCTTGACGAGAATTTGGAAAGACAAGCCAAAGAAGCAGAGCTGAATGGCGATTGGGATGAAGCGAAGTCCCTCCTTTCTTGTATCAAGAGTGATTTCGGTAAATTCCTGCTTAAGGCTTTGGAATATAGCCAGGCACGATTGAGCCAGAAGGAAGAACACTTGGAATTACTCGTTCAACTCAAGAAGGACTACCCTGATCGGCGCCTCAGGCAGGTCGAACTTACACAGTTTATTGAATACGCAAAAATACATGGGCCACCAGGAATAGCCCACGATCAACAAAGTCTTTTTGCCGGAGAAAAGATGTTGGAAAGTGGTGTTCTCTGGAAGAAGCCCGATGACTTCCGCAAAGTATTCGAAATGATGGCTGAAGATATGCGCGATGATCGTGACAGGGTTTGGCATCGACTAGAACCCCGAGAGTCGCATCGCCGGCCAGCTCTTGATGCCGATTCGGCAAAAGTCGATGCTTTACTTCGGGTTGGAGCCAGTATAAGGAGGCAAGACTATACGTCTGAATGTTTTCCTCCATCAACTTCCTCGGAAATGCAAGATCTTTTCGATGTCTTGGGCTTTGTACCAAATCCGACGCCATGGTCGAAAGCGGGGACCCGAGACCCATGTATAGTCACCAGCAGTGGACAGGTGATCCGGGAGTACCGCACAAATCAGCCTGCGTTGAGAACTTTACCCACAGAAATGCTGGTGACTCTTTGCTCACTCTGCCTCACTCACAAGGAACTCTACAACAGACCACAAGGCAGTGGAGACTTTTGGCATCGTGTTGCTAATCACTTTTGGGAAGATTCGGGCTGGGACTGGGAGCGTGTTAGGCGCCAGGTGCAGTATAGGATTCGCGTGTGGCGTGACAATCCTTCAAAACTGCCCAACGACCCTGAAGGTGACATTAAACGCTTGGTGGGAGAACTAGTTGCGCATATTAATAGCGTCCAACCTGCACACCTGAGAATCGTGCCCCGTTCCCCTGGGTCCCCTAGGGTTCCAAAACCTTCTCACCCAGTGGAAGTTCTTACCTTAAGCGCCGTGAAGCGAGCATTCTCACAAACTGGGTTAGATGATGAGAGCCACTGGCCTGGTCTGAAGAACTGCGTCGTCACCTATGCACCTCCACCGAAGAAGAGAGCAGAGGAACCGGATGATGACTTTGATAAGGCCAAATCTACAATTCTCCAAATTTCTAATCGGGCTATCCTCGATCCGCTCCTGGAGGCTTTGGACGCCACCCGAGAAACCCAAATCCGAGTCAATGAACAGCTTGAAAAGCAGGCTAGGGAAGCCGACTCAAAGGGCGATTGGGAAACGGCTAGGTCTCTCCTGTCTCGCGTCGTGAGCAAGGATAAAGCTTTTCTTCTCATGGCGCTAGATTACAGCGAATCACGAATCGATTGGAGCAGTACCAAAGCATACAATACGATGAATGCCCTTTTGAATAAATTCCCCGACCCACGCCTCGACCAGGTGGACTATGAACGGGAAATCCTGGAGTCAGCCGAACGATGCAGAAGAGACAGGAAGAGTCATTATCAATCTAAGCTTCGTGACCACAGAAGCAGGTTCGGTCGTCTTTGGTCACGGAACGAGGATTTCCGCAAGGTTTTCCAAATTATCGCTGCAGACATGCGCCGTGATCGTGACAAGGAATGGTATGCAAATCCACCTCGAGCTAGGAAGGCATAGTTATTATCTGATTCTGATCCTGAATTTGAAATATACTCGACTCCACTCTGATCAGTGTGTTAGTCTCGGTATCTGAATTCAACCGATGGAATCTGCTTGTTGCATGTGGCGCGGAGACAGTTCGGATCTTAATCTCAAAGCCTCTCTCCGCAAATTCCAGCAAACTTATGACATGCGAGGTAGCAGTGACGCCCCATGCTGTTCACAAATTTCGGTCTGCTGGACTCCACTGTATGGCTGACGACCTTCACTGGTTATTCTGACTCGAGAATAGTGTCTGGTCAGAAAGAATAGCCATGGGAAACTACGTGAGTATACTTAAATGTAAACAAATACCTGGATCAATCAAGAAAATATCCGAACTTTCCCCAAACCCTCAATATTAAGCCTCCTGCTCGTTTCTTCCCACCCATTAGAGATCAGTCCGGGATGTTGCCCATCTGGGATGCTAAACTAGTATGCGAAACATGTTGCCTTCTTAGCATTCAGGCTTGATTTTCAAGCTCAATCTTACATTCTAACCCCTTCTCTTTATCATTCAATCTCGCCACATACCTGTTCATCACCATATCTGGACGTATGGTCGAATCAAGTGGTATGCCATCAACATAGCCATAGTTCAATGTCAATGCTCCTAATCCCCAGTAGATCTTGATCTGTTTTCATCTGACGCCCCGCGACGTCGAGTCAATTAAGGAAAGAGGACACCATACCCTACCTCAGGCGAATAATCCATCTACGTTGCCATTTCCAGACATTCCTCAGCAACCGAATCTCCTAGAGATCTGCCGTCTGTACAAAAGGCTCTACACAGACCCGCGAGGCAATACAAGCTACTGACAGCGTGTTACTTCTCACTCCTCGAGGATCTCAAGACGGCAATGGTATCGTACGAGGAACTACGTGCGAAATAAACACTGCTGATACCACGTGGGTCGTTCTACAGTCGGCAGCTCTGAAGGGAGTCGATCGCACACATTGACCTTGTTGAAGATCCTATCCAAAAACGAAATATCCCCCGATTATTTCACTTGATGGCGCCTAGTGGCAAATTATCCTGAGCAAGTGCCACAAGGAGAATATAGCATCATGGGCTGGCTTCGATGGTAGGATCTACGTATCAGCTCTTTAGAGTGTCACTGATATATACTAACACCCTATCTCCGTCAATATATGATGTACCGGACTTCCTTGCCTGGCATTTCCCCCAAACCAACCCTGGTAGTTCTTCTGTGGCTACACGTTTCCAGCTTCCTTGCAGAGACTTTACCGAGCAAGGATATTTGAAAAGGGCAAAGAAGCCAGGAGACGGGTGGTTCTAACAAGGCTACGTCTCTGCTCCTTTGGGTCTAGAATATGGCGATCTTCAATCTATTTCCGGGCGAATGACCTAGATCTAAACAGGCAATCCAAGAAAACACATCCAAATGATGCCTGGAAGAGGGATGAGGCTCTACAGTCTCAATTTGCGAGTCAGGGATAATGTTATTCTTCTGGCATCCGGACACAGTCGTGAATGGTTGGAATGGGAGAAAGCTGAAACATATGATCCACAGTCTGCATCTTAGTCTCACTTTTAGTTCCGATCTAAATCTTCACCCCTGTCTTACATGTAGCCTCGGTCTCAAGCTCAATCTCAGTTTATAGAATGGCCCAAGAACAATGCTTCGTAGGAGCCTTGAAATTGTCGATCTATCCCCTCTCGAAATAGATGGCCAATAAACAATCAATATTGTTCGTATGCCTTGATTATCTCCTATCTTTCTCTGTTAGCTGACGAATAATCCGACCGAAAGAAAGGCAAGGATAACCTATATCGGCCGTGGAGTCGCGCATATAGGAATATATTCCAGTCGCAGGAGAGTAAGGGGTCACCGTGGGTGGAGACAGCGCCGGGAAGGCCGATCTGCATCAGAGCTATGACGTCGCTACATTGACAAATACAGAGCTATAGTCGGAGCTGGAAGAATGTTGCAAATTTTCTGGAATGCAGTGATATGATCGTACATCAAGGACAGTGGTGACGATAGCCAAATGAAGTTGATTGGAGTTAGAATGGACATATGTAATATATACAGTAGAAACTTGGACACCGCAAAGCCCTGGTATCTCAAATGAAACGTGAATTTCTGCGCTCAATCTATCCTCAACCTATTCACCCTCAAGACTCCTCAACCTGCTGCACAGTCAACTCCGGGGGGTCGACTTGTTTGTCACCGGAAGCTCGGAAGTCGCTAGGCGTTTCTAGCCCAGAGGGCGGTGTTTGTGCCGTCGATCCGCTCCAAGCCATGGCACTGTTGATATCCCGTTAGCACAAGCACAAGCAGTAATAATTGAATCTATCAGTTGGCAAGACCTACTCGTGCTGTTGTTCCTCAGTGTCCTTCGTCCACGCCTCGGGAAGCGGCGGACGTGGTGTCTCGGCCATGAAAGCGCCATTTAACCCATTGTGCCGTACAGTGCGCCCGTTGTATTCTGCGTAATTTGCATCGACGGATTCCTGGCCGGGGGAGGCCTCGTGGCCATTCACTGTGTGCCGAGCTGCTTCTGGGGTCTGTGGTTCAGACGGGACGCCATTGTATTTGCGGGGGGAACCGGAGCTCGAGCTGTGCTGTCTGTGGTGTCCGAGGGGCGTGGCGGTAGCTCTTGTCCTGCTGGTATCTGAACCCTTGGCGAGCTTGCGTTGATGGTTCTGGTTCTGGGGTGTTGTGCTTCCTGACCGCTGAGGATGTTCGTGACACCAAGGGCAATCGAATTTACCTGCGTAGGCACGATGCCAGCTTGCGTGGGTGTGCTGTTGATAACGCTTCATAATGGGGAGAGATGTGTAGGGAAGGAAGCTATGTAGCGGTGGGATGTACGATACAGGGTGGAATGATTATGATCTCATATTTCGGGGACCCAACGACTTTTTAAAGCGGGGACTGCTACATAACGCCAAACGGTGGACCCTGGGAACTTATCAACGCACCTCTCTTTTTTTACTTTTATTGCTTTTTGCTCTCGCTCATCCTTGCTACTTTGCAATAGCCACCGAATGCTGCGCTGGCAATGCAGCGTGGGGTTGGAGCCACAAATCAAAGCATTGGCGCCTGTGCATAGCGTCGACCCATCGACTCGGCCCAGTTTTCTCCCTGGAGCCTGGCTCCATGTGTACAAGCCCAATATTTAATGGCATGATACTAATACATCCATAGTCGAAGACTAGTCTGGGTCATGTATTACGCGTTATCCCAACTACTGACAGATGCAAGGAGGCAAATGAGGGAATAGAAACTGATGGACATTGGCGGGGAGCAGTTAGAACTGAGTAAAGAAATTGCCTTGAATGAACACCGAACTAATTGCTCCCAGGAAGAAAAACCCCTTTCCATAAAAAAAACAAAGTGGTATGTGCCATAATCCGTCAAACTACATAATGGAAAAAACGCCCGAAGTAGCCTAATCCCTCAATTGAATTTTGGAACTTTTGGTCGGAAGAAATATAGGAAGCGAGACGCTTAAGCAGCGAGCTTGCGGATCTTCTCCTCGACGCGGGCCTTGCGCTCGGCGTGGGTGAGCTTGGCGACCTTGTACTTCTTGGACTCGGCCTTCCACTCCTCCTTGGTCTTCTTGGCACCGGCATCCTCATCGGCCTTGAAGGGATCCTCGCGGATGGCCTTGTGGGCATCGGCGTAGATCTCCTCGAGGTCACCAGCATCGATCTCGTTGTCGATGTACTTGGTGAACTGGGACTTGTAGCGCTCCTCATCCTCATCGGCGAGGGTCTCCATGTACTCAGAGACGTGGCCACCGTGGATGTAGTTCTTCAGGGTCTCGGCATCGAGCTCCTCGGTCTCGATGTCGTAACCGGGGAAACGGCGGTCGGAGTGGGGGATGAAGACACCACCATCGGAGGCACCCTTCATGGCAGCGAAGACACGGTTACCGGTGGAGGTGCGGACAAGACCAACATCGAGGAAGGCCTTGAAGGGGCGGCGCTCGCCATCATCGGTCTCGATGGCCTCGGTGAGGGTGTGCTCACCGGTGGCCTCCTCGACACCCTTGAACTGCTCGTCAAGGTTGAGCTTCTTGAGGACACGGCGGGCGAGGAGCAGGCCAGTGGCGTAAGCGGCGGCCCAGTTGGTCAGACCCTGGTCAATGCCGTACTTGGGGAGCTCGTGAGCGTAGGCAGCGGCGAGGACCTTGTCACCGGAGACCTCAGAGTAGACGATCTGGGTAACGATGTCGCGGTTGGTGAAGCGAACGACCATGCGGTACTTGGGCGCATTGTACTTGTTCTTGGCCTGGGTGATCAGGCGCTTGCGAGCGTAGTAGTCGGTCTTACCCTCGCGACGGCGGCGGTACTTAGTCTGGTAGCGACTGTGGAAAAATTAGTGAATGGCTCAAAAAAATAGAGGGAAAAATTGTCTTACCTGAAGTAGGCATCGTTCTTGACGGTCTTGGTGAAAGGCTGTAGAACGATATCGCGAGTCAGCAATTAACGCTTCAGAAATTACGCCGAAGCAACTTGCAGGGACCCGGTTCCGATAGGAATCGGAGAGGAATAAAATGCAAAGAGGAATGCATAATGGCCTTTCAGCCATCAGCGATCGAACTCACCATTTTGACGGGTGTCGAGGGCGCTGGAGATGGACGAAGAAGAAGAGGTGGGAAATTTCGTGGGTCGACTTTGTGCGGGATTTCGCTTAGCGCGTGGCTGCATCCCCCTCCAGAAAGTGAGGTCGGGGACGAGTCGAACACCAACTTTCCGAACTATGAACAAAAAGAAAATCAGCAACAAATCAAGGAAAATTGGGGAAATTATCCATTTGCGATAGATTTGAATTTGCTCCTTCTTCTATCCTATCCATGCCATATTTTCCCGAAAATAACTAACTTCTATGTATATCGCCTCACAATCGTGCTTTGCCATCGTCAAGCAACTGAAGGCCAGTGAGCTTTTCCAACTCTCTGACCGCATCTTGGGTCTTTCCAAGAGTAACTTTGACTGTACGCATGCCGGATTTCTTTGCTCCCTTCAAGTTCTCGCCGATATCATCAAAGAATACAACATCATCGGGGTTGACTCCGAGTAGTCCCCGCTTCTTGGCCAAAGTGTCCATCTCCTGTAATGCCACCTGGTAGATCTGAGGATCGGGTTTGCGAAGGCCTGTATGTGCCGACGAAATGAAGAAATCGAATTGCTCTTTCACGTCGGATGGATTGTTGTATTCATGTCCATCGGGGAATATGACCGTGTTGGATAGAGCGCCCATCAGGAACTGTCCTGACTGTCTTAACTTCTTCAGAGCGGGGTACATATACTGGTCCGGTGAGCGTGATATGCGCATCATCTCCCAGAAAAGCCACTCTGCATCCACTGTCGGCAATGGAGGGATGGCCGAATCACTTGTACGTTGTTTCTTCTGGAGTTGTTGATGGAATTGTTTCCAGAGGTCGGGTCTCCGTAGGTCTGCATTGAACCCCGTGAAGAAGTCGGCATCCATCTTAATGTCACCTCGCTCGAGCCTGTGCCAACTTCCGTTCGGCGACGTTCGAGAGATACTGAAATTAACCCATCCTGGTGGGATGTTCTGGGCGATTTCGTAGTCAAGAATGGCCTGCATCGGTGAGACAACCTATAAATTGATCAGATATATATACCCGGCTTAGGACGTTGAACTAAGTGATTGACCTACACACACTCCTCCAATATCAAACAGAAGGCCCACCGGGCGCTTGATATCTGCCATCTCGAGATGTATATCTGTGAGGCTAATGGCGCTGAAGCGTGACTGTGAGATATAAAACTGTCCCTTCGGAAAGACCGTAGTTTGAACAGGTTGTGACAGTCTTCGATTGGCAAGGAACCTCCGGTTGCTTTGAAAGTGATCTTAAAGTTGGAGACGGTTAGATTACCGAGGTACATGCGATCGTAGGACTCTAGACCGAGGATATGTCGCCCACCAGGAATTTAGCAGTGTCCCGCTAGAGCCATAAAACTGTGTTTAGACTGTCGTTAGACCATTGCTCTCTGGGGTTTCTTTCCTGTCTGATTGCGATTTATCGCCCAGAATGTAGCTGGCTATCCCGCAAAATCGCATTTGCGGAGAGGCACGTGACCCTTATCGATAAGGACGCGTTTGGAGAAGATCGCGCGGCACTTTTGACGCTCAACGTTAGATACTTCTTCATCTCAGATTCTTGGGTAGTATGCAATATGGATTCAGCTCGAAGTATATCTGAGCTGAAATCTGCATTCATCTGGAGTCAAGTGCGCATTTTCTCTGAAAGTCTCGATTTACCCGAGGACTGGCGAAACTATGCCGCTGAAACCACGGAAGGTGATTTGAGTGACAAGGTTATTGAAGATGTTCTGCATAAAGGTCAGACCAACAACTACAATAAAACAACGCAATTTGCAAGAAACTTATAACCCGATAGTAAATGCAGCTGCTAAGCAACACAATCGCGTTGTCTATTCCTCCCAAGCGATCCACCATGTCGCCCAACAGATTGCAAACTTGTACTCGTCATCTGTCAGCCAAGAGGGACGCAGTCGAGATGCTTTTGCCCGGGGCATTGAAAAGACGACAGACTTGTCAAGGCAAATGTGAAATTGGGCCCGTCTCTCATAATGTATGACAAGGCTGACTATTCGACTAGGAATATCACAAAGATGCCTGTTGACCTGGAAACTCAGCAAGCAAGTGAAGAGGAGCATACAAGGTCAGTTGAGAACACATCCAGAACTTTTCCGATTGAAGTTCCACCTCCCTTACACCAGTTACACAGATACCGGCAGCTTCGCGAGCGGCTCGCAGCTCTCGACAATCAACGGCAGCAACGACAACAGCGCCTTGACCAATTGCGACATCTCCGGCGCTTACTTGAGCCATTTGAGAATCCACAAGAGGATATCCAACCAAATCTCATCACAAGGGACGGAGAGCTCGTTCGGGAATTAGAGAAAATGCGGATGCTAGTGGCTAGAGTTGGAGGCCGGATTGCACAACAGAAAAAGAGCAGCGGTGTCCCTGGACCCCATAATTACTCCCTTCCAGCCTCCGATCAAAGATTGGAAGCCTTGCTGGATATGCCTTGATGAAACTGAGATACCCAATGCCTACACGCATACAATGAATTTACTTGCGACATGACATGATGAGATTCTCAGCGATGAAAGCACTATCTTCTGCGAATGGTAGTTTCCTTGGGTATGATTACATCCCAAGCCCGTAGCTACATGTACATGTATGTTGTACATAGTACCTTCCATCACACCTGGGCAGCGGCATCTAGTGCCTTTGCCTCATCCATGGATATTGAATCGAAACAAAGAAATGGCAAGTACAGATCAACTGCGGCTGCAAGAATTCAATTATAGAACCAATAAGCACGTGCCCTTTCATCAAAGCATAGCCAAACATTTGGTATTGGGCGAGGGCCCATTTTATCTCAAAATCTCGCCCGTCATTGATCCATTACACTTACACGCTCGTCCTCCTTCGGTCGGGAAAGAAATAGGCTTCGCCCCACCGAAATGCTGGGAAACCGGCTTCTTCAGGAGAAGTTCTCTTGTTGATTCTCGTTGCAGCCACATAATTGTTTTTTTCTTATGCAAAATGAGTGCGCTCGAGAAGATGAGGGAGTTCGTTGGAATGAGCCCGTCACGTGCCACGTCACAGTCACGTGTCATATCACTAGCCCCACATGAGACTAGCTTGGGTCCCCAGCACAACACGGTTGCCGACTGCCCTATAGAGTCCTGTGATTACGATCGAAGCTCCTTGGATGACACTGCTATTGATTTCGACTTGAGTGATAGTGACGACACTGTCCTTGATTTGAGTGCATCCGCCATCATCGAGGGCGATACTTCCCCCTCCCCTTCCAAGGCATTCACGCGTGGGCATCGCCGTCGCTCCACGCACGTTACTCGCCGTGACCTTGAGAAGTTTCAATCGGAGGTCCTAGGCGTTCAGAACCACGCCTCTTATTTTGACGAAGATAACGGTAGTCCGCGATCCTTCACCCCTGACGACCCTCAGCTGGAGGAATTGAATCGCGCTTTCGCCGACGCCAACGTCTCCATGAACACGAACACCGCTAGCATGGCTAGCAACGGTACCGGTCCGGGAAATTTCTCGGGTTATGTTGAAAACCCTGGAGGCCAGATGAATATGGCCAATATACCTCCTCGCCAGACTCCGTCTCCTTCCCCTTCTCACCCTTCGGTCACCAGCCAGATCAATGGTGGTGGGATGGGCGCCATTGGCGCAGGACATCCGATGAACGCGGGTCATCAAATGGATTTGCATCATCTCTATGAGATGGTAGTGGAACTGAGCGATGTGTTGAAGAACAACCGGGATGTGACCAAGAACATCGTCGCAAATGCAGAAGAGATTGTGGTATGTGGAATTGAAGAATATTCCAAATGGATATGGTGCTCACGCTTATTCAGAAGAACGGCATTTCCGATAACTCTACCACGAATGGCCAGCAGGGCGAGAACCTCAGTACGTTGACCCCTGAGACGATCAATTCACAATGCCGTTCACTAACACCTAAAGCAGCAGCCCGGATTGCAGAACTCGAGCGTGCTTTGGCCAAGGAAAAGCTTCAGAGTGCTCAGCACAAGCACCACCGCGAGGAAAACATGAAGTTGATCCAAGAGTTCAAAAGCTCAGTGGGCGTCATGGTCGATCAAATCCGCAATTACTGCCAGAATAATAACATGCACTACCTTGCCCAGAAGAGGCATTACAATAATCTGCTCCAGGCTGAGCGTGACGCTCATCTGGAGAGTCGACTCGACCGCGACTACTGGCATGCGCAAACCATGAAATGTGCTGAGATGATCCGCACCGCCTACCGTCTCAAATGCGAAGAAGATGATGTCCCTACTCGCGTCATCTCTGGTCTGCAAAATGAGGTTCGTGCTTATCGCTTTGCGCTTGGCATGGAAGCCGAGAAGCCCGAGGAGGAGTATGGCTGGGAATATCTCAAGAACATTCCTAGTCTGGAATAAACCAGGATCTGTACCGAGAAGGACTGCGGGATATTCTCAGTTCCCAAGGTCCACCTGACGCCGTGATGATTGCTTTTTTTTTCCTTCTCATCGCATGCCGCTCAGAGGCGGATGCTTTTATCCTTACTTTTACTTTTTTTCCGGCACTTTTCCCCCTCAAGGCGTTCATAGTGGGGCGTTTTTAGGGGTTTTTATTATCGCGAATACCCGTCTTGATTGACAGTTATGAGGAGGGTGTTTTGACACTAATATGGATCCTCTTTATTCGAAAATGGAAATGGAACTCTCTCTACAAATTACCTAATCACCGTCTCCTTAAGATGCCGCCAGCTCCCGCTGAATCCACACTTCGCAGACTAGGTGCATATCCCCTGTGGAGCCATCAACTGTACAACTATACCTCGAGCGTCTTGTACTCCGTACGTGTATTATTGCCACCGGAGAGCCGAGCATTCTCCGGATTGGTCCAAATGATCAGCCTGTGTCTGTTGTACACCGTACACCGGTGTATGCCTCAATTTCAATCCAATTAACTTCCAATAGTCTACTCCGTATAAACCACCATGTTACATGCTCACGTGCCCAGTGGAACTCGCTGTTCCGGACTCCTATTAGCCGATTATGTCACCGTGTTCTGCATGCTTAATTGCATCCGGAGTCTTGTAGGATCTCTTTCTTTTTGATTCCACTGGACTCTCTCTCTCTCTCTTATTATCCTATGATGCATTTCGTGTTTGAAATAGCGATGGCCTTGCGTTGTCGTTCCTTGTAATGTACTAAACCGCCTCTGGAGAGCTCTCGGTCGCAGATCATACGGCATTTCCCAGCAACGTTCCCACCTTATTTGTTGGCATCGGGCGTTTAGTATTGTCCACCTGATTACTCCTTTCAAATTGTCGCTTTGGGATCATCCGTGGAAAGTGGGGGATCAGCCAATTATGCGGCATCTGATCTAGTCCTATCCAGTCATTGCGCACATTAGGACCGCGCCACACCGCCGACAACCCTCGAGTACCGTTGCGGGAGAATTCGATTTTGTCTCTAGCTCGAGCCTGAGGGGTTCAAACTTCAAAATGGAGGGAGTTCAGACTGTGGACGTGAGCTGGCTTCACCACTCACAAAAAGGTGAGTCCCACTTTATATGCTAGGGCTTCCCCGGCCCAGTCTCTGGGATGATTGAAGATCGGGGGTTAGGGCAACTTCTGATATTATCGCCAGACCATTTATCTCGCACGAAATCAGTATCAGCGAATGATAAGCCCGGCACCGATGGGGAATCAGCGACCTCACAATCCAGATCGCAGCGAAGATCCCGTTCCAACAGCAACCCGGCACGCCCAACGCCACCCCCCTCCACCCCAAAGCCGAAACCAGCTCCTCAAAAGGAAACTACGCCAGTACAAGCTAAACCGCCACCGGCTGAGAAACATGAGGAGCAAAAATCATCTGCATCCTCACCAGGATCACGGAAGACCGATCCGAAGCCCATCGGGCGACGAAATTCATGGATCTCAAGTCTGAGCTCTAAGTTCTCGTCTGGAACCACTCCACCGTCCCAATCCAGTCTCAAGGCTAGTCCTGCAAGTCCCAAAACGACATCTTCCTTTGATACACATAGTCCATTTAGCGCTGCCTATTCGATGAAGGACAAAGAAGAGGAGAAGAGGGATGATTCCAGCCATCACAGTTCGACATCCCCGAAAGGGCCGTCGTTCATCCATAATGCACTGCGCAAGTTCTCATCTAACTCCGGTGGATTGCCCAAATTGCATCAAAATGGCTCGATTTGTCCTCGCCGCGTGATGAATATCGACCAAAATCGCCACCGCTGCAAGATTGCGGACTTGAACCAGGCCAAACTCAACCGTGTGGCATTCTGTGTGGATGTTGAAATTGCGGGGATCTCCCACCGAGACGATGATGAGCACGCTCCTCCTACAAATCAGTTACGGCAACCTCTACCTGAGCCTGACAGCCAAAAGTCCAAGAAGGCAGATCTCAAATCGAAGGAACAAGACGAAGCTGGAGCTCTGAAGCACTCCCAGGCTACACTAGCGGAGAAGGATAGCTCACCTGCAGCGCCAGCTACAGCTACGGCTTCGGCTCCCACTCCAGCTATAGCCTCGGTTCCTACTCCAGTTCCGGCTCCAGCTCAGACTACTAGTGATGCAACGGTTCAAGGAAGCTCTCCAACAAACGCCACCAGCAACAAAACACCTAACGAGCCCAATCCTAATCCCAATCCTACTGCAGAGGCGCCTGATCCAACAAGGAAACAGGAGAAGAAGAAACGGTCCGAGGCAGAGCGAAAAGAAAGGAAGGAGAGAAAGCGAAGACAAGCAGTGGCGAATGGTTCAGTACCAATGCAACTTGATCCAGAGAACGACGAAGAGTATACTCGAGGCACGGCACCCCCACCAGGTGCCTCTCGGCCAAAGACACAGAGTCACCCGACAACCGATCCAGTGCGCATCTATCGTCGTTGTTGCCAACTACGTGAGACGCCAGTTCTCAAAAGAGTGGTTGATGAGATCTCAAAGCCCTCGTCAACACTGGCCGAGTCACCTGGCACGGTAGCAGCTTTAGATCTCAGCAATTTCCCGATGACTTCACAGGATTTGACAACATTCAGCGACTGGCTCGCGGTTGTTCCAGTCCGTAAACTCATCCTTGAAAACTCTGCGTTAACGGATACTTCTGTGCGGGCCATCCTAGCGGCCTTGCTTTCCACCAAAACTGTAGAGCAGATGCGCTACCGCCGAAAAAGATCTCGACGACTAGAGTCACCCAATTGCAAAGACCATGAAAGATATGGAGTTGTGGAAAAACTTTCTCTGAAGGACAATCCTAAGATTGGACGAGAAGGATGGCGCCACATCAGTCTTTTTATCCACCTGTCAAAATCACTGAAAGCCATTGATTTGTCGGGCATTCCGTTCCCTCAGGGACAGGTCGTGATCGATGGCTCTGGGACACCGGGCCAGAGTCAGTCGACCACGGCTGATGTGAGTGCTGTCTTCGCCAGTGCCCTGGCGGAGCGCTTTGGCGGTGATCACCTTGAAGAATTACTCATGAGCGAGTGTGATCCTTCGGTTGACGATGTTAAAAAGATCTGCCGGGCGACGACCAAAATGGGCCTGCGAAGACTTGGCTTTGCGAGCAACAATTTGACGAGGGAGGGTCTGCAGCATGTGATCGAGTACCTCAAAGCTGGTCAATGTGAAGGCCTGGACCTGGGCGGCAACGCTATTAAGGATGATCTTGATCTCCTCACTGCTGCAATCGAACCCGAAACACCACTCTATGCACTGAGTCTGGCAGATTGTTCCTTAAATCCGTCAGTGATCTGCCCATTGCTCCAATCACTTGCCCAAATTCACAACCTTCGGTTCATCGATTTTTCCCACAATCGAGAATTGTTCTCAACGCAGCCTAACGCACTTGGTGCTTTCCGTCGTTTCCTACCGAAAATGCCATCTTTGAAGCGATTCCACCTTGCCGATGTCGACTTGTCACCGGACCACGTCATTGGTCTTGCTGAGGTGTTGCCGGAATGCCCGAGCTTGTGTCATCTGAACATTCTGGAGAATCAACAGCTTGAGGATCTTGCAGCTACTAGTGACCCGGTTGCCCAGGAAGAAGCATGTGCCGTGTATGCGTCTATGATGGCAGCTGTCCGTGTTTCACGGACAATCATGGCGGTCGACATTGATGTTCCCAGTGCAGACAATAACGAGGTTGTCAAAGCTCTAGCATCACAGATTGTGGCTTACTCGCTGCGCAATCTTCAAGGCGGTGCCATCGCTGAAGAACTTTCTGAATCTGCTGGTCCCCTCGAGGATGTCCCTGTGCCAGAAATTCTGCAACATATTGTTGGAAACACTCTTGGGTTGGAGGAACCTTACGACGATGAAGATGATGCTGCTCCAGACGAGGATTATGTGATCGGTGGTACAGGTGTCGTCAAAGCTTTGAGTGTGTGTCTCAAGAACCTAGACCACCAAGGTCTTGATGCTCTTGGAGAACAGTCCGCGCCGCCGAGTGGTACTACAACACCCCGACGCCGCAAATCTCGGGGTGTCACTACCAAACGGCCCCGCGACATGTCGAAGAATTTGCTGGAATCCGCGCGCAATATCAGAGTTCGGATCCAGTCGGCTCTTATTCGCGAGGATCGTGCTGGCAATGACGCGAATTATCGCCGCTTGCAGTTCTTGGACCTTACCCTGCACAAGATGATCCAACGCTTTGAGGACGAGTACCCGGAGACTCGTATTACTCCCCCACTTCCCCCTGCTGCCCCGGTCCCTGATTCCATCTCGCAACACTCCGCTGACGATGATGGCACTGGCTCTATCAATGCTGGCGGTAACCCGAACAACAGCCACCTTGATGAGACTGGCGGCGACGAGGACGACGCAGATCAATTTGCGGTACGCCTATCCCGTACTAGCTCCATGACTTCTCTTCACGCGCGGGCCATGACCTCTCAAGAAGGACACGTCCACCGTATCGGCCAGAACCTCCGCCGTGACTTCCTCAATCCATCCCTACTTCCTAATGACGACGACGAGGACTTCGACTTCGATCACGATACCTCTTCGCACATTGCCGCTCTCCGGCAAAAGCTCGATCGTTTGCACGAAGAACAATCTCTCTCTCAGTTCGATGACTTTGACGCCGACATGGCATTTGACCATCTCGGAACCACCGTCGAGGAACTGTATGCCGTTCAGCAACAAGACGCTGAAGGATTCGAGCGTTTCAAGCAGTCCCAGATTGCTGCTCAGATCAACAGTGGCATTCGTCCCAGAGATAATGCGGAGCTTGGCAATGACCGCAAATAATCAGAGAGCAAGGTCTCTTAATTCTCCCCATTTTCCTTCATCATTTAATATCATGATGATCTTGACTCTCTATGTATCTCTTTTGCGGGCTTGCGTTTCCCATCTTTGTACATATCTTATGCGTTCATGCGTTTCAGTTGTATCTATATAGGTACTCAACTGCCCGCTCTTTTGTATATACGTGGCGGGCATGAGAAGAGGGGGTTGGAATCCCGTCATGATTAACATGTCCCTATTGTTGCCAATACTTTCTTTATGCATGGCTACATAATTATATGGCATTATTTACAGGCCTACATTTTTTCTTTCATGAAAGGGCCTTCATACACCTAGATCTCCTCGTTTATGGTCGATTATAGCGGGTATTGTATCTCGGGGTACTCCATGTGAAGATATTGGCTGCCTTAGGCAAACATAACTCTAGACTTGGATACATTCAAAGTTGGATCTCCAGATCATAGTATGTTAGAGGGTTAGATTGTGTATAAAGGGGTAATTATCTAGATAATAATGGTCAAGTGACAGTGGCAGCATTAATAAACACTCGAGTGTCGTCAGATTAACTGAGAGTGGGTTCCTCGGTTGAACATCCCCCGGTTTTCTGGGGTATCACATGTCAACCAACTCCGTCATGGTTCTTGTTTCTCCTCACTCCCTCAACTGCGGACAAGTATGCGCCAAACTCTGGCTGATTAGCACCCAACAGTTCAGCCATGGCGGTTCTGTCAAAACTGCTGCCGCCCGAACGCTCTATCAAGCAGGTGCTCTCCAGCCTAACGACCCTGTACCTACAGAACCGGACCCGAATCTCACGCGCCGTATACCTCGCCCTCTTCGCAGCGCTCGCGAAACGAATTCATAATGCCATATCTGAGCAGAAAGCCGCATCACGACAAGTCGAGCTGCGCCGACGGCCCGGCACCAGCAGTCTCGGGGATGACGAACAACCCCGCAAGAAGCGCGTGGAGATCAACCGGGAGTTCTTCAAGAACTTGCTTCGCTTGCTGAAGATCGTTATCCCCGGATGGCGAAGCAAAGAGATGCGACTGCTGGTGAGCCACAGCGTGTTCTTGGTGTTGCGGACGATGCTTAGTCTATATGTCGCCGAGCTGGACGGGAGACTCGTGAGCAACTTGGTGCGCGGGAGAGGGAAGGACTTCTTGCTCGGGCTTTTCTGGTGGATGATTGTGGCTGTCCCTGCCACTTTCACTAATTCGATGGTAAGTTCTCGGCGAAAACACCTGGTTCCCCTGGTCTAGTGGTATGCGACCGTTCGATCATCTGCTGACTTGACGTGTTGTATTAGCTCGCCTACCATCAGTGCAAACTTGCTCTGAGCTATCGCAAACGGCTCACGGATTATATTCACGAGAAATACTTGTCTAATATGACTTTCTACGCTATATCTGCGCTGGATGATCGGATCAAGAATCCGGATCAACTCGTCACGGTCGATGTGTCTCGTTTTTCGGACAGTTTGGCAGAATTGTATTCCAACTTGGCCAAGCCTATTCTCGATATGGCTATCTACAACTACTCGCTGTCTAAGAATGTGGGAGGCGAGGGACTGTTTATTATGAGTCTGCTGGTACAGTTGTCGGCAAACGTCATGCGTATGCTGACTCCACCATTTGGCAAATACGTTGCCGATGAGGCCCGACTAGAGGGAGAATTCCGTTTCCTTCATTCGCGGCTTATTGATTATAGTGAAGAAGTAGCTCTCTACCATGGCCACGAGGCCGAGAAGGATACCCTTGATAAGGGTTATTTCACTTTGATCAAGCACGTGAATCGCATTTTGCGCAGGCGGCTTTATCATGGATTCATGGAGGACTTTGTGATTAAGTATTTCTGGGGTGCCATGGGCTTGGTACTTTGCAGTGTGCCTGTCTTCTTCAAGATTCCTGGTCAGGCCACTCATAGCATGAGTGATCATACCGAAAGTAAGTCAATGCGCTTGAGTAATAGATGCGTGTATTCTGATTTCTCTCAGGCTTCGTTACAAACCGTCGGATGTTGCTTTCCTCGTCAGATGCCTTTGGTCGATTGATGTTCTCTTACAAAGAAATCTCGGAGTTGGCTGGCTACACTTCACGTGTTTCCTCATTACTAGAGGTGATGGACGATCTCCTCTCTGGGAGATTCGAGAAGAAATTGGTATCTTCCGCTTCAACAGAGGAAAATGCCGAGGTGCTCTCTGGTCGAGGTACAGTCACGGAAAGCGATATGATCGAATTCACCGACGTACCGATCGTATCACCAAACGGTGATGTGTTGGTGCGCAAGCTATCCTTCACAGTTAACCCTGGCGATCATCTTCTGATCGTCGGACCAAATGGGTGCGGCAAATCGTCTCTCTTCCGAATCCTAGGCGGACTCTGGCCAGTTTACGGAGGGACAGTCAAGAAACCCCCATTCCAGGATATTTTCTACATTCCCCAGCGACCCTATCTGTCCCGCGGGACCTTGCGACAGCAAGTAACCTATCCAGATGGAGTGCGTGAGATGCGTGCCAAGGGTATCACTGACGAGGATCTCTACGAGATCCTATCCGTCGTTGAGATCGCGTCCGTTGTAGATCGCCCTGGAGGCTGGGACGCCGAAGAAGAATGGCGTGATGTGCTGTCTGGCGGCCTGCAGCAGCGCATTGCCATGGCTCGTTTGTTCTACCACCGGCCCAAGTTTGCCATTTTGGATGAGTGCACGTCTTCCGTGACCCTAGAAATCGAGAAAGTCATGTATGAGACTGCCAAGAAACTCGGCACCACTCTCATGACTGTTTCGCACCGACGCAGTCTCTGGAAATACCACCAGAAGATCCTCCAGTTCGATGGACAGGGCGGTTACATCTTCACCGGCTTGGACTGGGAGCGGCGCTTGAAGCTCGAAGAGTAAGATATCCCCAATATTAGTGACTGCCATTTACTAACTTCGTGCAGTGAGAAGGAAGAGTTGGACCTGCAATTACGGGCAGTCCCGGAGCTGCAACGTCGGGTTGCCGAATTGACGTCTTGAATCCCGTTATACCATTCTGTATCTTAGCGTTTGAAATGTATGATGCATGCAGCATCCACTTCCATGACATCGACCAATCTGATCAAAGACTCGGCATCGGGATTCCACTCTTCGGCTTTCTTAACCCGGACCCCTGACAAGCAGCCAATCAGCACCCGTGAGATCGGCAAACCTTCAACGTCCGAGTCACGATGTTCAGATGCGCCCCTCCTCGCGGCCCACACTGATGTCGTCTATGACCCTACGTCATCTTCCCTGTATCTTGTTTGCCACGGCCTCAGACCAGGTTCTTCGTCGAGGAATTCGTACTTAGGATCGTAGCTGAGGCTTTTCTCGTCAATTTGATCTATTGTTTCTTCACTTTATACTCGCTGGCTCTAGAACCCCTGCCCTAAACTATATCCGCCTATCCACGAAACAATCTATAAAATCCATACAATGGCGATCTCACAAAAAGCCCCAGACAACCAAAAGAGAAAGATCATCATCTTCTCCGGTAAGTAATATATCTCTTCTTCTCACACTACGAACAACTCCACCTCACAAACCCTACCCTACATACCAACCCCAACAAAACCCTAAATACAACGTACAACAAACCACCCTAACAACCCCCAGACTTCGACGGCACAATCTTCCTCCAAGACACCGGCCACATCCTCGTCGACCACCTCGGCTGCGGCGCCGCCTACCGCAACAAACTCGAAGAGCAATTCAAAACCGGCGAGCGCTCCTTCCGCGACATCTCCGACGACATGTGGGGATCACTCAGCATCCCCTTCGGCGACGGCTTCGACATAATGGAAAAAAACCTCCAACTAGACCCCGGATTCCGCGAATTCCACCAATACTGCGTCCGCGAAGGCTTCCCCTTCAACGTCATCAGCGCAGGCCTGAAACCCGTCCTCCAGCGCACCCTGGACATCTTCCTCGGCGAAGAGGTACCCGCCACCCCCTAGCCTAAAACTAACAAAAAGAAAAAAATTCCCAGCTAACGGCACCGCCACAGGCATCGTCGATCGAAATCGTCGCAAACGATCTAAAAGCTCCAGGCGGGATCCCCTGGAAACCCGTTTGGAGGGATAACACCGCGTCGGGCCACGACAAGGCGGAGAGCGTGAACCAGGCGCGCACAAAAGCGCAGGCCGAGTGCGAGCCGGACGAGATCCCGTTGATAGTATTCATCGGGGACGGGGTTTCCGACCTTGCGGCTGCGCGCGAAGCGGATGTGCTCTTTGCGCGACGTGGGTTGCGGCTCGAGGAGCATTGCATTGAACAGGGGATCCCGTATACGCCGTTTGATACATTTGCCGATGTGAAGAGGGAGGTTGAGGCGATTAGTCGCGAGGATCAGAAGAAGACGGGTGGTGTGGGTAAGCCGGTGCGATATAACCCGCGGGCGAATATGTGGAGGCGGATTTCGAGTAAAGAGGCTGTATGTGGTTTATCTTGTCACTGTTTGTGGGGGGGATGTTGCTGATTGTTTTGACAGGTTCCGACGCTTATGGCGACTGCTACGCCTTCGCAGGAGGAGAAGATGGCGCTTTGGCCGGATTATTTCTCTGAGCCGAGGCAGCCGCAGCCTCAGACTATTCGGGAGGAATGAATGGGTGTTGGTGGTGGGATTGTTCTGGGCTTTTGCGAAGGATTTCTTGATCGCGTTCGTTTGGCATGGTGTTGGTTTGATATATCCTGTCATTGGTGTCTAGAGGTAGATTGTTCTATATAGTCCTAGATTGACCAATTGAACATAGAATCTATCAGATGTTTATTAGAATATACGATTTCTGGGTTGGACAACTGAGCTTAAAGATCAAATTAATATACTATGAATGATCATGATAATGAACAAAGGTCGTAAAATCCATATAATCGATAAGACTGCACGCAAACTATAGAGCCAAGAAAGAGAGCTAGTACGGTCTATCTACTTCTCAACATCCAAAGGCTCGATGTTCCAGATACTATCAGCGTACTCGTTAGTAACGCGATCCATAGAGAAGAAGCCCATGCGTGCGACCGAGGTGATCGACTTGGCCAGCCACTCCTCCTGATTCAGGAAGGCTTCATCGACCATCTCGTGGGTGGTGATGTAGGAGTTGAAATCGTCCGAGACGAGGTAGTAGTCACCGTGCTCTTCAATGGAGTTGATAAGCGCCGAGAAGTCGTTCTTGTCGCCGAACATGTTGTCCTTGATTGCGTTGAAGACGCGCTCGAGCTGCGGGTCTAGCTTGAAGTCGCCGTAGAAGTGGCGGTGACGCAGCTCTTCAACGTCTTCGGCGAGGTTGCCAAAGAGGAAGATATTCTGCTCGCCGATCTCGCGGGTGATTTCGATCTGTAAGGAGGTGGGTATTAGTGGGATAGACGCTGTATACAAATCAAAGAAGGACTTACGTTGGCTCCGTCGCAGGTGCCGATAATCAGACCGCCATTCAGCACGAACTTCATGTTGCTTGTGCCGCTACCTTCGGTACCTGCGGTCGAGATGTGCTCACTGATGTCCGAGGCTGGGCAGATAATCTCTGCCTTGCTGACGTTGTAGTCCTCGATAAAGATGACCTTCAAAAGGTCGCCAACATCTGGGTCCTTGTTCACAACATCGGCCACTTTATTGATGAGATGGATAATTGACTTCGCCATCCAGTAGCCAGGCGCTGCTTTGCCTCCGAAAATCGAAACCCGAGGCACCACTTTCTTCTTTTCTTCGGCTGACATAGCTTTAATGCTCAAGTAGCGGTGGATGACTCCAAAGATATTGAGTTGCTGGCGCTTGTATTCGTGAATACGCTTTACCTGCACGTCAAACAAGGCATTGGGGTTGACGTCGAATCCGGTGGTAGCTTTGATATATTTAGCAAGGCGCAGTTTGTTCTCCCGCTTGATGACTGCCCATTCCTCGCGGAAGGCCTTGTCGTCAACAAACGCTTCAATCTTATCCAAAAGTGTAAGATCCTTCAGGAAGTCATATCCTCCAAGCTTTTCGGCAATCAACGCAGATAACCGGGGGTTAGCCTGGTGGAGCCAGCGTCGTGGCGTGATACCATTAGTAACGTTAGTAAACTTGTCGACTCCATAGATCTGCACAAAGTCCTTGAACAAAGTGGTCTTGAGCAAGTCAGAATGCAGCTCGGCCACACCATTGACTTTGTGGGAACCGATGATGGCCAAGTAGGCCATGCGCACCATCTTGGGATGCGACTCTTCAATGATAGACACGCGCGACAAGAGATCCCGATCGTTAGGGAACCGCTGCTCCACAGATTGCAAGAAGAACAGGTTTATTTCATAAATGATTTGCAAGTGTCGTGGAAGCAAGTTCTGCATGAGTGGGACGGACCATTTCTCCAGCGCCTCGGGAAGAACGGTGTGATTGGTATAGCTGAAGGTCTTGGTTACGATGTCCCATGCCTCATCCCATTCCAATCCCTCTTTATCAATCAAGATGCGCTGAAACTCGACGACTGCAAGGGTTGGGTGAGTGTCGTTGAGCTGGATAGCCACCTGGTCGGGGAACTCGCTCCAAGCTCGTTTTGTCTTCTTGAAACGCCGAACGATGTCAAACAGTGAAGCAGCACACCAGAAGTACTGCTGCTTCAGACGCAGCTCTTTGCCTCGCTCAAGATTATCGTTAGGGTAGAGGACGGCCGAGATTGTTTCTGCGTTCTGCTGGTCTGCCACTGCGCTCTCATAATCTCCAGCATTGAACTTCTGGAAATCAAATTCTCCACTGCTGGCCTTGCTAGACCACAGACGAAGATTGTTGGTAGTCTTTGTGGCATAACCCGGGATGGGTACATCATACGCAAGGGCTTGAACAATCTCGCCATCCTCCCACGAATGTACGATCTTACCATCCTCATCTTGATATTTCTTGACGTTGCCGTAGAATTGGATGTCGACAGTAATTTCGTGTCTCGGGAACTCCCAAGGGTTATTGTCAAGCCAGTAGTCTGGGATCTCGACCTGGTACCCATTGACGATTTCCTGCTTGAAGATACCATAGCGATAGCGCAGTCCGTATCCCCAGGCCGGATAGTTTAGCGTTGCCATACTGTCCAAGAAGCAGGCAGCCAGACGTCCCAGACCACCGTTGCCCAATGCTGCATCGTGTTCCTGGTCGATGACATCCTCGATGCGGAATCCAAGGTCCTTCAATCCCTCTGGCATATCTGTCAGCAATATTCCAGACCATGGACCTTCCACCGCGCTTACCTCGAGCCGTTTCCTTCTGCCCAACATTCAGCATAGCGTTGTCCAAAGCACGTCCCATCAGGAATTCAAGCGACAGATCTATACCAGCGGTTAGGCACTTTTCACTGCTGGCTCCTAGGCCAGATACATACAGTAGACTCGCTTCTGATCAGTGAAAGTCTGTCGTTGCTGAGTCTTGTTCCATTCGATGATCAATCGATCTCTGAACGCCAGTGCGGTACCCGAGTAGGCGGCCCTGTTGAAAAGCTCTAGTCAGTTACAAGAATAGCCTGGATCATGCGTGTAATTCACATACAATTCATCGCAATTGTAAAGCGAGCGAGCGAGGGTCGTCTCAATGTGTCGTACGAGCTCTTTCTGCGGGAGGTGTGAGTTGAAGTATCAAGTATAGTTGCAAGCTGTACTCACCTCGAATTCGTCCTTGGTATTAAATTCCGTGGCCGACTAAATTGACTCGAGCATTAGTATTCAATGGAATACTTTTCCTTTTCCTTTTCTTCTATATCCCGGAATACAAAGAAAGCGGCCAGCATTAACTTACGTGTTTTCTCCAGCTGCAACCGAGATCAATTGGTCAGTTCGATATTCCACCAAAAGAGGCGTCGATAAGACAGGTACTCACGCCTCTCGCAATGGCTCAGGAATGCTCGCTTCGACATGCTTAATCTCGGCAGGGCCGAGGCCGGTGAACGTGCGCTTGTGCTTAGGACGACTAAACCCCGGGCCGATAGGGCCTTGGAGATCGGCAATGGGAGCTCCGACGGAGGGCTTTCGCTCCCGACGATGCTCCTGAGGCTCGGTCGATGCAGGTGGGATGGTCGACGACATGATGGGGAGGGGAATTGGGGAGAAGAGAGAAAGGCAGACGGATGTACAAGTGGGCTACTTAAAACCGAGAAAGAGGGGAAGGGCCTTGCTCATGCAGTCATGACTCTGGAGTGACACCAGAGGCGACTTGCCCTTTGCTCTGTTTTCCCTCTTCTCTCTCTTCTTTTCTCTTCGTTCTCGCGGTGAATATGGCACTCTTAGCTACATTATAATATTTTCCTTTCTATTTCCCCCTCTTCTATCCTTTCTTCCCACATACACATAGAAAGCAATGTAGGAAAAAAAGCTCCTATCAACGGTGTCTGTGCACGCCACGATCATGATTTGCTGCACAGCACAACTATTCGCACATATGCACTGTTTTTAAGACATTGGAGACACATCATGCCACTGAGCTATATCCACTTCCAAGCTGCTACAACAAGACCTAAATTTGTGGACCTCACGCTGCGCCCACTCACATATCAGAATTCCTCGCCCCTTCAAGCTCGAAGCCAGGTCCAGCTCCCCAGGGTGGCAATTTGCTTGGGAATTGAACTATCTCTGTACGGAGGACACCGTGCTTTCTAGCTTCCTCCAGGCCTATTTCCTAGCTTCACTGGACTCCCCAAAGCCCGAAACCTACGCCTCTCTCCGACCTCCCAATCCCCGAGCGCATACATGCCCAATCCGACCTTCATTGAGCACACTCCAGCCGTGAAGCTCCAAATCCCCTGATGCCTACAAACTCAGATACCCCGCTAACGCCACGTCCGGGCGCATTGCAGCGCCGAAGCTCGTGCTCCAGGCCGGAGCTGGCCCAGACAGCTCCCTCCATGCACGATGACTTCATTCTGGAGGTACAACGTGTTCGACTGCAGTGTGCTGGTTCTAGCCCGGGCTCTGGACATTCAATTCGTGATCACGAGTATTAGCCAAGGAGTGGTCGGGTGTGATGATGTGGGTGGCGGGGGGTCAGTTATCAGACTATGTTTCTCCCTTGGTCGGATGTTTTTTTGATGATACCTCCCGCCATATATAAAAGGGGCAGGCTGGTCAGTAGGGTGGTATGTTTGACGAATAGCATAACTGGCCTCACACTCAATTTGCCATATTGAGATTGGCCCTGAACTCAACGTTCGGGTTCATCGTCTCGACTCTCGATTTCATCTCCGACGGCTGCGTTCTCAAACAGCCATGACGGTGATAGGGACAAGCTCCAGTCACTGTGTCTCATATGACAGGACATGGCGAACCGTTGAAAATAATCCCTTGAGGGCGCTACCTCCTACGTGAGAATAGCTACAGTAGAAAATATCCAGGAACAACCAGCAGACTCAAACGGATGGAATTGGTATATCGAGGCTCGCCGAGCAAGCAGCAATAAAACTATGCATTAAGAAAAAAAGCCCGGCGCACATCCCAACCCCTACTCCGTGCCACACCCGGCTTATTGTCGGTATCGATTTATACAGCACATAAGACAATAGGCCTCGAGACAAAACAAAAACGCTGAAAAAGCCCCACAACCTAACCAGGAACAAAAAGGCGAAAGGGAATCGGGAAGCATCAGGCATGGAAGCGCTGGGGTCGCGGGTTAATAGTGAGTTAGATATAGGAGGGTAATTAAGAGAAACACAAAGAAGAGAAAATAGCACAAGGGAATAGAAGAAAAAAAGCAGAACATGGCGGAGGACACCAAAATTGCCATGGGATGCGAGGCTGGAAACAGAGACAGAAAGGAAAGATATCAATAGGTAGCGAAGGCAAGGAAACGGGGACCCAAAAGGGGGACTGGTGAATGTCCCCGTGGGGATATCAAATACATGAAAGGGAAGTTCGGCGGATATTCAGCCCCGGCACTGGGGGTTCTTGTCCGATGGGATTTTTTTGGCTGGTCATACGCTCATTCCGAGGTTTAATCAGGAAGAGGCACATGGAACAGAAACAGTAGCATATGTGACTGGTTGAACATGCTACTGAGACCCTTACCGGAACATAGACCCATGTTAAACCGAGAACAGTCACGTTGAATACACCAGATAGGAATACCCTAAACCAGAACCAGCGCCTGGGAAATCAGCCGGGAAAGCCTTAAAGACGCCATCAACGCCCGCAGCTGGTTAAAAGCAAAGAACCAAAAGGATGAATAAGGGTATGAGTGAACAGAGAAAAATTGTTTGTATAGTCTCTTGAAGAGGGGGAATCAAGAAACACCGAGGGCGACATCGAGGAAAGGGACGGTGTTGGTCGTAAGGTTGGATTCAGAAAGAATGATGCACAGGACAATGCTTGTGTGACGGGATCTTCGGGGCATATTCCAGCGGCTATAGAATACCCGAATCTTTCAGGGCATTCTGCAGGATGGTCTCTTTAACTGCTGCAAAGACCAAACGGATATTCGAGGTATCAGTCGCTTGGGTGAGACTAGAGGGAGGGGGTCAGAAACCACGGTGCATGTACTAGGGTTGTTAGGAGCATGGGAACTCACTGTGGGTATAGGTTCAAGTGCGCGCGATTCACCTGGTTGAATCGCCACAAAAGGTACTTGGCGGCACGGTGCACATCGTTGCCGCCCGAATAATCGGGGAAGTAGTTGCTCAACGGTGATCGGGGGAGCTTCAAGCGGAACAGATCGACTTTGTTCAGGAAAAGGATGATACTTGTCCGCATGAACCACCGAGAGTTGACCACGGAGTCGAAGAGAACTAAACTTTCCATCATTCGATTCTACAAGGTTCGTTAGCTCGGGTTCACTGTCTTTCGGATGTTGACATCTCATACCTGATTACTTTCTTCAAGTAGCACTTGATCATATTCGCTGAGCGCAACGCAAAAGATGATGGATGTCACGTTTTCGAAGCAATGGATCCATTTCTTTCGCTCACTGCGCTGGCCGCCCACATCGAACATGCTATAGTTGGTTAGCGATATCCCACGTTGTGAATGTCGAGGACTGTGTCTACGTACTGTATGCTCAACTGGCCCATCGTGAACCGTGTCTCATAGATACCAGTGGTCTTCGTTCTTGCCCGAAGGACATCTGAAACATCCGGAACGTAGTTGGGCGCAGTTATTCGCTTTGCTTCCTCGAAGAAACTAGTCAGGGGTTAGTATGTGACCTTGGGGAAAAAAAGGGGGTGACAATAGGTGGTAGATGGACTTACTATGGTGCCGAGTCCATCAGATAGAACTCATTCTGATGTTCCAACACTGTTGATGTACACGGGTCGTTCCAGAGATATGTGACCGCATCGCCAATTTTCGAATCAAGCGCAGTGTTGGGATCCGGATCAACGTTGTACTCCTCCAGGAAGACGATGTATTCTTGTACCTTCTGGCTGGTCGGTTCGAGTTGGAGATAGTGGTATGCTCCGATGAGAGCTTTGGCGCAGTCCAGAAGATTTTTGTATATGGTCAATCGATATAGCGCAAGCTCTTCCATGGTGTAGCCATTTTGGTGGATGATCTTCATCTGTTTCACGATCGTCGATTTACCACTCTCCCCAGATCCTGGATTGAAATTAGCCAACTCCTCTAAATAGGCTCTGCCAGCAGCAAAGTTCTGGATACCTACCCAACAGAAGAATCTTGCATTCTCTTCGCAGCCGCCTAGAATCTTCTTCTAGCTTGCGATCGATGGTTTGGCTTCGCTTCTTCTGCTCCACGTCCCCCGCGGACTCCGAGCTAAAACACGACCCCATTGTGGAATCGTCAGTGACCCAGACCAGCAGGGAGCAGAATCATCAACCGCGCGCAAAGAACAAAATCTGCCGGTCAAAATGGCCGGAGCCTTATTTGAAAGACTTCCGCCCAGCGCCACGCACGGGGAAGGGAAGGATCAGCGCGACCAGAAGGGGTTGAAATGGTAGCGACACGCAAGATCAGGATAAGGATTGGAAATTCAGTGTAGCTTAGGACAGTGCCAGCCTTCAAAGCTCTGAGGAAACGTTGGGGTCGGAGGGATAGCGAGTTCGGAAGGAGAGGCGTGGAGTTCGGGTCGAGCGGTAGAGATGGGGCGGACCGGGAGAGGGTAAACGCGGAGAACTGAGGATGACTCAGGAAGAAATGAGGCTATAAGAGTATGTAATAAAAGGTAGAGAGAGTAATAAGAGGAGTTTCAAGAATCAGAGAGTGTGTGTCAGTGCGACCATCGTCATGCTGGGGGGAGTGGAGATGCCAGACTGGAGGGAGGGTAAGAAACGTGTATGGCTCCGCTTACATTTGGTAATTAACGTCTTGGCCTCATCGGTGTCTTTTCTCTTTTGTTTCTCGTTTCTTCTTTTTTATATGCCATGTTACCTATGTCATTTGGATTTCTATTAATATCATGGAGCTCATTGTTATACGATCCTGGACCTCGGCCGATCGCTGATCTCTAAAGTACCTGGTGCTCAGGAAAGACCCGGGGAGAGATTGGGCACGTTCTGCTGTCAGATTGAACATGGAGGGTATCATCTAGTATTTCGGGGGGTTTTTTTTGGAATCATAGCCTCACAAATCACACACGGAGTAGTAGTACTCCGTAACCTCTTGCCTACATAAGATAGTATCATGTGGGAGTCTCTGTAAGCGAAAGGAGACATGTAGACTCGTCCACAGTAGATGACCCTCGTATGTGATCATGTGGGATCATGTGTTCTCGCATATTACGGCTTCAATTGTTTCCAATTCTGACTTCCGAGCCCTTCGAGGTAAAGGTCCGAAAGATTTTGGCTCCTCCAAATCTCTGATCTAAAACGCCGATCTTCATGGACTTAAATCTCTGATCAGGAGTTCTGTATTCGGTACGGAGTACTCCGTACTCCGTACAACGTACTTCTTCAACCCACTCTGGGGCTTAAAAGTGGAGAGTGACGCAGACCCTCTGCCTCAGGCAGGTAGGCGGGGTTGTGTTAGGTCTTCGGAGTATATGGTTGATTATAAACGACCGGATAGTCCCATATCGAGGTTGTACTTATATCGGTTCATCTGAATCCCGAGATGAGCCGGTGGAGATGAGGTGTCCGTTCTCCCTCGTCCATTGATCGTTCTCGGATGTGCGGTGAAGCTGGGCACTGACCCCATTGCCCCCCCCAATAACAGGGAAATCAATTCAGCCCTGTGGATCTGTAGGGGGTGCAGGAATCAAGATCGTGGGGAGGGGTTTGTACAAGCATTCATGTGTATGTCAGACCTGACATGGAGAATGGGGATCGGGATACCACACAGACTCTCCTACCGCCTGTGCTCAACGAATATGAAACTCCGAAAGGTTTCGCACCCCCCAGAGTTTAAAACGAGTTGCATACTTGTCCAGTCATAACTACCCCATTCAAATGATCTTTGTTGCATGGCCGCAGTAGCGTGGCAGATTTTGTTTCACATGCCTCAGCCGCCAACCCCATCGTACAATGACAGGACCCGGGCAGTTCCGTGGAAATTGATAATATAAGCCACCTGGACACCTGGGCAGGGTCTCTGGGTTACTAACATCTTCTTGGGTTGCATGGTATATGGCCAGTATGGTTGAATGCACCTCCCAGATCCTCCCAGGTTCTTCGAGGCAGGGATTGTCGCAATATTTCGAGGCCCATTACTGCAGGCACAATATCACGTCATAAAAGATCTAAAATAGCCGATTATGGAAAGTAGAACCGTCTATCATGCTTCGGATATGGCAGAGAGGATGTACCTCAGTCTAGACCGGAGAACGGTCTCTCTCGCGAGCACCTATGTAGTGAGCAATAGCCTCCCGGGAAAGTAGACCGGACCTATAAGAGGATCAGATAATAAGCTCAATTGTGATCTAGACCTTGATACAGATCAACGTTCATCGTGTCTTCTTTCAGGCGATCGAAGGTGAGGGGTTATGCTTCAGTCTGAACTGCCAAGGCTTTGGTGAACCAGAGGCCCAAGAACTCCAGATCCTGATTATCGGGCGGGCTAAGCGCAATTATTTGACTCTCGATATATGATTGCATTGTATAGCATACAACTGATTATATAGGTTCGATGTTCTATCCTGGTCGGCGCAAAGAGCAATGTCGTTCAAGGAAAGCCTCTTCCGGTGGCATAGACCAGGGCCTGGGCCGCCTGGTTGTGGAGCGAAAGGCAACTTCCAAGGAAGTGCGCACATTCGGCAAGACACTCATATCACAGCCATGAAATATGCAATGGGATAGGTGGGACTTGCAAGAGGGAAGAGGAGAATGTAGTCGCAGTGAGTATCGCAAATGAAAATACGAATAAGGAAAATAAGCAACGAGATCGCAACACCCGGATCAAGAAATCGGCCATTAATATAGAAACCCATGCTGAGTCAGCCACCTCAAGGGCACCTGGGCTGTCGCAAACGTCATCGGCCTTGTTTTCTGCGCTTTTCACGTCCCTTCCCCACACCTGGTGCCAACACACTTACTTTCTTTGCGACCCCTTTCTTCTAGCAATTTTTTGACTCGTCCCTTCATCCTCTTCCTTTCGGCTTCTTTGCTTCCTTGAAGTCTCCCTTCAAAGTCCCCTCTTTCCTGTTTACCTGCCCGCATACCCCACTTTCATCATGGCGGAATTCGTGCGTGCCCAGATTTTCGGCACCACTTTCGAGATCACCAGCCGGTTCGCATTGCCCTGTCTCTCTCCGCGCGCCAACAGGTGTCTCAGGGAGAATCTTGATACTAACGTGGTTTCTAGGTATACGGAACTGCAGCCGGTGGGAATGGGTGCCTTCGGGCTGGTCTGGTATGTTGCATTCTGTGTCGCACGAGGCGACCTTTCCACGCCTAAGACCATGCTAACCAAGCGACCAATGCAATAGCTCCGCGAGAGACCAATTGACTGCGCAGCCCGTCGCTGTTAAGAAGATCATGAAGCCTTTCAGCACCCCCGTTCTGTCCAAGCGAACCTACCGGGAGCTGAAGCTCCTCAAACATCTCCGTCACGAGAATGTTCGTATATCATCGACCAAACAGCCCAGGATTACGTGCTGACAGTATACAGATTATTAGCTTGAGTGATATTTTCATTTCGCCTTTAGAAGATATGTAAGGCTCCCCTATCTGCAAGGTGGGGTTGAAGGCGTAAGCTAATAACCGCAGCTATTTCGTCACCGAGCTTCTGGGAACCGATCTCCACCGACTTCTCACCTCGCGACCCCTTGAAAAACAATTCATTCAGTACTTCTTATACCAAATTCTGGTAAGACTTCCACGGGAATAATGTCCGAGGCCACCAAAATCTGACTCCTGGTAGCGCGGCTTGAAATATGTTCATTCCGCCGGGGTGGTCCACCGGGACTTGAAACCAAGCAACATCTTGATTAATGAAAATTGCGATCTGAAAATCTGCGATTTCGGTCTTGCCCGTATTCAGGATCCCCAGATGACCGGTTATGTCTCGACGCGATACTACCGCGCACCTGAAATCATGCTTACCTGGCAAAAGTACGATGTTGAGGTGGATATCTGGAGTGCGGGCTGCATCTTCGCTGAAATGTTGGAAGGAAAGCCGCTCTTCCCCGGAAAAGACCATGTCAACCAGTTCTCGATTATTACGGAGCTGCTTGGTACTCCCCGGATGATGTGATTCAAACTATCTGCAGCGAGAATGTGAGTAGTTATTCTGCGGCGAAAGATGGAAATATGCTAACATACTTGGTTCCAGACTCTCCGATTCGTCAAGTCCTTGCCAAAGCGCGAACGTCAGCCCCTCGCCAATAAATTCAAGAATGCCGATGCCGATGGTAAGCGATAATTGAGCGGAATAAGGCGTTTCGAAGCATGTCATGTTAACTTATTCGGTTCTTTTTTAGCGGTTGACCTGCTCGAGCGGATGTTGGTCTTCAACCCCAAGCAACGTATCCAAGCCCCCGAAGCATTAGCGCATGAGTATCTGGCACCATACCATGACCCGACCGATGAGCCTGTCGCACAAGAGAAATTCGATTGGTCGTTCAATGATGCCGATTTGCCCGTTGATACCTGGAAGATTATGATGTATGTGATTGCTCCGTTACTACGCTACAAGCTTCTTTTGCTAATTTTACACCGCTATAGGTACTCCGAGATTCTCGACTTCCACAATATTGAACAAGGTAACGAAGCAGGCCAAGCTTTAGTACAGGGTGCAGTGCAGGGTGATGCTGCTGGACAGGCGTTCTCTTAATGGTTTGACGTGGTTCCCCATACGACATGCTCTTTTACCATTGAATTCCGGTCTCAAAATTTGAAGTCTGGCCCTAAATCCGTTTAAAGGTGCTACAGAGCTGGCGTATCCACCTGTTTTTTTTTCCTACAATATTTTCCCTTTCTACTCTGTTCAAACTTTTTTATCTCTTTTTTTTATCTGGAAATCCTTGTTCATAGCTCTTCCGGCGTCGTCAGAATCGGTTGGTGATTAGGAGAAATCATACTGGGGATTTGATTTGATCAAGCAATGGGCTCGTAATTCTTAATATTTCCATTCATGCGATGTAGTTCCAAATGTCTCCAATACATCAAGTAGACCATATGGAGTATACGCCAATACCATGCAGAAAGGTTGATCATTTCTAATATAGAAGTTGAAGTACCAGATACATAGTGTTTTTCTAATCAAAATTTTACCGGAGAGACAATCAAGCAAAAGCCATACGCCGGCTAGTAGTATGGTTTATGACCATACGCGAATCCTAGCTATTGTACTATATCTCATCGTTTTTGTATGACTTTAAAGTTAGGGCGCTTTACCTTTAAAGCCTCTTTGGCCCCTTCGCTTGAACGCCCCGAACATCCCCATGGCGCACCAGGGTAACAGGTTGATGGTTTCAGATCCGTCGTAAAGATCCCTGCTGCTTAGGTTTATAGGTTCTGACGAGGAGCGCCTACTAAGTGATGGACCAAATCATAGGTACTAGTTCCTATCAAACCTTCGGGACGACATTAACACCCAGTGCATATCATACAAATCGAAGACCTGTCAAATCTCCTTTCAAGTACATTTTGTGCCCAGAGCACAGTCCGTGAACACCCTATATTATTTAACTAGGCTGTCTATTATGATCCATCTTCCCATTGACCCTTTCACATTAACTTAAGCTTAACCCTATTCCAGCCGTACCTTAGCCTTCTTGGCCTCGTCCTCGATCTCGTCGAGATCCTTGCCAGGAGCCCGCAGGAGCCCAAGCCGCTCCTCGTGCTGACAAGCCAGCACAGCAAGCGTCGAAGACTTCCACAGGGGAACCCTGCGGCTCTGGCGATTGTTAAAGATACTCAAGATGGCGAACAAAATGGCGAAACCCTCAGTCACAATCGGAACAACGAAGTACCCCCAGCGGATGGAAACATATGCCTCGCTCCGAATGATCTCGCCACGTGCAGACTGGGTATTCGGACCATACCGCAGATAGTCCGTCATGGAAGTCGCCATTCTGTCGAATCGATCGTTAATGTCCACGTCACCCATTAGTGCCGCGGCGAGACCGAGGTCGGTATTGACAAAGTTCCCTTCGACCCATTCGACAACGATTGACGGGGACTTGAGAAAATTTTCCAGCGTCGTGAGACTTGCATAGTTCATTTGAAGCGCAGGAATATGAACATCGCCACCTGTCGATTCATTGGTATAGATGTAATTTTTTATACTGCTGACGGACTGGTCTGAGTATTTCCAAGGGTTCTTCACGCCGAAATCGACCTCTCGCTTGGTCACAAGGAAATCACTACCATTGGCATTGGCACCTTTATATTCATAAGCCGTGAGAAAGAGGGAGCAGTCTGTAATGTTTATGTTGCGGAGATGGAAATTGCCATCCGGGCTCGACCTAAAGATTGCGAATCGTGTGATTTCGGGAAAGGGGTCTAGGAACTCAGATCCGGGTTTGCTGTCTATTATCGAAGTTGTATTCATGTAGAATGCTGTCCCAAGATCGGTAAGCTAAAAGCGAGATGCAAGGCGGATTCCGCCTGGTGTTGTCATGTTGCAAAGCCGTTGTCCGGTCTCGCTACCTTCGCAGGTGGCCGCTTTCAATGTCTCCTGGGTGACGTTCCTGCACTCGGCCTTGAACCCAATTGATGTGTATGATTCGGGCCAGCGACATGCCCCGGGACAGTTGAAACTTTCCGTGGCGTTGAGACCATACAGGCCCTGGATGATCGCGGATTGCATACCGGGATCCTGCGGGAAGCTACCTAGTCAGAAGCATGTTAGCTGCGCTTGTTGTTCCGGTTGTGTAGATCTCAACAATGCTTACTGGGGCCAGAGTTTGCCAATCCACTCGATATAGGGTGTTGGTAATTGTGCGCATATCCGAAGGTAGCGATGTCGGAAACGGAGATGATGTCTCGCTGCTCAATCGAAACCACCTGTTGTGCGAACGGCGCGAAAGCAAGTCGTAGGATCGTGATAAATGCGCCGATGGTGGCTATATTCCACTTGACCGTGGTCAGCAGCAGGATAGACCCCCAGACACCGCGACTCGCTCCGTCAAATGTCTCGAAGTCAGCAAGCTTGCTAGACTTGTCCTTGAAGTGAAGCCATTTAGACTGTCCGATAAATGTGCTAACCCCGTGCATCAATGCCGTAGTGCATGCAGTCGTCAGGATAGAAACTGTCGCATTGAGAGAGACGCGGGCGTTCCAGGCAGAGAGAGGCTTGTTGTCCATATACCAAAAGATCAGGGCAATGGCAAGGACAAGGGCCAGGGCAAGAATCGAACTTATCGATTCCAAAAGCCATTCGCTGGGAGAGTACACTGGATGGCGCTTATACTCAGTGACAGTAGTCTGTGACTCGGTGGCTACTTCGGAGACATGAGCAGGCTGGTATCGGTGACCTTTCGGGTCACTTTCAGGGCTGGCCATGGTGAACAGCCTAGGCTATGAAGCTGTGATTAGGATTGCTTTCGAGCAATGTAGCCAACATAAAGATGAGACACCACAAACAACTGCAGAGCTCGCCAAAGAGCGACTCGTTTGATTTATGCCTAACTTCTGGCTTTAATAATTCCTGTTGGGCGTTTCTGCCGAGGACTCTTAGCCGAGACTTTTGCACGTTGATCGCCCTGGTGGGCCTACTAGGATGCAATTCCATCACACTAATCTTATTGCGAGTCCGCTGCACTAGAGCCTCGTATTCCATGGCTTCCCTGGCAGTGCCTAGAGGCCCTTTGAGAAACATACAACTGATATCAAAGCGTTTCTTACTTCCCTGAAACGTACTCCGCACATGTCAGTCACTTCCACTTGAAGGTTCGAACCCGGTCGTCTCTATCACCCGGTAGGACTGTGCGCTTTTCTTCGCAGTTGAAGAGGAAGAATTGGACCCCAATGCCAAGAATTTGGCCGTAATGATATCCCCGCCGGGGTACTCCGTTTAAACAGTTCACTCCCAAGGCCTGTTCGTATTCCCCCAGCCACGCTCCTGCAACGGCAGAGACCATAGCGTGGCCTTTCTCTGGGATGACCTGTCGCCGGAGCTATCGGAGCTTTTCAACATGTATGGCATCTGGTTAATTTCACGCGCCGTCTCCGAGGCTGAGTTGCAATTTGGCCTGCATTAGTACACGGGTTGATGTGATTGAGACCAGAATTGGCGCTGTACTAGTGAGTCCTGAGTGTTTCATTGGGTGAAAATACATTTGCACTATGCCTTTCTAATCTTCATGCATTGCGGTTGTCCTAATTTAGGGTCACGCCATACTCCTTACGGAGTACTGACACCCCTCAACAATGAAGCGTCAAGTACGGAGTAGACCCCTGTTCGCTTGCCAGTTGTTCAGCTCAGCCTTGCTTGTTGTGTTATTTATCTACAGCATATGTATACGGAGTTCTCCGTACGGGGTATGGGGTACGTTCTTAACGAATATTTGAGATTTAAGACGCTTTCGCTAGCTATTGATCACCCAAACCACATCTAGAGTAGGTACGTGCCTTTTTGTACTTTCTTCATTGGAGAGTTATTCGGATTTCTAAAAGCGACCATTCACCTAACTCTTGTAACTATCTCGTAGCGTGTGCACTGTGGCATTTACAGAGTGAATCGCTCCCTACCCCGCAGTGTTCACTCTTGATCCCGCTTTTCCTTCGTATGATATCCCGTAGATCCTTCGTGGGTTTCTCGCACTAATTCGGTGTTTTGGGGAGACTGTGATGGTGAAGAAAGGGAGAGAGAAGTACTCCATGGGATGTATAAACGTAGGAAGGTAAGAAGAGGATAGCTCTATGCCCGTAGGGAATACTCCGTACGAAGTATGGGATATATGCTGTAGCTCTTTGTATCCAATTTGAGGTCTTATTTACATTATACCAAATGATTTATGACCTTCCTTTTTGGGGCACAGCCGCACAGGACCTCGAGACTCTATTGGACGACGCGAAGTCCCATACTCCGTACGGAGTACAAAGAGCGCATCTGTACAACAGTAATAGGAATTCGCCATAGTATACCCCGTCGTCGTTGCCGGAGTAGGCTTTGGTGCACTAACGCCGTATAGCAACATGTATGGATGTACAGAGTACGAAGTAAAGCGAGCCATCTTGGGTGATAGAACTCATCATCATTGTCATTGCCTTTTCCCTCGTCTTCACTTTGAATCTATCTGGAGCGACCATGCAGCTAGAATGAAGACGAGAAGACCCGTAACCTATACTATCTCCTTAGCTATTCTGGTCCAGGACTCCACCTCTAATGAGAAGAGGAGTTTTCACACGGGCTGAATCGAGATACACCTCGCAAAGGGAGGACATATTCAACACAACATTGGCCAGCCTTTGAATTTGATTCTCAGCCTAGCGGATGCTGCTCAAGGGCTTTTGTTTTGGTGAGAAGTGTCTACGGAGTATATGAGCATTCTTCATACCCGAGGTCAAGTCCAAATGGTGCGAATCCGAGGCTCCGGGCTCTCGGGTGGGTCTCCTCTAATAAACCCAAAATCCCTCGTCCGGGCGCTTTGACGGGTTCGATGGCATTTGCATACGAACAGAGAGGATTGTTTCTTATGTCTTATTGAGTAGAAAGCGATCATTGCTGGACTAGCGAAATCGATTCTTTGAGCTGTCCCTTTCAAGCATGTATCAAGCGTTTCAGATCTACGAGCCATGGAAAGCTTTTGCGATGAAAAGGGGGAGTCCTAGGGCCTTTTTCTTGCTTTGCTTTTTCAGACGAACACCCTTGCACAAGATCTGGTTCGAAGTCTCGTTGGTAAAGACTGCATTGAGTGGGGCTAGCGATTTCATTGTTGATTTGAGAATCAGGGGTGTGCTCCTGAGGTCAGTCCGATTCAGTGAGCAAGAAGCAGGAAAAGGAACGCTCAACCTTGCTAGATATTATCCTGTACTCCGTACTCCGTACATGCAGGCATATACCATGTAGAAACGGAATATGGGAGGATGGGAGGATGGAGAATGGAGGATGGAGTCCCTACATGTATGCAGCTCCAGATACTAGCGGGGCTAGCTTTCACCGCCCGCCAGAACGTGTGCGATAACCGTATCAGCTACTTTCCCCTGTTTGCGATGATCGTCGTCTCATGGGATACCCACGTCGAGGTTTTGGAGGAGAACCACCTCGTGTCGCAAACTGTTGAATCTATCCATCCCTATAAAGCTTGACTGCATTTTTCACGCCCGTATCATATCCCCCGATGGCTACTCAGCATAAACAAGACCCGATTGTGTTGGTCATTGACTTTCACCATGCACGGTGAGCTACCGAGACATTCGCAAAACTTCCCGCTCTTCTTGACGCAAACAAAAAGGCGGGATTGATCAAGGGATTTGGCTGACCGAGACATTCATCCCGCAGTGGTCCCGAGATTGAGCATTGCATTGCCGACGATGGAACCGACCCAGCAATCGAAAATGACTGGTCTCTGCTACCATTCATGGCCCTGTCTGACGGAGCGCATCTGTATGACACCCTGTTCTTTGAAAAATACCTCCCCGCTCCCCTAGCGCAATTCCGCAACAAGCGGAATTACTCTGTGCCAGACCAACTAACCCCTCAATTTTGCAGGTCAACCGAGGAATTCTCCTATTTCACACTCCGCCGAATTGATACCCCAAATACACCTGGGACTTCTCTCTTCGGAATCGCTTGTTCTCGCCAGTTGGACTCGAGCCTCCTTATCAACCGCTCGCCCGAGGTGACTCGGTCAACTGTGCAGAAGGCTGTAGTGGTCGTTACGGATACTCCGCAGCGAGTGGGTCAATTGCGCGAGAAACTCTCCGTGGTGACTTCCGCTTGGTTTGCGCAACGGTATGTAGGATATGCGTTCCCTGATAGCCCATATGCTTCCTGGGTGCGCTGGCATGGGGATGCAGATAGGAAAGGGCCGGGAGCTGGAATTGCGGCTAACTGTCCGCTTTTGATAACAGCGACTTCTCCGATGTTGATATTCTAAATGTATGCGCCAATTGAGATGGTGGATATAATGGGATACTAACATGGATGCAGAAATTCCGCGAGGGCTTGGTGATTGCTTTGCTGAATGACGATGGTCCGAAAGACCACAACTTAGGTAAGGATATTTTCCATTGCAACATATGTCTTTGCTAATTTATGAAGGCCTTTCGCTTCGGGAGATGATTCACGAATTTAAATCTCAGACATTGGTCCTTTTCAAGGCACTACTGTTGCAGCCCAAAATGCTGTTCTTCGGGACGCGCTGTGAACGCCTGTGCATGATTCAGTTCTCCCTTGTATCTTTAATACCCGGTCTCATCAACAACTTGCAAGACTGTGCGGATCCTTCTTTCGACAGCTATTCCAAGAGTGTTGAGAAACCAACATCTCTCAAGACGAGTGACAGAAGTTCTTTGTTGGCTTACATGGGCCTTCCACTGCAAATTTTCGGCAAGGGAAGCATGTTTGGTCCTTATACACCTCTCCAGCTGCTGGATCTGCTGGCGGATGATGGGACGAAATCATATGTGGTTGGCTCAACAAATTCATTGCTGCTACAACAAAAGGACCGATACAGCGATATTCTAATCAACCTTGACGAAGATAGTATTGTCATCAACTCTCCTTCGCTCCGCGCTGCCCTAGCCCTTTCCGCGGCCGACAGGCGTTGGATTGACCTCCTCACGCAAATTGTGAATGACACCTGGGATGAGGATCACCCATCTCAACCCAAAACCCTTGGTTTCATGGGCTCAGAAGAATTCATTCGGCTGCAGTTCGAAGAATACTTGCTGGCCTTGCTATCTTGCATGAAATACCATGAGGAGCTTTATCTCTGTGATACTGGAGAATCGGGCCATCGCAGCAGGGCCCAACTGCAAAATTTCAACATCGAAGGAGACCCTGCAATCGACTTCAACACAGAGTTCCTCACCCAGTGGAAAACCACTTCCAACTACGCCTTGTTTTCGCGTCTCACTTCCGATGCACTTCTGTTCTCTATCACAGAGCCGCGACACCCAAACGCCGGCGGTCTCTCAATGGACGATATCCAAAGGCGACTCTCGCAGCAGGTAGCAGACCTCCACCTTGATGAGCGAGTCCGTGAAGGTCGAGAAGCCTTGAACCGCCACATCTCAACCGGACAAAAGAAAGTGAGCGCAGTTTTCAACAACTTCTGGTCTGATATCGAGACAATGCGCGAAGCTCAACGCAAACGCACCGAGGAGAGATATATCTCTCAATCTCAGTCGCAACGCACCTCCTTTGACAAAGAAGCCCCACTCTCACCAACCCTCTCGCAAAATCCCGCAGATGCGTCTTGGTTCGCAGGCCGCTCAAGGCCATCCGTCGACATGACCCAGGCCCAAGCCTCCGTAAGCGCCGCAAGCCAAAAAGCTACCTCCTATCTCAGCTCATGGGGATCGTGGGCCAGTGAAAAACGCCGCGAATGGACAGACAAGCGTGGGACGTCCGCAAGCCCGAACGCCAACTCCAATACTACGACTTCGCCATCTAGCTCGGTCCTCAATCTCGCCACCGAGTTCACTGACTTGGACCGGGGTCGCCGCCTTTCCATCCAGAGTAAGAGGAGTGAACGCAACGAGAGCAAGGGCTCACGCACTGAAAGCCCCAACGGCGAGGGTCTTACTCGCAGCCTCAGCAGAAGAAAAAGATGGAGTAACATCCTGCTCAGACGCGAAAGCGGCGAATTCCAGCGCCGCGATGATGTCTCTACCTCCGATTCTTTCGATACTCCGTTCCCCAAGTCTCCCCTATCCCAGGGCCTGCCTGCTTACACGGATGATACGGAGCTGAAGCGCATCCAAGATTCCCAGGAAGGAAAGTCTTCAGCTCAGGATACCGTCGATGCAGACGGGTTCTCCTCCGTGTCTCTTACGCCAACCGAAGGCCTGGGATTGACCATGAAACCCGACGAAAGTGGTTTCATGACCCAGAACGAATCCACCCCCAAGGGTGTGGAGGTAGATTCATCGCTTGGCGATTCGATGACAGCTTTGCCTGCCAAGGAGACACATCCAACCCAGAATAAAGACTCGTCTGGTACGAACTAAGAAGCTCTGGGCTTGGTGGATTTGCCGCATTTCCTGCATCCAGAATGATTTGAGTACTTCAAAGGTTTTCTGTGTATATCTTCTGTCTTAATATGTCCGACTTGGCGTCGCTGTTAACCCAGCATTGCCCATTTTTGGCACGGTTCTCTTGTCGATTGTGTTGATTCTGCATAGGCCTTCCTTCCATCCGAGTCGGGCTGGTGTATCTACACCGGGCCCCGAGGACTCACCGGTGCTGCGCATGTTGATCCACTGAATGAAATATTGAAATGAAATCGTTCATCATGTGTGTGCCGTTTTTGGCCATCGTTGTTGTGTTTATATCTTTATCTACGTTGTATATTGCATGTCATTTATAATAGATCGGGCTATTTCGTTCGAAATGCATTTCTCATAGAGCTCTGAAGCTATGAGATCCTGCAGAACCTGAAGCCCTAATAATAACCATCTATACAGAAGAAAATCCACCTTTTTATTATATTTTGTCATTGGAAGAAAGGAGAAAAAAACAGAGCAAAGAGCAAAGGAAACATCCAGGTCATGATTGGTTTGGTCGTCTCAGCGCTATGAAGATGGAAACATAAAATAAATCGCCGACACAATGAAAAAAGAACTCCCATGCTCCTATTTGCCTTTGTTTTCATTCGTTAACTACTCATGGGAAAAGCCCTTTCCTAGACCAACAGGGATCCAGTCTCTTTTGCCTTGTGTTTCCGTCATTGACGGTGATAAAGGGTTGAGGATGGTCTTGAGAATCTATTCTTGCAGGAAAGAAAAGGTGGAGGCAAGAGTAGAAAACGATAGAGAAAAAAGCGATAGAAGCAAGTTGCTGTGAAATATTGGTGGAGATGGGTTGAGATTGTTTTAGGCGATGTAGGAGATTTCATCACCGTCCATACGCTCAATATAATCTTTCTCCATGAGAGCTTCGATGTTCTTCTTGATATCGGGGATCTTGGGCGGGAAGCGGGACTTGACCTGCTGGATGACTTCCTGGACAAGCTGGACGTGCTTCATCTTTTTGCGCGACTTCATGATGCGGACAATGGCGGACTACAGCCAGGTTAGGACGGACTGTGAGGAATGAAAGTTAGTTGGAAGACATACCTGGAGCAAAAGCTTCCGATCCTCTTCTATCGTCTTGTGTGTATCGTCTGCTTCGACCTTTTGCTCAGACTTGATCTGAATGTTGAGGTTGACCTTCACCTTCTTATTTTTGAAGTTGTAGTTCAGAGTGAACGAGGTGGAGGGGTCAGGCTTAGCACCCTCGGGGATGGCAGTGAGGACCTTGGCCTTGAGCAGGATGCTAAGATTAGGGTCGAGAATCTCGGTCGCTAGGGTGGTGGCCTTTTCGATGTCGGAGTAGGATAGAGTGTCTGCTTCGTTGAAAAGCAGAAGAATTCCCATCTGGTAAGTCGATACTTGGAAAGTGTAAGGTACTTTGGCGTTCTTGATATAATTGGCTTTGATCTCGCCCTTGCAGAGCTGCCACAGCCATGTCAACTTGCGGCCGCTGTGCTTGTCAAAGTAGAATTTCTGGAACCGCTCGGCGGTCTTGACAACTTCCGGCGGCGCACAGAAGGCAGTGGTCGGGGCATTGAGGGGCCAGAAGCCAGTTCCGAGGATCTGGAAGTGGGCATCGGGCATTCTCTTTCGGTCTTCATCATCTAGAACTTTGTCCTGCCAATCCTTATAGTTGTTATTCAGATCCTTGGAGATCTGCATGTCTTGGAACATGCGCTGTAGCTTGTTGGTGTATTCGAAACCACATGCCTCCTTTAGCTTGCTGATCATGCTTGTTTCCGCATCATCAGAAACAGAGCTGACATGTACCAGGCGTTTGGCCAGATTCTTGGAGTAGAACTTTTGGAAGACATCCTTATCCTCGATGTACTTGAACACAGTCATGATCTGCACCAGCATCTCCTCAAGTTCCGACTCTTCAGCGGACTTGGATCCCTTCTTCAAAAGCGAGTCCGTATATTTCGCCAGCATCTCGGGTGACTTGGAGGAACTGGTCTTGCAGATACGGTTCCGATTGACAAATTCCCGGCAGGCATTGTCAAGAGAACGCACGAACTCGGACTCGCCGTTGAAGGCCTCATTGACCAAGTTCTGGTATCGTGTATGAACTTGCAGTAGTGCATCAACGTACAACTTGGGCTCGAGGGTTCCCCCTCGGAAGCAACCTTCTCAACCGCAGCCAAACCGGCCCGCCTCACGTGGTTCTCAAAGGTTGTGCGCAATGGGTCTAAGCCATCCTTAATACGGGAGAGGAGTCGATACATACGAGCAAGATCCTCCTGGCGTTCATTGTCCAGCAAGACTTGGAATTCGTCGCGAAGCAAAGTGGAGTGAGCGGTGACGAGAACAGACAGACATGTGTCGGTCAAGGTCTTGGTGACATCTGGGTGCAAATACAAGCCCACCCGACCTTTCTCTTCTTCCAGGCGAGCTTCAGCCTTCTTCATATACTCCACCACGCTGTTTTCGGCTACGAACTGCCGTGACTCATTTTCATAATAGGTTTTGGTGGCACGGATGAACGGCTGCTGGAAGTACTGCCGATAGACATCCAGTGTTGACTTGGAGCTATCATTTTCGTCCAAGCCCAGTGACACGAAGGAGTCGACAATGGACTTGATCTGCGACTGTTCGATGGTTTCCCCGTTCCGTTGTTTCTCGATGAGATTCAGAACGGCGTCCATGACCTTCTCGTGAACTTTCTCAAAGAAGTCCCCCTTCCATTTAACCAGGTGTAGGGTATAAACGTCGTAGACATTTTTCTTACCCTCATCAATCTCACGCTTTACCCAGTGACGGTTGAGGTATCGGAAAAGGTGGTTCACATATTTGGCAGCAGTTGTGTAACGGTACCACTGACGGATGTAGAATCCAAGCAAGCCTTCCTCGGTGTGGCTTTGTGATTGTTTGTACACTTCACTCAGATGACGTGATAGGTATTCGCCGAGTAGTTTGTACAGTTCCTCACCCAGCAAGTGGGCTTTAGTCCAGGTCAGCTCCATCCGGGAAGCCGAGGATGCGGCATTAAGGGAGAGTAACCAACCCCCACGTTGTCCTTGTAGACCATGTCCGGTAGCGACGGCTTTTTGGGAAGTGCAGAAGTTATGAACGGCCCTGTAATCAGAATGTGAGCACGGTTCTCATCAGGCAAGACGTAGGATTCAACGTTGAACACACGTATAGAGACCCATGTACTATCCACAGATAACTAGTCAGCTTCTATTTTAAAAGTACTTGCCATGGAGTTGTAAATTGTACAGCATTCCACTTACAGTCTTCATATCAATACCTGAGTCGAGGTTAAGCATGACGCTCTCAATCCCCGCCTCTAGGAATGCCCAACTAATCCAGAGTTAGCGCCCATCCTACTGCCACGTTCAAACATTTTCCCGCCATTATCACTGCTCACGTTGAATCAAGGTCATCCTTGTGAGGCACCGGTGGCATTGTGAGAGACATCGTGGTTGCAGGGGTCCGGGGTGGGATGTGGAAGAGAGTCGGCGGTCGAGGCTGAAGATCCTGCTTTACCTGTCAGTATGTGCTCTAGACTCTCACTAGTAACCTTCTAAGCTACACATCCTGTATTTACCTCAAGAGGGTTGCAACGCCACAGGTCACGCCTCGAAGATCTCCAGGTGATCGAATGACTGGAGGCGCTTCGTGAGAAGGGGGTATTTTCAACAGCGGGAGGGTTTCGCGGCAAAGACAACAGGCAAGAAAGCGCAGCCTCGGGAACTTCTAGGACAAAACCCAGAAAAACAATATTAGGCAGACGAGGAGCAAAGTGATGAGGCTGAGAAGGACCAGACCGTGGGGATGGCCTGCCGCGGGCGGTGAGGTGGCGGAGCTTTCCCCCAAAGCGACATCATCGGTTTTGATCAAGGCGAGGCTATACGGACATTACGCCATGACCTATGAGGTCGATGACTTTGTGTGGATATGGAAAGCCATGTGTGGAATGCAGATCTGACTCTCTTTCAACTTTTTCTCTTTCATTATAAAAGGATTTGTCTTTAACAAAGCACATCTCTCAGAATAACGCCTGACCCACCGATCTATGTATATTCTGGATCTCTGTGTCGTACTCCCTGTGCACAGACCTGCATAGGTAGATACAAAAGGGCACAATGTTGGACTTCAAAGAAAAACGTAGGACTCCAGAAGAACCCTCGGCGTACCTCGATCTTACCAAATTAGAAGGCGTTATGGCGTGCAGTGTGTAGATGATAGGTATCAACCTCTGTAGTATCCATATCTCACCATTTATAAGTTTCTCTATAAACACCGGTTCTTCGATCCTAATGACCCCCTAGGAAGATAAACTCTTTATAGATCGAATGAGAGCAAAGCCTACGAGGACGTTAGTCAAAGGTGTACTATGGATTTATATTGTAGACAGTCTATTACACTTCCCAGTCTAGGGTATGCAATGAACAGTGTACAGTAGACTCGGAGTTCAATAGCTGCACTGGGAACCCTTCCAGCGTTTCTAACCAACAGTCCCACCAACCATCTGGACAATCATATCAAAATACATAGCTCAATAGCAACACTTGAACTATATATGGGCAGCTTCGGGCCCCCACCACGGGTGACGTCATTCGAAGCCCAGAGTCAGGTAGAACAATCACAGCTTGTATATTTCTACCACTCATGCATCCTAACTCCCTTATGAAAGACGAACCGAGCACAATAGCAAACCCCTCACAATGATTATAACTCCACTGCCAGACACCAAGGTGACCACTCGCCAGATTCCAGAGTGGCACCACATCCCGAACACTTCGATCCAATCTAAGCCGCTCATGATTTATCATGGAGCCTTCAATGCCGTATCCACAGAGCTTGAGGAGCATCTGGAGGCGGTGGGCGAGGTCGCTCCTCAATGGGTATATAGCATGTACCGCCAAACCCACTTCCACTCCACAACGCACGAAGTCCTGGGAGTTGTTTCAGGGAGCGCGCGTCTTTGTTTTGGAGGCGAGGATAACCCCGAGCGGTTTGAGCCAATGGTTCAGCGCGGTGATTTGATAATTGTGCCTGCTGGGGTGGGACATCGACTCTTGGAGGACCTGCACGGCCATCAGGAAATCTTTCAAATGGTTGGCGCATATCCACATGGAAAACAGTGGGATATGTGCTACGGGAAACCAGACGAGAAAGCCAAGATGCAGGAAATCAGAAACGTGGCATGGTTCCGTCAAGATCCGTTGTATGGCGCTGACGGTCCTGCTTTGCATGTCTAACCAAAAGTCCCAACCGACAAAAACAAGGCTCGCTTGAATGGTATATGATAATATATCAAAAGTCAAAATTCTCTATGCACAAGTTTTGGACCTCACTGTGTTACTCTTTCAACAAGTCTAGAGACGGGTTAGTAGATGAAGAGAGTATGTCAAGTACGCTTCGACGAAGGGGCTTACCTGAGCACACTAATCGAGAACGTTGTGAGCCAAGCCAGGAGCGCAACTAGCAATACAGAAGCAAGTGCCTTTTGTCTCACACAAATACCATCATCACGAGGATCGATCGTTTGGTTGACTTCCGCTTCGGTGCAGGATCCTGTTACTTCGGAGAGTGAAGCAAAGGCCAAGCTAAGATTGGCGGAATCAAAGACGATGAAAAAGATATCGAGGAGAATAAGACGTGCTTTAGCCGAGGGAGAACGTAAACCCAGAGGCTTTGATGTGTACTCGTCCCATGTGATATATATGAGGTAAACCAGGGCGACTGCATCAACAATGATTGCCATCAATGCAGATGGGCCTTGATGATGACTCCTTCCTTTGGCCATGTGCTGGATCGATCCACCTAGAGCTAGCGCAGAGAGCGAGAAGCACCAGACAGTCATCCGAAGAATCATGGGTATCATTGGGCTCCGGAGAAGTGTGTTCTGGAAGCGCTTGAACCAGATCTCCCTTCGCCCTCCGCTGTGTAGTGGATACTCCGGACTATCGCCCTCCAAATGCTTTCCTCGCCACGGTTGCAAGTAATCACCGTGGTTCTCGTTCATCCATTCCGGCGTGACATGTTGTTCCTCTCTGCCAGCCTCTCGAGGGTATTGGATGGTCCGTGAGAACGTTACCCAGCGCGATTCACGATTGACCGGTGGGGTGTCGTCGTCTTCGTCGTCAAATAAGCCGTTGATAATCGAGGAAGAAGGTTGCGGCTTAGATGGTGTGTACGGCGAGTGGTTGTGCTGAGCGACGAACGCGTCGCCTGGCTGGGAAGGAAGTAAATGATCGCTTGCCGAGGCTTCATGTCCGTCCTCTTCAATCTCCTCAACCGACCGAATCCAAGCTATAGAGATCCACTGTCAGTGAATGATCGTCGAACCAAGCTTTGAAGAGAGCCATACCAGGTAGAGATCGCAAGGTCGAGCGTTGGGTGTACGCGGTCCCATCCGCTGCCTGACTCTCCTCTATCCGCGGAAGCGCTGGATCTGAAGAACTACTGCGAACAGTAGAGTCGGTATCGATGCTCAAATGGGTTGGCAGCACCGATGTCTCTGGTATAGGGGCGGGTATCTTCTCCGCCAGCCTCTCACCAAATATGCGCCCTCCAGCGCTGTCTCTTGAGCTGTCCATGGTCAGCAGATCAGGGGAACATGTAATTCGGGAGTCGCGGAAAATGTCAATTAACACTTTGCACGCCCGCGAATCCCCAATTGTTCCAAAGATAGCGTGTCCAGTATCCGTGGACCAGGAGCAAGTTTGAGGGCAGAGGATGATCTCCGAAAGCGAAAGGGCATGGAATGACGTCTCGAACCGCCCAGTTTATTCCCGCGCCCATCCCTTTACGCCTAACCCACAGAAAAAAAAAGTCCCGATACTCTGGTTATTGTGAAGACTTCTAAGACCTTTCCTATCCCGACGGGTTTTTAATATCTTTTAATATACCTATCTCCACATCGCGATCGCGCGTCTATTCCCTCAGAGATCTCCCGCTGCCATGCGCCTCTTCCTCATCCCGATCTCGACGGGACGAGTCCTCATATATGCTCGACCTCTTCGCAGGGATCTAGCGAAGGAGCTTTCGATCCTTGATAGGATTACAACGAAGGCCGCTGAAACATGGGCGAAGTGGGAAGAAGCCGACAAAGGGTGGAAGATGCACCTTGTTAAATGGGGCAATCGAGTCCAACAACGGATACCATACGAAGAATGGGCTCTCAAGAGCATTCCTTCATTCAAGACTCAGCAGCGGCTTAATGGAGATCATGGAAAGATTAAGATTGATGTGCTGTTCCCCGGCAATGCGATACGGCTGGAACGAATTCAGCATGTGTTGCGCAAAATCGCTACTGAGAGACAAGAGTACCATCGGAAGAAGATGATGTGGAGCTTGATCGCGGCGCCGATTACAGCACCCCTTGGGTTGATTCCAGTGTATGTGGATGCCATGTGCTTTTTTTTCCCGCGTGTGATCTGATATGTATACTAATGAACCGCAGGGTTCCGAACATCCCCTTTTTCTACTTGGCATACCGGGGCTGGTCCCATTGGCGCGGTTAGTACGATATTCCACACGGCCCCAGTTCAGAGACTAATGATGATGAATATCCAGCATTAAATGGCTCGAAACACTTAGAATTTCTTGTTGAAAAGAATCTTCTCAATCCGATCTCATTGCCGGATTTAGAAAAGTTATACGCCAAACGCGCATCCCGAGTACTCGACGGTATCTCGAACGACACACCATATTCCGAGATTGCCGAGGACATAGAGCAGAGCGAGGACCGGGTCCTGTTAAAGATATCCGACGCCAAGAAGCTAGCTACGATTCTTGAAGCACCAGAGCTTGCACTGGAAGCCGAGCGGGCAATTATTCAAGTCAGTGAGCAGCTCGAGGCTGCAGCGAAAGCTAAACAGACGGAGAGGAAAGACGAGAAGAAAGATTCATAACGTGGAAGAACCTATCATTGTGAGAGATTTCCGAGATAATAGACTGGGCTGGTATGTTCGTCTGGGGCAAGGAGATGTCGACCTCTGCTGCTAAACATGGCAGATGATGTACTATAATACAGGGAACCACCTTGATTCCAGTAGATAAAATATAGACTGCAACTATTGCGCAAATATCCGAATGTCAGTGCTAAGTATAGATGCATACAACATGGAGGGCCCAATGACCTCACCTGAGCCCCTGACGGAAGTAGGTAAATCCGACGCTCTTCCCCCCATTGTTCCCACCTCACCATCCACTCCATTCATCGGAGCTCCATACATCATGTCTGCCAAAAAGATTGAGCAATGGGAGATTGAACGATACTGGGAGATCTTCGTTTCGTTGTCAAATGGCCAGAAGCACCTCAACAGCTCCCAAGCTGCCTCCGTGCTGAGGAACAGCCGGCTGCGCGATGATCAGCTCGAGAAGGTCTGGGATATTGCCGATGTCGACGGAGATGGAGAGCTGGACTTTGAGGAGTTCTGTGTCGCAATGCGCCTAGTCTTCGACCTAGTCAATGGCGTAAGTGGCCCTCCCAAGACGTCAACAAATCGCTCTAACGCGGCGTCTTATCTGCCAACAGGAACTACAAGAGGTCCCGAATACGTTGCCAGATTGGCTGGTCCCAGAGTCCAAATCACATCTCGTGCAGGCGACTCGGGCATTAAACATTGGACAGGAGCAGTTTGAGCGGATAGAAGACGAGGACGATTCGCTCGGCCTGAAGGACGGCTTCGATTGGTACATGAAGCCAGAGGATAAGAACAAGTACGCCGAGATCTACGATGCCAACCGGAACGCGCGCGGCCAAGTCGAATGTGAGTTACATGTTTAGTGTGCACAGCGCGCAAAGGGACTACCCCGCTGACACCCCCTCAAGTCCAACAACTACAACCACTCTACGAATCGCTCGATGTCCCCGACACTGACGTCCGCTCCGCCTGGAACCTCGTTAATCCCTCCGCAACCCCCGCAATCAACAAAGATGCAACGCTCGCCTTTCTGCATATCCTGAACTTCCGCCACGAGGGCTTCCGCATCCCACGTACGATCCCCGCATCGCTGCGCGCCTCATTCGAAAACAATCAAATCGACTACCAGGTTGACAAAGCGCGACCCGCACAGCGCTACGGTGCAGATGGCGATACGGAAACGCGCACAGGCCGCAAGGCCAAGTTCGGCGACACCTATCTCAGCCGTCTGGGCGTTGGCGGCAAGGGCTCGTACCAGCCTAAGGGCACGGATTTCAGCGACACGATCCAGGACGAGGAGTGGGAGAAGGTTCGACTGCGCCGCGAGCTAGCGGAACTGGAGACGAAACTAAACTCTGCCACCAAAGCCTCCGAATCCAGGCGAGATGGGCCGCGGCACGATGGCCGGCCTAATTGGGTTCTGATTAAAAAGGAGGCGCTCTCGCTGCTGGAGTACAAGGAGCGGGAGTTGCGGGAGCTGCGAGAGGGTACTGGCCGTGCAAAGGACGGACAGGACTTGGAGCGGCTCCGAGAGGATGTTAAGGCCGTCGGAGAACAAGTTGACGGCTTGAAGAGCCACATGGCCCAACGGCATGATGTACTTTCAGACCTCCGCAGCCAGATTGAAGACGAGAAAGCCCGGCGGTGATTGATTATTGTGTGCACACGGACTAGCGGATCTTTTGGCCTAATGCTTCTTCTTTTCTTCTTCCTACAGCCCTCTTAGTTGCATATATGCCCTACTTTGTTGATTGATTATCGCGAACTATCATGTACAGCCATTTCCTTGTTAGGGAGCTTCAGGCGTCAAATGGATAATTGCATTTCTATTCTCGTCGAATCCTGGAAGAAAGCAAGAAAGAGCAAAATAAAAACTATCAAAGTAATTCAATAGATGTATGATACAGGAGCAAGGCATTGGTGGTCTCTTAGACCACGAAATACCAAATGCAGCAATTGGTACACGAACAAAACCTCAAGTTCCACTATCCCAACGCCAATCTAGCCAAACCAGCCAGCCCACCATGAATGTTGTTACAATCCAGTACCACTGGGAAAACCCCAGCAAACTAGGTAGCTTGCACGAAAAAAAATGAGGCGAAATAGAAAAGTGACCGAACAGATCAAGACAGGAGGCTCTCATCATCCGTCTTAGTTTCAACAGCAACAAACGCAGCTCCTTTTCGATCAAGACCCTTCTCAGCACGAGAGTAAGCCTCCTCAGAACGATTGGTCAAGATCTCAAGATCCTCATTCGACAGAATCGACGCAGCGTCTGCGCCAACCTCAAACCGCTCGAACTCATCCTCACCGAGAACCTTGCGCAATTCATCGATCTCCTGGATATTCGCGCTGGGGTCGAGCAAGGAGCGGAACTTGCCTTTCTGGATTACCAGGCGTTCAAGACGGCGCTTGGAATCTGCCTTTTCGAGTAATGTCTGCTCGACGGTTCCCTTTGTGGCCAATCTGTAGATGATAACGGGTCTGGTCTGGCCGATACGGTGGGCTCGGTCCTGGGCTTGGAGATCCTGCTGTGGGTTCCAATCCGAGTCAAATAGAATGACGGTGTCTGCGGCAACCAGGTTGATTCCCTGACCACCAGCTCGAGTGCTAAGGAGGAAGATCTTGTGACTCTCCTTTGTGTTGAAGCTTTTGATTTGCTCCTGTCGCTCTGACTGCGCGATAGCGCCATCGATTCGGCAACATTCCCAGGAGCGTAGTTCAGTTGCCCATTCTTCAATGATATCAAGTTGTGTTTTAAATTGAGAAAAGATGAGAATCTTGTGGCCCTTCTCAAGGAGGCATGAGACTAAGCGGTCCAGCAAGAGCATCTTGCCGGAGGCTGAGACGAGTGTTTCATCTACAGATGAGTCCTCGTCCATCCAAGGCCAATAAAAATTATGTGGAGAGTTACAGGCGAGTCGAGCCTGCAGAACCGGATTTTGCATCTTCTTTTGCGCAATTTCCTTCTCTGCAAAAACAATGTTAGTGGGGAGCAAGATAAAAAAAACGAGGCAGGACAAGCATCTTACTAGCAAGCTTCAAATTTTTAGCCCGCTCCATCTCTTCAACCTCAGCATCGCTGGGCTCGGCTTCCTTTTCCTCTTCTTCAATCCCCAGCTCGAGTTTACGGAGATGTTCATCGAACTCTTCATCGCTCAGATCGTTGTAATTCTGACGCGTGCTGCGTCGGCGCCGGGTGGATTGATTTCCATTGCTAGTAGGGGTGGATGTGCCGCTTGACTTGGCACTCTTCGATGGAGTTGTATTGCTACTGCCATTCCGTTTGCGCTTCAAGCTTTGCGAGCGTGTGGAGCTGCGGGAGCCACGGCTCTTGCTCTCTAGGCGCTCAAAAGCCTTGCCCTCGAGATACTGGCGACCTGTACCATTGATGATCTCTCGATAGAGATCTTTTTGCTCGGGGGTAAGAGGGGCGTACAAAATATACTCCCGCTTCTTAGGGAGCGAGGTCTCCACGTCAGTTTTGAGACGTCGAAGCAGGAAAGGCTTAAGGATGGCGTGCATGCTGGTGACCAAATTACGCTTGCGTTTTTCAACAAGCTCTGCCTGGCCTCTGTTGTCCAGAACGGAAGAAAAATCAAACCAACTCTCGAATGAGTTAAGATCATTGAAGACTTCTGGAAGTAGGAAATGCAGAAGTGACCACAACTCAGAGATATTGTTTTGCAGCGGAGTTCCGGTGATGAGAAGACGGTTGGCTGAGTTATAAGTCAACAGCTCTTTGATGAGTTTGCAGTTCATGTTTTTCAAGCGATGTCCCTCATCCTGTACACTGATTAGCTTCATGAATGGAAAAATGACTGGACCAAACGCACCACAACGATATAACGCCACTGATATTGAGCCAAAAACTTTCGATCGTTCATACAGATCTCGTAAGATGTGCATACCACCGGAAAGTCCATGTCTCCCTGATTCTTCATTTTCATGTGCTTGTTTCGAATATCAGCTCGCTGATCCTTTGAGCCATGATACAAGACCGTTTTAATGTCGGGGGTCCACCGGGCGAACTCATCCACCCAATTGCTCACAGTACTCAATGGCGCTGCAATCAAAAACGGACCCGAAACTTTCTTCTCTTTCAGGAAAGCGATCATAGAAATTGCCTGTACAGTCTTTCCAAGACCCATCTCGTCGGCCAAAATGCCGCAGAGTCCGTTCATCCACAAGGTTTTAAGCCATTCGAGGCCCTCTAACTGGTATTTTCTCATCTTGCCACCACTGACCAGCGAGGGTTGCTGTGTTGCAACAAGGTCCTGCTCACCCAGAGCAGTGGGTTTCGCCTCATATTCGTCAGCAGCCTGTTCAAGGGCTTGCTGGACCGAGGGATTGTCATCAGTCACTTCTACATCCGCCTTTTTGAAGTAGTTTGAGATCGCATTGCCATTAGCTGCAGCTGCGGCAGCTCGCTTAGGTCGACCCCGATTTGATGTAGGTTTCTTCTCGTCTACATCTTCTTCGCCAGCAGGTGGATTCTCCTCCGCGGCATCTTGTTTCTGCCGAGTTCGAGTAGCGCGGCGGGCAGGCTCTGTAGGAGACTTGGGTTTCTTCTGGCTTGCGGCAGCTTGTTGATGGTGCTTTATCGCGGCCAATCTTGCTTCTTCTTGTTGCTTTTTCATTTTATCCGACATAATTGCAACAAAGACCTGCAGATACAAGACGATATCAGACTACTGGGATCAGATAAGACGAGAATGGACTGGTCACGTACGGAGCTAGTTTTCAACAAGTGCATTAAAGCTTTGGCCTTGCTGTCCATCCCCTCCACATCTTCTGAATCTGTCAATTCGGCCTTCGCATCGAGATCTTTATTGTCTGAGGGGTTCGAGTCTTCAGGCTCGGTTGCGTCTGCGAGTGGCGAGGAAGGGACGGTAGACTCGGGCGCTGTAGTTCCTGCACGGGAATCCGTGGGGGTATCTGTACCTTCTACAGACATCTTGTCTAATAGAATCGAGTAATATTGCAAATATGGTAGAGGACTCAAGACAATGACGGGATCAAAGGAGACGATACGTCATTCGTAGGGGTGGAGTGAAAAAACTTGCGCAAAGTTGCGTTCGGTTGGGACAAAGAACAAACGAATGTAAAGCGAGACGCCAAGCAGAAACAGGTTCCAATGAAAGAACCCTCGTTCAAACAAATGCTGTGCACATTCAGATATTCGCAAGATATGAGAGATCGGAATACGAGCGCGTCCTCGACGCGGCATTTTCGCGTTGAGCGCACGGGCCAGTTTTAGATTAGACGAACTACGATGTATAGAGTGCGAAGTATACGACTTCCTACTTGAACTTGGCTTGAACCTCATTCGGCACTACCATACATCATAATTATACATGAATTTCGAGGTAAAATGGTCTCATATCCTTGAAATCTCGAACATCTCAATGTTTGTGGCAGAGCTTGCGTGTTCCCTTGAGTGTTTGCTCCTTCTACAGTGAAGGGGAACATCCATCCGTCGGCACCAGCATCACATCATCCATGGATAGATCGGTGAGTGAGCTGACATCGGAACTTTCCTGGTCGTCAAGATTCTCGGCAGCTTCTTCCTCGGTCTGCTCGGGCTCGCTTTCTTCTGGTGGCACGATAGGCTCGAAGCAAATGAATTCACTCATCATTTGGTCAAAGTCTCCCATTGTCATTCCACGGTGTGCGCGGGAGAAAAAGTTCGAGGGTAGATCTTCTAAATTTGAAGGCAAGTTTGCTTCCACTGGCTGACTCCGAGGGCGTGAATGGTTCGAAGCGCGTGGCTGATTCAAACGACGTGACTGATTCAAAGAACGTGGCCGACTCACAGGACGGGGTTGGCTCCTGGAAGTTAGCTGAGGATCTCGATCTGCAAAATTGATTCCAGCACCGACGCCATCGACGCGCAGGCCGGGCTGCAAGCTGTACCGTCGACGCATCTCCTTTGCTCTAACCTCCATCTTTTCAAGCCTAGCCTGATGCATGCTATGACTAAATCTAGCTTGGCTCTCAGATGGTCCGCGATCTTTCGGGGGCCAGTCCTCAGTAAGGACCCTGCTGAAAGGCTTGGCAGGTTTTAGGAACCTTGGCTGGGCAGTGCCCTTCCGCGGTGGCTTCGATGGTGTATCTTGGGGGTTTTCTGGTAGAGGTGATGACTGCAAGCTCGGTCTTGGTGATCCCATATACACGGGCCGTTCTTGAGGTCTAATACCAGTCCGATCATATTGTTGGATCTGCGCCGCTCTATTTGGACCAATATGAAGCCTGACAAATCCCCCATGCCGGGGCCTATCGGTGTTCCACGAAGAGTTTGGGTTCCGTTCAAAATATTTGCTCCAGTCCGGGATTGGTTGCGGGTCACTGCTGTGTCGTAATAGATCCTTTGGGTTCATTGTACCACTGATGCCAGCGCTTTGAATGAATGTGGCCTTGACACTGCTGCTTGGATTGTGGGAAGGCTCCATTTGATTCTCGTTCCCATCTGGGGGCGGGGTGATTTCCAGGTCTTCTGCCCACTCAAACTTGTCAGGCTCATGGGGGCTGTCCTCAGACTCTCGCAGTACCACCAGGCTGTCTCCCCAGTCGCCAGCATATCTCCGAGGAAGTCCATGCTGATGCAAGTACTGCCTGGCTTTCAGGACATCATGAGCTTGGCACATCAAGAGGTCGGTGTATTTGGTGAGCACCAGCTTCCGAGTCGTTTCTCTGGCGATCTTTTTCAACACCAATTGAGGCGGCGGCACGAAAAGCTTCAAGTCGCTGTTATCGATGCTGAGTAGTGCATTGCGCTGCTTCAGTCGCATTTGCTCAAGTCTTTTATTTTCTCGTTCAATCTGCTTGTTGCGAATACCCAGAGTCTCCATGAACTTCGTTCGCTCGTCTGCCCCAAGGTCAAGAAGATCGCACACACGTCTCCATGAATGATGCTTCATCACGTTTTCGATGATTTCAACTTGCATTGCCCGGTGTAAGTCGCTCCATTTGGGATTGGGAATCTAATACAGCCACTCATGTCAGAAACCTCCAGTTATACTAACACCACATCAATCATGATAAACTTACAGCATCAAGAAGTGCCTGAGTCGCATTTGGCAGTGTGTCATCGTCACTGTCCGAAGAGGTGTCCATTTCCTCGAAACCCGTGGGATCCATGTGAGCCATGCTCGCCAGCTCAACGTTTCTCGCATACACCGGGTTATCCATATTGTTACTGCCGATATGATCCTCAAAACGGCTCATTGGGACATCTTCCATCTCAAGGGGAGCCAATGCTGGCGCCGACCTCTCATTGAGGGGAGGAAGTAGGATGCCATTGGCCTGCCTGTCGTCTTCCTTGTCATCACCGGCACGATTCTGTCTGGTGGGGTCGCGAGCTGGCTGTGGCCTGTCCAGAGTAGGGAATGCGGCTGGTGGCAGGTTTGGGTTGAATGGGACATAGTTGTTGGGTTTGCGCTTCTTCTGGGGGCGCGGTCTGCCTGACTCCCCAAGCTCCACGGAGTCATCAAAGAAGTCATCGCATCCATAGCGCAGCGAGGTTCGTCTCGATTCATCAAAATCATCGTCTTCCCCATATCTTAGCGGTGCGCGAATGCTATCGCGCAGTTTCATGCTGCTCATCGTGGCGGCGCGTTGAGAGGGATGAAAGGTTTGGGATGAGGGGTGATGCGCCGAATGGATGGTGGGGATGTATCAATCGCAAGTCTGTGTCAAAGGTCAATGGGACGCATGCGCTTCATCATAAAAGCGATGATAGTGATGAGGGTGGGTGGCTCGTGAGATGGAAAGGGTGTTGCGCGAAGTGAAAGAATAGAGAGGAGAGGATATGAATGGTCTCGAAATTGCGCAAAGTAGGCGCAAGACTCGAGCTATTGGATTGGCAAATAAAACATAAGGTAAGGGAAATATGAGTTGAAAGTCGACGAGGTGAGTTCAAACGCTGGGTCAGATGCTTGGGTGCATCAGTCAACTGGTGCGTGTCTCGAGACTTGCCAGGGTTTGATATAGGGCCCATCGTGGATTTCTCTACTCAGAATCTAGACACAAGCAATCTCATGATTTTCCTTATGATATTACGGGTTTGAGGATATAATGGTATGATAGCTAGTGAAAGGGTTGGAATGTCTTTGTAGAATATGGCAGCAATGGGCAACTCCAGCTGGGTATTTGCATAAAAGATACATACAGCAATAAAAGACACAAGCAAACTTAATACAAAAAAAGGATAACTGGCTATGCCACTTCAGCGATAGGACAATCTCCTTTCATCTCCCTGCATATCCTTCTCTGAGCCTCAACATAGTGGCGAGATGCACAATTCAGTCAAGGACACTGTGAACTCAGAACCTCGGTCAATTCTAAATCACGCGGTCTTGAAACGGAGCACTGGGCTTTCGCTCGTCAAAAGGATCAACATCACCATCCATATCCATATCATCCTCCATAGCAACATCATCGTCCCTGTGATCTTGGAAACTTCGCTTTTTTGCGAGGATTGGCGACAGCGATGGTGGCGCAAGAGTTGCAGCCGCATGAGGCACACTCTTGCGTTTAGCACGCTCAACATCGCGTTTAGCAGAAAGAATGGACTCAAAAGCTGTAAGGACAAATCTCATGGCGTCTTCGATAGAGGCACAGAAACGACGCTGCTGGATCATGTGTGTGGCTTCATGGGATCCAATATTGAGCATTACCATGAGGTAAGCAATGACAACACTGGCAGAGCGCTCATTTCCCGATTCACAAAAGACAAGTACTTTCCTCTTTTGCTGTGAGCCATTTACCACCGGCCCATTAGGTCCCAGATCCATGCCAGCCAAGTGATCGTTAATGCGACGGATAGCGCGGGGAAATGCGGAGATGAGCTCTTGGGTATCCAGAACATCGATCGTGTCTGCCATGATACCGACCTCATTCGCAGCCTTATCCCCAGAGATGAGACGTGCCAGAGCCGAGTGCCGACTTCGAATGGCGAGAAGGAGCGTGAAGCCTTGCTTGCGGATGTAATCTGCATCGCGCAAGCATACTGAAGGTCCCAAAGACAAGAATGGAAGGATGGACTGGGCCTGGTGTCGCATCTCGTAAGTCCATTGCGGAGGAGTGAAGCGGCGGGTGAACCCGCCTAAATCGACATGATTGAAGAATCCCGGACAGATGAAATCATCTTCTGCAAAGTCGTGAGAATCGCGGCTGAAAATTTTGGTGTCCACAATCACAGTGTCATCGTAGGCGCCGATCCCATAGGCCGCTGTTTTCCCAGATCCCAACGGAGGACGCGAAAATTTCGGGGTACGCACATAGTCCTGTGTACGAACATAATGAGACTGTTCATTTTGGGACATGGGAACCTCCCTTCCTGGGCTGCCGTAAGACATGATGTCTAGAGGAATTCTGTGTGATATGGTTTGATGGCTGGTCGTGATTTAAACTGCCTCCTGGACTGCTTTGCACAAGTAAGAGACGTTCCAATAGGAAGGTATGAGGCTTCAAATCAAGCCTTTTTACCACTTAGAATACAACGCACTCTTTCCATGTGGTTGCAAGGAGTCTCGTTTGTTCCAGGTATTAGCAAATGGCCATTTCCAAGAAAGACTCTCTGAACTCCAGGATAGTCTGGAACATAGGGCGGTATCCAAATTCCCGCAGCTGCCTTCAATGGCAACAAGATGGCTCTGGGAATATGGGGGATTAGAAGGAACTAGAAGCGCTCCAAGGCTCCAGGGCTGCCTTCCAAATGGATTGGAGCTTAGGTAAGTCTCATCCGGGCCCCGGGCCCCGCACTTGGATACTCCAGGCGATGCGCGTTTTCACCTGCTATGACCTTCAAATCTAACACTGGTAGAGGAAACTGTTTCCTACGCGTAAAGAGACAAGGCAGTGTAGATGTCTTGGTTACTAGGCTTCCAAAATGGAAATCCTGTTGAAACACCTAGGTAGCTTCAGACCAAGGAGATCGCGGTTATCCCCGGGCCCCGGCACACCTTTCTCCTCTCAGGAATTCTACAATCAGGAAAGAATGACAAAGACATCGACTGTATGAGCTTGTCTGATATAAGAGCATATCTAGAAAGTAAATGGTCTCCTGCATAGAGAAAAGAATGGAAAGGGAAACCTACTATATCAAATAGCATCTCAGAAAGTATAGTGGAAAGCAGCTAAAATGTAAGCACTTCCTATTTTATACGGATACAGCGAATAGAAAAGTGGATTTCAAGCAGACTGGCCAGATGAGACTGTGTCAATATTATTACCATACATCGTGCACCAACCGATGTAAGGTAGTTAATGCTCTCTGACATCCAAGAAGGAGATCACAGGATGATCCTCAGGTTGCTGGTTTCTTCTCTGCCAAACAACCTCAGAATTGACCAATAGATATAGTATGTATTTGAATAATTGATGTAGTGACCTCTCATTTTAAAAACATCAATCTACGTAGCGTCGACTGAGTTGAAGCATCGATAACACTTCAATGAGGCAGATACTATGTACATAAGGTACATGGTATACTTGGCATGTATAGAACCTTATTTTGACGTATAATGTTCTTAGTTGACTACCGAAGTATACGACTATAACAGGTACATGTATGTAGGGATCTTCTTACCTGTCTCAAATATAAACGATATCCTAAACACAGATTAAGAAAGACTGACGATCTTTACTTGATTGTCTTTGACAAGGCACACTAACTTACATCCATGAAAATTACTGTCAAGTTGATGTCATAAGACTGAGCAAAGGTTATCAAGAGCTTAGATGGCTTACTAGATATAATGTGAGTCTGATATCCTATGCAAGTCTGCTAGTGACTATAGGAATGAAGGTGACTATGCGATATTAGTGTCCATGGCACAGGGTGTTGCACTGCTGAGATTTGAGATGAGATATATATCCCTGGGAGACAAACATTGTAACACTTCCATAATGTTATCCCCGATACCACATTATCATAGCTTATTCCAAAGCCTTGGGCGATAAAAGAAGAAAAAGTACGGAGTACTCCGTACAAGCCTAGCCATGATCCCTGCAGCTACCCCGAGCTCCGAGCTCCGATCACACCCCCGCGCTTAAGTACGAAAAGATACTACCATCTTCCTAGACGTTGATGTGCTCATTGGGATAAGTCAATTCCCACCAGTTCATCATGGAAGGAAAAATTCTGCCAGGCTTTGTTACAAGAAAACAGGAGAAACGACACCCCCGCCTCAAGAACTATGTCTTACTATCACTATGGACACTCATCACACTGGCTGTCCTCTACAGTCACAACAACATATACTCCAAATGGACTGCTTGGCAAAGTCCAAAGCCCATTAAATACAGCGGCGAACACATAACCTGGGAGCCATGCGGAGACCTACAAGGCCGCCCACTCGAATGCAGCAGCATTGAAGTCCCAATAGACCAATTCGCCAAACCCCCCAACCCACCAACCAAGCCTAAAGGCTTCACAATCCCACTCATCCGCCTACGCGGCGAAAATGCAACGCAAAACCTCCTCCTAAACCCCGGCGGCCCAGGAGGCAGTGGCTTCGAATTCCTATACCGCCGCGGCGAACAGCTCAAGACCATAGTAGGCGAAGGCTTCCACCTACTAACCTTCGACCCCCGCGGCGTCAACAGCTCCACCCCCACAGCATCCTGCTACCCAGACCCCAAGACGCGGCGAGAGCTATCGAATATCCGACAACGCGATGCCACCGACATTCCTGAGATTTACGCATGGGCGCAAAACTTTGCGAAAGCATGTCCAGAAACAATGGGCGAGTACGCGGCGTACATTAACACCCCGCAGACCGCAGCGGATATGAATAGTATCCTCGATGCGGTTGGGCAGGAAGATATGATATATTGGGGATTCAGCTACGGGACGCTCCTGGGACAGACGTATGCAACACTATTCCCCGAACGATCGAAGCGGGTGGTCATTGACGGAGTCGTGAATCAGTTTGAGTGGTACGAGAGCCAGTTTGAGTCCGAGTGGCTTGTGGATGCAGATACGGTGTTTGACGGGTTCCTTGATGAATGCGTGAAAGCAGGCGCGGATAGCTGCACGCTCTCGTCGCTGGCATCGTCGAAAGAAGAGCTGCGTGGTACGGTCTTTTCGTTTATGGAGAAGCTTCGTGATCAGCCTCTTGCTGTGTATGTTAACAACACAGTCCATGGCATCCTCGACTACGACAAGATCTGGTATAATGCTGTCTTCCCGGCGCTGTACAAGCCTGCGCTGTGGTATTCCCTCGCGCAGAATCTCTACGACCTGATCCAAGGAAACGCAACAGACGCTTTCTTGGCCTACGGTACCGCAGAGGAACGAGAAGACGAGTCGAACGAGCTCATCACTTTGAACGATGGCCCCACGGGGCCAGAACATTGGCCGCAGGATAGAGATTCGCTGTTTGCGCTGATCACCCCGTCGCTCAACATGAGTGCCTTCGGCACTAGCTACCTCGCATCGTACTACCAGAAACAACAGTGGAACGTACCGAAAACGCATTCGTATGTACCGCGGCGTGGTGTTGAAACAGCACATCCGCTGTTGATTCTTTCGACGACCTATGACCCTGTGTGTCCGCTCCTCTCGGCACGCTCGGCTCATGAGGCTTTTGCCGGATCGCAGATTGTGGAAGTTGAAGGATACGGCCATTGTTCTGTAGCTGTGGCTTCGGTCTGCGCTGTGAAGCACCTGCGTGCGTTCTTGTATAAGGGGCAGCTCCCCGATGCCTATACGAGGTGCAAGGTTGATTCGTCTTATTTCGTTAAGCCGGAGGAGAATAGGCCGGTGACTGCTCAGACATATTTCGAGGATCTGGGGGATCAGAAGATTCATCTTGCGCAATTGGAACTGATGGGTGGGTTGAATTTTGCTGGGCGATCCATGCGGTGATAGATTTACTCTTACGTGAATCGAGATTTTGCGAAAGAAACCACATACCAGAGACAATCGAGAGAACCAACCTCTTTCTAGGCTTGTTCTTCCAAAACACCCCCAAAAGCAAAGAACTTTGTGATGCTTTCTATGGGCCTCATTTGTCAAGTCTTAGGTCGAATAGAGTGCCTAGACCAACGGTCTAGTGACATGTCAATCATTGGAAGTTCTTCTGGCTTAGATGATATGTCCTGGATCACATTCGCGTTTCTATTCTATGATGAGTATAGAGACAGGAGGAGTGTAAGCCAATAATGGGTACGGAGTACTCCGTACGTATTCCCAACATATATATGTCGATAGGGTCTGGGCAACGACCTATTTCCGATTGAAGGTTTTAGGGTATTTATATTGCTACTCAATAGCCACTACAAAAATAATATGCAGCCCAAAGATGTTTTATTATCCGCTATTTGTGTAATCGGATACCAATTATTGACGAATGCCACACATAAAGTGAAGACCCAGAAGCCACACGATAGATACACAGGCAAGTCCCAGATAGGAAAAAAAAGAGGACCCAATGGATGAGCCAAAGGGGAAGAATGATAATTCAGGCCAGAGGCTTGAGAGAAAAAATCGAAACAAAAAGAGGAAGAAAAAAAGGAGCCCGCAAAGATTGGGGGGGGAGCAATGATCGTCGAGAAAGTCAATAAATGCGTGCGTCACTCACACTGGAACATCAATGATTGACAAGAAAAAAGGATCATCCTCAAGACACAAAAAATAAAAACGCCTTGAGAGGTTAAGAAATTCGTAATGAGCGTCTTGGGGAGACGCAGAAATAAAAACCGCCAATGAAGATGAAGGAGTAAAGAAGAATCCACAGGAAAGGTGAATGGAGAAGCAGTATGTACAAATCGATTGAAAGACGCCCACGCTGTCGAAAAGTGGGGAGTAAAAAAAAAGCAGAGAAGTAATGCCTCGAAATAATTGCCAGGATGTCGCTATGCCGGGATTGCGCCGTAAATCAAAGAATAAATGGATCAAGACTAAACGTGCACGTCTACGACTGTGGTCGTTCGTTCGTCGACACCAGCTGGGTGGATGGCTTCTCTTTGTCCTTGGCCTTCCAGAAATGCATCATTCGGCTGAGACGGCGGCCCTTTTTCTTCGTTTTGTCGGACGCATCGCCAGGGGGTTTCTCCTCTTGGTTGAGCTTGCTCCGTTCAGAATGGGTACCGCCGACCAGCTTGGACAGGCTGGCTAGACTGGAGCGCTTGGAGGCGTTAGCCTGACTGGTGCGTCTGGTTCCAGCACCCGAGAAGGACGCGGCACGATCGGTCGAAAGACGTCCAAGAGGGAAAAATGAAGCCGCAGAGAAGCGATTGAACGTGTTGGTCATGGTCGATGCACTGCTGGTCAAAGATGGAACATCTTCAACTGATGCATAAGGATAATCCGACGAAGGTAATTGATTGTATGAGTGGCTGGAGAACTTCCGGTCGGTCATCGAGGATGCCGCGATTGACCGCGGAGCATCCGGCGATGGAAAAGACGATTCAGATGGTGAAACTCCTGCATTCAGTGCAAATGGTGGGATGGTGGGCAGCAGCTCAATGGGTGACGTCGTCGGCCGTTTGTCGACAGCCAAAAACCTAGGAGAAACGTCGGGGCTAGGAGGTCCCATCGATTTGTGTGTAGCTTCTTCCGTTTTCAAGATCTCCACAGGGCTCCGAGGCTTCTTGGCGAAAGGATTGCTGGCAATCTGTACCTGATCAAAGGCGGTCTTTCCCTGCGGCATTTCCTGGTTCAACTGCTTGTCGACTTGTTGAATGCCCAAGCCAGCATTCTGAGAAGACGTGCTACCGGTGGGGACTCGAGTCAGAGTATCCCCACTGTCAGCGGTATCAGTGCTGTGAACAGATTTCACATCGTCCTCCGATGACGAGAAGACTGCGTTGTCGAATGACGGCACGTTGGCTGGAGAGCGCTCAGTCTTTGTTAACTGCGTGGCATTAGGTACTTCTGTGGCAGCCCAGAAAGCATCCTCTTCCTCCTCATCGAAAACATCGGGAGTTTCCACTGCGGATGTTGGTCCAAGACGGAATGCGCCAAGAGCAGTGCGGTCGAATGGCTGCATCACTGGAGCACTTTCAGTGCGCCTATGATATCGCATCTCTGGGCCAACGAATTCACCTCGTCTTCCACCGCTGTACATGCGCTGAGTTGCAACCGAGAAGTTGTTGTTAGCCGCACCCTGCGCCATCGTTCGCATGTCGGGAGTGTTGAAAGGGCCAAGCGCAGCGTCAAGGTCGATGATAGGGCTACTCAGTACGTTGTCATGGGGGCCAACACCCTGTTCATAGAAGCTTCTCGGTTTCCACGAGGCCTCTAGAGTCTGTGCAGGCAAGGGACAGCCGTCTTTATTTTGACAATCATCTTGAATGGGCTCGAGGGCGGAAGGTGGCATCATCGGGTTGGTCGGAGTCCGGATGACAACGACATCGTCGTTATCAAAATCAACATCTAAAACTGATCCAGTTCCCGAATTGGTCCGAGTAAGAGCTGGCGGGCGGAGTGCAGGGGCGCGTGGTACCGGGGACTCTTCCTCTGTGTCTCCCTTCGCATGGCGCTTACCCTTACTCTTGCTCTCCTTTCGAGTTAAAATATGACCGGCCCAAGAGCGTACACGCTTCTGCTTCTTCTTTTTTGATTTAACATGGGATTTGCTGTCAAGTGGATTCTCGCTCTCAGTCGCTTCGTCTCCTGATGTGTCACTACATTCATCCGAAAAAGAAGGCCGGGAGTTATCAGACGATTGAGCATCATCGGGCGAGAGAGTGGACTCGAGATGCGGTGTTGATTTGCTTTTTCGGTTGCGTGAATGTCCGGCGGTCGAGTGGGAACGTTTGATAGATCCCGAGTCGTCATTATGTATCTGCATGAAATCCATCACCAAAGACGCATCGGCAGTTTTTGGTCGAGTCTTGGGATTATATTCCGGTCTTGGTGTGGGTTGGTCCAAGGAAGCGGCCCTTTCCACCTGTTGCTGCGCTTTGACTGTAATCGTACTATCTGAAGTTCCATGTGAAATAGTACAGGCTGGTCGTTCAACATTTGAGGTCTGGTTGTTTAGAGCCATTTCTGCTTGAATGGCAGCCGGGATGGGAGGTACAGGAGGAACGGGAGGGAATTGAGGAGACGCTGGAGGTGTCGGACGACCGAGGCTGATAGCTGATTGAGAGAGCGGTCGCGTAGGAATATCGGAGGTGGACTTGTGGTTAGGATCGGCGGGGGTGGAAGGCGCACTTCCTATTGTAGAGTTGGGACCGAGTGCCTTCGTAATAGCGTTCAAGTCGACCCCTGATATCGCGGCTGAACGTCGGTGGGCATGATTCCGTCGTCCGGGGACTCTGCCAACGCCCGGACCTGGAGGCGGGATGGGTTGCTCTACCATTGAAGATCCTCGTCTGTGACCTGGTCCTAAGGGTTCTGGCGCTACTAGATGGTCGGTCGCAACTCGCTCGCTCGGTCGGCGACGGTGTCCGCCCGGTCGAGGAATAACCAAGGACGGGGCTGATAGGTGTGGTGATTGCTGCTCCGATCCAGGATTAAAAGAGAATGCGGGCAATGCGGGCCGTTCCCGATGCTCAGGGGTTTCCGATTGGGCGTTGGCGGTGTCAGGGTCCCGGGCCGGAAAGACGAATGGGGGGTTAGGCAACGGTGCGTGCATGTGTCGACGGTCAGTGGCATTGGATTGATTTGAAGTGTCGAAATGAGTCGGAAAGCCCGCCTGGGACTGCGGGGGAAGCGAAATGGAAGCCATGGCGAAGGCCGAAAGAAGAAGAAAAATAAGATGAGATGCGGTAATAAGGAAATCTAGCGGAGTGACGACGAAAGCCTAGTCGACAAGATCCAGGGTAGAGACCTCCAGACCGACTTCCCTTCAGCGACTGGAAAGCCAAGGAATCTGGAGGTCACAATTAAGCACCTCGAGCGAGGGTCATTGAATGTTCCGCACCAGGCAGAAAGGAATGAGTGAAGTCAAATCGAAGCGACCACCAGCGGTATCCAAAAGTGTATGGAGAAGGAACGGACGGCCACGACGAAGGCCAAAGAGCGAGAGGGGACGAACGAGTTGGTCGTAGAGAGGTTGTAAGAGAAAGAGAGAAGAGAGCGAACAACAAATCCAGGAGGGGAACCCTGGAACACCTCGATGGGGCAGTATCTCGATTACGATACACGGTATCACCCGTTGCCATCCGGGCAATCCAAGAGCCAATTATTGGGGATGCGATGAACAAGATTACGGCAGGGCTTGACCATGTTACCTGTCTAGGTGTCCAGGAGTGATGTCTCTCTCCTTGTGCCCCGTATCCGTGAAGAAGGTGATGAATCCCTGGCCGGTACGAAGTACTCTGCCAGGGTACAGGTATGTACTTTGTTCCCTTGGGAAAGAAGTAATAATACTGGGTACATGTAGATACCCAATACCCCATACGTGTACCTCGAAGTACATGTACACATGGCATTTTGGGGCCCGGGGCAAATGCCAGATTAGGTGCCTGTCAAATCTAAAAGAATCTAAAGATTACGCTCAGGAATGTGGGTTTGTGCCTGCAACTGCCATGCTCTCGATTATAATTATAGTTATAAAGATGCATACATATGTACAATAGGGATACCTAGTTTCCAAGGTGTCTCCCCCTTCCTGATGTCAAATTACAGGAGCACGTCATGACTTCGTTACCACCGGGATACGGGTACTCTCATTTAGCGTTCACTAAAGCAGTTCGGTACGATGGTCCTCCGTACGGAGCACGGAGTACGGTGCCTGTAAACCCGTAAATCTTGGAATCTTTCAATCCGGGGGTCCTCCAGGCACCAATCAACAGGGAATCGCATCCGGAGAAAAAAGAAAGCGGGCATTGTCACTACCAATCAGTTGGTCTGAATGACCCATCCAAATCTCGCTTGACTCGGTGGGTCCGGAGGGATAGTGCGCCACGCTGGGGGGCCTGCAACTCAAGGGGACTTTGTATCTCCCAGGTCAGGTGTTCATTGCCGACCAGGGCTAGTCCAGGAGAAGAACGTTCGTAGATGAGAGATTGGATCCCATGAACTTTCAGCTCCCCCTCTGGGGTCCGGGAACAAGCTGTCAGAGTTGCAAGCCGAACAGACTCCAGTCCCCTAATCTTGGCTGTGGAGCCAGATCGGATATAAATAGTGGCGCCAGCTGTATCTTAGCGCCATTTGACAGGGGGTGAAAGAACCCCCCCAAAGACAAACGGACTCCTGGCGTGTCCGTGAAACATTGTCACCCCCTGGCGTCCGAGGAGGGGCCACTTTCTTTGTCCAACCCAATGACAATGGCGGCTTTGACGGGGGCTGGGGTGGTCATTGAGTCGTGGGGGCTGATCACCATGGAATCAATTGGGGCGGTAACGGCAGATCCTGACTTTGAATTTAGAAATGGCCTGCATATGCATTGGTTTAGAAGGTGACCTGTTGAGTGGTTCGCGCTTGTTTCTCACCGTTCTTTGTAAGTGCGTCCACGACCCCGTCCTCCGAATCAGTTGGGCTACATAATAAGCAGTGAATACCAACCAAACCCATGTGCGTCCATGTACGGAGTAGGCACTCCGTAGCAATCAAGAAAACCTGGAAATGATATGCATTGAAGATTAGATTGCGCAGCGGATCTAATTCGTCGGCCACAATGTATCTATTCGCCACCCTAATTCAAAGGAGATTATGTACTCTGTACTAGTTAAGTGAACGGTCTTGTACGGAGTACGGCCTGCACCCGTACTTTTTCCAGGTAAATTATGTGTATTGCCTGGATACCTGTAACAATGCCCTCTTGCCATTGTGGATACCGTACTCACCAAATCCATGGAAATCACATCTGGCTTCCAAAAAGCCAATCCGCTCGGACATACCCGGCCCAAACCAAAGAAAAAAAAGAGAAAAATAGCGAGAAAAAAGAACGAGTCATGATGTCAGAATCCGCCGAATCGAGTCGCACTTGCCTAATCAGGAAGGTCGGAGCTTGGGAACCAGATCTGAAATCTGGGGCAGTCCAATCCAACCGGAGATTCCCCGGCAGATAAAGTACATGCTGTACTCTTAAGCTTCCCGAAAATTGGCGAGTCAATCCCGATTCATTGATCATTATATCCAATATCCAATGTGTATGGTCTAAAGAGGCCCGGGCAACCAGACTTCCGCTCCATGAAGCGGAGTATATCTATGTGTAGTAGACGAAAATCCAACGCTGCACCTTTTGAAAGAAACCGAAACTTGTCTGTCAGCCACAGAATTAATTGACGATGCCAAAGTATCTTGATATCGTGCTCAGTAAGACCTTGTGAAAGATGGCAAGATGAGGAAGTAGAAAAAAAATTGCAAGAGTTCAGACAGAAACGCTGGCCACAATGCATATGCTGCGTATAAAAAAAACCCCCTCAATGAGAAAACACCATGAGCCTATGCATCATCACTATCAGTATCAACCTCGTCGTCCACTGGATGCTTCTTGCGCTCCTCCTTCATCTCTCTATATGTGCTGAAGCTCAACAGAAAGAATGCCAGCATAATCAAAACGCCGCCGATGATAGATGACATAGGAAGTGGCTCTCCGGTTCGGAACCAGTCCACCAGAGCGACCAGGAAGATGGTAAGGAGAGCAGCCACCGAAGATAAAACGGGCGATGTGAGAGAAATGAGCACAAGAAAAGAGCCCGAGAATACTATTGCCGTGTTAGCCGATTGATTCTCGGTTGGAAAACACATGGTGGCTACTTACTAGCATTGGAAATCACCGAGATGAGCAGCATCCATCCGACCTCGCCGGTCGGCCATACAAACGTCTCCAACCCCGTCCAGTGCAGGAATGGCAATGGGATCCACAAGATGAGCAGGGTGAAACACCCGATGAGGCTGCCAAAAGTATTGGCAAATATCGTACCGCGGCCAGGACTGGTGCCTTCCGGAGGACAGGCGAAGCGTTTGTACAGCACCTCGTAAAGTCCATAGAGGATACTTCCAATACCGATTACGAGGTTTCCGAGCAGTCGATTCTGGCCCCCGCTGTCTTCTGTTGTCCCCTCTCCTTCTGAGACATTCTTCTCAGCCCGACCCCCATAAGCAACGACCATAACGCCGACGATGGCCACAGCCACAGAAAAGATCTTATCGAACCGCAGCTTCTCGTTCAAGAGTGGGACCGAAAAGGCATACGCGAAGAAAGCCGAGCAGTTGTAAATTGCTGTCAGATCGCTGGCGGTGGTCATGTTGACTGCCACGTACCATGATCCGCCTGCGACTGTAAGAGCGGTTGTTACAAAGGCGGTGGTCTTCAGAATATACGGAATGGGCGATCGGTTGGAGGCCCGGGTGCTCAGATGGACTTCCCGGGATTCTACCATCTGCGCAGTGGAGCGAAGGAGAAAGATATGGCGTCGCCAGAAAGCATCCCACGAGAGCTTCCGTTTTTGTAACCGAAGGATGCCTAGTTGGACTAGCCAGAGCAAAGACCATGAACCGTGGGTCATATAGCTGCATTGGAAAGCCAAATGGTAAGCGTTTACATTCGGGGAAACGAGGTGCGCATGGGCTTGTTGTCGGGCTCATCTTCCAGAATTCGCGTGCGGACTTACAGCATGCAATACGGCTTCTTCCAATGCAAGTCATTTGAAATGTAAGAAGCGGTCTCCGTTTGAACCACGAAGCTAATCAGACTAAGCAAGAGGAACCCAGATGCAACGAGGTACCTTTTGCGGGCTTCCTGGGAAGCGTCGAGTTCCGGGCTTTTACTCCGGATCGTTGGCCGTCTAGTATGGTGCAACATAGGCTCCGCATCGCCGTTCCCAAAGCTCGATCGGGATCGGCGATAATAGCTTTCCTTGAGGAGGGGTTGTTGCGAGCGGCCATCCGTCGGTCGGTGTAATGGGGGGCGAGTGAGGGCCATCTCGTCGTCAGAGTCGAAGTCGTGGACTGCGTCCGGGGGCTGGGTCACCCTCGGCTCTGAAAGCTCGAAGCTGTCTGAAGCCACAACGGCGTTGATGAGGGTATGTGCTAATTGGCTTAACTAATTCGACATGAATACCACCGTTGAAGGGGGTAACTGTCCGATTTACTGTCTTGGGACCGAACGATAACAGATAAGAAGCCGAGTCACGGTCGAAAGGCCACTCATCCAGGTGATACAGACAAGATGGCTAGAGTTTATCTGGCGGAGAAAGATTATCTATCCATGGAGTCTATCTCCACGTGTTCGATATACGCTGCACACTGTTCGCAATGTGAAACTTGGAAACTGTTCGGGGATGGCAGGAGCCCGGAGGTGAAGATACGTTCAGCGTGGTGTATAGCGAGGATCAGATCGGATAAGATTTTGAGAGGATTTTGCAAACAGAGCCATCCAGGCCAAAAGACAATCAGAACTGCAGTGAAGCACAATGAGATGGCCACCTTCAATTGTCGTCACAGGGGTCCGCTTTTGACAAGTGGAGGTGACCAGGGATGCACGTGATATGGAGCCGCTAGCCGAATTAGGGCTAGCGCGTGGAAACTATGTCATCGGGGCTATTTCTGGCCCCAGCGTCCTCGAAGGGTTTGAGGGCATCGGCCCTCGATGTCTTAAATTAAATCAGAAGACCTGATAGGCAACTTTTACGCGATTTTACCCTAGTGACTAACAAGGGCATCTGACCACATTTCTCAGATGCTTGGTCTCCACTTCGTATTTGTGGACCATGTTGCGACCTTGTATCGTACGAGGTAGCTTCAGATTGATTCCCTGACGCTAATATTGATGTAAACTGGTTTTACGGACAGCTCCCGTTGGGAATCCTTCTCAATATCCCACTTTCCCTTACACCTTTGGCCCGAAGATAGCCTTTTGGGTATCATAAGTGTACTTCAGATCCAGGTGCCAATAGTTTGGAGAGTTGGACTTGGCTACCAGCCATGCTTGGTCCAAAGCCTGCACAACCTCCTCCGGCAGCGGGCCCTTCTGGAGATCAGCAAGGTTAGTTTCGAGCTGTGCGAAGCTGCTAACTCCCACCAAGACTCCATCCCGACCTCCGTTGTCCATTCTCAGAGCAGAGTGGTGGCGGGCCCAGCGCAGAGCTGTTTCGAGTAAAGTGAGACCGTGTTTCTCTACAACGGGCTCAATGATACTCAGCGCTTCAAAAGTGGCATCTCTGAAGTAGCGGGCGCGATAGTTGGGTCCAGTAGAGCTTGAATCGCTGTATCTGCCTTCTGCAGGGATATCTTTTGTTTTGTATTTGCCGGAGAAAAGACCACCGGCGAGCGGGTTGTAGATGACAATGTCAAGGCCGTACCGGTGGCAGGCGGGGACGAGTTCAGTCTCGATGTTGCGGGCTGTTGAGAATTATGTCAGCTCGGTTGCCATGATATGAGTTATGAAGACCGAGACAAGGTATCACGTACTTATGGCGTTATACATAGCCTGATAGATAGTCGGGCGAACCCATCCTCTCTCGGCACATAGAATACAAATCTCGGCCACCTCAAAGGCTGTATAGTTGCTCAGACCAAGCTGTACAAACTTGCCCTCCTTGTGCAGCTGGTTAACGGCTTCAAGGGTTTCGGCAAATGGAGTGGCTCGATCCGCCGCATGCAGGTAGAAGATATCAACCGTATCGGTCTGCAGCTCTTTGAGGGAAAGCTCCAGTTTCTCACGGAGGATCTCCGGCTTGTGGAAGCCGGGCTGCTTCGGGTACCATTTCGTGGCCAGCGTCAATCCACGTGATTTCCAGTTGGCCTTGGCTGTGAACGCCTCCTGCTCTCCATCGATATAGATACGGGCGGTGTCGATCTCGTTGAATCCTTGCTGCTGGAAGTAATCAAGGCATTTGTTGTACTCGTCCAGTGAAGTGATTCGGGCACCCTTGGCCTCGCTTGGACCAAAGGTCATTAACCCGAGGATCACTCTCGGCTGGAGATTCTGTACGACAAGAGGCATTATGGTATTTGGAGGTTTTGGGGATGTGTCTGAGAAGAAACGAAGTGCGCGAGAGTGGCGGGGTTGCGGGGTGGAGTCGCAATCTTATGCGAAGCCCAAAGTGGAACAACAGATTCATACGCCATACTTGATTGATATTAGACAATATCACAATGTGATAAAAAGTTGTAGGAGTAGAAGAGCCAAATAGCGCTGCCTAGCCCAGCAGCTAGGATCCAAAACTCCGAAACAGATTGCACGCATGTGTATGGAGGCGAGAACTCCTAGCGGGGTTGCGGAGGACCCCGATAACTGATAACAGTGGAGGCCATCATATGTAGTTCCCCAGAGCCATAATCATTGATTTCTTTCCAAAAAGAAAGAAACCATTCTCTCTAATCATATACCCAATTCAGCAAGTGCTTCTTAAAATGAGTCTTGCTCTTGAGCCACGATATGATCCAAGCGATGTCATTCGCCTGGATCCAAGGAAAGGCGAGCGCAAATACAGCATATTGATCATCAACCCCAATACCTCAACACGCATGACAGAAGCTCTGGAACCTATATTAGCTAGCATGAGCTACCAAGATGTGCACTTCGACTACTTCACTGCTCCAGAATCCACCATTGAGATCGAAGGAATCACGATCGAGCCAATCGCCAGCATCAACAACGCCGAAGAATCGTGTAAATCAGCATTGAATTGCTGGTCTGTACGGGATTTGATCGGTCACTACGATGCATTTCTGGTAGCATGTTACTCTGCCCACCCGCTGGTCGGCAGACTGCGGGAGGATATCATGGCAATCGAAGAGGCAAGCCCGACGAGAAACAAATATGTCACTGGAATCTTCGAAGCATCCATCGCCGCTGCTCTGTCCTTGGTCAGTGGGTTCTCATTGGAAAGCCCAATCAATCCAGCGAAAAAGTTACACAAGTACCAAGACAAGGGGAGCTTTGGTGTTGTGACCACAGGCTCTGCGTGGAAGGAGGAGCTCACCAATGCGGTACAGGGAGCCCTGGGTTATGGGGATGAGGACGGGAACTCTATGCACTTTGCAGGCGTTGAAACTACGGGGTTGACAGCGGTCGAACTTCATACCACTGCGCCGGAGGAGGTGCGACGGAGGATCATCGATGCCACCCGCACTCTGCTTCGGAACTCGAAATCTCGTGTTCAAGTTGTCTGTTTGGGTTGTGCCGGTATGGCTGGTATGGAGGAAGCTGTACGAGAGGGATGTACTCAAGAATATGGACTACCAGAGGGTCAACGGGTCCGAATTGTGGATGGAGTTGTTGCTGGTGCTGGGAATCTCATCACAGCTTTGAAGGCAGGATTCTGAGTTACAGCAGTATAGATGGCAGTCGTTGGATTGGTGCATTTTGTAAACATCCATGGAGGAGTTATCAACACTTGAGCATATCACAGTAAATTAAGAAAAAAAGGAGTTGGGCCTGGACTCAACAATCTCTCATCTTTGCACAAACATATGCAATGTGACTCGTTGATGTTCACTTTATCGAAGGGTAGCCAGAGTTTCCGCCTGAGGCAGCAATCTCGGCCAAAATGTTCCCCGCGTCAACGCGTATCGCGTTGACGAGCACCAACACTCGACGGCTTCGGCAAAGGAAAGATGCCAAGGTTTGTTCACCATCCCAATTGATTTACATTAAGGGTCTGCTATTTTGCTGGAATATTGAACCTGACTCTTGGGGGAATTGTAGAGAAATCATCACAATCCAAGCCGGCCAGTGCGGCAACAATGGTATGTGGCACACCTCCTCCTGCCAACAAGACCCTTAAAGCTGCGCTATTTATTGGAACACAAGATATATGATCCATATCGCTGACATCCAAATTTCTAGTCGGCAGCCAGTTCTGGCAGCAATTATGCCAGGAGCATGGAATCAGTGCAGATGGTAACCTCGAGGAGCATGCCACTGACGGAGCGGCCGGTGATCGCAAAGATGTTTTCTTCTATCAGGTGCGTTTTGAAAGCTCTAGAGGGCATACTATCAGCCTGGAGATCCATCGAGAACACTAGCTAACAGATATGGCCAGAGTGACGATACCAGATACATTCCCCGAGCGATTCTCCTCGACTTAGAACCCAGAGTATGCTATCCTTCACCAATATATCGTATTGCAACATGATGATTGACTCAACGAACTTTCAAGGTCCTCAATACCATCCAGACTGGCCCCTACAAGAACATTTACAACCCCGAGAACTTCTTCGTCGGACAACAAGGTATCGGAGCTGGAAACAATTGGGGAACCGGATATGCTGCAGGAGAGGGCGTGCAAGAGGAGATTTTCGACATGATTGACCGAGAAGCAGACGGAAGTGACTCTCTCGAGGGCTTTATGCTTTTACATTCAATCGCAGGAGGTACGGGCTCCGGACTGGGAAGTTTCCTGCTGGAACGGATGAACGATCGATTCCCGAAGAAGCTCATTCAAACCTATTCCGTCTTCCCTGACACGCAGTCTGATGTCGTTGTCAACCCTTACAACAGTTTGCTCTCCTTGCGCCGATTGACTCAAGATGCCGACTCTGTGGTGGTCCTGGACAATGGCGCTCTATCACGAATTGTCGCCGACCGGCTCCACGTCCAAGAGCCTTCATTCCACCAAACCAACCAGCTCGTGTCAACAGTGATGTCTGCATCTACCACCACACTCCGATACCCTGGATACATGCACAACGATCTCGCAGGAATCATCGCCTCGCTCATCCCCACGCCACGCAGCCACTTCCTTCTCACCTCATACACACCCTTCACGGGCGCCAACATCGAGCAAGCCAGGACAGTGCGCAAAACAACCGTCCTCGATGTCATGCGCCGTCTCCTGCAGCCCAAGAACCGCATGGTTTCTGTCAACCCCAGCAAGTCCAGCTGCTACATCAGCATTCTCAACATCATCCAGGGCGAAGCTGACCCGACCGATGTGCACAAGTCACTACTGCGCATTCGGGAGCGCCGCCTTGCTTCGTTCATTCCCTGGGGCCCCGCCAGCATTCAGGTAGCTCTTACGAAGAGATCCCCGTACATCGAGGAAACCGGACATCGGGTCAGTGGGCTGATGCTGGCTAATCACACCTCTGTCGCGACACTCTTCAAGCGCATCGTGAAGCACTATGACATGCTGCGCAAGCGCAATGCCTTCCTAGATTCATACAAAAAGGAAGCACCATTCGCTGACGGACTTGGCGAGTTTGACGAAGCACGGGCAGTTGTGATGGATCTAATCGGCGAATATGAGGCAGCCGAACGGGACGACTACCTGGATCCGGACGGCAAGGCAAACGAGCCCGGGGTTTGATATGCGATGTGACATTTCATTCCCAACGTTTTTTTTTTTCTTTTTTTTCGTTTTTTGCTCCTTTATGCTATTTGGGCAGGGCAAGGGGGGGTTCGGGCGCATCGGTGTCTGCACCGGCGTTTTACTCACATTTACATTATTGCTTTCGAGTTCCAAGGTTTTTTTTTTACTTTTCGTCCCAGGCCGTTCGCAGTGGACATATCATGAAACCAATCCAGGATTTAAAATTGACCATGAACACGTAGCCCGTGTAGCGCGTGTCAACGTGGAGTATTCTGATCTGTACTGTCTAGCGTGTGCTGGTGTCTGCAGTAGGGGGATCCGAGGGCGCTTTACAAAGTACAGTGGGGAGACAGGGAGAAATTGGGTAGCGGGATCGACTGAGGCCTAACCTGATATACCGACACCTGGACATATTACGCTGTGACCCGGATACTGGGACAGCATTTGCAGTCTCCTGCACAGGACCGATGCAATAGCTCCACGCGGATCATCCGTCATGCCTAGCTGGGCTTGGCTTAACCGACTCGTCCATTCGTATCGCGGACAGTTCACCTAAGATCGTTGCAGAGAGGCCTTAGCTCCGTTCGACCAGCATGGCTGTTCGTGCATGAGTGGTCCCATTGGGTGGAAGTATATCGTACGTGGGAGCCATATAGTAAGTGCCTGGAGTACCGTAGGGGATGAAGTCCGGATGAACCTCTTGCCACTCTCGTGGGTGGCGCGGCAAAACGGGTTACATCTCTCGACTTTTTAGCTTTTCATTTTTGGGATGCGAATGATCTCTTTGATCTTAGCGAGTCAACGGAATGAGTTCTTTTTTTTTTGGGTCTTTTTGGGTCTTTTTTCTCTCCTTTTTTGGAACTTGGACATCTGACTCCTTGATCACGTGAAGAGGGCCCTGGAATGCACGGGCTCAGCATTCCGATCGTTAGGCCCGAGAGGATAGGTCGGGGTATGCAGAGAAGGCCGGTATAGGGAAGAAAGGGTCAGAAAGGGTGAAATCAGAAAGACAAGGAAGGCAGCAGAACCACCAAATCGAACCAAAAAAGAGAAAAGAGAAAAAAAAAGAAAAAAAGAAAAAAAGAAAAAGAAAACTCTGTATATCGAGCTGTATCTGTAGTATAGGCCTTCGTATAAGTTCGGGAGACAGATAAAGGGGTCCTATTTGCCTCCCCGATCCAATTTCTCACCCAACCTTGGAAGTTCATACAATTGTTAGGGTCCAGAGGAAATGGTACAATCTAAATCCAATAGAACCAACTAATATCCCCCTAAAAAACCCCTAAATTGCCTAGCCCCAGCATATCGAACCTTCTGGGAAACTCCACTCTCCACCTCCAACATCTGATTCCGTCACCGTCGCCTCACTGAGTCAGCCCCCGTTTTCTTGGTTAGAAGTCTGTTTCTTTGGCTCCCGTGTCTTCCGATCTCCTATATATAGGGCCTGCGTGCTGCTCTGGTTCTTCCTCCCCTTTTTTACCTTGGCCTTTACGTTTTTCCTACACCCGATCACCCGGGCTCCTCAATCCCCTCATCTCATCTCCGCGCCTTTACTCATCTCCTCACCTGGACCGCCCAGAACTCGTCAGAAGTCCTCATCCTTCGACTCCCTAAATCCTTCCGCCTTATCTCGCAGAAGCCCTTATCTCTCTCACATTACAATGCCTCCCCGCAAGCCCCGTTGCAACTTCAAGGAGTGCAAGGAAGCCGCCCAGCGCATCGTCGGCGACTGCAGCTTCTGCGCCGGCCACTTCTGCTCCAAGCATCGCATGCTCGAGGCCCACGCCTGCACCGGACTGGAGAACTGCAAGAAGGAATCACATGCCCGCAACGCCGATAAGTTGAACAGCGAACGCACCGTCGTCGTCAAGGGCGTATGAGGGACACATCATGAGGGAAATCATTGGAGAAATCATTGTCCTGTCACTCCTTTCGACAGATCACAGAAGCTAGAGCGGCCCTATCCTCGTGGCCCTCTTGCCCTCGCTCCTAAATCCTCCCTTCCTTCCCCCGGTCCTCCCTGCTCGACTTCGACTTCGATTCGGGCTCGATTCTTCTCTTCTATGCGCCTCTGCGGTGATCATGGATTTAGCGCGGTGTTTTGATTTTTGATCTTTTGATTGTGATCTAGTTTTTGGATCGGATTTGGTTCTATTTATTTTGTGGCTACGGCTTGTTTTGGGTTGAGTCTTCATGGGGCTTCATTTGCATGGCGTTGTTCTTGGTGTTGACTTGACGTCTTTCTGATCTATTATCATTTACTGCTGCTATTGCTGCTATTTGTCTTGCATTTTGGGCATGACTCTCTTCTCTTTTCGGGGACTGCTAAATAGAGCTATCTTGGATCGTCTTAGTCGTGAATTTTTATACATATTTCAGAAATCTCGAGAATCCCTCTCTCCATCCGCTCTCTCCATCAGTACCAAGTTAGTACCTAGTATCCGTTGGCAGTGGGGTGTCCCCACGTGGACCTATGGTTTATGCCTCAAATCATACGGCGCGTTGTAGACTGCCATAGGAGGAATAGAGAGCATGGAATAAAAGTACAAGTACAGACAAGCTATGCTCGCAAGATGGTAAAAACACCCCGAAACCACGGGCATTTGAGAAAAACGAATCCCCAATCAACCCGGTCCAATCTTCGGCCTATATAACAAAGTCAGCATATACTCCTTAACCCCAAAAGAAACAAGAGCAAGACATACATATCATGATGCTCACTCAGCCGACTAAGATACTTATTCAGCTCCTCCACGCGTTCCTTATGAGTTTTGACACCTTCGCGCTGAAGCCGCTCATGCAACTGTCCCAAAAAAGTCAGTTTCTGCTCTGTACTCCGTACAACCTGTCCAAAGCCGAAGCCTAGCAGAGCCCAATCCGAAAAAAATAAGAAAAAAAAAAATAAGAATCCCAAACGTACCCGTTTCCGCCTTATCTCCTCAGCTCTCTTCTCCGCTTCGGTCTTCCCAGGCACATCGCCCTCCCTCTCTCTCTCCTCCGACCTCACGCCCTCGTTCTCTCGTTCTGGTCCTTCCACTGTGGTCTCTTTCGGCTGTGTCGCTTCTTCCTTCTTCTTGCTCTTCTTCTTTTTCTTCTCTACCCGCCCTCCGCTGACTTTACTCCCCTTCAGCTTGAGCTTGCCGCCGCCGATGGAGTACTCGTCGCCCGCCATGCTTAGGGGTCGAGAGATGCCTCGGGATCGGGTTCTTTAGATTAACCCCCCGTTTTGGCGGTGTGGCGTGGCGCAGTCGCGATATATGAGGGGAGAGATAGGCGTGCGCGTGCGGAGTAAGAGGGGGTGATGGGTTGATCGGTCTTGCGTGCGGATGTAGATGTGGGGATTCTCGTTTCCCGGTTTTGGATTTGACGTAGGATGCGCCTGCTAGGTGGTCGTGTTTGAATTTGAGTGTTGGATTGAGAATGGAGGGTTGGGTTCTTGGAGTCGCAGTTTGAAGTTGGGGTTGGGCCAATCAGAGGCGGTGGCGGGTTTGGGAGACTTCGATCTATATCGTGCGACTTCTTGAACAGCACCACTGAGCACGGTATTTGGTTATGTGTAGATCTTTGGCGGATATTGGAAGACCTTGTATATCTCACTGGCTAGTTAGTTGAGCCGTGGAAGAATCGGTTGAAGCAGGTGAATAGATCTTTGCATGCAACGATTTCCTCTAGCTACTTGGATGTATACCTCTGGGACTAAGTACATTCATCACAAAATCAACATACAATAACCCCCCAGATATTACTAAATCAACACTTGGGATCCATAGCCTCTAACGCATCCAAGCCCGCAAGCAAAACCTGCGCCCTCTGCGCTCCCTCCCAAGCCTGCACGTACTGCTCTCGTCCGCCCCCAACACCATCCGTCCCAAACTTCCGACCAAACTCCCCCGCAAACGTCTCATAAGTAGTCTCAGGCTTCGTCCGACACAACCAACACATAATATCCTTAAACCCTTCCCCATTGAATCCAGCCCGCGGAAACACCCGCATAATCGCCTCATACTCCTGCGCCGTAATCAAAGCCACATCATCCGGGCCGCGGAGACTAGGTCCCATAAAATCAGCCAATACGCCCAAATTAGTGAGAGCAACCTCCGGAGCGGCATGTCTGGCAATCGAGGCCGTAGTGTGCAAGGCGATGGCATCCCAGATGCGCTGGATTGTCGCTTCGGTGATGCACTCCGTGTGCTTGTTTTCAGATCGAATGAGGTCGCGGGCGATGTTGGCGCTGTCGACCTCGAAGCGTTTGTCTGCTGATAAGAGGGCGGGGGTTTTGGCCCACCCCATGTCGTGGAGGATACATCCTATGACTACGGCTTCTAGGTTCAGGTCTGGGTTGTTGTTGAACTCGGGCAGTTTCTTGGCGATTAGGGCTGCCCAGTAGGCGGAGCGGATGGCGTGGTTGTAGACGGGTTCGGTGCAGTGTTCCTTTGCGTATGCGAAGGCTTTGGGGGCAAGTTTTGAAGGTGGGAGTTCGAGGTTGATTGCTGGGATAGCAGGAAGTGTTTCCACGGGAGATGCCATGGTTGTAGTGGAAGCTTTAGGAATTTGGATGGGAATATAGTAAGGGGAGCAATATGTAGTATATCCCATCGGTAGAATCCATCGGCGCAAAAAGTTGATTTATAAGCCTTACAATATCCCGAGACCTCGACAGGGGTGTCGTCGGTGAGCCTCTAACGGGTTATGGAAGGTACAGTCTTGGGGTTAGAAGCATTTGTCATTCATGATGACTGGAGCCTTGTAGCCTTGGAGCATCAGGATTCAGAAGGGTCTAGAGCGCGTGTAGAAAATGCACTTAGGATATTCCTTTCTACATTGGAATTGACCATAGACCTCGGAAATTGGGAGATATATGCAAAAGAGAAGTATATGGAGATAAACTGCTTTTGCCATTTATGATATGCTAGTCATGTTTCCTCATTATTTTGTTGACACACCTGCGAAGGCTCTTAATCAAAAGGAATGGGGCGCAGGTTCGATCCCGCACCCATTCGCTTACGCATTTCAGCGCCCGCAGCCACAGTACTGGGCACCTTGATACCGCAGCAATCACCAAACCAGTCCGCACTCTCATGGGGACGATCGTGGCCATGAGCATGGTCATGGCAGTCATGTTCCTCAACACCTCCTTCGGAAGGATCAGTCATACCTTCAGCAGCAGGCAAAAGACTTCCAAACAAGAAATGCTGCATGATGGGGAGTTTCCCCAGCACCTCCTTAACAAACATCTTCTTCATGCCGCTCTCAACCTTGATCCAATTCTTGGAACCAGAGATATCATCCAACATAGGACTATGCCAACGCAGACCCTTCACCGTCTTAACACTATCAACCCACCGGACTTGATCCAGATAGAGATAATTATCACCCTCCTCATCCAAAGTAGCCGTATTGTGAATACCCAACGGGGTGATATACGGGTGGCCAACCAACTGACTGGCCCCAAATAAGAATGGCAAGAAATGGTAGTCATCCAGACCCCACACTCCATGTGATCCAGCAGGCTCAAGATAGTAAGCAGACTGGATCTCTCGCATGAGATGCATGTACTCGACGTAGACTTTAATCACGACGGCTGGGAAATCACTGGCAGGGAGCAGACCGAGCTGGTACAGACATAGCAGCCACATCATGAAGTTGAGTTCGTGGCCGGAACCGTAGTCAATTCGCTCTCGTGAGCCGAGACAGTTGACTAGGTATGTCGAAGCTTCCTCGATTGCACCACTGTCTTTCATTCCGAGGATGTTGGTGTGCCATGATGCGCTCTGGGCGTTTACATCATCACACAATGCTCGGAAGGCGGGGTTGCCGAATCGAGAACCACCCTGATCAATTGGGGGGTTCTTTTCTAGGAGGGATCGTATCTGGGTAAGGACTGAGAGGACCTTGGAGATGGATTCGGATTGAGGTTTCTTTTGGAGATCGGTGATGGAATGCCCCCGCACAGAGTCAGTCAGTCCAAAGACAAAAGCAAGGACGAGGGTGTAGGTCGGCGATGAAAGGTAGAGTTGATGGTCTTTAGGAGATAGGATGCGTCGAGTTGGTTGCTGGTATTGGTTGGCGGAGAGGTCTGGCGGCGAAGGAAGAGGTGGGGTTATTGGAGTTGGGTCTCGGCCATTGCCGTTTGGCCTGCGTGTGTTTGAGCGCAATGCTGAAAGCTTCTTAGAAAGATCAACCTTCCCAGCGGGAGGCGTTGAAGAGGTCTGTGATGCCATCTTGTTGTCTGAGTGAGGGGAATGAAATCGATAAAGTCGATAATGAGCATGCCAAATGCCTGACCGCCTTCCCTAAACAGAGCATGACGCAACCCGCCAGAGGGGCGAAAAAGGCACGAGGGGCATATTTGTATGATCTGATGTAGGGATCAAAGCAGAGATAATTCTGACATCAATCCATACACAAACCTCCATGTCAAGCATGCCCAGCACCAAGCATCCCCAATCACATCAGCAGTCCTGCGGATAAAGCCCAAGTGGGTTAGAGTGGAGCCATGTGATCGCTTCCCCGGATTGGTCAGGTGACCAAGATCATCGCAATGTTTCACGCTTTTGCTCGAGGTCACATTGTGTGCCACATGATGGCTACAGCACAGTAAGACGAGAAGAAGCCAGGAATATACGCATAGGGCCTCAAGATACCAGACACAGCATTTCTTCTCCATCGCCGCGAACTCCCCGTCTCAAAAAAGCACTTTTTGGCCTTTGTTAGCTTGAAGACATTCCGGCGCCCCAGACCTGCATAATTTCATTTCCTCGAGTCCTCGGATTGGACAATACCGTTTAGTGCCTCTCTAGGAGCCAAGCACGCCATAATGAATACATTTGACTCATCGGTGACACCTCCGACAGGCCCCGGCAGTGCTGGAGGAGCCAAAAACAACCAGTCAAGCTCGCCCACCGACACAGATTCCTTGTCGTCGTCCACTATCAGCAATCGGTCCCACTTAAGCAGTGCATCCCGAAATGCGCGTAACTCGAACCCCCCTCAGACGTCATACCAGTCAACCGAGTTCACTCCGATCAACGCAACCGGCTCCGTGAGACGCGGGTATCAGTCTACCGAGCAAGCGCAAGCTCAAGATCCCACCACTCAGGCCAAAGACCCCCAGCCCAATGCCAACACCAGCAATAGCGACCAAAGTTCGAACTCCGAGTCGCAGCAGTCCTGGTATGCCCGATTTGCAGATCGATATGGCAGCCTCGAGTTAGAGAATAAAGGCAGTGTGGCACGCGACCACCTCGCATTAGGTACGAGGATATCCTAGCCTGAGACTTCGCATATGCATCTTCTAAACGGCAATATTAACATCCTCGTCCAAACAGAACGAACCTTCCTAGCATGGATGCGCACATCCCTGGCATTCGCTTCAATCGGCATCGCAGTGACGCAGCTCTTCCGTCTGAACAGCACCAACGCAAATACACACTCCGCCGCCTTCGATCCAGCAACCGGATACAGCTCAGGTATCCTTCCGCCACAGTTTGCCTCGTCCGGTTACGATGCAGCCGCTTCCTCTGCATCCTCCCGTCTCCGTAGCGTGGGCAAACCTCTCGGATCTACCTTTATCGGGGTCTCCATCCTCATTCTTATCGTTGGATTCCACCGCTACTTTGAGAGCCAGTATTGGATTATCCGCGGGAAGTTCCCGGCTAGTCGGGGCAGTGTGGCATTGACGGCGTTTGTGGCTGCTGCGCTGATTATTGCTGCTTTTGCGGTTATTCTGGCGGTTTCGCCAGGTGCCATTGAGCGTTAGTTGATGGATATCTCTGGGTGACTTTTCATTCCATTTTCTTTTTTTTTTTTTTTTTTTTTTTGCATTTGTCGTTATTTCTCGTGCGATAGTGATTATTATCTTCTGGCGGTTTGCGTGCGCAGCATCTTTCACATTTTCGGATTTCTTCAGCCTTTTATATGAGGTATCGCGAATGGGCAACCATTGTTGGATAGGAGCGAAGAGGGGGAGAGCAACATGTACATATGTGTATGCTTGGACGTCTGTTTACTGATATTGTTTACTGATATTGACGATAGATTGTATGCAATCATGATCACGAATTCGAACCTTGCCTACGTGTAAATAATCCGGAACGAACATACGTAGATGGCCTAAAAAGCCAGTATAAGACACAGTCGATAGAAATATTTCGTTCTTTTCTGTCATGAACGCCCCGAATCCACCCGCACCAGACCAGTCTAGGCACAATGTAGGAAGCAGGGGAAACTACAAGATTGACGGGAGTATATCGACAAGGATGGGGGGAAGGTGGAGGTAAAGAAGAAAAAGAGGATAAGAGAAAAAGACCGGCGCAATATGGCTTGCAAACAATGCGAAGCAAAAAATCACAGAAAAAAGGAGCAGACCAAGAACCGCCTAAATACAATCCGATTATCGCGGGCCGAGCTTGTCCAGGGCGCGCGCACCCTGTTCCTGCCACTCCTGCTTGCTTACCCACATGTCGTCCTTGTCGGCAATCTAGGGAAAACGATATTAGTGAGAGTTGATGTCGAGTAGCAACGGGGAAACAAACCAAGTTGGCGAGGACGGCACCACCCAGGAACACCATGTGTCTCCGACGTGGGGGATCTTCGATGCGGACCTTGAATTTCTGTAAAATCGTTAGTCAAAATGAATTTTTGTTTGTCTTTGGGGTTCAGTCGACATACGTTCAGACGCTCTGGGTCACCACCCAATACCCGGGTGAGCCAGAGCTGCTTCAGCTCCTTCTCCAAACGGGAAGGCAGACCGGGGTACATGCTGCTACCACCGCTGAGCACGATGGCCTTGTATAGACTGGAGCGAACGTCGACATCGGCACCCTGAATACAGTTGAAGAGCATTTCAGCAATACCGGGCTGGTCAACATCGACCAAGTGAGGCTGGAAGAGGCACTCGGGGGCCTCGAAGCGCTCACTACCGACGCGGATGACACGACCATCGGGCAGGGTGTACGACTCAACGAGAACGGTGGTATCCTCGGAAAGCTTTTTGTCCAACTCGAGATCGTACGAGACGTAGGCGAGCTTCTCCTTGATCTGGCGCACGGTTTCGAAATCGGCGGTACGGTTCAGCGCATAGCCGCGACGCAGAAGAAGGGCAATCAGGTTGCGGGTGACGTCGCGACCGGCGACGTCTAGGCGGCGGATGTGGTGGTTCAGTACGGTCGATTCGTACACTGGAATAATATGTGTCACACCGTCACCGGAATCCACAACCACGCCGCTGCTCAGACCTAGAACGTCCCCCGTCAGCATTGGTCTCCAGCTCACGCTCTTGGCTTGCTTCACATACCCTGGGCATACAGTGCCAGCACCGCCTGGATCGCTACATAAACTCCACCGAACCCGTATCCTTCCAGCATCACCTCAGCCATCTGCTCGCGGTTCTTGAGCGGGTTCATCGGGGGCTCCGTGAGGAGAATCTTGCGATCCGTGGGGTCGATCTTCATCTTATCGTAAAAGGTGTAGTTCCATAGATGTTGCATGTCGTCCCATTTCTTGACAATTCCATTCTCCATCTATGAGAGCGCAGGTTAGGCATTGACAAGGCACAAGTCTGGTTCGCGGAGAGGGCGGGGTATGACGGTCAGCGAGGACAAGCACCTCCGACAAAACATACAGGATAGCTGATTTGGAGCATGGATCGTGCGGCAGCGGCTTCATCACCGCACATGATATCCTTGACCACGATGTCGCCGCCCTGCTCCTCCGTTCGCAAGATAGGCCGCCCCACTATCGAGGGGAACTGGTGCTCTGGGAAGTTCTGGTGAGGAAGATATAAATTAGAATAGAGCTTCAGGCAATTGTAGAGAGCTTGCGACATACCTGGGCGGCATAGCCGACCTTAAGGAAACCGGTTCCTCCATCGAGGACTGCGGAGTAGCTTGTTAGCTTGGAGCTGGGACACGGTAGCCTGGGGGAAATCGGTGTGTACCAATGGGCATTTCCGCCATGTTGGAGGAATTGGGGATTCAACGGCCAAGTGTTGGGTTACCGTTGGAGATTAATATTCTATCCAAGAACTCCCAAGATGAGCGGGATTGGGAGGGTTCGAGGGAGAGCGGAGGTGTTGGGGATGTTTGAAGTCGAGCCACGACGAACGGAGCATCATAACTTACGTGACCATACCGTACCTGATATTCCCTCCCCACAGTTGGGGGTCAGCAGCAGTCATGACGGTATGTAACGCATCAACGCATTTCCAGAGCAGGCAAGCTTGATGATCATAGATCAAAGTGTAAGGAAGGCTCTGGGGTTTCTTATAAGTCGTAGGACAGACTTGGAATCAATATCTGCACTCGCTATAGTACATGTGGAACGCCTCGCATTAAAGGGGTATACACGTGGGCTTGGATCCAAGGGCATAAAGAACATAGAAGTAAAGAGAGGCGTGATATAATTACATGCACGTTAGCTACAGGGTTAAATCGAACGTCTGCTCTGAAGAAAACCATCGATCACAGCAAGGGGAGCTTCCTGTCGGCCGACTCCGATTCCTCGGGAAAACACGCGCTCCACCAGTGATTTCTATTGTCTCTGGAGTCAAAACCAAAAGTCCCAGTGATCAGCCCAGGTAGACTTTATATTGGTGAAATCTGCTTGATCCAATCCCCATCTCACTCTTACAGCAGTCCTTGGAGCTTAGAATATCATCGCCACCCCTTGACTCGGAACTCCGGCAAAACAGCAACGATGACACAAATCGGCTGGGTGAGTACCTTCTACAGGGAACACTCTACTAAATAACATAGCTGACAATCCATTCAGTATGGCCTTGGGTCCATGGGCCTGGCAATGGCCTCAAACCTCCAGCGCCACCTAGCTGCAAAGAAGGCACTGGGCCTGATCTATTCGAACCGCACGATGGCACGCGGATCCGCCCTTCAAGCGTTGGGTGCAGTCTCAGAGCCCAATTTCGAGAAGCTGGTATCTCGCTGCGGTATCATCTTCACCATGGTAAGCCAATTTCCGATAACCCGCACCGCAACACAAGCCTAACCGCTTTTCCCAGGTCTCGAATGACTCAGTGCTTCAAAGCCTCTTGTCTACCGCCATGGGCTCCAGCCAGTCCTTGAAAGACAAGATCTTCGTCGACTGCTCAACAGTGCACCCCCAGACCGTAAGCTCCGCTGTGTCCCAGCTGAAAAGCAAGGATGCGTCGTACGTAGCAGCGCCGGTCTTCGGCGGGAACCCTATTGCCGTCGATGGCAAGCTTGTGTTTGCCATTGGCGGTCCTAAGCACGCGACTGAGGCCGTCAGACCTTTGATTCAGGACGTCATGGGTCGCCGTGTCATTGACTGTGGTGAAGATGCTACGAAGTCCTCGCTTCTGAAGATTGCGGGTAACATTGTTACGGTTAATATGATGGAGGCTGTTGGCGAGGCTCAGGTCTTTGCGGAGAAGACGGGTCTTGGAACTGGTGTTATGGAGGAGCTTATTGGTGAGGCTTTTGGTGCTGTTGCTGGAGGATACTCCAAAAGGTATGTTGCAATGTTTCGTCATGCTGTGGCTTCTCATGTTGATTCCCATTTCTAGGCTGACTACCGGAGCTTATGCGCCACCCCTGGACTCTCGACCTGGCTTTGGTGTTTCTCTCGCTATCAAGGATGCTAATCATGCTATGTCAATGGCTCAAGAGCAGGGCGTCGAGCTTCCTGGTCTTGAGATTGCCCGGGCTAACATGGAGGCTGCGAGAGAATATGGCGGAGAGTGTCTGGACAGTAGCTCCATGTATGGAACGTTGCGCCAGAAGGCTGGCCTGGAGTTCTGGAATGAGAAAAGCCGGAAAGAATAGAACGGGAAGGTAGGGCTTCCACTTCGGGAATTATTATGGCCATCAAATTTGTATTTGTTGAAATATTCAGAAATAAAACCATCTATTGGCGACGCTTATATGTCCACAGAACCTGTAACCCTGCTCACGGCGTGAACTTGCCTTGGTTTAAAACTCCACCCGAGAGAAATAATACATGAAGGAAATAAAAAAGAAAAGAAAAGGCAACAATTTTGACTCCCCTATGCCAGGGGTCCCTCCTCGCCAAAATGAATCGCAGAATTGAAAGACATGAACCAAGACTAACCTGTAAAATGGTGACATGGTAGTAGAGATTGAGTTCAACTTGATATCAACTAAGTGGTTTTAAAATCTCTCGGCGATTCCACTGCGAATGATTTGCACAGCCGTGGATCTGGCTTGATTTGTGCGGTGTCCGCCAAAGCAGGATATACCTCCGCGAAGCTGGGCCCCAAAGACCAATTGGACAAGTTCCTCATATGTCGTTCAAAAACAGGGTTGATAACCAGCTCGTCCGAGTCACCTGCTGACAACAAACAATCTGTGTCCTCGTATGGCCAATTGACGCTCAGCCCATTTGTAAATGGCTTGTGCCAGTCATCAAACGGGTAATTTTGATATGATGTGATGATCCGGTCGCGCATCGCCGGCCAGGGAATGTAGTCCATCCAAGCTGGGTGTGGGTGGAAGATCTGTGTTGGGCGTGGTGTATACCACTCGGGGAGTCGCTCATAGTTCTCTTGTGTCGGGTATATCTGCCAGCGCATGAGGAGAAACATGAGATAGAGAACGCCGACCTGCTCCGGCAGGGTGGAGACGTCTGGGAATTTACGTAGAATATCTGTAAATACTTTCGAGACTGGATGCGAGTAGATACTTCTTTCTGGGTTCAAGAGCGAGGAGACACTCGGATATGGCGGGCCAGCTAGTTTCTGCCTCGGGATGCCCTGTGCTGCATCACGTTGCCGCCCTTGGAGAAACTCCAAAAGGATGGTGTCCAATGGACATGTCGCCGCTGTAGTTTTTATAGGAGCAGCAAATGCAGATGGCCCATGTTCAGAGGTAGTATTCGATGGACGCGGGTATATTGGCGACGGACAGTTTTGAGAAGGGCGGGTCTCTGAGTTACTGCGGCGAAGCCGGTCGACTTTAGGGATATTATATGAGGTATCCAAAAGGAAATTGAATCCTAGACGTTCCTCGGAGCCGAGATCCAGGCCGTATGTGAGATTGTGGCGCTGTGAGTCCAATGCGACCCGGAAAGAGGTCGACGGAGGGCCACCATTGGTACTGTTGCGGCGACTCCCAATTGTGGGCGCAGAGTGAGTTGGGGAAGGCGTGTCAAGGCTGGCATTGGATTCGGCATATAACTTGTCGCCCTGTGATGGTGCCTGGCTGTTGAGGATGAACTGATCGGCGTCGGGGAAGGGGGATGGACGCGAGGGGGGTGGAGCAGACTTGAGTATAGCCAGAGAAGGTGGGACATCTGTCTTTATCAGTTTGAGATCCAAATATGATGACAAGCAAAGCTAACCTGGTAGTTCCGGCTTCGCTATCAATGGTTGTATGATGTCCAGTGCCGCCTTGAGCCCTTGACGAAGCTCTGTATTTTCCAACCGAATCTGCTCATTCTGACGTAGAACTTCTTGCAGATCAACGAATGGTTTTTGAGACGACAGATCCCGGACTTTTTGTTCTAGAGCTTCGATATGACCTTTCGTCCTCTCTCGAATTGCGCGTTGCGCTTGGCGGTCGTTTGCCCGCTTTTTCGCTAATTGATCGGGGGTCAGATTCGCGACGCCCCGCGATGACATGCTGTTCAGCTTGCGTTTTCGTCCTGATGTCACGCCATTGTTTTCTAGAGGCCCCTCCACATCTAGTGACGCTGCGCGAGGAGGGATCGGCGACTCAGGTTTATCGAAAGAGGGGGAGGTTGCGATTGTTCGGGCATGTCGAGTGGAGGCGCCACATCATTGGTTTTTGGAGCGCGGTTGGCCATGGCACGCGCTAGCAATTAAGATTGGCCATGCAAATCAAGATGATGAAGTTCAGGACGTAAGAAGCGAGTGTGCCATGTGGAGAAGATCGAGGTCGTGTCTAACGTTTAGACTTTCCTGCAGGGAGGGCGGGTCCGTCTACACTGCTACTTTGGGCTGCCTCCTACACCAATATATCCTCGGTTTCAGGCCGATGCGACTGTCCCAATCCGGGCGCCACTGCTTTACAAGGACGCTCAGGGTTCTACCCACCGGGTACAGATGTACCTAGGTATCTCACAGTCACCACCGGGGCCCGGGGCACCTCCACCTGGGCACTTAGTGGTACTTAGTAAGCAGTTAGATGGGATCCATGGTTTTGGGTCTAAAGATCCTTTGTGATTGGACCAGTGGGCAGAGGTTATGCTTAGTAATGATACACTACCCCCCGTACATATTAGTATACATCCTACCAACATGTTATGCTCGATGAGCACTTAGCTCGTGCTAGAAAGATTGACTATGTCGACAGATTCCAGTTGATAAATGATCGAAGAAGCTTTCGGGATATTGCTGCCTGATGCGTACGAAGTTCGGTGCCTGATCATCAGTATGTAACGAGCAAACCGAGAAGATGCTCCAGTAAGTCCCTACCGTCTATGTAGTGAGAGGCCTCAACCCTACGAGGGCTCGATTATACCGGTGGCCTGGCAATGGCGAAGGCTACACCGAGTTTACGCGATATTTGTCCTATATCTGAAATATGCCTGAACAAGCCTACCGATGAGCACGGTGGAAATGTGCGAGATATGAAAGGGCAAATTAGCCGTAGTTGATTGGGATGACGATCAGAGCCCCAGGAGCAATGACATATTTCGGACGGAAAGGAACCCTTCGTTCTGACATATTCCGTAATTTTCAATGGATCAAGCACAGCTCACCAGAACCGAGCCTCAAATCCACTCTTCGCCACCCGAGCACAGATATACCAATCAGTAGTCCGGTATGTCCGAGGCATATCCGATGCTGCAAGCGAATTGTCCACCGTTGGCTGCAGACGAGAGTTATCCCCATGCAGTTGATACTGGTAGACGGGCAATCTGCTAGGTTGAGCATTCTGTTGCTCTGGGTCTGTTGACATTTTAGCCTTCTGAGCAGAAAGGTACGTCTCATATACCCTCCTAATGAATGTTCAACACGCGCGTTTACACATTGTAACGTCGCGAACGGTGCAGGTAGACCAGCCAAGATATGAGATCTGCGAGAAAGGTTCAATGTCTCCTATCTAGCATTGAATGGGCAAATACAAGTCGTTTTATTGAACATGTACGGAGTACTAACTCTGCTATGGAATGAAAAAGCGGTTTATAGCTGAGATGACAACCAATCACATCCATAATAGCCGGCTTTGTTCCGAGTGGGGAAGCTGCGGAATTGTGCACTGCATAACTTCCTATAACGTGACCTGGGGTACATATAAGGAGGCTACAGGGTATAGTGATCTCTCATGCAGTCAATTAATCCATGTTCTCGCCCATTTCCCCGCCCTTTTTCCCCGCCTTTTTATTTGATCTGCCAAGTCATATACTGTGTCTCTAGCATACTCACGGTGGATGCGTGATAAGTAGTCGAAGGCCTCGGCTTCGCCATCTCTATCAAGATGGGACCAGCGAATATGCCTGGGTTTCATCAACAATGGTATGAGCTCCGTCCCTTTATATATCGAGAATATCACAAAGGCTTACCATCATTCAGCGATGTCTTCTCCCTACAAGCCCCCTTACCTAGCCACTCGCGCTCACCTTTGAATGTTTTAGGGGTACGTGTAGCCCATGGAATCGATTGGAAACGCTAATATGATTTAGACTGCTCGACAGGCTTGTGATCCGTGTCGAAAGTTCAAGAGACGCTGTGAATTCTGCCCTCAGGAGAATGTATGCACGGGCTGCAAGCACCGTAATGTCCCCTGTACCATGACCTCGACAGGGAAGCGACAGCCGGAACGGAGGACAAAGTATATCTTTCAGTCCCTCTTCGGCTCTATTCAGGGGCCATCAAAATTCTAACCAGTTTGTTTCAGTTACAATAGACCCGTCAAGGAATTAGAGGATCGCATACAATGCTTGGAACGGATTTTACACGCAGCGGGTATTAATACCGAGTTGCTAGATGACAAAACGGACGATGCAGTATTCCCTGCCGATACTTTGAAAGCAGCGAAAGAACCAAGAGGCCCACGTCATGACAGCATGGGCATGGGTCAGTTCTTACTACCGTCCCCGAGCTCAGTCCTCGATACTTCCTTGTCAGATTCCTCAATCCTCGATATGCAGCCTACGGTTGATGGCCTTGAAGACTTGTCCGGTCACTCGCTCTCAACTAAGGATTCCTCCTCATCGATATCTTACTTGATAGTGGGCGAAGAGCCGGATAGCTACTTGAGACCAGAGATCTGGGACCTACACACCCCGTCGACCCGAACGTCTTCCGAGTCTACGACGAGTCTGTCTTCCCTTGAGCCTTAAAGAATCTTCAAGGTTATTGGATTGCTTCCAAGCTGACCAATATCTAATATCTATAGGTTCTCCCATGGCGGTTGCTCCCCAGCTTGCAGCACGCCTGAAAGGGAATTCTAATGTCCACGAGATTGTATCTATTGTGATGGATACCCCGACACAGTCCAGCCAGGTGCCTGTCGCTATCGATGATATCGGTTGGCCGAGGACCTCTCTTCCTCCCAAGGAAGAAATTCTCCCCCTCCTGAAAATCTATTTTGATTTTGTAAACATCTTATTGCCTTTATATCACGAAGAGACCTTTATGCGCCTGGTGGTCTCTGCATATAGTGGAAGGTCACATGCAAGCCCGGAGTTAACAGCAAACATTAACATCATGTCTGCAATCGCGCACATAGCGGGGTCTACAGGTAATACCAAGGAATGCGACCAGCATTTTCAAAAATCAAGCGCATTGGTGCCATACCTCATGATGAATAGGCCCAGTCTACTTTGTGTCCAGGCATTTATCGCAATGGTACGTAAAAGCACAACCATTTGCCTCTCATCGCATCTTTAATTGCTGTTTGCTAAGCACTCGTCAACCCGGCCTATAGGCGATCTTTTTGGGGATCAATGGTGACATCAAGTCCGGTTTGCCATTGATTTCAGCAGCATTACAGTCATCCCATCAATTAGGATTCCACAAGTGCCAGAATAACGCAGACTGTGATGGAAACTGGACAGAGCAAGGGAATCATGCCATGGATGTCGCTTATATCCTTGATGCAAGGTGCGTATTGTGCGTTCCAGAATTAATCTTATTTGCGCTAACTCTGCTTAGAATATGTGTGCGCTTAGGCCTTCAACCACGGTCCGTTGCTGATGATGTGAATATACCCCTGGGAAACAACATGGACCCGCCAGGGCTACAGGGACAGTGGAGCTCCTCTATATGTGTCCCTGGTAAACCCAAGTTCTTTCAAGAAATGGTTCAATTGTCGGGAATAATATCGGTGGGCTTGCGCAACCTCCGTACAAACGTGCCTCCCACAGCCGGCCTCAATTGGATAAGGGACGTCGTGGATGATCTCGACTCCCAGGTTGAAGATTGGAGACGAAACCTCTCAGTAAAAATAAAGTCCATACGGAGTCCCGAGGAAGAGAGCCATCCTTCGAGCCCTTATCATCTTTGTCTTCAAATCTTTTACTACCACGCTCTCATTGTGGTAAATAAAGAATTTGACAACCATATGAGGGCCCAACAACCCCCGATGGAATTGGAACACCACAACAGGCATCCCAACCCCCACAGAATTCCATTAATGGCTGCGAGGGCTGTATTAAGATTAGTCCCAAATCTTCAGTGTACACAGCAATGTTGGTCATGGTAGGTCTATGCCACTCGGTGGAAATATTATGCCAAACGCTGATCAGTCAATTTGGCAGGATACTCAGTTTCTACGTTTTCCAAGCGGCATCAATACTCTTCACCTCGATTCTTGGGAGTGCGCGGTATGTTTCTACAAGTGAGGACTTGCCACTGATTCGGAGAACGGTCTGTTTCTTCTCAACCCTAGACTGCGAAGCATCCGGACCACGAGGAAACATCACTTCAATGAGCAGACTTTGTTCCATATATGAGCGAATTCTCAAAACAAAGGTCGGGCCAGATCAGTCAGATGAATGGCAATCGGGGAGCGCTGGTATGGATAATTTCGCTTATGGTGTAGAACCCCACGATCTCTCGAATCTGAGCGACTTTGACTTCGCAAGTGGGATCTTCGAGGGTGAATCCTTTCCCGCAGATCTTCAAAGATGCTTCTTTGAAATGGAAGGATCTCATTTGTTTGGGCAGTTCTCGGAATTAGGTGGTTCCCAAGACGGGCTTTCATTCGGTCTCAATTTTGACAGCCATTTGCAAATGTTGCCCAATGAGGATGCCAATATGCCGGGATTATTCCCATCTCTAGGCTAGAGAATAGGATGGTACGCACTGCAGGTCTAACATGTTATATTATTTTTCACTTTAAAAAACGTGAAAACTGTTGAGAACTGTCCTTAATTCTCCCCATTTGCGCTGTCAACGCTACGTCTATTTAGTCCTCGGAGCCGCCCTGCAGCCTTTATGCAGCTGTATACAGGTTGATACCGCGAGACCTGTGATATTTTAATCTGGACTGGATCTGCGGTGTGCTACACAGCGCATCATGTTGCAATAGAAACTACTGGAATCGAGTCCCCAGTTCTACAGAGGGAGAAGGAGGAAGCATAAATAGCACTTGATATCCAGATGTCATAGAGATCTTTCGAAATCGATGAAAATACAGAGGCAAGTCAAACCATCTTCCCCAGCTATAATTCTCATATTGTAGGTAATATCAAATCAATTGGTGTTGCTACCTGACTTATACCAGCGCATATATTTAACCAAAATACATCCATGGACATATATCTCAGAAGTAAGCATGAATAGAGAAAATGGCAAAATCAATGGACGGACAAGAAGGACAATGCAGAGCAAAGTCAAGTATAGAGTGGGTTTATCATTCGCAAGAGAACCTCTGGGGAATCTCAACTCTCCAATAGCCCATCAGAGATCATTGTAAGTCGGTAGTCCCCATGACCATGATCATCTTAGTGCTTTTCGTTTGTCACAGGCGGATTTGCAACCCTTTCCTTCTCTTCCGCTATCTCCTTCTGAAGTTCTTCCATCTTCTCCTCCAGTAACTTGACGCGATTCATACCAACAGCCCTCATCCAAGCAGGCTCGAAAGTATCTCGCTGTAGCCACGGGCTTACATCTGACTGCTCCGCATTTGCTATCGAGACTCCCATGCCAAGGTAAGCATACCTGTTCTTCTTTGATGGGCCGTAGTACTCGATATCGTAATCTTCGTATCTGGGAGTCTTCAGCGCCTCCCGATAATGGAGAGCGCTTCCACACCAAACGGCAGTAACTGGAATACCGTAAGTACAAAACACTGAAAATAGAGCCATGATATTGACATACCTCGTCCAGTCTTCTGGTCCTTGTACCAGGACCGGCAGTCATCGGTCCAGACGGTGTGTCTTGCCCATTCCTGAGTATGTTCATTGAATTCTTCGGTGGCCTGCGGGTTTGGAGTGAGTGACAAGATGTATTCACTCTGCAATTTCCGAATGATCTGCATGGCATACAACGATATTGTTTGTAAGCTTGCCATGACTGAGCCATTGGCGACGGGCGAATTGGGTCCTGCTGTCATGAGGAAATTGGGGAATCCGGGAACTCCGATGCTCATGTACGCCTTTGGATCAACTGCCCACTGCTGGCCAAGATCAGCGCCATCTTTTCCGATGATTGGGAACCGTGGGCGGAAGGTGACATCAAATCCAGTGGCACAAATAATGCTGTCGCACTCTCTTTCGATGCCGTCGGCACCGATCACACCAGTCTCGGTAATCTCAGTGACCGCAGTGAAGTGAACGTCCACGTTGGGTTCTTGGATAGCCCTGCCATTCAGCTTGCGTTAGTTTGCTTAGCCGATTTAAATCATCTTGGCTCAAGGAACACGTACTTCATGTAGGGATCCCCGGGAGTGATTCGACGGCAGCCGAGGCTAAACTTGGGGGTGAAGCCTTCGAGGAGTCTGGGATCTTTGATGATGTTTTTCATTCTTTCGTAGACAAACTGTCGGCCCTTCTCCTGTGCCTGAGATCCTTTCATGAAAATTCCCCATTTACTGAAGTTATGTTCGAAGCTTTTGGCATGTTCAAGAAGAGTAAGTGGGTTCTCCTTGAACTCCTTCCTCTGCTCGTCGGGGTACTGGTGGTTGTAGCCGAAGTGGTTGCCAATGGGTGCAAACCAGACACCTTAAAACATCAGTCAGTGTATCTTACAGGAGGAGAATCATTCGTACCTGTCCGGATAAAGATATCCATATGTTTCACGTGTGGCTGCATGGCGGGAACAGTCTGCAGGGACGAAGCCCCAGAGCCAATGACAGCCACCCGCTCCTCCTTCCATTGGTCGGCCTGGTATTCTTGGGGCCAACGAGCGGTGTGGCTAATCTATCGAATAATCAGTATAGGATCATGGGCATATGGGACTCCCTGAGTACAGTACCCTTCCTTTGAACTTTTCGAGGCCCTTGATATCCGGCCATTTGAAGTTGTTCAAAATGCCCGATGCGTACAGGAAGACATGGCATCGATCCTCAAAGTCCTTGGTTGTCCCATCCGGCGCCGTCTGGCGAATCTGGATAGCCCATTCGCCAGCCTCCTGGTCCCATTCGGCCTTGATGACTTGACTATTGAAGTTCATGTATTGGCGAAGCCCCCAAACCTCGCACACTTTATCGAGATATGCCCAGATATCAGCGGCATATGAAAAGTGAGCTGGCCAGTCGGGCTGCAGCAATCGTCAGAAACAATGACCAGGAGACTATGGGGGATAGGGAACTCACGTTGAGCGCAAACGGGTATTGGTAGGCGTGACTAGGGACATCACAGGCGCATCCTGTGCTCAAATATTAACTGGGTGAAATAGACAAATTGGTCAAGAGAGTATTCTACCAGGATATCTATTCTCAAGCCATGTGCCACCAATGTCCGGGTTCTTGTCGTAGATGGCAAATTCAACGTTCTCGGTTTGTTGTTGAATGTAGTACGCATGGAGAATACCCATCACACCGGCTCCCACGCCAATAACACGAATCTTTCGGTTATAAGGCGAGTTGATCACGACATCAGGAATTTCATAGTCCGGGTTTCGAGGAACTTGGTTGGTCGCATAACCGTCGGACTTGTAATTTTTCAATATCTCGGCATGTTCGTCCATCTTGACAAACTAACAGAGGCAATGTGCAGAGTAGAAAGTGGAATGGAATGAATTAAACAATGCTGAGTAGCTAAATGAACTTACAGGCGCAGATCTTACTTTTGAATAAAAGAGATACTGTCCACTACTGGATAGGCGCGGGTGCGCAGCCGTCCGACCCCAAAAGGGTAGGCATCCGATAGCATTGGGGATGCACGGCGTTAGTCCGCATGGCCATTGGCTCCAGGTGCATAAGAATAGTGAGCTCATTTCAAGGCGAATTGACCCGAACCCCGCATTTCTTTGGTGATATCTCCGCATCCGTGGTCATACCCTCGGTCTATGTTGTAGGGTTGAATGCACGCTTGACATAAGACTACTGCATAATTATTCCACTCTTGGTCTGTGTCAACTAGCGGGGAAATGCCCCCGAAACGGCCGAAGGGATCTGAAACTCAAGTCTGACGGTTACCCTGATCATGGATAGGAGAGCGTAGCTAAGGCTGTACTGATTAACATGCTTGGAGATATACGAATTGTTTGCATATGGCTATTCTAAATCTTCAACCTTTTGTTGGGGTGTTCATAGGGGAAAGAAATATGGATTTAGTCCAGTATATATTGCTTAGTGATGGCTTAAAAGTCCAAATATATTTGATTAACTGTGATAGACAAATGGAAGATCTCCTTGTACGGGAACCTAAACATCCTATTCAAGGTGCTGGCGCACAAAATCCAGAATTTCCTGATTTCCTTCCTTTGCCATCTCGATATTAGGAACGAGATTAAACGCGTGACCAGCTTCACGAAGAATAGAAAGCTTGACATCATTGTTGGCAAGACTATACTTGGACGCCATAAACACGCTGTCATCTAGTAGCGGATCTTCCGTGCCGACGAGAAACAGAGCTGGAGGAAGATCTCGCAGGTCTGCATAGAGAGGGGATACTTCAGCCGACTTGAGTCGGCTGGTGGGAAACTGGTCAGGGGGTATAAATGCGTTGGTAAAGGAAACGGTATCCTCTGCATTAATGAAAATGTTCCGGGTGTGGCTCTTCACAGACGGAGTAGTGCTCATGTCATATACTCCATAGCAAAGAGCCAGAGCAGCAATCTTTTCCCGAACATCGATTTCTTGGTTTCGTAAATCAATCGCTGCCCACATTGCAAGATATGCCCCCGCAGACTCTCCGCTAATAACTCGAAGTGGGCCCCCGAGTTGGGTGGTACCCTCTTCGGAGAGGGCAAAAAGGATAGCATCGGCAACATCATGACACGCAGCTGGAAATATGTTCTCGGGTGCCAGTCGGTACTCCACAGAGATGACGACAAGAGATAAGTCGTCGGCAAACTGTTTCAGATACTTATCATGTCCGGCGGAAGATCCAATCACGAACCCACCTACGCACATGTCTCTAAGTTAATGACTAGTAAAGCCAGATGGAGTAGTGGGAGGAAATCAAGAACTCACCCCCATGGACGTGAAGTAAAACGCCTTTGGCCTCTGTAGCGGGAGTTAAGACACGAAGAGGAATTGAATGGTCTCCGTGACTCGAATGAATTGTAATTGTCGACGCTTCGGGGAGAACAAAAGGTTTCGGGAAACCATTGAGGCCTTCGTTTCGCCATTTGCGATACTCAGCAGCACTGGGAGCCTGAGTCCAGTTGATTTGGCTTCCAGTCATTTGCTCCAGATGGGCATTGACTGCTTTTCTTTGCGCCAGCAGCTCGGGGCTGCACTCTTTCACTTGCACAGTCACAGGCATGATGAAGCAGATTGATTGTAGGGATATGTGAGATTTGTCAGTTTTCGGAGAAAATACGAATCGTTCTCTCTTTGAATAAGAGTCTCATAAGTGCGCAAGACCAGAGACGGGGTATGATTTATGCAAATGGGCTATACTTCTCCGCATCGGCACGGCAAGCCCCCGATCCCGAATGGGCCTAGTGTGATTGTTATTAGAATAAAGATTAGATCGCTTTACTTGCTTTTTGGTTGATATCTCCATTTGTGTACACTTCTTGGGCCATTGATAATACAGGAGAGCTGAAAATTTCCTTCGCTATCAATTTGACCCACGGTCACAGTCACGATGCTCGCAGCTTTGTTGAGCCCTGAGACGTTGAAGGCGTGCGCGCCCTACGTTGTGACCTCTCTTTTGGTGTTGACGATTTTCGTTGTCCTCCCTCAGAAACTTCTGCCAAAACCTTACCCCGGGATTCCTCTGGTTGGTATGAAAGAAGGTCCGCATGGAAAGAAAGAGCTGAAAGATGGAGTCATGCGATATCTGAAAGATACCAAAGCTCTGTTCCGTGAGGGCAAGTCACTGGGGAAAGCATATCAGATCATGACAGCGACCGGGTTCAAGATCGTGATGCCCCCCAAATATCTCAATGAAATTCGTGATAACCCCAACTTGGACTTTGGTGGCTTTATCCAGCACGTAAGTCTTGGCTCGACCCCTTTGCATGTTCCTTCGCACTAACCTGGCTCATATCAGGACTTTTTTGCTCATCTTCCGGGTTTTGGCGCTTTCAATGCTGGTATCAACAATACTATCATTCAGGAGACTCTTAAGACAAAGCTGACTGGCTCACTGGGTATGAAATTCTCCTTCAGAGTCTTCCTGATCATGTTTGTTGACGTGAACCTCCAGCTCGAATCACCGACTTTATGTCCGATGAGATGACAGTAGTTTGCAGAACACAACTCCCGCAAGTTAAAGGTGAGTTGTTTTTCTGACTGCCGCAAAGGTTCCATAGTTGGCAGCCCGCTAATCAGGCTCACAGAGTGGACTGAGATCCAGTTCCACAAAATCAGTCTAGCTTCAGTGGCTGAAGTGTCAGCCCGAGTGTTTCTGGGTGAAGATGTATGCCGCAATCCAACATGGCTGAAGCTCTCAATAGATTACACAATGGATGTGGTTCTCGCAGCTCGTGCTCTCAGAATGTGGCCTCGATTCCTCGTGCCAGTGGTTCACTGGTTCCTCCCAGAAACTCGCAAAGTCCGACAGCAGGTGGAGGTCGCCCGATCGATCATCCAGCCAGAGATCGATGCCAGACGAAAGGTCAGAGCCGCTCAAGAAGCTCAGGGACTGGATACTTCCAAAAAGATCGACTCTCTTCAGTGGATGGAGGATACCTCCAAGGAACGTCCTTTCAACATCGTTTTCGGTCAACTGTTACTTACGTTTGCTTCGATCCACACTACATCCAATTTGCTTCAGAACGTGATGTACGACCTTATTGCAAATCCAGAGTATATTGATCTTCTTCGTCAGGAGATTATCGAGGTACTGAAGGACCAGTCAGACGGCTGGCAAAAGACATCTCTTCATTCTTTGAAGATGATGGACAGTGTCTTTAAAGAGAGCCAAAGACTGAATATTGTGAGCCTGGGTAAGTACCCGCAATCTAAAAACCCATGTCTAAGTATTTGCTCTGATATATTTCCCAGCTCTTATCCACCGACGCGTTGAGAAGACCACAACCCTCTCAGATGGAACAGTGCTTCCCAAAGGCTGTTGAGAACCATGCCTGAGGCAGGGTTCTCTCATCCGCAGGATTATCAACGCTACGCCTTTTTTGTCTTTTCTGCCGAAAAGCTCACCTTTGGGGGCCAAATTGAGGACTCCGATCCTCGGCACACAAAGGGGCATAAATAGCAGGAAAAGGCAGATATTATCTAGATCTCCAGACAATTCAATACTTCTATGAGAGACCCTATTCCTAGTATCATTTAAACCCATTATTGAACCCTATATACTATATCATACCTCTGTATCTTCAATAGGTTATAAGCCCGGCTGTCTCTAATAGCCGGAATACCTAAATTGCGTAGTATAGTCTATTTGCTATATTTGCTAGTAAATATTTACTTACCCCTATACACCTTTTTATCTGATCTTTGCCTAGACCTATATATATAGGTCCTTACCCTAGGATCTCTCTCTCCTTCTTATATATATCTTACCTCTTATTTTATACCTTACCTTTTATACCTATACCTCTCGATCTCTCGTAGATCTACCTATTTTTTTATTAATTTTATTATAACCCCTATTACCCGACGGTCCTAGCGAGATAGGGGGGTATCTAGTGTACCTAGTGTACCCTATATACCCTACGAACCCTCCGACTCCGACGCCGACCGACTAGACGAATTAGGGTCCGATAATAACTATAGTAGCGTCTTAGGTAAGGGTAGCGATAACGAAGGAGGAAATAATAGTCCTATAGCTCCCGCTAGTAATAGAAATATAGACCCTAGCTAGGACCTATAACGTCTAAACCCCGCGGATTAACTAGCTAGAGAACTCGAGTCGACCGAGTATCTCTATACCTAGTAGCCCTAAGGATTAACTAGGTAGCTCGTAGTAGGTAGACCCCCTACTAAAGTCTCCGAGTCTATCGAGACTAATATATAAGTCCTATTAATATAGATTAATAACCTAAACCGATTTAATCGAGATAGCTCTATATTCTCGCTATATAACCGCTACGCTACTCTAAAGAATAATACCCGAGAAGAGGAAGAAAACGCCCTTCGATACCTTAGTTTCACTAAGGACCTTAGGAAAATATTTAAAAGAAAAGAAGAATATAAAGGACTAAAACTTATAGGATTAAATAATTACCGTATCTAGGCCGCTAATATACGGTAAGTACTAAACTAAAACCTTCTCGAATAAGTTATCGATAGTAAGATAGGATTATTACCCCCTTCGTACGAGAAGTACTATATACTAAATATATAGAAGGGAGTAGCCTAGCTTACTATCCTAAATACTATATATCTAGACTTAGCGAAAAATATTATATCGCTAAGCCCTTTAGAACCCGAGCGTATCTAGTAGGAATTATAAAATTAATATAATATAAAGGATACTTTTACCGCTAAATAAGGCGCTATTATAATAAAAGTACTATATATATCCCGCGTCTATAACGTTAGAACCCTAATCGAGGTATTTAAGACTATATAGACTAATAAGACTATTATATATCCCCCGATTAAGAGTCTACTAATTAAGTTATAAGAAATAGATAAACTCGAAAAATATACAGAACTTATAGTATACCTAGATAGCCTAGAATAGTACCCGTAGAAGCTTAACTACGATAAAATAATTAGTAGATTAACTAACTAGCTAGACTAATACCTCTTTAATCGCCTATATAGTAAACTATAAAGAGAAGAAGATAACCTCGCCGCCGGAAAAAAGGTAGCTATAAGGACCTTATCTACGGAAACTAGTAAACCTATAAAACCGTAAGGACCCTATATATAATAAGGACCCTTAGGATTAGTATATACCTTCTATAAAAAGAAGGGGTATCTCGCTAAGAAATACTAGCTAAAAAACCCTAATTTAGTACCTAAACGGACTACGGAAACCCTAATTATATAGGTCGAATATAGTTACGAGGTATAAAACTTCTTAACTAATATCTTAATTAATAACTAGATCTATAATATAGCCTATAACGAATATATAATTAGCTCGCTAGACTATTTTATACTAGGTACTACGAAACTATTAACTACTATAATTAAAATAGCCCTAATAAACTAGCTAGTCTAAGATATAATTAGGGATATTAAGATTATAGTCGACGATAGGACTAAGTAAGGAAGAGATCTTATTCTTACTAGGACTATATATCTCCCTAAACTCCGTAGTAATCTTATCTCGTAGCCTAGGCTCGCTAACTATAAGATTATAGCGATATATAGAGATAAGATTATTTTCTAGAAACTAGATAGTAGTATTCTTATAAAAGGACTACGAAAAGGTAAAAATTAGATACTAAACGTTCGCTACGTATACCGATATTAGACCCTAGATCTAGAAACGTTAGTTTTAACGATAGTATAGGAAGTAGGGGGCGTTAGATACCTAAAAACTTAGGCTAATACTCCTATTTCCGCCGAAAAAACTATCTATAGATACTTAATTTCTTAGGCTAATAATATAGAGATTATCCTAAGAGACCCCTACCCCTAGCTAAGGGACCTAAGTACGTAAAAATTAGAAAACGCTATAAGTTTACCTAGCTAACTAGTGAAAGATACTATTCCGCTAAAAAAGGTAATATCTTTTTTACCGAAAAAGGGACCCTTTTCTTAGATAGAAAAGATAGAAATACTCGCTACCTATAAAGTAATAAAGATATAAAGGATAAACTTATCTAGTGACTTAAAATAATAGTCCTTAAAGACTACCTCGACTTCTCCTAGCGAGCTACCTACTAAGCTTAAAAAGGATAGGGTTAATATCGATACCTAGTACCGTAGACTATACTATATAGAGATTAAACCCCTATAGGAAATAGTAAAAATTATAGAAGGTATTAATATTATAGACCTACCTACCCCTAAAAGACCCTATAGCTACTACTAAATTAGAAAGGCCTAGCTCGTATCCTATAGAACCCTAGTTTTATATAGATCTAGTAAAATAGAAGATCTTATATATCTTAATTTAAGGGGCGGGGGTAAAATACCTAGAGATTAAGGAGGTAGCTACTAATACTAGATAATTAATATCGATAACTTCGATAGATAAGGAGAAATATAGTTTATCTTCTATAAAGACTTCGTTTTAGACCTTATAATTAAAATAGTAAAACTATATTCCGCTAAAAGGGAGATAATAATTAAGACTTTTATAACCCCCGATCTCCCCCTACTACTAATAATAGGAAGTAAAATACTACCGCCTAGTAGACTAGAGATCGGAGCCTTCTAATTAGATTACGGAGGAGAGTTTAATAACTTCCGCCTATAAAAATAAGCTAAGGATACTAATACCTATCTATATTTCTTAGTACTATACGTATATAGGTAAAATAGTAAAGTCGAAAGAATAATACGAATAGTATAAGAACGTATTAGAGCTATTCTCGACGATACTAGACTCCTAGATATACTATAGCCCGAACTAATAAAAATAGTAATAATAACCTATAACCTTACTATCTATTTCGGTAGAAAAAGAGATAGTCTCCTAAACTAGATACTATATAAAATATAATTCGGTAGAAAATCTAATATCTTATTCCTATAGATACTTAGTAATAAGGCTTACGTTATAAGAAGCCCCGAAGAGATTAAGGCTATAGTTAGTATATTAATAAGTAGATATTTATAGCCCCGCGCCTAAATAGATAGACTCGTTAGGTATAGTAGCTACTATAGTATATAATACCGTATCTAGTATCTAAACGTAGATAGAAATAGGGGAGAGATTATAACCCGGAGAGACGTTATTTTTAATAAAGGAGACGACTAAACCCTATATAATAATCCTAATCTCCTAGTCCTACTAGAAACCCTATAGTCGGTAAAATAGTCTAAGTTCTTATTCCTAGACTCTAAGGACTTTATAGACCCTAAGAACCTTATAGACCCTAAGAACCCTATAAATAATATAAACTTTATAATTTCTTCCGCTAAAAAGACTCCTATAACTTCTTCCGCCGAAGAAAGCACCCCTTTTTCGGACTCTAAGGGAGATCTTAGACTTATCGATAAGAGTTCTAGTAACGAATTAGCCCTATTAGCTAATCTACCGAGACTATCTACTAAAGAACTCGCTAACCTTAATTATAAGATCTAAAATAAGGTTTTCTATACTACTATATTATAGGTAGATAAAAAACGTATATAGGATCTAATATAATATACTACTATCTTATATACGTAAGCTAGACTAACCCTATTATCTAAGAATCTCCTAATCTTACCCCTACTAATAATCCTAAAAAATATAGACCCTAAATAGATAGAAGACCCTAAATTAGTCCGATAAATACGTAACTTACCCCTTTAGCCTTAGTAGTACCGCGCTATAAAAATCGAGTTTAAATAGCTTAGTTTAATTAAAGCTTAGGAGATAATCCCTACCCCTATACCCGCCGAGAATATATATATCCTTACTAATAAGTAGGTATATAAACTAAAACTCGACGCGGATAGAAACCCTTTAAAATTTAAGGCTCGCTAGGTAGTAAGAGGTTTCTAATAATAGGAAGATCTAGACTATACCGAGATCTTTATTAGTATAGGTAGCTATATTACGCTATAGATCCTCCTTATTATAATCACGTAAAAAAAGCTTTTTACCGCCTATATTAACGTAAACGTTATATATCTTAACGCTACGCTAAAAGAGAGACTCTTAATATACTACCCCGAAGATTTCGAAGATAATACCGATTTTTTAGAGATCTAAGGTAAAGTCTACCTCCTAAAAAAGAGTCTTTATAGTCTAAAATAGTTAGTAGTAAACTAATTTAATATATTAGGGGACTACTTATTAACGAAAGACTTTATACGATCTACTTCCGACCTATATCTTTATACGTAGTATAATTAAGGGGGCGTTAGTATAATCGTCTATATTTTTATATACGTCGACGACCTTTTAATTATAGCTTCTATAGCGGATCTCGTTAAAACTATAAAGGACCTTATTTCGATAAAATAGTTTACGTCGGACCTTAGTAAGCTATCCTACTATCTTTTAATAAAAATAGTATATAATAGAGAGGCGGGAAAAATAATAATTTTATAAAAAATATACGTCGAAAGATTTTTAAAAACCGTAACTTTAAGACCTATAATCCCTTTATCTATTATCCTAATAAAGAAAGAGACCTTTACCGCTATAAGTAAGGTAGTAAAATAGTACTAATCCGATATAGGCTCGATTAACTATACTAGTATAGTTATACGTCTAGACCTCTTACTTATAGTAAGTATACTTTCGTAGTTTACTATAAACCTAAACGCTAAATACGAGGATCTAGTATAAAGAGTAATTACTTATATAGAATATATTAGCTATTACGTAATTATATACTAATCTAGACCTAATTAGGACCTCTAGGGGTATATCGACGCCTTATACGGATTAGCCCTAGAAAGTAAAAGTAGGACTAGGTATATCTTCTTCTTTATAGGGGGTCTAATATTATAGAAATCTTAAAAGTAGACTAGTATAGTAAAATTAAGCGCCGAAGCTAAATATATAGCCCTCTTAATTACTAGCGGAGAGGTAATTTAGCTACGAAAACTACTAAAAGATCTTAACTTTTACTAAGGAAGTATAGACCTCCCCCCTATCCCTTTATATAGCGATAGCTAGTCTACGATTATAATAACGAAGAACCCTACTATTTTAGGACGTTTAAAATATATCGATATATACTAGCACTAGATCCGCGAGTAAGTTAAAAGAGGAAAAATTAAGCTTATATATATAAAAGGGACTAAAAATATTATAGATAGACTAATAAAGCCCCTCGGGGCTCCTAAATTTATAGAGTTTATTATAGGTTAAACCTCGACCCTAAAATATATAGACTTTCGGTAGAATAAACCCTTACGTCTTTCGTAGTGTAAAACTACGTCTTTCGTAGTGCAAAACTACTAGTTTTACACCTTCCTATAGTCTAAAAGCTACACCTTTTAACTAAGAAACCTTATTTATCTTAGTCCCTAACAATATAATCTTACGATATACAACGGCTATACGTTAAGGGGGCGTGTTAAGAACCATGCCTAAGGCAGGATTCTCTCATCCGTAGGATTATCAACGCTACGCCTTTTTTGTCTTTTCTACCGAAAAGCTTACCTTTGGGGGCCAAATTGAGGACTCCGATCCTCGGCACATAAAGGGGCATAAATAGCAGGAAAAGGCAGATATTATCTAGATCTCTAGACAATTCAATACTTCCATGAGAGACCCTATTCCTAGTATCATTTGAACCCATTGTTGAACCCTACATGCTGTATCATACCTCTGTATCTTCAACAAAGGCGCTATGACCACCACTCCCACCATGGAACGCATGCTGGATCTAGAAATCTATTACGATGCTGACAAGTTCATTGGTCGGCGATACTATGATTTACGGCAACAACCAGGAAACGAGAACAAAGGACAATTTGTCACCCCGACTCAGGACCACTACGGCTTTGGCTTTGGAAAACATGCTTGCCCCGGGCGGTTCTTCGCCTCCAACGAATCTAAGGTCATCATGATTCACTTGCTCATGAAGTATGATTGGAAATTCTTGCCCGGACAAAGCCGTCCAGAAAAGAAGACCATTGGGCATGAGACGATGTATAGTTCCGATGTGAAGATTATGTACAAAGCGAGAAAGTGCGAGATCGAGTTCCCAGTTGCGTAAAGCCAACAACGATAAATCATTGGAATTTGATCGTCTCTATTGAGATGATATTCGTGCTTTCTACGGCTTTGCCCTTTTGGCAACGCAGTTGGGATCTGATTATTGGCAACAAGTACGGCAGGATATAGCGTGAAATTGGACGGGCAATTGATTTATTCAGTATCTTTGTATTCCCATCAGAGATAAACCTTGTATGCCTCTTTTCATGTCTACATAACGAAATGCCCCTAAAATGGTGCAACAAGAGAGAGAGAAAGAGAGAGCAAAGTAGGATAGATAGCACAGAAAGGGAGCCCTCAAGTGATCTCAGAACCCCACCAAATTATGAACATAGGCTATCTAATTAGTCCACCACGTATATGTGAATCAACGAGCTCATATGCTCCTTTCCTACAGGTAGAGATAGCCATCAGATCGTACTACAGAGTTTTGGTTTCAGGACTGCGCCCCGACGGCACATCAGAGGAGCGAACTGGTGTATACCTCGGCGCCAATGAGTTATGCATACCTCGGCAGGACCATGTCCTATGCCCCAGGTTCTTCAACGTTGGCAACCTCTTTGGGATCGGAGTAAGCTAGTGGGTCCCCCGGAGTGTGGCGTTTGTGGGGTAACGCACCTGCAGGTTACAGGGGTATCTCCTGCACTAACCCAATCCAGGGCGGGCATCGGATAGGATCTCATTCCGCCGACTACGTTCTTCCCAAGTTGGCCTGAATTGCATAAATCCCCTTACAGCTTCAGTCCCCGCAGTATCCCCGCAGCCGGTGGTAGTTCTAGATAGGTATATTTTGACGAAAGGATTCATCAATCCTCTTCCCAATGGTAAACAGTTTCCCTCCATATCCTGAGGTCATCTTGAATCTGGGGCTCTTACGCGTTTTGACTAGAAAGTGAAATCTCCATGATGGAAAATTATACAGCTGGGAAGGTCCTTGATTCGCAGGCTCCCTTTGATGTTTCGAAGGTCGCAGGGAAGACGGCTATCATCACCGGCGGTATGTGGACTGTCTGATATGATGGTGAATCCTCTAATACTTTTCCTTTCATAGGCGCGAGTGGTATCGGAGAGGCATACACCAAATTACTCACTCAAGCGGGGTCCGTCGATGTTCTGCCCCTTAACTTCCCTCGAAATAGCGGGTATTCTCATACTGACACACTCGCTCTATCTAGTGCCTATGTTGTGATCGCCGATCTTAACCCCGAAACTGGAAACAAGCTGGCTTCGGAACTTGAAAGGTGAATTGGTCATTGATAATACACAAGAAAGAAGTGCTGACAGTTCCAAGGACTAAATTTGTCAAATGCGATGTCACAAAGTGGGAAGACCAGGTGAACCTGTTCAAGGAAGCCGTCAAATTCTCTCCCACAGGACGAATTAGCATAGTCGCAGCAAATGCAGGCCTCGGAGGTACCAACGACTCAGTCTGGCCACCTGAGTGTATGTCTTGTTCTCGGCTATCGCCTTCGTGGAAGATGTGCTAATCTAGTGAATCTCAGTGGATGCCGATGAGCCCACCAAGCCCGCTCTCAGAATCCTGGACGTCAATTTGACTGGAGTGATCTATACCACCAAACTGGCAATATTCCATTTCAGACGCCAATGGGTAGCCGAGCCAGCTGCGAAACATGAAACCTCTCTCGTCATCGGGGGCTCCCTGGCCGGATACTCGGATATGCCTCACTTGATTGAGTATTCCACGTCCAAGTTTGGTATTCGCGGCATGATGCGATCACTCAGACGCACGGAATGGAGATTCGGCACCCGCGTCAACTATATCGCTCCCTGGTATGCGGCTCTCATTATACTGTCCCTTTTCTATAGATGCAGTTTTGCTCATCCGTTCCCAAACACAGGTTCATCAAAACCCCAATGATGTCGAATCCCGAAGCGCTGGGAGACGTCGAGTTTGCTGAAGTCAGCGATGCCGCGGATGCTTTTATGCATATTGTCAGTGATTCTGATGTCGCAGGTGAGTTAACGCATTCCTTCTGCCAAAAGGGATTGATAATTGATGCGCTCGGCTTCACGAACAGGGCGAGCTATTTCTATTGTTCCTCGATCCATCTCGCCTCGCGGCTACATAGACTTGAAGACGGACGATGATGATTCCGAGGTTCTGACCAGACTGGAGAAAGGACTGTCAAATTCTATCTTCAGAAGATGATGGCTTCAATGAAGCAGATTGGGGGACTAGCTGATATATTTACGTTTTTATTTGTCGCGATCTTGCTCGTATACAACGCTATGAGATCTAACAATCATATATACATGTGAGTCCCAGTGAGCATATGCCTATTTATTCGCGCACGCGTAATCTAGGAAAGCCCTTCCAAGAAGGCAAGATAAGGTACATTTAAACAGCAGGTGAGAACCAGCAAAAACGAGCTTTGGTTGCATCTTACCTTGAAATGAACCTTGGCAGAAACAGAGTCCATTGTGAATACGTTCGGGGATTGCACACTTGCATGTTTAGTCCTTGGTAGGTAGTCTGGGAATGAATATGGATTACTACCACGAGGCATCCTCCTCGTGACTATAGCTTAGTCCAGCCCGCTCTATAAAGCAATAGGAAAGTAATATTGTGTTTGTTCCAACCAAGTGCGATATATCTATGGATAAAATCTCCCATTTCCGAAAGAGGCCGAGAACAAGAATACATGTAGGTATGTATCGGGCAGCCGCAAAGATACACCAGAAAAACATGTACGAACAGCACCGTATCTAACAAACCAGAAAGATCAGGAATATGCATAAATGAAAAAAGAAAGTTCGGTCGTGTCGATCGTATACAAAGGCTTTTGGATATTCCAATGCAAGAAAGAAAGCAGAATCGGCAAATGAGAAAGAGGAAAGTTTCGAGGCTATACTGGATAATTATTGGATCATATGGCCCATCTTCGAGATCTGTCGAGGCAGAAATGTTAATATCATGCCCAAAATGTATGATGTTTTGCATATGTACCTTAGTCTTCAAATATCCCTCAATTTCAGAGCTCTTGATTCCTCTCTGGCCGCCAGTCCGCCATGCTAGTGGAATCATTGGCACCCGCTCTTTTACAAGGACTTCCCGGTTGTGGCCCTCAATAGCGCGGACTTTATCAGGGTTATTTGTGAGTAAACGAATGCCCTCTGGAATGGTATCCGCGCCACAGCCCAGATCTTGCAAAATGGCCGTAGCCAGTCCATAGCTTCGGGCGTCGGCCGGATGCCGGAGCAAAAGGTTTGCCTCCACGGTATCGGACCCAAGATCTTGGAGATTATATGCCTTCAACTTCTCCCCAAGACCGATTCCGCGACCTTCTTGTCGCAGATAAACAATTACACCACCCGTCGATTGTGACGAGAGTGACTGAACCTCTGGTGGTGCATCAGAAGCAAGATCCTCGACCGGGAAAGACATCAGGCGCGCCGCCTCATCCAATTGCTCGCCGCAATCGCACCGGGCCGACCATGCTGTTTCTCCCGTATAACATTCCGAGTGGATTCGCACCAGAGGTGGCTCGACTTGCGTCGGTGTCGCCACTGATCCACCTTGCTCGTCATCATATCGGCTGCTGACTCGGCCCGGATGCAACTTCCCCACGTACGCGCCGCGGATCATCCGATCCATCTCCGTCTCCCCTGGCTTGACGCTGTCCAAACTCCGACTGCGAATGTTATTTCCAAACACAATGGCCAAATGTTCTTTTCCATCTAGATCATTATGGTAGAGATGGAGGAACATCTCCGCTCCATTGGTTGTTGGGATTCGCGCGCGCACAATACATTCCACTGCTGGGAGTTGTGGGAGTAATTTGGGGCCCTTAGCATGCTGGCTCTTATGGTGAATATCTGCTGCCTGGTTCTGATGTAGGACTGCTGTGGGATTCAGATCTATGTTCAGTGTGCCGCCGGGAGTGGCAGGTGGGGTGAATGCGGGTGACAGCAATGACTCTGGTAGAGCCGGGGTATGGTCGCCTGCTACGCTGCTCCCCTGGCTTGCATCGTCCGATAGTCCATCTGGTCTGATCGGGATCGATTGCGGGGGAGCTTGGGTGAGGCGTGGGCCGGTAGATCAGCCATTGCGACTGTTGGCGGAGAGGCGGGGTATTCCGAAGGTGCGTGTGAGACTTGCTGCAGGAGGTCTAGAGTGCAGGGGTGGGGATTGGGTAGCGCAAATGCATCAAACCGATTGAGAAATCAAGTCGAGTCTGTGATAAGGAAAGAGTTCAACTGCAACGTAGATTATGTCGGCAATGTTCCCTCGGCATGTCGGGAGCCCTCCACGAGGAGAAAGCTGAGTCATCTCGATGTCACCGCTTACTCTAGCACATTCTCTCGCGGCAGGTGGATTAGCATTTTTAGTCAGGATTTCATTCCTTCCGAACTTCTCATGATATTACAATGTGGTATCGGGGTTTAACATTTTATAAACTATAGAATGACCATCTAGGTATACGCTGGTCAGATAGCATATGTATACACAAATTGGGTGTTTCCGAAGTGACGTCTTTTCGCCTATCTATTAACTTGACAGCCGACATCGGGACGAGGATGATACCGCAAACAATCGCGCCAAACGCCACGCCATTAGAACCTTGCACTATGAACGTTCTTAGCAAATGAAATGGTACGGCCATTTTCAATGCTGACAGCTCGCGTCTCCGACTTGAACAATAGAGTGGAGCATCCGAGCTTAAGCCGTATGTAACTTGTAAGAACCAGAGCCGACAATCTGCCCATACAAGAGAATGTCATACATACATATTGGTTAAGCAGATTTCACCGGAGTCCAACATCTCTATTCACCCTGCACGCTTCTCTGGAGACCTGGATGGTAGGCTCTCTAGTGTATAGCACAAGATAGCCGGATAAGTTTATTTCCGATCTCTTGATCGAGGCTCTTGACCTTACATTACGCCTCGTGTGGCAGCCCTGGAGAGTTCTGAAGTTTCTGAACATGAATTCATTGCGCTATTGGACTACGTGCATCATTGGCAATATCGAGCTGCATGGCAATACTGGACATATTTCAAATCAATATAAATAGAACCTTTCAAGTTCTAGAAAAGATTTTGTTCTTTCTCACTAAAGTATCTAGTCAAGATGAAAGCACCCATATCCATGGTAAGCCTTCGAACTCCAGATAGCGCCTCGCTTAATTGGTATCATCATCACATCAGTTCGTAGAAACAGAATGGACTTATTTGCCCGGGATATCCAGCACGAAACGCCGGTCAACTTCCATCTCCTTATCGTCCTCCTCGCCTTCAAATTTGAGGCGGTAGACATCCTTCCTTGAGCCCATCACCTCCGCACGATAGAAGGTAGTAGTATCTGGATATCGCGCAAGGACCTGCTTGCCAGCCGGGTACGCAGCCAAGTGCGTATTGATTTGTGGAATGGGAATGAGAGACACAGCAGTGGTTTTATAAACCGCCCCTTGTTCACCATTCTCATTTGGCTCGGGATCCTGCACGTCATATCTGAAAATACAACATGGACCCGTCAGTTCAACCCTATCACAAAACGGAACCCGACACTTACCGCTTCTTCGGTCCGTCGCCCGTAACAGCCTTGATTATGCACTGGATCCCCTCACCCTCCACGCCCTGTTTATTCTTGTTGTGCTTGAACACGACCTGGGCGCCCACCACCAGCAGACCACTCCGCTCCGCGGCAGTGCCTTTCGTCCCCTCTGATGACCCTTCCTCGATCTTGACCATGATATTATCCTGGCGACCGCCCTCGCGCGCTTGTGTACTTGATGAGACGCTCGCACTGCGCGGAGCAGCCCCCTTCGAGCGTGCGGACTTATCAGCCCCCGAGGCGCTGGGAGAATCGATCACCGAGCCTTCGACTTCGTTTCTTTTCTTGCGGGATTTGTTGAATGACGCGGATCGATTTGGCGGCGCCTCGGCCTCGGATGCCTTGCGCAATGCAGTAAGCAGTTCTAAATTTTTAATTACATCGCATGGCTCGTCCTGCATGATGGCGCGCTCGTCTTCGCTGAGCTTCTGGCTCAGGCGCAGCCAGCTATCGAGTTGATCGTGTTCGGCCATGGTTGGTTCTGCTTGGAAGATACAATATCAGTATATGCGATACCATCATGAGCTCAGCGTCGTATCATTTACAGCGATGCGCATATCGGAGCTTTGTGTTGGGGGCCGAGGGATCTACTTCGAAGTGCGGGGAACTCACTGTTTCCATCATGGGCAATCTTGTCTACCAAAGCTTTGATTTGAGCCGATAATGAAGTCTGTTGATCAAATTTGTCTTTGGATTTTCGAATATCCTGGCAAATTTTGGTCCAGAGCTCCAATTCCTCGTTATTGCCAAAGCCGTTGTCCCTAGGACGGGGACGGTTGCGAGACATTTTTGGTCCGATTAGCAAGACTGCGTATGCAAATTTCAGGGAAGTAAAAGTAGATTCCCAGAAATCCGGTCTTTAGATCTCCGACTCCAAGGTGTTTGCTCAAAAGGGCGTTGATTTGAAGGCTGGAGACGCGGTGATAACGCCTCTCCGACTGCCGGGCGGTCGGGGTCGATACGCTAAGCCACTTTGGGCCATAACATGGTAGCTGTATCAACATCGTGGTTGTCTTTCAGTAGATCGATTTGTTGTGAAGGGATGTACCATAAATATACTCCAGGTAGCTTATGAGGAGAGTCTCGATGCGGAGGTCGATATTGGTCCCAGCTTAGGATGGTTGCGGAAGTAGCTACATGGACCGGGGAGCTCCGTACCTGATTAGGAATGACCAGATTAGGACACTCCGTACATCTTTGGCGAAGCAACAAAAAGCAGGAAATCTCCCGAGCTATATCAACTCCATTTTCCCCCTGTATCCATCCAACCTGGTACGATTAGTGTGTCATAGAAGACATTGCCCAACATCTCTCACCGAAGGCTTGGCGGGGAATCTCAAAACCGGCCAAACCGGTTGCCCCTCTGTTTTCTTCCCAAACATATTTCAAGATGCAGGTACCACTACTTAGACTGCAATGCGGTAAGTATTGAGATACATCTTATGTCTTGAAGAGAAATATGGCTGACAAGCTTCCCTCTCAGGCGTTAACAGCTACGATTGGGGTGAGTTAGTATGAACTTACGATACTAGGTTCCCGCAACTGATCTCCCATAGGCAAGGTCGGCCAAGAGTCGGCAGCAGCCAAGTATGCGGCCACAACAGCTGCTCCAGATTTCACCATCGAGGCTGAGAAGCCCTATGCTGAAGTAAGTCAAAACTTCAAAGTAATATTGGACATGGGCTCATAAGTTCTTAGCTCTGGATGGGTACTCATCCGTCTCTTCCGTCCAAAGATGTCGAGACTCAGCGTACTCTCCTCGACATGGTCCAAGATAACCAGGCTCTTCTGTCAACGGAAATTAGTGAACGGTTTGGAAGCAAGCTCCCTTTCCTGTTCAAGGTGCTTTCTATCCGTAAAGCACTCAGTATCCAGGCCCACCCCAATAAGAAGCTTGCAGAGCAGCTTCATGCACGGGACCCCAAGAACTATCCCGGTAAGTCTTAATTGAGACCAGGCTCAAGATACAAGCTTCTGGATGCAGAGCTGATCAATTGTCAGATGATAATCACAAGCCCGAGATGACCATTGCCATCACTCCCTTCGAGGGTGTCTGTGGCTTCCGTCCTCTCGCAGAGATCACCCATTTCCTGCAAGCTGTGGAGCCTTTGCGCACTCTGGTTGGCGAACAGGCAGCGAGTGAATTTGAACAGCTCGTCAAGGGCAATGAGAACTCAGAAGATGCCACTGTCATCCAAAAGAATAAAGAAGCGCTACGCTCGCTCTTCACTGTCCTCATGGAGTCCCCAGCCGAGAAGGTCGAGAAAGCCTGCAATGACTTGATTTCGATCGCAGAGACCAGCCCTGACAACTTCGCAATCTTGTCTGGTGAGATGGAAACGAATCCTACCAACCCCACCGAGCTGGCTGCCCTCGCCAAGCGTCTGAACGGACAGTTCCCCAACGACATTGGCCTCTTCGTCTTCTTCTTCCTGAACTTCGTCAAGCTTCAGCCTGGTGAGGCTATGTTCTTGAAGGCCGACGATATTCACGCATACATTTCTGGCGATATCATCGAGTGCATGGCTTCCTCGGACAACGTTGTGCGAGCGGGTTTCACGCCAAAATTCAAGGATGTGGATACTCTCACTCAGATGCTAACCTACTCCTACGCACCCATCGAGGAGCAGAAGCTCCAGGCTACAGATTACCCGTACGCCATCCTGAATGCCACTGCATACTCGAGCGCGTCGTCCGCGATGCTCTACGACCCTCCCATCGATGAATTCAGCGTTGTCAAGTCCGATCTGAACCGCAAGGGTGCCAAGGTGACTTTCGACGGTATCACTGGCCCAAGCATCCTGATTTGCACCCGTGGCAAAGGCAAGATTACTGTTGGCAACAAGACCGAGGAGGTCCAGGAGGGCTACGTGTTCTTCGTCGGCGCTAATGCCGAATGTGCCATCGAGAACACTGGCAGCGGCGAGGGCGACGATGATGTCTTCACCACCTACAAGGCATTCTGTGATTTGACTGCGTCCGGTGAGGCAAATTAAGTCAATGATCACGAGTCAATTTCTAATCTATGGCGTCAAGATGAAAAAACCCGTTCTGCGATCGGCGCAAACCTGTGAAGTGCACATGGAGGATAATGATGACATTCTGGTATGAACAAATAGGAGAACGAAAAACAATGAAACAACCGATGCCGAGCATGGAAGCGCTCAGTCCCTTGTCATCGTCCAAAATGATCTCCAAGAACATTCTGTGCCACTGCGTCCGCAAGTGCCCGGTCTCTGTATCAATAGTGACCCGGCTTTCATCGTGTAGAAGAAGTAGTCATCATAGTGAAATGGATTTTCCGTATGTAAGCTGCAATTTCTTCCAATGTGTCGTACGATCGAACGAGATTCATCTCTGCCTACTTATTCTACCGGAGACATACGTCTTGGAACGGCAAGATGATATGCCCTGTGGTTCTTCTGCAATTGGGTGTAGCATTCAGAACAATGTCCGTCGTTTGTGAAGGAAAACGGATTCGCAGACCCTATAGAAGTTGTTGGATTTCTCCAACGCTCGATTGTAATTCGCCCATGTCTATGGATGGAGATTGTCAAATCTCCTTGGACTTCACTTTCCGAATCATTATACGAGAAGTCCACATCGCGGTAGAGATGGTTCGTGCTTCTGAATAGGGCGATGTAAACTGCAGTTGGAGGCCATGGATCTCGCGATGCTTGTCCACCGGGGATGCCTCATATCCCGGAGGATTCGGCTTTCTTGGTTTGAATTCTTCCCCTGATCGCGTGTGCGATGAGAATGGGGAGAATTTCCCTCGTGTGGTGAATCTAACAGATGAATGTGTTCGCAAATGTAGCAGTTGCTACCTCAGAGTGGGCAAGTGGCCCTTGAATGAGGATGATGTGAGAAGGATAGTCGTAAGAAGGCTATGGTTTTGTTGACAGACCTGCGCCGGAAGTTAGGAAACACTCAAGGAAAGAGCGTTCGTCAATAGCGAATACGACATAGAGGCTAAGTCCTTACCTGTATGACACGTTTGACATTGGCATGGTCATGCTTAACGATCTCTAAATATTACTCTATCTCTTCATACTTACTCGGTATATCAAAGCGAGAGGAAAGCAAAAGCAAAATGAGAGGACAAGAATCCACATAGGATACCTCAAATAAGCCTAGTTTTCTGATTAATAATTGATTATCAGTATGATCTATAGACTTGGAGAGCCATATACTCCGTGCCTATAGCGCGCAGGGGTCGGTTTCAATTGGAATCGAATTTGTTGAAAATGCCTCGCTTTGGCCCATTACAGTATTGTAAATCATAGTCCCCTATTTGAAACTACCTAGATATTCATACCATATATATCTTAATAAAAGAAGAAGATGTCTGTGGGCGAAAGACTTCTAAAAAGACCACCAAAAAGTCCACTCAAAGGCCATAAACGTGGCCGACTATATGAAAAGCTTCGTTTTGCCTAGGCACTTATTACCCAAGGTCCGTGTCGTTGTAATCTAATGTTTGGCAGCCCACATCCAAGATATTCAACATTTTCGAGTTCAATTGAAACCGACCCCTACGCGCTATACACTTTCGTAGGCATAGGTATGAAGACTGAGGCGGTAGGGGCTAGACCTCAGCTGAATGTTCCGATCCTTCAAATGATATCCACACGAGAGTCTATCTTCAACTTGCAGCCAAGTTCATTACACTCATCATTCAAATCTCTTCTAGCTTCCCAGAATCCGGACCCCATAGGATCGTCGAATATAGCACTCAGCTAGGCATGCTAAATAATATCATGATTCGACCCGCCTTCCTCGGACGAACGGCATCCAGTTGCAAGATTACGATGCCACAGTTAACCCAGCAACGAGAGGTCCCAAAATTGCTCCAAGTCGGATCAGTCCCCATTTTCTACTAGCTTGCAAATTTTCACTAATGGGAGCCGTGCTTCGTGGACCTCAATACACACCGGTCACGCCTTAGCGCTTATCCACCATGTGCTTCCAGGGTTACTCCACAGGTATAAGGCGCGCAGCATCTGCAATGGCAGCTGAAAAGCTCTCTAAGGACCCGTCTCTTGACTCTGCGCCAGACCCACTTATACATCCAATCATGCATTCCACTCTGTCCTATATACCCAACAGACCTAGGAACACTTCCCAGGAATCCCTGAGCATATCACGATCCACCAGATCTACATATGAAGCCAATCAGCGCCTGGCGGCTCCACGTCCGATAGGTTCCCCCACAAAAGCCGAGGGACAGGAAGAGCGGGGAGGATCCATAAAGCCAAGATCGGACTTTCAGCTCAATTCTCCTGTTCCGATCCGATACATAGCCGAAAGGAGAGCGGGGAGAGAAGCTATAAATGCATGGCCTCCTTGCAGCTGAACCTCTCCGTGGGTTCTTCTGTTCTAATTATCTCTTTGGATTATCTTTCACTTCAACCGCAAATATGTCTAAACCGGAGGCCGTCAAGATCAGCTTCTGGGAGAAAGTCGATCTCCCTTTCCTCCAGCTGTCCGTGTATGCTACCATGATGTACGCTGCTGTCACTGGTGTTTTCCGGGGTAAGGCTAGCCCTAAGCGCTACGACCACTACATCGTGGCCTCAGTGGTGCGCAAACTGGTTGATCGAAGCTCCAGTCTACAAGCACAGTACGTATAGTCCGCTCCGCAATCGTCCAATTGAGCATATTTCCACGCGAGATATTTTCAAAATCACAATGCTCACATCGCTATAGATACGCCCAACCAGGCACATCAGACGTCTACACCGCTGTGATGAAAAAGCGCGGTCTGGATGCCGAGACCGTCCAACTCCCCCACGACACAGAAGGCCACTGGCTCGGAAACAAGAACGCCAAAAAAGTCATCGTATACTATCACGGTTCGTCGCCCAAATACCAACCCCCCTGACCTGATCCCCCCATAAAAAAAACACGATATACTAACCTTCACCAGGCGGCGGCTTCGCTCTGCCCTGCACACCCGCACACGTCGAATTCTGGCTCGACATGATCCGCGCCCTGAACGACAACGGCCACGACCTCGCAGTCTTCTTCCCGCGCTACACATTCACCCCGCACGCAACATACCCCACCCAGCTGCGCCAGGCCGTCGAGGCTCTGCGCTACGTCCTCTCCACCGGCCGCGCACCAGGAGACGTGATCATCGGCGGCGATTCCGCAGGCGGAAACCTAGCCACCGCAACACTGCTGCACCTCACACACCCGCACCCGGAGATCGAGCCCGTGGCGCTGGACGCCCCGCTGGCGGGCGTGTTTGCGTATGCGCCGTGGGTGAACTTCAGCACCGAGTGGCCGTCCATGAAGGAGAATCAGTGGAAGGATATTATCACTCCTAGTAGCTTGAAGAAGTGGTCGAAGGATTATTTGGGTGGGGAGGAGAGGGATAATTGGAATGAGCCGTTGAATGCGCCGGAGGAGTGGTGGGTGGATGTGAAGACGGAGAAGATGTTGTTTTTGGTGGGCTCGGATGAGATTCTGCTTTCGCCGATTGAGGTGTTTGCTAATAAGGTGAAGGGGGTTTTCCCTGAGACGACGGTTGTGGTTGCGGAGGATGAGTCGCATGATGCGCCGTTTTATACTATGACCAAGGAGGAGACGAAGAGTGGGATTGAGTTGCGGAAGTGGTTGGGGTCGCGTTTGTAAGGGGGTTCTTTTGCCGGGCGCTTGGTTGGTGTGTGGGATTGAGGATATGGGTTTTTTTTTTACATGTAGTTATGTTTTCATACCAGGTTACGGATAATTGATAGTGTGCAAGATTGAATGGGTCGTGTCTTTTCATAAACAAGCAGGGCAGGCTCCCCTGGCTTGGATTAAAACAAAACAACAAGTATATGGAGGAGCAATTACATTATTCTAGGATGACACCTTGGCAGAGAACTTGGCTGCCGCGGTATCGAAGAACTCGCTCTTCTCCTGGATATCGACGAGAAGGGGGTGCGCGGGCTGGACCTGCTGTAACCGGCTGGACGAGGGAGATGAAGGTTAGTGACAAAAGAACTATCTCGTGAGAGGCGGTGGGGGAACATACGACTCCAGTTCCTCGGTCTGCTTGCCAGCCAACACATTCAACACAATGCTGTTGGCAATCAACTCCACGTCGGTAGGGTATTGTTCAAGAGCGGCGGTAAGGGCAGCCTCAGCTTCGGGCAGACGACCCAGGTGGATCTCAGCGACGGCCTGGCCGACGATGGATAGGGGTGCAGAGGTGCCAGGAGCGGAGGCGAGTTCCTCGTAGACGTAGAATGCAGATTGGTACTTTTCGCCGCCCTATTCAACAGATACACATGTCAGCACACAAACAATTCACCCCAGATATCATGTCTTCGTGACGCACCACCCTCATGCCAACCCACGACTCAGCGACGTTGACCAGCAGCGAATCCTGAGCCCAGCGCTTGGCGGCCTGGACTTCCTTGAGCGCGAGGTCGGCTCGGTTCTGTTGGAGGTGAATCTGGACGATGATAGAGACACTAGAAGAGGCAAATTGTCAGATCAACATTCCATGATGTATTCTAGACCATTTGCGACGGTAGACTCACGCCTCGAGGTTACCCTGGTGCTTAGACAGCAGCGCCAACGCCTCCTCGCTGTGGCCCTGAGTCTGGAGCACTGTACCAGCCAGAACCTCCACGGTGCTGTTTTCGGGGTAGTTCTCGGCGAGCTCCTGTGCGAGCTGCAACGCAGCCTCGGACTTGCCAGTGGACTGCAAGGCCAGGGCCTTGACGGCCGACAGATCAGGGCTGTCTTCTTCAATAGAGGGTTCGGCGAGGCTTTCATCGAATTGGCCGAGGGCGATCTGGGCGCGGAGCCGGAGGACTTGGGCGGGAAGCTTGTTCTCTGCGGAGAGCGCCGCGGTATCGAAGTCGATCACATTCTGGTATTGGCCTGAGTGGAAGGCGCTGTGGATGTTGAGGAGCTCTGCGGGGAAGCTGGTTTAGCGTTGATCGGGTTTGTAGAAGATGCCGGGGAGCTTACCGCCCTCTGCGGAAAAGGGATCCATCTTTGCTGTAGTTGTGGGAGAATCGGTTGGAGGGGAATGGGTGTTGTTGATGCTGCGCTGTGGCCGCAGTTGTTCACGGTGGCTTTATGGCAGAGAGGCAACTCTGCCGAGATAACACGGGGCAGGTGGGCCGACCGCCTTCGATCTATACAACGTTGTTCTGTACATTAAACTACGACTTACAGCCATATCTACATATTCATAATCGAAATTGATAATTGTGGGTATATTCGCTTCTTCAGTATGTAAACGCTTGATGGTATCGAAATCGGATAACGCTAGTAACAGTGCGACGAGGCGGTAGAGACAAATTGGCGATATATGAACTGGGGCCTCGTTAAAACCAACTGAGTTAAAACCCTGTGGGATAAATCCCTCAGCTGGAAAGAGTGCCCCTTGCTATGGACTCGGTGTCGGTTGTGGCCACAGCAGACAAAGGTTGATTTTCCTCCCAAACAAAACTTTCACGTCGAAGTCCCAGATAGCTTTCCCTTCAATGCCCGACATGTCTTGCGGGCCTTGCTTGATATAACTCGCCCAAGAACCAAAGGGAGCCACTCAGGCTCTGCGGTTCCAGGCGAAGACGACGAGGTGGTGGAGGAGGCGTTGGTGGTGGTGGAAGAGGATCCCTCGGACGGTGGTGGTAGGGCTCCACAAAATGGGAGCATACAGCGCTCGTACTCCGTGTCGGTAGAAGTCGTGGTTACGGAGGCTCGATCCTCTTCGGGGAGCAAGTCGGCGTAGCTCCGTTCTCGCGGGTAATCTTGGCTGATTTGGTTGTGCAGCTCAAAAAGCGAGGATTCGTTGAGGTTCGGCCTCGAGAGTGGAGGTTCGTGCTCCAGCTGTAGCGGGAAATTCGTCCGCAGGTAGTCGAGGGAGGGTCGTCGTGATGGTGGGGGTGATTGGGTTTCTTCCGACTCTTGTTGGTCGGACTCGGCGTGATGGCGGTGGGATGCCATCTGGTGGACTTTGAATGTCCTGTGAATGATGTTAATATCCATTAGTATATAAATATTCATAGATGCTTACCTTGGGTCAATGCCCCCGTTATCTCCGGAAATGGCGTCAATCCAGTCGAAGGATGAGGCCTGCTCGTAGTAGGATTGCACGGTTGTCATCGTGCTTTGTTGTATATAGCCTTGTGTTGTTTGTGTTGTAAGGCTTCGTGGGTAGTGGTGTTGGTGTTGGAGGACTGATGGTCGATGCATCAACCTCTTGATGTTGATCGAGTATATTATATACTTGATATAAGGTTGGGTGTATAGTTGAATAAGGTTTGAAATACACCTGATGGAAGAGTGATGTAAAAGGTGGAGGAAATAGATGGAGAAGTAAGAAGAAAGAAAGAGAGAAATTGATTCAGCAGCCGTATATATAGAACAATTTCTAAAGTTCCGAGTTCTTCTTGGGAACGGAGGTCGAGCTCATAGACGCGGGTTTGGTTATAAGTCGTGCTTTCCCTAATCGAGGCAATCGAGGCTATATCCATGGTTCCCAGGATGAGAGATGTTTCGGAGCAGGTGAAAACATAGTCACAAGCATGAAAATGAGTCAAATAAATCTCAAAATTGGGAACGGCCCAAGATAGGCCAAACCTTCCAATGTGATGAAGAAGACGGGAAAACTGCAAGGAACATCTCCCGTGCCTAATCTGGCCACGGTGATATACATCATAGTTATGGCAGAGGATAGCGAGCGTCGAGGATGAGACGCCAGCGTTAGGAGAATAGGGCAGAACTATCGGAAGAAGAGGAGCTGTATAGCCCTGTGAAGATAGCGTGATGAACGTAGTCGATGAGCGGCATCAGATGACCCTAGAAATCCAGTATCATGAGTGGTGATGAGTTGTTCATTTGGATACAGGTCAAAACATCACGACTATGCTCTGTGGGAGTACTTAAGATACGCCTATGTTGCCAAACAAAGCTTGAAACGGTTGGATAGCCCCAGAAACCCCCAATAGCATGCCGTCTGGTATTTGACAAATCTCTCCACGATCCTCATATAAAATCCTAGTAGAACATCATGCTATCTTGCCCCGGCTCCAAAGATTGGGAGTAATGAGGCATCTACATTAAAATGTTTTCCAATTTAAGGATACGAGTTTGGGAAGATAAATACTGGTATATAAATTCAAACATCCAATCTGATAACCAGCCTCCAACCGGTATAGACCGAAAAACAAACCGTGCGGAGAAATGGTTCCTAAATATTGTTTTACTCCAGGACCGACTTGTAGTATCAACTTGCATATGGTATTCAGTACTGTGCAATGTCTGATCTTCAGGGTTTATATAAACGAAAATAGCCTTTTGGTGGAACAACCTCGGCCTTTCCCCGCTAGAAAGCGGAGGTTGATATCGACGCTGGGATTCAAAGACAGTGACGGCCTGAATATGATCGCATAGTTGTCAGCTCGGTCAGATTAAGATACAATCAGGCAATGGTTTTCTTGTGCTTCCCATCGATTATCCACCCATTATACAACCTGGCCACACCCCATCGTTCAAACGCGTCTTTTCAACAAGAGCAAAGGGGGTTTGGAAAACGGGACAGAATACTTCTCTCTGGGCTGTGCAACAGCTGAATTAAAATGACTTTTAGAGCCTTTTGTGAGCGAAGACCCTCCAGAGTACTCCGAGGCTTATCAGAAGGCCAAACAATCAATGTTTTTTAGGGCTAATCCGATGCCGAGTCGTTTGCCACCGAGAGATTCACGGGTCGGGTTGGCTGGAACCAAGAACCGAGTCTGGGCAGTCGTCTGTTTTTTTTCTCCTTTTTTCGAAGAGCAAAAAAAAAAGGATTAAAACATCGGCCTCGAATCTCTCGCCAGGTATCACTCGAACTTGGTCTTTTCCTGGAATGCGCGGATGAAAACTTTCAGTACTCCATACATTTTGCACCAGCCTCTACAGCAAATGCTTTGGCGAGTCATTTTTGATGCGTTTCCTTAAAAAAATCCCCGGTTCCCATAATTCCCCTCTTCTCTAGTCGCAAGGCTAGATCCTTCCATGGATGCCGGTTACCCGATCAGGATTTTTTCACTCTCCTTTTGAGATATTTAGCCGTCATCTATGTTGTATGGAGTAGGTATAGAAGGGTCTTGAAAGGCCGAATTGATAAAATATGGGGAAGCTGCCCTTTGAGCGTTAGCAGCTTGCGAGTGAAACAAGGAACGTGTTTCAGAGGCAGAGGTAGATCAGGAAAGCAAAGGAATTACCACTCGCTTAGGGACGATCCCATGGCCACCAACGTCCGCGTCAATAAAAGTTGACAGAGGAGACCACACATATTGCAAGGATTCCAGCGCCTGGCGTTTTAATCCATGCCGGCCCCTGATCGACCTGCTTGGCTATGGAAACGACGACTCCTGTGTTCGGTAGATATTAAGAGGAGCCCCGTTGCATTGAAAACCCCATTCTACTCTAGAGTGGTGCCACTTATGGCCTGTCAAGTATCCTAGTACGGAGTACTCCGTATGGTACTGAAAGAGAATCCTCAAGGCTCTAGAGGTGCTAGCGACGTACCAAGCCAAAGGAGGACCAGTGAATTGCGATTTGCGGTTCGTTTTGCCGTTTCAGGTTTGGCGCTTCGAGATGGGGTCTATGGATTCATGACCGGATATGCATTTGCTATGCACAGGTTTTGATCGAACAGATGTTGTTTGAGTCCGAAACCTCAGATCAGGATCGCCTGTCTGGATCAGGGCCAACAAAAACCCCGAGACTTGATATTCATTCGGCAAATTCTGCGATGCGTTCGGGAGCACACGGCTTGGCAACACGCTAAGTTACGTAGTCCGAGATCAGGATAGATTAACTATGGAGTACGGTCCACGATCAAGATCAATCTATTCAATCCACCTGTTTCAACCCCTTAATTTCATCTGATCGATCGGCATCGATCGTGGGAATGTTGAAAGGTCAGATGTCTGATATCTCTACAGACACGTTGGAGTACAACGGTAGAATGTGCTATATAGGCCATATAGTTACTAGTTAGTATAAACCTATGTCGAACGTATAAAGCGAGAGACGGACTGATGAGCGAAGAAAGAAGGGATCCAACAAGCCGTTTTAATATCGGTCGAAGAGCTAAACGATCTATCGCTTTCGGTTCATCTATATCCAACTCTTTTCAGTTAAATCCAATATACGTCCCCCGTCTCCTACCCCCACCTCTCTATCCACCCTGTCATTGCCGTCTCTACTTTAAATACGCCGTTTTCCTGATGCCTCTGCTGCAGTATCCAACTTGGTTTCTACCTTCTTTCGTTCCTTAAAGTGGGAAGCTTCATAGCTAGGCCCTGTCACTCATTTGATATCAATTCCAATACACTCTTTTGTCAACGCAGTCGATCTGCTTGATCTTGTCCTCCAAACTTCCCGGAGAAGTTTTTTTTATTCGGTCTGTGATCTACTCAGAAAATGCGTTCCACGCTTCTCTTTTCCTCCCTGGCGGCCAGCGCCTGTGCCAATGTCTTCGGAACGGTTTATGTGACCGAATGGACCACCACCACTGTCACCAAAACCTTCACCGAGTGGCCCAGCTTGAAGACCAACGGCCCTGTCAACAAGGGCACAGCCTCCATCCTGAATTCTGCCGTCAAGGAGGAAACTGATAGCCCCGTCTTGACCTCCCCTATCGTCGAGGTGGCTGCCGACTCCGACTCGACCTCCTCCGTCGCCGAGGTGGCTGCCAACTCCGTCTCGACCTCTTCCGTGGTCGAGGCCACTTCTAGCGTCGCTGCCACCTCTTCTGTCGAGGCTATTTCCAGCGCCGCTGCCACCTCTTCCGTCGAGGCCATTTCTAGCGTCGCTGCCACCTCTTCTGTTGAGGCCATTTCCAGCGCCGCTGCCGCCTCTTCCGTCGAGGCCATTTCTAGCGCCGCTGCCACCTCTTCCATCGAGGCCACTTCCAGCGTCGCTGCCACCTCTTCTGTCGAGGCAGCTTCTAGCCCCGCAGAAACCTCCGCCGTCCAGTCCACTTCCGCAGTAACCTCGTCTGCCTCTTCTACTGTCTCTGCTTCCGCCGCTCCCTCTGCCTCTGTCGCTGCCTCTAGTGGCGCTACCAACTCCTACGAGGAGATGGTCATTTTCAACCACAACATCCACCGCGCCAACCACTCTTCCCCCGACCTGACCTGGTCTCCCAAGCTCGCAGCTAGCGCCCAGACCCTTGCCTCCCGCTGTGTCTTTGCCCACGATGTGTAAGTATCTCATTCTTGATCTCTTGCGCAAAAAGCAATACTAACAAACCCTTTAGTTCCATTGACGGCGGTGGCTACGGACAGAACCTTGCATCCGGTATCGCTGCCGAGTATGTCGGCGCCGCCATCAGCAGTGCCTTCTACAACAACGAGGCACCCCGGTTCGCCGACGAGTACGGAAAGGCCAACCCCGATACTAGCTACATGACCTGGGGTCACTTCTCCCAGGTCGTCTGGAAGAGCACTACCGAGGTCGGTTGCGCCACCGCTGAGTGCTCTGGTCAGGCTCCTATCACCGTTTGCAACTACTCACCCCCCGGTAACTACGGCGGCATGTACGCAGAAAACGTCCTGGCACCCAAGGGCGATGCTCCCTACCAATTCCAGGCATAAGCGTCTTGGGACCTATAGAGCTGTTGAATTATGGAAGCCATATCTACAATTCTATCCCTAGGCGGGAGTGGTCTCAGAATGTGGACTATATTTATTTACTAGTCATCGAGCCCCATTCCTCCCCTTGATATCTCTTTATTAGTATTGCGCAATATGCTCTCTTTTTGTCCTCTGTCTTACGTTTATCTATGATATGTACTGCCTCGATCAGCGATCTCCCTCGGGGCCCTTCTCGATGATGTTCTGTCATTGGGACTAATACTATAACATAATTTACAAGCCAGTTACCTAACGTCGAAACATGTCCATCAATTAGTATGTAGTTCTGTAATCCTTCACGGTGTCACCACATTCCACTCGAAGCTCTGAATCTTCAGTAGAATAAGGGGTAGGATCTTATTGGCTGTCTAGTCTTATAAGAATCGATAAAGCATCACTATTCTAGCGGATCTTGCTCTACTCTCCAGCGTCATCTCACCAGGGATATCTTAACCTGAAGCACACGCTAACCAGAATCCCTTGCAGAAGTGCATATTAAAGTTACTCATCATATTTTAAATTGTTGTTCTATCTCATTATAGTGTGCAATACCATCGATGTCGCCATACATTGTCGTACTGTCTGACCTTTGTGGGAGGTGTGCCATAATCCATAACCTATTTTAGGGCTACTTTTCGGTCTGGCAAAAAGCACTGTATACAAGCTAGGAAGGAAATAAGATACCTAAAGCAAAAAGAGATATAGTAGTTCATAGCGCGCCGGGTTGCTTATATTTATTTGAAAGATGTTAGTGGAACTATCTACTAAAGATCACACCAGCTGAGCAGGAGACATAATGTCGATACTATAGTATATGAAGAGAAGAGTTCTTTCAAGAGTCTGTGACACTTTGAATGCCTATAAGAAGTGTTCATATACTATTTATATAGCTTTTATACCCGTTCCTTTCGTTCCAAGCATCAGTCTGTCTTCTATATGATCGTATAGCAAGTATCGCAGGTATGTTTAACCCATCACTACATGTATGTATTATGGGCATGTATATATGACCCTGATGTTTTTGCCCTACTAATAGAATGAACTTACTAAAGATTCATTTAACTTGTATTCAAATTACATGAATAACTAATTTGGAAGCTATGAAGTTGCTGTATACTTCATGCCTTAATCTTTCACTTCCACCTCTCTCTAGTACTTGAACTACTTTGCATACCTTATTCCTAAAGCCAATGTCCATCCTTGCTCACTATCCTTGCTCACTCAAATAATAAAGAGCTCTTACATAACTATTTTCACTCTAGCAAGTTTTTCCAAATTCTTTTCTTCTGATCAAACTGCCAACGAAAACTCGCTCGTTTGAACGGTATAGTGGTCACGTGCTCTCGCGATTTCCTCAACGCGATCCACGCCACTCCACAGCTCGGACAGACTCTGACACTTTATCCTTCTTTGAACATATTCCTTTTTTCCATGAATTTGTCATATAATACCTAGCTATATGATCTGACTCTTCGCCCTCTAATCCAGCCAGAGTTGCTGGTTCCACTATCATTCGCAATGCCACCCCGCAAATCCACCAAAAAACAGACGCGACTTTCTTTCGCCACATCGGCAGCTCCGCCATCCCCCGATGTAAGCCAAAAGCAAAGCAATCGATACGCGACACTTAAATTCAGCGATGCAAGCCTGGGAACATTACGTCGCCCAAAGTCTCAAAAAAGCAAGCCGGAGAAGTCACCCGAGAAGAAACGTGCAGGGCTTGCCACTGAAACGGGAGCCAAGGAAAAAGCAACGAGTACGCTGCCATCTCTCTCCTCAATGGGTCATGTCAGCTAAGATTCACAAGATGAATTGTTCATAGAAGATGCGCTAGATCATGAACCTGTAGGCGAGCCTGTCATTCCCGCTTCCAAGAAACGAAAGCAACCCGCCCAACCCGATAATATCGAAGTGGTAATCCGCAGCCCACCAAATGCCAATGATCTCCAAGAGCCGAAGAAAGCGCGCCGGTCTTCGCGGTCATCGAAGAAACAGGCTGAGAACAAAAAGGGTTCTGATTCTGCGGGGCTAGCTTCACCGCGCCGAACATTGAAGCGCAAGGCTGTAAGCTCGCCGATTATTCCCAGCGACTCGGATGAGCCAGTGGCTACTTCAGTCTTCAAGAGGAGCAGGACTACACGTAGTGGTCTTTCTTCAGAGTCACCGGTCGTACCCAGCGACGATGACGATGACGATGACGAAGATAACGAGCCTGTAGCTCCTTCGACTGCCCAGAGGCGCAGAGCTGCAAGGTCAGCTGGAGTATTTGATCACGATGATGATTCGGACGAGCCAGTCCCTTCTTCGCCTGTGAAGAGATTACGACGTGGGCAGGACAAAGAGGCTTCTCAGACCCCTCGTACCCCGCGTCACGTCTCTAGCCAGGCTAGACTTGACATTGAGGAGGATTTAGAAGATCTCCAAGACTCAGGTAATGGATTATTAGCCCACAAGATTTGTTAATTTGTGCTGACTCCATATATAGTTGTTAAGAAAAGTCGAACTCGCGGGCGCAATGTCGAATCTGCCCGAGACAGGAGAATGAAGCACCTAGAAGCTCTTCGCCGTAGACGAGCTGGTTTGAAGGAAGAAGACGAAGAGGAAGAGGAAGAGGAAGAAGACGGATCTGATTCAGATGTTCAGGAGATCGAACGACCCAGCAGTAATGGCCTAGGTCTCTGGCGACATCACGGCGCAGAGAGCGACGAGGAATCAGCCGTCGACCCTAACGAGGACCTCGATCGATACGAAGATGATTTCGTCCTGGAAGACGAGACAAACGACCTCGGTGTCCCCACCGAGGAAATCCCCTTCGAGTTCACCCGACATGCATACAAACAGCCGAAGGAATACTTCCGCGACGTGATCGGCTGGATGGTCCAGAACAAACTGAACCCGGCATTCCCTCGATCCGACACCATGTACAAAATGGCATTCATGAAAATCGAAGACGAAGTCAAAGGCCGCGCTGGATCCCAATTGATCTCCTCAGTCTGGAACCCCGGTTTTGTCTACGCCCTCCAGGCCCGGCCACATGTAGATATCTCTGCCTTCCCCACGGAAGAAAATCACTCTTGCGATGCTTGCGGGCGCTCTGGACATCCTGCTTCTAGTGACATGAAGCTTTACGGGAAAGCTTATTCCCTGGAAACCCTAGAGCCGTTGAATGATGAAAATGGCGATAGCGAGAACAGCGATGACGAGTCTGGTGATAACGACAGTCAGGACCGGGATAGAGATGGCCATGTCATCCCTCCCGAGAACATTCATTTCTATCTAGGAAGGTGAGATCCGCTAAACAACCCATTCCAGTTGTGTGCATCTTCTAACCATCTCCTTTCCACAGACAATGTAAATCAAGAGCTCAGCTCGCTCACACGCTCACCCACTGGCGCTTCCATCTCAATGAATGGGTCATCGACTACCTCGAGCGAACGGGCCACATGGACGATGACGAGATCCTTCGCCGAAACGATCTGAGCATTAAGCGAAAGACGCGGAATGCAAATGATGTCCTCGACAAGATGACCGGCACTGGTGAAGTGGATAAGCTCTGGCGTGATTTCCACATCAATCTGAAGTCTGCGCGTGAGAAGGAGGTATGTTTTAGCTAATATCTTTGTTGTTGGTTCATGGTGCTAATAGGAATCTTGCGATAGTCTATCTATGGATGATGGGTCGTATCTGATGGCTTACGCCGAGTGGCGTTGTCCACGGGTTAATGGCTTCGATCTGTGAACCTTATGAACACTACATGGGGGTTTGACCAGAACGCGTGTTTTGTGGGATTGTTTTCCCTTGTATTTGCTCTGCTGCTTGACTTTCTACAATGATACCCCATTTTTTTTCCTTTGCGTGATCCCATGATCCGGCTATTCAATACGATCAGGACCTGTGCTCTTAATATCACAGGAGCGGGCTATCGTAAGAAGCCATTCTCGGGTCGAATTCTACGCAGTACGTATCTCCGATTTATATGATATCCATAGCAAATCCAAATGCTCGTAGAATTCCTTTCTCCAAAACCGCAAGGCTAGGACTACACGGCAGCAAAAGTGACAATCAAACCCAACCTTTTTCATTACTTAGACATGCACATGAAGAGTAGAGAAGAAAAAAAGAGGTGTATAGAGAAACAGGAAAGATGATTGGGGGGTTGTACAAATACATGCATGCATAAGCTGCCGGAGCCAGAATGTCAGAAAGCATGAGAGATGCGGAGGAAAAAAGAGAAAATAGAAGAACAAAAGATGTGACAAGGACCCAAACAAGTCAAAGCAAGAAGGGAATCGGGGAACCAATGCCCTTCCCAAGTACCTGTCGTCCTGTGTTTTGAGATCTGGCCAAAATTGGGAATTGGCAATTCCCAAGGATCTGACAGGATTCCGTCGACGTACGCTTGGCTGTGCTGTATTTTCAGCACTCCAGGTTTCGCGGTCGAGGCTTGTCTTGTTGGGCTTTGCCAATCTCCCTGCTTTCCGAAGTGGTATTAATTTACAGAGTGGGTTGAGCGACCTTCTCGGGCTCGGAGCCGGGGGTAAGCATCTGCAGGTAGCCATGGTCAGTAAATTGGATCAAAAGTCGAGGTCTGTCTGAAGAGAGGAAAAAGAACTCGCGATGATGGAATTGAGCAAGTGAAGAATTTTAATGCCGAGATGCGCGATACCCGAGGCAATGTACACGGTGGCGATTGTGCAATTGACGCGAAGTCAAAATTGAGGGAATTGGTGCAATAATAGTAGAAAAACAAGAAGGGCAGTACGAAATAGAGAGAAGACAAGACACGTACCTCGTTAGCTCCCTTGATCATTCCCTGCTCACGCTCCATCTGAATGTACTGCTCCTCCTCGGCGTAGGCCAACGCGAATGGCACACCGAGCAGGAAGGCACTGGTGCTGATAATCCAGAGGGTCTTGCCGCCGAAGGACAAGGTGGCCTTGGTGAAGTTTGTGATGGAAGAGACGGTGTTGGAGACATTGCGGCGGGCGGAAGGAGGGATCATGTCTTTCAGAGCGGCGACACGCTCGTAGAGAGACTCGCTCTCGAGCTCAAGGTCCTCATCATCGGAGATCTCGGAGTCTGTTTTGCATTGATTTCCATGTCAGATATCGTTCTTGGTAGTGATTTGAGGTGGATGTGTTCATTTTCCGGGGTCGCGCGCTGGCGAGACTGTTTGGGATTGATGACCGGAAATAGTAGCAGGAAAGAAGAGATGGAAGAGATCTGGCTTCCAGATGATCTCCCTGGCAAATGGCAATGGCGCGATGCGAGTTCGATCAGGGTCATGGGCGTTCGGGGTTCGATACTAACCGGTGTCTGAGTAGTCATCCTCGTCATCGGAGACCAGGAGAGCATCGTGCTTGGTGGTAGCGGGCTTCTCGGAGAAGTGCTCGTCTTCGACCTCAGTGAGCTTGACCATTTTGGGCGGTTGTAGATGGGGATGACGAAGGGGGTCGATTCAAAAGTGATGGTTGAATGATGGAAGGACGCTCTGTCTTTCGCTCCGACTTTTTTGCCGAAAAGCGGCGAGGAGCTTGGACCCACCAACAACGATGTCATTTGTTTTTGATTCGGATATTGGGGATGTTTAGTCCACTGGCTATTATAAATGGATGTTATAATCGGACGGATATTTAAAGTAATGGCGATTACAGGCAACCTTTTGAAGAGAGGTGTATTCTACAAAGTCGAAATGCTGGCCATGGTCTATAATTACAGATCATCCTATAGATGCAACCACTTCACCCACATAACCCTTATTTCCGGCAACGCGTTCAGACAGACCCAGAGGTTTAGGTCTATTTACCTCCGTCCAAGCTTCCAACGGGCAATCCGTTCCTGGATCTCCTCCCAGGGGAAGGATCGGAGCTTGTAGCCTTCCAACTCGCCCTCCTGGAGAACGACAGTAGGCTTACCAGTGCCCTTACCATTGTTGTGAACCTGGCCACCAAAGACCTGGCGAGCAACACGGCGGAGATCCTCGACAGTGAGGGCCTCAATTTGGGCGCACATCTCCCGGACGCTGACCTTGCGGCCGTGGACCTGCACTTGGCGTCCAAGATCCTCAAGCTCGACCATCCGAGACTCCAAGTTCATCAGCAAGGATGAGCGGAGCTGGTTCTTCGCACGGTTAACTTCCTGAGCTTGTAGCGAGCTGTATCCAGTGTCCAGAGTCAGGGACTGCAGTTCACGGCACATGACCTCGAGCATCTCCGTTACCCGGGTCGGGCTGCAAGATGAGGTGATTCCGAAGATTCCACTGTCTGTGTAGCTGTGGTTGAAAGCGATGCAGCTCTCGACCCAACCGTGTTGGTTCAACACGTTAGTGTAAAGTCGCGAGTACATACCCTTGCCAGGGCCACCGGCTGAGAATGAGCCACCACCACCAAGAAGAGTCTGAAGGGTAGCGAGAGCATAGATATCGGGTGAGGAGATGGGGAGAGCCTCAAATGCAAGGTGGATATGGCTCAGGCGAGGAAGCATAGGGCTTGCTGGCGGAGGAATTGGGGGAAGGGCAATGAAGCCACCGGTGTAGTGAGCAGGTTGGCGGAGGTCCAGCGAGGATGGCTTGACCAGAGAGGAGTGAAGTGGCTCGACTGTGGGGGTGCCCTTGGAGGAAGAGAGATTCTTGAGGAAAGGAAGCTTCGACAAGAAGGAAGATTGTGTGTTTTGGGAAGCAGCCGGGCTGCTGATAGTCGATGAGGGCGTGAACGAGGGAACGGTCGGCACCTGGCCTTCCTGGGCAGCCGCTGGGGAATCAGAGAGTGTGGTTTCGATCCCACTGCCTGAGAGGACAGGACCCGTTGTCTTGCCAATGTTACTCGGCTTCATGTCGCCGAAATATTGCTCTGTGAGTCTAACAGCCTCCACATGTGGCACTCCAGCAAACGCAACTACCATCCGATCCGGGTTGAAGAAAACCTCCCTGTAGCGCTCCACCACGGCTTTGTTGATTTCACCTAAACGTTCCTCAGGGCACAACAAGGGGTTTCCAAGGGTGTTGTCGGCATATGCAGTCATGTGCACCAATTCCGGGAGGATGAGTTCAGGCTTCGCCCAGATCTCACCAATCTCGTACTCTGCAGTTGCGAGCTGTTGGAGAACCTCCTCTTCGGTGATAAGAGGATCGCGGATAGTCTCTGCAAGCAGACCGAGTGTGGTGGGGACTGCTGAGTTGAAACTGGCAGACTGGTACATCAATGACTCCCGGGACGAAGCGCACTGGATGTTGCCGCCAAGAGACTCGAGAATCTCAAGCATTTCATCTCCGCTACGGGCCTTGGTGGACTTGAAGGCTAGGCGATCCATGATATGACTGACTCCGCGCAGACTCGCATCTTCGTAACGGGATCCGGCATCGACGTAGACTCCGACACCAGCGAAGGGACCTGGTAATGATTCCGTGGCGACGCGAACTCCGTTCGGAAGTGTAGTGATTTGTTCTAACTCGGCAGGGTCCTGCAGATTAAGAATAGATTGTTTGTCAGTCACCAAGAATGCCAGATTGGAAAATCCCACGAGTATCGCTTACCTTGGCCGAGTCATTGGCGGTAGCGAAGCTTCTTGACACGGCGCGAGGAGCTCGTGCCAGTGGCTTCGTGGACTCGATAGCCCGCAATGCTGTGCGGCGCATGATGTTTAAATCTATACAGAGGCAACAGCCTGGTCAATTTAAGTTTTCGTGGTGCACCGAGTAATTCCCGGAGAAGGCGATGTAGCTCAGACTGATTGTCGGCGAAGAATCGTAATGAGGTCCCGATATCCGAAAATGCTTAGCTAATCCGTTCTCAACGTTTACTTTACAATGATATAGAATCCAAAGGTAATTATGTATGATCTAAGTTGATAATATTCATGGATTGGACTAAACCCTAGGCTCTAGGTAGTCTCTTGTCTTTATTTGTGTTTGAACGCAGGCCCTGGGCCAGGGCTCCAGCTCCAGTGTCGTCCGCTGACCAAGACCCTAAGGCAGCTGGAGCGCTGGAGGACTCGAATGTCCGATGTATACATGGTCTATCAAATGTGGAAGATTGACATATAATTTTCAGAAAATAATGATGTCATGTCAATATTTTTTATCCAATCTATAATTAAGTATTTAAGGGTGTTCCGAAGCCCAGTTTCTGTACCAATCAAGACATTCCGCATTAGCAACACTGGCACCGATCTTGATATTAAGTCCGCAGAGAATCTGCTTGACGGCATTCTCGACCTTCTTGCCGTTGGAAGTCACTGGAATCTCAGGGCAGGCATCAACCACGCCAGGGACATGGCGGGGACTGAGCTCCTTTCGGATAGTGGCCTGAATGCGTGCTGCGAGATCTGCTGGCATAGACACACTGCCAGAAGCAAGTCGGACAAACAAGACAACTGTCTCATCCGTGTCGATACCATCTCGTCTCCGACCAATGCAAAGAGAATCTTCGATTTCGTCGGCGAAATGCTTGAGAAGGATATTGTAGATCTCAGCACTTCCAAATCGCACCCCGGAGGGCTTGAGGACGCCATCGCTGCGACCTAGCATGACCATACCTCCGGTCTGTGGGTTCAAGCGTACATAATCACCGTGGTGCCAGACTGAAGGTCCGAACGCATCGAAGTAGCTCTTCCGGTACTTCTCCAAGCCCGTTGGTCCGGGAGGCCAGAACATGACTGGTTGGGCGGGGAATGGTGTGATGCAAACAAGATCGCCAGGTTCGCCTGTTGCGCTGATGTCCTTTCCAGCATAATCAAATACTGAGAGGTCCATGCCCAAAGAGCGACACTGGATTTCACCTTTGTAGACGGGGAGAATGGGGCAGCCGGAGGCGAACAGAGAGAGGATGTCTGTACCACCGGTAATGGAACCAAGCATGATATCGTGATGAATAGATGAATAAACATATTCGAATGTAGACGGTGCCAGTGGAGATCCAGTACTGAAGATGGCTCTGAGTGTCTTGAGTGAGACTGGTCTATTGGCATGCTTGCGCGGGTTCAAGGCGGCCTGTTCGAGAAGTGACAGGTATTTAGCGGATGTGCCGAAATGGGTAATTTGGAGCTCGTCAATCAGACGGGGCATGGCCATATCTCCCTTTCCGTCTTCAATATCGAGAGGTCGGAATGGTGAACCATCGTACAGGACGATGGTTGCTCCGCTGGCTAAGCCCGACACCAGCCAGTGCCACATCATCCATGTTGTGGTTGTGAAGTAGAACACGCGATCACCTGGTCGAATATCACAGTGCAGAACATGCTCTTTCTTGTGTTGCAGTAGTGTACCCAAAGAGCCATGCACGATAGGCTTGGGTGCTCCTGTCGTACCGGACGAGTACAGGATGTAGACAGGATGATCCGGTCTCAGGCTTTCGAACTCCAATGGTGCCTGGGAGTTCTTGACTCCAGATACGAAATCACTATAACTCTTTGCCTGCCCATTTTCAGGTCGCAGTTCATCGATGTTACTTTCCAGGTCTGGGACAGCCGGAAGAACCACCAAAAGCTCAAGGTCTGGCAGGTCAGAGACCATCTCCAACACCTTAGCATGTGAGGGGTGGACCTTGCCATTGTAGAAAGAGCCATTGTCTACAAAGAAGACCTTGGGCTCAATCTGCTTCAACCGCTCGAGAACTGCATGCACACCAGTGTCTGGTGACACGCCGGTCCAGAAGGCACCAATTGAGGCTGTAGCCAACATTGCCACGACAGTGTTGACATGGTTGCCTACAAAGCCGGCAACACGATCACCGGTCTGCAGGCCTGCTTCTTTCAGAGCATTGGCACACACGCGGACGCGCTCTCGCAGCTGCTTCCATGAAACGAATTCGCGGGCTACTTCAGTAACGCTAATCACTGCCACAGAATCCTCATCCGGCGAAGCGGCGGGATAGAGGAGATTCTCGGCGAAATTCAGAGTGCTACCTTCAAAGAATGCAGGTCTGGGGAATAGCACATCTTTTGAATCAAGAACCTAGTTGAGATTAGCATTGGGTAGTCCTTGGTTCCTGCAAGATGTATACTTCCGAACTGGATCAGACATTATACATGCATCCTCACCTTGTCGTATGGCTTGTGGGCCTTGATATTTGTGTAATGCCAGATTTTTTCCCAGAACTGGGCTGGCTCGGAAACACTCCACTTCCACAGGGCATTGTAATCATTCAGTGACAAGTCATGCTCCGTGTTCACTTGGGTCATAAAATCATAAATCTGGGTTGATTGAGGAGAGGAGGGCCGCCACAGCTCCTTGACCTCCAGATCAACGGTCTCGTCAATGTGAGGCATGATCAATGATACCTCGCAAAATCGTAAATCCGTGGAGGATGCAGATTGTAGATTGAGACTAGATTGAGATTGACGTCTCAATCTTCAAACTCTGTGGGACCCGCTAAAATATCAACCCCTGCCGAGGTAAAGTGGCAAAGCACTTCCCAACAAGTTTCCAGAGGCTTGATAGAGCTTCAGAAGGGGGTCCAAGCTTTTCATGACCCAATGCCCCAACAGGGGATCGCGGAAGTGATCGGGTATTCACCTGCCGATCTCCGCGGCTACGGGGAAGTCCAGTTCACATAAAAGGTGTGGAAGAAGGGTTCGTTCCAAGCTGGATTCTACCGAGGATCTCTGACGGTCTTTCGGGATCTTCTGGTGGTTCTCGATCTTTGAGGGCCTATGATCTAGCCTATGATATACAAAGAGGACTTGTACCCTGAAGGTGTACATAAAAGTTGCGGCCTCAGGCACCAGGCCGTTTTCATCCACTTTGCTCAGGTACCAGGCTACTTCATGGAGATGTCACCTACGGAGTACAACATATGGATGTGACCACACATCAGAGGTGATTCCTTGATCCGGAGATACCGGAGAGAGAGGTCCTGGAAGTATATGCTGTAGAATCTCATAGTCTAGAGTCTACTAGTAGAGTCGAGGAAATAACCTCAGTCTTCAGGGGCAAATGTCGGGATTTGACTGCGAGTGGAATCGTGGGCTCTCGGCCCCGAAGACTCAGTGCGAAAAGAAAAAACCAGTCGTACGGGGCGGGTAATAATACTCCCTTGTGTGAACAACGGGCCAATCACGCACGGGCGCAGCGGTATTACCACCGTTTTTAATTAATACCACCCCCATGATGGTTCGATGCAGCTCTGGCAAACACGGAGGTCTTATTTACCTTCTCAGACACTCCCCTTCTTCAACTTCCCAGAGTCGCATCGCGCTTCGTCATTCTCGTTTGCAGTGCAACGCGGAGATTGGTCCCTCCGTCATTCGAACGTAGGGCTCTTTGCCCCTTCGTGTTTCTTGCCCCCCCCCATTCCACGTGCACTCGATTTTCGAAGCCCTGCCGGAGTATTCGGATCCCGCTGACATCGACGATATCACCACGGTGCGTCTGAATCTGTGAAACCGATGAGTGCCCTGGCTCCGAGTCTGGTCGATTTTGGAACGGGGTTTTGCTCGGGTTCCACTGGTGCCTGGCTTAGAACAATCAACTAATTGGCTGTCTACAGGTCGAACACATTGCTCGTGGCTACTCCGCGGACCAAAACCCCCAAAGGACACATCCCACTTGACTCCGATTTTTTTTTTGACTACCTTTCGCGGTAGCTCCTGCCTCACTCGATCTGGACGCGCTCAAACTAGCGCGCCCCCTCGATCCTGACGTGAGAAATTAAGAAAAACACCAGAGCCGAAACCTTGAGCTGTTTCCTTCTGCGATGCCTCGTCGATTCAGCAGCAACTCCTCCAACGACACCTCTACCAACCCGCCGTCCTTTTCACCTTCGGGAAAGGGCGGTATCTCCATCAAGGCCCCCACGGTCAAATCCAACCGTCTGTCTCAGTTATTTTCGGTCTCGCCCAAGTCTAAACCCGAAGCTGTACAGTCTGGGTACTCTCACCCTAACGCTTCTTCTCCGCCGATAAGTTCGGCATCACTGTCCTTACCGACGATCTCCTTATCAACTGCCACCGCGGATAACCCCAACATGGACGAGCTGCCTACCACTCTCTTCCAGCCTCCGACCCCGGAGGAGGCTCGTCGGCTGGCCAAACAACATGCCCAATTTGGTCCGATCGGTCATCCCAGCCACCGATACTCCAGTCGACACCCTGGTGGCGTCTTCCCGGAGCCGGTGATGGACGAGCCGCCGTATTATTATCTGCTCACAACCTATATCAGTTACCTAATTCTAATTGCTTTCGGCCATGTCCGTGATTTCTTTGGCAAGCGATTCCGCGAGGAAAACTACCGCCATCTCAAGCCTCGCAACGGCTATGGCGCGCTCAACAGTGATTTCGACAACTTCTATGTGCGCCGTCTGAAGATGCGTATCAACGACCTCTTCGAGCGCCCCGTGACTGGTGTTCCCGGCCGAACCATTACTCTGATCGACCGGGGCACTGATGACCACAATCAGCACTTCTACTTCACGGGTACCACTACTGATACCTTGAACCTGAGCTCGTACAACTACCTGGGTTTCGCTCAGTCGGAAGGCCCCTGTGCCGATCTTGCGGAGGAATCTATCAAGAAGTATGGCATCACAGCACCTAGCACCCGAGCGGAGAGTGGCACACAAGACCTGCATCTCGAAGTAGAGGAGTTGATCGCCAAGTTTGTGGGAAAAGAAGATTCGATGGTTTTCTCCATGGGCTTCGGTACTAACGCGACCATCTTCCCCGCCTTGGTCTCCAAGGGATGTCTCCTGATTTCCGATGAATTGAACCACGCCTCGATCCGTTTCGGTGCTCGTCTCTCTGGTGCCTCCATCTCTATGTTTAAGCACAATGACATGAACGACCTAGAGATTAGACTTCGAGAGGCTATCTCTCAAGGACAACCCCGCACTCACCGACCTTGGAAGAAGATTCTGGTCGTTGTCGAAGGTCTATACTCCATGGAAGGTTCCATGTGCAACCTTCCTGGTCTTGTGCAGTTGAAGCGCCGATACAAGTTCAATCTATTCATCGACGAGGCCCACTCTGTCGGAGCCATCGGCCCGAGGGGACGTGGTGTGTGTGATTACTTCAGCATCGATACTTCCGAAGTTGACATCCTGATGGGCACGCTTACCAAGTCATTTGGTGCCAATGGTGGTTACATTGCCGCAGACAAGGTCATGATTGACCAACTCCGTGCTACCAACCCCGGTGTCTTCTACGGAGAGTCTCCCGCGCCCGCAGTCCTTTCCCAGATCTCTTCCGCTCTGCGTCTCATCAGCGGTGATCTCGTTCCTGGTCAGGGTGAAGAGCGCCTGCAGCGATTGGCTTTCAATTCGCGATATCTGCGTTTGGGATTGAAGCGTCTTGGCTTTATAGTATACGGCCACGATGATTCGCCAATCATCCCACTCCTTCTCTTCAACCCTGCCAAGATGCCTGCATTCTCGCATGAGATGCTCCGGCGCAAGATTTCTGTGGTTGTTGTCGGTTACCCGGCCACTCCACTGGTCTCGTCTCGTGCTCGCTTCTGTGTCTCTGCTGCCCACACCAAGGATGATCTCGACCGTGTGTTGGCCGCTTGTGATGAAATTGGCAATGTTCTCCAGCTGAAGTTCTCCACTGGTATTGCGGGTGGTGCACTGCCTGCTGCCGAACAGCCAGCTCCCCCGCCAGAGATGGAGAAGGACTGGCATCGCAAACGCTCGGACAACATTTCCCCTCCCCGCTGGCGCATCGAAGATGTGATCCGGCGTGGAGTCCAGGATGTCAAATCCCCCTTGTATTAATGCTAGATTGGCTTCTTTCTCCCACCGGTTGACATGATGTTGTCTTGAGTTAACTTGGCTTTGAGATGAGTCTTCGGTCGGAGGTTTTTTCCACAAAGCACGGTCGTTGCTGGTCACGCCGCGCTGGAGTCATGCTTTCCATGTGTCCCCCTGGTCTTTGTTTTGGGTTTGTTGCAATGGTTGTGTTTCTCGTTGGACTTGGATCCTACGGCACATGCATGAAAGCCAAAAAAAAAAAAAGAACGTGAACCTCTCAAGATTTAGAAAAAGGGGAACTTGGAGAGAACAAAAAACCCGAACAGCCACAGCGATCATGAGATATTCGAACCAGCAACGAATGAATATGCCCCCGTTTCCTATGATCCTTCTATTGCTTTGCCGTTTGCATCCATACAATTTCCATTTCATGTTATTTTTCTTGCTTATTCTTACCCCTAAGATATTTGCCTAATATTGTCCCACCCCCATGCAATTTCCTGTCGCTGATCCTATGCACTGCTGCTAATAGACGAAATCCAGGACTTGTCTGGGGGTATCTTGCTTTGATGTACAACATGTATCATTATGCAGGGCAAAGGCTGGCTCCTTTTTCGTTTCTTCGTTTCTGCTTTTCTGTCTCTGTTTACGATCTGACTCTCTCTAGTCCTATTCTTTCCTCGGTTCACGGGTTCAGAATGTGGGTTTTGCGTGTCAGATCGTTATATTTGCGTTATGGGTATGAATATGGATTTGGAGGGACCACTGACGGCCATCTCAATGTAACAGACGTTCCTGTCTTGCTGTATAGGCTTCGCTGTTTGCATTATGGTTGGAAAACTACTATGTTTATAATTAGATGATTGGGATGTTAATATTCTTCGATTGTGACTTTGTATCTCTACTCCGTATGATCGGTCTCCTTTGCGTCTCTCGTGTATATCAATCCCTTTGGATTCCCCACGATATCAGCCTGATAAGCAAAAGGAACAGCATTGACAGAATCTGATTCGGAATCATCTTTGGAACCAGGCTGTATGGTGCCCACGCTCTATCGGGCATGAGGATGTTCCTAATCCACACCCCTGACACCGCAGTCTTTCCAAATTTGTGGTTAAAGATTCCACTCATCTCGTGTCCTTGGTCTTTTTTTTCGGAATAGTTACCCTCGTTTCTTCGACAGATGATCCAGGATCTAAACGCAGAGGCTGGTTCGTCTCTGATCCAGATCCCTGTCGATTCCAGCTGTTATCTCATCCCCAAGACCTGTATCATATGGTAATGTTGGTGTTGACCATTGTCCGTTGAAGACCGGTGCAGACGATTTCAAGAGCCCGAGAAATCCGAGCATCATTGATGAGTTGCTCATCTTTGGTAATTTCGCTTCATTTGAGGCCGCTGTCTTGGGAGGAGGTACCATAACCTCCTGGGGCTTTTTTGTTCCAGCTCAGAGATCTTCTCCCGCATGTGCTATTTTCCAGAGTTTCCTGTTTGTCGGTAGATCGCCTTCTGGATATTCCTTGGATGTCTCTGCTCCGTCCAAAGGCGTCTATCAAGGGAACTGTTCAATGTCAGTTCTCATATGTCTTATGTATGTTTTTGAGGATAAGGAGTCGATGTATGGTGTTATACACCATATCAGGTAGAGGAAATACCCTGTACTTACCCATCAAAGGAATCCCGATAGCGAAAGGCATGACAATAATCACGGCACACAAGATACCTCGCTGGCTGATGCATTCTAGCAGGTAATTGAAAAGGGTATTCCCCCATAGCACCGAAGCTTTATGGGATCACCGAGGTATAGGATGATCCGGATTAGCTTCAACCGACACCATTGGGGGAGCTCCTTCGACATTTTGATTCGCAATATATCACGTTTTCTGCGAATATGTCTCGCTGCATATGAAGAAGGCCGAACAAACAGGGACCTATGTTCCATTGGCAATTTCGACAGGTTGGATTTACCTGGTTGGAATTGCAACCGACGCAGATGGGCGAACATTCCTACTGTATTGGCTTGAGGTGCATTCGGCCTCGGTGTGACCAGCCGTGAACATGTTGCTTTCTGCACGGGACCCGGAGTTAGATATTTGTGGTGCAGACATGCACCTTTGATGAGAATGGGAGAATGAAGAAAGGATCGAGTGTCCAGAGGCAGTGAGACGACCTCATGGATATTTTGGCAGATCGTCTCGGATAGGAATGTTTATGGGATTCTAGAGACGTGTCAGTGGGGTGGTATTGTTGTGTGGTGTCTAGACTGAGACACTTACAAATCCCTTTTTGTTGATCGTGGTGTCTCTCGGTAGGGATTTGAGATACCTCGGATTTTGGAAGGGATGGTGACCTTTCTGTGGGTTATCTCGATTAGGGCTCAGATGTAACTCATCTGAGGTGGCTGCTCGGTGTAACCAGTTTGGTCGATTGTGGGAGATAGGTTCGGTGACCTTGAAGGAAGGTCCTTAAGGAAAGGAGACGATTGGGAAAGGGAGGAGTTGATGGAAGAAGAAAGATAGGAGTGGAGGATTGTGAGAGAGAGTGTTTGGGGACCACAGACTGTCGACGAGGTAAGTGTAAAGTGAGAGTTGGCATGACGAGTCTGAAGCAAAGTGTTGACCAGATGTGTTTGTCTTCTGTTGAAGGCATATATTGCAGTAGAAACTACATTTGATTAGAATGACTCTTATATTCCGGGCGTGACTACTAGTACTCCTAGTATTGAACTGCTTCTTTACTGCACTAGGCGTCTGCTTTCATCTTCCACTTGCTCTCCTTTGAGTACTGTTCACTTGTGTTAGGAATGAGACCTCGCTGCCTCTTCGACTTATCTATCTACGTGTTGGAGATCTGTAAGATGCTATGCTAGATCATGTTGAAGATGACCGTATGACTATAGTAGTTCATGGGGTTTGATCGATTTCACTAGTTGAGATGTACACGAGAGAGGCTCCAAGTTTCCCATATAAAAGATTGATACATTAACGTCCTGTCTATTAGGCTACAGTATGTTCAAGAACAAATCACACCCCAATTCGCCGTATCTCCTTTTCTAAACACCGTCCGTGGCATATCAGTCCCGTAAATGTGGATGGTATTTCTATCATGCTGAGCTTTTACGCTTTTATATCAGGCGGACCGGGTTCACGCCCTGGAGAACAAAAGAGAAGAAAAGACAAAACAGGGATCATTCCAGACTAGAAGATCCTCTACACCTCCCAAAACGCTGGCGATGAGCCAAGCAAGATTCGAAGCGACAAGACAGGCGCATGCAGGACGCCCGAGAAAAACAGAGGGATATCATTAGGATCTCCAAAGAATCCAGACATGTAAAACAATCAAAGAGTAAATTGAAGGGGGGGTAGGGTAGAAAGAGAAGGAAGAAGAAGAAAAGAATAAAAAAAAGCAAAAAGCAAAACCATAAGACTCGTAGATTCGATAAGTCGTCAGGGAGGAGAACCATTCCAATACAGCCAAAGGACCATTTATTCGTCTTTCAGACTACCGACCAGGTCACGCAGTACACCGGTGATGACGGCTTCGTCTTTTGGCTCGCCACCGGGGAAGGAGCTTTCCGTGGCATCGCCCAACACGCGTGCGCGCGCACTCCGGAGAACTTCTCGGATGTAGTTCTTGTCCTCGTAGTCTTCCATCAGGACAGCTTCGAAGTCATCGATTGCCTTGTTCGCTCGGTCAATGAACGAAGATGACTCTTGGGGCCCTGGTGCAGAGTTCTGCTGGATAGGGTGTTGCTGTTGGTGGTGATGGGCTGGAATCCCTGAAGACGGGTGGTGCTGATGCTGAAGCTGGTGCTGCTGTTGGTGGTGCTGCTGGTGTTGCTGCTGGTGGTGAGGTGCCTGGTGGTGCTGCTGAGGAGGATGTGACATCTGCTGCGACTGGTGCTGGACCGGTTGATGCTGATGTTGGAACTGGACACCCCCAGCTGGAGGGTAGGCCCGAGGCTGCGTATTGGGATGAGGGGGTTGGGAGGATGGCGGTTTTTGTTGAGGGTAGGGGGAGTGATGCTGGGGCGGTCGCTGAGGAGGCATTGGGGTCTGCAACTGTTGCTGTTGCCCACCCTGCGAAGTGGGAGCAGATGCATATGGCGAAGTGTAGGTTGAGGGGATAGTCGCCGCGAATGCAGCCGGGAGGTTGTTGCGCAGCTGGCTGGGAATAGGGAAGGAGGCAGCTGGGTTGATAGGTGCCGGTGCCGGTGCCGGTACCGAAGCCGCTGGTGCTGTTGGTACTGGCGCGGGTGCCTGTACTGGTGCGGATACAGGGATAGGAGCCGGAGCAGGCGTTGGCGCAGGCGACGGGATAGGAGCAGACACAGGGACAGGAGGAGGCGCAGGCGCAGGTGCGGGCACCGGTGCCGAAACCTGAGGCGGGGGCGGAGCAGGAGCAGGAGCTTGAACCGGAGGAGCAGGGGGGAGGAGCAACAGGCGTAGGAACAGAAGCCTTCGGTGGAGGTGGATAGGGATTGGGCTGTGGTTGAGGTCCTCCCACAGTAATAGATGCTGGGAAAGGAGCAGGCGGGATAGAAGGGAATTGGAAATGCTGCGGCGGATTTGGCACAGGTGGCGGGCCTTGAGGTTGTGCATAAGAATGGGAGTGGGACATCTGAGGCATGTACTGCTGGGGAGGAGGTGCAGGCTGCGGCGGCGGCGAAGGACGCCGTTTCTTCTCTTTCTCAACAGATGCGCCAGGAATAAGCTGCCATGACCATCCCTTGCCGTCTCGCTCTGCGTGCATGAACAGATGGCCGTTGCCGTTCAGATTATGTCGTACACTGGATGTCCATCCCTCAGTTTCACACTTGAAGCGGAAGTACGGATACTTCAGTTTAAGCGCGCGGTAGATCTGCTTCAGCGTCATTGGCGTGCCAGCTTCCGTCAGAGCGTCGAAGATGAGAACAGCGTAGTTGTATGGAGGCTTCGCCAAATCCTCGGGGGTGTAAGCAGACTCCGGAGGATAGTTGGGAGACGGTGACCGTGATGGCTTCCGCTTTTTGACCGGTGGAGGCTTGACGTATTCTTGGGGCGGCTCTGTAGACAAATGACCACCTTCCGTTGAAGGAAGAGGAGAGTCCATCGGCGTGCCATCGGGCTTCTTTCTCTTGGTGTATTTCCGCTTCTCCGCTGGTTTGTTCGTTGGCGACTCGGGAATGATTTCCTTGGCAACTGTCTTTCCTGCTTTGGGCACCTTCAGTGGAGGCGGCGTAACACCTCCATTGGCCTCACGCTTGGCAGCAATCTTCTGTTCCCGGGCAAGCTCAGCTCGCTCGCGCTTGGACATAATCCCATCCTTGGGAGGACGTCCAGGTCCACGGCGGCGAGCAGGCTGTGAATCATTGTCAGCTGTCTCAATAGAATCCATTGGTTGGGCTGATGATTTGGGATCCTTTGTCTTGAGAATGATCTTCTTCGATGGTTCCCTGCTCTCCCCGCTGTCGCTTCCAACTCTCTCGGATTCATCGATATCGTCCTCGACTTCGATCGAAGGACGGGCATCTTTTTCTTTCTCCTTTTCTTCCTCTGCTTCGGCTTCCTCTGCCAATTTCTCTTCCATCCGGTCGGCTCCTGTCTCACCGATAGGAACGTCTGGTAGCAAGAAGCGGATGCGCACACCTCCAATCTGGATATAGTCGCCGCTGTGTAACGGTCGAACCTGTCCTGGAGATAGCCAATCGGCACCAATAAACGCTCCGTTGCGACCCATGACTTCCATCTCAAACAAATTACGATCAAAGTTATATGAAATCCGGACATGTCTTCGAGAAATCCCTCGGTGGCCTGCGGCACTGCCGTCAACCGTCGTTGGGGGGTGGATTGGGATGGTAGGGCAAGAATCAGGAGACGGGAGTAAAGCCAGCGCATCAACGGGCTTTGCATCTCCGTTTCCTTCCTGTAAAGATTGCATTGCGAGGGCATTGTAATCCGTGGTCGATTGTAATTGCGCCGGGTTGGCATGCAAGGGTACAACGGCCTCGTCAAAGGAGGATTTCGAGGATCTTCGGCTCATATTTAGGTTGCCCGGAAGATGCGGAGGTACATCTGGATCGAAGCCCATGATACCTCCGCGATCGCTGACAACACTGCCCATCATTGCAGCACTCTCCTCCCGCTTCATACGATTCGGCGTATGGGATGTATTTCCTCCACTGGAACTCTTCGCTCGAGAGCTTCGCACGGCCTGCCGGTACTGGAACTCTCGGTGATGGGCAGCACGGGCGGCGCGCACATCTCGCCCTAGGATGAATGAATAGGTATTGACGTAGAAATGCCCATCGTCAAACTCCAACTTAGCAAAAGCTTGAATCTTTGGTTCCGATCCAGCAATTGACGCTGCCGCCTCTTGGTATCCTAAAGCTGACAGGTCGGCATTTTGCGAAAGGAAGGCGGCCGTGAGCAGCTCGTTCTGCTGGAGGGCTTCAAACGCATTTTTCGGGGCGGAAGAAAAATCCAACGGCGGGAGGAGAGAGGGCTGGTCTGTACTCAATTTCGGGTTCATGGGATCGGACAAGGTACCCAGGGCATCTGTCGAGGTAAATCCTGTATGGCTTAAATCTTGAGCAGAGTTTGTCCCCATAAGCTCGGTACCTAGAGCTTTTCCATTCAACAAATCATGAATCTCACGGGATATTGAGTTTGTATCTTGCTGCAAGCCGGGGTCGATTGGCGTAGGATTTTGAGCAGCCATATCGAATGGCTGGGAAATTGAGTCGTCCATCTTGATATCCATGTGAAGATCCTGGTCCTCACCCTGATGTGCCGGTTGTATCGTGGTAGGGGTCGAGTTCGGCGCTGATTGATTCCCTAGAAGTTGTGCTAGGAGCGCGCTTGCGGCGTTTTGTGTAGTTGCATCTTGCTGATGTTGCGCTGCTGAAAAGTCGTGGGTGTCTAAGCATTCAGTTTTGATTGCGACGTCCGGGGCGGTCATCCCGTTAGGAGTTGACGGGGCAGAATTATTCTGCATGGCGCGGATTGCGGAGTCGTCTCGAGGATTGGAAGGGGGCGTTGTTTTTGGTGAGCAGCCATAGTCGTACAGGGGGTTATCGGGGCCTGGATCAGGCGGTCGATGGCCCACGGCTGGCGCAGTCATGGTCTGCGACGACATGACAGGCTGGTGCTAGGGAATAAGAAAGAGATGAAGTTCCAACAGGAAGTTCTCAACTTTGGGCCCGGGCGGTGAGCGGTGGCCGAGTTGGTCGCTGCAGGTGGCCGTAGTCACCGCTGACTAGTTCATTGTTTTCCTTCGTCTTCTTTCAACTTTTGTGACTGGTCGCGGTTTCACTTGTCCGGTTCACCTGGGCAGCGAAGATGGTCTGAGGGGGTTTCTCCTGGACTAAAAGCCTGAGTCTTGGAAAGAAAAGCGCCGATGATCCTCTCCGGGACGAATTTTCTTTCCCGCCCCGCCCAAATCCATATTCTCTCCGACTCGATCCACTTACGATGGACTGGTTCCTCACCGGTTCTGTTGATCGATAGAGAGGGCCTAGATCTATACGTCCTTTACTGGCTGGATTCGATTATCCCCATGGACCTCTTGACCACCCCTGTAGAGCCTCGTGAACGCTACCTCTAAGCCTCGGTTTGTTGACCATGTTGTCGGCTCGGTGGACCCCGACCCCTCCCCTGATATTCGGTGGCTTGCCTCTCCACCAGGAGATTGGATTTGATGTTTTATGGCCCGGGATGAGGGGAAGTCACCAAAGTACTGTTCTTTGAACATTCTTCAACATTCCTCGTATCATATTTGTAACTCGTATCTATGCAAGGGATACCGTGTCCGATTCTGTGGGGGAAGCGGAGTCCCTTGTACGGAGTAAACAAGTCCAATTAAGCTCCACGAGGATCATCTTATCGATAAACGAAAAATAGCCTATGTTTTTTACACTCCTTCACCTACGCAACACAACCCAGAAAGAAAGATGCCCTCGAAATCCAAGAAACCCGATCCAAAACCTCAACCTAAAACCACGACCCCAAATTGGCCTCCCCTCCGTCCTCTCCTCCCCGCCGCCGACCTAACACTGACACCCATCCTCACCGACCAAATCTACCTAATTCGCAACTTCCTCCCAGGCACCCTCTGCAAAACCTACACCTCATTCCTCGCTTCGCTACCGTTGACGACCACACCGGGAAAACCAAAGAAAGACGAGGCGTTGCGGGTCAACGACCGCTTCCAAATCGACGATGCACGGTTTGCGGAGATGCTATGGAGCACGACAGCGCTGAAAGAGCTAGTCACAACGCGATTCGAAGAAGACGACTACGAAGATCCAGATGAGAATAACAGCAATCCATCTGATCTTGCTGAACGAGCGCGCCAACTCTGGGGCGGAGACCCGTTGGGCTTGAATCCTAATATTCGCATCTATCGATATTCGGCGGGGCAGTTCTTTGGTCAGCACTGTAAGGACCCGCGGACCCTTTTGAAATACTGCGGCATGAATCCATGCGCACATATGCCTATATTAGAAGCGAAACATAAAAAAAATATACTAATATCTTGAACAATACAGACGATGATGCCAACAACGTCACCCTCCCCCCGCCGAACTCACGCTCGAAAGCAACACCCGCGCGCACAACATGGACTCTCCTAGTCTATCTGACCTCCTGTAGCGGCGGCGAAACCATCTTCTACCCGGATGCGACGCGGGAGAACCGTAACCCGGAGCCGATAGCCGTTGCGCCGGAGGTTGGGATGGCATTGTTGCACCGACATGGAGATCATTGCATGATTCACGAGGGGGCTGAGGTCACCGGTGGGGAGAAGTGGGTTTTGAGAAGTGACTTGGTAGTTCCGCGGTGATATACTAGCGGTGATGGATGCTTTTCGGGGGTTGTAGATAGGTCGCTCCTGGGGAGAAATAGGTAGGATAATCGTAGTGGGCGGGTTCCTACGCGAATTCGAACTTTGGGTACTTGAAGTATAACGGGCATTCCAGTTGGGAAATCAAACACAAATTCTACTCATTCTGCTGGGCCGTGTTTAGAGTGTGGGACCAATCGGGTGCATGAGGCAGTAGCAAAACGAATAATATGATCAAGGACGACAGTAGGTCCCTGCCATAGACGGCGCACAAAACAAGAGTTAGGATAGATACAGTCGGATGGTCATAAAGAGTGGAAAGAATGCTGGGCAGGAGATTGAAGACAAATCATGAACAAGAAAAAGAAAATAGATCATCAGTTATTGGGATAGCAGATGAGTTCTGAGACTCAACAAAGTGACAGATAAACACTGGAGTGCTAAATTCCGCCAATGAAGAGTCTAATTCCCCCTTTCAAAATCCCCCGGCATCAATGTCACATCATATCACAGTCCTTTGGAAACAGGAGACCCTTTTGCATCCAGCTCATACTCGGCCCGTCGCATCATTCCTTCGACGGGACCGAGAAGTCGCTTGAATCCGTCCCGACCCAACCGTGCCACCTTCACATCCGTCTTGGTGGTGATGCTCGCCTGCCGTGGCTTATCATCTAGCAGAGCAAGCTCACCGAAGTAATCGCCTCGGTGGTAGTTCTTGACGGGTCCAGAGACACCATTCTTGGTGGCCTCGGCTTCGCCTGACTCCAAAAGATAGAAAGCATCTCCTGGGTCGCCTTCGTGGATGATGGTGGAATTAGCTGGATACTTAATGGTATCCAGGGCATCGGCGATCTTTGAGCGCTCATATGGCTTCAGAGAAGAAAGTAGTGGGACTTCCTCCAGGAAAGCCTCGTACATGCGACGGCGCTGGAATGCCGAGTCCATTAGGATGCGTCGGAAAGTGATGCGGTCAAGGGCCCAGAGGGTGCTCTTTGCCTCGGTGGAGATCACTGTCGCGGCACGTGGGGCATTGTACATCAGAGCCAGTTCACCAAAGGAACCTCCAGGTCCAGTGGAGGCGACCTTGTTGCCCAGACCATCGGGACCGGGCTGCACAGCACCGGAAGTGTGAATATAGATATCAAAGTTTCCCTTCTCGACGATGTAGAAATAATCACCCGCATCCCCTTGAGAGATGACCTTGATATCCTTCGCCGGGATCGGCTTCTCTACCAGAGCGTTGAGGACGGTTGTGAATTGATCATCGTCGAGGTGAGAGAAGAGGAAGTTGCTACTGACTGCGCTCTTGAGCCGGGAGACCTGCTCTTCGGTCTTGGGGTGGTGGGGAGGCGACCAGCTCTCTGAACCGGCCTCGGTGGGATTTAACGATTCCGCTGAGACTGAGGTCCGGCGACCTAGCGCGTAATTGCTGGGGAACCCTTGCTGTGCGGATCGCTCCGGGAGAGGGGCTAGCTCCCCCTCGTGGTCACCATCCTCCCCCGGATTCTGTGAGAAGGGGCTCCGGCTAAACAGCGAACCCCCCATTTGTGATCCTCCTTCGATCGGTGCATTATCTCCAAATAAGGCGCGGCCGGGCGGTATAGGGCGCGGGTTGGACTGTCGAAAAGTCATATCCATTGGTGACGTCACCTCGAACTCCTCGCCCTCGGGAATTTTTTGAATGCCAGCAGATTTGTCGCCGGCTGTGGTTTGAATGTTGGGGGTCACCCCCGGGGAAGAGTTATGAGCCATGATGGCGTGGACGTTGGGTCGAGGGCCGGAGAGGCCGTAACTCCGGCACTAAAGAGTGGAATGAATGTGCGACAACCGGGAGACAGAGATATTATCTATGTCTTTTTTGAATGTTAGAGAGCGGAACGGGATTGAGGAAGAAATTGAGCATATGGGGGGGGAAGGAGGAGAGGAAAGGTCGAAGAGGTAATAAGAAACGGAGGGGCAGAGCGACTCAAGGCAGTAGTGGGGATTGGTTGGAGTCTAATTGTAGGGATGCTGCATGACCTCCTCTGCCTTGGTTTCCTCTTTCTGAGTGTCTCTCTCGGTTTATTGTCTCGGGAAGTAAGAGGAAGTAAGAGGCAGTCAAGGGGAAAGGGTTGGCAAAAACTGGCACTGACGGGAAATTACCTGGAAGTGAAGCTGAAGCTTTTTACAGAAGAGCGGGGAGGAAGATCGGGAGGTCCGACTTAATATGCCGGCAATCGAGGGTATAATCGTACAATCCACGAAGAACAAAGGGGGTGGAATTCTGGAATTATTGGAAGATGAGGGGTAGGCGGGACACTAAAGCCTGGTCTGAGCTTCGTCGATCATGGATGAGTCGGCTCTGCACCTCCCTACGATGTACTCCTCCGTACTTAGCTATGTACGGAGTGCTAAGTGAGCGACGTCACTCGTTATCCTCGGCTGGAGTCACGGGCTCGACACCAATGAACGTGAATCCTGGGAAAAGAGACCAAGGAACCATGCAAAAAGCTTCGTTAAGCCCCGTCTTCCAAGTGTCTTCTAGAAGCAAGAGAATTGCACGTTCGCCACTTTCGTGGCGAGGTGTGTTCTCTACCTATCATTCCCGGTCATATGTCATGGACTCTGTTGCGATGTCACCCCCGGTGGGGATGGTCTGCAGTGTGGAACTTTGATAGGCTGGCCACCGAGCAGAATATCTATATCCATAGCTATAACCTCGTGCTCCTTGAAGAAAAGGGACTCCGTCCTCCGTACTCCGTACAGTTGATCGCCTAATATTTCCTGGGTATGAGTAAAAATAGCGAATAGATTAGGGCTAGAAACTAGTACCTGTTAGCCCTCTAGCTTGCCAATAGCCCCTAAAAAAGTACTTTACCCCCTAAACGCCAGAGCTTGGGCACGTCATGGAGCACAGTCTAGAGCTGGCGCATAGACCCGGATGGAGCCGTGGTTGACCTGCGAGAGCCAGCGCTCTCTCTCTCTCTTCTGGTCGAATGGACTTTTGCAGTTCAAAGTCAAAAAGAAGAAAAGATAAGCCGAATCACCTCGACAGCGCTAGTTCCTCTCCAGGGCTCTCTCTCTCCAGGGTCAGGCACTGGTCTGTGTCACACCCCACTGCTTTAGTCCTAATTCACCACGATCGTCCTTTACCTTTTTCTCCCAACCACACGGATTTCTGCGTTCGCAACTCATTTTTCCCACAGCCGTAGACATGGGCACTTTCACATTCCAATGGTGAGTGAAAATTGAAAGTCTCGAGACTGGTGGCACAATGCTGAGACGGTTACTCACAGGCCTTATGATGCAAACGAGGTGTTCGTCACAGGCACTTTCGATGACTGGGGTAAGACGGTGAAACTGGACCGGGTGGGAGACGTCTTCCTCAAGAAGGTGGATATTTCGCCCGCGCAAAAAGTTCAATACAAGGTATGCCTTCTCTTGTTGTTTTCCCTCTTTCTCTTTCCATTTTGCCTTTTGCGCTGTAGATTTGGCGGTGAGCCTTCAGGCAACAGGGCATTCCGCTGACGTCACGTTTCGCGCGTTCCCCGTTTAAAGTCACACCTGCCCATGTTCCCCCGAGGTTACGGAGTACAGGCTCATTTCTTGGTTTTCTCTTGCTGACTGCGCGTAAGTTTGTTGTTGACGGCATTTGGACTACCGACACCAACGTACGTGAGGAGGACGACGGTCATAATAACCTCAACAACGTACTATTGCCCGAAGAGATCGAGACCGATAGCTCCACCAACGTCGCCCCCACTATGTCCGGCGTGACCCCCGATTCTACAACCGCGGCGCTCGCTGCTAATGTTCCCAAGGAGCCCAACGGAAATCTGCCCGGTACCTTCCCTGATACCCCGGGACAGGAGTCCGAACCAACGCTGTCCGTGGATCCCATTCCAGCTTCCGAAGGTTATGGCAACCCCGTCAGCCTGAACCCGGGCGAGGAAGTGCCTCATCACAGCACTCTCCACAACAACACCGTGGAATCCACTGTAAACTTGGATAAAGAGTCGTACGAGAAAGGTCAAACTCTTCCTCTGGGCGCCGGAAATCAAAACCCCAGCGATAACCTCGACCCTTTGGCATTTAACATCCCCCCAGTCACGAACAACATGATTCCTGAATCCAGCCTTCCCATGGGTGGACCTGCGCAACGCGCAACTGAGAGTGAGTCCGAGCCGACATATTCGGTGTCCCCGATCTATAGCGGAGGTCCGGCGCAACAGGCAGCCCTGGCCGATCCTGGATATACCATCCAGTCGGCTGGGCCTAACTCTACCACAGCGGCACTGGCTGCCGGCGTGCCGCTAGAGTCGAAGGGCAAGCAGCCCAACGGCGACCAGCTAGTCGAGGATGTCCCCCAAGTAGTGAAGGACTCGTTTGCCGAGGCTCACAAGGACCCAGAGGCTGCTGCCTATACGGAAGCAGTCGAGGAGAAGAAAGCAATCGAGGAGGAAATTCACAAGCATGTCCAAGTTGAAGAGTCGGGAGGAGCTCCGGCGCCTACCATCACCGCGGTCACCCAGCCGGTTGCGCCCCATCTCGCTGTTCCTGCTGGGGTAGATTCGGCAGATGTGTCGCCCACTTCGAGCCCTCCACCTGGTCGCAGTGCTGTCGCCGCCACCCCATCTTCGGCGCTGAAGAATACCGAGTCCACTGGTCCGACGGTCACAACTGGCCCTGAGACAACCTCTACTGCCGAAACCTCGACGGCGAAACCTGCAGAGCCCGCTGAGACGGCTGGAGCCGATCCGGTTCAGGCACCTGCGACCTCGCCTGCGAAGCCTGCGCAACAGTCTCCTCCCACACAATCGTCCCCCAGTACCGGAGGTACTTCTACTAATGGCGAGAAGAAGAAGAAGAAGCACCGTCTAAGTGGCTTCTTCGGCAAGCTTAAGGAGAAGCTTAAATAAACGAGCTAGAAATTGCCGATGGCCTCTGTCCTTTGGTCCCAGCCATCCTCGGTGGTACAGTCTTAGACGGTGGCTGCAATATCTGACAGGTCTCCCCCTTGCTTTTTTTTTCCCCTGTTCTCTATGATGCGTCACGTTGAATGTCCTTTGTTTTTGATTTGGATACCTCTCCTGCCCTGCTTTACTGCATTGTATTCCTGCAAGCCGCTCTGTTTATGGCCCGGTAATTCACGTCTAATGGAACTACTTTGCGTTCTGTATTCAATGTCAGCTCTATATTTTGATTGAAATGCCACTTTCACCGTCCGTCGCATGGAGCCGAAGTCGGACCCGAGGCCGGCGTAAAATGTAGCACAGAACTCGGAGTATACGCCATGTTCATTGAACATGAAACAAAGATGAGCTGTCCAAAGACCGAAATACCTGTCCAACCTCTGCTTGTTCCTAGACATTCCTAGTGTTTCAACGGGGTTTGGGTAAGCGTGGGGGATAACTGGGTCATGTCCTAATTCCGCTCTTCTCCACCTCAACCTTTCCCCGACTTTGGGGACATCTTCTTTTCCCTTCCCTTGCAAACCTGTGATTTCCGGGTCATCGCGTGCCACTGGTCTCTTCACTGTCGACCGTGAGCCGCAAACATGGCTATGGCTACCCCCACATTATCCAGCATGATCGATCCGACAAAGCAGGCCGAATACCCCATTGTGTTGGGTGAGAGGCTTGCTCAGAACCCGGATACAACCCGACTCATCAACATCAACTACAACCACAAATCCAAGTCCGCCACCGCCCAACAACGGTCGACCATCACCCCCTCACGATCCACCGAGACCGACCTCTACGACCTCGCTGTGACTGATAAGGCTCCGAACGCCGACCATACATTGTCCTATGCATACCAAGGGAGCGAGGACCCGTCGGGTGAGCGAAGCCTGGTTCTGATCTTCGACCCGGAACGAAAAGTCTTCGTTTTGGAGCCAGTCTCGACAACCTTGAACTTTAATCTACGGTCGGCTCCTGGAAAAACAGAAAAACAGGTCCGCGAGCAATACGAACAACTGCAAATAAAAGATGAGGAGGAACCAGCAACCTCGGGAGAAGACCGACAGACAGGGAGCACCAGCGAAGACGAGGGACCGGCCGATGAGAGCAATCCTTACGACTATCGCCATTTCCTCCCCAAGAACCGCCCGCAGGAGGAAAAGCCAAGCTCGGGACACAGCACCCCAGAACCTATCACGAGCAGGGCTAATACACCCTTGATATCGGCTGCCAAACCCGCACCCAAACCTGTGCCTCGCCCTAAACCACAAGCAAACCCGTTGCGACAGAAGAGGCCGCCAGCGAAACAACCTGCCAAGGCGCAACCGGTCGCAAAGCCAAGCGAGCCTGTCACTTATCTGGACCCACCTGAGCTTGAGGATGTCCGGTCGTCGCCGTCCGACCCAGGGACAGGATCGCAACACACCGGACAGTCCCCGAGCTCGAACATCATTGTCGATGGGGATCTCATCATCGATATGGGATCCCCACCGCCATCGCGCTCATTTGTGGTCAACCCGGCCTACTTCTCGTCCAACAATACCCCAGCAGACGACGATGGAGATGAAGATATAGGAGAGTTCAGTTTACCCTCCCCGGCTGGCAATGCGGCTCCGCCTACCTCATCAGCACATGCAGGTACAGCTGCCCAAGAGGACGAAATGGAAGACGACGATGCCTTGGCGGCAGAGATGGAGGCCGCGTTCGAGCAGAGTGCTCGTGAAGAGGAGGCTCGGAGTCACCATTACATTCAACCCACAACCAGACAATATGTGCCCAGTGATGATGAGAGTGAGGTCAGTGAGGAGGAGTAAACTGTTGGGGCTTTTTGTCTATTGCATCTATCAGCGTGGCGCCGGGTCGGACTTTGTTTCCATAATACTAGATACCAATTGTTTATAAGGATTGTTTCAGTGTAACTGCATATCAGTGACCAATTAAATAATATGAATATCCTCTTCTGTATTTTCTCTGTTTATATTGGAATGGTGCTCTTAACATGTGGGGTGCTTAGCAGCCCAAGTCGAATGATGTCTGTTCGTGCCCTACGGGTCCTCTCCCTCGGAGATCAGACCTCACCGTCTTTCTTCTCAACAACTCCTCGTGATCTCTCCTCTCCTCTGTGACCGCCTCCTGATAGCATTGTCATTGTATCCCAGCTCACAATGTATACATGGAGGCGGAGAATTACCTCCGCTCGGAGAAGCGTTATTCCGCTCGAAAGCTTCCCTTGTGGATTGCATTCACGATAAGTTCTCTCTTGTCTTAGAACGGTTATCTGATATTGCTTGATATTCGGGCTGACTGTGACTTTCTGTTTATCATTCCTTTTGCTCCGGTTCTTCAAATATCGTTCGCACTACACTGTCATCTCCGCCATGCGATAGAAAGCTCCGCCATGCTTGATTGGGCCTGACTACCGTAACAGTTACAACGATAACGAATATTGCCAACCTACTTGCGCGGTCTATTCCGAACCACGCGCGCCGGACGCGCTCCGATATCTGCGCGTTCTAAAGCGAAAACCTTTCATATCATTCATATCCTTCTTTCATCCCATTCAACCTACAACTTGGCGCATGAATGGCTTCTTCAACTCCGAAGCGACGAATCCCCGGCCTGCCGAATCCAGTGTTGGAAGCAGAGCAGCAAAAATGGCTATTCACTGACGAAGAATTCGAGCGCACGCCGTCGCGCATTGACAAAATCGATCGCGGGAAAGAGGACTACATTCGGCACCGTGCAGTCGAGTTCATCTGGCAAGTCAGTGTGATGCTGAAGATGCCACCACAGACCTCGATGACCGCCACAGTCTACATGCACCGCTTCCTCATGCGCTATTCACTGTTGGGCCAATATCCGGAGATGGGGTCGGACTTGATGCACCCAAAGGTGATCGCCGCGGTGGCACTGTTCGTCGCGTTTAAGGTGGACGAGACCATGCGCCGCATGAAAGACTTTGTCATCGCATGCTGCCGCGTCGCAATGAAACAGCCGAACCTAATCGTGGACGAGCAGTCCAAGGACTACTGGAAATGGCGAGATCTGATCCTCCAGAATGAGAGCGTCATGCTTGAATACCTCTGCTTCGACCTCCAGGTCGAATCACCATACCGCATCCTCTGGGATTACTCGGTCTTCCTGGGCGTCAATGAAAACCGAACCCTGCGACACTCCAGCTACTCTTTCCTCAACGACTCAACCTACACCGTGCTATGTCTCCAATTCCCACCCCGCGTCATCGCCGCCGCAGCCCTCTACGCCGCAGCCCGTCACTGCAAAGTCGCCTTCCCAGACGACCCCGAGGGCCGACCCTGGTGGGACCAGATCGACGTCCATCTCGACGATCTAATCCGCGCCTGCACGCTCATCGTCAAAATCTACGAGCGCGTCCAACAAACCCTCAGCAAGGGCTACCCAGACTTCGCCCTCTCCGACACCACCTCCCTCCCCAACGACCCAACCCGCCTCTTCGACACCGATCCCACAAAACCAGCCTCAGAGCAAGCTATCCCCACCCCTCCATCCCTCACCGTCACTCAAGACACACCAATAAATGGCCGCAAACGCTCACGCGAACCCGAACCTCATCTTCCCCATAACCCACCACCCCCTTCCCCACAAAAGCCCCACGAAAACGGCGACCACCACCGCTCCCCCAAGCGCCAGCGTACCGTCACACCCTCTCGAGAAATAGTAATTCCAACCACAGGGCCAAAAGCCCTGCCCGCCTCGCTTCCCCGCGTTCCTGCAGCTGCATTGTCACACAGCGCTACACACGCCCGCCCACCCACGAAGCCGACAGAATCCTTACTGCAGGACTCAAGTCCCGAAGAAGGCGAAGTCGACGAAAAAGAGGTCAACCCTGTTTCCCATCCGCCTCGACCTATCCCTCCAGCTGTGCACGCAGACTCTCGGAGCAGAGATGGTCCGGAGAAAGAGGAAGGCGAGGCTGATGATGGTGGGAGTGAAGAGGGCGAGATCTAAGAAATTTGAAAATCTAGCTTAGGATATCGACTCTGAGAAATCAAATGAAAAAAAAAGAATTTTGTTAGTTTAATAAGTTCTCGGGATTTGTAGAATCGGATTTATGGAGGAAGTTGGGTTCGTTTTTACCTCTTCTGCTGATGGACTTGTGTCTGTATGGCGTACGGAGTACTTAGGGCTCGTTATGGGGAGGCTATAGATTGGTTATGCTACGAGTCATTCCGCTGCCCTACGTGTCGACTTCATATAAGAACTGCGTTCTGTATGAAACCTTTTCTACAAATCAAGCTATTCAAATAACAACTAAGAATTCCAATCCGTCAACCAACTTGTATCTGCAATGTTGAATTGCTACTAATCTCCCCTTCCATTCCACACCACTCCCTCCACCATATCCTCTCACAAACCAAAGTAAACACCCCAATCACCTCCAATTCTCCCCTCCTTCTCACTCCAAGAAACACCGCACCAAGCAAGCCCTCCGCCCAGAACAACAGTATCACACACAGAACGACCCACCAACACAACAGAACCACTCAACCCCAACAATCACAGCACCCCCCTAGGGACTCCTATGAACCGACTTAATGCACCTCGCATAGCGCCAGTGCGTATCCGGGTGATCAATGATATTGTAGCACTGCCGAGAGCGGAAATACTCCCCATCGTAGGCCCAAGTATCATAGAGGAAGTCGCCCGCGCATTGTCCCGGCGCGCCGCTTCTGTAGAACTGCATTCTTTGTTCGTGCTGGCCCCAGCCGTTCTCGCGGTAGGAGGAGAAGGCCCGGATGTTGGGGACGGTGGAGTCGGCGTCGATGTGGATGTCCGTTTCTTTGCCGGTGCAGTCGGGGCCGTCGAAGACGGAAATTCCGGCGGAGAGGGCGCCTTGCAGGAGGGTTGTGGCGGCTAGGAGAGTGAGGGGTTTCATTTTGCGTTGTGGAGGATGGAGAGGTTGTGTGGTAGCTGGATTGGATATATGGGGTGGCTTTTATAGAGTCTTGGGCATGGAGGGAGATCGGGTTGGGATGGTTAGGGTTTCCTGATTTGGAGGTATTGGTTGACGCAGGCGTTTAGAGCTGAGTCGTGGATGGGGCTTGTAGATACGCTGGTTAGGGCTGGCTTCGCTATGGTTGGGGAGGAGCCTTTGAATGTTCTATGCTGATATGCATGAGTGGGTGAATGGCGTATACCCTCTCCCTCTAGGGATTTAGATCTCGAGAATACGCATACGATGATAATCGTCCTCCATCGGTTGTCTGGCTTACATGGTCTTACTGTCGATCGTAAGGCCGGGGTGCCCTGACGAACTGTTGTAGATGGTACCTTAGCTAGGTGCATGTAGGTAGGGGTAATTGGAATCCGATTGGCCTTCTTAATAAGAATACGCCAACGATCTGCGCAGTAACCGTGGCAAATAAGCCCTCTCGTCTTAGGCAAAATCGCTCCAATAAGCTTCTGGTTGGAGACATCTATCGATTCGCGTATAAGAATACGCCGGGTGATCTGCATAAGCGAGGTTTCTTACGCATTCATTCTTATACATCGAAGTGCCGGAGTAAGCCTTTAGGTACGAAGTACCTAAGTAAGCTGCAAAGGATGGTATACGCTTCATGTAAGAGGAATTGAAATACGCATTCACTTTGCCCAGATCTCCGTGAGTGAGATCAGGCTCGGTTTTGCTCGTCACAAAGGGACTAGGAGCGAGCACGAAAGCAGAAAACAGAAAGCCATATCACGACCTAGAATGCGGTGTATATGCGAACATACAATTGTCACCTTTACTCAACTGACACAACATCTATAGTGCTCAAAACAAGGCCGGAAACCAATCCCGAGGCCTATTGGGGGTAATAGAAAACGTAATGCAATGTGTAGGTATGAAAACGAAAACAGGTCAAAAGTATGTATTCTCCTCTCTCCTCATTCTGAATCCACTTTCCATCAATAGCCAGTAGTCATAACCCCCAATCCATGATCCAGCAAACTGCTTGAAGCAACATAACTAAATCCACCGAAGGGATTACTCTCGCTAACCCCGTCAACTTCGGCATCCTTGCAAGCCGGGAAATCTTGGCCCTTGCCATAGTACTCGTCGAAGGTGCTGGTGATCGGACTCAGCGGGAGATGGGTGAAATCGACAGAGAAGTTCTCTGCGAGAGCTGGGTCCGTGACGACAGGCTGGATGGGCGGGTCAAGTTCGCGGCGCTCGAGAGCTGCCCAGTCAATCTTGCGGAAGAAGCGGTGTTTCTTGATAATCTGCAGGTCCTTCTGTGGGTGATAGCCGAGACGCTTGGACGGGTCTTTGCGCAGGAGACGGGTGAGGAGATCCTTTGCGTCGGGTCCGAGGTAGTACGGTAGGACGAGCTTTTGCTTGACAATCTTCTCTTGCAGCTTGGCGTGGTTGTTTGCGCGGAACGGCGGGGAGCCAGTTAGGAGGTCGTAGCCGAGTGCGCCGAGGGACCACCAATCGCAGGCTTTGCCGTAGGGCTTGCCTTGGATCACCTCCGGCGCCATGTACTCGATTGTGCCGAGGAGGGAGTTGCAGCGGTCATCATCGCTGAGGGCGATCTTGCTGAGGCCGAAGTCTGTAAGGAGGAGGTGACCTTGCGCGTCGAGGAGACAGTTCTCTGGCTTCAGATCGCGGTAGAGAACGCCGACGTTTTGGTGCAGGTGTTCGAGGGCGAGGACCATCTCTGCCATGTAGAAGGCTGCGGCATCTTCTTGGAACATACGTTCCATCGCTAGGTGATGGAAGAGTTCGCCGCCTTGCGCATACTCCAGAATCAAGTAGAGCTTCTCGTGGTCTTGGAAAGCGTAGAATAGCTTGACGACAAATGGATGGCGATTGACACTCTCCAGGATTGTGCGCTCTGTCTTGGTCTGCTCGACAAGTTTCTTGTGGACAGTAAGGGAAGCCTTCCGGAATTGTTTCTGGGCATAAAGCTTGCCTGTGAGCATGTGGCGCACTAGCAACACGGTTCCGAATGAACCCTTGCCCAAACAGAGAATAGGCACGAAGTCTTCTGCTGTCATCTTCCGGCACAATTGGGTGCGCAATTCTTGGTCGAAGCTTGTGATATCTTCGTTGCGGTCCTCCAATGTCTCCGGTTGCACTGCGTCGGAGCTAACAAAGTCCTGATCCAGGGGAATTTCATAGCTGGTCAAGATCTCAGTCTGGTCGCTGTCAGAGTAGACACTGGGGGTCTGGGAAACGAGTCCGCTGGTACCGGCTGCATTGTCGGACAAACTCAAAGTGTTCAGTTGAAGCTTCAACGCACTAACGCCGTGGCCTGTGGACGCGTGCACTAATACACTAGATCCATCGAGCGCAGTCGGCGGCCGAGAAGGAGCACGAGAACTCGCAGCGGAGAAATCAGATTCCTCGTCCCCAGACGGCAAAGGAGTAAAGCCGTGGACGGTGGCGCACGCCGGCGCTACTTCATTCTTCTTCTTGTTCCTCCGTCGCTGGGATTTCGGCATCATATTTGCCTTGAGGGTCTGATTTGCAAACCCGCTGAAACCATTGGCCAGCTGCTTTGGGGGCGACATATTCTCCATGTGTGCATCCGGGCGACGGTGATTGGCCGGAATGTCGATGACGGACTGTTCGCTGTCGGCCTGCGGAGCGAATACATCTCCGACCGACAGGTCGTCGGCATTCGAGGAAGGCATTATGCTTTCGTTTTATTGCCTGTGGTAGTTCCGCAATTGGAGTAAAACACCCGAATCGGTTCAGGTGAAAGCGCCGGCAATAACCGCGGGCTATAGATTGACCTTGCACCGTTGGATGGAATGGTAGGAAGGTATTCAAAATACCTATCTAGCAGTCGCTGTTCACATAGAGAACGCCGGTTAGTCTCAATTGCCTTGATCTTGGACTGTAAAGGATGCACAGAGGGGTAGATGAGGGTTTTTGCACCCCCACTAATTAAAGCCAAGGTGAAACGTAACAAAAATTGAAAAATAAAAACCAAGAAAAATAGTGCAAAATACGGGGAAATGAGTTCGAGACTTACTTCAACTTGAGGGATTTATTGCATCAGAGCACGGTTTTCCTTCAGTGCTCGAACTAGTCTGCGATAGACCAGCCTTGAAATCCTCGAGCAGGTTTACCGTCCGCCCTTCTTCAGGACGGACCCGGGACCCCTAGCCAAGTCACCTCGCTGGCCGAGGAGTCGAAGGCCAAGGCGAAAGCAGAAAGCGCGGAGTAAATCGGTACGTCGGAAATGTCAGTAGGCGAGTCGAGGTTCAGAAGGGATGGATCAATATTGGCGGCGCCAGTAAACGAAATCAGAGCGAGCGAGGACGAGGACACAGGTGGGCACATAGAGGGAGATTTGGAGAATAGAGATGAACAGTCTTTCTTCCACAGGAAGTGAAAACAGGAAACAAGAAACAAAGCAGACGCCGCAGAAATTCAGGCGTCGATCCGGGGCTGAACCCACTAAGCCTAATGCGGATTTCACGTGTCAGATGCTGACTTTACAACGATCTCATTGATCAGTTCTCCAAGTATCTATACCTCCATAGGTACGGGGGATACATTGTCTGCTTATTCGTGTCATTTTGTTCGATATTAGCACACTCTATAGATTCGTTTAACTCGGCCCAAGTAACCCTCAGCATGTTTCCAAGGACCTATACAGCTTCCCCTGAAACAGCCTCACACGGCATCAATCAAGGGACCAACCTGCATATGAGCATCGATCTGCATATTGCAGCCTCCTGTACTCCGTACGGAGCACGGAGCACGGAGTACAACATGAAACCACTTACTCCGTACGCAGCAATTAGTGGCTCTCAAAGAAGGCCTTGCAGCGGGTAATCTCCACACCAGACCGCTGCACAAAAGCAAGAGCACTCGGCTTCTCTACCTTGACCGTCACACGCTCATTGCCAAAGTCGACAGTAACAATGCGAGCGATGAAAGTAGCCAGCGACTCCACAGACTTGAAATCAGTCTGGTCAACCTTCTACAACGTCAAAATCGGTTAGCAAACAAACAGCAAAAAAAAAAAAGATAAACCGTCAGAAACAAAACACATACCTCAGCCACAGCCCGGGTCACAGCCTGGTAAGTCTCAACGACCTTCGACCCCCAACCCAGCTGCCCAGCACCCTGGAAAGAAAGACCAACAACAACAGCCTGCTTCTCCAGCCTCTCATGGGGGTTCACGCCCAAAATAGGATAGCACCGAATCCCTTCAATGCGGAACTCCTCTTCCAAAACAACCAAATCCCGCGGCTTACCCGCATCCTCCTTCCCCAGCGCCGTAACACTCCGATATCGGAGACCCTCATCAGCACGCAGCAAGGCCTTGGGCAGATGCAATTCAACCTCACACTCTCCATAAGCCGCTGAGATATTCTTCGATGCGACCCCAGCAGCCGTAGTCTCCAACAAGCCCAGTCCGGCGTTCGCGACAACGCCTGCTATCACGCGCGGGTCTTGGCCCAGTCCGAGAGTGTCCATTTCCTCGCGCCGGGACCCATCTAGGCTGAGGAGTCTCTGGGATGGGTGTGCTGGGGATGAGGTGTTCTCGCCCATGCTGCGCACGTCGCCTTCTAGTCGGCGGAATAGCTTGCCATAATCGAGGGTCAGGGAGACGTTGTCGGTTTCAGCTGCAGTGATTATGGAGGAGTAGGAGAGCGTGAGGGTTGCGGTGCAGGGTTGGGATTTTCCCTGGCGGTGCCAGGCTTCTGGGGCGCAGGGGAGGGGGAGCTCGATGTTGCGGAGGCGGACGCTGTCGAGGACCTCCGGGCGGGGTGGGAGTTGGATTGATGATTGGTCAGTCATGGCGCGTGTAGTTGTGAATATTTGGGAAATAGAAAGCACAAATCGGAACAATTGGCGCAATGTCACGATTGAAAGTGAAGCTGAGGGGTGAGGTTTTTTGGCGGGGCACTGCAGATCATGACGGGGAAGCCCGCGCGGGCATTTCCGTGGGGGATGCTTTTTCCACTTTGGTTCTGGAATTGCTGCGAGTGATATTACAAAATTGATGGTTCTTTGAGAATTCTACATGTAATTAGCTGCCTAATTCAAGGGTGAGAAATAAGAGTGGTGTGGTGTGGCTGGCGGCATAAAGATGCCCGCTCTGAGATATATATCCAAGCCCTTTTACAATCAACGGGAGAATATAGAATGACTTTGATGCGCATCAGCTCATACAACTAATTAGACCTTTAGGTCATAAAACGAAACCGAAATGAATCGTGTTCCCTCGAAAAGCCTGCCCTATACTCCTGGAAGTAGACTGGACTCAGCATTACAAGAGAAAGTAACAAATTGAAGAAATTAAGATTTCAGATGCTAAGACAAGCACAATAGCCCAGGATTGACTGAGAAGAACCAAAGGGCAATAACCACTTAGCCTACAGCCACCCTGAAACTACCAGAGAAGAAATAGAAAAGACTCATAACTCGCGCTGTGCAGTCGCCAGGAAGAACCTTGGAAATAAAACGAATCCGGCCGCGAGAACACGCTGAACGAAAACCTCGGCAAGTGGGAAAAAGATCATGACACCATGAAATCAGTACGAGACGTTGCGGGTATTTGGCGAATGGAGGTTAACAGAAATGACAGAAGAACGGAAGAATATGCTGCAAATCCAATCAACCCCGCGCCATCTACCAGTAGCGAGGACGGTCGTAGGGAACATACTCGCCTCTCGGTGGAGAGCGAGGACGACCGTAGCCCCGGGCAGCTAGGTAGGGATCATCATAGTGGCGAGGGGGTGGGGGAGGTCGGGCCTCATAGGGATCTTCGTAGGGACGGCGTGGGGGTGGGTAGTCTTCCATCCGAGGGCGAGGAGGAGTCCGGCGGGCATACCCATCTGCATAGTAGGGATCGCGACGGAGAGGGATCGGAGATCGCTCACGGTAGTGCTCCCGGGGACTATAGCCACGAGGGGGAGGGATCCGGCGATCGTATTCATCCATGGGGGCAGGATAGGGGCGACGGGGTGGAGAGCGAGACCTGTATGGGTCCCGAACGGGTCGTTCCTCAAAGTTTTGGATCTGGAATTTGGTGAGACGGGGTTCCTCCGGGTCCGAGCCAGGTTGAGCGCTTACATCGGCGATGCACGAGACGACTGAGCCCTTGAACTCGCGCTGGTCCAGTTTCTCCACGGCAGTCTTCAAGTCGTTGGCGGTTTCAAATTCCACAAACCTTGGTCAAATGTCAATCGATTGGAAGTCTCTCTCGCGGAATACAATGGTTCACCCACCCTCTGCCCTGTTCACGGCCAGTCTCGGAGTATACCACGTCCAGTCCAGACTGACGGGCGAAATCTTTCAAGTCCTATTTAACGCAAGGTGAGTCCAGGTCCAGGAATATTCAGATGTCCGTAAATGTGGAGAGGAAAAAAAAGGGCAAGGAATCCTTGTCCAGTCCGAGGAGGTAGATCCAAAAATGGCCATCATGTCGGCATCCAAAAGTCCCCAGGGCAGGCTATGAGGTCTGACAACAGTGGATAAGGTGTATGCAAGGATTCAACAGAGCTTCTCAAGTCTCAAGGCTTTGGAGAGAAGCTATAGGAACATTCTTCAGCCACCAGGAGACGAGTGCTAATGGATTAGTACTCCAGGATCCTTGGCTCAACCAATAGCCTTGAGGACAGTGGACTGGAAACATGTGTGGACTGAGTGGAGATATGGGCTGAAGGAATCTACGCCAGGAAATCCGGGAAGGAATGGACATGGACTGCTAACCTGCCAACTAGTCTCTGGAAGACCGGAAATCTGCATGCGGAACATGGTGCGACGGGGGCGAGGGGGCGCATTGCGGTCTGGTGGTCCAGGGAACGCCTCCTTGCGACGAGGACCGCGCGCAAACTGAACCGTGAGTCGTTCGCCTTTAAAGTCACTGCCGTCTGTGGTATAGATAAGCGATAAGTCGGTGAGCAAGTTATGAGAGGGAAGGCGTACGGAAGGCTAGAGCAAAAGCAACATTAGCAATTCAGCATAGAAACATCTCAGATCCGATGGAATGTTCCTTACCCGGCACAATATCTCTGGCATCAAGTTGATCGTCATATTCGATGAAACCGAACCCGTTCATCAGCTTGATCTCCGTGATCTTACCGGAGCCATGGCTGCTGAAATGTTCCTCGATGTCGCTCTTGGTCACTGTGATAAGCAAATAGACAAAACAAGGTTAGCGCATCGATTCCAAGGTGTCCAAGAAGCACCGGTTAGATTGGTCATCCGAGGCAGAAGCTGATCCATGTGGGTAGCTGAAGCTCTCCCATTTGCTCTCACTGAGGGCGGAGGGTGTGGCTTTGGCGAAGCGATAATACGAGGGATCAGAGCACACGGGATTCCGGGCATCAGTGGAGTGACTGGGTCATGCACGGTGGTGCGTGTTCTCCAGGGCTCGGGGAAGAGGGACAGTCAGGTGCCATACCGTTGCGGGGAAGGTTCCCAAGATACAGGCGGGTGGAGGACACCTCGTTCATGGCTAATTAGAGCAACTGGATTAATCCTGGGAATTAATAGAGAGAAAGATCCGGGCCAAAGGGAATCCCAGAGATGGAAGAGATGGAAAAGCTCCGTGGTGCAGAGAGTGATGAGGTGAGCTGCCTGCAGGAAAGCAGGAAAGCAGGAAAGCAGAAAAGCAGAAAAGCGTGTAACTCGACAAACAATCCTGGGAGCAGAGAGCAGATGTAGCTGAGGAAATCCCAACGCAATTACAAAAGGTACAGGGAAAAAGAGAGGATTGAGAGGGGAAGAAGAGAGAAAGTACCGGCGCTTCTGGCGGTGGACAATTGGAGACTTTGGCCGCCTCACTTTTTCTGATCCACGTGGTTCCACCATCTTGTCGAGAAGAGAATGCCAATTCATGGCCATGGATGTATTTATATCGCTATCTCTACATGCAGGTAGAGTGAGATCCGGAGATCTCTATTTATATAATGTAGTTACTGAGTAACCCGTCAAAAACATGGGACGCAAGGTGTATGGCTTATCCCTCGTGGGCTCTCCACTGAGCATTCCACGGTTCTGCCTGTTTTTCTTTTTTTGGGTTGGGGTCTATATACATTCTTCTTTCTTATTATATCCAATACCAAATACGAAAGATCTATTTCGGTTCCTTTAAAACGCCTGAACATCCTGTAGGATATCACGTCATCACGTATTTGGGTCCTTCTCCACCTTGAGGCGTCTGCCAGTTGATGTCTTGTGTGGGGACCTTGATATCACAGGTCTTGCAGTGAATGCAGCTGGGAAATGGTTAGTATACTGAGAAAGCTACTCAGATTGAGGGGGGGGGGGGGGCTTACTTCTGTGCGTTGATCTGGAACCGGACGCCGTGCTCCTTGCTGGGATCCTCCACATATTCATAGACACCTGCAGGGCAGAATCGGTTCTCCACACCCTTATACGTGGGCCATGCAAGGTCCGTGTGCTTCTCCCAGTCCTTCACCTGCAGGTGGACCGGCTGATCTTCCTCGTGGTTGGTGCCAGTTCGGCTCACACTGGTCAAGATATCGAAACTGATCTCGCCGTCGGGCTTGGGGTATTCGATCTTTTTGTACGCAGAAGCAGGCTTGGTAGCTGCTGCGTCGGTGCCATGGTGGCTGAGGGTCCAGGGAACGCGACCCTTGAGCACGTAGGCTTCCAGACCGGAGTAGAGAAGTCCACCGAAGAAGCCTAATGGGGTATTGAACGAGGGTCGGATGTTGCGCACCTCGGACAGCTCCTTCCAAATGGTGGAGTCGCGAAGAGCCTTCTCGTAGTCAAACAGGAAGACAGTTCCCTGGTTATCGGACTGAAGCGCCGAGAAAGCAGCCTCGGCGGCCAACATGCCGGACTTCATTGCGGTGTGGGTACCCTTGATCTTCGGAACGTTCATGAAGCCGGCGGTGTCACCAATCAAGGCACCTCCGGGGAATGCGCACTTGGGGATGGACTGGAAGCCACCCTCGTTCAAGGCTCGCGCTCCGTAAGAAATGCACTTGCCGCCCTCAAGGACTTCCTTGAACATGGGGTGGTGCTTCATCTTCTGGAATTCTCCGTATGGCGAAAGCCAGGGGTTCGGGTAGTCCAATCCCACCACGAGACCGATACTGACCATGTTGTCGCCGAAGTGATACATCCAGGCTCCACCATAGGTATCCTTAGGAAGGGGGTATCCCATCGAGTGAACGATCTCGCCGGATCGGAACTTCTCAGGCTGGATCTCCCAGATTTCCTTAATTCCAAGACCATATGTCTGAGGCTGGCTGTCCCGTCGAAGGTCATATTTCTTGATCACTTGCTTGCTCAAGCTGCCGTGGCAGCCCTCAGCAAGGAGGGTGACACGGGCGTGGAACTCCATTCCTCTCTCAAAGTTCTCCTTGGCCTTGCCATCCCGGCCAAGTCCCAGGTCGTTGGTCGCAACGCCCTTCACCGAACCATCTGGGCGGTAGACCATCTCGCTAGCTGCGAAGCCAGGATAAACCTCCACACCGACCTCTTCGGCACGCTCTCCCAACCACTTGGTCAGCTCATTCAGACTGATAATGTAGTTCCCATCATTGTGCATCTGAGGGGGCACAGGGAGCGGGTATGAGCCAGTCTTGGTCAGGTAACGCATCTTCTCGCCCTTGGCGGGGGTCGCACCCTCGAAGCGGGAAGGGTTGTCTTCGGAGAGCCAGTCGGGGATCAGCTCATTGAGGGAAGTCGGTTCCAAAACATTTCCGGAAACAATGTGGGCGCCCAATTCGCCAGCCTTTTCCAGTAGAATGACTCGGAACTCTTCGTTGCCTGCTTCGTTCGCAAGTTGCTTCAAGCGAATCGCGGCGGCAAGACCGGCGGGACCTGTAATAAACCAAAGCTTAGTTCGGCTGCTTGAGGGAGTAAATTGAGATATCCGAGTACATACCACCGCCAACAATGCACACATCCACGTCGTCGGACTCCCGGTCCAATGTGCGGGGATCGAAGTCGCCATTCTCGTCGGTAAAGCGTCTTGATAGCGATTGTGAAAAGGCGCGGGTTTGCGTCGGGGCGAATAGTGCCGTTCGTGGAGTTAACCGGCGCCCGGAGGTTGTGAATGTACTGGCTGAGTGGCGAGCTGGGGCCGCAATGGCGGAGAGGGAAGTAACTCGTGAGAATCGGAGGGAGGAGCGCACTTCGCGCCTCAATAGAGGCAATACGGCACCTTTTGAGGCCATTGTGTATGGGTGATGGTAGGAAGGTCGGAGGCTCAGAATTTTAGTTAATAATTGGCATGACCGAACCGAGGGTGAAATGCGGAGGAGAATATTTAGATCCCGTTGGTCCCCAGAATCGTCGAGTACCCGGCCTTCTGGCGAAGTCGACGAAACGCCGAAAAACCGCCTACCCTCGGCTCAGCCGGCAACCAATAGGCATCGTGGCGATTATCGATTTGGAGGGCCTGAGGCGGTGAAAGGGCCCGAAGCGGAAATCGCCTCTTTTGGCCGGCGGGGTCCGGTCGCCCGTGGCTTGAGAAGCTGAACTTTTAGCATCGTTAGTGTATTGTGTACGGAGTACCGGTTATTGGAGATTGGACGGAGTGCTCCATAGCACTTTATACATCTTTATCCGCTAAACTGCTTCAATTTCTATCGATTCTCGACGCTAGATGGCCAAGATACGGGATACAGGTGATCAAGCCTGATCCCGTGCATCACATGCTCCAAGCAGGTGCAGCATATGGAGTGTCTACATAGATACTCCGTATAAGTATTCTATACGGAGTACGGGTTCCTCCGTAGTAACAATGGAATAGTCCCAACGTTGACATCATTCTCCATGTTTCCGACCTTGCATATCAATATCTGCCAGAGAATAACCTTAAATACTCAAGTCATACTAACTGTTTCAAGAGTATCAAAATCCGATCTGATCAGACTGGACCGCAATGCAGTCTTCCGTACTCCGTATTGTTACTGCGTTTCCCGGAATGTGACGATTGCGCTCCTTTTGGTATGGTATTTGGCATACTATACCATACCTGCATACCAGAATCCTCTAGAAAATGTAAAAACAATACCACGATGCGACCTGAGGCTTCCTCCAAGACTCGAGGACCATAGTTGGCAGGTCCGAATAATAGATCCGAAGCTAAAAACATGACCGATCATCGCGAAATCGCATGCCTTTTGATTCATCTAGCCTTGGCGGATGGTGGATCAACGCCGGGCGCCACCGCCTGTCAAGGCAGAATCGAAACGGCCACCTGTCCTGATGGGAATTCTTGGAACGTCGTCCGTTTGGCTGGGGCGAAACGTAAGATCATGATAGAATCAGCTGTGATGAATGAACTGTCGGTGATATTCTGTTAGATGTCAGTGAGCCATCAATATCAGGTTATGATACTGAGTAATTCTCCCCAGTGTGGTGAGGTCAGAGAGGTAGGGGAGGAAACAAGGCGAAAAAATGAGAATTTTTGTTCAGTTGCCATCCGTTAAAGCGGCAAGAGGATAGCGCGTCGTACATGGAGTGACCGAGGAGAGTCAATGACGATGATTGGACTGGCGTGGGACGGAGGGGACTATCAGGTGCAGGAGGACTGCGGACTGGCAAACCAACACCTGCAACCATGGCGCCGCGGAGGATAAAGCAAGGGCGTTCTGACCAGTCAGGGGCGTACATGGACAGAGGAGCGGAGTGCGCTGGACGAATGAGAGCCATGGGGGGTCGAGGTAGGCTGTGATTGGCCGATGAGGGAGGTTCCCAGAGCCGCTAGCGGGCGATGAAGCCAAGGTTGAAGGGAGAGAAGTGGTGCTGCTTTTACCGCCACCGGCGGCCCAGCCTCCCCTGACCGGGCTGTGACTCAGCACTATATAAAGACCCAACCTCCCCCCATTTTGCACTGGGAATTTTGTCTCGGTCTTGGCGGATCTCATTTCGGAAATTCTTCTTCCCTCCGCTCCCCTCAAAGCCTCCTGATAATCATATCGGATCTGCCGGCTTTCTCTTACTAATCAGATCTATCTCATCCAGATCTTTGATTCTCTCCGGGAAGACCCTTGATTCTATTTTTTTAATTTTAGGGGGAAAAAAATAACGGGTTTTTGTCCACGGACCTAAACACCATAGAAGTCGATCCTCACGTGTCGCTTCACCACACACTCTCTTTTTTCAGATTCGCGCAGATAGACAATCCCATTTTCAAAAGCAGCGCAAAGAAAACATTTCGAAAGGGAAAAAAAAAAGTTGCCGTCCCTGCCATAATCTCGCCGTCGCGACTATCTTGAAGAAAAAAACACTTGAGTGTGATTTTTTTTTCTTGGTTCATTCACCAGTCGACTGCGTTGGGTTTCGTTGCCTATACTTTCTCGTGATTGCCTTTTCACGAAGAGTTACGTGCGAATACCTCGTAGGGGGATACATTGAGTTGTCCATCTCCCAGGTAAGAGCTCTTGTCACTTCTGTCCATTGCACCTTCCACCTTCCACTTTGGGATCCCACGTACCTTCCCAATAACTTCACATGAATCGTCTTCTCGTCGCTGCCTCCGCGCCTCCGCGCCTCCCCTCCCCCTCCGTCTTTTTTTTCTTTTCCTTTCTTTTCCTCTCCTCCCCACCTCGCTGTCCACGTGATTGAAGCTTACGTGATTTTCTGAATAGTTTCATCCTCTTTCATCTCCCAATCTTGCATACCCGCTGTGGGTTGCAACTCGAACCTCCATTACAATGGATTCTCTCACCACCCACCCCTCGAACGCGCAGCAGGCTCGTGCCTTCACTGCTACCTCATCGCTGTCCTTCCCTGGTGGAGCCGGGGACCTGACCCCTCCCATCTCCGATAAGGAGGCTATGGCGCAGGGCGCAAATGGTATGAATGGCCAGCAGGTTGGAGGAAATGCCATCGGTGGCACCGGGGTGACTCCCGCTTCTCCTGCGACCCCTGCTGCCACCCCTGGTGCGACCACCGGAAGCAGTGGCATTGTCCCTACCTTGCAGTGAGTATACTCTAGATGTTTTTCTGGGTGACCAGAATGGCTGAACTAGTTACCCTAAAAGGAACATCGTTGCTACTGTCAACCTTGACTGTCGCTTGGATCTCAAGACCATTGCGTTGCACGCACGCAATGCTGAGTACAACCCAAAGGTATCTATTAACCCTTCGCATTCCCTGAGAATACACACATCAGGGTACAATGTGGCTGAACATGGTTCTCTCCTTAGCGTTTTGCTGCCGTGATCATGCGTATCCGTGAGCCCAAGACTACCGCTCTGATCTTTGCTTCGGGCAAGATGGTTGTCACCGGTGCCAAGTCGGAGGATGATTCCAAGCTCGCTTCGCGCAAGTATGCGCGTATCATCCAGAAGCTTGGCTTCAATGCCAAGTTCACCGATTTCAAAATCCAGAATATTGTCGGCTCCTGCGATATCAAGTTCCCCATCCGTTTGGAGGGATTGGCCTCTCGTCACCACAACTTCAGCTCTTATGAGCCTGAGTTGTTCCCTGGTCTGATCTATCGTATGATGAAGCCCAAGATCGTTCTATTGATCTTCGTCAGTGGCAAGATTGTCCTGACTGGTGCGAAAGTCCGCGAGGAGATCTACCAAGCATTCGAGTTGATCTACCCTGTGCTTTCTGGTATGCTGTCTTCTCCACGCTGCTGTCATTGAGCCTTCACTAATCCATATCATCAGATTTCCGCAAGGTTTAAAGGAGTTCCAGGAGGTCACTCGCTTACGCATTCAACTCTGTATTAACATTGCTTTTCCCTTCTTCGAGGCTAACACCAGACTTGTCTATCTGTTCCTCGCGTTTCCTCTGGTTTTTACGACTCTTTTCATGCAAGCATAGTTGGGCGTTCTTAGCGATTCGGTCGATTCCCGGTTTCAATATCTCGCGTTCTTACACACACAATTAGATTGCTGCAGCCCGCAGTGAGGCGGTTGTGCGCCGGTCGATGACTGCCTCGATTTAATCATTTATCGTTCTACGGTTTCATCTGCGGAGGAATATTTTCTGATGCAGGCCAAAAAAAATCATGATGACCCCAGGCAGTCTTCTAGTCTATGTCCTTGCTTTCCCCACGTCAGTGGGATGATGGACCGGCTTTTGCCGTATTACTACCTCCGAGTAGTGAAAGAAAATGTCTCAAAAAAATCTTTTCTTCAAGTGTATCTTTCTGTAAAGAACAGTAGATGTAAATCCCAAGTCTATCGAATAATAGTACATTAGCATCTCATGGATCCAGGGAAGTTACGTCTCCAACGTCCGGATATCTATAGTACACTGCTTCGCAAAGCCTTCCTCGTCTTCGCCAACTCGTCTTTCAAAATCGAGTTCCTCTCCCCAGATCGACTACCATCGCCAGCGAAGTCCTCTTCATCCGACACAGCAGTCTCAGGCCATGCCCACATCCTACTCAACTCAGAGTCAAGCGTTCCCTCCAACGCGTCGACAATCTTGTCTCCGATAACAGGGAAGAACTTGAACCCATGGCCACTGCCACCCGTAGCAAGGAAAAGACCCTCATGATCAGGATGGTAGGAAACAATGAAGTCACCCTTAGGTCTGTTGAACCGATTAGCACCACAGCCAGATCGCAACCAAACGGCCAAGAAATCCCCAACTCACGTATCAGTATACCAACAAACCCTCGTATCCACAAACTCCCTGTCTGCAAACCGCGGCAAAAGCTGTCTCAACGCAACCCGGAACGCATCCTGTCCCTCAAGCGGCACAGGAACCCCCTTCTCCGGCAAACTAACCACCATCGAGCCAGCAGCCCGTCCCTCAACACCAGGAACCGGCACCGTAACCGGATTGCGATACCCATACGCATGCCGCGCAATTTTGAGCAGATTATTCCGCGGCGGAATGATAAAGATCCCCGTCGCGAAGTTCAATATCGTCGGTAGATTCTCCAACTCGCGCTGCTCCTCATCCGAGATCCGCATATACGCAATTGCCTGGCCCGTCGCAACAGCCCTCCCCCGCAAATCGACCAACTTCGACGTCCACGCACCAGTCGCCAACACGACCAAATCCGCCGTCAGGACTGAGCCATCTGCAAGCGCAACGCCAGTAGCTTTAGGCTTCGCGCCCGTGTCGGACGCATAGAGCACACGCTCCACATCACCCGTGCGGAAGATCACCTTCCCCTCTGCGTCGAGGAGCTCCTTCGCATAGCGCACGCTCGCTGCGGCATCCGACCATCCAGAGCCCCAGTTCACGTAGCCGCCGGCAACGTCGAGTGTGTCGCCATAGGCCGGGACGACCTTGAGCACGTCGGCTTGGGTCGGCAGGAAGGTGACGTTGTCGCCCTCGATCTGGCGCACGTTGATGTAGCTCTTGCGCGCGTACTCCTTGGCGCTGGCGCTGTCTGCGGGGTACACGAGTAGCAGGCCGTTCTGCGTGTAGCGGCCGTTGCGGCCCCAGTCTGTGCTGCGCCAGCGGTCGATGGCTGCTGCGGCGAGCTTGGAGTATGCTGTGTTTGCATAATCCGCCCGCACGATTCGGGATGTGTCGACGGATGAACCGTGCGGGTTGGGGATTGTAGGTGAGGATTCTACGACTGTTACTTCAGATTCTGGGTGTCGCTTTGACAGGGACAGAGCGGTAGATACTGAGGGGTTTGGTTAGTAGCGGTGTAGCGGGAATTGAGGTAAATGGGTGTAGGAGATATACATGTAGCCGGTGCTAGGGAGAGGGTTGATACTCACATCCGAAGACACCGCCTCCGACAATGAGAATCTTGGACGGCAATGCCATTTTGAACGATTTTGGAATCGGTTGTGCGGACGAAGCCAAAATCCCGAAGTTGGAGATCGGAGACTTGGGCATCTACTCCAACAGCCAGCGGAGCCGATAACGGCAGCACGTCGGCCCCCAGCTCCCGACTTTTCTCTTCCGAGGCCCAGACTCGAGATTGCGACTCCGATCTATAGCCCCGATTTGTATACATCGTGCACTCCTAGCCCATTAATCTATTTCCCAGAGCCTCCATCTCCATTGGGTATCGCGGGGAGACTAACAACCCTGGTCGCGTAAGCCCAATCTCCCCCGGGCTTCTCGCGTCAAATCAAATCGCGTGCGCGCAAAGCCCTGTCAAAAAAAATCCCTTGGCAGACCAAATCGCCAGGCCAAACCACAAAATGAACGCATATCAATTACGCCGGGTGCCATTTCTCGCAAAGCGGGCTGTGACACCCTGTCGCAGCGCAAGCAAAGCATCTCGACCCCCAAAGCCGAGGTATGCGACTCGCCACCCAACCAAAAACACAACCTAACAACCCCCAGCTCCAAGCCAGTGGCCATAAAAAGAAGACATGCCGCTCCGCCTCGTCAGCGCCATCCAGAGCCGCCAACCTCACAAGCTGGCGCGGCCCAAGGCCCCAACGCAGCACCAAAACCAGCCCATGGCATCCCGCCCAAAGCCCTGACTTTCCTGGGCGTCTCAGCACTCGCCCTCAGCACGTACTGCGGGTACCTGTACACATCGTACACGCGCGAAGTAAGCAAAGCGCAAACCCTAGATGTGCCGCGCGACGTCTCAGACCGCTACAACACGACAGCCGCGACCTTCGACGCGGACGTCGAGCTCTCCGAAAAGGCCATGGGACTGGGCAAAAAGCGACGCGAGCTGGTGCGGCAAGCGCGCGGGCACGTTCTCGAAGTCAGCTGCGGGACGGGGCGGAATTTGCCATTCTACGAGCTCGGCGAGCGGCGCGGACTCGACGCCGCGGGGCATGCGGGTGTGGTGGGCTGTCGGTCGGTGACGTTTACCGATTTGAGTCCGCAGATGGTCGCTATTACGAAGGAGAAGTTCCAGAAGCTGTATCCTACGTTCTCGGCTGTGTTCCGGGCTTGTGATGCGGGGGCGGTGGTGCCGTCGAACGCGCCTTATTTTGATACCGTTGTGCAGACTATGGGGCTTTGCTCGATGCCGGATCCGGTTGCTACGTTGCGGCATCTCGGGTCTGTTACTGAGCCTGTGGATGGGCGGATTTTGTTGCTGGAGCATGGGCGGTCTTATTATGATTGGGTTAATCGGATTTTGGATAATCTTGCTCCGGCTCATGCGGATCGACATGGGTGTTGGTGGAATAGGGATATTGGGGAGATTGTGCGTGAGAGTGGGTTGGAGATTGTGGAGGAGAAGCGTTGGCATTTGGGGACTACGTGGCGGTATGTGTTGAGGCCGAAGCAGGGTGTTGAGAAGACTCAGTCCTGATCTTGAAATCGGGGTGTGTGGCTTTTTACCTCTTTTGGTTGTGACATTAGTTAGAGATTTGTACGAGTATTGGATATTAGACACTTTAGAGAAGACGTGATAGAAATGGGATCAGGGATACACTACATACTTTCCAGATCTATACATCTGAATGATGGGGCTGTATATCACCTCGTAAAACGCCATTAACCCTCACTTTTATACCCGTGAACCTCCATTGTGCCTTTCTAGTAACGGTATCTAAAACCTGGCGTCTTCCAATCCGTAATATCCTCATAGTCATCCGACACCAATCGTACTCGATCCACCATATCTCCCACATCATTCGAATCACGATCACCATCCAACACCTTCCCACCAACAGCACCCGCATTCCCAGCACTACCCTCAAACCCCTCTAGATGCACACGACGAGCATTGATCCACTGCAGGTAAAACCGCAGAGCCAACGCCAGCAGCACAGCCAGAGCATAACAAACCATAATCGCACGAAAAGCAGTATCATAAGTCGGCGCCTCCTTGCTGCGGAAGAAGTGAGGGCCGGAGATATTCCCAGCGCAATATGCCAGGAACAGCAGTGCAGTAACAGTCATTTTCTTCGTGACACCACGGTAATTGGCCTGCACCAGCGATAACACAAGCGGCATCGCCGCCGGTCCCGTCGATAAAAGGAAATACCCAAACAATTGGACACCTGAGACAATACGAGCGCGCGAGTAGATGATCGCACTGCCGACTACGCAAGGGAGCACGACGGCAACTATCAACAAACAACTGGACTGGCGGAACCGCCCGGCTAGCCACCCCGTTCCGGTGGTTGTGGCCACGGTGATGAGGGAGTAAGGGATGGTGAGTAGTGTGGATTGTAAGTTTGTGAATCCGAACGAGACAAGGACCAGATTGGGGAAGTTTTGCGTCCCTCCGTTGGGGATTTGGGTGCAGAGCTCTAGGCCGAAGATAAGCCAGGTTTTGGGGTCCAGCAGGCATTTGAGGACTTGGTTCCATCGCCAGATGGCTTTCTCTGTTGTGCCGGTTCCTGCGATGATAACTCGGTTGCTTGCGAATTGGCGTTCCTCTTCTGATAGGAATTTGGCTTTGGAAATTGAGTCTGGGAGGAGGGCCCCGATAGCGAATCCCCAGAGAAATGTGAAGCTGCCGAGCACGATGAACATCCATCGCCATGGGCCAATTTGGTCTTTGACGTGGCCTAAGCCGTAGGCGAGGAGACTGGAGATAATACCGCCAACGCTCTGTACATATGAGCTTTTTTCCTAGTGGACTGGTAGGGAACGTACGTTTCCGGCAAACCACAGGCCTGTCCTAGTGGGAATCTCATCGCGCGTATACCACGTCGATGTAATGAACATGAACGCCGGGGTAATAGTCGCTTCAGCAGCTCCAAGCAGGAAGCGGACTGTCATGAGACCACCGAAGTTGGTGCAGGCTGCGGTCAAAGCAACTATGGCTCCCCAAAATAGCGTGTTGGCTGTCAAATATTTGGCAGCGGGCAGACGAGCAATAAGCAATGTGGTGGGATATACCCAACCCAAGTAACCAAAGTAGAAGACCGACGATACCCAGCTATATTCCTGGCCAACTAATCCCTAGAGGCTATTTTAGTTGTGAGTCTCCTTCGCACAGATAGGTCCTACAGTATCATCAGAAAGACCGAACACAGACGCGCTCGATAAGATAGTTTTGTCCACGAAGTTGAACATATATGTTGTGAAGAGCAGCGGCACGAGTCGTCTGTCGATCTTCCTCAGCACTCTTTTTGCGATGGCATGGTTCGTCCCCTGCTCTAGTGCCGCACCGGGCGTCACGGTGTCCATGGCCGAAGCAACACTTCCAACGAAAGGAAGAAAACACCGAGAATCCCACACCTAATGCAACTTCTGCTCTTCTTATTGACATGTTCAATCCCTTGTTATGTTTCCCCGCACCTCCATTGGTGCATCCCTGCACGTTATCGCCCAGGAATCCTTCGAGAGCCAATTGGGCGCGACTATGCCTGCGAGTTCTTAGGGCTAGCATATCTCATTGGCCCCAACTCAGAACCTCACCATGTTGTACCATACCTACAATTACATCTCTTATCCCATGGTTCCCAAGTCAATCATGAATGGCCTCAAAATCACCGCACTCATAGCCAACCTCCCATACACATAAACATATCGAGGAAGCGATATTCCGAGTGTGTGGGGGACGGGAGCGGAGAGGATTGATTATGGATTGGATGCAGAGGATAGTGAGGTTTTATGGAAAGGATTGGTGGAGAGGGGTGTTGGGTTGACGTTGTGTCTGCATGCTTATCATCGGAGGACGGCGGAGGGTTTGTTTCCGAAGATTCGGAGGTTAGTGGAGAGGGTGAAGATTTATGTTAATAGTGATGATCTGAGTTTGATGCGTGATATTTAGGTTGATGGGAATTTGCAGAAGGTGTTTACTTATATGTAGTGGGTTTAGTCGGGAGATGGTGCAATTGGCGAGGAATGCGGTGGATATGTGTTGGGCTGGGATGTTAAGAGGGATATTTATACTTGCATGCTGTTGATGTCCGTGGATGAGGCATACTTAGGGTGTTTGCTCTCTATGGAATAGATACTAAAACCGATGTTTCTAAAGACGTAGGTAATAATCTATTCACTACCACTTGGTGGGATATTGGGATATCTCTTTACGTTCTGGCTGTCTGAGACGCTCTTCCCGAATATAAGATGGATTTGATTGCACATGTGATATCAATATATATTTGTCCCCTCAAGCTATATGAACCTTGGCCCCAATAACTCCAGTCAACCATAACACGGCCGATGCTCTGGAATAATCTTGGGACTATGTTGATGGCTTTGAACAATGTTCAATAGATCAGGGAAATAGCTTGGTCCCGGGTGAGGCTGAAACATACAACACAAGCGCTAAATGTAGGATTGATCCCAATCTCTACTACGTTGAACGTATCAGGCCCTCAGACACCTCTCCCGTGTGACTCTGCCAACATCAGGGGGAGTGAGACAGACTATCCTCCTGCTACGGAGCACACTTCACTGTGATAGGTCGATGTGCATCGTATATCTTGCATGTCTCGGCACTGTTCTTCCTATATTGTTACATCGATATGAAACTATATTCCCCCTTTCGATATGGCGTGAGACATCGGCCATGGCGGCCTTGGAACGAGTACGGAGTACTCCGCACTCCGTCCGGAGTACGCGCAATCAAGTTTTGCCCATGGCACCATGATCTACATGAAGCAGTCATGATATACCCTGCCCAAAAAGACATTGTCATAGACAACCTCCAAATGGCAAACAAGCCTGACGCCATTACCCCTCTAAACGAGATCCCGATATTGTTCTAGATCTCAACTAGGGGGAAGCACAATTTCATCCTATCGGACTACATTTTCCCACATAGGAAAGCATACAACATACATGCGGCTACTAGTATACCGACTAGCCACTCGGCACTTGATTCCACGGCCGGGATTGGCTAATGGGCATATCGCAACTGTCCCGCATATAACAAACAGGGTTTGGCCACCAATCTTGGTCGATGATTTACATGCACCATGCAGATCTCTGACAGGGGTTATTCCGTGTCTTGGATGCTAGTCATTGACAGGATGCAAATGAGCGAGCCTGGGTCTAGAGCGGGGAAATTGGGAAAGCCGAGGACAACGGCTTTCAGCAAGGTTTGGATGCTGATGCGTACATCGGTTATCAAGGATGCGGTGATTGGTAGATCTGGGCTTGGGGGGGATAGTTCCGCTCAGATTGGTGGTTCTACATAGATCGGGGATTGGGAGCTCTCTTGGGTGAGGCGTGACAGTGATTTGCTCGATGTCCGGAAAACGTATCCTAATTGAAATGGGGTTGTGGCAAGCATGATCTTGCATGTTCTATCTTGTGCCTTGCTCATACAAATGTAATGCTGCGGACGTATGTGAGGAGATGGAGGGGCATGATGCTACCTACGGAGTACATTGGAAGTACAGAGTACCTGCTGTGGAGATGCGGAGAATTGCCGTGCACCTGCATACTGTAGGTACCGTCTTCTCATGTAGATGTACCGTTTTATTGTCTCCATGTATTCTGTACCCTACTGCAATCAGATAAACTTGGGAGCGATTCCCTTGAGCCGGGTGCATGTCACAACGGTCCCACGGTTGACGTTCCCGATCCTCTGGACCGGAGTGGTCGATGTCATGAAAACGGACTGCGATGTCCTCCTACTACATACACGAATGCGACTCGAGGAACAGGGATAATTCAAGGAATGAGGTTTCCCCTCAATACGGAATACGGAGTACGGAATACGGAGTACAACCTGCATTACTCCGTACAGCAATGTTGATAGTGGCTAGGTTACGATGTATGTCAGTCCCTTGCTGGACGCCAAGCCTTTCTTATGAGGAGATAGCGACTATGTATGATGTACGATATACGATGTGCGAAGTATGAAGTGCAGTAATATCTCTTGATCGGCCAACTATTGATCATCATCATATCACTGAAACTCAAGAGGATAGAGAATCCGGATGGCTGGGGGGAAGCAGGATGTCATCATATGCACGTAGGAAGGAATATATGATTTTTCCCCCCGGATGGAATCACCACTGATTTTAGGAGGCAATTGCGGGAATCTCAGTACGATGCTCTCAAATGGATAGATCGCGTCTCTCCCAGCTGGAATATCGAGGAAACCCAAAAAAGGTGTCTCAGCTCATCGTCAGTGGCAAACGCTGTTCCTTTTCTCCCCGAGACGCTAATGTGAGCATCCCTTACTAGCGCCATGTACAATACGATACACCGGCTCTGATTGATCGATGTGCCGTCGATTGGATCCCCCGGATCCACTGCGCCGTGGGGCTCAGTGGACTTTAAGTGGTCGATATTTTCTTGTCCTTTTTTCTGTGTGTAAACGGTTGCGCTAGGAAGCTCTTTTGGGTCTCGGTGTTTCCGACCGGAGGGCTCGGGTTAAGCACGCTTTTTTTTTTCGGTTGGGTCCCTTTGAACGCTTAGCTGCTAATTTTAAAGGGTTTGTGAACACACATGCCCAGACAGCAATACATTGTTGTATGCATATTTAGTACATTTCCGGAGTATACTCCTCCATTAATTTATTTTGATCTATCATTCAACAGCGGTGTGCACCGGTCCCCTAGCAACAGATGACAGATCCTACGCATACCCTAAACATCCCATGCAGGAAGGACAAACCGTCCAGAATGCATCCACCACGCGACTACCAATCGAGTGGCAGGTCTTATTTATTATTCCAGGAATCGGGTCAGGATTAGCGGAATCCGATGTATACGGGATGAAGTGACCACTGGGGTCGCTAAATCCATGGAGACGCTAAGACTCGCTGGAGCACCAAAATTGGACCTAGTCAGGTCGTAGAACACATGGCCGCCCCACCTCTGGTCCGGTATGTATGCACTAAACCCGAGGATAGAATGAAAGAACTATGGGATTTTCCTACTAAGGCCTGAAGAGGAATGGGTCGGACTCCACTGCCTACGAATTGTTCACTTTGCGTCTTTGCGTGTCGCATGTTACGACCCTGTGGCTTTTGACATGGCGGTGAGGAAGGACAATAACAAAGAGAAAGTAGCAAGCGTCCAGTATCTACCCGAGTACGAGGTAACGAGGTACTCCGTCTCGAGTACGAAGACACAGGGGACTGGAATCTCATATCAAAGCCAAATGTGTTGTTCCCATTTCCACGGTCTGACGTTGTACATTCCGAAAGTAAAATTGGAAGGAACGAAAATCAAAATCAAAAAGAAAAAAAAGAAAAACAACCGTTGAGCCAATCAGCGCTCATCGAATTCGGGAGGCTGCCCTTTTGAGCATCGTGACCGTACGGTAAATTACATCCACTTTGGTTCTCGGTTTTTCATTTTTCATTTTTTCATTTTTCCACTTTTTCCCGTGGATTCCTCAGGCCCCCGTTTGGTAAATTTGCCATCCAAACAGCTTCCTGTCGCATCTTGATGATCCCCCCCCCGTTTATCCTCCTCATCCCCCTTTCTAAATCCCCCATATCTTAGAATCTTTTTTTTTTATTATTCTTCTTAGTATTCTGTTTATTATTATATCTTGTTCTTTTTTTATCTACTATATCCTCACATCTTGTTATTACTCTCCTTTGATCTGATTCTTGCTTTGTTCTCTCCGTCACGTCCCTCACAATGCCGTACAACACCCGTCGCAAGTCACTATCTCTCCCGTCATTGGGCATTCAGCTCCCAAATTCATCTCGTCGGTCTCCTTCTATCTCCAAAGTTCACACCGATGAGCATCCTTTAAAAAAGGTTAAGAGATCGCACGGTTCTTCATTATCACCCGAGCCATCCGACTCCAAGACGATTGTACGCGGCCGACATGGACTATTTGAGATTACACCACCTCCGTCACCTATGGACGGAGTAATGGCACCCAAGATCGATACAGAAGGAATTAACGACGACATTGTGGTCGCGGTAATTAACCAACTGGAAAAGACCGGGAACCGCCCGCACCTCGTGAAGGAACTCGCCGCAGTTCTGATTGCGCTGAATGTGAATGTTGCTAAGTATGTATCCCCTCTCCCACTGGCTGGAGACTCAATGGCTAACCGGTAGTGTTTCCAGTTCTGCCAATCCAGCTGCGTTGCTCTCATCACGGTTAGCTGCCTATATGAAGCGTTCCTGGACGGCTCTCGCGCCATGCCCTATTGCCAAGGAGCTTATCTTAATTCACCCACGCAAAGTGTACTACTATCTTACTACGTTCCCTCATCAACCCATTCCTGAGAATGACGATCTGGTTTCGGCCATGGATCACAAGCATATTACTCCCAGTGTGTCTAGCCTCGACGAGGAGGATACGATGGTGCGGGAACGTAGTCCCAGTCCCGAAGTGGACTTGTCTTCCCCCGATTTTGAGGAGCATTTGAACAGCTCAGCCAGCCACGGTTCTTCTGACCACTTCCCCGATGCCAGTAATTTGACGCGTCTTATGCACTCGCATCGTGCGGCTTCCCCGCCCCTGGAGGGTGATGAGAAGGAATTCACACAAACCGCCAGCGCTGTGCGTGAGCGTGCATCCGAGGAGAAAGCCAGCGAGTCGAGCCGTAGTCAGTCCATCCTCTCCGAGAGCTTGAGTGCTCTGGGAGATCGTGACATGTGCATGTCTGAATCGCCTGTGAACGGCGGTTCCATGTCTCCGTCTATGCATGGCCACGGTATGTCCGAAGAAGAGTATAGCGACTACTTCTCTCACATGGCCGTGGACCAAACGGTCCAGGATTTGGACGAGGCCGCCGCGACTACATTGTTCGGTACCTCGCCCTCTCCCTCCCTCACCTCCATCGCATCATCTGTCTCGTCTGGCACGAGCGCTATGACCGATCTTGGTGTGGATGGTGAGGAGCTTACTGGTCCTCTCGCTGCGCCTCAGATCAGCCTCCCCGAGGATCTGGATGCTGCACCCGTGTCAACCCTCAAGCGCTCGCTTGACATGTTGAACAGCGGTCTTCCAGATGTCGATCTGAAGATGTCCGACCTGACTGAGTCGCACGAGAGGCTCACTCTGACCCCTCGGCCCATCTCCATGATGCCGGAGCCCGTCTTCGATTCGTGGAGAGAGCTGCAAAACCCAGAGATGGTGGAGGTCGATGAGCTCGACGAGATGTTTGGCGAATTCTAAACTCATCGTTGAGACCGCCTCCCCTTTTAACGATTCCTCCTTCTCTCCACTCTTGGCTGGGCTGTGACCCGCCATGTGCTCTTTAACCCTCTATTTCCCCTGCTTGTACATGTCCATTTGGTTTCTCGGCGCACTCTACCTTTTTTCCTTTTTTTTCGCTAATGCCTATTTCTCTTGTATATATACACATGCTTTGGTTTATTCACCCTGGATGGGTACGGGATATTTTTCACGGAGGAATGGCTTCACCCAAAAGTGTCAAAATAACTAGCGGTTCCCATAAATTCAGCATTTCCCATTTTCACCTTTCTCCAAGTCGAACAAAACCGACAAGGAACCGTACGTAGACCCAAATTAGGAAGGTGGCCTTGTCCATGGATCCCCGAGATCGCATCCCGCCACTTGACGCTCATTCGGCTTCATTCTGGTGAACCCTTTTTATGGAGCACATTGCCTGCCCTGATGGATCTCAAATCTCTTCCCAGTGCCCACCTCATTTCCATGTGAATCTAGCCCTGTCATTGGCTGCGACTTTATGCCGGGATACCGAAATGCATCGGTACCTTGAAATATCCAGGATCCCCCCAGACTACTCCTTCAGATGGCCTAGGCCTCGAGCCAATTTAAATTGACAGAAGCTTGATCGGGGAACTTTTTTCCCCTGGAGAACAACAAGAAACCGCATGGAAGCGCCAGAAAGAGCAGATCTATAGTAATCACTGTGCCAAGTTGCTTTAAACGGGTGGACCTCGGGAGAGGGTCACGCCTAATTAGATCATAATCTTCGTTCATTTCCTGCACTTCATACTCCATCAACCCACGTTCCTTAAGGCTTCTGCGATCATGACGATCCAAGAATCGCCTCTCCAACCAAGCCAACACGGCATGGCTCCCGAAGGCGCAGCACCAATGCAGCAACCAGAAGCGCACCTCGCCACATCCCGCCCTCCTATCGCAAACACGTTACCAACGCTAGATACCAAAAGCGCCAATCCACCTTCGATTCCGCCGAACAAAACGCTGGCCACACAGGCTAAAGTCGCTATTCCCCGTCAACGGGCCGGAATCGCCCCACGTCATAATCGCCGGGTGCCCCGCGCTTGTGAGTCCTGTAGACAGCGCAAGACGAAATGCAGCGGCGATACACCGGTTTGTCGTCAGTGTCGCGAGCTGAGGGCTACCTGCAATTATCCGCAGGGATGGAGGGAGAAAACTAAAAAGTAGGTTTATCCGTCGCGCCATCTGGTTTTTCGCAAATCTATGGGATGCTGATGAGCTGTTGGGCGCATTGCAGACAAGTTGAGAATCTTTCTGCGAAAGCACAAGATTATGAGAACCTGCTGAAAGAGCTGGGGGAGTTGTTGAGAGCCGCGCCGCCGACCGGATCAAGAGCTTGCTGGACAAGGTAAGGTTTCTTGCTGTGAGAATTCGGGACTGTAACTGACAATTAGAATCAAAGCATGGCCCGGAGGTGGACTATTCGTCGCACAACTCTCGCTCTCATTCGGGAACTCCTCAGGATGAAGTCATGGACAATTACGAACCATCCTCGCCTTCGTCTATTGGATCTCTCGAGGCGATCGATCGAGTAGAAGAGGACCTCAATCGATCGGAACATGCTCGCGCAACCGGTTATATGGGAAAGAACTCGGAAATCACATGGATGCAACGCCTGCAGAGGGAGGCAGAGCAACGTGCCCAAGGTCTTCCGGGGAGTCTGGAGCCTGGTCAAGATCTCAAGACTGACAATGCATTATCTCTCCACGCGGTCAATTATCACCTCGACGACCTGGATATCTCTGTGCCGGGCCCGGTGCAATTGTATTCTATGCCTCCTCGCGAGGTAGCGGATCATATGTTCGAGGCTTATCTGACTACTGTGCATCCATTCTATCCCATCATTAACAAACCTCTTTTCTCTGCGCAGTACCGGACCTTTTTCGACAGTGCGGCTCGGCCAGGTGACAAGTGGCTCGCTATATTGAACATGATATTTGCCATTGGAGCTAAACACGGTCATCTCATCGATGCCCCGTGGGCTGGGAATGAAAAGGACCACTTGATGTACCTGACCCGAGCTAGGATTTTGAGCATGAACGGTGATGTCCTCTTCAGTCACCCTGATCTCCAGCAAGTTCAAGTAGAAGCCTTGATTGCATTCTATCTTCTGGCTAGCGATCAAATTAATCGGTGAGTCTAACAACCCCTCTTCTCCCTGCAGTTGAATTGAACGTGCAATAACACTTTATACAGGGCATGGAGAATCTCAGCTTTGGCAGTGCGCTCTGCGATCGCACTCGGCATCAACATGAAAAGCAGCAGCCCAACCACACCCGATCTTTCAAAAGAAGCCCGTTATCGAGTCTGGTGGTGTTTGTACAACTTCGAGCATATGCTCGGTATAATGACTGGCCGGGCAACCTGTATCCAGGACGGAGTGTGCACCTCGCCTTTTCCGATTCCATTTGAAGAACACCAGTTGCAAGAGCCTGCTGCCTTTGAAGTACTCACAGACACGACCCTGCGAGACGAACGAATCAACAACGTCGTAGCGAGTGCATGTATCAGACAGATGCCGCTCAACCCGGCAAATGGCAAGGAGGCCATTCACCATACTCGAGCACGCGACACTTCTTGGATCAAAGGTCTGCCTGTCAACTACGGACTCTGTTATCTGTACTATTGCGATCTGGCAGTTGTCGCACAAGAAATTATCAACAAAGTCTATTCAGTGGACTGTGTGATGGTCCCATGGGCGCATATCGAGAACCGGATTGGTGAACTCAGGTCCCGAACCGAGATGTGGCAATCCAGTCTCCCAGCCGGGCTTGACTTCACACGAAAGGATGATGACGGACCAGATATCCTTCGCTACAAACTGACCCTAGCACTGCATTACTACAGTGCGCGAATCACACTAGGCCGTCCATGTCTCTGCCGCCGCGATGCCCGCCAAAAGGGCCCAAACCCATCCTTCAGCCACGAAATGGCTGTAATAACCCTAGAGTCTGCTGGGCACATGCTAGATCTGATCCCTGACGAGCCAGACGCCCTGCAACTCTACCGAATCGCTCCATGGTGGTGTATCCTCCACTATCTCATGCAAGCCGCCACCGTCCTCCTCCTCGAGCTATCATTCGGCGCCGTCCACATGCCCGATGAAGAACAGAACCTCATCATTCTATCCAAAAAGGCAACCCGCTGGCTCTTCGCCATGTCCGAACGAAGCATCGCCTCCCGCCGCGCCTGGCAACTCTGTGATCTAAGTCTCCGCAAACTAGCCCAGGGCATGAAATACGACGTCAGCGATATGCCTTCCTACCCATACCAACCCGAGCCGACAACCACCATCGGCTCAGCACCACCCCCACCAGACCAGTCTCTATCTCAAGACGCATCTCACAGCGCTGGCGATTTCTGTAGTCTGCAAGAACCGCCCCCAATGTCTGGATCACAGGCACCGCCTGGCGAAGATAACTTCGCTCATCCAAGTACCTCGACCTCGGAATTGCTGTCCTCGTTAACGGCTGAAGCGCAAGACTCGTATTTCCCGTATGATCCCATCAGCGGGGAATTCATGAGATCTTTCTTCCCGCATTCTAATGAGAATGGTGATTGGGAACAATGAGAAGCTCTCACGAACCCATATACATGTCTTTATGAAACACCCACGCACCGAACACGAACACGAAATACAAAAGTATTTGTCCTATATATTCCCTCATCGCAACTACCTCCCTTTCCATCTCTTATTCTCTTTAATTGCATTATGGCCATTCCTCTCTTGTTCAATGCCTGCATTCGATTCATCACTTACATCTCTATCTTGTCTGTGATACGAATCTCTCTTTCCTCTTTACCTGCATATTTACCCATTTGTTTCGCTTATTCTGATAATGTTGTATATTACGTGTTTCGGGAGGTGGCATTTTGAGAAATTAAAAAACAAACGCGCGTTTTTGGTTCGGTATTCTGGTTTATACGATCCTTGGTCTTGAACTGGCTTGGGATTTGAAGCCTGCGAAGGTGTATAGCGCTCAGGAGTTTCAATTCAAATCGAATTAGCTGGCTGAATATGTCTTTTAGACCGTTCTCGACCTCGTTACTTGCACAGCATCGTGATGGAAGCTATTACGCAGGGAAGAAGATATCTGACAAAGTTTCTTCTCAAAAGACTTTCCAGGATATAGTTGAAAGGACTACCGAAGAGACATCGCAAGGCGCGCAAACACGGCCGACTATATGAAATGCTTCATTATGCCTGCTTTTCGGGGGTAGACCTAGGTAGCGTAACTATGCACTTATTCAGGTCTCTCTGTTATACGGGGTAGTAATTTGGGCATTCTGGTTTCAGTGAGCTTTGAAGCAGGAATATCCAGGCAGCTATTTTCAAGTCCAGCTGAATCCCCTGAGCGCTATACACCCTTGCAGATCCCGGTTCAGAGCTGGACTCACGACCGGGGTTTGAGGATCTCAAGCTTTCGGGGGCGTTTGGGAATAGCATTATCTTTGAACTGGGGGAATCTATATTAGCGCATGATACCAGGACTTTTGATAATGACTTCGAGTTACATTTTCTTCTTCTTTCGAATTAAACCACGCGTGGCATAGAGTATGAATCTTCAGGGGACTGAAATCTCAAATCGAACTGATTAATTGGTCTATAGAGAGAAGAAAAAAAAAGATGTATATACATTGGAGAATAGTTTTTACTTCGAAATAGAAATACATGCAAGACAGAGCCGGGGGAACAAGGGGGTTGGATTCTCCCACTCAAATCTTGCGAGCCTTCTCCGGCTCAGGCATGGACGCAGCCAATTCCTCCGGCCAGGAAGATTTCATCCATGGGTCTTCTCTGTTGTACTTGATTCGGTGTCTGACGGGTCCGCGTAGAGGGTATGTGAATACACGTCGACTCTGCATGCGACGCATGTGGCCGGGGATCTCGATGTCGACCTGGTCCTCCGGGAGACCGAATTTGAGGAAGGTTTCGAGACAGAAGTCTAGAATGGATTCTAGTTCTGTCTGGGGTGGTTTGCCCTTTGTGGATTGGTAGCGGTATTCGGCTTTGGAGATGGAGGGTTTGTATGGGATGTCGGGGTTGTAGGTGAAGGAGGAGGATGGGTCGGGGGAGGTGGAGTTGGGTTGGGGTATATTGGATTTCTGGTCGGAGCGTTGTTGGCTCGTGGATTGTTCGACTTCTGCGGCGTATTCTCGGGCGGCGGTTCGTGCGAGAATGCGGACCGTGTTGAGATCTGCTACGGTGGCCTTGCTTCGGACGTGGGCGACGTATTTGGCGTCCCAGCCGGGGTTTCCGTTGCCGTTTGTTCGCTCGTTGCTGAAGAGGAGTCGGCCGACACCGCCTGGAGCTTGGAGCTGGCGGTTGGGTGATAGCCAGTCGACACAGACTTTATCCCAGAACTGCTTGCCTACGATGGCGCCTTGCGTTTCGACGACGGCGGCGAAGATATCGTGGAAAGTGGCTGGAGGGATGAGGGTGGCCTTGTGGCGTCCTGTGATTTCCTTGGGTATCTCGACTTTCTTGAGAATGGCTGGTAGAGGACCTGGGATGGCGGAAAGTACACGGTGCATACGAGAGAGGGCTCGAAGCTGGAAGTTCCTGACCTTCTCACGATAGGAAGTGGCGTTCCACTCGCCGCGGAAAATGCGGAGCAAGATATCCGTGGCTTGTTTCAGGTCGTTTATGTCGGCCTGAGCCAAGGTGCCAGCAGCTGTCTTGCGCTGAACGGTGGCATGGAGTCGAATGATTGCACTTGCTAGTGCGCCGAGATTGGTGTAGCCCCAGGACTTCGCTCGGTTCTCGGTCAGGAATTTGAGCATTAGTACCACACGGCTCCAATCTTTTCGTGCGATGCTGAAGTTGATCAAGGATTTGATGGTATTAACAGAAAGGGGGATCTCGAGCGACGAGATGACACGATCGCCAAGTTCGAAATTATCGGTGGCAGCGGCAAATCTGAGGATAGACGGCGCCAGAGCTTGATTGCCATATGCACTTTGAGGAATAGCAGGGCCATCAAGGTCATCATCCAGGAGTAGTTGTCGGCCAAAATCAAACGCGTGGGTTGTAGTCGCCACATCCAGAATATTGGCAAAGGTGGAGTATGACAGCTGTGGGATAGATGATTGAGAAATACCCTGGGGCTCAGAAGACTTGAAATCAAACAAGGAGGAAACATGTTCGTCATTGGCCTGACTCAATTGTTCGAAGAACGCTTGGATGTGTCGTGCCTTGCTCGCATCAGCAATATTTTGAAGCCAAGCATACTGGTGGAAGAGGCGTCCACTTTGCTTGTCTCGAGCATAATAGTTGAGATTGAATTCTATCAAGCCAGTCAAAGCAGCCGATTCGTCATAGAATTGGGACCGCGGTTGGGAATCCAGCTGTTGGGCTTTCCTCAACTCATCCCCTTCCCATGGAGGAACAACATTACAGTAGGATCTCAGGAGTGCCTCGAAAGAGACAGGATCGGACGATGGCTTTAAACAGCCTGAGCTCAGGACCCGTACGATCTGCCAATTGGTATTCCTGTTTGTTGGTAAAAGTGCACGGCTAGAGCTAGGGCGCTCGAGAATTTTAGTGAGAGGGCCGGACAACTTGATGAGATCCGCAGGAAGATACCCGCGGTCTCCCATCCCGACATAGGCCTTGTTTGCCAAGCTATTCCGCAATGATGCAACCACCTCAGCGCTGATAGTTCGAACTCCAAGACCATTGAACGGTGGCTTGTTCTGACGCTTGAATGTCTGAGGCTTCTCGGCTTGACCTGGCTGGCGCCATGATTGCTCGATACCAATATTGGTTTGTTTGACTATATCGAGGTGCTTGATGAGAGGTGCCCAACTCTCAACTCTCCATTCCTTCAGCTGGGTCATCCGTTTCACAATTAGTGAGCCTGTTTTGCAGAAGCCATGCTCCACACAGCACCACAAAATGAGCTCCAACCAGATCTCGGGTCCCAGCTCTCGAATGCCCGGATTATAAGGAATAAAGGGTGACATCTCTCCTACATCAGCAGCGGCCGCAGCCACCGATGCTTCGTGTTCATGCCAGGCCGCGTCGGACAGAACGCTCATTATGGAATTGGATAAAAGATGGAGGCCCGGTGGACGGAATACACTCTGGCTGGCATCTGGAGTTGGATATTGGTAAACTCTGTCGGAGATCATGCCTGCATGGTGTAGACGCGCAAGGATTCGGAATACACAGGTCATTGCATGTTTAGAATCTTCTGGCGAGCCATGTGAGGCATACAAAACCAAAGAGCCGAGGTTGGCGAGAACTTCAGCCATGATCCTCTCAGCAAAGAATCTCGGCGCAGGTTCTACCGTCAGGGTATCAAGAGAAACGTTATCCGTGGGAGTAGGCTTTAGACAAGACCATTTCCAAGGGGATTTTGGTTTGGTTCCTCCCGTGAGCTTGCTAAGAGAAACTTTTTCGGTGAGCGGAGACTCCGAGTCGGATACTGGCTCGCCCTGGCGGCGCACGCGAAATGGTCTGTCCCAATCAAGTCCAGCCGAGGGATTTTTAGGAGGCATATGGGGAGCTAGCAACTCATAGGTGTCGACCATGCTGTTCAAAAGGGCGTGTACATTAGACCACTCCTTCAACTCGAATCCGAGATACGCAATGAGTTCGTATTCAAAATGCATTCTGGCATCCCACAAGCACCCCATTACAGCGTGGGTTCGATCGAGCTCGGATTGAGATTCGCGGAGTGGTCGAAGCCGCCCTGGCTGGCCTGCAGGCATGGCGACTTTTGGTGGAACATGCTGCCTTAGCAATGGGATCCATGCAGTGATATCCCTCTTCTGGTCGTGTGTAAGGGGAGGATGCTGAATTGCATTGTATCGGCGTAAAAAGATAACTTCATCTGGGAAGTTAATCTCTCTTTCATCATCGCGAGTTTTCCGCGTGAATTGAGTCCAAGTCGGCCGAGAAAAAGGAGAAACGGATCGGTATGTGAGGAAAGGGTGTCGTGAAGCTGGCCTTCGACCGGATGGCAGGATACGGCCGGGGCGCAAGCACCTGCTCATGGTACCGCAAGCCTCGAAGGCGGGTGTATAGGTTTCGCGATCTCGATGGATACGGGATTGGCGTGATACATATCGATTCACAGACGGTACATGTCGTAGGATTCACGAGTTTCACCCGCAATAATGAGGAAAAACCCGTAGCAACAGGGTACTGTTAATGTAGACAAAAGCCGAGATGCGAGAATTTTGGAAATCGAGATCAGAAAGGGCTGAGTCAGCACCGAGCTATCAGCCAATGGGAGGCCACAGAATGCGGAGTTACTGCAAAGTACAACTGACAACATTGGTAGTTGGAGGCTAATAGATGGGGTGCCAGGCTGATTGGGCTGGAATGGTTTCTCTGGTGTATGTTGTATTCCTATTCTCTACTAAGGCATGGTGATAAATGTTGGGGGAACGGAAATTTGGGAAAGTTGCCTAAAATGGATATTTAATAACATTGTGAAGGCAATTCAAATGCCCATGCCTTCTTGTATTTGGAGGTCATTCTTGAATATGTCTACCCAGATCTACTGCTCGGCATAACAACCAGAAACAGATTACTTCCAAAATATACAGCACCGTTACCAGTTCCATAGCTGATCCAGCAGCTATGGAAAACGCAGGTTTGTTCTATCTCACATGCCACAACGAGCGAAGCTGCAGAACACAAATTCTAAAACAACATAGGGCGGATCTGGCGGGCGTGAATACGAGGGAAATCCTCCAGATCAGATGGTTCCTTGCCCTGGCCAGCATCGGTGGGAGATAGGGTTGGAGTTGGGAAGGGCAGACTGGTGAAGGAACCACCGGGACCTTCACTTGGGAAACCGGAAGGAAGACCGGTAGGCTCAGGGAATCCGCAAGAGACACTGGTAAGTGTAGGGAATCCTGATGAAACACCGCTAATGGTGCCGGTGGGCTTAGGTCCCTCGGGGCCAGGTCCTCCATGAGGTCCACCATGAGGACGTTCACCATGAGGACGTTCACCAGACCCACGGAGAGGTCCTCGTCCTCCTCGGGCAATTCTAGATCCAACGGGTGGACGGGGAGGGCCCGTGGGTTCGGGGAAGCCAGAGGGGAAGCCGCTCAGAGTGTCGGTGGGCTGAGGGCCTCCAGGACAAGGAGGGAAGTCCGATGGGAAGTCAAAGGGAAAGCCACTAGGAGGAGGTCCAGTGGGCTTAGGTCGAGGTCCTCCAGGACCAGGAGGGAATCCGGATGGGAATCCAGAGGGGCAGTCACTGGGAGGAGGACCGGTGGGCGTGGGACCAGAGGGGAATAGCAGCCCAGTAGGAGGGGGACCCTGAGGCTTATCCTGAGGCTTATCCTGAGGCTTATCGCCGTGCTGGGGACAAAATGTCAGTAAAGAACAAGATCGGCGGATAATTTACAGTAAAAGTACGCACAGGAAGCTTCCAAGCAACAGCAGAATGGGTCATGCATAGGACAGCAACGCCAAAGACAGTGGTGAACTTCATGATGGATTGTTGAGTTGAATAGTTTCAGAAACAAATGCGCGAGAGGAAAATGAATGGATGCTAGAAGTAGCTGTGTAAAGAAAGATCTGAATGTTTTTGAAAAAAAAAGAAGGTAGGTGCACAGCACTGTGGTCGAGAGAAGCCCCAGACATGAGGAACCTCCTTCTAGTTATATACCCCCCTTCGGTCTCATCGTCGACGGTCAAATTGAAAAAATCCAGCCGTCAAATCCAGCCGAAACTATCTGTGTTCCGTGTGAGGGGACCAGGGACCTAGATCGGCAGGGGCAAACTCTCAACCGGTGGCACAACAATCTAAATCAGACGTGATCATCATAAATGATGAAAAAATCGCCCTGGCGCCCCCAGAACGGCATATTGTGGTGGGACCAGGTACCGTGGCAGGTGGTCTGGAATCCCGGAGTGGGTGGCAGGGTTGATAGAAGCGCTGTATGTGATGAGTGAACTGTTTCAGACAAGCAAGACCCAGGTCGAGCGAGCGAGTGACAGCTCCGGACGCAGTCTAGACATTACTCCTGTCGATCGATCCACTTTTGCATCAGATTGAACAGTGGACTCTATACTCCGTACTCCATAGACGGATAGATGTCGGCCCAGTTCTATGCCAAGGTCGTAGAAGATGTGGATGGATATCGGGGCAGTCATGTGATTGGACGGCTCGCGGTGACTGTTTACTTACACTGACTCCGATTATCACAAAGTGGTTTAACGTCGGTCGTGGTTTATCTCCAGATGATGCCCATTGGAAACGGCATGCCGATCTAGCAGACCGTGTGCACGCTGACAATGCGAGACCAAGCCTATGTGATAGAAAAAAAAGTCCTCGAGTCTGTTTTGAGAATGCGTCGCCTCGATCATTAAAAGCCTTGCGGTCCTGCAACCTTTTTTACTTCAAAAACGAGCGATACAGAAAGGTCATGTATCAAACTTCGACCGGAGGACTTGCATACTCCTCGCAAAACAAAAAACTGGTTCGGATTTTAAGAAATACTCAGGAGTCGGAGGGAAGCTAGTCGTTACTCGTTAGATGTTGACGTTCAGGTGCTTGAATAGGCTCCTCGACTCAACTCACGCTGCCTAGTTCCTTCCCCCAAATCACCAATACACATCTCTCTCTCTCTCTCTCTCTCTCTCTCTCTCTCTCTCTCTCTCTCTCTCTCTCTCTCTCTGCCACCTCACCCCAAGAATAACAACAGAACTACCTGAGACTTAACTAGAGCAACTAATGACGTGTGCAAACTGAATGGAAAGACCCCTAGCGAAGTGATAGATACATAACCATAGAAAGGTATAGAATTATAGGCTCCCTATATTTAAAAAGAGGATTTTTATATATTCCCTACCGGGCATTCTACATACAGAGAGTCGAGATTGAACGTGAGAGAGTTATGAGTTAACGATAGGAATGAACAAGAGGACAATAGGTATAATAAAGAGAAAAATAGACAGGACCAACGGAATCCATGGATGGTCGCCGTCGCCCAATTGGGAAGGCAGCAAAATCACAGATATAAACACCACCCTCCTCCCCTTTCCTAACTCTCCTTACTTTTTTCCTCAAACAACGATCAACCTTCTGATTTCTGCACTACTACTTTTTTTCGCCAAACAACAATCACCCTTCTGATTTCTACAACCCTGCTAGTTTCATCTGACCGAGAAGTGAGGCTAAGAGCAGTCCCCTCACTTTATGCACAGGCTGACATTGTGTTCTCTTAGCAAGATGTCGCAGTTAGCAGGCTTAAAGTCACCCGCAAAGCAACCTGCGGCCGCAAGCCCAAGCACTATCCCCATCTCATTCCCAATCAAACCAGTCTCGACCAGAAAGCTTCCGGACCTTGAAGCAGCGCTGAAGAAAGTAGCTTCCGCACAGAGCAAGTCTTATGTGCGAAAGATTGGCATATTGATCCGGTGGGAAAACGATGAACTTGGCGCAGAGAATGATATGGTGACAATGGAATCAATTCTGAAACCGCTTGGGGTCCAATGTAACAGATTTGTGATCCCGAATTCGGACAAAACACCAGCCTGGAGCCTGCAAGAGAATCTCAGCAAACTCCTTGGACAATGTATCCGGTCGTCACCACCCTCTCTGTTCATTTTCTTTTATGTTGGTCATGGTGGCCTTCATGATGATGCTCTGTGCTTTACGTCACGTCATGGAAGAATTCTGTGGCGGTCTATCAGAGGTACTCTGGAATCTGCACAGTCAGTGGATTCTCTGGTAATACTCGATTGCTGCCACGCGGCTGCTGCAGCACGGCAGCCCAACTCGACAACGAACATTCACATCATTGCGGCCTGTGGAGTTCATGAAATTGCGTCTGTACGCTCAAATACCGCTTCGTTTACCCAAAGACTGTTCCGCGCCGTGCAAAAGTTTAATAACCAACAGAATTTCACAACGGCTGAGTGGTACCAGCAAGTACAGGTCGAGAAGCCTGAGCATGCCCCCCACGCCGTGTTCGAAACGTTTAGCGGCACCAGAGCAATCAGCCTTGCGTTCAGTGATACTAGTCGATCCTGCCTCCCTCGGCCAGTATCTGGAGTGAGCCAAAAGCATGTGCTGGTGAAGCTGACGCTTGAGGGACAACGAGACGCTGTGGATAGCTTTTCAAAAGCCGTTCGCTCACTCCCGCCGAACATGAAAGTTGAGATTTGCAATGCATTCGAAACCGATGCCTCTGTTTTCTTTATCCTACAGATGTCATGGGAAGGGTGGGTTCTGTGGACCAGCGTTGTACATTTGGACTTTGTGGGTGTAACGCTCGGCCCTGATTTACTCCCCCGAAAAGCCATTCCCCCTGCTTCAGCCTCTGGGGAGAATTTGCCTCCTGAAGACCTCTCTTTCTAGGAAGCATGATAATTTCTCTTTTTGATATTTCCGTTTCGCTTGGCTTGCACTTTGTTCTAAGTATTTTTCGACTAGGCTATATCCCAATAACCTACCCTTTCCCATATATTGCCCTGATTTTGCTCAGTCCTGCCTAATCACATGGATACAATAACCTAGTGACCACATACTAACATCTGATAGTCGAAATATTGAGAATAGTTCAAAGAGGCAGCCAGTATAGCACTCAAAAAGAAACAGCAGTACGATACGTTCTTGATATTCTACTATACTCAGTGCTGGATTAGGTCTCTGCGTCTAGCGAATATAGGCAATGGCCCTTAAACCTAGAACACGAAACCTATATAACCTCTCGCCCGATCCTATACGATACGAGGCAGTATAAAACCAGCGGACGTGCGGATTATACTTTGCGGTACGGAGAAACCCGTGCAATATCAGAAAAGGCGATTAACCTGGTTATCGCTGAGGCTAAGAAGGAGGGTATAGTAAGCGCTGGGGAGGCCCAACTCCTTAGCTATATAGGTATATCTTAATAGACTATGTCTAACAGTACTTTTCTAATCATCCCCTTTTCTCCTAGGTATCGTTCACCAAGAGCGCAAGACCCTAAGAAAGGTCAATACAGTTGTCTACGGTATGGCTAGTGATAGAGATAAGTTTCATTTTCCCCATATAAACAATGACAGGGGGGAATGGTCCAATTATCCCATTACTACTGAGGGCAAGTGTCTGATTTATGAATAGTGGACAACCGTGTCCCACCGAACCCTCGGAAGAAACTACGGCAAGGTAGTTGATCTCTTGACCTACCTTATTATGCAAGAGGCCATATCTCTCTCGAGTCTTCCCCTTCGTGTCTAAAGACGTTTCAGCAGAGGATGACCGTATGACTGACGTTGGGATTGTTCTAGTGTAGTGGTTTACCATCGCCCACATTTTGCCTCGTGTTCTTGATTTCTTTTCTATTTCGTTTTGCTCTTTTGCTTTTTGTTCCCTTTTTGCTTATTGTTGTTGGTTTTTTCTTTTTTTCTTTTTCTTTTTCTTTTTCTTTTCATATCATCTTGTAGATCGTGACTTTGCTCATATGGAGGTAACTCAGGAAGTACTGTCAAGCCTAATTAAAATATCAATAGGAGGTTGAGGCTTGTTGGTTTGGCTTTTAATCAATACATCTATGCATATCCTGAAAATTGATGGATCGACCAGAGAAATAAAACTAGAAATTCAACAAGGAAAATGAATCAGGAGGATATATTAAATAATTTCCAGATCTGCTCCGATTGATGCTGAGTAGTCCAAAGAGTTCAATAACGCTGATGATATAACGCCACTAAATATTTGCACTTCCTACGGTGAAAAGAGCCATGTATTCTGTGTTAGCCCTAAGTTTTGTATTACTAGACTACTGCTAAGATTCCTAGGGGGATTTTTATCACCTCCGAACAAGGCGATATCCGGTTAAATTGAGCCAATTAATGAAGGTGCCTCTGTAGACGTGGGTGTAGTCTTTAATCTTCTTGGTCTAGGTGCAACAGTACTTTTGGATCGGCCTAGGGTCCTGTAGATTCCAGGAAAGTACTGTTGCAGTGGGGCCTGGCTGGCTAGATTGACCACATATAAAAATGGAGAGTCTTTAGATTCCGGTTGGATCGACATTGAGAAGCCTTTTTTTGCCTTCCCTTTGGATCCCACGTAGTTACTAAGTACTGGCTGGGTTTCTCAACACTCGCACTAAATGTTGGGACCTACGTAGTAGGGCACAAGAGAGAGAGAGAGAGAGGAGGGAGAGAGTTGTATTGGAAAGGAGACGAAGCTCCCGACTATCTATGTAGCTAGGAAGGTGATGCCTGCACATCACGGGACCTCTAGTCTCAACACTAAATACACTAGCAATGTGAACCCCTATAGTACGCGGTCCTATAGTGTTCAAGGTTCAAAACATATGTATGATTGCGCCTCGGGGCCATAATAAGTAATCCTGAATCGATCCGGGGGGTATTATACATGAAATCAACATCCAATTGACAAACACCAATCATGAAATCGTGAAAACAAAATAACTTCAAAGCTCCTCTTCAGGAACATCTTCGCTTCCAAGTTCCTGTTCCACTTCATCAACAACAAAGCTCTCGTAATCTTCGAGACCTTTCTGAACATGTACTTTGAAGCGAATCACGTCGTTGAGCATCGTCTCAACGTTGGTATGTAACTCCTCCCGAAGAGCATTTGCCCGAAGTGTCAGTTGTTCGTACTCAATATTGGTGTTCATCTCCCGCTGCTCCACCAATTGTACATTTTCGCTGAGTGAAGCGCGCATTTTGGCCAATTCTTTCTCCATCTTCTCAATTTGGGCATCAGAAGCCAACTTCTGAGTAGTAGTGATTTCTTTGGTCCGCTCGAACTCTTCCTCTGCCGCCCGACGTCGATGCTCCAAGGCTTCCACCTCGCTTCGCTTCTCGTCCATTGCCTCTTTGATGTTGTCTAGCAAATTACGACGCTCGAGATCGTCGTCGATCCCCTGCTTCCGTCGTTCATTGATCTCTTTGCGGAGTGATTGCAGGCTGTTTCGAACAAAGCCACGAAGATCCAGACTGAGCAAATGTGCTGGGTGATATCCAGTAAAAGGTTCCGCCAGTAGACGATCTCCCTCAGGGGAGATTCGGCTGGGGGGGCCACCAATCTGGCTTGCGGAGAAATTGTTCTCATTAATATTCAGACTAAGCTCATAATCTTGGCCCTTCGCATTCTCAGCAGCTGCAGGAATCAGGCTAGTCTGGTAGCCAAGAGTATTGTAAGCTTTCACGATCTGCTCCAGATCCTCTAGTTTCTGACTGGCTTCCGCTTCTTTCTCCATGACCCGGGCATGAACCTCTTCTAGGCGAGCCACAGTATCTTCGAGGGTTTTTTGTAGGCGTTCTCGCTCCGAGTTCATGCGGTCGATGTCCTGAATTGTAATGCCTTGGCGATCGACACTTGCCTGGAGTTCGGAACGCTCAGATTCAGTAGCTTGGAGATCGACGTCGGTTTTCTGGATCTCCGCGTCAAGGAACTTGATGCGGGTCTCATACTTGTCGATTTTTCCTTTGACATTCTGATTGTAATCCTCGAATTTCCTCTTATCATCCTCCATAATGCGGAAGTGTTTATCCAATTTGGCAATGTCAGGGGCGCTCTTCTCCACTTCTTTGATCTGCTCACGAAGAGCCTGATTCTCCGCTTCCAACGCCTCCATTTCCTGCACATATCGCTCATTGCCATGAGCGAATTCTCGTGACATGTTTTCGACATGTGGAATTAGCCGCTTTTCCGCAGTGTCATCATCCTCATCTTCACCACCTTGTAGCCAATCGTGATAGGCCTGGGTGAGGAAGCGGAAGATGATGCGATCACCGGAGACATCAACACCCGCCTCGGCGCATGCATCATCATATTCGCCGGACTGATAGCGATCCATCATTTGAGCCAATTGCATCAACCAATGTAACATTCCAAGGAACGTCGACCAATTCTGGCCACCAACGGCTGCGATCTGTGACTTTGTGATGCCTTTCTCATAAGGGTATCGTAATTGCTTCAAAATTGGCGGTACTTCGGCATCCATTGCCTTTTGAAATTTGTGTCCCGGGTCGATCCGGTGGTATAGCCACTGGAAGATGTAGTTAAAATCCTTCTGCGTTGGCGAGCGTAGAGTGTTCTGCCCCAAAGAATGCTTCATCTCCAACTCGAACCCGTGAATGGTCAAATATTCCAATAATTCTTGACCAATCCGCGCCTGGAAAGATCGGTCTCTGAGAGGGCGCGGATCTCTGGGGACACCGGCTACAGCAGGGACTTGGGTGAAGAATGATTGATGTCCCATGGGGCCTCCTCCCGTTGACGGTCGTGAGAACACACTGCTTCTGCGCTGCGGATTCTGAGGCGCAGCGTTCGAGGAAAGAGAACCCGGCGCATAGCTTTGTCGACTGGCACTGGCCCCATTGAACATATTACTCGACACTGACCGGCGAACAGACGAAAGTCCAGCATCAGCACCATATGGCCCACCCATTGACGCGCGCGAAAAATTCGGTTGCTGTGGACGACCGGTTGAGCCCATGCCCATCAAGGAGGCTCGATGACCCTGAGAGCTGAATTGGGGGTTTTGGAATCCGATAGAGCTTGGGCGCTTTAGCGCCGACTGTGGTTGGGGGATGGCGGAGAAGTTCTGTACACTCCCAAGAGTCTTAATGCGCATAAAAGTCAGTATCTTATCGTGCGCCAAAAGAAAGATGGGAGATATTTACTTCTCGGGAGCGCTTGATGCTGAACAGCCCAGTATCTTGCGACATGGTGATTAACAAGCCGCGAAAGCGGCGATAAACAAGTTGAGCCTTTTGGCTATGACTAAAGTTTCAGTATGCTGAGAGGTATTGACAGAGATAGAATGTCCAAGTGGGTTACGCCACAAAATTCGAGGAGGGGTTTGATCTGTTGTTTGGCACCCACGAGGGGATTTGGATGTAAACAAATGCGTGCCACTTCCGTATAAGGAAGGCGGTGTGTGATGGAAGGAAAAACGGTTTGGCCGATAATCACGAGACTCCCGGTCTGGGGAAGTCTTGGCGTTGGCGCAAGTTCCGAGGTCCAAACGGCGATTGCCGATATGAGCGTCGCATCTCATCTCTCCCTAAATCATCTCTCCTTCACTTCACTGGTAGTCGACATCAATCATAATGGCTCCACGCGAGGAGCTGATTTCTTCAGCTGTAAGTGCTCCCTTACACTCCTGTGCCTTATCTATTTTTGGGGCTACTACTAACTCATGTCTGCTAGATTACTTGTATGGACTTCGTGGTGTACACCTTGCTGTGTGGTAATCGCTGACTTTCTCCAGTCCTCCAGGACCCATCGGTTGCATCGTCACCAATTGAAAAGAGGATCTCATTCCTTCAGTCTAAAAACTTAACTCGAGAGGAGGTAGACATCGCCTTATCGCGAGTGGGCGAAGACCCATCTGCCGCGGCCGCGGCAACAGCTGCAGCATCCCCTGCCTATAGCTATTCTTCACAGCCTGTTCCTTACCGGCAACCACCTCCACCTCAAGCATATGGATATCCCCCATATAATCAATGGCAGCCGCCTCCTGAGTATGTTTAACTGTCGATCGCCGCTTGATCCTCGGGACTAATTATATGAATAGACCCCCCAAAAGAGATTGGCGGGACTGGTTTATCATGGCAACGGTGGTCGGTGGAGTCGGCTATGGGTTATATACCGTCACAAAGGTATTCGTTTGTCGCCATCTCTCAAAAGTAACCACGCTGATCAATCGATGCAGCGCTATATCGCACCTTTAATCGCCCCACCAACTCCTCCCCAGCTTGAGCAAGATAAAGAAAACATCGATGAGCAGTTCTCTCGTGCATTTACTTTGATCGAACAGCTGTCGACCGATACTGCCGCATTGAAGACCGCCGAAGAAGCCCGCACCGAGCGCTTAGATGGGGCCCTCAAGGACGTAGAGAGTCTTGTTGCTGATCTCAAGAACTCATCCCGTCGCAGAGACGATGAGACTCGTCGCATCAGCGACGAGGTGAAGTCATTGAAGGATGCCATTCCTAAGGCGCTTGAAGGCGCCCGGGAAGGCAATGAGAACCGACTGAAGGAGCTCGGAACTGAGCTCAAGAGCTTGAAGACCTTGCTTGGCAACCGACTTGGTAGTAGTGGAGGTATCCCTGTTGCTGGCAGGACTGTTGGAGTTACCCCCATCCCCAGTACTCCTCGCCCCGCACCGGAAGAGACCCCCGCTAGTTCCACTACCCCTGCCGCCACGAATAGTCTGGCTGCTACTGTGACTCCTGTTGAACAGGAGCCTACTCAAGCTGCTCCCCCGGCGAGCACAAGCCAGAGCCCGAACCCTCTCTCACAGCTCGGTCGGTCTGCTTCCATCCCGGCCTGGCAGATGGCCGCGGCCAGCCGGTCTAAGGCCAACTCACAGTCGAGTGCGCCCGCTACCCCTGCTGAGACTGCTGCTAACCCAAGCCAGGAGCAGAGTGCTCCTCCCAGCTAAAGCTGACTTATGTTTGCTGGATTATTGAACGATGTATACCTCTTCGGTTAGATGTATTTACCACAATGAATAATTCCCCTCGGATATTATATATACTCTTTTTCATGACGAATCTATACCAAATTGACTCTTTGGATCCAATATTACCTCGTAAGTAGAAGCGTTGAGACTCAAGCGTGGAATACAAAGCCGACAATCAGACGGCGAAACCGATAAGCCGACCCACTATTTTCCCTTATCCAGCCCCAGACAAATTCCAACTCTCTTCCAAGAACCTCGCAGGTAGAACAGCGAAAATGCCTTCACCAACTCGTTCCTCGCACAGAGCTGCGTCCCCCTCCGCACCAAGCTCAAGTCACCGTCATCACCGCAGCCGCCATAGCCATCCCCACCGCCACCGGCCCCGAGAGAGATCGCGCTCGCGTTCTCCGCACCGATCAGATAGACACAAATCAGACCACCGCCGACATGACCAAGGAAGAGACCGTGATCGCCATGAAAGGCGACACAGAGATGCTCCAGCGAAACCAGTAGTGCTCCCCTACCAAGCGCGCGAGCTATCGGGGCGCGACCTGGAGACATACGAGCCCATGTTTGGCATGTACTTGGACATCCAGAAAGGAAAATTCATTGAAGATATGAGTGAAGATGAAGTTAGAGGGCGATGGAAGAGCTTTACACAAAAATGGTATGTATGAGGGGGGTGTTTTGCTTTGCATGACGTTTACTGACATCGCAGGAACCGCGGAGAGCTCGCAGAGGGATGGTATGATTCCGCTACACTCGACAGGGCACGCCAGAGCGCTCAACAAGAACCGGCAGCTGATTACAATGGCGGACGCGAATCGCCTGATTATGCACGGGGCGAGCGAGCGACTGGTGAAGTACCACGGGATCCACCAGTAGGCGAGGATGACGACGACGACGATGAGTATGGGCCTACTCTTCCGCAAGGTGGTCCAGCGAGAGGAGGTCCACTGGCGGGCCCTACAATCCCGAATATGCAAGATCTTGAGCTTAAAAGAGGTAAGATTCTGTCTTTCGCCTAAGTATTGCCAATATGCTAACCCTTTCCAGAAACTGCCATCGAAGATGCCATCGCTGCGCGCGGTGAGTCGCGTGATGGATATCGTGCCGAATTGCGCTCGCATAAATCTGCAATGCGCCATCTCGAAGACGAGATTGCGCCGCGAGCTGAGGCCGGCACGCGGGAGAGACAGCTCGAGAAGCGCCGAGAAGTCGCTGCAAGCAACCGTGCATTCGCGGATGCGCGCGGTGGCTCGCCTGAGCCAGCTCGAGATGAGGATTTAATGGGCGGGGAAAATGATTTCGCTGCTATGAAACGGGAGAAGGAAAAAGACCAGCGCAAGAAGAATGAGCGCGAGATTCGGAGGGAAGAAATCCTTCGTGCCCGTGCTGCAGAGCGAGAAGAGCGGGCACAGGCGTATCGACAGAAGGAGGAGGAGACTATGAGTTTCTTGCAAGCTCTAGCCAAGCAGCGATTTGGCTGACAAACTACAGAGTCATAATTTATCGTGATGATCCAATATAGAGAGGTGCCTCAAGCCGGACATACGGACTATTCTCATAGCCCTCTACTTTTGAATATACCCATACGCTTGTATTTCTTTCATTTTATTCCCTAGATCAAACATATATCTCGTTGATACCTACTTTCTACCCTACATTCTTGCCCTAATCGGCCCATGCGACGGCTCAACGGAACGGTCCGACACCGCCAGCCGGCCATCGGAGTGACTCCGACTAGTTATTTAGACCATATCCCAGCCTCAAATACTGCCCTAGTTCATCGGAGATCCAGCATGTTCAAACAATCTCTAGCTCGCCTACCCTGTCAGACCACATTAACCCAATCCGCACCGGGTAGCCGGCGATATCTCCAAATCAAAAAGCAACACTCCCTACCAGCAGCATACTACCGCGGCGGCACCTCTCGCGCAGTCTTCTTCAAACAACAAGACCTACCCCAAAATAAAAAAGACTGGGCCCCCATCTTCCGCAGTGTAATCGGCAGTCCAGATCCCCATGGCCGCCAATTAGACGGGCTAGGCGGTGGCCTATCCAGCCTCTCCAAAGTCTGCGTAGTAGGTCCGTCGACGCACGCCGAGGCCGACGTCGATTACACCTTCATATCACTCGGCATCAAGAACACAGATGTCGACTATTCCAGTAACTGCGGGAACATGAGTTCCGCCGTGGGTCCGTTCGCTGTTGATGCGCGCCTGTTCCCCTTACAGGATGCCAGCCCGGACTCAGCCTCGGTACGCATCCACAACACCAATACCGGCAAAATCATCCATTCTTCTTTCCCTGTCGTCGAAGGCGAAGCCGCCTCCAGCGGCGACTTTGCTATCGACGGTGTTGCTGGTACCGCGGCTCGCGTGCAGCTGGATTTCATCGACCCGGCCGGTTCGGTGACGGGGAAACTCCTGCCTACGGGTAACGTCACCGACACATTCGACGGGATTAGAGCGACCTGCATCGACGTCGGGAACCCCTGTGTGTTTATACAGGCGGCTGATCTCGGCGTTGAAGGGAACTTGACTCCCGATGAAATCACAGCTCATCCGGGTCTACTTCCGCGCTTGGATTCCATTCGTCGGCAGGCGGGTGTGAAAATGGGAATTGCGGATGAGGTTTCAAAGGTGCCGGGTAGTGTGCCTAAGATCTGTATGGTGGCTGCTACTTCTACCACGAACGCACGGGATATCGAGCAGAATCAGACGTCTGTGGATGTTGATCTGCTTGCTCGCGCGCTTTCTGTGGGACAGCCGCATAAGGCGGTTCCTATTACTGTTGCTCTGGCTCTTGCTGCTGCTGCTCGTGTGCCGCAGAGTACAGTGGCTGGGGTTGTGGATAAAGATCCGGTCGACAGGGCTGGTATTACTATTGGACATGCCGGTGGGAAGCTGATGGTTGGGGCCAATTTTGATGCCGATGGAGCCTTGACTTCTGCTACGGTCTTTCGTACAGCACGTCGTTTGTTTGAAGGGCGTATCTTTTGGAAGAATGATAACTGAGTAAATGTGTTACTGTACAATATAGCGTGGCTGGAAGCTATGAAGCGAGAAGGAAAGTCGTCAGAATACGCGCCTCGCTAAGAGAACATACCATATCTGTATGAGATGCCAAAAAATGAAAACTTTTATTTTTTTTGTCCATCACAAAAAGTGGTATATCATCGTCTACCATAATAACAAGCCCTATGCATGTCTTCCAAGATCAAGATCAGCAACCAATTTCATATCACCATCGCCAGCCCCGTCGCCCAAGCCAAAGAACGGCTTGACAGCAACATCAACAACTTCCTCAAACAGACGGCCAACGACAGCCTCCTTCAGCGCCTCGCCAGTCTGTCCGAAATCCGGGTAGGCGTTGAGCTCCAACAGCCACGTAGCGCCACTTTTATCAACCAGGAAATCCACACCGAAAAGCTCAAACGCATTGGGTAGGGTCTGGAAGTGAACCATCATGCCGCGGGCTGCGGCCTCGAAGACTTCACCGGTCACAGAGCAGATCTGGTCAAAGATCTTTTCCTTCCAGTCTGCAGTGAGACCAGGAACGTGGTGGTCAAGGTCCCAGAAGCGGCGCACGCTACCCTCGTTAGAGCTGCCGCCCTCCTGGAAACAGGTGTTGGTGAGATGACGAGCAAGGTCGGCGACGTCGTCTTCTTCGTACGGGGCGCAATAGCGCTTTGCAGCGAAGAGGGCAAGCATCTCCTTGAAGACATACACTTTGAGCGAGCCAGTGGCGAGGACATAGGTGCGGATGTGGAATTTACGGTTAGAGGACGACGGGAGGAGGAGGGGAGGATCAATATAGGGTTGTACGAGGAAGTGGCGGAGCTGGGATGTGACGATGCCGGTGTCCAAGGCAGCGCTAACATTGGTCTCGCCGGAGGCTTCATGATCAGATCCGCTCTCGTCGTCCGAATCGACTTCCCATTCCTCGAAGATCTCGCGTAGCTGGTCTTCGCTGTTGAAGATGCGGATTCCCTGGCCACGGTCACTCATGCCGGGCTTGAGAATCCACCATTCCTTTTCGTCATCCTGGCGTTCCTCGTTCTTGGCCAAGCTATCATTCAGCTCATATGCCTCGAGCAAGGCATCGTCGAGGAATTCGGCATAGTCGAGTTCAAAGTCGAAGGCGGGCTTGAAGTGGTGTTTCAGAATGCTATCGGGGTGCTTGGAGATCCAGTTGGCCACTGTATTCGAGAGATAGTGCTTGCGGATCAAAGCTTTCCGGATGATGTATGCGCTCGAAAGAGAGGTTGAGGGCTTGGACATGATGTGTTCGAAGTCGAGGCGCTCATATTCCCGGAACTGGAAGAGCGGCGCGGAAGAATCCTGTAGGTCAGACACAGAAGAGACTCGCTTGGAGGCACTTCCTAGGCGACGGGTCAATGCCCGATCGACCATTTCCTGCACGTAGGAATCATCGCAGTCGACGAGGGAGTATAACGAAGGCTGATTATCCGATCTACAAGATCCTCGTCTATCAGAAAGGCGCCATACATAATTGAAAGAAAAACATGGCAAAGGGAAGGGGACAGGATATCTAACGGCTAACTAGCCATTCAAATTGCATGCAACATGTTATATCGGACTGAACCCTCCATACCATGTCGCCATCACGCTTAAAAACTTCACTCACAGCTTGATCTCTCCTGAAACACCGGATGCGGGCATAAAGTTGGCCTTGAGAGGCGTGACGCTGTGGAGGTCAGTGGAAGTTCGTGGGGTGAAAGAGAATTGAACCAACCTAGTCATTTGCTCCTTGACGGTCCAGCCATCATTCCCAGGCTCACTCTCCTCCACGCTGCGGAACACATCCTGGAAGCTGGGCGCCCACTTGAAATGCTTGTGCTGAATTCGGTGCCCGCGGGAACTCTTCTCGCTGTCGCCAACAGTCTGATCGGGTTGCTTTCCTGTCACCTCGCCTGCATCACGCAGTTGCTGTTCCTGCAGAGCGGGATCATCTGCGGATATGGGATCGACGGCCTGGAAGCAGCTTCCAGTCCATTTATTCTGCAGCATATCGGTATACATAACCTTGTTCTCGCTAACACCGGGCTCGAGAGGGACGTTGACGCTATAGAGATGCACATCGTCTGACCAGTTCGCGCACAGATGCTCAATCACCTTGACCGAGTGGCTCGATGCCTCCGCAATAATTACGGGGTCGTGGTTCCTGGAGCTGAAAGCATATGACAGAGCGATCGAGCGCTTGCCACAGCAGGCACCTTCCATCGCTGCGCCAATGGTTCCACTCGACAATGCGAACAGTGCAGTCGTGTTGCGACCATAGTTCGGACCAGATATAATTACATCGATGGGGCCGCGCTCTTGGAAGTAGTGGTAGAGACCGATCTGGACACAGCTCGCAGGAGTCGAGTCAATGAGGATCCATTCGTCACCTCCATCGTCGGGTTCACCATCACTCCCACGGGGCAGGTGGTGTATGGTCCCATCTTCTTGATGGAGGGTACCAGGCCGGAAGTAGGTAGGTTTGACGGATGCCCCTACAATGTGCGCTTTACCGATCCATGATCGCTGTTGGTGCGGGAGAATGACTGAGACTGTGTGGCCGGCAGACTGAAGGGACTGGACGAGCGAATGCACGTACGGCGATGACTGGTTCGACGGAGGACCGTCATCGTTGGTGACCTAAGCGGATATAAGCCTCCGATTTCAAAGTGCAAGGACTATACTGACCAGGATATGCATTGTCGTTGGAGTGGTTGAGATGTGAAGAGGGGAAGAAAGTTTCCCCCGCTTTGCGTTTGCATTGGCAATCGGGAGGATCCACATTCATTTACTCCGGACGCTATATCACAATAACCACAACATTCACATTTAGAGACAACAGCAATTAGTCCGTCTCCGGTGTCAAATGACTTCTTCGCCTCTGCACTCCACGGGCTGTTGCACTTTCCAGCCCAGAGCCTGTAGCAGCCTCGTCACCCTCCGCCGGATAGCTAGAAAGCAATCTACTTTCCGGCTCCTCTTCCTTGACCTCGGAAGATTGCCCAGAATGAAACTCACCCCCATCCTCGGACTCTTCCTTGATAAGATCTGCTGGCTCCTCCTTGATCTCATTCTTAGGCGTAGCCTCCCAAACCCAGGTCAACGCCAACCACGTCAGGCTAGCAGAGACCACAGAGACAGACCAGAACAGCGAGCTGAAGACCACAAAAGACGTAATCTTCCAGCGATACATAAGCCATCTATCCAACTGTTAGCCAAAGTAAAGCCAGCCCAAGTCTCAAGAAGACATACCTCAGCCCCGTAAGTCTGGCACGGAATTCTACCCGAGCGGTATAGATCTGCATCTTCGAGTCACTTTGAACTTCCAGCCGCAAGCTTTGCGGCAAGTTGCGCATGCCCTTCGCAAACTCAAGCTGCTCCATCATCGGCACCTCCAACGTCTCCGATTCCCGGTCCCAACCAACGACATAGAACGGCATGCGCGCCGCTCTCCGGGCAAGGTCGACCAGCGGCGAAGAATACGTCATACTAGCAGGGCGGCGAGACTGCGAGATAGGCGCATTGTTCGGGCTGGGGAGGAGAGAAGATGCAGGACGAGAGGAGAAGAGGGTGAGATCAAGCATGAAGTTGCCTGTGTCGAGGTTCGAGGGCGTGCGCGGCATCTCGAGCGTCACCGACACGTCGTACGGTTGAAGAGCCACGAATTCGGAGTCAAAGTGTGCTGTGCCCCAAGGATTTCCATAACTATGTATATCAATTATATTAGTAAATGTGGCTGCTTGAGCTGTGAGGAGCGTGATCGCAATTAGACACGGGAGCCGGGGCTCACCCAAATTGTAGATGGACTTCGCGCTGTAGCCCGACCGTCGGAATAAACTTGAAATAGAAGACTCCGTAGGCAATGCCCGATATACCAGTTAGAAGCACCACGGCGCCCATAAACAGCAGCGTATTTAGGTATAATCGCAGGGCGGCCTTGGATACCAGCGCGCGGAACGGGGCAAGGGCCGCGTCCTGTCTTGTGTCAGTTGCAACCATGAAGAACATGCCTAAATACACGCACCATGACGATAGCCCTAGCTGAAGGTGAGCCATATTCCGAATCGTCGTCTGCGAATTCCGAGTCTGCCATTCTAAGGGGTGGAGGGGGAAATGGGGGTTGGCAGAAACAAGTTGCGGTCTGCTCTTATCCTGCGTCACTATCTGGAGGACCGAGGTCTTATTTAAGGACTTGGGTCTACAACCTCCGTATACATGTGGATAAGAAACAGCCTCTTAAAAGACATCTAGTGCATCCTGACTACCTAGGTAGATTCATATTCGGGCGACTCCTCGAAAATAGAGCAGTCCAGGTCCATTAACTATAGCCCTATACGGCATCCCCAGGAAGCTACCATGATCATGAGAATAGAAAAATTAGCATTGCCCCATCGATGCGAATAATGAAAAGCACCGTCAACTCCAGCTTTTACAGTCTTATCATTACAGGTCGCGGGCAGCATGAGACGCAAAAAAAATATCATGGAACCTCAAGTCATGCGGAAATCGTAAGAGAGAAAAAAAAGAATATGCATGCCATCCCCACGGCAAGCCCCTGCCGTAACATGAAGTTGAAAGATAAAAGAAAAACGCAAAGCAATCGTTGAAGAGAACCCCGTGAAAATTACATGCAACGAAGTACTCCTGTACCATCCGAGTTACCAGAGAAAGAACTTGAGGAGAGATGGGAGAAGAGGGAGGAGACGAGAGACAAAGAGCAGCTTAGGCAATGGGCCGGGGGCTCTGCTGTTGGATGTGTTGGAGAAGAGCATCGAAAAGACGTCCAATCTGTGGAAAAATTAATATCAAGGGTTTGAAAATATCTTGGGTCGAGATTGGGGGTAAGCATACCTCAGGTGCCGCCTGGATAAAGGGGAGATGGAAGAATGAGTAGCTCCGGTTCTGGAGGAGCTCCTGCAGGGTAATGATCAGACCCCATGGATGTGGGCGATGGACAATCAGCCGCTCCAACAAGACACGAATGATTTGCTGGCGGGTATCCGAGTCATCTTGCTCGGCATAATCCACGCCGAACAGACGGAGGATCGTGAAGCTGAAGAAGTAGGTGTGGCTGTTGGGATAGCGGAGCTGGTTGGCCATGGCACTAAGCAAGTAGTAGCGACCCTCAGGTCGCAGAATCTGGGCCAGCTTTTCCAAGAGAGCGGCATGAGTCGAGTTTTCAAACGCGCTGCGGGTGTTGCCCTTGGACGCATGCTCCACGGCGGCTTGTTGGCCGATATACAACACAAGTGCGTTCATCAAGACGACATCAACATCGACAGGCACAAAGAAGAGACCGGTGTCCTTAGATTCGGGGTTAAGGATGGCATCACAGAGCTGCTGGACGATAGCCTCGGAGATGGTTCCGCTCTGGAGTACACCGTCAACACTTTCCTTGATGTTGGCGTTCTGCAAAGGAGCAACGATATCACCAGCAATCTTGGGAATTTCCCGCATTTCCTCGATGCGCTCGACCTTCAAGCCCTCGCGGAAAGGATCGGGAAGTTTCTGGAATGATGAGGGATAGGCACTGAGGACAAGATTGCGGAGTTGAGCACAATGAGCCGGGATGACATTGCAAAATTGGAAGTGATTCTCAGCCACGAACTCGGGGAAATCGTGGTGCAAGATCAACAAAATACGAAGAACGCCTTTGTAGAGATCTTTGGCAACGTAGGTAATATTCACGGTCTTCAGTTGTTCGCCCATGTAGGACAGCAATGCTTGCATGATTTCGCAGTAAGGTGCCCATCCAGCACGATCGGGCATGTTGAGCATGTCGGACATGAATACTCGGTGGGAAACCAAGCAAAGCCAGCCATAAACAAACCCGGGTACGTAACGGGGTTGGAAGGACAGGAACTTGTTGGCGAGAGCGAATATCATTCCCTGGTGTTGCTCCGTACGCTGTAGGCCGTTCATCGAGTATTCACAAAGAATGCTTGAGAAAAGGCGGAAGAACACCCGCTGATTGAAAGCTTCTCCTCTCATAACCTGGTGATGGTTGAGGACCAGGACCAAGAGAGATAGGATGGAGTTGAAGTAAGTAGCCTTGTTGGCTTGAACGGCGCCTGCGCTTTCGCCTTGGAATCTCACAAGGAGAATTACGAGCTTAGCGAGAGCATCAATGTAAAGGAAAGCCTCATCGAGACTGCCGCCATTTGGATTTTGAGATTCATGTTCAAACATGGCAACAGAAATGTCGATGCTGAGACGGAAGAACAATGCAGAATCCTCCTGGCTGTTCATTACTTGGCGGCTGTGGAGATCTTGGAGGAAAGAGTGGAACGTGCGGTCAGTTGCACCAGGAGCCTTGTAGATACCGATCCACTCGCTGAAGATATACTCCATCTGGTCTCGCTTGGAGCGCGCTTGGTCGGTGAGAAGAGAACTGACAACCTCGGGAATACCGGACTCGCGCAGCTTGCGAATGATTTCGACACCGGGGGCAACATTTGAATCTTCAGCGAGCCATTGACTCATAGCGTCCAGACTGCCGGAGAAGTCTGATCGAAGGGCCGAGGGCTCTTCATTGAAGAGGACACGATCCATCAGATTTCCCAACAACTCCAAAGCGGGCACATTCCTCGACAAAATGAGTCGGGTCAGGTTTGTGTCCACCCGACGTATGTCGAGGAGGCCTGCATCAATGAGAGCAACAGTGACCGGCACATTGAACATATGCTCATCATCAACTTCAGAGAGCAGTGCCCACGTGTAGCGAGCAATAAGACTGGACATGTCGCACAGTTTGGCAAGAAGGTGCACAAGAACTTCGATTTCGAGAGATCCATGCGGCTGGGAGTACAGAAGCGTGCAAACCTTCAAAGAGGTCAGTCGTGCTAGCTCCTCTCCATTTGTCGAGTTAAGAATGCTGCGCAATGCCTGGTTGTACTCTTGAAGCACCGCGCTATCTCTGCCAAGATCCTTGACGTGTTCTTCAGGGGCGCTGCGAGCAGACTGTTGGAGATCGGAGACAAGGCTTTCCACTCTTTCCCGAGGGCTTTGGGCATCTAGGAACCCGTTGGTTTGGACGGGCGCCATCTGAGAAACAGCAGGCTGTACCTGAGGGGTTCTGTGGGGAATGGCTGGCTGCTCAGCCGGGGTGGAAAGATTGGGAATAGCAGGATATGATTCTCCCAGAACATCGGGAAGTTGACGGCTGGCCGCTGCATCAGTGGATGGCGCAGGGCCTCGAGACTGACGCGCAAACTCTTCGTAGATAGCGAGTTGCTCCTTGTTAAGACCACCAGGCGCCTGCCTGTATGGCTCCGGGATCAACAGTCCCCAACGGTTCATCGAAGGGTCAATGAACGGGTCGTTGGAGCGGCTGGCCTGGTGACGACGACGGGCCTCCAATTGGGGCTCAATCACCTTCTCGATCTCAGGCAATGACTTTTCTTCTGCGGCTTTCTCGACAATACCACAAGCAGCATCCAGGTTATCGTTTACACACATCAAAATCAAGCCTTCAGGCATAGGCTGCTCGGAGTACTCCTGTTGAATCATCCGAATGTAGTTAGTCATGCTAACCTTCAGAGGCTCCTTGCAGGTGACAAGTGCCAGACTACCGGCAAGTTGCCTAACCATGATGCCAGCAGCATGGCGCACGCGTTCCTCATCGGGTTCCATAGCAAAGTCCTTGGAGATAAGTTGCACGGTGGAGATTGATGCGATTGTAACTGAACGCTCTACCACAGGGGTGATAATCTCAGCAATGGCGCGTTCAACAGCGGTGTGCACAATCTGCTTGAGAATGGTAGGATCAACCATGCTACTCGCCGATGAGGGCAAAACGAGAATCTTGTCGAGACTGGGCAGGGTTGACATGATGGCGGCCGGGGACAATCTCTCATTCCGGATAGCGGGGTTGATAGGGTTCAGAGACAAGTCCTCAAATGGCTCTGTTAGACCTTCAGGGGCATTAACAGTAGGAAGTGGCTCTTCTATATGGGCAGCACGATCCCGGATGACGATCGAGGGTTCGATTGTCTTGTGGTCGAGGTCAAGATCTTTGCACAGAACCTCAATCTCAAACTTGAGATTGAGTTTCAATTCAGCAAAGTGATAAAGCTCCAACAAGAGACCCAGAATATCCATTAACCAAGGATTGGGTGGCTTGAACACTGTGGATTTGGTTGCCTGAACGAGAACTTTGCATGTGAAGGGGATCGTAACCATCAAACGTTGGGTATCATAACCTTCGAGAAGCAAGCCTTTGAAGTAGATGTTCTTGTGCTTGATGGGCTTGTCTTTAGCAATAGTGAGCGAGCCAAGCCAAGCACCAAGGTTCTTCAGGTGACCGCGATCAGTAGACGAGGTCAATGTGCCTTCTGAGTTGATCAACTTAGCGACGCTGACATAGGTCTCCCGAAGGACCTCGGCCCAGAGAATCTTGTCGCCAATACGGCCAAGAAGGTCAAGGTAGAGCTGCTGGAAATTGGGCTGCAACTTAGCACGTTCCTCGACCAGGTATGCGGCGAACCACTGGTGATGTTGATCGCGCAATACTTCTCGCAAATCTTCAAGTTTCTCATCAATATTTTGTTCTGAAACATTGTTCAGAACGAAAAGAATCTTGTCTTGGCTGTCTTCATCCGGGTCCTGGTAGAGCTCGGATCGAAGTGGAGAGTCGAGTTGAACAGCACGGAACTTGCGCACCGAGCCATCAGCGACGGGGGAGTCCACAGCATTGCCATTCGTTAGGGGCACGGCAGCAAGACCATCAAAGGGCCCAGTCTCGGCCTCGCCAATTTGGTTTCCTTGCTCGCGGAGGACTTCCTCTGCCTTTTGGTAGATGGGAGTTCCTTGCAAAGATGGGATTTGGAAAAGCAGGTGGCAGAAACCAGCCCATTCAGGAAGACGATTGATCAACTGTTCGATGGCCTCGACGCCGAACTTGTACATCGGATCATGAGGTTCGTGTTCTCGGACAGCCTCGAGGATCATACCAAGACCGACCTTCAGCGTAATGCCATCAACAAGGCGGAAGTTGATGATACCGCCAAACATGACTGCAGTCTTGGTCAAAGCCTCGAGTGGGTACTCGTGGTAGCAATGATATTCGTCGATCAAGCCATGGACCATACAGGCGAACAAATCCTGTTCGGTAGGATCGCGCGAGGACTTATACTTGCGCATCAACTCCAGCATCTCACGCAGCGACAGCTCCTCGTGGTACATTTTGCCAAAGAGCTCTTGCATTTGCTTATCAATGGAATCGGGCAACGTGTTGCCATTCTCACCATTGATATCAATGATTTCATCGAATCCTTCGCCGTAATTGATCAAACGGGGATATGTCTGAATGCAGATACGCTGGACAGGTGTGAGGTTTTCGCGGTCTCCGACATATTCTTCCAATACAGACAAAAGGGTATAAACAGTTTTGACTGCCAGGCTGACCATTTGATGGGCAGATTGTTCCTTCCGTTGGACGTGCAATTCATCTTCCGCCTTGATTCGCAGGAACTTGGAAAGTAGACCACCCATATCAATGGCTCCCTTCTGTGCAGCATTGCGCACCCATTGCTCGAGGTCAAAGGAAGTCTTGCGGTGAGAATAGCAGGCGAGATCGAGGGCAAGCCCGTTGGTGAAACCAAGCAGGTAATCGAGCCATCCATATGCAGCGGCGTGCTCATAAATCACTGCAGTAGATGTGGGGTCCTGCGTGAAAGTGGTGAAAAGTTGCTCTGATACCCACTGTCGATCTTGTCGCCAAGCACCATGGAGAGCAAGCTGATAACCATCCTCTTGTTTGGAGATGAAGACAATAAACGTGCGCAGTACAAAGCTCTGCTGAACACTAGACCACGGCTGCGGAATCGCAAGAGCGGAGCAGAGGAAAACAGGCAAATCGAACTGAACGACCGCTTTAATAAGGAGCTGACTCTCAGTCGCAGCCCACGAAGCTTGAGAAAACAAGGCAAGGTCAAAGATTGCTTTCATTGCATCCATCGATCGAAGAGGGGACTTTGCTGCACGCTCGCCTTGCAATTTGACAATATCAGGGGCATCATCAAAGAAATCCGAGGGGAAAGTCGCACGAAGATTCTTGATCTGCGATGGATCGACTCGAGAGGCCACGAAAGCTGTCAAGAAAGACATTTGCGTGTCACGGTGCTCCCAATCTCCACCCCAAAGCTTTTGAATATCCAAAGAAGAGTCAGTGGCCGCAATGCCAGCGAGAACAGTGTACAGTTTGGCGAACTGCTTCGGGTCCACTCTGAGACCCTCGCGATCGAAGTTTCGGAACACCAGGGGCCAGTTGATTGGCTTGTCGGTATATGCACTTAAGAATGTCTCCAATGAAAATTGTTCCCAGTATTGTGATAGAACCATAAAGAGAAGAGCACTCGCTAGATGTTCCTCACTCCAATTCTTTGGGTCTGGGGTAATCATCTCGCTTAACGTCTCGATATTTGCAGTGGCACGAGGTCCCTTAGCATGAAGCTGTCGCACAAGAACATACTGAGGGTTGACAAAATTGAACATTTGTAGGGCAGAGGAGACTTCGAAAGGCATATCCAAGCCAAGTTTCTGGAATCGCAGATTGGCTGCGTATACAAGCTTCGCCTTGACATCGTCGGTGAAATTACGGGGAGGGTAAAGGATGAATCGTTCAATGGTCATTCCGAGGAAAGAGTTGTGGTAATCCTTCGTCACTTCGGACGGGCTCGCCATGCTTTGCAAGAAAGGGCCAACAGAATTCGAGAGGATGGCATCGGCTAACGGAGTGGTTAGAGACGATTAAGACACGATAAGAGAGACAAGTACCTTTAGCACGGAGATCTGACTTGCTAGTCAGCTTGAATGCCAGGGCCAATGCAACCTTGACAACTGGATCCAGTCGGAAATGATCAAGGAAAGTGGAAAGGTCGAAATCGCGGAAGATATCTCCTTCAGAGGTATCTACGGTCTCGGCGATTTTCTGAGACTGATCCATGTCCGAAGACACTTTCTGCAGCTCCTGTACAAGGAGGGGATAGTTGCCCGCATTTTCGACGGATTTGTTGACACCCGGGAAGATTTGTGGCGCGTTGCCTGTTAGAAGGCGGCGAAAGTATTTGGAAAAGACCTCCATTCCGTTTGATGTCACAAGCTGTAGTTATTAGAATAAAGTTGACCGAAACAAAGGACAGCACTACTAACCTTATGGATCTGAGCAGCTTTTGTCTCCCACTTCTCTTTGCCTTCTTTCTCTGTGATGGAGTCCAGCAACAGAAACACCTGTGCAATTGAGATTTTGGTAAGTGAGGATTGGCTCGAGTGAGCGGCTGCAGATCCCGGCTTGTCAGAAGCAAAGCCTGTGGGAGAATTCACGGTTGTTCCGGACGAGAGCGGCGAGAAGACACCTCTGGAAGATCCCGGCCCACCACCTCCTCCCCCAGTACCTCCTCCACCCGGAATGGAGCCTGTAGCAGAAGCCAAATGGGACCCTATGGAAGGGGTGTGAGATCGGAACTTGGGAGATGAGAGGTTTGTTGCGTGCTGTTGCGAGCCAGATTGCAATGAGGTGAATGGTGAGGATGTGGGTTTGGGACTTCCACCGGAGAGACCCCTAGCAGAACTCAATACTGCAGAGAATGAAGACGGTGTCGAAACCCCAAGGCCTGCGTCCAAGCCCCGGGAAGCCGTGGGAGGAGCGGCGGAGGATATGTTGGTCGCGAGTGGAGTCAACCCACGACGTGCGCCGGACTGCGACACGGACCGACCCCAAGCACCAATATCGGTCCTGGTCGAAGAAGATTTATCGGTGCCAGAAGCAATCGACGATTGGGCGGAAGGGTGAGGGGGAGGGAAGGTCATCTAGGAGACGCGATCATTTGATCTGGAGGTCCAAAGACAGATTTTTAAGAGTCACAAGCGCAATAAACGGGGGGAAATCGATAAAGCAGATCAATGAAATTTGAGCCAGATCATGCGTTATCAACGGTGGGAGAGAATAAGAAAAAGAAGATGAGATTGCGGGAGAGGAAAGGATGGGGGACGATGAGATAGAGAGGGTGCAGGAGGAATGGGGTGCAAGCGGTGCGAGTTGAAAGTGTGCTGCCTCAGGTGTCGAGCGGGAGCTCCCAATCGGGCACCACGGTAGGATACAAGGCACACCTTGCTTCTTTTGAATGATTCAAGGGCTTCTTGAGCTTCAGAGTTCTTTTATATTGGCCATTGCGTCCTTTTATTTCCCTTACTCCACTCATTGCCCATTATTTTCTCATCCACATGCCATTGTTGAGGACATGTCACGTGAGATGGATGATGGGTGGTCGCACGTGATATTGATCTTAGTCATCTACTCCGGGTCCCGCTCAGGTCCACGGGTGGGACGCTACATGTACCCTAATAGGTACATCTATGTATGTAGGTAGACCAGCTCCTACATGTATATGTTAGTCGACACAAAGGCTGATTTATTGCTGGCTAGGATTTTAGATCTCGTGTAACAATATATGGAGAAGTATGGTACTTGATGGTTGTTATATGAAGAGCAGCCATTGATGCTGTGGACAGCCTCATAGCCCATAGATCTAGACTTCTTCATGATACATCATACTTCTACGCCACATATTAGAGTGGTCAGAACTTGAGCGTATCAATCCATATAATCTAGTTATATTCATCTATTGATAGGTATGTCTGCATAGATGGGTGGCTCAGATATGGGCCCGCCCGCCCCAAGCTGAGTAGTACCTTGGCCTAAGGCCTTGGTATTCTGTACGTCAAGAGTCTCTTTGACATATAACCTTGAGCTTGGTTGACAGCAAGATTCTAAAGACCTTAGATGATGGATTTGAATGAAAAAGAGGTACAGTTAGTCAAAACGACACCTTGATCTTCTGTCATATTCATACTCCGTACAATGTACATGTCGTATCATTCGCATCAATGTGCATTTACACTACTAACATCCCATAGGAAAGATATTGTTAGCGTAGATGAGTATCAACAAGCTCGAGCGAGCCTTCTCCAGGAAGAGAAAGAAGCTATGCGCTTATTGGAAAGACTAGCTACCTCTTGTCGAGAAGTTCCCATAGTTCAAGTGTCGAATCCAGATCCAGATTCGACACTCCTGCCGGTGAGGTCATCTGAGGAGCAGGGACACGTCGTTTGTGGATGCTGCTATTGCGTCGTTATCGGAGATAAGTAAGTACAAAGACTAGATGGGATGGGATTTCCTTTCTACGGCTCTGCCAAATCTCATCGGACACGGGGGGAAGCTGAGCAAAAAGGTGAGACTAAGTATCACTTGGAACCCCGGAAATGGGTATTTCGGTCTCGGTCTTTTCCAAAGGCATGATGACCTAATTTTCATATTTATGATAAGACATCCCAGGGAATAGAAGGTATTCTGTGGATGTATCATCTTTTGGGTAAGACGCCGATGGGGCAGCAAGAGGTTGGGAATGGGATGGGCAATTTCAGACTCTATGCTGAATCCTAAGATGGAAGGTAAAACACATCACTTAAGCGAATTCCTTTGAGGCCCCATCTATAGACTATATACTATATGGGCTCACATTTGTGTGCACAGGAACTCACATTGTTTATCCACAGAGCACTTTGGAGTCTGGTTGACCTAGGATTCATGCGGCATAGAGTACACGGACCCAAGAAGAAGGAGAATGCCGGATTCAAAGCTAAAAGGCGGCAATATCATTCTATTTGTATTTAACCGGATATGCAACAACCGTCCAGAATCTCGTCATGCTCTCCTTTAGCTACTTCAGGCACATCAGGAACCCGCAAATAGTCCGCCTTCCTTTCACTTGTCGAGATAAGAGAACTAGCATTAGGAAGTTGACAATTGTCGTGTGTACTAGAGCTATGAAATGACTTTGAGAAATTGAACCAGGATGGAACGGGCATTGGACTAAAAGAATGGGACCAAGAGAAGCTAGCCAAGGGTTACAAGACTCCCCTATATCTTGAGGACAAACTACTTCATGTCGCTATAAATGTGCCTCAAACATTTCGACAATTGTTCATTCAATACAGCGAAATCTTAGATACAAATCTTTCATACAAATCTTAAATACAAATCTTAGATACAGGCATTCTCCCACTTCGTGCTTGTCTTATGGAGATGTCCGAGAGCTGGTCGAACTTGGGGTTCCTTGAAGATTGCCCATTCTTTTCGACAAAACAAATTGAGACGCATGGGCAACCATCTGCCGATTACCAGGATTGGAACTAAGTCCAGGCCCTTGCTCAGGAGCTGTTAGATACTGATATGAAAGGTGGGGTGTCGCCGAATTTAGATTTCGAGATGAAAGGAAACCTCAACAGGCTATTGCGGGACATGTGGATTGATCTCTGGTTAAAAGTCTCCAGAGGAAGTGAGAGCGACTTGGCCTTTCCCTTCGTAAATTCGTCCTGGAGATCTCAAGAAGCAGGCTCGTAAATGTATAATTCTGAATTTTTGGTATCGAGGATCTGCATTAACCCATTTTCCGGTTTCTCACCCTTTCACATTTTCATAGTCTGCGGTGAGGGTTTCTTTAATGATTGTCAGAATACTCTTCACATCCTCGTCAGTCAATCTCAGCTCTCGCTCTTCAACAACACCATCCATCAACACCACCGCAGTATAATCAGCCTCTTCCCCTTCTTCGCCGGCACCCTCCTCTTCCCCATCCACTTCCATTGCCTCTCCTCCATTGACACCCTCTTCACCAGCTTCCTCGGCATTAGGGCTACCGCTCAGCCCCACGCCGAGATTCAGGATCATGACGACCTCAGCTTTGGTCAGTCCGAACGGCTTGAGGCGAAAGACTAGCTGCTGGAGGGCGTTGTCCATGGGTGTTGGTTCTGTGGAGAGAACTGGGGGAGGCAGTGAAGCAGCATCTGGCTCTGTGTCTCTTGGATTTGAGGTTCGTAGCGTGCCAGTCATTGCGGCTTGTGATGTCGACTGGGAGGAGGAGGGGCGGGCTGTGTAGCGGGGGTATCGGAGGAGGTGGGGTGAAAGACGGCTTGCATAGTTGTGAATCTGAGAAAATGGTTAATTGGGCGATTCTTCTCTGCAGTTGGGTTCTTGATATCCGATTAGAAGCTAGGGTCTGATAGAAACCCTCTACTTCGCGCGGGGTTTCATAGTGTTGCGCAACTGCCTCATGGCCCCAGAAAATAGATGACTAGAACCATATAAGCATGCTCACCTCCTTGACTACTGTATTATGATCTCTGAGATCTGGACTTGGCACCCAATTCCGCGAATTTGGCGGCGGGTTTGGTGGTCGGCGGGGTGGATTCGAGGTCAAGTACGCCAGGACCTCGACGTTGGTCAAAACGGCGGTTTGGGGGTCAATAATCTAGTTAATTTGGTCAGAATCAACATGAAGCTCCGAATCTGTTGGATCATACCCTCATTGTGTATGTTGTATATGGCAAGGCAGTCTGGAGGAAATGAGTGACTCGACTGTAGAAAGGAAAATTATTTAAACTGCCGGCAAAATCAGGCGGTGTCTTTATCTCCCAGCATATCAAAGCCGTGCAGATAGCCCTGTACAGATGGACTCGGTGATTGAGACGGAAAGCTGTGTTGGGATTATAGCTTGCAACACTTGACTATAAACTTACAGGATTTACGATGCAGTACTAAAGTATGAACAGATTATTCCAGCTAAAACTGTACTGCCTTGTTCCTAACGAGCACCCTCTGCGCCAGTGAAAAGCCGGTAGATCAACCTTGAAATGCCCCAAAACATGCGAGCGGCAGGAAGATTGCAAAAAAATGAAACAAAAATGAAAAAAGTGTGATATCATACAGATCCCAGGAAAGCCATCCGGTCACATTGCAGAAACTTTTGAAAACATACGCTTACTCTCCCTTGGACTTCTTCTTCTTCTTCTCATCGTCATCCTCAGAACGCTTGCGCTTCTTGCCATCGTCCTTGCTGGCCTTCTTGGAATCCTTCTTGGACTTCTTCAAGTCCTTCTTGCTGACTGAAGTGGGGTTGCCAGCTGCATCGAAGGTGATCTCGCCGCGCTCGAGCTTCCGCTCATATCGCTTTACGCTAAGACCGGCCTTAGCAGCCAATTCTTCGATATCGCTCTTCTTGGACTTCTTCTTGGGGGCTTCATCCTCGGACTCGTCAGAGTCCTTATCAGAATCGGCATCAGCCATCTCCTCATCCTCGACCTCCTCAACGAGCTTCTTCTTCTCCTTCTTCTCCTTCTTGGCAGCAGCAGGCTCCTCGGAGGCCAGGGCATCGGCATCGGGGTTGTACTTGCGGGCCTCCTTCAGGTCGAACTTCTCGGGCTGAGCATCACCGTTGGGAGCAATGGCAACACCGCGGGGCTTCATAGGCTTGCCCTCCATACCAGCAAGCTTGCGCTCAAGGTTGAAGCGGGCCTCGGTACCGAGAGCAGCCTTATCCTCCTCGGTGGCATCATCAGCCCACTCGGCGAGGGAATCGACACGGATACCAAGAGCAGCCTTGGCAGCGAGAATACGGGCCATCTTGCCCTTGTTACGGCCGGTAGCCTGGCCGATCAAAGAGGCGTGGTAGATCAAACCGTACTTGGGGGTGTCGTGCTTAGTCTTGAGAGCACGGAAGAGGGCCTTCTCGGCACCAAGGATCTGGATGGTACTGGCGGGGCTCTTGGACAAGCTGGTGAGGCTGCCAGCGTGGGCGATGAGACGGGCGCCGACGAGGTCACCGACAAGAGCGGTCAAGTTGGGGGCAATGGCGTTCATGCGGGAAGTGAGGTAGCTGGCAAGCTGGGAGCGGTATTCGTAGAAACCAACGACCTGCTCAGCGAGAGCCTGGATGTTCTCCAGATCCTCAGGGCTGATCTCGGTACCCATGGAACGATCGGCGGCAGCCTTAACGGCACCCTCAATCTCCTCGGGGAGAATCTCAGCAAGATCGGCGGACTCCCAGTTGGAGCGCATACCCATCTTCAGAACGAGCTTGGCGTAGGCAATGTTGTCATTGAGGATCTTAGCCAGCTCGGGGAAGTGCCATCCGTACCATTCCTTAACACGCATAGCGTAGGTGTTCAGCTCCTTGTCAAGATCATCAAGCAGACCAATGGCCTGGACGATCATAGTGTCGATCTTGTCGGGGGAGAACTTGAGCTTGTGACGGGCGAGGGAGTGGGACAGACCAAGAGACATGGTGGACATGTCACTGGGAGCCAGGCCTGGGATGAGAGTGGTGAGGTGCTCACGAATGGCACGGTAGATGTCGTTGGTGCTGGAGTCAGCAATCAATTGGATATCAAGACCGGGAAGCTTGCTGATGGCATTGCCTATTCAAACTCAAGTCAGCATGCCGCTTGAAAAAAAACATCGAGTAGATCTACCCACCAAGCTTGACATCGGCAACGGCGAGGGACACCTTCTTCTCGTCCTTGACACCATCAAGGAGAGAGGCCAGGCGGGGGGTGACCTTGCCCTCCATGATGGAGGCAGCCTCCTCCAGAGCTGTGGCGGCACTATCAAACTTCTGGAAGCTCTTCAGCTTGAGACTAGATGCTTTGTTAGTGATAATGTTGCTGATAAGAATTTTTGCGCCTGCTCATCGAACAGACTCATTCATTCCCACTCAGAATTTTGTCTGGCAAGACTCGAGTGCTCAATTGACGTACAGGTTGGAGACACCCTCCGCAGTGGAGGCCTCCTCAGCGATATCATCACGCTTGAGAAGCTTCTTGTCCTTGGCCTTCAGCAGGGCATAGCCCGCGCTGGTCTCAGTGAGGATGAAAAGCGTCATGGTGCGCGGCCACGGCGTGCAGGATCGAAAAATAACAGGAAGGGGTAATCTAATAAGACTGAACAATAAACCGAACTGAAGAAATGGCGAGAAAAAGTAATAGGTGTAGGGCGTCGGCCACCGGTGTCGTTGGAGAAATTGAATCTAAATTTGCACGGAAGAAGAAAAAAAGTTGAAAAGCGGGTGCCACCTGTGGCTTGACCGATGTGTGGCTAATGGCTTACTAAGCCCGTGCGTGTCCAGGTCGAATAGAGCTACAGCTATGCCTCTCCAATCAACTTCTCCACATTCACCATGGAGGGCCTATACTTTAATGTTAACGGCGGGTATGTTTGTCTTTGCTTCATTCGGATGACTCATAGTTGACTCTCTTAGATATGTCGAGGGCATTGTTCGCGGCTATCGGAATAGCCTGTTGACCGGCCAGAACTATTCCAACCTCACTCAATGCGAGACAATTGATGGTACGCTTTCTTGATCATGTGGATCACATTGGATATTATATTTTTGCATCTTATATCTGACAAAATGTTCAATAGATGTCAAACTCCAGCTCGCTCCCTCATATGGCGACTTCCTTTCCTCTCTTCCCCCGAACCCCTCCACCTCAGACCTTGCGGGCCGCATGACTGATAAACTGGTGTCAGAGTTCAAGTATTTGATCGCACAAGCAACAGGCTCATCTGCCAAGTTCCTCGAATACATGACATACGGATACATGATCGACAATATCGCGCTGTTGATCACCGGCACTCTACATGAACGAGACACTCGGGAACTCCTAGAGCGATGCCATCCACTCGGATGGTTCGAAACACTCCCTGTGCTATGTGTTGCCACAAACATTGAGGAGCTGTACAACTCGGTGCTAATCGAGACCCCGCTGGCCGCCTACTTCAAGGGCAGTCTTAGCCACCAGGACTTGGACGAACTGAATATCGAGATCGTTCGCAACACTCTCTACAAGAATTACCTAGAGGACTTCTACAAATTCGTCAACACTCATCCAGATTTCAGCGGTACAGCAACGCAGGAAGTTATGGCGGAGATTCTGCAGTTCGAAGCGGATCGCCGCTCCATCAATATCACTCTAAACTCCTTCGGCACCGAGCTGTCCAAGCTGGAACGGAGGAAGTTGTACCCAGAGTTTGGCAAGCTCTACCCAGAAGGCAGCCTGATGCTGTCCCGCGCCGAGGATGTCGAGGGTGTTGCTCTGGCTGTAAGTGCTGTGGCCGACTACAAGGCGTTCTTTGATGCCGTAGGCCTGAGTCAAGGCGGCGGGGGTATGGGAGGTATGGGCGGAGGCCCTGCAGATGGAAAGAGTCTGGAGGACCTTTTCTACCAAAAGGAGATGGATATGTCAAAGCTGGTCTTCACCCGTCAATTTACTCCGGCTGTGGTATACGCCTGGATGAAGCTGAAGGAGCAGGTAAGCCTCTTGGAACCAATCTCTCTGAATCTCGAGCATATAACTGATATATTTTAGGAAATCCGGAACGTCACCTGGATCTCGGAATGCATTGCCCAGAATCAGAAGGAGAGAATCGGGAACTTCATCTCCGTTTTCTAAGCTCGTCTCGGGCACCCTATGACTTTTTGATTTTCCACCACCTTGTACTGACCTATCTCCCTGGCTGGTATTTTGCTTTGGTCACCAGCCGCTTTTCGTTGTATTGAGTACCCAGTCTTTTCTTTAACGTGAGCGCATCAACTTTTTTTTCTCGATCAGGACAATCCGATCAACTTTGATTTTGGCCCCCTTGCCAAGTTTTCCTCTTCGTATAGGGCGTTTAGCGTATGCTTTGCCTAGCCCTTGTAATATAGAAGACAAACATACTTGATATCATTAACCACTCTGTTGACTACGGCTTGCGCGATAATTGCAGTGGGTAAGCTGCTATGTTTCTACCTATACCTATATGTACATATGAATAACTATATGAGCTTACCAGGTGTGTACTCGATTTCTTCTGCCATCCGTCCTTTTCCATTTTCATGCTCGGCCCCTGGGCATTTGTGTAAACAGTGTACTCAGTACACTGTCGCAACAGTCAATGCTTGAACTATAACTTATCAAGACTTGAAAATATTTGATATTGATGCTTGTAGATTCTGAAGTTGAGGTCTATTGCAGTATGGCTATCACATGTGTCGGTTAGCTCTATATTCAGATGGCTTCTAGCACAGATCTGCTGTGCATGGCTGCGAATGGTCAAGTGGTATCAAATTATCAATAGCCTGGTACTCCGTACTTAGTTTGCAAGAACGATGAGGGTGGTGCAAACGAAGATGATCCTTCTAATCATCCAACCCTACCCCTACAAAGAAGTAGCTTGATATCCAATAGAAACGAATATATATCTTTTCCCTACTCCCATTGCCCGGGGTTAGACAAAGCCTTCCGGATACAACCTGGAAATGTCATGCAGTGAGCAGCAAGAAGACAAAGGACACATCTGGGATGTTATAACCTTTGAATGCACCACCCTTCGGTAACTTGTTTTAGTCCTACGCTCATGACCCTCGATCAGCATCATAGTTCTTTGATAGAGCCCTCGACCATTGATGGCAATGCCACATTCAATCACGCATTTATCCTTGGCAGTCTGGGACCTTTCCATCTCTTGAAACAGATAAAGATGGATCCTGTTTCCTTAGAAAGAAAAGGAGGCAGAGGCATCTGTACTCCCAGACATTTCTACAGAGAATGGGATGCTTTCACCTTAGCAACATAGTTGCTCTCATCGGTGTCCTTTTAGTTGGCCCAACAGTAACATTAGCTGCAGCTCTTGCCGCTGCACCTCAACCAAAGAGCAACGGGATTTGTTACAAATATGTTGTCCAGGCTGGCGAAACTTGCCCCATGATTGCTCAAGCACACTCTATCACCACAGCTGATATCGAAACCTACAACGCTCGAAGCTATGCATGGTATGGATGCAAACACATATTGCAGGGCAGTTTCATCTGTCTCAGTACCGGAGAGCCCATGATGCCAGTTGCACTTCCACATGCTGTCTGTGGCCCTCAGGTGCCTGGAACCATGCGCCCCAACAACTGGTCTGAACTAGGGTCTATGAACCCGTGCTCGGGCAATCAATGCGTGAGTTGGAAGTTTGGATATCTTTAGGGTCGAAATCTAACACTTTACCAGTGCTCTTCGATGGGCCTCTGTGGAACCACTCCAGACTTTTGCAATTCTGCAGCTCAAGCCAACCCAGCATCGCCTGCATCACAAAAGGCTCCCACAGCTCCTACAACCAAAGCCGCTCCAAACCCCGTGGCTAGTAGTGCGACCTCATCCACTAAAAAGGCCCCATCGACTAGTGCAACCAAGGCTGCTCCCACTACCTCAAGCACCACGAGCATTAAGACCACTTCCACCACCAAAACCACGTTGACAACGAAGTCAACCAAAACATCCCAAGTAACAACAAGCACTAGCACTAGCACCGGCAAAGTAGCGAAAACTCCATGGTCAATTACAATGTACAGCAAGAAGGACTGCGAGGGCGACTACTACGTACTCCAAGGACACAATTTGGGCTACTCGAATACCTGCCTGAACCTGCATGGAGGCCTAAGCAGTAAATACACAGAAACAGGTGTTTCCTGCAAATGGTTTACAAACGGCGGCTCGAATTACGCTAACTGTGATGCCGGCACCCTCGAGGCACCCGAGTCCTGGGTAGTGCAGGTTGGTCTCTGCACTGTATACAATGCTAAAAATTGCGATCCTAGTGATGGGCATGCTAATGCCTATATGCACGAGAACAAAAAGCCTTGTCGGAATCGGGGTAAATTCGATACGCCCAAGTTTCTTTCTATGACTTGTTATACTGAAAATGAAGACTGAGGGCTTTCGGTGTGATGGATACCTTTTGATCTAGCCTTTTGAGTTTAGCTCGTGTTATACAACTCATGCTTATAGTGGATTATGAAAATATGTTTTGGGTTTCCGGGTTTCATTGCAGGTAGTTTCTTGTTTCTAGATATAGCTATATATCGCAATAATCTTAATGATAACATTGCTTCGGGTTCTAGTCGGCCCCAGGACATCTAGCATATATTTTCCATTGCTTCATTTCGTGTTATGCCCAGCGCTCACCAAGTGTTCATTGAAATTTACTACCTAGTCTATTATGTGATGGCCCTGAGCGCTCGCGGACCCTCGTAAAAGCGACAGAGCTGCCCACATAGATTGGTGGTACCTTTGTTACAAGTAAACCATGTGTTTTCTCCGTCAAATTCCCTAGTGGCATACATGCCTACATATGAGATATGTACCTGGGTAGGCACCTAGGTAGGCACCTAGGGAGTACGTATGTATGCAAGCATCGTAATTCCAGGGAATCCATTGATTGAGAACTGGACCGACAGAGACGACCTTCAAGATTGTGTAAGTGTTACATCTCCAAGGAGTACATTGATCAGCCACATTGATGGTCTAGTCTAAGACTGATGATTACATGCATATTGGAAAACAGATCTGCAATTTTGATTGAACATTTGGTGCTCATATGTGCAGATGGCAAAGGGCGTGGCAGACATAATATGACAGGAAGATTCGAAGCGAAGATGACAAAAGCCAGCCAAAGCCAGATGAGAGAGCAAACGACAGGAAAATTCTTGGAAAGCCAGCGAAGGATCAGGGCACCAAGTCTACCGCGAGCCTGGATCTATGACAGGGGGATTGAGATTGAGGTTCGTAGAGAAGACATGAGAGATTTTAGGATATAGGAGAAAGGGAAAAGAATCTGACAGGGATCAGTCATACTGGAAGAGAACACTGATGCTCTCACCGTGGTGCACACGGCGGATAGCCTGGAAGGATACAAGTCAGTATGGTATGCGGAAATCACCGGACGTATGTGACTCACCTCGCCGAAAACGTGGCCGACTTCCAAGACTTCCAGCTTGGGGCAGCGACGCAAGTGGTCAACCTGATCCACGCTATTGGTCACAACAACCTTGTCAAGGGCGCTAGCGTTGATACGGTCGATAGCGTCACCACTCAGGATGCCGTGGGTGACAAGGGCGTATACTTGAGATGCGCCCTCCTTCTTGAGCAACTTGGCAGCACGAGTAATCGTGTTCGAAGTGTCCGCCAGATCATCAATCAGAATGGCTGTCCGATCGCGGACATCGCCGACCAACATCATTGTAGCATTCTGGCGATCGGTGATCTTGGTAGGGCGGCGCTCCTGCAAAACTGTTAGATATATACAAGAAACGCTCAGGATCCCTAGAAGCATACCTTGTGGATGAGAGCAAACTCCATGCCCATTTGGTCAGCAATTGCAGTGGCGCGCTTGGCACCGCCGGCATCGGGGCTAACAATCACCGCTTGTTTGTAATTGGGAATGTTACGCTGGATGTAGCTCTTCAAGAGGGGTCGGCCATAGAGATTGTCGACAGGAATATCGAAGAATCCTTGGTACTGTGGATCGTGCAAATCCATGGTGATGATGTGGTCGGCGCCGGCGCAGGTGAGCAGGTCTGCCACCAGGGTGCCGGCCTGTGCAACCCACTGTTTGTAACCGGGACGCGGCTGGAAGGAATTGATCTTGGAGGAGGTGCTGCTCGCTGTATCATCGTTTCCGTTGGACAGGGACTTGAGGGAATCCGTTGTGTCACTGCGGGGCAAAGCATTGCCCCGCCGCTTCACAGGGCTACCAGTGCTTTCCTCAATCTGAGCTTTGGCAAGTCCCTTCTGGAGGTTTTCAATGCCATTCATCAAGCCCAGACCCTCAGGCTTTCCGGGGCCTGGGGTCGGAGGGGTGCTCTCGAATGTGTAGCCATTGGTGGGCTTGCCCCCCAAATTTGCCTTAACGAGAGGGGCACCGGCCTTATCGTAAGGAATATCGCTTTGACGAGAGTAGGGGAAAAGAGGGAGAACAGCCGTAACTCGACGGGCCGAGGCGGTTTTGCAGGCGGAGATGGTGATAAGAAGCTCTAGCAAGTGGTCGTTGACTTTGCCACCGCCAGATTGAATGATATAAACATCCTTTTCACGGACGGACTCCTGAATCTCCACTCGGGTCTCACCAACTGCGAACTTAGAGAGCAGAACCTCGGCCGGAGGAATACCGAGGACACCGCAAATGCTCTGAGTCAACTGAGGGTGGGAGTTGCCTCCAATGACAACAAGATTGCGAACCATCGTGTTTTGTTTCGTAGTAATATTGGTCGCCAGGTTGGTGTAGGGGCGGAAATCACGGGGAAAGGTGCTCGGTCCGGTGAAGGAAATCAGGATTGGAGAAATTGGGCGGAGGGGGATGAAAATCTGGGGCTATCTTGATCGGTGAGCAGCCGAGGGATCGGTAGGAAATGTCAATGAGGAAGAGTAAGAGGAATTCTTGAGATTGAAGAGGACAAATGCTACCTCATGGCAGACCAAGGATCGAGACCTCGAGGGACAAAGACATAAAAAAAAATGCAGGGCTGTGAGTCCCGCGATGGAAAAAAAGCCTCTTTGGTGGATCGGACTTGTCGTTGATGCCTGAGGTGGCAAATTGCCCGCATTGGGTAAAGCGCATGTCGTGACGACGCAGGCCCCGCAAAAAAACGGCCGTTCAAATTGCTGGGAGCAGCCAGGAACACAGTAAATGGTCAGCAATTACTGAGATGTTCCATTCATTTCCCCCGTAGAAATACATGATTTGGTTCAAGTCCCCAGTCGCTTTGGAAATTCCAATAAAGAAAAAAAAAAAAAGAAACACATTCATGCGTGACTCCATGCTCCGATCCCCGTGATATGTACTAAGAAAAACATAATAGAGCTTGGCATAACTGTCTCGCCGAGTGCAGTCTGCACCGGAAACCCGTTATTCACCCGTTCCAACCTCCCTTTTATAGTGTTAGATATAGAGTCCTGGTAGCAGGAAGGGGATATTGAAACTCACAGGTCAAGTTGAACTCCATTGCTCACTCCATAATCCTCAAGTGTGAGTTGATCCTTGAAAGGACGTTCGCCCTGGCGTTTGAGAAGAATCTCATGAGGCTCACGGCCGATTCGGGCTGCCACTTGGGCTTTGAATAGCTCTGCATATGATGTTAGCAAAACGGTCGAGATCAACAATAGAAACGAAAAGACATACTGATTGGATCTGAGGCAAGACAAGGGATTGCAGCTTTGGTACCAAGACGATCATTGACATGGACCACAATCATGGGCTCTGAAGATTGCGGAACGACTGGCTTCTTTTCCTTTTTCGCTTTCTTTTCCCGGTCTTCACGTGGTGCATTTCGGTCATCGTGTCGTCGTTGGTCACGGTCGCGATCACCGTCTCTTGGTCTAGCTCCGTATCGGTCACCCTCTCGTTCGCGTCGTGGTGAACGTGGTCTGTCGCGGTATCCTCTTTCTAATCTGCGCTCATCGCCGCGGTCATCAGTACGGCTTTTGTCTTTCCACCGAAACCCTCCGGTCTTTTTGGAACGGTCTCTGTCGCCGTTATCTCTTGGTCGTGGAGACCTGCTTCGTGATCGGTCACCCATGGCTGTGGATGGATAGAATGTCAAGTAGTGTGGGTGCCCGACAGTCCAGATGTGATCCAAACGGACAAGCTCTCAGGCACGTGATAGACTGCACCTGTTGGTGGAGTGGGCTGAGCCCAACCGGGACTAGCGTGTTTGTTCATCGAGAGCTCTCCTGTAAAGTAGATTTGGATTACTCGGCATCATTGATCTACCTTGTGAATAAACAAGCGACAATGCAGGCTGATAATTGATTTTGACTCTATCGTGATTATTTGATTTCCCGAGCCTACCTGAAAATGCCCGGCCGACTGAAAGTCCACCGTCCTTCTCCGACGACCGTCTCCTTCACAGTATCGAATGCGCCTCAGCGCTCAAGCTCCCCGCCAAAATTCTATTCGGTCTCCGAGTGCTGCTGCGCACAGTCTTCTTCCTTTGTGTAATTGGTGTCAGTATTGCACGCCTCCGAATTTTTTTCTTCCAAGAGGATGGAAGGGTGATAAGCTGGCCAGCTGTGTGGTCGAGCCCGTTCGGCTCAAAGCTGTGTCGCTTCGTGGATTCATACAACCCGCTGGCAATCGCTGTGGTTAGTGCATTGGTGATATACGGTGTCTTTAGAAGAAACTACACAGGTAGGTTGAAAATGACAAGTTGGCTTCGCTCAGTCAGTGCATAGCTGATTGCTCGACAGAGGAATCGCTCTTAGTTATTCGAGGGTTCGGAATTCAGACCTCAACCTCATCTGCGACATATCTTTCCACTGCTGCAACGAGGTTCATTCCTACCACACAAATCCAGGATATTGTGATCCACGAAGCTTTTAAGGGCTTTGAGGTCCGCTTCTATTTGGCTGTCATTGTTGAAGGCGAGCCTGATGCTCTCGTGGTCTTTCCGGTATGTAATATCCTCAACTTCGATACTCGATGCTAATTTTGTAACTAGCATATGTTGCCAAAGCGTGAGATTCTAGAGCAAGTTTGGAGAGGTTCGCGGCGTTGTCTCTACGACGCAAAGTCATGATATATCAAGTCCCCTATATCAACAGCACCTCCACTAATGAATTTTTATTTGTGCAAAGGCCTGTTTCGGTCTGAATGCAATATGCATTGCTCTATAAATGAGTATATACAAGGAAACTTATAAGAGTGATGCCTTTGCAGCCTCAATCTTTGCCAGCCTTCGCTGTTTTGTGACAAGTCCTTTGGCATTTTGGACTTCCACGGTCTCCATCTTGGACTTCTCATCCACACGGACATATTTCCCACCAACAACGGTACTATCACCACCTTGCCAGACTTTGGCGCCTCTGTTTGATCTCTTAGACAATCCAGAGATCAAATGGTGACCGTTAATGCCTTCCACACTCTGATCACCCTGACTGACAGTCAAATCTAGCAAGGCACCTGCTAGAATCTCGTCGATCTTGCGTTGTCTCCAGACTGTCCACAATTGTTCAACAGTTCCACGCATTCCGAATTTGCTATCGCCCTTGGCACTTGCCTTCTTGTCACCGGCATAAATCCAGTTCAAGGAATCAAGACGGCTACCAGAATCTGGCTCCGGGAAAATGCAGTCCCAAAGGACCAGAGGAGCGTCATCGGCCATGGCATATGTGGGCTTCCGTGGGTTCTTGGCAATATCTAGCAGTTCAGGAACAATAGATGGGGACTCGAACCCCTGTCCGACTAAGAACAGGATCGCAACCATGTGTCGCACCTGGTGCCACAAAAAGGCAGAACCATGGAGGTCGAAGGAGTAGACCTGAGGAATGCTTTGGGACAATGTGCCAGGAGTTGTCAAATCAGATTCAGGGACAGAACCTTCCTTGGCTTGGAAGCCAGCTCGGCCAACATAGCCCACAGGGTTGGTCTTGGGATTGACGGCCTGAATACTAGAATGATGAATAATGCGTTCAAAATTATCAATCTGCTTGTTGGTGTCGAGCTTGCAGAAGTTCCGGAAATCGTGTGTACCCTCGAAATGTTTGGCCGCCTCGCGCATAGCTTCAATATCGAGCCAGCCCTCGCGGAACTCAGCACGTGGTCCCTTGCCATTCTGTGCACGGTTCTCAAAGCCAATAGGCCCGGGAGTTGGGGAGAACGCAGGGTTGGTGAAGAAGTATCTATAGCGACGCTCGCGGCAGGAGAAGCGGGCATCGAAACCAGGTGGTGGATTAGGACACCACGCCAAAACCCTGATGTCTTCCGGGAGCACTCTGTTCAAAACACTGATGTAGTCCATTTCATCAGCTACATCGTCCCACGCCTTTTCAGTAGATCCTGAGTCAATGTTCATGGCGTCCTCGCCTTCAACTGGGGGCTTGGGCTTGGGCCGTTGGCTGCGAACCCTCAGCCCAATAACCTGTCCAAAGGCGCTCACGCCCCTATCTGTACGGCCTGCTTTTGAGTAGTCACATCCATCCCAGTAAAGGTGATATGGGCGCATAGGGACTCGCTCCCCGCGCTCGGTTGGCTCAAGATCAGACGTAGTCTCTGGAAAGATGAGCCGAGTACGCCGCAATGCCTTCCACATTATTTCTTCAACCGTAGGCAGGGGCGTGGTATTGCCATTTGTATGCTCGAGTCCATTATATGCCTGACCCAGGTATGCGAACTTGAGCGCAATGAACCGCGTCGAGTATTTAGAGGGGTCAAAAGTACGATCGAGCTTGGCAGGCTGTGTGGCTTTGATAAACCGTGCTGGCCCAGGCACTTGGGTGATGTCGCCCTCTGGAGGAGAGTGCGGCCGCTTCTTAGGGTTCTTGCAGGACTCGGAGAGTTCAATCGCAGGTTCGTGGACGTCGGTAGAGATTGGCGCGGGAGGGGGGCGGGGTGCCTGCGACGGGCCTTCGACCGGCGCTGTGAACTCTGTTGTCCGAGAGTGAAGTTGGCGCTCTAAATCTGTGATGCGCGCAATAAGGCTGGCGTTACTCCAACTCGAATAGTCGAGTTGGCCTTTGTTGTCCATGTCCGCCATGGTTTGGGTTGTGGGGATGTGAGATTTGCAAATGTGTCGGGTTTGTCTGATGACTTGTTGTATGTTGCAACTCAATGGAAGGAGCCTTGCTGGCGGTTTCCACATACCACGTCGAGCAACTGAGGTTGCGTGTGGAGGTTCAATCTGGATAAGATCAAAAAAGATTGAAAAGTTCCACAGAGCGCTATCTGTTGTATTTTATGTATTAAAGGTTCGTATCGGTCTGTAATTACACTAGCCCAGCATCCTGGCTTGTATGTATTTGATGTACACTGAAGTACCACGTGTTGATCATATCATAAAATTGACTACAAGAACTACAAGACCCATTTTGGTATTGTATAGACATTACAATTTATAGTAGATATAGACTATACTTTATAGAGTCGTAGAAACAATATATACATGCATAGGTACCTACATATCGGCAACCTGGCGGGCACGTCGATCCGATCTGCCAAGCATCGAACCTTACCACCCAAAGTTCGTCGTCTCTCTTATGTACCTGCAGGTGACATCGTACAGCTATATTAACACATCCCGGGCATCTATTGATATAAGCTGTGCTGAACGCACAGTGGAGACAAGTATTCAGAATCATCTTGTTGATTGATCTGCCAAAGGCTGCATTCAAACTGCCCGAATCAGTACTCCAAGAGCGAGACATATATCGAATCAACAACAATGGCTGAGGCAGGTCATCGCCCGGAAAGCGATAGAACAGTATCATTACTTCTCCTTGGGGATGCTGGGTGTGGAAAATCCACATTTTTGGCGTGAGTACATATATATATGGTGGCCTCGTCGGCTTGATACCTGTCCTCGAATTGTGGTTCTGAAATGCGAGTCATCTCAAATTTTTGAATGCTCTACATATAAGCCTCACATAGAGACACACTGACATCATCTAGTCGTCTCAAAAATGGACGGTCGATCCCATCAGGCCAGCCTCATACTGGACTAAAAACCCCGGAACTGTTACGTGACGGTGATCAACCTTTCATTTACGACATCCGGTTCTCAAAGAAGACTTTTAATTTAGAAATCTATGATACATCTAATCCAAACCAGCATTGGTCAACTCTTCAGCCTGACCTGGTTGTTCTAGCCTTTGATATCTCCAACCGAGACACGCTGGAAGGACTGAAAGAGGTAAGTCCCGATTTGATCCTCGAGGTCGCGCTCATCATATATTAAGTTGAAATAAATCCATCCAGTGGCGGAACGATACTACTCGATACTTCCAGTATGGTCATGGCGAGCGTATCCCAGTGATGATGCTAGGGCTGAAAAGGGACTTACGAAGAGAAGGCGAAGGGATCATCTATCCACAAGAGGTAGATAACTATGAGATGGAAGTTCACACCTGGAAAGGACTGACTGAGCTGTTTTAGGCTTATCGTATAGCTCAGGAGCTTCGTTGTGATAGGTACGCCGAGTGTTCCGCTGTCACAGGCGAGCTGCTCGCAGAGACGTTTGAAGATCTCGCTAGATTGGCAGCGATGACGACTACTGAGAAGGGTGGCCAGACGGAGGGTACTAGTTGCATCATTCTTTGATTGTTTCCCTGACGATTTTTCGTCAATTTTTTATACCCCAACATATGTAAGCCGGTTGTGTCAAGGTACCTTGATGTAGCAGCCTTGGAAGCGCCTACCTAGTATTATGTATAACAAATTATTGTCAAACTATAGATAGAAGCTCACTGAGAAATGTCAAGGCGTCTCAGAACCTTTGGCTTTCTGATATCCATTGCCTGGATATTACTTTCTGTCACCGCTCTACTCAAACCTGTAAGATATTGTGATATCCTGTGAGTGGCATTCTAATATAGGTGTTTTGAGTACACCCAAAATGCACCAACAACAATACGTTGTATTGTTCAAAAAGGCTGGCCCACTTGATGGGGCAGAGATGTGGCATTGGGGTGGACAAGCAGACCTCAAGAGGTGGATTCAGACCTCATATAGATCCACAGCGTGTGGTGCCTATATGTGAGGAATCGCTGAAGTCTACAATATACACTACAGGGCCTACTGGATATGATACCAAGCACAACCTTTTCAGATTACTAGAATATACACAGGGAGAAACCAAGGTAACGATTAAGTCCACCTTGTGAATTGACAGCACAGGGCTTTCCCCCAGAAGCTTCGTAAACAAAAGCAACTGGATCTCTTTCCCTCATAAGCGCCAGTCAATGATTGGCATGACAATTCCTCCCCGGTGCAAAACATGGAAATAAAAAAAAGTGCTGGTAGTAAGAGACCACTGAGGCAAAAGAATTGAAAGGTTCCCGGTGAAAGCTCGTTTTCTTCTGCTGTTTTTCAGTTTGTTTTGGTTTTTTGAGAAATGCACACAGAGACTAGGATAGACATGTCAAGGGAATTTGCGGGAGATTGGAATCCATTGGGGTGAATGGAATAGATGGTGTATAAAAGAAAACAAGAGCATTTCTCCGATTCCTGTGCCTCGAAAGGGCTCATAAAATCGTCACAATCATCCCGGATCGCCAGACTTTTTATTGTGATCAAACTTCCCCCCTCTCAACGACTATCCTCGTCCCAGCGAAGCAATTTACCACTTGGCCTCACCAGCGGCGGGCTGAGCCTCAGCCCACTCGGTGGTCTGGGGAGCGGAGCTGGCGGCCCAGTCGGCACCCTCAGCATCCCAGGTAGTGGCAGCACCGGCGGTGGCAGCGGAGGCAGCAGCGAAGGCAGTGCCAGGGTTGGCAGCACCGGGAGCGGAAGCATCCCAGTTCTCACCAGCGAAGCCGGACTCGACGGCGGCAGCACCAACCTCCTCGGCACCGGCGACCTTAGCCTCATCAGCAATCTCCTTGTTCTCCTCGGCCTCGGGGTCGCGGTAGAAGTAGAGATCAACAACGGTGTCCCACTCGGTCTCGCGGGTAGCGAGGGTACCGCGGAGACGGAGGACCTCACGGGCGAGCATCCACCAGACGAGACCGATGGCGTGGCGACCCTTGTTGTTGGTGGGGATGGCAACATCGACGAAGTCGGTGGGGGAGTCAGTGTCGCAAAGAGCAATGACGGGGATGTTGACGTAGGAGGCCTCCTTGATGGCCTGGGCATCAGTGCGGGGGTCGGTCACGATGATGAGACGGGGCTCCTTGAAAGAGCGGGTGATGTAGTTGGTGAAGTTACCGGGGGTGAAACGACCGGCAATGGCGGTGGCACCGGTGTGGGAGGCGAACTTCAGGACAGCGCGCTGGCCGTAGGGACGAGCGGAGATGACACAGACATCGGCGGGGTTGTCAATGGCGGCGATGATACGGGCGGCCAGGACGATCTTCTCCCTATTCCAAGCAAGCATGAATTAGATACCACTAAACCACAGTTAGACGTCGTTTCGCGTTCGCGCATACCAGGTCTTGCCGATGTTCAGGACGTTGACACCGTCGGCGCGGAGCTTCCAGAGGTAAGGCTCCATGTGCACCTGGAGGTTCTTGGAACCAAGGTGGCACTGAGCGGCAAGGAGCATCTCAATGTCCTGCGCGGTAGGGTTGAAAACCGGGGGGAGCTGGGAAGGGGCCATTTTGGGCGATTGATGGATTGATGGATTGGAGGATCAATCGTCTGGCTCTTGTCGTGGTGATGGAGGGAAAAAGATCAAAGCCAAGCCGCGAAATTGTTGCACTGTCGCGATTCGGCGAGAATTTCGCTTGCGTGCGCTAGGGCTAGGGCTGTGGAATATGGTTATGTAAGGATGACCTTGGCATTGTTCCCACGTGATACGGGAAGCCTGAGGCACCAATCATCCCTGTTGGGATTAGCGTGATTTGACATCCGGCCGCAAGATTTCCCGACGAAAGGTCGATGGAAAAGAGGTTGATCGTTAGAATAGAGCCACCTACTCGTCAGCTACAGCCACCATGCCTCCGCGCATTTCAGTCCAGCCCTCTTTGAAGGCATTGACCGGTACGCCAGTCAAATACAGCAGCCCCCGGGGCCCAGACGTCCAATTGCTAATCAAAACTCGTCAAGGATCAGCCTACGGATCCAACCCGTTGTCCAGTTCGATCAATACTTCTATCAGAGCCGCATCCAGCAAGGTGCAAGTGCGGAGGAAACATGACCCTTTCCTGATGGCTCAGGCGCGCCAGCGCAAGGCAGCCAATGTCTCCCGCCAAACAGTCCTCGCGGAGGCACGGCAATCTTCGCTCGGGGACCCCGTCAAGAGCCAGCCGACCCCGTTTATCTTAGAGATGACCGCAATTCAAACCGAATCCCATATCCCATCATCATTGGCTCAGGATATCAACTACTACTTGAAGTCGGACGAGTTGGATGCCGCCCTCGGCTTCTCCAAAGACTTGGCCGAACCGCTTCAAACCCCCGATCGCGACACAGCTGATCCCCAGGTGGAGCAGGAGACATTGGAAAAGCACAATCAAGCTCATCGCAATGCCCAAGAAGCTATTGCTAGAATTGTGAACCTGAACAATGGAAACACCAAGGACCGCGTCCGCCTTAACATTACGAAGTGTATCGAAACGTTCGGCCGACACTACACAGACTTAAATCTCCCACCAAAGCCCTCGGCCGTGGCCCACGGATCCGGCCCTGTTCATCCGGAGCGCGCACCCCGTGTTGGACCCGATACCGGCTCTGGTGAAGTGCAAGCTGCCATTCTGACCGTGAAAATCATGAACCTCTCCCGACACCTCGAGACCGCCAACAAGGACAAGCACAACAAGCGTAACCTGCAACTACTCGTGCACAAGCGCCAGAAGTTACTGCAATACATCCGCAAGAAGGAGCGTGGAGGTCCCCGGTGGCAAAACCTGATGGGGACATTGGGACTGTCTGACGCTGCGTGGAAGGGAGAGATTGCCCTCTGAAAGGGCAATCTCCTAATAAAAGGTCTTTTGTCTCCCTATAACACTCCTGTTTTTGGTGATTGGCTGGTTTTGAATACAGCATCGGCGTGTCACCTTGTATCATCTATCTAGGAACTAGCGAGGGGTACTTGTTGGTCCATATCTCTATTCTCATGTTTTATTCGCAGAGCATCTGTACAAATAGCATTATTTTCTTCTTCTTTTTCCACATTTATTTTAAGGCGCAAAGACAAAGCAGGACTGGGCTTTCTCTTTGCCGTAGCCTACAAAATGATATTCTACTAATCAGTACCACTGACTAGTATGTATGTCACTAGTATGCCTAGCTGATGATAAATTCCAAGAATACTGGGGTAAATTATATCTTCTGGAACCAATGCTTTACCATTCGTCGTCACGCCACAAGCCCTGTTAGTCAATGAAGCTCATTCCAAGAGATTGTTGGTATATTACTTGGTTCCGGTAGGGGCAGAAGATTTCAAATGAAGAAAATGGTCGTTAGCTTTGCTCTGGAACATAAGAAATATGAGTTTCTTGGCCAGTTTGTTGATTATGAATACGATCTGGCTGTGCAAGAGCCATCTTGTCGTCCCACTGGCACGCTTGAGGCTAAGTATGTCGTCAATGAAGTAAGGGCCATGAGCAATGGGCCTACAAGGGACTGAGGCGGCGCTCTTTGTGCAGGAAGCATAGATCGCGTGGATCCACCTGTACAACATACTTGGCGTTTCTAGATATGCTATGTACACGAGTGTATATTATGTAGTTGTAGTCAGTGTGGTGTGATATAGTTCGGGAGCGCGTGGCTGGTTTAACACTGGCATACAAATGGTCTGATATACGCCCTTCGTGCGGACATGCGTCCAAAGACGCAACGCGGTCTCTCTATAAGGCTAGAGCTATTCCATAGATTATCGAGTGCTCCGAAGAATGATAAATAAATTCAAAAGAAATCGAGTCTCCCATGCAACCGTCGACACATGTAGATCGATATTTCAGCACACCGCCCACACGAGGAAACATTCTGCCGGGTCGCGCCTTCCGAATTTCAAAAGTTACATGCTCGGCCCAAACGAGCCCTGGCAACGGCTCCTTCCCTTTTCACATCTCGTCGCCTAGGACCACTTGTTTACCTTGAGCTTCTTCTTCTTTTCTATCCTGTTTCCTCTTCTCCTCCTCTCCATCGCCTACCACGTTACCGTTTCAAAGCCTTGGATTTTCATTCTGAACATTTTGAGCCTTTGGATACTTTGCTAGGGTCTCTGTGATCGACCTTATTTCCGCCATTTCCTTCCGATAGTTTTGTTTCTTTTTTTTGGATCTTTGGATCTTCATCATTTTGGTTACTGGGTCCTTTGGACACCAAGTAATTTGGTTACCTAGCCTTCTGGATACCTACATCTCTTTGGATATCAAGTCTTGATATTTCTGATTGATCCACTGCGTTGCAAGCAGTTCCCCCAGATTTTCTCTTTAACTCGACATACAATATCCTCCCGCTTCTTGCGCGATCGCCAAGATGAGACTACGGTCGAACAACATTCTGCGCCCGGTTGATGCATACGTTCCACGCCGCCGCCGAACGAAGAGTCCATCGGCACAGCCAGAAGAGACAGTGAATGCTACAGAGAATGTTACAGCGAATGCTACAGAAAATGTTACCGCGACTGCGCCAGACACGCGCTCCGCACCAGATGCACAGTCTACGCAAGGGTCTTCAGCACAACCTGATGCGCAGAACAAACCCGCCCCAAAGCGAAAGTCAACCAAGAAGACCGGCCGCAAGAAGGTAAGTTCTATTTGAGAGGTCACAACTGTTCACAACTAACAGACTTCTCTAAAAGGCTGCCGCAAAAGGCAAGAAGAAGTCAGATCCCATCACCAACACTCAAGCCGATACCCAAGCCGATGCCCAAGGAAATACTCAGGAAGATGTCGTCACCATTCTTCCGTCTGTTGAGCAACCTGATCCCCGTATGTTGACCTGTTCCCCTCCCAAGCCTCCCGAGCTTCCCAAATCCCCCAGGCTCCCCAAATCCCCCGAGCTCCCCAAATCCCCCGAAATCCCTGAGCCCACCAAGCTCCCTGAGTCCACCAAGCTCCCTGAGCTCACCAAGCTCCCTGAGCTCACCAAGCTCCCTGAGCCCACCAAGCCCATCAAGCTCGGAAGGTTCATGCGCCCGTCAAAACGACGCGAAGGACGCCCCAGCAAGGTCTTCACATGCGGGGGTGCTGCCGAGCTGCTTCGGAAAATGGAGTTTTCAGAGATTTCACACCCAACTCCATCCCCCCCGGAGACCCCTGTCTTGCGATATGCTTGGCCTCCTTTATCCCCTGGAAAGGTTTATGACAAGCTTACTCGCATTCCCTGGTCACTTCCCTGGACTCCCCCATCTCCCTGGAGGGGCTGGCCTCGCAAATTCCATCTCCCTAAACCCTCGGATGAACCCACGCTAATCAGCATGGAAGAACCGATATCTAGGAAACGCAACCGAGCCTCGGAAGACGATCACTCGTTAGCGAAACGTCACAAGCTAGTACTTCAAACCCCACCTGGCATGGGAAATCGCCCTCGCGGTAGTCCTCGCAGAACGTATGCGGACCGCGCGCGGCGCCGTGAAGCGGAAAGGAACGGACGGATCGATCGTACAATTTATCGCGTCCCTCAATTGCTGGCTCAGCAGGGGGAAGATGGGAACTCTGGGCGCCTGAATTCCTCACCCTCTCATGCAGCCGAAGAGACCATTGCCCGCAATAATGAGGTTGTTCCGTTTGCTGCGCTGCCTCCTGCACTGCCACCGAATCACACCCAACCTGGATGGGGCCGGTGGATTTTCGACTCAGTAACCCGACTTTGGCAACGAGGAAATGTACCCCAGACGGGAGAGGCTCCAGCAGGTAAGCATTTTTCATTTCGTGGCATATCTTTATAATGGCTAACCTTTTGATTTCAGTGGCGGAAGCCCAACCTGCAATTGACAATGAGCCTCACATAACAACACCATTCTCGGCTCCTCCTTCCTCATCTGCTGTGTCTCGAAACCTGGAATCTCCAACCCCGCGGTCTCGTGTTGCAGAGCCTCAAACCGCCAAGCGCAAAAAGTACACCTACGATCTGGACCCCCGCGGGTTTGACCCAGAACTGCTCGCGCGTATGCGTGCTCGGAGTTCAAAACCAGCACTTGGACCAGTTCCGGCACCCCCAGAGCAAATTCGTGCACATGAGGAAAACGAACAGAAGAAACGCAAGAGGCAACCCTCCCCGGATGTCATTCCGCATCCCCCAGGATGCAGTTACGGCTTTGATCCAGATTACTTCATTTATGATGATGACGAGGAGGAGGAAGAGGAGGAGCAACGTGCCGCAGAAGAACAGCCGCCCCAAGATGATATGACTCAAGAGCCTATCATCAGAGACGCGCCGGAAGAGAAGGATGAGCATGTCTCCAAGCGTAAGCGCACTGGCAACACTCGCCCGGAAAACTTCAATTACCAGGGGCATTTCCAGACCCCCGGGTGGTCTTCTTCAAGCTCCGACGACTCTCCTCAAAGTGTATCACAACTCCCAGTCGCTTCGCCACCTAAACCAAAACCAAAGCCGATTTCATCTCCTCAGAACGAAGCAGAGCCACTCCGCTTGGCCCGCAAAATGGCACAGCCTTACAAGCCGAAGACCCCAAGTCGCCTTCGCGCAGCTCATCGCTATTCAAATAGCCCCGCCACCAGCTATCTCGAAATCCGACGTCAGCAGGAGATTCTTCGTCGCCGCAGGATTGGCCCATACCCACGTACATTTGCCAAGGCATGCCCGAGTGGCGATCTCGAGCACATCATCTGGCCGGAGCCTGAACCTTGGGTTTCGCGTCTTGCCTTTGATGAAAACCTCACGGATTACATGGAGAAAACAGAGACCCACCGTTGTTACAAGACAGTTGTCAACGGCGTACACGAATTCTTCATGGACAAACTTGCTGAAAAGCGAGCTGCAAGAGCCGCTAAAAAGCGAGCTGCAAAATCCGCAAAACTCTCCAAAATATGCGTTGCTGCTCAGTAACAGATTGGCATCACCCGTTACTCATGTACATCAGTTGATTCTTTTCCTTGGTCTACCTTGGACCTCTGTTTGATGGTTCTACGTTCAGAACCTTAGTGCTCTCTATTTCTGTGACTCTTTTCCCTGGCCTGCTTTGGACCTCTCATGGGTCTAGCTGCAGTCCTTAGAGACCTTGTTTCTGGTTTTTTTGCGCCTTTCCTCCTGCCCGCTTTGGACCCCCTTTTTGGATGCGTTCAGCCTTGGGCCTATTTTGTTGCGACCTCTCCACTGGCTCGCCTTGGACTCTATTCTGATGGATCTAGGCCTGGGCCTAGAAATTTCTGTATTTTGACTGTTTCAAAACTTGTAGTTCTTTAGCGCATCTTCATGAATACAATATCCAGCTTTTGAAGTTAAGTAATCATATTCTGTGACTAGCAACTGCTCCGGCTTCTACTGCGCTGGAATCACCACAACCCAATCTCACTTCGTCATCCGGAGGAATAGCGTTGCCCAAGTTTTCTGCCTCATCATACTTCTGCGTATCTTTTCCTAAATGATCACGAACCCATGAACTCAATGCACGTTGGCGAACATTCATCGATATTTGCTGACGTATCGCGTGATCCTCTTCAAGAGCTTCAGTTCGCTTTTTGAGGTCTCGCATCTCAGCCGTAAAACTGAACGCCTCATCATTCACTACCATATTCTTCGTGTTATCGAAACAGACAGCCTCGGCTTCTTTCATAACTTTCGCTCGTCAAATTGGCAACGGGTTCTTCCTCGCTATGATTGGGCTTAGGCACTCTTGGTCTCGGTCTGAAGTACTCCGTAAGAGTGGATTAGTTCGACTCGTTCAAGTGGAGTGCCGCAGGACGGGGTTGGATTAGTCATTGGCCTTTTGTGTGGGGTCAGGTGCCTCTTCTATACTCCGACAGGGCAGATTCAAGCATCAGATGCAGGGAGAATCCGAGGCATAGTCCACTGGTAAGATAAGAGGTTGAAAGAGGGCAACGACGGGAGAAGTTGTTAGGGACTCCGCCTTCCACCTACTCTGCTCTTGTCTGTTCTTTTTCCCTAGTCTCTGACCCTCGACAGTGAAGCTGTGAGCCCTCATAAAAGCGGCGGCCAAGTTAGAAAAGCCACGTAGAGTCACATAGTGTCGTCATGTAGGGTTTGCGTAAAGTCATCAGTATACAATTCAAATCAACGTGGAGCTGCCATAGAGACAAGGTTCATCGGGTTCATTAGTAGAGTAACTAGACAAGTAACACAGGAAGAATCACAGCATGGTATCAAAATAACTTATGCATCTATAATGCTACCTAGGAATTCTGAGATCTAGTCGAAGCCCTTGAATTCACCATCACCACCTGCCTCCGCTGCCTTGGCTGCCTGGTTCAACAACCGCTGCTGCTCATTCTTGGCCCGAACCTCCTCCAGCATGCGCTCGGTTTCAAGAGCCCTCTGCTTCTGATCTTCCGGCAACAGCTCCCATTTCTCCTTATCCTTCCGCGCCTTCTTGAACTCCTTCTTCTTGAGCCTCTGTTCCCGATCTTCGGTCTTTTGACTCCATGCCACACTCTCAGTAGCCCGGCGCTTGTTGGTTCCCTTGTCAGCGCCCTGCCCGTTGGCAGCCTCCTCCATAGCCTCCTTGCGGCGCTTCTCTTGCTGCTTGTCCTTGTACGTGTAATTGGTCCAATCAAGTGTGATACCGAGAGTTCGGTCTCCCTCAAAGGAACGCAATTCGGGCATCTTCGGCAGCTTGAGAAGTCCCCATGCCTTGCCGAGAGCTTCCCAGTCCAGATCTGCGACTCGGAAGATACTGCTAGCTTGGTGCTTGCTGTAGCTGCGCAGCCAGCTGACAAATGCCTTCTGGCCCTTGTCGTGCATAGCGCGGTCTTTCAGCACGGCTTTGCGCACTTTGTCTATAGAGGCCACGGCCTGTTCGTCGGTAAATTCGGGCAGATTGAATGGTGCGACGGGGGTTTTGCGAATTTCAAGGAAGGACACGTAGTCTTCCTCGCGGCCGGGGTGGATGAGAACGATGCTGAGGCCTCGTCGGCCGGCACGGCCTGCACGACCACATCTGTGAATGAAGGTTTTGGGGTCGGATGGTGGGTCGATCTGGACCACGAGGTCGACGGTGGGAATGTCCAGACCGCGAGCGGCGACATCGGTGGTGAGGAGGATGGAGGGGGTTGTGGAGGTTGTGAAGCGGGTGAAGTTCTTTTGGCGGACGTTGGCTTGGTGTTTCCCGTGTAGTGGCACCAACAGGAAGCTATCGCCTAGGATGATGGGTAGGATTGTGGCGAGATAGTCGACACTGGAACATGTCGACACGAAGAAGATGGTTTTTTGAGGCGTGGGTTGAACTGAGGAAAGGATGTGCTTCAGAATGGCATATTTGTGAAGCGGGGGTGTTGTCATATAGGTCATTTGCAGACTATTCAGCCGTTAGTGCCGGGTTCAATTAGAGAATAGAGAAGTGGCCGTACCTTGCTGGAGTGCGCTTTTCTTCAACACCAGCTCCTCCTTTGACCTTGACGGCAATTTTTACGGGGTTTCGTAGACCCAGGCGGACGATCTGATCAACAGCCTCACTGATGCTGGCACTGAACAATCCTGTTCTGCGTTGCTTGGGCAAGCGGCGCAAAATCTTCTGCAGGTCATCTTTGAATCCAAGATCCAGAAGTCTGTCGGCCTCGTCCAGGACAAGCATTTCGAATGATGCTTGGGGGCAGTGCACGTGAGGCGACGAGAGCAGCTCCAACAATCTTCCGGGTGTACCAACCAACACATTGGGCGAGTTCTTAAGGAATGCTTTCAGATCTTCCGCCGGAGTTGTTCCACCACCCAGGAGCAGCTGCGGGACGACCTTCAATGTCGAGGAGGAGGTTTTCACACGAGGCGCATCATCTTCGGCGGGCTTGATGGCTGTGGCCGACGCAGGGTGGAATTCCAATAGCGAGAGGAGGACTTGGTGAATCTGAGAAGCTAATTCTCTGATCAACGAGTATTAGCAACATTCTCCACAGAGCTGCTTTTGCGCATCACTCACCTTGTCGGGGAAATGACAATCGCGCCAACATGATGTTTCTTGAGAGGTTGATCAAGACGAAGCAGCTTCTCAACAATTGGGATCAAGAATGACATTGTCTTTCCACTTCCAGTGACCGCTTCCACTACCACATCTTTATGCTGCATAAACAGAGGGATGGCCGAGGCTTGGACTGGGGTCATGCGCGTGAAGCCCATTGCGCCCACAGCGTCAAGGGTCCATTCTGAGAGCGGCGGGGTAAGCGCATCCCACGCTCTTGAGGATGATTTAGGAGGCATTTATCAATTCAAACCGACACCGAGTCGTTGAATTGCTTTGTGAGTCGTCATCGCAAAGAAAAAAAAATCCGTTATCGATTAGATACGGATACACGTGACTGCGGCTGTGTCGGAAATGGAGATCGCGATCTGCTTTTCCGCCCCAAGTTGGTCTTGCTTCATTGACTTTAGTCTGATTCAATATCACATGTGCTTAGTGTTCTCATCATGCACTCGGTCTCTACTTTATATTTCCAGCTTATTTGCTCTTAATCACTGACAAAGCACCGTGACGCGCCCGCAAATCGCCCATCATTGCTTTGCTAGGAAGTCCAAGTATATACCGTGGCATATTCGCTTGTGACAACGCAGATACCTACACCCGTCCATTGTTAGGTGTAGTTCGACCTACATCACTTCCTTCTTTTTCCTTGATAGCATCCAGCATGTCTTCCCCAAATGCGGCACCAGCGACACCTCGCGTGATATCACCGACCCCTTCTGTATCGGATCCATCAGAAACACGTGATGGATATTATGCGCCAGTAACACGGTCTGCAGCACGTCGCCAGCGTCAGCCGGAAGCCTCAGGAGAAAGCTCGAGTTCAGCGCGAACATCAAGATCCCCCACATCACCCTCGGCGCGCAACCGCCGATCAAACCCCAAGATACCCGCCTCGCCGCCGCACTCGGCAAACGGCACTGCCTCAAAAGATTATCTGTCCCCATCAAGCATCCCAGATGCCCTACGCGACTTGTCACGGTCACCATCTCCACTCGGGCTGATTCCCCTCCACTCTCGCTACCGCAGCTTCATCCACCGCCATGAAATCCCGCGCAAGCTCTTGCATGTGTCAATTGGGTTCTTGACTTTGTCGCTATACACCAAGGGTGTGCAAAGCCTACAAATTACTCCAGTACTATTCACTGCCTTGGTGCCTATTGCGGCAACGGACTTGATTCGCCACCGGTCCGAGAAGTTCAATAAGTTCTACATTCGATGCATGGGCGCCCTCATGCGCGAAACTGAGGTCACCGGCTACAATGGCGTCATCTGGTACCTCCTCGGAGCGTATGTTGTCCTCCGATTCTTCCCCAAGGATGTCGGTGTTATGGGCGTGCTACTCCTTAGCTGGTGTGACACCGCCGCCTCAACATTCGGTCGTTTGTGGGGCCGCTACACCCCCCGTCTGCGGCCCGGCAAGAGCTTGGCTGGTACCCTGGCCGCTTGGTTCGTGGGTGTTGCTACCGCCGCTGCATTCTGGGGCTGGTTTGTGCCTTACATCGGTACTTTCCCCAATGACCCGGAAGACGCCTTTATGTTCACAGGGCGCTTGAATCTGCTCCCGAATTGTGTTCGCGGTCTTCTGGGCTGGGAGCCTAGTGACTCTGCCGTCATCACTGGTCCTTTGGCTCTGGGCGTCATGAGCGTCGTCTCTGGCATTGTCGCCGCTGGCAGCGAGTTCATCGATATCTGGGGCTGGGATGACAACCTGACCATCCCCGTCCTGAGTGGAGTTGGCCTCTGGGGATTCCTCAAGGTCTTTGGGTAGATGGGTACATGATAGACCCCTGACTTATCGGTGCATGGACAACACCGCCTTTTCCTTTTTCTTAATACTTACATTCTGGTCTTTTAATGTTTGAACAGGTTTCTTCCTTTCTTTTCTACTTTCGGGCATTGCGTTGCATCAATGTTTCTATTCTTGCTTAGATAGTGGCAGACCGACGTCTTGTCCATTCTGGATATTCTCTTTTCTTCAATCTCTACTTGTTTTGGCTTATATTTTGCATGGGTACATGTACCTCCTGCACTTCGCTTTTGTACTTTTTGTTTAGATACCGGGGTACATACATGCATGTGGTCATCCTACTCATAGACACCACTTACAGCCTACATTTGTACTCGCCAACCAGAATTCTTGATAGATCAACTTGACTCAATTTGGACAAAGTAATTGACATGTGTATTTCCGACATCAATGTTGCGCAGGAGCGCAACATATGCTCTTATTCAAAAAATCACATTCACGCTAAACAACAGGTTCAAATCTGAAAAATGAAGTAAGGGTATAAAAAGGCATTAACTGAGGTCGAGGATACTGACACGAGATATCCGTTTCTTCTTGCCGGTTTGGCTTTGCTTGTGAACTGCACGCCGGCTATCGACATTCGACACTTGGCCAGAATCTTGTTCAGAAGACTCCTCGATGGACCAAAAACCATCATGCAAAACAATATTCTCCAAGTATTCCGGGGTCTTAGGTTTTGGGGATTTGTTCTTCGTCTCCTTTGACTTCTTGGGAGACTTATGTACTTCGTTGATGTCATTATTTTCGCAGGTCCTCGTGCTCAACGGCACACCATGCTTGGGCTTGGGCCCGGGATTGGGATTTGCTTGTCCAGTAGACTTGGATGGTCTGATGACCTCGGCCTTGAAGGAACGAGTCCGGGCTTTTGGTGATGGCGGTGGCTTCTTCGTTGAGGGTTGACATAATGAGCGAGTCGCCAGTTCTTCATATCGGCTAGTGGCGGATTCGCATGTCAGGTCAAGGGACTCGATGGCTTTTTCGATATACTCGACCTCGCGTCCCTCTTCGCATTGCCTCCTGGGGATTTTCTTTGGCTTGGATTGAGTCTTTCTGAACGGAGAGGGCAGGGTTACCAAACTTTTTGCTAAAAGCTTCTCTGAATAACCTTCGGCCTTATAGACGTCGGAGACTGAGTAGCTGATCCTGAGTCCTTGAGGGGTCTCCGGACGAGATGGAGAGTATCCGATATCCATATCCAGTGCATCCGATTCTTCAATATCAAATCCACCAGTACCCAAAGCTGTGCGCCTTGATCTAACGCGGGGCTGATTCGCCACTGGGTGACGTTTGATATTGGCAGAAGGAGATAAGCTGCACATCGAAGAGAAGGGTTCGAGAAGATCGTCAATCTCTCTGGAGATGCGATGCATAGTTGGTGAGGGTCTCTGCTGATCATACATGCTCGGCGAGGAGAAGGGATCGTCCTCCTGATCCACAAATATTGGCGAAGTAGAACCAGAACCTGAAACAAGCCGCGAGAGAGGGTTGCTTGAATGATTAGAAGTAGCGGCTTCCAACAAGTGCGCCTGTTTACTTGCTGGAATTTCTGGCTTCTCTTTCGTCAGAGTACCGTATTTCAGGATGCTTCCCCTTTTCATACCCGCATCTATCTGCCCCTTTTTCCTGGGAGCAGTGCGTCGAGTACTGGTCTTCTTCTTGGCCGCGGCTTGTGCGGCTTTCTCGGCTTTCTCGGCTTTTTCAGCCAGCTCTTTCTCCCACTTTTCCACGAGTGCAGGGGCACCGAGCTTTACCACAGTCTCAAAAACCCAAAATTTTTCGATAGAGAGAGGATCAAATCGGTTTGCTACCCGAGTTTTCGATGGCGTTGGAGTAGGTGATCCAGCAGCTATCTCTGCGTCGTCCTCTTCCTCGCCCTCCTGTGTCTGAGTTGCCATTGTGTCATGCGTCGGAAGCGGTGGGTTTGATTTTTCAGCGAGGAAATCCAACCCAACAATATCTGCGGGTAGCATATCTAGCTGGAGTTCTGGCATTGCATCTTTGCCGAAGCTTGTTCTGGTTCGATACACCTTTTGCATGGTGGGTGGAAGATCGGGTACAAAGGAAAACCCAGGAGGAACGCCTAGAACAGGTCTTTGGAGACGCAGTCTGTACGAGACAAGAGGCTCAGCCAGCAATTTGATCAATTTCTTTGCCCCCGATTGATACTTCCATTCGAAATGGTCTGCAGCAAATGTTCTGATCGCCATGGGATCGATATCCCTGTCCCAGGCATCTTTGAGCTTTGTCTTCAACTTGGACATTTCTTCGTCGCTGGAAACTTTCGGCCGGACATAATACTCGAGAATTGTTCGATCTGGGAACGAATCTGGGATTTTAACTGCCCGATGTTTTGTCGCAAAGTAGCCGTTGATGTTCTCTGAAAGTTCACATTGGAGTCGTTCTCTCCACTCTTGCAATCCAGTGTCCACATCCGATTGCGACGCAAGCGTTTGTAAACCTTCACCGAATCCAGCCTTGGCAATTTCCGCAGCGAGCTTACTGCCACATTTCGGAATACCAGATGGTAGATAGTCTCCTCCACTGAGCATTGCGAATAGAATCATCCCAGGTCGGTCAAGAGGTATATTTGAGGGATGTCCATCTTGTCCCATCGCATAACAGGTGACATGAGTGGCAGAAGAAGTGCCAGTGCCGCTCTCTTTTGAATAGTTCATGACTGTCAAGGACGATCCAAACATCAATGCATCAACATCGTTGCTCATAACAGCATCCACGATACCTGCCTGCTGCAGCCTTGCGCATTCAGCTTCTGCCTCTCCCGGGGCATCGTGACACGGAAATCTGAATCGTTCAATGAGTTCCTTGGAGCGTCTGATGATCGGTGCACTGCCGTAACTACGTGGTGATACCGCTTTGCCTCTCTTGAAAGCGGGTTTTTGCGGTCCGTCATAGACAAAAAGTGGGTGAATAGGTAATGCAAGTAATTTCAATAGTCGAAAAAATAAGGTGCGCAATTCTGGGTTTTTCCCGCCCCGACCTGCTTGCACTTGAAACAGCCAAATTGAGATGTCGACGGCAATACGAATCGGCCTTGCTGTCCGCTCCAGGTGGGTTACAGCCAGCTTGGCCAGAGAGATACGCTCTCCCGGGCCAATTGCATTGATGAGCCTAGAGAAGGTTAGCGAGTTTGAATCAGAAAATGGAAAAACGCGTCTCAGCTATTTCTATGACCGCTGGAAAACTGAACTTGCGGTCAGGACCCGCCTCGATATATATGCCTGTGAACCCGCAAAACGCAAGGACGATCCTACTTACCCAGGAATACCCATGGAGCTGACCGCAAGCTGTACCAATATAACAGATCAAAAAATAGATGTAGCGCTCATATGGTTAGAAAAATGCTTTGCTTGTTTTCGTCAAGGGAGGAGAAGGAAGTTACAGTCCCTCCGCAAAAGTTTCCGTACGGTCGGGGGTCCACACCCGCGTTTTTCGCGAATAATTACATTTTTGACCCGCGTCTTCTCCCAACCCATGGTTTTTAAAAATTCACCATGGTTCCCAGGACCCCTCTACGTCCTATTAATTCTAATAGGATAAAGGGAAATGAGCTATCTCCCTATCTCCGGGGTCAGATCTTTGGTCAAGCCCAGCTAGGCCTGTCAATCGCGAAAATTGCCCAGCACTTCAGTTTATCCAAATCCACAATTCAGTATACCCTCGAGAAAGAACCTCTCCGACACGAAGGCAATAATCAAAACCGCGTCGGTCGCCCCTCGATTTTATCAGCAGATGACCGTTCTATGGTTATTCGATTGATTCGAAACGATCCCTTTATTACCTATCAAGAAATCCGCGAACAAAGTGGCTTAACTGCTTCCGACGATACCCTTCTTCGAATGGTCAAAGCCTCGGGCTACGGACATTGGAAAGCGAAAAAAAGACTATATTTAAAACCGGAACACGCCGAGCTACGCCTTAATTAGGCTTTGGAGCGACGAAATTGGACGTGGGATGACTAGAAGAAGATTGTTTAGTCCGATGAATGCTCTATTAAAATCGGGAAAGGGAAGCGTTACCGTTAGGTCTTTTTCATCAACCACCGAAATAAAAAATGGAAAAAAGAACATATTACCACATACTCGAAGTCGAAAAATATCTCAATTATGATTTAGGGAGCAATATTCGGTGGTGGTTGCTCCGATTTATTCCAAATGAATCGTGACTCGGAGTCAGCACGCAACGGATACTCAAGGTTCTCGTATCGCGAGGTTCTCGAGGAGAATTTACCCCAAATTTGTATGGATTCGACGCGAATCTTTATGCACGATAATGCTCCAATCCATACTGCGCATATTATTCGTGATTGGTTGTGGGAGAATGGAATTGAGACGATGGTGTGGCCGCCGTACTCACCTGATTTGAACCCTATTGAACATGCATGGGCAAAACTTAAAGAAATGATCGACCGCCTTGATCCGGACCTTGATAAATTTGAAGGTCCCAAAGAAGATCTGATTCATCATTTCGAAGAGTTAATTCATGCTGCATGGGCGATGCTAGGCCAGGATTACTTTGATGGGTTGATTTCGAGCATGGGGCGCAGGGTTGAGGCAGTAATTGAGGCAAATGGGTGGTATACTAAATATTAAAAATATAAATTAAATACTATGTCCAATTGCCTATCTAATATATATTTTTATATAATTTTACTATATAAATTGGGGGTATAGTATTTAATTGAAGTTAGCAGGTTCGATTTGCTAAAATCAAAAATGGGAGATATATATTTGATGGGGTGCGGGTCGTACGGAAACTTTTGCGGTAGAACTGTAATGGTCTGGATGTCAATAAAGACGGCCCGATGTAGATCCGTGTCTACCCAGGCCGAGCTTCAATCTCCCCCCATGAAGCCTATAGATCTCACTTTTGGTTAATTTTACCTTTGTGCACAACTGCATTCCAATGGGGTCAAACCCCCACTTCGTATGCTGGTGAATAAAACAGTTGTCACTACGAACCCCGCGGACTGCTGTTGCTCCGAGAAGAGTAACGCGTCCAAGAATCAAGCACCATGGCGAGCGATACAACCTCCATGAGTGCTAGCAAACGCCACTCAGCAACATCTAGTCTACGCCATAGCCAAACAGCACGGCCTGCCTCCCCCCATACACCACAGACACGTTCAGGAAACACCTCGTTCACCAGCAACACGTCGCCGGGTTCCTCCTTTCGAAATGAAGACGATGCGATCATCTTTGAGATAGGTGCACGATGGCTACGCGCAGGGTTTGAAGGAAACAGTGCTCCTGCATGTGTGGTTGGCTTTGGACCTGAAGAGTCGAGGAGAGCGGGGGACTATCGAGGATGGATGCAGGGTAGCATTGGGGCTGCACGACTACCGCAACCCGTCGATGTGGAGGAATGGACACAGGCATATGAATTGTGGCGGCTGGACTCACGAGAGGTTGATCTTGGCCTAGTTGAGGACAAGATCGAGCGTGCGTTTCGGGAAACATACAACCAGTTCCTGTTGACGGATGCAGGCACATCTCGCTTGGTTCTTGTTCTGCCATCTCTTATGCCACACCCATTGCTATCCTCACTGCTGTCGACGCTCTTTAGTCGCTGGCGCTTCCCGAGTGTCACTCTTCTGTCCAGTGCGACCATGTCAGCAATGGCAGCTGGATTGCGGTCAGCTTTGGTAATTGACATTGGCTGGGCCGAGACAACTGCCACTGCGATCTACGAATACCGAGAGATGACTACGAAGAGAACGACACGGTCTATGAAGCATTTGATGCAGGAAATGGGGCTGCTCCTCACTGGTTTGGCTTCCGAAGGGGATCGCGATCCGGAGGCCGAAGATAAGATTTCTGTTGGGTTCGCGTACTGCGAAGAAGTGATTAGTCGATTTGCCTGGTGCAAACTGCAGACAGAAGACGATAATTTGGCAGAAGAATCCGACCAGAAATTGTCAATTCCTTCACCAGCCAACCCGGACGAAGAATACATGGACGTGCCGTTTTCCCGTCTCGCCGAACCCGCCGAGAAGGTGTTATTTGCGACAGGCATCCCGGAATATGAGCTGGATGACGAAGAGAAGTCTTTGCCTTTACTTGTCTACAATACCCTTCTTTCATTGTACCCTGACGCACGTGGAACATGCATGTCTCGTATCATTTTTGTGGGCGGAGGTTCTCGAATTCCTGGGCTGCGGCAGCGTGTTCTCAAAGAAGTCTCACTCTTGATTGCGCGTCATGGATGGAGTCCAGTTCGAGGCAAGGCACTCGAGCGACAGCGACAGCGATTGGAGGAGTTGAGACTTTCGGCTCAGAAACCACCCAGCGAACCGAAACCTCCTACAAGCAACGGAGAAGCGCCATCCACTGACGAGGAACCATCCGATCCTTCCAAAGAAGTACCAGAGATTGACTTCGTGGAGCAAAAGCTGCGTAAACAAAACAAAGAGATCCCAGTTCCTATCCAAGGAATCTTGCGTGAAGTCGAATCTCTTGGCGCATGGGCGGGTGCGAGCCTGACAACTAGCCTGAAAATCCGCGGGATGGTAGAGATTGAACGAGAGAAGTTCCTACAGCATGGACTCGCTGGAGCTACTCGAGACATCGACCATCCTGTTCCTGATCGTCGATCGGGGCTGAGATCTGGTGGTGATCGGTCGAGTTGGACGCTGGCAGGCTGGGCATGAGAACTATGTACAATTTTCAGCATTAATAGATACCCCATTGGCTTTCGAAGTCATAATCTTGCATTTTTGGTATGATCCTAGTTCACTGGCATGTATTTCTACAGTTTTCAAGCATCAAGAACTCGGAGCTTCGGTAAAAGCCAGCCCGGATTCCGCCGCGGGGAAGAGACCCACGGCCCAGATTGTCCCCAACTTTCCAGGGTCTCGCGCCTGGAGTCTGCTTTTGATGCGACAAAAATGAACGATTTCAGTCCTCCACCACTACGCGCACCCACAGCATGTGTTGCTTGTAACAAAAAGAAGGTACGAGAGTGGTATCTAGTAGGATCGAAGCCGTACTGATCTCTCTAGGTTCGGTGTATCTTCAACGGGAATCCTGATGTATGTGTGAATTGTCAACGGCATCAATGGCCTTGCTTGTAAGTATACTGGGATGTAAGACAATATGAAAGATTTGACGTTTTAACTTCTATTTAGTCGGCGGGAGCGCAAGAGGAAAAGAGCCCACAGCAATGCTGATGACGGTGCCAATAACGCAGAAGCGGTCCGAAGGAGACGGGTGGCTTGGGGAGAGGGGCCGAACAACTTCAGTCCTACTGGCACTGTTAGATCCCCCTTGACAAGCCCCGATGATCATCAGGATCAGAGCCAGGGCCGCGACATAAGCCAGGAGAGAGCTGGTACTGTAGATCATGCAGCAGCGATCACACCGGACTCCAATCCATACTCCTCCGCTCCAACATTAAGTTTTATGGCACGCTCCCGGTATTTCGAAGATACCGTGGCGATCAATGAAGATCAAGCTAGATCATATCCAGAAGGAGGTGCAGATGGACCGACAGAGGACGACCTTCAACTACTCAGGCTGCAGGGCGCATTTGACCTCCCACCACGAGCTATCCGAGAAGGATTGATCAACACCTTCATCGAACGATGTTCACCATGGATGCCAATCATTGAGCGAAGCTGGCTAGAAGAAAATGGTTCCCAGAAGCCGTCAATTCTACTTCTCCAGTCTATCTTTGTTGCGGCAAGTCGAGTCACCTCTGCGCCGGCTGTGACTGCGTACGCATCCTTGCACCAGTTCTATCGTCGCGCAAAAGCATTGTTCTGGTCAGGGTACGAGAAAAACCCAGTCACCGTTGTCGCAGCAGTGTGCATTTTGCATTGGTATAACCCGGAAGGGCCTGAGCATGTATCCACTAATACAAGTGGATTCTGGCGATACGTAGGGGTTGGTTTGGCTCATCAGATTGGATTGCATAAGGAGCCGACAAATAAGAGAGATGCCGCCCTGAGGCGTAGGCTATGGTGGACTCTATTTGTAAGTTGAAAATGGGCTCGAATAGTATCGATCAACACTGAGACCAGACAGGCTAGAGATTGTTGTATTTCTGCAGGGCAAGGTCGCCCACTAGCAGTGGATATGGAGGACTGTGAGGTGGCACCGTTGTCTCCAGAAGACTTCCACGATTCAAGCTCGAACGCCGCACTATTCATCGCATACGTTGAGATCAGCTCTATCCTGGGTCATCTCACCGAGTACTGTCGTCGGAAGACGCTCACACGCCAGGTTCGACAGAATCTTGAGAATCGCCTCTATCGATGGACACGAGAACTTCCATCCTCACTCCGCTTGTTTCGCAGCACAAGTACATCAGAAAATACATCAACTCAAAAAACATTGGCCCCTTACAACTTTGAAGCGCGTCAGCTTCACATGCCTTATTTCACCTGCCTTGCCATCATGTGTCGACCTAACCCTGGAGAATCTTCTTCAGCCGCAGTCCTGTTAGCATCCTCCTTTATGGCAGGAATATTTGAAGACTTCCTTGCTCGAGATGAGATCCAATTTTTGGGCCCAATATTCACATTCCACCTTCTGGCTGCTGGAATTGGGCTTCTCTCGTGTAGGAACATCCCAGCACACCGGGGGAAAATAGCAGCCAACTTGGAAAGCATTTATTTGGCTCTGGAGGAACTCGCAAAACGCTGGTCATCCGCTAAAGGAAGTCTAAGAGCTCTGAAGAGCATTGCTGAGCAACAGCGGAGCACATTGACAACAGACGAAATGTCACCGGCGACGCTCTCTAGGGAGCACCTACAATTTTTTGAAGGGCTTGGCCCGGATCTCTCTTGGGCTTGGTCGTGCTTCGTAGATATCGGACAAGCCGGGGGATCTAATGAGAGAACTACTTCTTCTCTGGCAGCCGGGGGTCTGGCTATAGAGAATTGGACCGAATCCCGGGCACCGGATGCCATCTCTTCGGATGATTACAGACCGCTTACGACAATCTTAGATCCAAACGCAGGATTTACTATGGGAGATATACCACACGAGCTCTCAGGGAATTCTTTTCACAACCAGTATCAGGGCATGGGGGATTGGCTGTTCAAGGACTTAGAATGGAATGGCGAAATTTCATGGTAAAGAGGGGTTGACTATGTACAACCGGTGATTCGAGGCTCCAATAGACCATCCATAGATAGCCCGCTCATCGAATATCCGGATATTCGGGCTTTCGTTTATTTCCTTTTCCCAAATTCTCACGACTTCGGCACTCGGTGCATTTCGGCAACAGAAACCTGGGGACGCGAAAATGCGGGGAAATTGGGGGATCTACAAGCCCAAGTTCATACAGAAGTTGTCAAGCTCGAATATACACCAGATTGACATCTGCCCAATTCTGATACAATATTCTGATACAATCGCAAACATGACCGAAATTCCAACCTTCCAAAATCTCTCCCTCGAGAGACACGGAAATGTATTCGTCCTGACCATGCAGAAAGCCCCGGAGAACCGGTTGACTACATGGTACTGCCAGGAGATGATTCGGGCCTACTGAACAGTAGAAAAAATTCTGGGCACTGACTCAGAAGGCGCAGTAATCACACGGGGGAACGATGCCAAATTCTGGTGCACTGTACATGAGATGCATCCCAAGAAATAGACATCGGAAGCGCTAATACAATATCCCTAGGGACTGGATCTGGATGAAACAGAAGCAAACCCATTCGCAAATACAGATGGATTCTATCCTGTAAGGCGAATTTCTCGAATAGCTGCTCCATAAGAGACACGCTAGCATATCAGATATACCACCCAGCTAACAGCGTGAAATCAGCTCATCCACACAATCCTCGACTTCCCATTCCCAACAATCGCTCTCTTAACCGGACACACCTTTGGAGGTGCCTGTCCACTCGCCCTGGCCCATGACTACCGAGTCATGAATTCCCGCCGCGGCTTCATCTCTATGCCACCTGTTAACCTGGGTCTGCACTTCGACGGGATTGGCTCACTGCCTCGTCTCAAGCTGCGCCCGCAAATTGCGCGCAAGATGCTGCTTGAAGCGCATAAGTGGACCGGACCCCAAGCATTAGAGGATGGGGTTGTGGATGCTGTGGCAGAGCCGGAGGAGATGCTGAACGTTGCGTTGGAATTGGCGGCAAAGTGGGCGCCTAAAGCGAAGATGGGGTGAGTTTTGATCTGCTTCAGAGCTGTTGAAGAACCTCTGCTGATGTTGTGGATCTAGTGTGTATGCTTTGCTTCGCCAGGAGCTTTGGGGGGATGCTGTGAAGAAATTCCAGCAGATCAGTTATGTTCATAGTCGGGTGACTTCGGCTCCTGCTAAGGCGAAGATTTGAGTGAATAGTGAAGTCTGTGATATAGCAAAGCGACCTGCGAAGATATGAATGTATTGGAGTATCTTATATCCATATGTGTACATACATGTGTAGGTGAACTTACCAAGGGTCTCCGTTCTCACGAAGTGTTCAAATGATTTTCTATAAGAAGTACACCAGCTACATCTACTGGTATATGAAAACCGGTGACGCTCAAGTTCTTGAAATTGGATACTCGGTGGGTTATGTATACCTAGATAGATGTAGGACGTAACAATATTGGCAATGACAAGTTAGGTTTTATTCTTTTTTCCAATTGTTATAAAAACCAGTCATCTCTTAGTTCTATAGTTTCGCTTTCTTCTCTTTGCTCCAGACCTGCACTTCTGGCAGCTGTTGATAGTTGGGCGGAAAGAACTGCGGTCCCAAGATCTTCTTCTGCACCTTTCCTGTAGCCGATTTGGGCAGCTCGTCTGGCACCACACGAAGTATAGTTGGCATCTTATATCCAGCTATCTTGCTCCTCAGATCTTCTCGAAGCTCGGATAGTGTAAGAGTCTTGCGGGTGGTCTTCTGATCCTTTTTGAGGCTAACGGTGGCAGCGACCCGCTGACCAAACTCCTCATCTTCAACGCCCACGACCATGACCTCAGAAACATAATCCAGACCCATGATCTCACGCTCAATGTCCAACGCAGAGATCTTGTACCCTCCCGACTTGATGATATCGATTGAGGCACGGCCCAAGATGAAATAGTATTGCCCTTCGCGGCGAGCAATATCGCCCGTTTTGAAGTATCCCTCTTCGTCGTGTGCGTCGGCCGTTGCTTTCTCGTCGAAGAGGTATCTACCACAGCGTGTCAGTTGAAAGCAATAACCACGTGTCAATACAGATACAACTTACTTGGAGAACATATAAGGGGACTTCAGTAATACTTGGCCTTCGTCGGTGAGTTTGAGCGATACTGCCTCAGCAACACGACCAACACTGTTGGGCGGCGTCCCATTGAAATCAAGTTCATTCTTGATAACTGCACCAAACTCCGTCGCACCATACCGAGTGAGAATAGGCTTGTCTCGAAGTTCGTGCCAGAAATCCTGCACTGGTGCTGGAAGTGCGGAGGTACCGCATATCATCACCCTTATTTCACGCGCACCAGCGATATACTGGTCTCGCACTTCAGGTGCCTGATGGGCAATATTCTCTTCATAGTACCTCATCATGCGCATATATATGGTTGGAACACCAGAGAAGAAGGTCAAGCTTCCTTGTCGCCAGCGCTCCCAGGTCCACGCTACATCAAAGCTGCCGCTGCGGAACTCGATGCATGCGCCGGCTGCAAGGAATGGAAGGAAAGTCAAGCCCGCGCCAGTGGCATGGTGCACTGGAAGAAGGTGGAGCACTGTGTCCTTCTCAGTAATTTGGTAGTGAGCTGCATCGGCTTCGCCACTGCCAGAGATATAACTGCGACGTTGGACAGCACCCTTGGGAGGCCCTGTCGTCCCGGAAGTGAAAATTACCAGTGCGGCCCCATTCATATCTGGAACTTTGTCCGACGAGATGACCATTTCATCCGCCGGGACAAGAGTTGGGCTAAAATGAGATGCGATTGGGGATATACAGGGGATATGAATGCCCTTGCTTTCTCCCATAAAGCGTATCGTTGACTGAGCGGTTTGTTCGCTGGCCGAGCCGGCTACTAGAGCCACACATCGCGCTTTTGATAGGAAGTACCAGGCTTCTTCGGGTGGTACTGTGGCAGCTGCTATATGTCAGTCCTGAATTTTCCTTGACCTGGCTAGGACTTACCCATGGGTACGATTGCTGCCCCGATCGCGAGAATCGCGATGAAGCCGACGGTATATTCATACCCTCCCGGCGCAAGCAATCCAATATACACCTCTTTGTCTGCAAGCAAATCACGCCGAGCTTCAGGGCTGATTGTACTTTCCAAGACCTTGCGAAGAGCTAAAACATCCGACAGCAGATCATGGTAGGTCTTTTCAACGCCGGCATTGAGGTCCCGAACCGCAATGGGGGAAGGCCTGCGTTGCGCATAACGTAGCAGTCGGTGGAAAAAGGGAAGATTCGGGAACACATTCTCTCCCACATGGGGAGGTATGAACAGAGTACGGTCTCCCATGTTGACAGTTGTAGAGATGTTGAGGATATGTTCGCCTCTGATCTGGGATGGTCGACCATCTTATCCCGGCCACCGTTTCGGGGTATAAGAAACCCAGATACATGTCGGAACAACTCCGTTAGACTCGGCAGCCAATGATATTGATTGCCATGCCCTGTTTATTCGGCTACTTCCCCGCGATCTACATTAAAACCGCGGGGTGGAGCTACCGGCATTCGGGACTCGGTGATTTTGAGGAAGCTATGGATTGAGCCGAGGCGATTTCGATGAGAGTATATGATCTATGAAAAGGTTCCGGAAATAGGAGATGATTCAAACACACAACTTCAGGGTTCGAAAGTCCACGAACTAGTCAAAATGCCCGACTTCACAGATAACCTTCGCCCAAGCCAGCCAGATGGCCCGACAACTCTAGCCCGCGAGCGCCAGCAATCCAATGTCTCCCCCAAAGAAATTGGACAACATTTATTCTCTTCTGATGATTTCCTGGAGCGACAAGCTCGGATTCTGTCTATCGTCCAGCGCGAGCCACTGTTCTCCAAAGCCAAGCAACAAAACCTATCCAGACCGGAAAGGTTCAAGCTGGGGCTTGCTCGCGCAAAGCTCGTGCGTCGACTGACCGTGAAACACAAATGGACCTACGACGAGTACAAGATGGCCGAATACCTGATCGATGATGTCTCCCCCTACTACCTGCACACGGAAATGTTTATCGTAACCGTCCGGGAACAAGCCAACGAAGAGCAGCGCGCACACTGGATGCCCCTCATCGAGTCTTGGAAGATTATCGGCGCATATGCGCAGACCGAATTGGGACATGGCAGCAATGTGCGTGGCTTGGAGCTTGAGGCGCGATGGGATCCTCAGACCAAGGAGTTTGTGATTCATAGCCCGACTCTGACGGCGAGCAAATGGTGGAACGGTAGCTTGGGCCGTGTCGCCAACCACGCCATTGTGGTGGCACAGCTGCTTCTCCCAGTTCCTGGCTCCCCCGATCAATATGTTTCGCACGGTCCTCATCCGTTCATCGTACAGGTGCGGGACATGAAGACACATCAACCATTGGACGGTATTGTCGTTGGAGATATCGGCCCGAAATATGGATATGCCACTATGGATAACGCGTATATGCTGTTTGATCAGTTCAGGTATGTCCCAAATCCGCATCATACAAGTTTCAATAGAGCTAATGAAGCAATAGAGTCCCACATTCTGCTATGCTTTCCCGCTACTCAAGCTTGGATCCCAACACAGGGATCTATACCAAGCCAGAGCAGCCAGCCGTGGTCTATGGCTCAATGACCTTTGTACGAGCGAACATCGTCCAACACGCCAGACTCGTCCTCGCACGCGCAGTCACCATCGCAGTGCGCTACTCCACCGTCCGACGCCAATTCCAAGACCGAGATGGCGACAAAAAGGGTCCAGAGATGTCCGTCCTGGACTACCCAACTGTCCAAATCCGCATCTTACCTCTGCTCGCAACGGCCTTCGCACTTCACTATACCGGTCTTGCCATGCGAGCCATTTACAAAAACACACGCGAGGATGTCGAAAAAGGCAATTTCAATTCTCTGGCTCACATGCACAGCATGTCCTCCGGATTGAAGAGTCTGTGCACCACGCTTGCTGCGGATGGCATTGAGACGTGCAGACGTGCCCTGGGTGGCCACGGATTTGGCGGTGGAAGCGGCTTGATCCAGCTCAATAGCGATTATCTCTCTAAGCCAACTGTGGAGGGCGATAATTGGATGATCACGCAGCAGGTTGCGGCATATTTGATCAAGAAGATGACCGCTGCTGTGCAATCGCCTGAGGGTGCCAGTACGGATGAGACCGATGCTCGCTTCAAGGAGTTTGTTCGCAACAAGCGTCGTCCGTCTGAAAAGCAGACATATAATGTCTTGAATAATGATCTGGATATTGTCAAGAGCTTTGAGTTGAGAGCTACTGCTCTGGTAAGTTGAGCAACAGCTCCCTCGAGATATCTACAACAGCGCGAAACTGACAGTCAACAGGCATACGAAGCTTATGAACAAAGAGTTCTCAAGAAACAGAACTGGAACAGCCTTCTCATCCAGCTTCACAAACTCAGTCGAGGTAAGCCACATACAGAAATATTTATGCAATTACACTCATCTAAGAAAACATTAGCACAATCTCAATCAATCATTGTCTCGACCTTCTTCGAAGCCCTTTCCACCGATACAACCCTTTCAGCACCCGTGAAGGCCACCCTATGGGACCTGTACCGCTTGTTCGCATTATACACCATGGAGAACGAGGGCTATGAATGCAAGTCAATTAAACCACACTTCCCACGAATGATGAAAAACTAACAGATTCCCAGTCTTCCGCTGCAACGCTGTCTCGCAGGGAGATCTAGACGCATTGCCTAGTCGAGTCCAAGACCTCATGGCTCGAATTCGACCCCACGCTGTGAACCTCGTCGATTCGTGGAATATTCCGGATTATCTGTTGGATAGGTGAGTGTTTATCGTTCGAACAGATTGGGGATCAAGCAGGGCTGACTTTATCACAGTGCGCTGGGCCGATATGATGGTCGCGTCTATGAGGATCTTTTCAATCGTGCTCATCGGTTGAATCCGCTGAATCGGATTACTTTTAACCCGAATTATTGGGAGGATGAGATTGTCAAGGGCAGTGGGGATAATGGGGTCAATGTTTTGGCGAAGTTGTAGATGTCTGTAAACATGTTGAATATAGATTGAGCGAATTTGATTAGATTGCTATAATTTTCGATTCCTCTGTTATGTGTATCTTATTAAAACATAGGTACATAGATGTATTCATTGAGCATTGGACCACTGCAAGACCAAGCCGCTATCCGTTTATACAGGCCGATAAAAATGGTTCCAAAATGAGCTTTGCGCGTAGCCTAGAGCCCAAAGATGATTATATTCAAATGGAAGGAGTGCATTGTGCTGTAGAGCTATGCTATTTAAATAGTGCCGAACTGGTAGGTAGCCCAGTTAATCGAGGGCCCATCATCAGGACCAAAGACCTGGTAAGGAACACGACCCCACTCGGGGTTATTGATACCATCGATCCAATCCTCGGGCTCGATAACCAGGCAACCGTACTTGTTAACATGCGTTGGACCGGAATCACCGCCATTTGCCTTGTTACGCTTCGCCTGCGACTGCTTGGTCGGGATGGTGCCGTCCTGGCCGCTGCAGGTGTAGATCTGCAACGCGGCCTGGTTGGTCGCGACGTCGAGGCTGATACCGGTGGTGCTGGATGCGGCGTGCAGAGCTGTGGCCATTGAGTCAGGGGCGTATGTGGAGGGTCGGTCGACGAGGAAGCAGGTGTCATAGCCGACGCAGTCACCGCCGCCGCAGAGGCCGGTGGTCTTGTCGATGTCTTGGCCAATGAGCTTGGGGCTTGTGAAGTCCAGAGATCCTTGGTAGGCGGTTTCGACATCGTGGACAGTGCCGTTCGGGATGAGGATGCTGTCACCGCCGATGAATCGATGTGACAGAGGTAGCTGCAAGGTGGTGTCATTCAGCACGGTGGACTCCTTGAATGCGTTCAGGTTCCAGTAGATGTGGTTGGATAGCATGATGGGGGTCTTCTTGGTCAGGGAGAGAGCGACCAGCTTGGTGGTCAGTTGAGGGAGGCCCTTGGGGTTGGCGGGGCTCTTCTCAGTGGATACGCTGAAAGTGGCATGGGTGATGACATCGCCGGGGAAGTCTTCAAGGCCTTGATCGAACAAGGTGAAAGTGATGGATGAATCACTGTGTGAAGTGACTGTCCAGTTGCGTCTGTCGTACCCGATGAAGCCACCGTGAAGGGTGTCTAGGCCATCGTTCTCATTTGTAGGAACGTGATAATCGGTATCATCAATGGTGAAAGTGCCATTCTTGATACGGTTGGCATAACGACCGACAACCGCACCGAAGAAGGTGCGATTAGTCTGACTATCATGGAGATACTCCTCGGGATCATCATAGCCAACAACGACATCTTGGACATTGCCATCACGATCTGGGACTAGCAAGGAGGTGAGACGCGCGCCATGCGGAATCAGCTTAGCAGTGATATTCTCTGCCTTGATTGTATAGCTCTTAACGTGATCCGCCCCCGAGCTAGCAGCAGACGGCATAGGAGTCGCAGCCTGCGAGGAAGACGGCGATGGGACCGCGCTCGCCAGAGCAGGTAGCCCGTACAGGGCGGCTGTCACGTAGGACTTGAGATGCATTCTAACACCTAGGATACTTGTTACCGCGAGAAACAAGATACAGAAGATGACAAAGAGACGAAGCGTGATCCGAGAAGAGCAGATTAATTCACGGAGCCAACCGAGGGGCGCACGCATTTTATGAGAAGCTTCGGATCGCAATAAACATTCCCCAATTCGCGCTAAACTACCTCCGCATGGCTGGACGCTAGGGGCAGCGACGGAAGCCGGGGTAAAGCTTCTGTTGAGATCAGGATTCGTCCGAATGCAGGTGTGACTGGCATGCAGGTCAACTATTGGACTGTTGGACAAAGCAGACATTTGCCTTCCAGTGGGAGATGAGGGGGAAGATCCGAGCCCCCCTTTTTAGGGAATGCCACTTAGTCGCGTGGGACCAGTCAAGCTCAAGAGGCGCTCTGCCACTGACGGCACGGAACAAATGTTACCTTGTCAACCGGGCCTATGCTATTGAACGGCAAAACTCCGGTGGAGTAACTCAGCCTCTTTGTCTCGGTTTGAGCTTCTCGTCGACTCCCTGAGCATTGCCCAGGTGCCGATCGGATGACTCAGCATTTACGTTGGCCCCCGTTCATTACGAGTGTTGGCTTTCACCATGAATCATGATTCCTTCGTGAAAAATTATGGTCATATTCTCGTGAAACTAGAATCTTGAAAACTATCCCTTTCTTCCCGAGAAAGTTGATCCCTCAAGCATAAATCCCCTTTTGGTTGTTTTGGTGACGCCAAATCTCAACCTCACCACCACCGCGAATCACCCCGACTCGCATTGAGGAAAGAAGGTTGTGAGCGGCGTTGGAGTGGGTATAGACACCGCCATTGAATATGGCAGTGGCATCTTTTCCAATGGCAGATGAAATGAGAGTCTTGCCACCGGGATGTTCCGCGATGAAGTTGGTCACATCGTGAACAACGCCAGCGATAGCAACCAGAGCTTTGCCGCTCTGAGCTTCCGCAATGAAGTCATCCCAATCCACAACAGGCAGCTGGTCCAGAGGAACACCCCAATCGAGCTTAGCGCGCTTCTGGTCGAGCTTCTTCTGTAGCTGTTGTACACGGCCCTTCTCGATCTCGTTGGCTCGGAACTGCTTGAGGTTGCTTGCGAGACCGAGCTGCTTCCACACCCAGATAGACCACTTTGTAGGATCGTATTGCCACCATTGAATAGCGTTGCGATAGTCAGAGGGAAACTGGTTAGAGATTGTTAGTTTTGGACAAAGTGCGCGTCACGGATTCTCTTACCTCATGATGGAAGTTATGGTAACCCTCGCCCAGAGTGATCAGTGCGGTAATAACGTGGTCGCGAGGTGAGTTGCGGTCATCGAATGGCTATCATCCGTTAGAATTCTGAAATAAAAGATGTGATAGACGGGACAGTGAACTCACCTGCTCACCCAACCAGTGGGCGAGGGAATTGACGCAGAAAGTGGCTTGCTGGACAAACGAGAACCGAAGAATACCAGCATAGACAAGGCCACCCTTCCAATCACCCCATCCCAATCCAGCAACGAGCATAGGGAACAGCATGCCGAACGTGAGGATGACGGATCCATAGTTCTGGTGTTGCCAGACAACGACGGGATCTTCATTCAAGTCGGAGATATCTGTCCTGCCTTGTGTCTTGGGATTTTGCTTCAGAACCATCCACATGAAGTGCGAGTACCACAGGCCCTTCATCACACTGTATGGGTCCTTGACTGTGTCGGTCCATCGGTGGTGTGATCTGTGCTTGGCGCTCCACCAGCGGATAGAGCCCTGGACGGCGCCGCCACCGACACATGCGAGAAATAGTCTAATTGGAAGGCGACTGGATATTCAGGTGTCAGTCTGGTTCGTAGGCCCAAATGATTCGGTGCGGATGTGACGCAAGACTTACGCTTCGTATGATCTGTGCGCCCAAAGGCGATGGTAGCCGGCAGTGATACCCAGTCCAGTCCAGAAGTAATAGAGAAGGGCCCAGGCGGCTGTGATTGCCCTGAGTGGTGTATAGAATGCAGCGACACAGCCAGCGAGGGGCACGATCAAGATGAGGGTGGTGTTGACCCAGTTGACATGGCGATACCAGTTGCCGAGAGTAACAGGCTGCTCGCTGATATGCTGTTTCTGACTACCTGGCGCAGTTTTGGCCATCTTGGGAGAGGATATCAAGATCGAAGACCTCTCACAAGGGGAAGGGAGTCAAATTAAGGAGAGTGGACCAGGTGGCTTTTTTCTTGTTCTTCTAACAAAACTAAGCAAGTTCCTGCGCTTCAAGACATTATTTAACATAAAGAACTGGCTTCCATAGTTGTATCATCAGTTCCCAGCAAGAAAGTGTTGAACCGTTGGGGGTGTCAGGCCATGCGATGTCATATGGATTTTCCCCGAAACCCCATCCAATTGACCACTCCTATCATTTGGGATTACAACTTCACCAAAAACCATTCAATTTAATTTCAGAACGATAATACAAACTGAAAATTGTTGAATGTTTTGGAATTGACCTCAAGATTATGAGTCAATTCACGTGCACCCGAGGCTGAAGTTGATGGCGCGTTCGACATACAACATACACATTTGCCTACATATATGCATGAAGATAAGAACAGGCGGCCCATGGACTCCATTAATGTTGGACGAGCAAGGTGTAAAAAACAGATATAAAATAAAATCTCCCAGCCTTATAGCGCCATCGATTTTTCTTTACTCCGTAGTCAAGATTAGGATATCAATCGTGAGGGTGGCGCCGCTTCTTTTCTAGGCGACGGGCCGGGACATTTAAGTAGTCACCACTGTCAAAGTTTTTCTTTCCGACCTCAGTCCCTTCAGTGAAACGCTCAAAGATTATGACATATCTAAGACCATGGAATCCTATATGAATTAAACCGGGAAGATCTCGATGATACCCCTGATCAAGAAACCCCAATGCCCATCTTCTCTTGACTGTAGGAGGAGATCTCAATGGCTTATATCGATATGATATGGCAGGCCACTCAGTTCGATACATCCGTGGCCGCTACAGAGACAATATCACCAGATCCGTAGTGTGCAAGCGTCGGGCGTTATTCTTCGTCGAATACATGGACAATTTCCCTTTGTATCCTTCTTCCACGCTCGCTAACATATCCTCTAAAGGTAACAGTACTGGTCACCGTGTACTTCCGAATATATTCGGGGCGCCGGAGTAAAGTATTGAGTCACAGCCACGTCCCTCTTTGTCTCAAAAGGTGCTAGGAACATGGTTTGGAGGTAGGTGTCGTCATCGTTGGATCTAGAGTCTATGAAGCCTAGGCCGTGCCTCTTACGTATGGTAGCCCACCAACGTCTTAGCTCCGAATGTATAGTAAAAGGCTAGAAGCTTCAAAAGAAATTGTAAATGTGGTTTCAACCGAATTTACCGGGTTTGGCCGTTCTATAACCTAGGCCGGTCTTATTTCTTAGGCTTCATCGGCGGGGTTTAAGGCACCGTCTGTGTATATAAACTTTTATCTGAGTACTATATAACAAAAATGTCTCACTCTAATATTTTCCGTTTGCTGCAGCCACCATTTTCTGGTCAAATCAGGTATTCTGTTTCATCTTTTATCTCCTTTCGTCCATCTTGAGACCTCCCAGTGACGCTGAAAGGGGCCCGTGCCCAGAATCCTGTGAGCATCCACTCCAGGGCTGAAATCATCGGGCGCAGTTATAATTATTATGTTGTCTGAATCCCCTCGTTCCGGTATACACGCTTCTCAAGCTCCTGTGCAGACTAGGGAGGGGAGAGAAACACCCAAAATGCACGTTATGCTGCATTTGCTTCCCTCTTTCTCTTGTATGACAACACTGCTGACATTATGAAGGTCTTTCCCCTCTACCGTTGACCGATTGCAGCAACTGAGCTCCTCGATTGAGCAGATTTGCAAGATCGAAGCCGTCCCAGGGGTTTCTGTTGGGGTTCTCCACCATGGAGAGAATCTCTGGACAAAGAACTTTGGATTCCGCGACAACGCCAAATCAGCACGTTCAGACGCAGACACCCAGTATGGAATCGGACATATCACTATGTCTATGGTAGCTGCTGGTATTGGGAAACTCGTGGATGATGGAAAGCTTCGGTGGTCAACTCTGTTGAGAGACATCATGCCTGATATCTACACGTGCCCTATCTACTGGGGCTACAGAGCCACCATAGCCGATATTCTTGCTCATTGCTGTGGTTTGGATGGAGAAGTCGCGAATTTGCTCGCTGATGGCGGCAATAGTGGCATAGTGCCTTCGCTCAAAGCGTTGTTCAAAGTCTCTGAGCACATCCCTTATCCACTTAGGTTTCGAGAAGAATGGCACATGTGTCCGTGGGGATATGCCATCGCGTTGCATGTCATTGAAAGAATATCCGAGCAGCCACTTCACCAATATCTTCAGGAACAACTATTCGGGCCACTGGAAATGGATTCAACTACTCTGCGGCCGTCATTTGAAGGAAAAGGAAATATTGCCGAGCCGCATTCCTCGCTCAGCAACGGGGAGGCTTTTCCATTGAAGTTCCGACCGAACTATGCGGATTCATTGTTTGAAGGTTCACGTGCGGCTTATTCGACTGTAAATGATCTTCTCAAATGGACCAAGGCAACATTGATTGCCAGCCAGACCACTGGAGAATGCTCCACCACAGTGTTGAAACAAATTCCGCAAATCCTCAGTAACCGTATCCCGATGGCAAGCCCGTCACTTCTGGAGAGGTCTTACGGATTTGGTTGGGCAAGAGTTCAGCTTCCTGGTGTTGTTGGCCTCCTTGGTGGTAACTCAACACTTTGGGAAATGTCTGAGCAACCTGTCCTCGGACTTGGAAACCAATCTAGACTCATGATATATCACCAAGGAGGAGGACCGGGATATTCATCGTTCATTGCTATCTTCCCAGAAACACAGTCAGCCGTCGTGGTTCTCTTGAACACCACTTCGATGAGCGATGCTGCTGACTGGATCGCTCGAGCTCTGATCGAGAGTCTTTTCAATTTTGACAATCCCACTGATTATACAAAGCTAGCAGAGGAAGGCAAAAGACGAAGACTAGAACGTTTTGCTAGAGTCCATGATACACTAGCTAAAGAGCGTGTCCAAGGAGTACCGCCAGTGCCCCTTGAGTGCTATATTGGAAAGTACTTCAACGAAGAGTATGAGTACATGCTGGAAGTCACTTTGGATCCCGATTCCGTGAGTGGCCTAATAATATCCTTCCAAGGTCTCCACTCTGAGCGCTACCATCTTCGTCACTATCATGAAAATGTGTTCGAGTGGAGCCTCTCCTTTGACGAAGCGAAGAAGGCAGGAAGATATGACGTCGCAGATCCTGAATACTATAAGATTCGTTTCGAGCTCTATCCCGACAATCGAGCGAGTTGGATACATTGGGACATTCACGCCGCATCTGTTCCGCGCGGATTGGTATTTAGATGGAAAGACGAGAGTCTGGAGGAAAAATGGCACGAAGTACACGCCGGTATGAGTCACACCACTCCGACTTTACAAAGCTCGCTACTAACATGATGATTGGCACTGCAGAGCTCGTGAAGACCAGGAACTTGCAGTGAATTCATGGGTAACTTGGCATAACTCATGTTGCTTTTGCTTTTTCCATCACACGAAGTTTTGATACTATTATGAACTATGAGAATATACCAAAGTATACAGCGTATTTTATTTGAATATCTTTACTAAGGCCTGCTAATTTCAAACTGTTGGATCACTATACATAGGCAAGAAGAACATGAATTGCATTTCATCCTATTCGCTGAACAATCCATTGTGGTGTATGGAGCAAGTCAGAGAAACCAAAGAGACATGCGTATGGCGTTAATCGAAATTAAAACGGACAGACGAGGCGTTAGATCTGCCTACTACGGACCTGCTATTGGCTCCAGTCGATCGGGATGCGTAAAGTATCGATTTATCAGATTCACAGGGACGGCAGATTCACCGGGTTGACAAGAGCCCAGGTGCATGAGTTCGGTAACGCTATGCCAAGGCCCATCAAGGCCGTGAGGCTTGCTCCAGAATGTCACTGCATAATTATGAAGCCCAACCGGAGGCGATTGCACCCTCACAGAGAAATGATGAATCCGAGCACTTTCAGGGGGAAGGATATTTTCCGCTGGAATTTCATTCGGCAGGAAATGAAGATCTGCCTCTTCGATCTCCATAATGCGAGAGAAAATCATATAATACCTCTCTGCTTCTTTGACCATCTTGGTTCCATGAATCCTCCGCAATAGTTCCAGAGCACGGCGACGAAGTCGTGGCCATCGACATTTCCAAGCCAAGGTGTGGTGACAATATATCATTCCGAAATCCAGGCTCAATGGACGGAACCTGTCTTCACGGACGCGCTCTCCATCGGAAATGTGGGCTTCGATCAGTCCCAGCGCCTCTTCATACTCACTGCGTGCGGCATCCCATGTGCATTCGCCATCAGCTAGGTAACTACGGGTCTCGAAACTAGTGTCCAACCTGAGGATACGCAGAGCATTGACGGCTTGTTTCTGCTTTGAATCCCAGGACGAGCTTTGTCGACGGACTAGGTCATCCCAGTTTGCTTCCCATTGAACGAGGCTTCTTTCCACACTGTTCAAGATTTGAGCACGTTCCTCCTTGGCGTGCAGCTTGTGGTTGCATTCGTTTATCTTATCAAAGCGCATACTCGCGTGTGTAATCACGTCCAAGAGCCCAGTTCTGGCTTGTTGGATGGTATCGAATCCCTCACCTAAGCTCACATCGCCATAGTCGTTGATCGGATTCAGGAGAAATGTGACATCCCTTGAAGTGTCCTTGTTTAAAATAATGAAGCGAAAGACGTTGAGTAATGGCGCAACCTTTGTCTTCATAAAATTGGATTCAAAAGAACCAGACTTTCGATCACAGGAGCTATCGGAGGATTTGCTCTTTTTGTTCCAGGATATCAGAATCTGGATTCCATTTCTGAGATGAGACTGGGCTATTTTCATGCTTCCTTGAAGAAGTTCAAAGCAGATGAACAATATATTTGCCATGGCAATCAGATGTATCGCGTCTGGGTCTGTCTTCGATTTTTCTATGATTGCACGGATGGCTCTGTTATATAGCTGAATGGGAACATTCAAGTCAAGGCTTTGCTTAGCGTGCTGCACTACACGCGGCATCTGTTCGTGCATGGCGGCAATGGCAGCAGTTGCTTGACGAATCGCAGGCTCTGCGAGACTAACTTGGAGTACACAGCCTTGGAAAAATGCACCCTCAAAATATCCTGCCAATTGCGGTGCTGTCTTGTGGAAAAAGAACTCCAGTGCTCGTGTTTCGATGGAAGAGTTGACTGTAGGACCCGAGGCCAATTCTCTGGGTATCATGGAAGCCTTGGTTGGAGGATCATAGGGTATGATGAACAATGGCTTAGATTCATAGCCCTCACATTTCCACCCGACCTGCGTACATCTATGATTGTTAGCGTGTCGCTTGTGACTTTCGATCGAACTATATACCGAGCGTAGGCTGGCTTTCCTTCGTCGTATTTGATCCGTCGAGTTCTGTTTTGTATACAAACGTTAGTTCTGTCAAGGCAAGCCTTTTCTGCAAGGGGTCTGAACTAACTGGCAGGTGAGACAGCTCATGCGCAATCTAGGCCTATAAGGGCGTTTCTGTTTCGGGGCCTGTTTGCCTTGGTCGCGGGGCATTTTCTTATTTTGCAGCAGGTGCGTGGGTGAAAAGATGAAATCATAAAGCACCCTGGAATAGATTTGAATAGGGCCCTCGAGGGGGTAAATTCAGAATCAATATGCAATTGGGGTGAGTTGAGAGAGGGGTACTGAGAGATGTTCTTCACACTGGTGGCATTAGGGCTCAAAATGAAGAGTATTGAAGCAAGGGGGGCAACATAAGTACCGGCGAGATGCATCCTAGTTGATGCCCGATCTCTCACGCCTAAACGTACATTCCATGCAGTTTCTAGTCGCCAGAGGAATATAGAGTATCCGTTTGGGTTTGTTTTCGTTTCTTCTTCTTCCTTTTTCTTTTGAGCAACAGGCGTAAAGATATATCCATCTTCGAGCTAGACTCACCCTCTCGGGGATGCGTCTATCACTCTCAAAAGAAATTCACGCTCAAAAGAAGATCCCGGAAGTCAGGTACTTTTGATATGATAGTGTAAGAGATCTTAGAACTTGAGATTTCTCAAGCCTTAAACTAGCTAGAGGAGAATTAAAAATATGGATATAAACTACCAGTGCGCTTGAATTAATGTATCGGTTTATTTGATCCGAGACTAAGAGGATTCATCTTGAACAATATCGAAATCCATGAAATCCACGAAATCCATGCAGAAATTTCAAATGTTAAATAGATCTTTACCAACTCTTGATATCATACCATAGTCGATTCAAATAAAGTAGACTCACATTTAACCAAGCAATATGGAATTAATATCTCCCGAGCTATCATAGGGAATCAGAGAGCCTCAGAGATACGATGTGCAATACTGAGATACCTGTTATATGGCTCTAAGGTACTTTCCAATCATATGAAACTACCATATCAAGAGTACCTGACATCTGGGATCTTCTTTTGAGCGTTACTCTCTTTTGAGGGTGATAGACGCATCCCCGAGAGGGTGAGTCTAGCTTGAACATGGATATTAGGTGTTTCTCTTCTTCCTTAATACTATCAGGCACATTCGGATATTCCCTCCGAAGCCCACGGCGTCCCTTACAAACATTGGAGGATAAATCATCGTTACGAGATTGATATCGCAAAAGCAGAAGTTCAGACCTTGAAAAATACGCATCCTGTCTTCTGATTGATACCTGACTGGGGAGGCGTCATTAGGAAAGCTCCTTGTCCAACCTGAGTACACGTAAACCTCGCGAACCAATATCAAGTCATAGTACCCTAGTCGCTCTTAATAAGAGAAGGCATATAGACAGCAGCCGATGTATCTTCAACATGTTCGATACTTGCAGGGTCTTTACCAATGCCAGATCCCATCCGACGGGTGTTAAAAGCCTCGGCACCTTCGAAGATGATATCGATCTCTTCGAGGGTTTTACCTTTCGTTCTTCAAGGTCGTTAGCTTCTAACTGTGATATCCTTCTGATACGAGACGAAGGGAAAGGATGATACGTACTCCACAAAGACGAAATAGACAACAACAAATATGCCGGCATTCAAGCAAGCAAGTATCGCGTACCATTTGTAACCGATGTTGGTGACGGCTATGGGTAGACAGTAGGAAAACATTGTCACTAGGCCGTAACCGACTGCTTGGCTGATGGATAACCCGCGTGTTCTCTGCGCAAAAGTGAGGATTTCTGGTGGGTAAGAGTAGGCAAGAAGCATCCATGAGCTAGCGGCAGTCCATTGGAAAATGAAGATGATGGCGGTGCCGCCGATGCCATATTTTGTGTTTCCAGTCGAACTGGCTTTATACAGAAGGATGGTGAGGAGGATAAAGCACAAAGTCAGGACGACCGAGGCAAAGACTAGTGAGATATTAACCAAATGCTTCCAAAACATTTGAAATTATGCACTCACGCATCACAGTTTTGCGTCCAAACTTTCCTATAATCAAGACACCACATTGGTTGGACAGAGCTTGCCAGATGCAGAGACCTAGTGTTAGGTACAGAAGAGTGTTTGTGTTGGTCACGCCAGCCTGCGCGATTACCAAGGTGAAGAAGTACTGCATAAAGCTACACCCGGAAGCTTGAAGAAAGACGTTGCTGAGAACAGCAAGCGAGAAACGATGTATCTGAGACTCTGTGAGTGATTTTGAGTTAGGTGGAATTGCAATGAAACATGAACTTGGGTTGACCAGAAACATACTGGTTGAGACAAGACTCTTCCAAGAGCCCGCATGCTCCTGCTCGTATGTGACAGCTGCCACAATTTCCTCAAACTCCAGATAAACCACGGTATCTTCGCGGTTGCCTCTGGCGTGTAGGCGGACAAGAAGGTCGAAAGCCTAATGAAAATGATTATTAGCAGGGCTTAAAGTTTATCATGGCGAGACGGACCTCCTCAGTTCTTCCTTTGGAAATCAGCCAACGAGGACTCTCCGGAGTAAAAACGAGAAGAACTAGAGCAATAATCGGGGCAACAATCTCTCCCTATGTGCAGTTGGTCAGATGACAGAGTTTGATACAAATAGTCCGAGACAAGAATCCCACCAGTAGAGGACCACGCCACACCCATTCGGTATCATGGCCGTTGATTGCCAGTGCAATAATCGCTGCAATAGCCCCAGCAATTGACATAAGCGCTAGCATGAGATTGGTGAAAAGAGACCGACGGGATGGTGGAGATATCTCCACCATCCACGCTGGAGCACCTGTTCCATTGATGATCAAGCCAGCTCCTATCAGGAATCGCCCAATCAACAACGCTGCGACTGAAAAACAAAGTCAGTTCACAGAAAGAAGCCGAGTGATTGCATCAGGCGACAGATAGGGGTGCTGATTACTGTTATGCGCCAGAGCAGACACCAATGCTCCAATGAGCTGAATGACGGCTCCAATTGCCATACCCCATTTTCTACCAAGCATGTCAAGGGATATAGATGCCAGTGGAAGGCCACCAATGGAGCCGATTCCCATCATAGCAACAATCAAGCCACTCCATGTGCTTGTCATCGCGAAGTCTTCGTTGGGAAAGACGAAAGTCAGCTACATCCCAAAGCAACGGGGGATTGTTCACCTTACATATTGAGAAGCTGGGAATCGAATAGAGACTATTGATCATAGCAGCATCATAAGCATAATTACACATGGTCAGAGTGCTGCAGATGATGGAGAACGCAATTGTCAGTCTTGGCCCCAGCTGGGGCACATTGATCTTGAATTCCTTCATGACGTTGTTTGACAGTTGGAGAAGATATTGAACAGCAAACAGGCCGAGAGCTGTTCAGCAGAAGACTGTGGGCTTTGTGCATGATATAAGATACTTCACGGCTTATCTGGCAATAAGCTACATAGTTGGTCAAGCGATGATCGTCTGTAGTCCACCGCTGGGAGACAAAATGCGGGGAAAGCATAAGTGGAGAATAAATTGCAGTCATAGCGCCCGAGTTGTTGGATATTCTTCGAAATAAGAAACACTAGAGACACGAAATGGGAAACATAGTTTCTGATCAGAGGGTAAGCGAGAAAACTCTGGATATGACGGATCAACTGCTAGTTGGTTGCCGTTCGACTTGCTAAGCCCTAGATACTGGTGGCGTTGAACACCACCTTGATAAGTGCAGTGGGCAACGAGATGCTTAGATGGCCCATGAAATGCATCGCAATTCCGTATAGCAGAATAAGAAGAATGATTTGATGGAATCCACAAGATTAGGTAAAGGCTCTTCGTGTACCTGGCCGCGAGAACAGACACTACTGTGTTGGGAGACGGCCATGTAGCGATCATCCAGCTGTGCAGCCACCACTCCGAGTCACTGAGAGGGCGCAGAAATACTAAATCCGGGGAAAACACGGGGTAAATGCCATTTTCGTGGGGAAAGTAGAAATTCTATTTGGGTTTGTCAACTTGAAGCTTTTCCATTGCCCAGGTGTGCGGACTTGGTCCGCTTGCTTACAGCTTCTCTACCCCTTTCAAGTTGACACTATGACATGCCAACCGTTCTCTATGCTGTCATATCCTTCTGGTTGACCACTGCTATAGACATGATACTAGCCTCAAGATACCACTCTCCTGCTCTGACCCCACCGGGATACTGCATAAACGGTTTGCTCTTCGCAACTTTGTCATTTAGATGAATGCTTCAGCCAATTCTGCTTTGCTCCATAAGCGGTGCCTTTCTGCGAAGACTTCGAGGAGCTGATGCAGCCGTAATAGCCGCCAGCTCGGACCACCATGTCACAGTGCGATACTTGGGCTTGTTGTCCCCCGAGTGTCCTATTTTTTTTTGGGTCAGCGGAAAGAGGCATACTTCGAAATGTGTCGAATAAAATTGGATTTGATCGAGGCAGCAAGTTGCTGTTGAAAAGTCTGATGAGACTGCAAATAAACAGACATTTAGATACCATACTTCTCCCGAGCCAAAGCCGACTTAGCATCCCACTCCTCCTCTACTACTTTCTCCGCATCATGTCCCCATAGCGACCTGGTCTTCAGCATGCCTTTGGAGAAGTCCGGGATATTCGTCAGCTGGCCATTTTCGTGGTTGTGATGCCATTCGTCTCGTTGCTCAATGCCCATATGCTGCGCTGCAGCAACATGCTCATATCTGATCTCAAAGAAAGTATGCAGTGCGAGTGGGATATCCGTTTTGCTCTCAGCCTTTGCAAGGCACAAAGCGATTGTTGCCCCGTCTTCAATAGCCTGGCTAGCACCTTGGGAAGAGGAGGGCAAAAACGGATGTGCCGCGTCTCCCATGACTGCGATCAGTCCACTATCGGCGACCCATTTTTTCAAACAGGGCCGATAAACAAGCTTCCAGTCAAGAATGTTCTCGGGTGGAGTGTGCTCCCATAGCCTTTTGTATGCGGGATCCCAGTCACGAATCAACTCCATCACATCCTCTTTCTTGGCGGGAACTCGCCAGCCCTCCTCGATATCGGTGTCGTCTTTATGAGTAACACCCATGTTGATTAGAGAGCCCCCTTGGAAGGAAAGCGCTAGGGCGTGGATGTCGGGCCCAATCCAAAGCCCAAGGCTGTCATCTGTTTGATTCAATGAGTAAGCCTATTAACTCAACCAGGGAGGAATAAATCGGGGGATGGCAGGGATGATAAGTGACTGTCAACATACCTTTCACAAGATGCTGCACAAGCGGATCATTACGGAGCGCGGTTCCATCAGCGAATGCTCTCCAGACTGCGTAACCACTGTGCTGAGGCTTATCATAGTACCCGAGCACTGCTGTCTTTCCGATGCTTCTCACACCATCTGCTACAACAACGACATCTCCGGTAATCTCTTGTCCAGATTTGAGAATGATGCTTGGCTTCGCAGAGTCATAATCCACAACCTCTGATCCCGGTCTCACCTCAACGCCGAGCTTGGTAGCATGATCGAGCATTATTTGGTGCAGATGGCCTCTGTGCCCGATCAAAGATGGCACCCCAAACTCTTCCTCTGCATCTCCCTGAGATGGGTCTTCTGCCAGAAGCTTGCCAGCGTAATCGTGTATGGTAGCGACCTTTACCCGGGAGCAAATGGGTAGCATATCATCAAGAATACCCCATCTTTTCAAGAGACGCGCAGAGTTGCATCCAAAGCCGATGGAGTCTCCAATTGGAGCAAATTTCGCCACTTTGTCGAAGACTGTCACGTCGAATCCTTGCCGTTTACACGCGATGGCACACCCGAGGCCCCCGAATCCTGCACCCACCACGAGGACATGTAGTTTTTTTTCGACCGTCATGGCTCTCCTGTGAGTATTGCAGTCTTGTAAGTATGAAGAAAAAGGCCGGAGATGCACGAGCTCCAAAGAGAGATTGTCAGCACTAACCGTTGTTCCTAGCAAGAGATCGGTTTCTTGCTCTGCTTCGCTTGGTTTGTGAATCTGGAGAATGCCTGGTTTTCGAATGCTTTTATCTTAGAATAGGTTAGCGTATGAGTAACCGTTGGCAGTGCACTCATTACATGTACATATATAAGCCCAAAGTCTAGCTTCACTGGCTTGAATGCGGAAACCTTCCGGGTTCCCCTCACATAGACACCTGATGATAATTCACCGCGAGTGTAAGACTCAATGGCTTGGAGACAGATCTCATCTTTATCAAACTTACCTCTCAAAAGCTCCTAGCGCGGTTGAGGCCAGTGCGCCGCCACCATCTCAATAGAGTTGCGTACTTCTGTAGACCTCTACTGACAAATGAGGGGATATTCCACTATCCCTGTTTCCTCCCATGATCAATAGCTTCTCAACCACAGTGGACCGAATTTTCCGGTCGTGTCACAATTCCCAGCGCGTGATATGTGATATGTGAGTATTGAGGAGAAGAAGAAGAAGGAGGATGATCACAAACGGGAAAGAACCTCGGTAGCCCTGGAGCCCAGGGCTGGAGAGAGACAGAGCTTACAAATTGAGTTGGTTGGAAAGATTGATACTCAAAGGACGACGCGGAACGCTATGCTGACAGTGTTGCATTATTGAAAAATCCATCCATCTTTGTCTCTCTAGCATGTATTCATCCCACCTGTAGAATGGTGACCGTGTTCCAAGTGCTGCGTATATAAGTAGCTCATCTTCCGTTCGACGCAGACGGACACTCCACACCGAAGGCCTATACAGATATACCCTCTACCCAGATCAACCACCTGTCTTTCAATATGGTTTTCGAAAATCTTAGTGAGGGAAAGCTCTTCAAAATCCCGAAAATACCTTGGAACGATCATGTTCTCTACGGTGGGGAATTATTCAGGAGCGAAACAGTTTTGGTGTACGCCAATCTAACCCTTAATTGTGTGTAGATGATGTTTACACTTCGAAGGAAGGGACCAGCCCCGAGAATTCGCTAACGGGATCATTCTTCTTTATTGAAAAGACTGATGCCCCTCCGGAGGAACTTCCGCAATATACCTGCGATGAGACCGGGGCCGTGCTGAGAGGTCAGTGAATACCCGATGACCTTTACTAGACTATAAGGCTAATGTCAATCCAGGAACCGTGAACATAGGAGATGAGACCGGCAAACAGGTTACCCTCAAGACTGGTGACACTTTCTTCATCCACCGAGGCTCTCAAGTCACTTGGACCAGCGATGATTATGCCGTTTGCTTCAAGGCAGGTAATCGTGCCAGATTTGATATGTAAGTGGTATAGTAAAGTGTTCAGTGAACACCTTCTGGAGAGTGGTATGGCTTATCCAGTGCGACAGGAAGAAGGAGGCCGAAAAGAAATAAGTCGCCTGCCAGCTTTGCCAACTCAGTTGACGACAGACTTTGGGGCAATTGGCCTGCAATAGACGACGGTCCCCAGACAAGCTACGCAGGGCCCGATTTGAGGATATTGGTTGGATGCGCAGTGTGATGATGGAGATAGGAGCCAGAGAGCAGAAGGTCTGTGGACCACTGAGTTACCATATATCCATGACAGAACAGCATTTTCGATGAATTCTGAATGATGCAAAGCGTAGCAGTATGTAGCAATGCCTACTGGTGTCTGCTTTCTCAGGCCTATAATTATTCACACTGAGGCTTCTGATAGATTGTTTGCGAATTTCAACGCACACCTCTGTCATTGTTTTCCAGAGAGAGCAGATAACCTTGGCTTCTTCCTGTTCATCCTCCCAGCTCCCTCAACGATTCCTTCCATTTCTTACTTCCGAAGCTGTTGTTCTCATTGTCAAATAAACAGCGCCTTTTATTTCATGCATTCCTAACTGCCTCGCTACCAGGAATAGAGACGTGCGATACACTGCCATCATTTCCAAGATGTTCCTCCCCATGTCCCTCTCGACCCTTCGCCCGCAGCCTGAGTTTAAGCGGCCCAATTCCCCTTGTCTTCAACCATTGTTCATAATTCGCATACCTTTCGTCATGCAACCAAATGCTGCAATCGCCTGTACTCTCAACCGGGAGTCCAAGACCAAACATGCACCCAACCCGGCCATTAACGGTGCTTCCTTGCGTTCCAATCATACTAGCAAGCAATGTCGAGTAATTCTCCGTATGCGAAGATGGCACAACCACCTTGATCAGTACTCCGGGGAACGCGCGGACTGGATTGAGCCGGCCACCTCGGTTTCGTTACTCCGTAGTTGCATGATGACAGGTCGTTGATGTGTCTAAATTTTCCCCAGAGTACGGAGTATGCGCTACTCCGTATAGAGTGCATAGTATTATGATTTTTTTAGGCCTGAGTAAAATTCCTAACCAAAAACTCCTTTACCGCAAGGAATAAAATGTCAATCCCTCAAACAACTTCCGAGCTGTTCGCACAATGCTGCCTTTTTCAACAAAGTATTCGCCGTCTTTGTCTTGTGACACATCGATTTCAGCATGAATCTGTCCCGCCCGATGTGCAATGCGCCACACGCACGGTGACTGTAGCTTTCTTTGACAAGATTCTCGACAGAGAGTAGGCGAAGGCAACAAGTCCGATGCCACCGTACCGGGTATACTCAAAGCAGCAGACAAACAAATTGCACCAGTGACCTGGAAAGAAGGATGTAAAACCCCAGTGCTGAATGCTGTCACTTCCACATCCACCGATGAATCCACGGTGCTCGGACAAGCAACCAACGCAATCTTCGGGGTCCCCCGACGCAGTCCAGCTTCCGATGTATCTCGCGCCAGTCCCATTCGAACCGCACCTGCACGGCGAATTGCTTCAATGAGCGCTTCTGACTGCCTATCTTTCGGTCCAGATAAGGTGTAAGGCTTCGGCATTGATGCAGAATCCACGAAGATGAATGGGTTTGTGCAGTCAATTAGGGTAGTTTTGACAACAAACTGAGTCCCAGTGCTAGGACATTCGAAGGAGAGATAGTCTTTTCTGGCTCCACTGGGAAACAGACTTCCGGTCATGGGGCCATTAGGCGCGAGGAATGTAATTCCGATATCTCGCGTGGCATCGTTCGGAAAGGGAACGGTGACCAAAAGGGCTTGGCCAGTGTTCGTGACGAAAACTTTGATCGCAACCTGCGCGATTCCCTTAACAAAATGTTCGATTTGACAGTGATAATAAATTGGTGCTGGGACTCATTGTGAGAAACTCACCTGGCTTTGTCCCTGTGGACATTCCACCAGTTTCTGATCCAGGGCAAAGCGTCCAACCCCAGCGGCTAAATTCCCACAGGTTCCAGACATGTCGACTTTGCCGGTCATGGATACTACCTGGGCAAAGGTATAATCAACGTCGAATCCAACTTTGGTTGACCGAGAAACCACGGCCACTTTCGAAGTCGTTGGTGTGCCTCCGCCGATACCATCAGTTTGGTTCCCCGTACCCATCAGAGCCAGCAGAACCGGATCCCAGTCACCCTGCGACTTTGGAAGTTCATCTTTGAGGATATAAAGTGCCTTTGAGGTCCCTGATCTCATCCAAGTCGCTAGGATAGATCTTTCTTGGCTTTCGTGTAGGACGTTGGCCTTCATGTTGAGCGAGCAACTGGCCAAAGCAGACACTGAGACAGAGACAATCTCAGCCGGTCCTCATGGCCATAATATAAACGGTACTCTGTGATCTGTCGAGGACAGAGCAGCTAGGGTAGATCTTGATCCTAGTTCGATCATGAAGATTAAACCGCTAGTAAGTTGGCCCACATTGTTTTGTCCAGCGTATGTGATATGGAGACCTGAGGAGCATTGTGAGAACATCAACTATTTACTCCGTATGAAGTACACACCGCTTGTTCAAATACCATCGATGAAGTTTTTGTCGCCAATACGTTTACGTCGATCAATAAGGGGGCTACTCAGTACAGACTTTTCTGTGAAGCGGCAAGATCTACTCCACCGTCCACTCCTCCCCTGATCAATAATATAGCTATATAGTGCGGACACTGCTCCTGTACCTAACATCGGATACATACACGGGGTACCTAATCGGGTCTCCCTCACCATGCGTCACTCCACAGAGCGATCCACCGAACACGGTACAGAATGATACATGTAGATCCCACTCTAGCTTAGGTAGGCACCTAGTGAAGTCCTAGTCTACGGGAGCTGAGCTCGCCCATCGATGTTGACTCCACCGACGTAATGACTCCCATAGCCCGAAGTTGTTCCGGACTCGTGTCCATGCGACAATCCCAATCTCACCAAATCCCTCTAGGCACGGTAAAGCAAGATGACAAGGTAAGCATAACAGAAAGTCGCGAGATTGTGTTTTCCATTACTATCACTGATATTTTCGAAACTCGCCTGGCAGAATCCCAAACACACAAAATGAGATCCGTCTCAGCAAAGTTGTAATTCATGACCCAGCCGTACGCGACAACACAGACGCAGTAAAAATAGACAAAAGGCAATGCGAGCCCCATGCGGGCTTTTTCAAGGGGTATACGGCGGAGCTGCTCGGGAGACTGTCGCTTGCTTTGGATTTCCTCGCCTACCTGGCGTGCCTGGTACTTGAAAAACCGATCTGCTGTTAAGCCTGCAGTCCACGGGTGGCCAGTCCACCAAAGGTAAAGGGGAGATAACACAATGCGATATGCAGCGGGCTCAGTTTATAGTCCGTCGCCAACAGGGTCGTCAAACTATTCACAATTGCAGACCACAAGAGGAGCCACGTGCCTATCCAAAAGAATCTTCAGGGACCGGATGATTCCAGGGCGTCGTCTGAAGGTGAGTCGTGTATCGGGCTCTGGTTTGTGCTTTGATGGCTAGATGAGTTGAAGAGCACACTTGTTCCAGGGCTGGGGAGCCAGGCTACCATTGCCTACTACAGCTCGGCAGGTCTTCCGGAGGAAGAGGATCATGACGAGGGCTATTACGCCCGATGAAATAGCAAGGAACCAAAATATACTTCTCCATCCTAGGTATTGGGTCAAGATACCTCCGAAAGTTGGTCCAATTGCAGGACCAATGGTTGTCCCCAGAGCAGAATAAAACATGTATTTCTTTCGTTCTGCCCGGGTGACAAGATCAGTTATAGAAGCGCCGGAGACTATCATGGCGCTGGCGCTAGCAACTCCTTGCACACAGCGCAGAACTAATAGCGCTGCAAAGTCGCTTTGAAGGGCCAGCCGGATACTGCTTCCCAAGAAGACGAGTAAACAGACTATAATAATGGGACGACGACCATTCAGATCGGAGAAACTGGCCGTCAACAGAGGAGACACGGCTTGGAAAATCTGATGGTATCAGTAACTATGAAAATATGCAGCCTTGGGCCTTAGTGCTTACCTTAGATGCAGTGATCGTCAGGTTGATCTTGGTCGTTGACACATGTATGTCTCTCGCCATCGAACCAAGAGCGGGAAGATACATCCTCGCCGCTACAGGGCTGAGAAAAGTCACCAGTGCACAAGTGCATATCGTGAGAACCTTCTCCTTCTCGGATAGAATACAATACAATGACTCGGTTTTCTCGGGAGTGGTTTCATGTACAGCATTTTCCTGCACTTTCAGAGATTCAACGTCGTTTGAAGGGCAAATATCCCCGTCGTCATGTTGACCGTCGAGCTTTTGCTTTTCGGATTCCACAGCTGACATGATTTTGTGCTGGCATCAATTCGCTTGTCCATTTCTGATGAGTGAGAAGTTCCTGTTTAGTTATATGAGCTAAGAGGACTTGTCCTTACATTGTGTTTGTTATTTTACTTACTATGCATCTGTAGCTAACTACTCCTTTCGACTTGAATCATTCTTAATTTACTCCGTACTCTCGGTGTACTCCGTGCGGATCTTGCTGGTTTGATCCACCCCGGATGCCTCGTCAACCCAATGTAAGGGGTCGAAGATCCTGTCTTGTTCCGTGTTCTATCATTCTTCCAATTATTGGTCTTTGTTTTTTTTTTTCTGCCCTACTATATCTAGATCACATCCGTCTACGGGGATATGTTTGTCTTATTATGATGATCAATTGATAATCAATGTCCCTATCATATCGAGCACAGTTTATAGAGTACGGGGTACATCTCGCCAAATTAGATATATCATCTTCAACTTTTCTCCGTACGCTATAGCAAAGATAACAGACAATATCCCTCCTAACGCTTCTGAGGTTCTGGAAATCCTAAATCATATTGCTCTGCATGGCGTAAGTTACTAGTAATGGCCAATGTTGCAACATCTAGGCATCGATGATTAGTATATACTTCAACAACATTGTATATCGTCTGCGAGATAGCGGCGGAACACAGAGTACTATGTGTGTGTATATATACGCTGTACCAAGCCACTCCTTCCTCTCAGCCTAAAGGAATACAACATCTCATCCCAAATTTCACCTTTACTTTCTCAAAGATGTGAAGTGCTATATCAGAGATATCATCAAACTTGGCCTTTCACTTTCTTTCGGTTTCTAGACTTTTTGCAACTAACTGTCCATGTGTATGGCCCAGGAATGCACATTGACACGATTTAATGTTCCATGCCAATAGGAATGTTACCCTACAAAAGCTGATCGGCCCCTTGGCTTGTTCTCCCTAACAAATGAATTTGATTAAATCTAACACCCCCTTAGTGCTGAATATCCACCACGTTTTATATGTCCTCCGGTAGCTTTGGGTTACAAGGACTTTATGCCGCTAGTCCCAATTATGGAAGAGAACAAGAAAATTTGTGAGCAGATAGATATTTCCCATACGCATGGCCAGCAGAACTAACAGACTTCAGTCGATGACCTGCTCTCCCGATATTCAGAGGTAGAAAAGAGCCAGGCATTTAAAAAACTCAATTTTAATCTGATTCTTCGGTTCGGCTGTCTATTGGAATTGACTTCAGCACTGAACTGATGGATGCAGGCTCGGTCTCCTCTATCTAATTTTGTATGTTGACTGCTGCAACTTACGAAATGCCTATCCGGCAGGTATGGGTCAAGAATGGGGTTTCACATCAGATCGGTTTGGGTGGAAGATCATGTTGGTTTACATTGCTTACATTGCCATTAATTGGCATATGCTGCTTAAGAAGATAATCCCGCTGCCAGTATGCAATCGACCATATAGGCTGTGCTATACAGAAGCTAACGAATAACAGCTGTGGGTTGCTGGGATCACGTTCGGCTGGGGCACTTGCATTATGATCGACGCTGTGGCTGGTCGTTCTGCGAGCTTGCAAGCCATCCGTTGTGTAATGATTATCTTCAGAGCGGGCTTTGCACCGGGTGTGGCCTTGTATCTATCCTTCTTTTATCCTCGGTCGGAGATGGGCTTTAGATATGCCCTTTTTATCTCATGCTCGGCCAATGCCAACGGCTTCGCATCCGCTTTGGCCAACCAGATTGCCCATGCAACTATATCAATTGTTAGTTTCAAGTTGGTGGTTCTTATTGGTAAGTAGAGTCTCTTTTTCTTCCGTGGTTCAAATCAAACCGCTTATTAAACTGGCCCTTCTTGTCTAGTAAGCATTCATGCCTTCGCGATCCCGCCTCTTGTCTCCGCTCTTTTTCCCACAGGGCCTGGTAAGTGCTGCTTCCTCACACTGGAGGAAAACGAGATCGTGCGCCTTCGAGCGCTTTCAGCGCGTGGGTATGAGAAGAAGGGAAAGCTGAACATGAACGATATTTCCGCTGCTTTGTGGGATTATAAAAATTACGTTCAAGGAGTTATCCTCCTTTGCTTGAATGTATGTGCTCACCCAATCGCATAAGAGGCCCCGCTGACACATTCATAGTTTACCTTCAGAGCGCTCCCTGCGTTCCTCCCGACGGTTATTGAGGACATGGGATACTCTACAACCCAGGCAAAGGGCCTCTCGATAACCCCGTACCTACTCGCATATTGTATCTGTCCACTGGCTTCCTTTGCATCTGATCGGGTTGGCAACCGCTCAAACTTCGTCAGTATATTGAGTATACTTGGGGGTGTTGGGTATCTGATCCAGGCACTTGTCAAAGCAGAGGGTGTACGATACTATGCGTGCTTCCTTATCTGTGGTGGTGTGTTTCCTTCTATGGTATTGATTTTCACATGGGTTACCGACAATGGGGGATCCGCTTCCAAACGTGGTGCTGGCCTGGTGATTCTTAGCATGCTAGGTCAACTTGGATCCATTGCCGGGGGCCGTTTCTTTCCCAAAGAGGAAGGACCATTATATGTCAAGGGTATGGGCATTAGTGCTGGCTTGCTGTTCTTCGCGGCAGTTCTTGCTCAGGTGCTTGGATCGTTATTGAGACGGGAGAACGTGCGCCGCAACGCTGTCCACGGCTTTGAAGACGGCAACAGGAAAGATAATATTGCGATTGATTCGAGAGATGATTATCCGAGCTTTCGTTTCATTTTATGATTTGGATACGGGCCCAACAAAGCAGGATTGATGATCGACGACAAGATAAAGTGCGCGGTGATGTTCGGTTCCGATGTATGAACCGAGGGTTGAACGAGAGTAAAGGACCTGAGATCCGTGGCTTGCCACTACAGTCTCAGTTTTGCGTCATCGCCTCATACCACAGATATGTATAATAGTTCACAGGCCGTGCTCGCTTTCCTTAATATATGGGAGAATACATTGAACTCAGACTATGAGCGCATCAGACATAACTATAGAGCCGCGCTGCACCGAGCTCTTCAGCACGATTGAAGATAAATTCAAAGCTTCCGAAATCGACAGCGACAAATGGTATATCTTGGTTCTAAGTGCGATTTCAGCTACACCAGAATCGCACCTTTGCAGCCAACTATACCTATATCTGATAAATCAACCTGGATATTCAAGTAATGATGCGCGCCGCAAGTTGGTTCGACGCATGCGCGAAGTCCTGTTCAAGGATCTTGCTCTTCTAGGATTCCCCAGACCTACGGAGGCCCTCCTCAATATCACCAAAGTCATATCCGAGGAAGATACGGAATGCTCATTCACACGAGAAGGCTGGCAGTGCGACAGTGCAAACCATGCGCGCGGCATGGAATGGCTGGAATCAATATATGCGCAAAACACAGAGGGGCTATTTGACTTATTCAAAACCCATCCAGACTTCGCTTTTTGGCTTGCAGATATCACCTATGGGTTACACTTGTCTGACCGCCAGGTTTTGGATGACGTGGATACAGAAATGGTGGTTTTGCCGGCTGTGATGGCTCAAGACCTGCCGCGGATGACTTACTGGCATGTTCGAGGAACAAGGCGATTGGGGATCTCCAAGGAAGATGTGAAAATGGTCATGGATTGTGTGCATCTGATTGTTCAAGCTTGCGGTGTGACTTTGAGGCAGATGCCTACGGTGGATGCCGTGGAGGAAGACCTTGTAGAGACTTGAGCGGACAAAACCCGAGAAATTAATCCATCCAGAACGAATCTTTGGTGTGAATCCCATTCTCACATTTCAATCAAAGCTTCCACATACAAAGAGCAAAGAACGAAGATGATTCAGGATTGTGTCCAAGAATAGATTCCATGTTTGTTTGGGAAGCCGCTTACCTAACCACTTCGAGGACGTACCTAAGGTTCGCTCTTTCGTACCGTATTGGGGGACTTGTTATGCTTGCCCCGCGTTTTCTCCCATAGTTGTGTATCCTAAAGTCAGTGGGTGAAGAATTACGAGTCTGACTTTGCTTTCCCCGTGGTTGTTGCATTCCACTGGGTGCGCTCTTCGACCCCTTTGGCGGCACGCGTGCCTCCCGAGATTCCCTCGCATGAGTCCACCATGTCGACCTCGCCGCGCAGCCAGAGCTCCTCCCCCGACATCCTGGGACCTCCAGGCGACGCTCAATATTTGATCTCATCGCCAATGAAGCCTTTTACCGGGCGCCAAAGCTGGATGTCTCCTATGGTGAATCGATCCCAAACTCCGGCCAAGCGAGCGCGACCGCGACCGCGCGTTAGCCTCAGTCCCGCAAAAAGCGCGCATTCGATTCAGTTCAACGATGTCATACTTCCCGGGTCGCCAACGATGAAATTCAATGGTGGTCGCCAGAGGTCACTCTCACCGGAGAAGTTTCAACAGGAGGGAAATGTTAGCCCGTGGCGCATTCGACTGACGCTTGAGGCGACACAAGATGACGAGGACGAAAACCGAGCGAGCCCGTCGCGCAAACGATTAAAACCCTCGACTACGACAACGATGATACCATTGAAAGATGAGCGGAGTCCATTGAAGGAAAAGACGCCCTTGAGGCGTCGAGGGCGTCCGCTGAAGTCCGACACAACTACGTCCCCGTTTCCTGGGGAACCTGGGCATACCCCTCGTCCTGGACATACTCCTGGACCGGGAAACACGCCTGGGCCAGGGCATACTCCTGGACCGCTTGTTGGGGACTCCCAGACGCGCAAGAGAGGCCGACCACGCGGCACGCCTAAACCTAAACAACAGGATTTCCAATTGCTAGAGGACCAACCAACGCCGACCGTCGAATATGACCAACCGTTTAGTCCGATGGACATCATTCCTGCCACCGATACCCGCCCAGCACGGGAATTCAGTCCGATGGATACCATGGCAAGTGAAACTGGACTGGGTCAACATGAATATAGTCCGATGGATACTATGAGAAGTGAGGCTGGTTTGAGCTACCGAGAGTTTAGTCCACGGGATCCCACTATCAGAGAACCGAGCCCTGGCCGGGAACTATTTAGTCCGACTGATTCTTTCGCTGGGAGCAATGCACACGCCAGTCCGCTTAACCTCGTGGGCGATGCGGACTCCGAAGATGGCTCTTGGGGAAACTCTGACTTGTCCATCGCGGACCTTCATGACCCAACACAGCCCATCACAGAACGCCTCGATAATCCTCGCCGTGAATACGGTCGAACGAGCTTGGAGACGCCGGTAATCGGAGCTACTGAGCATCATTTCCTGGACGATGAAAACATACATTCTACTCCTTCCAAAATGCCATCACCTACTCGCGAAAGAGCAATCCTGTCATCAAGAGCTTCTCACGACACGGCCAGCCCACAATCACGCACGTATCCGACTCCGACCCCCACGTCTTCGCTGGCTGACGAAGAAAACCAAGCCCGACAAGCTGGCACGGTCCAACACCAAAGGACAGAACCTCGGCAGGCTGAGACTGGTCCTGTTGAAGATAATGAAGATGCCGGAGACGACTTTGAGGAGTTTGACACCATAATGGAAAGCGAAGGGTTCACCATGATCTCCCTCGATACACTTCCATCAGCCAAGCAGCATGGATTTGGCTCCAGCGCTATAACCAATAGCGGTCCAAAACCGAAGGAGGTTGGAGAACGTCTGCGACGTAAACTTCCCGGAACGATCGAGGACCTCCGAAACGATTCCCGTGCCCGAAAGTCCTCCAGCCCAGTTATTACAGATCTAACGGCTGGGCCATCCGAAAAAACTAGCAAGCATATACCAGAAATTCACACTGTGCATTCAACCGAGCGGCAATCTGTGAACTACATGAACGAATTTGCCTACCCCGAACTACCTTCCGCACCCTCTCCCGCCAAAGCGACAATCGCTCCGAAGAAACGGACCTTCACCAGCCTGGCTAAGCTTGTTCGAGTTGGCCTAGCCTTGCAAGGCCCTTTTAATCCGCAAGAAGACGAATGGTCGGGCAAAAGTAATGTTTCCCACAAAAGGCGCCGCTTGGAGCGTATGTTTAGCACATTCAACGCTGAAACACAGCGAGAACTACGAGCTGCTATGGGGCTAGGGCAAGAGCTGGCCATGCGGCGGATGATTGCTGAAGAAGAACAGGCTGCAGCTATGGCAGCAGACCGTGAAGCATCTCGTCTTGAGAAGGAACGTTTCGAGGAGGAACAAGAAGACCAGGAAGATGCTCATTATAACGAATTCAATGAAGAGGAAGTGGAAGACCAGGAGCAGGATCAACCGTTCCAACACAAAACGAAAGCACAGGAGGATTATATCCAATTGTCTCATTCTAGTCCCAACAACTCCCTACAACAAAGCCCGATGTCCCACCAAAAGGCACGGGAAGCGCGGTGGCAGCTTGATCGCGAAGCCATCAGCCGCCAGGCTCAAATGGCTTCCAATTCCCAGTCAGTTGTTTACATTGATAGTGATGAGAATGAGTCGGATAATTACGGAAAATCTGGATTTGGATATGCACATCAACCTCAACGTCACCGTCACATTGGATTTGGGTTTGACGAGAAGCCTGACGATCCCGAGCCCGAGCCTGTGCCAAAGCCGGCGCGACATGTGGCGCGACATGTTGAACCCGAGCCTGAACCCGAACCCTCGGAGGATGAGGATGACGGTTATGACGACATCTGGCAGCTTGAAGCTAATGATCACAGCCATGTCTCACATCATCTCGGGCATGACGATATTCAGTCGCAGCCAGAGCCAGTTGCAGCTCCTTTGGGCAATCTTCCCGCACCTTCCGCAGGTAAAAGCTCTCTAAACTCATCTCCTTACGTCGCTTCAGAACATGATTATGTAGCACGCTTTGGGCCTTCCAAGGTCCGCGAGCTGCGCGAACAAAAGGTTGATTTGTCTGCTTTGCTTGCAGAAGAGGACACGCCAAATCGTGCACGTTACTACAATGGAACAAGCACACCTCGAAGTGTGCTGGATCGGCCCTCGGGGATTCAGCATTCACCAATCAATGGCTCTGCTCTGAGAGGCCCGGTATCACGGACTCCAGCGCGTATTCGTCTGCAACCTCTTTCCCAATCCAGCCCCGAGGTCCCAACCCCACCAGTGGCCGGTCCAGAATTCGCGTCTTTGGGTGGGATGGCATCTAGGGTTATGCAAAGAAGCCCATCTATGGAAAGACCAGCGGAAGCAGGACATAAAAAAAGTCATACTTCTAGTGGTGCTTTTGATGAACCCGAGTCTGCCAACCTGGACTCTACATCTACCCCACAGCTTCGCCAGCTCAATAGGGAAGAGCCAGGGTCATCCTGGTTCAGTAAAATAACCAGCTTCACCCCACAATGGCTGAAAGCCCCCGCCCGTGAGCGAAGCTCAAGTGTCAGTACTATTCCAGAGGAGCCGTCTGACTTCGAGGATGAAGAGGAATTGGTCGGCATTAAATCTGCGGAGGAGCTTCATGGGCACCTTGAAGATGAACCGCTTTCAAAGCAAGGGAGTCAATCACCAACGAGCCATTGGAGACAACCGTTTCAATCTCCCCGGATGCAAGACCCGCTTCCTTCAACGGAGATAGAGGAGCCAATCTACGAAAGAAGCGTTTCTCGGGACTCCTTGGAAAAGCAAATGGAACCGGTTTCTGAGCGGAGTGTCTCTCGTGGCCCCTCGGAGAATGAGGTTGCAGAGCGCGTGAACCGCCAGGATGAGACGTCTCCGGGGCCAAGACCACTTGCTGTCTTCGGGTACTTTTCCGACGAGCATTACATCGCGCTTCGTCGCATCTACCGAATTGCCAAGCGATATCCTGAGCAATTCGAATACTACGATGCTCCAGGGCGGGCTGCCATCATTGGTGATTGGATCTGGACCTCTGACGGTCATCACGGGGTACCCATCACAGAGATGCAATTTGCCATAATCGATCGCTTTGCCCAGGAGCTTGCTCGGGCTGATATCCAATATGGTGGCAGTGGGCAAATCGATTGGACAGAGGCTGATTTACATCAGAGGCTCATTAGCATCATCATTGGCGAACAAATCCGAGAGGAAAGGAAGGCCAAGGCGAATCGGGGTACTTCTGTGGATACATGGCGATGAAACTATAACATACCGCATATTTTTTAAGCCTATTCTTTCTGTACGATGTTTGGATATCCTATAAGCACGTGGCGCCATGAGTTTTGTTGTTTTTGATTTTATTATGATTCCCTCACGGTTATTTGTTAGGCCTGTGTGCAGTATTGGGCTGTATTTTTTTTTCGTGGAGTTCCTTCTGTGATTCCACGTAGTTTAGTCTAGCCTCAGCAGTTGGACATGGATGCTGTATATCTGAACAATATAACTTCCCAGTTCTCCACGGTCAAAGGTACCAACTTCCCCGGAAAGGGATCCTTGTCTGGAGCTGCGAACTCCCTGTGTATATTGCATATCAACCAGATGTATCTGGCCAACCACGGAAATCTCCTGCCCCCCGATCCCTTATATTCCCGAGTATCTGATAAGAGTCGCGGGATGCATCAAAGCGCGAGAGCCGAGACCCAAGTACGCAGTGCAGCTCATACTACACAGTCAACTTCTAGGAACTGAAACTCGTGTTTCTCTCCCAAATGAAACACTGTACAACGATCTCTCGTCAAACCGTCAAACCGTCAAACCATCACTCACACAACAATTACGTATATATTGAAGTCCTGACCAAACCTGCAGTTCTCCACCATCTAGACCAACCACACTCACCAACCCTTCCTGCATGATAACATACTCTCGCGTGGCCAGCCAAGGAGAAGCCGGGGAGCCTCGCATCCCCCACTTCCGTGCAAGGAGCCCCTGCACGCGCTTTTCGTCCTTGGGCGTCGGCCCGGCTGGGTGTACACACAACCTGTGAGCCGGGCATTTATAAGGACAAGCGAGACGTACAGGAATATTGCAATTCCAGCAAAGGATATATACTGCAATCACCTCTCCCCCCTCTCCATAATTTCCATACATATACAGACTACGTGTCGATGATCCCAACCATGTCCGTGTTTACAGTCGTCCACCGCGCCCTCCTCTGGAAGCGCCGAACAAGCCTAAAAGGCAAAGGCCCAGACCTGGACATCTCCCTCGACGAAAAGAGCCCCTTTTCAGACTCCATTCCCCACGACCATGAGTCTGTGCATCGTGACGTCCGCGGTGTGCAGATAGCGGTGAGGGCCGATGCACCATCGCCCCCGGCATCGGACAATATCCCAGATCTTGTCTCGGATTCGAGTTCCGGGCGGAGATCGTGCTCTGTCAAAGCGCGGTTGAAGCGGGACCGGCTCGTTCGCGGTGTTAGTTGGGCGAGTATTGTCCGAAGTCAGTGTCGGTGGACTGTCGAGCAGGAAAGGGAGCTTGTGCGTGCGCAGAGACAGCTGGGGAAATGCCAGAAAGCGTGGAGCTCGGAGCAGGAGGTCTGGCTATCATATGTATGTGACATGTGTTTTCTTTTCTTTTTTCTTTCTTTTTTTTTATCCTGCACTTTGTTACTATTGTATTGTTCTATGCAGGCGGTTTCAGTATCGCATTTTCTTTTGCCCGCTTTCGAATCAAATACAGAACTGATATGATATCTGCTTCTAGGTCCAGGCTCTCAGTGAGGAAAAAGAAGCCCATATTGGTTTCATGTCTATGCGGCACAGACAGCAGGATGATGAACAGCATCAGTTCCGTAAGGCGTGGAAGCGGCGGCGATCTTCGTCGGGCGATGACGAGGTGCAGCAGTCTGCGATCGAGACTGCCAATCGATTAGGCAAACTGCGTCGTCTGCCGCGGTATGGATATCCAGGGCAGCGGTTGGGCGCGACGGGATCGACAGTGGTCGCTGTCGAGGGGTGATCCCAGTGACGATGGCTTTTTGATGAGAAGATAGTAGAGGTTAATTTGTATTTTGCTCTTTTACAAAATGGTTACAGCTTAGACTCTTTTAATGAATACGAGTCGATTCCTATAAGATGCAGGATCCGCGTAAACTAATACCTATCTTCTGAACAATATAGTACTTAACAATATAGTACTTAACAATATAGTACTTAACAAGATAGTACTCAACTTATTTAAACTGATATCATATAGTCCGTACCAATCTAAAGCCCAATCCACCCCAACACTCCACTTCCAATACTCCCAACACTCCGTACTCATCGTTTCTTCCCATCAGGCCACTTCCGAAACAAATCCGCCAAATAATCAATCGGCGCCGCCAACAACCCCACAGCCGTTTCAAAAAACGGCTCAGTCGGCGCCAGCGGATGCGACCTCGACGGAACAAAGATCTTCATCCGATCCAAATGCCTGGTCAACTCCGCACTCTCCTCCTTCGACAACATCTCCTCCAACCTAGGTAAATCAACCTCCTCCTCATGTCTCGCATGTCTCCCCAAATCAAGCATGAGCCCTTTCAGCGTCGGCACGAACCGCGGATCCGTGGACGAAAGCTCCTGGAACGTCTTCAGCTGCTGCTTCACCCCCTGATGCTCGAGCCGGTTCCGGTCCACGATCCTCTGTCCGTCGGAGAGTGCGGAGGCCAGCGCCGGGTACACGACTAGCTCCTCGCCGATGAGGTGGCGGGCTAGTTCCCAGGTGAATTGGTTCTGGTAGCGGGTTTGTTCGTCTGCGTTTGTGGAGGTGAGGATTTTGTGGCTGTGGGCTTCGATTTCGAGGTGGTCGTGTTTTATTGCGGGGAGGATGCGGCTGTGGGCGGTTGGGGTTGCGGCGGTTGAGGTGTACGTGCGCAGTGCTGGGTGGATGTTGCCGCCTAGGAAGTGCTTGGGGGATTGGGTCTTTGGGCGTGTGGTTGTTTCCATTTGGGGTGGTTTGGGGAGGGTGAGGTGGGTGGGAGCGTGGATGGTGCGGGTGAGGGCGCGCCGTAGCATGAGCCTGGAGGGGAGGATGCGATCACTTGGGAGTATTTGTTTTATTGTCTTGGTGAATATTATATTCTGATTCTGAGGTAGAATCGTCGGTGGTTAGTTCCGTTGGTGTCATGATGATGATATATGCTAGCCCTAATTTGATATCAACATTCGACTACATAATGTAGCGGAGTAGAGGGCTTGCTCTACCACTTCTTGGAGGTCTATATCGTGCTATCATAATAGCACTAACGTCAGAAATGAGATCATTCATTCTTGTAGATTTAACCCCGCTATTTGCATCGTTATCGAGTCTAATTAAGTAGATGAAGCTTCATTCAATGTTTTCATGTATCTGCAGGAAATGGCCATAGGTTCCGGACTTCCATTGCGGTTTTGTTAAGATCCGTCCCGGAAACATAGTAGTCGAACAACATCTTATTCCGAGTCTTCATCTCGGTGAAATCTCGCTCTGGAGGAATCCAACCATCATCATCGGTATCAAGCATTCGCTTAACGAGGCTGCGTATCTCGTGCCATTCATCATATGCCTGAAACTCCTTCGTGTGTGCGGCGATCTGCTCGTCATTGAAGTGAAGCGGTATATCAGCTTCGAATCCGAGGTCTCGCTGACTGCGAAAAAGTTCAATCAACGTTTCCCGGAGCGGAAGGACTCCCTCATCCCAAGTATCACCACAGCGGCGGAATAGTTCCTTTAGAGCCAAAGGAACTTGCATCGCCCTCCATGCTTTTCTGTCATTCAAGAGGGTTGCTACCTCATATGCTTTTGTCCAAGTAGCCTTTTTCTGGGTGTATAAAGCAATTTCCTTGTCCTCGGCGTCCATATTTTCATAGCCAGGTGGAAGCTGAGGTAATACCTGGCCTTCTTGGTAGTCTTCTGGTGGCGTTAAAAAGACGGGCCATCTAACCTGCAGAAACAGGGGACTGATAGAAGTATGTTGCCAGTCAATGAAACCAGTGATCTGAGATGGGTCATCTTCATCGACAAAGATATTTCCCATGTGAAGATCGGTATGCCACAATGTAGGCTGAGAATGAGGTAACAGCTTGGGATTGTTTGCCACTGCTGACATGATTTCCTTTGCTGTACCTAGGGTTATCAAATGCTCCTCCGAGGAAGCATTTAGAGAAGTCGGTAGTTTTGGATTGAGATGGTGTTGAGATTTGAGAAGTGAGCGGTTGATAAGAGATTCGCCCAAGTCACCGATTGTTCTCCCTAAACAAGTATTAGCCGTAAATTAGTCGAGGAGAAGGTGCACTATTTACAAGGACCACAGTGAATATTATCACCCTGCTGTACGGGCCAGGCAGAATCACACGAAGGACCAACGCAAAATAGACCCTCAGGATCCACAGATGGATCCAACGAGATCACCTCATGGTCGCTCAGAGAGCTTTTGTGATATAGATTACCAGACGCTGGAAATGAGATCTCAGCAAGCTCACTCTCCCATTGCGTGAGACGTTTAATGATTGCCATGCGGTTGCTTTCTCCCATCACATTCCATTTCTTGAACATCTGGACTCCAGGAACTCGCTCCATCACAATATACTCCGCACCTACTGGGTTAGTTGGATCGGCACTCCATGCTAAGACCTTTGGCACGGGAATTGTGGTCCATGTCCTGACTGTATCAAGGATATCCATGAGTTTACGCTCTGGTACTTATGCGGGAGATCAATCTTACCGTAGTCCAAGACGGCAACTTCAGATGACGTGCAGTACATAGGCCTTCCTGCATTCGGACACGGGATTTTAACGACGTATTCAGATTTATCCAGGGTTGTCACAAGAAGGGCTTTGCTGAATCCACCCTCCATCTTCTCTATTTTCGAGATCTGCGATGTCCCAGTCCCGGGGATGTTGGTTACCACATCGCACAACCGGTCGACGTCAAAACGAACATAGCGCTTTGCTAGCTGGTTTTCTTCCTCGGAAAGAAATCTCCCATTTGTGTATTCGAATAGCTCCTCTTTTGAAATGGGGGTTCCTTTAATTTGGTCAGTGTTTCTATATTAAGAATCTTGTATATCGGTAATACCTCGAGATATAATGGATAACTGTCTTTTGAATATATCGAGGGACAGGCTCATATGAGGACGTCGCAGCCGCAAAAGTGTCAGAGCTCGCATGACGAAAATCTGTAGTTATGAGACTTATCTTGAAGCAAGAATTCCAAGGCTCAGGACACAAGACAGGGTCTTAGGAGACGGTGCCGGATTTAGATATCTCCGTTTCTTCGCAGGGTAAATAGCGTAGTTCCTGTCAGTAAAATATGGGGGATCTTACCTATTCCCAGACGAGCTTTGACATATTCGATCTGGTCCACGAAGGTGGATTTTGTTAGCGAAAGTGTAACAGTTCGTCACCGTCCAGTCAGCTCCTCCTGCTCGACACTTTACGGAGAGTTACTTAGGGAACCCTCCGATTTGATCTCACTCAGCGCCCTCGTGGGTTGGGCTGTTATTTTGGTTATGATGGTGATCATTTTGGCAGTCGACCCTGGATGTTGAGGTATAATTCCAAACAGAGGCGATTTATACATGTTTCATGTTTTTAATGAGTTGAGAGAGCAATCCACCTGCCCAGGTGGCCATCCAGCAAGCTCATTCTCGATTCAGCATGTGGGTAAATCAGCTCTCACAAACTGAGACCCTTCTGTCAAGTAGAATTAGCCTCGGAGGTTGCTTCATACAGCATACACACTATGCTGAGATATCCCCCAGGTCTCCCCGGTTTAATTTATAAGTTGTATCACAGGAGACTGAGAAAGGTATCCATGTAAATTGGCCTCAAAATAAAGACATAAACCTGACTGAACAGAGTACTATGTGTATGTAGCCCAACGCCAGCCAAGCCGGTGAGGCGAACATGAGTCCGGAAAAGAAAACAATAGACATAGAAAAGAAGAGGAAAAGAAAAATCCAAACGCCTCCGAGGTTCAACCTCCACATAGCTAATATGATCAAGTAATAAGGGTACTCCGTAACCGTGACCTACGGTCAACACCGTCCCATCCCATCTAAACGTACATTCGAAAGTTCATGTGCATCGCCCTTAGTGGTTACGCGTTCGCTTGCGACTGCGTTCGCGCTCCATGGCTGCCGGTTGGAACATTTCGGAGCCGGGGTTGTGAGCGGTGGGGGTCCAGTCGACACCAATGCTGGCCGGGAAGTCGGGGTGCAGCTGGCTGTAGATAGCGGGATCGAGAGGGTTGCCATCGACTGACTCTGTGGAGGCGGGGAGAGGCGCAGACACGAGTTCGATTAGAGATGTATCGATCCAGCAGGATGGTTTGCTGGTGAGACGGTTGATGCGAGCGCAGTCGTCGTCGACTTCGTCGTTCATGAGGGAGGTCAAGGGAGGCGCACTGCCGTTGGGTCGCGCGTGATGGTTTGAGAGGACATGGTAGGGGAGGATCGGGCGGGTAGCGGATTTGTCGGCGAGGTCTGCCAGGGCGCTGAGAGCACTGTGAGCGGCAGTGGTGCGAGTGGATCGGGTAGCGTGGAAGTTGTGGCTGGCGGTGCGCATCATGTCAGCCGCACTCGGGGTGCCATTGTCTTCGCGGCTGGTGCCCTCCGGAGTATCCTCGGCGTCGGTATTGTTCCCGTTGGTCACTGCGCCAGATCCATGGTCCGGGCGTCTGGAGGTAGAGAAGAAGTGGACAGTCGCCAGGTGCGCCTGGTTTGCGTGCGCATTGAGTTCTTTGTCGGTGAAGAGGGTATGGATCGTGTAATTAGGAGCCGTCTGTTCCTTTGTGATGTCCGCCTTGTTGCGCTTGGCAGGGGTAGCATCTCCCGCGTCCCGCGCGGGCGACCCAGTGTCCTCGTCGGCAGCCTTTCGCTTGCGCTTATTGAACTCCGAGAGAACGCCGTTGCCGAGCTCTTCGAGGTCAACCCGGTGACGGGTGTGTCGGGTCTTGCGGTTGCTGTGAATGCCTCCGGGGCTGGAGGGGTTTGTAATGCTGAACTGGTTGGGATGAAGAAGCAGGGCATTGGTATCGGCGATGTCAAGCTGCTCCTTTTCACGCATCAGACGAGCGCGTTTGCCGGAGATATTCTGCATCAATCGCTCTCGGAGGGTGGAGGAAAGCTGATTAAATTCTTCCTTGGCGAAATAAATACGGAAGTCACGGTCTCGCAGTTGTCGTTCCATGACATTGTTATAGCGGTTCTGTTTAAAGAAAAAACCAGGTTAGTAAACGCTCCATGCAGACGAGAAAAGCTCTTAACTCACCATAGTCGTGACCAATTCAGAATCTCTCATCTCCTTGATCGAGTTGATCTGCTGCACAAACTTGGAATACCAGTGACCAGCAAGGCCAGCCATCTCCTTCGCAAACTTGCTACCGCCACCCACAGTTTCCTCGATCAACGCAGCGATACTCTCCGCGCTATCCGGTAGCGGTCCCATTGTGTAGAGGTCAGCATTGTTGACGAGTGTCATATCACACTGGAGTGCATGCAACTGCTGGCGGAATTGGATGTCCCGGTTATTGCTGAACTGCCCTGTCAGTTCCTGGAGCCGCTCCTGGAGTGCAGTTCGGCGCTTGTCACGTTTTGAGGGCATGCCGCCGGGCCCGCCGCCGGGGCTGATAGGCGGAGGGTTCGCATACGACATTGTGTGTAGTGAGATTTGGCGAGAAATACTTTGGAGAGGATTAGTGACCGAAGAGAGATGGGAGGGGGTGGGTCACGGTCGATTACGGCAGAATGTTTGGCCGCCCCGGGCTGAAGAAGTGTGTGTAGTCAACGTCAATGGAAGGCTGATTGACTTGAATAGTGTAAATAGTATCAATAGAATACAATCAAACGGTATACTGTTCCTTTTCTCTGACATTATTGGTGTGCCTTGGATTCAACCTACAGCTGCCTAAGGCTATATGTGTATATATGCTTCGGCCCGGGTGTGTGCCGGATCACTTATATGTAGGGACAATCTTAAAGATTTCATGCCAAGTAAATCTTTCCTGTTCAGAGATTCCATCAGAAAGCCCAAGAACAATGCTATTTCATCGAAGCATGATGGCAACCACACCAGCTCTATAACTACCAGTGATATTCAGTTCCGACTGTTGGACCCGGCAGCATGTATGCAACCCATCCCAAAAGCAAGCATAAAGCGAGGTTTCACCTACTCCGTACATAGACTCATCACAAAGATGACGGCATAACAAGGATCAAACCTGCATCTAAGACCTGCATTAAGACAATCGGTGATGCCTAACGAGCCTGACAAGATGACAATGCAACTCCATACTTTTCCAGTCCATGTTACAATAGAAATAAGCAAATATGCCGTTCAAGGTAGATATATTACCACTAGATCGTGTATCTCTATATCCATCAAGAATCCAAAAAAAATATCATAAACCCGAATCGCCAACACAAAACCAGGGTATTCATAGTTCATTTAAAATATTCCCGCGAGGTCCAAAACGAACTCCCAAACGGGTCATGCAAGGTGCGAAATAAATTCATTTCGCACCAGAAAAAAAGAAGGAAAAATCGCAACCGAACACCGGGGACGCCTTTGTGGGTCCCATGTCATCTTTTGTGAAGGCCGTGTGTTAAAATATGCTATGGCGGAAGAGGGGGTGGTGGAAGAAAAGAAAGTGAGAGGGGGTGTCGTGGGAAGGGGCGATCTAGCAATGCTGCAATGATCTAATTTGTTCGACGAATCACAAAGACACCAAGCTCAATACCGTCGTGAGGCTCATTGTCCTCACCGTATCGTCGCTTGCGGATGCCGTCGCAGATCTCACTCAGGAGCCCGGAGGATGTGACTTCCTTGTTGCACATCATGCCCGAACTCATATTCTTGTGCATGCGGCGGCTGTTCTGCCAGTAAAGGCTGAGGGCCGCCTTCATGCGGGCCTTCTCTTGGTGGATGAACCATTCAGCCCAGAGACCACGATCGAGGTGTGTGCTGCCACGTCCTGCATCGGTGACCTGGAATTGGGAAGAGGAGTCACTATCGCTTAACGCTTCGCAGAGTGCCACAAGGTTGGCTTTCATAGTGGCGAAATCGTCCATTTGAGAGACTGTCGAGAGCTTGCCGAGAACACGACCCACATCTGCAGACAATTCATTCACCACAACAAGTTGACGGAGGAGAGGGTCGAGGATGGGGCCCAAGTACTGGGACTTGAAGGTAGAGGCACCCTTTTTGGTCGGGTACACGAAAAGGAGAGAACCACCATTTGGAGATAGTTCGCTCAGGCGGTCAACAAGAAAAGACGGGCGGGTGTGACAGAACAGGTCACGGTATTCTTGGGCCGAGGATGGGGGAAGATATCGCTCGAGGACCGAGATGTGAACGCTGTGAGGGGGGACAATAGGCATCGGGGCGTGGGCCATATGTCCTTGAAGAGGCCCATGGTAATCATGGTAAGCACCTACAACTGCTGCACTTGAGAAAACCGTTGTGTTGAAATAATCCTCGGCGGCAGTCGGAGAGCGAGGAGTGGTAGGAGGAGAATGGGGCAGGTTCGAAAGGCTGAATTGCTCTGGTACGGCATGCGTGACGTTGATATAGGGGGATTGGCCAGGTTGCAAGTGGTTGTGAACAGCCTGAACGATGGAAGCGAAGACACTGTCGGGTTGAGGTGACGATACCGACTGATCCGATGTTCTGGGATATGGAAGAGTCTGAGAGACGATTTTTACGGCTTCGCCTCGTGGTTTGGAGAGAGCAAGGGATGACGCTGGAGGGAAATTAGTGGATCGATCCTGACGCACGGATCAACGAGAGAGCTTACCAGTCAAATTGATGCCATGATCCAGCCATGAACCTATATCCTGCTGGCAGTCCATTTCGTCCCGAGGTCCAGGGCTGCCTCCAGAGCTAGAGGACCTGTGAGACGACCCATCCGATGGATTGCTGAATGTATCTGAAGCACCAGTTGCAGAAGAGTTGTCCACGCTCGGGTTGTGGTCCATCATGGCCATAGGGCCTGGGTGATGGGAGTGAGCATCGAACAATAGCATTTCAGACTTGGGATTCCACGCAACGTGGAGATCTTCCTCTGGTGGTGTTGGGGGTAAGGTAGCGGGGTAGTCAGACTGATAGGAGGGAGTGCTCCAAGCCGGCGAAGCAGATAAAGGTCTCGGCCCGCGAGACACAGTGGTTGAAAGACGAAGACGAGAGTCTGCCGACCGAGTACGAGACTCTAGTCGATACGGCGATCCGGGCGAGGAACCGCGTTGATCCCACGACTGAAAGTTCACAGCAACACTACTCTTAGAGAGAAATCGGGACACGGGTGACGGTCTTGTACGAAGAGATCCTTGTGAGGCTCGCCGGCGAAGCTTAGCGGGGTTTTGGGTTTCTTGTGTATCAGTGCTATCAGGAAGGTGTACTGTTGAGTCGAGTTTCACTGTTGGTGGGACATGCATGATGCGATCGTCAGATGTGGGAGTCATGAGCCAGTACTGTCCATTGGATGAGGAATTCATCCAGTCTGTGTTATCCCGTGGACGGTGTGAGACGCCGGTCGGCATGGATCATATGTTGTCGAAGTATGAGGATGGAAGACCGAGGTGATGAGAGTATGTCGAAGCGCCCCGTTGGGGTAGATGAGATTCGAAGAGGGAAAAGAAGTCACAAGGAGATAACGAATATTTGGGGGAGGGGAAGAAGAGAAGAAGGGATAGAAGAAGCAAAAGAGGGCGTGAATCGAATGGAAATTGACGGATGGGAAGGGACAGGGTATAGGGTACTTGAGTCCAATATGGGCAGACGGGCATAGGAGCAGGTACTAGGTACCAACTGGGGCAAGGATTGGGGCCAGACTCTTCAGCTCGGGAGAGGTCTAGACCTCCAAGTCATCGAGTCATCGGGTTCTGGTTTTTTTGGGTTCTGGTTTTTTTTTTATTTGCGGTAAGGGATATATAGACCCGGGTTTGTTTCGGTTTATCATTAAGAAATCCGATCTCTTTCCTCGACTCCCTTATATACGTCAACACCGACATAAGCTGCCCATGAAATGTGCGATGTTGAAGCTAAAAATGTGCAGTCTAGAGCGACCGGTGGCTTCGTCTTGGCTCCACCGGGAGGGGGGGAGAGGCGATCACTCTCGGTACTGCATCGAGTTGATGAGTCGGACACAGTCTCCAGACATGATCCAGACAGTATTCCGACAGTATTCCGACAGTATTCACACAGTACTCCGTATCCAGGCAGTATCCCAGCAGTAACCCTAGCAGTAACCCAGCAGTATTCCAACAAAGTATCTCGAAATGAAAGGGCCTCATTACCCGAACCAGACTCGAGCATCTAGGCCGGTGGACTACCTATCGTAACCCGCCATTCAGGCCCAGTTTGGCCCAGTTTGGCCCATTTTGGCTCTTCAAAGGCAGCTGGCCTGATGCGGTCTGTCCAAGCCTCCCGTTTCACAAGTCGCCAGTACCATAGAACGTGCGTGGATCATGGGTCTGGGCGAGGTACCGAGTACTCGTCCGTTTCCGGGCAATCGCCACTGAGGGGTTGGGCATCGGCACCCTCTCGAGTCCAACGCACTTCTAGAAGTCCAACGCGAATGATCGTCTAATGCAAAATGCCTGTTCGCAGAAGTTCGCATTCTAGAGACCCTGGAATCCTGCCATCTGACAGGCAACCCCATATTTCCCAGATTCAGATCCTGTCCGATCTGGACGTTGGGACCGTTTTAATTTCCACCGTGCACTCAGATCTGGTTCACTTCCCTGTTTCCCTCTCCGGATCCCTCCACCGGGTCTCACATAAAGTGTCTTTGCCACGGGATTTGATTAAATCGTGGTCAGGGATGCCAATTCTCAAGTGACATGACATGTGTGGGACGTGGAGATGCCTACGGAGTACGTGGATCAATGTCGCTTAATCTATATAAGCCCTGGAACCATCAAATGGGATATTACAGGTACACGTCAGCTGATGTGTTGAGCTATCTGGATGACGGAGTAGGTACTTTGTGCTCCGTACAGAAAAAGAATACGGTGAGCCACACGTGTACGGGAGATGAAAATTAAATTATATGCTGATTCATTGATATCCAAACGTGATCGCCAATCACATCATTTCCGTCGGCCTTATGGACCGACGCAGGCCTATGGACCGACGCAGGCCGAGGGAGTGGGACACCTTATTGCATATGCTCAGATCATCCATGGTCCTGGGTCTGGGTTGCATTATGGCATCGGAGTCGGAATCCGCGGAGACCCTTGCAGATCCCAAATCTGGTCTCGGTCGCGTGGAGGCCTGGCAAGGGCGTGGAGCCCAGATGTCAGTGTCATAGAAACCCGGGAATCGGCATCGGTGAATCCCGGGTATTATGGTAATTCAAGGTCTATGGACCATTGTTGGAACCCCCGAGTGGATCACTCAGTATATTGATGAAAGGGCCAGGTCCATCCAGGCTCGGTTGACACGGAATGAAAGCTCGGGTGAGGAAGGGGAAAAAAATGTATATGATACCGAGGGTCGGCACCATAATCCAATTATGCCCCTTCACGAAGTCAGCGACCGGCGGCGCGACTTAGTCGCAGTGGTGCAACCAGCCAGTGGCTGTCTGATCTCCTGCGAGCAATTCCATACTAGCGAGGAACGGTATTTTTGCTCCTCACGAGTCAGCCGCACCTGTTTCCGCGCGAAGCTAGATGGCTTCAGGGGGATCGTGCAGGTGACGGAACGATTGGCATAGACAGAAACGGAGGCCATCGTGTGAGACGAATTCACCCGTCCCGGATTGTCGAGCGTCGCGCTGAGCTCGTAGCACTGGCGAACAAGTTGCTGCACACCATCGGTGAGACGAGACGCGCGCTCCTCGATATCCGGCCAGAACGCATCGCCCCAGAAGGGGTCTTCACAGACGGCTGTCTCGAGCGCGTTCAGCCAGCACTGGAAGCCGGAGCGTGGGCCTGCGAGTTGAGAGGCAACGGTTACAAAGCGGATTGTCGGCTCTGAATGCAGCACGTGCTGAACGATACATGCTGGGCAACGGGCCGTAAGATACCAATCGTGTTCTTCGGTGAGGATGCAGTTGAGCCACGAGAAGGCGCTGCGGGCTTCGCCGCGGAAAGCGCGTTCGGGCTCCGCACCTTTCTGGCTCGGGAGAGTCCGGGCTGCGACGCGCTCGGCTTGGTGATTAATTAGGAAGAGAGGCACGAGAAGGGTATGGATGATATCGCGATGGAGGCGGAAGGTCTCTTGCTCGGAGGAGGTGCAGGAGTGTCGATGGCCGGCACAGAAACTGGGTCGCTCTCTACCGCATTCCTGGCGGCGGAGTTGTTCGCGCATCACACGGAAAGCTTCATTGCGCTCCAGCTCGATTTGTTCGTGTCGGGAGATGTGGAAAGGAGAGGCCATTCTGTGAGATGTGTCGAGATATGATTATATTTTCCTAGCAGTGTCCGGTCTTGTTTTTTTTCTCTCTTCCGCAGGATTGAAACGATCGACAGTGGTATAGGGGGCTTATAGAACCATGTCGAGAATCATCGAAAAAAATCTTGTAGAGTGATATAGGGCAGAGCAGAGTTAAATCCAGATAAAGTATGAGAGTAAAGGGTCCACTGAATGAAGTCCTCGACTATCGCCGGATGCGGGCTGGATATTATACGTCGTAGTCCCCCCTTTGAGCAAACGTCATGGGCCACAGAGCTCTCGTTTTGGGAGGGCCAGGGTATCGCCCAGACGATCCTAATGGAGGGGATCCACTAGCTGACGAACACTCTGCGTATGTTGACGATCATTGGCGGGCTTGTCGGAATGGGGTGGAGGTGTGGAGATTGGATAGGAAGTCTGGACTGTTGCATCTCCCATGTCAGAATGTTTACTCCGTATGGAAACCGGAGTATAGGATCTATCTTCTGCGAGAGGCGAATTAACCTAGGTAATCGATGTAGCATATTACACCATTTTACTACAATCCTACACTGTTTTCTTTCTACCACAAAGAGAAGCAATGGCAATAATAGCCAATTTCCTGTCTCGCAAGGGCCTCGTTCTAGCCCTGCGTAGCGACCGCCCAAAACCGCCCAGTGGGGTAATGTGGCTGTCTCGTGGGCGAATTTAAAAGTAGTCGGGCTGCATAGCTAGCGTTGATATTGTTTATTGATATAGAATAGGGGGCCTGTTCTCCTTTCAGACACCCGATATCTCGGTGCCCAACGTGTCTGGTGAACAACGAAGATGATAGGAATAAAGAAAGACTATCTCGGCTCGAAGAAAAAAAAAACACATCAGATTACATGCCGATCGATCCAGCGCTGGCCGTGTGCCAGGTTTTCAAGGTCCGACTATCTTTCCCCGTCCATTGAGAGTGGATATTAGGGGGTTGTGTCTTAAGTCTAGAACAGCAGTGATTGACAGGGTTTGAGATGAGGGGATTGCTTTTTTCTGTCCAACATCATGCTCACACGGTGATACGGAGTACGGAGTACTGAGCAGGCAAGTTATCTTAAAGTTGTATATTATAAACATGTCACAAGCCTCAAAACAATATAGAGTATTTTTAGTCGGGAGTATGTGTAGGGGGGGAATGTGTTGGGGCCGGTAATTAGGGGTCTCGGAAATTGTGGGATTCGTTAGCTTTGCAATCGCCGATACTAGAAGCCCAAGGTTTTGAGTATGTGCCATCGGACCGCACATCTTCTCCCTAAGTTGTCCATATACCGATGTACAGGGCGATCTAGGTAGTCTAGATGTACTCCGTACAGAGTGCTCCATGTGGGTGATATCTGCAGGTGATATGCAGGACGTATTTGCGATCGAAAAGGGGAGTTAGGGCTCAACCCCAGCGGCTGTGCGTTTACCCGGACTCCCTACATCCTCCTGGAGTACGGAGTACAAACAGTCGATATTGAAACCTGCTACTCCGTACTCCGTACAGATGTAGGAATACAACGGTCTCACCTCCTGACTCTTACCAATTGGGATTATCTCAATAGATCCGTGGCACTTACTAAACTAACTCAAATATGACTATCCCTGGCATGTTGCGCGAAATAGGAGCCCAGGAATGAAGCACGCTAGTTGGAAGGATACCCTGCAGATAATTTGGTTGCTACAGTCCCAAATCAAGGAAGTTGGACCGTCCTTTGAGTTTCAAATTCTCTTTCCAGTGCCCCCTTTGTCGTTTGTTATTCGTAAAGTGGGAATTGCCTGGCCTTTGCACCTGCCCTAATTCATTGGGGCAAGAGGGTCTCCCACATACCTAGAACTCCTCAAGTTTCCTTCTCTTCAATTGCGATTTGACCGATCTGCGATCCTCTATTTTGTAACCGTTACTGCCACAGAATTAACCATGTTATCTTCCCTGGCACTTTCGGCAGTGCCATTGCTGCTCGCTGGCTTGCAAGCCACAGCAGTGGGTGCCGTCCCGTCCATTTCAGCTGTGGGGTCCAAGTTCTTCTACGAGAATGGAACACAATTCTATATCAAAGGTACTCTCACGACAGCCTTACCTTGACAGCCTTGGCAGTGTCTGACTCCGACAGGAATTGCTTATCAACTTACCCCAAGTGACCCACTTGTTGATACTGCCCAATGTAAGCGTGATATCGCCCGGATGTCGGAGCTGGGCACCAATGCGATCCGTGTGTACCACGTGGATGCCCATGCAGACCACAAGGGCTGTATGTCCGCACTGGCCGATGCAGGTAGGGTCTCTTAGCTGGGAGGGGTAATGATGTATACTAATCTGAGGTCCAGGAATTTACTTGTTCGTCGATCTGGACACTTTCAACACTCAGATTGAACAGGTAGGTCCACTTCGATCTGCATGTGGATCAGCTACTGACGATCACAGACCGAGCCTCACTGGAACGAGACCCAGTTTGATCGCTTCAAGGAAGTGCTCGATGAGTTCCAAAAGTTTGACAATACCGCCGGTGTCTTGGTCGGAAACGAGGTCCTTACCACGGCTGATGGCTCGGCCGCTGCTCCTTACGTCCTTGCCGCTGCTCGCGACATTAAGGAGTACCGGGACAAGAAGGGCTATCGCGAGATTCCCGTTGGTTACTCCGCAGCAGACATTGCAGATCTGAGACCCATGTTGCAGAATTACATGGCCTGTTCCAAGAAGGCCTCCGAGCGCTTGGACTTCTATTCCCTGAACGCCTATGAGTGGTGCGGTTCATCCGGCTATGAGCAATCTGGATACAACATCCTGCAAAAGAACGCCACGGATTATCCGATCCCGATCTTCTTTTCTGAGACTGGCTGCAACACTCCCGCACCCCGCACTTTCGAGGATCAGGCTGCTATCTTTTCTGAGCACATGTCCGACACTTGGTCTGGATCTATTATCTATGAGTGGATTGAGGAGACCAATGATTACGGTCTGATTAGCTATGGGCCTTCGGTCGCAGCCTCGACTGCGACCGCAAGCACCATTGAAGACGGCTTCACGCGAAAGGGTACCCCAACACCCGTATCGCCTGATTTCAACAACCTCAAGTCCCAGTGGGCTACTTTGCACCCCACAGGTGTTGCCCTTTCTGCCTACCGCAAGAGCGTATCCAACATTGCGGCTATTGAGTGCCCTGCTTCCACCTCTGGCGGCTGGGCGATCGACCCAAGCTCGCCGCTTCCTACCTTGGGACAAACTTATAAGAAAAACTCCGATTCCACATCGACGACTACAGGCAAGGAAAGCAAAGCTACTTCAACCGGATCTCCCTCTGCATCGGCAACAAAGGAGGGCGCTGCCCACGCTGTAGCCGTCGGCTCGCCAGCCACCGAGCGCCTGCTCGCTGGATCGTTGGTGCTGTCTGGTTTGTTGGGCGTGGTTGCAGCCTGGCTGTGATTTGATGATTTTCTCCTCGCCTGACCCTCGGCGGCGACGGCTCGAGTTCATGTATTGATATGCATACAGATTTGGGATAGACGAGTTCGACTGAATCACTGCATCATATGTCGGAGTCGGCGTGCTGTGTCTGCATACAGATTATGTTATCTCAGGTCTGTCTTTCACGAAGAACGAAGTGTACACAAGAAATGAATTATTAGTTACTGAATTGAAGACTGCGGTCAATTGACCATCAAGAAATTATCGTACATCTCCAACCCATCTAATGATTAAACGTCAATCCTTCTATCCCTGTAATGTTCATATCCAACCCTGGGAGATATAGCTCAGGTGGAACCTGTTCAACCTCCCAAGCCCCCTTACCTTTTTTCTGCTTTCCTTCATGGCCATTATCATAATCATCATCCTCAACAATACTCTCACTCCCACTCGCGCCATCCGAAAATCCAAAATCAAACTCCGAAGCAGACTCCAACGAGATAACAGACACAGCTCTCTGTCTAACACCCTCCCCAACTCCCACCTTCTTCTCCTTGTCCTTTTTCTCCTCCATTCCCCCATCCTTCCTCGGACAATGCAAAAACCCCTCCCCCAAATTCCCCTCTCGAAAAAGCCTCCTCAAAAAACCTCCTGACCTTCCTAGCAACCGGCCTCCTCTGCCCCTCGCCATCCAGCATCGCCCGCACAACAATCAACATCCGCGGCACAACCCAGAACACCCGATCAGACCGACGATCCCGCCGACACCGCTTCATCGCATCGCCCTCCAGCAGCGCAATCCACGATTGCACCTGCACGGCATTCCGCGCGAGATGGAAGGACGCATCTGCTATCCCGCCGCCGCGGCCGGCGGAGCGGTTACGGGCCGCGCGGTGGGCGCTGAAGGATGTGAGGGTTCTTTTGTGGAGGGTTGTGAGGATGTCGAGGGTTATTGCTGCGAGGGAGAAGACGTCAGCGGGGGAATTTGGGGGTTGGGTTGTGTTTGCGCTGTCTGGAGGGCTGGTGCTTGGGGTTAGGGATTGGGTGGATATGAAGTGGTGTGGGGATGGTGGAAAGAGGGACGAAGGGGACGTTGCTGGGTTGGAGGATGTTGAGCTTGAAGTGTTGGAGGTATTTGAGGTTGCGGAAGAGGAGGTTGTGGATGTTGAGATTATTGATGGGGGTGGGATGGTTCGTTTGGCGCTTCGGGGCCAGAGATTGGAGATGTGTTGCTTTGGATGGATGGTTGGGTTTGTTGCGTAGATGGAAGAGGCGGAGGATGCGCCTGATGAGGAGGAGGATGAGAATGCGAGTGAAAACCGGGATGGTGAGCCTGGTAGCCCGATTCGTATTACTGTGCCCTTTGAAGTTGCGGAATCGGGCCTTGGATGGTCTGGAGATGGAAGTGGGCTTTCGTTCAATGGGGCCAGGGCTATACGGGCTGGTCTTTGTTTGCGCTTTGTACGTCCGCCTGAGGGGAGTAGTGTTTGCACTGGGTGTTGGGGCCTTTGAGCTGATGCTGCTGGGGTACGAGTCCAGCGCTCTGGCGCTGAGTAATTGTATGCCTCGAGATCGTTGACGTGGGGTGGAGTCAGGAGCGAGTCGAGGGCTTGGAATTGGCCGAGACGTATGTGGAAGTTTGCGTCGATCAAGATATTGGACGGACGGATTGCGCCGTGGGAGTGACCACGAGCGTGTAGCCAGGAGACTGCAGATGCGAGACAGTGTGGCCAGGTGATCAAGATCTGAAGGCGGTGTTCTTTGGCGAGTCGTTTGAAGGACATTGGCTGGTCTGTTAGGAAGCTGTGCAGGTTTCGGTCTGCTGTTGTGCCGGTGAATAGCACCGATACGCTATCTTCTTTGAGATATGAGGCGTATACGGAGATAACATGTTCGTGTGACAGCTTTTTCAGATCGCGGATTTCAGCGAGGACCTCGCCAGCCGAGAAGAAATGCGGTGCGCCGCCGACCTGCACTTGGGTTCGCATGTAGACCTTGCAGACCGAGCCGGCGAGGATCACCTTGTCGACGGTGTCATCACGACCGTGGAATTCGCTGCTGGTATGGGTGCGCACAGCCTCAACGGGGACGCCCTCGTTCTCGGTATAGACGACATGTTCTCCCTCGGCAATGCCACGGACTAGAAACCGCCATTGTGCATGGAAGAACCGGGTATCGAGGTCAATGTCCTCACCATCGGGAGAGAGGTATAGGAGATCAATACTGTGCTCGGCGATGGGTAGATCGTCATCGTCGCACGATTCATCGACTAACGCGAAAATCCGATCGGGGATCCCGATAGAGTCGAGAATGAGAAAGACGCGGCCGGCTTTGGTCAGGATCCATTCCATATATGTTCCACTGGTTAGGCCTTCGCCCCAGTCGGGCAATTCGAAAAGGCGCGGGACATTCTCTGGTCGTAGACGACTGATGATATAACTTGCATTGAGGGTGGACTTTATGCGCTCTTCAGGCCACCATAGGGAGGTATGCTCATGGGAATGAGACATGCTGGTATGAACTGTAGAGAGTATTGAGGGATAGTACATGTTTGTGAGATATGGCTTCTAATATAACGTATAGAATCATAGATATCACCCCGGACAATGCGGCTGTCAAAGCCCCCACCCCAACGCCTCGGTAGAAAGAGAGTTGCAGCGAACGATGAATGTTTACTGGTGAAAAGAACGCTTATCTTGAAATCCGTAAGGGGACGAGCAATATCTGGTCAATAGCCCGGGGATTCATATAGAAGTGTCAGGTTAGAGTTCCAACCTTTGACTTGAGAGGACACTATGTCAGATACTCGGAGACTATCCACTCAGGGTACCTGAATACACATATATGCAAGCACTCCACAAAGTACTCCGTACAGAAGATCAACCCTGCAAGTGGATGGGATGATGCATCGGCTACTGTCACCCTGGGCAGTTCCAATCAGCGTTGTCTCGGGCCAATCTAGGGCTTCGGGCTTATCTACGGGCTTTGGACGAACAGATAACGGATCATTTCTCGACAATGGCCACTGTCATATGCATTGAGCGACTTAGATTCATGGGCAAATGCGGCAAGATCGCAAGGAGTTTCAATAATTGTATTCTCTTCGGGCAAGGCCCTGGCTGATCCCGGAACCCGTCCAGTGCTTCATCCAGGACGCATGTGATGTTCCCGAGTTCGCTACTCTGTACATTAACAAAGACAAAGAACCTTCCATAATGGCCTGGTGCTCTGTTATTCTTCACGGAAATCCAGAGATCGTCCCTGGAACCCATTAACTCCGGTGGCGCTCGATAATGGAGTTGACCAGCGCCGTTGTAGACAGCCCTTCAGTCATCGGGATAACTTCGACCCGACCGCCCTGAGCCTCCACTAGTCTCTGCTCTGCAATCTCAGCCTCTTGGTCGGCCGCCGATAAAACCAGAACATCGGGATGGATCGCCTGGACAAGATGGAGAGCATCATCTTCGTTGAATATGACCACGTAATCAACACAGGCAAGTGCGGATAACAACTGTGCGCGCCTGGTCTCCTGAACGATAGGCCGGCTGGCCCCTTTTAGTCGTTGAATCGAGGCATCGGACCTGATCCCAACTACAAGCCGATGACCAAATGACTTGGCTTTCTGAAGAAGGTCGATGTGGCCCATGTGAAGAATATCAAAACACCCACTGGTGAACACGATTTTTAGATTTGTCGTCTTTGCGAACCGAATCTTTTCCGTGAGTTGGACTGTGTTGAGAATCTTGCCCAAAGTACCCGTTTTGGCTTTATCTTGCCATTCTTTCACTTGTTCCCAGCCAGCCATCAGTTCATCCAGACTTATCGCCGGAACCCCGAGTTGGGAGGCGGCAATCCCGCGAGCCAAACTTCCTGTGTGGACCGCTTGCAAGATGGACTGTCCTGTAGAAAGCCCCCAGATCAACCCTGCCGTGAAGCTATCGCTGGCTCCACGGATATCCTTGAGGACATGGCCTGTCTTTGGGATGATGATCTTGTTGTTTGTTACATAAAGACTCTGTCCCAGGGATTTGTGCATGACCACAAGTGCATCCAGTTTGTTTCTCCCCAGCAAAATGCGCGCCACGGCATCCATTCTTGCTTCAATCCCGGTCGTGAGGGGGGAGGGAGGGAGGTTCAATTCAGCTGCGGCCAACATCTGCATATCGGATGCAAGCAATGTAGCGTCAGAAAACCGGGCGAGACTCCTACTGTCCTTAGTAGTGACAATGACGCGCTTGTTGTCTTGTTTTGCCAACGAGATGATCCTTTCCGCCAGGGTCGAATTGAACGTGCCCATTCCATAATCAGCCAGCACGATGCTGTCAACGGCATGCAAGGATTGTCGAGCCAGTTGTATCAATTCGTTTTCAATCATCGTTGATAGTGGAGGTGGGGCTTCCGCATTGAGCGTTAGGAGTCGTTGACCGTTACCAATGAAATCAGTCCTCATGGCCGTGCGTCGACCCGGAACTACCAAGAGTCCACTGATATCAATACCGCACTGGTTCATCTGATTCCATGTGAACGTCCCTGCTTGGTCTGAGCCAATCATCCCAACGAGAAAAACACGCATACGGAGTGCTGCGAGACCTCTGGCAATACTAGCTGCGCCGCCAGGGAAGAGTTCGGCGAGTTTCTGTTCGACAACTGGAGTGGATGCCTCAGCGAGACGAGAAACAGTCCCGTGAATGTATTGTTCCAGGGTAACATCCCCAATGATTAGGGCCGAGGCTATCCGGTCAACTTCCATGATGCTCAAGTGCGGTTCGTGCGATTGATATGGCCTTGTTGAGATATGGAATCCGAGGCTCGATCAAGTGCTGATTTGGCACAACAAACAAGAAACGATGTTGAGAGAAAGTTCATAGGCGTGCAGAGAAGGGAGAAAGGAAGGAATCTCTCTGAATTTCGTTTGTTTACATTACCATGTCACGCATTATCAACGTGTTTGACGTGTCTGCTTCTTCGATTATGTCGTCGGACTGATCTATATACTAGAATCCCTAAAGATGTCTTAATGTTTGAACTCCCTAAGCCCCCCAACCCTAAATGACCCTAACATGATGAGATATCCAGTGGATTCTTTTGAATTAACAATGAGAACCCTTTGAAGTTTAATACTTCGAACTCTGAGATTATCCTCTGTCCGCCTCTCTATTCACCTTCATCTCCCATGTTTTGAACTCGAGCTCCGAATTTCTGAACGTATGTAACAGCCCGCGCAAAATGACACCGCTCCCTCCTCTCCCTCTCGGCGACCAAAAAGGTATTGTGGTCAACATACCTAGGTATTCCAGCATCATTTCCGTCAATATGGCGTCGCAAAATGATCCTGATATTATCATGTAGGGAGATACCAAGCCCCATTGGCCCCTGCGACTCCTAGCTAAGCCTTACTAGACTAGCAGTGGAAGGGGACGAGGACGTGAACGTAGATAGGGGCATGGACCGATGAGTAACAGAAGATAGGGAAGACTGCAACAGCACTGGTTGAATAATAAATCTAAAGATGGTGAATCCTAGCATTTGGGTGTCAAATATATGTGCATAGATGGCGGTTAGGTAACGGTCATTCTCAGTGGATTTAGTATCAGGGCGAACAATAGAACATTGCATACCTATATTCATCTTTTGTTATTCGTCCCCAATCGCCTTTCAAGATGGATTGTGTTTGGCGCAACAATGGTCCGAATCCGATATAAGCGCTCTTTCCAAGTGACCTCCTCCACCGTCCAAACTTGGAAGCTGCTTCTCCCATCTCTCCGAAGTCCGCCTATCCCCCCTTCGATTTGCATCACCATTTCTGATTTCGAACATCCCACCGCCTTCATTACTCTTCCAACATGATCATTGTCACCGGTGGCGCCGGTTTTGTTGGCTCAAACATTGTTAAGGAACTCAACAACAGGGGTTTCACTAATGTCGTGGTGGTGGACGACATGACCGATGGATCAAAGTTCCGCAACCTGGTCGACTGTAAGGTTGCTGATTATATTGACGCCACCACGTTCCGTGAGGCCATCCGTTCTAAGTCCTTCCATCACCGTCCCCGCGCTATCTTCCACTATGGTGCCATCACCTCGACGACCGAGACAAACGGCAAGAAGATGATCGACGCCAACTTCACCTACTCCAAGGAGCTCTTCAACTGGTGCAAGGAACAGAGCGTTCGCTTTATCTATGGTTCCTCTGCAGCCGTTTATGGGACTGGTAAAGTCTTCACCGAGGGAGACTCCCACGAGGCCCCCGTGAATCTCTTTGGCTACTCGAAGATGCTTTTTGATCAGTACGTCGTGAAGAACATCGACGCTCGCTCACCTCAGGTTGCAGGACTGCGCCTCTTCAACGTCTACGGACCCGGTGAGCAATACAACGATGCACGCCCCAGCGCTGTCTACCAATTCTACGAAAAGCGCAAAGCCTTCAAAGCCATTGAGTTGTTTGGCGAATACGCTGGAGTTGAGGCTGGAAAGCAGATGCGTGACTTCGTTCACGTCCAGGATGTTGCTCGTCTCAACTGCTGGTTCCTTGATCACCCCGAGATCAGTGGTATTTACAATGTCGGCACTGGGGCTGCCAGCAGTTTCCTTGACGTTGCCACAGAGGTTGCAAGCCATTTCGGAAACCCCGAGGGTTACATCAAGTTCGTTCCTTTCCCCGCTGAACTGAAAGGCCGCTACCAAAGTTACACCTGCGCTGATATCTCCAAACTTCGTCGAGCTGGATCTGGTCTGCGTTTCCGAGATATCCACGAGGGCATTAGGGATTACTTGGAGTGGCTTGAGGAGCACAAGGGTGTGGACCACTAATTGTATTTCCGTCAACTGTGTTCATTGCGTCTCGTCTGATACCCCGGGACCTCAGTCAATGCGGTCAAGCTTCTCCGTTGTCATGGAAGTCCCCCCTCGAAGCTTCATTTATGAATGAAGATCATTCACATCTACGATGGAAAAGAAGTGCAAAACAAAAGAAACGAGCAAAGAAATTCAAAAAAGAGAGCACAGAGAAAAGAGGGAGGAAACAAATCAGATTTAAATGGCCAACCCTTATGTTCTCGACAATGTCTTCGTGCCTAGGTTGAGCATAACCTATCTCTCCAGGAGTTTCCATATTAAAATAGTGACAGCCTAGGTAGCCCAATCTCATTCAGTGGCAAAGCAATCTTCAACTAAATGCACAGTCCCGATTGAGTTCTTCGGACAATTGCCTTCAAAAATTGATTCTCGCTTGGGAATCAGAGTGATGGCTATGTCATTCTGAAGTAGCAGAATCCTGTCTATATATGTGAGAACATGTCATATCGGCAACATCCCAGGATATGCCTTCGGTGTTCTTCATCTTCTGCGCTTGTACCTCGGCAATTCTTCGGCCAATCAGCGAGACAGCGCGGGGCATCAACGGTTATTAGAATGAGGTCTGTGGGGTAAACAGTTGACTCTGAATTCGCTTTTCATTTCACATCGCATCTCTCACAGCGTCCGTCATGACAACGTTGACGGAGAGCAGGTCTTCTCTCCCAAGACCCTCACACCAACTCGAACTGGAGGAGCCCCCAGATACTGTGGAATTTGTTAACCAACAACTCGAGCCAATCGATCATGGCCCTGCCGCTTGGAAGCTGCTGGGAACAGCATTTGTGTTCGAATCTTTGTTATGGGGTGCGCACCACGTCGATTCAGATACCAGCAAATAATGACATATCCCAGGATTCCCACTTTCATTCGGAGTTTTCCAGAATTATTACTCGGAGCTTCCCGAATTCGCCGGCAATCCCTATATCTCCGTCGTAGGCACTGTTGCTTCAGGAATATCCTATCTGGGAGCGCCTCTCACGGCCCCTTTCATCAAGCGCTTCCAAAAGTACCAGCGACAGATGATCTGGGTTGGATGTACGTACCCATCCACATCTGGTTATTGAAGTCTGTATTCACAATCTCCCAGGGCCAATATGCATCCTGGCACTCATCTCCGGATCCTTCGCCTCGACTCTTGAAACCCTCATCCTCACACAGGGCGTAGCTTACGGTCTCGGCTTTCTCATTTTCTACTATCCAATCCTCAACATGGTGAACGAGTACTGGGTTGCTCGCCGTGGAATGGCATACGGACTCCTCTGCAGCGCATCGGGGGTATCAGGTGCTGTGATGCCATTCATCATGGAGAATCTATTGAACAAATACGGTTACCGAACCACACTGCGAGCCGTGGCAATAGCACTTGTCATACTCACAGGGCCTTTAATCCCTTTTCTGAAAGGACGTCTCCCAGCCTCCCGGTATACATCCACCGCAAACGCCGCAGCAGACTGGAGTTTTCTGCGAACGCCTGTGTTCTGGGTTTATTCGGTCTCGAATGTCGCCCAGGGTCTGGGATATTTCTTCCCTTCGCTATACCTGCCTTCGTATGCTCGGTCGATGGGACTGAGTAGTACGAAGGGGGCTATGCTTCTTGCTTTGATGAGCGTGTCGCAGGTGGCCGGCCAGTTCACCTTTGGCTTTTTGTCGGATAGAAGGGTTTCAGTGAATATTCTCATTGCGCTGTCGACCGTGGTAGCAGCGGTTGCCTCGTTCACTTTATGGGGACTGGCTCGTTCCATCGCGCCGCTGATCGCTTTTGCCTTGTTGTATGGCTTTTTCGGGGCGGGGTATGTTTCGATGTGGGCGAAGATGGCTAGCTCGGTCACTGCTGACCCAACGGCTACTTCAATGGTTTTTAGTCTGCTGTGCTTTGGAAAGGGGATTGGGAATGTCTTGACAGGGCCTCTCAGTGCGGGCTTGATATCGCGGGTGGTCGCGTTGGAGAAGTATGGGCTGGCGAAGTACATGTCTGTTGTTGCTTTCACGGGCGGTTGTATGGCCTTCAGCGGTGTTGTTGTGTGTTCGTGGTATATAGGCAAGCGTGGGATGAGTCTGGTTCGGTAGATACAGGTGTTGGGAAAGAATTGCCTTATATTAGCCAGCTTCTTCGGCAGGTCCCTCGCATTTGTTTGCTCAGACACCTGCTTGTTCCTCTATGCAATTTGAGGAATTGTTTGATATAAAAATGAGGAGGCTAGAAGATATGACATTCCTCCGTCTATATATGAAAGGGTTGCCAATACACCATACTTTGTATCTCTCTCTTCTCTCTCCATCTCCCTTTTCGTGTGTTTTATTTTTCACAAGCCTGTTCTCAATCTTCTCATTAAAATATATATAGCGAAACTATCGATCCAGCGAGATCACGCAAATTTCGACGATAATTGACTTTCAGTATGTCATCCTCTCATTCACAGTAATGCCATCTGCGCACCTGGAACCTCGATGAAAGACATGGTCTCTAAATACTCCCCCACAGTCCCTCATAGCCTTTTGGAGATGCACCTCCCAACATCGTCTACCTTTTGTCAGCCTCTGTCTCTCCTATCCCGTCCATCAATCCCGTTTCCAAGTCCAATATACCTCCATATCCTGTTTGAAGAGACCCAAACGGAGCGAGGTATATCTGCACCGCCCGATGACATGCATCCTCTTCCAACATGAAAAACTGCCAGAGTTGCATCACTTTGAATTTCTCTCTGAAATCACCATGGAGATGACTCCAAGCAGCACTTAGCTGTGAAAACCGACCTAATCGACCCACATCCGCATCGATGATGAAACGCGTCTATCCCTGACGACCTCCCTTTCACATCCATCGACCTGAAATAACAGGCCGTGTCGCCTAAAACCATTCAGGGTAGTCCTGTGCATATAGAAACGCACAGCGACTGCTCATCGTCTCCCCTTCTTTCTGTTCCCTTGCATTCTGCAGCCTCTTCCAGCCTGGCCTATGTCTTTTGGTTTTCATTCGGCATGAAGCCCTCACCTCATACATCCTCAAACATACACTACCGCGTGCTTCTCTTCCAATGAGACTCCAGAGCTCAAATGGCGAGTTTACGTTCCTTGCGCTATACAGATAACAGCTCGTGCTTGGTGGTATCTGGCTCTATTTCCAGCCTTATGGGCTCTTTTTTTGTCGGGCTCATCTATGCCTGGTTCTTCGAATCCATTACTCAACAGACTCATAATCGCGAAGGGGATATTGGGGATCAGACTCCGACATGCCTATTGGTGGGCAATTTATAAAATCGACATGTTGATTGGATATCTCAGAAGAATCGGGATTCAACAAATTCAAAAGATAGGCAGCGACAGAGGGAATGAGTGCCGAAAATTCGCCTCGTTCCACTCCACCTCCTAATGGTGATTGCGCAGTGATAAGGGTTGGCGCAGAAAGACTTGATACTATGCTGGATGCAAATTCGATTCAGCACACAGTTCCTATGTCTACAGCTCCTACTTCTCGTAACGTTAAACCCATTACCGTTGACTTGGCCCCTCATCGCGCCTGTCATGCCGGTGAAACCAAAGTAAGGAAAATAGAATCTTGGCTGATGGTGTACGCTTGATTCCTGGCACGGGAGTCATTCATCCTTGTGTACCGTGCACCAAGGGGAAAGGTCATACCATCCCGTTCGGCAGGGAAAAGGCCATTCGCACTCAGCCTGGAGACATGCTTCATAACGACATTTGGGGCCCGATTCCCATTGCTTCCTATGGTGGAGAACGCTATTTTGCGACATTTATTGATGATGTATCTCGTTTTACATGGACTTTTCTACTCAAATCTCGTTCTGAGATTACAGAGTGTTACATGCAGATCGAGATTTATCTTCGTACTCAGTTCAACTATGTTGTCAAGAGAGTTTCTTGGGTGGATTAAGTACTACGACTTGAAAGACTTGAGAAAGGCCCTACAATGATGAGTTGGAGATCATAGTTAGAGATATCCGCTTCTGCTCGCTGGGTAATTCTCCATGTGTCTGTATTAGAGGCTGTGATGGCCGCAAATCCTTATGTAGGATGACTTGGTTGCTGTATAAACCGGTGAAACACTGTAAATAAGGGTATTTTTGATCACATGAGCCGGTTCGAGATTGAGGATTGGGGCGAGCCAACTTGCAGTTAGATTTGGTCTGGGCTATCATCATATTCTCTCGATGGGTTACAATTCTACATACCGAAGCAAAGATACTCGCTGCCCGATAGATTCACACATCGGACACGATGAATATAAACTGCGGGCTGTTGCACGACCGAACTAATAGCCACTAGGGAAGATCTCTACTCGAACACTATTTACAGGAGAGAAAACATCCTAAAGAAAAACAGCGAGATCTATCGCGTGGAATTAGGGAGCGTATAAGTAAAATACAAAGTCTGGGAATCAATTCGCAGACCGAAAACATCCCCAGCCGTCGGTTGGAAACATTCAAGAGCTGTCGGGCAAAAGGAAAAACCAAAAAAGCAGATCTGTACTGTGCAAATTTGTAGCGAGAGGATAAAGAAAGTAAAAAATTCTTCAGATGGTTTACACCATCAAAGTGAAGAATGCGGCGAGAGAAGCCGCCATCAGACTCGAGGCGATCGACACGGTCGATGCGGAATTGAAGACCGGGGATGCGCTGGGCCAGGCGCTGGCGCTGGTACTGGCAGATGGGTATCCGCTGGCGGTCACCCAGGTAGCCGAAGCCGGGGCAGGGACAATGCCGGTGTGCGCTGGGGAGGCGTTGCTGGGGCTGGCGGGGACTAGGCCGACGGTGGGGACAGCGTCGACACCGGTGGCGGTGTTTGTGACAAAGCTGACCTGGGGCACGGTGACGGTGTAGGTGGAGTAGGTGATGGTGGTGCAGGGTTGGGCGGGGCCCGAGGTGACAGGGGCGACGGCGCTAGGGACCGAGGCGCTGCCGACGGCATCGACGCCGGATGGGGGAGTGGAGGGAGCGACTGTTGGGACCAGAGTGATGGATGTTGGGATTTCGGTCACAATGCCTGGGTTTTCGGGGACCCAGGTAGCGCAGATTCCGGTGAAGTAGGAAAGAGCGGATTGGATCTCTCCCTTGGAGGCACCCCAGGCTTGGATGCAGGAAATAACCTTGCTGGTGAACTCGCTGTTGGGGCAGAAGCACGAGGCATCACTGTTGGATGTGCACTCAGGGGCGAGGTCTAACCAGGTGTTGATACACTGGGGCACGGTGTCGGGGCATGACGATGAGGGGACCGGGCTTGATACTGGAGAAACACTGCTGGGCACTGAGGGAGTTCCGCTAGAGGTAGGAATCTCGCCAGGGATAGGGATCTCAGTGGCGGTAGGGACCTCGGTGGCGGTAGCGCTGCACGTGGTGCAGATGGTTGAGACCGAGGTGACTGTGATTGTGGAAACAGTGTTGGAGGTGGTGATGAATGTGGAAGAACCTGAAGTGACGGTGTTGGTCACAGGGCAGGTGGTCTCAGTCACGTAAGTCACAATGGTGGTAGTGGCTTCCTCGGGGATGGTGGGTGTAGAGCTTGCGCCAATGCTGGTGACAGCAGGTCCAGTGGGAGGGGGGGCCGGAAGCGATGCCGGTCTCAGTGGGAGCAGGGGTGCTTCCGGGGGCGACAGAGCTAGGGACGTCAGGGGTAGAAGTGGAAGTCAAAGTCACAGTTGAAACAGTGCTCGATGTCGTGACGAACGTCGACGAACCAGAGGTAATAGTGGCAGTCACAGGGCAGGTGGTCTCGGTCACGTAAGTCACGATGGTGGTAGTGGCTTCCTCGGGGGTAGCAGGAGTGGTCTCGGAGACTGGGCTGGAACCAACTGGGGTAGAGACAGAGCCACTAGGGACGGGACTCGATTCTTCGGGAGTGCCAGAGGGACCGGTGCTGGGAACAACAGTGCTAGCCTCCTCACCGGGCCCAGACGGGACAGTGGTGCTCTCCCCGGCAACAGGGGTGGGGGTGGCAGAGCACTTGGTACAGATTGTGGAGACGGAAGTCATAGTAACAGTCGAAACAGTCTCCGAGGTGGTCAGGAAAGTGGAAGTACCAGAGGTAACAGTGTTAGTCACCGGGCAAGTGGTGATAGTCTCCCAAGTCACGATGGTAGTGGTAAAATCGCCAGGGCCAGGAGGGGTGCCACCAGTTGACGAGGGTGCCGGAGAAGAGGGAGCAGAGGTGATACCAGGAGCCGGGGGAGTGCCGGCTGTGTGAGTGTGAGTACCAGCCGGAGGAGTACCAGCAGGGGGAGTACCGGCTGTGTGCGTGTGAGTGCCAGCAGGCGGGGTACCAATTGTGTGCGTGCGAGTGATAGCGGGAGGAATGCCAGCCGAGGAGCTAACAGGAAGAACGCCGCTTGGGATTGGGCCTTCAGGCACAGAAGTAGAGCTGATAGCAACTGGGGTAGTCTCAGTCACAGGGCAGACAGTAGTCGAGATAGCAATAGTCGATGTCACAACGGTGGTCGAGCCGGATCCAGCAGGGCAATCAGTGACACTAGGCGCGCAGCTAGTGATGGTGATCAAGCTGGTGGTGTACACAGTCGAAGTGGTCATCCGAACAGGAGTGGTGATAGCTGGGGTCGAAGGACCGGATGTCACAGCGGGGGGCTCGCTCGCAGATGAGGAGCTGACTGAAGAAGAATCCCCGACCGAGGATGAAGTCCCGACTGAAGATGAGGGAACAGTGGTGCCACTGCTGTGGGGAGGTACAGCCGATGAGCTGGCAGGGAGCACGCCGCTCGGGCTGGGTACGGGAGGCAAGGACGGCACACCTGTTGCGGCGGGTGTAGTCTCGGTGACAGGGCAGACTGTAGTAGAAATAGCAATGGTGGAAGTGACGACAGTCGTAGATCCAGCAGGGCAATCAGTAACAGTGGGAGCGCAGCTGGTGATAGTGATCAAGCTGGTTGTGTACACCGTCGATGTAGTCATCCGAACAGGAGTGCTCACGACCGAAGTAGTGACGGGAGCCACCGAGGAGCCAGGAACAGAGACTGAAGGGATGACGATCGGGATCGAAGTAGCAGACACAGTCGAGTGCGGCACTGAAGTAGCAGGGACAGTGGTGGCAGGGACTGGCAATGTGGCTGTGGAACCAGGAGTGCAGTCAAAGCCAACGCTGTAGATGCCAAATCCGCAGCTCTCATGTTCGCTGTGGTCTGGCAGCTCAAAGTGCACGGACTTAGCACCACCACACTGATCGTTCTTGACCAAGGTACCGCGAGAATTGCAGGAAGCGGTGTTTCTGCAAGTCGATCCATCGGGCATGCTGTAGATGACGTGCAGATCGGTATCCTTTTCCGTGGCAACGTGGAAGTTGGTCACAGAGAAACCACTTTCATCTGCGCCGCAAGAGAATGAAGGAGCAGAGGAAGGGGGGGCCTCGAGAGCCAGAGCCGTGGCTGGAGGCAGAAGAGCTTCCCTTAGAGACAGTACCGGAGATACATTTCTGGGTCTATAGCCGTGGTCAGTATATAATTGATGTCGATCATGGGTAGATATGCATCACTTACGCCGCGCTTGCCAAGGCCCGAGCCAAAGCCATTGCCGCAGGTAAAGCCAGAGAAGGAGAAGCCACCATAGTGATCGAAAGAACCAGGAGCAAGATCAGTCCAGCTGAATCCTTTATGCTGGTGATCATTACACTTGTTGGGAGATCTACCGGGCTTGGAGTAACACTTCTCAGAGCCCCAGTACTAAGATAGATCACAGTTAGCATGTACATCCAAGACGAGACGAAGGTTAACTTAAGGCTTACCCCTCCGGTAGCTTGGCCTGAGCCAAGAAGAGCGAGAAACGCAATAGCCGAAGTGACCTTCATATTGGAAGGTTATCGGCAACGAGTGACAGGAAGGAGCGTTGCGAAAGTTGTAATAGAGGAAGGAAAGAAGAGCCAAGAAGTATTGAAAGAGAGAAAGAATATAGTGATACAGGGGTCTCAGCAGGACAGGCTGCGATATAGAAAGATGGCACTCAATGGAGCTTGCAATATAAGCTGCGATTGTAGGGATATAGGCAACGAAATAGGCAAATCTTATTATCGCTGGCGACAACCAAAAAAGAAAAAGCCTCAATGAAACTGAACCAATATCAAACGAGAGAGGGTGGGACAAGGAAATACCAGTCCCTGAACGAGCGTCTTTGGTTGGGGACGAACCAAGCAGGCCAACAACAGCCAAAGGAAATAAAAACAATGACGAGAATGAGAGACCTCTAGGGTGTGGGAAGCGTAGCGCTTTATAAACAAACTTGACTAGGGAACGGGTCATGAACTCCTGCAGACAAAGGGCCCGGCTACGAGTAGGAAGCATTTTTCTGACCCGACGCATCCTGGTGTTAGGGGAAACAGGTAAGACATCTAGTCAGGGAGCACAATCATTCCTCCAATCGGCAGGAATCTGGAGGAGAGATGAAACGGTTGTGGTCCCATAGAGAGCGAGCTTGGGGATTCATCCAGAGCGCGGCGTCGATTAGTGCAGGAACAACCTGAAGAGGCTGATGACGAGCCAGTCAGAAGCTACCGACTGGAGCCGTTAATCAGGGCGCCTGCGGGGGTGGCCCAATCCGAGTCAATGCCTCTGCGTCTTGGTTCGTGGGATGCGACTGTGAGATCGGTCGACATTTCTTATTCACCAATGAGCGTCATCGCAAGTAAAAATAGTTGTATGCACATTGGGACAGCGCTTGATCGGCACGGAAGCTTGCATATTGCCGATCGAGAGTCGAGCAGAGGTTCTTCAGAGTTCCTATCACTGCCCCAGTCTATTCCGTAGTTTGTACGCGTTATAGCTGCTAGTCTTTTTGTTGATGCCTTTGTATTTGGTCCCGAGAGGCTTTCTCTAGAGTCCCAATAGCTTGACCCCTTTTTCCAAGAATAACAGCCACCTTCGACGGAGTACGGAGTAGCCCGGTCTAGTGCGATGAACCGGGTGATGGGGCCAAATGCGACCGGTCAGAAAAGCCCAGTCTTTTGGCGTCTCGCCCTGAAACGGAGATCCCCACTCTCTTGGGTTTACTTCTGCTGTTTGCCTGCAGTTCATGCTCTGAGCAGTGAGAGGTTGATCCTTGCCCTCTTTTCCTCTCTTATGCGCGTTGTGAACTCGAAGCGCCGGGGCTGACGAATCAAAAACCGCGTGCTTGATGGGGCCAACGGTGCTGTTGTGTAGCATAAGCTCTTCTCTTCTCTTTTTTTCTTTTTGTTTTTCTTTTTCTTTTTGTTTTTGTTGTTGTCTTCTCTTCTTATTTCCCTTCCAGGGGTTGACTCCCGGACAGTGGCGGAGATGGTGCGACAGGGGAAGTTCCAAAGTTGTCCAGTCTCGCCACGGTGGATTCAGAAGCGCCCGCTCCGGACGAACCTACCACTTACAGCCCGTGAACGGTTCTGGGCTTCTCTCTCAGCGTTTCACCTTTTTCCTTGCTTTTGCATTATGCTTGTCCGATGAGCACATTGTTCTCTACCTACAAAGCTACTATTCCGTATTGGGTACAATTGCACCTCTCTCAGCCCGGATAACGTTGAGGTACAAAGGGCTTCATTCTGGGGTTTCTTGATCACTTGCAAGACTCCATCAACTCCAGAGTCATAAGTGGACATCTTCCGGACATCCGAATCAAATCACCCTAGGATTCGGGGAAATCCGGTGAAACGCCCAAAAATACCCTAGCGCCACTTACTACGCTGTCCCCCTTCGAACGGTTCATTTCTGGCTAGACAAATTAACTCGCTAATCTGGTATCTATTTATGGGCATCCTGGAGTAATTATTAACGAGATGTTATGCAGGTGTAACGCTAGAGCCACACCCAATTTCCCTTGGGACTACGTTGCTCAGTGTCCAGTATCAAGGCTTGTCTCGTTTGTACTCCGTACTCCGTACGCGTTTCTCAATCAGGGGCTCTAATTTCCTCGTGGATGCGGGAGTATAGTCATTCAATAGTCTTGACAGCCATGTGCTAACTCAAAGCCACCGGGAAGGATACATGTAGGGATAATATCTGACTATTGATATTTGAAAGTATAGTTGTGCCGGTACTAACCAAACTGCGTTATTATACTCCGTACTCCGTACGTAGAGAGCCTGGGTAGCAACAACCATGGAAAGGTTGGATGATTAGCTGACTTGTTCGGTTAATGGTAGCATTGCGCTATCGACTCGGATCACAGGCATTTGACGTTCTGGACAATATATCGGTACTCCATACTCCGTACTAAGCGCATACTCTGTACTCCGTACGGAGTAGAGGCAGGGCATTCATGGCCTCATAGGGCCTAGATCACAAGGGTCTCAGACCAACTTCAGGCTATCGCGCTGCGACCCTAATACAAGGACCATAATCACTTCATGGCAAGCAGGATCAACCCCTTTAGGCCCCTACACGTTGGATACTGATCACATGCTTGCCCAATTGTGCAAACTCATCCAACAAACAGACCATCGCCACCGAAGCTCTAGTTGAAGACTGTCGGCTTCTAGATACAGTACAGAGTACCATCAAGGTAATTGGGTTGGTCTTTCCAAGCCATGCGTTGAATTCCAATATTTGTCATCGCAAAGTGTAAGCTCATTTGGCTGACTCGCATCGTGCTCTAATACCTTGCGAATATTTCCAAGTTCTGCCATCTGAAGGTCCATAGCACATAGCTAGGTATCTCTTTAGCAGCTTGGAGGCCGCTCTGTGACAGCTAAAGCCTCGCTGTTTGTTCTTGTTTCTCCAGCACTAGAAAGAGGGTCGCAGCATAACATATTATGGTGAAGTATCATTATATCAAGCGCTGGCCAAATAGATAGCAGGCCTTCTCGGGTTCGGATGATAGATCCTAGAGTAAATGGAGTATTCGCTGGGAATTCAAACATTCTTCTTTCCCTTTAGTGAAGGATCAGGTGATTGAATGTATAGATATAAAAATCACAACTCAAGAGCGCGATGAGCGATGAGCGAGGTCCATCGACTACACTTTTAGGCCAAGGATTTTCTGAGACAACAGCCATATAGAATGAGTCTCACAAAGGGATCGAGGACTTCGGAGGCCCATCGAAACTTCATACAAATTGATAATATATACATACGAGGCATCGATTGGCGGTGAGTATAGGTAAGTACTCCATGCCTCAAAACAAACCCCACGATCTAATCGCACTCGCTGGATGCAGCCTAACTCTCAAGATAAATTTATCAAAAATGCAAGACGCCCTCCGCCCCAGCAAAGCAGACTTTGAAACTACCCTCCACGCAAGCTATCGGCAATGGCTTACTTACTTCAACACCACCGACACCCGTCTTCCCTTGGAATCTATTGACCTCACGTCCCTCCTCAAAGATACGCCCGCATACCTTGCCGCCGGATTGAACCCACGCGATAAAGATTTCTCCTTTGCTTGCGTGAAGAAACACGATGATCTTGAAGTAAAAGGACATTCAAAATGGCGGACCTCCAGACCTGGTGCCAAGTGCATTACCCCACCAAAGGTCATGCCGTTGGATCTTCAACTTGGAGTTCCAAAGGCTCGCGAAGTAGAGTTATCCAGCGAAGCCCCGCTATCAGAATGGCCTGGTGTGCGTGGCATCTCTGGTCTTGATGAGGGAAATCACATCTCGGTACTATTTCTAGCCTGGGCGTACATTTTCTCTGCTAAATGGGCCGAACTACTTGATATTTCGGAGATGCATCGGTGCACAACAAAATATTCATCGAGGTTCTGTCAACACCGTGAAGATTCAGTAGCACAGAAAGTCGTTGAGATCGACCTGCCACCAGATACGAGCGAGGCCGAGCTTGTCTGGTGGAATGCCGTACTCTCCGGAACACCCGCATGGGAGATATCCGTGGCATACAAATCAGAGAAGTTCCTCTCTCCATGGTCTATCTCTGTAGGTGGCGAGATATCAATGCGAGCAAAATATCAAATCCAGTCTACAGCACACGAACCCCCACCATCAACCACAGCCTTCCAATACCTCACCCACTACTGCACGCATCACCACATCTACGCGCAATGCTCCGCATCTCTCTCCGCAGCACTCCTCATACAAGACCCATTCTTCCGCACTCCAAAGCTACCGATCCCCAAACCCGCCAACACGAACCAAACCAACACCCAAAGCCCGCAATCAATCCCCGCCCTAATATCCAAACACAAATCCCTCCTCCCATACTATATGACTCTAAGCAGCAGTCCATGGACAACAATGCAATCAATGTGCAGCGTATTCTTCAACCCCGATATCCCCTGCAATCTCGTCGCCGCATGGATAAACCCCGCATTCGCAATCATAAACCCCCTCGTCAAACAAGGCAACCTTGTACATCTTCTAAGTAGCCTCTCAGCACGCCAGCCCCGCGTCGCGAGTCTCTGGCTCGGCGCAACAATTCTGGGTATAGCCGGCGTACACCTGAACTCCTGCAAGGCGGGGTTAATGAGCCCGTCACTGGAAGCGGAAGCGTGGATGGGGATGCCAACCACGTTTATAACACAGCCTGTTGGCGTCTACGATGAGAATGCCGATACCGTCCAGCGCGAAGACGAGTGTAAGCTGCTTTTTCTGGCGACAGACAGCGACGGTAGTTACAATCATGGGTATCTGACTTGTTGGTCATGGAAGCCTTTCGGAAATACGAGGCTTTGTGATGTGAATATTCTAGTTCGAGAGCATCTGTGTTGTGGATGTCATGATTTGGGATATGAGGGGTGGTCTTGGGATCTTGATGGCGGGTTGAAGATTGAGGATTCAGGTGTTGAGGCGCGGTTTGCGTCTCTTCTTTCGTCTGTGTCTACACCTGTCTCGGAAGTTGGCCTGGAGTCCGGGCTTGGAGAGGCAGATATATCTCTGCCGAAGAGCTGTGAGGATGATCTGTATTCAGATGAGAGATCGAGTAATCCCACGCGAGGGATATTTTCTTGGCTTCGGTTGGAGGGATATCCGGCGAATGAAAAGGGGATTTATCAGCATGAGTGGGTTACCATTATGTATGATTCGGAGGAGGAGATCGATGACAAACATTCGGATGATGATGCGGCTGGGGCATGTACTGAAGGAGTGGGTAGTTGGCTCCAGGGTGTTGAAGTCTAGAGGACGATTGTTGCGAATATCATCGTTGGGTTCTCCAGACATGTACGGAGTACCTTATGGAGCCACCGAATAAGGTTGAGGTGGGTCCGGGATGTGGGGTTTATCAGCACGGCTGTGGAAATCGGCCATTTTGCATACATTCTACACTGCCTACAAAGCAAATGGGATAAATGTTTCGAATGTTTTTGGAATTGATAAGGTAAATGTAAAAAGCAACAGAGAAACAGCCATCACTCGTTAAAGCGCAAACCCACAAGTTTTCAACTCCATAAATCCAAAGGTATCACCAGCCCCCGCAACAGGCGAGGGAGAAAAATGACCAGTCAATAGATAGGTATGACATGAGAATGTAAGTTTAAGAAAAAAGAGATTAACGAATGACAAAGAAATAATCGAGTATCAAAATGCAAATAGGCGTAAATGGGACCACTTTTCCGGTTCAAAGAACCGACATCGATCTTTCGCCAAGCTAACTCGAGACATGGTGTGGTGGATGAATCACCACACAACACAACAGTAGCAAGATGCAAATAAACCAGATCGAGGAGCCTGTATGCTCAACGATGTGGCTTCGGGTCAAAGGTATAATGACCCAATGGTCAAGTCTGCCAGCGACTAGGAACCGATGAAATAAATGGCGGCCGTGTTTATCGTATGTTCTTGGAGATAATCCAAAAGGTCGTGCAATCGTTAAAATAGCGCTCAGAGAGGGAGCTGAGAGCGACGTTGCTGAGCGTCCATCAGCTTGCGTCGCACAGCCTCACCACCAGCAATGCTGCTTGATTTACGCTTGCGGGTGGGGGTGCGCTGATCATTGTTTTTAGCGTGTCGGAAGACACTGGCAGGACGCGCGGGAGAGTTCGCGGGCATGAACTCGCGGTGCTGAGGAAGGCGGAGGAGCGCCTGGTAGCGGTTGTGGTTACGACGGAAGGCGGTGACAATACCCTGATCAAGGTGGTTGAGGAAACGCTCTTCCTTGTTGGTCGATTGTGACTCAGACTTGCGACTAGGGGTAGGTGTGCCCATAGACTTGCCAGTGGGAACAGCCATCGGGGACACTTGGGTAGAGTCATCATACGGCTTATCCATGTCCTCGTCTTCATCAGAGGATCCATTGCCGAAATCGATGAAATCATCGACGTTGAGAGAAGCCTCTGGGTCGTCTTCTTCGTCTTCTTCGAAGGAGCTATCAATGGTGAAGTCCTGGGAAGGGTAGAATGCCTCAGGAGGGCCCATGACCTGGCCACCTGGGGTGAGATCGTTGCCGAGAGCGGTCATCATGAGGTTAGCGCTCGAAGCCAGCATAGGACTGAATTCAGTCTGGTTGGGGGATGCAAGGGCATCGGTGTCACTTTCATCAATCAAGTGAAGCGTAGTCTGGCGAGGGCTAGTGTTGGCAGTTCCAGGCATGCTGTTGGCAGCAGAGTCCAGCCAGTCATGGCGAGAAGATGCATATGCAGGAATGATGACAAGATGCTTGCCAGTGCAATCGACCAAAGCCACTGGCTTGTGGGGGTCTGCTATAAAGGTTCCCATGATAGGTCCGCGACGGCGGGGCACGCAGTCATTCTTGTCGTCCACGGGGGCCAAAGAGTCAGATGAGTCTCGGCGGAGAAGAGATCGAGGGTGGGTGATAGTTGCTGGTGGGGGGAGATCCTCGTCTGTGGTATCACCATCATCGCCTTTTCACGGGGTTAGCAAAATTCGAACGCAACACAGATGACCAAATTTCCTACTCTCGTAACCACTCAAGCTGCCCTCGGACGATCCATCGGACTCGACGTGGTAAATGCTTCCGTGGCCGTAATCAGCGTCACCAAACATCTCTTCCGATTGGCGGCGGTGGCTTCTGTGGTAATTTTCGTTGTCGTTTTCGATCATACGACGCAGCTGGGGGTCCAAGCTGTCCTGTTGCAGGAAATCACCAGGGATCTCATCATCACTGTGGGAATCGCTATCCGAGGACGAGTCTGATCGCTCTTCAAAGTGAACTCGCCGAGGCATTGGAGTCTCAACGGCTTCACTTGTCACCTCAGGCTCTCCAAAGGTATCCATAGCACTGTAGAGATTTTCTTCGTCGAAGAAGGATGCAGCGGGGAGGAACATGTGATCATCAAATGAGCTGATAGCCCATTGATCATCAGTGAATCCAGTGCTGGACGGGGGGCGCTGAGTCTTCTCAGACTCCACAATCATCATTTCCTCCATCTTCTCCATCTCTTGCTCTTCTTCTTCATCTTCAGCATCCGTGATATAGTCTACAGCGGCATAAACATCATCTGAGCTATCATCAGAGTCATTAGCGTCACTGCTATCACTACTATCATCCGTCAAGACACGTCTTCTCTTAGTGTTCGCGGGTTGCCGCCCCGCCTTACTATCCCGACGACGAGCATAAGACGGGGCTCGGACTGCCGGTTCTTCCTCGTCGTCTGCATCTTCTTCTGAGTCATCTGCGTCCTCGCTCAAATCCCCGAGGGACGAGACAGAGGAGACACTCGAGACTGATGATGACGAAGCTCTCCGTTTTCTATTGGCAGGTGAAGTATTTGATGCCTTCCGAGACTGATTAGCCTTGGGTGACATGTCGAGAGTCCGCATGATGTTGGACTCGGGGGTTGAGGGACGAGGGTGGACGTTTTTGGCAGAGCTCTTGGGGGCCCGCTTGGAGGAGTATGCGCTTTGTGGCATATTGAGAGAGTATTGTGTGTGAAGCTGTTGAAGTGAAAGAATTTGCGTGGTTGATTCGGACTTCTTTGGTCCTTGCGTTTTTTTTATGCAAATAGTCCGGTCCGTTTCAGAAGGATCCAGCGAGGAGATAAGAGGGGTAGATCGTCCTTGGTGATAGATTCGTAATTGGATCCCAAAATAGAGGATCCGTAAGGGGATAAGTCGAGGGTGGAATGGTGGGACGAAGTGGAGGATATCGGAGGAGTGGAGGGGAGGAGTCCAGGGATTTTTTTTCACGCTGAAAGCACCCGCTGTCTGTCGCAGACGCTATAGTGCTTCTTCTGGGAGTTTGCTAGGGGGCAATTCCAACGCCTTCACACGAGGCGTCGAAAGAGTAAAAGATATCGTCAAGTAGAATTGAAGATCGGAGCTGCAGGACTGAGGAGCCGGCAGGGACAGGCTCCCCAGCGAGGCATTTACAGCTCAACGAAGGCCATTTTGGCTAGACTCTTGACGATATGTGGGTATGTAGTAAACTGGGTGAAGATAGTTTCAAAAGTTAATCTGGAAAGTCCGAAATAGATCAAGTGGTGAGAATGCTATGGGAAAGGGAAGAAGAAGAGGAGGGCGATGGGGTCGACTTTTTTCCTAGTGAAGTGGGGGACACTCCTGATTGGCCAAAGCCCACCGTCGCCCATTCGTTGGCGCCGCTCACCGACTCTTTCGGACCAATCAGCGCGCGCCGAAAGTCGCAACGGGAAATGATCTTGATGCCCGTTATTTAGTCCCTTTAGGTCCTCCGTACTCCGTACTGTTGCATTCGATCATGATATTCATCAATATTACATGGATATCATCTCATTGCATTGCCCTTGCCCCCGCCTTGACTACAATATGTGGTATGGCTTTTTTGCCTCAATGGAAAATATCCCGAGTCGAGTCCGAACAAAACAAACCTAAAACGTCATCAATAAGAGCCTCGGCGTCAGTCTCCTCTATGGCGAAATCTTCATTGCAGTCCACTCGACCGCCTAGCAGTCTACAAACCACAGTCTGAGTCGAGCCTCGACCTATTACATCAAGATGGCACCTGTATTAGAGCAACCCGAGGTCTGGATTGGATATCAAACTACCTCTTCGTACCCTATGTACGAGATGCATGTCGAACGGTCACGGTGCAGCAATTGACCTGTGCGGACATGTGCCGATGATTCAATTCTCAGATCGGGATTTTTTCCATTTACCTAACACCTCCCGAGATGAATCATATTGTTCAACAGAAACGCAAATTTTCACTTTGACTATCAGGTCTATTATTGGTAGCCAGAGATCCGGACACGTTTTGGGTGGCAAGCTCGACTCCATTCCGGGCCCGTCTTGGCAACTTTGCCTTCCAAAGCGGGAACCTGCAGGCCCTTTCCTTTTTGCCCCCAATCCCAATGGCTAAGCTGCCTAATAACAAGCGGTAAACAGTTGCGATTGCAGAATGTGCATGAGATAGATCCATTTTTCATCTATAGGAGGACAGTACTCCGTACTCCCTCTACGTTTTCCGGTCTTATAGAGTGCTGTCAGCGACTCACCGAATACTGCGGGTGAAAGCTCAGGAGGCAAAGCCTGGAACGGAAGATCTTTCCGGTTCTTCCTTTTTGAGTCCATTCTTGCCCCTGCAACTTGATGTTCGGAAGCATGCAAGATCATCTCTCTGCCCCGCAGTGGCTGCGAAGGAAAATTTTCGACAACGCCAATCAAACTTCCTAAGAGGGGACATTATTTACTGCGCTAGCTCTGTTTCAGTCATCGAAGCGGATCTCTCGCCGTTCGAATGTTGAATGTCAATAATAATCCTCCACCTGGTCACTTCGACGACCTTCTAGCTTACAGCTTTATCCACTTGTCCAATACAACCTACATATTTCCATTCACCACGTTTTGCTAGCGTCAAACCATCGGATATGGCTACTTCCGAGGTAAATTGACCTGCATTGGAGTCCGAGCCGGCAGCAATTGAATAATGAGAGCAGTGGAAATGACTCATAAAGTTGAATACCCTTCATTGGGGGCCGGAGGATCTATGGTATCGTAAAATCGGAGGATACCTCGGCTACTCCGAGCTTCCGAATCTCAAACAGTGTCATGATTTTCTGGCGTGATCCCAACAACTGCAAGAAAGTGGTGAGATTTCGCAGCTGAGCGGATCGTACCATTCTCCATACATCATAAGATGAGACGTCAGAGCGATACTATGAGCACCCTTAGTTCTCCAATCATGACGATCAAGAACAAGGCCAGAGCGAGAAGAATTGGCTCGTGCTCATACTGTCTCCTTCGAGGACAGCCTCAAATAATATACCTGCTTCTTCACATCTATCGCTCAATGCGCCCAGCTTGAGCGTAAAATCCAGTGAAACATCATAATCACCCCGGGAAGATTCGTAGCCCTCAAGCCCCAGCAAAGTTAAACGTGTCAACGATTTTGAATCCACCAAGCTTTGCATTTGATCGATAGCCCATGGAAATAGTTGGCCATGACAGTAACACAAATACAAAGTCTCAAGGGATGGCGGCAAAAACGAAACGAGATCATGCGTCGACTCAATGCGGTCACTCTCAACCAGCATTTTGAGAGAAATATGTAGATATTTCAACGCGCTGAAGTCGACAAATGATCCCATCAATCCACCATTGCCCTCAGAGGGCGAGAGAGCCTCACCACATATCCACAATCCCTCCAAGGTAGTCTTGTGAAGGGAGAGAGATTTTCGAAGAGGAGCCGCTATGAAATCAGGCCCATCTGAGACTAATGGTCCTCCAATAGTCAACCGAAAGGTCTTAAGAGCCTTGCAAGGTTCAATCCAGTCGACAAACCCACACTCCGTGTTGGTGTTATTCAGGTCAATATCCGTGACTCCCGAGAAGGGCGTAGTGCGGGATTCGCGCGCATCGCAATCGCAATCGAGCATATCCGCCCCTCCAACTTTGCGCATCGCAGGAAAGCTGAAGAACGGTTCCATGAAGCATGCATGCAAGGAATTTTTGGTATCATGCCATTCTGCGAAAGCTTCCTTGAGATGAGGAAATGGCGTATCATTCTCTCGGGTAGCTTTCAGGAACATTGTCTCGACGTAATGAGGTTCATCTGGGCTGCACATGCTAATTTCCCTTAAGCCTTTCAGCTGCGGGATGAGCAACGCTAACCAAGCATCAGTGTTTCCATTGATCAGCTGCCGGGTTGGCTGCTGCTCCCAAGATGTACCGTCGACGAGTTTGCGAACAAGGCAACCATCGTATTCAAATGCACACTCAACATCCGTGTTCTCGGTTTCCCAGACTTCCACTCGTAAAGACCGCACCGCATGTGCTAACTGTGGCCTTTGGGCGATTGCGTAGAAGAATCGACTCACTTGCCGAACACAATGCCCGGTAACAGCCGTACAAAGAACAACATCGGAGTAGAGAATTGGCAACGTGACTGCATAAAGTCGACGACAAGTTCGAATTAAGGAGTAGTGATCATGAGGGCCATCTACTTCCTGTACAATGAGGCAAAGGAGCTCTTCTGGCAGACCAAGAAGCATGACTCTGGCTGGGCTCCCTGGTGTAAGTATACCTTCCATTTATTTTCCCAATTTCATCATTTTACTCCGTAGTCTGAGGGGAAATAGGCCGTGGCTGCCAAGCGATAGGTGGGATAATGCCAAGAATGACTGCGGGGAGACGCAAAAAGGGCAGCTAACTATATCGATGTCCAGAAACGTACTCCGTGCGTGTGTCAATGATACTGATTTTGTTGAAAATCTCCGAGCGGACGACCTTATAATCGACTTTCCTCTGTTCCGAAATATCATGATGCACTGGAAATCCTATATTGCGGCTCAAGTAGACAAAATGGCTCGGGGCGCCATGTAAATCGAAACTGGCGGTACATTAGTCTATGTTGCATTTACCACTTTTAGTGAGACTTTTGAGGATAGCACATATACAAATCTGCCATGTCGGTTTAATGCACTGTACAATTATTCTCAATGATCAAGCAAAGATGATACTGGAGCGCATCACCGCAAATCTTCTCCGATCCTCCGCAGAGCGTCGCATTATTACCTACGAACTTTACGATCGTTGCGAAAGTCGGCTTTCCGGCTCTAAGTTGGGCCTTCAATGGCAATTTGATTGAACCCTCATGTCTCCAAGTAGCCTGCCTGAATAACAATGCACCTTACTTCCAGCGAACATCTTGAAACCACACAAATGTTAATTGTAAACAAGTCCAGAGGTCCAATTTAACGACCAGTTATCTTTGGGTCGGCCATGAAAAACCAAGGTTCCCTGATGATTTGACATCAACCATGGTACCTCCTATTAAAACAATATTGAAGATTAGGTATCGCGGAACTTGGTCAATATGCGATGATCAAGTGCCGGGATAAGGAGCTACATTATTAGGTGCAGGCTCTGACTTGGTGCGCCCAAACATGTACAAAAATGATTTTGATCGAGTTGGCGCTGGCGCTGGCTGAGCCGTAGCCTCACTTTCGGGCTCTGGCTTGGTGGCAGCAGCGAGTTCGGCGGGAGCGGTGGATTCGACCGGGGTAACGGATTCTGGGGCAACGGATTCGACAGGAGCTGCTCGGGCCTCCTCTACCCTTCTCACGCCTTCACGTATTTCCTCGGACGAAGCACCTTGAGGTGCAGTCGTTGTCAAAGTCTCTGTGGGACGAATTAGAACCCTCGATGTATCCTGGTTGAGCTTGTTGATCTCTTCTTCCGTTACCAGCCGCTCATTCTCCAGACGGACTTCACGTCCGCGCTTGTGGCAATACCACAAGACAAAGAGAAGAACTAGGAAATGAGTTTATTAGCAATCATGTAGGGTTAAGGTAAAGAGCAAACTTACTGAATAATGCCAATGACCAAAGCACGTTCATACCCATGACAGCAGGGAATCGAGCTCGCAAAAATGCCATAATCGATCGCAGCATACCAACCAGAGCAGCCGGCTTCGAGACAAGCTCCTTCAAACTTGGCACACTAATTCCCATCTTCTCCGCAGCTGCAGCGGCCTTGCCCACATTCTCCATATTGACGCCACTCTTGCCAGCACGCTCGGCAGCAACTGCAAGCATCTCCGGGGCTAACGTCTCCGTCCACCGCTCGGGAAGTTTCTCGATAAGCTTTTGCATCGGACTAGGAAGCTTTGTATATGTTTCCTGCAGTTGGCGATTTCCATTGGTCAGGAGCATCTCCAGATCCCCGTAGGCAGTTGGGACTCCGTTGATCAGATCCTTGAAGATAAGCTTGAACTTGCGCAAAAGCTCTTGTGTCTCATCACTGATCGAAAAGACCCGATTATTATCCGCTGCTAGATTCAAGCGCTCCAGAATATCTGTCATATCCTCTGCATCTTTGTCTTTGTCTGCATCTTTTCCACTGTTGGACGTATCCGAAGTGGTCGGGGGAGTCGAGGTTTCGATCTGCGATTTGTTTGCATTGTCGGTGTCTTTGTCCTGTTTACGCGAACCATGTGTCAGCTACATGAATTCCAGGTCATGCATGATGTATTCGGACGCAAGGATCCGAGTATGGGTACAATCATATGATTACCCACCACATTCTTCCCTGTGTTCTTCTTCCAAAACATAGCACTCCATCGTTTCTTCTTCGGTGAGGCCTTCGCGGCCTCTGGCTGTGGTGTCACCGATCTCTCCAATGTTGGATGCGGATTTTTCCGTTCTTGTCTACCCTCCTCTCCAAGCTCCTTTCCAAACTCCTCGCCGGGCGAGCAAGGTAGAGGAACATCCTCAGCCTGTACGCTTATCTCCGGTTGCAGAGGAGCCCCAGCGGAACTTTCGATCGACGTTTGTTCCTTCTGTTCTGTTGAAGCGGGTACCGATTCCGGATGTGCGGTGACTTCACGTAGGTAGGCTTCATCCTCTGGCGTCAAGACCGGTTTGGGCGTGCTGATCATCTGCGGCGAACGCTGCCGGTTTTTTATCTGGTTAAGATATTGCATGGCCATATTGGATGCAAGAAAGTTATTATTGACAGAAATATAAGATTGCTATTTCTTTTTCACTCGATAGGACTTGGGCGACAGGGGAGACAAAGGATAGGCCGAAACAAGACGGGTTCGTGCTGAAGGTAAGGGGATACGCGCGCGCTATGTATTATGTTGATAGATCGACTTCCCCGGCGGTAAAATGATCAGTCAGATAAAATCCAATGATCAGCAGGTTTCAAAGGTAGCTAAATTCATTTCGAACACTAGACTTCTGTTTTGCTCACATGGGCACTTTGTTCCTCGTGATGACATCATCGGCGGCTTGGCATCCCCGCATGTGCCATGTCGCTTGCACAGCCACTAGCACAGCCACATTTACATCAGTGCTCTGCAAAACGCATGCAAATGTAGATGTGTGGACAGGTAGTAAATTGGATTTTTCCCTGTTAGAGAGTGGAACATTTTGATTTGCACTCTCACTGGCCTTTTTCTAGGCTTCACTAGAATGTGTGGTCATGATCCGGACATGTCTTAAAACTACCATGTTGCCTCCTAGGTATACTATGACCAGAGAAGCTATATTAGGTATAATGTCAAAGGCTTCGAACGCGAAATTATCTGATTAGATACATGTGGTCATTGAGCATATTGTGACGGGCTATTCAGTATAGACTCCCCTTCTCATTACTTATGTAGCTTGATATATACACTTACCATAAACCAACACATATACAGAAATGGTCCCACCGCGACTATCCTGTGAGACTCTTATATAATGACTAGTCGGCACCCGTGGAGATGAGTCCCAATTATCTAGATCACTCTATTCCAAGGTTGTCCATGCCTGGAGCGAGCACTCATTTCAAACCGAGGAGATCAACTCCATCAAACGGAATCCCAAAGCTCTGGAGCAGGTTGACAGCAGCGGTTTCACCCGTCTTATAAGCACCATGCACACATCCATTTCCAATCTGAGTGCAATGCTCGCCAGCAAACTGCAAGCGACTGGCCTTGTGGTTTTCCAACGCACCAACCAGCAGCTGCGGGTCGTCCCCGACCTTGTCGGCAGAGTAAGTTCCATACCCAGCCAACGGGTCCTGGGTCCAATGTGTAGTTTCAACATTGATCAGGCGAGGCAAGGCCTTATAAGGCTCTGTTCGGAAGAGTTTGAAGAGTGGTTCGAAAAACAGATAGATTTCTTTGGAGTCTTGCATGGCCTCGACGCGCTGCGTCAGAGGCTCCGCAATCTGCACGCACAGCTCCTTGCCGCCAGTCATGATCCACAAATTGATGGTCACGGTGGCGTAGTTAAGAATGTTATCGTTCCCTCCGAGGGAGCTTACGCTGGTATTAGACCGCACGGATGAGCTGGACGAATGGTCCGATTCTTCGGGCGGCGATGGGTAGAAGACAAACTGATCGTTGTCTTTGGACCAAAAAACTTCGGCAAATTCAAAGAACACCTTGCCCAAAGCGCCGTAGCTAACTCTGGACATGCCCTCTTGGATATCACTCGGCAAGGGCGGGTTGAATGAGATAAGATCATGGTGGTAGACTCCTAGCGGACTGGTCATAACTACCGCATCTCCTTCGATGAAGCCGGTTGCTCCAGCAGCATCCTTGTACTGGATTCGGGCTGGAACGATCCCGTCTTCACTCCATTCCACGTTCTCAACATGGTGATTAAGTCGGATAATGCTGGCATCGCTTTGGAGAGACTCCGCCGTCCAGTTCACGATGAGATCATAGCCACCCTCCATATATAGATTGCGCTCGGTGATGAAGTAAGAAAGATGTTTCGACGATGCTTGCTCTATACTGGTACCAATCCACAGTTCCACCTCGCGGATAGCCTGCGGGGCCCAATCGCGTTCATCCTCGGTGATAAGCTCATGCTGGAGGACAAATTCTTTTGCAAATTCATGAACGGGGCGGTCCTCTGCGTCCGGGTTGGTTTCGTAGAACCACTCGCAGTAATCGGCAAACTCGTCTGCCACTTTCTTGGCCTTGAACTGGCATCCAGCCCGGCCTTCTCTGGTGAAGTAGAGAGGGAGCCCGTCATCATAATAATAGGGAATCGACAGCCGGGGAATGAGCTTCACCAAGCAATTCTGGGAAGTTTCATGCATCCAAGCGGCCCCTGTTGGAATTATCAGCATTTTGGCCCACGTTCCCGATGTCCAAATTCCCGACCGGGATTGATATCTTACCGATGTCTCGGACATGATCGCCCTTTCTGCTGGTCAGGATCCTTCCACCAATGCGATCGCGCGCTTCCAACACCACCACTTCACAGCCGTGACGGTGCAGGACAGCCGCAGCATGTAGACCGGACACTCCAGCGCCCACCACAATCACCTTGCGCTCCGACCTCGCTGCGTTTGTTCCCTTCTCGGTCAACTTCAGAGTTGGCGCGAAAGGTGCAACCAGGTCGGAGCCACGATTACTTGGTTCTATGGGACTACTTCCCGAGGCAATAGAGGTAATATGGAATGACTGGGCCATTTTGAGCTGATAGGTTGACATTCAAGCTCCGAATTAAGCCGGATTACCGCTGAAACGAAGTTGAAAGAGGGGGGGATGTGCTGTGAGGGGCAGGGGGAAGTGACCACGCGGACACTGAATCAGGCAAATCCTTCCGCCTCAGCCTCCTGCACCTCTTTCCCCCGATTCCTCATGTCCTGCAGGTATCGTGTTGCGTGTTGCGCATGAGAGAATGGTTGGGTGTTTGGGCTGCAAGTGCCCAGACCCTAACGCAGTGCTTATCTGTTGCCCCACATGGAAACCAGGAATAAGAGTTTTCAGTTTTCTTTTCTTCTTCCCATCTTTGCCCATCTTTTTTCTCTTACAGAGGCTGACACTCTCTTCCCCCCGGTATTCAAGATGTCTCCGGCATGACTGGCTTGCCAAGTCGGGTTTTTAATCAGATTCCGATTTTGAATTGAAAATGGACGAGGACACAGAACTCAATGGCACCCAACGCATGTGCGTTGATGGGGAGATCCAATTGATTCCCACACCCACCACTTCCCCCAACGATCCGCTCAATTGGAGTGCCTGGAGACGGTATTGGCATGCCCTGCTAGTCCTCGTGTTCGTCGCACTCACGGCGGCGACTGCCAACGATGCTGGCACTGCTGGCAATGGTATGAACCTCGAGCTGGGCATTACGTGGGAGCAGATCAACATCGCTGCAGGTGTTCTGTTTGTCGGTATTGGATATACCACCCTGCTCCTCAGCCCAGCACCTTTCTTGTATGGAAGACGGATCTCCTACTTGATCTGTCTGGTTTTTTCTGTCGTTGGGTCCATCTGGATGGCCCGCGTCCAAACCGTCCAGGACAACATCTGGAATCAACTTTTCGTGGGTGCCTCCGAATCCTGCGCAGAGGCAATGGCCCAGTTGTCTCTTTCCGATCTGTTCTTTCAGCATCAAAGAGGCCTTGTTCTGGGCTTGTACGTCCTGGCTACCAGTATCGGGACATTTGCTGGACCATTGATCGCCGGCTTCATCACCGACTCTTCCCTGGGTTGGAGATGGGTCGGCTGGTTTGGTGCTATTATATCCGGGGGGCTGATTGTGGTCTTTTACTTCACGTTGGAGGAAACATTCTTCGATCGGAACAACCCCCTCCGCGGACATGCTACACCTAAATCCGATAGTGTGTCAGCTGATCCCTCGGACAAAAAGGAGAAATTGGTTGCGAGCGTGCAAGCGTCATCCCCCGACCGTGAACTCGACGAGGAATGCGGCCAGGAGAAGGGAAAGACCTATTTCCAACGCATCGCCCTAATCACTCCCTCGCCAACTTTGGTCGGGACGGGCTTCAAGCAGTATATTCGTCGCCTATACTACACACTGCGTGTTTTCACTTTCCCAGCAGTCCTTTATTCGGGCCTTCAATGGGGTGCCCAAGATGCCTGGTTGACCTTCTATCTTACCGTCGAACAAGACAATTGGTATGAGGAACCCTGGAACTACAGTGATGCTGCAGTGGGTATCATGAACGTGCCAACCCTAATTGGCTCAGTCATTGGCTGTATCTACGGCGGATGGTTCTCCGACTTCTTCGTTGTTTGGATGACCAAACGAAACAAGGGCATTTTCGAAGCTGAGCAGCGCCTCTGGCTCTTGTTGCCTGTTGCTTTCATCGGCCCCGCTGGCCTCATGCTGTTCGGAATCGGTTCGGGTAGAGGCTGGAACTGGCCTTTGCCGTATCTTGGACTGGGCTTCATCGGCTTCGGCTGGGGCTGTTCGGGCGATCTCAGCATGGCGTATCTCATGGATGCGTACCCGGACATGGTGTTGGAGGGCATGGTCGGTGTTTCCGTCATCAACAACACCATCGGATGTCTTTTCACATTCACTGCTGAGATGTGGCTGGAAGCGCAGACTCTTGCTCAAGTCTTCGTTGCCATTGGCGTGTTGAGCTTCTGCTTCATCATGACTACTGTGCCGATGATCTACTGGGGCAAGAAATGTCGCAAGATGACTCAGAAGCAATACAAGGCTTTCCTGCTGCTTCGTGATGGGCCTTCTAATTAATTCGGGGAGAGAGGGGGCGGGGGGAGGGGGGAGAGACAACGGTGTCTGATGGACTATTGTCATTCTGTTTATATTTTGTTCATCCTGTCTATATACATGTACAAAATCTGCGATAATCTTGTGTAAGGGCTTCATTGAAATATGAATGCTCTATGCCTACTGCTTGAATATACTATTTCTACTTCCATTATGCGCAAGATAAAAGAATTAAAGCTCTGCAACAATAAATCCCAAAACCGTGTCTTCTGAGCAAGACGAAAGGCATCGTCAGCACCTGGATTGTGGAATCGATGACCCGACGAAATCGACTGGGTAAGTCCAGTCCCATGTCATCAAAGTGATTATCATTAACGAAAGTCGACAGCAGCAAATCAGCACCTGGGATACCGAAGTCAACCCGATTATTTCGTTAAAGGCAATACAACCTCTCACAACTGCGGCACAATCGTCCCTGTCTCATCCCCAACAGAAAGATCCCACACTTACTCGACCGACTGGAGCTCAGGGCGAATCGAGTGGCTGCTTGACAACGAAGTCGTACGTACGCTCGAATATACTGACGCCCTCAGTGGCACAAATTATCCCCATACGGCCCATCACAAGACGAGCCAGGACCAACAGGAAATGTATTCATAATACAACTTGAAGACTGGAAGAGAGTTCAGGAGGGTAGGTATTTACAAAAGCACAAAGAGAATGTGTCAAGAGAACGGGAATTCATTGTTCAAACTAGCTAAGAGACTTGCTTGGTTTCACCATAAAGGCTACTCATCCTGAACACCACGTAGAGGTGCAAGTCATGCTCAGGTGTTGCATACAGGCCCCATGCAACTGGGTAAGACTCCCCAATTCAAGGTGTAAGGAAGGAATGGGGTCAAGGCTTGGAGGGGAACAGCGGCTACTGTGGGCAGGACGAACTGTATCCGCAGCGGCCGAGGGAGGTTCTTCCTAATGTGTTGAACAAAAGGCGCTTGCACAGCTCGGGTCATCCCAGACTTGCTTCGTGCCCTACCTTTCCCACAGCGCAACAAAGTCCCAAGGGGAAGGAAGGTGAAATCCTCCGAAGAGGGCCCGGGCAAATATATGACAGCACAGCGAATAAGGAGTGGGGCAGAGAGATGAGAAAGGAAAGGAAGGGGGACGGGAATACATGCAAAACGGGGTGGAGGGGGTAGGGGAGTGGGAGAAGGAAGAAAAGAAAATCAAAATCTGGGGGGAGGAGGGGGTATTTATGTCCTGGGGAAGGCTGAAGGCGACGAGGGTCAGCAGGGTGGGCGACGAGTTCCTTCCCAAACAGGAAGGAACCTAGGTGGTGCCTTCCTCGATGGAGGAACATGACTCTGTGAGTAGGCGGTACCTACTTAAGGCTCTTTGCCTAACTACAGGCAGTAAGCCAGTCAATGCCGGCGCTTGGTCACTTAAGTTAGGTACATTCTAAATGTGGGTACCTGATGCGCATCCGTATCGGTATTTGGGTTGGCTGGTGACCTAGAGAACCATGTACAAGATACTATCGAGTGGGCGGGTGGCGAGACAGACTATCCTGATGGTTCTTTCTCCATGTATGTGGAGTCGGTTGGTATGGATTATCAATTGTAACTCGGCTTCTACATATGAGTATACCGACAAGACGGGTGCTTATACGAGCGTTGATGCTACCAATGCTCCTACTTCGATCAACGTGAGATCTCTTGAATTCCTGCTCGGATACGTATTCTCAAGAATACTTTGTCCTCTGTTAGTGTGAATGAGTATTCCATAAAAAGCATTGAGCCATCGATTTTTTTTCCATAGTGAATCCTCTTTAAGTCTATACTAGAGCGCGCGAGATTGTAGTGGTTACATGTAGCTTACCCTAGTTTGGCTGTCCCTTGACTGTTTTGGTCGATTATAACACGGCCGCAGACTACCTGATATTGCGTGGTACCAGATCACCTTTAGAACGCACTATTCGCTTGTTCTTGGCCGCCGGATAGACAAGCACACAGACTTCCCTAGGCTCTATGATCCTCCGTAAATACCTTGTTGTATTCATCCAGGGAGAGCATATGATTTCGGATGCATATTGCTCCGGGGTTCTGTCTTTCCCTTGTCTTCTTTGACTTACATCTCACTTACACCACATCTCTCGCGGAGTAATGCCATGGCAGTTTGTCGCGTTCTCCCACGTTACCTCACCTCCATCCGCCCGTCGAACCATTTCAACAATATCCTCACTAACATTGATAGTCCCGGCTAAGTAATGTAAGGCGGTGTTGCCGTCAACATCTTGTGCCATGACATCAATGCCTCCCCATTCTAGTAAAAACCGAATAGTTGCATTTTGTGCCTGTTGCTCGGAATCCGTCAGTGGCTGTGGTTTCTGGGACCCTTCCTGTGGCTTTGGAAACTGGATATGCAGAGGGCTTGGCAGATAATGAAAAGACCACTTAGAATCAAGCGTGCGGGCACAATGTATACTGTCGGCGACATCTGGATTATTACGTGCAGTCTGTTTGGCCGTGAGAGGCAACGAAGCAATGTGAAGTAACGTATGTCCTAGAGCCGTTGTCCCCGCACTACCGAGTCCACCGGGGATAGAAGCTGCCAACCATGAAAGAAGGTCTGGATCATGATGTGCGGTTGCAAAATGGAGGACATGCACGTTAAAGATAGGTGTGCGCAAATTGGGTTTGAGATGAGGGTGGGAGATTAAATCTACCAGACAATGCTGCACGCCCCGATTGCTTAAATCACAACGGACGATGATATAGGACAGCGGTGGGAGACTGATGGTTGGAGCCGCGCGAGGACGATAGTTAGGAGAGTACCCGCAGGAGGAGAGAAGATGCCGGAACATAAATTGATTGCCGGCTTCAATGGCCTCATGAACAGGCGAAGATACAGAAAGATTTGATACCGAGTAGCTTGCCTCCTGCACTGTGTCTTTGTCATTATCCAACGTGGATTCCACCCACGCAGATTCATCTGCTCCAGCCGCGCGAAGGATGTCAAATATTTCGATATTACCTATTTTCGCAGCTTCCTCTAGTGCTGTCAAAGCCCGGTCCATCCTAAGTCTTTGACCGGGGAGATTTGGCTCTGTCCAGAAACGAGGAAACCCTTGGAGCCGTTCATCGAGCTCTGTCTGGGTCAAAGGGGAGAGCTGTTGACTGATCCCTTTCGATTGTGCTTGTTCTAAAACAACAGCACGACGAGCGCACATAGAAAAGCTAGATATATCGTCTTGGAAATGGCGACCACGAATGAACCGGACTGAATAGTCCTCCATGTTTCTCAGTCGAATGCCGTTAGGATCTGCGCCCGCAGCCAGAAGAAGTCGAACATTGTGTGGCAGATTGGCGCGAATAGCAGCTGTCAAGGGAGAGTCCCAAACACCATCAAAGGTTCCCGATATCGTGTAATTAGGTGAGAGTTTCTCTATTTGGCCGTACGGATCAGGCAGGCTTTTGTCATTGCCGTATGTTGCGTAATAAGCCAGAATGGCTTCCAGCAATGCAGGATCGGATTTCTTCGCGGCGCGAATGGTTGGGGTTTCTTCTTGTTTGTTCCAGTCGAATTGATCGATGAAGGAACGATCAAAGGTTTTGGATTGATCCATACTTCGAAATATGCAACTAGAGAGGAATGGATTTTGGAGAAGATTAGAAGAGGATGAACCGATGAACCCGGAGGCCAGAAATCACCTAGCGCTTCGGTTAGAGGCCTGGGAAATACGGCAGAAGGGGAAAATGCGTGATATTTCCTCGCAACATGCCCAACTGCTGTATTTCAAGCCGTACTGCTGGTGCTATAAGCAATATGAAGGTCACTGTCTCCCAGTATCTTTTGACCCTGTAGACTCGAGGCCGATGGGTCCCTGAGTTCCCTTTCCAAACCACCTCAATGCTTCCGATCTTATGCTTGAACGATTTTCCGTATTCTCATTCATCTCCCAGAGAGTCTGTAGGTGGGTTTGTTCGTGATACCGTGGGGTTGGCGGGTGACAGAATAGACGGAGTGTGGGCGAGCCCGCTCTTCTGTCCAACAATCGTTGCTCGAACTAGCAGCCTCCTGCGTTAGGCGATTTGTTAGGGCTTCGAGCCTATTGTCATCACAGCAATTTCTGTGAATTATCATGGCTCTTCCGTCTAATGCATAGGTAATAACAAAGGTAGTGGTTGCGCCTTGTTCTAGCCTTTGGCTTTCTCTTTTTCTTCTGCCAATTTCCCTGGAGATATACTTATGATTAAAAAAAAGGGCAGTAGATCTATTAAATCGGATGATCAATAAATCATTTCCTCTTTGTATTATTTCCTCTAATGGCATTTACAGTGGTTTGGATCATAAAGTCTGATTAATTCAATCCATCGGCGAATGCCCCTCCCGGGAGGAATTCTTGTATAGCACCATTCGCTTGATGATGCAGTCGCAAATACATGCAGATAGAAGGAGATTCCACTCTAGCCCTAAGCTCAATCCACCATATACTGCGACTCGCTTTACGGTACCATAGATAGAGCAACAACAATGCCGCAGGGTCCTTTTGGCGGAGCAAGTCTTCGAAAGGGCCGTCGATACACCGCGTGAAGATGTGAGCATGAGCCGTTGTAACCTCGCTATCCGGAAGATTCAAAATCTGGGATACTGCATGCACAGCATGGAGATACGGGTTAGTTTCCGCCGTAGATGAATCTCTGAGGTTACACACGGCAGCCAGAGCCCTCGGGATATTATCTATGCCTTCGTTTGGTAACGGTGAATTCATGTGAGCAAAGGTCGCCGCCATGACGCTGAACAGGCTGTCTGGTCGCAGCGGGTTGAGCATGTGCCATAGTGACATTTTCCCCTTGATCATGCGCAACCAGTCCAGATCGGAGGAGGAGGACTTCAGAGGCCATGCTTGTTGCGGTGCGTGTGCATCGGGAGACGAACAGGCCAGGATAACTAGAGCAGCCGCAGTACCCCAGATTGGATCTTTATCTTTCGCTTCAATTGGTTCCCTTAGTCGTTTGTTTAAGAGTGCCGTACTTTGAGACCAGTGGTAACACTCTTCTAGAGTGCGGTGATTGCCCGAGGGGCCATTCATATGGCGGTCATATGTAAGTGCCACGGCTAGAGAGGCGTGCATTAAGAAAGGGTACTGCAAATTATCAGTTAGCCCAGCTCAGGCCAAAACATAATTCTACTTCCATTTCGTCTCATCGGACGGTATTGATATAATAGTAACTTACGGTAAAGGCTAGTTCCAGAAGCTTGCGATTCACTTGTGTCATATTCGGGTCGTCTGGGGTAATGAGACTTCGTCCATAATAGCGGGTGATAAAGTCCTGACATTTCATGTTCAATTGATAGAATGTTGATGCGTCAGATGTCCAGACGGCATTGGTGAGAGGAGGCCGAAGCTGTGCTTTTCCTTGAACCACCAATGGCCTTCCTGTATCAGCGGTGGCAGGTTGGAGGTCGGGGATATTAGACATGAAGTTGCATAATACTCCGAACGAACTACATCTTCTGCACTGTGGTTTTTGTTCATCACACTAGTAAGGTATTGGATCAGCGAAGCACTAGATTTCCAGGCTCGGGACTAGAAGCCCAGGACTACTCACCTTGAGTTTTCGAAGCTTGCAGTTCCGACAGCCAAATCTCGACCTCCGCATAGTCCTATACTCCCGCACCTTTCCCGGACAATTCAAAGCCACGCCTAGTTGATGAACCGATGCTTTACACCGCTTGGCTATGAGGGGCTCTCCCTAGTTCAATGGGAAATCAATACTGGAGGGACCAACAGGTGAATGGCCCCCAAGGAGGTGCAGTGATTCAATATCCGAGCCTCATGGGCTAATCCTCTTTTGGGTGATCCACCTTTCACGCTAACTGTGGTTCGGATGGAAAGATCTCTGATTGGCTGCGCGTTGTATTCGAAGGCTGTTCATCTATAACCACAGCATGCTGGGCAGTCACGTCACTTAACCAAAGAAATGATGAGCCTGGAGCGATAGCTAAATATATAAACAGGTCGGGAGTTTCCTAAGGTCCTATGAATAAAGGTTTCTGGTCCCCAAAGCATAAAACTTGATCTTCATTCTACACCTTGGAAGCATACAATCGAAGATGACCACCCACCTCGCCGCCGTCTCCCTCGCAAAAGGCGAGCCCTTCAAACTCCAAGCCCGCCCCACACCAAAACCAGGTCCAGGCGATCTTCTCATCGAGGTCAAATCTGTAGCCCTCAACCCAGCAGACGTCCTCATGCGTGATCAAGGTCTCTTGATACCCAGCTACCCCACGGTCATGGGTTTCGACATCTCAGGGATGATCCTTGAGGTCGGCGACAGCGTCCCCATCGCCACAGATCCAACTCCTGGCCGATCTCTTCTTCCCGGGGTGCGCGTCGCCGCCTACGTCGCCTTTTTCTGGAAATCCTGCGACCCTGACTACGGCGCCTTCCAGGAGCGGTGCCTCGTGCCCTGGCAACATGCCGTGCCTCTACCGGAGGGTATCTCTTGGAACCAAGCTGCCACTCTACCTGTTGCTGTTCAGGTACCCCTCAGTGCGTGGGATATGATGGGGATTCCGCGGGGACAAATTTCTCTTTCTTTTTCCGCTTCCGCTGGCCCAGTCTCTGATACTAGCGAAACTAGGAAAAATAAGCAGAAAAAGGAGGCACTTTTGATCTGGGGCGCTTCCTCTAGCGTTGGCACGATGGGTGTGCAAACTGCTCGGGTGCTACGGGAGGATCGCGACTCGTCGTTTGCTGCCGTGTACGCCACGGCTGGTGTGGCGAATCATGGGTATGTATCCTCCCTAGGCGCAGATCGTGTCTTCGATTATAAAGAGCCGCAGGTTGTGGATGCAATTATTTCAGCGGCTAGAGAGGACGGTCTAGTGATTCGACACTGCTTTATTGCTACTGGGCAGCTGGCGCCGTGCCAAGCGGTGCTTAAGGCTTTCTATGATGATCAGGGGGAAGGGCAACAACAGGCAAAGATTGCGTCGGCACCGGTCATCCCTGCAGATGCGGAGGTTGTGAATGGAGTGGAGACCGTTTTTGTGATGCCGTCGATGAGCGAACAGGAGAGATTGGCTCAGTTTCAATATTGGATGGGGACATGGTTGAGGGAGAACCTGGCTATCGGAACCATCAGGCCGAGTCCTGAGCCGATGGTTGTGGGAAAGGGTTTGGAGGCTATCAATGCTGGGTTGGATGTGCTACGCCGGGGAGTGAGTTGTTCGAAGTTGGTTGTTGAAGTTGCGGAGTAATTGGTTTTGGAAGGCCGACACCATTTACTTGATCCAAAAGATTGGCACATTCCCTTTCGCTTGGCATATATGCTCCTATAGCATGGCTTGGTCCTTCTTTCTATATATAGCAAACGAAGCAATCGGATAAATTGGCCAAATTTTGACGAATTCAACTTTAGGAAAACAAAATGATAGAGTACGAGGTCAGACTATTCAGAATGAAACGCGTTCCCTTTGCAAATTATCTTCAGTCCAGGATGTCCAAGCTACATGGAAGACAGGCGATAAACTGAAAGTGACGGGAATTGGTACTTTTGTCGAAGGGGCTGATACAGGGGCAGAGCCGCATTGTCAAACACACGCCAATCGAGTAAACATCATACTCCCCACTATCCAACATCGTACCATCCTCTCCAATGGCATCTATAGCCATCAGATGCCTAAATGCTCGCCTGCGGGCGAGCATCATCACAAAAGGGCCAGGGATAAACTCCGCCTATCGCCTAAACTCCAGGGCAAGTTCAGCACAGACGTTTCAATCAAGACTATGCTCAACTTCGGGCGCGTTTCCCACCCAAGAGAAGCCGCGCTCATTCCCAACAACTGGATTTGAAGTCATCAAGCCAGATCAACCAGCTGAAGAGGAACAGTTGGTCGGTTATAAGGCCCATCGATACTACCCAGTCCACATCGGCAAGGTCTTCCAGGACCGCTATCAAGTATGTTCAAAGTTAGGCTGGGGCAGCTGTTCGACTACATGGCTAGCAAGAGATCTCAGGTTTGTCGGATTCAATCGCTTGTTTAAATATCCAATAACAGATTCTCGCAGAGACAAGAAATACGTCGCGTTAAAGGTACACATCAACGACTCAATGTTTCACCGCGAACTTCCATTTTACCAGCATATCGCTCCCCACATGTCAAGTGATCACCCAGGGAGAGAAAATATCCGACGATTCATGGATTCTTTTACTGTCACCGGCCCGGATGGCAAGCATATCGTGCTAGTCCAGGAACCCGCACATATTAGCCTCTACGATCTTCTCACCGAAAGAATGAGCGAGGCAAGGTTTCCTGAGGAAGCGGTAAAACTTATTCTTGTGGAATTACTCCAGGCTCTGGATTTCTTGCATACCGAGTGCGAGGCTGTACATACTGGTCAGTTCAACTATCCCACGCCGGCAACCAGACTTATTTGCTTATGCTCGATAGATGTGCATTTTGGCAATTTGCTAGCATGCGTCGACGATGCCAGAAACGCCGTATTCAAAAATATCGAGGAATCTGAGATCACTACCCCGTCAGCGCGGAAGCAGGTATCGAGTGACCGAACCATCTATGCCTCGAGGGCGCTTCTGCCAGATGAGGGTCCGCTGAAGCTATCTGATTTCGGCGAAGCCAGGATCGGGCCGGGACCTTATGAGTATCACGCTATGCCCATGTCGCAGCGGGCGCCTGAGATCACGCTCGAGGCGCCGTGGAGCTATCCGATTGATATTTGGTCTGTTGGGCTTACGGTCAGTCGGAGCTATATTCTCGAATCAACTTTAGCACGGGTGCTGATTACTATCGTTATTGATCCGTAGGCTTGTGATTTGCTCGGGCTAGAAAGACTTTTCAGCGCTGACCACACAGCCGGTGATCTATACCAAGCTACGCATCTTGCAGAGATGATTGCTGTGCTTGGCCCGCCGCCTGCTGGGTTTCTGGCGCTGAACCCTGAGATAGCGGCTGGGTATTGGGATGGAGATGGTATGTGTGCCTTTGCTTGATTCATTGATTATGTTGGTGGCTAATTTTCGGAATCCAGGAAAATGGGGGGATATTGTGCCCATTCCTGAGAAGCCTATGCTTGAATCGCTTGAAGGTCAAATGGGACTCCCTCGAGAGTTTGTCGGATTTTTGCGAAGGACCTTGAGCTGGATGCCGAGTGAGAGAGCGACAGCTAAGGATCTTCTGGAAGACCCTTGGTTGAAATCCTGATAGTCTATGTACGATATCAGCTTTGAATGAAGAAACAACCTCCACTCACCACATTCCACCGGCTTTCACCCTGATACTAATAATTCGATATACCAAATCCCTGAGAAGGTTTTCTGAGTGACAGCTTCGGGTCCAATTGCCCTCGCAAAAAATTGTTGAATCGCTCAGGGGTACCATATTCACCCTGCCACGACGCATACATAAGACAATCACAACAAAAATAAAATCCAAGGATTTGCAAAAAAAGAAATCTCTGTGCATCATCCGTGAATCGAACACGGGCCTCGTCGATGGCAACGACGAATTCTACCACTAGACCAATGATGCTAGTTGATGTGTGGAGACCCCGTAGTTGGCTACAAGAGCGGATTCTTTTCTTTTCCCGTGCGTAGATCCACCCGTGCGAATCAGAGTCCATGTTGCTCTTTTTCGAGTGGCATGAAGTTCTGGGTTGATAAATTTAGATACTGAATTGGAAGATGGCAGTGGCAGTGTGGATTTTCCCAATCAGCCTGGTTATCGCTAGTGCGTGTGGGTGTTCTCGTTGTTTGTGTAGTGCATGGATAATCATCTAGGTGATCGGAAATATATATCGGGATGCTTGACCTCATGCCTGCGGAGGTTGTTCGCCGATACTCGAAGTCTCGATGGTCTAGGATATTGATCGAGTATTTCACCATAAGGCAGAAAAAATAAAAAGAGAGAGAGAGAGAGAGAGAGAAATGTAAATGCTGATCATTAAGGCATGAATAAATATTTGAAAATGCAAAACCCGCCCAGCTGGGCAGTTAAGAAAACACCAAACATGCAACAGAAATGGTAAAAAGGACTTATTGTGGATAGGTGACGGGAGGAGGATTGACGATGTTCGGTATCGCTGGAGGGAAAGGGTATTGTTCGTCAAAGTGGTCTAGCTCGTTTCCGTCACCACTATACCCAATGCTATCACGATTATCATCAATGATGCGGCCATATTCAAGGAGAAGAAGGTAGAGATAGATGTCAAGATCTTCGTCGCGGAGCGCGTTCTGAGCCCACTCCCGACTTTGAGAGGCAATCACATTGGCCTCAAAATCATGTTCTTGGATGTATGGCTCGCTAACTGAGAATGGATCGTCAAGGGATGCCTGCGAGTCCAGACCGAGGAAATAGGTCATCAACCCGTACAAATCGTCGTAACGATTGTCCATGGGAACAAAGTGACGCCAGGCAAAAAGTCGGGAATCATGCCATTCGCGGAAAATTGTTGCTTTGATCCCCATGGATTTGCTGAGCTGGAAAGCGCGCCATCGGCCAGAGAAGCTGTGTCCGTCGATGTCGACAAGGTATTTTGTTTTGAACTGCTGGCTGAACGCCTTTGGCTTTTTATAAGTCAAAACACCGTCATAGAACGAACAATCCGGGATGCAGCCCAACCCCTCAGTGAAGCCAACATCGAAGTGGTCCGAGGAAAATTTGCCTGGGTAGAAGTTGGAATAGTTCCGATATTGGCCCCTGCTGGTCTCGGAGAGGATAGAGACTGACATTGCCCTCATCTCAGTGCTGTTGGTGACATGCACAAAGCGTTGGCGGTGCATGCGCTGCCAATTATCCGCAAGCTGGACACCACCGGAGGTCACACCGCGCCAGAGCAGAGTGTCCGTTTTGTCTTCCCACTCGTAGTCATGCCGTGAGTTGTACACATATCGCTTGTCGTTCAAGAAATACATATTGGCTGGAAATAAGATGTCGTTGTTCACACTAACCTTGCACTCGCTGAAGACTGGAATCAGTTTCCTCGTAATGAGGTTGCTGGATGCCGAGAACAAAAAGCCGTGTTTCTCTCCAAGGACGGGTCCCACAGTGCATAGATCAGAGGAAGCGGTAAAGTTGGTGACAAACCCACCCGAAGGCGATTTGTATAACCTATCGGCATCCTCCACGGTGAAGTTATCATTGCGAGCAGGTGAGTCAGGATCGCAAGACTCCTTGGCAAAGTCCATGTACGGCTTTCCAGCGATTGAAAACCAAGACGGGTCCATAGCATCTTCTATCCCGGAACCTTCCTCATACAGATGTTTCATGCCTGGGGTAAAACCATCATGCGCATCAATAGGCAGGCTCCTTGTGAGGGCTTCGGCGCGGAGATATTCCTGGGTGTCTTCGAATGACACCATCACCCGCGGCTGATCCATAATATTAAGTGCAATGTCCATGTCGGGCAGATATCGGACAATCCGTTTGATCGATTTTCGCAGAGTTTCAATTCTCCACCCCTCAATAGGGGAGTACACAACCTTCTTATTGCGGATTTGCACTCCTGCAATGCCCTCGCTTGATTGCAGTTTCGCTGCCATCCGTCGAATCTCCGCTGGGGGAACCGCCCAAAAAGGCCGCAGATCCCCCATAATTTGCTGGAAGTCGTCCACATTGTGTACGCTCTTTTTGCGTGCGAACATGTACCATTCCTTGAAGCCAGGAGGTGGGTGGCGCCCATATGTTTCACGATATCTGTCGACTGTCCGACGGAAACTAGTTGAGCGACCATTATCGTATGCCTGCCAGTCTCGGTTCGCTTCCCTCATCAAGTCGGCGATAGGGTGTTCATCTCGGGCAAAATGTCCGATCACGGGGTTGGTAGTTGCGGTGAACAGGTTTAGGTTCGGGAGGGGGATGATGGAATCGTCGATGGCATTTGTGATGAAGAGCAAGTTGATGAAGCATATTGAAGCTGCCACGCAGGCCAGTATGAGGTGATATTGCCTGCGAGTTCGAGAGAAAGAGCTGAGCATTGGAAAATGATTCCCCGGATCGGGGCTAGGTTCCAGCCACACACTAGAAGCGATCTTGCAGGGATCAGGAACGAGCCAAAGCACAAGAGCTACGAAGCAGACATGGACCAGAACACGAAAAGGAACATATAATATTGAAGGGAAGAGAAAAAGAACGAAATTTTTTTAAAAACCTACCAAGCCTCTTTACGCTTCCAAAGCCTGATCCAGCACGCCAAGGGGTTGAAAAAAGCAAAGGCCTAACACAGTCCATTGGCTCACCTGATTGCGTCTTAAAATAGTATTTGACGTACAGAAGGGGAATTACATGTACGCAGTACTAAGAAGCTCACAAGAACCAGTACAGATAAATTACACCATCCTCTCCGGGCAGCTCAAGAGAAGATCAAAGGAAGATCAAAGGAACCCTCGTGGCCGGGCCGAACATCGTGCCAATCAGAACTCCTCGGTGCCAGTGTCCGAATAAGATGCCGAACGTATTTTCGTCCGGATACCGCGATGTATTTGCCAAGCACCGAAAGATACGACTATAAGAGATAACTGACACAAGTTGAAACTCTTTTTTTTTTCAATTTTGTTTCGTACTTTTGCGGCCTCAAAACTAGAAGAGACAGGTAGTATAGATCTATACTTCAGTACTCTGTAGTCCTAAATTGATCTACATGAGCTAAACCATTAACATGGGGCTTGTTTTGGTCCCCGGGCCCCGGGGCATTGCTGACTCATGTGTTACATAAGACTAATTATTCATCCAAGGCCTCAGGCAGAAACCGCAACTAAGAGCTGTCAATGCTATGACCAAGCACTCGAACTCCACCTTCTCTCCGTGCGCGCAGATGCTCATATGCCGATGACGTGACCAATCTCTGCTCATGGGTGACTGTCCCATTTAAACACCATGGCACTGAAACGAACTCGTGCTACGCTTGAGGCCGATCTTCAGGCAGAGCAATCCCCATATGCCTTCTATGGAACCCCATTACCACCACTCGACGAGGGAGTACGCGATGATGGCTCCTTTGTGCCAATATGGAAACAGGAAGTGAGAGATGAACATGGAAGCAAACGTCTCCATGGCGCCTTCACTGGTGGATTCAGCGCGGGGTGAGCAAACCCCGAGACCAACGAGTCCTACAAGGACAATCGCTGATGGTTAATAGGTATTTCAACTCCGTCGGCTCAAAAGAAGGATGGACACCTGCGACCTTTGTATCATCTCGCCAGAACCGTGCCAAGAAGGAGGAACAGAAACGACCTGAAGATTTTATGGACGCCGATGACCTACGAGAACAAGAAGAGTCTAGACAGTTACAGACTGCCGATGAATTCGCCGGCTTCGGCTCAACTGAGCAAGATGCTACACGCAGAGCAGGGCTCATGGACATATTGAAAACCGGTGGAGAGACTATGGGAGTGAAGCTATTGAAAAAGATGGGTTGGCGCGAAGGCCAAGGGATCGGGCCTAAAGTGCGGCGCAAAGCCAATCTAGACGAAAAGTCTACAACAGGCGGCGACGCCGAGGAAACGTACCTTTTTGCACCCGAAAACCCACCCATGGTGGCTTTCATTCGCAAGTCCGACCGTAAAGGTCTTGGGTTTGAAGGTGAATCGCGCCTGGAATCCCACAAACCCACAAAATCCATACTGGGTGGCGAGGAATCGGACACATTCTTTGGACAGCGTTTGGCCATCCAAGGGAAGTCCCAGCAGTCAAAATCGAAGGCATCACAACGGGGAGGATTCGGGGTTGGCCCTCTCAATGATACTGGGTCGGACGATGAGGATCCTTATTCTCTGGGCCCCCAGATCTCCTACAACAAAACCATCGGAGGAGATAAAAAGAAAAAGAAGAAGGCCAAGCCTGAACCAACAATTGCGTCATCTAACCCACTCCTGAATTCAAAGCCCGTGTTCATATCGAAGAAGATCGCAGCTTCACGAGGGACTGGGGGCTTCCGCAAATGTCGCGACGGACGCCTACCACTAGATGGATTTGTTCTTGCTGAAGGGATTTCGGGGCTGTCGATCTCTGAGAAGAAATATGAACCTCCTGTGATACCAGAAGACTGGAAATCAGCCAAGGCAGTTTCATCAGAAAAACCGGACCGATCGAACTATGTCTCGACAGCTGAAGCTGCAAAAGCCTCGTCGCTCAATCCCACATCTAGAGCAGCGCTTTTGGGCGAAGCTCAGCTGCCTGGGAAGTCTATTTTTGATTGGATGACCCCTGAGGCACGAGAGAAGATTGCCAAACTTACCGGAAACACCAATTTACCCCCGGCGTTGGGAGAAAAGGCGCCTGAAGGATACGAACTACCTGAATCACAAAAACGCAAGGATCTCTGGGACCTTGTGCCAAAACTCGATAAGCAGATTGCTGCCCAAGCCCTAGCTCGGGCCGTTAGTGGGTGGATGCCTTACCAAGAGGATGAGAGCAAGCGTGCACGCTACCGAGTGTTCCTGGAAGTCAGTGCTGGGACCAGGGCTACCCTTCCAGAACGGGTGGATGGGTTCAGCACCGATGACTGGGTTATAGAGATGCAAGAATTTTGCCGAGCTGCCGAGGTCTTCAAACCCATGACCGGAATTATGGCATCCCGGTTCACCTCATCATCCTCTGCGCCTAAAGTTGCCTCTGATGCGCCCGACTCTACGGGATCGGGACTCACCAAACCCACGGAGAAGCCAGAAGATCCTGCAGCGGCAGCTGCCAAAATTGGCATGTTTGGCCAAATGACTCGAAGCACAATCCCCTTTTACCCATCTCGTCTATTATGCAAGCGTTTCAATGTTAAACCACCAGCAAATATGCAGCGTGACCCCGAAGAACCGCCTGGTGCATCGAGCACAGGCCCCGGTACACGCTTCGAGTCCGCTGGGTTCCAAGCTGACACTGGCCCCAAGCAATTGGTGTCGCAAGAAATTATGAACCAACTTCTCATAGACTCATTAGGCTACCTGCCTACTGCAGATGGGTCTGCTCCGTCCGCAAGTAGCAAGCCTGGTCATCCAGCACCACTGGTTGTTGAGCCGGAGCGCAATGATGCCCTGGAGGCAGAGCGGCCTGGCGATGCTGTTTTCAAAGCTATCTTTGGTAGTGACGATGAAGATGACTAGGTAAAATCGAGCTCAGTCATATAATCCAATAAAAACCCTACCATGCATTTCTTTTAGTCATAGCCCTGTATCCGTTGACGAATTAAGCAATGGTGGCCAGTTGATCCCTGTGTTACTGTTGGAGGCCAGTGGGATTAGATGCACAAATTGGCTTGACATCACTGAAGCTGTGGAATGTACCCTGATACTGTTGTTGTTTTTTTCGTTTCTTCGTCATTCTCCATTTCCTTCCATTCTCTTTGACGGCCGCTTCTTTTTGCCTTAACTCCCGATTCTTACACTTTGAGCAGGTCTGTGCTCTGCATCAGGGATCTAGTCACTTTTTAGAGCGTGGAGTGATCACTACTCCACGCAATCATCCCCTCTCCCAACTACTTCCCCTCCTCATATGGAGGTCCTTGATTGCAAGCAACATGGTAGGCCCTCGACCCCGAATCCCAGAACCTGCACAACGGCTTCTCAAGACAGGCCAAGCCTATTGCTTGGCGCTTGTTTACCGCATGTCACACGACTTGCTGCCCGCTCTCATCCCATACTCCACAAAACCCGGACCAACATGACTAATATCGCATTCCTGCAATGTAGGGCTGCTGTGCCTCTGTGCTGTCGCGTAATGTTACCGACGAAACCTCCTATTCGCAAGAACGTATCTCACACCAAACACAAACTCAGGAAGCCAACAACGGCTCTAGACCGCCAGGGCGACGATCGCGCCGCGCCCCAAATGTCCCACTAAATCAGCACTACAATGAGCCAGTGCGCGAGCATGTCTGGCGCAGCAAGCGGCGGACGTGGACGCGCGCGCAGCTGGACCGCGAGAGAGCCGAGTTCTTCGAAACGCGCGTGACCGGGAGACCGGAGATCTGGGCTGCGATTTCGACGGCGATTCTGCTGATTCGTAGCGGCGACCTGGCTACTGCTCAGGGGATCGTTGATGCTGCGGGGATTACTATTCCCACCGGGGATCTGTGCGAGGGTTGTTATGATGAGCAGGGTGTGCTTTACAGGCTTCCGCAGTGCGTTGTTAGTGATCCTGAGGATATGGTTGCTTCTTCTTTCCAGATGGCTGAAGATGGAGGCTCGGGTGTTGATGACGAACCGGATGCTGGGAATCTCTCAGATGGTAAGCTTGCAACGGATGATGCTTCTGGGGATGAATTGATTTCCCAGGATGTTGAGCGTCGCCGTGATGAGAAGGGAAAGACGAGCGAGCGGGATCTGATCCGTGTGATTGCGCGGTTGAGTGACCGTGGTGGTCCGGATATTTTGCTTTCTGTCGACAAGGGTCAGACTGTGGGCTTTTTGGCGAGGAAGGTGCATCAAGAAGCTAAGGTCGGTTTTTACCCTGGGCTTGCGTTCATCTATTCACTCTACTACGGAGTATAGCTAGGCAGGAGCTTGTGCTGACTATTGCTTAGCTTGATCACAACAGACGTGTCCGGATCGCTTATTTGGGCCACTTACTGAATGAACGCGAGCCGCTACTTGATCAAGGCTGGAAAGCTGGCCATGTTATCAATGCTTTGGTCGTTGGTCCGGCCAATGATCTAGGCCTACGGGATCGGTCCTGATATGGCTTGTTCTGGAATCAGTTTTGAGGCCTACGCACCTTTGTGAGGCATCACTGATGGCACAACACTAGTCTGTATCCTTCTTTTTACCTCTCCATTTGGGCCTCCAGCGTTCTGGCGTTCCTACCATCTGATCTTTTTGCATAATACCCCGACTCCTTTTCTACGCTTTGCTCTATCACCATTCGGACGGATCTGATTTCTCCTTGGATTTTCTTTTACTCTAGCAATCTCGTGCTTGGCATTGCCCATACTCCGTACTTATGTGATAATGAACTGACTGGCCATACCACACCACGTCTCTCATTTTATGCAGCTAGTTACTTCTTACAAACTAATTGACCATGCGATGATTACGCTTCGATCTAAGTTCTTATGTATACCGTTATAAATTTCGTGCCGTTGGATGAAGTCTAATAGTCCTTGGACAATATAGGCACATCCACCATTCCAGTTTGGGGTAGAATCAGGATGATCATATCAGCCGGTTTTCGACTAGCTATCAAACCTTGGAAACCTCTCAGACTTGATCTTCGACATGCGGACTCAGCAGATGACTAAGGCCAACGATGGTGATCTATAGATGTGTCCGATAGAGCTTAGAACATTGCTAAAGTCCCTTTCTAGCGCGAATGACGCACGACCACAATCTTGAGATACCTTGGAATGATACTGAAATCATCCCCCGGCTGAAGACAAAAGTACCCCGAAATCTATCGCATAGAGGGTTTCGTACTTAATACGAGAGCTGTCATCTTGCAAGGTTCTCCTCACGGAGTCATTTAGCGAGCCCTCCAGCCAATGACAGGCCGGGCCGCTCACGTGAAGTGACGTAGTTGGAACAGCTCGCCCCCATCCGTTCAGCTAGGGAGTACTTCGCAGGAAGTTGTTTTCTACCTCTCTCACCCCACCTAATGATGTTTTAAGTCTTTAGCCATGGACAATCCAGATGAAAAAACTCTGCGCGACTATGAGGCAGATCGTCAGACTCGCGAGGTTTACCGTTATTTCCAGCCGAAGAATCCAGCAGCGCTTAATGCAACATTACTTGAATTCGATGACCATGAGGTCTCCATAGAAGACGTGTCAACTCTTGCGACCCCTGTTGTACCTGGTTTATTAGAATCGGAGACACCTTCTATCGAGGATAGTCCTTCTAGTCCAAATACAACTTTGACTTCTTTTGCACAACTAGCTGCTCTACGCCTGAATGCGCAGCGGGCCTTCATTACGTACATCTTTCTCTTCCATATCTTTCGCTCCCAAGGCTGCCCTAGAGTGCATCCGGATCTGACCTGTCTTCCAAAGTATATTGAACACCGACTCTCAGTTTATATTAGCTGAAGCTACAAGAAACACCAACCTCAGAAGCTCAAAATCGTCCGTGGGGGAAGGAGATGAGCTTTTTGCTGGGACTTCGACATTGTCAGATGCTTGGAATATATGTCAGGTAAATCAGGATCTTGACATGTCAATTATTGCATATTAACACCTTGTTTGAACAGGAAACTGTTGCAATTGACCCAGACCTGCAAAATGGATTGTATTCCTTTTTGGTTGTCAACGATCTTGAAAAAGAGGAACGCTTCAAAGAATTGCCTTTTGTCAAGGGAAAGCCACACTCTCGTTTCTTTGCTGGGACGCCCCTCACGAGCGGCACCGGTATCAATTTGGGATGTCTGTTTGTACTGGATCCTGAACCCCGCGCCGGGTTATCTGATATCGAGAAAGATACATTAGGAAGAGTGGCAGAGTTGGTTATGGACTACCTGCTCGTTAGCCGTCAAGCTGTGGAGGGGCGACGTGCGTCGCGACTGTCGCAGGGTCTTCATCTTTTCGTTGACGGCAACTCGAGTTTTGCTAGCAATGCTCGCATGTCGTCTCGCACGAATAGCTCGGCACAGAGCATGTCTTCAAGGGCATCACCTTACCTCAGAGCGAGCGGATCTACAAGCTCTCAAAGGAGCGAATTAGACCTCCACCTGGCACGTTCGGAAGCTGGAGATGCATACTCTCAACACAATACACAGTCTTTGGGTTCAGCTGCCAACCGGATTGATATAAGTGCCCCGGCCAGCTCAACGGGATCGTTTCAAAGCTCAGGGAAAGCTAAGAGTAGCTCGGGAGACTCGTCAAGTAGCAACCATTGGCTTTTTCAACGAGCTGCGAACCTTTTGCGACAGAGTCTGGACCTAGACGGTACTGGCGGGGTGATGTTTTTGGAGGCTAGCGACAAGTCTTCAGAATATGTCGCAAACGATCATTGTGATTCCGCTGAATCCACAACCACTGCACCAATCCTTGCGCTATCCACCAGAAATGATCCGTTTTCATATCAGGCAAACTCTCCGCTGTCAGACCCAGCTGTCAATCTTGATAAGCAATTTTTGAAGGAATTGAATCGCCGCTATCCTAAAGGAAAGCTCTGGTCATTTCACCGGGATGGAACCTTTTCTACTACGGAAGATCAGCTTACGAACGAAACCCCGAAACAACGGAAGAAGTCTAAGGTGTCGGAGACCAGCAAACTAAATAAATTCTTCCCTGATGCATGCCAGGTCATGTTTGTCCCACTATGGGATGCCACAGATTCCCAGTGGTTTGCGGGGTGTTTCTGTTGGACTCCCCAGCCAACGCGGGTTTTCAGTCGAGCTATTGATCTGAGCTCGGTATTTGCCTTCGGGTCCTCTATCATGACTGAATACAGCCGGGTGGAATCAGTCATCGCAGATCGCCAAAAGGGAGATTTTATAAGCAGCATCTCCCACGAACTGCGCAGCCCGCTACATGGTGTCTTAGCTGCGGCTGAGTTTTTAGCAAGCACCAGCTTGGATCAGTTCCAGGATAACCTTCTTGACACTATAAATGCCTGTGGTCGAACACTTCTGGATACGATGAATCAAGTTTTGGACTTCAGCAAGATCATGACCCTGGAAAGGCACAAGAAGACCTTTAAGCGTGGTAAAGATCCCTGGAAACCAAAGCTCACCGAGGAAAGTGTCACGCGCCTGGATGAACTGATTTCAACGGACGTGGCTCTCTTAACAGAGGATGTCGTAGACAGCGTGTGCTTAGGTCATTCTCATGCCCAGCGATCAGTTAAGTCCACCAATCAGTCCGCAGATGTCTTTTCAGCCTCACGTTCGGAATCGGCGACAACGGACAACCAAGTTGACATGATCCCAGAAGTGGAGGTAGTTGTTGACGTTTCTAATAATGACTGGATGTACAAAGTTCAACCCGGGTCATTGAGACGCCTGATCATGAACATTCTCGGCAATGCCATGAAGTATACCCAAAAAGGGCGGATTTCTGTCTCCATTGAGGCCACTGAACATTTAAAGGGACGTTCTCGGCGCCAGGGTCTAGAAGACATGGTGACATTGACGATCTCAGATACTGGCAGGGGTATTTCGAAGGAATATCTCCGGAAGCACCTGTTCACTCCATTCTCGCAGGAGGACTCATTATCAGTAGGCACTGGTCTTGGTCTGTCAATCGTCCGCGGCATTGTGAAAACGATGAAGGGGAAAATCAGTGTTCGAAGTCGACAGGGCGAAGGCACCACTGTCAAGGTGTCCCTTCCCCTCGAGCGTCTAGCAGGAGAGGAAACCCCAATTCCACCAGCCCATGGGGGATCTCTGGAGCAAAGGAAACTGATCATGTCCTCTCAGCTGCGTCGAGGTGATTTCGCTGGGAAACGTGCAGCTATATGGGGAATTGATATCTCTCAGATTGGGGAGAATCAGTTTTGGGCTTCCATAGCCCGATATATCACGAGCTGGTATGGCTTACAGCTCGTTCCTTTATCCGCCAATGAACCTGTTGATATTTTATTGGCGGACGAGAAAGACTTGTCTGGAAAGGAACTGCACCAATTCCCGACTGCATTACCAAGCCTGCTCGTCTTTTGCAACCAGTCAAATAGCCATGGTGACCCTAGGGCACAATGGTCCCATCTTGCTGAATCCCTGGCAATTCTCCATCGACCTTGCGGTCCGCAGAAACTCGCCAGAGGTATCTTGACTTGTCTTGACACAACACCAAAACCCACCAGTTTGCAGCTACAAGCTGTCGGACACCACAACTTAGTCCCAGAGCGACTTGCTTTTGCATGCTCAACTCAACCAATGAACGAACCTGGGACCTTGTCGTTGGCAACTGTAGGGCCGCAAAATATCAACTCTTCGCACTCCATGCAGGAACCAAAATCGTATGCCATGGATCCCGCAGAGCATGATGGTGCTGTCAGCCCTCGCGGAAAAACGTCCGAAAGTGCCGCTTCTCCTCCGTCATCTTCTTCTTCTCCAATTCTTTCTGACAGCTCTGATGATGTTGGCACCTCACCTGATATACAAAGTAAACCTCGGGTCTTGGTAGTAGATGACAACAGCATTAATCTCCACCTCATGGCGACTTTCTTGAACAAACGAAAACTCGTGGTTCTAGACAAAGCCGAGAACGGCCGAGCCGCCGTTGACGTGGTTGAAAGAACGTCGCAAGGATATGACCTTATCTTCATGGACATGTCTATGCCAGTGATGGATGGATTCGAGGCTACGCGCGCCATTCGTGCGATTGAGAAAGAACGGGATGGCTGTGTCCCAGCAACGATCATCGCTTTTACTGGACTCAGTAGCTCACGCGATGAGTCCAAAGCATTGGAATCAGGAGTGAACTTGTTTTTTACGAAGCCTGTTGCATTCAAGGAGGTATCGAGGCTTCTTGATGAATGGCAATCTACACGACCCAGAACAGAAGATGTGGGCAAATGATGTAATCTTTTGAGGCTTGTTAAGTATGAAGAACCAGAAGGATGGCCATAATTTCTTACAGAGGGAAATTGGCTTCTGTTTTAATTTTCTTGAAGCTCTTTCGAGTCATAATGTTATATATTGGATGAGTATACTGGACCAACTCAAAGACGTTTGTTCTTGCACCACAACGCTAAGCGATGTCATATAGGACACCAGAAGTGGGCTAACTTAGGCCCAATACTGAGGGGAGTATCACATTTACGAGCACATTTGATACTCGATATTTGATGATTTGGATCGGCCAACCGTTGAAATCTGCTTATTGGGTGCTCAATGAACGATTAGGTGGCATTGCTCGGCAGTTTCAAGCAGATAATAAGCAGCAGGTCCTTCTTCATAGAAGTAGACAGAGCTCTTACCTCTCAAGCATGAGAGACCACACAACACTGACTCCTCCCAAGGTTGGGCCTTATGGGGATATACATACCTCGGTCCTGTGTTCTGCCTCAGGCCACAACTAATTGAGCCTCAGGCCTTAAATACATTAAGTAATCACGTATCTGGAGCTCCCCGACAAACAGTGCAAACACTCTATCGCAAAGAAAAAAAAATAATTTATCGCAATCTCGATCTGGGTTCTGAATCAAGACAGCAGTTCGATAGTCACGAGTTTTTGATTAAACTCGACTTACAAAAGTTCTTTCAAGGCAATCTCTTCATATCCTGAGATTGACGACCATTCCCACCTACCTTGCTACTCAACAGACTTCTCAATCGCTAAATTACGAATCCTTGCGATAAAACCGATCCAATGGACGGCCAAAAAACTCCCTTCGTCAGGGAGCTCGGTTCGAGTGGTATGTACTCATACTAAACCAATCGAAGCACCCCAACGCTAATAAACCCCTTCAGACCGCAAAGTGCGCGACAAGGCCGTCGACTCTTTAACCCAATTCGTGCGCTCACGCACCGATCTGACCCTCGTGGACCTCCTCAAGCTATGGAAGGGCCTGTTCTACTGTATGCATCCACTACCCTACCGGATAACAGGATCAGCAAGACTAACCTTCTCCCAGGCTTCTACCACTCCGACCGACCCCTCACACAACAAGCCCTCGCCCGCGCACTCTCCTACTCCCTCGTCCCCTCCCTCCCCCAAGCCACTCTCCACCGTTTCCTGCGCGCCTTCTGGATCACAATCGGCCGTGATTACCACGCATTAGACCGCATCCGTCTGGACAAGTACCTGATGCTGATCCGTTTCTACGTGGGCGTAGCATTCGAGATTTTCGTGAAGGACAAGACCAGCAAAGCCGACGGCAAAAGCGCAAGCGCGAAGACGCAGCCAAGGGCCGTGGCAAGAAGCAGAAGAAGCAAGAAAAGGCAGAGGTCGAAGATGAGCAGAAGGACGGCGCCGAGGATCTCGAGGCTAAATTCCCCGATCTCGCGGCTTATATCTCCATCATTGAGGAGGGTCCTTTGTGTCCTTTGAACTATGATGAGGATCAGCCCAAGGATGAGGGTGACCCGAATTATGTGCCTATGCCTCATGGCCCGGATGGGCTGCGGTACCATCTTATTGATATCTGGATTGATGAGTTGGAGAAGGTTCTTGAGTTTGAGGAGGTTGGTGATGAAGAGACACCGAAGCGGAAGATCAAGGGTGATGTGCCTATGGAGCTTATTCTGCGGCCGTTGGAGAAGCTTCGTGCTGAGAGTGCTTACAAGCCTGTTCGTACGAGAGCGGCTGAGGCATTGGAGGATGAGCGGTTGTTCGAATGGGGAATTCGGACGAGGGAAGTTGAGGAGGAGGAGAGTGAGGAGGAATGGGGCGGTTTTGAGTAAATGGCCCAGTTTTATGTGAACGGATTTGTATAAACAGATTGAATTCATTGTACAGCGTGCTAGCGATTACGTCCATGGCTTGGGGATGGAAACGAGCTGGTGCAAAACAATGTAAAGAAAACAAACGACTACAAAATATATTAACATGTCTCTGTTCCATTTGGCTGTACGGTACATACAGTCTGGCCACAGAGTTTCGAATATCTAAGATAACGTATCGACAAAGCGCGTGTTCTCTTGCGCTAGGGTATCATGGGCGGATAAGCACTGGATATATCAAAGGTGGACTCCGCAAAACGACAGGACAGATTGGTGATCAACGGCGATCTTTGTTGCGGAGGCTGGTTCAAGGCACAGTCGGCAGAGGACCTGGTGCTTCATAGAAACGACCCGACTTAGTAAGTATCGTACCCAGCCCCTGGTGGACCTCGGCCTGGAACGCTTCGAAAGGTATCCGTTCACCGTCTATGCTGAGGTAGCCCTCTTTTTGGTGGGGAACTAAACGGAAAGCGGACGCTTTGCGGAGATGCATTTCTGGCATATCGAAGAAGCGACCACTGGGGACTTCGGTCATCAAAGTGAGCGCCTTGCTACGGCTGACTGTGCCGTCAATAGTGATCACATCCATGAGGCCGTCGTTCGGCAAAGTTGCGGGGAACATGTTAGTGTCTTTCGACATGATGGCCATATTTCCTGCGTAGAAATTGCCCATTGTTTCTCCTGGAATGATCTCCCAATCAGGTGACAATTTGTCCAACACTGTGCCATACTTGAGCTCTGGTAGACCTGGAGACATGGCAGCGATTTCGAAGCGTTTGCTATCAGCATCTTGCTCCTCTGGACTCGTCGACCACTTAGCGTAGTGCTTTTTGATTTCCTCCTTGTCACCAATTTCCACTTTGACAGCTAAATCGCAAGGCCAAATCGTCTGTCGCAGTAAACGAACCAAGAAACCGTATGTGAACCGCTGAGCGCCCATCCATCGGATGTTCTCAGTACCCAAATCGCATTCAGCAACGATACCAAAAGATTGCGATAGGAAAGAGAGCGTGAGCGAGTCTTTCTGGGAGATCGAGATTAAGTCAAGGGGTGTTCTCAACCCTTTCACAATGCCCAGTGCCGCAATCGAAACGCTTCCAGTCCCGAAAGCATTCCAAGTAAGCCCATTTCCAGAGCCGCATGGGAGCAACGCAACGGCAGTTTGTGCCAGCGCCTTTCGAGCATCTGGCCGTTTGCCCAACCCGTTGAACACCTCGTAGGGCAAACCGTCACCCGAGCAGCAAACAACCGCATCGTAGGCGTCGATATCGAGCTTTTCCGCAATTTCGATTGCGTGTCCTCTGTATTCCGTGTGCTGGACATCTACCTGGCACTTCGCCGCTGCGAACACCGGTGCTGCATGTCGCTGGTACAAACTGGCAGCTGTCCCCTTCCCGCCGAAGGGGTTGACCAACACCTTCAACCGCTTGCCACGTAACGCCTTGCCATATGCAACGTCGAGCAGTGTTTGGACCCAAAGCTCGACTCCCTTTTTCTCTTTCTCCGATATCGGGTATTGGGCGGTCGTGATGGAAACGTCGTCCTTGGTGGCGAGCTGTGCGTACGCAATGACAAGGTTAGAAGCCGTGACTTCGGCGCCGAGGACGTTGTACAGCGATATTTTGTGGTTCGGTTGCGGTGCTATGATTCAGCCCAGTTAGATATATGTGTGCTTTGCGATGAGTGTCGTCTGCGATCACGCAGAAATCGCCACCAGGGCTAGCGCCAACTTACGAGATTGAAGCCATCCGCAGCAGCGACGATCTTTGTCACTAGGTGCGCGATCGTCTGCCGCATAGGTCAGCATGTAAGAAAGCAGTGGGCACGGGGGCAGTCTATACCATGTATGACGAGGAAGTCGGTGCTGATGGTCAAGGAGACAGATTGATCGACAATAAGCGTTGCGTCGTGCGACTCCTGCGAGGAGCCATCTGGGGAGGACATTTTGGATAAGGATGGATGTTCAGGGCATTATAGATAGACTACGGAGTAGAAGGATCTAGACAAGGGGGAGGGCTAAGAATAAACGAAACAAATGAGAAGACGCGCGCCATATGCAGCCGCGGAGTTCCGGTGGGCCCGGGCTTAAGGGTCCTTGCATCTGTATGACAACGTCGAATATAGGCCCGGGGACTCTGGTCAACACTTCACACAGCAAGAGATTAATGCTCGAACAAGATTCCCTCTAAAGGCTACTATATTACTTCGTTGGAAAGATCGAAGACATTGTTCTCTATCCACTACTCCAGATGAGACATCCATCCCATCTACACAATCAAGAGGCATTTAAGTAAACAAATTCGTCTGAAGAAATGAACAGAACAGAAGGCAAGACAAGAAGAGGGGGAAAAGGATAAAAAAGTATCATATAGACCGCAAACCGCTGAAAAAAACATTTACTTATGCAGCCGCTGCCTTGAGCCCCTTCAGAGAGCCTAAGCTCAGTGCCAGACCCTGTGAACGACTTCTTATGCGCACAAATCCTGTGATAGGCCCGTCGTCTCCCTCCTTCTCGATACTCAAGTTTGCCAGCGCATCCTCGCCTAGTTGCAAAGTTAGTGGTTTTGTCAAGCGGGGAAGGGGATGTACTGTCAGAGGATGATAACATACCGAATACACTGCGGGCATATAGGTTTGCGCTCAAGAAGCTGCAGTCACCCTTGAGAGAAGCCTCAGGAGTCAAACAGGCCATATTAGTGCTGTCCATGAGCTGCTTAAGGAATTCACGCAGAGTCTTGGCCTTAGAGTTGATGTTGACCTTGTTCTCCCACTCGAACTCAGTCCACATGGTACGGAACTGAGTCTCAGTGCAGTGAGCAGGCTGGATGTAGTCCATGATGTCGGCATGGATGTCGTTAAGGATGACCACGTGGGTTTCAGTAGAGCTAGAGCCTTCATAAACAATGTTACCAAAGATGACACCGGTGTCGGTTGATGAAACCTTGATTGTAGCCTGGACATTCAGGAAGTCACGCGGGCCCAGGTTGTTGGTAGAGGGCCGCTCAACGACCTTGAGGTCGCCGAGAGTGGCGAACTCGACAGACAGATTTTGCAGGGTCTCCGTGGTTTGGTTAACCAGGAGAACGTCAAGGACAATATCGAACTGGTGGACGGTGACATAAGCTTCGGCATAAACCGAGTCGGAGAAACCAGTCAGTTGCACAACTCGGCTGAGCTTCGAGGACACTTCCTCCACGGCCGAATCGCCACCAGTAGCCTTGACAAGATCCATTTCGATCTCTTCGCCGCCCTCAACAGCATTCTTCTTGGCGAATTGACGGATGGGAATGGCGTCATCGATCTGCACAGCACTCTTGGCCTTTTCCACTGCCTCCTTGGCAGCCCTCTTCTTATCCTCAACCTGGACCATAGCACGGAATGCCTTGCGGGTGTCCTGCAAGAAAGTGGCCTCAAGCTCTTTCTTTTCAGAGAATTCGGCCAGGGAGCGCACACAGGTCAAGATACGATCCACGGAGTCTTCATCAATAGGAGCCTTAACGAAGTGGGATTGGCCAACACGCATGATTGAAATCATGATGAGCATAGCCTCGGCGCGGAGAGCGTTGGTGCGGGCTGTATCCTGGGAAACCTCCGAATGGCGCATGACCAACTTGGTCAAGGTCGAGGAGAGGACTGTTGCTAGATAGTAATCGCCGTCCAAAATAAGCTGGCGCAGGGGGGGTTTCTGCGCGGCCTTGACGGCCTCGAGACGAGCAGCTGCCGCAGACTGACTGGTGAGGGCACTTTCGGTGGCGTAGGTACCGTCCGCAAGGACCTTTCGGGATCCAGTGGGCGCAGCCTTGGAGTGGCCGTTGGCATGCTCCAATAGGAGGGTGTTATCGTCTGGAACCTCGTCCAAGAGTCGCTGTTCGGATGCCAGAATGGGAATTTCACCCAGGCTAGCTCTGATCGTCTTCCAAGCATCCCGAATATCCTTCTCCTCGAGGGAGTATTCGCCAACAACCCAGAGAACTCCACGGTAGACCTTTCCAGCCCGAACCTCGCTCAAAGTTGAAACCAAGCGGGCGACAATCGACCCACGAAGGTCAGGGAACTTCTCCACAACCTCCTTGACGAATGAAATTACATCGACCGCGGAGTTATTATTGAAATCGGCAATGAAGTCCATCAGGAGATCAACCACGCTGGCAGCAATCTCAGAGAACTTGATGGCGCAAGAGTGTATTGACTGCACCAAGATTTGGCGGTACTCGCTATTCTGTGAGATGGATTAGCGTCGGTGAACTCTGCGAAGGGGCTGTACAATCTACCTGTTCATATTGTTCGTCGACGGTCTTAGCAAGCTCCTTCTTAAGCAACATGATAATTTCTTCCACGTTTTTGCTTGAAACCATCTCCATGGCGAGGTTGAGGGCCTTTCTCCGGACATCGATATCAGGGCTGCTGAGAACGCGAAGGGCCTCCATGGTCAGGTCGTCCAATACACCCTCATTGCGGACTCTAAGTTGATCCACGCGATCCAAACAGATAAGTTTGACGTTGTTATCAGCCTCCCGAATGGCGAGCTCGATCAGCTTGCCCGCAGCAGCTTTGACGGCAACAGGGTTGCTTGTGAGAGCGGTAAGAGATGTTGCGGCTTCATAAACAACGGTGCTTGTGGAGGCATCGAGGAGTTCGAGCATGAGTTTCAAGTATCGTGACTATTGTCCGTTAGTAACCCCGACACTATGATTGGAACCCTTCAATCCGACCTTGTTCTGAGTGTTCTGTACTGCATCCTTCCGGAGGAACTCCAATTCTGCTAGCTGGAGCAACTCATCTGTGTTTGGAATAGTGTCGAATGTAGTGCGCAGATACTCGAGTGCCTTTTGGTGGCTGATGGACATGAGTGCTGCAAAGGCATTGCGCTTGCAGGTGCTATCGGTCTCCGACTCGAGGAAGGTCTGAAGCAGCTCCGGCGCATCGGGAATGAGTGACTCGGAGTGCTGGAAAATAGAGGACACAGCCCAAACCGCATTCTTGCGAACATAGGCGTGGCGGTGTTCCAGACATGAACGTGCGGAGGAAAGGAGGGGTTCGATGAGCTCAGGTTCGCGAAGCTTAGAGAGGAATCGTAGAGTATTGCCGCGAATGTATTCGTTGGGGTGCTGAAGATCGTTGCGAATGCCGTTGCTAGAAGTGTAAACTGTCAGAGAGGAAAGAAATGCAGCAATCGCCAGGGGCATCCTTACCAGACCAGGATCATCTCCTGCTTAGGCTTGCCGGTGGCATCGTGCTTCGGGCAGATTTCATAGAAGAAATAAAGCAACTTCTTCAATGCCTTGCTTTTCGAGGGCATCACAAATCGAATGATGTGCATTAGGATTTGCGGCATGGGATCTCCATTCAACATAATGGTGACAATTGTCCGCATGGTTTCCAACTTGGTCTCATCGTTGCCTTTCTCCAGCTGCAGCTTCAGCTCCTGCACGGTCGGCTGGTCGGCAGTATTGTCCACATGGAGCAAACTGTAAGTATTTTCGAGAAACGACGCCATGGTGGTGGATTGAGGGGAAACGGAACGAAAGAGAGCTGCAAGTTGTCAGTTCCGGGGTTGTTTTGGGGACACATCAGCATGTAGAAATCAACACGTACACTAGGGGTAGTTCTCCCGGGGATAGGAGTTTGCGCCAGATATAAAGAACAAGCAATTAGTGTAAAGCAAAACCCCTCGCCAGCCTTGAAATCATTAGAGGTTATATGATGCGCAATGGGGAGGGACCATCAACTTGTCCCTTAATCTGGCCCCGTGTGTGGATGAGTAAGCACGCCGCTTTTCAACTGCCACTTCCAATTGACGTCGATTGCTCTCCATCGCATTACTTACGACGTCTACCATTGAGTTTCGCCAGGATGTCGAATGAGAATTTCTACCTACGATACTAGTAAGGATGAAATGAGTGAGCCCGGATCTCCTCAGCTGCTGACAGTCCTCACAGCTCAGGCCACTCTGGGCGGTTTGGACATGAGTTCCTAGGTGAGTGTTTATCGGTCATTGCCCTCGTACTCAGTCGCTAACTTTCCCGCAGAATTTGACCTCCGCACCATTACAGATGGTAGCAGCGCCGCTGTCCGATATGCGAACAACTCGAACTATCGCAATGATTCCCTCATCCGCAAAGAAAGTGAGCTGCGACATAGATAACTAGCTGCGAAGCAACCTTGGCTGACAGGGTCCTAGTGTGCGTGAGCGATGCGTTGGTTCAAGAAGTGAAGCGCATTATCAAAGAAAGCGAGATCCTGAAGTATGCACTCGCATCATCCCGACGGAAAGAACACGCGCGCTAACACCGCCTAGGGAGGACGACTCCAAGTGGCCCCAGAAGAACAAGGATGGACGCCAAGAGCTGGAGATTCGGATCGGAAACGAGCATATCTCCTTCGAGGTAATCTATGAAATACCCAAACGAAAGCAGCCATCAAATCTAATTCTAGACTTTTAGACCGCCAAAATCGGTTCGCTGGTCGACGTCACCGAATCCGACGACCCCGAAGGACTTCGAGTCTTTTACTACCTCGTGCAGGACCTGAAAGCCCTTGTCTTTTCGCTTATCTCTCTCCACTTCAAGGTAATAAATCATTTCATCGGTCCCACTATTGAAGCATTGGTTGACCATCCTTTGCTTTACAGATCAAGCCCATCTAAGTGTTGAGCGTATAAAGCAAAATTGAAGATGAATCGGAGGATTTGATTTGATGATACTCACCAGGCGTTCATGGGGGTTTCTTGGGATGCGAACTCCACTAAAGCGCAAAAACGAAGAATTTGATACCACTCAGGCCACACATTTTATACTCTATTGGTCTGTTTTTCGATATTTCCTGGCCAATTTGATAGACTTGGGTGTTTATAACTGCTTTTCATTGACCAATAAAGACCCCAACAAGATGCCCAACAAAATGTCCAGAGTTAGCTCGACATGAATTATTCCACCCTGTTTTCTAGCGTCTCCCATGAGAAATGAAGAGGTGACCTACACACTGCTGCCACATTCCTGCCATGGGGCTCTTTCGGGGCTTTGTAGATCCATCAGGTTCGTCAAACTTGAGTCAAGTTCCTCCCAGCAGGATACCTAGGTAGTCTTTGGACAGAGCCGGAAAACATATCGTTGCTTGAAACTCCTCGATATGACATCGCTCGACCCAGTTTACATTGCCAGTGGCCTGATGAAACCTTGGCTTGCGCACGCACAATCGCTGATTCCCCCTATGAGTGACCCAGAACCCTTCGATTCAACCTCAAGCTCATCACAAGGGGGTTCCCCAAGAGACTGTCCATTTTACATTTGATATCCCCATCCCCGGGACGTATATCTTAGGGTTACGGTTTCGTCCAATCAGACTTCTATGGCCACTTGAATTGCTTCTTGCCATATGTGAGTACCAGATCACCCAGTCTAATAATCTCAAAAGATTGAAATGCGTCGAGGTCTTTTTCAGCAATGGCCAAAGCAAGCGCCTCGTCGACAATGAGCCTTTGGCGCAACGCTGAACATGGATCAATACGCGGTGTTGCACACAGGACACAAATCAAGGCTTCCAAACCGCTCTGGGATCTTCCGAGAATGTACAGGAGTCCATTCCGCGAGATAGGTCATGCCATCTGTACATATCCGTACATATCTGAACATTTTTATAGATGAAAGCCCCTTGGCCGGTGGCCTCAGGCAGCTCTATTACATAACCTATATTGAAGTGGCGCCGCGCCAGGCGCAGAAACAGCTGACCCACCTGAACTTGTCCCCGCATTGCTCGTTCCTCGAGGCCTTAAAAGACTTAGTTCGCTGATCTTGAATGATCCATCCCCCTTGCTCTCGCTTTTTATTCTTCTTGCTTTCATTTTGTTTGAGAGCGTCTTGCTTTGATTCGATGTCCCGTCTCTTTCCCTGATTCGCAATGCCAACCCCGAGTAACTCGATCGCCGCGATCGCCGCCCGCACGACATGTCCACCGGAGCCCGACAGGATGCCGACCTGGCAAGATTCTCCGGACGCTGAATCAAATAGCGACCTTGATCGTCTCTCGCCTGGAATTGCAATTGCACCCTCTGTGTTAAGTCGATCTGATGATGGCAGCACTCCTGAACCGTTGAAGGTGGAGGGAAAGTTGGCCGGCGTTGAGGAAGATGAGTCCGTTCGGGCTGCCTCTCCTACTGAGTCAACCTGCACTCGCAGCCATTCACCTGCAACCCCCCCAGGATCTTCACTCCTAAATTGGGAATTCTCCAACGTTCGCGTATGTATTCACTCCGACCCGGTCGGAGTATATCGCCACCCACTGACCATCGCCACAGCTTCTGCCGAACCACACCTCATTTCTCCGTTCGGGCAGCAAATTCGCCGGAACCCAGCAATCGGACCGCCAAGTCTATAATGTCGATGTTGAAATCAAGCATGTGGATATGGCCGAGTCCTATCTCTGTGGCTATCTTCGAATCCAAGGTATGTGACTCGTGCGCATATGGGACGTGCATTGGATCTAGTTCAATTAATGTTTATCATTTCCCCACAGGCCTCACAGAAGATCATCCTACCTTGACTACCTTTTTTGAAGGAGAAATTATCGGTACCAAACATACCTTTCAGACTCGCAATGAGGAATGGGGTGCATCGGAAAAGACAGACCTCCATCATTGGTCGCGATTTCCTGCCTGGCGTCCACTGGCTAAGCAGGCCAAAAGACCGGATTTTACATACCGCAACTTTGCCCAGCGAGAGCATATATTTATGAGGTGGAAGGAATCTTTCCTTGTCCCCGACCACCGAGTGCGGACGATCTCAGGCGCCAGCTTCGAAGGCTTCTATTATATCTGCTTCAACCAAGTCGAGGGAACCGTGAGCGGCGTCTACTTTCATGCGAAGAGCGAGCGGTATGTGGATCTTTTATCCCCGAAACTATCAAATTAGCTGGTTCTAATCCTACCACAGATTCCAACAACTCGAACTTAAGCATGTCGAAGATCGTGGATGTGCACCAGCAGTCGAGTTCCGCTAAACCTCGCCGAACTTGCTTGCTGGTGCCTCATATGATATGCTCCATGACCTTCTGGGTGACTTCTTGACCCTCATCTTTCTCACATCTCCTCCCCACTTCCTCTTGTGTCCGGCACTACATGGCTAAGCAGTGCTTCCTGGTCCCCGTTCCAAGAGAGAAGCCTGGTTTCCTTGAACCACTTTTGGGATCTCTATCCGTTTTGCTTTTCCTCGAATACCCTCAATGTCTTCCTCATTCCTGCCCTCACTCTCTACCTCTCTTCCACCTATTTTCCGTGTTTTGATGAATCTTTTGGCTGCATGTACACGCCAATCGAGGATTTCCAAGACTATATCCTTCTCCAGGCAATATATGCCTATAACCCAACCTCAAATTGACCCTCATGCCTCACGATATTGCAATCTACGAAACGGCGTTTTCGTGTTCACTCCCGGCGACTTGGTCCTGGCTACTGCACACCCTCTGTTTGGAATCCTAATCCTTCATATTTTCCCTCCTTGTTTTCTTATTTTTCAATTATCTCTTGTTAGCTAACTTTTCCTGTTATTATTCCCTCTTTGGGCTGTCGGTTGACCAGCCTGCTCGGTTATTGAAAAATATTTCATTCGTCCATCATACTGTTTCTCGTAATTTCTATCATGCTCTGCCACACAATGAAATACATTGGAACATAATGATGGGTCCACAGAGTATCAAGTCTTCTCACGGGTGCCTATTAAACCAGGTCAATATTTATGGAATCCATACAGATGCGACACAAAGGGCGGTTGCTATTACAGGCAAGGCTACCAGCGGACCGGCGATGTGCTGACCTCTATGTAACTTGCAGGATCAAAACTATTCTATGGGACTCTATAGCTCCTACCAGCAATGGAAGATAAATAAATTATTCAAGTACTAGGATGTGTGTGGGTATGTATTTGAAGTACGGAGTGAGCCCCGTCGGCTTAGGACAATGCATAAATAACTGCAATCGCTGCGTATACGTATGTGCTGGAAATAGATAATGCGATCAACAAGAGATAAATAATATAACACCCAATCGTGTGTATCTGAATGTTATATGGAAAATGCCGAGAAATTTAAGTGCCAGATATGAAGATCCGCGCATCCGATGGAACAAAGTAGAGTGGAATCAAGGAAACCAAAAATTCCAAGATATGAGTTCCGGAGAATAAATAAGAAAATGACCGCGGTGGCATGATTTGGCGTTATGGTATGGGTTTTGGTGAACGAGGGGCATTAAATGAAGGGGAAAAAGGCGAGTAGGGGTATCACATGCGATGCCATTTGAAGGTGGCCAGATCGAAGCGAGTGTGGTTGAAAAGTGAGACGTTTTGGGCTCCATGATAATAGAAGTTCAGATGTCGCGTCTCATGTAAAGGGTGATGGCACGGGAAAGGGGATCACGTATGTAGAAATGACGCGAGAAGAGAGATCACATATATGTTGAGTTTTGGCGTGTGGTGGAGGTTGAGCCTGAGCTGCTGCTGTAATCGCTACCCGGCGTGGGAGGCTCCAGGACGACCTGTTGACGGATGGAGACGATCCATTCGTGCTGTAAGAGTTCGGCGGCGGTGGCACGGCGAGCTGGATCGCATTCGAAGCAGCGACGCACAAAGTCAATTCCTAGGTCGCTGAGTTGATCGCGAGATGGAAGTGCGGGTTGTTTGCCCTGGGCGATGTTGTACATAATTGCCCATTCATTGTCCAGCGTGGACCATGGCCGGCGACCAGTTGCCATTTCCAGAACCACACAGCCCAGAGACCAGATATCCACGGCACCTTGGCGGTTGTCCAGACTTGCGGCGTCTCCGCGGATCACTTCGGGTGACATGTACATCGGAGTTCCTGTAGTGGTCTTCTGGTTTTTGCGCTGGGTGCCAGTTTCTTTCGCCGCCTCCTTGAAACTCATGCCCTGAGGGTTGTCCATTGGGGCAACAGTGCGGCCCGAGCGGGCAATGATCTTGGCAGCACCGAAATCAACGTATTTGATGACACCATTGTGATCGAGCAAGATGTTTTCAGGTTTGATGTCACGGTGTACGATGTGAGCTTCGTGGAGATAAGCCAAGCCCTCAAGAAGTTGGAGTGCATAGACCATGATGACTGTTTCGTCTTCGATACGGCCGTGCTCGAGCAAGCTAGCAAGCGACCCACCTGAGCAGTACTCCATGAAGATGTAAACCTTGTCACGATGCACCTCAATGCCGTGATAAGAGACAATGTTTGGGTGATCGAGCACTTCGAGCACACCCATTTCATCGCGAATCTGCTGGGCAATCTTGGGGATGAGCTGGGGATCCTGTAGACGAATCTCCTTGACAGCCATTAAATAATTGCTGTCCAAGTTGATAGCCACATAGACAGACCCGAAGGTACCACCACCGATGAATTGACCTTGCTGCCACCGTAGAGTGACATTGGTAGCCGATGATGAAAGCACAGTGAGTGACCGATCAGCCTCGTCAGATCCTTCCAGCACCTTGCCCAAGGCTTGACGCTTCGCATCTTCCTCAATTCTCCTATCTTCAATCTCCACAACACGTGCGTACCATGTCTCGCGAACAAGCTTTGCTGCTTCTTCGTCGCTAATGATCCGACCAGTACCAATCTGGCGGGCACTATTGCGCTCTTCCATGCGTTTCTCGTTCTTGGCTGCGAGAGAAGAGCGCGCACCCATGATGTCGAAATGAGAGATGAGGAGAGACATGCAACCTGCCACTTTCAGTCTGAAATCGCTGAATTGATCTTGATCCATAGACAGAAGATGGCGACTGGATGTGATGGCCATCGCAAACTCGAGCGCTGCCACAGCCCACTTGAAGGTTTTTCGGTCCGCAGCGTCACACTCGTCGCAAATGAACGCGACCCAGTCAAGAGACAACTCCACTAATCGGGCACTGTTCATAGCACGCCTGTTAGCATCGACATAGTTTGAGGATCGTTTACCAAACTCTGTGGCGAATGCATAACAGGCCTGTATCAAATCATTGTTCTCCCAGTTTCTCTCACGCAGTTGATCCTTAATGATAGACACACTATCCATGATGGTCATGGACAGTTTGAAAGAGATCTTCTTGATTTTGTTCAGTTCAACGTTGACACGTCCAAGGTTGGCACGTTGTTCGATGACCATATCAAGTTGGATGCCTGTGAGTCGTGCGAGTTCTATGCGTGCATTCTGTAGCCGTTCTTGCATGCCTTCAACGACTATACGGAGCTTGCCCAGCCGCACATCTGTGGGGTGTTCCAAAAACTCCACTTGCATTTCTTTTCCCGCCCAAGCCAAGGGCTTCTCGGGTCGGATAGCCAAAACATACGGAATATGGACATCCTGGGTCGCATCGTCTTCTTTGAAGGAGGTGGACAGAATGGCCTGGATGTCGGCGGGGCGGTTCCACAATGCATGGTGCGCAATCAGATAAACTCCCTTTTGTCCCACGGATGTAGTGGAGGTGACAAGGAAGTGGTCGGAGATCAAGAGTGCTTCGAAAAAATCATAAGCGATATCGGTAGTGATATTGTATTCGGTGGCATTTTCAAACAATTGGCACAAAAATTTGGAGAATCGATAGAGCTTGCGCTGACGAATACGAGTTGAATCTAGGATGCTCTTATATCGTTTGTCCATATCCTGTACGGTCTCTTTTGGTCTCGGAACGAGTTCACGTTCGAAATGAATCATGAGACGCTGTAGTGATCTGGCAGTCAAGGCGCTGATGTACTTGTTAGCTTTTGTGGTAGAATAGAACCTGAGAGCCATACCTAAACTGCTCAGCCACCTCGATATCACCGCCGTCAAGCCGCCGGCCGATATCATAGGAGTATCCCCATTCCTGTTCCAGGATTTCTGCTTCTTTGAAGGTGTTCTTGTTGGCGTTCAACTTCCAATTGAGTAGCCGGAAGTAGTATTTCATAGCATCCAGCACGGAATTATCGAAGTTCTCGTCAACACATGGAGGCAAATCCCAGCCAGGTTCTGGCCTCGAGACGTCAAGGTAGCGGAATTTAATGTCGACCGCCACTTTCATCAAGATTTGAAATTGAGAGATCATCTGATCAATCAGGATGGGGGCCTGCTGAGCTGGGTCTTTCATATTTTTCGCATAAGATAGACGGACTCGAATGATTTCCTGAATCAAGCGGGAGGGGAAATTGATCAATGTAAGAAGTTCCTCGATATATGGTGGCAGATGGCGCGCAGCAAACGCTTGCGAATTTTCAATCAGAGTACTCTTCGCTTTCTGAATGACGGCGAGAATCCGAAGAAGCATGCCGTCCTTGTCCTGCAATGTCTTCAACCCATCTTCCTTCATGATGCGATCAAGGAAGGACGACCCGTCCGAGAGATCATTCTTAGCTGACTTGACCCTTGGCTGGCTGAAATCCAAAGCTTCATTTCCCACCCAGCTTTGGAGCACAGCCAGCTCGGTGTTGATGAGAGCCGTGATGTTGTGCCACGCAAAGATGGCTGCGCGACTAGAGACAAATTCCTCCGACGCAACACGGGGGTTCGCGGCCTCCATTTCTTTGTGCGAAGAGTAAAGAATTTCGCAACGCTCGACCTTCTCCACAACATCCTCAACTTGCTGCCTTGGCGGTTTTCCTATCTCGGTCTCGCCCTTAATCTGGAACCCTATGATATCTTCAATGAGAGGTCCCAGACGTGACCGCGCATCCTCAATCACTTTTCGCTGCAAAGGAATACTTCGGCCACATGTTCTCGCCCGAACTCCGATCCAAAGAGCATAACTCTGGGCCGCCGACCGTTTTGATTCCGCAGATCCAATGAGTCGTTGTTTCTCTTGCTTCACTACATCACCCTTCAAGACCGACGCCAGCATGGAATGCCACTCAAGTCGCTCCTGGTTCTTAGGATGCTTGAGTTCTTCTGTGGTTGGAAGGTTGTCGTCCGGGAGGAAGAGTTGGGTATCGGGGTCATAGGAATCATCTTCAAAGGCAACCTCGGAGGAAGGAGAGGGGTCCTCTAAATCGGCATCCCCCTCTATCATGCTGTTTGTTTGCGCGTCTTTGAAGTGGTGATACCAGGCTTGGGGGTTCGCTCGAATCCGTTGAACATAGGCTTTCTCTTGGGCTCGGTATTGCGCGTTCGGATCGCGTCGGGTCCCCCGCTTAGCCGATGACGATCGTTGCCGGTCTTCCTGCAGACTGATATATTGCGGTGGCCGCCGCTGCGGGGCATATGTATTCGACGGTGTTCGTACCGGGGCGGACGGGCGCTGAAGTCGCAAGTCGCTGGCCATAGCAAGACCGTCGGTCTTATCAAGAAGGGTGGTAGCACCGACGCTAGCTCCGCGCGGCCTTGTTGTTGGAGTACTAGACCATGAAGCGAGACTAGGCGAATGAGATGGAGGAGAAGATGTGATGGTGGTGGCAGGTGTTTGAATTTGGCCCTCAACAGTCTCTCCGAATGCTGAGTTAGCCCTCACGGGATATTGGGGATATTCATCGGAAGAGCCTGAGCCATCCGAATCAGGACTGGGGATTTCCGGATGCTGCATGGTGATTATACCGTGCGATGGTCCGGGAGAGCACGTCTTGGTGTTGGACCAAGGTGATAGGAGGCGGATGCTGTGGCAGTGCGGTGTGGCTAATCGGATGACCCACTGAGCCCGGGAAAATCCCCGCCCAGTACTCCGTAACGGTGTTTAGTCTACAATGTCGGAGTGAAAACGCAGCAAAATACCACTAGACCATAACAAAAACCAAGGTTCCTGTTTATAGCCTAGGGGGCGTATACATGCGATGTCATAAAACCTTTGATCCGCTGAGAATATTTCCTGTTTGACTGTTAGTCACTACGTGGCATCAATCTTGATACTGCATTTATATTAAGTCCATGCCCTGCTCCACGCGTCCAGCTCTGTGAGTCAGCTGCTTCCTTGCGCTCAGTATGGGTGTAGACAAGCAACCTGCTCTATCCTTGTACAAACTGATTTCATACACGAGATATGCTTGTCATGACCAAGTTCGTGTTTTTTGGCTATACCTGATAGTTTGAAATACCACGAAGTATGGAATAATCAAGTGTAAATGGTCAAGTCCTCATATTATTAAATTATCTCATGCTATTGCCCAGGTTTCATACTTCGAAGCTTGGTGTCTATTTGTATACATATTGTAGACGCCTTTAGATAAGTTCCTGGTGTTTTTAGAATTTGCTTTAGCGACTATCTCCATATAGATATTCTACATCTTTCAGTTCGATGGGAAATATAGTACATAGAGGTTAGGTGGGTACATGTAGTTATTATTGCCGCGGGTCTCGTTTGAAGCGGGGAGATCAGGTGAGGTTAGACGAACATGATTGATTCGAATACTATAAAAACAAGGCTGAGAAATATAAGTGGAAAATATAGAAAAAAAGCTACATACTATAGAAGAGGTAGTGGAATTTAGAAATTGTAATGAACGATTCAACTAGGTCCCCTGTATTTGATCTGCTTGAAAGTTTGAGAGGCTGATGTTTTGAGCTAGAAGAGCTGGGACTATGTGACTAGAGCTAACAAAGGAAATTAAACAAATAAGAATTTGAAAGAAATGCACTTCTTCAAGTGAAAAGCACCGAGCAGGGGTATGTATGAGGAGATTCAATAGCGCTAGGATACCTAAGACCTGCCAAAATTGGCTATATTAAGATTCAAACTAAGATTAATGATAATAGTTATCTTTAGCTTTTTATTGCGCTCTAATCATACAGCATATATACTATATAAAGATACAATTTAATAACATTTCCTTCAACACAAGGGCATAGAAAGAAATCCATCGAACCATCTTATCTTGTAGCCAAAATCTATGTATATTGAGAAAGCAAGACATAGGTATGCAATAAAATCACGATTTAATCTGAACAATGGAGCGGGTTAAATGAAAACAGGTTATAGATGTTACTGAAGTGTTAGAATCATGGATTAAACCGAAAACAGATAACTAGACAGTTCGATGAATGCTGACAATAAGGATAATCTGGTAGTTCCAATTTTCCATGGCTCAAAGCAGCCAAAGTAGTAACTAAGCTTTACTCTACCTTGGCAATGGAAGTGATAAACTATCGATGTTGACAGTCCAACGAGCAATATGTCAACATTCCATGGAAAGGACCTACGTACCGGATTTCCTATGCCACGTCTGGGCTTTGCTCTCTGCTCACTAGGTACTTGACTAAAGATCAAAACTGTTGATAGATTGAAATGTAATCCGGAGTTGGGTATCTATTTGCTACTGATCGAAAAGGTCGAACGTCGGCTATTAGTAATAGAACTAGTCGGGCAATCCGATCTGGGGCCGCCGCAAAAAAGGGCAAGTTACTCAGCACAGAATCAGAACAGTAGGTATGAAGTATAGCTAATTAAGTTAAATGTTCCATGGATGCAGCCTACCAAGTTGTCTTAATTCATACTAGTTCATAAGTCCCGTATAGTCAGCGTCCTATTCTCCTCCCTTCCTCCCCTCACTCTGATTTCACGACCTACCGAACTATCACGATGAAACATTCAAACACTCGTCTTAAACGCTACCTCAAGCGCCCGTGCAAGGCGAACGAGGAGATTAACCCCCCTTGTTCTGAGGTCCTCCCTATGCATACGCTCGCTGGACTTCCCCCAGAGCTATTCTTGTTAATATCCGATTTTCTTTCGGTTGTTGACATTACTTGCTTATCCCTTTGCAATCGTCGATTTCGGGAGCTATCTTTGCGCCAGATAATCGGGCAGTCTCCTCTCACAATACACGAGAAGCTCTCGGTCTTTAATAGATTGGAACGAGACTCTCCCGAATACTTCGCTTGTGATATATGCCACGTTCTCCATCGGTATGATGGATCTGAAAGTTTCGGACTGAGTGGATTGCACCAAGAAAGAACATGTCGACTACCGTGCGTGGATGAGTGGTTTTCGTACTCATTCACCCTGCATACTCGTTACAACTGGAGTTATCGACTTTCTTTCCTTCAGCTTAAACTCGCCATGAGGCGGTTTTACTACGGTCCAAGGGCAGGGATTAGCACGGATACACTCTCGTATACACAAGTCAGGCAATTTCCCCCGGATATGATCTTGCTTTTCTCCCAGGAAGCAGAAATATATCCGAAGCTTCCTGGACTTCATCTCAGGACTCAGGATATAGTACTAGTCAAAACGCGGGACACGTTAGTTCGTGTTCTACACAACATATCTAGGCCGAATCCTGTGCATATCTGTATACACTACGGCCCCGAGACTGTCATCAGGTTTGTGAAGTCTTTATTGAGAAGACAAGTGGCCTCCTTGACCCACAATTGTGGGTTGTGCAACACAGATTCCGAGATTGAAATCGTTGGATTCGATTCGCAAATAGCACTCATTGTCACCAGGTGGACTAATCTAGGCCCTGGCCTTACTCAAGAGGACCCATTATGGAAGACTCATGCCGATTGGCCCTTTAGTCCCCGTGCACGACTCGATCATCCCCCACACCCAACTTCGTTTTGCAGTCCCCGTTTATGTTTTGAGAAGACGATATCTTGCTCATACGAAGAGTTACAATCCCGCAACCTCGGTTATCTGAAAGACCAGCAATATAAAAATGGCAAACCCTTCATCCAAAGAGGATCGAATCTTTGGTACATCTCATACAAAGAGCCTATGAAGGGAAAGGGAATCAACTTCATATGGTCGCATATCAAAGGCCGTTGGGCCATATATCGAAGGGAACAGGCCGATGTAAAGAGAAAAGCACGAAAGTCGCCAGCTTACAAGTCGCCTTCAACAAAAACTCGCGGGAGTGACTCTCCATTTGACTTTTCTACGAGCTTGCAACAGTTGTGGTTATTCATGTATTTATGTGACCTTTAGTTGCTGATACCTAAATTGAGTTGGCTTTTGAATAATCAATTATCTCTAGTTCATATGAGTCCGTCAAGAGTAACATACTTCGTGCCTTCCTTCCTGGTTATAACTGACCGTGACTTTGGTCAAGTTAGGAAGGAGCGACCTACACCACACCACCTCTCATCTCTCATTCATCTCTCATCTCATCTCCTCTCATCTCTCATCTCTCATCCCTCATCCCTTATCCTCCATCCTCCTCTCCTCTCCTCTCCTCTCTTCTTCCTGATCTACAGGATCAAAACTACCTTTTATAGAAGACCAACCTCACCTTTTTTTCTTCAAAAAAAAACAATAAAACAACATGTCTGCCACCATGGCAAATCTCCGCCCCTCTCCTCTTCGCCCCTCCCATCTTCTTCTCCTCTTCCTCCTGTTCCTCCTCTCGGTAAGTGGAATGAACTTCTGGAACCTCAATCTGAAAATACACGTACGCGGTGTCGAGTTTGAGCCGGAAGCCAACCTGGACGCCCGTGAAATCACCACATCATTCGCCATGTCTTGTCAACTGCCCGCGAAGACCGATGAGCCAGTGAGAGAAGACAACATGAACTTCAATGGCGTCGTGTCCATCGACATACATACCATCACAGATGAGATTTCGATGAAGTTCCGAGAGCCTGTCTCTGAGCGCCAGCTTCCTGAGCATACCGTGGCCCTTTCGCTCTTCGAATGCCACGGTCATAAGATGAGATGCATCTTTTGCTTCGAGCGTCCTCCGGCATATACCATCTCGTCAACAAAGCGGCAGAGGCTCTACAATGCCTCAACAATCCTCACTCGTGCATCCTTCACCTATCTTTCGCATGGCGCTCTCTGCACGGCGCTCTCTGCACATAGTTCTTACTCAATTGACACGATTGACGCCGGAATAACCTGCTACACCGCGTACATGTGTAGATCCAAGTGGCCATTGGTTCTACAGTACTATAGAAGTGGAAGTTGAAAGACTGATTGCTGACAACTGGATTTATAGATTCTCATTAATGGGTTCGCCGCGGCTCCCATCCCTCCTCCTTCCTCGGCGGGAATTTTCCAGTCCTTACAGAGATTGAGTGAGAACTAGCCATCAAGAAATAACATCACTTTTTTTATTATCCATCGAGATTCCTCGCGTATTGAAGTGACAGCTGAGCAAAGGGTCCCCAGGGACCATTTTCAAACGGAAAAGGTCAGAGAACCCGAAGTGGATCGGGTTGGCCAGATTTTCCGTTGTCAGTGTCTGGCTGCCGGAGCGAAGTCTACTCTGGGGAGAAACGTACGTCGTTATATATAACTTGTGCTCCCTCTCAGTAGACGTCAACTAACTGTATGTATGCAAACAGCATACAACAAGCCAAAATTCGACCTCGAGTTGGGACTGAAGATCCCGATTTTCGTCATGTCTTTCTTCCAAGCTGTCCCGGGGATCCACAAGACCTGGGTTTACTGTCCGAGTCGGGTCTGAGATTTACTCAGTGAGTCTGACTCTGAGCGCCCTCGTAAAAGCAGCGGCATCTCAGAAAGGAAAGTCCCACCTGGCAGAGGAAAACACTCGGTAGAGTGACCTACATAATGTTCCGCAGAGGGACGTGATACCGGAAGCCTTTACGTCAATGCGTGAACAAATCTTGTCATTTAATACTTCTTCTTTAAAAAATTATCTAAAACGTTGACCCCTGACTAGATTGATATCGCATCTAGTCTGATCACCAAAGATCTTGAATGCCGTCGATCAGTGGATCCGAGTGTAATTGAGGACTATTGACGCTTATGTACGGAGTACGGAGTACATAGATGGGGCTCTGGGGCATATCTGCACGGACTGATGATCTAAAAAAGTCGTGAAGATGCTATCCACTTGCTATTCTATCTTCTACTGTGGATTATAGCGGAGATGAGTTAGTTGACGCGAAACAGACTTCATGACTTATAATACGTGCCCTAAAAGTCCCTAGTGCGATTAAGTTTTCAATGCTTTATTCCAAAATGAAAAAACGTAGCCACAAAGTCAATAGTGCCATATAGCCGTATATATTCACAGATCTACTCCGTGCGTCAAGTAGAATTTCTGGAGCCCTTAGCCCGAGAAGTCGCCAAGGTCCAATTCGGGATGCCGAGTCAGCCTCTTGCCACTCCCGCCAATGGGAGTCAGAATTCTTATCGCGGCTTCGCGTGGGCGAACCGAACGCGTGGCAAAGGGCTTAGTTCTTCCGCCCTATGCGTTCTCAATGCCCTGTTGTGTGGAACCATGTGCAATATATCCGGAGAATTGGGGGCCACTAAAAGACGATACGATGAGGATATCACAGGGCCAGAAGCATGGATTCTAAACATTGATCTATGAATAAGGTATTCTACGCAGAAAAATCTGCAAATAAACTGCTGGATATTCAGTTCATTCTACGGGAGTACTATTGATTTGTCTATGACATGCTCTCCTACATCGTGTTGTAGGAGGTGCCAAGTTCCAACATCGGACCATTGCTGGCTTATAGTATCCCCATTCTTTATCCTGCGTAGAGAGATTGGCAACGAAAACAACGCTCTTCGCATTGTTCAATCTGTCCAAATCATGCGTATGGACTATAAGAGACCTGATAAGGGAAATTAAGTTGCTGTTGATTGGCCAGCGCAACACGAGATCGACCCCAATGATAAGAGATTCAACGTCCTTTGGATTCACATTTCGCAAGACTTTTCATTCATATAACTTGGAATTGCGATTGAATTGCTAAGAAAGGCACTGGGTTCACTTTCATGCATTAGCAACAAGAAAACCGAGCTTTGAGCGTATGAAAAAAATAGATTAAGCGACAACAATATCCAGAGCAACGAAAGTGATAAAGCAAATGCCTCTGATTGGCTGCTTAGTATTTCATATCTACAGCCAGTCGTGAAGCATCAGCCATGTCGATGATTTCCCATTTTTTTCTGGAATTATTCTCTTCTGTCACTGAAATGACCCAATCTGTCTATCACTACGGAGTACGGAGTACTCTGTGTTTAACATCAATCCCCCTGCTTATCACCAGAGGTCAATGCACAGCAGGAGCTTGCCCCGGAGTTGCAAGCATGTTCCCGTCAGGCAGGATCCTAACGAGACAGAGGCAATATTCAAAAGAAAATATTAAGGAAATCATGTAAAGTAACTGGTTCTTATGTATTCTGTACTCTATACTCCATAATATTCAGTATCTTGTTTAATCTCATGCCTAGATCATCTCCCAAAATGGCCGAAGGATGCAAAAGCAAGGACCCGTAATTCCCCGGCTGCTCCTATGGAGTACATACCCCATCCACCACGTATCCGGCATGGCTGAAATGGGGCTGGCTTGGCCACTGATATCGGTCAGATCAGATGAATCATATCAGAAATCAGAATGACCAGCTTCCACTATCGGAGCTAAGATCGATGATTTGGGCTCCGTTTAGCGTTGAAAGGTGGAGCATTCATTGATTGTCTGAGACTGTGTCAGTTATTTAATTATCAGGGTCTCTCCCTGCAGGATATCTAGACATATCACTTTTCTCTCCTTTCATAGCTTGGTGCTTGGAAGCCTTTTCTACTTCGTCCTGCCTATCAATCCTATCGTGTATCAGATAGCATTGGCGTCTAACATCACTCTATTTCGATCATTATACTGCTTATCTTGCTTGTGATACCATTGGACGGGCCTAGGTTTCAAGATGGCGGAATATCCGGTTGAGTACAATGGCACCATTGCGACTGGTGGTGACTCCCTCCATGAGGACCTGAACATCTACTACAGTGTATGTTGTGTGACAATGCAATGGATAGGATATCAAACAAAAGGCGTATGGGCTAACTACATAAATAGTCCGGCGATATCGCATGGGTACTTATTTCAACAGCCCTAGTGTTGCTTATGATTCCTGGAGTTGGGTATGCCTTGATGACACATTTCCTCAATACTCGAAGATCCTAGCTAATAGCTCATTCATAGATTCTTCTACTCCGGCCTAGCCCGCCGAAAGTCGGCGCTGTCATTGATATGGCTTTCCATCATGTCTGTTGGGGTAGTTTCATTCCAATGGTTCTTCTGGGGTTATTCTCTAGCTTTCTCCCACTCAGCTGGCAGCTACATTGGTAATCTTGACAACATTGGCTTCAAGGATGTTCTGGGTGCACCGTCTGTGGGAAGTTCCAAGATTCCCGATCTCCTGTTTGCTATCTTCCAGGGCATGTTCGCCGCAATTACGTGAGTCGATACCTTTAACTGTAGATGGAAAACGAGGCCCTCGAAAACAGAAACTGACATAGCGTTCTCAATTAGGGTTGCTCTCGCGGTCGGCGCCGTTGCTGAACGTGGCCGTATGCTCCCTTGCATCATCTTCATGTTCATTTGGACTACTATTATCTACGATCCCATCGCCTGCTGGACATGGAATTCATCAGGCTGGGTCTTTAATCTCGGAGGACTAGACTTTGCTGGTGGTACTCCCGTCCACATTGCCTCTGGATCCGCTGCCCTCGCCTACTCCCTGATGCTGGGCAAGCGTCGAGGCCATGGTACCCACGAGCTCAACTATCGCCCTCACAATGTGACTCATGTTGTTATTGGCACTGTATTCCTATGGGTTGGCTGGTTTGGATTCAATGCAGGCTCTGCTCTCTCTGCCAATCTCCGCGCAGTCATGGCTGCCGTTGTCACTAACATTGCTGCCTCCGTTGGAGGTGTTACCTGGTGTCTGCTAGACTACAGACTAGAGCGCAAGTGGTCGACCGTTGGCTTCTGCTCTGGTGTAATTGCTGGTCTTGTTGCCATTACTCCCGGCTCAGGCTATGTCACTCCGTGGGCAGCCCTTATTTTCGGCGTCGTCGGCGCTATCTCTTGCAACTATGCCACAAAGCTCAAGTTCCTGCTCGGTGTCGATGATGCTCTTGATATCTTTGCTGTCCACGGCATCGGCGGTATAGTTGGAAACCTTCTGACTGGTCTTTTCGCTGCGTGAGTGCATCTCTTTCTAGAACTATTCGACCGTAAACTAACATGTATTGGTAGTGACTACATTGCGCATTTGGACGGTGCTACCGAGATCGACGGCGGCTGGATCAACAAAAATTATATCCAGCTCGGATACCAGCTTGCTGATTCTGTCACTGGATTTGCCTATGCCTTCGTTGGAACTTGCATCATTCTCTTCCTCATGAACCTCATTCCCGGCCTCAGCCTGCGCGCGCCCGAGGAAGATGAGATTATGGGCATTGATGATGCGGAAATTGGCGAGTTTGCTGTAAGTATTCCTTTTTCCCCACAGCCCAAGAGATGTATTCTAACATTTCCCCTCTTCAGTATGATTATGTCGAAATTACTCGAGATATCGTCAATGGTGTGGAAAGCTCCGAGACTGGCTCTAAGCGCACAATGACTCCCACTCGTGAAGTTGACACCAAGGCATAAATCGAATTGATATATGCCTTGTCCTCTCTACATACTTAATAATTGGTAAATGCCACAATTCTCATTCTTTTGATTTCGTTTTCCCTCGTCAGAAGGTTGTTTTGAGCCCTAAGAACAGCTGTCGATTTTGTTTTCCGGGGAGTATTCGATTTTTTATTCCCAGACTTAGATACCCAATACCATATCTCATGCAACAAATATCCCGGGAAATACTGAACAGACCAAAAGCTGCAAAACGTAGAGATAGCGTAGACTGTCCTTATGGCCCAGATAAACATCAAAATGTCGCTGTGTAAACATGGTGCGCGAAAGCACCTATATATAGATGGGCACATCACATACTCCGTGAGGAGTACATACATGTAGCCTTCAAATATTAGAACGTACCTACGCAGAGAAGCTCGGCGTAGATACGTGAGAGTACAGACTCCTTGATTGGTCAATGCACAGCGGGACCCGCTCACCGGGCACCTTCCGGAATTCCGCCCCGCCGCGACATCTCCTAGGTAGCTCTGCGTTGCGCGGGATCTGGTAGGGACTCAGAATCATCGCAAAGCAGTCATCTCCCCCGGGGTCTTTCCTTTCTCCTTCCATCCCTCCCCCATATTCGTCTCATACCACTCCGAGTCCCTTGAATCAACTCCAGATTCGCGAAAATGGACTTTCCCACCGACATAGCGGAGTTTGACAAGGATCCGCGTATCTCTTACTCCAAGTCCGATGAAGCCTGGCTGCTGGAGACAGGCGGACGTGAATTCTTGTACAACCCTATCCTCAAGCGATGGGTCGAAACGGTATGTGATGCATGACCATTTCTGCGCACGCGATGGCGTGGTGGACCTCCCAGGGTGCTAACGTGGCTTGACACTGCAGATCGACGAGGAGCTTATTCGTTTGCAGCAATCGGGCTTTCAGTACAAGGGCGAGATCAAGCCTGATGCTCCTCATCCTCGTGACCGCAAGAAGCGGAAGAATTCGGCGGACGAGGTGAGTATTGCGATGATCATCTCTTTCTGGTTAAAGGGGTTGACAATTAACCTCCAACGTCACTTTAGGCCAACAGTTCCAAGCCTAAGAAGCCCCGTGTGAACACCGCCGTCTGGGTCACCTCGGTTCCCCTCGACGCCACGATGGAGGAAATTCGGGACACATTTGCCAGGTATGGAGTGCTTGCTGAGACACTCGACAGTGGAGAGCCGCGTATCAAAATGTACTGCGATGACGATGGCAAATTTAAAGGCGAGGTCCTTGTTGTGTACCTTCGTCCGGAGTCGGTGGCCCTCGCGATTTCAATGCTCGACGATACGGATTTCCGATTGGGTATCTCTGATCCATCTGGAAAAATTCGCGTCGAAGAGGCGGATTCCTCCTACAAGCGTGAGCAGTCCGCGTCGGCCAAGCTTACCAGAGCGGAGAAGAAAAAAATTGAGGAGTTAAAGGCTCGACAGGAAAAGTGGGTTGAATAATTATGGCAAGGTGTCTGTCACGTACTGACTTGGCCTTTCTAGGAAGCTTGCCGAATGGAGTGACGACGAAGAAACTCATGTCCTCAAGAAGAAGCCCTCTGAGTCTGCCAAATTTGTTGTTTTGAAGCACATGTTTACGCTGCAAGCGCTGGAGGTCTGACGCGCACCCCCACTTGATGCCTTGCACGGATCTGGACATACAGCTGACATCTATTTACAGGACGACCCAGCCGCGCTTCTTGAAATTACAGAGGAAATTCATAGTGAGGCCTCTAAGATTGGCGACGTGACCAAAGTCGTGCTTTACGATGAGGAGCCTGAGGGTGTCGCTCAAATCCGTTTTGTGGACCCTGCTGATGCAATCCGATGTGTCCAAGTAAGAAGCTCCAGATTCGGTCAAACTGGGGCCAGCTACTTATCATTTCACAGTTTATGAACGGGCGCAGCTTCGATCGCCAACGTGTTGTGGCATACATTTGGGATGGCAAGGAAAAGTTCCGGAAGTCCCGTAACAAGCAAGCTGTAGGATCGGACCCGGAAGATATCGATGACGCCGAAGTCAAACGACTTGAGAAATTCGGAGCCTGGCTGGAAGGCCGTGAGGCTGATAACGCCGAGGTCAAGGCCAGCCATGAGACTAATGTCAGCAACGCGATTATGCCCAACGTCGAGGCCAGTGCTAGCATCAAGGCCAAGGATACCGCCGAAGCCAAGGCCACAGCCAGCGGCAATGGTAGGGCCACCAGCGAGACCAAGGACAGCAGCGACAACTAAGACAACAACAACGAGAAAATTGGCAAGAACTAAGCTAACCCACCAAATGAAAACGCCGAACGAAGCCCAGTGAACAGTTACAAGTCGGCGAGAACTACGCAAGTGAATGAAGTGTGGCAAGAACCTACATAGTACTGATGCGGCACAAAGTAGTGGACGGATACTACGGAGTTAATTGAGCGGATACCCATGTACGATTATTGGATCCTTTTTTTCCAAATGTCACAATTGAGATCAAATGAAATCAAATGAAATTACCCCATGTCCCCATGTATACAACATACGATGTCAGACGGCTGTAGTAGAGACGCGCCCCAACAAACGTAAAATGTGGTTCGCACCTTCCCCCGAGTCCCGTGATGCGGCTATACCCAATTGGGCCTTCCCCCCCCCTGAAGTTCAGTTGTTGACTTGTTGATCCCACACACACCGCTCAACTGCCCTCCTGCTTTCTCTTCTCCCCCATCCTCCTCGACTGTAACCGGTCTATACTCCTTTTTTTCTCCATTTCTTCTCTACGGAATCCCTCCCTTCAATATGCGTGAGATTGTACGTTACCCCAATTCCCAGACGCGTCTCTTGATCTTAGGCCCCTGAACCAAGACCCCACCCGCTCTAAACAGATCTTTTGCTAACCCAATGCTCTAGGTTCACCTCCAAACCGGCCAGTGTGTAAGTTCGACCTCGATGATGGAACATTCTTGGAAACATTCTTGGGTTCGTGGGACTAAATTCTGCTTGGATTATAGGGTAACCAAATTGGTGCCGCCTTCTGGTACGTGCAGCATCACGCCAAAACTTTTTCGCGTTGGGCATCAATTGATGATTTACTAATCTGATTATAGGCAAACCATCTCTGGCGAGCACGGTCTCGATGGCGATGGCCAGTAAGTTTGATGTGATGGATTTTACCAAGGTGGACTCGTGGTCTGATGTTTCGTTAGGTACAATGGTACATCTGACCTCCAGCTCGAGCGCATGAACGTCTACTTCAACCATGTAAGTACAATGACGTTCGCCTAATTGATTATGCATAGTCTGATTGGATCCTTTTCTTCGATGTTCTAGGCCAGTGGTGACAAGTACGTTCCCCGTGCCGTCCTGGTCGATTTGGAGCCCGGCACCATGGACGCTGTCCGCTCCGGTCCTTTCGGCAAGCTCTTCCGCCCCGATAACTTCGTCTTCGGTCAGTCCGGTGCCGGAAACAACTGGGCCAAGGGTCACTACACTGAGGGTGCCGAGCTTGTCGACCAGGTCCTCGATGTCGTCCGCCGTGAGGCCGAGGGTTGCGACTGCCTCCAGGGTTTCCAGATCACTCACTCCCTGGGTGGTGGTACTGGTGCCGGTATGGGTACACTCCTGATCTCCAAGATCCGTGAGGAGTTCCCTGACCGCATGATGGCCACCTTCTCCGTCGTTCCCTCCCCCAAGGTCTCCGATACCGTTGTCGAGCCTTACAACGCCACCCTCTCCGTTCACCAGCTCGTCGAGCACTCCGATGAGACCTTCTGTATCGATAACGAGGTACGAATTACGTGGCGAAACGCTGATATAAAGAGTATTACTGACAATCCTAGGCTCTGTACGACATCTGCATGCGTACCCTCAAGCTCTCCCAGCCCTCTTACGGTGACCTGAACCACCTCGTCTCCGCCGTCATGTCCGGTGTGACCACCTCCCTCCGTTTCCCCGGCCAGCTCAACTCCGATCTCCGCAAGCTCGCCGTCAACATGGTTCCCTTCCCTCGTCTGCACTTCTTCATGGTCGGCTTCGCTCCCCTGACCAGCCGTGGCGGCCAGTCTTACCGCCAGATCAGCGTTCCCGAGTTGACCCAGCAGATGTTCGACCCCAAGAACATGATGGCTGCTTCCGACTTCCGTAACGGCCGTTACCTCACCTGCTCTGCTCTCTTCCGCGGTAAGGTCTCCATGAAGGAGGTCGAGGACCAGATGCGCAACATCCAGAGCAAGAACCAGAGCTACTTCGTTGAGTGGATCCCCAACAACGTCCAGACCGCTCTTTGCTCCGTTCCCCCCCGTGGCCTCAAGATGTCTTCCACCTTCGTCGGTAACTCCACCTCCATCCAGGAGCTCTTCAAGCGTGTCGGCGATCAGTTCACTGCCATGTTCCGTCGCAAGGCTTTCTTGCACTGGTACACTGGTGAGGGTATGGACGAGATGGAGTTCACTGAGGCTGAGAGCAACATGAACGATCTTGTCTCCGAGTACCAGCAGTACCAGGAGGCCTCCGTCTCCGAGGGCGAGGAGGAGTAGTAAGGATTCCCCACATTCCCCCGGATTTCGAATACGACTAACGCATTATTTTCCCCCTATTTTTAGCCTCGGTGAGGAGATTGTTGACGAGGAGGTTTAAATAAATCTCTAAGATTTGTTCAAATTAATACCCTTGTCCAGCCTACATTCTCTACCATTCGGACCGGCTTTGTGGGCTCAAGCCCCGAAGCCAATTTGTTTGAGCGCTCCTAATTTACACCCTTTTTTGTCTATTTTCCTGCTCGGCTTGGGTGATTTGTTGAACCCCTCCAGAATAGCACATAGTGGAAAAGCAAGTGGTCAAAACACTTTTTATGACCCTTCAAGTTGTTTTAATTGTAGTTGCTATATCTTCAAAGTTGGTTCACTCAACAGCGTAGCCTCGAGCTCGATATATGCTTCAATATCCAGCATACCATCTTCCCCTATGTTGTAGGTCTCCATCCATATCCACTTCCCCACAAGTAATCCCTCGCCATTTCTACGGTGTACATCTCAATGGAAAGGACACTTCCCAGTCCGATATCCCTTTAGTTCCTCCAAAGTCTCATCCAAATGCTTCTTCCCTTTCCCTTCGAAATACTTCGGTCCAACATCTGGAATATTGTAACCGGTGGGATAGTACTTATTCCCCTCATCACCAGGTACAGGCCGGCCCAGTGCCCAAGTCAGCCATGCGGTTGGACCCCAGCGGTTCCAAAACGTGGGCTTGACATAATACGGCGCAGCATCCCACTTGGTGATGAAGTAGCGTTCGTTTTGATCAGCTTTCTCGGTGAACGACGAGAAGCGCAGGAAGTAAGGTCGTGGCGGCGCTAGATAGCGAAGGAAGAGCTTGCGTACTGTGAGCACAGCCGAGAAAATGGATGCACAGAAGCTGGAAGGAGGATCGAAGCTTTTTGGCAGGATGTTAGTTGACAACCTGGTCATTTCCGGTACAACTCTTATGTGCCAGCCATGCATCCACACAATACCGAAATCTCAGAGAACAGAACAGAAAACTCAACACCACTTACTACATCGCCTTTCGCAGCCTGTCATCCATCATATACGAAACAAACTGTAACCCAATCGGGTGCAACACCTTCGGTAGCATGTAAACCAAAACCGCTGTCGTCTGATCCGCCGTCTCGCGATTCTTGATATGAGGAACCATATACTTCGCTTCATACTCCTCGCTCCAAGCCTCGATCTCATCGAGCCACTGGATTCCATCCTGGAATCCGGTCTTCCCGGATGGCAATTTCTCGAAACTGACATCGAGTCCATCCCCTACACTCTTCCAGAACGTGCCAATAGCACACCGCTCCAGATCGCTCAGCGCGCGCCACTCGTATTTGTTAATGAAGTGGATCGGTTGCAGAGCGAATAACGCCAGCGTGAAGAGCATATCATCGTCAAGAATCTTGCCTGAAGATCGGTACCCGCTGTGTAGGAAACGGGTGCGAGCGAGACCCATATATGCGCGCGCTGAGACCGGGCTGTTGCCGACAATTTCTTGGATGAGCACGCTGGTGTCGGTGTATCGCTTCAGTGAAGTTTCAGGGTTGGAGAATTGGCTTGTTTTCGTGAGTAGGCCTGAGATTGTGGGGATGCCGTAGGTCTTTTGGGTGGATTATAGACAACAGATTAGAAAGGGGTCCATGGATCGTATAGATGCAGACTGTCATACTCGGAATAAAGCAAATTGCAGACTTTTGATAAACATGAAGGGGAATTCTAGCTGGGCGGTTTGTTTCTGGATCTCGAAGGCCTCTTCGTCGGTCATTTTGGCCAATGACTCGCGCGTGGGATAGTCATATTTCTTCTGCAGCTTGCGTAGTCGCTGGAATCGGAGTGATATTGTCACCACTGGCCAGGCTAGTAGGAGCCCCACGGCGTAGGGGAGTAGTTGTGTTGACATGAGGGTGGCTGGAGGAGTGTCCAGGGGTGAAGTGTTTTTGTTGCGGGGGAATCAAGTGTCCCACGCAAGCCTTTAAATAATATGCGCAGGCCGATATTCGAGTTCGACTGAGAGTGATAAGTATGAAGCTTTTTAACCCTGGAAGATCGGGCCCTTGCTAGTGGCTCTTTGCTTTTTCCTGGCGTATCTCCAATGACCGCTCATTGGGTGCATAGGTGACCCCCTAGCGGGCGGGCCTCACGCTTTCTTTTGCATCTGAGGGGCATCTCTGTTGCTATTGTTATGATTGGTTTGGATGATATAGTCAATGGCATGTTCACACTCAAGGTTACCGAGCCTCGGGATCATAAAGAGGGGATCCCACGGAGGTGGCGCTCTGTTACTTCTTTTCCCATGGTGTGTGCATTATTCCATAGATTGCCACCATTAGAGATTCATTATTCGACTCTATGGCGTAGTTGAGCATAACTCCACATCATAGAGGGCTTGGTGTCTGGAGTTAAAAAACGCCACTTCGTAATATATTCAGATCCCCAGGAAATCCTTTGAAGCCAGAGACGAAACTTGGCATTCTGTCTCATGCAAGGACTCATTTTTGTTCTTCATTACAAACACATTTGATCATTGAACCCCTCGAAATCTATCTTATCCAGACATATAGGTGACAACCATCATGACTCGTTACAGTTTCCCGCTATATACTTCTCCGGTTTATATTGGGCTGCCACACTTGCCCACAGACCATGTTCAACGCATCAACACATCAAATGAGCTAGCGACCAATAAATTTGATCTCCATTGCGCGTAATGGAGGGAAGCATACCGCTGTGAAGCCCGCTCCCAGCCAGAGACCTAGATCAGCATCGCCGGCCACCTGTGCAATGGGACCGATATAATACGCTTGAGACTAGATTAATGCATTAGACATGATCAGCTAGAACGAGTAGAAGGACTTACCATGCCGACAATTGCACCAGCCCAGCCAATAAGGAAAGAAACTCCCGCTGCAATACCCAAAGGCAGTTTGTCACGGCAATTCCAGTGCGACCAGTCATATCTCTTATTCCTGCGAATGATGAAATTTTCTTCCAAGACAATCACAATGAAAATCATAACCCAGTATCCAATCAGGGGCAGGAAAGATTTGAAAATCTCATACAGTTGATTCCGACCTCCCATCGCACAAGCGCCATAAACAAGCGTCGCAAGAGTCGTGAAGACCGACTTGGGAACTTTCCCAAATGCACCACCAACCATTTGAAGGTTCATGCCCATTGAGTAGGCGCCGGGGGTATTGTTAGCAACCAGCGCGAGGACATTGATGACGGCGCAGAACTTCCCGAATCCACCGAGACCGTCGTACGCCGTCATCAACACGCCTCCGGGGCTGGTGCCGTACTTTTTAGCGTAATGCGGCGAGCTGGACATGATGGTCCCAAGACCAGCACCCATAAGAAGGACGATCGACATGCCCATAGTGGCGCCGAAGACAGTCACCAGGAATGTTCGTGAGCTTCTGATGTGGGGTGGGTAGTTGACGAAATAATCAGCGGCGAGCGGGGCCCAGCCAAGGGCAATAGACAGTCCCAAAGAGAAGAATGTGAGACGTTTCGCGGTTGCGTGCTCCGTTGACATTTGGGTTTGGAAGTTGAAGTCGAAATGAGGGCCTGCGGAGCCCACCATCACGCATATCACCAGCAATTGCGGTAACCAAGCAACTCTGATCGTCCATTAGAATCTGCATTGTACATGGTCGAGGGTTTATCGATACTTACCGCTCATAGAGCTGGAAGAGTTTCATGCCGAATGAAGCCATGGCCCAACTGGTACCGGCAACGATGACTATGCCCACCATGACGGAGAGATGGCCACCCGAGACAACAGACAGAATCTGTCCACCAATCACACTGTTCACCATGCTATATCCGATGTTGGTGAAGAGATTTAGAACAATGCACACTTTGCTGGGGTAATAACCCATAAAATACCGTGCCACGATCTACCACGTTCATAAGTACTCGGCCTTCGCTTGTAATAGCATCAATGGCAAGGAATATCAACATACCAATGTGCGATTTCCGCTCCTCGGTCCCCATGTACTCATAAATCCAACTGTGCAATTTCCCACTAGACATCCAAACACAGCACACAGGGCTGCCTCCTTGAAGCTGAGACCAAAGACGAACGTACCCATCGATCCCACAATAATGTTATTCGTGGCCAATGTCATGCTGAACCACATCAGGAGCATATGAAGCGTTGTTGACGATGTAATTGGCTCTCGTTCTTCCAACGGAACAGGTCCGATGCCCCCACTTTCGACATTTTTCAAGCTTGCGATCAATCGCTGATATCGTGATTGGGGTAGGGGTTCGGGCTTCGCGAGCTCTGTATCATTGGAAGAGCTGCTCGAGGTACTTTTGTCGAGGTGACATTCGTTTACGTTCTCCATGGAAGACGAGCTGGCTTTTTCGACATCTTGAGACATTGTTCTCGGACTGGTGTTTAGTTCAACTGCATGTAATAACACTGTTCGTCGACAGAACTTTCAATCCGAATCTACCAGATGGCAAACAATTGCTCGGTAAGCTGGCGTGTAGGTTGATGTCGTAGATCAACAGCTATACAATAGACATTAAGATAGGAGTGGAAAATGAGGCATATAAAGTATGAGAGGGGAGAAGGAGCTATGGCATGGTAGATATAAGGATAGAAGACTCTCAGGGCCAGTGCACCATTGCTAGGTCATTGAAACCTGGTATTACCTTATCTACTCAACGAGACGGTGTAACGACCCCAGGGGAAGCGGGATACATACGCATTCCTCGGCAATCAAGGCACGAACCGAGCAGCTTCCAGCACGGTATCCGATGATGGGGCACTGGAATTGGGTTAACTGTAGTACAGTCCGGAGGGAACACGCACCGAGGATCGCAGATCATGGATTATCTTCTACAGAGTCAGAGCTACCAAGCTTGAGCTCAGATAATGATAAACATGTGAGGAGGGAAGCTTCATCCTGGAAAACGATCGACCCGTCCAGGACACACATATTCGGCGCTCTGTAACCCCCTCATGATACCATCAAGGGAAGGGATGGACTCATGACAGCACCCCGTGAAAATCACAAGTGCACTGCAACAAACTCCCCGGGTCTCGTGATCCGCGGCATATCTTCCGTATAGAGTAAGTTGCATACTGGAAAGCTCCGAATATGCATGCTCTGGAATGCTGCCGAGGCAAGGAGCTGACGATTGTCTACGAAGCTCGGATTTTATGGAGTGGTAGAAGAGGATGATGATCAGCTTGAAAGCTTTGTCGAGTAGATTCCACGAAAAATGTTCTTTTGATCTTCGTCTAGTGAGTGAAATACTTCCCGAGCATTTGGTGGAATTATTCGCCCCAGTTCTGGAAAGAGGTGGATTCTAAGGGGGCTCTGCGAAATAGTCGTGTTAGTCAAGCTTTGCTTCTATTCGGCCGCTCATAACTTAAAACAATTGTCCTGGTGGCTTGAGTACTATTCATAGACAGACTCGCTCGGTTGTCCACGGCATCTTCATATAGCCTCTCGGGAGAAGGGTTGATAGTTAGATCGTACGGAGTACAGGGGCCGATATTGCATATGCGAGTATTGAGTTGTGTTACATGTACTCTGCCAGCATAGGTCCCAACTTCTCTGGCACTCTACAGTCACCTTGATAGACCTATACGAATAGGATCCCCAATTATGCGATATTACGTAGCTCGAGTCTCCAGCTATCCTCTGCACGTTTAATGGCCAAGCTTTCTTCCCGTCTCTTCTGACCCACAAGCCGGAATCCGTGATGCTGATCTTTGAGGGTGAGCTCTTCCAAGTTGAAAGGTTGGCCAAAGCGGCTCGGAAACAATCATTTCCCAAAAGGGAAGTATCCCATAGAAACCGGTCTTGATTGTTTACATTGCGCGTAACCGACATGCATTGCTAATCAAAAAGACTCTAAGGGATTATTCAAGGTATGAATCAGCTCTGTATGACATGATATGTGTTCAAGACTATTTTGCGATATGGTCGTCTGTGCTGTTCCTGTGCTGTTCCTGTGGTTTCCTTGGTATCACTTCCATCACCATCCCAGCATTCTACATCCCCAGTCCTTTTGATTGGGAATAGCTGTCATTTATTCAAAAATGTTTGATTTGTCTTCTTTGTCTATTTTCAGAGACAACTTTGCCGTTCAGAATCCATAGATATAAATTATAGCCTTTATAGAAAGCTCCGGAAGTTGACTATGTTTGATTTCTTTGAACCGTAGGCAATTTTCACCAATCTAGATAGATTTTAACAGGCATAAATATCCAACCTCGTCCCCAGCTTCAAGCACAGTCTATCCATCTACTGCCAGCTCCGTCCCCCACCACATCAAGGTCTCGCTCATCATGGCTTCAGAGATGCAAACTCCCTCCGAGGCGGATATCACAATCTCCTCAGTTATATCACAAGAAGAAGTGTCAGAGGAGCCTATTCAACAAGCTGAAGCAACCCTCTCAGTCAATCTAGGCCCGTTCCTACGGGATGGACTCATCAAAGTCCACATGGACAATGAGATCACTGCCGTATTTTGGCTTCGTTCATATCTTGTAAACCAAAACAGCGCCCCTGACATCGCGGCCACAAATTTAAATTTCAATCAGTTCACCCTGGATCTCTGCGGTCACTTCGGATACAGCGAGCAACAGCATTCGCTTGTGTGGGACCCTCGAGGTCTTATCCACAGTCTCGACTGCGAATATGTCGTCAGGGGCCGTAATGGCTGGGTGGCTGCTCTGATACTCATGCAGAACCAGAAATTTGTGCAGGAAAACAAAGTGCCTTGCCACTTTCACATTGTGAACTACATTGAGTTTGGTACGAGAGGAACTTATTCTTGGATTGGATCAGCTCAACTGACTCGGACATGACTCTTAGAAATGCACAAAAAGACCATGGCTTCGAAGGATACAAATGCAAAGCAGATAGCATAGGCCAAGAATGAGGGGATCTTTTCTTATTGGATTGAATCAGAAGAAGCGTGGAACTGAAGAGGGAGATAGAACAGGACAGACATGTCTCATCTCATGAGTTTAAGGAGTCATGGAAATTCTAAAATTGATCAAATATGCCTGCAAATATATGTACAGCAAGAAGTAGAGCCATCGTTTTTGGTTTTCTAAAATACATAGCCATGGAGTGATGCACTTTGCCTGATAATTGCTCGTGTGTTTGAATACATAAACTGAATATGCCTCCAGGAATCGGAATGGCTATTTTGAAATGCAGATACTAAATTCTATGGAGGAAGTTTGACAAACCTGTTCCTTTTACAGTGAATTCAATACAATAGAACCTACATGTCTGAATCCAGCTCAACAAGGCTAGGTATCAAACTACAGAACTGCACAGTACACCCCCAGCTCCGAACGTCGACAAGGCGAAACAGGAGACAAATGATGGCAATTCCATTGTGAGAGAGAACCGAGCAATTGCAAGGTAAATAGTAGTGCAGCATAGGCGTTTTCCAGGTTATAGATCGGGTTGAGATATGTAACAAAAGTGGTAAACAAGCAGAAGACAATGAAAACTGTTTGTCTTGACCACTACCCCCACGTCTCAGCTTCTCGTGCCTAGTGAAGTTTCACTTCCTCAACCTTCTATTTTTTCCGTTATTAACCTTGACTCATGTCATACACAGTTGGTTGGAATTGCCTCACCACCAATCAACGCTTTCCAGCGCTTACTCCGATTCCCTCGCGTCTTCAACTGCAGCTTGTTCATACCATCTCTCGCTCTAACATGCCTACGGAAGCCAGTCCTAGCCCACTTCGTCCTGGATCGATCATGCAGCAGCTCGATCTGTACAACTGCCTCATCGAGGTAACCCGTTGCGACGATGAAGACACTAAGTCAGCTCTGTTTTCCCTTAGCTGTTACCTGACCGACCCCACTGGCACTCACCAAGATGGCAAGCTTGATTGCAACAAACTCAGCTACAAAAATTTCGAAGAGGACATCAGTGGGCACTTCAAATATGATCCCGAGAACGATGAGATCCGATGGGACAACAAGAGTTCTTTCCAGTCTGACACCAATGCAAGCGGATCCCAGGCTAAGGTCTTCGTCGTCAAGAGCCATAACAGCTGGGTGACTGCTCTGCTAGCCATGCAGTCTGCTGCCCACCAGGCCAGCTCGGGCTCGCACTCTATTTCTGCTGTTGGTCCTATTGCGATGACAGCTCGCTTTATTATCGTTCGCTCTGACTGTACGTTGATGTCCCCTGAGTTGATTCAAGGATTTCATAGCTAATTTGAGTGTCTATCTATAGACGAGTCGCAGAATGACCCAGACTACAGTGACAGTGCCCAGTCCGACCATAGCAGCACCAGCGGTGAGGACAACAAGAGCGAGAACCATGACAGCTCCGACTGCCAGAGCGAGAATGACGATAGTGTGAAGAGTGAGTCTGACTAGTCGACACATGACGCACCGCACCGTTGAGATGCGCTTTCGACAATTTCGAACAGCAATGGACATGTGCTCTTGGTTTTTACATGCAAGGAGAAAGGAAATCCAGTGGACAGATCAGCGAGAGCGAGACTAATGCTGTCTTTTCCCATGCCTGAATGGCTACCCAGGGTTGGAAACTCGAGGAGGAAAAAACTAGCAAAACATCCAAAAACAAATGCCAGATCAGACCCGGGGGCTTATGAGTGCTTTTCATCTTTTGTAATCACTGTGCTCTATCAAGTGTGCCAGATGTATCCTCAACATCGTAATCTCATAGTTGTATCGCATAACTCGACACTTCATCAGTCCCCTCCCGGACTGTCTTTTGCTGCTCGTCAATCTTCTGAATTTGAAACGATCTACTTGCCTACTCTTAACCTTTCTCCGGTTCGGCTTCCCTTTTTCCACACTACATTCTCCTCAAAAACTTCCTGAAAATGGCTTTCTACAATAGCTTTCGCGCCCGCTTGGGAGTAGTCCATCTACCCCCGATCCACGATGGCATGATCGTCGTACGTCGACCAGCGAACAATAACGAAACCGCCATCTTCTGGACGAGCAACTACTTTCTCCCAAGCGGAAGTAGCGAGCCAATCGCCATGAACTATGAATCCTTTCTCAGCGACCTGCGGTTTCATCTTCAGTACGATCCCGCATATGATCATATCCTCTTTCATGTACCAACCCCATACGAACTCTTTCCTTTGGACCCTGCTTTGCCTGGTGTAGAGGCTCCCCAAGATGTGCTGCCTGTAACATGCGTCGTCCGTGGCTATGGCCAGTGGATATCAGCATTGGTGGTGATGCAATCCTCCCGCTTGATGCAGCAATCGAACATCGAACACGCGCTCCGGGATGGGTTCGTCACTACGTCGGTTGGTCGTAGGACTCACCCTGTCGCTGCGACACAGTTCTTTCTTATCCGGGGTATAGGTATGCTTGTTAAGAGCCATCCAACTGACAGACGTGCTATCTCTAATATTGAAATGCAGATGCGGAAAACTCGGACTACAACTCGAGTCAAGAGAGAGGTCGCAATAGTATCCGACTCTGACACATGGCCGCGCCAATTTTGTTTCGAATAGACGAAGGATTTGGAGCAGACAGTTGCTAACGTCGAGTCGAAAGGAGCGAACGGACGACGTCGGACTTGACATCCTCCGCCCCACATTTCCCAATCAGGCAGCGAGAATACAAATATCCTTGCACTTCCCATTCCCCAGTAACGTACACACTATTCCGTCATGGCATCTATAACTCCCTCCCAAGAAGAACTGCAGCGGTTCTACATCGGCAAAGATATCAGCGATGTACCCAAGCCCGCCGCCGTGCTGGACGTAGCAATCATCCGCCGACACTGCGAGACCATGCTGCGCACAATCAAAGCGCTGAATGTCGGATTCAGAGTACACGTTAAATCCCACAAGGTACAATTCCCTAGAATACCAAGCCCGCTCTAGTAATTCCACCCAACTAACAACCACAAGACACCCGAAATCGCCAGACTCCAAATCGGCGACAGCATCGAGGCCAATTTCATAGCCTCAACAGTCATCGAGATCGAGATGATGACCCCTCTCCTCCAAGAGCTAAAACAGCAAGACCGGAGAATCAACATCCTCTACGGCATCCCCCTAGTCCCATCTCAAGTCCCACTACTAGCCAAGGCAGCCAGCACGCTAGGCGAGAACAGCATCACCGTAATGATCGACCACCCAGACCAACTCCCCTATCTAGAAAATCTATCCACTCTAGCCGGCCACCCAGTCAGTGCATTCGTCAAAGTCGACACAGGCTACCACCGCGCCGGCCTGCCGCCCGTGTCTCTCAACAAAAACGGGTTACTCGAGAAACTGGCCTCTCTCGAGACTGCAGGCGGCGCGAAACTCCTAGGACTATACTCACACAGCAGTCTGAGCTATAGCGGGACGACCCCCGAGCAAGCGATGGGCCATTTAATCGGCGAGATCCGCGGATGCAAAGACGCCCTACAGAGGAATTCGCATCTCCTGCCCAGCCGGGAACTGGTGATCAGCGTCGGTGCTACGCCGCAGGCTGTGTCTTCTCAGAATCTGCTGATTGAGGATGTTTCTCGCGAAGCAATAGAGTTGAAGGCTTTGCTGCGCGAGACAAATGTCGAGTTACATGCTGGCGTCTATCCCCTCCTGGATATGCAGCAATTCTCTACGCATGCCAGTGCCGAGTCGGGGAGTTTGGAGGATGAAATTGCTATTTCGGTGCTTGCGGAAGTCTGCAGTGTCTATAATGACGGTGAGCGAGAGAAGTCCGAGGCGTTGCTGGCTGTTGGGACGTTGGCGCTGGGTCGGGAGCCGTGTCCGAGTTACTCCGGGTGGGGGGTTGTTTCATCCTGGAGATTGGATGGCGTTGATAAATCTTCTGAGAGATTAATTGTGGAGAGGATCAGCCAGGAGCATGCAATTGTGTCTTGGGAGGGTGAGTCCCAGGAGAAGATACCTGTGCGTATCGGACAGGTTGTTAAAGTCTACCCGAATCATGCTTGTGTGACTGGTGCCTTTTATGGGTGGTATTTTGTTGTCGATTCGGATCGAGATGGCGATGCTGCTCGTATTGTGGATGTTTGGGTTCGGGCGAGAGGATGTGGAATGAGGGCCTGGTAGAGATGGGAATGTCTCAGCAAAAGGCAAATATTCTTGATTCTTTAACGTGGAATTAAAGCATTGGGAGTTCAGAATGAGTATAGAGAAACATATGTTCATTTGACTACGAGTAAATTAATCGCACACGCGACCAAGCGCGATCGGAAATGCAGTATTACAAGTCCATGAAGTAAATGGATGGCAAACTCAAGGAGCCAAAGAGAGCAAGGAAAGAAGGACAGAGAAATTTTGGGATTTGAAGACCAGTAGTCACTGTGTACAAGAAAGAAACAAATGCAAGAGGTGTTGAGCCCGTGTATACGCCAAGAGATATCAAAAAAAGTAAGAGGCCAACCAGGCCACCGAACCAAATGCAAATGATTGGAAAGGGTCCAAAAAAAGTACAGAGTCTATACGGAATTTTCAATAACAGTGCGCCGGATCACCCATCTCCAGACACCGAAAAAAAAAGCAGTAAAGTCAGGGGGAATAGAGACATAAAGAATTAAAACACAGGTCCCCGATTCAGTCGGGGAAAGAAGTGAGTAAAAAGGAAAAACGTATGTTTAAACGTGCGAGTGACTAGTGCTTGATCTCGATCTTTGAGACAGAGAGCGACGACCACGGCTAGAGGGCGCGCGGTCTATAGGCGGAGCATGCTCAAAGAAAGGAATGAGATCTGGGTTCTGACTAGGCGGTGTTCTGGAATTGGCAGAGTACTCGTTCAGGACACGGTCATCAGCAGCGGTGTCTGGGTGCACTTCAATGCCCGGCTCGCGGTCCAGGCCGCCATGAGGGCCGCCATTCGTAGGGAAGGTGATTGAATCTGCCTCGCCGTGACCGCGCTCAATTGGAGACCATCCAGCAATACTACCGGCGACAATGCCTGCCATGGCGGCGGCGGGTCCGAACGTCGAGTTGGACCGCGACCGGGTGTTGCGTCTAGAACGAGACTCGGGAGTTGGCGACTGTAGTGTCGGACTGCCATTGTCGTTGTCGCCGTTTGGTGTTGGCGGGGACGAAGAATCACGCGAGCGTGAGCCACTGCGGGACCGGGGAAGGAATTCCTGGGGGTGCTGCAGCTTGTGGCGAAGGTGTCGCAGACGTCCTCCGCGGACACGCTTGATGAAGGCGAGCTGGTCGCGGATTTCTTCGAGAGCCGGGTTCCACTCATAGTGGCGGTCTTCGTCTGAGATGACCAATTCAGGTCCCTTGGGGCGATGCCAGAAGTGGGGAACAAGTCTTGCAACAAATTCATCGGGAATCAGGCGGATAATCACAGCGATAGGTAATGAGATGACTCCAAGCACAATACTGACGGCCCACTGCGAGCCCTCATTGAGGCGCTTGACAGAGAAGGCAGCACCACCAACAAAGATGATCAAGACTTGACCTCCAATGATGATGATCTGAATACCAATGAACCACTTATTCAACCAGATACGCTCCATGATGTTCAGTTTGTTGTCAATGCGGCGGGAATTGTACTGGTTGAAAATTTGCATAAAGACGAAGGTGTTGAACACCACAGTCTGCAGATGGTCATGATCCCAAGAGAAAATACTTGACCCAGCAAAATTCAGAACGAAAGTCACAACCAGCTGGTAGATGGATTGTCCGACAATCATCTTCCACATCGTCAGGGTGATGAGAGGATCAGATTTCGATTCCGGTCGGCGGTCGAGTACTGTAGGTGTAGGAGGATCTGTGGCCAAAGCGAGAGCGGCGAATGTATCCATGATCAAGTTGACCCACAGGAGTTGGACTGCACTGAGTACAGAATCTTCGTTATCACTAGCGACCGCAGAGACGAAAGTGAGAATGACAGCAGTGATGTTGACGGTGATTTGGAACTGGAGGAACTTCTTAACGGCATCACAGACAGTGCGACCCCATGCCATAGCCTTGACAATAGACGAAAAGTTATCATCCATGAGAATAATGTCAGAAGCCTCCTTGGCAACCTCGGTACCAGTGATACCCATTGCAAAACCAACATCGGCGTTCTTAAGAGCCTGGGCATCGTTGGTGCCGTCTCCGGTAACAGCAACGGTCTCTCCAAGCTTCTTGAGCTGGTTGACCAGGATCTTCTTATCCTCGGGACTGGAACGCGCAATGACCTGGAGTCTTGGAATGATTTGGTTCATTTGGCGGGTGCTCAGTTTGCGGAACTTGGGTCCTTCAATGGCGATACCGCCAGGTGTGTAGATACCACACTCCTGGGCAATAGCTTTGGCGGTCATGATATTATCACCAGTCACCATCCTGACAAAGACTCCAGCGCGCTGGCATGCATATACGGCTTCGGGGACACCAGCTCGGACAGGATCCTGAATACCGAAGATTCCAAGCATTGACATGTCCTTAAAGACAGGCTCGAAGAGCGCCTGGTTGCGATCAATGTCGGAGACAGGAGCCCCACGAGGTGGCCATTGGTCGAAGTCGCGGTAGGCAAGAGAAATACATCGAAGAGAGCGCGAGGCATAGGTGGTCATGATGGTGTCCAATGAAGTTCTGTTATCGTCGGTAAGGGGAGCCTCAGAAAGTTCGCTGGTGGGATCGCGAACGATGCGCGTCGACTTTGCGACAAGAATTTCCGCGGCACCCTTGACTAGCATTCGGTACTTTCCATTGTCCAGCTGGATCACGACTGCCATACATTTGCGCCCAGAATCGAATGGATACATCTGCGCGAGCTTGCCGTTTGCCCTTTCTTCGCTTAGGACCCCCATTCCGAGGTAGTCCCGAGCGAAAGTCAAGAGAGCTGTCTCTGTCTTGGATCCAATAAATGTCTTCACTCCATCTGATTCGCCCTCGAATGCCGTTGAGTTATAAATGATCGATTGGCTCAGGGCATCCTTCACAGACGATGAGAGGGTGGAAACAAACTCCGATGGTGAAATCTCGATTTGGTCATCAGGCGAAATACCAGAATACTTTCCGAACCGCGAAGTTGTACCCAAAGTCGCAGCCACTGCTGTCATTTTATTTTCCGTTAATGTTCCAGTCTTGTCAGAGCAAATTGTGGTTGCATTTCCCATGGTCTCGCAAGCTTTGAGGTAGCGGACCAAGTTATTGTCCTTGATCATGCGTGTGGTTGCAAAAGCGAGAGCGAGAGTGACAGCCAGTGGTAAACCTTCCGGTACGGCAACGACGACAATAGTAACAGCAACAATGAAGATCTGCAAGAATGCCTGACCTTTGCCGTCGGCACCACCCTCGATGTTTTTGAGACGGACCAAGAATTTGATGAACAGCACGACAAAGAGCAGCAAACCAGATGCAAGACCGAGCTTGGCGATGTACTCGGCCAAAACATTGAGCTTAGTTTGCAAAGGCGTAGTCTCGCCCTCTTCCTGGAGGGACATCATCGTCCGGCCGTGTGTGGAGTTCATACCAGTAGAAGTAACCAAAAAGGTGCCAACGCCCTCAGAAACCTTGGCACCTGAAATGATGAAAGGATCCATTTTCTTCAGGTCTTCGTGGTTCTCGATCGTTTGATACACTTCATCGCCCGGGGTCTTACGGAGAACGTCGGACTCGCCTGTAGCAGAAGATTCGTCGCACTTTAGGTCGTGACAGTCGATCAAAATGCCATCAACTGGTACCATATCTCCGGCTTCCAAAAGCATGACATCGCCAACCAGGACATCGTGGATGGAGATTTCCTCGATCCGGCCAGATCGCGTAACTTTTACCTGTCGGTTTTCCTTCTTCTTGTTGAGGATCGCAAATTGGCGTTCCTTTTGCCAGTCATTCGCTGCGCCAACCGTGACCACGATAATGATGGCCACGAGAATAGCCAAGCCCTCCACCCATTCCACGCCAGGTTCGTCGGGATTTACTGGATGGAGCGATTGCGGAATTCCCACTGCAAGGGAAACGATGGCCGCAATCGTCAACAAGATCAGCACCTTATCGTTGTAGGCAATCCAAGCAAGTTCCCAAATCGTCTTCAATTTCCTCTCGGGGAGCTTGTTATCTCCATAGATGCGTCTTCGGTCAAAGAATTCTTCTCCTCCTTGGGTGGTGACGGCACTCTCGTTGGTCGTTGGTGGCGGCCGTGGAGAGGCAGACTTAGGCACATGCTTTGATGAGGCAACCTCTTCAAAGTTCACAGTCCCGTCCAGAGTCGTCTCGTCCACGCTAAGACCGCTTTTTACGTCGGTTCGTAGTCCCTTTTCAAGTCCTCGCAAGCCTCCCAACGCATGGAAGGCGCTAAAGCTCTTCGGATTGAGCAGCTTGTTCAGCTGACCGGGTGAGAAAGCAAACTTGTTATCCTCGACCTCGAATTCATCCTCACGACCAGGGTCCGGGTGCAGAGCATCCTCATCAGCCACGAAGACATTCTTGGGCAAATCAGGCCCTGATCCTTGTGATGCTGAGGTCACGTGTGTTTCGCCGCCGTATGTGCTTATTGTCTGGTTAGTCTCTTCCGACTCCAGGGAGTTGCCGCGGGAGCGCGCTCCGGGCACGGAAAGGTAGTTCGAATGCGCCTCTGGTGTTTTCGTTTTCGGGGACGAGATATTGTGAGGTGAGGTTGGGCGGCTCTCGCGGTCGGAGGCATTGGAGCGTATGGAGCCGATGGAACGGATATCCGAAGGAGATGCGCTACCACTGTTGAGCAGGGCGCTTGTATCGGTATGTGCATTATTGTATGATTGTACAGAAGATCCTCCGGAGAGGACTTGAATTGGGGGGCTAGAGGTATCGGGGGAATTGACAGCCGAGGTATCGATGGTGATAGTCGGTGCGCGTTCTCTGCGCAGAGGTGTGGACGATTGCTGCGCCGGCCCATCCTGTGATTTAGACATTATGGAAGATCAATCCGAGCGCGGTTCACGCGTGGCACAGATCTGTAGATGACCAGTTCATGGGGTATGTGATTTGGGGAAGAATATGAAGCAGAGAGAAAGATACAAGCTCCCCCCAGAAACCCCAAATTTCCAAAATTCCTCAGGCAAGGATGGATTGTAAAACTGTGAAGTGGTGAAAACAAGGAGGCAAGCGGCAAAAGGCAATTATTGCCCCAGAACAGCGAAAACGGAGACTAATGTCAAACCCCCTTCTCTCCCCACTGTGGTCTCGAACCCCCTCTTCCCCGTCCACTCATTTTATCTGCTACGCTGCTACAATCTCCACTTTAGATCTCCGCTGGCACTCAATGGTGTTGTTCCATGTTGTACTCCGTACGCCGTACAGTATAAACTCTCCCTTTTTACACATAACATGACCTGAATTGTCAACAGCCAGTTTCTTCACCGTGGTTATGTGGGCTGAGCGTCGAATGAGGAGCTGATACCACCGACACGGCCAATACCAAGCAATATACGGGGGACCTAGTCTGCACTGCCTCACTGCCAAGGAATACCAGAGGACCCCCGATCCGGCGAATAGGGGGCACCCTGACACTGAATATTTTGCATACAGACTGTGTACATGAAACACCCTGCAGACTAAATTGCATTAAAGCGCGGACGTTATATCTCTAATCTAGTGAATCGTGTCAATGCATCGTCCTATGGAGTCTGAAAAGTGGTGACGTCCCATATTAGGTATATTAACGTCGACATTGAGACCCGGATCGACGTGTACGTCACATGCCCCGAGACTGGTTTTTGCGATCTGCTTCAAGTTAAAATTCCCGGGACTTGACGGACCTACTTTTGCCAAGCTCGTCGGGATCTGTGTCAATGCAGCATACCATACTCCGCCACACTCAGGCCATATAGGAACTGATGCATCGGAACATACGGAACACCTGGGAAGAGAAGCTTAGGCCGATTCCAGGGTTCATAGCATATCTATGGATTTCAAGCTAATTTTTCCCCTATGGCATGTGCGGAGTACTCCGTACAACGCATACAACATAAGTCATCGTCAATGTCGGGCATCGACAACACCGTACACTATAACATACACTATAACCTACACTATGTGTCCATCCAACGAAACACATCCATCAGCCATAAAACGAACACTTAAGCCACGCAGCTAATCACAAAATACACCTGATATCATCCAATAATCAGTCCCACCTCATCTAATCGATATTCCCACCAAAAGATCACAGTCCAATCAAACCCCAAAGCCTCAGAAAAATATCCAACCCAACCAACAAATACGGTCTCACCGCCGTGTTAGCCTCGCCCTTAGACTATCCTACTCAGCAACTAACCACCCCAATCTTCGTAACTCCAATCCAAAAGATCCCACTAGCCCAGCGCATCAACGCTTATGCACGCACCTCGCCGAAGAAATCTCCAACCACTCGCCGTAACTCTGCCACTTGATCGCGGACAAATGCTAGTTCCCGCCTCCAGATTAATTCCACCGGGTCCTTCGTCCTCACCTGTTTGTTACGTGATACTGGAACCACGGGGGCTAGTCTGACCGCCACAGGCTGGGTTTTGAGTTCTTTGGTGACTGTACTCCGTACTTGCGCGTTGTGCAGCATATTTATCCCGTACATACGCGTGCTGGCCAAGAGAGGCGGAGGCGCACTACGGAGTACTAATGCCCCATGTCCATGCGAGGTCCGGCGTGGCGACAGTCCCCGCGAGAACACACCAGGAGAGTCGTGGCAATGATTTGGCCTTGAGATCCGCCTCTCGGGAAGATAACGGGGATCGGGGTAGCTGGCGACGATCTCAGGTATAGATGTTCATCTTGTCATTCTACGCGGTCCATCTGGGCATTGTGTGTGCAGTATCTGTTACTGCATGTCTTGTCAAGGTTCTGACACCTCAGATAGTTGCGCCGGCATGATTTCTGCATTTGGCCGTAGTGTTTGTGCTTTGTTTAGAGTTCAGGTCCAGAGGCTCGACTTGATCTGGATTTTGAAAGTTCGACCTATGTGCGGAGTACATGTAGATGTTGATCTATCACTCTTGTTGTTGTAAGACATCTACTCCGTGCCCCGTACTTCGTACCCCGATATCGCCCATGCAGGCACCAATAAGGATGTGTCGGCGCATTTCCCGCGCAAAATTGAGTCACTATTTGATAGCCATGGCAAGGTGTGAGAATAGTCCCAAGTCTTGGGAATATTACGGCTTTGGGAGAAGAGTTTCTGGCCAAGGTGCTAGGAAACGCTGTCGCAATGCTGTGTGAGCAATTGTACTTTATTGGACTTGCGTTCTAGGGTAGAAATTCTACAGGCGTAGCCTGTTTCTCGTTGCCTTCAAACTTCGAGTGTGATATCAATGGGCGAAGGATTCATAAGAAGTGGCAAAGTAACAAGAATTGAATTGCAACGCGCAGTGAACCAGCACCTTGATATTGTTGACAGCAGACAATATTGATACATTCGTAAATATCCTATTGAGATGTAACTGTAGAAAAATGAAGTAATCTGCCCTCCCTGTTTGATCCAGTTTCTTTCATACCAGAGCCTCGCCTTTAATTGAACCCACATAAATCCCATGCTAATTTACACAGAACGGAATTGCTGCACTTACCGTCCCCGCTCGGAGGACGATACGATCCCAAGTCGCTTCATCTCGTCTTCAGGAATCGTGACATCCCAGATCTTCAATTCTTGGCCCTTGTCCAAGGTGGTGTGATCCATTGAAGATTTGCGCTGGCTGGAGTCCCGAATGACCATGGCCTTACTTGACACAGCCAGTACATCGACGAGTTCGGCCATTCGTCGTGAGTTGACAAAGGCACGTGTGATATGTTCGTAGTTGGCTGCCCAGATAGATACGACCATGCAGGAAGTCAACAGGTCGTGTCGTTCGAGGGTGTAGCTAGCGTAGTACATGGCGTTGTGGTAATCCAGAAGCAGTTCTGGAATGTAAGTCTTCCGAATATGTTCGAAGTCTTGCTCTTCTTCGTCTACAGGAAATCATTTAGTGTTAAGATTTCGATATCACAACAACAATGGCACTTACCATCCGTCGCTGTGGGTAGCCACTCGCCATCGATCATAGTTTCGATGCAATCTTCCAAGATACCCACACATTCGTTCATGTCTTTACCCATGTTCTTCAATGTGCCCGAGTCTCGTCGGCGTTTGGTCCTGAATTGATTAGTTTTCTGACACAAATGAATCAAGGAAAGTAGACCGCTTACTTGGAGATCTGCTCGTGTACCAGGGCAAATTGCTCCAAGGCATCGAACCCGAGAGCCAAGCACTCCAAATCTAATATCCTGTGAGCCTGGGAGTATGCCACAACCAGATAATCATTGTTCGTGGCAGAGAGACTCCGGCGGTTGAGACTATTTCTCTTTGATTTTGTCGGGCTAGTTGGTGTGGTGGCCTCTCTGTATCCTAGTTCTTGGGGAGGCATGGAAATAATATCGGATCCAAACTTTTCGATCGAGATATCTGCCAGTCGGATACGGAAACTCAACTCGCGAGCAGCAGCAAGCTTATCAGCAACTAGAAAGAGTCAGTTCAGTTGATCTATGAAGAATATGATTAGAGAACTTACGGAAGAACTTGCGATACAGCCAGGATCCAAGATTGCAAATCTTGTCCCACTGGCCATCTATGAAGCGAAGCCATTCCAGACTGCGAATCAATTTATCGTCCTCTGGAGCGACAGAGGTACCGATCAAGTCGGTCTTGGGTGACACCAATACTTGAGAACCGTCGGGTCGTCGCAGTACCCTGGAATAGCCAGTGACGCCTCTTGAGTGATCAATCACAGAGACGTTTTCTTTAACCAACGACCATTGAACATCGAGAACGGTCTCCATGTCAATATCATGTTTCTGTGCGAGCCGGACTTGCTGTATCTTTTCCTGTGGGTCGACGATTTCAATAAGAATCTTGGCCAGAACGTTATGCCCCATTTCCGCAGGGAGAAGTGACACATAAAGCGGGACTAGATGGAATAGACCTCGGTCTTCCATGTTGGCAATATGCCCAGCCAAGATAACCGATGCCGTTTCAACAAAGTGAGTGTCCACGCGAGCGTAGCCTCTGGCACTGGCCACAACATAGACATGGGCCGCAATTCTGACGGCCTCTTCGTCATCGGCAGCTATGAGGAAAGATTCGTCTACTGGCTTGCGCGCTATCTCTGGGATAACAGAATTCTTCCCATACTTGTCAGCGCCAACTTGGGACACAGCCTGAGCCAACGAGGGGAAGAATGAATCGTATCCTTTGCTGAGAATTGCAGCCTGGATGTTGCGGAACGGGTTTCGCGCCTCCCCACTGACCCGGTCGTTGCCTTTGAGATAGACAAGGAACTTTTGAAGCTCTGCGTGCCCAGCCGGTTCAGGGTCGAACGTCATGGGGGTGTTGGGGGAATGGCTGAGTTTCCGCTGGAATTGCTTGCAGAATCCCTGGTAGCGCGAGAGAACCACGCGGTTGAAGTACACATAAAGGAAGTCATCCCAGCTGCGACAAACACAGGCCGCAGCATCGGTTTCGCCAGAGAGCAGCGCATATACTGCACGCTGGAATTCATCGGTATTAGGGTCGCGTGTCAGCGCAGAGCAAGCTGCACGCCATGAATCATGCGCTCGACTGTTCATCAACCGTGTGTGGCCATCGTCAGATGGGTATCGAGAGCTTGCAGATTTGGGGTCCACACTGGAACCGCATAAGCTGACAGCTCTCCACCCTTCCAGACGGCCCTCTGCCCATTCGCGAATTTTAGTCCAGTTTTCACCTTGTCTCAGCATCTTCCAGCAAGTTATCCAAGTGGCGCGTTCAAAGAATTCATCCTGCTTCTCCAGTCCGTGCTTTTGGCGAGTAATGGCATCCGGATCGAGCTGAGTGACTAACGGTTTCTGTTCGTCGTTGCTCAAAAGCGAGCGTGAGATTCCCGGGTCATTCGGCTCAAGAGGTTGCGGCCAGGCGCGCAAACGTTTGTGACCCTTGATCGCTTCTTTGGTGTAAAGCCAACCAGTTGTCCATAGTCCCTGGCCCCTTTCCGACTGCGCCTCCATTTCGGTGATCAGGGAGTCGAATTCCTGGGTTGCTGTCTTCGAGGTCTCCTCCAGCCATCGCATAGCAACCACACATTCAAGGCCATATTGATCGGCGTTCAAGAACTCCTCCCAAATCTCGCGATCGGTAGAGTAACGGTGAAGGTTTTGGAAAGCGGTTTGTCGCCCTGCTTTGTAACTGGCCCGACTAGAAGGGTCATCGATGCTGATCAGATTGAGCAGAAGGCGCCAAGTGTCGGCTTCGAGTTGCAATCGCCGAATTTCCTCGTAATTTTTGGGGTTCTGTGACCCACTCGACCTCAAGCTGGCCTTTGTCCGGTCAAGGGTCTGTTGTGTCTCAATTTCCTTAATCGCATTATTCGCAAGGTCGCGGTAGCTCTGCACTAGCTTGTAGGCCGCCTGGGCGCTGCTGAAATCGTCAGTCGCATTCTCGCGCTTGAACTGATCCAGTTTGTCAGCGAATGCTTCGATCTGGCGAGTAACGCGATCGGCCGTTCGGCGAAGGGGGTGCAAGGCTTCTTGAGCGCCGGCGGCAGTGAACAGCGGGGCATCTGAGGTATAGTTAGTGAATGCGATTTATGCAGGATGGTCATAAGCCGACCTTGGGTCTTGCCAGGAATTCCAAAGATAGGCTGCATAGAGGGTTCTGGATCAGAGACATCGGACCCGGTCTCCGATACGCTGTCGCCATCCATTTCTTCGTCCATGTCCTCATCTTGATCTTCGGATTGGTCTTCTGATTGATCCTCCGATTGATCTTCTGAGTTTTGTTCCTCGGAGCCTAATTCTGAATTCTCATCAAAAGATTGTTGCTCGTCATCATCATCGATATTGATGATCTCAGTCCGTCTAGTTGACTGGGCAGCCTAGACAAAGAATTAGCATGGAAGATCGCATTGAAAAAAGCGAAAATTCAACGGACCGGTGTGAATAAAGTGGCTCCAGCGGCCGATCGAGTTAACGGCGCCATGATGGAGACTTAGTTGGAAGGGAGAGAGAGCTCTGAGGAATCCGTTGTGTTTGTCTCTTTTGGTTTTTGGGGCGCGTTGACGGACTAACCCCGAAGAAGACTAGCGGCAAAGCCGGAAGCTATTTATACGAATTTTCACCCGCGCCCTTCTCTCCTTCTTTTCTTTTCTTCTCTAATGTCTATAGGCTTTCATTAGAGTCTCGGTACGAAAGATTCAATATTCGTACAGGTCCATGAGGCCTCTCTGCGTGCTCAAGATTGTCTTATAATAAATGCAGTTCTTCAATTAGCCTGGTTTCCTCCATATGGAAACTCAGACCGCAAAGGAATTGTGACATCCTCCATTTTCGACATGGGTCACTTTATAAAATTTTAATGTACAAGTAGTCCACTACTGCTTCTCTGCTGCCTGAGCTCGTTGTCTCATCTTCAAGCGCAGCAGGTTTGCTTTGGGGCAACTGACGGTGGACGCCTTGTCCCCTCGCTCCTGGTAGAAGGCATTACAGCATTCGTACAGGGCATCGATTTGTGCCTGGCACTTGTCCTCGTTGAATGAGTTTTTCTGCAGGCAATCTAGCTTCGGTTAGACTTGGACATGGACCTGCTATGAACTGGCAATTACCTTGGATGGCGCACTGCGATTGTGTTAGTAATATCCTGGATTCCATGTCAAGAAACGAGCGCGGAGACTTTAGGAACGCGCTTAACACAGAGAGACGTACAGCTCGTGGATGGCAAGGTTGATCGTGCGATAGATCTTGCTTTAAATTACCCTACATGGGTCTCAGTCTCTATCCAATGTGCTTTGAGTCATAGTTCATACCATAATGCAACGATTCTCAAAACAAAGCAAAAGATACACTTAGAATGTTCCTTGGAAGTGACGAAAGTGATAGAAGCAGAGTACAAACGCAACAAAGATTCTCCGCCTTTAGACCGTGGGGCGAGTCGTTATTCTGCCGCCGCCGCTGATCCCTCTTCCCTCCTCTCGATTCTAACTTCTCCGTTTCCACATCCCTCACTCATTTGTGCGCATTCGTCTGCTGGGTGAGTCGTTCGTCTTTCCGTTGCAATCATTTCGGCGCCAATATCGCATTCTAACCCTTCTTCAAAATCTCCAGGCATAACTTCGAAACCCCTCTCAAGAGATCATTACAACCGATCCCACCGATTTCACCTTTGTAAGCGTTTTACTTCGTCGCCATTCTGTGCCTCACGCAACATGACCGTCTGACAAAACCTAGACCTCAATAACCATCCATCATGTCTGACAAGGAATCTGCTGCGCCTCCTACCGAGCACCTGAACATCAAGGTGACCGACAATAACAACGAAGTATTCTTCAAGATCAAGCGATCCACCCAACTGAAGAAACTCATGGATGCATTCTGTGAGCGCCAAGGCAAGCAGATGTCCACTGTGCGCTTCTTGTTCGATGGCACCCGTGTCCGTCCTGAGGATTCGCCCGATACTGTATGGCTCTTTTCCCCTCTTTTCCGTTCTTGGATTTTGAATTCTGAGACTAATCCATTGGACAGCTTGATATGGCAGATGGTGATACCTTGGAGGTTCACCAGGAGCAGATCGGAGGTTGCTAGAATACTCGCTTCGCATGCTCGAGCCCCACCTCCTGACATAACCACGGCTACTCGGGCGACATGTGTGAAAGATGGAGAGATTGGCATGGGCCAATGGCCGGAAGTGGATAGATAATCCTTATTGACGGCCCATGGGCGAAGGGGCGGCGTTCATAGTGCTTTTAATCATGAATGACGAACTATCAAAAGTCACCCAAACTCCTCTGGAGACTTTGAGGGTGCTGCTTTAGCTATTTTATATCCCCATCCTGAAGATTCTCAGATATAAGCATAATGGCTATACGTAGATATAGCCTGTGTGGCCCTCAGCATTGTCCTGAGTCTTGAGAAGTTATAACTAGTGTTGTACACGCTATCTAAGCCTCATCACTGCCTGGGTGATAATGGCCTCTCGCATGGGATACTCGGGTATAGATCCAAAGGCCTAAGGAATGTAGCAGTCATTCACCCTCTTGCCAACCCAATGACAAAACTTGTTTACCGCAGAATAGAAAATACCCAGCCTAGCAGGGAGTAAGCCGTCTGTCCAGCCATCCAGATAACCCACCACGCAGAAAGAACGAGTATCGACAATATCAGAGATATATAGACATATATACAGGGATAGTCCAGCAATATAATGGTAGAAGGCTGACAAATCCCCACCTAACTATCCCAAATAGAAGCCTTGGCCTTTTCTTCCTCCTCTATAGCCTTCGCTTTCTCCTCGCGCTCGCGGTTCCGTCTCTTAATTTCTTGCTCCTTCACCGAGCGATCATAAGCACGCTGCTGCTCTGTCCTCTTCGGCGCACGAATCCCCAACGCACCAGCAATCAGCCGTTCCGCCACAGCAGTTTGCTTCTCCGGGCGACGAGTTGGGGGTTCCCGCGATGAAGTAGCAGGAGAAGCAGCTCTGCCCATCCACGGGTTTGAGGTCTGCGGAGAGATAGGCGTCGGCGGGGGATCCAGCGGACCCTCAGCGCTGAGGGTTGGCGAGAGCACTGCGGTAGTGCCTTCAGCGCGGGGTGGAGCATCCTCGGTATCCGAGGCGGAGAGATCTGCCTCGTCCTCCCAAGAGTCTGCAACAACTTTGGTGGTTTTCTTGGGTTTTGGCTTGGGGTTCGGAGATGTGGCTCCTGAACCCGAGAGGCTTTTCACATTTGGGCGGGAGATGTCCTGCACCGGGCCCTTTTCGCCTATAGACAGGTTGCGGAGTGTGGATTGGAGCTCGGCGCTTGGATCAGACATGGTACTGGCACGTGGGGTTGGATCGCACGGGTGTAACAGGCGATGAAAGTACAGAGACCGAGTTGGGGAGATTAATAGTTGTCAATAAATAGAGTATACAACACAAGGTTATATTCGCTCAATTCAAGATTTGTGCTGGCTCGAAATAGACGTAATGGCGTCAGTGCTAGTGAATCCCTGGTCGATCGTGGAGAAAAGGAAGGGCTAGACCATTCTGGGTCGGGTTTTGGCCTCAGGAACTAAGGCAGCAATATTTTTTTCCTACGACACGTATCTGTGTTCTTGGTTCAATCAGAGATGATGGGACATGGCTGTCAAGATCTATAAGGCCTTGAACGTATGGAGTAGCTGTGTAGTGTCCAATTCCATTTCAGCCCTTGCGCCGGGATCAACCGAGGTATAAGAGGCTGGTCTATAGAGATTGTAAAAGTGCTAGGTTTTGTGCAATCCGATCCGAATCACCTCATCGATAGGAGTTCGAAGACTTCTATCAAAGTCTGTGGATTTGGCGCTCCCAAGGGGGTTATGCTGACAAGAAGGCGGGTAATGGTTAGTACCTGTTGTAGTGCAGTCTAGGACGATCTCCATGTGTCAATCTAAGCCCGTTGCAAGGACTCGATGTTCGAGACTGAAGTGATGGAATTAGAACTGTATCATTGTAAATCATTACAGCGTCTTGTCTGGGCACGGAATTCTTTTAGAATTCAGCACGTTCCCTCTCTGTCCTCTCCAACGCTCTTGACTGGTATCCAAGGTAAAAGCAATGCATCTCTGCCAGAAAGAAAAACTCAAACGGGTATGATGGGGGAAGGCATAAACAGCTAAAGCTGCTGTGCAGGTCAACATCTGGTACTTGGCGCAGATTCTAATGCGATCAAAGAGAAACGAGAGCGAGCGCCTGACAGCCTCTTCTGAAGTTGACTCAGAGCCCTGGCACATCGGGGAAAGCATGATAATTAGATGTACAGCACCAGTGTCATGCCTGAATGTAGTGCCGGGGAGGTGTCGTTGTCTCCGGCAATCCCTCATACACCGGTCACATGAGCGGAGTTGAGGTCGAATCTCCGGGGTGTGGGGTTGCAAGTATATGATGCAGTTGACGATTCAAAAAGCTTTGACTCCTTCAATTAACTAGCAATTGATTCTATTCTGTCACCCTCGGGAGAACATGGGATATTATCTCAAATATGGACAAAGAAAGCAAAGTCATCATCGTTGGGGCAGGGATTTTTGGTCTCTCGACAGCTTATCAGCTCGCATCCGAAGGATATCGCAATGTAGTCGTTCTTGACAGACATATGCCACCGGTATGCGTTCCTCAAAATATGCAACGATTAATCACTGATAAATACAGGTCCCTGATGGATCTAGCTCTGATATCTCCCGTGTCATTCGGTTCGACTATGCAGATGACGACTATTTGGATCTTGCATACGAAGCCTACTTAAAATGGCGAGATACGCCCAGATATAAAGGCATTTTCTATCCGGCCGATTATATATTGGTCGGCAAAACGGGTGCCTATGGCAAGGACTGGATGACAAAAACCACCGCCGCTCTTGACAAGAAAAAGCTGCCGTGGACCGAGCTTGAAGACATGACGACGATCAAGCAAAAGTTCCCTGTTCTGACAGGCGAGCTCGCAACTCCTGGATTTTCTGGATACAGTAATCATCAAGCAGGCTGGGCAGACGCGGCGAAAGCTGTTAGCCAGCTTCGCGATGACTGTTTTGAACTCGGTGTATCATTTATTTGCGGTCGCGGAGGGACTGTGGTCGAACTTGAGACCGATCACCGCAAAGTCATCAAGGCTGTTCGAACCCTCACTGGGAGTCGGGTTGAGGGTGACCACTTTATTCTTTCGACTGGTGCCTGGACCTCTGGCTTGGTTCCAATGTATAACTCAGCGCTATCAACCGCACAGGTTGTTGGATATGTCCGTCTTACACCGTCTGAGGTGGAGAAGTACGAGAACCTTCCTATCTATGCAAACTTTGCAACTGGATGGTTCAACTTCCCCCCTCATGGAGATACCCAGACATTGAAGATGGCAATCCACGGATGGGGATACACTCGGATCCCAACACAAGCAGACCGCAACATTGTTCAATCAAATGTGTCATCCCCACCATTGATCCCTCCCCGCGAGCGTGTAAACTTTGTCCCAAAGGATGGAGAGGTCCGCCTAAGAGAAGGCCTGCGCGAGATTCTTCCGGAGCTGGGAGATCGACCTTTCGAGAAGCTAGCCATGTGTTGGTATACCGACACGCCAACTGGGGACTTTGTGATGGATTATCATCCCGACTATGCCAATCTGTTTGTTGGAGGTGCAGGGAGTGGACAGTATGTGACCTTCCAAGTGTTATCTCCTCTTTTCCGCACGTTGCACTAACGGTCTTCTCACAGTGCGTTCAAGTTCTTGCCCATCTTAGGCAGATACATGTCATTGGCTCTCAAAAAGTCGCTGCCCCCGAATCTTGCTCAAAAATGGAGATTCAGAATGGACTACGCAGGTCAAGATGATACTTTCAAGGGTGATGGAAGTCGTGGAGGACCTACTAGGCGGGAATTAGACCCTCAAGAAAGGGCAAAACTCTGAGATTAAAACCAACCTGTTCGCGCACGCCACATACTCTGTCTTTGTCTTCGGAAGCCAAAGAGCCAAGAGAGTACCCAAAGTCTCTGCTGTCGCTTCATATTTTCTAAACTACAAGGTATCTCGTCATTGAGCTGGCAATCTACCATTTAGTTGATTACAGCGTGCATTCTGCTGCGCTATCCTCTGCCGGCCATTCATGCGGAAGATCTGCTATGCAATTGCCATTTCCATAGTGGGTTTCTTTGTAAATAAGACGGGCAAGACGAGACAAATCAAATTCTAACGCCTTCTAGCGGTCGTCTTGCTGAGAAGGGCCCTGCTTGCCGCCCAGGACCAGTTTGCGTGGCATATGAGCTGCGGCAGCTTAAATACTCGTACGGAGTAGAATATCCGGGGTAATCAATTTTACTCGTCAAAAAGCGGCAAGGGGTGAGCACCAAAACGGAAGCCATCGGCACTGGTGTATACATTGCATATGACTAGTGACAGCCTGCATCAGGTTAATAACTACTCCGTACTACATATGGCACAATTATTACTCCAGAGGGACTAGCAGGATGCATAATGAAGTGATGGGTATCATTTTCTAGTATCTAGTATCTATAAATTCCCTCTTAACCCCTAATTTTCCCTCTACCCTCAAGTATCATCTTTGAAACATCCACTCGCAAAGCCTTCACATCTAATTCTCAATATGAAGTATACCATTCCTACCATGGCCATTCTGGCTAGTTTGTTCAGCCAAACAATGGCCCTGAAGAACAACGAAGTCTACTCCATCGAGTCCCCAGGCTCTGGAGATGTCTGGGGCATCCAAAGCTCCATCGGTATTAAATATGGTGTCGAGCTGGTGCATCCCGAAGGGAAAGAGGACGAACACTGGCGCTTCATATCATCCGGCTCCGATTTCTTTTTACAACATGTCTATACCCAGGGTATGCTCGGCTGCCCGGCTGCGATGAAACATCGGTGCGAAGTGGACACACTCGGGAACCAGGCGCAGCTTTTCACGGTGACCGATAATTCTGATGGCACATTCACTTTCCGTCCCTCTGGAAGTCCGCTGGTGTTGGGAACTGAGGAGGGTAGTGAGGTGAAGGCGCGGTCTTCGGGTCCGTCAGTCGATGCGGCCTTCCGGCTACGTCGGGTCGCGAGTAAATGTGAGTAACTTGAGTACATTTGTGGTTTGGGATATATATCTAACCTTCTGTTATTATAGAAATCGCATGATGTGAGGCTTTCTGATCGTGCGTGGAATTCGGAGATCTTTCGCCAAATATGTCTGGGATAACATATTATAATCAATAGCATGCCGAATGCAAATAATACTCTCTTGCTCTTTCTGTGTGGGTTTATTCTCCGGATGGTGTGTCATACTGGAGTTGAAAAGGAATATCACAGTCTATCTGCGTAGGAAGTCCCGAAACTTATCGGCTGACGTTGACAATGTGTACGGAGGCAGAACTTTAGGCCTTGTCAAACAAGCCCTATGTGCTCCCACACTCATGACACGCTTCATGGTGACAATGCTTCTAAGGTTGTGTTGTGAGATTGTGAGTCGTGATCCAGTCTACCTGGGCACAGTCTGAGACTTGCATAATCCGGCTAGGCAAAGCCAGTAGGCTTTATCTGACTGCTCTATCTTCCAGGTGGGAATTGATTCAATTGCAGCTCTAGGAATTCTTCTTACCCGAGCAAAAATCCAGGGGCTCGGTGCGACCTTGTCATACGCTGGAACCCGTCGCTCTCCTAATATATATCGCCAATATTGACTGCCTTCCACAGAATGAGACTGCGACCAAAGCGAGACAAAGAGAGACCCAGGGAATACAGAGCTCACGAATGCTATATGTTATCTACCCAAATCCTAACAGCCACTGCAATTGATGTTTTAACAGTCCTCCAACGCAAACTGCGACTATAATGGACATGACCCTATGGTGGAAATAAGCCAATTCCCGGGCCTCGGGCAAAACAAACCATCCACAGATCAATTTCTCCCCTCAGTGCATCGCTGGCTCAGTCTGCCCCAAATGTGAATAGAATGTCTTCGAGACTCAATCTGCATGGAATTTCATGCTTGAAAACAATTGTAGGTCTCAATTGGCTATGGCTATAGCTATAGGGCTATAGTACAATTAAATGCCGTTTCTTCCATCAAATGGGGCTGTGGCGCAACGGTAGCGCGTGCGACTCCAGTTCGCAAGGTTATCCGTTCAAATCGGGTCAGCCTCATTTCTTTTTTGCTTTTTGGTTTTTTTTCTTGAATCTTCAGCAGTGTGGTAAATATTTACCAATGGCGAAGATTGGCCTAGATGGGCGCAGAATATGGCATAATTTTTGTGACTGTTGCTCCTGCCTCGTCGATGCATGTTCACTTATATCAACTCGAGTTAGCTTTTACTCCAAGGCTCAATTGCTCTGCCTCCTTCATGTAGGTAATAGTTACTCTCTATACTTGTTAAGAGATGTTTATCCACTACAATGCTAGTGTTGTTCGACATAAAACCCGACCGTGGAGCATCAAAGCTATCAATACAAGAGAACCTCACCAGTCAGGAGGAATGAAATAATCCCTCCAAGCATCGCGGTCTGCGTCTTGGAATTGAGTAATCTCTCCCTCCACCCCGTCCTTTCCCACCGTCCACACACCACTTTCCACCAGTTCTCTCCACCGATCCAACAGTCGCTCTAATCTCTGAGCCCGGTGTTCGCCTCCAAATGGATGGAATCCACCATGCTGGAAGAGCTCTGCGACAGAACCTGAGCTGACCGGGGATCCATCACTCCTTATCGCACCCTCTTTGTCAGAAAAACCCCTAGGCCGTAGCTCAAATGGCAACACAAGTCGAAAGCCTGCTTCTTCGGAATCGGACGCCGTTCGGCACACCGATTCACTGTACAGTCCGGCAGGAATGAGATCTTGATCCGTGTAAGGGATTTCGTCACCGAACTCGAAGAACAGGTGTCGGATCTCATCTCTGAAGTTGATTTGATGGTTGCCTTCCTTTGCAGCAAATATCAGGACTGCGGGAGACGTACGAACCCAAGCCTCTTCATGACGAACCACATCTGTAAACCGCTGGCGAGCTACGAAGGCTGCAACATCATGCGGAACCTCTAGACCCGGGGCAATTGCCTTGAACCGTGGAGTTTTCATGCGTGTCAGGAGAGAGCGGATGAAGCATTCTTCTGGCACAGAGGCTCCATCCAAATCTGCATCGGTAAAGAGCGGCGTATCTCGGGAGACAGGCAAGAGCGAGTCAGGAGGCATTCTGGCTTCGATTGCAGCGGTGTACCGATCCATGGCAGCCACGGTGCTGTCAACCTGGAAAGCACAATAAGGAAGCCACGACCATAGCCCGATCTGCGAGCGGGTCATTGCTACTTCCAGAGGTGCTTCGCCCTCCGGCGAATCCACAGTGACCTTTCCAATTCGGATCATATAGATCCAGTGTGTCAGAATGGTTTCTAGTGGGAACCACATTTCCTCATGCTCGGAGATAGGTTCCAAACTACCTGTATTCCAGATTGTCATTGGAAACGCCGCACGGTGGAGCTGCTGATCGTAAACCACGCCCAGATTATGCGGACCTAGGTTACATTCCGTGTCATAGATGACGAAGAATCGTTCCTTGTCTTCCAGCTCGTTCTTTTCGTCCATAAAGATCTCGTCGTCAATGAACATCATCGATATGCCGTCCACCCAGTAAAAAAAGCTGTCGCTAGGCACGTAGATCGAGTCTAGGAACGAGTTCATAGACGGTACTAGGCGCGCGCGAAGAGCCTCTTCATCCTCACCGAATAAGCGGGAGCGTTGGCTGGCTAGCTCGTTGAGATCGGGCATTTGCTGGTCGTGACGGGCCATCCAGGCGTAGGCGACTAAGTAATTATGCAGCCTCGCGCAGCGTTCATAATCGAGCGACTTGTCGTCGCGCGCCGGGTTGTCCTCTGTCACTAGAGCATCTTCGATGTCCAGGACTTGCTTGGGAGTTTGGTTCATGGTAAGGGAGATCGGAGTTTCAGAAAGGTGTTGCTGGAGCCCCGAGGAAGAAACCGTGGCGATGGCAAATATATGTACACAACAAAGTAGAAATATCCATATTTTGGGCCTGAATGGTTGAATCATGGCTCCCTGAACTTGGAGTTCAGGTTATTCTCAAGGCTCCAGGAGGGACTGGGTTCATTGATCGAATTAGCGCACGCTAAGCACTAATTCAGAGTGCAGCCTAGTGGTGGCGTTTCTAGCCATGGAACATGCAAATTGTACGGAGCACTTCGTACGAAGTTCTCCGTAGATCACAGTAATATCTGTCTTTAGGAGACCGAGGGGAAAAAAGCGATTAGATGCGTAGGGTGCGGGAACAAACTCTACACTCCGTGGCGGCCCGATCCCTAAGGCCGTGCCGCCGTGGAACACAGGCTATGGAGACCAAGAACAGCCTATACTGAGCCAATCGGGGATGATAGAGCTACCGAGGATAAGATAAGTAAATTCCACTCTTTTTTGTTATGATTTTCTCACCTTTAGTGAGCTTCCCACTCATGGCTAAAGGCAATGCCGCAAGACTGACAGGACTTCCAGAGCAGCAGAAACCACCTAGTTAATCCTATATGCGAGTACGAGACACGACAAACAATTCAATCGGTCTTTCAAATGCCAGACAAGATGATAGAGATTCATGTACAAGGTGTGGTGGACACAACCTTGGAATGTTCTTCGACTGATATTCTGGCTACATACCTTATGTAGGTAGCTATAACAACTACATAGGCACGTACTTGATTTCTCTGCCGGGTGGGGCTTTCTTAACTTAGCTGTCGCTGCGTTTACGAGGGCGCTCAGAGGGGTATGTTTATATGCTCACGTCGGGAGGATGTATACAATTCGAGAAAATAGAGTCGACATATCGATGAACTGGACGAGCCTGAATTCAACATTCCGCGCCTTCTCCGTATTGCAGTCGTCTATCCAATCTGGGAGGATACCGCGAATATCCTGGCTAGTGAGTTCGTTCGCTTCCTGATGAATGGAGATAACCTGCATATCCTGCCAGGCTGGCTCGGTCGTGTCGTGTCTTTGGTCCGCACACCGTCTCTTACGGGTGCATTGAAGCAGGCCATGACTTCATCCCTTTCTCATTTGATATGCAGTCGTCTGCAGGCGGCGTTACTAGCAAATTCCCGGAGAGTTATGTTTATTTTCGCCTGGATACTGTCTGGGGCTTTCCTAACTTTGGATGCGGAACGGATTGAGGATGAGGTGGCGATGGAAATTGTGCCATAGCTTCAGGTATAGCCTGACCTACAACAATCATCATAGCAAAGGGACGGTTTTTACGCTCACTGCAGGGATATAGATACCGAATGAATCACAGCCCTTGCATCTCCCAGACCCCAGTCCCAATTTCTACAAGATCCTGCTTTTGTAATCGGATATCAGTCTCTCGAGGAATGGAAGGGGGTCGTCGGAAGAGCAGGTCGAATGGAATGGTTAGAGTGTGCTGCGAGACGGTGATATTATCGCCAGTCTTCTCTATCACACAGGATTGTGTGACATGGGGCCGCTGGGAATTGGAATCCCATTCCCACGTCTGGATTGTGATCATGGGCTTCCGGGGGTCGACTCTGATGGTGATGGCCATGTTTGCTTTCCCCCTGGTGGGATCCACCCACATTCTTGCGTCACTGTGCAATTTTGTTTCGGGCTCTGAAAGGCCAGCCTCCAGGACTACCGAGGGCCGGTTCGCAACACCACGAGAAAGCCGCCTGGGGCCCCAGCCCAAATCCGGCTGTTTCGTGTTTCCGCCGCCGACATTGATGCTTGCCCCTCCGTATCTGAGGATTGCTGCTTTGTTGAGCCCCATGGGCTGCAAAGCTTCCATTACTGCATCGTGAAATACCCCGGTAACCTCAGAATGCTCGGGCAAAGTCATTCTCAAAATCAATATGTGAAGTGTCGGGTTATAGAACTGACGAACGCCAACGTTTAGCTTGCGGGAAAAGTCTCTCCGGAACGAGGGCATGTCGATGGTCATAACAAAGTATTCTGATATGTCAAGAGAGTTATCAATTGGTTCAGACTGGAGATGGTGTAACGAGTGCTCTAGGCGGTGATGTTCAAGCCTTGCGATTTCCTCAAATTGTTCTTTCCCTTCGTAGGTATATCTGTTCGTAGAAGGAGGCAGGTCGTCCAGGAAGTCTTCCACGTCTCTTCCATATCTGACGCATTTGAACCCAGTCATTGTTTCGAGGTGTCCTTGCTTTCCTACTATGAATAGAGTATCCAGGAAGGAGCACATAGACGACTTAAGATGTAAAGAATAGCCCTGGAGGTCTATATAAGTACCTAGGTACCTACCTAGGAGGTATTGGTGTGATTGGGTTACCTCATAATGTGTACATGATGTATCTATATGTACCGGACTTTCCCGTTTTCCTATTTGGGCTGCCACCTTTTAAGGATGCTCAGGTGCAGGCTCAACAAGTAGATCCATGTTACCACGCGCTTGTGTCTGTAATCACGCTTCATTTATTTACATGTATAATGACTACCCAGGTATGAGGGCCCAGACTTACAACATACAGTGGGTGAATTCCCACAGGACTTTGTTGTTCGCCAGTGAATCTCGTTCTATGCGGGGTGTTGGCCAATAGAATATTGTTCCTTCGCGTTGCCCGGGGACTGCGGGGCGGCAAACCACCAAATTATCCGATGCCCTAACTTCGGACTACATCTGTCGACTACAGCCCAGGAAATAATGGGTTTACTCAGGAGTGTCTCAGAAAAGAATTCTTGTTTCTATCTCATAGACTCTGTTTTGACTTGAACCACGTTTATCTAGATTCTACTATCAACTTCATTATTGACTCCACAATTCTTACAATGGCGAACTATGGCCCCGAGTATACCGGATCCAAGCTCTCAGGGCACGGCTTGAAGTTCCACAACTGGCCTGGACCCGGTGAGGCGGCAGCAGAGCACTTCGGACTCTCCCATGCCGTGATTCTTCCTGCGAATGCTCGTCGTGTGTTGATTGGGGGTCAACTCGGTGTTCGTGACGACGGCACTATTCCTGAAGATCCCGCTGAAGAGGTAGAGGTTGCCTTTGAGCATGTGGAGCGTGCTTTGAAGGCCGCTGGATTTGGAGATGATGCCTGGGAACACGTTTACAAGGTGAGACACTGGGAATGAGCACCATGGGGATGATGCTAACTGGACAATTACTTTTCTCTTTCTGTTTAGATCAATACATACGAAATTGCTGCAGATGGACTTCGAGATGGCATTGGAAAGGCGGCTGCGAAGTATCTCAAGTCAACTCGCCCAGCTTGGACTGGTGTTACTGTTGCCTCCTTGGTGATGCCCGGCCTTCATTTCGAGATTGAAGTTGAGGCTTATCTGCCAGATCTGTGAGGACTTTTTCTTTGATTCTTTGATTCATTGGTTTAATGACTTCCAATTTTGTAAATACTGAAAGATTGATGATTCATACGCTTGCTTTAAGCTCACCTTTTCTGCTGATAAAGTGGCCGTTGAACTTCCCTACTTGGGCTAGCTTTTAATTCTCTACATAGATTAGATCTGAATTAGGCTCGTTAAAATGATAGAACCAATACCCGACGAATAAATCATGTTATTATATGCTATTTGGGGTCTCCTACTACTCGAGTTTCTACTTTGGCTTCATGGCTTTTGCCTTATAAGAGACGCTGACCGATACCGGCATTGCTCGGGAAATCCTACATGGATTACGAGTCATGAGGCTTTGTTTCAATAAGCATTTGTCTTATTTCTAGAGAGCAACGCAGGGTAACATATGAAATTGACTTGGATAATGCCCAGGTGGAAATGCTGTGTCTAGAAACGAAGTAGATCACCACATTGCTTCTAACGAGGGAATGTTATAGAAACCAGCCGCGAAAGATCGAACAAAGTCGAATTCCCCACATGAACCTGAGGGTCGATGTCGACATCATCGGGCTCGTAGCAAACTAAGTGAATTTTCCGCGAAGTGGATTTGTTCACGCTGCTTTCCGGGTAATTATGTGACTGGCTCACCCGTTGACCTCAGATTTTGTATAAAATGCACGTCTTATCCGAAGAATTCGTGGAATTCGTGAATAAAATCTTCAATTATTTTAGAAAAGCTCATTTAATTTAGACCATCATGAGTTGGTTGTCAATCCCCAAGTCCTCGCACTTTTCCCTCCGCAACATCCCCTTCGGAATCATATCAACCGCCACTTCCTCGCAGCAGCGACCCGCCATTGCAATTGGAGAATATGCAATTGACCTGGACGCCTTCGCCAAGGGAGGCGGTTTCAAGCCCCTCGAAGCCGTCTCCGAACACCTGTCAGTGTTCTCATCTCCCTCGTTGAACGCCTTCGCTGCCCTGGGCCAAGGTGTCCACCGCACCGTGCGCAACTATCTCCAGCAAGTGCTGGCCGATCAAACACCCTACCCCAACATCCTCAAGGAAAACCAGTCCCTCCAGACATCTGCCCTCGTCCCTCTGAAAGAGGTCACTCTCCACCTCCCCCTGGAGGTAGGCGACTACACGGACTTCTTCGCAGGCATTAACCACGCCTTCAAAGTCGGCTCGCTCTTCCGCGGTCCCGCAAATGCACTGCAGCCAAATTACAAACATGTCCCGGTGGCCTACCACAGCCGCGCATCGTCTGTTGTGGTCTCTGGCACACCGGTTCGCCGACCGTGGGGCCAGATCCTCACCGATCCCAAGGCGGAGCCTAAAATCCCCGAATTCATCCCATGTCGTCGTCTGGATATTGAGCTCGAGCTTGGCGCGTTCATCTGTCGCCCGAGTGAGTTCGGCTCGCAGATCAAGATCGAGGATGCCAAGGAGCATATCTTCGGATACGTTCTTATGAATGACTGGTCCGCTCGCGATATCCAGACGTGGGAGTATGTCCCGCTTGGTCCGTTTAATGCCAAGAACTTTGCCACTACTATTAGCGGTTGGGTCGTTCTTGCTGATGCACTTGAGCCTTTCCGTGTGCCTGGTATTGAGAACTCGGCGGAGATTCTGCCTTATCTGCGTGAGATCGAGAAGGATTCTCAGTATGATATTCGGCTTCAGGTGGATCTTGAGAGTAAGTTCCTCTAACAATGTGCATGGTCTGTGGCATGAGCTGATGATTCTGTTACAGCTAAACAAGGAAATAACACTACAATCACCAATACCAAGGGAAATAACCTGATATGGTCTTTCCCTCAGATGCTGGCCCATCATTCTGTCAGTGGCTGCCCTATGCGCACCGGAGATTTACTTGGCTCTGGAACAATTAGTGGCGAAGGTGACAACGAGAAGGGCAGTTTGCTGGAGCAGAATAGCGGTGGTCAGCAGACTATCAAGCTCAATGGATCTGAAGAGCGGAAGTTCCTTCAGGATGAAGATACCATTCGGATTTATGGAGTCTGTGGTGATGAGGAGCAGGGATTGGTTGGATTTGGAGTTTGCGAAGGACAGATTCTTCCGGCTCTTTCGCTATAAATACCTCCCCCGGGATGCGATACTAAAAATTCTATATTGATCATGCTGCCATTTAGAATATACAATTTATGAAGATTCAAGACAATTCTGCAGGCTCTTGTACGAGGTGTTTGATACCGAGTTGATTTGAACTTGAGAAACAAGTCTACGCTAGAAGGTCTATATAGTCAAAAATAGCATATTGAGATTGCTAAAAATCCTGTGCCTTTATTGACCCTTAGCCAATGCAATAACCTTCTTTGCAGCCTCCTCAAACCCATCAAATGCATGCAGAGGAAGGCCACTCTCCGCAATCTACAAATGTTAAAGTCAGCAGCCAAATGAGGATTCTGGAAGTCCAGATCAATTCTTACCATCTTCTGCCCCAACTCCTCATTTGTACCTCGCAGTCTCACAACCACTGGAACCTTCATATTCAAATCTCGGAAAGCCAAGATAATACCCTCAGCTATCATGTCGCACCGTGTCAATCCGCCAAAGATATTGACGAACACGGCTTTGACACGCTCGTCGGAGGTAATCACTCGAAATGAAGACTTGACAGTCTCTGAAGTAGCCTTGCCACCGGTATCGAGGAAGTTCGCGCAGTGACCGCCGTGAATTGTCAGAGCGTCAACGGTATTCATAGCAAGACCGGCTCCATTAACTGTGCGAGATGATTAGCAAATATTTTCTTCGATAGCCATGAACCAAAGAAATGATGTATACCTAGTGTGCCAACACTGCCTTCACCTTCCAACCTGCTTACTATCAGCCGCAATCCAAAGTGAAGACTATGCTTCTACATACTTAACATAAACAATCCCGTCCTTCTCGGCTTCAACTTCCTCCGGGACTTCTTCAGAGATGTTTCTCAATTTGTGGATATCCTCCTGGCGGCCTGAACTACGGAACGCAGCATCGTCGAATCCGAACCGCGCACTGTGGACTTCCAGAGTCCCATCAGCGGAGATGCCAACCCGCGTCTCCAGAACGAAGGCTTCTTTCTCCTTGTAAATTTCCCAGAGGGCTTGAACTAACTCTTCCACCTTCTTGTTAGCAGAGGCTGGGAGGTTCAAGTGCGAGGCTGCAGTAGCAGCAATGGGGCTATCATTGAACTTGGTCTGGGTATAAGGGAACGGGATTCTCAGCGACCGAGCTGGTTCAGACTTGGCAGTCGGTGCAACAATGATGCATGGAGATAAAGCTGTTCGGTCGACTGTGATAGAAATTGAGAAATCGGACTCAGAACTTGACTCGTTCACACGGACGGATTTCTGCTTGAGGATGTCGAATGCTTGGAACTGCTTGATATAGAGGCTACGCTTGTGCTCAGTAGTCATTCTCGAAGTTGGCGTAACTCGTCTCATAGTGTGAAAGCCTCGCTTTTGAGACCTGGTCCCTGAGATTGGCTGTCCTTATGTCAGTATACCTCAGGCTGACAAGACACAATTCACTCACATTTGTCCCAGGGCGACTAGACTGGTTAGCCAACAAAATCTTCATTCCCTCCCCAAACTTCTCTGGATGATTGACCATCACCGCACCAGCACGTTCAAGCGCTTGATACTTAGCTTCTGCATCTGGTTCCCCGGGCGCAACCCAGGCGCCAGCATGTCCCATAATCCGCCCAGGGGGCGCTTCCAAGCCCCCAACAAGCGCCATTATAGGTCTGCACGTAGTCAGAACGCAACCCGAAAACATATGAGAGATCTCTCAATCAAAAACAATAACAATAACTCACTTCGGATCCACAGTCCTTCTTCGATAATCCTTAATCCACTCAGCGGCATCCATCTCCGCCGTCCCCCCAATCTCACCAACCAAGATGATACCCTCCGTATCAGGATCATTCTCAAAGATAGTGAGCGCATCCACAAAATTGGTGCCAGCCAACACGTCCCCACCCATACTTATACAAAGACTCTGCCCGAGCCCAGCTCGAGTCGTCGACGCCACAGTCTCATAGCTCAGAGTCCCGGACTTAGCTACAATACCCACATTCCCCGGCGCGAAGCAAGGCAATGGCTGGAACCCGATTCGACATTTACCGATAGCTGATATAATGCCGGGGCAATTTGCACCAACCAGACGAGTTTTAGACTGCGTTTGGAGCATGGAGTGGATCTGATAAAAAATAGTTAGTAACGACGCCATTCCACCCTCGCTGAGACGGGTAAGAAAACCCTCTTACCCGAAGGATGTCGTGGATCGGCACATGTTCCGCCACAGCGACGACAAGCGGGATTTCAGCTTCGATGGCTTCTTCGATGGCTTTGGCGGTCTGGTTCCCCGGAACGTAAATTGCCGATGCATCGGGTTTTGCCCGTTCCTGGGCCTGGGAGGTAGGTTAGCCAGTTGGTTTAATTTCATGTCCCCCGAAAGAACAATCGGTCTATTTCTCATACCGCTTTGACGGATGGGAAGATGGGCAAGCCTAGGTGTTCGCCTTCCACGCCTGGCTTGACGCCTCCTACGATCTTAGTGCCCCATTCTAAGGACTCTTTGACATTGGCTGTTGCCTGTCTTCCTGTGGTGGAGGTCAGCAATCGTTCTTTTGGAACGTGGATCGTACGATCAAGGCGAATACTTACCTGTGAATCCCTGGAATAATACTTTCGTATGCGCGCCAATCTTCAGGTTTGGTAGTGTGTCCGCATAGCCCGCGGTGAGGGGGGTGGTTGTGAAGCCCCTTGTTAGAGGAGCTCGTAATGTGCGGGGTGCCCGTTTCGGCAGTGCGTGCAGACTCATGGTGCTCATAGAATACACATGGAGATTGACGATTGATTCGTCAGATTGGCTTATATACAACTGCGGAGTTGGTCACAAACCGGGGAGGTGATGGAATATATGTCAAGAAGGCTATTGAGTTAAGTCGGCTAATCCGGTCTCGGTGTCCCCACAATTGCCGAGGGCTTTTTTATACTTCGGGGTTGACATCTATACTTGTAGACTGAATTCATGTCATGGTTCATTCTCTCATTGAACTAACTATAAATATTTGTGCCATAGTTGGGCACAATCAATACTCGTTGAGATGAAGTTTCTTGCCCACAAACCTGCGTCTAGCAGGCTTCTCCCCACGTTGTTCCCGTTCCGCACTGAGACCCTTGAGAGCATGTAGAAGCATACCAGCATCGAAGAAGCCATCTAATAGAAAACCACAGTCAGTAAGAGTGTCCCAAATCAACGGCACTGAAAGGAAAGAAAAGAAAAACTTACATCCTCCCATTCCATCGTCCTCCAGATAACTACTCTCGGCAGCCGAGGTAGGCGTATCAGCACCATGTGCACCACCACCTCTTACAATTCTGCCACGACGATTCGAATCCGTCTGCAAACTCTCAGCCATAGCCTCAGTCTCTCTAGCACGACTCGTGCGCGGACTCTTGGTCTTGTGATTCGTCGCACGCAACAGCTTCCGAATCTCAAACAGATATTGTTCAAGAGTGTGCATAAGACGCGATGTCTGTCTGTGCTTAGAGCTAGCGCAGATGGAGATCGAGTCATCCTTAATAATATAGCCGATACCGAAGCCGTCGGCGGACGTGGGGCCGAAGCCGAAGTGCCGCAGACACGGGTTGCCACAGTTCGAGGTCGACAATACTGTGGTGTTGATCTTGTCCCAGCCTGCGTCGGCGAAGATAGCTGGTGTCGGAGCGGTTATTGTGCGGTAGCGTGCGCTGCTTCCCACCGAGAAGCTGTCTTCTGAAGGGGCGGGGGAGGAGAGTCGGGGTGATTCGATGCCTTGACTTGGTGTTTGAGATTGTGAATCACCCGGACTGGAATATCCGCCCGTTGAACTGGAGTCTAGGAAGACGCCTTCATCAAAGGAACGCTGCCAGAGGCAGTAGAGGGCATAGAGGTGACGGTCCGGGCCTTGGCCCTTGGAGCATTCTTTTGTGAGAGCAGTGTGCTTCTGGCATGCGGTGCGAAGGGCGTCGACCTTTTGGTCGGGGGAGTTCTCGCCCCAGAATGCTGTGACGAAGTCGAGACATTCGGGGGTGACAGTGCGGATGGCTTCCGTGCGTCCGTGCAGGAACATCTTTGTCATGGCTGGTTCGTAGGTGTTTTCGAGTCTTCCGTAAAGCCCATAGTATGCGGCCTGGAAGGCCATTTGGATGAATGCATCTGGAGAGAAACCCATTGAGGTGATAAAGTTCTTGCCGAAGGATTCGAAATCCAGGACTTGGAATTCGTGTTGGTAGAGCAAGTCTGAAAGGTGGGACTCGGCGAAGCGAATCGCGATGTTAAGCTCGGGTGTCATGTCCCATTCGAGTTTGCGGGGCGTCGTGCTGACGTTTCCGAAGCTGTGCGGGTCACGCTTTGAGGGGTCGGGGCTAGTCGTTGCCCAAAGGCTTGGGGACCGCCCATTGATAGTTTTGGCGAAACGGAGGATGGTGTCGGTGTAAAGGTCGCTAGCAAAGCGGAGTACCGTGTGTCCATCCACACCAGTGTGTTCGAAATTGATGCCCGCGCTACCGTTCTTGCAGACAATGATTTGCAGTTTGTCATACCACCGGTTGGTGCAGGTTCCGACCTGGACACCCTTGATGACCTCGCTTGTGCCGCAAAGCATGTTAGCACAGAGCTCGGCTGTTGTTGTTGGCTCTGTGTAATCCAAGCAAAGAATGAAGAGCGCAGTGTCCACAATATTCAAACATTCGGCATTGTTGGATCCTGGATCCTTGGTCATGATATCCCGAAGTCCAGACCAGACCTTCCGATTCTCCGTGCTGAGTACGCCCAAAGCTCCCTTGGCTGCATGATGAATGGAAGTTTGTGTCGCATCCTCGATAATGACTTGTAAGTTAAGCGAGATGTCCTTTTCACTCATAATCAAATCGCTATTGTCATCCAAAACGTCGAACCAATAAAACTGGCCCCGACACATGACAACCATATGCTTGGCAGAAGGGTTCTGGCTGATGATACAGCCATTCTCGGTAGGCACACGTGCCGTTCCAAATAGTCGCGAGTACTGATACATGCAAAGAGGTGTTCCTCGCACTTCATCAGCCGGCAACTCCTCTCGACGCACGGCTCGAACAAACGCCAATGCCGAGACCGCCAGTGATGCGGCTCTAGTAACCTGGTGGTTTCTAGCGGGAGTCGGATCATCCTCCAGGAGGAAGAATGGATTGAGGTTCAGAACGACAGCTGCGGATGCTGGTTAATTTGGATTCAAAGCGAAAAAGGAAAGTTACACTCACGATTATCGAAGTTCAAGTAAGAATCATACCCTAAGTTTGATTAGCTGACATTCATCTCTCTTTGTTTTGGGCTTTGGATAGACCTACAGAACTGCTCAATATAACTTGTCTTTGAACCAGCATAAGCTTTTAGCCGCTCTTGCAAAACAGGACCATCGGTTTTCAAAAAGTCCCGAACAGCGGCCTTGCTATCTTCATGTTCACGCGGGGATTGCAACGCGCGTAGAGCTTCCAGGTGTCTGCGGCAAGTATCCTCTAGATCTGGAATAGGTAGCTTGGGCAGCGCATCCTGGTGTGCAAAAGTCAAGCCCTGGCTTTTGGGTGTGTGGGGTTTGGCAATCTCTTCCGAGGGTTGCTTAGTAGGTAAATTTGGTCTCACGACCGCGTGAGCTGGGGAGTCGGATTCGGAGTTCTTGGTTGTGTTTGCGTTCATGGTGTCGCCTAGTGGTTTGGGGGCTGTGAAAAATCGGACTGCCGTTGAGGAGTAAGACATGATGTTAGATATATGCAATCTTCCGAGGCAAAGTACAATCAAGCGTAGCGACTAGCGAGGCAAGTGGGGATGGACAAGAGGCGAAGGGCTGTGCGGTAAAAGTAGTGGCAGTCTTGGAGGCAGTATGATGGCATTGATACTATGTCATATGCAGATGCAGGCAGATGGAGAGGTAGAAAGATGATAGACAAGAAAATGAGAAGATATGCACGAGATATAGATCATGTAGAGATAGGAAGACAGAGTGCCACGAGACCAACAGAGAGTATGCGGGTAATCTTTAAATGCATGTGAAGCATGGAGTATAGAGCACAAGCGACGAGTGTGGAACCAGCCCGGCTCGGGCCTAAGGGGAAATCGACATGAACAAGAATGGAGCAATGGACTTACAAGGCACCGTACAGCGCAAATTATTGGTAAAACCGGCGTCCGGGTTGGTGTGACCGGGTGGTACTGTGGAAGAGCGGAATGATAGCGCCGGAGAAACGGATGAGGGTTTGGACCTGCGGCTTGTCAGAGGTCAACTAAGTCCAGCCAAGAAACACCACGTAGACAAGCATATAGTATTTTGATCTCCCCGGAATATTTGTTTCAAACATAAATGGAGCCAAGTGCTTGCAACTCGGATATGGACATCACATCTCTTTTCCATGGATGGGAAGAAATGACCGAGTCTTGTGGTAAGGCCCCTCACCCCGTGGGGAAGTTTTAAGAGGCAATGATAGGGCAGAATGAGAGATGGGTCGGACTAAGAACTCACTTGGGCCGAATGATGCGCACTGCAGTTGCTGCAACACGTTACTGCAGGAAGCTTAGTCTGGGGTATGGGATGTACAAGCCGAACGGGGGGTTATGCTTGGGACTGGAAGGGTTGAATATTTTTATTATAAACAATTAATCAAAAATTGAAGATCGGGATGGAGGAAGTGGTTTGCCGCGTATCCGACACAGAAGACTCTCGAAATACGAGGCTGTTCTCGGAAATGGTCAACGTATATCGGCATCGACTCTCCGCGATGACGTTTCGGGCGAAGGGACCGGTCATGCGGGGAGCGTGGGATCACGTGAGCTACGTCATCAGGCGGACCTACAACTACAAGGGCAAAACCTACAAAGGGGTTTAAAATGGCTTGGAAAGACTTCATGAGCACGCTCGAGTTGCATGCAGTGTAGCACGCTCGGGGAAAAATATAGAAAACAAGACGCCGGAGATTTTGTTATCCACAGGATGAACCGCCACAATATTCGTGGCAAGACAGTCAAGAATATTCACAATTGAACGATAATATCTGCATTGCCATAGATTCTTCAAAGTGGGAAGGACCAGACACGCTTGCATACATACAGCATGGCTCACAACGGCAGAGGAGTACCCGGTTTCGGATGATGTACAACACGAGGTGCAGCCACACGAGAGCATCGGGGAAACCCACCCGCAAGGGTAGAACATGCAAATGATCAAGAAGGTAAAGGATAAGGGAGACCGCACAGCACAAAGCGAAGAGGAGAGGCATATCGAGAGGGAAAGCAACCAGCGGGTTCGAGGGCTGCTGAGTCGTCTATTGGTTCAGAACACTCCCGCATGAGGACGAAATCATATGCGGCCCCCTCAACCTAACATCTCCATCTGCCCCAAGACATTTAAGACGGAGGTGCAACGTTATCCGCGTACTCGCCCTCGTAATTACCGGCGGGGAAGTAGTTGCAGACAGTGAAGGGTGAGTTGGGAATGCTGGATTCGCCTTCCTTCAACGAAGCGCAAGTGTAGGTGTAGCAACCGACTTCACGGGTGTCCTTCCAGACAATCTGGGTGAAGTGGCCCCAATCCAAAAAGTTGGTCATATCAGGGTTAGCCTGGCCGTATAATCCCGAGAATAGAGGCTCTTCATCGCTGTACATCATCTGAGAGATAATTTGCTCGCCGACCTTCGACTGCTCAATACCGTATCCGATATTTTGACCATACTGTCTTTCACCGATAGAACTAAGGAGGTTAGTATGATTATTGAGAGAGGAGCGTACCGACTGTATACTTACGTGTCGTGCTCATAAACACAGCGCATGGCGAGGGTCTTGGCACTTTCGGTGAGGGAGTCGGACCATGTCAGAGCGTCGGCACCGTGGGTGCTGCGGTGGATGTTGTGGTTGGACAAAAGCGACTCCTGGTAGGAACCGCCGGCGCTGGCAGTAGAGCTGGTGCTGACGGCAGAGGTGGCAGCAGCAGCAGCAGTAGTGGTAGAGGCCGAGGTTGCCAAAGAAGTAGCAGAGGAGGTCACAGCTTGAACGGGCTCGACCGATGAGGTCGCGGGGGCAGTCACGCTGGTTGTAGCAGCAGGAGCCTTGGACTCGGCTTCAACAGCAGGCGCCGCCGACTTTACTTCAGCGGGGGCGGCCTCCGACTTGACTTCAGCGGGGGCGGGCTTGGACTTGACCTCAGCGGGGGCGGTCTCGGCTGCGACGCCGGTCTTCTTTGACAGATCGACGGTAGGGGCGGGAGTTTCGACGGGCTGAAGAGTGGAGGCAGGCTCGCTATTCACAACGACGGCACTGGGGGCATGAGTGGGCCACTGGGTGACGGTCTCGGTGACGGTGACGGTAGTCCATTCGGTCGTGTACACCTCCTTGTGGACGAGTTTGGCACAAGTGCCGACCGCCAAGGCGGCAAGGATCGCAGCGGAACGCATTGTGGAATAAAGAGATAAAGCGACAAAGGAACTTCTCCAGGAAGTTCGTTGAGAGGGTCGGGGATTAGGTCAAACAGATCGACTGTTGACAAAGGAATGTATCTCGACTTCGTAAAAGAATGACAAGCCTCAAATCCCTTTCTTCAAAGAGTGAAAGAAAGACAGAAGCTGGAAAGAGTGGAAGCGTGAAGTGAGGGCGAGATGGGGTTGGGATGGGCTTAAAGTAGAAAGGAGAGGGCCCTGACAGGGGTGGGGCCGTGCAAACCAGGAGATTAATTTTAAAATGAAGAGATGGAGAGACACTGCGAGAAGTACGGAGTAGGTTATCCTTGAATGGTTCTATTGAAATCAGGTACCCAGAGGCTCTTATTGCTTTTTCTCTCGCTTCACACTGGGGAATCTCCAACCTCTTCACATTCGACGTACATAACTCAGCGTGGCACATTCCACGAGACATTCCAAAGACCGTTGTGTTCTATTGGGGCCACACCCGAGGCGGCTGGGCGAGATTTGAAAGGGGCTTCACACAAATTCCCCGGGTGCTGGGCATCGATATCTGTAACGTCGTTGAATGAATTAAGGATTAAGATTAAACGACACCATGTCCACGGGTGTGATGTGTCCCCTGGACACGTCCCATGGGTCGCAACGCACAGCTATAGCTATGGAGTACTCCCTACAACATAGACTATTCCCAACTGAAAGGCAGCTAATGCAAAAGTACCGTGGATTCGAAACGAAAACAATTCCGTTGAAAGCTAGAACCAGATATACTCTGTATATTGGCCTATGTTGTATGATCAAACCAGGGGAAAGCCAGACATCTCAGGAACAATTTCAAATGGCCCCGACCAATCGCGGCACAGAAAGTATGAAACTCTCCACCCCCAAGCCGCTAAGGAAACTTGGCTCATAGGCGCCTGCGGTAGCGTGCACGGACGGATCTGAGATAGATTACTTGAGTTAGCCCTCGTTTCAGCCACTCATTTCACTGGGTCTCCGGTGCAGAGATCTCTACTCCGTAGCACCCAAATACGGAGTAGCATTCGGGAAATTAATGATTTTCTTCTAACGGGGTTTCGGGAAAATTGTGAGATGGTCCCTGCCATGACTGTGAAGAAAAGCGAAGTCACCTAAGTCCGGCAATATTTTTTTGAAACCAATCAGATGCACCGACGGCACGGAAAGGTCGGGATGCAATGGAGTACATACATATTGGCACTTGGCGTCGGGGTACAGCACAAACGGGGGTAAAACAGGGCGCCTAGAGTAAGGGGGAACAAATAAAATCATGATCAATTGATATTTCCAGTCCAATGTGTATGTTGTACGATCACATCTGATGATCTCATATATTGTACTCCGTAATCTTCAACATGCATTTTGTAGGCCCCTGCAGGGTCCAGGGAGATTCGCGTGGGAGGAACAAAAAGCGTACGGAGTACTCCGTAGAAGCCAACCCCAATGTCCAGAAACGCCAGGCACAACATCCTTAATTAATATTTGAAAAAAAAGCCCACCAATCGTAGCGTTCATCTAGAGATCAATAGTCTGGCATCGCCCACTCTCACAAACCATCAAGTAGTTCTTGGCAGGTTCGGAAGCCTTCAGATTCTGGAAGAGCGAATTGCGGGATTTGAGCCAGAAGGACTGGTTCCCCACAAAATCTTTCAGATGAGAGGGGCGGATATCAACAACCGAAGTGACCACGATGGATGAAGACACGGCCACGCCCGCTTCGGCCCGTACACGTCGCCGGATGAGGTCACGTGTCGCCACCGGCTCATCGTTCCGACGATTGTCGCCGCGCGAACTGATTAGCGTGGAGACATCGGCAGTAGAGAACACCCCTGTTACTGTACGAGTGCCAATCTGGAGACCCACGATCACGTCCAGCATCCCAACGAATAGGAATGGGTGCTGGATAATCTCCACAGCGAAGGAGTTGCAGGTCTGTCGGGCCAAGGTCCGGTAACTCTCATCCTCGAGCAGGGCAGCCAGGCGCAGCAAATTTCGCGAGATGACTCCATTGACTGAAGGTGTCGCCGACTCGGTGCCGGTTTTCAAACGGAGGAGTGGCTCCGGCATACCGGCGGATGGGATTAAGGGTGTGCTGTAGTAACCGGTGGTTGTAGAGCCACTCTGGGCCAGGAAGTATTCATTGAGGTACTCTGAACCCATGAAGTTAGCCATTAAATCCCATTCAAAGGGAAGGGGTAGTTCTTACTCTGCAATCGCTCCGCAAATTGAAGATAGCTGTCATCGTAAGTAGCATCATACATGTCCAGCAATCCGCTAGCCAAGTATGCGTAGTCGTCGGCGAAACCTGGTGTGTCTCCGCGTTTTCCATCGCGGTAAATGCGCCATAGCTGTCCCGAAGCCTTGTCGAAAAGGTTGTCCTTGATGAAACTGATCGCCTGTGCTGCTGCCTCACGACATTGAACGGCCTTGGAGCTCTCAATCTCCTCGAAAAGAACACTGCATTTGGCAAGCGCACCAATCGCTAGTCCATTCCAAGCCACGATGATCTTATCATCTAGGTCCGGGCGCCCCCGTTTTCGTTCGCGATAATCGTGTAACTTCTGCTTTCCCGACTTAATAATCTTGACCACTTCTTCCTCGCTGAGACCAAAGTCTTTGGCGAGCTTGCTTGGTGTGGCACGGATAGACAACACATTTTGGTTCATGAACTCATCATGCGGGTCATATTCAGGTGGCACGTTGCCATCAGGGAGTACACCCCAGTGTCTAGCACATACTGGGGCATCCCGTGGGCCGAGCACTTGAGTGAGCTCCTTCAGTGACCAGACATAAAAAGCACCCTCCCGCTTTTCCGAGTCGTTTGGATCAGGATAACTGTCTGCATCTTCTGAAGAGAAGAACCCTCCGGTCGGCGACTGGATCGGGGCGCTCGTCAAGTAGGCAGCCAGATCGTATACAGCACCCAGCAGCTCGGGGTCGTGAGTGAGCCGGAAAGCGTCCACGTAAACATCCAACAGCTGTGCCTGATCATAAAGCATCTTCTCAAAGTGAGGGAGACCCCAGTCTGTCGTCACGCTGTACCGTGCAAATCCATGGCCAATATGGTCTCGAATCCCACCGCGAGCCATATTCACTAGTGTTGTGACAGCCATGGCGGTTGCTTGCTCGCATTCATCGTGCCCCACGATGTCTGTAACCTGACTTGGGTAGGCACCGAGCCGGAGTAGAAAGCTGAGATTGGATGGCGTAGGGAATTTGGGTGCGCGGCCAAACCCACCATTGATCGAGTCATATCGAGATGCGAAATGTTGATATGCTTCTTCCAGAAGCTCTATGTCCATCTCCTCGTCATCATCGCGTTCACCGTGCTGCGAATGCGTCCCTTCCTCGGCAAATTCTCTGAGTTGTTTGGTGATTTCTTTGGCACTGTCGAGACAACGCTGTTGTTGTGTCTGCCAGACATCTCTCAATTTCTCCAAAATCTCCACGAACCCGATTGCCTCGGGACCTGTGAATGTGGTTGAATTTGGGCCTTGCCAGTAAGTGCCGCCAAACACAGGCTCTAGGTTGGGAGTCAGAAACACATTCAAAGGCCAGCCGCCAGAACCTGTTGTGGCTTGGACATAATTCATGTAGATGTCATCAATGTCTGGTCGCTCTTCACGGTCAACCTTGATTGGCACGAAAGATTCATTCAAGATTGAAGCCACCTCTGACGACATAAACGACTCTTTTTCCATAACATGGCACCCTAGACGAAATTAGAATACCGCCGACCGAATAAGTAAAATGTAACCCACAATGACATGCGGAGTAACCGATACTAAGGAAGATCAAACGGTTGTGCTTCTTGGCAAGGGCCATAGATTCAGCATCCCAGACTTGCCATGCTACTGGGTTGTTCATATGTCCTCGGACCTGATATCTTGTTAGCGTGGCAGACATGGACCCCCGAGAAGGCCTCTCTCACATAGGGAGATCTGCTCTCCTGCAAGCGATTGACCATTTTTGGCCCCGTGTCAGGTACATCATGACGCGGATGTGCGTGATTGATCGAAGCCGCCATTGTGACCGGTTTCCAAGTTTCTTGTTGGTTAGAGACTAGAGGTCCGTCAGCCCGAGGCCCAGGAGGAATTACTAACGGAATCCGGCAGCACCTACAGTACTCGGGCTTAGTAGCTACCCCACGCGAGATCAAATTCTAATGAGATACAAGTGGAGGGGCCCGTGGGACAAATCAAGATCTCCAGATCGATGTAGACAAATCGGACGGGGTTTAGAACGAGTCTTAAAGAATAGAGTCGTGAGAGGGCGACCGCGATAGGCGGGGTCGAGGTGGAAGGTCGAGGGCGCGGGAGATCGGCCCTGTGCGTCATGGCTGCATCAGGAAGGTCACGTGTTTTCTACTATGTGAAAGGTTTGGCCGCATTGGAAGGTGTTCAAAACACGCAAAGTGTTTTGGCTAGGTATACAATATGTTTGAAAAATAACCGGGTATCATATTGTCTAATCATCTCCCATTAGCTCTGCCAACTCTGCCTCTTCCTCCGCCGTTAGCATTGATTCGGCCGGTTTTTCCTCCTCTTTCTCGTCTTCTGTGGGCTTCTTAGCAAGTTCAACTGCTTTCTGGAGCTCATCAGGTCGAAGGGACCACTGGCGAATAGTCGCATCGATTCCTACACTGACAATAGTTGACCCAATAAGGACAAGCCCGGTGACCTCCTCGAAGTGCCCGGAGAAAGTATGATGAAGTGCTCCAGTCTATCGTAGTCAGCATACAACTTATGAAACTTGAAAAAGAAAGAGACTCTTACAGATCGGTTCCACACCCTAACTTCCTCGTCTCGACAGGCAGTGACGACCCAGCCTCCTGTTTCATAGACGACAACATCACGCACGAAGTCAGGATGCTCCAGTGTCATATTAGCCTTCCACCCATCCTCTCGAACCAGACATTTGACTGTCTTGTCAGCAGATGCGGTCCAAAGATCGCCATCATTATCAAAGAAAAGCTTGTAGACACTGGTTTCATGTGGGAGGAGGGGGTCAGTCGTATTACCCCCACCAAAGATACTGAATTGGCGGATCTCCCGATCACTACCCGCGCTGAATACGATGGGTTGGCTGCCTTCTGATTCAGGGTCAAGCGCCAGGTCTTGGATCCCGCGAGCGTGGCCCTTGAAGGTCTCCAATCGCTCGCCACTTGCGATGTTGAATACCAGGACTTGAGCATCGGCTCCACCAGAGATGAGAAGATCGTCTCCACGCAGTCTCGCACTAGTAAGTGATCGGACAAAATCAACATGACCTTCGTACTTCTGGCGCGGCTGGCCCGTAGCCGTATCCCAGCTCCAAACCGCTTTGTCCCAGCAGCCGGCAAATAGGAGCTTCCCATCGGGACTCAAACAAAGACTAGTCACGGGAGCCATCGGACCTGTAAACAGCCTAGCTGTTTCTCCTGTCTATATCAATGTCAGGGTTTGTAAGGGACCGTAAATAACGGTAGGTACATGTGCACTTACGGCAAGGACAATCCTTCTCACGGTGCCATTGCTATGCGCAACGTAGATCGAACCATTGTTCCAGGGATCTGGATGAGCTGCTAGAATCTTGCCTGGCAGTCGAATTGGATTTCCATTGGTGTTCTGGGACTTGGCATCTTTCCGTTCCTGGTCATCCAACGATGCGCTGTGAAGGTCGTCAGTTAGCACCTTCCAGCGAAAGACCAAGAAACATGTTTGCCTCACGATGTCTGAAAAAAATGATCTCGGTTTGAAGATGTCGTCATCGTGTCTCGGAATCTTCAGATATTCGGACAGACGCAGAATCAGCACTTATTTTCCCCATCAACTTCTTCCCCGCCAACGTCAAACTGCTATCCGAGCTTGCGCAGTCCACCGTAGCCCGCATCCTCCACAAAACCACAGAATTTGCGTTTCCGCTCCCTTCTCCTCCCTTCCCAGCCTCCTATCTCATCTCTTCAAATCTCTCCGTTTTCACTCTTTTCACCACCTTATTCTCCCATTTGCTTACCCCGCGCGATACCGCGCACCGCCATCATGGAAATGAACCACCTCATAGGGTCAGTCTGAACCTGCTCGATGACAAGGTGGTCAGGAGCTAACATCTCGCAGTCAGCGCTTCAACCTGATCTCGAAAAGTGACATTCGGTGAGCTCTTCAGGATATGGATCGACTTGTGCAGAATTAATTCTTTCAGTTATGTCGGTACCCTCCACGAAATCAACCCCGAAGCTTCCACAATCGCTCTCGAAAACGTCGTGTCATTTGGCTCAGAAGGACGCCGTGGGAATCCTGCCGAGGAAGTTCCCCCTTCAACCAGCGTTTACGAGTACATTGTCTTCCGAGGAAGTGATGTGAAGGATATCAGCATTGCCGGAGAGGATCAAAAGGACCCCGCACCTCAAGAACCACCTCGGGTACCAGATGACCCTGCCATCCTCGGGGTAAGTAACTACAGCTCTTTCCTCAATATACCGCGCCAACCCATATATATTCAACAAAACACCGCGTCTCGACGAATTGATCAAATGACGAAAAATTCTCGGATGTAAACTCACAGACCTGTTCTGAATGCGCAAAACCGTGTCGAGATTTCCGTTGCCTTCCTTCTGATGATCAATTCGCCATTCTGGACTTGTTCAATGTGGCATCGTGTATGCAATGTGCTAATTGGCGTAAATAGGGAACGCAAAGACCAGTTCCTGCTCAGGGACCGGATGCCGGAGCTGTTCCTCAGAATCTTCCTCCCCACGGCCCTCCCCAACTCCCCCAGGGAGCTGGCCCTACACCTCCTGGATACCCCCAGCAGCCTCAATTCCAGCAAGGATTCTACCCACCTTACGGACAGCGATTTGGACCCCCTCCTCCCTTCCCTCCAGGTCCAGGTTTCCCTCCATATGGTGCTCCACCGGGATGGTACCCTCCTCCGGGCCATGGATTCCCTCCTGGCCCTGGCCAATTCCAACCTCCAATGCCCATTGGACCTGGCCAGCAGCCTGGGTCACAACGCCCGGGACCTCCCGGTGCCGCACCCGCGCCCAAATCTACCTCTGAGCTCCCAGTTGACGACAAGGTTCCTAACAATTCTATGAGCCAAAACGCGACCCCGGCCATTCAGAATGCTCCCACTCCTCCAGTCGAGTCCAAGCCTTCTGTGGCTGAAGCTCTGCAAGCTCCTATCACCTCCGCTCCTCCGGCTGCTGTCCCTCAGAAGAATGGCCGAGTCATGCCAGCCATCCCGATCGCTGCCCCGAAGCCTGCTCCTCAAGCTGCCCACATTCCTACTGCCCCACGCGGCAACAACCAATCTATCACTGATGCCACTGCGGCTGCCACCGCTGCTGTCGCTGCTGCTATGGCCAAATTGCCGCAGCCTGGTGCGCAAAAGCAGTCTGGACACCCCGAAGCTGGGGTGGACGCGTTAACGCATCAGATGAATCACATGCGCCCCTACGACAACAACCGTGCTCCCCGAGGTGGCCACCAACACCCCCGTGGCGGACGCGGCGGTCCTCGTCCCCAACACCAACAAAAGAAGATTGAAGTCCCCCAATCGGATTACGATTTCCAAACAGCAAACGCCAAGTTCAACAAGCAGGATCTGGTGAAAGAGGCCATTGCTACTGGAATCCCTGCTGCTGAGGCTGAGGTCCACGCGGCCGAGGAAGCGGAATCCATGGAGTCCATGTCGAACCCGGGCGGTTCTTCCAACCCTGGCTACAATCGCGGCTCTTCCTTCTTCGACAATATCTCCAGTGAGGCTCGTGATCGTGAGGAAAACACCACTCGTGTAGGTGGCCGTGAATGGCGCGGGGAGGAGGAAAAGCGCAACATGGAAACCTTTGGACAGGGTAGCGTTGATGGCTACCGGCCTAACTACCGCGGCCGTGGACGTGGACGTGGCTATGGACGTGGTCGAGGTGGTTACAGCCGTGGTTATGGCCGTGGCCGTGGCGGCCGCCCCACTTCGGAGTCCACTGGCGTCCCCTCTCAGGGTTAATCAGGTCCTCTTTTCATACATGTCCTTCTAGCGATGATTGCTATCTTGTTCTCATATTTGGGGTGGCAAGACCTATGACCGAAACGAATAATCACGGTTGAATCTTTTCTTGTCTCTTCGGCGCAATGGAAAATTGGGGTCGGGGCATACTGGGTTGGCCATCCGATACATCCTATGACCTGCAATTATGGGTCTCCCTTTCAATGTTGTGTTTTATGTTATGTTTTCTTTTTCCACTCCGTCACGGCATACCCTTTCTGCAGCGTCTTTGAAATTCCTGGTTCCGGCGGATATTTCCCATCTACCTTCTTACTTTGCAGAAAGTGGCAAACGCATCACACTCGGGGCGATCCTCCTGTGCTTTCATAGAGCAAATCCGTCCCAGTTTTGTACGTGCATACCATCTGGGAGCAATTCCCGCAATGACCTAAATGAAAAAGGCAAAAAACGAGGTCGAATGGCCTTCGAATCTGTTGCTCTCTCTTCTCTCTCGTAGATTTGTCTAAATGCTGAAGTTCTGGGTTGCAGCGAGTATTCTCCATTGCATCTACCGCGTTTCAATCAAACCCTAGCCTGAGATGCCCCAAAGCAACTGGAATCTGGACCTCTTCGGAGTCTTCGGAGTCTTCGGCGTCATTCTGTGGGCCCCAACTGTGGAGAAGGTACTTTCTCCACAAAGGGGAGCCGCCTCGGGATTCTGCGTCTCGTAGCCCTTGCTGCTCATCTTGCGGTGATTCTTGTAAATTTCTAGTGCACAGAAAAAGCAAACATATGGATCATCACATCGAGCATATCCCGAGAACTATCCATTCGCTACCTCTTCGCTTAAGGAAGGCCTAGCTCCGATCTCGGGATATACAGGTATAGAGAACAAAGAAACTCCCCCTCCTCGGCTGCAAAGTCCCAATTCTCGTCACAATATTCCGTAGTGCATCTTCTGGTGTTCCTATAAATCAGCTCAGCCCGTTGTGCCACAGCTAGAATCTATTCACAAGTTCCTGTGCTACCCCATACTGCCTGCGTAGTAGCCAACCCCGAATCCAGTAACAGTGCTACCTCATAGACTTTTTGAGTTAGGGCTCATCCGGTTGACCCTTATACCCGGCCTTTCTTCATGGCCTCCCAAACTCCTTCCTCAAGGCTCTCTGCCATAGCAAGCCACCTTGGGAATTATCACTCCATAATGCCTACCTCTACTCAAGTTGCGGACCAATTACCCTGGAATCCTAACAACAGCAAGTTCCCTTCGCGGAAGGAGCTTCCACAACTGTCTGGCGCTCCTCACGGTGCTGCTTGGGTCTGGGGTAAAGATGACGAGGTTCGATGTCGCAATTGAGTGAAGCTATGTTCTGTGGAGCTGTGGTTGATTCGTTTCATAGTTGGGCAGACTGAACCTCTTGACACCCCAGCGGGTCAAGGCATCGGCCGCTGAGATCGAAACTGGTGAGATGGTCCGACTAGAGTAAGTGATTCAGACTACAGCAATGAACTAGACGAAATTCCTGACTTATACTCGCCAATGTCTAGTCTTCCTCTCACGGTGCCTGAGAAACCCGCGTTCGACCGCGAGTCGTTTCAACACAACATCAAAACGCTGGTTGAGGATGTCGCTTACGACGATACGTATACTATGAATACGCAGAGCGGAACGCAGTGGGACGGATTCCGACATGTAAGTATTCATGCTCATCTGGGTTTCACCAACGCTATCACCCACATTCCAATCTAATTGTTCCATCTATAGTTCAGTCACATTGACAGCAAGTGTTTCTACAATGGAGTAAGTCTCAAAAGCTCCTATTATACACTCCTCGACTCTAATACATGAGCCTACAGGCCAGAAGCACCGACTTTGTGGGCCCAACTGCAAACCACCGCTGTAGCATCCACCACTGGGCCATGCACGGAATCGCCGGCCGAGGAATCCTATTAGACTACTACCACTACGCCAAATCCAATAACAAGCTCTACGACCCCTATACAACACACAACATCACACTCTCAGAGCTACAAGCATGTGCGAAATCCCAAGGTCTAGATCTACGCCCGCAGTCTGAAGGTGGCGACATCCGAGTCGGAGATATTCTCCTCGTACGCTCGGGCTTCGTAGAGCGGTACTACGACCTCACCTCTGAGCAACGGTATGCAGCTGCGACACGCTCCCACGAAAATCTGTGTTTCGCTGGACTTTCCCGCGAGCCAGCGATTCGGGACTGGCTACATGATTGCTATTTCGCAGCTGTTGCCGGCGACGCACCGACATTCGAGTCATGGCCCGTTCCTGAAAATGATTATCTGCATCAGAGCTTGCTGGCGCTGTGGGGATGTCCTATTGGTGAGATGTGGGATTTGGAGAAACTCGCTGAGAAATGTCGGGCCCGAGGAAAGTGGTCTTTCTTCATGACGAGTGCTCCAGCTAATATGCCCGGTATGTTTTCTTGTGTGCTTTGCAACTCGATTAATGCGCTGGTGGTGTGGACTATACTAATTGGTTTATAGGTGGGGTTGGTTCGCATGCGAATGCCACTGCTATCCTTTGAATGTAAACGGGGACTATATCGAAGTCATAGTTTCTTGCTTTAGAGAACTATCTGCCAATTTAATGTTGACTTAAAGTATGCCTACCATCCGCTGGTGTACTAAGCTAAAACTAGCTCCATAGATCTGGAAATAAATGAGTAGTCCTTCCAGGCTAAGAGGTATGATCCTTTATAAAGAGTGGGAAACCCAAGTATGTCCATTTATCAAGGGTGACTGTTTTATAGACTATGTATGGATACATCGATGCATCTCACTACCCCGGTTTAGTCCGCCCTTTCACTTTATGTGCTCAAGACCTCTTTTAAGTCCAAACGCGAAGTACCAACAACGGTATATTGCAACCTACCACCTCTCATGATTGCATCGGCTAAACCTCGGGCCAAGAACCTGGCATCTCCGCACTCCACGTATTGACGGCCATTTCTCCGCATACTCAAATTCTGCTGCTTTCAGCTCTTATAAAACCGCAAAATCGGCCCGGATTGCCGTCTGTAATTTTCTTCCCTCTCGCATCCATAAAGAGTTGTCCGTTCCCCAGTTCCACGGGGCCTCATTCTCACATCCCATGTCATCATGAGCACCCAGACACAAACAGAAACAATCGTCCTACGAACAAGAGCATCCACCGAAGCCATACCAGCCGAACATGAGATTCCCCAAGACACACCCCCCGAGCCAAAATGGATGTACGCCAAAGTCCTCAGCGCGGGCTTATCCTTCTTCGTCGCGGGCGTCAACGACGGAAGTCTAGGCTCACTCATTCCCTACGTGATCCGCACCTACGACATCGGAACAAACATGGTAGCCGTAGTGTAAGTACAAATCCAAAATCTCCCAACCTCCCAATACTAACAGCACCAGATACGGCACCACCTTCTTCGGCTGGTTCGTCGCCGCCCTTACCAACAGCACAATAACCAAATACCTAGACCTAGGACCAATCCTCAGTCTAGGCGCAGCCATCCAGGTCATTTCCCACGTGTTGCGCGTTTGGGAACCCCCATTCGCTCTGTACGCCGTGACATTCTTCCTCGCTAGTCTGGGCCAGGCCTACAATGATACCCACGCTAACACGTTCGTGTCATCGCTCAACGGCGCGCACCGCTGGCTCGGCTTTATCCATGCTATGTACATGGCCGGATGTCTAGTTGCGCCGTTCGTAGCGACGGGTGTTGCGTCAGCGAATGCCGATTCGAAGTGGTCTTTGTTCTATCTTTTCCCGCTGGGATTGGGCGTCGCGAATCTGGTGTTTGTGGCTGCTTCGTTCCGGGATCGCATGGCTGCGTCGGCTGTTTTGAGGGGGAGGGTTGGGGAGACTCCGAAGTCTGCGATTCGGGAGATTAAAGATACGCTTTCGATGCCCGGGGTTTGGTTGCTTAGTTTGTTTTTCTTTTTCTTTCTGGGTGCTTCGGTTACTGCGGGCGGTAGGTGCTTTTTTTCTTTTTCTTTCTTGTGGCGGTTGAGGCTAATTATGGACAGGTTGGATGGTCGAATACCTTGTTCAAGTCCGCAATGGCGATGTTAAAGAAATGGGCTACGTGCCGGCTGGATTCTTCGGCGGTGCGTTCCTTGGACGGCTAATCCTCGCTGAACCGACGCATAGACTGGGCGAGCGCCGTATGATCTTTCTATATGCTTTGTTGTGTGTAGGATTGCAGTTGGTTTTCTGGCTGTGAGTGGAACACATTCCAATCGACCTGTCTATACAATCAACCATCGTTTCTCGCGTTGTCTTTCACTAATACTCGGAATTTACCAGTGTCCCAAATATCATCACCGAGGCGGTTGCAGTCAGTCTGCTGGGCTTCTTCTCTGGTCCTTTTTTCGCAACAGTGAGTGCCCACTAGTCTACGAACCCAGACCCCAGATCTAAATCTTGCTCTAGGGTATATCAGTAGGCTCAAAGATTTTCTCGCCCGAGATTCGCTCTTCGGCAATCGGTGAGTCCATCCCATACTGTTCCAGGTGAAATCTTGCTTTTCTAATCCCATTCTATCAAGCATTCGTCTTTGTACTTGGACAGATCGGTGGATCTGTCTTCCCTGCTTTGACGGGCGTTATCGCGAGTCGGGTAGGTGTCCAGGTGTTGCAGCCCATGCTTGTTGGTTTGCTCGGTGCTGCCGCTGGGAGCTGGTTAATTTTGCCCAAGGATGCTGCGTTGCATCGGGATTGAGGAATTAAATGTCAATTGAGTTGGTTGATTGAATCTTGGTAGGATATGGGTTGTTAATACGCAATAGGGGTTTTATCACAGCACTGAGAAGGAAGGGCCATGTACAAATTGACTACAAAATGAACATACTGGACTTGAGACTTTGAACAACTCCGAGATGTTCATCTCAAGACTACACAGGTGCAAATGATTAAAGCAGATGTCTAGGGATCTCACCAGCTCTTGCGTAAGACTTAGGAAGCAGGCGAGAAAATAGAAAATAGAATGATTTCAATCTGCATTGAGTGAATTTGAAAAACCCGAGATGCCAGGGTATCGCCAGAGTACATATCTTCATTCTTCATTACTTCATTACACCACGTCGACAAAAGGCGTGAGATCAACCAAAAGCGCGAGAAACCAGAAGCATCAGCCAAAAAGGAGACCTAGATCCACACCCTCGCACTGCCATGATAAAACACCATCCAAGATAGAAGATCTCACGGTCAAGATCCCTCAACACAAAGAAAATGATTGAACCCCCCAAGATTAAAAAATATCCTCGGGCCATTGGTAGTCCTCCAGATCCGAGATCAAAGAATCCCCAACGGAAGGCGACGATGGGTAGAAAGCCGGGGCAGACACAGGTCTCTCCCTGAGTGACTTGTTCGCATTGACATGGACCTTAGCAGCACTCGAGCGGAGTTCCTCAGGGAGAGGTGGCACGGGCGGGATATCGTCCCCAAGATGATAGTTCGACCATCTACGCCTAGGGGTCGTTCTTGATCGCGTCGGGGTACGAGTGCTACGGTCAGGATTGAGCTGGCGTTGGGGATGATAGTAGAAGGCTTCGCGTTGGGAGTCACTTTGTGGCGCGGGTAGAGGCGTGGCCCAAATTTCGACGGAAGAACCGATGTCAGAGGCAGTGGCAGGCGAAGAGCCCTGGCGCAGATTGGCCATGCTCTTTTTCATGCGGAGAGGGGTTGTGGGCTTGGAACTTGGTGAGCTGGTGGTGCCGGACACTTTTCGGGGTTGAGTGTAGGGGGACCTTTTGATGTTACGCGTGGCACTTGCATTTCCTCCTGCATCTTCTTTATTTTCTTCGGTCCAAGGAGCCACGTCATCGAGGGCTTGTCTGCGCTTGGCTGAGCCTGGACTTTCGCCGGCTTCGGATTTCTGCCATTTCGATTTTCCGGGTGGACTGAGCAAACCGAAGTCTGTCAGCTCCTCGAGCTCGTCGCAATCGGCGATATGGTTCGTCGTACTGGGCCCGTGAGAGCTCCGGCTATCGACAGGTTCAGGAATGGGAGACTTCCTTTTGAGGGAAAAACAATCCTTACCCGTGGATAACGGCCCCCGCTCTTTCGAGCGCCGTTTTGGACTTTTGGCCGCAGCCGGGCTTCGGAGTGATCGGGGTTCTTCGAATGAGAAACTTTCTCGGTCGTCCATAGATGGCAGGGCTGTCAAGTTGATCGTATCGTATCCAGCAGCCGCGTTTTCTGCAGCCTGTTGATCCAAAAGCCGCTCCGATGGTAGAGTGGGCAGAGCTCCAGGGACGAACTTCCGTGGGAATGATGCAGGATCGATCTCGGTATTGAGAATCTTTGGCTGGGGTGTAGGTGCTGGGGTCCGCTCCTCGTTGCCTGTGAGCTCACGAAGTTCCCGCCGGGCACGCTGCAGCTTGTCCTCAAGGTTGCTGACCTTCTTGAGCAACTTGGTTTGGCGCGAGAGTTCTCTGCGGGAGGGCTGCTTGCGAATCCCAGACGGTTCGAATCCATCGGGAAGGGCATCATAACACACTGCTGTAGACCCTGATGGTGATCCATGGCTCTTGTGGAATAATGACTTTGGCAGTCGAAGATCTTGAAGAGAAGAGCGCTTGGAGGCGGAAGACACCGAGCGTGCGGGTAGGACTTGGTCGTCTCGATCGACTGAGTTGCGGCACGAGAATTTGATCGGAGAGGTGTGATCCATCTTGTGCTGGAGAGACTGCCAAGTCTGATCGGCGGCGACAGCGTTGACCCCATGAGTTTGTGTATAGTAGCCCTTGTTCGTACCCTTATAGCCAGCTTTCTTCAGCTCAGCATACGCCTGCTCCGCTTGGTGGATAACGTCTTTCTGCGGGGACTTATCGGGCGAACCCTCATTTCTCCCCCATCCACCGAACGGATTGAACGCCGAGGCAATGGCCTTTCCAAAACGAAAGATGCCAGATGAGCGGTTTGGATTGCCAAGTTGCTTGTTTTCTTGCTCACGAAAATAGATGCTAGGTGGTTTTTCACTAACACTATCACTCATGGTCGCTTCGACGAATCGCGACGTCCGACCTCTGGGGCGGCGGGGAGTGGGAGCAGAAGCCGCAGCATGGCGAGCGCGCAAGGAAACCAATGAGCCTCGCGGAGAAGCGCGAGGTGAAGCTCTGTAACCGGAGCCCGTTCCGGTAACGCTGAGACTGTTGTTTTCGCCGCGGTGGGTGCGGCGATCACGGGCGCCGTAGTCAGCCCCCTCTTCGGGCAAAGGCCAGTCATTCGAGCGACGCCGCTTTGCCAGCTTCACTGTAGGTGATTTGTAGCCGTCTGCATTTGCCTCTTCGGCATCATCGAATTGTCCAGAGATGTCCGAGCTCCAATCGCTGTCCTCGTCGTCGCTAGAGCGCTGGTGCTTGCGCGAGGTGCGCTGGTGTGCGGGGCTCGGGTCGAGATCCATTTTGGTATCGCGGGGGATCTATGAGATGCAGGGCATATTAGATTCATTTCCTCTGATATGGGTTCGGTTTCAGATCCCTTCCATAGGGATAAATGGCATAGGCCCTTACCTTTGCGCTTAATCCTTCTCACTACACACTTGGAAAGATGTCAGCGCAGAAATCAGAAATCAAAGGCTGACATGGAAGAATGGGGAGTGAAGTCAGGAAGCACAAGAGGAATCCATTGGCAAGTTGAATGTTGAGGAAGGTTTGTTTACATACTCCGCACTTGCCAAGGGGGGCAACCTTGGAACCTGGAAAGTTTGTTGTGGTACTGGGTACCCACATGCACCCGTTAAGCACCGCTGTTTGTGAAGTACCTGGTACATTGTCAGAATGCCTCATTGCGGGAAAACACCTGACACACATACTACATCTATGTATGCCCTCCCTACCAAGTCCATATATGTCCGTGATTCCTGTCACAAACATGTAAGGATCTCGAGCATATTGTGGGGCAGATGCGATGCACCATTCCGCGTGTCTCAAACATGTGCCCATCGGTATGACAAAAGATTAGGACATTTACTAAGCCTCGGTCTTTCCAGATTATTATGAGTTTACACTATAATCTGCCTACATACCTATCAGTAGGTTATTAACAAATGATAATTTGGAGTATAGGTTTTTTTGTCTATGAGAGACGGGCAAGCCCTTGGTTACTGGCAAAACGGCTACCTTTACTGGGGATGTGCATTCTGATCATAAGATTGATCATATCATAGATTCAGTGAGGTCAAAAAAAAAAACATAAAGGCTAGGTATCAAGAATATCCCATGACGCCGGGTGTCAAGAGTGGATGAAGCAACAGGGCCTCGGTGCGGGTGTGAAGCAAGGAAACCCAGTATCGCAAACAGCCCTCCGACGCAGTAATCAGAATGAGGCCAGCCCTTGTCTGTTCAAAGATTGTACACTGCAGGAACAATGATCGCTGAAAATGAGAGCAATAAAACCGACACTGTCCGTTTTTTGAACATCCACATGGTATCAACAGAAATCACGAATGTGGAAAGAAGTCAAGGAGTAAAAACACCATATGTACAATGCCCATTCCATCTGTCGCCGAGAGAGGGATGGAATTTCCTCTTTTCGGTTCCAAAGCTCATGTTGGGATAAATAGAACAAGGCCTTGGTCTTGGCGATAGTATGAGGTAATCCGAGAATGATGCAAGTCTCAAGAATGAATGTGACTCCCGTCAAACGCCATTGGGTTTGGGCAGTATCAAGAAGCAAACTGAACTCTTGTAAAATGCGGAATGTTTGGCTGAAAGTGCTTCTCCCACAAGAGTTCAAAATGAAGATACCGGGCCCTGAAGAAGAAAAAACATGCACGGCGCAACGGGAAATCTAGGGCTCAAGGGATATGAATGGAGGGAGAAGAAGATTCATATACAAAACAATAAAAATAAAAATAAAGATGCAGTCATATACCATGTCAGGAAACCAGTCCATTGACCGGCTCAAACCTCGAGTCATGCATGCAAACTCGAGGCAAATATAGTGTGTTTTGTTTTGCCGCAACGGCAAGATATGTGAGACCATTGTGGATCTTATTAGCTCGACGGGGGAGCTTTCATGACCATTTTGCCATTGGCGCGCTTGTAAGACATCTCAATGCCCATTTCAGCCATTAGAGCTGCACGACTTTCACCCGAGAAATCGCGATACGCGCTCGGATAAGCCTCGGTATCAGGCCGCATGCCGTTTTGCATTGGACGATCATCGAGACCGAAAGAATCTTCATGTGACCGTTTGCCGTACGCTGGCCCAGTCTGATACACCATACGCTTCCCTCGAACGTTATCGTATCCACTGGGGCCCGGCGAAGAGGATTCCACCGAAGGAACGATATGATTGGCATATTCGTGTGACATGGCTTTGAGTGGCGGAATGGATTGGCTCAGGTTCGGGGTTTGAGAACGTTGAATCGGAGCGTGAGGCATGGTTGGATATAAACCGGGGTCACTCATGCGGGGATCCATGTATGGGGTTGCTTTCGGTGGTTCCATGCGATAGGATGTCATTCCAGACTTGGGGTAGCCACCCCGGTCGACAGGGATTTGAGGAACGGGATACCCAATAGGTGTTCCTTCGTATTCGGAGGCATTGGACGGATGTCGTATTTGAGAGTATACGTGTTGTGGAGAGTAGATGCCTTGCTGTACAATCGGTGGGGGTGTAGGCGGCATATGAGGAGCCGGATAATGCGAAGGAGTGGAGCCAAATGAAAGATGTGATTGGTATGAAGGTGTTTGAGAGTGTGGTATCGGTGCAGGTGGCATGGGTCTTTGATACTGCTGCGGTGGGCACTGGAAGCCATAATCCGGGGCAGATGGTCGCCGATCTGGTGGTACAAACCCATAGGGCGATTCCATATTGCTGCCATTACTGTTTGACCGAGGACGTTCCATCGAAGCCGCATATCTATCGGGTGTACCAAATCGATCGGATGGTCTCGTATATGCAGCTGTGCGGTCCCCATCGAATTCATAATCCTCGTCCCGCTTCTCACCCCGGCGCCTCATACGGACATCACGACGAATGCGAACACGGCAACCCTGCTCGGCAATGATACGGCTCAAAGAAGTGCTAGTTGCTAGGCCAGGGAACTTCTTAGCGCTGTAAACAGTGAACGGTACCGACTTGACCTCAAGACGGAAATGAAGGAATGCTTGTGGTGTGCCAGGTTTGGATGCGGCAGAATGATTAATTTGGTTGGGAAGAGGCAAAGTTGAATCCTTATCGGCATCTTTGGCGTCCTTGATTTCTTCGTACAAATGAAAGCTCAAACGGTACCGGCCCTCATGGCGTACAGACAGGTCTGGAAATATGAAATAGCCTGCTTGCGAGGGCCGATCGAGATATGCGACACCGGCGACTGGTACACCTGTTAATACAGGACACGACGGAGGCCCAGCCACCCGCCCGTGAGCGATAGGGCGTGCGGTATCAAGCGTTGCGTAAAGGAAGAAATTGGCATTATAGGCGAAGGTGATGTCAGTCTTTTGCGCATCGTTGGCAGGATCGGATTCGAAAATGCGCAGTTCTACCACAGGCGGTGGATCAACAGGGCGACGGTCGGCAGATGCTATTTCCCAGAGGTTAGTCAACACAACCCTGACTTTCTTCTACAACAACACTTACACTTGGCTCCAGCACCACATGCTCTTGCCCGCTCTGGTTGTTGCATCACACTCAGCTTGTATGTGAGTTGTTTCCCTTCGCGGGTGATCCGGCTGATCGAATGCTCGGTCTCATTGTGAGGCGGCATGATAGGTGGTCGATTCGCCATTTTTGTAGATCGATGCTCTTATTCCCAGGTATTCTGTCGGTCGCAATATCAGCAAAGATCAATTGTGTGGTTGGAGATCTCGCCCAAGGTAGATTTCGAGGTGACGCGCAACATACAATCCGACGTTCACAGCGGGAGAGTTATGTTGATTTGTTTTGGTGAAATGCGGCCTGCTTCTCCCTCTTCCAGATCCAGCCCTCACATAGGCCCTTCGAGAAAATTGTAGTCGGTCAAATCGGTGGACCCCCTCTCCCTCTCCTTTAGGGGATAAAATGAAGACCGTAATCAAAGAGCGACTTTGGAAAAACAAATCCAAGACAGAGGCAAGTTACAAGAGAGGAGACAGAGAAAGAGAGGGAGGGGGCAGAGTGGGAATTAGGAACACTAGCAGACTCCAGCTTGACCACCTGAGTACGGCTCCCGATTATGGGCCATTGCGGTATGACCGAAGTACCTGTTCGGTAGCCCCGATGGGCCCGTATTGTTATTTACTTGGTATGAAGTACCCCCGTACGGAGTACCTAAAGTTTTCTTTTCTACAATGCATTGGGAGTTTCTGCAATTTGCCATTCCTATTTGAAATTAAATTTGGACATATATGCATAGCGATAGCGTACCCCCATACTCCGTACACATGTACGTTATAGCTGGGTGTGCGGGACATAATGCATTGGGCAAAACGAAAAAGAGTCCTGTGCTTTTGGCCCCTGCGATCTACGCTGGCTGCCTCGTTAGAGACTAGGGATCGAGGACTGAGTACTCCGTACTCCGTACCTAGGCACCTAATCTTGCAGTAAGGCTCGAAATCCTACCGTTATGCACTGCCAATCTAAACAGATTCCGAGAAGACTAAATAGTTACCTAGGCAGAATACTAGCCCGGTCATCCTCCGTACGGAGTACTCCGTACAGCCTCTACCACTATCTGTATTCCGTAAACCCGTAAATGTGGGCGTGTCGATCGTGACATTTCCGTGCAGATGCCCAGATGTGACCCCAAGGGTATTTTGCAGCCATGGAACAGCCCCCCTCCACGTTACCCGGCATCTACATTCCTGGGTTCCGGCCGCATCCCAGTCCAACGGATCGGTGTCTCTTTATTTTCCTTGTCTCCATAATAGTCGATGCTTATTCTATACTCCTTCATCCCATCTCTATATACTTGGGGAGAGACGACATTATTCTCACCAAACCCCGGTGTCAGATCAAATCCCGGAAAGCAATCATAGGTACTCCGTACTGCTGAAGGCTGTAAATTCCATTCATACAGCCCAAAATACCCGCGTATTCTCATTACACTGGTCTTGTCTTTTCGAATGGGGACAAAGAAATTGGGAAACCTTCCAACCTTCCAACCTCCCGACTTCCCTAGCATGAGACCTCCAGATCCCATGCAGATCCCCTCGATTATTTGGAATACTGCGAAGAGATCTCTACGCCCCGATCGTTGAGAAGGGAAGGGAAAGTGATTCGCTCCCATTGTCAATCCGGTCTCTATCGAACCACCGATTTTCCCTCACGGCATGGCTGGGCGGAGTATAGCAGGCCAATCAGCAATGACACTAATAGAGGCCATGGCCCGACTAGACGGTTTTTGGAAGGAGCTGCTCCGGTGGCCAGCTGTGTACCCAATGCGTGCATAGTCCTCCGATGGATTTCGATCTGCGAATCCCCCTTGTTCTCGAATTTCTGACCATCCATGGTTAGGTGCGGGTTCTCGGCTGATCATCTGATTTGCCTATGACGGTGGATAAATGATGCAAACTTTTTTTGGGGCTTTGCCTTGGTTTCGGTACGATATACGTTGCCATACAGAGTACGCAGGCTTCCGTATGTTGTACACTGCCGGCATTGAGGGCGTGAAGATTAATAATAGTGGATTTCAATGTCAGGTCCCTTGGTTGGAAATGTACAATCGACTGCAATATACTCCACTTCGTACATCATATATTAATATGTCGATGTCCTTCAATTGGTTCTCTATATTCCTTCCGTGGGTGTGATCCGCACGGAGTACGGAGTACAACGCATTCAAATCCTCCACACGGTCCGCATCGAACATCACTGCCCCATTCAAAAATGAAATGAAATGAAGAGCAATTAGTCCATTTTACTCCGTGCATTCGGTGGGTTTACATAGTTGCCTGACAGAGTACAGAATCTACAGTATGTAGTAAAGAATTCCAAATCGGGCGGGGTCTAACGGTTGTGATGTGCGCTATTAGGCTTAAACACAATCTTTTTCTATCATTGTCAGCAATGTATATGAGACGAGTTATGTATTCCGTACGGAGTACAACTTACTAGTATTCCTTCGGGGCAAGGTTATAGTAAAATTGTTTTGATTCGAGGATGTGGTCATAATACATAGTACCGAGGAAGTCGGGTCACGAGCAACTACTACATCAGCGCAAAATAGCCGATCGGACGCTGAATAGCCTCCGCCTATGGTTTTCCCTGTTCGGTCCCCATGCTCCGTACTCCGTACTCGACCCATCACAGCCACAAGAACTCGTCCCCGGATATAGTAGATTATGATGTAAATATACACACGAAGTAATCTATATCAATATGCTCTTTTTGAATTCGGTGTCTTTCAATTGCTTCGTGGCGCCGAAGACCATCTGCACAGTGCGATTGTCCAACTGGCCTTAGGTTTTAGCTTTTATTTTACCCAACCATTTCTCGCATGTTTACACTGCGCCTAGTAATTTAGGTACATTCATACATTATAAAGCACCTAGGAGATGTACGTATTTGGCCCTGAGATGCACTGCGTTAGCACTAACAATATGCGCAGATATATGTACGGAGTATATATCCCCGTGGTTGGCCTTGGGCGAAGTATAAAAATTCATCTGTTGAATAACCTACCAATCAATATCAACAATGTACTATTATCCCCAATCTAGTACGAAATTAAATTAGCAACAATATATAAGAATAAAACATGCATTTTATACCGTGCCATTTCACGAAGTACATCCTAAGCCGCTAAATTGCCTGCGTGCATAGGTCCTTTTACTTTGGGCGAAATATTTCGCAGAGTTGAAATTCCACGATTGCATTTGCGATTCCCTCTCATTAGAAGTTTAATTCACTATAGCTTGCGATCATTCCCCGGCGTCCGAAGAGTATGAAAATCTGATCTGAGGACTTGATACGGAGTACGGGGTACGGAGTGCGTAGTATTCCAGAAGGATTCACCATCACTTAGATTCTCGTTAGCGCTCAGTGGGCTCTTGATACATGCTTTCCCAATACATAGCATCATTCATCGCTTATCAAACGGCCGGTTTATACGGAAACTAGTGTGCATACAACATAAACCTTATCATAGAATCCTCCCACAACTTCGAAAGTTCCTATTTCATATACACCATACTGAGTACTACGTACAACTGTAAAACCCCGGTAGATATATAAACCATCCTGTACTCCGTATCTGACAAGGGTTTGTTTCGCATGTCCAACATGTTTAGAATACGGCGTCGGACCCATGTGAGTGGCTTGCGTTGCCAAAACTCTCCTCCGTACTCCGTTTGTGGAGTTCTAATATCGGCGTCGGCTGTGCACAGCCGCTGTTGAAGTTAGTGTGGAATTTTACCAGCCGCTGGATCCTGTCTCTACATTTAGGCTGTTAGCTTTCCTTGTTCGGAATTTGGGGCAGGAAATATCTATCATGTGAGCTACTACTCCGTACTTATTGGTTTACAGGACGCTCGATAGAATCTTTGTTTTTTTCTTCATCTCCATGGCAGGCAGTAGCTATTATGACGGATCTGGAAGGCGATTTGCCCGGGATCTATCTGTTACCACTTCTGTACAATCCTCACTTACCATCATTAACTATCCAATCCATCATTATCATAGGTCCAGAAGCTATTCTTGTCATTATCCATTACGCTACGGAGTACGGAGTACGGAGTATACGGAGCATAATTGGAGCTCAATAATTGCCTCATTTGACAATAAAGACCGTTAATTTTCGCACTTGTCTTATACCAGAAAAATAGCTCGCTCTCGCTCTCGTTATTACTCCCCGCCATGATATAGTACACATGTACGACATACGTTGTACATACTCCCAACCTCGGGACGATCGGCATTGTAAACTCAATGGTGACTTATTCCAGGTGCCCGGGACGACTCGATCTATGGGGTACGTTTCGTACATCTACCTAGATCCATCAATATGACATATCAACTTGGGATCGTAACTTCCTCTCCCTTGAATATCAAACATGATCAAGAATAAAGAGTAGACCGCCAGTCCAGCCTCTCTACCACTTGGAAGCGTGTGATCCTCACAAGCTACAAAGCACAGCCCTCAAACCTTATGGAACAGATAAGCACTCCTTAATGCATGTAGCAGCATTCAGATCGGTCATGGTGACATCAGGATATGATTTCCGATCAGCCTCGGCAGATGCATGACTTGTCGAGTTTAGAAGTGTTTAGTTAGCGTGTGCCACTTCGCTTCCTCCCCTTTCTTAGAAGGTATCAGAAAGGGAGAAACGGTAACCTATGGACTTAAAAATCCAATTTCGATATTCACAACTATCTGAAGCTTATAGACTGTTGGCTCAAATCTATGGATTGAATCTTGAGCTGGCCCTTGAAGGACTTTGCCGCTGTTTCTCCATCTGCCCGATATAGGATGCTGCTGGGACAGAGTTGTACTAGTGAATCTTAATTATGCAAGCATTTGCTCCATAGATCGATCGAATATTATATTCTATGCATGCAGCAATTAGATTTCGATCCGATCCACTCCGTCTCTATGATACCTTGTAATTGAAATTCGAAACTTTAGTCGATAATTGTCAATGATGCCCAGCATAATTTCATAGAGGCGAAATTACCGCCGGAATTCTCCCTTTGCTCTCATATGTAATATTCATTTTTTCTGGATAACTGATATGAGCTGAGAGAGGATGCTGGGACCACGCGCGAGGGACATCCTTCGGTTCCTTGACTGGCCTTTCAGAAGCGACTATGATAGATACTAAGTAGACATCCTGCACAGGCAAACGGAGTGAGGCGGGGAAATTGGAACTCGAGCTTAAGCTCATGAATAGTACTACTGTTATATAAACAACAGACTCGGATCTCTAGATATCTATCTAGTTACGCACATGTACAGGCAGATAGCGTCCTGATATCGCATAGTAGCGTAAAACCATATCAATTCGACCGTTTTGACAACAAAGAAGTCCAATAGAAAGAAAGATGCGAAAAGACAATATGTGAACCCCCCCCGCCCCCCCCCCGGCGGCGGCGTAGATGATGTTGAGAGCCATACCTGAGGCATGATTCTCTTATCCGCAGAATTAGCAACGCTACGTCTCTTTGTCTTTTCCGCCGAAAAGCTCACTTTGTGGGCCAAAAGAGGACCCCGATCCTCGGCACACAAACGGGCATAAATAGCAGGAAAAAGCAGATATTATTTAGATCTTTAGACAATTTTACACCTTCCATGAGAGATCTTATTTCCAGTATCATTTGAACCCATTGTGGAACCCTACATGCTGTATCATACCTCTGTATCTTCAACAGATGATTAGATAAAGGGCTATACAAATTTAGATTGCTGTGAAAACCCGAGAGGTTTGCAATATTCGGACCAACGGGCGGTTTGAGGCATATTCTTGCTAAGTTTATCTACAAAATGCTTCGGAAAAAGGCTTCACTTCTATCGTATATCCTAGAAGGTTGAGCTGAAAGGGATTTGGTAGAAAAGCAGTAGCATGGGCAGGATTGATGGAGATTGTACAGTAAATGTAGTAAGAATTAGAGAGGTTCTCACACGAGGTAGCCAATCTCGTTGTTATTCATTGCTGGCTAGGACCTACATAGGGTCTAGGCGTTCACTCTCTGTTTGTTTGCCCAGTGCTGTTTCATTGATAGAAACAATCTGTGTATCTAGGTTCTGTAGAGGATCAATCGTTCATTCTCGCTCCCTATCTCTTATTTAAATGCTATATTCCTGGCTTCATTCATGTTCTTCCCTTTCGCTCTTGCCCTGAGTCTCTCTCATACTCCCTTAACCAAAACAATTCTCATTCTACATGGTAGTACGCTTCTAAGACCGCCACCTTGGGGTATATAACCTGAGTGTATAGGCCAAAGCTGATTATTTAGACTAATAGAGGGAACACCGTTCAAGCCCACTAGAATCAAAAAGCCTGGTTTGTTGTCCAAATGATATATGGAAGGCGGTCTCAACTCCAAATCACGCGGCCACTCAATGAACGTCATTTTTCTGCCTCCAAAGTGAGGTTATAATGAACTTTAAGGATCAGCCTTTCGCCCTTCGGGGCATATGGTCAAAAGAAAATATACAGAGAAGATTAGCATGGCCCCTGCACTAAGGATGACACGCTCAATCAAAGAGAAGCACCTATTTTTTTTTTCTTCTTTACAGAATCGTTTTTGAGGTTCGAAGCTGTGGGTCTATTTATGGCACGATTCCTGCGTTTAATTGGGCTTTCGCTTTTGAGACACCACGTGACTGGTCGAAGCTCGGCGTTCGAGACCCACATGGGCTCGAATAAGGCGGGTCCATACTTGAGAGCCTCAGGCACGGTGCCTTCCTCTTCTGGTCCATCGGGAAAAACCGGAGGTTAAATGGAACTTTAAGGATCAGCCTGTTGCCCTTCGGGGCATATGGTTATCTGAAAATATACAGAGAAGATTAGCATGGCCCCTGCACTAAGGATGACACGCAATCAAAGAGAAGAAAACTATTTTTTTTCTCCTTTACGGCTTTATACTGGAGGTGTGGGGGTCTACCTGTCTTCTGCCATCTGATTGGCCGTTTCAGTTCGGGAACATCACGTGAGGGACCCACGTCGGGCGTTCGAAACGGACCTCGGGGCTTTTGAAGACATTCTTATAGCCTGCTGTGATTGGCCAACACGACCTTGAACAACCCAGCAAACATTAACTTTTGATCATCTCGCAGTGTTATTTCTATGGATCTTCTAGTAGTATTACCTGGCTTCGTGACAAAAACTTTTACGCACATCATCCCTCCTCTTGAGCGCGCTCGCGTAACCACTGTTGACGTGATTACTCTTGACGCGCTTGAGATCGCAAAGCGCGCTCGCGTACCCCCGGCAGACGTCCGCCGTCTCTCCGCCCGTATCGTCGAAGAATTGCACACAGATGTTGGATTTGAAAAGCGTCGGACGAGCATAGTTACATCCAGCAATGTGCCCAGCTTTAGTATAAACCCCGAAACGGTGAGCCGGACTCTCGGTCCCGCGACGAAGCGCGACCCGTCACAATGGAGCACCATAAGCACGCTCGACTCCGCGATGGATTCGCTCTTAGGGGGGTGGGATTCCGACCGGATATGTCACAGAGGTTACGGGTGAGAGGTATGTTGCAGGCTTCTAACGCGAGTCTTGTTCGGACAGGCTGATCTAACATGCCCATCGGTGTGTAGTGGAAGCGGCAAGACCCAGTTCCTGCTCACACTCTGTCTAGCCGTCCAGCTACCAAAACCGCGAGGACTACATAGGCGTGCAATTTACATATCGACGGAGCATCCGCTATCTACGCCACGACTCTCCCAGATCCTAGAATGTCACCCTGCCTTCTCAACACTCCCACCGGAGGAGGCACCCTCGCTGCAAGATGTACTGGCTATCAACGCCATGGATATAGAGACACAAGATCACATCCTGAACTTCCATCTCCCAGTGGCCATCGAGCGGTATAACGTCGGTCTGGTGATCATTGATTCGATAACCTCGAATTACCGTGGCGAATACACAACCAAGCAAGAGATGATGAGACGAACAACGAAGCTTGCAAAACTAGGCCTTTTGCTCCGCAACCTTGCCGTAAAGGAAGATATCGCAATCGTGGTAGCAAACCAAGTCTCAGACCGCTTCGAGCCCATAAATCGCACCCCAACACCACGGGCAGGGTTTCCATACGCGCGAACCCAAGCAGCAGGTCGAGGATCTAGCACTGCCTCCCCTCTTCCAAAGTCTCGAGCAGGAATGTTAGCTTCTAATGGCAGAACCGTACCATCCTCGTCCCCTGTCATCTCCTCATCCCCATACCACGCGCCAAATGATAAGAACTTCGATGGCTCGTACCTCATTACCCGACCACGCAACAAAAAATTAACCATGAACCTACAGGAGCGGTTCTTCACTGGGTGGGGAGATGGCGGTCATCTAGAGAGCGGATCTCTAAAGAACCCAGCCTTGGGATACGCCTGGGCATCGCAGATTGCTTGCCGAATAGCATTGAAAAAACGACATTCTCGTGCTATAGGGGTTCCCCCCGGCCCCGGCGCATCTCCGGCACCGCTAAAAACGCCGGGAGTAGCATCCCAGTCTCAGAAAGGGAATGCTACCGCAAATCGAGATCCGGACTCCATAGCAATGCCTGCTCCGGATTTCAAGCAACGAGCCTCGAACTCACAGAACCACCAACCTGCACCGGAGTCGGCAATTGTTACACGGAGGATCATGAAACTTGTGTTCTCGCCTTGGACGGCAGGCCCGAAGGATATCCGGAGAAAGGGCCGACCTGCCAGAAGAAGTGGCGAGGTAGAGTTTGAGATCTGGAAGGGTGGTCTGAGGGGCAAAGTTCGTGGTAAATGACGTTTCCACCGGTCTTGATATCGATGCATAATCCAGATACCTAATTAGGTAATTCTGGACCCCATGGTTGTTAATATAAGCCCTTTTTCATCTGGATTAGGGTCTGGTCGATAGTCTTTGACATATGATGACATATATTCATCTCACACCAGGCCATCAGTAGATGTATAAGCTAAGCAGCGAGAGTAGAAAGCTCTAGAAGATGCGACGTTATGTGTACTAAGACGTTTACTCCGTACTTGGTCTCCCTTGGCCGTGAGCCAGCGTCTCAAATTCATGCTTCTAATGCGAGGGCTTGGTTCCCTCACCACGTGAGACACCCTAGTTATATTAGTCCGTATAGAAGACTATTTGGTGCGAAGTAGACTCATGAGACTCCGGTCTTCCAGAACCAAGGTCAAAATGATAACTGGCAGAGTGGACATCTGAGTCACCTCGAAGGATTTAGACCAAAAAGCACAAAGCTAAGACTTAAAACAAAGCATATCAATCTAGTTTACTCGAGGCTTTTTAATCCACATGCAGTCAATGATACGGTATACTATTTACTACAGACTTTGTGTATACATAAAGACCAGAGCAGAAAGAAAAGGGAAGAGCACGCTTCAAATTAACCACAAAAATACAGTATATGGACAACAATGACAGAACACAGTTCTCTAAAATAACACAAGGTCATCTCATCATCTCTTTCTCTCCATTTTTCATCGTTTTCTTGTTTCTTTTCCTTTTTTTCTCCATCTGACATCTTCCCAGATACATGCCTGCTTCCACCCCAACATACACCGAAGAAACAAGAAGATGTATCCAGGGATGTAAGCCAAGGAAAGATAAAAATGCGGGGGCATTTGATATCACAACACTGACAAGCGGCAAGGGTATCAAAGAGAAATCGAAGATCAAATTTCAGCTATGAGTCAAAGCCGAGAAAAACATGTTGTATCCGTATATCTGCGCAAAGTATACAAGATAAGATGTAAGGGGAAAAAAGCTCAAATCAAATCAGAACAATGCGAGAAGCGGAAAGATGGAGTCAGGACTGAAAAAAGAAAGTGCGTTTCAGCACTGACATCTATTGAGCCTTGGCGGGGATCTTGGTGGGAGGAACACCAAGGCCGTTGGTGTTGCGGTAGAACAGAACACCCTGGCTCTCACCAGTGGCACCCTCGGTGGGCTCAACCCAGTGGCAGACACGGGCGGAGGTCCACATGGCCTTGAAGAATCCAGTCCAGCCGGTGTGGGCCTCGGTGCGGTAGTGATCGCCCATGACGACTCTGATGGCATCGCTGGCCTCGTCGGCGTTGTAGAAGGGAATGTTGCTGACGTAGTGGTGGAGGACGTGGGTCTCGATGATGCCGTGGAAGATGTGGCGGCCGACGAAGCCGAAGTCGCGGTCAATAGTGGCAGCGGCGCCGCGGGCGAAGTTCCAAACCTCAGGCTGGTAGTGGGGGAGGGTAGGGTCGGTGTGCTGGAGGAAAGTGATGGCGACTGCAAGAGATGTTAGCAAGAATGCGGGATTGATAGGGGATCCGTTTTGAGAGTGACTTACCGAGCCAGTGGTTAACCCACAGGTAGGGAAGGCCGTACCAGACGAGCAGGTTCATCCAGCCGTAGTTGGAGCCGATCAAGTACAGGGCAGTTCCGGTGAGGAGGAGACCCAGATCACTCAGGACAATGAGCTTGGCATCCTTGGCCTCATACAGAGGGCTGGAGGGGTTGAAGTGGTTGACACCGCCGCCCCAGCCGTTCTGCTTGCCCTTACCGCGGCCCTCGGGCTGCTTGGAGTGGTTGTTGTGGCCAGTGACGTTGGTCGCCAGGTACATGAGCCAGCCGAAGAGCTGCTGGGCGATAAGGTTGCCGGCAGTCAGGATGGGGGTCTCCTCGCACAGCTCACCGAGCTCGTGCAGGGTCTTGCCAACGCGGGTAGCGTACTGCTCACGGGTCTTAGGCACGAAGACCATGTCGCGGGCGATGTTACCGGTGGCCTTGTGGTGCTTGCCGTGGGAGATCTTCCAGGAGAAGTAAGGAACGAGCAGGAAAGAGTGGCAGATCCAGCCGACGGTGTCATTCAGAACCTTGGAGGGAGAGAAGGCCTGGTGACCGCACTCGTGGGCCAAAACCCAGACACCGGTACCGAAAAGTCCCTGCACAATGGTGTACAAGGTCCAGAGGACAACACGAGCAGGCAGGGAGGGAATGGTCTCGGGGGTCACATAGTTGTGGAAGACGTAGAAGATAGAGGCGATGATACCCAAGTCCCGGAAGACGTAGTACAGACTGGTAACAGCGGAACGGTGGAAGCAGTGGGCGGGAATGGCATCACGGATCTGCTTGATAGTGTAGTCCGGGATCTTGAACTCGTTGCCGTAGGCGTCGAGCATCTTGCTAGCCTCCTGCTCGGAAGCCATTGAGGACAGAGAGGTCGAAGAGGGAGATTGGCGCGGGCTGTCAAACGGCGAAGCCGAGACAGAGCTCACATTCGACGAGTCTGTGGTGGGGTTGCGGTTCAGCGCAACGCGCTTGGGGATGGCGGTGGACGACATTGTGCTGATGAGGTTTTGTATAGATCCCAAGTCACCGTGGATATACTCTCAATATAACCCAATTATAGCCCTGAAAAACAAGAGGCTACGAACGTGAGGTTCAAGGAAACGTTCAATGGGAATCAACCTGTGACCGGGTTAGTTCAGGTCTCCTTGCCAACTGTCAGGGTCTTCCTCACGATGTGATCTTTGAGGTTGCACCAGGGACTGCGAAGGGTTAATGGACCAAATCCTCGAAGCAAAAGACCCCGTACTCAATAAGCCAACGAGAAAGCAGGCAATTGACCGAGAGAAGGAAAGGAAAGAAAGGGCCTCTCTCAAAAAGAAACAGAAAATCGGGAAAATTAAATAAAAAAAAAAGGGACCGGGGTTCCCATCGGAACCGCGGAGTGGTAATTTGCATACCGCCACGCCCCCCGCAGCCCAATCAGGAGCCGCCACCGCCAGGGGATGTGGTACGGCATCTTGCAAATCCTGACGGCTCCACCGCCGATCGCCCCCTTCGCCTTTTGAATTTTCGGCTCACCAACTGTCCAGAATTAGGGCTGATCTTTGCCTGCGCATACGGAGTACGGAGTACATGGTTGTGACTGAGATCTTACAGAACCATTTCGAGAGACTTATTCAATCATACTCCATCTATACTTCTACTCTGTATGTTATATGCGGGCTCTATCAGACCAATCGAATCGCCTCGAGTTCTTCACAGACAGCCACCGCCTGCTCGCAGGCTAAATCCCTCCGCCCCAACGGATTCATTTGCAAATTTCATGTCAGCGGGGTGGTATGATTGTCACAATGTGATGTGATCTAGATTCTGCCTGGCGCTCGCTTCTTCACCGTGATTGCTCTAGACACCATCTTCACATGCTAAGAACACGGTGAAGGCGTCTGCATGTGGAGAGATCGAAGCGATCAAATTGCCTCGGCGGGTCAATTTCGTGCCGTGCTGCGCTGTAGAACGACCGTGGATTGGTCCTGGGAATGTCCGATTTGCTCCCGTGGCGTTGCTTTTGTTTTCTTCTTTTTCTTGTTCGTGCATTCAAACAGTCAGATTCCGAAACCCCTCAAACCCCTCAACATAAGCAATCAACAGCATATGGAAGGTGTGCAGGCCCTGTAGGTCGACAATGTAAGTAACGTGTGCCCGGCAATGGCATGCGCAAGGGACATGTGATTCCCACTTTTCGGTTTCCGGTTCCCCTTTGGGCTGTCCGGACGTAACTCGGTGTTGGCTTATACTGGAGATACAACATTACTTGGTCTCGTCCATATGGGAGAACAAAGATACATATTTATTTTGGAATCAACGTGCAAAGCCAAAAGCCCAGAGAATTACCTAGGTACGGAGTACATACGGAGTATTCCGTAAACCTATTAATATCAGGGCTGAGATCTCCTGATACGGAGTATGTACATGGCAAATATAAAAATGTGTCTTTGAGCTTGTTGGGACCCATTCTGGTTTTGTTGGGGCCCCACTCGCCTTTGAAAAAAACACAAACGTTAATTTTTGGGCTCAATTCTTTATTTTTGTTTTGACTTTTTCACTTGTTCCACTTTTTCAATTTTCAGTTTTCAGTTTTTTACTTTCCCATTCTTCAGCGTTCTAAGGTTATCACACCACCTTGCCACCTTAGATAAGATCTGATCGGGATCTTCGGACGTTTTCGCAACCTCCAGTATCTCCTAGAAAACACGAATGCGAGCTGGTTCCGATATTTTACGAAGACTCCGGGATTTGCGCATCCCGACCCATATAAATCAGAGCTCAGAGTATACGTGGATTTGCTACTCCGTAGAAGCAGTCTAGAAGGAACAGTTCAGCTAGTAGATAACACTAATCCCATATGGGAATACGCTAGCCTGAATCTGGCCAAGGGGCAGGCGGAAGCCACCGAAGCCACTGGAGTGTATATTCTGGAGAACAGGGGGAGGACAAAGTAGTGGCACAAAAGAATATCGGGCTCATGAGTCATAGATCGACATATAAATAAACACATTCAGCGAGCCCCATACATGGCTCAATATACAGACACATGCAAATGTATTGAATCAACGCACTTCCGCCCGCCGCTCTGAATCAACCAACCACGACCCTCCGCCAGCAGCATGATTACCACCAGCAGCACTAAGAGTAACAGTAGTCTTCCTTAGATCGGGAAGGACAAGGACTGTTTCACTATGGTTACGGTAGTCAACTTCACAAGGGATTGATCGGCGCGACGGTGCCGCGGAAACAGCAGGATCGGCAGGTGGCGACGTCGGCAGCTGAGGGGCCGACGGGAGGAATGTGCGGATCTCAATACCCGGGAGAAGGAGATGGCCCGGCTTTTGGGGAAGCAGCAGGACAGTGAAGCGGGTGGATTCGCCATCGCGCGCAAGGAAATTTCCCCGGCGGCGGCCACCTATTTGCCACATGTCTGGGCTTGCGTGGATCTCGTAGGAGCATTCGAGCGGTTGGTTTGCGCTTTCGCGAGTCGATGGGGAGCACCAGCGCCGCGTGTGTCGGAGACATAGTTCAGCCACGATCATCTGACCGACAGCGGCGTGGGTGGGGGGCTCTGGCTCGCTGGTGGGTTTGGGTTGGAGCTGGAGCTCGGCTGTGTGCACGACTTGGATTTCAGGGACATCAACAGGGATGACGATACGGCGAGCTGGAATGGTAGGCTGTGCGGGGAGGTAGATGGTGGAGTGGGCCTGATATCATATATGAGTAAAACGGATAGCTTCAAACACGCGAAGTGATTCTCTTACCTTGTGCCAGTCCTTGAGCCACTGTCGCATATCCTCGGCTGGTGGGTTTAGGGCGCCGAGGAGATCATCCCACCGCACTGTTTCGTAGGGCAGCATAGTAACCTCCCGAATCAGCCCAATGACTTCCATGTCATTAGTAGAAAGCTGTGCGCGGAAGCTGCTGACAATGTGCGATGTCAGGAGTGTTGTGTACTGCTGGAATGGGCTTGAATTAATGGCTGTGGCAAATTGCTGCTCGACCGCATCGAGACACTCATCATCTACACAGGTGAAATCAACGCTTAGTTGTAGGCTGTGAGGTGTTGTTGCAGCTGTGTTGCTTTCGTTGTGGCGAATCTTGTAGAGAAGAGACGCAGGCAGTTTGGGGAAGACATCGAGGGCGACGGGGCCTGTGATATTGGATTGCACGTTGTACGTGTCTGAGCTGGGAAGACTGCAGTTCGTGATACGAAGCGGAATCAGCATGGCGGGGCTGATGGTAAAACGCGAGAACAAGGCTTCATCTTTGAAAATGTCCTGCACGTTGACCGATATGGGGAGCGTAGACACAACACTGAATGATGCCGAGGAAGCGAATCGACCTTGATCGGTCTCATATCCGATTTCTGCGCGTGCGGAGAGCGTCGAAAACGCCTCTTCTACAGTGTAGGGGATACGCAACCGCACAAATGACTTCGGGGCCAATTTCCCGAACTCAATAACGCCAGACTCATGGTTGGGATCAACCTCGAGTTTACCGTCAACAACCTCTGTCTCTGCAAGACGAAGCCGTAGGCCTGCAGTGGCTGGCCGGACACGGATTGTACCGCTCTTGACATCATTTCGCCCACTGTTTAGTTCCAGCTCCAACGTCCGCATGGCTTGGAGATTAATAAGATGTGGTGACACGATCTTTGCCTGTAAGCCTTCGGCCGGAGGATAGCAATAAATGTATGGTTGTTCATCAATTCCCTCTGATTCTCCGGCTTCCCGGAAACCTACTGGAAGCGTAGAGTCTCGCCCGCCATTGAAGTTGAAGACAAGATTTCCGGCCCTCATTTCGAGACGGTCAACGAAATATTTGCCTTGAAGTGTGGTCTGAATACAAGTTAGCCAAAAGTACTGAAAGCGTCCCTTATATGTATTTACCGAAGAATCGATCAGAATCTGTGTCGATGCCGATTTCACCATAAACTTAGCTGAGCTTTCAATCCAGTGCTCCGAATTCTGAGAGCTATTAGCACCGACTAGACGAAGCTTGAGATTGTCTATCTCAATCTGTTTTCCCAAAAGGAAGCGCAACGACAATTGGATCTGGAATCCATCCTTGTTGTCGTACAGCCGAATGGCCGGATCGACACGAAGGTCGGCAAAAAAGTCCGTCAAGGAAGCAGGAACATCTTTCTGAAGAGCGTCAGAGGCGTCGAACAAATCGCGGACATGTCCTTCCAACATTTCCTGCTCAGTAGAAGGAATCGAGCCCGCTACGGTCTTCTGCCTGGTTGACAATTGCGCCTGCGCATATGTAGCAAATTTGGAAAGCAACCGTATCATCATCCGGACATAATCCTCATTCCTATTGAGCTTCTTCAAGCACCGAGCGTGGAGTTCTAACATGGTTCCTTCCAGAACGATCCAGTACTTGGTGCCGTAAAAAGGAGCCATTCGGTGGAAGTAAGAAGCAGCAGACTCGTAGTCTTTGCGCCGGTATCTTAGAATAGCAATCTCAGCCAAAGCCTGTTCAAGAGAGTTCACACGATTGGCTGCCATATGATGACGGATCAAACGGTCTGAAAGCTCTTCATAAAGGAACAGAAACGCGTCCTTTGACTTTAATGCGGCCTTGAGGCCAGGAAGCTCGATGCCCACAAGCGATGTTTGCTTTGCCTTACAATCAGTCTGTGACTCCTGGGTATCATCGCCGTCCAACGAGATCTCTGACATGTCGCTCGCCCCAGAACGATGTCGATCATCAAAAAGAAGACCGAGATCATTCCAATTCTCTGCCCAGCCACGTCTCCGAGCGACTTCCTCGAGAGAACGCCGTGCGAGAAGAAGCAACTCCGCTCTGCCGGATGCTAGCTGTTCGGAACCAGTTTTTTGTGTGGGAAAGGGCACGGGTTTGGGGTGATCCATAGTCGACCGCCGCTGCATCAAACCGACACTGTCAGAGATATCCTGTGTCACTGGCCGGCCAGGGCGGACAGCTCCTACCAGAGAACTAGTGCGGCGAGGTACATCAGCTCGCGATTCTCCCGCCGCAACAGCAGCGGTTTCACTCGATTGTGCCACGGCATGAAGAGAGGACTCGGGGAGCATAAAGGCTGGAGTAGAGGTTTGACTAAGAATTTGGAAAGCTGCCGAGAATGCCCACGTGGAGACTAGATTGTTGATAACATCTGTCTTGCTAGCATGGGTTACCTCTGCGAGACCACATTCGAGATCGTAACGGAGTGTACGGGCAGCTAAACTGATAAACTCGGTCGCCCTGCCACAAATCTCAGCTAGCAGCATGAGATTTTCGGGTTTCTTGCCTGATTGCGATGTATTAGCGTCGGGCGTAGGCTCAGTCCCGGCCAGTGACGAAGCTCTCGCAGCTCGTAGTAATAGAGTCAATTGACGTGAGAAAATGTATGTGCGGAAATCGAAGATGGAGATATCGCTTGCCAGGATCATTTCCCGATAGGACATTTTGTTAGAATTGAATGGGAAATCCTCCGACTCAAGCTCTGAGAACAGAGGAACATCGGCATCATCGCCGTCGCTCTCATCAGAAGCTCCGGCCTCCAATGCCTTTTTAGCTAACTCAGCCCAGTTTTTACTAGTGACTGAGAGTGCACCGCTGTGCTGATCGGCACTCCCATCAAGCTGATCTCGAATGGCCGCATCCAAGCCAACGGCTAGCTCGTCATATCCAGCCAGCCCATCTTCGAAGAGACCCACATTCTCGAAACCCCTCGCAAGACCTTCCTTTAGAATAAAGAATGTGCAGAAGTTCCAGCCAGGAAGACTGCGCTGGGAGTCCTTCTCCTTGATATCCTCTTCGTATTGGGCCACACGCAAATCGAAAGATGCTAGAATCCCGTTCTTCATCTTGTCGATCAAATCCTCCAATTGCGCGGCCAATTCAGAGGATTTAGTTCCGTGCTTCGGAAGACGCAGTTGAGCCACACGATCCACGGCGGTCTTCGATGACCCATTGAAATCAGCTTTCGCTTTTTCCAGCACCGTAGTTGATCCCCGCCCCCATTTCGATGTAGAAATGGGCGCCTTATCCGCAGCATCACCGTCCGGTACCACATGTAGGATTAACCACTCGAACGCATCGTGTTTTTCCTGGCTAGCAGTTGCGGACTGTGTACTTTGAGATGAGGCATTAGCCTTGATCCATTCGCGGAGGTTCCGTCGGGCCGTCGCCTTGTAGGTATCGTTGTCATCGCATCGGAGGAGGTAAACTTTGAGGTACGGTGTCTGTCGTAGACCGGGGATTTGATGTCGGCGATGGGTGACGGTGCTCTGAACAGTATCGCTCGATACCTTTCGTTCGGTCGATTCTTGCGCAGGTGTGAAGCCGATGCGGAGTGACTCGATTGACCGCACGGGGCGGGTTGGCGATTTCCAGTGCAAATTCTTCAGGGGGAGCTTCGATTCGATCACAGGCTGGATAAGTGGGAACAAGCCTGAAGGATCAGTGTACTCGACTATGTTATGCGGTCAGCGCAAGCTTCATTCATTTCCCAACCTCCGTAATCATACCCGTCACATTGCTCGAAGCTGCCTGCGAAGGGTCCATGATTTTCCCGGGCACAAGAGGGAAGTTGCCAATTGACTTCAGGGCATCTCAGAGCTCAATGTGCTTTGGAGCTTTCACGCGCCAGGAGTTAAGGGAATAAAGCCGCGGGGTGAGGTCGGAGCCATGCTGTCAACTGCGGCCACGCACGGCCTTGTTTCTTTTCCATTTTAGTGCGTGTCCCTCGCTGCTTTTACATTGGGATCAGCAACCAGCTTCATTCTTTTCTTTGTTTGAATCTTGAAGACGCGATAAGTATAGATGGAAAAAGAGAAGGCTATATTCCATATCTGTCTAGTTCAAATAAAGACAGATATGTTTATAGGCAAGACCCCGGATCTATGATCGATGACCTCACACTTCGACCTCAAACACCTTGGCTAGCACAGCACCACCTACCACAACAACCCCTGCTTGCACAGGCAGCCCAATATGACTTGCTACAGAAACAGGCACCAGAGCCTGATTTTGCGGCCTCACCACCTGCGGATAAAAGAACCCAGTCGAGGTCACACCGAGCCATGCCATAGACCACAAGAAGCCAAGGGCCCTTTGCCACAGCGGCTTGGGAATATTCTTGCCTGGGTCATTTGGGCTTGAAACAGATCTCCAGAGCCCTTTAATAGCATCCTCGATCATAAGGCCCAGAGGAGCCGTAACGAAAAACAACATGGCGCCCGATTCCTGTGCCGGGATTCCCTGTACAATATCAAGTACAAGATGCAGTGCGCCCGAGCAAAAGAAAACAACAAACACATTCATGTATCGCTGCACTGCAGAATTTGGTGACAGATTGAGAAAGTCTCGAGTTATGAAGCCGCTGACCGAGGTTAGGGGTCGTTGGAGTAATTGATGCCAGAATTTCCTATGAGACCTGCATTAGCATCATCTGCTCGATCGCCTTCCATAGAGATATTGTCTTAGGCGAGCTTACCCCCAGAATCCCCGCACTGTATCGGCATCCAGTGCCCTTCCATACAAGGGAGGGCAGTTTGCGGGGGAATCAAGTCCAAGTCCCACGAGGATTATCGAAAACATTCGATGGTGGCAGTCGATAAGAATTCGACTCACAACAAAACCAGCCATGAGATTTGAGATGATACGCTCGATCCATTGCTCAACTGATATATTCCATTGGGGCACTGGAGGCAATACCCCATGTTTCTGTTGCTCTAATGCCTGTTGCAGTGCCAGAGTCGCGAACACATCCAGAGCCAGATACTGCCAAACAACGATTGCTAATTGTCGAATCAGAAAACGGCCTCGAGGAGGCTCATTCATATTACGTCGCGTATAGTATGCTGGTTGTGGCGGTGCATTTTTTATTTGCCAGGGAGTGTTGATCCCACGGGGGTCAGTAAAAAACCGAGTCGCCGCGTACACCTGAGCTATACAGCTCTGGCTACTTCCAGAGGGCAAGTCATTGACATCCTTGGGGTCGATGAGTAGCAAGTTGAGACATTGGAAGATGATGGTTACGAAGAGGCGCCCACATTCACACCAGACAAAACCTGGACCTAGCGCTGTAGCAACTGGTATCGCTCGATACACAATGAAGATAGAGCATGGAATCGACAAATATCGAATAGCAGATCGCTTTGGTGTCGCAATTAGAAGAGTTGCGGGTACAAGGCAATGGACAGCATAGAGAAAGAGAATGTGTACAACGTTCGAAGACGTCGATGTAGCTGGCCTATACATGGCCGAGCAGGAAGAGCAAGCATCGACTGATGTTTTTGATGAAGCACTTTGATCTTCAAAAAGGGGCGATCACTTTACTTTTTTTTTTCTCGCGCGAGACTCGTATTTCGGAGTCTCAACCCTCGACTGCGTGGGTCCCGATCAACGCGATCGGAACAAAATCGCAAACACACGTCTCTGTCTGATTTTGTGACATTCTCTTGTCTCGATTACGATTTATGCGATGTTTCAATCGATCACATAGAAAAATAGAGACTCTCTTCATGTTCATCTGCCAACGCGTATGTGCTAAGGGCCGCTCTTGTACCCCTCTTGGTTGGGTTTGTAATGGAGACATCTCATCTGGTCAAAAATGACGAATTGATTGAGCTGTCATGCTCAAAAGATCTGACTTTAAATACATAAATTGGCTTTTTAGACAACTAGCACACAAACACACTCAGGTTGCCAATTTGGGGACCCTAGGTAGATGAGTTAGTAACCGTTGGCAACTGAGGTCGTGAGACAGTGCACTCACCATATAAACCAGGTTGCGGTGAACAATACGCCAAGAACCAGAAGATTGACGTTCCCAGTCATCCTGATATTGGCCATAGGCGTAGTCCACCTCCGTCTGCTTCTCACCCTGCCCAAAGTGGGCTGCACGGTAGTAAGTCACCGACTTGGCCGTGGTCGGGGAAAGCACATCGATCCGTTGTGTGCCGAGGAAATGTTGAGTCGTCACACACTTCAGGCTCATGCTCAAAGTAGATTGTATTGTGCTCAGCGGGGTCAACACGTTGAGAGGCTCAGAGTAGTTGGCTACCGCGTCGGTGGCAAAGACCTTGTTGAGGGAATCGAAGTCTTTGCCATCAATAGCAAAAGCATAGAGGGCCATTGTATTTCGGATCGTCTCAATTGTGCTAGCATCGGTATTGATCTCGGGTTTGAGACCACCGACAAGCGATGAAATCTCGATAGGGGCGACGTCGCTAGTCGTGGAGGCCACGACTGAGCTCGCAGCGGCGAGAGAGAGTGCGCAGAAAGAGAGGAACTTCATTTTGTTCAAGGTTTACCCAAGTGGAAATGTGTGCGGAGTATGTTATACGAAGATAATGATAAAGCAGGGATGAAGTAAGGATGTGGCTTATTTTTTATAGAAAACTTTCCCGTACGGAGTGATCCTGCACCAATCTCCGTTGCACTTCTCCTGAGACGTCAAATGATACGAACCGAATCTCCTCGCTTATAATTAATTGCCGTGAATTAGCGTCGGCCGATACCTTGGGTTAAATTGGGACAGCGCGCAAAGCTTAGCGTAGATTATACAGCCAATGTAAGAGGGCGATATAAATCGAATCCAATGTGGAGCACGCTTTGACAAGACGGAGGATGACGCTTCGGCCACCATACTCCATATGGAGTATCGAATAGGTCCATCGTGTATGTCTCGAAGTGGGGACAACAATGGTATTCTGATGTTGTTGGCTCGACGCGACTAGGGCCATTGTTCCCCAAATTGACAATTGCCATTCAGCTCAACGGGAGTTGGCCGTGGCTGCACCGGAGATATTAAACGGAATGCAAGTGTAATATAAACCACTAGGCGTAAGCTAGTCGCAAAAGATGGCGCACGCTAAAGCAGGACCAGGGTCTTGAAGGATACATGTGCATCCCGCTCTGAATTCGGGGTTGGCAACGATAGAACAATGAATCACGGTAAAATCTGCGATAATCAGTTCAAATTATATGTATATTATAACATTCTACATAAGTAATCCTTCTCAATAATCATACTCAGGCCGAAGCGAGGAATAGCCCCTCAGGATCTAGCCCCCACATCATCTTTGGCCCCAATTCGGCTTCAAGAGCGATGAACTGCAGATCGATACAATTCCAGAAATCTTGCATTGAATTATTGATATAACTCTATAACATACATTGTGAATTGATTGCACTTAACTCTATGAGCCCTGTAAGCGATGATGCACCTTATACGACCACGTACTTGAACCGGGGTTTGTGAAGAGACATATTATTTAGCCCTTTCCCACCTGACCATGGTGATTATTCTGCAGACGTGAGAAGCACAAGCATCACGCTTTGGCAGACGGCAGGTGTCACTTCTAACAAGAATCCCTGTTTAATATGGATTTGGTCCTCCACCTCTCTCCCTGCTGGAAGAAACGAGCCGATGCCACAATGGAGCCTCCATTGATATCCGAACAGGGCCAGACGGTAAGAACCTTTGCAAATGATCCTATACGGTGGAGGAGCTAGGCTGACTATGAGAATTTTAGATAGTAATGTGGATCGGTGTGGCACTATCCTTTATTTTCGTTGTCATTCGAACCCACGTTCAATACAGCAATAGCAAACATCTTTCTCTCAATGACTACTGGATATTCCTCGCCATAGTTTGCCACTTGGCAACTGCTATAGTCTACCAATTTGCCATGTGCCCCATGTATGAGGTCGCATATATCGGGTCAGGATTGAAGGCTCCGACGGCAGGATTTGGAGATCGAGCATCGCTTTTTCTCAAACTACAATACGCCGCTGATCTTCTCATATGGACTACCCTGTGGGCAGTCAAGTTTTCACTTCTCTTCTTCTTCTGGCGATTGTTCGACTCGGTGAATTCTCCTATGAGAGTGTTCTGGTGGATCATGTGGGGGATCACTGCGTCGACGTGGATCACAAGCATAGTGATGCAGGAGTTTGCCTGTGATCCTATCAGTGATTTCTTCATACTAGGTAAACGATCCCATTCCGTCCTAAGATTGAGCCCACATTCTCACTCAAACTAGGACAATGTTCATCCAAGAGAGATATGTTATTCTCAAACCTCATATTCCGCTTTTCTCTCGGGGCCGACATCGCAGTGGACCTTTGCGGTTGGTGATTGCCCCGGTCTAAATACCTCGTATCTTGACTAACTCCATATAGTAATGTTGATTCCATTCCCACTGCTCTATAAATTGAGAGTCAACCGTCAAACGCGCTGTATCTTGATCAGTGTATTCTCACTACCGATTATTCCGATTATATTCGCTATCTTACGTCTGGTGGCCACGAATCCGAAGACTCACAACGTCGATCCGATCAAATTCCAACTATTCTCTTTGCTAGAAAGCACTGCTGCAATTGTTACCTCTTGTTTACCCGCCTTCCGTCTGTTCGTTACCAAAACGCACAACACCACCCCTTACTATGATTCGGGACCCTCTGTTCCATATTCTCCAGGTCTTCCTGATTCATACGGAAAGTTCGGAGGCTCATCGCATAAGCAGGCGGGCATCCCAATTGATTCATTCCACTATGCACATCAACATATACAAAGAGTCCATGACAAGGATCTAATTGGGAAAGCATTGTCCAAAGACAGTGATGAGGAGTCTCTCAATCCTATCACTCGCAGTGTCCTTGTCAGATACTGATATTATGTTGCATGATTTATGATATAAATAATAATATCGTTCTGTACACTATGCGAGTCCTTACTGACGCTATAGATAAGATTGGATAGATGGTCATTAACGGTCATACAGCCCAAGCTCGGTACACTGTAGACTCAACACTAGTAATTTGTGAGTGGTATACTATACCAGGAAAACATATATGCCATGATTCATGTCCATGAGGTTCTACAGCAGTTGCGAGTCGTGGAATTCGGTATTGGTGATAAATCGAAGAAGCTGCCCGAGAGGGGTATCAGGATGCCCCGCTTGTACATGTACCCAAAATCATATATAAACACAGGTGCAGCACACTCCACTCATTTCCACACAGCTGCTTCAAGGTTCATACATCTTTTATATCGTCTCCGCAATGGACTCCGCTCTGCAAAACGCCGTGACCCAGTTTATCGAACGACACCCCGAATCCCAACTCCTGCATAGACTCTCACTTGAAAGATTACCTGGAGGAAACACCCGCACTCTGCTACACACAGCACCATTTCCAGTCTTCATGCACAAGGGCGAAGGCTGTGAACTATGGGATGAAGATGGCAACAAGTACGCGCATACATCGAGATCGAACTACAGGAATTAATAGTCTATCTAGATACTACGATTTTGTCGGCGAGATGTCCGCTGGACTGTACGGACATTCTCACCCAAGGCTGCAGCAGGCTATAACAGAAACCGTTCAGAACGTCGGACTGAGTTTGGGGGCGACGAATGTCTACGAGCAGCACTTTGCCTCGTTGCTGTGTGAGCGGTTTGGTCTTGAACGGCTGCGTTTTACAAATTCTGGAACAGAGGCAAACATACACGCTCTTGCTGCGGCGAGGAAGTTTACGGGGCGTCGGAAGGTTGTTGTGTTTCGAGGTGCCTACCATGGCAGTGTGCTGTCGTTTGGGGATGGGATTCCAGAGAATAATATCGATCAAGCGGATTGGTTGTTACTGCAATACAACGATTCTGACCGTGTTAGAGAGGTCTTTGCCCAGAATAGTGATATTGCGGCAGTGATTCTGGAGGGGCTTCAAGGATCGGGCGGATTCATTCCTGCATCCGTGGATTTCCTACGAACGATTCGCGAGGAAAGTGAGAAGGCAGGCGCACTAATGATCCTGGATGAGGTGATGACATCTCGATTGGGACCGGGAGGTCTAAAAGATATCATCGGGGTCAAACCAGATATCATCACGTTGGGCAAATATCTGGGCGGAGGCCTGCCATTTGGGGCATTTGGCGGGCGGGGAGACGTCATGGATGTGTTTAGCCCACTCACGCCTGGGGCATTGGCACACTCGGGCACATTCCAAAACAACACTTTGATGCTGCATGCTGGATATGTGGGACTCTCTGAAGTGTTTACACCTGAGGCTGTCCAATTGCTCAATGCTCAAGGCATTGACTTGCGCCAGCGCTTGAATCTGGTCTTTGCAGGATCCAAGTTCAGCATTACGGGCCAGGGCTCCCTAATGTGTGTTCATGCCACCAAGACAGGGCTTCACTCGGAGCAGATTACGTGCCGAGATGACATTGCTGCGGTGGAGGACACGGATCTGAAGCAGCTCTTCTGGTTGGAGCTAGTAAATGCAGGTTTCTGGGTGCAGAATCGAGGAACGATCACTTTGAATATCGCTATGTCTAAGACGGCTGTTGATTCTTTTGTTCAAGCTGTCAAAGAGTTTTGCACGAGACATAGGTCTTTGATTGAGGTTTAAGAGGTACCCGTGTGATCCGACGAATACAATCACCAGTGGCCGAGGATGGACATCAGATATGTATATATCTACTTCACATTCTAGAAACTGGAATATCTATATAGCTACTATAGGTTCTGTAGTAGGTAAGAAAAAAAATAACGAGAGTCAATCATGCGGATCCTACATATAGTCATGCCGCGTCATTATCAACACGAGTAAAGAAAAAGACAAAATGCTGACGGGTGGTCCGTCGTACAGTATAAAAAGTTCAATCGCTCAGGAACAACGCCATAGCAATATATGACCAGAGAAAAAAACACAAAAGAAACCAATAGAAGATGTCTTAAATACCCACTTCCACAGCCGGCTGTGTATAGCGAGCTTTCACAAATTCAAAGCTGTCCGTGACGCCTTGCCAAATCCCGGGGGCATAGCTTCGACCCCAGGCGCATATAACGAGAATAAGAAGTGGAATCTGTGAGGATTAAGTTAGTTGAGAGGCAGATTAAAGAGAAACTCAAAGCACTGGACACGGTTTGTCACTTACCCAGATGAAGTACAGATTTCGGTCACTGCCGAGGCCCTTCATTCGTCGAGCCTGTTGCTCTCGAAGGTGTTTTTGCTGTTCGCGCGAGATGACCTTACGCCCAATGGTGATGTCTTTGATTTCATCATTATCCATGTGAGCGAGTGCGGGCGCGGAAGAGCCCGAGGCTGAAGCCGTGGCCGCGGCTGTGACCGAAGCAGCAGCGGCAGCACTGCTCTGGGCCTCGAAGTGTTGATCAATAGCTGCCTCCGTTGCTGCACGGAGCAAACTAGACTTCTTCATGTCGGACTCGTTGGTCATGTCAGGGTGGGGGAACAACTCGTCGTACGAAGGAGGCTGATTAGGATTGGGCGTGGAGTTGCCCTTCAAGTAATCCCACCAGCCATCCCGAGCAGCAGGTCGGTGGGGGACAAGGTTGGTGATGCGGCGCATCATTCCCTGTCCTTGGTAGTCTGGAAGAGCGGGCATCGCGGGCATCGCGGGCATCGCAGGCATTGGAGGCATTGGAGGAAGAGCGGGAAGGGTTGGGAAGGCGTTAGCCACGCTCTGTTGGAAATGATTGATTTGGAGAGCAAGATGGTCGCGCCATGCGACGAGAGGCGCTGGCGGGGCAAAGGCCTGAGCATTTACAGGTGCGACAGCTTGTTCACTGGTATCCATGATAGGCGGACTAGTGTCTTGGTGCATACTAGACCGACGAGAAGAGCTGAACTGGAGAGGCTCAGAATCGGAGTCGTCAGTAGAGTCTTCATCATCCAGCTCCTCTGAATCATCAACGGCATGATCAAGAGACCCAGAGGCGGAAGAGACTTCCCACATGGAGCTGAGCGAGGCCGAGCTGCTTTGCCGGCGACGTGATGTGATAGACCCAACACTGCGAGAACGGTAATGGCGAGAGGGAAGCAATGCAGCTTGGTGTGCAGGAAGCGTTGTCGCTAGGTCTGCTGCAGTGAATCCCCTGACGCTGCGGGTGCTAGGGTTGGCGCCCGTCAGACGCAGCCGGTGAACAATGTGAGCATGGCCATTGAGTGCGGCCAGATGCATCGGCGCATTGCCTATGTTGTCTTGCAGGTCGGGGTTCGCACCACGAGCCAAAAGCCCAGCAACGAACCTGGTAAGTCCCAATGAAGCCGCAAAGTGTAGAAGGGTCTGGCCAGTCGTGCTACGAGAATTATACCGAGGCGGCCGGGGACTATTATCCAAGTCGATGAACTCTAGGTAGGTAAGCATCTTGGAGTCTAGATCGCCCAGTTTGCCTGTGTTTTCATGACCAGGCACCTGCCGTTGCTGACCACCAGAGGATGATCCTTGCATGTCGGCCTGCATGTTGAAGAAAGCGTTTGGGTCGCTTCCCATGATTTGTTGTGCTGTATGAAATGCGTCTGCTTGGCTGCCGAGTTTCTGTCCAAGAATGTTCAGTGCTAGACGATACATTTGAAGCTCACGATCGTCCACATAGCGGAAGAACAGTTGCTGTTTGGGCATGAGGGTTTGCGGCTGCTGGACTTGACCAAACGTCGGGTGCTCATGCTTGAATACTACAGATACCAACCCTGGTTGGAGAGCAGGGGGAGTCAGGCAGTTAAGACACTTGTCACCCCAGAATGTAGTGGTAGTGGCCAGGGTGTCGCCGAAAACAACCTCCATACCAGGGTAGAATCCACTGCCTAACAATGTGACCTCAGTACCTCCTGTGATGGAACCTTCGGCGGGCACCAATTTGTGAATCACCGACGGCAAGCGATTGGGAGTATTGCTTAGAGGGGGCCAAACCTGGCTCGACGAGTTCGCACCAAGCCCCATAGGAATATTTGCATCCTGGAAACCATTGCGATTAGAGCCCCCAGGCGTGTCGGGACGACTGGGATGAGTGGAGTTAGACGTTGACGTCAATGTTCCCCCCGCCAGATTATCCAAGCTTTGTCGCTGGGCAGGAGTAGGGTTGAAGAACGGATTATTGTCATTATTTGGGTTGGGGGTAGGCGGACCATTACCATACTGGCCTGACATGGAAGACGGTGTTACGAATGGCCGTTCCGTTGGCGAAGCGAATCCACGGGCAGCCGCGAGTTGTGCCGCATTGGCCATGGCTGATGCGGATGACTGAGGCGTCTCGAGTCGAGTCATCGTCAGTTCTGATGGAAGCCTTCCAGAGCTACTATGCTTGCGCCGTTTGCTCTGTGGTCCTTGGAAATCAGATGGGGATGCTCCTCGAGATAGGCTTCGGGATGCCTGGGTCACAGAGCCTCCATTGACTGAGCCCGATGCCGCGAATGAACTAGGTGTGAGCTGGTATTGCGAATTGAATCTTTGTTGTAGGCCCTGAAGATCAGTCGGCGACTGAGGTCCAGTGAAACAATCAATGTTTTGGCCCGAGGAAAACACCCCGACTCCTGGTACTTGTGTGCCATCTCCAAGCGAGGGTGAGGGGCCAGTCGGCGCGGGTGCGGAAGGAGCCTGGGTTTTGTGGTCGTCGGTGATCATGATCGAATTGGTAATTGCTTGCGCGACGACAGTGTCCAAGTGATCCTTCACAGTGAAAATGACTTGGAATCCGAGCTTCTCGTTCTGGTGGCGGCAATAGCACGCGATTCGCATCGGGAGTTCCACTTGCATTGAACCTGGTGGAACAGATGCTCTATCGCCATAACCGCCACTGGCGTTCTTCGGTGGTTCCGTCCATTCCTTGATCTCACTGGTGTTGAACACAATGACACGTTTTTCCTCATCCTTTTGAAACAATTCATCTTCCTCGGGCTTTCGTTGCTTCTTCCGTGATGCGCGTTTCCGTTCTCGTTGTATACATCCACTGCATATTTTCACATCGCCTCCATCCAACGGACGTTCGTCATCAGAAGTTGGTTGGTAGTGATCACCTCTTGTCCGTGCAAATGCCCGCTGGATCTTTTCCCGGTCTTGCATCGCGCTGGTGCATACTAGACTCGTGTACAATTGTAGGGTATCGCGGGAAGGTTCAGTGGCTGGAGGAGCAAGAAATTTGAGTTTTGAGATAGTATGCGAGGGAAGGCGGAGTTTCTTAACGCCCGTAGGCAATGGGGAGAGGGTCAATCGGATCGGAATTTGGGTTTCAACACGGGATTTGAGAGAGGTTGGATGCACGGTGAGAACAGGCTGTAGAGGGTTCGAGTTCATCTGGGGTTGGGCCGGGGAGGAAGCGAAGTTGACAGGGAATGCGTAGGAGGGAGGAGAGCCAAAGTTCATGGCGGGTGATAGCGAAGCGTTGAGAGGTGATTGGCGATTCATATTAGTGCCCCCGAAGCTTTCTTCTAGAAGTGACGAAGGAGATTGTCCGCCCCATCGAGGGGCCGCTCTTTCCATGTCTTGATGGATTGTGTTTGCGTATGGCGATTGGCCATTAAGTCCAAAAGCAAAAAATGGAGACCCTGGGGCATGAGCCTGTGACAAATTAGCAATGCTCAGTCAAATTGATATCAGCATTCAAATGACTCACCGCGGGAACGGCATCGGTCGACGGCAGACCAGTATGATTACTCGAGGGGCTCCAAAGTTGGGATTTCGGACGTTTCTGGGGTCTCGGTAAAGAGCCGTTCTCTGTCTTCAATGGACTGGGGCTACTCGCTGCACTTTCGAAGTCAAAGGCTGCGTCCATAGCCTTGTTGCTGACCTCCAGATCTGGATCCATAGAAAATGCATCATCCATAGGAAAGGAAGGATCAATATTGAATGGTGATTCCTCCTTGACTGACGAGAGTTCCGGACGCATCCAATCCTCCTGCAAGTAACCGACAGAAGCCAAATGATTCTCGCTATGTGCTGCCGAAGTTGTTGATGCGACCGATGTTTGTCGCATGTGATTTCGTGGCGATTCCGAGGAAGAGCTGTGACTTGAATCATCCGGCGAATCAGCTGGCGAGTCAGCTGAAAGAGCTGGGACTTGTCTCAGGGGGTTTTGGTCTTGGTATGACTTCGCAGGCCCCGAGGCGCCATTTGCTCGGGAAGTCGTGGTTCGAGCGAACAGGTCATCGAAGGCTCCTCCAGCACTTTCTGTTGACATTTCCAGCTTTGTGGGGTCCAAAAAGTCCATGTTGGCGTTGCGGAAGGTGGACTCCATATCGTCGTCCATGATGATAGGATCGAGGGCGGGGAATTCGGGTGAAAATGGTGCCTGCGCTGATCCCATGCTTTGTTCTCGGTTCTTGATTCTTATATATCACAGTCGAGGGCAACCGCCACCTTCACAGCATCCAAACAGGATGATTGACTCGCGCGTTGGGATAGATTCTCGGAGAAGGCGTTAGATTCTGGAATATGTTTCGACAGTTAAGTCTTGTCACGGTATTTTCCAGGGCCGATCTCCGATACCATGGCCCTGCGAAAGCGAATGTGAGGTTGAACGGGGGGTTGTTGTTGGGGAAAGTCGCTGCCTCGCGGTAATCTGTGGAGGAAAGGGGAGCGGGAAAACTGTGAGTGCCGATCCAGGCCGGCAGAACCTCAACAAACGTGAGCAAGACAACACAACAACCACTTCACCTATCGAAGTGGCTTGAGTTGATTAAATCGGTCGAGTGTTTATGCTCGGCTAAGCTTCAGTCCACAAACGGAAATCTTTAGGAAGCTTTGCTACCTGAGAAAGAAACCAACAGACACCTCAGGCCACATAAAGCGGTGACCAATACGATACGCACCATACGGGGCGAGCCCCCGTATCCTCCGTCGCTATGATTTGCTGGTCAACCTACTCCTCCCGTGTGACAGGGGATAATATTATCTATCGTTTCTGACCGTTGTTCTATTCTATTCCAAGATAAGCCCCTCGGGGGCTTTGGAGATAGGCAGGTGTTATATCACCACACGGCTTCCAAGGGTTGGCTTTGCAGCGACCGACTGTTTTATCCCTAGATGCACCTGACCCTTCTGTGATTGACTCGACTATCTGAAGGATCACAACACGCATTGCGTATGCAGCCCCGTGCCAAGCATACACAGACGCTCTAGGTCGTCATGCCTCTTAAAGGCGTACAACATAGATTGTGCCACACCGGTTATCAGCTGTGGGTAGCCTATAACCATGGTGTCTCGACACCCCAATGTACACACAACATATGTTGTACATACATGTATGAATGTACATGTAGGGAATGCACTTGAGAATTGATCATCATTCTTGCAATGGCGGGGAACTGGGTGAGACAGAGACTGCGCAATGCTGTGCCTCAAATCCCCTTAACGCAACAACGGAGCTCGCACACATAACACGGTGAGTTCATAAAATGCACGGAATAGAATGATTGAGTGAGGAGTCTATATGGATCCATTCTAAAGATTTGATTTAACGAAATGCGTATGTCGTGAAGGCGACTCGGCCTGCATATAGGGGGATTTAGTTCCTTGGCCACACAGCCGAGATTATAGATTCTGATGCATCTAGACTCGCGTGGAAACCTTTCGGGGGCTAACCCCCCGGAACTCGGTCCTTATTGAATGAGTACTCGGAGAAATCGTTTCTAAGCTTGATTTTCCTCCGACCCGCAGACTAGATTAGTGAAACGATAGATCTGCAAGAGAAGGACAAGCCAGAGACATCAACTGTTGCGGAATAACGTGATCTTCCTGTTCGATTTCGCGAGTTGTATTCTAACGCATTGCAATTTAGATCCGACGGAAGCCCAGGAAAGAGGCTGTTCGAGACTTCAGCCTTTTTCGGCAAAATCGTCTCTTATCCCCGAGATGACGGGAGAAGTACGGAGTAGAACTGTGATGAACGGAGTCGAGACTGCACTTCTCGGCCCGAGAGTTTCAGAATCTCCTGCGTCTAAGCGCACTGTACCCCTCTTTCCCCTGTAAAGCATTAGGGTTCGTATCAAATGGTGGCTTTGAACATCATTTCTCGCATTAATTTCTACACAAATCGGGGCAGGTGGAAAAGGAGAAGGTTGGAAATAACCCGAGAGCCCCGTGTGGGCACACCTCCCTTGTCGGGATCTTTGAGGCATCAAAATAACTTATCTAGGGAATGTTTGAACCTGCTCCATTGACACAATGTCGACTCCGGATACTCGACTTGCCATGAGGTCGGGATGGCCAAATTGAACAATAAAGATGGTGTTTACATATGTAGAATTTGGTACTATGTACTCCGTACTCCGTACTTCATACTCCGTACAATGCGCCTAGCTAACCTCTCTTGACAGGGACTAAGCTTTTCGTGGAAAGGAGTAATTCCCCGAAACAGGACTTTTGAAAGAAAGCTTGGCAAAGCGGAGATGTCAATCATGATCACTTTGTATTAGGGTGGTTGTCTTGAGTGGATTCGGACTTGAAACCCAGACCGTCGCAGACAACCGCCCGGGATCGACAGGCACCAACTAGAGGCATGACCTAGTGCCAAACGCCCCTCTTTAGGGCTCCTGATAGAGCGTGGCTCAATTACGTTTGGTACTAGTGCAGCTTGGGAACACCCGGCGCGTTGGAGACGACGTGCTTCATTTATCTGTCACCTCCTAGTTCGGGTGTCTCGGTCCCTCGAAATTCTCCACCTATGGGCGCAGTGGAATACCATCCGAATCCTGTGCGATATGCCAAAAAGCTTTGAACTTGATCAAGCTCTACGTGATGGATAGTCCTTGGCAGGGGAATGGTGCGGCTCCTATTGAGCCCAAAGGAGCTACTATGCCGACGAGGACGAGCATATATAAGGGCCGGGCATCACGGCTCTCCGACGACTTGATCTTTCACATCATTCCTCTACATTCCATTCTTTTCAAGGTCTAGTACCGTTCGTTCTCTTTCTGGGTTGACTTCATTGACTGAAGTCCCCTTTTCATTCTTTTCCTCCATCGTCGATCCTTGATCCAACCAACGCTGTGCGTTACTATCCTATCACCACTTTTTCAAATATGTCTTTCTCCAAAATCGCGGGTCTCCTGCTCAGCTCGGCCGCTATAGTCGCTGGCCATGGTTATGTGTCGGGTGCTGTTGTTGACGGTACCTACCATGGCGGCTTCATTGTGAGCTCGTACAACTACATGGACGAGGTGCCCGAGAACATCGGATGGGCCGAGGGTGCCACTGACCTTGGCTTTATCGACGGCTCCGCATACTCCAGCCCCGATATCATCTGCCACAAGGATGCCACCCCCGGTACGATCTCCGCTGAGGTCAAGGCCGGTGGCTCCGTCGAGCTCCAGTGGACTGAGTGGCCCGAGAGCCACCACGGTCCAGTCATCACCTACTTGGCCAACTGCAATGGTGACTGCTCTTCGGTCGACAAGACTGCCCTCGAGTTCTTTAAGATCGACGAGGCTGGTCTGATTGACAACAGCAATGTTCCCGGCACCTGGGCATCTGACGATCTCATTGCCAACAACAACAGCTACACTGTGACCATCCCCAGTGCCATCGTCTCCGGCAACTACGTTCTCCGTCACGAGATCATTGGCCTTCACTCTGCCGGCGAGACCAACGGCGCCCAGAACTACCCCCAGTGTCTCAACCTGAAGGTTACTGGCGGTGGCAGCGACTCTCCCAGCGGCACCCTCGGTACCGAGCTCTACAAGGCCACTGACCCCGGCATCAAGATCAGCATCTACACCTCCTTGGACTCTTACGAGATCCCCGGTCCCGCCCTGTACACCGGTGCCTCATCAGGCCCCTCGACCAGCACCGTTGCTTCCACAGCCCCAACCTCAGTCGTAGCCACCAGCTCTTCCGTCGGAGCAACCGTTACTGCCGCGCCTACCTCCATTGCCTCAACCGTGAGTGCTTCTCCCATCCCGAGTTCCTCCTCGTTCTCGCACCCGCACCTCACCCGCACTCTCACTCGCACTGCGCGTCCCACCTTCACCACATATGCTCCCACAGTCTCCATCCCCAGTGAATCTGGCCCTGAGGCCCCTGTTGAGACTGAGACTCCCATCGAGACTGAGACTCCCATTGTTCCTCCCACTATCACCAAGACTACCACTGCTACTCAGGTTACTGACGAGCCTGCTCCACAGACTCCCAGTGCCTCCACTGACAGCGTCACCATCACTGTGAGCTCCCCCGGCGGCCACTCCGCTCAGAGTTCCGCCCCCGCAGCTGGAGAGGGCTCCTCCGAGCCTAGTGTCACCTCTAACCCCATCGCTGCGCCAACTTCTGGCTCTGGCTCTGGCTCTGGCTCTGGCTCTGGCTCTGGCTCTGGCTCTGGCTCTGGCTCTGGCTCTGGCTCTGGCTCTGGCCCTGGCTCTGGCCCTGGCTCCATCCCCTCATCTTCCTACCTGGACTCCCTGAGCGCCGAGCAGCTTCTCGCCCTCATCCGTTCCACTCTCAAGTGGCTCGTCTCCAACAAGAAGGTGCACGCCCGCGACCTGTCATCCTAAAATACACGCTGCGCGCTAGATATAGACCTTTCCGTATATCTGGATATGAATTGTGTTGGATCTTTTTGAAACCTGGATCGAGTATCCTGTCTTTTCCGATGATTCTTTGGGCGGATTGCTTTTTGTCACAACATCGTGTTCCGGGTATTTATTTTCTTCTTCCTCTTTTGCGCTTTGCGCATTCGAGACGATAGACCTGTATTTTGGGGTCTTTTGTGATACTTTACTTTCATGAATGGATTTTTTTGGACTGCTCAGTTTCTTTGATTTGGTAAATGGATGTGAAAGTGTAACTTGAGTATAGTATTTGGTGACTTTCGTTCAATTTGATCGACCTCTAACACCACACACAAAATCATAGAAGATTTAGGTGGTAGTATATGTCCTATAGTCGAAGCAACGTAGAATCGCCAAGGGGAGGGTAGCTACGGTGGTTGCTGATCAAGTTAGTGTGGACTTCATGGCATTCTAGAAGTTTTATTGTAATGGCTTGGATTTGTATACATATAAAGGAGTAATTTAAACCAATTTCACCACGAGTATCATGTTCATTTCTAGTTTTATGATGCGGGTGGTTCATCAGTTCATCATTTGTATGGAACTCTGCCTATCCAATGGTACCAGGAGCAAATGATCTAATATATAGCAATCATTTCTTCTTCTTGGTCTTATCCACAACCTCAATCATCTGTGGCTTTAGTCCACGGCGAACAAGCGCTGTCTCAACGGCTTTCCGCTGATCACCTTGCACCAAGACCTCCATAATCCCCTTAGGAGCACCTGTGGCTTGTGTGACACTAGTGCTGCCGGCACACTTTTTCTGCAGCTCTTGTGCTAACAAAGTGGGAATGATACCGAAGACTTCCAAAGTCATGATCTTAGTAACAGTCTTAGAACCTGTTCGCTTCTCCAGTGTTACGGTGACCTTTGGCGCGGCACCGGCCTTGGGCTTGACGTCTGCAATTGTTTGCCCGGTCTTCAGAATGACATGATGCGGCTGGAGTAAGGCCTTGTCTTCCAAAATTCTCTTCAAGAGACCATCTCGAGTGACCTTTCCACGTGCAAGCGTGCCTTTGTCCTCCGTAGAGGATGAAGTGAAGACAGTATTTGCAAGAAAAGGATTGAGTGTGATAATTCGTCGGTTTTCCTTTGCAATGATGGGCGGATTCTGGGATTGGAGATATTCATCCAAGTGACTGGACACCTCGGAGTGTTTGTAAAAGTTATTTGTGTTGCCAGCAGCCAGAGCAGGGAAGAGAGTTGGCATCAACTTCCCTGATGGCCGATACAATGTTTGCACAGTGACCGTCTGGCCAATTGAAGGATCGGAGTCATCGGTCGCCGCAGGCTTTTTGCCTTCAGATGCTGGTTTGCTGTTGTCTAGGGCGCGTGGTGAAGGTAGTCTGTATGGGACAAATCGAGCTATCCGAGAATCCTCAAAGTCCACATCCAAGATAATGGTCTCTTGACCATTGCGATCCTTGGACTTGACAAGGTTCAATTTGTCAAGATATTTCATGAACTTTTTCACATTTTTCCAGCTGGTCTTCTTGATGTTATAGTGCTGAGCCTGTTGGGGGGTGTAAACTGGGAGATAAGGGGTAGTGAAGTTGGCTATCAATGCCGATGCAGAGATTGGCAGTGGAAGGCCATGATCCGCTGCTGAGGGGTTATCCTGCTTGAGTTTATAGAGGGCGTAGACAAAGGCATTGACAAAAGCCTCATCAATCTCTGTTGTATGTCAGTTTTTGTTTCATTGATTGCCATGTAGTAGCTAAGGGGAATGGATACAGGGAAAGATGACTGACCCTGCGTTGTAGGTGCCTCCACTTCGACCACAGGTTCTTCTTCTGGAGCAGCGTCATCGCTTGGGCTGTCACTCTCCCCCAAGGCGGGAGCAGCCTTGTTATCCTCAATCGACAATTCTCCCATTTGTTGCTCGACGTCCTCGGGTTCATCCTCGTCCCAGCCCTGCAGATATTCTGGAGCTGGACGACCCGGCCGTGATGCGGAGCTCCACGCCCAAAGCTCATCTCCTTCCCAATGCAATCCGCGGACAGCATGCCCCTTTGTGCCTTGCACGTCCCCTAATGCTGAGACATCAATCTCACAGATGCCTACGAAAAGTGGCACTGTGTGTCTGTTCACACTCGCGACCGCGACAACGGCGCCCTTGACCGCCCTCTCGGGGAACGGCGGTTCGTTTGCCAGGCCGGGTGTCATGAGATCAGCTCCACCATGGAGCTTTCCCATTACAAACTCCGGTGTGTAAAGTAGGGGAACCAGGTTCGGGTTGTGCCATAATGTGTAAACGGTTGGGTATAGTCGCTTATCGGCCCCCGGACCATGTTCCAGCTTGAACCAAAGCACCCGTTCATCGCCATCGGGATGTGTGCCAACATATACGATTCCTTGAAGTTCGCGCAGGTCTGGGCCTGCTGTTGTTGTGAAACGGGCAGTCAGGGAGTTCTCAGGAAGGAGCGCATTCCTGATCGATGTGAGGCTCGAGGCGGGAGCAGAAGAGCTTGCTTCGGTGGAATTTGAGGGAATGGGAATCTGGTAGTCCTTGATGATTTGATCTGCGATCTTCCTACGATCAGACGATCGTAGTGGAGAGAGGTTTTTGATCTGGTCTGTGTTAGCCTGTTGTGACGATTGCGCCGAGGGCCTTGCAAACCCAGCAAGCTTTGATGGAGGGGTAGTGCGGGGGAGGGGTCAGATACCGTAGGCTTCTTTTTAAACATGATTTCAAACTAGAGATGTAGAAGTTAGGCTAGGAAGAAAGCAGCTGGCTTTCTAGCAACCGGCTGGAGAGGAATAAGGAATGGAAGAAGGACCCCCGACCGCAGGTGACGTGACAAAGAATCTCGGTCTCCGCACGGCCCGAAGAGGAAAATACCCCACGAGCTCAGGCACGAGAATGTCAGTCGTTGCGATAATGTCTTTTTGGGGTCTAGAGGTCTCTTGAAGAACATCTCAAACAAGTTTTACATCGGCGCTGGACACTATCTCTTTCACATAATGTTTTCACTCAAATACTGCTTTTCTTACCTTCATATCCCGAAGCTGACATACATGGATCGACTTCAAATCAATCGGGTTTCAATCAATGAACTTGACTGGAACAAACAAGATGAGAAATCTTTCTAATCGCACATCGTGAATCGGATTTTCTTTCATGGGCGGCTTTTATACCTGGTAGATTTTGTAGCGCAGGAATAACGGCTTTAGGGCATATACTACCTACATGTAGATACTTCACATTGCTTCACTCCCCTCGACATCTTCAATATACCTTACGCCAACACCGTTGATATTAGGTGGCTTCCTCAGAGTTGGAATGCATATACCATTATCGAAGCATGTATGCAGGGCTGGAACATATTTTCATTACTATAAAGGGCTAGCTTTAAGATGTTACGAAGGAACCGGTTCTGGAACACGGCGAGTTGGAAGATCACAGTAATTGAGGACATTCTAGTCTCAGGTGTAAGTTCCAAAAAAGATCCTAGTACACGGGTCTATTGTCCCATCCTGAACTTTATACTCATTTTTATTCCTTGTTTGTTTTATGAATGTTTGAGCAGCAGGAAAGTCTCGCTTTGATATCCTGTCGTAGTGGAGGATGCTGACACTTCTATTCTCCTCTATGCTACCTAGGTCTGATTGGTTAGCTCGATAAGGAGGCACCTAAGGTTTAGATTACACTGATTTCTAAAAGAGATGCCGGTCTGGGATCTTTGACCTATCTATATAATATGCGTTCTATCAATTTTATATTCCCGAACTGGCTGTCTAGAGAAAGATACTAGCAAAGAGCGGATCGGCCGGCGCTGGATGTATAGCCTAGTGTAATTTTAGAGTCTTTGACCCCTTATAAATCTACATAGCTGACCCGAAGGCCATAAAGGAATACCTACCTAGATGTATGAAAAATGCATATATGTACGTGTAGGTTATTGTCGAATAGCCAACGAAAGGAATAATCATATCAATAGACAGACATCCCAGTTCAATTGCTAATCAGAAGCTGAGGTGGACGACGTAAGACAAATCCCAGTCACACAGCCAACGTCCGATAGCTAAAGGGTTGAAATTGCTCGTCGTGCTGCCTTCTATTATCAATTTCAGCGCCCATCAGTGTCATGATCAAATATAGAGAGGATCTTTATCTCGTTAAGTATTCCGGCAGTCAGGGAGTTAGGTACACGTAAGGATCTACCGCGCATTGGATTGCAGCCCATCCATGGACTATCAATGCAACCTGGCCGTTTTATTGATGACCAATCCGGAAAATTTCTGACCAACCTCGTATACATGGGCAGGACTATCTGATCTCACTGCTACAGAATAACCCGAAGTGTAAGCTGTATGAGTCAATCGGGGTCCGAGACTAGCTTAGCGCCTCCGTCCAGTTTTCCCTCTATTTATTTTCTCTGAATAGTGTCCGTCAAACCATGTCCCTCGGATAACAAAAACAGACAAAACATATTCAATATGGAGCTACCTCAACAACCGGTCTACGTGCTTATCCCATCATCCGGGCCCTCAATCGAGAGCAAGCGACTTTTCCTCCGGCCAGTTGCCGATACCGACGCCGCTGCACTCTTTGCAGTGCGCTCCATACCAGAGGTTGCGGCAATGAAGTCAGTATACAGGTCGTCTCTTGAAGCATTGGACAAAAACGGCCAATGGGTGAACAGAATTGCTAACTTACTCATTTCCTCAGCCACCCCAGAACACCTTTCAAATCAATCGCAGAAACACGTGCATGGATGGCGACAAAGGCATTCACGAGTGGTCCACCCGATGTGATCGGCCGTTCATTTAACTATGCCATTCTGGACAAGTCGATTCCAGAAACGAAGGAGCGGGTCATTGGCTCTCTCAGCATCAATCAAGTAGACCCCTATCCTGAGATTGGATATGCACTGCATCCAGGTTCCTGGGGGAAAGGACACGCAACAGAAGCTTTGCAGCTGTTGCTCAAGCTGTGGTGGGGCTTGCCACGCCGATCATACTATGGTGAAAGTGCTGGTCCTGTAGAGATGGAGAAAGTATTTGCTTTCTGCTTAAAACGAAACATTGGCAGTTCCCGTGTGTTGGAAAAGTGTGGCTTCAAGGTTGTGAGTGATTTCCGTCATGAAGAAGATGAAGTTTTCATTTTTGCATTGAATCGACCTTGAGATTTGCGGGTGATGGGTATAGGTCTGGTTGTGAATAAATCATCGAACTTGATCGGCATCTTATGGTGGAAAGCACATGTACGGGCGACGAAGTGACACATGAGACCCAATGACAACCCCAGAGGATGCGGAGAAAAGAACTTGTCCTCCAGCACAGCATATCAAAATGGGGACAAGCAAATTCTTCTTTTCCATCTCTCCTAACATGACGGATTATCACTGGAGCTTAACCGCCAACCAGTAATGAGTGACGATTTCCAAAATAAGCATCAGACTGCAAATTACATTCAGTAAAAACGACTGTGGTGAAAATTAAGTACTGCTCTTCAACGCTTGGAATACCTAAAGCAGCCTCCGCCAAGTATGTACACATATCCTATTCACAAAAGGAATCCCGCTGTCATCACGGGTTATATTACACAGGTAGTAGACAAATCTGTGAGCTTACTCGCTAGCTTTCGCTGCCTGCAAAATCACATCCGCAGCCTTCTCGCCCACCAAGAAAGTCGAAACAGCCGTGAACGTTCCAGGGATGCGGGGATACACGGAGGCATCCACAACACGCAGGCCAGAGACACCACGTACTTGGAAGTCGGAATCCAAGACAGCGAAAGGATCGCCATCAGGTCCGATAGGGCAAGTGCAAGAAGCGTGGTGACCCCAAGCAGTGTTCTTGATATAATCGTGGATTTCCTTATCAGTCTGGACATCACCGCCGGGGAGGACTTCGTCAATATCGACTACCTGGCGGTCAAAGGCACCACGTGCCAAGTGAATACCCTCAGTGATGGCCTGCAAATCCTTTCCGTAGTCCCCGGAGCCGGTGTCAAAGTAGTTGAAGACAATCTCAGGCATATCAAGGGGATCAGCAGAGCGGAGCATGACGGAACCAGCGGTGTTACGTGGGTGAGCCTTCAGAACTGCCCAGGAGAACCAGTCGTGGCGCTCGGTGATGTTCACGCCGTATCCGGGGTAGTATCCACGGAAGTTGATAGGTCCACCGAATACGAAGACGTCGTAGCCATTATCCGCAGTCACGGTACTCTTGTACAGCATGGCAGCTGCAAATCCATTGGAAGAGTAGATACCGCGGTTACCCAGAACCGGTTTCTCCCAACGGTCAAGGCAAGGATCATCACCGTTGTTGAATGTGCATCCATCGAACGAGGCAAGATCTTTCGGTGTGTGGCCTTGCACCACAGTCTCATAGTGGTCTTGCAAGTTGGTGCCAACACCAGGAAGGTTGGCAATTACCTTGATTCCGAAGTTTTGGAGCTCCTCTGCGGGTCCGATACCACTCAGCTTGAGAATCTGAGGCGAGTTGTAAGCTCCGCCAGAGACGATGACTTCGCGGGAGGCTGTTGCCGAACCGGGCTTTCCCTTACCAGCAGTCTTGGACCGGGGGCTAGCGCTGTAAAGATACTGGCCATCCAAGAATTCAACGCCTGTAGCGCGAGGTGGGTTAACAGACTCGTCGAAGGTGATCTTGGTCACATGGCAATTCATGCGGATATCGAGGGGGAACCTCTTGGTTCCGTCGGCATTCTTGGCATCCCTGACAGTGGTCACGAACTCGCGGGGGCCGTTACGAGAAGCCCCATCAGAGGCGAGAGGAACTTGATAGTATCCAGGTGAGGTATCGCGGTGCTTGGAATCGGAGTTTGCATCTCCAGCTAGCAGTGTGCCGATATTGAAAATGGAGTGAGTCACATTTCCAAGAGAGAAGGCTCCACCTAGCAGTAAGCTGAGAAGTTGGGGATCTTTGAGCACAATGTCCAATGGTGCAGTCTCGGTGCCCAGCCAACCGTCGTAGCCATGGCCCTTGAGCAACGGGAGTAGATATTTGTTGTTTTCCATGCGCTTGAAGTACTTGCGCATGTTTTTAGGTGACCAAGAACCATCTCCGGTGAGGGTAGCGAGGTATTCAAAATCCGAGTCGTGAGGATAGACGGTGACGAGAGCATTGTGTGCGGTGCAACCACCGAGGGTGCCAGTGCGGGGATAAAGTGTGCCCTTCATTTTGGAACCCACCGGGGGGTTGAGACCAGTGTATTCCTTTCCATCAGGAGTTTCATACGTTGTCTTGAAGTCAAGCTTCTGACGAGATTCATCAGCGTAGTGCTTGACATAGAAGTTCCATGCCAGAGCTTCGTCCTCGGAAGCCTTCGCGGAGAAGGCGGGGACCGTATAGTTCAGATTGGCTCCCTGGTCATCTCCGGCTTCAATGAGAAGTGTGCTATGACCTGCCAAAGCGAGTCGTGCGGCGAGGGGACCACCTCCTGCACCAGAGCCAACCACAACGTATTCATATCCCGATAACTCAACAGCCTTGACGACGGCAGAGAGCGCGGCCACGCCGAGGAGGCGACTGAAAAGCATGACGTATATAACGCTGCGAAAAGCGTCGAATGAGCGAAAAGAGGTCAGTTACGACGTTGGGTATGCAATACTGCAGCGTCCATTGTCTTTATACCTGAGGCCCCTGTTAGAGCCGGGCACATTGCTAGCTCAATAATATGTTTTTCGGGTTGCTAAAACTGGACTCAATTGTCAAGCGAAATTGAGTTCCTGGCTATCCGATGTCAAGAATCGCATAGCTCATTGGCAGGGGGTAACATGATTCCACTGTACGAACCGCTTGTAGGGGTCTGTGGGCATACTAAGCCGACATCCCCGCCACGACGATCGCACCGTGTTCAGAAGCTGGAAAGCAATAGTCCACGTCAGTGGATGCTAGAAAAACGGTGCGCACGGATAGAGTGAGGATTAGCACGATCACCAGGGGACCATTGCAGCCACAGCAATACGAGATTAAGTGGAACTGCTCCGTACTCCGGTGATGGATTCTTCACCTATGACATTGGCGTGGTCGCCCACCAATCATGTTTGTCAATTTTATCAACATATGCATAGGGTTAAGAAACTGGTTAGTTATAGATTGCAATTTAAATGAAGCCGTTGGAATACTCCGCACATCCTTGCAGACATCATTCCAAGCCTACGTTGTGCATCGAAATGTCCAAAATAGGTCATATTATGCGTGCCCAGGTACGGTCCCACTATAGGGGCTTCGCCGGATTGAAGAAGAAAGGATGATCTTAAGTGTATAACATCATTATAGAAGATACCTCGGCATGTGTTCTCTTCCTCTTGATGTACAGAGTACTACAGAACACAGATGATATGGCTACCTATTGTGTTATAAATTCCTGCGAAGCCCTGCCAAGCCCCCGCATATCGCATAACTTCGGATATGGCCTAGTTCGTAATATGATCAAGTCGCGTGATACTACGGAGTACGGAGTACTCCGTGCCTCATGGTTAAATATGCACGTAAAGTGGGATTGAGAAACGTCGATCGCAGCCAACGGTGCTACCACATGTACTTCATGACCTGGGGGAGATCTACGACCAGAGATTAGGATCTACACGTCAAATCCCCACCCCTCTTAATCACCAAAGAAGCAATCGGTCTATAACATATCCCCTCCTGGGTAGGAGATGGGATGGTACTTCCAGCTCGGGTTGTGGAGAAAGGGGGGGGGGGGGGGGAGAGGAAAATTACGGAGTATGGGGCGGGAGAAAGACCGGCGTTATAATATTGCATTAGAACCTCCAAGGATCCTCATACGTATCCATTCGTTCCCTTGTTCTTAGCCCCTTTCCCTCAGGCCCCCTCTCCTTGGACACTGAGGCCTGGCCCTCTGCACGTTAGCAGGACAAAAGCTTTGAAGCGACATTGAGAAAATAACAGGATATGCATAGAAAGAACTACCCAAATGAAGAAATGACGGCCAATTCAGGCAATATTTAATCAGAACAGCCCAACTCCCTTCTCACTTCAGTCCCGTTCAGTCAATTCCGCCGACAGGCTGCCCGTCTCTGCGGCACCAAGTCAGCTACTTCGCATATTGAAGGACACTTGAATCCAAAGTAATCAAACCAACCTATACGTATTTTCATGTCGATGCCTAAGATCGCATAAGAGCCCACAACGCTCATTCTTTGCTAGACCAATAAAGAGGATGGGATGGGTGTCTTGAGAATTGTCGGGTCGTTATACAATGTTGTAGAAGCTAGACAAAATAGGAAGCTAGACAAAATAGGAAGCTAGACAAAATAGCGGAGGCTGGCTGCAAGTCTCTAGTGCGATTTCACCGAGAAAATGGTTATTCGAGTAGGAAAAAGGCCACGACCTCACCCCGATGACATTGGAGTCCGGTTTTGCGCCTTGCTCCGTTGAGAATGAGCAACAAGCTAGGGAAAAGTCAAGATCTTGTCCATTACTCAGGGATGCGACGACAGGTTTACATAACCATGAAAGAAGTGAGGATATCACTCCCTTCACCAATTATTGTTTGATTGTGTGTAGATAATCAACAACTTCCTGGCTGAGAATCTTGTCACAAAGAAGTTGGTTGGCGGACTCGAGAATCCACGTCTGACAATCTCTCAGGATAACTTTTTTCCCAAGTTTGATCTGGAATAATTGAATCAGCCATTATAGTGCAAGGAAATTTGATAGAGCGTAATATCTAAGATGGGCCTGATCTTCCCATTTATAGTTGTTAAATTAAACAAATCCACGTGGTGGGGCTGGGACAGGCAGGAATTTAGCTCAGGTACTCACTTCATCGCCGACTATGTTAAGGCCTTTTCCAGGAGCCTTTATTTTGTAAACACTTCTCTCAAAGTGACAAACGGGTACGTCGTCAATCTTGTATTTTCCGTTGTTGAGCATCGCTTTCGGATCAAAATACTCCGCATCGATCCACTGCAGCGGGGTCCTTGTCGAAGGAATATCGTCGGTTTGTTGCAAGTTCTCGCTGCGCTTAATTTCAAACTCAAAGCCATTTCTCACATCACCGGTCGCATGTATCTTGACCCCAATGTCAGGATCGGTGTTCGAGCGCACAAAATATGCCCAGTGATCTTTGAAAGGCGAGCCGTTCCAGGTCAGCAGTTCCAGCATATAAGCCCCAATGGAACCCTTCGACGCTACCTTCGGCTTGGAAACAGCGCGATGGGAACTGGCCATTGCGCAGGGAAAGTTGAGACGTTGGGTGTAATATGGCTGTGAAGGCGTTGTCTGTTGTTCGTTGCTGCCTGCAGTTCCTGCAGTGCTGCCTTGACTGTCAGGCCTTCCTACTGAAGTTCAATCCACAACTTCATGTCCAACACCAAAATGTACATCAAATGAGAATTTGATGATCCCAAATTATCTCTCTTGGTTGCTCGGCTCGTTATCTCGAGCATAGTCTTGTTTAAAAAGTCCCGCGCTTATAGAAACATCCTGTCCCTCTCCAAGTGGATAGCTACATGTATCAGGTCGACGTCTTCGAGCGGCATATGCGCAACTCAACGCGAATAATTGCAAAGGCCACCAAGAATCATGCGGACCTCATTCCCAAAGCTTCAATCAGTCTTCGTTGATCCCTTTCCGTAATTAGGCCATCTCAAGCTGTTGACAAGTATACAGTGCGTGGTCCTTTGTGGGAGGCTGACGCGGAAGCGAGATGTTCGTCAACAAAAAAAAGGGAAGTGACTACTATATCTACTCCATTGAATTATGATTATTGTTTGCTTTACACATTCATTGATGTTTGAGCGAGAGTACAAAGAAGGATCCTGCCGACTACAAAACCAAGGGATGAAGATAAACAGATCTCGAGATCATCTCGCCGACCCGATTACATGTCGAGATTATACATACTATCTAAGTATGAAGGCCATAAGGAATCAGAGTGTTTCCTAAATGACCCGTTCCATGAGATATATCACAAGAAAAAGCAAGGGATCGCCGTCACGCAAGGGCGATATTACCTACGAATTCATTACGGCCAATGATTGTTAAAATTGTTGCAAACACGTGGATTTCATCGTCATGATCATCTGTGACAATCGCATTGGCATCCTTGATCTTAATCCTGATCACAGATCTACATCCATTACCCCTCGGAGCTGTGAACCGGTCACATCACTGCTTTGAGACATTACAGTATCTGAGCCTTGGCTGCAATGACTCCCATATCCCGAAGGCAAGGATTCGATCTTGGCATTAAGAGATCTTTCCAGATAGCTCGGGATGGAAGTATGTATATGAAGCCCACTCATCTTGTTAGGGTTTCCGTTGCCTGAAGCTAAGGCTAAAGTGGGGTGATAACCAGATGAGAGTTCTAGGACTCAGTCATAATTGGTCAATTATCCTTTGAAGGTTGGGAATGGTGTGTGTTGTCCATCAATGTACGATTTTATGTGAAAGCTAAAGGTTGCTCGTAGCATCAGTTGGATACACTGCTTCCAAGGGGGCCACGGTCTTATAGGCCGCATGTTGTGCATCTGCAAAAAATGGTAATTGTATCTCCCGTCTTTTTTTCCATTCCTTGCTTTATCGCAGAAAAGCTGCAAAATGAACACCGAGAAGCTCAACCACAGCATCTCTGAAAGCCGCGTGTATCCAGCACGATTCAAGAGATCATTAGCCTCATGGATCAGAAATCAACCTATATTATCAGCGTGCATGATATTTGCTTGCGCTCTTGTGCTGGTAGTCAAACTTGGCTATTATGACCTCTATGATCATGTTCAAATGCTGGAGGAAATCCACGATACAAGTACCTAATCCATTATTCAATCTATTGTGACTGACTATGGGCGCTAAGAAAAAAACTAGAAGAAGTCAGAGAAAAACAGATCGCGATATCTGAGCTTGTGATGAAAACCGAAAGCTACAGCCCTAACTCAACAAATGTGGCTTTGGTTATGTCAAAGACTCGCTCAGACGACTTGAGATGGTTGAGAGATTATCTCACCACTCAGTAAGTGAACAACTCCTGAGTGCGGGAAATACAGCTGACCCAAGATATACAGTAATGACAATACACCTTTCATCTACACCATGGATCCGAACCCCGAGACACAACTGCTCACTGCACGATCGTCTCGTGGCCGTGAAGTCGCCGCCTACCTTTCTTTCATCGTCGACTTCTACCACGAGCTTCCTGCATACTCAATTTTCATCCACGCCAATCCAGATCAATGGCACAACGATCTATTCGGCTCGCAGACAAACAGCGTGTTACAAAATCTGCGTCGCGAAGCTGTGGACGCGATGGGCTATGTGAACCTGCGTTGTACAAATAACCCAGGCTGTCCGACCCACGTCAATCCGCACAACCCCACGCAATCAGACATTGAAAACAATGAAGCCCGTGCAAGTTTTCCGAGGATATATAAAGATCTATTCGGGGATCATGCAACTGTACCGGACCACATCGGGGGGATTTGCTGTGCCCAGTTTGCGGTCAGCCGGGCACGCATCCGGCAACGAACAAAGAAGGATTACATCCGTATGTTGGATTGGGTGAATAATAAAAGTTTGCCATTTGTGGATAGCTACGGTGTTGGCTGGGTATTTGAAACTCTGTGGCATGTGGTGTTTGGCATGGAAGGGATCCAGTGAGTGTCTAGGTGTTTTCGAGCGTTTTGTTCCGGTCGCACACTAACCTCCCTGTTCTTGTCCTCAGTTGCCCTGTTTATGAGCAATGCCGGTGTGATAATTACGGATGGGTAAGGAATCAATATCGATCGCAGTTGGACTTGACTAACCTACCTATACCGAAAGTGTGGGCCGCTGCCATCAGGCGAAACTCTTACGGCAATTAAGGCAATATGAAAGAAGAGGCCAAATAAAAGATAATGGTCCATAGTCTTAAATATTGGCGAGGCATACATATCCTATAACCACACGGATGTCAGCCTTATTTTCTAATATTGGATTTTGGTGTTAATAGGGCTATATAATCTACCTGCATACGTCGCTTGAGGGCTAATTGAGGCATGAAGTTTCGTTTTTGTTGGAATTTGTCTCGCTCATACCTCTTAATTCCGAAATCTAGCTCAAAATCATTTGGCCTCCAGCATGGATCAAAATAAATACTCCATACAGTCACAAACAACAGTTTTGATTGGCTAAGAGACTGAATATGGAGCATCGGAGACCAGCCAAATCCGAGCGACGGTTTAACATCTGTTAAGTCCGATAGTCCGATAGTCCGATGGCCAAACCAATCCTTCCAAAACACTGTTGCCTGTCTAGATAGGTGTGACAACACTTCGGTCCATATGAGAAAGCTGGACACAGGAGGCTTATGCTATCTCCGCCAATAGGTGTGATCTTCCCCTCGTTGGCGCCTGCCCCGGATGTTCAGATATGACAGAGCCCTCCTAGTAGATAAATGGCTCACTTCTCTTCCCATGGCTCTCTCTTTTCATTCCTAACCGCTTTTCCTTCCTGATACACCACATTCCTCTATATTTCCTCTATCGAGGATTGTTCTCGAAAGCCATGGCTACAAAACCAATCACAAGAGTCGTCATTGTTGGGGTAATTCTCATACTTTTTCATTTATCTATCCTCTTTTTGGGAGGCAGATCTTCTGACGATTACTAGGCTACTGGTCGCCTCGGCGGAGTCTTTGCTCGGGCACTTATCCAAACCGGCAAGCATACTGTTACAGCTCTCACCCGTGAGACTAGCAAGGGAAAGCTTCCCGCGGGAGTTCAAGCTATCAAAGTTGATTACAACGATGAAGCTGCTCTCATCAAAGCTTTCGAGGGCCAACAGTTTCTTGCAATTACCCTTGGAATTCATGCCCCGGAGAACCTTCATAGCAGGATCACCGCGGCTGCAGGAAAAGCCGGTGTTCCTTACATCATGCCAAACGCGTACGGATACCCGCTCAACCCAAATGGAGTGAGCGAGTCAGATTCGTACGGAAAGGCCGTTCTAAGTCGGGTCAGTGATGCTCAAAATGGGGTTTCATCCTCAGTGGCTCTCCCATGTGGTTTCTGGTACGAATGGAGTTTGGCAACTGGCGAACAATGGTTTGGTTTCAATATCAAGGATCGCAAAGTGACCTTTTTCGATGAGGGGACTCGCACTATAACTGTCAGCACCTGGAACCAATGCGGTCGTGCGTTGGCGGCTCTCCTCAGTCTACCGGAGTCGGGAACATCTCCTGCACTTGCCGACTTCAAGAACAAAGAACTCCGGATCAATAGCTTCCGCGTCTCACAACGCGATATGCTCGACAGTCTTAATCGTGTCTTGGAAACCACGGACTCTGACTGGGAGATTAGTTATGAGACTGTCGCTAAGCGCCTGGCCGATGGCGCTGAGGAGTTTTCCAAGGGTATCTTCACCGGATATCCGAAAATGTTGTATGGAAGTATCTTTTTGAAGACCAACGAACAAAGTGATTTTGCAGAGACAATGGAACTGGCAAATGACACTTTGGGGCTCCCTAAAGAGGACCTGGATGAAGCGACTACGCGGGTGGTGGAGATGGTCGCAGCAGGATGGGATCCTCTTGCTGAGATGTAAATGCATAATTTCACTCGCAATCATGTCAAGTTTCATTCTGCTGAAGGTTGCCAAAATTCAAGAGAACATATCCTACGTCCTCCGTGACTTACATTCCCGCATACTGTGTTGTCTAAAGTGAGCTGTTCCAAACTAGGTACGTATGTCAGTCGACACAGGGACCTAGCTCGATAGATCTATTACTGTGTCACTCGTCTGAGGTCTCAGTTCGAATTCGTTGGACTCTGCGTGTCCATAGGAATGTATGACAAGAAGGAAACTTCGTCCTTTTACTCATATTTCAAGCACCTCGCTCCCCTAGCACCCCCAGAAACCCTAAAACCAAGTGAGCATACAGCACACTTCAACGAAACTGTCGGCTTGGACGTACCACTGAACTCAATTTTGCCATTGCTGTTGTTGTCGAAATTTCTAATATGCTCTGCTGCCTCTTCATCATTCATTTCGATACCTTGTTCCTTGGCAGACTTGATTAGTTCGTGAGTGGCGATGAAGTCTAATCCCAGGTAGTAACATAGCCTCGGTGCCCAATACTGAGGAACATACGGCCACTTTTTATACCCTATATCTCAATTCATAGGTGTACAGCTTCTCTGTAGATGTAGCCAGAAGAGAACTTACTGCAGCTTGGAAGACTTATTTCCATTTCTTGAGCTTTTCGTGGCTGTATCGAGACTTTGGATGTTACAAATGATGGATGACTAGGTACATGTCCAATAGGAAAAATCCCATTCGCTACCTTCTTTGTAGTATCCTCCACCGCCATATCACCAGCCCTTTGGGTGATCCGAGCAAGATAGCATGTATAGGCACACTCGTCAGCTACTGACATACTACTGGCTTGTCTTCGTTTTTCCTGCATGGGCCAGCAATCGCCAGCAATCCTATACCCAAAAGAATTCAAGCATTGATTCAACGCGATTGGATTACGTACTCCGGGAGTTTTCTCGGCCTCGGCTGTTTATCATGACTTCTTCATTTACCAAAACGGAAGCCTAGGTCTGCCACTAGATGACGTCATTTCAGGGCTTCCTACGAAGCTTGCTTATCGATAAACATCATCACTTCCCACGATCTCAAACCATTCTTCTCCAGACTATGCTGCTCAACCAATTGTGAAATACACCATGTCAGAAAAGCTCAAAGAAGCCGTGCTTGCGGAGGCCAAAAATACCCAAGCGGTCGCTCAGGATGTGGTCACATCCGGCGCATGGCTCTATCCATTCAAGGTCGGTCGTCATTTCCGTCAAGTAGAGTCTTTTCGACGGTCTCTAACTACATGGAATGAATCTTACAGGGAATTTTCTTCTTCGCAACCCATAAAGAACTTTGGCGTCCTTTTATCTCCCGCGCCGGGCGGACAATGACCCTTGGACTGGGCGTCACAAGCGCCATGTTCTTCTTCACCTACGTGCCGCAGATGGCCATCATGGCGTTCACCAGCGGCCCATTGGCTGCTATTTCCGCAGCGGTCTTAGTCCTAGGTGAAAGCTCGACTATAGCAAACGTTCTCTCGCGCGCACTTCTCGTCGAGGATGCCCTGATCGACACCTTCGATGGTACCCTCGTCGCACGCGATCAAGAACCCCTTGTCTCCCAAGGACGTCAAATCAAAGCCCGGTCAGGCGGAAAAGATGCAATGGCTAGATTGGGTAAGGTTTTCACTCGGCCTCTCTCGCGCCTCAACCCAAGGGCGCTGCTACGTTCGTTGCTCTATCTGCCCCTGAACTTAATTCCTGTGGTCGGAACCGTCTTGTATATCTTCATGCAGGGGAAAAAGGCAGGGCCAGGACTTCATGTCAGATATTTCCAGCTCAAGGGCTGGAATTACACAGAGCGCGAGGAGTGGGTGAAGAATAACAGGGGAGGATACACTGGGTGGGTGGAATCCATTCCTCTTCTCGGATGCTGTTTGATCGAATGCTAATCAATATCTTAGTCTTGGAATCACTTCCTTTATGTTGGAAATGATTCCATTTGCCTCGATCGTGTTTTCGTTCACCAACACAGTCGGCGCTGCTCTGTGGGCTGCGGATTTGGAAAAAGCAACCAAGTAACTGGTTTGACTATTTGTATGAATCCCCCGCAGCGTTATAATTTCGCCAACGGCGAGTAGAATTTGTGGATATAAAAGCGTGAAAAATGAAGAGAAAGTTTCGACATCAATCTAATTTCGAAGCTCTATTGTGCCTAGCGGTTTATCTTACGTTCGACACTTAGGGGAGGGCTCCGTCTCGTCCAATATCCGAGGGATCTACGGAGTACAAGCAGACCGACATAGAACCGAAATCCACTTGATTTGGTTTGCTGGGACAATCTCTGGGAAGGCAAGAAAATATGTAAACCGGAGGCCACAGAGAGAGTCCTATTGGTCACCGTGCCCAACATCTCCCGTAGCTTCGAGCCTCTCTCTCTCTCTCTCTCTCTCTCTCTCTCGCTGCAAGCCACGAACTAAAACCGAGTATGTCCGACCAGAGGTAATTTGTATCATTGTTCAACCATGCAATGAGAGACACACTGACACTTTGCTATAATCTCAAGCCTGTGTGCTTTGGATTTGCTGGCCCGAATTCCTTTTCGCACGAGAGCTAGTGGCGCGGTTCTTCATCTCCTTCCTATTATCCTCATCGGAGCCATCGGCAGAAGGATCATCTTTGAATCGCATGTCTTCTTCAACCTCAGCAATCAGGTTATTATTGCTGGTGGCGACATCCTGCAAAGTGCCGAGATGGATTTTCAGAGCTGCCACAGCACGATTCAAGCTTCGAAGGTTCTGCTTTCGGCGTTGGATTGTCTGGGAAAAGTAGGCTTTCTGATCCTTCAGCTTATTGATCATGTCTTTGCGACTGACTGGAACTGAGCTGGCCCGGGGCTCAGCCTTGATGGTTGTGTCGACTTTCTCCTGTCGTTTTCTACCTCTGGTAGACTTTTTCGGGGCCATGATATATCACAGATTGTAAGGTCTTCGAGCCCTTCCTTGATGAAAATCCTAAAGTGGGAGTTATGCTACTTACTTGGTACGTGATGGGGAAAGGAGAGGTATGAGAAAGACACAATGCAGCAAGAACATGTGCAGCTATGGGTTATCTGATATACTTCATGGGCAGCAGAAAAAGCCAAGAGAAGTCGGAATAACATGGGCTAGTGACCCCACGGAGACTCCATATGTGCATCAACATCAAAAGCAAACAACTTGCCCTATACGGTACCATGGGCCAGTGGACACTATAGTTCTTATGCATGTCTGCCTGAGGCTAAAACAACGCATCTGAATATCAGGCTATGTCAAAGCCTCGCCTCCAATTCTTCCATCGTCTCCAAATCACGACCTGCAACAAAATAACCATCCAATCTTTCTTGTATGAAATTGGCTATGCGAGCAATTCAAGTAGCGCGTGCATCAGGCTCTCCCAAAACTTTCTCAAACTCGACAAAACAAAGACTTTCTGGCAATGCCAGTTTTTCAAATTTCTCACGAGGAAAAACAGTCGTTTTGCCCGTCTCCCGGTATCCATGACGCGAATACCATGATATTAGTTGCTTGCGATTGGAAAGTGCGTTCAACTCCAGCGTCGTGACACCCCAGGTCCGTCGACAATAGCCCTCAGCGTAAGCCAAGACCTGACGACCAATGCCGCTGCGCTGCTGGCTCGGATCAATAGCGAGCATGAAGAGTCGAGCGTTATTGGGGCCACGCTTAGCAGTCCCGATTGAGCCGACGAGCGTGTTGAGATCGTTGGTTGCCATCAGCATAACACTGTCCGGCTTGATGATCATGGCCAGAATTTCTTCCACGTCGATTCGGAAGCTTGATGAGAGTCCTAGGTCATCGGTCCAGCCATTTCTGCTGTCATTGGCACGGAATGCAGATTCCACCAATTGTTGAAGTTCAGACGCGTCTGCTTCGGTTGCGATGCGGAAAGTGAGCGCGTTCATTTTAGATTGGGAAAATGATGTATAGCCTTTGAAACTAGAACGCGATAAGAAAAGAAATAGTTGAGTCAAATATCTCACAGCTGTGTTCCACTTCGGAAATTAGTTCGTTCGGAGTGAACCTTGCCATGTAACCACAAGGGCGTGAGATTTGGCGGGAAAATCCCGCAAAAGGCGTCAGATATGCGATCCTTTCTGTTTGTTGTATAATGTTTCAACAACGAGTGCCAATGAGAATGGAACATTCAATGAGAAAGAGTCCGGTGTAAAACCGAAGACATTCCCCTCAACATCTTTGAATATTACCGACAACCTTGCGAGGTAGGCTAACCCTTCGAGATCATACTCAGGTCAGTAGGTAGGTCAGTAGGTATATATGTTGTTCTGGCTGCATCTAAGTAAATCCAGATGCGCAGTCAGACTGGGAATCCTCAAGCATCCAAAAATGGAAGTAGGAAACACTGAAAGTTGGGAGAAACACCAAGGGCCGAGTTGTAACTGTGAGTGCGGCCTGAGGCAACGGGCTCGTGTCGGAGCATGAGATCGGCATACCGGAAGTTTAGTTTATCCTGTCCACGCAGTATTTTTGATATTAGTCAGATAGTCATATTTCCTGCCAGAATAGTGGATACAGAAATATAGAGATTTCAACTCCCTTGATTGGACCCCTACTATACTGAAGACCACATCAGTTGATAGTTATGAGCCCGGTTCGCACGAAATAAGGCCGCTATTCATAAGATATAGCGCCTATCAGCACCTGAAAACCTCTAAAAGCTGCACAGTAGCCCGCTGAGGCTATATAGCACCCAACCCTAATAATGGAAGTATTAACAATTCTCTCCGCTATAAAGGGCGAAAAACTGAAGGATTCGCCCTAATGGCGCACCTGGTTCGCCCGGGTGAAGCTATATGCGATATAAAAATAAGTCTGGAAGCACTGTGACCTAGATACCCCCCCGATAGAGAGACTAGTTAGGAAAGAAGAGCCTATTAGGCCGGAATACCCCTACGGAGGGACCGAATCGGACAAAAGAGACTGGAGAGATGAAATAGACATCTTTAAAGTGGACTAATCGAAATGGGATAGGGAGATAAAAGGGCTTTCTGATATGAATAACTATATTTATACCTTCCTAGACCTAATCCACTATACCGCTATCACCGACTATTAGACCCTATATAAGAGACTAGTATACCTAAGAGATCGCTTCGCGAGATCGACTATATACGAGGAGGAAGTCCGAATAAAGTAGAAGGTCTTCGCTATCTAAAAGCCGACTAGAGATATCGAATAATTGTTACGTGCCAGATCTTTAATGAAAGAGTGCAATTCAACGAAAAATACTAAGACAGAGAAGGAAAGGAAAAGAGGAAAAGGAAACTCACTGTCGCAGAGTTTTGGAGAGTCTTTAGGTTGCAAACTTCACAAACCTCGGACCCACTCTACGACAGCGATAGACACGTGACTCAGTTTCCTATCCACGATCGTCATATACTCCCTTATCTAAATTGCATTCAGTCTCTAAATACTAGCTTATCGTCGTCTTTATAATCCTATAATAACTTCTCGCCTTCTATAGCTTTAATCTAGTAGTGTAGACGTGCTAGGGGTCCGGGCTTTATAGGATATTTTTTATAGAATTCCTTAACCTTTTCCGGTGCGTTTTTTAGATTACCTACTAGATACTACTATAGGTCTATATCATATCCTACCTACTCTACTCGGTACTAAAGCTTCCTATAATACGTGCGAGTATCTAAGATCTTACTAACTTCCTATTCGTTAGTTTTATTTATCGTAATAGGTAGTGTTAGATCTTTATATTACCCTCGTAGTAGCTTAGTTTTCGACGCTTTACGTAGTTTACTAGGATAGAAAATAGGGTATATCTTTATCGATCCCGGGAGATCTAACTTATATAAATTCCTAACCTTCTCTATAATTATATATAGTCTACTTATAGAGTAAGATAACTTCCGACTCGGTCCGTTAGGTAACTAATCCTTTATCGTAATAAAAACTCGATCTCCTACCCCGAAATCCTCTTCCCGACGATATTTATTTACTTATTAGATCTAGAGTTTCTAGGACTTATTAATCTACTCCTTCGTCTTAGACTATATATCTTATAGTTATAAGAGTATATCTACTATACCTCGTTTATTAACGGAGATATACTCGGGATCTTTCTAGTTAAAGGTTATTATAGGCTCGTACCCCCTCTCTATAAAGAAAAGAGATTTCTTAGTAGTGTCTTATAGTAGAATAGATATTACGAAGTTAATTATAGGTAAAACCTCTAACTAATTATCTTAATTTAGTTCTATATATAGACGAAGACGCTAAGCTATATACTAATTTACGATCTTACTCTAGCTATTAGTTTAGGGATAGTATATAGTTAATAGTTTTCTCTTAATTCCTAGTATTCGATAGAACTCTATCTAGAAATTAGAGATAAACTATCTACCTTAATCTAATACGATAGTCTCCGGTATTCCTAAAATACGAATAATATAGTCTATAAAGAGTCGGGCTATCTACTATATATTTATATCCTTATAATAAGGAATCGAGATTAGTCGCTTACTTAGACGGTCTACGACTATAAATACTACGTTAAAGCCGTATCGATCCTTTAGAAACGATCTAAAATCTATCGAAATATACTACTAGGGTCAATCGGGGATAGGTAAAGGATAGAGAAGTCTAGGTATCTTATCCCTCTATAACTTCGTCCTTTTATATACTAGATAGTTATCTACGTATCGTTATATATTATTAGCCTATCTAGGCTAGTAATAACGGGCGGAGACTAGCTTCTTTATCTTCTTAACGCCTAGGTATACGACTAAAGGCTAGTGATAGACTTTATCTAATAACTAAGCACGTAGATCCTCCTAATTAGGTACTTCTAGCTTATTATTAAATAGTAAGAGTCCTTCCTCTAACTACTAGTGAAGATCCTCTTCTTCTTATACCTTTTGTCTTAACTCTTCGAGACCTATATCTATACGGTTTACTCGTTTTATATAGTTAACGATCTCTTCTATAGCCGTCTATATTAGCGCTAACGAGGTAGGGTAGATACCTTCCTTAAGATAATCACGAGGAAGTAGAGTAACGAACTTACTCCTATCCTTATATAGTATATCCTTCCTTAAGAGGGCGTCGGCGATAACGTTTCGCTTCCTAGGACGATATTTAATTATAAAATAGAATTAAGAGAGGAATTCACTCTATCGAATCTATCGTTAATTTAGATATCTTACTATTATAAAATACTCTAGGGACTAATAGTCTATAAGGATTCCGAAACGATCCCCTCGAGTAAGACCTTCTAACTCTACGCGCCACTCCTATAAGGTTCGTATAATTGCGAGTAACTCCTTATTATATACTTTATAGTTAAATTCCGCGGACTATATTAACTTCGAGAAGAAGGTAACGGGATACTAGAAACTATCTTTATAATATTATATTAAGACGCCTCCGAGGATACCGTTAGAGGTATTAGTCTCGACTTAGGTAGGTAACGCTAGATTATAATACCGTAAGATTAGAGTAGTTATTAGTAGCTCCTTTAGCTTATTAAAAGCTTCTTCGTATAGCGGTATCTATTTAAACTAAGTATCTCGTCTAGTTAGACGGTAAAGAGGCTTTATAACCTTACTATATTTTAGAATAAACCTTCGGTAAAAATTAGAGAAACCGAGGAAAGACTAAACCCCTTTAATAGTAGTAGGGATTTTCTAGTCTTTTATAACGCTAATCTTTTCTAGGTTAACCTTAATTCCTTTAGTGCTAATAATAAAGCCTAGGAACTTAGTTTTCTAGACTCTAAACTTATACTTATATAGTGCTACTTAAAGTCCTACCTTTTATAGACGATTTAATACCTCCCGTATATACTTTTAGTAGTCCTTAAGGTTCTCGCTATAGATTAGAATATTATTAACAAATACTATAGTATATTTATCTAAATATTTACGTAGTACGTTATTTATAAATCTCTAGAAAGTTATAGGTCCGTTAGTTAAACTAAATAGTATTACCTTATATTTAAAAGATCTATAGCGAGTTCGGAAGGTAGTTAGTTCCTTAGTAGCTTAAGTTAGACGGATCCGATAGAACCCTTATCGTATATCGAGCTTTATAAAAAACTTTGCCTTACTAGTTCGTTATAATACCTTATCGATTAGAGGTAATAAGTAATAGTCTTTCTTTATAATACTATTTAGTTTCCTAAAGTCTACGTAGAAACGTAAACCTCTACTAGGCTTCTTCGCTATTAGTATCGGAGACGTATATAGAGATAAGCTAGGTATAATAAAGCCTTTATTAAGGTTTTTTATAATATACTTCTTTACCGCTTATAATTCCTTAATAGAAAGTTTATAAAATAGATAGTATCTAGGTCTAGCCTTTTCTTCTAGGATTATATTATAATCTATATCTAGACGATAGAGAGGAAGCTTGTTAGATCGTCTCTTCGAAAATATAGATACTAGGTTATAGTACTCCTTTAGTAGTTTTTAGAGAATCTTAGAGATTTTAAGATTATCGTCTTTCTCTATTCCGGTAGCCTTCTTTTTTATATTAAGAGTACGATCTAGGTTATCGAGAGAGGTTAGAAAGATTTCGATATCCTTTATACCTACTCGTCGTCGGACTTTATACCTATTAAATATAGACTTTCCGATTATATAAATATTAATAGTAGTTAACGCTAGTAGTTCTAGTTCCTTCCTTCTCTCTAACTAGGAAGTAGACTACTTAGTAGCTCTCTTTTTAATATCTTTATCGAGTAACCCGTCTCTCCGATCCGCGTCTATCTAATAAATTCGGTCGAGATTCCTATCCGGCTAAAGGATAATCTTTAGTATTAGTACTATAATTTTACTTACTACTTCGTTAAAGATAGATCTCTCCTCGGGCTAGATTATCCGATATCGCTTATAATCTAGTAGGATATTATATATAACGAACTATATTCTCC